GCAAAAAAAGGATGGAAAAAAACGATTGGTACAGGACTACCGATACCTAAACAGATACACCGTGAAAAATGCATATCCATTACCTCTGATTTCGCAACTAGTAGACAAAGTATCTAAGGCTCGCTTATTTACCAAAATGGACCTCCGATGGGGGTATAACAATGTACGAATAAAAGAAGGAGACCAGTGGAAGGCAGCGTTCCAAACGCCACAAGGGGCGTTCGAACCAATGGTCATGCACTTCGGACTTAGCAATTCCCCTTCCACGTTCCAAACCATGATGAACGAACTTTTCAAAGAACTGATTGACGAAGGCCTTGTAGTTATCTATTTAGACGATTTACTTATCTTTACGGACAATGATGTACAAAAACACCGAGAAGTAGTACGACGGGCTCTGAAGATTCTTGAAGACAACGATTTATATATAAAACCAGAAAAATGTGCATTCGAAGTAGACAAAGTCGAGTTTCTAGGAGTAGTAGTGAAGGACGGAAAGGTGCAGATGGAAGAGGCGAAAATAGAAGCAGTGAAAAACTGGCCGGTTCCGAAGAACGTGCAACAAGTGCAACAGTTCTTAGGATTCAGCAACTATTACCGACGATTCATAAAGGACTTCGCCACCGTCGCTAAACCGTTGCACGAGCTCACCAAAAAAGATGAGGAGTTTGTATGGAACGAAAGGAGACAAGAAGCTTTTGAAAAGCTTAAGAAGCTGTTTACCGAGGAACCAATCCTGGTACTACCGGATACAGACAAGGAAATGAAGATCGAAGCAGACTCGTCGAACTACGCATCAGGAGCGGTACTCTCAATGCTATGTGACGACAACAAGTGGAGACCATGCGCCTTCCTGTCTAAAGGGTTCACGGAAACAGAACGAAACTACGACATCCACGACAAAGAGATGCTGGCTATAATTCGGGCCCTGGAGGCATGGTGACATTACCTAGAGGGAAATAGTCGACAATTCACAATATGGACGGATCACAAAAACTTGGAATATTTCATGACCACCAAAAAACTCAACAGACGCCAGGCGCGATGGGCACTGTATTTATCACGGTTTAACTTCTTATTAAAACACAAGCCAGGAGCGTCGAATATGAAAGCAGATGTCTTGTCGAGACGACCAGACCTTGATAGGGGGGAAGAGGACAACACGATGGTCCTACTGAAACCAGAATACTTTCGAATCAAAGCCATGCAACAGGGCCACGTCTTGATCGAAGGACTGGAATCTACCATCTTGTCGAAAATCAGAAAATCGAAAAATTACGATGAGTCGGTGGTAAAAGCAGTAACGGAGCTGAAGAGATCCCCAACGAAGGTGCTGAGAGAGGCGGAGTGGTCAGAAGAGCAAGACCTGGTGCTATATCATGGGAAGGTATACGTACCCAAAGACACGGAGGTCCGAAGGGAGATCGTAAAACTGCACCATGATTCAACGGTGGCAGGTCACCCAGGAAGATGGAAGACAATTGAGCTGGTCTCACGCAACTACTGGTGGCCAGGAATGAACAGGTTCATAGCGGAGTATGTCAAGGGATGCGACCAGTGTCAACGAAGCAAAGCCTACTCACGACAACCGCAGGGAAAGCTTCAACCCAACCCCATCCCGTCAGAACCATGGACGGATATCTCAGCAGACTTCATTACCAAACTGCCGAGGTCACAGGGTTACGACGCAATCCTGGTAGTAGTGGATCGCTTCACCAAAATGGTCCGTCTAGTACCAACCACCGAAGAACTGTCATCATTAGGTCTAGCTAAATTATATCGGGACCATGTCTGGAAGGACTTTGGTCTACCCACCACTATCATATCAGACCGAGGACCCCAATTTGCATCACAAATGATGCAGGAACTGAATAAATTATTGGGAATTCAGACACGACTGTCCACAGCCTTCCACCCACAGACCGATGGACAAACGGAACGAGTAAATCGAGAAATCGAGACTTACCTACGAATGTTCATCAACCATAGACAAGACGACTGGGCGGAATGGCTGGCAATATGTGAATTCTCCCTAAACAATAAAACTCAAACGAGCTCCAGGCAGAGCCCTTTCTTCTTAAATTATGGACGCCATCCACGAATGGGGATTGAACCACGGAGAGAGTCAAAAGTGGAAGCCGCCAATGACTTTGCCAAACAAATGGCCCAGAGCTGGGAAGAAGCACGGTCAGCCTTGGTAAAAGCAGGAGAGGAGATGAAGAAGTACGCAGACCGACGAGTAGGGGAGATGCCGGAGTACAAAGTGGGGGATAAAGCTTTCATCTTCACCGATAACTTAAACACGTCTCGACCTTCGCGAAAATTGGAACAAAAGAAAATCGGGCCGTACGAAGTGGTTGCGGTACCCACAAAAAACGCAATAACCCTTAAAATTCCAAAAACATTATCTATTCACCCCACGATCTCCACCCACCGAACGGAAAAGGCCAACATGCCAACGATACCAGGGCAAAAAACACCACCACCCCCACCGGTACGGATCCAGGGCGAGAATGAGTACGAAGTCGAAAATATTCTAGACAGCCGACTCAGACGAGGACGGCTAGAATATTTGGTCAAGTGGAAAGGGTATACCGATGAGCATAACACATGGGAACCCGAGAAGAACCTTGAGAACGCACCCGAGCAAACTCGGGCCTTCCACGCCCGACACTCTGCAGCTCCACGTCGAATTGCGGCCGCGGTATTTGAGGAACTGATCTGGAAACCAAAATACGTATTCACTACCCCGACCATCAGTAAAACGACCAAGATCGACGAACCCGAGGGGAGCGCTGATCCACCCGACACACCCGACAGCCACGAAGACAAGCATGGCAATCAGGCCGGCTTGCTCAGCGGGGGAGAAACGATCCCAAATGGGGAGCCGAGGAATGATGTCGTCAAAGGAGATGTGGGACATCAAGAGATAGCGGTTTCGTCAAGTGGAATTGACGAATCCTAGAGGGGGGGTGATGTTATGGTCCGGTCTGTTCCGAATATTATCTTTCTCGATATCTTATCTAAACGCGCAGGACGCGCCTATTACTAATTCACATTACGGTACCTTAGTAAGATCCTCACGCACAACACATGTCCGCAGTACATTACCAAGCACCCTCATGGAATCGGTGCGCGTTCCATGGAAAGACGGCTGCAGTAGGCATGTAGTAGTACATGAGGGTTACGCATGTATCTTAGTATTTAAGCACCAATAACAGGCCCTAGAACGCTAGCTCGTTCTCTTGGGATTTCCACTAGTAATAGTGAGAACTAAGTCAACTAAGCTACTTCGTCTATCCTCTTGGTTTTAGTATTCTTGTAGGAGCCACGTTAGTCTTTGACTAGTGTTGCCCTAACAAGGCTGAAAGTAGGCGAATGTGTTTCCCTTGAGGTACAAGCAGGCAAACATCACCTTATCCTCGTCGGAGGCGAGTGCGGGGGTGGCGTTGAAGTAGAGTTTGAGTTGTACGAGGAATATGTTAAGTTTCAATGAGTCGGAGTCCGGTCCTGAAGCGACTGGCTCGGATGGCGGGATCTGGCTGGAGGCACCCGGCATTTTGGAGTCGTCAGGGGAGCGAGGGATGGAGTTCCTTGGGTCCTCAGAGGTGGGTGGGAGTAGCAGGAGAGTGTCCGGAATGTCCGCAAAACCGGAGAGACGTCGGGAATGAGTCCGGAGTGGCACAGGACGTTTTCCGTAGGACTCTGGTGCCAGGATGGGAGATCCTGTTCTGCTGTAAGGGCAACCTCAAGGTGGCCACACAGCGCAAGCCTAGCAGAGGGAGAATCCAAAGAGATGAATAAGACTAACTACAGTACATGAGAGGGCTGCTCACCTAGCAGAGGGAGAATCCAAAGAGAACAGGATAAGGATTCTCCATGCTAGGAAGCAAAGTATATACTGTAGTAGTGTGAGAGGAATGCAGGATAACTGTACAGTACACCAGCCACAAGTCCAGACGAATATCACAAGGTACAAGGAAACATGTGATAATGAAGTGGAGGGTAAATGCACAGGAGTTGTGCCAGCGACCTGGGGAAGTAAGGGCGAAAAGTAATGAAGTGGGAAAAGAGGACAGAGGTAACCTGTAAGGGGACACTCCTATTTTCTCTCCTTTACTTCATCCCATGGACTCTTACCTACACTCCCTTTGTTCCCCTTTGTTCCCTTTCAGTCCCTTTCCTTTCCACTTCCTTTCCGCCCACTCCTTTCGCATCTGAGCTGTGTCCGGTGACTCCGGAGTCTTCCCGCACTTTGGACTCGCTTTGGACTCACTCGGACTCGCTCGGACTCATCTATACTCTTCGGGGCTCGTCCGGGTTACCTCTATCCTCTTTCCCCACTTCGCTACCCTTCGCCCTTACTCCCCCAAGTTGCTGGCACAACTCCTGTGCATTTACCCTCCACTTCATTATCACATGTTTCCTTGTACCTTGTGATATTCGCTTGGACTTGTGGCTGGTGTACTGTACAGTTATCCTGCATTCCTCTCACGCTACTACAGTATATACTTTGCTTCCTAGCATGGAGAATCCTTATCCTGTTCTCTTTGGATTCTCCCTCTGCTAGATGAGCAGCTCTCTCATGTATTGTAGTTAGCCCTATTCATATCTTTGGATTCTCCCTCTGCTAGGTCTGCGCTGTCGGCCATCTTGAGGTTGCCCTTACATTGCTGTCTCTTGGGCCACATCAGTTCAAAGGATCAAGGCCATCTGGGATCATAGAATAGAAGAGTCCAAAACAGATAATATTGTTTACCCTGAAGTTATAATAAAGAAACACCTCAGCCAACATGTCCAGGTGCAGTTCTGATAGCTCAACACACCACACCCTCTTTGTTTGAAAATCCAATCTCTGCAAATTTACAAAGCAGGTTCTATGTATTCACTAAAAGCACTACAATCTACCTGTACAAGTGATCATCCCTTCCTAGGTCAATGCACAGATCACAAAGTTGGGAGGGAATCAAGAAATCAAAACTTCAGCAAGACTAATGACTTCATGGCAACTGGTTAGAATTGCCACCTCCAAAGTTATTCTGCAAAAAGGCCTGCATCTGTTCAGCGCTGGTACCCGGAGGGAGCCCAAAACGTTGCATCATATTTGCCAGCCCAGGCTGTACACCCGCCATCCCCGCTGCGCCAGCAAATCCCCCTCCTGGTTTGCCCGTCATGCCCGCCATTCCCCCCATCAGTGGTATTCCCGCGCCCTGCATGCTCATCATATTCGGGGGCGCAAAGCCCTGCCCCTGCCCCTGCTGCTGCTGCTGCTGCGACAGCAGCTGCCTCTGCCTGGCCACGAGCATAAAGTTCTGCCGCTGCTCGGGCGTCATCCGCGCGAACTGCTGGCGCATCTGGTTTGTGAAGTTCGGGAGGCTCGGGCCTGCCGGTACGGGGGGCTGCGGCGTGGGCTTCGGGAGCTCGGGGATCCCAGTCAAAGGGAAGACGGCGCCGCAGAGGATGTTGTTGTTGGTCGGGAAGATCAGCATGTTGGGCGTAACATGCGCGCCGCCCGGGGCGCTCCACGACGCTGTCGCGTACTGAGTTGCGTACCCGCGTCAGGTATCGTTCGTACATGCATAAGCGCCACTCACGATGTTTTTGGCCAGAAGCAAGCTGATGAGCGACCGGAAATTGACCTCGTTCTGTCGCGCGTCCTGGGGCACATTCTGGAATGTACACAACCCCGGCGTATAACGCGCAAGCCAAGCTCGAAGGTCCAGCTGCGACACCGCACGGTCTGTCGTCGGGTGCAGCGTGAGGTTCGTAGGCCACGTCTCGGGTCGCCTAAAAAAACACAAATACGTCAGCCCAACACAAAGGTGCTTGGCCGCAGAGAAGGATGTTGTACGTACGCTTGGTTGGCGCGAGCCTCGTCCGGGAAAACCGCAGACACCATCGTCTGCACCTCCTTCCGCTCTTGCGTGTTCGGATCGAGGCCCGACCAGCTGAAGATCCCTTGCCAGCCTCTGCGCCCCCCTTGGCTTTCGGGGCCCTGCTGATGTGTATTGGGATTCGGAGGACCAGAAGGCATCCGATTCATCAAGCTTGGACTCGGGTTTCCGGGTACACCACCTCCGCCGGCACCATTATTACCACCGTTATTACCGTCGCCGACGCCGCGCTGCAAGTCTTGCATACTACGCTGTCGTTGATGGCCCAGCGTGTTCGAATTCGGATTCAGGTTCTGGGTTTGGCTCTGATTTAGGACTTGATTCGGTGGTGGCATAGGGAACTGGGCGGGGGACGCTGTGGGTTTAGGCTGCTGCTGTGTCTGCGTTGTCTCGGGTTTCGGCGCGTCTTGCTGCTGAGGTGGTTGAGGAGGTGGTGGGTGATTACTTTGTGCGGGCGACGAAGTCAAAGCAGGCGCTGTCTGCCCAGACGGCGTCTCTCCCTGCGCTGGCGCTTGCTCCCCTCCCGCCCCTGCTTGCCCTCCTTGCCCGCTCACCCCGCCCGCGCGCGCAACATGCACCTTCATAAACTCCGAAAACGCCACCAGCTGCCGCCCCGTCTGCTCAAACTGCTTCTTCAGCGCCTCGACCTCGCCCTCGCCCGCCGCCTCGCCGCGCCCCAGCGCATCCAGCTTGGCCTTGATCGAGTGCAGCTTCGCCTCCAGCAGGTGGCGGTAGCGCCCGAACTGCTGCGGCGAGAGGCCCGCGGGGAGGGCGGGGAGGGCTGCGGAGGGCTTGGAGGGGCCGGTGGGTGCGGGGCCTGATGATGGACCGGGAGCGGTTGCTGTTGTCGCCGTCGCTGTCGTTGGGGGCACCGTCGTTGCTGACGAGCCAGACGCCGACGGACCTGATGACGGCAGCCCTGAAGACGGCCCCGTTGTCGAAGGCAGAGCGTTAGCAGGCGCATTGGGAGGCGCACCGGCAGGACCAGGTGGGACCGCAGGCGCGACCATCGGCGAGCTCTTCTCCGGCGACGGCTTCGCGCGCTTCACGTCCGCCTGCGGGCGCTCGGTCTGCGCGAGCTCGTGCGTGCGTTTTGCGTGCGTCGGCGTTCCTGTTCCTGCTCCCGTCGCTGCTGCTGGTGCTTGTGGTGCTTGCGGCGTTGACTGAGCTCCCGTCGCCGGAACGGCTGGCGTTTGAGATTGTGAAGGTTGAGGGGGTTGAGGTTGAGTAGGAAGATGTGCGGGAGTATGGGTCGGCTGAGTGGGGTGAGCGGGTAGCGTAGCTTGTGTAGGAATGGGTTGGTTGGGTTGCGTAAGTTGACTGGGTTGATTGGGATGCGCCAGCTGCGCGGGGTGCGTTGGGTGGGCGGACAGGCCCGAGATGAGCACCTGGTGCGCGGGGCGGGTGGGGAACCATGGGTGGGTCGCATCGCTCTCCGGCGTCGCCTATTCCACGCACATATATACGCATTTCGTTAGTTACTTGAATAACGATTGATAAGGAGGAAGACGCACCTGCTTGTACAGCTCCGCAAACTCGGCGAGCTTGCCTACGCATATCGTGCTCAGATGGATGTTCCGCTACAAAATCACAAAATCAAAATCACCACATTACAACACTCCAACAACGATAGCAACATCATCAAACGCAACTGTGCACTCACCTTGCGCAACTCGCCCGGGAGACCGTCCCATGCGACGCCGTCGAGGGCGGGGGCGTCGTTCCAGCGCGGCGCGTGCGCGGCGTCCTTGTGTGCTGCCGCGAGGTGGAAAATGTGCAGCGGGAAGCCGTCCTTGAGCGGGATGCACTCGCGTATGAGGTCGAGGAGCTGCACCAGCATATTATCAGAGAGTATATGAGAGTAATAGAAGCCGAGCACCGCACCTCAATGGCGGCAACGAAGCCCTCGAGGGCAGCGAGGCCGTGTGGGGCTGCGGGGTGCTGACCGATGCCGAGCTTGTGGGGTTCGAGCTGGAGGTCGCGGAGGATCTGGGGCTCTGCGAAGAACTGCTTTGTGACGAGGGGGGACGGGCGGACGGAGGAGGCTGCGTAGGTCACGACTGCGATGCGAATCTTGAGTGAGTATATTAGCGGGAGCAAGGGAGTGAGTTTGAGGGAGTATGGGGACCTTGACAGGCTCCTTCGTCCCGCCCGGGGCCTGCATGAGGGCCCTGAGCATGGGGAAGAGGTACTCGGTCAGGAGCTGGTCCCATTCTGCGGCGAGGGCGAGGGAAGAGTCTGCGAGGACGACGATGTGAGGGGGGATCTGGTGCTGCTGGGGGTGGGGTGGTTGGTTCATGGCTACGGCTTACGGGAGTCTAAGCTCAAGGGTATAGCGCTGCCCCTGAGTCGGAGGCGCTAAAAGCTAAATTCATTGTTATGCAAAATGGAACGTCCATAGGCGCGTGTGTAAGGGAACGAAAACAACGTGTAGGTACAGAGTGTGATATATCGTAGCGGGTCGTAGAGTAGCTAAAGCGTTCGTGGGTGTATAATCACAGCGCAAAGAGGGCATTTTTCAGCGGGAGGGTGAAACCCAGGGACATGCACGCCACGACAGTGAGCACCATCCACCCATTGACAGTGGTCGGGGTTGCACTGTTTCCCGAAGAGCCTGTGGACTGGGCTGCGGCGTACTGGCTGAGCCACTGGGAGTAGTCCCAGATGGTGCCTTGGGCCGTGGGGGTATGGGGGGTAGTCGCTGGGGTGGTAGGGGTGAATACATCGGTGGTGACGATGGTCTCTCCGCCGATTGTGGTGGTGTAAGTGAAGGGAGTGGGGCCGCCTGGTGTGCCTAGGGTGGGTGCTGGCTGTCCGACGGGACCTTGCTGGAGCGGGAGGGTTGTTGTAGTGGTGGCTGCGGTTGTGGTTGGAGTGGATGGAGATGTTGTGTCTGGGTCAGCGGCGCCCACCAGCGTTTGTCTGGATGGAGAGGTTAGGTGGGTAGTATCAGCGGATGAGAGCGACTGACAGGATGGAGGTAGATGGAAGACCGTCGACGCCGAGGGTGATGACCTGGACGACCGTCTGCCCGGCGCTGTAAACGGCTACTCTCAGACGCGATCACTGGAACACACAGAGATTGAACATACGGATTGACGACAGTGGCAGTCTGAGCAGTGACGTAATGGACGAGAGCGAGGAGGACGAGGGGGAGGAACATGGCCGTATGTAGCAGAGAGGTCAGCGCTTCCCAAGATAGAAATCGTAACATCATCGATTGATCATGCATCGATTGCGCTTGTCCTCGTCGCTCGCTCGCTCGTTCTCGTCGTCGCCCGTTGCCTGCACCAAGAAGAGAATGCCGCCCAAAAAGGCCCCCGCTGCAGAGAAAAAGACGCTGCTCGGCAGACCAAGCAACAATCTCAAAATCGGCATTGTCGGTCAGTCACCTCTCGTCCATCTACAAGCCACTGCAACTGATACGCTACAGGCCTGCCCAATGTCGGCAAATCTTCCTTCTTCAATGCCTTGTCGAAAACAGGTCTGTTTCCCGCCTGCCCATCGCCCTCCCTTCCCTCCGACTCTCTCCTCCCTCTCTAGATCTCGGCAAAGCTGCAAACTTTCCCTATGCAACCATAAACCCAGAGGTTCGTCTCCCCTCCCCACCTTCCTGTATCTAATCCCCCGCCCAGGAAGCCCGCATACCAGTCCCAGACCCCCGCTTCGACTGGCTCTGCGAAGTCTACAAACCCTCCAACCGCATCCCCGCCTTCCTCACCTGCATAGACATTGCCGGTCTCACAGCCGTACGTTCCCCTGCACCTCCCCTCCCTACACCTGTTACTAACACTCGCCGCAGGGCGCATCAACAGGCGCAGGCCTTGGCAACGCCTTCCTCTCCCACGTCCGCGCAGTAGACGGCATCTTCCAGGTCGTCCGCGCCTTTGACGACGCAGAGGTCACCCACGTCGAGGGCGACGTCGACCCCCTCCGCGACATGGAGATCATCCAAACAGAACTCCGCCTCAAAGACATCGAGTGGACCGAAAAGGCCCTCGACGCCCTCAAAAAGACAACCCGCGGCCTCGGCAGCACCAGCCTCGCAGACCGCGCAAAGAAAGAAGAACTCGCAACCGTCGAGCGCGTCCTCAAGACCCTCACCACAGACGCAAAGGACGTCCGCAAGGCAGACTGGAACAACAAGGAGATCGACGTCATCAACGGCCTCCAGCTCCTCACAGCAAAGCCCGTCACATACCTCGTCAACCTCAGCGAGAAGGACTATGTCCGCAAAAAGAACAAGTGGCTCCCCAAGATCAAGGCATGGATCGACGCCAACAACCCCGGAGACCCCCTCATCCCCTTTTCCGTCGCCCTCGAGGAGCGCCTCGCCCCCCTGTCCGACGAGGAGCGCGAAGAAGAACAGAAGAACGCCGGCGCTGTCAGCGCCCTCCCCAAGATCACCCAGGCCGGCTACGCCAGTCTCGACGTGCGTCTCCCTTCCCCTCCCCCATTCCCCTACTAACCTCCCCTTTTTCAGCTCATCCGCTACTTTACCTGCGGCCCCGTCGAGGTGCGCGCGTGGACGATCCGGCGCGGGACCAAGGCGCCGCAGGCCGCGGGCGTCATCCACTCCGACTTTGAGAACAAGTTTGTCTGCGGCGAGATCATGGCGTACGAGGACCTGCGCGAGCACGGCAGCGAGGCCGCCGTCAAGGCTGCCGGCAAGCTGCGCCAGCAGGGCAAGCCGTATGAAAGTGCGTACCCCCGTGTTCTACTGGTGAGTAAGATAACTGATCACCGACAATCCTGTCTAGTGGTCGACGGCGACGTTGCGTACTGGAAAGCGGGCGCATAAATCACAACATAGAGTATATATTTATTTCTACGCACGTACGCTACACCGTAACGCACACACATAAACCCATCATCCATCAACCATCCGTAAACCCACATGTACATGCTATGCATAACCCTTCAAACATTCAACGTAATGCTGAATACTGTGCTGAATACTGAATACTGAAAATCGTGTGTGGCGAGCACTACCGTGCACAGTCGCATCAATCATACATACACAGTATATATCGTAAATGTACCTATGCGCCTCCACCGTAACTACATCATATAGCAGGGATCAAAACTCCCCAACATCACCGTCACCAACTACCGCCCGCGCCGCGCATTCATATCCCATATCCTCCGCTCGCGCTCCCTCTCGCGCTCCCTCTGCGCAGCGTCGTACGCCTCTCCGTTCCCGCCTCCACCATCCGCCCCTCCACCACCTGCACCACCACCACCATTTCCCTTGCCCTGCTCTTTCCCGTCCCCGCTCCGGTGACTCCGAATATGGCCATGTACACGATCCCTCGACCGTGATCGCGACCGCGACCGCCGCCTCGCCCTCACCTCTCCATCCCCCACCTTCGACGGCCGGCGGGGCGAGCGCGAGCGCTCCCGGTCCCTCCTCCTCCTCCTCTCATACTCATCCTCCCCGTCCCTCTCCTTTTCACCCACCCTTTCGCGCACCCTCAACCGCGATCGCGACCGCGACCGATCTCTCGACCTTGATCGTGATCTAGACTCAGACCTATCCCGCGACCGTCCATGGTGTCCGCGCTCCACCCTCCGCCTCTCCTTCCTCAGCCGCTTCTCCTCCCTCCTCTCCGCTTTCCTGCGCCTCTTCTCTTCTTTCTCCCGCTCCTTCTCCTTGGCCGGATCACCAGTAGCACCAGTAGCACCGGTAGTAGAACCAGCTTTGAGAGCCGTCGTCGCAGTCGTCGGCGAGCCAGCGGCAGCCGTCACGGCCAGAGCTGACGTACCCGGCGCCGGCCCAAACCCTCTATACAGACACACCACTTCGTCAGAACGCACACCACAAACCAAAACGAGACAAACAGGAAACGGGGGAACAAGTAGATAACGAAAGAGTAGATAATTATAAGAAAGAGCACAGGGACGCACAGCGCAGCAGCGATCGCCTCCTCCTCCGCCTCCTTGATCTTGCGGATCTCCTCCGCGCGCTCGCGCTCCGTCTGCTTCTGGTCGCGGTTGTACCAGTGGATGTCCTTGTTCTTCTGCCAGCGCCCCGTCGGCGCGTTTATGCTGTGGCCGAGGTAGTTCTGCAAACAAACACATAACGGATACACGCGTCAGGATGATGTATATCGTTGACAAATCATGCAAATTGCGATTGGGGTATGGGGTATTGAGACGAGTATGTAGGTTCAATGGGAGAACGGGGAGTGGGAAAGGGGAATGGGAAGAGAGGACGCACTTCTCTGTCTTTATCTTGCGAGACGTCCGACCATTTGAATTCAGCTTGCCCGCCACGGGTTCCTCCTCGCACGGGTTCGAACATCTTCGCGACGTTGGTGCAGAACAGTCGAGCGCGTCGTCAGTGTCTGGAACCCAGTGCCCTCCAAACCAAGCACCACCAAACAACCTTCCCAGATTGATCTCAGCATCTACAATCTCTCTCGAAAACGCGATACGCGATACGCGTTCCATCCCCAAAATGCCCGCCCTCACACCCATCGCGGCCCTCCCAAAATTCGTCTCCCTCGACGAGCACAAAGTCCTCGTCTCCACCACGCCCGCCTCCTTCTCCGACATCCCGCCCATCCTGCGCCACAAACAGGAGCACGTCAGGCTCGCGCTACACCCGCCCCTCGACGCCTTCCCTGCGTCCGAGTGCGCGAGCGGGACGCTGTACGTGATCGAAAGGTTCGCACATTCCCCTCTCCATCATGTATCCATCATGTATCCTGCATCCTATGATTCTAGGATGCTCTTTGATTCATGGTTAGTGACTGATGATTGACGGGAATTGGTTCGTTAGTGTCCTGGTGTTCATGTCAGCAAATGGCCGCGGCGTACAAATCGAATACCCGTCCATAACACTGCACGCCATCTCCCGCTCAGACGACGCGCCCTCAATATACTGCCAGCTCGACGATGCCGTTCCATCTTCCACCGTCGCAAACGCAGACACTAAAGACCAAGACGACGACCTGACCGAGATGAGGGAAATGAACATCATCCCCTCCGCTGCCGTTTCCTGTTCGTTGCGTCCCTCTCCTCTCGAACGCTCACTAACCTATCCTTGATGATACCCGCTCAGTGGAACCGATCTTCGAAGCCCTCTCCCTCTGCGCCTCCCTCCACCCCGACCCCCGCGACTCCGAAGACGACGCCATGGACGCCGACGCCGACGACGCCTTCGTCGCACCCGGCGACTCGCCCTTCGAGACCTTCACCGGCGACGCGGACCAGGAGCTCAGCGAAGTGGGGAGGGTGCGCAGCGATTTCATTAATGATAACCGATACGCGCCGTATTAAACATCCCGCTGACCGCGCTGGTCGTTGGTCATTTGCGCAGGCTGCGCTCGAGCATCTCGAGTCGATCATTGATTACGGAGGACACGCGCCGCCCGCTAATGCTGATGCTGACACGGAAGAAAAAGTAAAAGAAAAAGAGGGAGAAGCAAAGGTAACAACACAAGAGGGTTGAATTTGTACATACGTAGCTACACAACAAAAGTAATCACTATCGATGCATCATGGGCCGTTCCACCGCGCGCGCGAATCGCGATCACGGCGTGCTTGCCGTTTTAATGGGCACAATCGGCGTGGACGACTGCTTCATCGGGAAGAAACTCGGCAGCGGGCCCCAAAAGTCCGATGGCGGGGGCGCAGAGTGCTGGTGATCTGGGGACGAGAACGTCTTCTTCAGCGTCGCCGACTTCAAGTGCTTCGACGAGAACGCCGCGCCTCTCCGACTCGATGACCCTGCCGGCGATGGCGATGGGCTTGACGGGAACGCTGACGGCAGATCGAAGTTCATTGACGGGGACTGCATGGGCGGGGCAGCGGGTTTGCCAGGGGTGCTGAACGCCACGGGCGGCTTGTCAGCGGCCAACGACTTGGTATTCATCAGCGGCTCGCTGCGCAGAGACAACAATCGGTTCTTGAGCCGCTGGGTAGATCGCTCCGCATTCAGCGCGGCTGCGGTGGTCACAGCAACGTTTGGAGTGACGTTGAAGGATCGCCTTGTCCCACTGTAGCGAGAGCCTGAATTTGTCGCCGTCGCGGACCGTAGGCTAGAGATATCCAACTTCGCAAGCCTCGAAGACAGATCGGCGATGTCGTGAGCTTGCTGCTGAATAGCGATGTCAATGTTTTTGAACGTCCTATGGGCAGTCACCAAAGACGGGGCCCTGTAAGAAAAGGGTCAGGGTGTGCTCGCCAGGTAATCCACGCAGCACGTACTTGAACGCCGGTTTGCCTTGGGTTGACCGGCTAAGTTTCACCTTCGACGCTTCAAGATGCTGCTCTAGCTTTGTAACACGGTCTCGGATGTCCTGGGTTTTCATTAGTTTTACCGGGTGTGTAGTGGAGATGAACGTACTCGGATAGCTTTCCTAAGCTGCATCTGCGTTTCGTGGTGCTCCGGTCCAAGCGTCCGAGACTTCAGCATCTGCGAAAAGTCGGCATCGTTCTTCGCTTGATCAAGCCTCGAAATCTCTTCTCTTCTCGTGCCCGCTAAGAAAAGGAGAAAACCATCAGCATGAGATGAGGTACAACAACCAGCAAAGTAGAGCATGCAAACCTTTGAGCATGCTGGTTTGCAAGTCCGGAAGGCTCTGCTGTTCTTCCGCCACGAGTACCTTCAGCTGTTGAATGTCCGCCTCCACGGTTCTCAGCAGTTTGCCATACGCAACCACCTCGTCGAGTCCGCCCCATTTCTCCGGACTTTGCAAGTCGGACGTGCGGTGCACCATGGACGCAGGTTTCCCAAATTCATCCCTCTTCTTGATTGCCTCCCGCGCGAGTGTGCCAAGCTAAGACCGCAAATGCACTAAGTAACAACGCACGAATAGAATACGAAGACGAAATACTCACTTCTTCGAGTTCTTTGGCCAAACTCGAGAACAGATACACGCATTCTTTCTGCATCCCATTTTCCAGAGCCTCCTGAGGGCGAGGGGCTGGTTTAGGAGGCGGTGGGGCGAGAGAGCTTGTTGGCGGTTTGGGCTGTCCTCCAAACAACGACGGCGCGGGCTTCGCGGCGGAACTACCCATGCTAAATATTGGGGTAGGAGAGGGAGCCTGCTGAGGAGCAGGAGGTATTCCAAAGAAAGGGGTCGGTGTGCCCGGTGTTCGGCCCAAAGGTGAAGGTGCATTCTGAGGAGCAGGAGATAATCCGAAGAAAGACGATGGAGTGCCAGGTGTTTGGCTCTGGGGTGAAGGTGTGGAGGGGAAAGCCGAAGGACTCGAAGACGACGGAGCAGAGAACGTTGGCTGCCCACCAAAGATCGAGGGAGTAACAGGTTTCGGAGCACCGAATGAGGAAAGAAGAGGAGGCGTCTTCGGTCTGCTAGCCTTCGAGTCCTCGCCCTCTGCGGAGATCTGTGCCTCTACTTTCGCGGCCGGGAGGACGCCAAAGATACCCTTGGGGGACGCTGGCTTGGGTTTCAACGCCGCATCCTCGACCTTAACCTGCGGCTTTTCGGGGTCGCCCAACAAAGGAGGGGTCTTCGCGAGAGGGGAACTGCGCGTTGGCTTCGTACTAGGTCGTGGGGCCGTAAGGCTTGGTGACGGCGAGGGCAAAGCAAATACTGGGGTCGGTGGAGCTGCAGGTAAGGGAGGAATACTGTCCGATGGTTTCTGGGGCGACTCAGGTGGTGTCGTGCTTCCTCTAGAAGTATCCGGTGTCGGCGTCGGAGACTTGGATAGTCTCGCGGCGGGCACTTCTGCTGTCGGCGTTGCAGAAGGAGATCTAAGGCCATGATCGACCGAGGCATCAGACTCCCCTTCTTGCTCCTCCTCCGCTTCGCTTTCCTCTCTCTCTCCCGCAGATTCCTCCTCCTCCTCCTCCTCTTGCGTTTCTCCTTCCTCCACATCCTCTTGTGAGTCCTCCTTGTGTTCTGCCTCCTCCTCCAAATGACCATCATTTGAACCCTCCTCTGAGCTAAAAGGCTCAGAGATAAACGAGCCCTCGTCCTCACTGTCTTGTACTTCCTCCGACTCGTCACCAGATTTTGCTGCTTCCCCATCTTGTCGGGTGACATCAACAAAAGAAGAAGTTCCCGAAGAGACGGAGGTGAAACTAAGGGAATTGGCATCCGAAGGGCCGGTCGAGCTTTTGCTTTCCCCGTCGTTGCTCGCCGGGCGAGACACGGAAGCATCCTCCAGAGATGGTGTTTGCGTACGAGGGGGAATGGGTGACTTGGAAGGGCTTGGCTCATCGGTCGACTGCTTTCGAGATACCTGTGGAGCGGTAGTTATAGTTGGCTCCGCGTTGTCCGACCCTTCGCCCTTGTCCGACCCAGCTAACAGCTCCTTGAACGATTTCTGTGGCCCCGCAAAGGCGGAGAAGGCGTTCGGACTTTTGCTGAACGCAGCGAATGCGCCGACAGCAGGTGCAGGCGCCTTGGGGGTTGTAGAAGGGGGTGTCGACGGGGAGCCAAAGACGCCAGGCTTCTGCCCAAGGCTAGACGACATACCGAACTTTGGGGACTCAGATGCACTCACGGCCGGAGACACCGGGGCGGGAGTGCTAAACGCGCTACCAAACGCTGACACTGTTTTTTCTGTTTTGAAGAAGGGTGAAGATGTAGGTGTTGTACTTCCAAATGCACCGAAACCACTCGCAGGTTTAAATGCAGAGCTAGATGGAGTGCCAAAAGGTGATGAGGAGAAAGCGGACTGAGGCGCAGATGGTTTAGCCACAGGACTATCGTCATCAGCCTTCGCCGATGGAGACCTTGCAGCGCCATTTGAATCTGGTGAAGACGATGCCGACGATGTAGTTTTCATCGGTGTCTCAGGGAGTTTAGCAAAGACTGACTGGGAGGTCGCCGAAGCGTTGAAGGAACCACCACCAAAAACATTGGAACTTTGGGAGGTTCTAAATCCGAACGCCGTCTGAGGTTTGGGTTGATCATCAGTGGGTTGGTTGATTGCAGTACCTTTGAAGACGCTTTCTTTTGGGCCGGACGCCAAACTGGTCTGACCGAATGTTACCGGGGTCGGCTTGGCGAAGGAAGCGAAGCCACCGCCGGATGAGGGAGGCGATGCCGTGGCCACAGTTGGAGCCTTGCCAAAGCCTGTAGTGCCGAAAGCAGACGTCGTCAAACTCGCACCCCCAAAAGAAGATTGTCCAAATGCAGGCTGCCCAAACGAAGGTTGACCGAACGACGGCGCCGCTGGCTTCGCAGCGGAACCAAATATCGACGCAGGTGTTTCTGACTTTGTCGGTTCTGGATTGCTTTTGGGGCTAGCACTGCCGAAGGCACCAAATCCCGAGGGAGTCTCTGATTTTGTTGCTTGACCTAACCCACTGAACGCTCCAAAGCCTGAAGCTGGTTTGATAAAGCCTCCGGTAGATGGCTCTGTGGATGTGTTTGGAGTAGGAGCGGAAAATGCGGTAGAGCCAAAGATACTGTTGACGCCTGGTTTTGTTTCACTTGAAGGTGCATCCGCTTTGTCGAGTGACAGCCCTCCGAAAGAAATGTCTGGCTCTGTGGCCGTGGCTTCCGCTTGCATGTCGTCATTTTGGGACCCTCCGGACGGCGTCTTGGTCACCGTAATCGCTGGGACACTAGACCCCCCAAAAGCGCTCTGACCAAATGTCGATGCGCCCGAATTGGCAAAAGAGGAAAACCCTCCCACTAGTGGAGGGCTCCCACCAAACGCAGGTTTTTGGCTGAACGACCCTTGCCCAAAGACTGATTGAGGTGCGTTATTCTGACCGAACGCCGAGGGCTGACCGAATGCAGAATTAAAGCCAGTTTGTCCAAAGGGAGATGGAGAGGATGCCTGAGACGTTGGACCTGAAGACGGGGGCGTGAACGCTGAAGAGGTACCCGCATTCTGCGCAAACGGAGAGGGTTGTGAAGTGAATGCATTAGACGAAGTCGAATCCATTTCGATACTAGGCGTTCTAGATGTTACTGGAGGAGCAGGAGTCAGCATCACTTGCTCCGGAGCCATATTGTCTATATTGGATACATTCAAAGGCGACGGTGTCGCATCGGATGTAGCAGGAGACGGCACGACCATCCCCGCATATGGCTTAGCTTGTGTAATATGCCATGCCTGTATCGTTCCATCATTGAGGTAAGCGTATAGTATAGGAGCAGGGGGCCAGTCGGCTGATTCCCCCGAGGCCAGAACACTTGGCGCAGGTGTTGTCGAGGTCAAGTCGACAACCAAACCCAGAAGAAACGTTTCATCGTAGTTTTTGTCCAATGGAATTGCGATGGAACTGTCATCTCTCGACTGTTGATCCCATTTAGATCCAACATGACCCATCACTTCAACATCTGTTGAACAAACGTCTCCAAAAAGCACCAACGACTTCGAACCATCGCCTTGGTCAAAGTTCCAGTTGGGTAGCGACACGGTAAAGCTGAGCTGCGGGCGGTCGGCAGTAGGATAGGGATAAGAGAGAACTCCATAGCTGGTTGTGGATGAAGCGGTGTCCAAAGAAACGATGTGGTGCTGAGGATCATCCGAACCATACGTCGTCTCGAAAGTATGACCAGGGCTTAGCCAATTAAGGGATGTTAGCGGCAATTGGGCGGTGGGTGGAATATGCTTTTGAGCTTTGGACTTGTCACCTAGCGTGAAACAGAGAATATCGCCACTTTTAAGGCCTATAGCAAGTTGCTTGCCCTTAGGGGACCATGCCACTAGACTATGTTTTGAACACTAACATTAGAACGCGTAAGGTTACCAAACTCACCTGCAGTAGGTTGGAATGCCTCATCAGTACCCATCCACCCACCTTCAGATGCAAAGGTCTGGACATTGAGAACAAAAACGCGTCCATTCCGCGACACCACTGCGACGAGCGAGCCAAGAGTTGCATCGGAGGTACTGGGGTTGGCCGCAACTTGACCGATTGATGAACCTACGGCATGCTGAAAGGAATGAATAGGTTTCGCTTGCGTTTGTGCCCCTGTAAGAAGGTGGGATGTATCGTAGACCAGTATTTCGCCCGAAGCAAGGCCAAGGAGAAGGCGAGTATCGTTAGAGGCAAAGGTGAGAGTGCAGGGTGAAGCGGACTCTATGGGTATGGTATTCGAGGGTGTAAACGCGCTATCAGCGCCAGCTACGGCTGCAGTCTGCAAGCTGCGTAACGGTGAACATATGAGTGCTTTGAAACTAGATGAGCGTGCGGCGACATAAGAGGAAGTACGCGACACTACCGAATGAGCCCTCTTTCTTGATGATAACCGCAAACCATCCTCTAGAGTTGGAGACTGCAAGTAACTGACGGGGTGGTTGGGAATCAAGCTCAAAGGGTGATGGAGAAAGGGCGACGCGAGACTGGCGATTCAGCAAACGGAAGTGAGGATACTAGATGGTTCCTCCGTTCAGCAGGGACACCACAAGAAAGCACCGAAACACACACGTTTATTTCATCGTTCGAGACAGGCACTGAAGTGGGAAGACTTGCCGGTGGCACAGGCCGAGTGATGGTGGTGAGTTCAGTCATGTCGTGGGCGCTTATTTTACTCTGTCAATTACTACTATCATGGTCGCCAGCATCGATTCCAATGCCCTTTTGGCCCATATCATATCCCAAACTCGCCAGAATGTTGAATTCCTTATGAACCAAAACCACATCACCGCTGCAGATGGACGAGAGATTCTTGCAAAGATCACAGTTCCGTCGTCGCCTTCGCCAGTCTCGTCGCTTGCTCAGCAGACCCAGCGACTCGGCATCAATAATTCAATTCCTCAGCCTCAGCCTCAGCCTCAGGCCCATCCACCACCTCCAGTTCCTCTAACGAAGTCAAGTTTCCAAGCACGCGCACTTTGGGCTTACAACGAAAACAGACAAGTATGTGTAGCAGCACTGACATGTATTTCTGTATTTACCGCTTTCCCCTAGGAACCCAATGACCTCACCTTCCGCGCCGGCGATGTTATTGAGGTTACGGAAGAAACTAATGCAGATTGGTGGAAGGGCAGGATAAATGGTCAAGAGGGTATATTCCCTTCCAACTACGTAGAGAGGGTTGCTGCCCCTCCCAGCTCGTTCTCCGCACCGCCCCTCAATGAAAAAGCCTACCAACCCTCTTATTACTCCGCCCCTGGGCCAGTGCACGCACAGCCTAGCTACGCTCCTCAACCAGGTTACGCTCCTCAACCAGGTTACGCTCCTCCCCCTCCCAACCCGAGCTATCATCACGCACCGCCCACCGCACCCGCTCCAGCGCCGGCTGAGGAGCCGAAGAAAGCAGGCTTCTTCTCCAAGCCATTGGGCAACACTGTACGTGTCACTTCATGACCCTTCTGAACAATTTAATCACTAATGTTCAATCAGTTGGCCCACTCAGCCGTTGGTGGTGTGGGTTTTGGTGCCGGGTCAGCGGTGGGAAGCGGAATTATTCATGCTATCTTTTAATTCCCCCCAATGTGTATACAAGCGGTATACAAGCGTAGTCGGATTAGTTAGACAGCATCGGGTATTAATTTGTGTACACTGCCCCTGTTGCTAGAAGGACTGCGCTGAAGACTGCGCCCCATGATTTGCGTTACGTAAGCCTGATATGTTGCCGGAATGGTGGTGACAGCGCTATCTCCTCTGCATCCACCGAGTCGCAGCAAGTTGCGCATTTCATTCTTAACGACCTTCCTCAATCACGAATTCAAGCTGCTAACCTGCTAATTATGTCGTTTCTGGATCGAATACAAGGCGGACTCAACAGAGTCCTACCCTCAAAACACACTGGACCTTCAACGTCAATGTCGGGCGGGATTGGGAATGGTCACGGCATCGTTCCGTTTGAAGACGATGTGAGTCTATACTATGCTCGTTTTCCCGTCAGCTATACTCTTTCCCCTCTTCGGACCCATTCCTGGCCTCCTTTTGAGTGTTGGACGTGTTTGGGGCGTACATTTTGTTGGTTTCGCAGTAGTTTACGTAATCTATGTTCTTCTCTGTCTGCACTCGTCGCGCATGTCCGGTGACGGTCAGCTCGCATTCCTCCTTCTCGTACCGCTAGGATGGATCATTTGGATATGGGTCAACGCGTCACCTATGCTCTTGGGACGCCGATGCTAATGTTGTCCAATTAGATGATCGTCTCAAAACCAACCATCGTCTTTCACGCTTCGCAAATATTCTTCAACTTTATCGCTATGGCATGCTTTGCTAGTGTAGCGAGCTTCCAGGCGAAATGGAAAGTCGGTCCATGTATGACATTCCTTCATCGTGTTGCCCTGTACGCACCTTACCGTTCTCCGCAGCTGGTCTCTCTGGGTTTGCTATATTCGTTTCCGTCGCCGGAATGTTCCTGTCAGCCTTCATGCTTGCAGTCCCCGTCATATATGAGAAGCACGACAAATTTGTTCGTCTTGCGCGCGCTCTCAAAGAAGTTCGCGTCGGGTTCATCCTTACGGGTGCTGGGAACGTTGTCTCCCTGTTGATTGCGTGAGTCCTGTTCGTCGCGATTTGACTGCGCGCTCTGACTCGTGTTGAAGCTTCATAACAACGATATCTGCTTGGACACAGCCGGGCTGCAAGAACCCTGATAACGACCCCCACGCCGATCTCGGTGACGACTTCAAGCACGGCTTGGACGGTTGGTGTATAACTAAGAAGGCTGGAGCTATCTTCTTCTGGTTGGCATTTGGTGAGTCAGTAGTGTCAATGGTATAGATGTTTTCACTGATTTCTGCGTGCCCTACAGTCTCCTGGTTAGCATCATTGGTGATGTTGATCCTTGACTTCCGTTCGGGCAAACTACACCGACATGTACCTCGTGATCCTCCGTTCCACCCGCCGCCTGCATCAGACGTAGGACAGCACGATGATGAAGACGATGAAGAATCAGCTTACCACATCCCACCTGCCCAATCCTCCCAGACCGATGAATATCGCAGATCCACCCTCGACAACTCGAACACCGCTAGCTCTCCCTTTGCTGATTCTAATCGTTACTCGGATTACTCTGCGCCCAACACTGCTTATTCTCCCAATGTTCCTGTTGTTTCTCGACCCAGCATGGACATGTACGGTGCATTCTCTGACCCTGCGCCAAGTGGGTTTGGTGCTTCTTCTCAAGCAAGCAGCTCGCCCTATAGCAACGGGCCCCCAGTCCTACCAGAGCCAGATGTTGGCCCTCGCGTGAGCCGTACAATGCAATACGCCGATCCCTATGCTGCTATCAGGGCGAACATAAGCCAGAATCCTCCAGCAAGCAACACACCGCCAAGTTATGAAAGCTTCCAAGGCTACCGATGATGACGCTATGTACGGGAGGCGGGATGGACTGTAGCAATATCATATATTTCCTGTTCGCGGACATTTCCTCTCAATGCTTCATACGAGCTACGTACGGCCACATTATGTCTCCTAATTTATATTATTGTTGTTGCACTGAGCTCTTGCCAAACAAGAGCGCGTTGTTTATGTTTGTTGATCATTTCCTTCGTCCACTACCACCATGGTCGCTGCTCAGGATGGTTCTGAGAAATCGTCGGGCATCATCTCAGGCGTCTTCAACTTCGTGACTCGCGAGATAGGCTCATTTGTGACCGCAGCGGCGGGCGGCTCAACATCATCTGTCGGTACACTATAGCAGCTCTGCCTGTTTTCTGACTTATATTGTCTCAGATTCACCACAACGAATCCTCGACTACCCAACGATCTAGATCCAAGCTACAGCGAAAACAGCGAGCGCACGATGAGCCCTACAATGTACGACGCAGAAAAGAGAAACCTCGTCTGAACAAGACAAGCGGAGAGTGTAGGCCTCAGGGCAATACAGCGTCGCGTCGGCTACAAGAGCCCATTTCTCCAGAGCGTATGGACCATCGTATTGATCCCATGCACTCCACTGACGACAACCTCCAGCGCGTGAATTACCTTCTCTTCAGTTTCGCTCTAAGCAACCCCCGCGCAACATACCAGAACGCCTAACCATGCCTGGCTCACTCTTTCCGCGCTCTCCTTCGCTGATGCCAGGTGGTGTCGAAGCTACCCACGCCCAGCAACCAATCTTTAAAATCCCTCTTCCTCCGCGCCAAATTGCCAGTGCATCATCTAAATCCTCTCCCAGGCAACGATGCAAAAGCCCCCCTCTCGCCGATGGTGCACAACCTTTAGAGGATAATACCCCCAATAATCCCTTTCGTTCGCCTTCCGTGCCTTCTGTCAAAGTTGCAGTGAGCAGATTTCAAACTGACGATGCCGATCCCTCTCTGTTATTACCCAGCCCTCACCATTCCCCTCATCGCATCAGAACTGTTCGCAGCACACCTAGTTCGTCTCCCCCCAAACCCGAATCGGATGTCGACGGACCCGATGGAAACGACACCCCACGGATTCCTTACAACGCCAAAGGCAAAGGTCGAGCCTATGACATCCGCGAAATTTCCCCTCCCATGCAATTAGACGAGCTTCATGTTCGTAGCAAGGAGGAAGAGCTCCTAGCTGCCAGGGAAAAGCAACGTCGAAACGAAAGCCGTCGAGAAGAGCGAGAAATGACGCATCCTCCCGATCCTGATCTTGAGGCTGAGCGCCGTCGAGACAAGGAACAGATAAAGTACCTTGAGGCTGAAATTATGCGATTGAAGGAAGAGGTTTGACATGCCATTAATATACTCTGCTCTGTATTAAATGCATATTTTTTCAGCTATCGAAACGTGCTGATGGTACGGGGCAGGCATACAACCACAGCGCACCCCCTCCGCCGCCGCCCCCTCCGCCGCCGCCACCCACCACAGCTCTTCGTATACCGGTCCACCCAGGTATCCACGATCCAGAGGTTCTCTTCGCTTCTGCGCGGGCTGCACTCAAACCCGCCGGTACCCCAGTCGAAGCCCAAATAAATCCAGTAGTATTCGGTGGAAAACGAAAGGGTCAGCCTACTGTCGGCGTGCCTCCTGAGAAAATGGCTGCGTTTCTTAGCGAAATGAAGACCGTTAAACTGAGAAGAGTACATACTGATTCCTCCCATCTGTCTGGATCGACATCTTCAGCGGCAGCACGCTTGAACATGTCGTTTGACTCAGCCACCTTAGGTAGCAGGAGCAATCTCCCAGCATTACGTTTATCATCCTCTGTGACTTCTGGACCTCTGCGCCCACCACCGGGTCTTGCGTGGAAAGTGGGTGAGAAAAGGAAACGGGATCCTCGTTCTGAGCTACAAGATATCCTACGTGAGTTAGTATTATACAAGTACCATTGTGCACAAGCTAAGTTATACTTCAGGTGCTTCGAAGCGACGATCCATGGGGATACCTACGGAAGATGCCATTGATAACGAAGAACACCACCCTACCGTCCGCAACAATTCCGCTAGTATGACACGATCTTGGCCTTCAGTATCTACCGAACCTGAGTTGACCACAGCGACACCTTCGCTCTGTTCCGATGGCCGCGATGATGAAGACACCGCAGCCACCAGCCCGGACGATCAACCCCCCTCCACTCCACCCATGAATCACAACACGTCCACCACCCCCGCTGGCGATCCTTATAATCACCCCTCTATCCCACATTCTCCTCTCCCTATAGCTAGTGCGGGACAGCAGGATCTAGATTTGGAATTAGAATGGGGCGATTACAGGGCGAAGACTCCTCCATTAAATCCATCTCAGAGGGCCTTTTCGAAGCGGCCACCTATGTCGCCGTTGCCACAGCCTACTCCCAGGCGGCCAATGCCACCTAAACTGAAACGGTCCTCCCGTGTTGTCTCAAGAGCCGACGATGACGTCCAACCGCGAATTGACCCGCCCTCCACTTACCATGAGTATGATCCAGATGGCGATATTTCCCGCTCACTCGAAGCAGAGCTTCGGAAGGTTAAATCACGGTCACAGCTTTCCCTCGACGATCAGGATGATGATGACCCAGAGCTAGTGCTAGAGAGTGGGGTTTATGTCGGCATAGGTACGAGCAGTAAGAGGAAGGGATTTATGGCGCGTGGTGGTGCTGGCGGACCTCCCGTGCTCATGGGAGAGGGCTATGTCGAGGGAGTTGAATTATCTGACGAAGAGGAATATAGCTCCAGACCTGTCCGCAGGACTTCCTCTCGTTCCCGCCCGCAATCCCGGCAGGGATACTCAGCGATACCGGTACCCACTCAGCGGAAAATATGATTTCCAATTCTCAGTTTCTGTACTACGCTGATTTGTCTGCCTGCCTTTCTTGTCTGCCTGTCCACGTTTTCTTGTGCTTCGTCATCTTGCTTTGGCGTTTTACCGCATTGTCTGCGTACTTGAGTTATATCATTATTTAGGTGTATTTTGTGATTATGATCTTCGTCATCTACCGCAGGTTTTCCCTCGAGTATGGATAGCTGGAATTAAATGAGGTACTCTTGCGTATATGGTCGGTTTCATGGCTTGTTCAAAGCAAATTTGTCACAAAACATGGTATCCATGGTTGTACAACATGTCCAGAGAAGAGCGCTTAGCAACAAGCAAGCACATCTGTCTCAGGATGAAGCACCAGCACATTACACGCTACGACACGCATCTACTGCACACGGATCATTAGACTAGGGAAGGTGAGCTATAAATCAATAAGCAACGCCTCTTTCCTCTCCTCAATCTGGGCGACGCCGCTCGGAATCGACGTCCCATACAATGAGTAGGCAGTGGGCCCCGACGTCGGCGCCACCGGAAATTGTGAAAGCTGCGGGCCAGAGTCTTGCTGTATCGGCATCTGCTGAGGTTGTTGCTGTTGCGGAGTATAAGGTTGCTGCGGTACGTATGATTGTTGCTGTTGCGGAGTATGCTGTGGACGTTGTTGCTGCGGGCGCTGTTGGGCAGGCTGTAATGTGTTGCTTCTGCTCAAAGTGTGAGGCATCGATGGACGTTGCTGTTGCTGGACGGGAGGAGTGGGCGTGTAGCTGGCGGTATTATGCCGTGTGAGTGAAGGGGGTGAACCAACCAATGAAGTATCCTGGAGCTGTTGCTGTGGCGTAACGAATGGCGAAGATGCTGGTGGCAATGGTGGGGCGAATGTCTGTTGAGCCTGGGACATAGTTTGTTGATATGATGCCGGAGGGGCAATCGGAGGAGGTGACTGCGGTAGGTAGGATACAGGAAGGGTTGATGAGGGTCCAGTGAGTTGGGTGGGTTGAACCGTCATTGTTGCCTGCGATTGCTGAATCTGAGGCGAAGAAGGTGAAGCTACGGAGTATGGCTGCTCAACCGCCCGTGTTGGTTGCCACTGACGCTGACGCTGCGAGGACGTCGATGGTGGAGAGACAGAAGCATATTGAGGTTGATAATGCGATAGTTGGGGCGACCGTTGTGCAGTGGATGTTTCTGGTGGTTGATACGAAGTCGAGGCAGGGGACCACTGATTGTAGCCGTTTACAGGTGCACCAGGGGTAGCGGTGGGAGGCTGATATGGAGGGACTTGTGCTGGTTGAGGAGAGCGCCAGCGTGGGTGGGATATTTGCTGCGTCAAAAGCTGATCGTAGAGTTTCACCGCTTCGGATAGCTTTTCATGCATTTCAGTTAGCATTTCTACCAGAGAATGAATCCTTAGTGTTCTACAGGAGTGAAAGTACAAAATAATTACCTTCTTTCCTACTCGCGTCGTCTAAGCTCATCGCAAGCTTTGGTCTCAATCCGGTGGCCTTCTCATATAACTCGGTAACGGCCGGGTATCTTGACATATCCCTTCCGCCATGTGTCTGAACCTGTTCAACTGTCTGGCTGAACGTCAAGATAGCGTCTTCCTCCAACGGTTCAAGGTCGTAGTTGGGGATCTTTGGGTGCGCGGGGAGAGCGGGGTGTGCTGGGGCACTATCCACGGAGTAAGGCGCTTGCTGTTGTGTGTACCCAGATCCATATCCCGTTGGTAATTCATAAGATGACTGCTCCGCGCGGGGGGTCTCCACTGCAACCGGCGCGCTGGGCTTCGGCGCGCTGGCTTCGCGAAGGCTTGCTTCGATGGCCGCTCGTAAGTCAGGATCATCTTCGTCCTCAGCCACGGCGGCAGGTTGAGTAGACCGTTCAAAAATAGGCGGTTCCGAGTAAGCCGACAGAGGCGGCTGGGAAGGCGTATAACCAGAACGACCCATGTTGGTCTCCTGCAAGGACAGCTCAATCGCGCGCTGAAGCTCTGCATCTGCTAGATCTTTCACGCTACGATGTTGGTGTTTACTATTGGATGAATGTTTGTGCCCCTTGTCACTGATATGATGGAGTCAAGTCAGTGTACCGCAGCTATCAAGGTGTTTAGCGCCGACTGACCTTCTTTCGGCCTTCTTCGTGAGCTTCGCGTAGCAACCATCGCAGACGCGGACTTCTTGGGTGATACCGAAGTGAGGAAGGGGCATTGTCTTGGATGAACACGCCTGATCAAATACTTGCCCACAGTTACGACAGTGATGTTTCCGGTTTGTAAACGAGAAAGCAGTTCGACAGCGCAGGCATACGTCCGAGTCAATCCATTCTGGGGCTGTTTGGGTGTCGACCATAGCAGAATTGGCAACCGCGAGGTCTTTCGGTGGGAACTTATAGCCTTGTGTACGCGTACCACATGAGTGTACGTTAGATGAACAAATGGATGATGAACACACACCTTCTTGTCCGAGTATCTTATAGACCTGACCTACATAGCCCAAGCTCGGCTTCCCCTCAAATGCCACACTCCAGTTCTGCACATGGCGTAGGATCGCGTTCCTGACATCCAAGTTTAAAGCTGGCATCTTGAGAATCGAGACCAAGTTGTCCATAAACTCTCTGGATGCAACTTCACTCAAAAATAAATCACCCCCATTCTTGACGCATACGTCTGTCAGCTGTGACAAATGCAATCAGAGACTACTTGGATGTGGGGTGCTTTGTACTGGTACTCACTCCAAGTGCAAGTAGCTGGACATTGGGATTCTTGTTGCCCAATCTACGCTTGAGAGCACGCATTGCATCTTTGGCTGGGATCGACTTTGAGCGTATCTGGTCACATATTTCGAGATTGAGGGCAATGTCCTCTGAGCCAGCGGGAAGCAGTTCAGACGTCGCCTTGTCTGTGGGTATTGGTGTGAGTGATTGACATCAGCGAGCTTCAGCGACGAGCTCACCGACAGCATCATCGAGCTGTGAGGTGCCCCAAAGCCAAGTAGTAAGCGAAGCCATTTGAAGAATTCCAGGCCTGTGCGCAGATGATGAGTCCAAGTACGAGCGGAGGTACGTGACTGCGCTTCAAATGGCTGATCTTTCTCACGCCGTCTAAAGCGCACAGGGGACTCGGGAGTTGACAATAATCTTCCTGGAAATAATTGGTATCGATGGTTTCAAAGCGCCCTTGCGAATCCTACTATACAGGACAAGTAGAAAGAAATACCCGCCTTCAGCGATCACCTCCCTCACAATATGAGAAGACGAAACAAGCAAGGACCGGTAGGAGATGTGTCTATCAAACGTGGGGCGGCGATGATTGAACTGGCGAACGGTAGATGCCTGATGAGCGGGTAATTAGGAATACCTCTGTGAGTAATGAACGTGTGTTTACTTAAAGTTTAGCATACTGACGTCCTACAGTCTTCCAGAGCTCTTGTGTTTGCTGATCAACAATCGCAATGATTCCGTGGACAACATAGAAGCGTCAGTCTACTGCGTGCTAGGAAGGTTTATAACTGATATCTTTAGTTGGTTACTCCCAGTCCAAGTCAGAAAAACGGTTGAACGACATGTAAAGGGATGTCCTATTAGGCTAGTTAGGCTCTCTGATTTCTCTTTCGTATCGAGAGAGGCCCTCTTAGAAGAAGTCTACGAGCGATTTCTCGACAAATATGCAACACATTGGGTCTCAGGTGACTGCAAGTCCGAGGTGTCTCACCTAGCGTCGTACTCCATCTTATCTCATAGATGGATGGCGCACGAACTATCCATGGACGACGTGAAAGCAATTCATAGTGGAGACTATCGGGCAACTGCCGAGAAAGAACCCGCGTACGCTAAGATCACCACCTTCTTTGCCAAATCCCGCGAATACAACTGCTTCTACGCATGGTTTGATTCTGGGTGTATCGACCAAAAGAATAACGCAGAACTCACAGAATCCATCCCTGCCATGTACAAGTGGTACCAAAATGCCAACGTGTGTATTGTTAGGCTAGCAGGCGCTGTTGTCGGCAGTAATATCTCGGACGATGATTGGTTCCAGCGCGGCTGGACGTTACAAGAGCTTATTGCTCCAACACACCTCAAGATATACGATGTGTTGTGGAATCCCGTGACGACCGACCGGTACGACATAATACGTGAACCGGACTGGACGACACAGGGAAACATCTCAGGCCCTCTGGCCAGATCATTGAAACCAGAGAATCCACCAGAACCTTCGCATATTACGCATGAGATATTAAACGCTACAGGTAGGGCGTGCCCAGCGTTGGTTCGGCGAAGGCTGATCGATTCTTAGGGATCGATCCAATTAGTCTTTCGAGATTTCCTCCTAGCGCAGGACGTGCGCCGCTAGTCATTTCCTGGATGGTTCATCGCCGCACCACGCAACCAGAAGATCGCGCATATTGCATTCTTGGACTGCTGGCTTTATACATCCAGATGCCACTTGAACGTGGAGAAGCCTTTGAAAAGGCTTTTTTTCGCGTCCAAATGTATGCGTTTGCTTGCACGAGGGAACGAGGCCTCCTGGTATGGATAGGGACGCCATCGGTGTACAACTCTATGTTCGCGTCCACCCCCGAGAGCTGCGATTTCTTCCTGCAGACCATAGATCCCATCTCGAACGAAGACGCGGCTATATGCGTCATTCAGCCTTCGTTCGATGTTCCTCACCTCGTGGATAAAAACACTGTCAAGATGCTCATTTACTCGCTCCTCGATAGTTCCATAATTTCTCCAGAACACTCCAGCGCCATTATGGCGAACATCACCCCAAGTTCTCAAACAGCGGGTATCCCTGGAAACCTCTTCCTCGGTATATTGGGATCCCATTCTTTGAAGAACTCGGAGAATCCTTTCAATGCGGCAGATTGGGAGTGGAATTCAGCGGGAAGGTTGCCGTCTGACATGCCCGATGTGCTCCACTATGCTGTTCTCCTCGTCGGAAATCCATCCCTCCTCGACCAACCCTTCGCCCGTGTCCACACGCATCGCCACATCTGGCTGAATCCAGGGTGGGCTGAAGGAGCAGAACCCCTGCTTGCGGGAGTGAAGTTGCATCTTGCATGAATTGCTGGTTCTACTAGAGTCTAGTCTACTTGAGTCTTGCATCTATCTTGCATCCTGTATTACGCGTAGTTTGGAACGTGGGAAATTACTGTGATCCCTTACCAGGCATTCAGCGAGTCATTATCTCAACCCAATCAGTTTCTGTCACTCTACACGATGACTAGCGCGACGCCGGAGGAGCGCTACGCCTTGATCACCCGTGGTCTCGATGAAGTTCTTGGTGGCCAGCAAATTCAAGCAATCCTCGCAGAGGGGAAACATCCTAAATGCTACTGGGGCGCGTAGAATAACCACACCCCTAACGATCGCATTTTAACATCTCCTCGACATCACAGGGACAGCACCGACGGGGAGACGTAAGGGATTACTACGTTTCCCAGAAGTACTCAATCTCATTTTGAGCAGCCCATATTGGTTACTTCGTCGCATTAAACAAGATCGCTGATTTCCTGAGAGCCGGTGTAGAGGCAGGTATTCCCCCATATCTCTTGTATATTGACTCATTTCTGCAATAAAGGTCAAAATCCTTCTCGCAGATGTACACGCTTTCCTGGACAACATGAAGGCCCCCCTCGATCTCGTCGCTCACCGCACGAAATACTACGAGTATATACTACTTGCCGTATTTCACTCGCTCGGGATTCCCACATCGAAACTCGTCTTCGTTCAAGGATCCTCCTACCAACTAACGAAGGAGTACAACCTCGACAACTACAAACTCTGTGCCACTGTGTCAGAGCACGATGCCAAGAAAGCGGGAGCAGAGGTTGTCAAACAGGTTGAGAGTCCTCTTCTGAGCGGCTTGCTTTACCCAGGTCTTCAGGCCCTGGACGAAGAATACCTGGGTGTCGATTTCCAGTTCGGTGGTGTAGATCAGCGCAAAATCTTCACGTTTGCCGAGCTCTACCTTCCCAAACTAGGGTACCGTAAACGCGCGCATCTGATGAACCCCATGGTCCCTGGGCTTGGTGGAGGAAAGATGTCCGCGTCCGACCCCAATTCTAAGATCGATTTGCTGGATCCCCCTGAGGTGGTTCGCAAGAAGATCAAATCGGCGTTCTGTGAGGAGGGAAACGTTGAAGATAATGGTGTACTCTCATTCGTTGGAGCCGTGTTAATACCCATAAGTCAGCTGAGGAAAGAACGGGCCGAAGGGAAGACGATGGACGATGCGGAGGAGGGCAAGGACGTTGAGACCACCGGGGATCAGCGACCATTTGCAACCGCTGATGCACCGGAGGGGACTCTGTTCACCGTCGAGCGCGACGAAAAATTCGGGGGAAACCTGCATTACGACTCATTCAACTCGCTCAAGGCAGCCTTTGCTGCCAAGGATCTACACCCCAAAGACCTCAAACTCGCTGTCGCCAACGCCATTATCTCCCTTCTTGCTCCCATCCGAAAATCATTTGAGGAAAATGAGGACTGGCAAAAAGTAGAGAAGTTGGCTTACCCAGATCCCAATGCAAAGCCAGAAAAGAAGAAAAAGAAGGTGAGGCTTGGTTTGCTGATGCGTATTGCCGACGTCTCACGTTCTTATGCATGTACAGGAGAAAGTCTACCACCCTCCTCCCCCAGGGAAGGGGAAGGATGCCAATAAGCCTACAGAGTCGATTGCTGCAGTTCCGGACTCGACAACCTCCTCTCCGCCACCGCCAATAGTAGTAGGCCCTGAGGTGACAGCACAAGCATCAGAATCATAATAACAGATCAACACGCAAATATTCTACGTTCAAGAATTTTGGGGTTCTCCAAATTTGGATCTAGTATCCGTTGAATCAACTATACATATTCACCAGTGTCTAAGTGATATCGAGCAAGCTGAGGCAGTTCTTTGGAGGAAAATATACCTCGACATGTGTCTGTCACTGCTTTCGTGATTTCGACTGGATGATCTTTCTGGAAGGAGAAGATAGAATCTATTGCAGCTGCCCTCCTGCTGACGTAGAAGCTACTACTACAGATATGGCATCATACCCGAGTAGTTGAGTCGGCGCATAGCGTTCGTAACTTGTGGCCATGTTGTATCCAATCTGAGCAACTTTAATCTTTCGTAACAGCTATAAGATGCAAAGAAAAATAGCGAGCTCTGGCAGCTCACCATGATATCGGAAGTGAGACCTTTGATCGGCGACCCAGTGGAACGGAAGCGGTGCATTCGATACATGGCGCCGTTCAACATCTGAACCTTCACATCCGAGGTATCCTGATTAACAACATCAGCATGCGAAGATATAGCTGAGTGATATATCGAGGTACATGGAGCTCCGTCTCGTATATCCAGTCCTCGGTCCCCTTCTCTACCAGCTTCTCAGATGCAGCAAGAGTAGGCTCCAAGAAGGCTTGCAGGGGATGGCTGAATATCCGCGAGACTTCATGCTCTGATGCCTTTAATTTATCCAAGACAGTCAGGTCAAGTAGGACGGCGACCACGGGGGTAACAAGGATCTTGTGCAGCGAGACAAACGGTTCCAAGTAGCAGAGCAGATGCAAGTCCGGGCAGTCAAGCGGTAGCCCGACCTCCTCATGCGCTTCCCGGAGCTTTGTATAGTGGTCAAGATCAAGGATGCAGTGGTTGCCTCTGTGGTCCGACGACTCACAGCGGTGTGTACGACATCTGTATCAGTGTCATCGACCTTGCCCCCCGGTAAGGCCGTCTGGCCAGCGTGTGTCCTCAGTGCCTTTGATCGCGTAGTCAGCAATACACGGATGATACCATCTCTTTCGTATAGTAGAACCAGCACAGATGCGTGCTTTGAGGATGCATAGTCTGACCTAGGAGATGCGTTGCGCAATGTGGTCACACTACAAGAACTGAAAAGCATCAGAGGTGCGTACGGCCATGGTTCTGGGGTGTAAGTGTGCAGTCTCTGTACAACGGCCCGTGAGGTTTCTGTAAGAGATTCTAAAGCGCCTAGCGGCAGCGATGATATTGTTGGAAGCTTGATGACTGTCATATTCAAGGATGAAGTGGTAAGCGCTCGCTCATATAGCAGATTAGATGTGGCGCCTATCACTGCAGCTCTACTTTCCACTTCATGGCCGATAGTAGTCATCAACCTCAGACAGAAGACTTCAAAGTATACAAACCGGCGCGAGAGGGGATCACCCATTTGCATGGTAAATCACTCAGCGGCCTGCCATGAAACACCCTTTCATTGCAACTCCAAAGCTCTACCCGATTCGTACTTCACGCCGACCGCTGCGGACTTGAAGGCTGCTCAAGCGACACTCTCATCGCGGACAAAGGCATTAGTAGACGCTCCACTACAGACGAGGTCTGTGCGGGAAGCACAAGAAGTAGCCAAGAAAGCCAGATGGCCACACGTACGCCTCTACTGGCTTTGCAGCGTAACGGCCTCTGATGTACATTCTCGCGTACGCAGACCACCATTCGCGTCAAGTTCCCAGACAGGACTCAGTTGGAGAAGGTCTTTCTGTCCACTGACAAGATTCGCTCTGTATACGCTTTTGTGCGCCCGTTGCTTCGAGAGGATGTTAGACCTATCAAGTTCATTCTATGTGAGTCCGCAATGACAACAGTACCCACGACACTGCCTGATCAAATTTAGATCAAACCCCGCCGAAGCGCGACCTCAAAGTTTCGGATCCTAAAGTACGGGACCTGTCGTTAGTAGATCTTCAGCTGGCACCGTCATCTGTTCTCCTACTTCGATTCGAGGATGAATCTTTGAATGGTAACGTTCTGCCGTAATCATAGCCAATATGATGCTCACCGCTCGTACCCCAGGTACACATGTCCCAGCACCTCTACTACCCGAGGTCCTAGAAAAGGCTTTCGACCTGCCAGTGCCACCCGATTATGACGATAGCACACCAAGTACTGTAGCATCCTCATCGTCTACCACCTCCAAGAGTGATGTCGCCCAAACTGGGGAGAAGAAGATACCCAAGTGGCTGAAGTTGGGGCTTAGTACGTTTTCCGTAACTATCTTGGCTACCTTCTGTACTCATGATGTCCGTCTAGAGAAGTGACCACCACATAGCTAATTGTTGTGGATTTGTCTCATCTGTTGAATCTAATATACGGGAAATGAACTATCAACGTCCTGCGCCCATGAGACAAGACCACCTATGATGTCCTTCACTGGCGCCGTCGATACCTCTCGCAGCGCATCCGCAGCAATCTGGGAGTCATTGCCCAATCTACACAGGATGTAGATATCCTTCGCACCCTCCGGCATGGCGGCCTTTGGATTCGAGACCAACTCGTTCAAAGGGATATCTGCAGCCGCGTCAATCCCTCAGGAAGGCATGAATGAGGATGAAACCACTTACTGAGCGAATTTGGAAGATGGCAAATGCCATATTCTGTCCTCGGCCTAACGTCAATCAAAGTTGGAACCTCTGTCGCTAATATGCGATGCAGATCCTTTTCGACCCGAGTTGCCTTTCTGTTCATTCCATTTTATTTGAGTAGCGTACCTTGGTGGATATACGAGTTTCTGCACTGCCCGGCACCAAGCCTCGCTCAACCCAATTCGCGGGTGGACCACCGCAAAACTGAACGTAGTCGGTGTTATCGATCATTCCGCGCGTCTTTGCCCCCGATCCACAAGCAGCGCATGCAGGCTTCTTATTCCTGAGCTTGATGCTCCGGAAAGGCGGCGTTTGGAGGGCATTGAATAGCAGTAGAGACGGGGCCTGGTCTTCGGTATAATTAAGATCATATTCGTGCTGGATTCGCGGGAAGTATACTTGCCCTTCAACCCAGCAATAATTTTGATCGTTTCAAGAGCTTGTAGGTTTCCTATTATGCCAGTGACAGCACCCAGTATACCTGTTTCTTCGCATGTGCCTACTGTTTCTTGCGCAGGAGGTTTCGGGAATAGGCAACGATAGCAAGGTCCATTTTCACCGTAGTTGTATATGCAGAGCTGGCCCTCAAATCTTTGGGCAGCACCGCTGACCAAGGGTTTCCTTAATGCGACCGCGACGTCGGAGAGCAAGTAACGCGTAGGCGCGTTGTCAGTACAGTCCAAGATGACATCGTATGGAGCGAGTAATTCTGTAGCATTCGTTGGGGACAGCGCCTGGACTACAGCCTCGACCTTCGATTGCGGATTTATCCTTTGCGATTCAAACATCATCTTGAGCTACGAGCATGAGCAAGAAATGCAAAAGACTCACACGGAGATAGCCTTCGCTGCTGAAAGAGCTTTCGGCATGCCGATAGTAGTTTCAGTGTGCAATATTTGCCTGTGTAAATTAGACAGTTCGACCACATCGTGATCGATTACACCTATGCGACCTATCCATGGATGAGACCCCGCACCTGACAGTGACTAGTGAGAGGGGCTCACCGATACCTGACGCCGCCAGGTATTGCAAGGCAGGACAGCCGAGACCGCCAGCGCCGACGACGACGACCGACGCCTCTTTGAGTTTCACCTGACCTATGAGCCGTCAAAACCCTTTCTAGTCCTCCCATCAAAGGAATGACGAACCTGGGAGCCCAAATCCCTCCAAGATCATCTGCCTGCCATACCTGCGATAATCTTTGAGTGGTAGCATATCGGTAACTTATCAACTCTAATAAATCCACATGGAGCCCGGCGCGACTGCGACCCCCGCCGCTGTCCCAGCTCACGCCCAATTTCACATATCCTCCGAAAGGTACCCTCCTGTCCTCCCATGGCCTGATATCTCTTCGCGCGGCAAGTGGTCCGTTTCCTCATTCAAGTTCGGTTTCGGGTCGGAATGTCTTCGCGATGGCGATCCGGAAACCTTTTGGCAGTAAGTTGTCAAAAAATTACGCGTCTGATCCCTACCTGTACTCCGTGTTTAAAGCTCGGACGGTCCCCAACCCCACTTCATAACAATCGAGTTCCCCCAAAAGGTGGCCATCCAGGCAAGTTGCGTCGCCAATCCCCTCATGCTTTTGCTGATGTTGATATCAGAAAATTAGCATCTACTTGAGTTTTCCTCAGGATGATTCTTACACACCGTCAACCCTCGCAATCCGAGCAGGCACTGGTCCCAGTGACTTGCAGGATGTACGGGTTGTGACTCTGGATAAGCCTGATGGGTGGATCACCTTTGATGTCTCGTCAGAGCCCAACGAAGACGGCGAGGGAGGCTCGTGCGTATCTCCTCCATTCAATAAAGCCTCTCAATTTATCATATCAACTCAACAGCAAGCCCGTCCATGCGTATGTAATTCAAGTTATCATTGCTGCCAACCATATGAGCGGCAAGGATACTCATGTAAGAGGCCTTCGTGTATTGGGTCCAGTAGAGTAAGTCCAAACGCTTTATTCCATTACACGGTTGTGCCTATGTCTATCCCAATCTAGAGAGCAAGCAGCAGAAGGAGACCCATTTGCATTTTCATCTCCTCAATTCAAAATGTACGAAACAATTCGCTAGAGGAAGACATTAATAGATTGGGTACCAAATTGTCCCAAAATCGCGTATTACATCTATAAATGTCTAACAAAGAAATAAGTTATCTGCAAATTATCCGTTGATGAAGTGACTATGTGGGGTAGTACGGATGTTGCGAGGGTGATTGGCTCGGTGGCATGTGAGGCGGATGGGCAGGTTGATGAGGGAGACTAGGGTGACGGGGGGGCTGGGGAGGGAAAGGGTGTTGCGCAAATGGGGGAGCGACACCTGAGCTCCCTGATGGAAAGGTTGGTACACCAGGAAGTGGGCCAGACAGCTGGGAAGGATGAGAGGGTTGCCATGTCTGTGGATGCGTCGTCAATCAGCAGCGTCATACCAAGGCATCACAGTACTCACATTAGCTGCATGGCCGTTCATCGTTCCCCCATACGGTTGGTGCGTTAGAGAAGAGCCGTATGGCTGATGCATTTGGGATGGCATGAACACTCGTTGCTCGGGTTGATAGTGAGAGAAGGTGAGTGGAGCCTGAGCGTTCTGCGAGTAATAGTTCGGTACGGAGTAAGGTACTTGGTAAGTCGGCACCGCTGTGCCTGGTGCTTTGGATGTGTATCCCCCGTTGGTTCGGTAAGGGGCAGAGAGTTGAATCGATTGCGAAGTAACGGCGCCATTGGATCTACCTGGCGGGCCTTGGGACTTCACACGGCATTTATAACAGAAGAATTCGACATCGTCCCAGTTACGCTTTGATCGACCCGCTGCCTGGTCCGCACGGTCGTGGCAACTGATGTGTTGCCATTTAGAACATGAACCGCAGGACATCATAGGGGTACCGTCATCCTGTATCGCTGTTTAGCATACAGACAAATTGAGGCAAACGTACAGGAACACATACGAGGTTAGCACCACGCCGTTGGCAAATCTCACAATCGAGTTCCCAATCAGAGTTAGGTGTCCGCGAGCCGCTGCCAGAGCCATTGGTCCGTTGAAACTGTTGGGTGCCGTTTGCCGCTGGTTCCTTGACGTCACCTTCGTCTGGGGTAGAACTAGACAAACATCAGTTCATGACACACAGAAGGAAAGACAAGGATTGATTGCGTACACTTCCGTCGTTGACTTCTGCAATGCTTCTTTGGCTTCACGTTCTCTTCGTCGTGTTTCTCTGGCAGTCTCTCTGCGTTGGCGGTCGGCTTCCTCCTTCTGTTGTCGGGCTTCGGCACGACGTGCCCGACTAAACTTCTCTTCTTCTTCAGCTCGTTTCTTGGCAGCAAGGCGGGCTTCTTCCTTCTCGCTTTCCTTGACCGCAATGCGAGATGACCGCTTGCGATGAGTGACGGCTTCCTCTAGGCGTCGGTTCTTCTCAACCTCCTATTGCAAAATATTGACATATGAGTAAAATATCGGGCATGGTTTGTATCAGGATATTTACCCTCAGTTGCTCGATAATGATCGGTGCAATTACATTGAGTACTTTGTAAAGAGCTTTCTCAGAATAGTGCCCTGCTTGGGTGAATGGATCGGCAACATGCTCCCATTCATCTAGCGTAACGGCGATCTAAGATGTATGTGAGCCTATTCATTGCGGGGGAAAGGAACAAGACCGACTGACCGTTTCCCATTCAATGAAATCCGCGGGATGTTCAGGTCCTTCACTCTTCTCAGTCACTTCAAGTGGTTCCTCCAGCTCCTGGACCGGCTCTTGGACAGGGGGTTCTTCCTCTTCCTCAGCATCGTGATCATGATCGGGGGAAGGATGTTCGGATGGCGACTCTTCACTAAGTTCGGTCAGATCGCTGATACTCTCCAGATCGCTTTCCAAGCCAGTTTTACGTTTGACGGGTTGTTTCGGTTCGCTTTCTTCAAGCCATTCCGTCGGTATGGGCTGCCACTCCCCCACCAGGGATCCCCTCAACCGTAAGCTGAGGCGGGTCCCTGCTGGCCGACTGTTGTTTACAGGCCGCCCAGGCAGCTTTGACGGAGTTGAACTGTTGTTCTGTGGATTTGCTCGTGCTTTGCGGGGAGTGCCCTTCGACGAAGCTGCTTGTTTATTAAGCTCAGCTAGCTCCTTTGCCTGGGCATCAAGCTTTAACTTTGCTTGCATTTTCGCCGCTCGACCGCCTCCGCGACCAGTGGGTGCGGCTTCTTCCCTTCTAGGGGCTTGTCGGGCTGGCTTAGAAGGTTCAACCCGAGATCTTTTATTCGAGGCCTTGGTCGGTTTCGCGTTTAGCTTGAGAATGACCCGCTTCCTCTTGAGGTTCGGCCTTGGAGGACAACGTTGGATCCATAGCCTATCCTCTATATCACTGGTGAGAATTGGGGGCGCAAAGTGTCCCAAGCAAGACTACGTACCACCGATCAACCAGTAGGCATTCTTCTTGACATCGAAGCCAATTGGCTCAACTCGCTATAGGGATTTGTTAGGGATTGGGCAGTTGAAGTAAGGTATTCACGCACCCAGGTTGCGGCTTCGTCGTCACTCTTCATAATCTGTCTCAACCGGGTGGGGTTTTGGAACTGCCATTCGGTCAAGAGGTGCATAGAATCCAACTTCTCCAGCATAGGCAGTTGAAGCCAGTCCTTGACACCCTCACCGCCGCTGACAGATACGGACGCTTGCTTCGTCTCTGGTAATGGTATGAAATTAGCTGGCGTCGTCGCTTTGTGCTCCTGGTGTTGTTCTTCGCTGGGGAGCACATCTTCCGAGCCTCCGAGATTGACGTCGTCGTCTGCCTCAGACTTCGGCCCGGGGGTGAGTGCTGTAGGCTCTACGGACTTGGAATATCTGTCCAGAGGTACATCGCCGCCTAAGGGGTTTGCCTGTGGATCACGTTTGAAATACTGCTTGCGCAAGGCAGTCTGCCAGTTGTCCAAGCTAAGTATTCGATGTATGAGGATACGCCAAAGACACTCAATGCATAACTCACGAAACCTTGCGATCGTAGCTTAAACAATACAACAGCCTCTGCATAATGCGGGGAATTACAACACTGGTTGAATGTACAAGGTCATGTTCGATATCCTATCCGGCGAGGAGTAAATTTCCGTGCGAAAGGAGCAACGGACGCGACTTACGCCAACGGTCACCTCATCCATTGCGAACAACGGAGCGAATGTTGCAAAAAACTGGCAGAAGGCGGCCCATTTCCATTGACGACGCAGGACGACAAGGTCGTCGGGGATGGTCTGCGTCGCGAGTGTCGAAGGAGCGATGGTGGGTCGGGCGGCAGGTCGGGGCATGAAACGGCGCAGTGATATTGAGTTTTATATAGGAAAGGCCTGGCTCAGTTCAGAGTGACTCCTTGAACTGCGGCGTCGCTACCTCGCCGCGAGAACAGAAAGAGTTGGCAAAGGGTGGATACGGACACAGGCAAAGCTCTAGGAAAGTTGAGATAGGTCGTTGTTGTGGAGGTATCCAACGAGCTCAGGACTTGTTCGTTGAGCTTGACAGTGGCGGACAACAAATTTGGTGATCTACTATGGGATAAGCGCTGAAGTAATCACACAAAGGCGCCTAATACCATGAATTGACATCGTTCACCAAAACATTGAAAGCTAGCTGGGTTAATTAGGTGAGAAATACATAGAATGCTCTAATCATGAAGAGTCTACATCTAGAATGACAAGAGTCTGGGAGCAAAAGAGAATGATAAAACATAGACGGGGCGGATCACCAACCATCGCGACCGCCATAGTCGCGACCGCCACCATAACCTCCACCACCTCCGCCTCCACCACCATAACGGCCTCCACCTCCACCGCCACCACGGCCACGGCTATTGAATCGGCCTACAAAGCAATGATGAGCTACGCATTCTGAACGAGAGAGTCAATGGAATGCTGACCTCGCCCGCCACCACCACCAAACATTGTCATCTCCTCTAATTGAGGTGGTATAACAGCCTTGGCTTCCCTCAGGATACCGACAAGTTCTCGCGCAGACTTGGCGTTATCAGTAGTGAAGTAAGTGTAAGAGGTACCAGTCATTCCAGCGCGCTAGAAAGTAGCATTGAGACTTGTCAAAAAGATGATAAAACGCAATACATACGCCAGTACGACCAATTCGATGGATGTAGTCTTCGCAATTGTTGGGGAAATCATAGTTCTGGCAGGCAATTATTAGCTCATAAAGAGGGTGGTAGATAGGTGGGAGGACGAACGATGACATAACCGACGTCCTTCACATCTATTGAGGATGAAGAAGGACATAGAACATTCCAAGACGAGGGCCAAATGAAGGAACATAGAAAAGAAACTCGTCAATAACCGGTCACCTCATCGGTAAACACAAGCGCTTCAGCAACGAAGACGACATCTGCTCGACGCAGGTAGGCCGAACCAAGCAGAACACCCGGGAGAGAAAAGCTTGAGGCATTACACTTTTGGACTTAAGACAGGGAGGCCTTCCGCACGCGATGTTGATGAGAGGAAACAGAGCTTCGCGAGTCCATGAGTGCTAACCAAGAATTGTCCATAACCTGTGATGAAGAGGGCGTGAAAAGCCATGCCACCGAGGTTAGAGGGATGGGTCTTGAGGACTCCTCTCACAACTGCGTCCCTGTCTTGCGCCAGACGTGTGTACCACGCGTTCTCCTATAAAGGGCTGAGGAGGCGGATTCATGTTGACCCCGCCCCTCTGCGTTCAGTGCTAGTCACTAGCAACCAAGGCCTGCTGCGATGCCGTCACAGAAAGAGAAAGTATACCCCTTATACTTCGCCCCAGTCAAAGCGCTTGTGGTCATGGAGAAATACATACCGAGCCCACGGGAAGCAACATCCGTGGCAATGAGAATTGGTGATCGTCCAGCCTTAAACTCGCTGAGAACCCAGTCGCGCTCCCGCCTAATACAAAAACGTAAGCTCCTGGTATTCATACAGGAAGACACTGATGCACATACTGTTCTTTGTCACCGTGGATGGCAAGAGCAGGCCAACCGTCCTGGCGCAGATACTTGGTAATATCATCTGCCACACGCTTCGTGCCAACAAAAATGAGAACCTTCGCATTTTCGGAGCTAATTTGGTCAAGGTGCTTAATCAACTTAGCCCGCTTCTCGAAATCGCTGCAGACTTCAACGACCTGCTTGATATTGTGGTTGGCGGTGAGTTCCATGGACCCAATGTTGACCTGAATCATATCTCTCAAGAAGTCCTAAAAAGAATGGATCAGCCATTAAGCAATGAGCGAGGAATGTGGGGCAACTCACATTGGCAAGCTTCTGGACATCTTTCGGCCAAGTGGCACTGAACATCAGCGTTTGACGATCGGGACGAATTTGGGAAACAATCTTGCGAATTTGAGGCTCGAAACCCATATCAAGCATGCGATCAGCCTCGTCCATGACAAGATAAGTAACCCGACGAAGGTTCGTTTTCGAGGTTTCGAGCATGTCAATCAAGCGGCCAGGCGTAGCAATCACGATCTCCACTCCGCGCTGGAGATCTCGAATTTGGGGGCCCTTGGGTGCACCGCCGTAGATAGCAGTATTGCGAATTTTTGAGTTGGTACTACGCAGCTCAATCAGTGTCATACAAAATCATACTGATGGATGAGAGACGTACCCAAATTTTGTGCACTCTTGCTGTATTTGGACAGCGAGCTCACGAGTGGGAGCCAAGATGAGAGCGATGGGGCCATCACCGGGAGCCAAAAGAGGCTGTGCATTGATGTGCAGCATGGCTGGAAGGGCAAACGATATAGTCTTTCCACTACCGGTTTGAGCAATGGCAACAACGTCTCGACCGCTCAAAGCCATAGGCCAGGCCTGACATTGAATGGGAGTCGGAGCTGCGAACCCTTGTGCACGAATACTGGTCATGAGGTACTCGGGAAAACCAGCTTCATCAAACGACGTTATTGGTCGTGGAACACCACGTCCTTGAACCTACGATCGGGATTTAGATACAATTCATACACTAAGACTGATGAAACACACCTTGATCTCTTTTTCCCTTCTGAATTCTTCAATCTCCCGGTCGCTTTTCCTTGTGATGCGATCGTTCTCGATGTAGAAGTTTTTCTCGAATTTCTCGAGCTTGGTGGACGTCCAGTTGATGTTTTTCAAACCACCACCAAGGTTGCCCATCCTATCATCACCACCGCCCCATCCACCACCTCCACCACCATATCCGCCGCCGCCGCCGTATCCTCCTCCTCCTCCACCGTATCCACCACCACCGTATCCACCAAAGCTCTGCAGACTTATTTTAGTAGTCGTAGATTACGTGTTAGCCAAGGCCCTCACCATTGTATTTGTCGAAAAAGTGGGAGAAAGGGAGAAACGAAGATGAGAGTGTCTGACAAAGGAACGAGGAAGCGGGGTGCAAAAAATGAGGCCTTGGTTTACGTAAGTTATGAGACAAACAGTACCACACAAATATAGCTCTCAGCACTGGCTGTTCCAAAAATTTCGGATTTGTCGTGCAGTCACTGCCTTCATTTCTGATCATCTAACAATGCGTGAGTAGTCGCAGCACAGGCTTTATAACTACTCTAACCAAATTCGCATCAGCTCCAAAGAAAAGCAAAAAGCAGGTTTTATCACTTGGCGAATTCCTCGTCGATGATAGTAAGTTTCACGTACAGCCTCAGGTCGGCCAGTAACATACCGTGCATCTAGCATTAGGATCATGGGCAGACGAAATGGATTCGCTGCCAAATGCGCGTGAGTCCTAGTGGATGGAAGCGCTCCTATGCATCTGCTCATAAATATTCACAGCTGCAGCGCGATCAGACGACGATCCGAGGTCAAATGATCGCTACGGACGTAGAGGAGATGATTTCCTCGCTTCGAAACGTACGCCAGTCCAGCATTTCTTAGATATGTGTCTTACACGATGATTCTCAGCCGACAGAGGTCCAAGGATGGAGCACCAACGCGACGATGTCCCGCTTCCCACCAACCCACCTTACACCGCCTTCATTGGCAACCTACCTTTCGACATTACTGAGGGAGAGATGGAAGAGTTCTTCGGCCCACAGGTGCAATCACCCCTGCCAATGCAATAATAAACGCTAATACACGCTATCCAGACCAAGTCCGTTAAGATAATCAAAGACAGAGACGAGAAGCCCAGAGGCTTTGGTTATGTCGAGTTCGTTGAGCTCGATGGCCTGAAGGAAGCGTTAGCCAAGTCTGGCTCCGTAAGCTGCTCCCTGGGTAAATTGTGTTGAGCCCCAGTCTCACCTCTGACCCAGTCATTCTCCGGCCGAACAATCCGTGTCAGCGTTGCCGAGCCACGTATGTCCATAACATACCTTCCTTATATGTTCGCCTCTGACATTGCTCCTTAGCCAAAGAACACGCCGGCGGTTTCGGCAGAGAGGACGATGGCAAATTTGACAATCCGTGGAGACGGGATGGTCCGCTTCCGGATGCCCCAGATCGTGACCCCTCTCGGCGCCGTTTCGATGGGCCACCTGGGGGACGCGACAGAGAAGCACCCCCGCCGAGCGTATCTGATGGCGCCGATCAATGGCGCTCCAGTCGTTCAAGAGCGCCAGAACCGGAGCCACAAGCAAAACGTAGCAGAGGACCTGCATTTACCTCTGGTGCCGCAGATAATGAAGATTCGTGGGCCATAGGTTCCAAGTTCAAGCCCAGCGCGCCCTCAGAGGATGGTTCATCGAGTCGATTTGGAAGTGCGCGAGGACGCGGCGACATGGGGCCACCACCGACTAGAGAGATACCAACCGATGATGATTGGAGGAGGCCCAGGCCTGCCGGTCGCAATAGTGCTTCCCGTACGCTCTTTTTTTTGGTCATGTCGTTTTGGCGCTGCTAATCTTGGTTTTAGCTACAAACTCAACGCCAGCCACCCCTCAAATGGGCCGCAGGAAGCTAGAACTCTTACCCCGCTCGGGTGGTAGCTCTGTTTCGCCCACACCGCTGGCGTCCCCGAAAGGCGACAGGGATGGTAGCACGCCAATTCCACGTTCTAACCCATTTGGCACGGCTCGGTATGTCTACAATAGCCACGGCGTTCCGCCTCGGATACAGGACTGATTGTTTGCCTGAACCTAGGCCCGTTGATGTTAGCAACCGCGAGAAGGCCGTGGAAGAACGCCTAGAAAAGGACCGTGAATCGACGAAGGAACGGTTGAGCATGTCGCGGACAAGTTCACGCCAAGCGTCAGAGCGCCCTCCAATCACTCCACGGACGAGCAATCCACGGCCCGCGTCGCCTCGTTTAGGCGCAAACAAACCACCTACCGCCGCTGCCGGCGTTCGTCCCACGTTCAGCTTCGCGGCTATTGCAAAACGCGACGGTTCTGTGAAAGCAGACGATGATAACGAGGAAAAACTAGATCAAGTCCAGTCAGTCCAGGACAAACTAGGAGAGGTCGTCATTTAAAGAGTCATATGTGTATATATATTCGCTATCAGAATTCTCTTCATGATTGACGTTGAGAGATCTCCGGGTCTATGAACTTCATACGTCCGCGCCCTGAATTCCAGTTAGCTGTTGCTGAATGCAGAGACCTGCTGGCTGGTAGCTTACCCTTGAATCTGATGCCGTCTTTGGGTGTGGTGTCATCAAGCTGTTTGAAGCGCTCTAGATGCCGCCTTCGTTCCGCGGCAAGTCTCTCGTTTTCCTCACGTTCTAAACGTGCGTCATACTCCTCTTCTGTTTCACCCTGCGGGGCAGAAGTGTTTACCGGGGCCTTCGCATCTTTGGTGAGGTCGTCGGCAGGATGATTCCTTCTAGACTTGGCTTTCTTGTGTCGACGCTCAGAGTCCTCTGGGAGATCATCGCGACCCAGAGATCTTGACCTAGATTTAGAACGTTTGTGACGGTACTTGTGGTCGGCGTCCGTTGCTGCTTCCAATCGCTGAACATCGGCTATAAAAAAGCGATTTAGACACAACGCGAAGAGGTAAAAACATCGCAACCATCATCTCGCTGCGACTTGCGCTTTAACTCCAACTCGAGGCGGTTGCCGATCGCCACAGGGACTGGTGACAGATCCTTCGCATCAGTACGGCGCTGTCCCATGTCGAAAGCTAATTGCAGTATCTCAGTAAGCGAATTGTGTGAACTGGTGCGTCGCGCCCGTATAGCACCCAGCAATGGTATCTGTATGATTGTGTGAGAAATCCACAACGCTGAAGAAAGGAGCAACTCTGACCAGGTCAATCTGCTGAACGTGAGTGAATTGGCAGAAGAGTGGGGATGCGCGCCAATCCAGGAAGTAAGCGATGATGACGTAAGTATCGGTGTCAACTGGGGTAAAATGAAAAGAGAAAAGAGAGAGAGAGGAAATATAAGAGGATGATACACAGGCAAATTCTACACGGTAATCTACATCCCCGTTTACCCAGCTCGTTTTTTCTCATCCGGTCGCGGGATTGATTATTTATTTATCTGTATCTTCGCCTAAGCCTTGATATTTGAAACGCCTCCTTCGCCACCGCAATGAGCCTGGGCACTATGATCACCAGATCAGGCATAACAAGAGGACTGAGACAGGACCCCATCATTAGGGGCACTCTACGGCGCTTACAGTGTTTGTGCGTGCTTGACGCGGAAGCAGGGTCGTAAGAATTGGGTGATGCTCGCTACAGAGACCTTGACAAGCAAAGGTTACTCACGTTGGTATGCGCCAATTCAACGTGGTCCTGCTAGGAGGTGCGTCCCCGCTCATCGTCTCCTGCCCCTCGGTAACTCATCTTCATATTCCAGCTGGCGGTGTCGGCAAATCAGCTCTGACAGGTGGGCTCGTTCGCAGACGCCATACACCTTGTCACTGACAGCGGGAATGCAGTTCGTTTCGTGAAGGACCAATTCCTCGACCATTATGACCCAACGATAGAAGGTTCGCTTACGCCCCGTCCCCTCTCCCCCGCGCTGGGTTGACCCTCTTTGACCTACAGAAGAGTATAGAAGGACGATAACGGTGGATAACGAGCTGACCTCGGTACGTCGCGCATGTTGACCTCGTGTCTTAACCAGCCCTGACGTTCATTTCCCATTCATTGCCTAAACCCGCTCACCTTCTAGCTTGAGGTCCTCGATACGGCTGGTGCTGAGCAGTTTACATCCCTCAATGAAGTGTACATAAAGGTTGGTCTTACCCCTTGCCGTCTTCCTTAACCCTGAGCTCAACACGTCCTAGGCGGGGCGTGGATTCATCCTTGTATTCAGGTATACTTCAGTATCACGCATCTCGCTTAATAGTCCACTTACTCCTTGTGTTCAAAAGTCTCACTCAGGAGGCAAGTCTCAAGGAAGTCGAAAATATTCGGCAACAAATATACCAAATCAAAGGCGGCGGTACAGTAAGTGCACGGAGCATCTCCCCATATAACATAACATAACTAACACCACTTCCCCCTTTCCCTCTCAGAATGTACCAATAGTCGTCGTCGGGACCAAACTCGATCTCCAAAGCGAGCGCGAAGTCCAGCATGCGACCATTCAATCCCTTGCCAGCAGATGGAATCTCCCCTTCTACGAAACCTCCGCCAAACGGAATTGGCACGTCAATGATGTGTTTGAGGTATAACTGATCATCATCGCCCGTACCGCTCTCGTCCGTCTCGATACTAATCATAGCAATCTGATTGATCCAGGATATTGTTCGACAGATGCGCGAACGATACCCTCCAGAGAACGTCAATAGGAAGAAGAAGAAAGGGCCATGTATCATCATGTAATCTTTTCTATGTATCTCTTTGGGCATTTCATATGCGTTTCCATTTACACAGTTCTATACCGACTCCCCGATGCTCAGGCACCGTACACATTGCTTATTGTATCGGTCTCATAATCCGCACATACCCCAATTAACGGTCACTCATTCAGTTAATGATACCCTAGAATTGACATCTTTATTTAATGCATGTTACTCGCGTCATATTACGCTTGTACTTACTCCTATATTCGGTTGTATATGGAATTGATCGTTCATACCCTAACAATTTAACAATAGCGGGCGCACCAGGCCGCCGATAGCAAATATGGAGCACCCGCACCCACATGAATCACTCAAATTCTCAGAAACATTCGGGTCCGCCGCAACAAGATGATGATGGTGGAAAGGGGCATATCATAACGCATGCATAAGGATACTGTAAGGCTAAGGTACGAAAGGATAGATATGGTCATAACGCAAATGTCATCCCCTTTTACTGCTTGCCCTTGAACATCTTGTCGATAGCGGCAGTTGAATATGACTTGGGACGCTCGAGAGCTACACAAGCATTGTTACTGACGTGTTAACGGTCACAGGATGTAGTCACTCACGAGCTCCAAGGGCACGGTCCCAGATCAACTGAGCAGCGACACCAAAGGCACGCGACACACCAAAGAGCACAGTGTAGAATTGCATTTGGGTGAGGCCGTAGTGAGTAAGGAGGGCACCCGAGTGGGCATCAACGTTGGGCCACGGGTTCTTGGCCTTGCCAGCCTGGTGGTGGGTTAGCACAAAGGCTCTTGCTGAGGAGGGGAATGGGTTACCTCAAGGAGAATATCAGGGACGATGTTGTAGATTTGACCAACGAGCTTGAACAACGGGTCATCGGGCATGTGCTTCAATGCGAATTCACGCTGAGCAGTGTAGCGGGGATCCGTTTTTCTGAGTACAGCGTGACCGTATCCTGGAACGACCTGACCGCCCTTGAGGGTAGCCCAGACGTATTCCTTGACAGCCTCGTCCGTGGCATTCTCGCCAATCTGAGACTGCATCTTGCGGAGCCAGAGCAACACTTCTTGGTTAGCCAATCCGTGCAAGGGGCCAGCAAGACCATTCAAGGACGCGGCGAAAGCAAGGAAAGGGTCCGAGAGCGCTGAGCCGACAAGTTTACCTGTGTGGGCAGAGACGTTGCCACCCTCATGGTCACTAGGAAACAAGATAAATATGATAGAAATCATAATGCATCAACGGATGCTTACCTGTGGATGGTGATATACAATCTCATCAATTCAACAAACGCCTCGTTATCCCCAAACCCAAGGAGCGTAGCAAGGTTGTGAGAGTAATCCTTGCTAGCATCGATCGAAGGAAGCTTGCCCTTTCCGAAAACATTGCGGTAGATGCGGCCAGCAATGTTAGGGAGTTTGGCAATGCTGGATACAGGGGGAGGGGGAGTTGAATCAAATCAACCAGTCTAAATGGAGGCGAGACGACGTACAGATCCATGCAATCTTCAAAGACCGGTCCCCAATATTCCTTCTTGGAGATACCATCTTGGTATGCCTTAGCGAACGCGGAGTCGTGGTTGAGCTTCAGAAGAAAAAATAGATGAGTACCAATTAACCTCGTTTAGTTACATACAACTTACGGCAGTGACAGCCAAGCTGAACTGACTCATTGGATGGAGGGTTGGTGGGCATCGGTCCAAGAGCTCTTCGACAAACTCGGGAAGAGCGGAACGAGCAGCCCAGTCTTTCGAGAGCTCAGTAACCTGCTCCTGGGTGGGGATTTCTCCGGTGACAAGTAACCAGAAGAGACCCTCAGGCAAAGGCTCCTGACCGCCGGGGGCTTTGGGCAGAAGTGCTTGACATTCTGGGATTGTCTTTCCACGGAAACGTATACCCTCCTCTGAAAAAGCGCGTCGGTGACTGCTAGGTTATAGAAGGCAAGGAAGGGATGTACCTGCATCCAGCACTGAACCGTCCCAAATGAGAGCAGGGAGTCCCCGCATACCACTAGTGACACATGAGAAAAATTGCTCAAAGGATGTTGGATATTTCGCACCCATAAAGTTGGTCTACGAGAACGGGTCCAAATGACTTCTTGCCATGTTCTGCGCGTACGGCCTTGACCTACAAATTTGCACGTGAGCATCGATCCAAAATGGAGATGAATGAGGGTCCAACATTCTCAAGTTCTGCCGGGATGAGCTGAGCCAACCTCTCCTTGAGGTTCGTGTTCTTCGCCGCAGTGGTCGAGAAGCGCGAAGACGAGACCAGACTCCTAGCAAAGGGTGTTCGAGACTGCAGGCAAATCCGTATATGAGAACTACGAAGCAGCAGCTAACATGCGGACTACACTCACCACCTTGAGGACAGAGCGAGCAGTGGCAGCCATGGGAGACTTTTTTTGCGGAGATGGTGGTGGAAGAAAGGTAAGTTAGAGCTTGAGTATTTCAAAAGCGAGCGGACGCAAACGCGATATGTATGGGGAAAGCCGGGAAGCTTAGTCAGCATCTCATTGAATTATCTTCGCTGGACGGGATAGACTTCTTCCATGGCTAAGAGAAAACGGAATACTGGGGGCGATGCGGGGAAAAGTACGGAGACAGCGGAGGGCTCAGCTGGTCAGCAGACGAATCTTTTACCCCAAGTAAAGTCCTGTTCCGTGTGCTACATTGCACAACCACTGAAATCTGCACAGAAAAGACACTACCGCCAAAGGGCTCACGCGAATCCATTCTCTGATCACGCGCTCGACTACCCAGAATCACCGCAGACAATAGACTGGTCGGTGCACTATCCAGCTTTTGCTGGCACTGGCAAGGTCCCAGAGTTCGCCGACGTCGGGTGCGGCTTTGGTGGTCTGTTGATCGCTCTCGCCCCTATTTATCCTGATACACTCATGCTTGGTTTGTCTATTCCTTTTGCTGTGTGGGGCAGAGGTTCGCTTATTCCTGGTGACGATCAGGCATGGAAATACGAGTACAGGTGTCTCAATATGTCGAAGACCGTATCGCCGCACTTCGAACCACCGCGGTCGAAACGTCTACCCCAAATCAATATCACAACGTCTCTATAGTCCGCGCTAACGCCATGAAGTTCCTCACGAACTATTTCACGAAGCACTCTCTGTCTTCTCTCTTTTTCCTCTTCCCAGATCCTCACTTCAAATCACGGAAGCACAAAGCTCGAATCATATCACCCACTTTGCTCGCCGAGTATGCCTATGTCCTCCGCCCAGGCGGGATTGTGTATACAATCACCGATGTCCGCGATCTCCACGAATGGATGAAATCACATCTTGAAGCGTTCCCACTCTTCGAGCCGATTGATGAGGCCACCCTCCGTTCCGAAGGTAAAGGTCCGATATTGGACGCGGTGTATACCAGTACGGAGGAGGGCAAGAAAGTGGAAAGGAACAAAGGGGAGAAATGGCTAGCGTGTTTCAGAAGGATCGAGGTTAGTAGAGAGGATTGAGTGTATGTACAACAGCATCATGATTCATCCATCATCGTGTCTCCCCCTACATTGCTCTGAGTTGTGCCCATGGCGGTCACTAGAGACGTCGTCCGGACGCGAACTGCATCCTTCATTTCCTGGTGAAGGGCATGACTTGCAGAGCATACCAGTTTGAATATCTCTTCGAAACGATCGACGTGTAATCGTGTCTCCATTGTGACAAGCGTGGATTTCCCCGTTTTTGGCATGACTGCGACGGTCAGATTTGGCAGATCGTTTTCCTCGAGCAATGTAAGGTCAAGCATGGGTGATGTTGAGTACACGCCTCCAGACACGGCACAAACGAAATCGAGCAGAGGGATGCCTGCGTTGACGAGAGCCAAGGTTGTTGCATTGATACACCCTTGCAGGAGCCCACCGTCTTGTTGCAGAACCTGGACGAAGACGTCGATCTGAGATCGAGGGTACAATGTTGTTTGCACAACAGGCTCAAACGTTGATTTTATGGTTGCGGCCATTTCGAGAATCCGCCTATCAGCCCGGAGTAAGCCAACTTCAGGAGGTAGATGGTTGGCTATTACTTATCACCTCGAGACCGCTTTCTGCGTTCGCCGGCACTGAAGGGGGAAATTGCAACTTCGACATTTATGTTGGCGCGATCGTGTATCGTCTGGGACCGCGACTTTGCCTCGCGGGGGCCAAATACAGAGACCATGACACGAGTAAGGCCATGCGTGATGACGGCCGCACCATCTGCCTGTCCCTGCTGCGATAAATCAATCGTGACCTCGCGTAGTTCGTATTGTCTTCTGCCGTCCGAACGAAAGCCACCTTCGTTCAGTATTTCCACTCTAGAGCCCTGCAATACCCTCCGTTATTGAGCACGATTTCTCAGGAAGAGCGGCACGAACGGACCATTATGTATTTGAGGTTATGGACAGATTGAGCAAGAGCACAGGTGAGGTCAGGAATAAAAAGGGTCACAAGGCTCGCTCAGGGGGCTTTAAGCTGTTCCCCTAGACGCTAGTTCTCTGCAACTCCATCTCTTCACTCAACCACCATGTCGGCCTCATTCCCTTCCCTCGCCGTTCCCCAGTCCATCCTCGATACTGACTTGTACAAGGTGCCCCCCGCACATTCTGCGCCGGGGTGATAGCTGACATTGCATGTCCAGTTGACCATGCAACAGGCTATCTTCCACCTTGGCTTCGGCTACGACGCAACATATAAATTCACCAATCGAAACCTGGCCATGTTTTTTACGCGTCAGTGTTTTGAGAGATTCCGTGCTGCTGTCTCTCGTGGGTTTTCATGCACATCCGTATCTATGGATCACTTGCTCACGGCGGGATCTAGAATTCAGCGATATCAGGTTGACTGAGTCTGAGGCCCAATGGCTACAAGAAGCCTGCCCATATTTTACACCGGCCTACATCACCTATCTTAGCAAATATCGATTCAAACCAGAACAAGTTCGTATCACATTTACGCCAACGTCGACGGATGGTCTGCAAGGCGCAATCGACATCGATATAACCGGCCCATGGGTAGAAACGATCCTCTGGGAAGTGCCCCTCATGGCATGCCTTAGTGAAACCTACTTTCAGATGGTCGACACTGACTGGAACCTTGAAGGACAGGCCGGTACGGAGCCCCCCGTGCTTCTTTGTCTATAACAGCTTCTAATAGCTTATCCCATGCCTATTAGAACTTGCGTACAGCAAGGCAAAATCACTGATAGAAGCTGGTTGCGTTTTTAGCGACTTCGGTACACGTCGCCGCCGGTCGTTCGAAATTCACGATCTTGTCGTGCAGAACCTCGTGCGGGCTGCTAATGAATCGCAAGGCCTGCATCCCGGTCGCCTGACGGGCTCGAGTAATGTGTGTAAAGCTACCTTCTTCTGTAATCACTGCAAGCCTGACCTTAGCCTGTGCAGCTCCTATTGGCACAGAAATACGGCATCGCCCCGGTTGGGACAATTGCGCAGTGGGTTCTTATCTTTCTAGAAATGACTTCATTTCACCGATCGTACTACTTTACTAGTGAATGGTTCATGGGTGTGAGTCCATTAGCTAACAGGCTCCGGAAATATTCTCATCTGCTCCCGCCGGCCAATTAGGTTGCGGCATTGAAAGGCTACGCTGATGCCAACTCCGTTGCCCTCGATCTATGGGAAGAAGTCTATCCGGAGGCACTCCAGATAGCACTTACAGATACTTTCTCTACGCAGGCGTTCTTTAAGGTACCGCCTCGTTTTGCTACTCTACCTCCGTACTACTGATCATGAGAACACCCACTCCAGAGCTTCGGCGCGAACCCCGAACGTGCAAACAAATGGACAGGGCTTCGTCAGGATTCAGGCGACCCGTTTGCCTTCGCACCCGTAGCCAAGGAAGTGTACAACCAACTAGGAATTGACACAAGCCAGAAAGTAATCGTGTACTCCGACTCATTGAATGTCGAAAGGTGCATCCAACTACAGAAGCAGTGCACTGACATCGGATTCAAGCGTGAGTCCGCCGCTGTCTAGCTGAGTACCTCAATGCTGAAATTAAGTTAAGCGTCATTTGGCATCGGTACCAACTTGACCAATGACTTCCGTGCGGCCTCTACTGGTGAGAAGAGCAAAGCCCTGAACATGGTCATCAAGCTCTCCTCTGTCGACGATAAGCCTTGTGTCAAGATCAGTGATGACCTCACAAAGGTACGTCAAGCGCGTCCGCTCCACCTCATGTGCTCACCTAATGCCGTAAAGAACACTGGTGATCCAGCTACCGTAGCATACGTCAAGGAACTCTTCGGCCTTCCCATGAAAGTGTAGCTCTAGCAACTGCGCATCTCCTTACAATGGGATGTACTATATAATCTCTCGCTGTACCTTAGCATTTTACTTAAGTCTGTGTATCCAGTAGTCTTTGTTGCATTGACTAATCGAAGGTAATCAAGACAGCTTCCGTGTCATGAATGTCAAATCCACTCTGAACTGAGCCTGTAGTTGTGATCAGGGTACCCGACTTTCTGCCATTTGGTGTTTCGTAACTTTGACCACCCCACGCCAGTCCAGATGTGTCGTCAGCGTGCCTGCAAAAATAGAGCACAGTCAAGGGTGGCATAGAACCATAGCTGCGTCATACAACTCACTCAATGGCTAACCGCTTGATCGTTATATTTGATGCCCGCGTTGAAGTCTCCGCAAAGCCGAGGGAGATGTGAACAACTCCTCGCGCGGCACTGCTCGCTAAGAACGCCTTGAAATTGACAAACAACGCTCGCACGAGCTTTCCGCCCTCGAAAAAGGCGTATCCTGAAACAGTAGGGTCGTCGACGGAGAGCTCAACGGCTTGGCTTAAACCAGTAGACCCAATGGCCTCTGCAGCAACAACTGCAGCATAATATTGGGGTTGAACATGTGGCGGAAGGGGTGTCGGTAGCGACGATCCGTCAAGGGTCGACCGAGTGAGGGTTGCTGGCTGTATCTGTGACGAACTTTGTGAGCCAGGCGCTGATTTAACAGGTCAGAAGCACGATCGAACCAGGTTGTACTTGAACCCAACTCCTTCGTGGAAAAAGACGCGGCTTATCCCAATCTGCGGGGCAAATAACGCGTAGTCGAGGGTCCAGAGTGCCGCGCCAGCAGTATTACTGACACCTGGCGCACCCTGAAGAATCGCTCAATTCAATTTCAATGTCTAGTCTCGAGAGAGCAGCCGGTACGCACGTGGCAGGCATAGCTGTTTGTTTCTCCCAGAACGTAATCCAGACCCCGTTGTCGTGTAGCTGCGATATCAGGGCTGAATGTAGAAAGGTTTCCACGAATAGTTGCCTTGGTCATCAGATCTTGCAACAGCCCTTCACTTCCGGAACAAAAAGAACCGCTGTAACGGTGTTGCGAGATACTGATGAGCAACACAGTACAGTCAGATGTCAGACTATGCAATTTGTGACTATGTCAACGTACGTGCTCATCAGCTTCCCTGGGGCAGAATCTAGAATTCCTGCACTGAAGATGGCCTGTGGAGAGAAGCCAGCGCCATGAGACGATCCAGCGAATGAAGCCCCAATGAATTTCGTGTGAGATGTAGCGGATATTCCTGCTGCTGCAGAGACATTGTTGGCGAACCGGATCCATCTATGAAGGCGTATCCCAATAAGCCTGATATCAGATCAGATAAAGGGAACCTACTCTTGTGTGTACTGCGTGGAATTATACGAGGAACTTCTCAAGCCGTTATTTCTATATAGATCTGGCTCATTTCCTATTTCGATGAAATCCAATACAATCCCAGCCGATTTAAGAGCGGGCGAATTGAAAGCATCCTTTATTGATCTGGCCTCGAGAAATGCTGCCGTTATGTTGTTCTGTCCGAAGTTTACGCCCCAGGTGACGTGAGTTCCTACAAAGTTGAACCCTCGATGTCAATATAAATGGGCATAGTTTAAGGATAAGGCTCACCAGGCGGAAGGAACCTGGCGGTCAGATAATAAGAGTTTCCGACCGTGATGTTGGTAGCTTCAGGGTATGGAACGGTGGCGCTCGCAGCAGGGAAAATATCTTGAGCAAACTACAGGAATTGCAAATAGGGGTATACTCAGTGTGACCGACGACCTACTTGAACATTTGAGTTAAAGTCTGTGTGGTCCTCGCTATTGGCACCGATGCGAATATGAGGTGGCTTCCCGGTGATTTGCTTCAAATTATCGAGGGTATTGAAGAAAAATTCGTTTCTTGAGGTAGTCCCCGACCAGTCGGTCCACCGGTCTTGCTCGAGGGAGAGCGATATAAGAGATGGACTGATGACCGGTGCACCAGAGATGGTGCCACCGTTGGTATTGTCGCCGTAAGGGCCGACGCGAGGTGAGCCAGAGCCAGGAGATACTCGAGTTTGTAGCAAAGCTGCATCTTTGCCACACAAGCACCCATGCCTACCATATTCTTATACGAGGCAGAGGACTTCGCGTTGACTTCGTGGCATGCCAAACCTTGCTGTGTTCTGCCGGAAGAAAAGCCCTATTACAATTACAGATGCCCTGAAATGAAAGACCGTTGTTTCGTCAACTTCTCAATCGATTCTTTCGGCAACAGAGTTCCCGACGAGGCGTGGCGTGTGGTGGTTCAACGTGGGGCTACGTCTGCCCTTCTTTTACCACTCCAGTGGGAATTCGCCAGGTTGCTTGTCGTCGAAGGCACAACCAGAAGCTTCCAATGGTGGCCTTTGGGGCTCAGGAGACGAGCACATGACACTGTTCTACGGCGACATCAGAATGGATTGTCGAGAAGACGCATCGTTACCGGCAAGTGGTGTATATTCCATGCCACCAAGATATAGAGCAATAGCGAGTACCACCAGAGATCATGCCTGAACAAAGAACTAGAAATGAGTGCGAGGAAGAGAAAGACTCTGATTCTGAAAGAGGTATGAGACCCCTAGATTGCTCAGGGGATCTTCTTTGTCTTACATAAGCTCGATACAAGGTCGCATGAACTTTGAGTGAAGCTATGGCTGATGTTCGCGCACTCCTCAAGGCCAAACGGCAAGAAGTCCGCATTAATCACCCTCTGGCTGCGTACTCTCAATCGGGTCAGCTGAGATGCACTGCATGCAGCTCCATCGTAAAGCATGCATCCGCATGGGAGGGTCATCTGGGAAGTAAAGCACACCGCACCAATGTCGCGCGTCTGAAGAACGAGGAGAGGTTGCGAGAAGAGCGGAAGCAGCAGCAGGCACTGGCAGACCAGCATCTAGATCAGCCAAAGGAGACGATTGGGGAAAAGAGAAAGTCCGTGGATCCTCCAATAGACACTGAAGGAGGTGCCTCCAAGAAAGCCCGAATCGAACAGTCCTTCCCGTCAGATTTCTTCTCAGACCCATCTCAGGCTCCTGTTCTCACACAAGACGGATCTGATGATGAAGACGAAAACATGGAAGTGGCCCCTCCAGCCATACACCCATCGACTCAAGAAAAGGGACTCGACGATGAATGGGAACGTTTTCAGCGCGAAGTAGTCAATGCGCCCACGGAGGAGCCCGATACACGCGAAGTCTACGAACGAGCGACTATCATGGTCGATGCAGAGATGACCGACGTCACGGTGGGTATGCCCGCTGCTCCAGATGCGGAGGCTGCGAAGGAAGAAGTAGTGGACGAGGAGACTCTGAGGAGGAACAAGGAACAGGATGAGAGGGAGTTGATCATGGACAGATTACTCGAGGAAGAGCGGGCGCAGGAGGATGCTGACATGAAGGTTGTTCAGATGAAATCCAGGTTGGAAGCGTTGAAGAAGAGACGAGAAATGAGGAAGCACAAGGAGTAGATACATTACTGTATATATTCTTGTCTGCTACGTCTGTTTCTCTTCACTGTTACATTGCTCTGCTGTCTTTGACCTCAATCGCCGCTGGTCGGAGACTCAGGATGTGCGCCAGCACAGGGTCGTTGTAAGATACTGCCAGTGCATGCAGGTTTATTCGGATTATGAATGCGTGTCCCGAGCTCAAGAGTCAATCAAACAGGCTTGACCCAAGCTTGACCACGAGTTTTTTTTTTGAAGGCTGGACAGTTTCCAAATGGTTTCTGAGAGACGCGTCAAGCCTCCCGTGAAGCCGGGCGGGCGAATCGTGGAGCTTAGCACAGGGCCGGTGTAGAGCAAGGAGGGTCGATTGTTAGAGCCTTCTACCCGCTCAAGCGGAAACCCAGGGTCTGACTGTCTGATGGTTAACGACGAAGCGCTGTAGCCATCCGGTAGCTCGAAAAGCTATCGACATGCAGACGGGCCATTATTGTGTGCTGTCGACCAAAGTAAATTATGATTGCTCTTCTACGGAGGGTGTTGACCTGAGTCCTATATACTCCAACCAGTCTATACCTCTTTTGTGCACCATCATGAGTCCCAGTATGACCGGAAGATGAAGCAAACAGTGATGCCAGACGCTCCTCGCCTCCTTCTCCCCCCCTGTCTGGTGAAATCTCCAGGCAGCGCGGGCGCAAATCAAGTTAGGGATCAAACTTGTCAGGGCGAAATGCCATGTAGTGAGTCCGGCCAGGGGGATCAAGACGGAGCACGTAGGGATGAGGAGTAACGAGTGTCTGAGCGACACTAAGGAGTTCTTCTTGGGCGAGACGACCGAGAGCATTCGATACCCCGCTTGAGCGTAGGAACCTCTCACGAGGTGCGATATCGAATTGAAGTGAGGGAATTGCCAATAGAACAGGAGCATAAATAACGCGAATGGCGCCAAGGGACTGTCAAGCATGGACGATTCCAAGGGAAGGAGCGATTCGGGGTACATGAAGGAGGGAAGATAAAGCGGGATTTGCGATAGGTCGTTAGGGATAAGCCGACCACCGCATGCAGTCCATCCCATCAGCGGGGGAACGGCGCCCACTACGGCGCCCACCCAGGTGTTGAAGACACTTTTGCGCTTCATCCATGTATAGACACCCGCATAAAGGATAACATTCGCAGCACCCAGAATAGCGGTTGTTGGGTTCACCATTGTCCACAGGATCACTGGCCCAGCGATACCGGTGACAAGGGCAAATCCCGCAGCGTGTTCGGGGGATATAGCTCTTCGCACCAGCGGTCTCGAACGTGTTCTTGCCATCTGTGCATCGAATGGAATTTCTTGTAATTGATTAAGGGTATTGGCTGACGCTGCGCAGAATGCAGTTCCGACTGCGGTTGACAACAAAACGGGTACAGTCGTCGGAAATGGTGAGAGGGCGACCCCGGACATAGCTGTGAGCACGTTCAGAATCGTAAGCCGTTCCTTCGAAAGTTGACTGTAGACTTTTAACAGGCTCCGAGGAGATAAACGTTCTACGGGTTTGAAGCCTGCAACACTGACCGAAGGCGACGCGTCGGGAACAGCTGGTTGCGACGAAAAGGCATCGAGCTTCCGTGTGCTCGACCATTGGGCATTGTGGAAGAAGTAGGAAGTGAACGATGGCGTTGCAGACGACGACAGAAACCTTCTTGCCTTATAGCAATTGGTTAACTGTATGGACCCACGCTGTAAAGGAGAATGAAGGAGCGACCGACGAAGACAGTGGGCGGGACTGACCTGCCATATCATTGGAATGAGTTATGGGACGCACAGACCAAGCTTTGTGAATTGCGTGTAGCGCGGAGTCCCAAAACTTTCCCAAACCTCTCTTCGTCGCCGTCGTCGACAAGCGTCGGCATTGTATGCTTCTGGACCTAACATTTCTCTTCCCTTATCGACATTTAAACTGAATCCAGGGACCCCTGCTAATTTATTACATCTACAATGCCTGGCACCCATCTTTTACCGCCTAACCTTCTAAAACTCTTCGCACCTCGACCCCCTCTGCCATACTCGCGACCTGTCGACAAGGACATTGACCGGGTTACGAGCAAGGCTGTCAGCGGTGTCGGCCCCATCCTTGCTCGTCTGAAGGAAGCCACGACAGATAGTCTCATTGCTTCCAATGGAGAGATGGAGGATGGTGAAGAACCCACGTTTACGCTTGCCGTGGAATACCAGCGGCAACTACGACGCGAGGAGCGAAAAAAAAAGAAAACAGAGGAGTTTAAGATTGCTAAAGAAACTTGTACGTCCCCCCCTTTCTGCTCCGGTGCGTTCATCCTGACCTTCATTTCCAGACAAACCTGCCGACGACCCAGAGGCTATAGGGGATCCTTATAAAACACTCTTTATATCTCGTTTGGTCTGTAGTTTCCCCAACTTCCAGCTAGAGCCGTGAAACTGACATCGTAATTTCAGAATAAAAATGCAACCGAAAACGATCTTCGTCGCGAGTTCGAGACATACGGCACCATTGAGCGAGTCAGGATTGTACGGGATAAGAAAGGCCGCAGCAGAGGCTACGCATTCATTGTATACGAACGTGAACGGGACATGAAGGGTGAGTTTGTTCATCCTAGCCTCGCATGTTAATGTTATAACTCGCCTCTGCCTTTCTACAGCCGCCTATAAGGAATCGGACGGTCTACATATAATGGGAAAACGCATACTTGTAGATGTCGAGCGTGGACGTACTGTCCGTGGTTGGAAGCCTCGTCGGCTTGGAGGCGGCTTGGGAGGTCGGCCTAAACGTGTTGAGCCTGTCGCTGTTTCAGCAGCGCCTCCGTCTCGCGGCGGCTTCCGTGGCGGCTTTGGAGGTGGGCGTGGGTTTGGTAACAGAGGGGGCTTTCGTGGCGGACGAGGAGGTTTCCGTGGTGGGTTTGGAGGCGACAGAGGGGGATTCAATGACAGAGGAGGATTTGGTGGTGATAGAGGAGGGTTCGGTGACAGAGGAGGGTTCGGTGACAGAGGAGGGTTCGGAGGTGACAGAGGAGGATTTAGCGACAGGGGAGGATTTGGTGACAGAGGAGGATTCAATGACAGGGGAGGTGGTGGCGGGGGGTTCCGTGGCGGGTTTGGCGGTGATGGTGGAGGCTTCAGAGGAGGCTTCAGGTAATAATTCTCGGTATTCTGGCCCGATCGTTTCTGACTCATTGCGAACAGAGGCGGACGAGGAGGCGGTATCGGTTACAATGGAGGCGGATTCGACCATCCACCGAATGGATTTGGCAATGGGCCTCCATCGAATGGGCAAGTTGGGTTTGGTGGTCCGGGTGGCCCTCCAGGTATCGGTGGACATGGTCCTCCTGGCGGTGGCTACGGAGGAGGTGGTTATCGTGGCGATCTCAAGCGTGAAGGACCTGGCGGCGGTTTCGAAGAAAGAGATTCCAAACGGCCAAGATATTAGTGATATGGTTTGCTCCCATCGACTCGCATGGCTCCGCGTATCCTGTTGGTGGTGGGAGTGTAAGATTTGTTTTCCGTCGTACTTTTCTCCTTTCGCTTTCGTGTTTTCTCCTGCGTAAGTATACCCACCGATCCCTTGTATGGGCGTGGCGAAAGGCAAGTATAATACAATCTGGGTTCACATCCTCGCAGCGCGCCTACCTCTATTCGCGCAATTTCCTCCCGGCGTGACATGCAAAGATCATTCCTGCGGCAACCGGTGCCACAGTGGGTATATCAATTTATCGCTGACTCGGTCCCCGCCAGGTTCTTTCTGCTAGGCGCCATCAACATCGGGTCGCTGACTCTCCGTGATGAAAACGGACGATGTGGAAATGTTGGAACCAAGATGATCTGTATCTGGCCCCCCATACCTGATATAGCTTGCAGCTCACCTCGTCCGTCATTAGTCGCGTTCCACTATTAAAATCCACTGCGTACCTCCACCTGGTTAATCATTGTCCGTCACTGATGATCATCCTCTCACAGTCTTGACTGTTTGGCACGCTCATCAACGGCTCTCAGCAACCATCCTCCGTGTGGTTCTTGAAGATACCTTGTCTTCTGTACTTCCAGATCTCGTATGGCATCACTCGTGGTTCTCGGCGGTGTTCCGAATATTGCGGAGACAAAGTGAGTCCTTAGTTAAGCAGGCAGCTAGCAACCATGAGTAGTTTTTCTCTCATGTACACGCCTCACAGCAGAGTCTTCTTCGCACCCAAACCGGGATGTATCATTGAAACTGGTGATGATCTTGATTGAATGTATTTCCACTTTTCCCTGCCCTTCGTGGTGGGCACACCCGGCGGTCGGTCGCGTGGTTGCAACTGTTATGTCCCCTTTGTCCGGTCATCGTACCTTTATGGTTTCGTACCTATTCCTCGGATCCCTCACGATCCCATCTTCTGAGTCTTTTCGAGTGCTTTCCCCAACATTCCCCTCCGCAAGGGCTTGATGGCCTCTGCACTCTCCTCTCGGTCATTTGCAGTGGTATATGTCAGAGTTTCCAACGGATCGGACGTTCAGCGTACCTGGAGGAGCTGCGTGATATCGAGCACTGACGCTCAGGGGCGGAGCAAAATTGTGCGAACTTGGTGGTTTGACGGGTTCCAGCGTTTATTCAGCCTAGCAACCAAGTGGCGGACAAGGCGATATTCATAGAGTTTCTTCGAATGCTGATAGCGGTGAACAATGGCTGAACTTTCTATAGATAGAATGTGTCGGGCAAGAAGTCGCACAAAGCAAGTAACTCGTCGCCAAGGCCTATCGATCGCTAGTCTGGAGCCAAGGTTAGTCCGCCAGCTGGAATTCTGCCATTGCTGTGTAGTGATGGCGTATGAAATGGACTATGGAGTTTTATCAGTCCATGTTTCTGTCTTGCGCTGTTCGTATGATGATCTTTTTGGTTTTCTCTTCCACTACTATGTTTTCACAGGTGATATCGAGATCTCTCCGTTGGATGAGTTTGATGCTCCCAGAACAGCGCCGTTACCTTGCCATCAGCACAACCCAATATAGTGTTCCTAGATTCCGATCCAACTAGACCCTCCTTCGGGATGACGGAAAAAAAGCCCCCACTTTACAAGCCATACGCGTTATACCTTTTGTCTCAACCCACGCCGGCTCTCTCCTAGTTTCACCCTGTTCTCTTCCTCTCGTCATTCCTTCATTCATCCACACTCTTTTGGTCCAGCTCCTATCGTCAGATCGACACTTGCCTCTCTTTTTCCTCAATCTGCCTTTCCGACTTTGGCAGATTGAAAAATCCACTCCTCTTTTCCATCTTCGTGTTTGATCTCCGGCTGCGCCGCCACCTCCGACTCACATAATAAGTCGCGCAGACCTCATACCGCCGCCACTTATTCAATCTGGCTGCTGCCTTGCTTTCAAGCTACCCGGCCAGCTGGGATTCCCATATGGAATGTAAGTCGCTCTTCGGTTGCCCTCTCGTCTATTCCGCTCCGACTTACAACTTCCTCGACTTATAGCCAAGCACCTGGACCACCACTACTCGTATATAGAGCCTCGAGCCCGGTGCCCACCCTTGCAGCTTGACTCTTCGGTTTTCGCCTACAACGTCAAAGAAGAAGACGATCATCCCGACTCTGCTCTTTCCACTCCCAGCAGTATCTCAACAATTTCTCCCATCACTCCCGTAGCCACTCGTCGCAGCTCCTGCTCCTCGGAACCAAGCGATACCAATGACGAACGGGAAGTTGGTTCCGCTTCGCGCGCCAGGTCTACGTCTACTGGTTCGGCCAAGGACAGAGAGAAGAAGAAGCGTTCTCGTGTGACACCAGAGCAGTTGATTCATTTAGAGAAATTCTTTGCTCACGATCGCAGCCCTACGGCAGCCCGTCGACGCGAGATTAGTGAACTTCTTGGGATGCAGGAGCGGCAGACTCAGATCTGGTTCCAGAATCGGTGAGTTTTCAATGTCGTCGATATCCCCATCGTTTCTCAACAGAGCTTCAATCTTGCAGGAGAGCGAAGGCTAAGCTCCTCGATGGGAGGCAGAAGGGACGCAGTGGAAGCACTGAAGCACCCCCCAGCACGCCTCCGGACCTTTCCACAGGTTACGAAGTGGATCTCCATAACCTCATCCACGAAGATGAACGTCAGTGAAAATTCTGTCCAAATGCAGTTGTGGTTCTAACTATTTAGCCTGTAGCTGTCACTATCATTATTTGTTCTGATCTATCCGTCGGCACCTGGCGGCGCATTTCGACGCCCAGAGGAGGGCATGATTTGATAGCGTACATGTGCGAGGCAAAGCGCTGCCTAACATGGTTTATTCGCTCGGGCGGTTATGGCTTCAAGATGGAGATTCCCTTCGATACCATCCTCGAGACCCACTTCGCCCACGCAGCTCCAGGATCGGGCCTAGCAACTTTCGTCTTGTCCAAGCCGCCGCACTTCTACATGGAGAACACCTCATCTCCCCTCCCTGACGGTTCCGTCCATGTGTACTGGAAAAGATGCGCGGATTGGACCGAAGGGCAACAAGCGACTGCTGTTCTTCGCCACGACTTGATTGGTTCCGCTGTGCAGCTATCCCATCTCATGCGCAGCCTCGGGGCTTATACATCTGGTCACGGCTCTGACATCGTGCTGCACTCGCCCACCTACCGCGGAGACCCATCATCGCCAGCAATGGACATCCCGCAACCTCCCTTAGTCAGCCTCAATTCCCCAACAAGTCATTACGCCGACGACCCTATTTCCGCTTCTCTCGAAGAACAGGAACGTCGCCGTCGTCAATCCTATTCTGGACCCATCACACTGAGCTACCCCCACCCTATAGCTCACTATCCCACTGTGGATTCGCGATCGCTTGATCAACCGTCTCCAGGGACCTATGCATCCCATGATGCTACTGCCCATCAAACACAATCCGCACCCGTATTCGATCCCTCCACGTACCGAGAGTATCCTAAATCAGCCGGGCTCCCACAAAGTAACTTCGGGAATCCCATAGCTCGAAGTTACCAGGGACAGCAATTCCCCCAATTCTATGGTGCAACCGGCGCTGCATCCGGTACACGTCGGCATTCAACAGCAAGCATCTCACACTACTATAATAACAGAATTCCAACATCCGTCCTCACTACCCCTTACCACCCAACATCTAGTAATTATGGCCCCGAAGCCAGTGGCTCCTCGTCTGCGACGACAGTCTCTTCTGGTCTTCCCGCCGTCATGTACGAATCCGAGGAAGATATACACCGGGTTCCTCAAAGTTCTGCTTAATCATCGCATATCAATCCGTACGCCTGGCTGGTCAGTGCTAATCATATCCGCTTGCGTAGGTAATACCTAATTCATAGCTAATCGCTCTCTTCCCCTCGTCTTTCCCCTTCCATCTGTTTAACCGTCATTCTCTCGTATAATCCCTTCCACTCTTGGCTTCGCATCACAGTTTAATGGCTTCGTTCCTATCTTTATTGCGTATCCTATCCTCTTTCCTTGCTCTTTGGTAGTTTGCTTCACTTCGCTTGATGCTGTGGCGCAGAGGTTGTTCTTATAGTTGTAACCATTATCGGATTTCCCTTTCTCAACGGTGGCGCACTGTGTGCGTTCTACTTTGGAATAAATGCCATTTGCGGCGCTGGTTAACATTAAATACGATGCGATGCGGGTGACTGAGTCTAAGGTATGGATATAAATCACTGGAACTGAGACCCGCTGCGCTCCTTGTTAATACGTCCAATGTATGCGCGGCTGCAGATATTGACTAGATCGTGTATCAGAAAGAAATTAAGTGGTTGAGAAGGGGAAGACTCACATGCTTCCATATATCTATCCAAGCACCTTGACAGACATGTCTACGAGAATCAATGTCAGATATTCGCGTGCCAACAATCATTACTACATTACTGCACCCGGTGCGTACCTGCTCCGAACTTGACAAGGAAGTGCCCGGCTTAGGGACACATTTGAGGTAGCATTTCTCATTAGTTTTCTGGCAAAACTGTTTCAGCACGCACACCGAGATCCCACGCGTTCCGAAGCCCATACGTTGATCAATTCTTGAGCATTGGCGAGGGCCACCTCACTTCGCACGGAGTCCATGAGAGCCTCTTTTCGCGAGGCCATGTCTGTTACGGTAGCGTCATTGGGACTGGTTTGCACAGCATACGAGAAAAAACTCACCAGCAGGCGACGACGAGGATTTGAAAAGGTCGGACATTTTTTGCAAAAAAAGGTGGAGGTTGAGGAAACCCGGAATGAACGATTCGCGTCGGAGGCTTTGAGCACTGCCGCATTTCGATCGAGGACTATTTGCTCCTGTTTCACGCTAAGGCTATCAACCTCAAGCGCTTATGATGGATTTTTACCAGCCACCACTGACTCAATCAGCTCAATGGGTGCTCGCGAGTCAACTGGGCGAAGCGGTGGTGAAGCCCAGGAAAACGATTCGGAATTGATCGACTATTATCAACTCTTAGAGATTGAAGAGTCCGCCACAGGCGATGAGATAAAAGCAAGCCATCCGTTTATGACCATAGATTATCAGTTAATGACCTACTATGTAGCGATCGTTCCGTAGACTTGCCTTGATACACCATCCAGACAAAAACCAGGATGATATCGAAGGCGCAACGAAGCGCTTTGCAGCTCTTCAACAAGCATATGAGGCGAGTGCCTGGGTACTCAAGCCGTAGGTGTATCAAACACTGACATAGAGATAACCGATAGGTCTTAAGCGATGAACAAGTACTTGTCAAATCATTTCCTTTAATGACGCCTCTCGCTCACCCACATCTAAGTAGGAACGTGCTTGGTATGACTCCCATAAAGCGCGTCTGATACCGGAGCCTGACGCTGAAACGGTGTTCGAGGGGATTCGGAAGGGTGCTCCTCCATCTCGCGCACGCGACCGAGGTCTAACTGTCCGCCATCTTGCACAATTCTTCGACGCTACGAAGTGGCCAGACTTTGACGATGGAGACAATGTAGACGCACTCTTATCCTTCCATGTTTGAGGAGTGAGCTGACGACCTCTATCCAGTCTTTCTTCACCATCTACCGAAACCTCTTCCATCGCCTTGCAAGTGAAGAGGCCATGTTTGCCGACCATGTTGAGTTTCCATCCTTTGGGTACTCTACTTGGCCTTGGGCCGCAGAGAAGAACGACTCTCCTGAAGCGGTCAGGCATTTTTACAATGGATGGATAAATTTCGCTACATCTAAAGATTTCGCTTGGATGGATCAGTGGAATCTTTCCGAAGCCCCAGATCGCCGCATCAGGAGGTATGCGCCGGTCTTTGATTCGGTGTACCCCGCCCACAACTGATTGATCCCGACCCAGGGCAATGGAGAAAGACAACAAGAAGGCCCGCGACAATGCCCGTAGAGAGTACAATGACACGATTCGTGTATTGATCCCCTCTCACTCTGTTCAGTTCCCAATCAATGCTAACCTGTCTTTTAGTCGCTAACGAAATTCCTGCGAAAGCGGGATCCACGGTACAAAGTACATCTGGCTACAAAGTCGCAGGCTTCTACACAACCCGCTGCTTCGGGCACCTCCACACCAAAGAAGCAGGCGACTTCCTGGGCCGACTACGTGGAACAAGACTGGCAGAAGATCAACAGGGAGCGTCACGATGCTGATTTGGACTGGGCGGCCGCAGAAACGGAGGACCCGGAAGAATGGGAATGTGTAGCTTGTAGGAAATTGTTTCGAAGTGAAGCTGCTTGGTCGAGCCATGAACGAAGCAAGAAGCATATGAAGGAGGTTGAACGCCTAAAACGGGAAATGCTTGCAGAGGACGAGGAGCTCGCCTTAGAGGAGACAGAACAGCTAGACGAATTGGAATCATTCAGCGAGCCAGATATTCCAGGAGATGAAGTTGATAACTCGGAAACGGGTGGCGAGAGCGCTTCTTTGGGAACTATTGACACCGCGCTCGAGGAGGCCGGACTACCAGTCCCAAGGCCGGATGAAGATTACTACACGCAAGCTGCACCACCCGCCGTCGAAGCGAGTATCCAGCATCCAACAATAAGCCCTGATGGAAACACCGACAACATTCCAACGAACGAGGGGGAAGAGACCCACGAAACTGTACCTACCAAGCGAGACAAGCGTCGAGCGCGTCAAGCAAAAAGGGCAGAGGCTCAGAAAGGAGAGGCCCCAAACCCTACTGATGCTCAAGTAAGTTCTTTTTAAACAGACGCGAATCTCCAAAGCTTACCCTCACCAAAGGTGCAGCATCGATGCAATATTTGTAAATCCGGTTTCCCGAGTAAGACAAAGTTGTTTTCGCATATCAAGGCTAGTGGTCATGCAGCAGCGACGCCTGAGTACAAGGATCCAAACCCAAATCCCAAAAAGACAAAGAAGGGGAAACGGTAGCTCCCAACAAATAATAGTAGACATGCAAGGATCAGCCGCGGTATATAGCCACTATAATACAGATATGCCTCAATCAACCCATTAACTGTGAGACATCTTCTGGAGGGTATTTCGTTTGGGAGAATGTGAGTAATCTAGGAGCAATCGCATTCGTTGAGCAACTACATAGTAATTCACACGAAAACTGCATACCTTTTGAGACTCTGAATATACTTCCGGCTCACTTCGTCATTCAACACATGCGCGACCTGGTCCGAGGAAATCTTTTCTCGGGCGGAACGTTCGTGAATACTAAAGGAAGAATAGATCATCAGGGTGGGTAGCAGGGAACAACTTCTAAACTTACCCAACCATAGTAACACCAATCGGCCAAGGTGCATTGCCGATGGACAGACGCAAATAGGCGTCGTTGGCCCTTTGGTATTGTCGTTTTTGCATGTGGTGCACAATTTCAGCCATACGGGCAAGCACGTCGGAAGCAAGCGACTAGTGAATGATCAATATCAATGACTTGATGGAGCAATGGAGGACGCCGGACAAACCCTTGAACGCAGTGCTTTAAATAACGGCTTCAGATACTGGGCTGATTGTACCTGCGTCGCGGCCGCGAGCTTTCCTTGGGTCGTGCGCTTGATGTGGTCTATCAGTGACAATAGTTAGCAATGAGGGTCGCATGAACGAATTCAAGCGTACCTGGGCGTTCGTCCATTGCCTCTTCCCATTCCTTCAGCGTGCGCTTCAAGGTGTAATAGATGATAGGGTAAAGCCTATCTGGGTCCGTTTTGAGCAAGTCCAAGTCCAGTACGCCCATGGACTGCGAATCTGTCTCATCCTTCTTCTTGCCCTTGGTCTTGCTCTTCAACTCCCTCTCCACGTTCTCCACGTCTTCGAGTGCCTTCTTAAAATCATTCTGACCTCCTTGCCGATCGTGACCCTTTTCTTCAATTAGTTCCAGCGCCCTGAGTCGTAGCCGTCTGTCCTTGTCCGACTCCCCGAAAAGTCTGATAGGTTGGCCCTTGACTCGAAGTCGACGTATCGTCTCCTCGTTCGAGATGCTGAATGATGACTCTGGCTTCGGTGATTCCGCGTCACGCACTGTGGAACCCTGAGCAGGTGACGCAGAGCGAGATGTAGGTGTCTGCTCTCCAGTGCCAAGTCAGACGAAGTTACCTATCATCAATGAGATTGGACATTCACATACTTGAGATTTGGCCAGATCCTGCGCTGCCTTCTTCTCCTGCGCTGCCTCACGAGCGGTTCGCTCAGCCTGTTCCTTCTCTTCGCGAGCTTTCCTTTCCTGCTCCTCCTTCATCTTCTCGATTTCCCCTCTGCGCATGTATTTTGTAGGTCGTGAGGCCAATATAGGGTCCTCAGTGAGTGCCTTTCTCTTCGTTGCAATTTCAGCTTTGAGGGCGTCCATAGTACTATGTCAGGAATCTAATGTCGTTGAGGTAAGGTTGCAGTATAAGTCCAGGTGCGCCTAGCCAGATATTGCTTACGTAACCATCCCTTCAACTGTCCGCCTTGGCCCGACATTGAGCGACCTTTCCTTCAACCACCATCATGTCCGAGTCTGCAGAAACCACCAGGTACTATTTCCGCTCTTTGCTAGAACTTATCCTCATGCAATTTGCAGCAAATATGTTCTCCAAACTGTTGGCTTCGATGGTTTGTCGTGCTGCATGCACCCGAACTTCGATGATGCTCACATGTAATTGCAGCCCGCTTCCCTAACACCAACCAGACCAGAAATTGGTGAGCCTACTACTTTCCACTGCTATGAGAGGACACTCTAAATGCCATCACCAGCTTCCAGAACTATACCGACTACTTCAAGTGTATAACCGCCAAGGGAGAGGACTTCGCCCCCTGCAAGCAATTCAAGAAGGCGTACAACTCCCTCTGCCCCAGTAAGTGACTTTATCCAATAGGATAGGATATATGTGACGGTTCTGACTTGCTTTGAATAGACGAATGGGTGAGTTGCTTCGCTACATATATCTTGATGCACTTTCGCTAACATATTCACTAGATTAGCAAATGGGATGATCAGCGAGAGAACGGCACCTTCCCCGCTTCTTTGGAGCCTTGATTACTTCTCTATCAAAGCTACATACACTTGGCTTTTGTCAACCGAGCTTGTAGCATGTTCGCAAAAGCAATTGGCTAGTATAATAGACGCACCAACTAAGTCAAGTCGTACAAGGTTGTTATATAGGGACATCCACATTGCAGGCTTGTCTCCTCGCGACGTGACTGAGTCAAAGGGCTTCCTTTACAGAACTTTGCATTCAAGTCCTCGACCTTTACTCCATTTAACACTTTGCACGCACGTCATGGAGGTCGTGTGGGTTTATTGAAGACGTCGGCAGACAATTATCATGCGTACTCTCCGGTCACCTGTCCACACTCCAGCATGTTGCCGTATAAATAACGGTTTAACCAAGGGACGTAATAAGTGGTCCCATGTACATCCTAGCGGCCCTCATCCTCTCAGGTGTCGGTGCCCTCGTATCTGGGCTGGGAACTGACTCTCCGCCATGCCGTTTCGCCACTGCAGAGTCTCAGAACTCTGTCCTCAATCAGCCTGACCGCTTCGCATGGGATCTTCTGTATTGGGAGGGGCAGTTTCATCAGAATAACGTCTCGTACAGCACGGAAAATGGAATGTCATTCGACGGCACACTGTTGGACCCACATAGCGGAATTGCCACTGTCAAGCACCCATTCAGCGCCGCCAGCAAAGAGGTAGTAGATCGCCCGATTTCCATGGAAGGCTAGATTTATCTGTTTTTTTTTTGTTTTTAGGCGTTGCAAGTTATGGTTTACACTCATGCCATCGCCGGTGATAAGCGAGCCGCAAGGTTCCTCTCTCCATTGGTCCCAGAGCTGGCGCCTCAGATCGCGTTAGATATTCTCTCCAAGAAACTCGCATCATGTCAGGAATTTAACAGCACATTTCCTGGGTTTGGTGGGTTTCTCCCATGGTTCACCCATGGTGACGTGCCGTTGCAACCTACGTGGGATTGGGTGAACCGTGTTCCTGCTCTTGACAATGGGTGTGTCCCAAATTGGTTCTAAGAAGATTTCACTGATGATGACTCCATGGACATAAAGAGAATTCATTTGGGCTATATATAGTGCTATCGAAGCACTCAACGCTCGAGGAGATCATCAGTCTCGGACTCTTGCTTCCGGGTGGCAAACGTACCTCAATTATGTTAAAAACCACGGTGAAACAAGTCGGTGCTCCACTCCGTTACTATCTAGATGCATACTAAAAGGTGAGTAGATATTCTATGCAGGCAACGGCCGAGTGTGCGCAGTTGTGACCATCGGGAATCAATCTCTTCCTGTCAACCATCCATCTCAGAAGTACACATGCGAGGGGAGTGGCTTACTCGACGACCCTTACGAAGGCGAACTGTTTACTTGGTTCCTTCATTTCTTCGGGGGACTAGGGTCTTCCGATAGGAATCAATTATGGGAGGTCAAAAGGCCGCAATTGGCCGCGGTCAATTATCAGTCTGAGGTTTACGAAAATATCACCGTCCAAAAAGGTTTTGTGTTGTTGGCCAGTTCTGGGAAGCATATGGCTGACTTGTCGTCTCTTGTCGTTAGGCTTTTGGTTTTCCAGCCACGAAAATTGGAAGTTTATGGAGATGCCATACCTTGATATCCCCTTGGTGCGGTACGACCTTCGGTACCTCTGAGGACCGTCCGCGAGTTTACTTCTCAGTAGGCGGGTGTATATGAACAATGAGAGAGCCCGCACATGCAACTCGAAGCTCACACGAAATCCCGGCATGTTCGCCAGCGTTAACAGTGAGTTTTCTCATCCCCGTAGACTGCGCTGTGCTGACCTGGTTCACAGACGTGACAGACGCCTCTGGAGAAATCACTGGCTACATTTCCAACACCGGCATACCCTCCATTTCTCGGCTTCCTGACCAAGAGCTAGATGTAATCACCCCCTACTCCGTCTTTCCGGTGATGCTTGTGGACCCTGCGATTGGACTTGTTTGGTGGAAAAATATGGTGGAAGGGAAAATGATGCAAAGTGGGTCCCCGCGCCCCGCTCAACAGCAACACAACAGCTTTATAATATTTAACCAGATCCGTACGGAAGCACAGAATCCACGCGCATAGACGGCACTGCTGTATCGTCTTTTGTAAGCTGGGATTCCAAGATTACAACGGTAAATGCTCTGCTTGGGGGTGTGCAGTCGTTCGTCGCCCGAAAAATGAAACGTGACGGAGTATACGGTGAATTCATCTCGATTACACGGATGGAATATTCTCGAGTATTTACTAATCTATCTGGCGAGGACGTCGCACTCTGCTTGCCTGATACCAGAGTTCCAGACGGTGGTCTGGTGGATTATACTTCATGTTCGTAGTTGTACTTCGTACATCGTGGTAACCTATTGCGCCATCACTAACTGCCAACATAAGATATACTAAAATACATACTTCATCTCCTGTGCTGCAGTCAATCGAGTGGAGTTCATTCGCCTGATGTTCCCCATGCTGCAGCCCACAATGTATAGACTGCCCTGGACCCATGCCAGGCGGTTGAGGTCCGGTTGGCAGCCCTATTACAACGATGTCCTCAACCATGACTACCTCCTACACTATACCCATGGTATACGATGAAGAACCTCCACACTCCGATCTACTCGTCATCCAAGGTGTTCAGCCATTCAATGCAGAGCCTCGTGCTCCAGCGTTGGTAGAATTTCCGTACACGCCAGAGGAGCTAGTATATTGCCGCAACCATGGTCCGGTGCGGGACTTCGATGACGATGCGTACCGCGTCACTGTCAAAGGCATAGTCGATAGAGAAGTTGTCCTCAGCATGAAGGCATTGCGAGAGGACTTCCCAAAAGTCCGAGTAATCGCAGCGCTGCAGGTGAGCCTCCAATGAAGGTGCGGTGAACGCTCACTTGACTTCAAGTAAAAAGTGCGCAGGGAACCGTCGCAAAGAGATGGGTGCCATCAAACCTGTTCATGGTGTCGCTTGGGGCGATGGGGTTATAGCCAACTGCAGTTGGAGTGGCGTGCGGCTTCGTGATATATTGAACCACACAGGTTTATCCGACAATAACGCCAACTTGCATGTGTGCTTTGCATCGTATGCAACTCTCTGCCAAGATGACGAGTATTATGGTGCCTCTGTGCCTCTCGATCATGCTCTCAACCAGGAAAACGAGGTGCTGCTAGCATACGAGGTTTCTTGCCACTAAGTTCATGAGTTTCTTGTGGCTAACAGGATATCCCTTAGATGAACGATGAACCGCTCTCCCCTGACCACGGTGGACCACTTCGAGTCGTGGTGCCGGGTTACCTAGGTGCTCGATGGGTCAAATGGGTGGACACCATCTCGGTGTCCTCGTCCGAGTCACCCAACTTTTACCAGCAACGGGACTACAAAGTCCTTCCACCAGATGTAAGTAGTTGCCCTAAAACTTACGACAGGTTGTCTTACGATACCTCATAGGTTGAATCGAAAGCGGCTGCTCAACCTCTTTGGCCTAAATACCCAGCAATGACATGCCTTCCGCTCAACACTGTTATTGGCTCTGTAACGAAACTTCCTTCTTCATCAGGGATCCTCGTCAAAGGCTATGCGATTGGAGGACCGGATGGCAACGTTGAATCGGTCGAAGTCTCTGTCGACAGTGGTGTATCGTGGGTTTCGGCGAGGATCACCTATCAAGAGGGACCCTGGAGCTGGGTGTTATGGGAGGCTACCGTAGCGAGCGCCGCAGACAAAGGACAGGTATTCAGCCGTGCCAAAGATGTGAAGGGAAATGTACAACCCAAAGAGGGGATTTGGAACCTCCGAGGCGTGGCTTTCAACGCTTGGGGACAAGGTTCATGGTGATCCATTTCCTTAGTTTCTTTTGTATGCTTGTCGAAACATCTTTACTGTGATTAATATTCCATACACATTCCGGGCAATAATTAGCGAAATATATACACGCATCCGCGAAATAGTGAATCCAGAATGAGGGTATATAGTAATGTCTAGTAGTAGATAGCGTAAGATCCAACTACTGGTCGATGGTCGCTCCGTCCTTCCAGTCGACGCATTGCTTTGTCATCGAGGGTATTATAACTGAGGCATATCACGTCGCCCTTCCTAGGGCGAATTGTGGTTTCGGAAGCGGTGAGCTGAGAAGGTGAAGAGGTATTGTGATCCCAAGTAAAAAATGCAGGCAGTAGCGACCGACGCTTTGGCGTACTGGCGCCCTTCGGTGTCTCATCTTTATGACTTTCAATCAAACCTTGGTTGGGGATTGGTGTGCCTAGTGGTCCCACCGGCACTGAGGCTCGCCTCTGTGGATGCTTTCGATCTTCGACAATCAGGGGCGGATCTGAGGCAACAGACATAGACCGACGTAAAGCCACGCCTTGGCGACCATGTCTAAGGACAAACGGCCACATTCCGGTTGGAGGTGGTAGATGCTCATGCGACACGGACTGGCGGGGGAGAGGGCTGGGGGGAGTTACAAAACGGGAGAACGGAGGGCTTGAGGGGAAAACTTCAGGAGATTGGTGGGCGTTGCTATCGAGGTGTGGTGTAATGGACGTGATCGTGGACCCGCGACTTCGACGTAGATTTGCCCAAAATTGTTGAACAAAACCACCCCTTCTGGGCTCCGGATCATCGGATTCCGGTAGTTCTTCTGGTTTGACGGTCGTCTTCCACAATATGCGATCACACCTAGAATTAACCGCACTATGAGGGCGTATGGTCAGAAGAAATTAACATGTTGACACTGACCAGCTTGGAACACGTTTCTTATGAGAAGAGTCGTATACGCCTTTATCCTCTTCGTCCCCGCTATCTTCTTCCATATCATTTCTCGAAGACCTAGCAGACAGCATCCGCGTCATTTCTGGTGGCTGGAGGAGACTCTTCCTGGCTAACGTGCTTTGCGACCTTTCTTCTGGAACACTGCCAACGGAAATATTGATGGATCCAATAGGGAGGCTAACACTGGTGCTCAAAGCATCTGCAATAGGTGGGGCGGGGGGTCGGGGTTGTAACGAGGGGGACTTCAGTGGCTTGTCGCCCATCGCAGGGCGGTGGGCTCGAGGCGACGCCAATAGAGCCAACCATTGCTCCTTAACTTTATGCGCAGCGATATGTAGTGAAACGCGGCGGCCAAACCGGAGACGCGTGGGAGACGAAGTCGAGGCGTCGCATTGGTCCTCATCCTCATCATCGACGTCCGAACCCCGGCGTGTATGTATGGATGTATAAGCGGACGAGGCAATGGATGCTCTGTCTCGAGCGTCCTCTCTGTCCTCCTGACGAGGTCTCTCGCGTTCGAGGTATCTCTCTTCAACCTCAGATAACATCGGTATTGCACTAGTCGAATAGCTAATCTTCTTCGATTTGTGCTTTGGTCGCTTAAGTGTCCGCAGAACATCGTATTTGAATGTTGGAGGAAAATCGATATTAGCCTCGTTGAACCCGACGAATGATTGCTTGGTTTCAAGCAACTGCCGAAGCTGGTCGAACGCAAGGGCGTTGGCGTAATCTGACATAAGTTATTTAGCAAGAATAAGAACTCAGAACGAACCATGTACCTTTATGCGATAGCAGCCAGTCTGCGTGGAGACGTGAAATATCCAGACGAAAATTTAGGTCCCCGAAAATGAAGGAATAGTCATATTTGTCCGTTATATCTTCATTATAGGTGAGCAGGGAATCGAAGTGTGTTGAATGCGAGTTCACCTTCAGCCACGGTCCTAGGATCATCAGGAGACAGGAAATCTTCTAACACTAACTCAGCCTGTGGCAAAGTTTGAATAAAATGAACGACCTCCAACGCACTGGATTTACCTTGATCTTGGCCAGGTTCGCTAGACGATAATTGATTTTCCCCTCATGGGCTGCGAGGGTACTAGCATAAGCTATAAATACTCCGAAGCGGGCACAAACACTCACCTGCGAGGTGCGCGTTGAGAAATAAGATAGTAATATTATTGATGTAGACGCTGACCGCAACGCCACCTTTATTGCCAACTCTGCCGCCGATTAAGCCGGCCTTTACATACGACTTGGACGCTCCTGAACATGAACCCTTCGTTATGACAAGCGAGATATCTAAAGTGGCCAGCAAAGACTGACCCTTGACCGAACTTCGAACATCGCGGTGGATATAAACAGCAATATAAAGACCCATTAACCTTTGCTTGATAAGCATAGTATAAGGTCCCTTCCGTATGTGGCCACTGGTGGTACTTGATGTGGGACTTTCGCATCGAGGAGCAGCAATCGGCGATCCACCACCATTGCAGAGCCAGTGCTCAACCATTGCCGTCCATCCGCTAGGTACATTCCCATTGTCGTTATCTGAGCTTTTGCGAGACTTCGGTGTATCATCCCCATCTTCGTCGTCTCCCTGTCTGTTGGAGTTGGCGGGTTCTAAGTCCTCTCGAAACTTGTCCCAATCCTTATCTTTATCCTTGTCTATCAGTTTGAAACCAGCGCCAAGGCCCATAGGTATTCCTGAACGCCTTAAGTTAGAGGAAACTGTGTTGCGAACACCATATAAACCTTACCTGACGACGATGGGCATTCTTGACCAGCTCTGGGGGAAAGGGATTGGTATTCACTTGAGAACTCCAATCGCTGAACTGACTTACACTACGACAATGTGGTAGGGGTGTACGTCTTCAAGAGGTAGATTGGGAAGCCCCGACGTCGATTCAGTTTTCGCTTTCGTGTACAGTGGTACTCTACCCAACAGTTCTTCAAGATTCCCCTGCAAGGTTATTCGTTGCAGCACGCAAAGATGCTGTCAAAAGTGAGACGTACCTTCGGAAGAGAATCATGCATATTCCAAGTCACTATTTTGATCTTTAGGGCTTGAGCAGCCCTCTGAGAAGGCTGCTTAGCCATCGCAGGTCCTGGCGGCCGTGGGGGAGGTTTCGCGTTTGGCGAATCATGCACGGCTCCCTGCTTCCCGACCAAGCTTTGAATACGGGCCAACACGGTTGATCTCCCTTATATATAGCATTCTGTCAGCATTCTGTGTATTGTATCGATGTTGACGCTTACTATGAGTGCCCTTGCGCCTTGGTGCAAGATCGACTGGAGGAGAGAGCGGCAAGGTTTCTGACATAATTGTAAAGCGGATGGAATTTCCTGGTCGCCAGACACGAGGGGTGTCTGGCACGAAAGGCAGAGGCCAGCGAAGCGGCAACACTCGCCAATTGTTTCAATGCATTCACTGTCAATTTGACATCAACAGTCGCGGTGATCAATGAAGTGCAACAGTGTGGATTACATAATTCAAATGGGAATACGGATCCATAAAGAGCTTCTTTCGATTGGAGTATTCCCTCAGAAACTCTTTGCATGATTATGAGTATTCAATTATATTCAAAAGCGCGGCCAAGACTACAAGTACATGAACCCTCCATAGATGCTTTCTATCGCGCATTTAATGCCTGAAAACCCTCGAATTAACAGTCCTGGGACTGCCCGTGGCATCTGTTTGAGCTGACGTCTGCACGACAGCCGCGGGGCCTGCTGGCTTGGCTTGCAATTCGGAAGCAGCCGTAGAAGGGAAATGAGGAAGGGCGGAAACATGGGAGATGGCAGGCGACTGGGGGGCTGCAGGGCCGGAAGACTTGCCCTGTGCTTTGGGGGCAGCCGTAACAACAGAATGAGAAAGCAAAGAAGAAACGTGGGATATGGCAAGCGACTGCGAAACATTGGCATGTGCACCAGCAAAGCTGCTGCAAGCCCCGTTGTCAGTCCACACCCCAGCGGCGCCTACAGGATCGAGGAAGTCAACCCAAAGTCTGTCTTTATCTTGCGAATACATACCACCAGGTGTATCAGCCTGCGACCACCATTTGGCCGTCCATAAGTGTCCGCTATAATTTGATGATGTAATGTTGCCAAGCCTCCATAGTTTGTGCGAAGACTTACTTGAAAACTACCTGGGAACCACCGATATACTACGCAAGATTTCAGGCATGTGAACGAACTGCAGGAGGAAGTAATACATACAGCAATGTTGGAAACCCACGAGGCGACACCAGCACAAGACCCAGTGCCGACTGTGGTAGTTGGTTGAGGAGTTGTCGCCGGGGGAGTTGTCGCCGGGCGCGTCGTAGTAGTCGTCGTAGGGGGAGGGGGAGGTGGGGCGGTAGTCCCTCCGCCACTACCGCTGGTCCTGATCGCGTTCTTGATGGCTCTATCAAAGCGATTGTTGGCTGTGACGAAAATGAATACTCGTCACATGCGAAGGTGAAGCCTTAAGGCATACCGAAAGCCTGCGAGGCGTCCCAAAGCATGATCCCGCCGAACGAAGAGAACTGGTTTCGTGTCTGTACTGCTATACTAGCCAAAGTGGCGGGGTCGACGTAGCCAGATCCTGCAGCAGTCGGTGCAGCAGGAGCTCCAATATAGATTTTGACATTGCGGTTCGGGGATACCGTCTTGGCCCAGTTATCCCTGCCATTGCTGTCATTAACGATTTCTTACAGAAGAAAGCCCGTTCATACCATTGGGCAAAGTTCCATGCATTAGGGTTGTTGAAGTTAGTCAAGCCGCAGAAGTTATTATCTGTCCAGAAATAAGCGAATGTCGCCTATATCATCACTCTCACTGACAGAATTGAACGTAAACAGCGTCGAAAGCGACAGCATTGAGGACGGCGCCCAAGAAGGCGTCTGGGAACGGGCACTGGGGCGCCGCAGTCACATAGTACCTGTAATGATAGTTGATCGCTGCTCCATCTATTATAACGAAACGCATGCTTACTTCTTACTGGCGCTATTGGTGTGTGTCCTAAGGCGGTTCACAAATGCAGCGAAACCAGTGCTTCCGCCACCCTCGATGTCTAAATCGATACTATTCTTCAATCAGCCACGAGTAACCTAGGAACTTCACCAAATCATCAACGCACCCATCCAGAACAGCATTGCCAAACGGCCTAGTTGAGCTACTCCCCCCGAGGAACAAATTCCAAATAGTGTCGGCAAATTGCTGGGCCTGAGCATCGGAGGAGAAAGATGCAGCACCCGTCGCGCCACCAAGACTGAGAGTGATGATCTTGCCTTTGGCCTGGCATGCCTGGATATCCGCCGCCATGAACGAGCAATTGGGTAATTCTGTCCCTGGGAAGACAGGGTTGTCATTGGTGTTACATGTCTACATACCCATCGAACGTCAGTGGCATCTTCATGTGAGTGGTGAGATGCGGTTACATTAGCCATGTTGATTGACGGCAAACCGCCCGATGCGAAGAAAACATGGAGGAAGGCTAAGGGGAACGCGTCGATAGAATCATCCTAGCAACGTGATTCGGTTCAGTAGATGTTCCCATTTCAAACCAATACACCTCACCTGACAATAGGTAGACAATGCCTTCTGCCAGTTTGCGGTATCGGAGTGGGTCGCGCCATAACTGTTCTGACCGTAGTAGCTGAAGACAGAACGATTCAATAAAGCACAACCAATTGAGAAGAAACCAGTTACACAGCAAGCTACACGAAAGAATGGTCAGTGCAACTTGAAATGGAAATAGTAATGAACGCGTACATTATCAGAGCGCGAATTGTCAAACGCGAGGGCCGAAGAAGCGAGGCACAGAGCAGCCGCAACTGCAACGCTGGAGATGAAACCGTACATATTGAGTAGCAAGGATTCGAAGTACCAGCGTGCTGGGTGAAGAAATGTAAGTGCATCCACCTCCTCTTATATGAAGACCAGCTTTAGCAGGACTGTCACCCGAGCCTATACACGGCCCCATTCGGCTCTTGTGCTGCATCAGGCTACGAGGATGCGACATGAGAATGGAACCACGAGTAGCAGGCTTCAAAAGAAGCTCCTTCAGTGTCAGGTAGGTCACGGTTCGGAATAACGTATCGCTCCATGCGTTTTTCGCTGAGCTGGCGATATATTTGTCAAAAAAGGAGGAAGACGTGATATTGTGACCCACGATAGACAATATGTAACATATGCATGGCAGCACTGCTCAGTGAGCCGACATGGTCCGACGAGCACGCACCATACTAATGCAGCTACAGTGCAAGTAAAGGAAGCGCTAACGCCTGACATAAAGAATATGCTCACATGGACCGTATATATATTGACGACAACGATGTTGAGCCGCCACGTCGAATTCAACGCCTAAAAGGCTGCATAAGGATCAGTCCCTATACGGTTGCGAGAAGCAACTTCTTATCGTGACGATAGCCGGTTGCGATGAACGAATTCAGAAAGGAGAACCCAGCGTCGCACATGGTCTATTCAGCGTGATGAGAAGAACTTGACATGATAGATTACCCCGAATTTACATCGTCGGCGAGCCCAGGAAGGACTTCGAAAGGAGATAGCAATGCCTATGCTTAAGATGTTCAACACGAGGAGAACTTGGGGGAAGTGACTGAGGTGTGGAATGAGACTATAGTATCTGCTTGCTTGATCCTGGCTAGCAGCCGAGTCGGCAGGAAGTGCATACTTAGAAAATGGCACCCCTCGGAGGCGGCTTAATCGGACGAGAGAAACACCGAAGATAGAGTGAGGAGAGCAATAATAGATAAATACGGGTCCTAGAAGCGAAGCGCTATCAGTAAACGTCAATGAGTGCTCCTCAAGGGACTCACCAGTCTTATCATGTCGAACTCCTTCTAAAGTAAGCGCTGTTCACAGCGGTAGCCTGCACAACATCGAAAACAGATTCTCCTACGCCCAGAAATCGTTCCGCAACCGAGCGCATTGTTGTGTCAGATATCAGATTGGAATCAGGCCTGTGGTGCCAGAGTTCAGAAGCGTGAAATCAAGCAAGGTTGGCACTGACGCAAAGCCACTCGTTCGCCGAACGCCTGCAAGGACTGTCGAGACCAGAACTGCATCAAAGGCCAGCCCGAGTACTCTGCCAATGATGGCCATTGGGTGAAGTAAGATGTGAGTTGTGGTTGAGTCTCAAGAAGCGATGAACAACTGCCTCGGCACCCTGCCGCAGAACCGCGTTGTTTGGCCGATTGCCCCTGTCTCTGTATGTCCAGTCCAGGCCTCATTCCCTCATATCTGTCCAATAGTCATAGATAATACGCTCAAGGACAATTTATTGCACTACTAGTCGGCAATATACAACGTGGTAATTTAAGCAGAGATCGTAACTTCGACTTCGACGCCGGGCTCCAAGCTGATGCTTGTCTACATGGAACGGATGAGCCAGACGAGAGTGGAATGGCAAGGTCACGCACAATTTGCTTGACGATCTCGCTGGAGGAATGCAAGTCGATGAGGCGCTTGTGCACCTTGAGCTCATAGCGATCCCAAGTCTTAGAGCCTTCACCACAGGGCTACAGAAAGATGAACATCTCCAGGAGATCCTATATATGATGGATCTCACGGTTTTACGGGTGGTAATCTTAAGGACCTTGGTAGGAAGACGAACAGGACCCTTGACACGGAGCTGCTTGTCCTTAGCACGGTTGATGAGATCAGTGGAGACTGTAAACCAGTCAACGAAGAAAAAATCGAGTAATCTATGAGCCTCGCACATTTTTCAAGGTTCTTGACGTTGCTGCTCGTCAAAGTAATGCGAATTTTGTGGATCTTAGCGGCGGGGACTGGTGCACCCGTGGCATCGTATTCTTTATCACCCTTAGCGACGTAACTCATTTTGATGGTTTTGAGTCAGAAGGTGACTTGGACAAAGCAAATATGAGCAAGCTCGTTCAGGATTCCAGTGAATTCTGCGACATACCTAAGGCCGTTGGTAGTGAAAGTTGTGTGTACAACGAAATTTAAAGTTCAGCTGCCATAGACGCTAGCGGCGATTGCCGAAGGACATCAATCCTCTCCTATTCTTAACTCCTATTCCCCTATCCTTTGAGAAGTGAAGCTTCCTGAGTAAGTTTTGTGGACGAAAACACCCATATAATACCACCAAGTTTCTAGAAGTGTAGATTATAGTATTTACTTGTTTCCTGCGGCATATTTCGTGCCTTTGAGTAGCCCTCAAGGAATGGTATCCGAGTGTTATCCCAGTAGTGCCAGGTTTTTTTTATAGCCATTATCTGATCTATATAAATGATTAAACCTTCACAAAAATTTTATATGAGTAGATCGGACTTCATGATGGTGGCTTTGTTGGCTACGGGAGTCTCCTTCCTTTTTGCTGGGCAGTCATAAGGAGTTTATCAGGCAAAATAATGCCTGAGATCTTTGTGCAACCATATTGACAAGGAGAACCTGCGAATGCTGTCAACACATCCATCATCTCTACTTGCGTTTGTAAGTAGCGAGTTGTTCCTCCCAGTTCCTAGGGGCACATGATCGTGTAGTTATCCTTTATGGATTCGGCGCTTAATTACTACCACACCGTCATAATCAAGTTACTGGTAAGTAGATTTTGAAATGCAAGGTACGTTCGTCCCAGAAATCCATCAGGGATCGTCTAGCCGACCACAATAAATGAGGCTTTAACAAATACTACCCTCCTGACTACGATGGAGAGAAGCACAAGAGCCTCAACTCGTACAGAGGTATGTCAGTCATTCTTGCGCAGCGATGTGACGCTGACCTACTACCCGATGTCCAGGTAAACATGCACTAGGAGACAGAGCTCGGAAGATAGACCAGGGCATCCTCATCACTCGCTTTGAGCTCCCGTTCAACATATGGTGGTACGTTGTAATGTCGTACTATCGTGGCTTACACTGAAATTGTTGCGCACTTTCAGTGGGACGTGCAACAACCATATCGGCATGGGCGTCCGCTACAACGCTGAGAAGAAAAAGATAGGAAACTACTACTCGACGCCGATATACTCGTTCCGATGTAAATGCCATCTCTGTGATGGTTGGTTCGAGATACAAACAGACCCAAAGGTGCAGTCGATCATATATCGGTCACCTTCCCTGGTGCTGATGTTTCGTTAGAATACACAGTATGTCGTCACTTCAGGCGCCCGGCGTAAGGAGGAGGACTGGAATCCAGAAGAGAACGGGGGATATGCCGTGCATGGTACTAAATTATCTTGCTCCATCACTCCATCCCACTTATCGCTGCCTTAGACACCGAAGGGAGCGCCGCACCAGTTGACCCGCTCGCTGTCCTAGAAAAGACCACCGACGCGCAGAAGAACCTCACCCAAGTCCAAATCCCTCGTCTTGAAGGCCTACAGAACGTCTCTGAACAATATAACTCCGATCCATACACTCTTTCTCGGAAAGTCCGGAAACGGTTTCGTGAGGTGAAGAAGGCTGCATTGGAAAAGGAGGCCGCGGATGATTCTCTCAAAGGGCGTTATGGGCTGCCAGAGACGCTGAAGTTGTTGGACGAGGCTGAAGATGATGCAATACATGCGAAAGAAGAATGGAAGCAAGCGCGCAAAGAATTAGCGGAAGAGGCATCGAGCAAACGCCGAAGGCTGGTTTTAACCTCCGTGTCTCGGCCTACTCCTTCGTTGCCATCGTCTTCGTCTCGTGTTTCCACAACATCTGGCACTGACGCGGTGTCCGCCCTACGAGCGCGTGTGCTAGGGAATACAGCTCGGCGAGGTCGGCAACGCTAACCTTCCGGCTCCCAGCAGTCTCATTCTACAAGTCTCATTCTATAATGCGAATATATCCGCTTTACAGTTGGACAAGAAATCGATAGCAAGTGGAACAACAGGTAATAGGAATACAGAGCAGACGTAACCAAAAGTAATGGTAGTAGTATGACAACACGAGGGATAAAACAATCGGGATATCTCCAGAAGTTAACCGTAAACTAAAATAAAGCAGCGAGAGATGAAATTATTGATGGAGGAGACATACGAAACAAATAAACAACAAAAAGATGAATGACCCGCTAGGACAAAAGTGCCCATGAAGAATCTATGGTAGCCATAGGACCGTCCCATTTCCAGTCATTGTTAGAATGATAGAATGACGATTCACCACCATCAATCTCCTTCCACATACCAAGCCTCAATGAATCCGAACCGTCCTCCGTCTTGACCTCCGTCTTCACGTCCGGTCCTAACGTCGGGTGACCTGCTTCACTCTCGGCGTTTGATGCAGGACTGGGGTTGGTTGACGAAGAGAGTATTAGATCTGGAGTTGCTGCTTTCGAGCCGGCATCGTCTTCATCATTCGCAAAGGATGAAAAATTGAAAAACTCTTCCAGATCGTTGTTATCCCCAGAAACTGGCGCTTCGGAAGAGAGTTGGAAGGTGTCTATGGCGCCTATGGATGAGTCCACGTCTGACGCTCCACCATATCCCTTCAATATCTCATCGAGGGACTCGGCAATGTTTGTATTGATAGAAGACTGCCCCTCGCCGGCCAATTTGATCAGCTCAGCCATCTTCTCCATGAAAGCGCTTGCATCCTCCGGAGTCTTGATGCTGTCGATCGCCTGTTTCTCAGCATCTCCTTCCATGAGAATACCATCCTTCGAGTCCCACTCGGTCTTGATGCGTTTAGGGGGTGACGCTCCATTAGCTACGTTGGTACTAGGTCCCGCTATGGCTGAGGTACCCGAAGTCTGAGGGGTGGTTGATGCAATGTTGCTGGTTTCATCTTCCCTGGCACGCTTGACGCCTGCTGTCGCTGAGGGAGGCCGTGGGGGATCGGCTGGCGGTATTGTCGGCGCCGTTCCCACCTTGGATGGCCTGCGTTGTTTAGGTGGAGGGGGTTTCGTCTTCTGCAGTTTCGTTTTCGGTGACTTAGGCGTTGGAGGTGAAGTGGCAGAGGCCATGGGAGAGCTGGCGCTGGGGCCTGGTGTTGACACAGTAGCGGCAGGAGGAGTGGGGGCGGACATGGCGGATGTATTAGGACTGGATTGGATGGCAGTTTTGGGCTTCGCTGGTGGCGGGCGTGTTGGCCCAGTGGGTCGATTCTGGGGAGGATTTGATACAGAGAGAAGGCTCGATTGGGGATGAGATGGGCCCGGAGGGGGGCCACTATTAGGGCCACCTTGAGCGTTGGCCGCTGCTGCTTGCTGGTTCTTGACCAAGTTGGTCAGCGCTACCTGGAATATCTCCTTCGCCCTCGCAAGTTCCCCGGCCATAGATCGCAAGTTCTCTAGGCTGATCACAAACCTGGGTTGATTGGAGGAAAGAAGACTACGCTGCGTTTGAATGGAGTAATTCTGTAGCAAAGTTAACAGGCATATCCTTGCTTGCATCGCGTGTCACTCACAATAGCGACCAGCTCTTTCAGCATCTCGTCATTAGTGAGCAAGACATAAAACATTGGCAGCTTGGCGTCGAGTTCCTGCGAAGCATGGAAGACTTGCTCTATTAATTGGTTGTATTCCATTCGCTGATCCGGAGAAACGATAGCAGTTGCCGAGCGCAGTGGTTCCACTAGAATTATGTTAATAAAATTAGTAAGGAACAAATGTCATATAACGTACGCTGTTGAGGGATATTCGTCTTCAACTGCTGGATTATCTTCATCGCAGCTTGCGTAAGTTGTGGTTCACTTCGCATTAGCGATGAGATGATAGCACTAGCTGGATTCTGCATTGGCCCTCTAGCGGGAGGAGGGCCTCCAAACGGTGGCGCTAGATTGTGCTGGGGTACTGAGCCAGCCGGATTCTGCGCGCCTCCGTTACTGTCCTTCACCACACCGGGGGAAAGGCCACCTTGACCAGGCTGCGTACCGGGTCTGAACTGTCCTCGAAAGCGATCCTGATCCAAAGCATTGCGTTGCAAGGTTGCGCGATTCTGTTCCACAAATTGAATCACACGCTCGTGTACACCCTGTGCACGCAGCTCTGCTGCAGATCTGCTTGCATACTGCACCATCATTTGCATATGCTGTGGAGTGAGCGAAGGCCGTTGCTGAGGATTCATCGAGCCAATGTTCATCGCGCCCCCCACTCCACCCTCAGGACCGCCAGGACCAGCAGGAGGTCCACTGTTAGGGTGACCGTTACCCTGGTTCTGATTCTGGTTCAGTTGGTTCTGCTGGATCATCTGCTTTTTCTTCTGCTCTATGACTGATTGTATGTAGAGCATGTCGAACGCAGCCAGATACTCCTTGTAGACGTGCGCTAGTTGCCCTGCGACGCCCGGTCCACTCTTGGCGGGTTCTGTGTCAGACGCAGGGAACGAGACGAACCCCATACGAGCACCGATGACAGCCCAAAGGTCCTTCTGATTAACCTGCATTGTTGCGTTGAGTAGGAGGAAGGGAAATCACTAGGACAAGCTCACCTTTCCTACGCCGCCCTCCAACAAGACTTGTCGGTGGAGCATGTGCAGGTCGATGGTTCTTCCATCAACAGAGAGCATACGCAGATCATGATTGACGTTCCTGCTCTTGCAAAAGTTGCCGTAAGTCTCGTCAAAACGGGGTTTCTGCAATGGTGGTGGTAAAGTGACCATGCCGCCCTGAAGACTGTGCTGGGGTGCGCCTCCGCCGTTTGTGGCCAATGGTAATGAAGAGTTGGCACTGGAAGGAGTTCCACCGTTTGCAGGGCCAAAGCCGAACGGTTGATTCATTGAGGGAGGAGGGGATGTTTGGCCATTCACGCCGAATTGAGCCCCTAGATGATGTTGCTGTTCTCTATGCATTTGTTCCCGCTGTTGTTGTGTGGGAGTTGGTCCTGAACGTGGAGGTACCCCGTTGATCATGTGATTCGCCTGAGGATGGAGTTGGGCGGGACTCTGTATCGAGTGCATGGAAGGGCCTCCCATAGAGCCATTCTGGGAATGTTGACCTTGCGACGGCCCAAATGATGGCCCGCCCGTTTGGTTCGTCCAGCCAGATGTCTGACCCGTTGGGTGTCCGGGGAAAGGTGCACCACCACTGTAAAGGATCATTACAAAGTCGCACGATGCTAGAAACCATCGGTGCTTACCCTACTGGAAATTGAGGTGCTTGTAACGCCGCATTCAGCTTCGCAAAGTACTCTCTCTTCCCTTTGAGATCGTTCTGCAACACAGTCATCTTCTGCATAAACGTGGCCTCGGGTAGCGACCCTCGACTAGCGCTGAGCTGCATGATAGACTGCTCGGCGGTACTGATCAGCACTCTCAGTTGATTCGACCGTTCCCTCATTTCTGTCGGAGTCATCATGCGACGAGCGGGTAAGGTGGTTGCGGCTTGGGGACCATCACGGTTGGGTGGCATGTTAGGGGAATTGGAAACTCCAGGCGGCGGTTGAGGAGACGCATGAGACGGGGATCGACGAACAGCATCAGGGGTCGGCATGCGTGGGGGATTGAAGGAATCCGTAGTGCCATTACCTTGCATCTGCTCCCTCTGTTGGTGATGTTGGGCTTGTTCGCGTTGCATCGCCTGCAGTTGCGCCATCCTGGCTAAATTGTTAATAGGGCCATTCTGGTTCTGTTGGTTCTGCGCCATAGCCATCAAGTCCAACTGCCTCGCCTGCAACGCTTGAATCGCCATATTTCGGTTTGCCATTCCAAGCGCCATGTTGGGAAACCCGGGGGGCATGTTAGGTTGGCTGTTCGGTTGATCGTGAAACGTCGGCTGATGCTGAGGACCACCGCCCAGAGGATTGACGCCGAGAGTGAACTGTTGTTGCTGTTGTTGCTGCTGAGGGTTATGCTGATTGAAGGTGCGATTGCGAAGAAGTTCAGCCATCTGGCAGACGATTATAATTAGCAAAGTTACACCCCCGAAAACGTAATAAGGCAAGAAGGCGAGATAACAGTCGTCAATACAACGATAATCGGTGGACGAAAGTGCGGCGGGCGAAATCGAAGCGCAACGCGAATATTGGGCGATGTCACATACGTGAGAACACGCAACGGACAGGAAGGGAGTCTCTGAGACAAGTCCTCTGGCAACATAATCTGAGCTCAACGCACCTGCTGACTAGCCTCCCCCCCAGGAGCCAAGTTTCGGAACTGAGGGAACTGCTGCATCTGTTGCCACAATCTCGCATTATCCTGCATCGACATAGAACCTGGCTGTCCCTGCTGAAGATCCTGCATCTGATGCAGCTGTTGTTGTTGAGCCTGCGATAGCTGATTCTGCTGATTCGCTTGCGCTTGCTGCTGACTATGCTGCTGCAGCATCGAGGGATTGAAATTTTGGGTGAGAGGATAGGACGGGGGGCCTCGATCTGCCATTGAAGACCACCTGATATGACCAGAGGTGTTGAACGTACTTGGCCAGCAACAGCAGGGATGCTGTTGGAATTACGTTCGACGGGGAGGAGGGGATTGAGGAAGGGCGGAGGAAGGGGAGGTGATGGTGGTGGGAGCGAGAGAACACTCGCACAACTCCTTGCCTCTGCCACCAGCGATGATTATGTAATTTGCCAGATGAGGCATTTTAAATGCTAACTCTGATTTGGTCTTCCTTCTCCGGTCATACTTCGGTCACCATGACCTCTCACTGTTCAGATATACTATACCGCCTGCTGGCGTCTTGTTCTGCTCGCTGCTAACATCGTTCTCGGCAGCCAACAGCCAATATCGCCCCCAGTATGTAGACCGGCCCACACGGCTAGACCTTATGGAGCTCTTGTTGCACCCCATATAGACTACCATTTCATCTATGATGAAACATATTTTGTCCAATTACTGACTGTTACCGAACGAAGCATCCTTCGATACCGCATCGACATACACGGCAGACGTCGCCTCATAAGCGCTTGGTCTTTGCTTGCAGCCATCGTTACCGCTGGCAAGGGTAACAATGCAATCAACTGACCTCCCCGTGAGTATTCTACACGACAACACTGACACATTTGACCCCAAGCACGCTCGATATTCTGAATTGTCGGCGCAAGTGTTTTGCGAAATCTCCACAGCCGAAGGCAATGTCTGCACTGGTTCTTAGTCCCGGCTCAGTTATAAATGGATCGCCCTCCCCTGAGCGCTGGGTACCGGTCGCCCTCCATCCTTGCGCCACGGCTAAAGCCCACCCAGTATACGAATTGTATACGAATTGTCTGGTACGAGCGGGCGTATTAACCCCTCGGGAAGGACTTACCCTGCCTTCGCTTCTTCTGGAGAGGTTTACATAGCCGTGCCGACGGTTGCGCTTGATACTGGCGCACCCACTTCGATCTGACCGGAAACCTGCTAGACATAAATGGAGATTAGAGACAGGAGCACCTGCGGGACGCCTAGGCTAAGTCGCCGGTCAGATCTTCAGAGAGAGTGTTTGTGCGACCTTTCCAGGTCTCATGCCGTCAGTCATTGGGGATACTGGAGGAAAGCCAGCACCGGCCGCGGCCACAGTGCGGCAAGAAGCATGGGTAGCATGCATGCATAGCGAAAATATGAGAGGCTTTGGCCTGATACAATGTACTCGAATCCGGTAGGGTGATAGCCTCGAAGATTGGAACATCGAACGTTTAAATTCTGAAGATCTGACCATGGTCCTCTGTCTTCCTTGAAACGTTCCCAGAGTGCTTTGTTGAACGTGACTATCAATTTCCATAAATGGGAATCTTAGCGTGACACGTTCCCAGAACAGGGCCGCTGCCAGGAGGCGGATGGTCTCACTCTCCGTCGCCCATATCAACAACGAAGCATCGACCACAACGGCGCCCGCGACTGCAGCAAACCTGCTTCACAGACGATGAAATACATTGAATACTCCTCACTCACCCGTCTCGCGCAGGCGCTGACACACGAGGGCCCCGAATGCTCGGTCCATACTCGTATCGAGGCTTACAGCTGCAAGAACATCAAACGCGACAAGAAGCTCTTCAAAACCCTCGAGCATGCCTACAAAGACGAAATATCAAACTCACCTCCTCTTCCTTCGTGGCTCGCTCTCGACCATGAGGCTGAAATGACGCCCTTTGGCCCAATGAACAAACACTCCTCAAGAAAGACACTTTACCTCCTGATAGCAACCCTAAACATCGCCTTCCCAGACCACGAATTCTCTGATGTCAAACCTGGTCATTTCAGCAAAGAGGAGAGCGGGGCGAGTGTGCTGAACTCGCTGAGTAACACTCTAATATCGCCGCATAGAGCAGGAATGAACGCACCAAGAACTTACTCTTCTTACCCACCCACTTCCTCCGATTTCTTTCCATCTTCGGTACCCAGTGCCTCCTCGTCACCGTATAATTCCATCATCCCACAAAGCCCCTTTGCCCCACCCCCAATAGTGTCTGGAACCCACCCGACATTGTACCGAATGCTTGATGAAGTCATTGGTCTTGCAGATTGCGAGGTCTTCTCGTATGCCCCAGAAATAGAAGCAGATCCGCATGCGAACGACTATTCTGATGATGAAGATGATGCCGCCTCAATTGGCGACGAGGACTCTTCAAGTGACCTCGACGACGAAGCGCCCTTTGAATTCGACGACTATGACGTCGACGAGGTCAAACCACACCGTAGCAGTAGCAGTAGCCCCTCGAGTTCTATCCTTCGACAATCTACCCGGGCGTCGCTCGATGAGAGCTTCCCCCGGCATTCGCCAATGTCTTCGTTCCCTCAGATCAGACTGAAGCGCAGAGGGGCTCTGCTCTGGTCATCTCATTGGTTCTTCCTGAACCGGAAACTCAAGCGAATTATATTTATTTCCGTCTGGGCGCGGTCCAGGGGGGCTGGCAGATCTTGGATGAGCGATGAGGATGGGCTTGAAGCTCCACTTTCAATAAACTTTGACGAGGACAGGGCGTTGAGTAATGAGAGATTCGTCGGATGGGACGGAGCGGCTGGCCTTGGCGCGAGAGCGATGGGTCTGGCCTCTGCCTGATTTCAATATGCATATCACGCTGGTAAGTCCAGACTGCCACTCCCAATCTTTACCGGCACTCACCGCGTATGGTTGCAGTCCTTCATTTTACTTCTTACCTCCCCTGGGCCACAATCGACGTCATGTTGTTTTGACTCCTCCTTTGAACAGATTTCATTTTCCCTTGTATTTGTACCAGCTGCACCGATGGGTACATGTGTACTGCTAGCTAGTTAGTTACTTGTTTAGTGTTGAGAGCGGTTGACGCACCATTATGCCTACCTAATAACCTTTCTTCCATCTACATACTTTTGGCCTCTTGATACCCTTGACGCTTCTACCCCGAGGTAGTGCTTGAAGTCTCGGATAACGAGCGCTGTTACGCCACGCATTTCTTGCTCAGGAAATGTTAGATGGGCGATATCGACCAAATGGGTGGAGGTAGAGCACGGCGATGGCAAAGATGGTCGCACTGTCAAAGCTACTTGATCAAATTGTGCATTTTCTAGGGAAATATCCACAAGGCCAAAGACCCACCTCATGACATCAAACCCTGCAAAAACCATTTCCCTTTCGCAACGAGCGTTAGGCATCGTAAAACATCGCAGAGGAATTCACGATAGCTGATACATGCTGTGGATGAGAAGATCGCCACTCTGTTGCGGGGCGAAGAAAGAAAGCTTGAGAGGGAAGTTGTGCCAAGTTCAAAGGAATCAAAATATTTCGAAAGTGACTCAAGTGGCGATCGATGGGGCGTCGCTCACTTTGGAAACTCTGATCGGGGTTATCTGATTGGCTCTGTTTGCTAGACTCGCCTCGATATCGCACATTCATGTGATCGTGAGAAAACTATGGCGAAGATTTAAAGCCGCCATTTCTGCTCTATTTTTCTTCATCCTTCCACGATCAAAAACGCCAATGATGACAATTGGTGGTGCAGCGAGTTGAGCACGACCCGCCTTAGGGCTGTGGCCGGCGTTGACATCGTCCGTTCGGCACCAACTACCTTGTTACTTTAAAGGGACGGGCTTTTTGGATCTGATGGCGTCTTTTGGTCGTGGAATTAGTCGTACTTTTGATCTTTGTAATGTTCTTCTACGCTAAATTGATTTTTGGTTACCATCTTGACACTATGACTAAGTTTGTAAAGCGCACTGGTTGGATACCGTCAATCGATTCGTCTGTCTGTGGCATCATTTTCTGAAATGTTACAACAACTTCAAGATACAAATAAGATAAAATATCCATAGCTTCCTTCACCAGTGAAGACGGTGCGTCGGGCATTGATATCCACTCGGATTCTTGAACAGGTAGAGCTGGTGATAGTCCTCAGCGTCCCACCATTCGCCAGCAGCAGTGATTTCGGTAACGATCTTCTTTCCCCGGGGCGTGAAATGCTTGGCTTGCACCTCGGTCGTAACTCGCTGCGCTATCTCCGCTTGCTCTGGAGAGTGAGTGTAGATTGCAGACCGATATTCTATCAAGCCACGGCCGTCAGAGGCGTAATGGCTTAAAAGAACTGTACGCACGAGTGCCGGTGTCACCTCCTTGGCGATTCTCAGTCGTCGGATCATGGGTGCGATAAAAGAACTCTGGTCGCAGCTGGTCGGATACAAAGACAAATTGAATAATGACTATGAACACTCACCCACAAGCTGGGCATATGTGACCTTTGAAGGATCAAACTCGATCTTCACCGCCTCAGCATGATCTGTCGCCCCAGTGCACACCGTCTTGTAATCCGGGTTCTTGACAAGCGGGTTTCCGCCGGTGTACCCAACGCTGGTTTTCAAGATCCCTTTGTTCTGGGAAGGTGGGTAATGCTTCAAGAAGATGTGCTCTACGCCCCAGAAGCACCCCGCTGCGAAGGTAGCAATCTCAGACGCTGCATTAGCTATTCAGTGGGTGCATTAGTCCACCCTTCAGGGCGAGAATCACAGGATCGCCTAAAGCAACGCACCATTCGACATGGTTGTACGATACGACGCTGGGTCAATCTTGCGAGGTCCAGAGACGAAAATGGACTTTATGCGACCTAGCATAATGCTATCAGCAATCCGAGGGGTTCGTGAGGGGAGATGGGGTGGTAGAGCACTGACGGTCAGACAACCGACAAGCTAATTTTCAATATGGACCTGAGTGGAACCTAGTGTCGATCTATTTACTCGTGTTTGCACCGTTTCTAAGGAGAGCACGATCGGTATTTACTCAGGTTGCCGGACCGACGCTCTACTCAAATATCGAACTTGGGTGTAAATTCTGATACTCATTTACTCGGCATACAAACATGACAAGAAGCTGTAGAAGGGGGTCACCAGAGAGTCGAACGTGAACAATCTAATGCTCTGAAACTGGGCAATGTTTATCGCATGCATTTGCAGGCGGCCCTTGTCGACATGATGACATGTGTTCGCTTCCGAGACTGTTTTGCAGCGCTTACTCACTGTCATTTACGCAGATTTAACATGAATGATAAATGAATGTCTGCCAGCGGCGCTGACCGAAATGAAAGCAACGTGTGCTTCCAAGTAGAACCCCAAGCGAGAGACGAACATACGTACTTACACAGGAAAATAATCGTCTCTGGTAAGCCGGAGACAGGCTCAGGCCCTGGGCCGGGACCGAGTCCAGGACAATACTTACCTACTCCTTATTTTGCCGCTGGCATTCATTGCGATCAATAATGCGACGGTCGCAGAGAAACAAACTCTTTCATGATGTAAAGCAAAGGATAAATAGTCCGACGTGATCGAACGAGGTCAAACAAGCCAGAGAACAAGGGTAAATATAGACAACCGGACGCGAAGCTACCTATGTAGTGCGGTGGCGCACGCAAAGAGAATCTAAGACGCTTTCCAACTCGTCGGGTTACATGTACCAATGTGCTTTTGACATATAGTCCTATCTTTGCCAGCGGGGGTGACGTCGAGCGCAGCGTGACACACAATGGGTCCCTGTTTGTGGTCTGATGCGGTCTGCCCGAGGTCTGCCTCTGTTCTTTCCATCTTCAAATCGGGAACGTAGAGCATGCGGGGGATCCCAAATTCTTTCAACGAATTTGGCCACTATGTCCCTGCTAGCAATCGTAAGCATCCGCTTCGAGGTATATGAGAAAGACAACGTCGGTGTCTTGACTATGACCGTGAGAGGCTGCGTCCTTGACTGATGCCGCCTTGAACGTGCGTACGAAACCGGAATAAGGGCACAATGAGCTTAGGGTGATAATGAACTGCGCGGTCATGAGAGTAGATTTCTGAGCTGCGAGATGGCCTCTAAAGTGCGAGGGTGCGATACACGAATTATTACTCCGTGTAAGACAGGCCATACTAGAGGTCCCCTTGTATAACAAATGTTGACCGCAGTCTTCGGCCCTCCGGGATGGTAGGGAACCTGTGCTGGAAGAGCGGGTGATAGTTATCAGCACGAAGAGATGCAGGTAATGTGCCACCTCGTCTAGTAGGGAGGACGACCTTCATTCAATCGCAGCGTAGGTAAACGGATGGTGAGTTGTTACTAACTGTAACAGAGGTACGGTGTCCTTAGTCGTTGAGCAACTTCGCTGCATTAGTGATGACTATTTTGAAAGGACCAGATGCATTGGCGGTGATTCCAGCTGCGTAGACGTTCCACGAGGAAAGAGAAAGTGGGCAGGGCAACCGCAGATGCCTCCGTCAAGACCCAAACTACGAAGTAACTTCATATGACTATCCCACGGTTTGCGATACTCTCCCACACTCACAGTAGGTTGCACGAAGAGCAAGCCGAAACGGCACGTGTACTCATCCCGCTAACTTCAAGCTACGTGAAAGTTACAGACCGCGACGCCCTCTGTCCAACCTCCGCCGCAGCTCGTCCAAGGTTGCATCGACAGCAGAAGATCTATACTGCGGCTTTTCCAATGCTGTCTGCCTTTCCTCGCAAGATTCAAGGCATGTTCAGGAAAACAGTCACTTACGGCTTAGATGCTGCTCGGCGAGAGGCAGCCAGGCCTTCTCATCGGCAGCATGCTACCTTTCTCGCTTATGGATCTCTCAGACGTCGTTACACCACTCCCTCGCCAGCAGCGTTGCGCCATATGCACGTACGCGCCATATCATACTCCTCCATTCCCAGATTTGTCGCCCGAGCGTTCAGAGTACCAATAGCAGGGATGACGGTCGGCGCCGGTGGCTTGGGCTATGCTAACTACAAATTTGAAGGTGTGCATCCATGTGCTTGTTTCCCTTTCTTAGTCACCTACGTCGCGTGCAGAGTTCAGAAAGCAGACGGCATCATGGATGTCTTCCGTTCAAGACACCGCTGCTGGCATATTCGATACAGCTTCTGGTGGACTCAAAGCCGTGTCGTCTCGCGTTTCGGAGGTGAATCTTCCAACCTTGGAAACTCCGCAATTCCTCAAAGATCTATTTGCGGCACAAGAAGGCGGCGGCGGCAAGGGTCCTGAGGATGGCGGTGGGGGTTCATCGGGAAAGTCGAAGGGCAAGTCTCCAAGAGACGACGCTGCTATCGCTGCTCTTGTCGCCGCCACTATGTCATCTCCCTCGGACTCCAAATCACACGACTCCTCCAGTCCCGATCAGCATAACGGCCTCATGAACTTAACAAAAAAGCTGATTGAGATCCGAAGCATGCTGCTGAGTATAGACCAGAGCGATGCCCTCAAGCTGCCGAGCATTGTTGTCATCGGGAGCCAAAGTTCAGGGAAGAGCTCTGTTCTTGAGGCCGTTGTGGGACATGAGTTCCTACCAAAGTACGTACGTTTATTCCTCCTTCATAATTCAATTAACGCTCGCGACAGAGGGAACAATATGGTGACCCGGCGTCCCATTGAACTGACTTTGATCCACACGCCTGGAGCAGCGGCAGAATACGGCGAATTCCCAGCTCTGGGCCTCGGAAAGATAACCGATTTCTCTGACATCCAGAAGACCCTCACAGATCTCAACCTCGCCGTCCCGGCCTCCGAAGCAGTATCCAATGACCCCATTGATCTACGCATATACTCTCCCCACGTCCCGGACTTGACTCTTATCGACCTCCCTGGCTACGTTCAAATCGCTTCCATGGACCAGCCGGAAACACTGAAGGAGAAGATAGCTCAACTATGTGACAAATACATTCGCGAACCAAACATCATATTGGCCGTTTGTGCTGCCGATGTCGATTTAGCGAATTCGCCTGCCTTAAGAGCGAGTCGGAAGGTCGATCCGCTCGGTCTACGGACTATCGGTGTTATCACAAAAATGGATCTAGTACCGCCGGAACAGGGTGCCACCATCCTTGCAGGAAATCGATATCCCCTTCACCTTGGTTATGTCGGGGTAGTGGCTAAATCATCAGGCAAAAGATCAAGGCGAGACGACATGGCTCTCGTTGCCCAAAAGGGCGAACGAGATTACTTTGGGGCACATGGTGAAATCTTCGGATCCACGACATCACTGATGGTTGGTACCGACACCCTTCGCCGACGGCTGATGGAAGTTCTTGAATCATCCATGGCATCCTCGTTGCATGGTATCACTAACGCTGTACAATTAGAGCTCGAAGAGGCGACCTACCAGTTCAAAGTCCAATACAACGATCGCCGAATCACCGCTGAGTCTTACGTCGCTGAGACTATGGATGCTCTCAAGTTACGATTCAAAGAAGCAACGTCTCAGTTTAAGCGTCCAGCAATCCGCGCTAAACTAAAGGAGATGCTCGATGACAAGGTTATGGACGTCCTCGAGCAGTTGTACTGGTTGGACAAACGTGCGCCCGAGCTTGGCGGACTTGGTCAAGATCCCAAGGTGCGACCCGAGGATGTTGAACCCTACTGGAGGCATAAGCTGGAAGCAGCCTCTTCTCTTCTCACCAAGTCAGGTGTTGGTCGTGACTCTACACTCCTAGTCGCGAACGGTCTCCGTTCACTCATCGACTCCATTGCCGCCGCCGAACCATTCAACTTCCATCCTCGCGCTGCCGAACGCCTAGTCCAATTTTCACATATGATTCTCCGGGACCGTATCGGTGTCACTTCAGATCAAGTGGAAAACTGTATCAAACCGTACAAGTACGAGGTCGAAGTGGAGGATAGAGAGTGGGAATCAGGTAGACAGTCGGCAATAGATCTCTTTGAAAAGGAGGTGACCATGTGCGAGAAGAAGTTGAAGGATATCAGACAAAAAGTCGGAGGGAGTCGTAGACTGGGCGGGTTGGTGAGGTATGTGCAGGAGATAGAAGAGAAGGAGAAGGCAAAGAAGACGAAGAGGCTCATGGCTCCCGAGGACGAGAATACTGAGGAGGATTCTTCCGTTGACTATCGTTATCCAGCTGCACAAATCCACGATGGTGAGTAATCGTGCATATCAACCACAATTCGACATCGAAACTGAAGAAATGACTCCTTAGCCCGACATGCCATTCTATACACTGATCGCCTCAGCATCCTGAAGTTGCGGTTAGCTGCCTTGAGGTCTAAGCGATGTAAAGCTGGACCGAGTAACGATGTCCTCTGTCCAGAAGCGTTCCTCAACGTCGTTGCCGACAAGCTCGCCTATACTTCAGCCATGTTCATTAACATCGAACTCCTTGATCAATTCTTTTACCAGGTAAACAGTGTTTCAGCTCAGCGGCCGGCTTCTACGTCTAATCGCTCCTCATTCCCAGTTTCCCCGCGAGATCGACTCTAGGCTGCTATATGATCTCGATCGCAAAGAGATAGTTGAGTTTGCGAGGGAGAATCCCGTCGTGCGGCGCCATCTTGATTTACAAGAGCGTAAAGATAAGCTCGAAGAGGTACCTTGTCTTCTCCTTGGACTATTTAGTTTCTAATATCACTATCAAGGTGATGAAGCAACTCAACAGTCTATCGACATTACGGACGGATGCACAGCCTGCACCGCGGCGGCACAGAGGACTTTTTGGCAACATGTTTTAGCAGAACCCGTCGTATTATGGATTATTCGGATTACTTATATTACTCTACATTTCACCGCTCATCCATTTAGTAGAACCTCCACTTACATTTGTAATTGATTATACGCATCTCAAAGCCTCATGCTCATATCAGAATAATGATATTAACGGAAAGTATGGATACATAAGTAAGGTGAAAGTGCAATTTAGAGTTTTGCTTGCTTTGATTTAGCGACCTGGGGGGTAAGCCAACCTCCAGTGTGAGCGAAAGGAAAGGCTTCATTGCAGCAAAGTTACGCACCTTCAGCACCTGCTCAAGCTTGGTTGCGAGCATCATATTACCCCGAGTCTTTAGCTTGCCGGTCATGAAGGCCTTCTGACCGTTCAGCTAGAGTAAAGCGGGGTTAGGATATCTTCGTAGCTAGCTCTGGAGTTCGCAAACGTCCTCACCTTGCCGCTCGCAAGTTGAGTGAAAGTGTCATCGGACATGATGAGGGTAACATCCGCCTTGGGCTTGGCTGTGCCCTTGATGACCGTAGCATTCTTCTTGAGGTCAATCGTCCAGACGGCCTCCTCCTTAGCGTCGTTAGAGATGCGCAGTTCGAAGATGCCGTTGGTCTTTTCGGACGGCATGAGTATCATAGAACTATCTTGCTACGAAGCATACGCACCTTCTTGATGTTGTCCTGCTTCTCCTTGTCCGTGAAGGTAGCAAAGGCCTGGTGAAGAGCAGCAATGATCTCCGAAGCCTAGTGCAAACGCCATTGAGTCACTAAACAGTGCCACAAGTGTTCCCAGCTACCTTGAATCCGCTGTAGGTGATGTCTGACATGGTTGGTTCGAGAGGGAAGGTTGCAGAGAGAGGTAAGAATGTCAATTGAGTGAGGCGCCCTATATGGTTGTTTGAACTTTTGACATGTGATTTTGTGGAGGTGCTCCCCCATGTGGCGAGCGAATCTTCATTGGCTTCAAACACCCTTCCCCACGTCCCCCCAAAAAACATGAAGAACATCCGGGAGGCGGGTATCTCGCAGCCGCCTCATGCTCAGTATCTCAGCAAAAAGAAAGCAATCTGCTTCCGGAATTCGTGCTTTTCCTCGAAGCGGACCGACGGACTACTAAGCGTTGATCTCGAACCCCACATTACAATCAAAGAAACAGAAAAAGATACACCACGTATTCAGCAGTCATGGAGTCATGGACGAGGGGACTGTAGATCAACAAACTCTTGGGAAAGAACTCATGAGTTGCTTCCGTCGCAGGCCCGCGGGCGGAGGAAGAGCCATTTACTTCCTAGTTGGTGGTGGTGTTTTCGGACTCTCTAAGAAATTTCAAACGAGTAAAATAGTATGCACGAAGCGCACCGACACTGAGCGTGGTTCACCAGCCTCGAGTGTCCGTGGCTGGCGAGAGGGAACATCGACTTCACGATTAATCGCTTCTTGTACGATGGCCTGGACAGGAATGGCTGTGACACATATGGCAAGTAGTGACGTCGCTTCAAACATCGATACCACGACTTTAAAGGCTTACAACGATGAATACTTCTCCATGACGGCCTGCGTTCGCGATGAAACACTACTCGAGGTGCATGTTTCCACGACGACAGAAGACATAATCAGGCTCTCTCTCATACTGCCGCGCTCTGGCGCCCACACCCTCGACATCGTCGGTTTGCCTTCATTGAAGGAAGCAGACTGGTTGAGCTTTTTCAGGCGACACATCCAAGTGCAGAGATGGATGATCGACGAAGTGACTGCAGCCTTCGTTCAAGATCAGATTGTGACGCCTCATCCCGTTTAGGGCATTATCCTAGTTATTCAATACCGAGCTCCTGTAGACCACGAACCAGTGGCGGGATCACAACGTGAACATTTCGCACTCTACACTGGGCTACTACGCACTTAAGTATTCGGTGAAGCCCTGCCACATAACTCCATAAACTTACATCGTACTCCTATGGACCCTGACTCAAGCAAATATTTAAACGCCCCAGCGGCATCAGATAAGGAGGCTCCATCTGTTGGCATACTGTGCCAAACTGCAGAAGACGATGCCTTCAACGACCCCTAATCCGGATTCGAAGTAGGTTCATGGTTCAGCTACCCAAGAGAAAATCAGCTGAGCACGTTCAATAGATGCCTTTTCTGCGCCATATTGGAGGGTGAGTGTTGGCCGATATGTTGCCATTGTGCCTCCAAGCATCTTACGCATCGCACGGTCAGGAAAGATCCCATGTTTCAATGTGTACGAAACGGCGCACAGGTGTGTATCTCTGATGTGCGTACGGTCCCCAAATAATGAATCCCGTTGCAGCCTTGCATTTCTAGATATCCACCCAGTATCTGAGGGACACACTTTAGTGGTTCCTAAGTGTGAGCGCCCGAGCCCTAATCATGGCACTGAATTGAATCGTGGTCTAATGGCTGGCCACCCGCAGACCACGCACGCACGCTCGGCGATCTCCCGGACGAATATCTCAGCGACATTGGCCCTGTGATGAAGAAAGTCGCACAAGCGACCGGTGCAGAGAATTATAACATACTTCAGGTAGGTTCTAGCCATCATGACACTATTTGAACCGTATACTTACTCAACTGCGCTGACGACGGACAGAATAATGGGAAGCTCGCGTTCCAGGTTGGTATAGCAGTTTGGTTGAAAGGGTGCTTAAGGATTGCTGACTGAACTAATTGCAGCATGTTGACCACGTTCATTTCCACGTTGTTCCGAAGACGGATACAAAGGACGGCTTGGTCCTGAATATTGACGATAACTGGTCTCCCAGGGAGGCAGGGAAAGAGGCATTGGCCGCGACGATGGAGAAATTAAAGAGCAAGATATAAGAAACACACCGTACAACCACCTCCATACGCTGACTGTCATCAAACATTTGTACAATTTATTATATCGGTCCTATCTATGGAAGTTCCGATGAGGATGCATCTGTAACCCCTAGCCCCAATAATTAGCACGTGGTCATCATGCACAGTTTCGCCGCACTTTCACTTCTAAGTTAAACACCACTTCCCCAGGACAATACAGCGCTACGCTAGGTGGCTGCTAGACGCTACGTGGAACACATCGACGCTTGAATGAATCCTTGAACTCGGATATACGGGTCTACTGCTTCTGCCTACACCCACAATCATTTCACGAACTTCCCAATAGGGGATTACAGAATTGAGTTCGCGAGGTGATTCCGCGCTGAGTTCGTGTCTGAGTTCGTGTTTGATTTCCAATGAAAACGGGCTGAAATCAGAGTTCAATTCTGACTCCCCGTACTGAACTCTGATTTCGGGTCTGATTTCGTAGTTTCGCCCTTTTGCTAGTCCGGAGTTTGAATTAGATAGGTGTCTACCTTCTGCTACCGTAATGCCTCGCTCGACGCCTCGACAACAGGCGACTGATGCCCTGTTGCAAGCATTCCTGGTTGAAATTATTGGCCTTTTCCTGAGCGGCAGTGAGCTGTTGCTGCGAGATTTAAATTTGAGAAAAACCGGTCACACTGGTCACGACACCGCGATTTACTGCGAGAGGTAGTTAAGAGCCCGCCCACTACATGGTTCAATCTCAGACAGGAGCCACCGGACAATACCGAAATCAACCAGCGCGAAATCGGTTTACATGCCAAGCAGGCTGAACGCAGACACGAACTCAATGCGAAATCACCTCGCGAACTCAATTCTGTAATCCCCTAATGTCGGGGCAGTACTTCAACTCCATTACCGAAAATGCATCTCGGTTGGGAATGCGAATCCAAGAGTCTATCTCGGAACACACCAGGGAGCTGGCAATTACTAGAGGAGCTTCTACGGCGTACCTCGAAGCTCCCGACGACATGTCGAAGAATATTCGCAAGCAGCTGGATTCAAATAGCGATCGAGAGAAATTGGATGCAATGAAGAGGCTTATTGCCGTAAGTAGTTCCAAGAACACTGCGCCGACGGAACTGATACCGTGCCCGAGCAGATGGTATCCAAAGGCCGCAACGTCTCGGAGTACTTCGCTCAGGTGGTCAAGAATGTAGCGTCGCATAACCTCGAAATTCGCAAGCTGGTTTACATCTACCTACTGCGGTATGCAGAGCAAGAGCCAGATCTTGCGCTGCTGTCGATCAACACATTTCAAAAGGATCTGACGGACATCAATCCCCTCATTCGTGCGATGGCTCTTCGCGTGCTGAGCGGGATCAAAGTACCCATGATAGGCAGCATAGTCGTGTTGGCTATCAAGAAATGTGCCGCGGACGTCAGCCCGTACGTACGTAAGAATGCGGCACTGGCGATACCCAAGTGTTTCGAGTAAGTAATTCAAACGCTCCCCGTCTTGACTCTGAATTTACTAAAGCTAGGTTAGACCCATCACACACACCAGCTCTCATCACCATCGTTACTGCGCTACTTCGGGATCGGTCGTCCCTTTGCATTGGGAGCGTCGCAGTTGCTTTTGAAGCGGTTTGTCCTACGCGCCTTGATTTATTACATCCACAATATCGCCGGCTCTGTCGCATCCTCGTCGATGTAGATGAATGGGGGCAAGTAGATTTGATGTCTTTGCTTCTGAGGTACGCGCGGATGATGTTAGCCCGCCCAGATATGGAGGGCGACAGCATCGACCCGGATCTGAACCTGTTACTCAATTCCACCGAGCCTCTACTCCAATCGCGGAATCCAGCGGTTAGACTAGTTATACTCCCTGCGTTATCTATATATTGACGGTAATACCCAGGTCGTTCTGGGAGCAACACGCATATTCTACTACGCTGGGCTCCATCACGGTTATCGAAAGTCACTCAACCCCTTCTCAGACTTTTGCCTGGATCCAAAGAGGTTTCTCGAATCGTGTTGGTTTACATTTCAGTCATCGCCGGGGACTCGCCGGTCAGTCGAGTAATATATCTGTACTATGCAGCAACTAACGGGCATGCAGTCCTTATTTACCCCATATTACGCGCGTTTTTTAGTTTCTACGGACGATCTTCGTGTGGTTAAGTTGACGAAAATTCAGCTGCTTCTGCATCTCCTTACACCGGAAACATATAGCTCCATTTTGCGAGAATTCATTGTCAGTAACGCTGTCGTCTGTTGCCCCACTACTCCTCAACTACTTTTGTTAGGACTGCGCTGATGATACAGACAATGAAGTCGTCGCGGCCGCTATACAAGCCCTAGGCAAATGCTCCCATCAAATTCCTGAGTCGACACAAACCTGCCTCAATGCTCTGATCTCTATGATCAAGAGTCGCCAAGGTACGCATATTCTCACTAGCTTTGTCTGTACGATCTCTAATCGGACATAGATACGGTGGTCAGTAACGCTGTTCTCGTCCTGAAAATTCTGGTGCAGAACGAACTCGAAGCCGAATCCCACAATCGCCCCATACAAACGCAACAGAATCCTGGCATGTCCATCATATCTCACTTGGCACATCGGATCGACGATATTAAGCACCCTCAGGCTCGAGCCTGCGTTGTATGGTTGGCTGGCCAGTACGCATCGTCTGATGCACCCTCTGCTGGCTGTGCAGGTATGCACGATTGGGCACCCGATGTATTGAGAAAGGCCGTCAAAGGATTTATCGACGAGGTTCGACTCAACTCCAATATAAACAGTAACGCGGTAGCGATAGCTAATCTTGTTCCTAGGACCCGATTGTCAAACTTCAAGTTATTACAATGGCCGCTAAATTGCTTGTTTTGAATCCGACCAATCGAACACTACTTCTACTTGGCCGACATACGCTCAATCTAGCCAAGTATGATTTGGACTACGATGTTAGAGATAGGGCTCGGATGGTTGGTGCCTTGCTTGTTGGCGTTCTTCCCAAAGAAGCCAACGGTGCGGACGAGGTGCTGGAGGAGCGAGGAGGCGTTGTGTTGAGGAGGGAACAAGTCCGGGTGGTGCTTTTCAATGGGAAGGCTGGTGTCGTGGACAAGGACAAACCGAGTATGTTTGTCACCGTTTACTCTATCCTCATTAGGGTTCACCCATCCACATAGGCGACGACAGAAGTTTGCTAGGGTCATTAGGAATGATCACAGGAAGACCTATGCGAGGAGATGTCATCCTGACTGACTGGCTGGAAGAAGGTATCGAGCCTTCCCTGCGGACAAATCCCGACGATACACCCACTCCGTCCGCCATCCCAACGGCGATTTCGTCAAGACCTCATTCGAAAGCCCCATCAGCTCACGCGTCACCCGTTATCCTCACCCCAGGAGCTTCACCAAGTGGTTCCGCGATGAGGGATAGTTCTAAGGGGGTGTGGCGCGATTTGGATTCTTTTTACGCTGAAGAAAGCGAGGAGGAAGAGGAGGATGACGGCAGCGAGGATGACGAGGAAAACGAAGATGACAACGGTGAGGAAGACGGAGAAGCGGAGGCAGACGAAGAGACGGATGAAGATGATAGCGATGAAGATAGTCTAGATGCAACAGCAAACGAGACGCGGTCAATGCTGCAACCATCGGCCGGTGCCTCGTCGTAGTTGTGACTCTCCAAAAGCGAATACGTATCTTCGTTGTTTTATATGGGGGATGCCAACCTTTCGGAAAGACATAACATTCACCACAGGGAAATTGAAGTCAGGTACCTGAAGAGCGGCGCTACATCTTTCTCCAAACTGTCAATCGATTGTTGACTAGGCGAATGCTCGACAAGCCATCGAATTTCAAGGTACTGCATACTGGTTTACACACGTCCAGACAGGGAGATATAACCGCTTGTGACATTGATCGGGCCATGCCAGTAACCGGGACATTCCCGTCTATTATTATCTAGCCTATACAAGGAAGAGGGCCTCAATGCTCTCCCTCTCACCCACTGATCTGGTCGAAGATGTATCACTCAAGGATAGATAAAATCAAGCCTCCTCTTGACCCAAGTTTCTATAAACTTGCCGACGACGAAGCTGCCTTTTTCAAAGCGATGACGGGTATCCAAGACGCAGAAGACCTAAAGCGGCATATTCTGAGCGTGCAAGCGAAGGCCTACGATGTACGTCCCCTTTATACCGAGCCATTGACTAGACATTATGTTTACCTCCTTTCGTTTCGCTCAGATCTTTGGTTATCCGTGTATTCGAAGATGCGCCTTTCTGAAGTGGGTTGCGATGTTCAGCTCATATCAAGATCCTCCTCTAACCGGAAGATTGGCAGTCTCAAGATATCCCGATTACCGGCATACAAGCAAGTACTCAAGTTGGGTCAGGAGAGACGGGGGGCTATCCTCCTAGATATGGGTTGCTGCTGTATATTGACCTCTGAACTGCTAGGCCACGAGCTTACCCTTGACTTCTTGCAGTTGGAAATGATGTGCGAAAGGCCGTCGCCGATGGCTGGCCAATGCAGAATGCCCTCGCATCCGACCTCCGTCAGGGTATGCATCTCCCCCCCGTTATCCAAGACACCTGCCTTATATGTTCAGAAAGGATTTTGGGATGCCGGGCATGAGCTTTTCAAGACTACTCCCGAAGCGTTCCCTCTGAAGTTCGTTCCCGGAGATTTGTTCGATCCAGCACACCTTGCCCCACGCGAGCCCTTCTACGAGCCTCCTTCCACGGCGGTGCCGGACATTCAGTCATTGACATCCCTGACGCCCTTGCAGGGACACATTTCTGTCATCCATGTTTCGGCATTTTTCCATTTATTCGGCGAGGACCAACAACAACAGGCATGCAAAGCCATCGCTTCCTTGCTCTCTCCAGAGCCTGGCTCTACTATATTCGGTTCTCATATCGCGCTACCTAACAAGGGATTCAGACAACGTCCTGATACGAGTAGCGAAACTCAGATGTTTTGTCATGATTCTAACAGCTGGAAAGAACTCTGGGGTCAAATATTCGAGAAGGGCAGTGTTGATGTGGAAGCGCAGGTCGTAGAAGTTAACAGAGATGATAATAACAAGGACGCTGATAGCCGAGTCCACATGTTGATATGGTCAGTAACAATATTGTAGGTTGGGTAGAATACCGTGGGCGGTTTCGAATGGCAAGCGGTTGTCATCTCCTACGAACAACCATCATGATGATTAGCTCTGGCCCGTAGCAGCTTTGAACCTGTAGTACGACTCGCGAAAAGCGTACTAGCAAACCCGACATCTACCAGCCTCCTGCAGCCTCGTTACCGACCAGGTTAAACCACTATCAATTCCTTCATTAACACCATCTCTTCTGACCTCCACACCATGTGCGTCTACCTTGACGTTCTTCCCAAATATTTTACCCACATTTCCTTCCCGCTATCGGGGTCGAGGACAAAAACATCTGAATGTCACCATCCTTCATGGGCCGTTCTCCACGCTTGAGTGCAGAGGTGTTAGATTTGGGCAAGGCGGTACAGGTTTTAAGGGACCGCGTGACTACGTAGATAGTTTCTGCGTGCTGTGTAACTTTTTCCTCATACATTTGCTGGAGTCCCAGTCAAATGCAATGCACCTACAGTTGATTATCTCATATTGCATACCGTCGGGAGACATCCTGGGCCAATGCATTATGAGAAATATGCAATGCGAAATTGTCACATTGTGTGATATCAGCTGATATAATATGTGACAGTTGCTATATCCGGCAGAATCATGTAAATTACCTATGCCCCACCATTCTTGTCCATCGCCGCGTCGAGGAAACCCTCTAAGGTACTCTGCTTGAGTCCAGCTCTGATCTCGCTCCGTAAATGTCCCCGGATTTTTCGGAGTTCTTGTGCGAGAAACGAGCTTCGTTCTGATGCAAGGGCAGGGTGGATACAAGACTTCTCCAACTGCTCACACAGATGTAGAAGGTCAGCCTTTGGTACGACTGGCTCTTCTTCGTCATCGGAATCATCTGACTCCACCACATGAGTGTTAGGTTCTGCCGTTTACGGTCAGCAATTGGCTTTGCTGTTGTTGCATGGTCTGCTTTTGCTGCAGGTGCCTTTGGCTTGCGATTGTACGGCTGGGGCTTGGGCCGCACCTTTTGAGTGGGTTCAGATGGAGGCATGGGGTCTTTGTTTAGTGGTTTGTTTTCTGTAATAAATTTGTGCTACCGAGTCGTCATTGAGGTGGCGCTGTACACCCTAATTTAGTCTAAAAAGGTTTATTCTCGGTGTGCTACAATGGTGCCGGTGTCCCCCGACCCTTCATCCGGCGATGTAATAATGCAAATCCTCATTTGTGAAGCAATGCATTATGCACTATATTCCCCGCCTCCCGACATGGTCCCCATGGAAAGTCAATGCATTACGAGAAATATGCATCATGAGCGTATGCATTATGAGCTAATCAACTGTACTTGATTACTTGAATATTGCGCGACCCTCAGCAACTTATTTTAAAAAGAGGGGGAAGCGAAATCTGGGATTGCAAGTCTGGAAACGGTATACTAGATGGAGGTTCAAATAATGGATCCCATGGGGCAATGAGTGCTGCATTGGATACATCTCCAATAATTCAAGGGGCATGTCCTGGGAGTGGTTGAGTAATTTGTAACCCACATCTCAGAATCCTTCGTGGATTTAGAATGTGTTTAGATACCAGGGGAATCTTGAAAAAATCCGAATGCAACAGCATTCTCTATTGGTGAACCATCATTTGCATAAGCTGTGGAGTAAGTGAAGGGAGTTGCTGTAGACCAATCCTGTGAATTGCTGCTGTGACACTCTCTGGGCCACCACCAGGACCAGAAGAGGGAGAACTGTCTTTGGGAAGTCTACCATCCTCAAGCTGGTCCTGACTCTGGTTCTGTTGGCTCTCTGTTTTCTTCTTCTGCACTATGACTCTGTAGGATGTGTCTCAGTAATGAGATTTTGGAAGGAAGAAGGTGTAAGCTCGCACTTACCACTGACGACACCCCTGTTCCCCTATATCTCGTGTCACAGTATATATATACATGCGACCCTGAGCTATCGTACTTACCACCTGCTTGACCTTGTACTACCACCTTACACCAATGTTTGATCCTCTTAATATTGTCCTCCTTTTCTTTGAGTGTTGTGCCCTTGGGCATTCCTCCAGGAGAAAGCTGTACTGACAAGACATTTATACTCACTTTCTTGACAAGTGCTTGTTGAAATCAGGGGATGATCAAGTGCACAGGGGCTAGCAGTGTATTCTTCAGACTCAAGGGAGACTTCCCTATGGATTCATTCACCCAGTTTGCCCATTTCAAGGGAAGATGAGCTTAAGACAAGCGCAGCAAGTTTCGTCGACAACCTTTATGATATAGCTTCTAAATCAGAGTTATTTAATGTACTTCATGCTGTACAGGCAATTTTTGAGAACGAGCTCCTCTTCGCGAGGTCCCTTGTTGTGTAAAAAAGCTAGAGGGATTGCCAAAAGAGTAGTATGCAAGTACACAATATTAATTGATCGCCGATTGTCGAATTCGAAAGGCTGAGATTATCTTATCAGATATGAGGAGAATGGCGCTGTCGGAATCACATGCTCTCGACTTTTTGCTCGGCCTATGGCGGTCCTATGGAAATGTAAGGTTGCCTGCAAGCTGCCACCTGCGGCCCCACCATCTGCGCTGTGCGTTTGATTTCAATGCTCTCGTATGTTTATTCATCAGGTATGTTTCCAGTCTCTTCTTGTTTGTGACCTCGATTCATTGATCCTTTGCTCTGCAGCGAGTTCATATTTCTACCTACCAGTCGATGAGGACGAAGACCTCGAGTCGACAGACGATAAATCACTCATCCAAGCATCTTCCTCCAAATCCAACCGACGCGCTCCCCCACATCCCAAAACAGAGACCAAGGCCCCCCATCAAGACCCAATAATCGCGGACATACTTAGCAGTGATGATCTTTACAGAGTCTTGGGTGTAGAGCGAACGGCGAAGCTAGACACGGTGTCGCTTCGGCGTGCATATTTGCGCCGAAGTAGAGCATGTCATCCAGAGTGCGTATTTCTTCCTGTTCTTTGCAACAGATCCTCCAACACTCGGTCTAGTAAATCCTCAGACGATCCCGAGGCCACATCCGCATTCCAGAAAGTGTCGGTTGCGTACGAGATTCTCAGCAACCCTACTTCACGGCGGGTTTATGATAGACGGCCCGCGTCGACGCCATATAATGTGTTTGCTGCCAGTGCGACGAACCACGCAGAGGAGACATTTAGGGGTGTCATCCTGGGTATTTTCAACGAGTTTCTAGATGGGGACCTTGAGGTCATTCGCACCTTGCTGAGTAAGTACCCCAGTACACCCTATGTGTTAACTGCATACTCAAACAATACGCGCAGAGACTATCAACGACATAAATCCCTCCCTCAGACTCGGGGACGAGGGCATTAATTCGGTAATATCGACTTTACAGGGCATCCGTGAACGCGCATTAAGTGAAATTGGTTTGTCCAATCAAATGTAGAAAGCACTGATAGCCATCCACCCACAGCTTGCCGGGCTTGTATATACGCGCTTCACGCGGAAATATCTCGACTCATTGAGGTACAACATGCCTTCCGGCAACTGTCGTATTTCGACCTGATGGGCCGCTCGCGGCTCACGATACAGCTGACGCGTATAACGCTCAGTCTGCCCATTGCACTGGAGCGAGCCATGGGAGATCAAACGCAGCGCAACGTCGAAGGCGGCGAGGAGCGGTCAGAGATGCTGCCTCGACAACTTGGGTTAATATTACGGGGCATGGATGGCGCACTAGAGCGCATGGAACGTGTACTAACTTAGTAGGGCTGTCTTCTCCCTTCTTTCCTGTTTCAACTCTTTCTACTAGACTTTAGATTCCGCTCTCTATCTTTATATCTTGGGGTTTCCTTCTATGTTGTCGCTGTACTGAGCCATCATGTATTCTACATGCATTCTTCATTATCTAGGGTTTTGTTGATCGTGGAAGGACGCGGCACTTAAGTACAAGGCATGTCCCTGGCAACAAGCTCAGCCCCATTACTACGATGACCAGTATGGTGTTTCCTCTCCCAAGGACCAGTCCAGCCTCTGAGCCGACTTTTTTCACGATAAAATAGGCATGGCCGCGTCTATCAAAGCCAGACAGCAATATCTTTCTTCATATTATCATCGGAGTATCGACCTCCCATCTTCCCTTCTCAGCTGTCCCCTCAGTGCCCGTATGTTGACCGGCGCCATACCGCTGCCACCAATAGACTGTGCAGGTGCTGGCCACATCGATGCATTTTCCGTTTGGGTACGGTGAGGCGGCAGGCCCATATCACCTACATCCAGGTCAACTTCGCCAGCATACTTCACTCGTCAGTATTAAATTGTCTTGGTCAATGGTTTAGTCCATGTTTTGCTGAGCTCCGAATTCAACACAGTGCCATCCATACAACACGATCTTGCGAACTCCTAATATACATACGTATGTACTGTCCTTTCAGCCGCGAGTTAGCTTGATAACAGTTACAAAACTGCGTCTTTCGGGATCTTGTAATACAACGGCTACAGAACAACCCTTAGGAAAGATGGTAACAGCATTAAGTAAATAAGAACATACCGTGCCGAAGACATGGTAGTAATGTCCATTTACGCCTCCTTTGTTTTGATCCCCGTAATATGCCATAGGGAACCACTTAACTCTAGTTTAACATAGGAACCAGACAAGGGGCGACGTGAACACGTACATGGCGCTGAGGCAACTCTTCTTTGAAGGCTCGCAAGTATCTGGCCTCTTCCGTCTCGTTGACCACACCGAATCCATGCTTCGGTAAAGTGAATTGGCCGATTTGAAGTTCAGTGTCTGTAACAATACCACGCGAAACACGGGCGTAGGCCGTCCGGTACAAATTTCTGTAAAAGATGTACTCGCACCTTGGTGGTAGTTAGAAAGTGTGGAAGTAAGTACGACGCGGATGACTTACCATCGATCCTGGTCGTCTTTGTCGATATCGTGGACTTGCCCGTCTCTGACCATAATCTCGTAGGGAGCAGCTGCATGGTTGCACGGTTTACTCAGAGCGGAAATGGGAAGAAAAGAGGGCGGACGAACGTTCTTTGGCGTGCGGCTTCGTGACTACGTAGCCAAGGAAAACGACTGGTCGAGGATGCGCAGCAGCCATTATTCTAGCCAACTCCCGACTTTGAAGTTCCCTGTCCAACGGGTCTTCCTCTGCAAGCGATGTTGTTATTAGTATATGAACGATAATACGATAAGAATGGGGGGCACCTTGACCGTTATGGGATACGACTACCGTGACCTCAGTACCGAAGACATCAAGTACGGCTTCAATGGCAGGGGCCAGCTCGCCTCGAGGAGAGGGTAGCAAGTGATGTTTGGAACTGACGATTGGGAACTGTAGGCATTGAATTAGCTATATACGAGGTGCGCGTATTGAAGGAGAAACCTTAGAGAGAAGGGCAGCGCCCCATGTGTGAGAATTGGGCCCTGGTCCTAAATCAACATACTACGAGAGTGTGAGACAACGGAAACGCAGGTCAAGGACAACGGCTTACATATCCGAGTTCTTCCACGATGACTCGAGTCCTTTGCGTGGTCAATTGCATGCTTCACGTAATTGAAAGGTACTTACAGATCGCGGTTCCCATATACGACTCGCTATTGCATTCATAGATACTTTGATCGTCAATGAAACGTCGGTTTTTACTCACGTGTAAGTCAGTTTCCAACAAACCAATGATATCCAACTCCAAGTCCCTAAACCGCCATTTCAGTGGGAATATACCGGTCGTTCAAGGAGTGGAATACCTGACGACATTCCTAATGAGTCGTTGGCTATCTCTACCTGTGTTGTCCATGCCGAAGTGTACCGTCCAGATACCCGCGTTGAATATGCGCGGGCCGGACTTATATGGCACGGGGTTGATACTTGGTCTTCGATATTGGGAGACAAATACAGCAACAACACAAATCAAAGCAAGCGTTGTTCTCGCATAACTCCTGAGGCGGGCTGGGACTTCGATCGCTAGGGTCCGAGGGACAGCGCCGGGCCATTGGAACGCCAACGACAAACACGCCATTTGAGCAAGGACAACGCTAATGCATATGGTCAACATCTATCCCCAGGGATCTGGTATAAGGACGCTTACAGATCAGTCCGTTCGCGTAAGAACGGACCGCCTGGGACGAAGGCATAAGCCACAGTCCAGACGCTAGCTAGAACCAGCAAACAGTAGACGAGGAACGCCATGAAGTATGTTCGCGCGGTGAGACCGGTAAGTGCAGCTCGCTGGAAGACAATGGGGATGACTGCCATGGTGAAGATGGCTACTCCCAATCCACCAAGATACCCAATCCAATCCCGATACTGGAGCATGATGTATGAAGACGCCAGACCGAAGATGAACCAGACCGGGTGGGCGAGATAATTGATGGAAGTCGGGGATAGGGAGAGCGTCGTGAGAGCAATGAAAAGGCCGAGAGACTGAGCGGTCAAGGTAATCGAACCGTGGAGATGGGGCATTGGGCCACGAGGCGCGCTGTTTGCATAACCTGTCCATGACCACGCGAGAAGGGTGCTGGGGTCGGACAAGAGTGAGTGGAGGGAGAAGACTAGGCTACCAAGAGGCAGAGCGCCTACAAGCCAGTGCTCCTTAGCCATATTGTAACCATCGGTGTTACCCTTCTTGGCGTCCATTGAGGCTTCTGAGCTGGGTTGTTCAACAGGTCGACCGAAAAGTTCATATAACGCTAGAACGGCGATGAAAAGTCCAGTCTTATTATATCCACCGGAGGATTCGTTGATGAGCGGCCAAACTAGACATATGACTTCAGCTACAGAATCACGAATAGACGACAGAGACCATACCCGGGTTATTGGAATGATTGGCATGTTTTGACAAGGACGAAGTCATCAAACCCAAAGCAGTGACTACAAGAATAGTGAATAAGCAAATTTCCCGGAACAGTGCCTCAGGACTCAAGACTTACTGATGCTCTGGTAACCAACGGTGTTCCCGTCAGTTAGGCCGGCCCAAATAACGACCTGCCCCATGACAGCAATGATGTTGGCGAAAGTCACAACAAAGAAACGATGAAGGGGACTGCTCAATGCATACGCAGCAAGACCGGAGAGAGATAGCAGCTGGAGCGCGGACAACCCTCCACGGCTTCGTACCCAGGATAGAACAGAGGGAACCGCTAGGAACGCGGGTGACAACGTCGCTAACAGGGCAAGTTCCTGACCAGCGATGCCAAGTTCCCAAACCGAGAAATAGAACAAGGTAGGTATCAACGACGTGAAAAGCGACCAGAAAATATAGGCTAAGGCCTCGTTCAGCATCAAGTCTGCAGAGCTTGAAGATAGTCCTTACACAGGTATAGGTCAGATACGAAGCTCAATATAGGCCTATGCTGGGCCAATGCAGATAGATCGAGCAATAACGGTGGCGGCGGTGGAACGGGGTGCTTCTCTTTGAGTGTTTCAGCGGATGTACTAACCATCTTCGGTTCGGACGTCACCCTGCTTCGAGCATCAGCGTGAATCGTTAAGCAAGACGACGAATCCGTTGGTACATTGGATCTATCTCTGCGCCTGAGTGAAGGGAAGGACCCAACGAAATCTACCAACAAGAATTAGGCTTCAGAGTTGAAATGGCGATACCGAGGGTCACAAACCTGTAAATCTGCCTCCCTTAGATCCTGTTCCGCGACAGAGTCATATAATACGTCGAAGATAATCAGTGCCCATTCGAAGAAGGCGTAGCGAGTATATGCTAAAAACGTAATTCGTTGGGACGGGCATGTTTACTAAGAGAGATAACTCACCGCCGGGCACTCTGTGAACTTTATGTTGAACGAAGAAATATATCAATGGTACAATGGAGGCAAAGAATCTGAAAACAAATTAGCAAAAGACGAGGTAAAAGTATATGGACATTACCCGGTAGCTATCATCCGGCTGGGCATGTCGTGTTAATAGAAGTCTAAGAACGTTAATTTTGAGAACGCACCGCTTGCGACGAACAACCGCGTTTTGTGTGCATGCAATCCCTCCAAGCATCCAAGGAAGGTCACACACAATATATGTGATCATTAAGACATCGTGCACGTCGTGGTCGTCAGATGAAGTGATATATACCCAGCCGCCGCAAGATATGGTTCGTATAAGTCCAGAAATGAAGACCACAGTTGGTAGCGACGAATCCTGGGAGTGCTGGAGATAGTATAGTAGTGTAACCAGGGCGAATCGGGGACCTGCTGTTAGGGCAATGAGCACTTGGAATATATTACGTTCAGGATACCAGTCCCCGATCCTGTTACGAGAATTCACCGTCAGAGGCACGGAAGTAACTTGACAGGCACGTACGTGGCTGAAACGGACGGAAACCATTCTTGCGGGTACCCCGCAACGCCATTCTTGACGATTTTCTTATAGTGCAACAAGCACCCTATACACAATGCGCTCGCAAACGCCGTATACGCAAGCCAAGTATGAACGCGGGCAATCAGCGACGCGTCGAACACGAATCTTTTTCTGCTTTTACTGTCGTCTGTCGATGGCATGCGCAACGACCTCTAGGGCTCTAGGGTGAATGGTGGTGGTGGTGGTGGTTGGAGCAGACCTTCCTTATGGCCGCCCAGCCCACTTGTCCTCACTCTTGGTTCCCTTCTGTTCCGGCGGCCAAACAACATTAGCGCCGTGTGCACTGTTGCCCGTCGAGACTCGACAAATTTATCACCAACACAAATCCTGGATGGCTTCTGCGCAGCAGGGCAGTTCATACATTCCCATAACGGTCTTCACAGGATTCCTGGGTGCAGGCAAGACGTCGGTCATTCTCTCTCTCCTCCCCCAGCTTCCGAAGGATTACAGGGTTGTATTGCTCAAGAATGAGTTTGGGGACATAGAAGGTGAGCATAAACTTTCCTGATGTTCGTGACGGTATTGAGATGTGATTCAAGTTGATAGCAAGCTGGCTGAACAGTCCAGCCTCACGGCGGTGAGTGAAATCCTGAATGGTTGTATGTGAGTTTCTATTTGAAATCCCAAAACCTCAAGCTGAGGTCATTCCAGGTGCTGTGTCTTGGTGGGCCAGATGCAGAATGCTCTGCTAGAAATCAGAGGCTCGTCGTGAATGCCTTTGCCCAATCCAGACATCGGCTCATAAAGATACTCCAGATAAATATCGACCGGATCGTATTATCATAGAGTGCTCGTACGTGCTCAGTGATCCACATAAATCTCGTATCTTATGTCGGGCTCGAAGGGGGTCAGCATTTCCTGCAACGTTGGCCTTTCAGATCCGCGAACTGGAAAGACAGACATCGGGAGACCTTAAATTGGATTCGATAGTCACCGTAGTGGATGCCGAAAACTTCCAGGGCTATGAAGACTCGTCGCCTACAGCAAAGATGCAAGCAAGCTACACCGATATACTTCTCATCGTAAGCACAATGTATGTCCAACCGGTCGACAGCTAAATGAACGCCTGCGCCAGAACAAATGGGAACATGTTTCTGAGCGTGCACTAGACATGGTCATCGACCATCTAAACACTTTGAACGACGAGACACCCAAGATAAAGTGCCGCGGTCGTGATGGTGTCGACCCGCACCTCGTCTTCGGTATCGAAACCTCTCTTTTTAATGAGCCGGTCCCAAGCGTAGAACGTCATCATACCCATAGTGAAGAAGTAGAAACGGTTACCATCCAAAGGCGCCGCCCCGAAGGACCTTGCGACTGCCCTGACAATACGCACGACCACAACCACAGAAATGTAGAAATTGCGACCAAGCACACCTCCGTTTCCTCGAGCGTACTGGAAACCGCGCTTGCGTCAGTATCAAAGGAGGTTGTTTGGCGGATCAAAGGGTTCGTGCGTTTAGAGACTGGTGTGCACATCCTCAACTGGGCATTCGGACGACACGATCTGACTCCATCAAACGACAAGTATATGGAGGGCGGCGAGGTCTTAAAACTTACGGTGATGGGTGAGAGGGGCGAAGTAAAGAAGTCGGCTAGACGATTCGCTACTTGTTTCGACGCAGACATCGTTTAGCTAACCGCCCTCACAAGTATCAGCTTCCTGCACTGACCATGTCCTTCCGCCAGTTCATCGTAACACGTATGCTTGCCACGATCTTTCAGTCATCGGACACATCTACCCACATGCCCGAATGCTTCTGGTTCTCGGAGTTGTTATCGGTCTTTCCATTTGCTTACACACAACCAGGTCGATGCAGAACTTTTCTCATCTTCTAGCACGATAATGAACCCTCAAACCACAGCGACCAACCCCCTCTTAACCCAAGTTTCTATAAACTTGATGATCAGGAGGCCAGATTCTTTAAATTAATGACAGGGATTCAAGATGACGCGGAGTTGAAAGAGTATATTTTGAGAGTGCAAGCGAAAGCTTACAGTGTACGTATTCAACTGGGCAGCAAGCTTAATTCCTCATTTATTACCTCAGGTATACGAATATCCATGCATACGAAGATTCGCCTTTTTGGAGTGGGTTATGCCAATATCAACCTTCCGTGACATTGAATATATAAATTCGTAGTCTCAAGATATCCCGAATGCCGGCGTACAAACGATTACTCAAGATGGGTCAGGAGAGATCAGAGGCAATCCTGCTGGACATGGGTTGTTGTGAGTTGTGCTTCCCTAGAAACCGACGACAAAACTTGATGTCTACTCATCCCAGTTGGGAATGATGCACGAAAGGCCGTGGCCGACGGTTGGCCAATCCAGAATGTCGTTGCATCTGATCTTCGTCAAGGTAAGTGCTCATCTATGACTTCCGTCCTCCTTCCTCAGGAGTAACCCTAACTCGCACGAACATGATACATGTACATTAGTGTTCTGGGACGCCGGACATGAACTATTCCTGACCACCCCGGAAGCATCCCCCTTAATGGTCGTCCTTGGGGATGTATTCGATCCAGCATACGTTGCTCCACGTGCGAACCATTCTACGAACCTCTTTCGACGCCGGTTCCAGACCTGCAATCCTTGACTTTCCTCACGCTGCTGCAAGGACACGTTTCTGTGATCCATGCTTCGTCATTCGTATACTTGTTCACGAAAAACAAACACTAGTATGCAAAGTCCTTGCTTCTTTACCCCTGGGTCTACCATATTTGGCTCTCGCATAGGGCTCCCAAACAATGGAATCAGAGCACGCCCTATGACGGGCGGTGATATGGACATGTTCTGCCATGACCCGAATAGTTACAAGGAACTCTGGCACCAGATATTCGGAAAGGGAGGCATCAAGGTCGAAGTCCAGAGTGAGGTAATCAAGAGAGATGTCGTTGATATGGAGGCTGATATTAGTTTCTATTTCTATCTTATGATCTGGTCGGTAACGAGGACATAGCCTTGGTAGTGCAACACTCTGTTTTCGATGTATGGTTGAAGGTCACGAATACGCAGGTACTGTGGTCCCTCGTGTTTCTCTTGTAAGTACTCAAATTGGCATATCTACATAGTTGACATTCGTCTTACTGTGCAGCTGATAGACTGTCATTGACTACACTCTCCCCCCGAAATATACAGACTGCGTCCATGGGGACAAAACGATGGAAAACACCGGACTCCCGCCGCCGTCGGTCGACAATTACTTATCCGAGAGGTAACTTGTTCCCGCTTCCAGGCGCTGAATCCCTGAATGATGGCGTGTATAGTATGCAGATCTTGGCATAGCCTCCGTTATCTATTAACGCAGCGAGCAACTTCCAAGATACTACTCATCGTGTACCGTATCTAAGGCTGTACTATGCAGTCTTCGAGAAGGTCAGTAACTTGGATGTCATTAGCATGAGCCCCTTTAATTCCATTGTACCCAAGGGGTGCGTTCGTATGGCAGCCAACGTTCGACCCGGAGTCCGATCCAAAACGGGGATGTAGTACGAAAAGGCATGTCTTCCTAACTAAACATACCTTGTGTAAGGGGCGGAAACTGTTAACTTAGATAGTGAGTTCTCCGATAATCGGTGTGTCGCAGAGATATTCACCACATCTACTACGTACAGTATCTCGGTAATGGTGTGCTTCCCTGAGAAACCTTGACTGAAATCGAGTTCATCGGACGGCGTTTTATTGCCCGCCGTGCGGGCCAGTTCGGCCGTTCCATTCTGACCGACATTGGGGTGTCAGAAGATCCCAATCTTAACTCTAATTGAGTCCAACGTTTGGCACTTGTTGTGCATTGACCCACGTCGCGGGTTTGCAATCCTCGACCGTCGGACCTTCTTGCTGTCTTAAGGCACCTGGCTGGGCAGTGGCCTCGTTTCTCATCCACGGACACACATCAAATTATAGGTTTCTCCTCAGAAATATAAGGATGAAGGATGGAAGAGACAGCACTCATCGATCTACATGGCCTCGCATTACCGTTTACCCAACCTCCTCGCTCTCTTCGACGCAAACGGTGCTCGTGTCAACCCTCGTTTCCACAAACTTGACTCGCAGTTCAATCAATGGCTGGACTCTCTCGCTCTCGACACGGGCTTTGTTGAGGTAAAAGCCCCGTATCCTACGACAATAATGTACTAAGCAACTCTCTATAGACGTTGAAGCAGATCCAGATGCCGGTATTGATATCCCATGCATACCCAGAAGCATCCTTGGATCAGCTTAGGACATGCCTTGACTACCTCACTCTGGCTTTCATCTTCGAGGAGATCACGTAGGTGTAGGCTTACCGCCCCCACAATACAATCACTCTTACACATCTAAACTTCAGGGAGAACACATCCAGCTCGCAGAGCCAGCGATGGGCAGACCTTTATATGGGCATGTATCGGGGGACAGCGTCTGTCCTTTCGAACATCGTACCCGAAGAAACCGACCATCCGCTATTTCCTGTCATGACAAGGTATTTCCGTTGCGACCACACGTAGCCCACACGATCTTATCGGTCTTCTTCAACAGCCTAGCACAGAACGTCATGTTATCGTTGGAACCTCTCTTTCACGAATCGTTCATCGCGGAGAACCTTGCTTCTGTCCAGGCCATCGTACAAGAAGCCATTGATCGTGAAGTCGACCCCCCCTCTCGCCAGCCGCCGACTCTCGAAGCCTATTATATCAACCGCTTAGCTACTGTCGGTGTGATGCCATTCCTCATTCTCGCACAATGGACCGGTGGGATTCGGTTGCCAGTTTCCATCCAAGATTCGCATTCTATTCAGACGATGTCTCAAGCGGCCGTTGAAATGGTGTTTTTAGCCAACGTCCGTATCATCGAACCTCTTATCAGTCTCAAACTCATGCTCGTTATTGCAGGATGTTTACTCGTACAAGAAGGAGAAAATGGCTGGGGCGACACAAAACAACGTCATCACCGTCATAATTGGAGACCCATCTACGGGCATCTGCGAGGGGGACCTCCAAGGAAGCTTCGATTATTCAGAGAGGCTGTTTCAGGATGCCCTGAGCCGCTTTTATACTCATAGGGAGATGCTTCTGGAAATCGTGTCGGACCAGCAAAACTACACCGCCGACATAGACAAATTCAGCCGAGCGATGATGGACTGTGTTGTTGGAAACATCAAATGGAGTATGGTTTGTAAGCGATATGCTGTCTTCGAATGCGAGCAGGCGAGGAATAATGAGGTGGTGAAAATATGAGCGCTCGATCATTGATAGACCGCACATATGTATTCTAAAATCTTGATCAACGTTACGTAGACCGGCGATTGTTCAAATAATGACCAGAATCTTTGTTGCGTCACTTAAACTTTCATTCCTTCAACTAACCAGGAGGGAAACGTCGCGAGTCGCGGCTTGGCGACGTAAGACAACGCGTCACGAGGCTGCTGTCACAGCGGCTTTGAGCCTTTCAAAATTCCATAACCCTTTCTCCTATAGCTAATTATAAGCCATGGTGGCTCCATCCTTACTTGCCACACAACCCGACACAAAGCTCGCCCCAGATCGACTATCCTTCTTTGACCAGAGCTAGCCAATTCTTACCAGCCTGCAGGTTCATACTCGAATTCGAATACATTTTGCAAACCGTTAGCCTACTACAACTTCCCGACACATCGGCACATGGAGCAGTGGATCCAAGGATACAGCCATGCCGTCCCATGAACCAGGCTGAACTACCATTTCTGTCGAACGGTCCATTAAGGTGCTCAGCGTCAATCAAATATCACTGCCTGAGGCAACGGCTGCTGGCAGTTTGGTGGCTTACCTGCACCGCGAATTGAAGTGCAAAAAGCCAAGTTAGATACTGCAATACAAGCTTTGACTCTCAAGTAAGTTTCACTGGGCACTAAGCATGTTTGTGCACATGTCTAACGGTGATTTGCAAGGGAGCCAGAAAGCCGCGGGTCAGATCATAACCCCAGGAACGCCGTAGCCCTTACGCAGAAAGCAGAAACGATGGCATCAAGTAACGCGGTCCTGTCAACGCTGTTTGTTGTTCTAAACATGGCATACGGCGAATCAAGCCCTTCGCATTGCGACTGGACCAAACAAACGACAGTTTGACTCAGCAATCTCCACTGATAGGCGGGATTCTTATGTCCCCTCCGATTCCGCCTCCTTCGCTACAGAAAAGTGGCTTCCAGGAGCTATCCGGCCAGTATAGGCGTATGATCGTGCTCAACAACTGACAACGCATAGTACCTAACCACACTCCATGCTATACGACAACGCGCGCTCGCCATATCACCATGCTTGCTGATAGGATCAAGACTACGAGTTCCAGATATAACACCTATTGGGATTTGTCGATCTAAAGCAATGTCTGGCTACGTTGTCGGTGCCGCTTCACCGTTGTCTTAACTAGGTTGGCGGTGAAACCGGTCTAAACCTCTACTACTACTATGTGTTTGATCTTGGCAATGCATCAGCCAGCGTGCTTCAACCCCGTAGTACGATCCGTTTCATCGTCATCACCGTATCTGCGCGCACTAAAAATAGCTTTCTGGCCAACGCGACCGCGTCGACTCTCGCAGTATAAGTACCTCACCCTGACAATGAGAAACCCCATCGTGCCGGCCACGCTCAATCAACTCCCAACCAAGCGACCTGGTGTCCAACTTCAATCCCCCTCTCAATATGTTCTTTCGATCAACGACGCTTATTGCCGCCACGGCAGTCATCCTCTTTGCTCAGTCATCCTTGTCGGCTGTGGTCTACAGGGCACCGTCCGATCATGTCCAAGTTCTCGATACACAAGAACTTGAGGCTCGGACGGAGTATATCAACCCGGGCAATAACACCCAGCTTCTAGAGGCACGAAAAGGAGCTGGGGGTGCTCTTGGCGATGTCGTCATGAGTATCATCACTGGAATACAAGACGGCATAAACGCAGACAAAGACGTAGGCATAACGCTTACAATACGCGGAATGCACTATTAACGCAACGGCCGTTTACTATAGGCGCGTAGCAAGTTCACTTCTGACCTCGTTGGTCAATTACACGCCAAGCAACCCAATTTCAACTGGATTGTATGCCACACCAAGCATGACTACAAGTGGGATGGCCAACGGGGTGTCGACTGGGACCATAGACACCAAGAGTTTGATGTCAAGATTGGGGGAACGATCGGGTTTGTACAATCCGATACTAGCTCTTCACTTGACTGACGTTGCGTGTAGATATGAGATCTATAATGCTAAATCTGGGCAGTTCTTCCGTAAAGGTGATGGAGGTTACCTGAACGTCAGTTTCCTTTTCCTCTTCCTATCATCGATTAGTCGTTGACAGCAATATCTAGTGGGCATACATTGGCAACGTTCTCAAGACGGAGAATAACGGGAAAGATCTTACGTTCGGCAAACCTTAGTTTACCGTGTTCTATTCCAATTCCTTGTGTTCAATAAAATCTCTTTCTGGTTGGCTCTACTTCTGGACAATCAATGTTGCTGGCACAAAGCTGAACACAAGAAACTTCTATGTCGTGATTAGTTTTAGATACAAAATCCGAAATCTTCGGTCTTTCATGCCGCACTATCTCTGAGTTTCACCAATCTCAAGCTGGGTAGGCCTTCGGCCTTGCTAAAAAGGAGAGGACGCAAACCGGCCATTTGGCGGCTGTTGTTTGGCACAATTGGGGGTGCCAAACTACTGCTTCGCAGTAATTAGCGCTCGTCATACCTATCCTCAGAACTTCCGTGACCATGGGGTTGTTGCTTTCCTTTCCAATCGCTGGTATATTTGGATCGGTCGCTTCATCATGTCTAGCTGGGCTGGCATTCTTCTGCACATCCACAGCGGGTACGGGCCTCGCGTTTTGTTTATTTGTTCTACCCTCATTCGGACTGTGCAGCGTCCATGTTCTGCAAGTCATGTAATTGCAACTCGTCAATTGCCACCCGTATCGGATTTGCGGTGAGTGATAGTACTTGTAATCCATAAACTCATGCTGATTTGACCAGATGATATTCGCATTAAACTCGATGCTAGCATGGCTCATGAAGACCGACTGGGCCATCAAACTCATAGAGAAGTACAGCTACGACTACATCAAGATGGACTGCGCAGGGGACAAATGCTACGGTGTACTGGCTGTTCACCGTATCTGCTTCGCTCTCTCCTTGTTCCACCTCATCCTCAGCACATCGCTCGTTGGCGTACAAGACACGAAGGATAAGCGGGCCTCCATTCAGAATGGGTGAGTACGCCGTTGCAAATCTGAGAGTCTACCTTACATTACTGCAGATGGTGGGGTCCCAAGGTCTTGCTCTGGATCGTCTTGGTTGCTATCAGCTTCTTCATTCCAAACGGCTTCTTTATGTTCTGGGGCAACTACGTCTCCCTGATCGGTGCAACTATCTTCATACTCCTCGGTCTCGTTCTCCTCGTCGACTTTGCCCATTCATACTCTGAAATGTGCCTTGATAAATGGGAGAACTCACCAACCAACTCGAATATGTGGCAATACATCCTTGTCGGCTCTACCGCGGCCATGTACGCATTCGCTATCACCCTCACTGGTGTCATGTATGGCTTCTTCGCCAACTCCGGTTGCACCCTGAATCGCTTCTTCATTTCCTTTAACCTTGCACTATGCCTTGTCATCACCATAATGTGTATCCACCCGACAATACAAGAATACAACCCTCGCTCAGGTCTCGCCCAGTCGGGTATGGTCGCTGCGTACTGTACTTATCTCATCGTCAGTGCGGTCAGCAATCACGCCCACGCTGCACAGGGTTGTAATCCGATACTGAAGGCTGGTGGCACGCGAACAACAACGGTTGTGCTCGGTGGGATATTCACCTTCGTCGCGATTGCATACTCGACCACCCGTGCTGCGACTCAAAGTCGTGCCCTATCCGGAAGCTCCAAGAAGTCCGGCGCGCTTCATCTTCCCATTGATAGCGAAACTGCTGGGCATGCCGAGATGGGAGTAGTCAACACACAACCTGGGCGCATGGAGTCGCCGCGCTACCAGGCGCTTCTTGCTGCAGTCGAAGCTGGGTAAGTCCATGACAAGGTGTATATATTCTATTTCTCTTGACTGTACGTATTCCAGTGCTATTCCCGCCTCCGCCCTCGAGGAGGAGGAAGACGAGGAGGAAGACGAAGAACTTGGCGAGACTCGCGATGACGAACGTACAGGAACCCGATATAATGTATGTCCTCGCTCATGTAGCATCAATCAGTTGCGTTGCTGAATCTGAAACAGTACTCCTGGTTCCACATCATTTTTGCCATTGCTGGGATGTATGTTGCCATGCTGTTAACGGACTGGTAGGTGTCTTCGCCATCGTGTCGTTCTCCCTTTACTAACGCCGAGCGTTAGGAACGTAGTATCGAAGAACCCTATCGGTGACGCCCCAACCGACCCCGACTCTGATGTATACATCGGGCGATCCGAGGTGGCAATGTGGATGAGAGTGGTGTCGAGTTGGGTGTGCATGTTGTTGTATATGTGGAGCCTCCTGGCCCCCGTTCTTATGCCAGATCGGTGAGAACCCATCTTCTCGACATCCCGCTTTACTAACTCCCTTGGCAGCTTTGACGAATACTAGGCTGTAATTTTCGTTATTCCTTCCTGGACAGTATCTCATATCTATTACAATGCACATCCTATATATAATTAGCAGCATCCTTATCAGTGGATCATTGGATCAGTACTCGTCCGCACACCGGCAATTGCAATCTGCAACGGGACAAATACCATGGGATCGAGCACTGTCCGCACCAAAGAACCAATCCAGCAGGTGAGAAGCATGACCACCATGCCTGCATGTTTGGCAAATGACAATAGCGTCATCGATGGTGTCTGCAAAGAGAGGGTAAACGTAAACTCTACAGCACGAAAGAATCACTCGCCTTTGCTTTCGTTAAGGGTTAGTTGGGCTTCTCGCTGTCCGTCATAAACGATGGAGAGATTCATCAAGCACACGGAACACCTTGGCAACGGTCTTGCACAGTTTGGACATGCGTTGACCTAAACTATTTGAGCAACTAATCGACAGCGGAAGAATCGAGAGACTCACTCGTCCTTTGGACTGTGCAGCAGAGTTTGGAGGGCTGACTTGCTTATTGCAATAATTACAGCGCATCGAAATTTGGCGAGGGACATAATCCACCCGGGGTATGTCCCCGTTCTGTATTGCAGCTTGGATGACGTTCCCTCGCTCGACGTCAAAGTTGACGCGGTGGTGGAACAGTTTGAATCCATCTAATATATCTCGGTAGGAATCAAGCCAATGGTCTACTCTGCGATCAACGAATTTCCAAGGACTAACAAAAGACGCCATGATTGCGGCCGTTTGGACGTCACCCGTGTGATCGACATAGCCTTGGAGGATATCCAAGCCAGGCTTTGTTAATCCAGCGACAATGAGGCAGTCGATGTCCCCTGAGGCACTAGACCGCTCGATACACCGTCGTAGGTATGACGAGAGAGATTTATCGTCCAGGAACTGGAAGGCGATAGCCAGACGTTCGCGGAAGGGTAAGATCTCCTCATCCAGAATTTCGGACCAGTCCCCCAAGGTGAGATGAGTGAGTATTGCCCGTAGATAGGGATCTTGAAGGCGGACGATCAATCGCTCGCAGTGCTCTCGTAGCTCTAAGTTCATCGAAGAGCTGCTAGAACCGTGGGGTATCAATGCTGCCAGTGTACCACTCATCATGTGGTGAATTTCATCTAGAAAGGTCAGCACTAGGTAGCTGCATATCCATATCTACTGCTTGAGGCGTACCTTCGCTTCGCATGAGCACATCCAACGCTTTGGAGTATTGTCTCGTGAAGATTAGCCAACATGCAGCCCTGGAGTACTTTCCGTCGTTCTCCCACCTGAACCAAAATACCATAAACAGTGATTAGGTTTAGAAGGGATGTTTCGTACCGTTTGATGGCTTTGCTCAAGTCGTCTTGTTTCAGACTCCAACCACATAAATCCAGCGCAATCTGTCGTTGAAGCAGCTTCGACGTCGATATGGTTGGTTTCCAATCAGAGTGGTGGACATTTCTGCGAGCCGCAAGTTCTGTGAGGGCAGTGTGGAATGCACTCAAAGTCCTTCCATTTGGGGAGCGGCTCCGTCGACTTCGAGACCCCGGTGCGCCGAGAAGGTCCTCCGCCGTGCTAGGCTCCGTAGGTTGGTTGGACATTGGGCGAAACCCCTCCCAGATACCTAGTAACCCCTCGTAAGTGAAATCATGATTACCAACTCGTGCTGTTGGAGTGCATAATATCTCTCTGGAGTCTATCCAAGGATTTCAGGACCAAAGATAAGCTCGTATTGAAGGCAACGTACGATTCAACCATGCCCAAGTTTCGGTCAAAAGGCCGTCCGGTTCGTCGTGCGTGATATAAGTGTTATCTTGCGGCTGGGACGGATGTGTTCAGCCAACATTGCCCAACGGGGGGGCTTTGATACGCCACTCACTCTACTGAGACCATATCCTTTGATAACTCTCGAACGCATGACCATAGATATATCGTCAGCGACAACATGTCCTAGTGCTTTCAACGGCTGTTGCTTCCTGATTCGACTAGAGCTGTTATCCTGGGAGATCCGACCCCCAGGTCTATCCGAAGGCCCTTTCGAACGCGATACGCGAGAGCCATTATCTGCCTTCTCTTTCTGGTACGAAGAATACTCGTATTGCAGAGAATACTTGCGAAAGGACATAGGGCTGTATGTTCTGCTTTTCGCCGAGCGTCCATATGTATTTGAAGCAGCGATACTAGTAGGATATGGCGACAACGAAAGAGCAGGGAATCCCTCGTCGTCACCCCGCCCAAACAAGGCAGGAGAGTTAGATCCATTCGTTCTTGGCCCACTACGCCCTCGAACTGAACCATCCAGCCGCTGAAGAGAGTGCGAACGAGACCGGGGGCTCGATTTTTGTTGGAGATGATTAGCATCAGACGCGGGCGCATCCCAAGGTTCAGGAGGAGGAGAAATGTCTTGGAAGCCGGAGATGAATCTAAACGACTTGCCAGCGCCAATTGCGAGTTCGCCGCGACCACTCCAAACAGCTTGCTTAGGAGTGTCGTGCACTGCGTAGAGCTCAAGGTCGCCTTCTCTGTTGACCACCATCACGTTGGAGGTTAATGGGTGCGAGTGAGGGCTAGGTACAAGGGCAAACGATGCCAATGGCCGAGGGAAATCCTTGGCTGAGAAATGTATTTTAATCTGATGACAGAAAACCACCGATGAAGGTGCTTACTTCTGAAGGTACCACATGCCATCAGCGATGGATGAGTCTCCGTTTCCCTGGCTTGGGGTTGAAGGTGTGGAGTAGTAACACCCGCTGTCCAGGGGAGATTGGCCCAGGATTTCCTGGTGGTTCTACTGGCCGATGAGGAATCTCGGGATGCAGCACCATCTGGAGACTCTTCTACTAACGACGCCTGGGACTCCAGGAGATCCCAGAAGCGCACGTACGATGCATCCTTTTCCATCGTAGCCAGCATACCCCGTCTTGTGCTTGAAAATTCGATGCACGAGTATATTGAATTAGGCCGGATTCGAGCCCCATCGTGGAGGGCATCCTTTTCCGTAAACGTAAGTAACGGATGATTAAGTTTTCTGGCATCCCATATCGACACAATCCCGTCGCCATGACATGCGATTCGATGCTGGTCAAAAGGATCTGTAGCAATACCATGTACCTTCGCCGCGACATGACTAGTTGATGGTATGGAGTTACGAAGGTCGAACAGACGAAGCCAACGATAAGAAATCCCCGCGAGTAGTAGGTGAGTAGATTTCGGAATGAAAGAAAGGGATGATACGACTTCCGTTGATGCATGTTGTTGCACGATACGGTGATCTATACGAGAACCCAACTCAGCGCGAGGAAGTTGAGGGTTTGGCCTGGGCTGCACGTTGCTGGTGAAGTTTGGATTGGGCGAGGCCTGAGCGAAGGTGGAAGAAGCAGCACTTATGTCCCACACCACCAAACTAGGCTCTCCGCGAACTTTGTCCAGTCCCACAGCCAGGTAATTTGGGTCCGTGGCACAGAATGTAACAACGTTGCAAGAGCGTGAATTCCGAACTGGGAGCGAGACGGTGGGACCGCTTGTGAGGAGATTCGCTTGTCGAGCAGACTTGGAGGCCTCCAGGCGAATGAGATCCACACGTCCTGTAGTGAGGCCCACAGCGAACAGATCATCGTACGTCGCGTCAGGAGACCATGCAAAGCACTGGGATGAGAGTTTCAAAAAAGACGGTCGCTTGGGTATTTACACGGCGAGTCACCTTCATGAATTGAAGGTCATGTTGAGAAGTGATATGCCGTATCTCGGGGAATTCTGGAGTCCATTCATATAAGGTGATTTGGGTTCCACCACCAACGACGAACTTGGTGTCCTGTCGAGGATGCCAAAGGACACGCCTGTCCGACTGCGAGGAGGGCACCATGATCGTTCTGCCAACGCTGGTGCTCGGCTAGTAGTGCCTAAAATGGACACTTCAGACTTTAAGTTGATAAGCGCTCGAGGGGTAGTTTCCTTTCAATCCACCATGCCCATCGTCCAATTCGCGCCATTCGCGTCGCTCGTACAGCCGTCCTTTTGGCACGAACTCACTTCCCTCAAAGTAGACATACTACGTTTATCGGACGATGCGATCCCCGTTACTGCAACATACACGACTGGCCGATCAGTCAAAGATAGAGAAACGGGGCAGGAGATCGTTCTTGGATGCAATGTGACAGTTGGAGCTGAGTCGTTTCGAAAAGATCACCAGTGAGCATTTCCCTGCCTCTGATTGTCTCTGAAGTGACCACGAGAAGGCCATCAGCAGGTGCTGTCGTTGCCCAAGGGACCGTGAAGAACTTCAATACGATCGAGGAGTTCAAGTCGGCTGACAAGTCATCGCTATTCAACCACGAAGCTGATATCGTATGTCGCCAACGATATCTACAAGTTTCTCTGCATGACGAAAATAGATCTGGGAAAGCATACTCCGAAACCAGGATACGTCGCTGTTAACACGATTCCTACTCATATCCTATGCCGACCTCAAGAAATACAAATACTACTACTGGTTCGCATTTCCTGCCTTTGCGGCGAAGCCTGCATGGGAGATTGACAGTCGCGGCTGGGTGTCTGCGGAGGAGGCATTCAGTCAGGACGCGTTGAGTGGAATATACACGCAACTCAAGCAATCGCAGAAGCATGCATCATTCTTCTTGATTAACGATAAGGACCAAGTCCTAGGAGTTGATAAATTCGGGTCAGAGATGCAAGCAACGATTGCGTTTATAGATCCCTCAGCTGCGGCGAACAACCCGGGATGGCCTCTCCGCAATTTACTCGCCTATCTTCGTGCCCTTTACCCGCAAAAGACATCGTCTTTACGCGTTATTTGTTGGAGAGACAATGTCTCGGAGGGTTCCCCGTCAGCGGGTGCTTGGAAGAGTCGATTTGGGGTTCTCAGTGCCGGCGCGTCTGTGGAGTCAACGAGTCGCCCGACTGCAGTTGGATGGGAGAAGAATATGCAGGGAAAACTTGCGCCGAGAGTCGCCGACCTCGCGCCCATGATGGATCCAGCAAGGTATATATCAGTATTTTACCATAAGAGGGCTCCAGCTAACCAATGGAGTAGACTCGCCGATCAAGCCGTTGATCTGAATCTCAAACTCATGCGATGGCGTATCCTCCCTTCCCTTGACCTGGAGAAAGTCGCATCAACACGCTGTCTCCTCCTTGGTGCAGGAACTCTTGGATGCTACGTTGCTCGTACTTTGATGGTCCGTAGCCTTGCCTTCTCTCCTCCCCCCTTGTCCCCTTAAATGTTTAACAGGGGTGGGGCGTCCGTACAATCTCGTTCGTCGATTCTGCACGCGTATCGTTCTCCAATCCAGTTCGACAGCCGTTGTTTGAGTTTGAGGATTGTCTCGAAGGCGGGAAGCCCAAGGCTGCGTGCGCCGCCGCGCGATTGAAGAAGATCTTCCCAGGCGTTGTATGTATTTCAGGCCCTCCACTTGGATCTACACGATTACTGACGTGATGTCGTGGCTTTATAGAATGCCAAAGGGTATAACCTATCTATTCCGATGCCGGGTCACCCCGTACCACCCGCCTCCTTAGCCCAGACGAAAGCGGACGTGGAAGCCCTCGAGAAGCTGTTTGATGAACACGACGCCGTGTTCCTGCTGATGGACTCTAGAGAGAGCCGGTGGTTACCGACGGTTATGGGTGCTTCTAAGGGAAAGGTGCGCACGATTCTTCCTTTCTCACTTGCCTGAGACCTGTATCCATCTCGACCGTTCTTAGATAGTTCTGAATGCTGCGCTCGGATTCGATACGTTCCTTGTTATGAGGCACGGTGCTCGGGGTAAAGCTTCTACGACAACACCGGCAGATGGGAAATTCCCTCTCGGATGCTACTACTGTAATGACATAGTCGCACCTGCAGACGTACGTCTCTTCTCTACTTGCCTCGTTATGAAACGCCAATGTTCCCAACGGGCTCTATGAACAGTCTCTAACAGATCGGACCCTGGACCAAATGTGCACGGTGACGAGGCCTGGGCTGGCTTCTATTGCTGCATCTACCGCCGTTGAGCTCCTGGCCTCGCTACTCCAGCATCCCGACGGGTAAGTGACCCCCCACTCCATCCGCATCCGTTTATGCCCAGACACGTACACGTTTCGCAGCATCAACGCCCCGGCACCCCCGCCTCAACAAGGCAACGAGCTCGCCGATCCAAGTCAAAGCGGGAGCGTCCTTGGACTAGTCCCCCATCAGCTGAGAGGGTTCCTAGCTCAATTCAGGAACCTGTCTATTGTCGGTCCTGCGTATGATCGATGCACAGGATGTAGTGACACGGTGCGTAATCGTTTCCTCGCTTGTTGATCATCTTACCATCACTGACATTGACGTGTGGTCAATGACAAAGGTCCTCAATGCGTACGAGAAAGAGGGCTTCGATATGATGCTGAAGGCGTTCAACGAACCCAAGTACTTGGAGACGTTGACAGGGCTTGACAAATTGTACGAGGAAGGACAGGCGGCATTAGACAATGTGGATTGGGACGTAGATGAAGGAGGTGAAGGCTCGGGAGACGATTTCTGAGATGAATGAGGAAGCAACAGCATGCTGGAACTTGTAATACTACCAGAGACGATGTATATAGAGTACTGACCTCCAATGTCACGACATGATACGACTGTAAATATCCTTTCGTAGGTCGCGGGATGCACAATTAGACTGATTCCGCCAAGGCGTGCCCCTACTAATTCTATCTCACGTGATGGGCTACATAATTCACTGCTCCCGATTTGGGTAGACTTATATTCGTGTTTGTGCCAGTGTGCAACTCTGAACGCGATGGACATGAACAACCCTAAGAAAGCATTGCAAGCAAAAGAAAAGGTCTCATCTTCTGCTGACATGGAATTCTCTCATTGACGCACAAGAACAGGGGAACGAAGCGTTCAAAGCTGGCGATTACTACGCCGCCATCGGCCATTACACCACTGCGATCCTCAACAACAGGAAAGACGCGACATTCCCTTTAAACCGCGCCGCTGCATACCTGAAGCTAGGAAAGTGAGCACAGTCTCTGTCTGCATCTCCTATCTCCAGCCGTTCAACTTCATCAAGAGTTCTCAATTTGACCGGTAAACAGAAATCAAGATGCGGAGCGGGACTGCACGACGGTGCTGGAGTTGAGTAAGAGCAACTTGAAAGCTCTGTTCCGGAGAGGTCAAGCTCGCGTTGGCATTGAAAAGTACGACGCTGCCAAAGAAGGTAAGCTGTCCGCAATTGAATCTCGACGATAAACCGATCAATGATCGAACTTGCGTAGACTTTGAGGCGATAATAAAAGCAGACCCTGCGAATGATGCCACGAAGCTGGAGCTACAGAAGTTACGAGAGGTCATGGAGAAACTGGATGCCTCGAAATCAGTAAGCCAATCGCTCATGTTCTTTTGGCATTCAGACTCATTCCTCTACTAGGCTCGCGCTCAAATCCTTACACCAGCCCCAGGCGAGCCGAATACAGTTCGACGAAGGGTACCAATCGCAATTGTGGACGATATTCCTGTATCGGAAGACCTCTTGAAGCCTGTTTCGACGCGACCACTAAACCCATCTGACCTACCATCTCCAACGCCTCTCCAATCATCTACCCCGCGCACCCCAGAACCAAGAAAATTGGAAGCGAAAAAAGCCGAAGTTGCAACTGCATCCCAGCCTCCACGTAAACCGGCATCGTTTAAGGAAGCAAAGCAGGCCCGAGACAGTATCAAACCAAGTAGGATGGGTGGTGGGATATTCAGACCTACTGGGAAGCACACCGTCTTCACCCACGTCGGACCGTCGGTCGATGATTCCCCCAAACCAACTATGTCACTCTTCGATTTTTCAAGGGCAATGCATTCATTGTCAACCGCATCTGACAAATGGCAGCTCCTTTTGGTATGTCCTTCTGTTTGTAGAAGGCTTAATGCTTCTCTAACGATGCGTCCTGCGCGATAGGATAATATACCACCGTCCACGCTACCTCAGTTGTTCAAAACATCCCTCGAACCTCCACTGCTGGTATCCATGTTCGAGATGTTCCAGTCAATCGAAGCCCAAAGCAGTGAAGTCACTGAGCAGATCAGGCAATATCTAGACGTGTTTGTGCAAGTTCCTCGACTCAGTACAATAATACTCTTCCTAACGAAGGCGGAGAAGGAGCTAATCAGGGGTGTATGCGAAAAGTGTGGGGCTAGGGAAGCGGGGTCGTTTTGGGCGTCTGTATAATTCTGTGGGAGGTGTTGTATGGTGACACATTTAATTTTGGGTAAATCTGCGACCGCGCATCTTCTCTTATTTTGCTCTTCTCTAATTGAGTGTATCGTATCGGGCCGACATGATTGTCCATGGTCCATCATCTTTCTAAGTCCGGACATTCTGGCTGAGACAGGAATTATTGTCTACCTTCGAGCCCTCTATATGTGATTCTCTACCGAGAAGGATATCCTAAGGCAAAAGCATGAAGTAGTTCTTCCCCCTGACTTTCCCCTGGTAGTCTCAAGTCGCGTCGAAGCTTTGGGCGCCTATCCAATCATGGCCACTCCCCCTCCTCCAAATCCTCATGGAATTCCTTCGTTTCCTAATATTCCCTCTCCTTCAGGCTCACGAAATCGAGGATCTATAGGATCTTCTTTCTCCTTTGGACCCCAATATCTTGTTGATTCACTCCTGGATGCCAACTCAAGCACAGCGTCTCACCCACACTCTTTCGCTCTTGACCCAAATCGCTCTGTTCTTCCTGCATCTCCACTGCGATCATCCCCACGCCGCCATAGAAAAGGCAAATCCAGTTCGAGTCGCTACCCGCATCCTTTGGCAAATGACACCACCGACGTCTTCCAAGAATCGGAAGATGAAGTCGATGATGAGAGTGAATATGAATGGGGTGTGGTCGATAGGATGAGGTTATGGCGGCACGACGCGTTGATGCAGCACTTATATGAGACGGCGGCCTTTTGGGGTGATAAAATCCTGACATGGACCAGTAAGTTGTCTCAATCCTGGGTGCTCGGTAACCCATTATCCGCTAGACGATCCCAACGACGCGTTTTGGCTTGCGCAAACGTATTTCATGAATCACCAGTATGCTCGCGCTGAAAGGCTACTTACCCGACCTTTCTCTACCACTCCACCTAAGCCACCCGACGATGAAGCCATCCATGGTTTGACGAATGGCCACTCTGGAAAGGGTAAAGGCCGTGAACAAGACCTACCTCCTCTTCCACTCGTCCCGCGCTTACCGATGGGTCCTGGAGGAATGATTGAAGTACCGGAGGATATGCAAGAGGGTGTTTCGAGGCTCGTAGATCTAAGTGTCGCGTGTCGGTATCTTGCTGCACAATGCCAGGTACGGCAAGGGAACTGGGCAGAGGCGACCGAGATGCTCGGAGAATCCAATCCATTCCGCGAGTCAGGACGAAGTGGTCCAGCTATACCGAACGTCGACGGCGGTATCAAGGTCGAGGCGTCGATGTGCTATCTACGGGGGATATTGATGCAGAAACTTAATCGTGGAGACTCTGCGAAGGAGTGTTACATGGAAGCATTGGCACTCGATGTCAAGTGTTACGATGCATTTCTTGCCCTTATTGATGGAGAATTATTGACCGTCAACGAAGGTGAGTTATCATCATTTATCAGCAACGCCGTTATTGAATGGCAATGCAGAGTGGGATTTCATCCAGGGCCTTGCCTACAAGGAACAAACGCCAGAAGACGCCGCCTTTGTGCAGTTGATGTACACGTCTCGCCTCCGGAAATATATGCATGCTGTCGAACACGAGTTGACGCGACGACGCTTGGTCGAGGAATATAAACTTGGTGACAATCCAGACGTGCTTTACAGCTTCGCGGACGCTCTATACTCGTCGTTCAAGTGGGCGGATTGTTATGAAATCACATCGAGGTGAGCTCTTAAGCTAATTGAATCCTGAGCAAGAGGGTGATACAGGTGTAGGATCTTGAATATGGTCGCTATACACAAACAAACCATGAACATACATGTGGCGTGCATGTACCATCTCGAGCACCTCCACTCTAAGTTATTCCTCCTGGCTCATGAATTGGTAGAGCGAGAACCAGAAAACCCGGCCAGTTGGTACGCGGTCGGCGTTTGGTACCTGGCTAGCGCCAAGTATCCACAAGCAAGGCAGTACTTTAGGTATAACAATTCCCTCGATTATTCTGTGTCCATGTTTAATGATGGTCAAACAGTAAAACGTCGCTGATGGATCCGCGGCACTCTGCCGCTTGGGTGGCTTTTGGACACACGTTTTCTTTAGAGGGCGAACATGACCACGCCGTAACAGCATATTCCACCTGTGCGCGGATGTTCACTGGGTAAGTGGGACGTCGCAACGCGTCGGACTCGAATGCTAATTATATCATCGAATCCATAGCACTCATATGCCTCTGATGTTCGTCGGCATGGAGCATATCATCCTCTCAAACTTCGCCTTGGCGGACGAGGCTCTTCACGCGGCCAACACCCTCTGTGACGGGGATCCACTTCTGATGAATGAGTGCGGGGTGATGGCTTATAACCACGGCGAGTCCGTATACCATCCTTGGGCCTCGTATAATGTCCCATGACACTGATCGGCGTTATGTAGTTATCAGGGAGCGGCGGACTTATTTGTCAAAGCTCTTGACGTAGCTGGTGTCACACAAAGCTCAGAAAAAACTTGGTGTACGACATATATGAACCTGGGTACTGCACTCAGAAAATTGAAGTTCGTAACAATCGATACGGACTCGGCACGCAGATACTCATTACGCCTATAGACGCTATCAGGAGGCTCACGCAGCGTACCAAAAAGTACTGGATCTGGAACCCCGAAACGCAATGGCGCTTGGGTTTATGGGGATGGTCTATCAATTTATGGGAAACTTGGATGTCGCTATCGTCAAATACCACGAGGTATGTCCCACATGAGTTTTCTCTACTCATGGAAATACTGACCGCATATTCGCAGGCCCTAAGCATAGACCCCATCAATAACCAAATGCTGGAGCTCCTAAACTTGGCTCTCGATAGAAGTACAATTGTGCCAATTAAATACTCGCAAGGTCAGGTCGACGCCGCGATTCGAAGAGATCGGGAGCAGAAAATGCTTGGATTGATGAGAGTACAGAAGGGGAAAGAACGAGCGACAAACGAAATGGTTGCAGGGTTCCAACCTCAGCCTGGTCATGTCGATGAGGCAAATAGCAGTAATGATATGAGTGTAGGATGAACACCTCTGAATATATATATTGTGGCCACGTAGCCAATATCTTGATTTTGGCAAGGGCAAGTCTTGGCTTCCCTCATACGCTCGTACGTTGTTGTAGGGTAGACTTAGAGAAGGTCAAAATATTGATCTCACAAACAAATTGTTACATTTGGCATTGCGGGAAGTAACAGACACAAATAAAACCCAAGGGAGAACTACACGAAGGGTATTTGGAGCAAGTAGAACACCCTTCAAATGGTCGTAATGTCGGAAGTGCTGTATTTGCAGTACTAACAATGTTCTGAGTTTAGCAAGGATACGATTAAGTTAACCATCACTTACGGTGCCATCGGGACCTGAGCCAGTCTTGGGGGGCTCGGCACCACTGTTGTTACCGGTGTACCTGTCGCAAATGGAGCTCACGCTGTGTACTTGAGTAGTGCGGATGGTCGCGGTACTAGGAATGTTTATAAGCAAGCTTTCTTATATAGCCGTTATAGAGAACTCACTCTCCGTAGTTGCTGCGTAGCGAACACCTATGTCAAGAGGAGGTCTTTCGCAAAGGAACAGGGTATGCTTACGTGTTGATTCCAGCCAAAGACTTGCCACTAACAGCCCATACGTCGTTGATCTAGAAGTCGTCAGGTCAACCCAATGCTGACCAGAGAGTCGACCTCAGGGAGTTACCTGAGCAGTGCGTTTGTACTGCGTCTTGCAGTTACCACACTACGAGGGATGCGTGAGTGTGCTGTAGTGACCATGACCCGCTGCACTTACGCTGCGGTAAAGTTTGCCGAAGTCCTCAACGTAGAACTAATAGATGTTTTAGTGAAAGACGGTTATCGTAGCGTCAAAAGCCGTATACCGAGTTGATGATAACCTACGAGGGGATGCTCAATAAATAGGTTGATGTTGAGCAAACGACACTACTCACAGTTCCTCCACCGTTGTGTTGAACAACCTTGTCTTCAGCATGCTAATAGATGGGTTAATGCGGTATTTTTGTGCCGTTCAAGACTGATTGTCTCACTTTAGCCTATGCACGAAGATACGTCAGATAAACAGCAGTCTGCACGGATAGATTTATACATACACCACCATAGTTTATGTGGCTGGTTCCACTGCTTTGCTTGATGGTAATAGCATCTTCGCAAACGTCCTGTCCATAAAGGTTAGGCCGACATACTGCGTGCTATACCGAGGTTCCTACCTCGAAGAATACGTGGTCAATTGTGCATGATCCTTGAATGAAGGGTAAACATGTTGTCCGGCCGTTGTTTATGCTTTCTTACCAAGACAATGGATACCCTCGGACTGATCTTTTCCAATAACGACGCGACTGATGGTGGCGCCTTCCTCCAAGAGGAAAACAGCATCGGCGTCGCCTCCTTCGTTTTGTCCCCCGCAAGCACCGGATCCGCGGTCGTAGCGGGTGTATGGCTGCGAGGGGGTGAAGGTCTGACCGGCAGCGATTCTCATTGGTGAACTGAGGTGAACCGTGGTGGGGGGAGTAGGGAAGACATTCGTAGCGGCGCGTGGCTCAAGCCTGACAAAAGATAAAACAGGACTGTCAATAAAGGCATGTAATTGAACGAGCCGGGAGACTTACGGGTTCGCAAGGACAACAGTGCTGAGAACGACAGCGGCGAAGAGTTGCTTAGAGAACATGTTTTGCTGGTAAGTGACGATGATCGACTGCAGTATCCAGGTTATTGTACGGCCTTATATACTCGGCCAGTGGACCATTGTCGAACCTTCTTGCACAGCACACAAATGACAGCGTGCTGCTTCACCGACGGTCCGCGTGGATAAAATGACTGCAAACTTATCGGTAGGTAAGAGCCATCTGATACGTGCAGCTCCCCGCAGAAGTGAGATCAAAATGGAGCAGACATTTTCCGAGATTGATGGGCAGTGAGGCTTGTAGAGTGACCGATGTACTGAGAGGCAGGTAGAGGCGACACCGACGATATACCGGGCAACATATGAGGCGGCCCGCGAGAGCCACGAACACGAAAACTGTCAAAGTCATGCGAACTGGGAATGTTGGAGCTCCATTCGCGTTCCTGTTGTGGGGATTCTGGAGACTAAAGGCTATCTACATACTATTTGAACGGGCCGGCAGAAATCAACAACATGCCCGGGATGTATGTGGCGCGAATTGACTCGCCTTTCTTCTTGAGAACTAGGTTTGTATTGGTCTGGTATGCGTTACGGCGATACAAGGGTGCTCCAACGGGCCGCCCAATCGTCGAAATTGACATGCATCGCAAAGAACAACGGAAAATCTTCCAACGTGGAGGGCGATCGTCAACAGCATTCGTTATTTCTGGCCTGCGATAGGTCGCACCCCTAGGGACGACAACAATTAGCTGCAGGGAGAGGAGCGACTGGGAAGTCCTTGAGAGATAGAAGGTGTAAAAGGGGCCTAAGCGAGGTGCACGAAGTCCAACCGCATGCTAATTTAATTGAATAATAACAAATTCATACACAGAGAAGTCAGAGAACGCGTAGGCCCCATCGAGTACAGAACGAACAAAGCAGTCAGAGGAATTAAGTCCCGAGCGCGAAGGTAATCAAGATCAAGGCTGAGGAGGCATAGGGTAGTGCACGGGTGCACGGTGATTTGGTGGTGCCTGTTCACACATATATTTGAGTTGACGTGAAAAGTGAAACCATCGAGATCACTTACGCCAGCAACCCACACCATAGAGGTAGGTTGGGTGTGGTTCGGATCCCGTTCTTCCGACATAAAGCAGTCCGCTGAGCCTTGGTATGTATATTGATGCGCTGCAGCGGCTAATAATTGTTGGTAGTCGTGGTGAGGCTGAGGTCCTTGCGCTGGCTGGCCATTTGCATTCTCGGGTCCGGCACCAGGGGGACGAACTTGCATGTCAGGGAAGAAGGGGTAGAACAAAGAAGACGGCATCTCCACCATCTTCGTATCAGGTGGAGTGCCAGCGGTAGAAGCGGTCCTACTTTCGCTATGAGGCGACGGGCCGTTTGCTGGCGCTGGCGCTTGCTGCTGGGGTCCATAGACAGCATGAGGGTTAGACGGGGTAGTAGCAGAAACGGGGTATGGAGTCGCCATGAGCGTGGGCGTAGTTTGTTGAGACTTTGGAACAAGTTGCTCCTCCCACATCATTTCCGGGATAAGGACAGGGTGGGCGGGAGGGCGGACGGTGTTCAGGTTGACTTCCATTACACGTTCAGCGAGCTTGGCAATAAGAGGGTGTTCCCCAGCGAAATCCTTGCGTTCCCAGCGCCAACGGAACCTAGGAAGCTGCGAGAGGGCAAGAGCCATATCTTCCAGCGCGACTTCCTTGGAAAGACGTTTGCATTTGGACAGATGACCATAGAGGATGATCATGGCAGCGATATGTAAGGGAATAGGGGAGGTAAAGAAGGCGATATCGGGGAAGCGGATTAGTTGGTTATGGATTACGATGATGTTATGAGCGGTGACCACAGCTAGAGTGAAGGTTTAGACAAGCGACTAAAAAAGCGAGGAGGGAGCCTTACCATCTTTGAGAGCAAGGTCTTGGTAATGGAATGGTAAATCATTGAGAGTAAACAGGGCCCTCAACAAAAGTATTCTTGCTATGCCAAGCTTCAGGAGTGTCAAGCCTTGGTCCTCGGTAATTTGCCCAACCAACTGGCTTTTCTTCTCCAGCGGCCAATCTTCAGTACCCCCAAAGTAGTAGCGATAACTCTCTGGTAAGCCTCGTCGAAATTCGAGCATAGACTTGATTATGCGCTTCGCATCACGGACACGCAATTCCCAATCAGCTTCAACGTCCTCGCGTTTCGGGCGGTACAGTGAATTGATAATGTCTGCTTGCATGTCGGCGATTGGGAAGGAGAGAATGAAGTGCTCTGATACGTCCGGTTGTCTTGGTGGAGCAAGGGCTAGGGGATGGGGAGTGCTTGAATCGTCGGGGGATATACCGAGTGGGCGACCGAGGAGAATGGATGTACCGCGATCATGTATGATCACAATACCCCATAGACGTATGCGAAGCTCACATTCTTCCTCGCTGAAGGTATCTTTTTGGCGAGTCGGGTCATGATGAAGTCCAAGTTCTACTGATAGGCGGACGAGACTTCCAACGAGTCGCCAGAGTGTTCGACCTTGTCTCTGGGGGAAGCTGGGTTAAGTGGCGGATATACATTGAGAAAGGGCATATACTGACCTCGGTGTATAGATACCATTGCAGTAAAATGAGGGCCTGCAAACTTGATATAGTGACTCGAAGATCCGGCTTTACGGACAGCGCTCTCTCGAAGAACTCGTCGTGATCAGGCCAATCAGGAGGCATTAGTTTCTTCAGAGGTCCCGGGTGCATCGTACCACTTTCATCGAGCTTGGCCGCCTTATGATTCAGTTCACTCAATGTTCCCAAAGCCAAGATCAGATAAAGACTGCAAACGAAACCGGGATCATGCGCGACCGTCAAACCTTCGTAGAGATCGTTGAGAATTTTCTCGAAGTCCTTGCGCGGAAACACCGGACGATGGACGTTGAGACGCGTGAAATAAACGTCGACAATCACTTTGAGCATTTCGCGATTCTTAGGGAGCCATACGGTGACTGGACCGGCGTGGGGAAGCATCCCAGTGAGGGTTCCTCCGGACTGTGAGTTGCGGCGAACGATCACGGAAGTCCATTTCGTTGCATCTCGAGGTGCAGACGTTTCACCGATGTCCCGATCTCGACCTGAAGTGAGTCCGGAGGAGCCCACTGCTAGGTCTTCCTTGTCAGGGCCTGCGATTTCGTTCATGATGGCTGCGGTAACACCAAATGTCTTCGCAATTGCCTGCGAACCCAAATTCAAGTTTAGATGGCCTCGAGTCCGTCTCTAGACATACCTGTGTCGTAGACATGTCATTGGATTGAGGATCTTGGCCTTTGATGTTGTTCTCACTACTCCGCAAGGCCGCTGGTGGGGGTGGGGGTGGGTACGGCATGTGCTGCATAGGGAATGGATTCATGGGGTATTGCCCGGCAATTGGAGGGCTCCGCAGGGCCTGAGGCGGTGGTGGAGGAGGGAAAGGTAGGGCATTAGGCGGCGGGGGTGGATATCCCATCATCGGATAACCTGGCGGTGGGTAGAAGTAAGGGCCTTTCATGGCAGCCTGCGCTGCCGCGCCAAATGGATCAGGACCCAAACCTGGGTATGGTTTAGCACCAGTCGCTTCAATCTGGAAGACACCATCGGTAGGAATGACCAGGTTTCTCGTCTCCTCGATGGTGACTCCCTCCCTCGCAACAAACGTGTCAATCTGGTCGAGTGAGAAACCTGGAATGTGCCGCTGCAGCAATGCAGTACATTGAGCTAGTTGATGTTCAATGCGCTCAGTGTGGCCTCGGGGCGTCAACGTCTGCCTGTGTCTGTCTTCCTGCTGGCATATTGCATCAGCTGTCGCACAAGCGGTGCATCGTGGATGTTTTGAGTCGCACTACCACGAAGTCAGTATTGATTGATGTGGATTTTCGTAAAGAAAGGGATGAGAGAATTGTTGGGAAAATGGTGGAAGTTGCCGTCGGGCGACACCGACGGGACTTGCCTTAATTTTCTTGCTTCTACATCTTGCGCAGGCCTCATGAGATCGTCTGAGACGACGCGGCTCTGAAGGTGCATGGGGCTCTTCAGAACTATTCTTTTTACGCTTGCGCCCCGGCTGCTGCTGGCCCTGCTGAGATCCTTGAGGATCCAACTGGGGCGACGGTGGATTTTGAGGTGGTGGTTGCTGTTGAGGTTGCTGATTTTGCTGTTGGACCTGCTGCTGCTGCTGTTGGGGGTCGATTTGAAGATGCATGGGCGGCATGATGTGAGACATATCGAGCTCGCCGTCCTCCCCAATTCCCTTGAATTGACCGTCTCAAGCGCTAGGCCAATCAGAACAGACCATTATTCGGAGATTGCCATGCATTTATTCACACGGTGCGCGCGGCCCTGTAAACTTTCTCATGGTCGTCCCTCTGATCCCACAGTCATAAAAGAGTGCCTCTAATAAAAATAAACCTCTAGGTTTACGGAATAGATCAACGAAAGTATGATGAATGGCATTCGTCAAGGAGCCTATAATCGTAATCAGGGCTTCGACAGTCCATATTACATGTATATATTCAAGAGAGCAGCAGCAAAAAGAACGAAGGAGTACAATGTAGAATCTGATCGAATCTGATCTGAATATTGATACAGCCACTGGGGCGAAGTGCCGCAAATCATGAGGAATGCAGGTGGTAAAGCGAAACGTGTGACACGGGAATGGCACGGCGAAAAACTACCGAGTGGGACTGCGGCTTGAACTCGCGACAGATTCGGGCGATGATGCGCGCGCCGGTTTAGCTTTGTCGACGTCCAAAGTGGGTCCCGCTTCAAGAATGATGTCCTCGTCATCATCAGAGTCGTCCTCGTAAGGTTCGAAGTCGTCAGTGGCATCTTGTACCGAGACTAGGGTCTTGGCTTTGCCAGGAGCTGGAGGGCCCACAGCGAGAATAGTGTCCTCGCCGTCTAAGTAGAAAGGTCCAGCACCTGGGGGGAGCACTACAGATGCTTGCTCCAAATCCTCCACATTGACCTTCTTTCCAAACCAGTATCTCAGCCCCACAGGAATCATCACACCAACCACCACTGCCGATAGACCGAAGAAATTCTTCCAGCTGATCAGCTTGAAGTCGTCCGGGCTCGTCATCTCATCTAACCCACCGCCTATTGTTGTGTGGATGACCGTGACACCCAGAATACCGAACCACGTGGATACCCAAAACGGGACTATGCCGATGCCGACGTGCGGACAGACAACATTGACGACCCAATGAGGGGGCAGTGGTGCGATGCGCAGGACGATGAGGTACGAAAGGATGTTCTCTTTATTAGCGCGGATTTTCTCGGCTAGCGAGTCTAGTCGAGCTTTGAAACGTGGGACGGTAAGCAGTGCGGGGCCGAGGGCGGCGGATAGAAGGTAGCAGAGGGTGGCGCCGGTCGCTACACATGAGCATGCAAGGAGCAGCGCTCTGGGAACACCCCAGACGGCCCCACCGAGAATCGAAAGGTACATGGACCCAGGTAAAGAGAAGGCTTGCAAGCTGCGGGGGGGCCGATGTCAGCAACTGTTACGAAGAAGCGCGGAAATGCACTTGCAAGAGGTAGGTTATGACATAGGAGACGAGAATTCGGAAGGGGTAGATGTCTCTATACTTCTTGAGGAGAAAGTTCAGTTGTTGCAGTTGTTCAAAGGACTTTGGTATCCGTAGCAAGTCCCGGTCGGCTCTACAGCATTATGTCAGTCAGGAGAAGCAACTAAGTGAGGATGCACGCACTCCTCTAGCGGAGGTAGCGACAACCAGAGGGTCCCCCCAAGAAATAAAGAACCGCAGACAAAGATGGCAGCCATCTTCAAGGTGGCATTGAAGACAATGCGCCGGGTGTTTGGCGCATTTGAGGGCGGGGCAGCGCCATATGAATTGGAGGAGTTCGAGTTGGAAGAGAGGAGGGAAGCGCGTTCGTCGTCGTCGCCGTGCATGGTCTGTAGCGTATGCGATGATGAATTTGGATGGTGAAAGTGCATGGTACGATGGAAATGGATGTTGTCGCTGATTTGCTCCGTGTCAGCATCAATCTTGCACGTGATGGGGGCTATGTTGAGATAGAGATTATCAGTGAGTTTGATAAGATCCACATACAACCCCGGATCTAAGCGGGAACCACTGCCGACGTTCATCTTCATCTTCTCACAAAACCTGAGGCAGATGGAAGCTTGCAATAAGCGAAAGCCAAATTCTCTAACCTACTGGTTAGATTCCTCGAACCTCGTCTTAGACCGTCCCCAATTATACCTAAATTGATGGTCTGGTTCGAACTTCGATTTGCTCCGCTGGCAATAAGTTACTTCCTGGTTGTTCTCCGCTATTTCGTGATCCCTCTGTTTCGACTCACCATCTCTCAGCATGGAGAAAGTTGCCTCTTACCTTCCTTCAACAAGAATTAGAGCTGGAGCATGCACACTCTGGCCCCTACCGAAGGATATGACAACTGAGTCGTGTCATGACTGTCCATACACATACAATGGTAGTGGTTGTCCCGCTTGCAGAAACGCGACCATCATGAATGCGGAACACACCAAGGACTGGCCTGGTATTGCTTGAATCCTTACTAGGTCGACCGGAATATCCGAGACCTTCTCAGTCGTTAGTTCCAATTCCGCCAGCCACCACCGCCAGCCACCGCCGCCAGCCTCTCCCAAAGAAATTACTAAAGAGACGCATCTCGCATTGTGCCCCCCGTACAACTCTTTCTTCTCTACCACCACCACTCTACCAAGCATCCCACCCAGCAAGTTACCCGAAGCAAGATGTTCTCTTACGTCGTTTGTATCTTCCACGCTCTCTGGGCCATCATCTGCGCCTTGTTCGCCTTGGCTGGAACCAAAGACTCCGCCTTGAACGTCGACCTCGACGTTCCATCCGCTGCTACCGATGCGGAAGCTGGATTTGAAGTCTATGGTGCCTTGTCCATTGCGCAGATCTCCGCGCAGCCTCAGAACACGGAAGTCGTCGAGGAGCCCCAACCTTGCGAACAGTTCGAGGACCCCGTCGTTGCTGAATCGCGCGACATCACCTTCGGATCGTCTCTATTCTCTTTGGGACGTCTCTCCACCATCGGGGAGCTCGAGGAGGCTGACGACTTCGACGTCAGGATCCAGGAAGTCGGAGGCGCCGAAGCGATGGCTGACATGGCCAGAACAACTAGGGAAGGGACGCTTAAGGACGAGAGCCAGGATGTTACCGAGGACGGAGACGCTCCCGCGTCGTTGTATCAGCCAGCCACCCAAGAATACGAAGAATACGGTTATAGATCTGAGGAAGCAAGCTACTTTTCCTGGGCCCAGTACGACGTTGTTGCCGAGAATGCTTACAAGTCAGGAATTAGCCCATCCGTTGGTCATTACGACTTTAAGATGTTACAAGGTACGTCCATGTCTACTATTCCTTGTTCATTCGCTTTCTGATACGTCGACTCGCCATAGCGCAAGAGGAAGAGGAAGAAGAAACAACCCAAGATCAGAGCGACGCCCCTATGGAGTTGCAGGAGCTCACTCCTGCTCCATCGCGTTACTCACTTGGTCGTCTCTCGACAATTGAGGAAGTCGACGAAGAGGAAGAGATCGAAACAGGGGACCAGGCAGCTGGCCCCGAGGCGATGGGAAGGAATCGGGTCGCACGAAGGACTTGGGCAGGCAGCGACAACGACGACGACGCAGTCGCACTTGCACTTGCAGCTTTCACTAAAGACAATGACTGCGAATACTACGGCATTTGCGGCGGCACTATGGAACTGGGTATGTGTGCGACTACCTCTGATTCGTCTGTCTCCTGACACCATGGACAGAATCACCTAGCTTACAAGTGGCTCAGTGGAGGCAACTTGTCCACGAGGCCTTCAAATCGGACGCCAACTCCCTCTTCGCCTTTTCAGCAACGCACGTCAAGAAGACTGACTCAATTTCGTTTGATGACTGGTCTAGATCCTCCTCCATTTCATCTCCCCACACCCCTACCCCAACCCGTGAATCCCCTGATGGCAGCCACGCTTCCTCCTCCCCCTCCAAGGCAGGCAGAGTTCGATGCAACATGTCCAGACAGCTACTTTGTAGTCCTCTGTTGACTAACGCATCCTCCCCCTCCCTTTCCTCCACCTCCTCCTCCTCCTCTCTTCTCGCCACGCCGCCATTGGGAACTTGTTCAGGGTTTGGGTACTATCCGTTGGCTCTGGTCATGCCCTCGTTCTTGGGCTCGCCAGAGCCAATTTCTGGGGAAGATGAAATGAAGAGTTTTGGACCAGGTCCATCGTTCGTTCCAGATGTCTTCTGTGATGTCAACGCTGAAGAATGTGCGAATTCGACCGTTTCTACGGCTGCGACTGTTACGGTTGCCGCAGTCGAAGTCGGTGCTGATGTCCTTTTCCCAAAGATGTCAGGGAGTATATCGTTTGGCGAGCTTCTCGGCGAATATCCGACAGCCGACAAACTATTTGAGGGAATTCCATACTTTGGATCTTACGAGACACTTTACCTCAAGCCTGCGCCGCCTCACGCACCAGAACCCAGCATCGCTGTCACAGTGCCTGCCTTGATCTCATCAGTTCAACCAGCCGCGGCAACCAACAGCATCGACTCGCTGCCGACTTGTTCAAGTTCAAGTTCCCGTGTGACAATTCCAGCCACCTTCGTGGATCATTCGAAAAGCAGTCGGCTCGACTTCCCTACAGCCGACAAGCTATTCGAGGGGATTCCAAGTCTCGGATCCTTCGAAACGCTATACCTCAAGCCTGCGTTACCATACGAACAAGGCCCAAGTATACCCTTTCCAGTGCCTGTACCAGTGACCTCATTGGCCAACACGCCATCTTGCACGACCGTTGGTGATGCAATTGCCCGTGTCCATGTCAGGGCCAACCCGATGCCGCCAAGTTCGAGTTCCCCGGCGATAATTCAAGTCGGCTTTGTGGATGACTCGGAAAGTGATCAATGGCATCCCGAGGATAGGCTGATACCAGCAATGGTTAGACACAGTGTTGGAGAACGACGCGTTTACGAAGTGTCATTGGCCGGGTGCATTCTTTTCTATCTCCTTCTCTTGCCTTCTTTGACTTTTTCTTCCTTTATTTCTTCGTTTCTTTAGTTTTATTCCGAGATAGCTTATATACCATTCTCTCATTTTCCTCCTTTTCTGCCTTCGTAAATAGAAAATCCAAAAACATCTCCCCTTTTCTCCTCACTTACTTATCTCCTTTCCTTTCCTTTCATCTTTCCCATTCCTTTCGTAAAATACAAAACCCAAAAAAAAACTCTTTTCATCTCTCTCCATCCTTTTCTTTCCCTTTCCTTTTCCTTACTAAAATGTCCAAACCTCCAAAAACATGAATATAACTCTGCCTTTTGTATTCATCGATCGAGTCGCATTGATAAATACAATCCTGGCGGGCGATCCTGAATACCACGCAAGCGCTGCCTCATATGCGCTTCCTGCCTTCACGTACAGAGTGGACGACTACCTAACGGTAATCAGAGGGCTTCGTCCAGCGCGTCGGGTCGACTGTGGCCTCTTGAGGGCAGTTCGACGCCAAAGAGATATATGCTGTCGCGATGGAGTAAAGAATCAGAACTTGGCGGAATTGGTCGACCTTGACTTCAGGACCATGGAGACATTGGCGAAGCTACAGCTTTCTTCATTGTGTCCCTATAGACTCGCCTCGAGTTTGCAGCGCTACCACCATTTCCGGGTCCGTGGTCGTAGTCGTACGAGTAAGCATTATTCAAGTGACTGGGGTAGCCAAATGCATACCCCAAGCACTTCCCACCCCAGGCGGGATCTGGGGCCCAGTATTTAGGCGATGGACGTTCTGTTTTCTTCGCCTTCGCCCTGACGCGCTTCCGTTCTCGCTTTATTTCGTTTGAAGGGGCAGCGTCACCGGGTACTGGGGTAACGTTTAGAACGGGGACGTGAGCGAGAGGCGGACTGCCATCATCTAACACGGAAGCATGCGTCGCGACCGGCTGTCGAGTTGAAGATCTAAGGCTGTGGTTCGTCGACAAAGGTCGCTCGAGTAGGAGCATACTGTGAGTCGGAGTAGTCGAGGTACGGGAACGTTGGACCCTCTCAAGCGGACCTCTGGAGAGAGGATCCTACGAACAGATGGATTAAAGGGGAACAATGGGCCTCGCAAGAACACCCTGGGTCGCTTACCAGATATCTCACAGTAGCCTGCTCGGTCACCCGTTCCGCGTCGATGGCGACTTGACCGGAAAATAGAGCTCTTTTCTTTGCCATTTCTGGCGAGTCCTCGCACTCTGGCTCCCGGTATCTAATCAACCGTCACGCATCCTGTAATGTCCCAACGAGCGATTCAACCCACATGGACGGAGGCGGAGGAAGTGGCGCCAAAGAGACCAGCTCAGGTTGTGCTTTTGTTGAGAATAATCGGAACACTGCAGGAGAATTGAGATGAAAGATTCGAGCTCTCTGCATTGTAAGGATGCTCACACACGACGTTCCGCTCCCCTTCGTGCTCAGCGTCAGAGAAGAAATCTTGTGCTACTTTTCGTTTCTTCCGTTTCCTCCCTTCATCGTGAGCGACTGGGTTAACGTCTAGGGCGCCTTCAATATGTCTCTTCAACGTTTCTTGCAACTTCGTCAGAGCATCAGCTGGGAGTTGCTCTTGGCTGTCATCGGATTCGTGTAGTTCCAACCGCGACACTGCCTGCTCTGATGGTGCCAGGAAATGAGGATTGCTGAATTTGCGTATCATTGTGGCGCTGAGAGCAGCCAGGTTCAAGAAAGTGATCGACGATCGCGCCAAAATTTGGCTATGTTTGGCAGTGCCTCCAAAATTTTGACGCACTGATCTCAACCTGTCCTCATCATATAACTTGCGACCGACATGGTGTCTACAACGAAAGCCTCAAAAAAGCCAGTGAAAGAATCGAAGCGGGTCACGAAGCCGACCCCCACTGCTACGCCAAAATCTACAAAGTCGAAGGCGGAGAAAACAGCCGTCCCCTCCAGTCCATCTACCAAACCACAAGCTACACCGAAATCCTCGTCAAACTCGAAGTTCATCTCGAATGCCCTCATCAAGCCAAAATCCGAACCCAAAAAGGCAGTGCCTGCCGTGAACAAAACCAAACTATCGAAGCCGTCAGACGTGAAGCGACTCTCAAAGCTTGCTCCTCCGGCGGACTCTGCTGAATCATCTGATGAGGAAAGAGACGGAGAACAGAACGAAAATTCGGATAAAGGTGATGATGGGAGTAGCGAGGGGGAAGAAGACACACACTTACATGGTTTCTCGTCATCTGACGATGACTCTTCCGACGACGATGATATGGACGTTGAGCCGGTTGTAATCGATGTCGGAAAACTCCCTACGATAGCGAAGGACGACGAATCTGTCAAACGTAAGCTTGATAAGGCGAAGAAACAACCTGTGAGTCAAGTACCATGTGCGACATTTCTATATCTGAACAACTACCTCTCAACGACTCGGTGCGTGTCTGGATAGACCCAAGACAGGGGTGTCATTTATCTCGGCCGACTACCGCATGGTTTCTTTGAGGCCCAACTCAAAGCCTACTTCTCACAATTCGGGGACGTGACCCGACTACGCGTCTCGCGGAATAAACGGGTACGGTTCTCGCGCTAGAGTTCAATTATCAAGTGTTGACGATGCCCAGACTGGACATTCAAAACATCGCGCGTTCCTTGAATTTGATTCTTCCTCTGTTGCCCAGATCGTTGCAGAGACCATGGACAACTACCTTCTCATGGGGCATTTGCTTATCTGCAAAGTGATCCCCAAAGATGAAGTCCATCCCGAACTTTGGATTGGCGCCAACCGAAAATGGCGTAAGGCTCCTACAGCTCGGATAGCGAGACAAGTCCACAATAAGGTACTTAGGGTTGCATTCAACATGTTTCATCATCCTGATGAACTCCAAATTCTCAGCCTCGGACCGAGGAGGAGATAGAACGCGCCACCAAACGTCTCCTCAAAAGGCAGGATCAGAAAAAACGAAAACTCGCAGAGGCGGGGATCAACTATAACATGGATAAGGTAGCATACGTGAGTCGCATAATCAGAGTCGCGCCATCTTCTCCTGACCAACCATGTGCAGAAAAAGCCAAAGTCGGCTATATCATGACACTGATTCCTTTCATTACTTCGGCTTGTGGCACTATCTACATGGTGCTCTGTATTTATATACCCAGTATACAGGTGCGCCCGTTGTATCCTAAAGCTGCAGCGTTGTACGCTATATGTAGCACTGGGAGTCCTGATGTTATCAACCGTCCGCTCGGCATGTACCTGAAATGAAGCTCATTGGTATACTACTACCCATATCAGATTCAGAAGGCAAGACGCAGAAGCTGGCCAGAACCTACTTCAAGCGCCTGCGTTTCCCACAATATTGCGAAACGAAAAAGGAGGTCCCAAATAGAAAAGTTGTGCTGCATTCCCATGAATTAGATGTCCGCGAAAGTAATGCGTACTCGCAAGGACGCGCAGAAGCTGGCTTTCAAATTTCATTGGATAAGAATTCCAGCGTCCTGTTCCTCGTCTCTGGTAGGAGCAGAGTCGAGAAAATCCCAGTCAACATGAAGAAGGCGAAGATCTCGAATCTAAGGCACGGGCAAATGTCACAGTCGGTCAATTCCATGATGCTTGGGGTTCGGAGATTCACACTTACATATGCTTAATGAACTGATCTTTCCCTCCTACGTCTTTGAGCCACACAAACGCAACCTGCGCAATAATAGCCCCCAGCTTCCCGCTCGCCGCCGAGATACCATGGGCGGTGCTCCGGTATCGAGTGGGGAATACTTCGCCGGGTATCAAAAATGTGGTCGTATTCGGGCCGAAATTCGAGAAGAAATTGGCCAGACAATAGAGAAAAATGAAGGCTTTGGTGGAATCGACGTTGGCGATCAACTTGTCATATGCAAATCCTATACATAGATGATATTGTTAGTCACGTCTCCCCGTACAATTGGCGAAGATTAAGCGGCAGAGACTAACCCATGATGGTGAAAATAATCGTGAGTGCAATGAAACCCATCAACTGAATCGGTTTGCGACCCCACTTGTCGATGAAAAGGAAGCAGACCCAGTATCCAGGAATCAGGCCACCTGCAGACAGGATCAAGTTCCCCACGCAGATGTGCTTGAGGTTCTCGAAGGCCCTAACCTGAGGGGCGGTCGATGGAGCATCTGTGCCGTTGATGGACCCAAAAGCTATAGCTTGAAGGATGCTCCCTGAGTTGAAACCAAGACCGTAGTAAGCGACCTAGACGGCACCATATGTCAGTTGCTGTGTGCGTAGTAGCAGAAAGAGGACGCACGTCTAGCGCAAACCAGGAGTATGCAGATCCGAATAGAATCCTCAGGTTCTTCCACTGAGAGAAGTATGACCAAAAGTCTTGCCAGCCAGCCTTTGGCCCGTCGAATTGTTGCGTTGGTACATCAGGGTTGTCTCCATGAAGTATGTTTCTGTTCTCAACCAGCTTCTGGATGTCGACTGCGCCACGGCGGATGTTTCGTTCGACGTCCAGGGTGAACCGGGGTGTTTCAGGGATAGTCAATCGAAAGTACAAGGCAATGACTCCGGGAACACAGCCAAGCCCTATCAGGAGCCGCCACTGCGCATCTATTGACTCGAAATTTGGAGAGGGGTCGTTAAGGAGAGTGGACTTGTAGGCTGTAACAATAACGAAAGCAACCAGACAAGCGGCTGTTGCACCGTTTAGCCACGCCGAACCGTATAGCGATGACAGACAGCCTTACCCAGGTTTCCCCAGCCTTGACAAGCAAAAACGCTCGTCATCATGCGACCCCGTATGTGGGTTGAAGCGAACTCAGACGAGATCACTGCGCTGAGCGGGTAATCCCCACCGACGCCAACTCCAAGCTAACCGCTCGAGTCAGTCGCATGCAACAGCTCTTTGAGAACGTACGAACCAGAAACCGCCAGAAGATAAGGACCCCAAAGAAGTTGAGAGAAGGGCCGCCCCCTGCCAATGTCTGACCAAACGTCGTGATGATCATGATGGTCAGTTCGACGCCATCTGTAGCGGATTCGATGTCAGGGTCGACGACAGGAACAACAGACGAGAAAGACGCTTACACATCCTCTTACGACCAAGTATGTCGGCCAGCCATCCAAACACCAACTGGCCAACGAATGTGCCAACCGGTGTTGCGACCTTGATTCCGAGTTCTTGGTTTGGGGTTAGCTGGAGGCTGGTGGCTGGCGTTGTGGTGAACGGAACAATGAGTATCAGTATTAGGTGAATCCAGCCTGAAAGCTACTAGTACAACGTACGATCACCATAGACATAACCCAGCATTGAAGACGCTATGTTGATAGCGAATATATCATACCTACGGTTTACGCATTGTAAGAAGCACGCGCCTCTGACGGTCAACGACGTACGCATCGGTGAAAAATCCAATCCCAGCGACGACACAGACTTTCGCGTGCCACCATCTAGCCAGCACAACGTCAACTTGCGTGTATGCCACGGTATAGCAAAAAGCTCGAACGTACGAGAACTTGGCCTCATCGATCTCCTTCAGCGCAGCGCGTCGTCTCTCGTCTAGAATCCTCACAGCCGATGCATACCTCTCGCTAAGGGGATCGGTCTTGGTCTCAGTGGTGAAAGACGACTCCCCGATAGCCGAGTCGGACATGTGTGAGTGTCGGTGTGTTCACGTCGAGTATGCGAAGTTGTCGTGTCGTGGGTAGCAAAGTCAGATCGTGGCTTCTCTTCTCATCAAGGCGGCCTTTTTAAGGAAAGAATCCTCTTTCCGAGAAACCGGAGGGCCAAGTCAGACCGACGCGCACGTTGGCTGGCTGTTGTTACATACTGTTCCGTTTCTGGTCATTGCTCCCGCAGTACCCCCCTCCGCCACCATCACTTACAGTTCGCACGCCTGTGTAACCGCCGCAGGTCGCTCTATTGCACTGATATCGACCTCGATGCGTTGTTGAAGGTTATTGATGGTGTGTAAAAGGCGATGATTCTGATACCCACTGTCAAGAAAGATCATCACGTGTGGGAAATGAAAGAGCGTGTTCCTGACTTACTTCCTAGAAAAGCCTTCTCTAGATTTCTCTGCGTTCCTGTCCGGCACTGCCCGGCACCCCAAAACACTTTACCTATAGTCACCCTTCACTAACTTCGGGACTATCTCGAACCTCGTAAATGTGTATCGCTTCTCTTGGCATCTGGTTGGGGATACCTGATCAGGAGTGGCGGTGGGCGCCCGCCGTCAACCTCTGGTAACTTGCAAGACGAGATCTCGAGGTACATTACTCCCATCGGTGAACAAGCTCGAAGTTGCGGCTGTTGCCATGTTCATCAGCAAATCAATGATACGAAACGGCGCGTCACTCAGAATTGAGACAGATGCATGAAGATGAATTAGGAAACCTCGTAACAGTAAGTAACAACAACACATTCATGAGTCATAACGCTGAGCAACTCTGAATTGGAAGCAAACCCATCACATAGAACAAAAGGAAGACAGGAAAGAAGATGTGGGTGATGGGGAATGGAGAGCAATACATCAGACTATACAACCCGGCGTCTTTCTTCCCCTACAAATCGCATTAATCAGAAGTGATTCGATGCTATCGTAACGGAACTCCTACCTTTGACGAAGCCATCTTGATCTTCGTTCGACAGCTCTTCTAGTGTCTTTCCTTTGGTTTCAGGGAGGAGCAGCGTGGAGAAGATACCCGTAAGCATGAAGAAGGCGAAGATCTCCAAACTGCACATAATATCCGTTAGGATACATCCTGAAGGTACGGACAGTAGATATTACTTACATATGCTTGACGAAGTGACCACTGTTGACTGGGCCACCGATATCCTTCAATCGGGCGAAGCCGACTTGTGCGACAATGGCTCCGAGCTTGCCACTCGCGGCAGAAATACCGTGTGCGGTACTTCTGTAACGCGTCGGGAACACCTCACCCGGGATGATGAAAGTAGTCGTGTTGGGACCAAAGTTCTGGAAGAAGTTGGCCAAGCAGTATAGGAATACGAATGCACCGGTAGCAGCGGGGGTGGCGGTGAGTTTATCATATCCGAAACCTACAAAACTAGGGTTAATACTGATCTCAGACGGCCCGCATCATGTGGCGTACCCATGATGACGAAGATGATGGTGAGCATGATGAATCCCATGAGTTGAATAGGCTTGCGGCCCCAGGAGTCTACGAAGAGGAAGCAAACCCAGTAACCAGGGATCAAACCGGCGGCGGAGAGGATCAAGTTGCCGACACAAATATTGCGAAGATTCTGGTACGCAGTGATAGGGACGGGCAATCCATGGGCAGGTGAACCGAAACCAATTGTTTGCAAAATAATACCACTGTTGAGCCCCAGCCCGTAGAAAGCGATCTAAATAAGGTGTTCAATATCGTTGACCACGACGGTGGAAAATGGGTGGACTCACATCAAGCGCGAACCATGAGTAACTGGTACCGATCAAGATCTTGAGGTTCCTCCACTCAGAGAAGTATCGCCTGAAGTCGGCCCAGCTAGCCTTGGGCACTTGTACTCGGCGGACAACGGCATCATCGTCGACGGCGGGGAGATTAGGGTCCAAGACTTGCTTGACGTCGGCCGTGGCACGCTCAATGTTACGTTCAATATCCATGGTGAAACGTGGAGTCTCTGGGATTGTGAGACGGAAGTAAAGAGCAATAACACCGGGCACACAGCCCAGACCGATGAGAAGTCGCCATTGGGGGTCAATCGAGCCGAGGGTGGCGGGGTTGTCGTTTATGGTGGTGTTCTTGTAAGCTGATACAACAATGATTCCCACCAGAGCGGCACCTAAATGAATCCGTCAGCACAACGACGTACCACATCCTCAACGTCACTACGGCCTTACAAAAGTTGCCCCAGCCCTGCGACGCGAACACGGCGTTCATCATGCGACCTCTTATGCGCGTCGAGGCGAACTCTGATGAAATGACTGCAGATAGCGGATAGTCACCACCGATGCCGACCCCCATCTGATCAGTGGTTAGGTTGGGAAGGCCATAATACATGTTGTCGCGACTCACGATGAACCTCCAGACAATCAAGGCACCGATGACGTGAACAGCAGGACCGCTACCAGAGAGAGCTTGACCGAAGGTAGCAATGATCATGATCATCAACTCGACACCGTCTGCACACGCCGATGTTTAATGTACGCATTCCGGTAACGAACGAGCGCGACTTACACATCCTCTTACGACCGACGAGATCAGCGAGCCAACCAAAAAGCAATTGACCAACAAGAGTTCCAACTGGTGTCGCGACCTTGACACCTAGATCCTGATCGGGGTTCAGCTTTTGGCCTAGGTAAATGATTTAGTATAGTTTACTGCTTCGGGAGTCTAACACTCACCTTTCCCATAGACATATCCCAACATAGTCGACGCGATGTTGATGGCAAAAATATCATATCTATTGCGCGTGAGCTTGCATCGACCTGGAGTAGGAACGTACTCACGCATCGGTGAAGAAACCAACACCAGCAACCGCGCAGACCTTTGCATGGAACCAACTAATATGGAAATGAGCATCTGCTGATCTCGGTGGCGTTTCAGGGGACATACGAGAACTTGGCATTGTCGACGTCGGCCAAGGCGGCTCGGCGGCGCTCCCCTAGGTCGTACGAGTTGGCTGATGGCTTCACGAGCTGGGGTTCCGAGCCATCATGAGAAATCTTCTCTATTGAGTCGGACATGACTTTCGACAGCACTTTGTGAGGATTTAACGTCCTTGGATGAGCGGGATGGAAGGCAAATCGCAACTGACAAGAGGCTTGGCTTCAGGACTCTTATACCAAGTAAGGGTCCACCGAGCATATGCTACTTCCATGAACGTTCGTGCCCTCAGCCAATCGCGTTGCGTATACTTCCTTCCCTTTTTGGGCGCACTGCCCCTGGTCGATTGTATTAACTCCCGCCAAATCTTCGACAGCACATCTGATGAGAACAGTATCTCAGAACAAGGCCACATGGCGCTGCAGCCACTGTCTGTAGTTTATATAATAACTACAGCAGTGCTGAGGCATCATCTTCAAGCAGCTCTACGCACCGGTCGCATCTTCGCAGGGGCCTTAAAATTCTGCGGTGCAGATGGCCCCGGCAGGCCTCAAGGTTCTTCCTGTGAATTTGACATCGTAACGGATCAATCTAGACATGCAGGCGGTCGAGTTTTCATTTTCTAGCCCGGACACGCCGCAAACTTTCAAGCCCCTGTCTCAGCCATCATATTCCCACGCTCAACCCACACGGCTCCCGCTACGTGCGCCGGCCGACTCCAGTCTCACCTTCGGACAAGCGCACGTTCATGGCCAGCAACTCAACCCGCCTCCGCGCGATGGCCCTATACAAGGAGCTGCATCGCCTGGGCAGGGATTATCCGGACCCCTCGTGAGTCGGACCACTGCCTCAAATTCACATTTCACTCGGATATTCACAAATGGCGCCGTGGCAGGTATGACTTCCAGGGCAGAGTACGACGGATGTTCGAGAGTGAGCCTTCTCAGACTTAGAGTCTCACCCGCCGGTGATGATACGTGCAGAAAATCGACATCTTACGGAGAAAGACGAGATAGAGGATGCCTTGAAACTGGGGGAATACATTAAAAAGGGTGCGCACAGTACCCGTTCCGCTCGTACCACCATAGCTAACCGCCGTCTTGCCCACTTACGAACCATGAACCTTACCCATCCCCGACGTCTACCGTCTGTGTCGTATCTGCGCGGCTGCGCTGCGGACTTACAGAAACTCTTGCGCTCTATTCATTGCGCAAATACCGACACCTCAAGCGAATGTACCCAAGCTCGACAACGGAACCGATTACAGATCACCCACCAGAAACGATACGCTCTCATTCGCAGTCGCGCCCCCGTTAAACGTTAACCTCCGTCGATCCCCTCATTCGCCTCATTACCTCCCCCTTCCCGCCGGACTTCCTTTTCCCTCACCATTCTCTCAGACTTAGACAGGGGGACGACATATCTCAGTCGCGTGACCATCTGCTTCGCACAATACACAATGCGTGGTATACTCTGGTACGCTTCGGCTCGGAAATTATACGTAGAGTTTCCTCTATTTAAATATGGCTTCTCTTTCTTCCTCGGACCCTGTGGCATGTAGACTGATTCGATTATAAACTGTACCATTTATGTGCCACACACGCACACCCTTTCATATCAGCAACGTTCTCCATCTCATCAAATCCCAATGTGCCAACGGTGGAGCTGTCTGATACGCTGGTGGGTCCCACAGCCAATGTGATGGGCATTATCAGTCTTTCGACGCACCGCATCTGTTCCCAGAAGATCAGATACTGCAAATGAGGACGGGAGTCAACCAGAGTAGTGATCCCAGCCCATCCTCTCGACCATATACTGATTCCCCGGGTCGCCGCAGTGATCGCGCGTTTGACGGAAATCAGGGCCACGAGGCGTCTACAATGCCGCCAAACACCCGCAAATACTGTGACTGGCGCTGCTTCTCAGTAATCGAGTCAATTCTAATCGTCGCCACATCCTACAGCTCGCCGCACCCCACGAGCGTCGGCGAAACTTCCGCTTGAACACCAAAGCACATCCCCCAGCTCAAACTACCTGCTGCACAGCCAGCGCAGCAAGCCGATCTAATCAACCGCTATGCCTAAGGTGAATAATTCATCTCGCTGATCAACGATCCGTGCGATGCTAATACCCCTGCTTGCTGTCAAATAGAACAAAGGAAAGGTACTATACGTCTCCATGCACTGCTGCGATCCCGATCCTGATAACCGGGGTATGCCTGTAGGGTGGAAAAAATCGCAGAAGAGGAAAGAACGAGAACGACGACGACAAGCGCGAGCTGGTGTTCCGCGAAGACGGGCAGGAGTACGCTCAAGTCATCAAGATGCTGGGGAACGGGCGTCTTGAAGCGCAATGTTTCGACGGTGAGAAGCGGTTAGCACATATCAGAGGAAAGATGAGAAAGAAGGTCCGTGTTTCCATCTCACTTGGGTCGCAGCGCATCAGGCGATTTCGGTGTTGCTATCCAACGTTCATTTGATGGCTAAGTGATTGTGTTACAGGTCTGGATCAATCAGGGAGATATTGTCCTGCTCTCGCTACGAGACTTCCAGGATAACAAGGCGGATGTGATTGTGAAATACACTGCCGATGAAGCCCGTAATCGTACGTACCAAACCGCTTGCCTGGTGCCCACCCACTCACTTCATCTTGTCTACCATCGTCCACCAGTCAAGGCATACGGCGAGCTCCCAGAAAACGCCAAGATCAACGAGACGGACACCTTCGGCGAGGAGGAAGGCGAGTGCACATTCGAGTTCGGAGAGGACGGGGAGATCGACGTCGACGATATCTAATTCATCCAATCAATCAACGCGAACGGGGAGGACGTCCCACATCGATCTTGGAAAAAATTATCTTCGCAGCACGACTTTTACGATCATCATCAGCATCATACTATCCTACGCTCTCCTACCGCCCGACAACGCCACCACGGCCTAGACACGCACGCATTCTCTTTGATTTGCCAGTTATCTCGATGCACCGCCATAGTTCCCATTCTTACAATAGCTGTATGAACACCATTGTATGCATAGCAGTGTAGCTGACCGTCATACCGATACCGTGTACTCTAGGATCATCTAAGCAGCAGGAATACACGATAACTCTCCGGCGAGCACGTTTCCGAGGGCGTGTGTTCTCGATCTTTTTATAAAGACAAAGAGCACTGTACCATGAGAACGAGGTTGGCGCAGCTATTCATGATCCATCCCTAATATGGAGATAAGGAGGTCTTCTCCCGCTGTCAAGAGCAACGAGGTGAAAGGATCTATGAATACGTGGAAGTCACTGAGTCAGACTCCCATGTAGGACCGAGTATCTGCCACCAACGGGCCACTCACCGTCAGCAATGAAACTTCCGGCGCCCCCCAATCGCCACTATCAACTGGAGTCGACGAATTCAGCGTATGCAGACTTCGAAAAAAGAGGCTTCTCCATTCGAGGCGCTACCTCGTCAGAAGCAGAAGAGTCTGCATATCGGGAACACACCCCTTCTCTTCCATCAACCAATCTATCACCTCCTTTGCATGAGACTTGACTGCCGCTCTCAGCATCTCTGAGGTCACTTGGATGCGATCTTCCAGCTTCCTCTTCTTCCCGGCTTTCAGCTTGCTCTTTCCGACCCTACACGCATCACCAGTGCCTTGGATCCCATCAGTCTGCGTGCTGCTGCTATTCTGAGCCCCTTCGACCGGCTCGATCCCCTGTCTTCCATCTCTTTCCACGAGCATCTTCACCATCGCGATATTATTCATTCGGATCGCAACAAAAACCGCTAGCCCATTCTTGCACCGCGGCGATGCGCCCTGGTCGAGCAGAAACTCGACGAGCGGCGTAAATCGAGCGTGCACCGCCTTCGTCAGTGCATATCCGTCGTGCGAGCTAGGATCTGGCGCGGGGAAGGACGAGGATGAATATAGGTATCTCAAGAAGGGCAGTGGGTGATCGCGCTCTTCCCAACGGGGCGCTGAACGAGATGCCGGGGGGCGCAAATTGTAGAAGAGCCGTTTAGGAAGCTTTGGGCGGTATGTTTGCAATGATATGCCGTATTTAGGAGCTTGTCGACAGATTGCATCGAGCACTGGTTGCGAGCAGATAGGATATCGCAGTGCCCTCGATACGATGTCGAAGTTAGTGTGCCCGCTGGTGGCGCGCAGCGCCCTCGCTATGATATACCGCGCACGGAAAGAAGCCGGTGTCGAGGAGTAGATTGCATAGAAATGTTTGCAAATGAGTGGCAGATTCTCAGATGTGGCGTACAGCTGAATTTCATATAGCAGCTAGGTATCCCACCATAGAGTTATGAGATGCATGAACTTCTGTAGATTGTGGATCACTTACTTCTACTGGAAGGCTCGCAAGACCAGTCCGTCGACGCATCGCAAATTTGAGTGCCAGCAGTCACATGACGACGGACCGACCTTTCGACTTGAAGGAAATCAGGAGTACCACTCGCCGCCTACCTTTCCTCATTTATGGCTAGTACCAGCGCGAAGTGACGATGAAATGTATCTCATCAAGCTGGTCGTTGTTGGTACGAATTTCGAAAGAGCACGCCCCCCTTCGCTGAGTTGTTAACACGACACTCAAGACTCACCTGAGTTGCCCGCCAGAGGAAGAGGGATGATAAAGCTCAACTTGACACTATTTAGTGAGAAATTAATTGGAATATATTCTTTGTCACTGGCTCCGCTTTTCCGCCGTCGGTTCTTGCATCCGGGGTCTGCTGCTTATCCTCCATGATATCTGGAGCACTTCAACTTCAACGTCACATAATCCGCGACATATTATGGCGGACGGGGAGTGTATGTGGGGGAAGTCGTGTGTGGGGCGCCATGCTGGCTGTGTGTGACTTAGCCAGCGTAGGGGTTCTTCTTGTGGTGTCCTTGATTTTCCACAATGCATTCAATTCCCCGTGTCCAAGTAAACTCTTCCAAGAGAAAGTCGTGTGTCGTGTGTGTTAGGATAAGTCGACGAGAACTATTACTAGTTGATAGACGTAAGTACTATTTCCAAGTCCATTACTTTGAGATCAAACCCCCCTACACGAACCTCGCCAGTAGGTACGTCGATGGCCTCACCGAGTTCGGCATGAACATACTGCCAACCAGCCCGCGCCTTGACCATTCATCCACCAATATATTCGCCCAGCCAACAACCCACAGCATAGTCCAAACCCACCCCACCCATCCTTGCACCTTCGACCTCGTAACCTTCTTCCACCCCGCTTCCAGCACAACGCCGACGCCCATCATCAGGAAATACCCCCCAACATATGCGAAATCCGAACCCCTGCCCATACCCCACAGCCCTATATGGTGGAAGATCCCCGACATCAGGAAGACCCCCATCACAGCTCCGAATCGTCCAAGGAGGAAGAACATAGGCTTCCCGCCAACGGAAATGAATTGATGTCGGAAGAGCTGATGCCAGCGCCGCGTCCAGAACTCATTTAGCGAAGTCGCTTTCCACGGAGAGTGGAAAAGCGGCGGCCACTGCTCCGGGTGTTGCGCAAAAATAAGCACGCCGATGATAGTCATTATGTCATAGGCAGCCTGCATAGCAGAGTATATCGTGAAGCCTGCAAGGAGGCATATGGCACTTGAGCGGAAGTACCGTGGCACAGGTTCTAGATTCGTGTCGAAAATGGTGCCCCCGTCGGCTGATCCTATAGTAGTAGGGGAGAAGGACTGCACGCTATAGTGTGCGTTGTCAAGTAGGATGATATGCCACACCGCCGACGCTAGTGTTTGCAGGATAAATCGAGGCCGTGCCAAGGTGTGACGCGTCTCTGGGGGTAGCTGGAGTCCTGTCGACCAATCCCAGTCACTGCCCCGCAGGTTGGTGATGAGGTCGGAGGCATCGCGAGCTATACTGAGCACGCCGGAGGATGATTCGGGCTTGTCGTCGTCGTCGTCGCACGCAACTTTCTGAGTTGTCCGTGCACGTTCATATGGTTGGAGAGGGAACGTCCACGCGATAACGCGCATGGCCATGGTACCGAATACAAGCTACAAGGAGGCAAGGTCCATCGCCTGGCCCATACAAGTCAAAGAAACGGCAAAGCTTACCAGAAGGCCATGGTTCCAATATATCAGTCGGTCGTCCTCCAGCGACTTGACCAAGTCCACAGTCGTACATGCCCGAAATAGCGTCCAAAGCGTTACAGGCAGCAATGCTAGCCGTACCAGTATCGTGTTCGGTAGGGTGACAAGCACGGCGGTGGCATAGTAGCACAATATCGGTGGCAGAAGGTCTTCTAGAAAAGTCTGATACGACAGCGGTCTGCGCGTTTCCGGAGAAGGAATGAGGGTCGGCAGTCATTTGACGCCTATGGTTCCGCTCTGCACATCAGTTCCGCCGTCCCCTCTATGATTTTCTAGTCCACGAGCTCACCATGCCATGAAGTCTACCGCCATCCACCTGTATCACCGCTTTGCTGCGCAAAAATGACCGGCGGAATGGTCTGGGGTCAATTTTGTGGGGTTCACGAAGAGGCGCTGTTTGGAATCATGCCGGCCCCTGTCCACAGTCAGGGTTCTGAATCAAGGGAGTACCTTTCGATAGATCTATTTATTCCTACCTATGCGCAATAAATAGACGGATGGTGAGGGGGATTCGCGATTTTTGCGGCCGATATCGTGTGTTGCTTTACGAATCACTCACACGTTGCAATACTTTGAATAGAGGCCCATCGGCAGACCCGTTATCATCTTCCTATTATTGTCTGGGGGCAGGCCTATATAAACAGTCAGGTGTACGATCTACCACATTCACCTCAATTTGGGCTTGAAGAACAATGGCAGACGACAAAGTTGGATTCGAATTCGCCCCCCTCGACCCCAAACTCTACTCCCTCGACGAGCAGGAAGCTGCGTTCTTCAAATCTGCGACAGGGATCCAAGATGAAGAGGAGCTCAAGAAACACATCCTCGATGTCCAAGCCAAGGCTTATGCTGTGCGTATTATTCAAGCCAAGATGTAGTGGATGACTTACTTCCACGTTCGCCTGGCGCAGATCTTCGGCTACCCTTGCATTCGAAGATTCTCATTCCTGAGGTAGCTAGGCTTTCATCGCGCGCGTTCGCTGTGACGAACCTCACTGATAAACTACGGTCGCGTGCAGGCTAAAGATATCCCGCCTTCCGGCATACGATCAAGTACTCAAGTTGGCTAAGGAGCGTCAGGGGGCTATCTTGCTGGACATCGGTTGCTGCTGTGAGTTCCGTGCCTAACCTTCTAAGTTGATTACCAACATCGACATTAACTCGTCGCATAGTCGGAAACGATGTCAGGAAAGCCGTAGCCGACGGTTGGCCAATCCAAAACGCCCTCGCGTCCGACCTGCGTCAAGGTACATAGCTTCCACCATTCCAGTTTCTTTAATCTTATAAGCTCGAATCAGGATTCTGGGATGCTGGGCACGAGCTATTCAAGACCACTCCCGAAACATACCCCCTGAAGTTCATCCCCGGAGATGCGTTTGATCCAGCATTCATCGCTCCCCACGACCCTTTCTACGAGTCTCCCACTACGCCGGTCCCAGACTTACAGTCTCTGTCCTCCCTTACGCCCTTGCAAGGCCACATCGCGGCGGTTCACGCCTCCTCATTCATACACCTGTTCAATGAAGAACAGCAGACCCAAGTCTGCAAGGCCCTCGCCTCTTTAGTCTCCCCTGAGCCTGGGTCCATCATCTTTGGTGCCCACGGAGGACTGCCCAAGAAGGGACTCAGGGGATTAACCTTTGGGGGTTCCACCCGAAGGATGTTCTGCCACGATCCCGACACCTGGAAGGAGCTTTGGGACGGTGGGATATTCAAGAAGGGTACTGTCAAGGTCGAGACGAAGCTCGTGGAATACAAGAGGGATGATTTTGTGGAAGATATCAAGGACGACAAGTTTTTTATTCTGACCTGGTCTGTAACGAGGCTGTAGTTCTGTTAGTAGAATAGGTCATGTAAAGACATTCGAAGCCCAGTCCAAGTCCGTACCAATGCAAATTATAGCGTATCTCGATGTCCTAATTCGTTTCGCATTCCTCTCGTGAGCATGAGTAGCAAATTCTCGATGCGAGCTTGGCGATCCTACACAGTGAGCAAGGACAAGCCAACAAGTTAGCAACTCCTCGTTAGTAGAATACTGAACAGATAACGTGCCTGCAACTCCTTCATCTCATCCTTCAGCTTTTGAACGGGGAGCCCCCGCATGTCTTCGACCACACTCTCCATCTTCTTCAGAGTCGCTTCAATATGCACCGCAGTCGAACTATCCGTATGTATTTTAGGGGCGAATAGACGGGCGAGCGGGCTCCTCTCAGTAGGGGCGTCTGCTAAGTGTGCCGCTTCCAGATTTATGGGTGCCAGAGTGCTCGCAACTCGAGGTCTGGGTGACGCATGAGGCGACGATCTATCCCGCAGAGGGGATCTCGGCAGACTGGTAGGTCGCTTTCTCGGCGTTGTCGGCCCACTCCGCGGTGGCCGTACATTATCTCTAGATGCCGTCGACCTTAACGCAGGCAGCTCGTCCTCGTCGTCTTCACCGTCAAAGAGATCGTTGAACTCTTGCTGCGGGATATCGAGGTCAAAGATAGCATCGTACAAGTCATTCGACGAAGATCCCACGAGCGCCTCTACGATGGGCATAGTCTTGATCTGGCGAGGGAGGCTGTTGAAGAGGCTGTGGGCCGCATCGAGGCCTGATTCGCGGAGCTTTTGGCCTGCGGCGAGGTATCGCTCGTATACGGCGATTAGAATAAGGATCGGGAAGGTGGTGAGCTTAATGAGGAGAACGTTTAAGGAGTGCAGCGCGCGGGGCGTTAGAACGAAGCTGGCAGGTTTGAGTATTATAAACGCGAGAATATTGAAGGGTGGTTGGTATGAGAACAGCGCATCCGATTTGACACTAGTATACAGATGTCAGCGTCCTAGTCAGAGAAGAACAGAGGAGTATACCCTTCGATGGTGGCTATGGCGAATTGAAACAAGTACTAGTGAAGCGTAAGTTGTCTACCAGTGCCTTCAGCCCGTTGCTTACCTCTCGATTAGCATTCTGCGGTAGCGACAGACGAGCCTCAGTCAGCAACCATCAAGTCAGCAGCCGCAATGGACCCACAGCGTCAATTCTAGCGAACGTATTTGACAAGATGGAGATCAGGACTGGGCATTTCAGATCAGAAAAATAGTACGAATGCAGTAAGTTGAAGGCAAGCACTCACTTGTCAAAAGGAGTGTATTCGACAAGGCAGCAAAGCCCGTCATCAAGATGGGCCCAAAGAGAGGGTGGAAACTTGATGCTTGGCCAAAGCTAAGGTACGTATTCCCAAACCATATCTGCACCATCAGCCATGCAATGCCTTTGAGCGTCCACCCGGAATCTGAGCCGGAGGCTGGAATCAAAAAGGCGTAGGAGCGACGGCGTTATTGATTAAGGGAGGGTTCACAACACGAGGTTGAATGGAACATACCCAATGTCCATAAAGTGAACAACAGCCCCGAGAAACAGATAGCCGCCATGCCCATGAAGAATACGAATTCTGCGATCATCGCGCGTAGGGCGCTACGTATATGCAATTTCGTTAGTTGGGGAGGAGATATGGAAAGAGGTTCCCTGAAAGCCAAGGGCATAACACTCACAGAATGACAACATTATTGGAGACAGCGAAAAAGGCGAGGCTACATAGCGTTAGAAACAATTGAATCCGGCGTCCAGTATATTCAGATAGCAGGGACTTACCGCGGAAATAGGATACAAGCCCCACAGGCAAGCAAGTCAAACGCAGTCATAGAATCTTCAACTAGACAAGGCGACGTATCCACATGAAGGAACGTGGTGAGCGCGGGGATGTAATACAACATTGCGATGGAAACGAACCGTTATTGTGCGCAAGCCCGTGAATGCGAAACCCCAGATAGCTAATGAATACAAGGATGAAAGATGTGTCGAAGACATTCCACATCTACATAGATAGCAGATTAGGCGGGTCATGGGGTCGAGTGTAGACAAAAAAAGCCAACGTTTGCGATGTAAACTGCGCGAATCGCGATGCAGGGTTAGCTATAGGTGCAGGGCACTGACTAGTAAAGGCTGAACCCACTGATCCATCCATGTTCGGTGGAAGCTGTCCATTCCTGAAGTGCGAAGGACGACGCGAATAGAATGAATGTTGCTTCCCATGCATTCATCTTATTAGGGTCTTGGTCTGATGTGAATCAGATTAACCACGGCCATCCGCTATTAACAGGGCTTTGACGACGCACGAAATAAACATAGCACAAAGGTCACCAAGAGGACACCGAAATTCATGAATTCGAGGATTGCACCGTATCGCGGGACACGCAGCCTAAGATTATCGATGCGTGTGAGCGCGAAAGAGTAAAATGGGAAACCGTTGTCTACCTGTAATGATCAAGGAAAGGAGACGTGCGGGTGTCGTATATCTCTATCGGCCGAGGCTTATAGTTGTCAGCAAGCACTGAGCGGTTTGCTACAGTGGAAAATACGACGCGACCGGAGTATATATCATTTACAACCCTCTGCGCGACTGGCGTGGATAATAGGTGTTTTGCTTGAGTTGCGATAGCCATCTCAAGTGCGCTTTGGGGGCTGTTCATGACGTCTTCATCTCCAAGGGCCTGAGAGACGTCTTCGATTATATCGGGCATGGCTCCAGCAAGCGGGTTCCAACTTGTAGTAAGCGCAGCGACCAATTGGATATGATTTCCAGCAAAGCCGTTGAGAAGCTTCATGGCCATGATTTCGCAGAGATTTGCTCGCGTAAGCATGACACTGGAATAGGCTAGATCGTCCTCAGAAGCACCCAAGAAGTACGATCGGACAACAAGACAAGCATAGACCACGGAGAGATTCTCAAGCCTCGCGTACTTTTGAACGAGAGGTCGAACAATAGAGAAGTTGATGTCAGATGCGGTTAGCTGCCTGCGCGGAGAGTGTCAGTGAGTTCATCTGCGAGTTCACGGCTCCGAAAAAGTAAGGTGCTCACTCCCAACTCAATGTACTGTCTGCGAATTCTCGGACATAAGTAGCGGAAGAAGCACCGGAGGTCCGACACACCTATTGTTCTCTGGATAAGGAAGAAAGTAGAATCGGATGAAGGTATACGGGAAAGTTAAAATGCCTCACAGTTACATCCCGCTAAAACATTCGTTAGGGTAGTTACTCCACATGACCGTTTGAGAACAAAAAGACATGCCTTCAGGTGAGGAATCAATGGGAAGACTTTGACAGAAGATAGATACTCGACTGTAGGGGCCAAAAGACCGCGAGATTGGCCTTCTTGATCCATCATGTACGGGTCCAGAGGCCTTGTCCTCGAGATTAATGTCGCTCAGCGAGTTGATGCGCCGTGGACGGTAATGGCAGGGAATGGGGCCCACTGAGACAAGCAGACAGGGTCTTGTGTTCCAGAAACTTGAAGATGAAATTGGATTTAGAGTGTTTCCTTCATCAGAAGAGCCAGGAAGAGCCCCAGGGGCTTACCTGAAGAACGTGAATTCGCAAACGGTTTTTCGTTGCAAGGGAGTGGCGGTCACTGCAGCGCGCAGGGTCGAAACCACATGTAGTTAGGCGCCCGGCGCTTGGGACTATATTATATGGATATTTCCTTTTCCGTACTCAATTATATTGGTGGAGACATACAGGCTAGTCTCTACCACTGCAACCACCATCTCCTCCTCGTTCCTTTCAGTGAATACCACGTACCTCCGTTTGTACCAACTCCATTTACAGCGAAAACTCGTGTTAGGTCTGTTTGGATGAAACATAGCAGCGGTAACACCTGTCTTTCACACCGGCCGTCTCCGGCGGTCCGGAACACAATAAGGTCGGAGGCGGAGGTCATTATAGGAACAAAGTGTTGGTGAACAAAAGCATCCACATACCTGCTTTTGTTCTTCTCCATTTCCCCTCCCCCTCCTTTCATGAGATATGGGCAATGTCTGCTGCTGCTTTTCTGAGCCCGTCGACTTCGAAGGCGAAGTCAATCTCTACCATTTCGACCTCCACCGGGCTGTAGGTAAAGGTGCCTTTGGCAAGGTGCGTGGGGCGAGCGATCTTGGGCCTTGCAGTCATAACCAACACCGCACAGGTCAGAGTTGTGGAGCACAAACGAACCAAGAAGCTTTACGCCCTCAAATACATCGATAAGTCACGGTGTATAAAGCAAAAGGCCGTCGCGAATATTATACAAGAGCGTAGGCTACTGGAAGAGGTGAGCCCTCCAACGTGGTACATACAAACATAATCTGACACCGTACCCAGATCGACCATCCGTTCATCGTCAACCTGCGATACGCGTTCCAAGATGATGAAAACTGTTTCTTTGTGTTGGACCTCATGCTCGGCGGAGACTTGCGATGTATGTGCCTAGCCCTGTCTGTTGGTCCAATCCTCATCAGTGTGCCTCCCCAGTTCATCTTGAGCGCAAGGGTCAGATACAAGAGGATGTAGTGCGGTTCTGGATGGCCGAGTTGTCATCAGCCCTAGAATATCTCCACCAGCAACGGATTATTCATAGGTACGCCTTCCACCTCATCTTCCGAAGATTTTATCAACTTAAGATTCGCTGTGTAGGGATATCAAGCCCGACAATATACTTTTGGATGCTATGGGTCACGCCCATCTTACAGACTTCAACGTCGCAGTACACTACTCTGAGCGCCGGCTCCATCATTCGGTGGCTGGTAGTATGGCGTACATGGCTCCGGTATGTATGGTTTACCATCATAATTTGATGATCAATTCACGTTGTCAATGTAGGAGGTTGTCAGTCGCAAGGGATACTCCTGGTCAGTAGACTGGTGGAGCCTGGGAGTTACAGCCTACGAGTTACTCTTCCACAAACGCCCGTTTGACGGTCGCACTGCTGAGCTCATGCGCAACTCTATCCTTTCGGATCCCATTAAGTTCCCCGAGTCGGCGTCTTCGAAGTGCAGTGACACAGGAATATCTTTTGTAAAATCGGTAAGTTTCCTCTCACGTCCCATGGGATTCGTCGCATCATTTAATGCTCGTGCTCGGGGATATAGCTCTTGGACCGAAACGTCAGTAGCAGACTTGGCTGCCGGTCGAACGGCCGCGGAATGGAAGATATTCGACGGCACCCTTGGTTCTCTTCCATCGAATGGGATGCACTAGAGAACAAAGACTCTCAGCCTGCCTTTGTTCCTGATGTACGTCTCTTCTAACTCTCTCGTTCATAATGCATTCTAATAATAGGACGGTATTAAGATGAAGCAAGCCAATTTTGATGTGTCTCACGAGCTTGACGAATTCTTGATGGTCGAGAAACCTTTGACACACACCAAACGCAAGGCTAATGCTGACCTGGACAAACTCCGGCCTGAATTACGGCAACTGGAGGAACAGTAAGTCACTCTATTGCCCTTGTTCCCCATTTAAATATCTCCATATATCGATCGCTAACTATCTTTCTTCTTGTTTTGTATCTTTGTAGGTTCACTGTGTACGATTTTTCGCGTTCGAAACGGTTATCGTACTACCCCCACAACCAACCAATTGCGGTTGGTACAGATTCAGAAGGCAGCGACCCAACAGTGGGACACTCAACTACCAACACACTGATCCCAACTGCTACAATCGCCGAGCGATCGTTGGCCGGTACTCCGGTGCTTGATTCAATAGCACGAGGACATTCAATATCAATGTCCCGGCCCATGCCACAGCCGCCACCACCTATACATGTCTCCGGTTCCTGAACGTTACGATCTTGATGTTCTTCCGCCACGACCGCCGTGCCGACACTCATCTTGGCGACACTCATGACTATATCCTAATATCATCGATAATACCCAAGCAACTAATGTATACCTCAAGTTATTCTTCTAATATGGGCATATCTGCAATCACCTTCCTCCCCCCTTTTGCCATCGTTGTATTTCTTGCATATCTTCGCATTGCTTCCGAACCACTCATTGCTGGACTTGTTTGTGTTACCTTTTTCGCCTGCCTGTGGCATGGCCCATCGATGAAGGATTGTACCCGCATTAGTGCAACAGTGTATCTTGTATCACCATGTTATACAAATCTTGATTAGCGTTTCCCTCCTCGGTGCATCCGTTGGCCTTCGGCACCGTGACGCGCCTGGTCGTTTCATTGTTCCTCCCACGATGATCGCGTTGAAAGATATCCCTACAATCAGGCAACTGTACAGAACAAGTGCACTGAGCATTGCCAAAACGCGACGTTATCCCTTGATTGAAGCCCATCTTGACCGCATATCGCTTCTGTGCGTCGATCGGGTTGACTTTGCACTATGATCATCGCCAGACTCACCGCCAAGCCCTGAAGGCAAGGCGATATCACCAAGGTGCAAGTCGACGCGATTGTCAACGCCGCAAACAGGAGTTTGTTAGGTGAGTTCTTGCGGTGTAATTGGTATCTACTACAGTTGCTTATCGAATAAGGTGGCGGCGGAGGCAAGTCCGACAGATTTTCACTGGCAGGAACTTCATTCAATAGCCAGCATTCTAGTCGACGGTGCTATTCATGATGCTGCTGGTCCGAAACTCCTGGCAGAGTGTATGTGTTATTTCTGTTGAAGTGTACAGGCCCTCTGACATACGACACTAGGTCGCCCCCTGAATGGTTGTGAAACGGGAGGAGCGAAAATTACCAAGGGTTACGACCTACCTGCGTTTGTGTTTTCCCCCGTATTCGACCGTTTCCTTGTGCCTACTGGATAACTAGCCTTCACGTCATTCACGCTGTCGGGCCAATCTACGATTCGAACGATGTTGAAACCAAGGAATCCCAACTGGCCTCTTGCTACCTGAACAGTCTAGAAATTGCGGTTAATAATTCACTCAAAACTATTGTAATTCACAGCTTACTGGTTGGGAGACCTCTTCTGAGTCGTGTTTGTCCTAGGCTTTCCCCTGCATCTCAACTGGGATCTACGGTTATCCTATCGAGGACGCCACTCATGTTGTCCTAGACGTCGTTCGAAAATTCTGCGACACGGAGACTGGAAAGGAGGTACGATCGCCTATTCGATAGACATTGTCCATCTTTACTCATCACATCCATCAGCTCGATCGAATCATATTTGTGGTTTGGAGTAATACAGACAGGGCCTTGTATGAGTGAGGCTTTCACAACGTATCATCTCCACAATTCGCCGTAACACACGACTCATAGGAAACTACTCTCGGAATATTTCCCCTCCGATAGCGAATGAGCATGGTGGCTGAAGTTGCCGAGAGATGACATGTTGACAACGCTTACTGGAAAGTCCGCGATAATACCTGTAAGAATTAACTTGTATTCTATGAAACTCTTCTCAGGCATCATACGCTCATCCTCAAATATTCCGAAATACCAGGAGTGTTCGACGAGTGTCTTCCGCACAAAATAGATCCCAAACAGACTTACTGAGTTGGAGAATTCTTGTCTTCTCCCTCTCATGTATTGCGCTTATCTCCCCGTAATTCCGGTCCGCCTCATCCCGAGCATGGGTGGGGTGTGGGACTGGGCCGTCTATGATCGTTATGTGGTCCGAGATTTCACCGCATTATGAGATTGAAAAGCCCATTCGAAAATACCTGGTATTCTAAAAAGGCCCATCCTTGCCTGTTAACGAACCCGCAGATTCACGATGGGGCTGCTGTACAACATCTTCGTCTCAGTTTTCTCCTCCATAGGTGCGTTCACTATGTACCCCATGTTCAAACGTTCCCACTGACCCAAGTGTAGGTGCCTTCTTATTCGGGTGAGCCAGTCCTGCAGAACAGTATAACCTTTAGCTCAAGATCGACTTCGTCTCCTTCCAGATATGATAGGTATGGTCCATTCACGCCGTCCTTCATTTTCATATGAGATCACTCAAGCCCACCCTATCCAGTGGTATCATCGCCTCCGTTATCACCATGTCTAGGTATCTTGACCGCTTCGGCGACAATGCGAGCATCAGAGGTGGCGTCGTATCCTCGTTTAATGGTAAATATTTAAATCGCCAGCCATCGAAGTGTTTGTAGCGCTGAAGTCTTCCTAGGGGGATGTTTCTTTGGTGCTATGGGAGCTGGCTGGTAATGGTCCTCCTTCGCGGCTTCGCTCTTGCCACTAACCGATTATGACTCATAGGTGTAATGATAGATTCGGTCGTAAACGAACAATTCAAGTAAGTCTTCGTACCTGTCGAATACTTGATTCCCTGACGCCGAGTTTCTCAAAGGTTGGGACCATATTCGCATTGTGGGGATGTGCTATGCAGACGGGTGCCAATAATGTTGCGACTCTCTTGGTCGGCCGTATTATTGCTGGCCTTGCAATTGGGTAAGATTTATCTTGATCCGGTTCCCCACTATCCCTTGACACGTTGTTCAGAATCCTCTCAATGACCGTACCCCTTTATAATGTAGGTGACCCTACATTTACGGGTCGTCCTGAGAGAACTGAAACCTTGATGCTTCGCAGACTGAAGTCGCCCCTCCGAAAATCCGCGGGTTCCTAGTTGGCATGACCCAGCAGATGATTGGTATCGGATTCATTGTAGCCAACTGGGTATATTTTCCTTTACACACGCTCAGGACGGTTTAGTGATGCCGGTCTTATCCAGGTCGGTTATGGCTGCCAATACATCGATTCTGATGCATCGTGGAGGCTGCCTTTAGGTTTGCAAGTGAATGAACCTCTTTATACCGCATTCCGCGCGGTTACTGACTGGTCCTAAAATGCGTAGATGGCGCCTGCATTCCTGCTCCTCGTCGGTATTCAATTCCTGCCTAATAGCCCCGTACGTCGTGCATCGCGTGACTGTCTTTCATCAACTAACATCTTGATCATGACAGAGATGGCTCTTAGAAGTGGGTCGCGATGATGAAGCGAAGGAAGTTGTCTATCAACTCCACGGAACGACCCCTCAAGCTAGAGACGCCGCCGATGTCGAGTTCAAGGAAATGTCAGAAACCATCAAAGCGGAAGTATTCGTTCGTAGCAGAAAGCTTAGTGACCTTTGGGCTACCCGAGCTATGCTACGTCGAACACTCGTGGCGGTCGGCGTTCAAGTATTCGGACAGTTCTCCGGAATCAATGGTATATACACTTTCTCCTACAGTTCGGGACCTGCACTTAATTTTCCGAATCGGCAGTTATCAATTATTTCGGGCCAGAGATGTACGCAGGTCTCGGCATCACAGGCGGCCAGGCATTGTTGGTACAAGGCATTTATGGTGCGGTGGGACCGATCGCAAATATCTTGTCAGTGTATATCTTATATTGCTCCCCAGTTCTCTGATCATCGCACTCTAGCTTCATTACTCTAATCCTCGATCGTGTTGGGAGGAAGAAGCCCCTTATGTTTGGTGCTGCCAGCTTCGTTGTTACATTCTCCATACTGGCCGCAATTGTTGCATCATTCCCTCCGCCTCCAGTCGAACTCGCCGGCCAGGTCCCCGTTAACCAAGCTGCTCAACGGTATGCTTAAACTCCTGGCAACACCGCCCCAGGCTTACATCGCCTTTAGTGCCGGCATTGCTATGATCTTCTTGACGAGTATATTCTTCTCCCTTAGCTTTGGCCCCGTCAGTTGGGTCTTAGCTTCAGAGGTGTGTATACACCCTTGCCATCACCAGTGCTCGACGTTTGACGTTACGTCCGTCAGGTATTTCCAACGAGCACACGGTCAATCGGCACTAGCGTTGCTACCTGCGCCAATTGGGCGTTCAATGTATTGCTCTCGCAAGTTTCACCGATTGGTATGACAAACGTTAAATGGAAGTTCTATCTTTTGTTTGTCGCGTTGAACTTCGTCGACTTCATCATCATCACCCTCTTCTTCCCCGAAACTAAAGGCATGTGCTCACCACTCGCATGTAGGATGTAGCTGACATTTGTGGCCCAGGTAAATCCTTGGAAGATATGGCAATCGTGTTCGGCGACAACGTCGACACGAAGAGAATTCTCGACGAGCACAAGGACACTTCTGACAGTGCAAGTAACGAAAAGCACGAGCTGGAGCACGCATAGTTCCTTCACCTTACGTTAACGACATGTACATCAATTGAGTCCTCTATTACGACTAGGAGATATTACGAACGGGCAGGAAATTCAAATACGGTGCTAGAATGTTACTCAACCGTTAACTCGCTATCATGAACTTTACACCTCAAGGGTCCGTTTGTTTTATTGGTTCGCTGGTTGACCGTCACTTCACTCGTCTCGTAACTGAAAGGTCAACCGCGTGCAGCAGTGGCACCCACAGAAAAAGGTTCCTCTGCGTCTGACGGGAAAGTTGTGTTCTTGATGCTTCCATTATTTCCTTTCCTTTGCCGCGCCGCGCGTGCCCAGGTCGAGATGTGGTTGTGGTCACTGGTTGACGGAAGAATTCATCGTGCGTCACGCCACTGCTCCCGGACACATGTTGGGCGGTTTGGCACTCGACGGGCGCGACCACTCAGTACTAGTCAGTACTCAGCGCTGGAAACGGCATCAGGCATTCTCGACGAACTGAGCCAGAACTTACTCGCATGTCCATTTCGATATTGATAGTCACATAGCTGGGTAACATGGTATTTCTATGCTTTGTACTGCTGGTCAACAAATATTGTTGTTATAGCTCCTCGACCCATGCTAATCTAGCCAGGGAGCGTCACCATGATACGATGATTATTTAGATGTGGTTTACCTACGCCTATGGCCCTCTGTTCTCCTCCAGCTCCAAGTCGAACCCAGAAAGACTTCCAGCAAGGGCCACGCGTAACAGGGGGAACAGGGGAGAGGAGGATTCACCACGTGGACATCCCAGAGCGGCCTGCGTTTCGACTAGTTTTCGAGTTGTCGACTCTTCTTCATGCCATGCAGCCATCACAATTAGCGGCGTTGGAAGAGCGCAGGGTTGTCTCACTTTCCAATGGAAGCCAATTAGAACTTGAACTCAAATACTCTCGAAATCCTGAGTCTCAGAAGCTAGTTGTTTGCCTCCATCCATGGTCGTGGCTGGGCGGTCGAATGGACGATCCGTACGTTTGCCACTCTGCAAGGTGCTGAGCTTGGTATCATGCTTGGGATTCAAGCGTACTGCACTCTCTTGTCGCTGTTCTAGAAAAGCATGGATACCACATTCTGAGGTATGCATCATTGTAATAAGATTCTGTGAATTGACTATGATTGAGATAGATATAATTCGCGAGGCGTTGGCGCGTCGAAAGGCTGGCCTTCGTTGACCGGACACACTGAGGGCAAGGATCTTGAAGCACTTGTACAGTGGGCGCTCCAAACGATACCAGAACTACGATCAATCGTCCTCCTTGTAAGTGAGAAATTGCATCTTTAGCAAAGACGTTTGTTCACAATGTCCCTAGGGATATTCGCATGGCTCACTTATAGCATCTCTTCATCCCTTACTTCCACCGCCAGTGAAGATTTCTCATATACTATTGTCGTATCCCTTAGGGGCAAGGATGTTTCTAACGCTGTTCAACTCGGACAGCTACGCCCTAAAGCTGAAGGAATTGGTTGAAAATCCTGCTTCCAATTTACTGATTATCTATGGTGATCAAGACGAGTTCACGGGGGCATCTCGTTACGACGAATGGACGAAATCTCTGTCTAGCGAGACAGGCACATTAAAGGTCGTAAAGGTGGAAGGAGGCTCTCATTTTTGGAGGGGGAGGGCCAACAATACTCTACAAAAGGAGATAGACCATTGGCTCGCCATGTTCTAAAGACCAAAGCTAAGCATATATACACGTCCTGAGAATCTTCTCGCAAGCTGTTTTGGGCATCGCGACACTACGAACGAACTAGACTGCTCCACAAGCGGTAAATATATCTGCAGGAACCTGCTCAGCAAGCAGGCTAATAAATGCGTCCAAAGGCAGCCATTCCAATCCATCCACCGGCGTCCCTTCGTGTAACACACGGACGAATCGAGCCTTTTGGGAAGTTCGCCATACCTATGGTAAGTCCAACTCAATGAAAGTTGGAACTTGAAGGATGCTATAGATTACCTCCATGACGATTTCGGAACCAAGCGCAGGCCATCGCAAAGGCTTTATCTTACCAAACCCAAGCCCAGACGCTAGGCGGATCATACTCCCGTCGTGACCCACGAAGAACACTAGCTTGTGGGTCTCGGCCCCTGATTTGAACTGCTGGAAGTTCTGGAGTAGCTCTTGGAAGAATACACCGAACGTGAGTTGATTATATGTTGTCGAATTTTCGGCCGCATTCCAAATGTAGCTGCGTTCAAGTTATTAACCACCGACATATATGTCCATTCGACTCACTTGTACTCGAAGTCGCCGATGGCGAAGACTCGACGAGCATCGGCTTCTGCAACACATACGCCAGTCGCATTACATGGAAGTGTGTGACCTCCGCATGTCCGCGAAGTAAAAGTGTCGAAGAAGTGGTCATCTGGCTCAATGAAAACCAGCAAGTAAACGAAGCGTGTCGAGACCTACACCAGAAAGACCAATCCGACAGTCCTGGGGTGCCTAGCGTGGCGTCGAGCTTGTCTTGCAGGTCCTGGTTTGCATGTATGTGATCGCTCCATGCAGGAACAGACTGGTAGGCAGAACGGATACGGTCAGCTCTTGGACACGAATATCTGGGAGGTAGAGAGTCTATCTGCCCAAGTCAAGTTGAGTACACAAATTGAGACAGCGTGTAGAAATGCCTCATACTGGGCTTGGTTGCGTATGAATTGGGAAAACTTTTCCTGCTGTCGAGGGATCCATTCCAAAAAGGAGCCCACTAGCAACATGCTGTGTGCGTGGTTCTGTGGAAGTGCGAATGACTACATCATGTTCGTTGACACTGCTGAGAAAATGCAGCTTTTGGTGGTATAGATTCCAGAAGTCCTGCATAAAGTATATATGTGATCAGGTGTATTCCATCAGGGAGAAGCATCTCAGTACCCGTCCGTGTTTGATGGCGTCCTCGAAGCCTTGCCTTGTTAGTTGCCCTTGGTCACACGTACCATTCCATATTTTTCTGGCGAAGGGATGCCATGTGGGGTTTGATGTTTGGCGGTCAACTTGCCCCCCTCCTTGCGGGAACATCAGTTGATGAAAGTCAGTACAATCCCAACCCGAAGGAGGGTTAAGCTGGCTTTCCTGCGGATACAGATTGTCTGGAGTACGCTGCAGTTACCTCACGTCAGATTCCAACACTTCCGTGCCAAGTCTGCAACATGAAATACTGACCTTGTGGTGTCTGATCACAACGTTGACATATTCCAATTTTGCATTTTTCGGGGAGGAGTAGTGGGCAGCGTTGACGTGTGGAGCATTGCAGTAATTGTACGTGTTCCAAGGAAGATTTGGTGGGGTCGTGGACGTGTCATAAACCCCGTTCTTGTCCGCCAGAACACTTGCACTTGTTCTGGTGAGTAGATGCAATATTCCGAAAAGCCGGAGATAGAGGGAGATACCGACGTCCTTCATGGCAGAGGACTTGAATTCAGCATGAAGCTCAGATAGCAGACTTGTTATACTCATCGCCTGCGAAAAATCAACCTCGACGGGCTGGTAGAAGCAAAGCTTGAGGGCAATTACCGCATGGGCGCACGCACGTTTGCAAAGGGGTCTGTCACTGTACTGAAGACGTGTCGCCGCCGCACAAGGAGTCCAACAATAGCGCACATGACCGATGCAGTCTTCTAGTAGTGAGAATTTATGAAGATTCGTCGACCGTTTGGTGTTTCGACTACAGTTGGTGTAGAGGAAAGTTGATTGCGCTCAGAGGACCCTACACGAGCCAAAACTAAACTGCGTGCACACTAGTCGTTGCGTGACCTCCATAGTGACAACTACTTTGCTTAAGTAAAGACAGCGAACATAAGCGAAAGAAGCCCATCGTGGAGACATAACAGGAGAACTGATTGCGCAAAAGAATTTCATGTCCGAATTGAACTGCAAGGTTTCCATCCTACACCTTCGTGAACCATACTTCCGACCGCTCTCTAACGGTGTTGCCGATAGGCTCTGGTACGCCAGCCCCAGCTCCCCAGGCACCAGTCAATCCAAACCCAAGAGTCCCATTATCTTGGGCAAACTCAGCCACTGGTCCCAAAACCACCACGGGGGACGCCCAAAATGGACTCGAAGAGTTTCCCGTGGGCTATGTAGAATTAAGTGGTCAGCTATGTTGCTAAAAAGCGTCATGACACTCACATAGCTGTCAAAGACCGATAGCGAAAAGGTACTTTCGTTCAAATGTGTCAGGCGAACGTATGCACCGAATGGTCGGTCCCACTTTGCCAGTAGGGTTGGGATAGTGGGGTCAACTACGCCTGGAAGGACGACAGTGATATTAGAGGTCAATGCTCGGCAGCTATCAGAGATAGTAACTGTTGAAGCATTTGCGGAAGCCAGGCAGAGTTCTGCTCGACCGTACGCAGGATCTTCATAAACACCAGCCAGACCTTCAACCCCGTTGGGCGGGAGGGTGGCATTCTCAGGACGTTGAATGGGTGGCGGCAAAGCAGCGAATGTTGCTAGGAGATCATTAGCTACTCTGAGTTCCTCGTGTCAATCAGAAGTCAAGGTGAGATTGTTCGGAATCTTACATAGTCTTGGAGTCGATCGGTGTTAACCCCAACGCCTCGTCTGAGATTCTGTATTTGACAGCGAGACTGATAGCGCTACCAAGTTCATTGTCATTGGTCAGGACAGAAATGCCGACGCCATCAAACGGGAAACGTGATATGTATGAGTTGAACCCTGATAGTAAAGACACTGTAAGAGCTGGGAGGCTGGGGAGGCGTCCTACCATGACTTACCTGGAACGCTGCCGCCATGCTAAGAGCATCATGAGATTGCATCCCAGCACAGGAGAAGAGGGGAACTAACCTCCACAACGACTAGGTGTCAATGTCAGCTAAGATTCTCCGATTAACTTAAGTCGGGAAACGCACCATGTCCTCTGTAGGTACTTTGAGCCTGCCCACCACCATAAACAGCTGCAGATAAGAACGGATGTTGGCTGCCATAAAATGGGTTTTGAGCCGGCCGTCGACATAACCGGGTCAGTAAACGCACGTACGGAGAGCTCTCAAAAACTGTTATTCCAGAGGACACCATGTTAATTGCCTCAGGAGGTATGATCACCTCTTTAGTCGCCGCGTTCCCCCCGCCAGAGAGCAATGTCTGGAGCCAGGCTGCCTATTGTTACCAATGTAAGTGCTTGGTTCGTTGATGCTTCGAGAACTCCTTACCATGTCTACAGCGTTACTAATAACTCCGCCAGCACCCGAATCCACTAGTAAATATAAATATATCAGACGGAACCACATTCTAGGAATACGCGATCCCTCACAATGTCCATCTTCGCCGCCTACTTGGGCCCAGAAAGGGATAGCTCGTGGTATTCCAGCATCGAAAATCGACGCAGACAAATTTGTTTGTTGCTTGAAGAAGCCGTCCGCAAGATTGCCTGTTGCATTGGCAACATCGAAGGAATATGTTGTAGAATTCAATCCGAGGGGCTCGAAAATATTAGCTTTCACGTAACGAGTGAATTTGGGCTTGGACGGAAGGATGGCGGTAGGGATATATGACAGGACGGTGTACATATTGTTGTTATATTGGAGCGTCTCCCTGAACTCAGTGGATGGCTTAAGGAAGCGGAGCCTTCCAATCTGAGGCTTCCGTTAGCCTGAAGCGCATTGGGGGATGGATATACAGCTCACGACATCAAGCACGTCGTCCGACAGTTTGGCCATGAAGTCGTGCCGGGGTAGGCCAGAGCGATGGCTCATCAGATCAATTATAGTAGCCTCGTCAGTAGCTATTGGGTCCATGAGACCCCATTCTGGGATAATCGTCTTGATTTTAGTGTTCCACGAGATGCGCGGATCGAGGGATGTGTTAGCGATGAGCAGCCCGGTGGCCAATATATCAAACAGCTGCGAGCGAACGTGTAAATGATGCAGCAGAGACCTTGAGAGACCGCTTACTTTGGAGTTTGAACCTATAGCGAACAGTGTTTGCGCTGTGACGTTAGTGCCATCCGCTTTAGCCACACCATATCCTTTGGTCTCCACGTTCCAAGTATCGTTACCGGTCTTCCGCACAACAGCGACGGAGACTCCGCCAGGGGAGTTCCAATCGGCAAGTAGACCATTGATAAACGCGTCGATTTCTGCGTTGAGGATGGGAGACGAGGGAGGCTGTTGTGCGAGGACGTAGGTGAACGGAGACACGAAGCACGAACACAATGCCACAAATTGGAGAAGCATGGTGTATGCATTCCGTCCCCTACATATTTGGATTTATAGACTGAACTGTGGGAGAAAAGTTGCGCCAAACACATGGCACTGTAATCCGCGCGCATCTCGTAATGTTAGTTCGAAGACGAACGTTTATTGGGTACAAGTTGCGTGCTTTCCCCGTACCCCGGGCTTGATGGCCCGCGAAGAGCAGGTTTGGTCACACGCTGCGCTGCGCCATCTAAAGGCCTGAAGTGCGAGCAATGATCTCATATCTGTTATATATCTGAAGAACATCACAATCAGAATCAGTACAAGAACAGGAGATCATAGTATATACCACTCACCTATAAGACGTAACCTGGATATCTTTCTTAATTCGAGTTGGGGGAGAACTCCATGTAGTTTGCGTAGACAAACCACATCTAAGCATGTTCTGAGACGTCAACTAGCTGATGAAAGGAACTACAACAACAACATTCGTTCAAGTAGAAAGCCCGTGGAATTTCCAAGGTGTGTGAATATCAATATCCTTTCAGACGGATGCATCAAGTTTCGCACTAGTTCGAATGGAAGTTCTCACTCACAGATCCTCGAAATGCCCGGCGCCGTTTGCAGGGCTGCGCGGCCATCAACTTGAATCAACTTGTTGTTGACGCCCATTGACTAGTAGTGGCGTGACGCCCCGTGACGTATCGGTCACTTCTGGCACGGTCGTGAGTCTAAAATGTGAATTAAGTCTGAATCTCGAATCCTCTTCTACTTATTCTAAACAACTACAATCGAGCAGGAGGAACAGACCGGAAAGAAATAAAACACATACTGAAGGTCAGACCAGAGATTTTAAGGCACCTTCGACCGTCGACAAACCATGTTGTCTTCACGCTGGGGAGCAAGTGCCGCTGTGCTGGGCGACGTGATGTGCCGTTTCCTCAAATCGATATCTACTTTGATCGTGATTTCTGGGATCTTCGGTGAAGACAAAGCTTGGCCTGCTTGGATTTGGGGACGCAGTGTGGGTAAAACATCGGGGAGACATCCGTACCATACTCCCCGAAGCAAAGTCCGGTGCTGTATCCAAGGTACGTAGGCCCGACTCTAAAGACCAACCATGTCGGTCGGTTTGTCCTCGGCTCGCGTTCTGGGAATCCCAGAGCTTCTGGCGCATATCTTCTTATTGTCGAGTCGCCAGGCAAATACAGTGTACGCTCGCGTTTGCAAAGAATGGTCAGACGTCGCCCTGGACGTTCTATGGCGGGAGATCAACAACCCCAGCCACCTGATACGACTACTATGCCCACTCCATCCAGAACCTGACGGCGACGGCGGAGTGATATGGGTGCGTTGATCCATTGCAGTCAGTCTACCTCGGAATCAATCTGACCTTTTGCCCAGAGCTTTGTCAAAGAGCACGGAGCTATTCAGACTACTGACTGGGAGCGGCTACGCTCGTATGCGAAGCGGGTCCGGATTCTCGTGGTGCCTCGCAGGATCCCAATACTCGACGATTCCGTTTTTACGGAAATCCAGAGCGCAGGCTGTTTTCTACCTAATCTCCAGCGACTCGAATGGTATACCAATGCATTATACTACCCTCTTTTCACCGGCAAGAACGTCTTGCACCTCACATTGCGTCTAGACCCGGAAGATACACATCATATGTCTCAAGTCATCCTGGATATTCCCAAGTTCCTCCCGCTTCTTACGTCCTTGATTCTGGAATTACCAGACTACTACGCGTATTTCGGCATGGATATGTTGAAACGTTTCTTCTCCACCCTAGAAGACGTCCACAACGCCATTGCTATATCTTTGACCAAGCTCCCCTCGCTGACGTACTTTTCGTTACCCAAATTCTTCTGTACTCCGACAATCCTTCAACAACTGGCGATGCTCAAGAAACTGGTCTCGGTAGAAGTGTCCCTTCTATCCTCGCCATATAATTCAATCTTCCCCGTTGACTTGGAAACACGCAGCTTCATGTCCTTAACACGGCTCGCCTTTTCCATGTCATTTGAAAGGGCCATGGAGTGCTTTTCTCAAACAAATTACCCTCCGAACGTCATCCGCCTCGAGCTCGCCTCCACTGCCTTCGAACCCGAGCAAGATTATTCAGGAATCTTGGAGGTCCTTTCTGCGAGTTATCCAGACCTCCAGGAACTCGTACTGGACAGCACAGTATCACCTCCTGTGGACATCGAGCTCGCGGTGCAGACTGAAATAACATTGCATAGCCTTCAACCTGTACTGCGCTGGTCCGGTCTCAAGGTGTTGAAATTGCGCCACTACTTCCCCTTTTCATTAACGCATGATGATATCCTAGCATTCGCCAAAGCGCTTCCCTCTATCGAAATTCTTCTGCTTAACCCAAGTCCAGGTGCCCTTCTACAACCTTCCTTCCCGATAGGTACTCTTCTCGTATTCGAAACCCATTGCCCACGATTACAGCACCTTGGACTCTACTTTGGCATAGGGACTGAACATATACCCGTCGCAGTTGTCGAACGGTGTCTATCTATTGACTTTGGATTTGGGGGCTTCTCGCGCAGACCCCTCCTTGGATATAGGATGTCTTTTCAACGACATTTGCCCAAAGGCATTGATATCGTACTCAAGTAACAGGACAGGGGAGTACTCTGTGCTCGGCGCGAGGATAGCCAAGGAATGGGCAGAGGAACTTGAGAATAGAGATATTTGGAGACTTCCTGACATATACTCCGACGAACAGATGAAGACGGCTAATCTAGGTAGATATCCTATCTTGGCTCCGTACTTGGATGGCACTAAATATGGACCATTTCCTCTCCGGCCCACGTAGTACCTCCCCGCGATCGGCGTGATATGCTGAAGGAGAATTTTTACCAACAAGAGAAAGTACGCTACAACTGGATTCAGTCAACGTAAATTGATCATTATCACCCTGTAGGAGAAATTGGTGCGCGAGAAGAAAGTATTACGAGAAGAGGTATATCGGGATGGCCTGGAAGCTATGACCTTGGATGGTGCACTGCATGAAGGAGATGAAGAAGGGCAAATTGATGCTTAGCTAGTCAAATCTTCGTCAATCTATGGTCCCCTGTCCGCCCCTAACGAAGACAACAACTTTCACATTTTCTCGTCCACCGAGCATGAAGTCTATCTGCCCCATGGACCGACGACGCTTAAGGCGGGCACAAGGCCGGAATTAGTTCCTCGGTGGGACATTACGACTGCAAGAAATTACCAGGTATGCCCATTTCTGCTAATCATGTGCCTTCCTACGTCGGATCGCCTGTAGCTCAAGATTAAGATGAAGAATCGACACGAGATAACCTTAATCAAGTTGCAGGAGCACACTGCTGCTTCATCGGATCACTCACTCGGTCGTCTCTCGAGGATTGAAGAATCCAATGAAGAGGAAGAGGATACGGGAGAGAATCAGGTCGCACGAATGACTTAGGCAGGCAGCCACAACGATGCAGTCGCGCGCGCGCAGGTTTGCAGCGGGCTTTTACTGAAGACAAAGAATGGGAGACTACTTCAAAGGCAGCTATATGCCACCGGGTACGTCTACGAGATTCCTAAGGTTGTTCGTCTTTCAGCAAGAGTGAGAATATGCGTTGTTGTTCAAATCGGTTGTTCTTTTCTGTCCTTCCCTTTCCTTCGTAAAATATAAAACCCAAAATATGCCATCATCTCCTGTCCTCTTTCTTTCCTTCCTTTCGATCGTAAAACATAAAACACTCCAAAACGTCTTTCTGTCTTCATCACCAAAATACATGAAACCAAAAACCCTTCTTTATTCAAAACTCTTGAGAGCTTGATACTTTTGATCATCGGCGCTACATTCGGCGCCAAAACAGCTGAATCCGTTCCGTTCCCAACGTTGAGAAGCGTTCATAAGCATGGCAGAAACACTGTTGGGCCTTCTTCTAGTCACTTCATCTGCCAAGGGCTCAAGCTTGGTGTTCAGATGGCCGCCGTCCCCCAGCTCGACACCGCGCTACAAGCGTGCGCGACCAGGCTGTTCCTCCTACCCGAAACACCTTGACAATCCATATAGAGCCTCGCATTACTCAGACGCACCAGGAGGCCCACCGGAGGAAATTATCGTAGATGACAACGAATCTGATTACCAGTGGAAGCGGCCCTCGGCCATGCGGGATCGATCCATGTCCTTCACCCATGCTGCTTCGCATTCGGCTTCGGGAGGCGCATCGCCCTCTGAAGAAGATTCCTTCCATCTGGAGGAAGCCGCAGCCAAGGACGACTATGACCGCTTACTTGGTTACTCTTCTGAGTTTCTAGCCGGACTGCTATGCCCCCAACGATCTCTATGTCACCAGAAGTTTGAATTATTCGTCGATGACCTGGCCTTCATTGGACATCCTGTCTGCGCTGAGAAAGATGGCGGGTGGCGGTTTAGACTCGAAAAAGGGCGAATGCATAGCAGGGGACGTGAATCGCGGAACGACAGATCCCCTGCCAGTTCGGCGGACAGCGAAAGCCCTGGTACTCAAAGCGCATGGCTACATACTTTCCATCTTGTTCTCGTACTCGATCTACCCGATCCTTCCTCGTCCGCCGCGGGAAATGTAGACAAATATTTCGACATCATATACGAGCAAATAGCGTTCACCACCGCCGCAGTGTTATTCCAAGAACAAGTCATGTCAAATTTTGTCGAAGCCGAATGTGACCACCTGGGATCCATCAAGGACGCTTGTGTTGCTAAAGGTATCTACATTGGCTGCAATTCACATTCTCCAGCTCCAACCAGACACATTTCAAGGCGAACCGCTATCGGCTTATGTGGCCAAAGCTCTTGAGGCATCGTCCATAGCGCCTGCCATGAAGACAATCTACGAAGCCATCAAATCATCGACCATAGCGTACATTACCATTCACTACTTGCCTTTAGAATTACAGCTACCACCGTACTTGGATTCCTTACTCCACAGCGAAGAAGACGATGAGATGGAGTACTGGGCGCCATCAGACGGCGAGGACTCTCCAAGTTGGGGAGTCGAGTTGAAATATGGGTGGCGGCTACCCATTCTAGCACCATGGAAAAGTATACTACTTTTAGATGGTCCCGCGGACGCTGATCCTTATGCGAACTTGCGTGGCCCCCATCTAAGTGCTGGCGACCGAACGCTGGCCGAAGGACTTCTCAAATTTCTGGAGCTTGCCTCCGTTATCCTCTCGTGCGTTCGTCTTTCTGCGGAAGCACGTTCAATTGACGACATTGCAAATCTTCAGACTGGCAGATTTGGCTGCTCTACTCGACTGGGACCTAGAGGCTCAAGTATATCCGACCGTTCGTTGGTTAGTTCTGCATCGCAGGGCAAAGGTCATCGACACCGTGCATGCTGGGTTGAAGACGATCTTCACTCTTCCACCAAAGTTTGACGAACCGTAAGTGGTCGCCCGCCCACACTGGTTCACCAGCATTCATGCAAATCCAAAACTAGATTGTCTACGCTGTCTGCCGAGTTCAGCAAAGATTTCGCCAGTACCTCTGTACCTCCGTTACCACAGATACTCGCAATCATCTCAAATTCTGCCTCTAAACAAAGTGAAAACCACTTCTTCGCTACCGTCGTTCGGGATAAGGCTCAAATTCCGTTATACCACAACGTCGTCCTGTGGATGCTTAAAAGGGATTTACTCCACACCCTGCATCTCAGAATCCGAGTGGTAGCTACCAGAGAGCTGAAAGCCCGCGTGAAGGCGGATTGGGCACGCCATCTGGAGAGCAAGCGGCTACGCAAAGGTCGACGATCACGCAACCAGAGTTTCGTTCAGGACGTGGACAATCAATACCGTTCCTCGGAATTACAGCAAGGCATCTCGTGGTTGTCGCTGTCGCCCAAAAGTGCCCGCCGATATTCCAGGCGTAAAGCGTCCAACGAATCCCGACAAAGCAAGCTCAGCGAACTCATCATCCCAGAGGCGTTTGACGAGGATCTGGACATTCATGACCGTGATGACGACGTTGATCCCGAGCTTGATGAAGAGGACGAAGAGGATGAAGACGAAGTCGCGGCCGATGAGAATGGGAGCGAGCAACAGCACCCTTGGTCATCTATGATCAACGATCCCGGAACAGCGACACCCTTGGAACGTCGTTGGCTTGCTGCTATGTCAGAGGGCAAAGACCCTCGTATAGCAAGACGCTTTGAACAGTGAGCAGAACTCTTCCTTCGTGATTAGAGGCGAGTTAACAACTAATCACAATGATCTAGAATCAACCAATATTTTGATGGTAAAAAGAGCGACGATGAGATTTTGTATAAAGCGGAAATAACGAGAAGGGAGCTCCGCGAAGTTCTGCATCACTATGAAGAATATGTGCGACCCTATCTTTTTGTCTGCTTGATTGCTGACTCAATTAATAGCTGCAAACGTTCCTGCATCCATCATGATCTTGTGTCTTCATATTATCTTTTGGACATTCTCTACGGTGTCGGTTTAGTCCGCGAGCGCACAACCTCTACAGCTGTTCATGTTGTCTATTCGCCTTAAGCTGTACTTTGAAGCATAATTTCGACAGGAGCAGTAGGTCACGTGAGTAATAGCCAATTACTTCCCGAATCACTGAAATTCTCGAAGTAATAGACTTTACCGGGTACCGAATAGCCACGTTGTACATGGCCGATGTATCATACAGTGTGTCCGGCAAATTAGAAAGAATGTATCATGATTTTGAGAGAGCGTGAGGGGTATTACTTCCGTGGGATTGAGGATAAGGAGAGGATATGCGGAGAGACCAAGTATCGAGACAATAATATGCTGCAGTGGTGAATATTAGACAGTTGACCCCAGTTGAGAGCAGAGATAATCAAGTGGAAACGAGTGTAAATGTTAGCATGTGCTGGTACCATATCGACAGAGCAGAAAAAAAGAGGATGGAAACGAGAAGTGAAGTGAAGAATGGAAGTCCATATAAAAAGCTGTAGGGTATTTCATTTAACCAGTGATTTTATACAGAGAATGTGGATGTGAATGTGGACGCTGATATCGTGGAAGTCGTTCTGAGAGAGTCCAGACTAATCCTCGTCCGGAATTTCCTGAACATCTTCTTGGGGAATACCCGCCGCAATTTCTGGACGAAAAGTGGTAGTGGGTTTACTCTCTAACATGTTGACCATCGCGACAAGATCATCGTCGGGCGCCGGGCGGGCTTTCACTTCATCCATACGGTCGGCAGCATCGGAAGACAGTTCCTCGAGGTCGTCCACGGCGGTCTTATCGCTTCCAGTGGGGATTGGCTGTATATCCGCGACATCCGAATCCAACCCAGCATCTCTCTCTAAATTTGTCTCATTGCCGCCAAGAACGTTCTCCGACTCGGAAATAGAATCGACCTGGGGATGTTCTTCTACGACTTCATCAACGACAACATCTGCTTCGACCGGTATCTCTGGTACTGCCTCAACTGGCTCTGGTGATATCACAGCTTCTGCTTCAAGTTCGTGTAGCTCCTCTATTGGCGCATCATCCTCGGGCTCCAAGGAAGCCTCGGTGTCTTTCTGTGCGCCCTCTTCATCTTCCGATCCAGAAGTAACAGTCGCCACAGCCCCAGCGACTGCCGCCGTCGCAGCAGTTGCTCCGGCAACTTTCGTCGCCGTTTTGGCCCCATCAGCCTTCGATCGCGGTGCGACCGCACCACCTCTTGGCTTGGCTGTACCACGGGTTGAACTAACTGATCTTGTGCCAGTAGGCTTCGCGCCACCGCGAGAAGGGGCCGGGGATATAGGTACTGGCGAGCGTGCTTTCGACAGAGAGGCAGCCGTAGGTTTGCTGAGCCTGTCTGCCGCGCTTGCGCTCAGGGTTGCCTTCTTAACCGGCGTAGGCTTCGCGTCGGGCGCATTACGTGCCCTTGCAAGCGACGCAGCAGTGGGAGCAAATAAGTGGGATGGGGTCTTAGGACGCGATGTTGTGGAAGGTGTTTTAGGCCTTGTAGGGGTCTGGACTTTCGAAGGACCCAAGCTAGCACGCGAGGGTGTCTTCGGACGCGAAGGGGTACCAACGGATGCCTTCGCGACCGATCGGCGAGCGGTTGTAGACGTTGTGGATTGACCTGTGTGCTGTGGCTTGAGTGTCGGAACGGGAAGGTTAACGGGAGCTGTGGGAGGTGATTTGGCAGCGGAGGGTGCCTTACGCAGCTCTTTGGCAGGGGGAACTTTCACCGGTGATGTGTGCGTACGTGGAGCTGTCGATGAGGACTTGGAAGGTGTACCGACAATTGACTGTCTCTTTGAAGCCGTTGTACGCGGTGGGCTTGCAGGAACTTGAGGCTCAGGAACCAATTCTTCTGTGGCAACCTCCGGTGTGGGTGCAGGCAGCGGCTCGGCGACTACCTGGGGGGGTTCCCCGGCCGATGGAGGCGATGAAAGTAGCGAATGTGTGGGCTTATCTTCCTGCACTAGCCTCGGAGGCCATTCCCGCTTGTCCCTCTCCTTTGGCTCCTCCTTCGCCGAGTCACCTGTGTTTTGTGCACTGACGATCGAAGGGCGCGGTGCACCGTTAGTCCCAGCTATCGATTGACGCTTCGTCTGTTGCTCAAATCGCCCGATGAGATTCGCTACGCTTGCACGGGGTCGTTCGTCTGGCAGCGGCCTGGTAGTCAAGAATTTCAAGAATTCCAGTGAAGCTGAGCAAGCGAATCGATAGAGATCCTGAATAAAGCACGTACATGTGATCCAGTCACAATAACTTTGCTGTATGGGGTTTCTGTAAAGCCAACACTGAGAAGGAGAATAAATGCAGAATGTCAAGGTCGAGGAGGAGGATTCAACTTGACGTGGTAAAGAAGAAGGAATAGGCGCATTCCGTATTAGGTAACCCTAGTACAGGTCTAGTAGCGACGTTGCGCCGCCGTGGCAACCATACACCACGAGCGCGAAACAAGCCACTATCAGTGACCACCCATATATTCGAGGTTGATTTGAAACGGTCATCTGTAACTGATTTGATGACCGAGCAGACTCATCAATAAAACATCAACATCTTGATGTTCCAAACTTCCTACGGAACCTAGTTCAATTGCCACTGGCATCGGATTCCCCAGTTGGCGGAAACATTGTGCGATATATTTATCTTTTGCCCATCAATGCGGGCCTGATCTCATCCATTCAATCTACAGGAGCTTGTATTTGTGTGCAAGCTGTAAGCTAGCCTCGCTACCTGCTAGCGACAATATAATGTGTCATTCCATGTTGCTTTGTGCTGGGAGCTTGGAGCCCAAGATTGCGACCGTGATCATTCAACCATCCCGCACCGTTTTACCGTGGGCGACAGAGATATTTCAGTGATGGTAGAGTGCCGCGCCTTGCCTGGTTATCCACCCGATGTCGCACTCCTTGCTCAATACGACTACTAGGAAGCCACGACTGCTATTTTGGAGCGTACGCTGCGTGATATACCCCTGAGCACAAAACTTTGGCTACCTCCTCCTCAAACATAGCACCGACAACGCCCCCATTTGCCCACCGTCAGAATAATTGACAGATGATGAAAGGACGTACGCACTCTCTTTGGTCTGCCTGGCTGACTCCTCTACCGAAGCATGGCATCCCAGGAGCAGTTGTATAATGGTACCGATCATTACCACCACAGTCGTTGACATCCACACGACCCCTTCACTCGCGCAGCCTGCTTTGCGTAGTTCCGTGCATCCGTTGAAGCGAGCAGGTATTTGGAATGATGATGACAATATCACATAGTACGAATTCTCATCCATTGCCCTCCCTCCTCCGCCGAAGCAGCGGTTCAATCAATGGGCGTAGAGACTGACGTCCGAAGGCTGATAGATATCGTTGATCAGTCGTATCCCTCGTGAGTGGGCATTCACACAACAAACTGCTAACTAATCGTGATATTTATTACAGTTCTCTTTCTGAACGGATGCGTGGGTGTGGCTCGGTTGCGTTTTATTTGCTGTCCTCAGTTGGCTTCCTAGTCCGTCTCATGATACACTTTATCTCGCAAGAGCTTGTGACCAGCCGTGCATGTGCATGTGCACGTCAAAATTGAATGTTTGACAACCACAAGAAGGGCACCCCCGGTAGCTAAGAGTTATAATTGTGTCGTCAATTCGGCTCCTTGTACTAATTGCGGATTATGCAGCTTTCGTTTTATCTACCTTGCAATCGCCCTCTACTTGACGATAACTTGATCCGAGGCGACCTAAGGCCGCGCAGCTGTACACCTGCCTAGCTGAAAAGGAGGTCCCCCCATCCGTCAGGTAACGCGTGCTAAACTCACAAAGCGCCCTAGTATCATCTACTCGACATATTTCAGCAGATGCCCTTGGTGGTAGTCACCGATAGAGGAGATCATCGGGGGAGCTTACACCGCAGATACCAGCCTGCGTCTTCTTTGGGGTAGGATCTCATGTATTGAATCTACAGGAACCTAGCGGTGATGGAGTGCGCAGGCCCTGTATCTTTGCAAAGGAATCCGAAGTCTTGCCTGGTTCCGCGGGTGTAACGAGAATAAGTCCTCTAACGCCTGCACTATCGGGCATCAGCCTTCTGGATAGCCGACTTTAGTCAATTAAATTGTCAAGATGAGCGTCCGGGAGCTCGGAAAATAGAAGGCGAGTTTGCTCATCGAGTCGACGTCAATATGCCCATGCTCATATATTTTTACATACATAGGATTTACCTATAATGACCTTGTATTCTCAGCTAACGTGCGCCGTAGTCCGATACCTGTCGGCATCCCCACTTCTTACGTCCACGTTAGAACCTTCGATGCATCACGGGGCTCATTGTTGTACTGTGATGAGAACAGGTGTGACTTCTCGAAGACATAAACGGCGAAGCTTCTCGCCGCGTGTGGGTAGAATTGGGTCTCATACGCTCCGCTTTACGCACTCATCACTCAGCCACCATGAGAGATTGGGTACTCGAATATGACTGTGTCCTTCGGGTACGCGGATTGAAGGTAGTCTTCGCTGTTCCCGAGGATGTATAAATTCGTTAGCCCTTCATGGTACCTCGTCTCACTGCTGACTACCCGCGATGACCCTCTTATCTACTCTTACCCTCGCTATTGAGGCCTTCCTGATCTACGCCGTTTCGTGGGTCGTTTGGCGCACACTCAGGCAGTATGTAGTCCAATCATGCTTGGATAACATTCCAGGACCACCCTCTGTGTCCTTATGGAAAGGTGCGCTAAGGCTCAGCGAAATAGTAAGGCATCATCCTGACGCCCACCTATTGCAGGTAATCTGGGACAGATCTTTGATACAAACGGGTGGAATTTCCACTTAAACCTCGCAAAGAAATGTGAGGCACAATCATCATGAGTTTGATATACTACTAAACTTCTCTGATACGCTTTAGATGGACAGGTCGCGAAAGTTCATGGGTTATTTGGAGTATGTTTTCCCACCGCAGACTTGTCTTGATCCTTACTGAGCTGACCTGTAGGATAAACAACTCTACATTTATGATCCGAAAGCAATGCATCATATCATCGTCAAAGACCAGGATATCTACGAAGAGACCTCCCTTTTCATTCAGTGCGTTGAACCACTGAATCTACCCATACCTAACTTGCCAACATCCCCTAAATGTTGATAGGAGTAATCTCGTTATATTCGGACCCGGGCTTTTGTCAACTCTAGGTGCATGCAATGGCGGGTTTCCGTTGTGCAGATGGAATCTGAACGTCAACAAATAGGTAGCCATCATAAGAAGCAACGCAAAATGCTCAACCCCGTGTTCTCCATTGCACATATGCGCCAGATGGTCCCGACATTCCACAAGATTTCCAACCAGGTATGCATGACTACCATATCCTCTTCGTTTTCACTTGATTTACGGCTCGCCTGTGTAAAGCTACGAGACTCCCTTACCCAGAGATGTTCTGACGGTCCACAAGAGGCAAGTTTGGAAAACGACCGTCGTAAATTTAGTGGTGCTGAAACGGAGGCTTATTGTAGATTGACATGCTGCGTTGGATCAGCCGCGCTGCCCTTGAACTGATTGCCCAAAGCGGTCTTGGACATTCGTTCGATTCTCTTAAAAAAGACGAACTCCCCCACGCATACATCGTAGTCATGAAGAAGCTGCAGTACGTTGTCATATATGATCGTATAAGCTATATGATTTAACAAATGCGCTATCGCACCTGTAGGCCAACAATATTCAGTATGGTGATTGCTCGTAATTTCCTCCCCTGGCTGGTAAAAATTGGAACACCTTCCTTCCGACGATGGGCCATCAGCTTGTCTCCGTGGAAGAAGCTTCGCGAAATAAGAGATATGGTAGACTTCATGCATGAAACCTCTCTGGAAATATACAACTCGAAGAAGAGAGCTATTGCAGAAGGGGATGAAGCCGTTCTGAAGCAGGTTGGACAAGGCAAGGATATAATGAGTATATTGAGTATGATGCCGTTTGATCTTGCTATAAATACACACTGACGGAAGGCTTAGTGAGAGCCAATTTGGAGGCCTCGGATGAAGACAAGCTCCCAGACGAGGAACTTCTTGCCCAGGTCAGTCATTTATGTCTATTGAGGGACTAAGCAATCCCGCTAATTCTACGACATCATCCTTCTCAGATATCGTAAGGCTTTGTCTTTCATGACACACTTCACCGAGCCTATACCTATCTACAGGACATTAACTTTCGCCGCCGTGGACACAACTTCTGGTGCCCTCGGTCGTACTTTGCACTTATTGTCTGAGCACCCAGAAGTCCAAGCTAAGGTCAGAGAAGAGATCCGGACGGCCAAAGAAAAGTTTGGCGGTGACTTGCCCTATGATGAGCTCGTCTCGCTTCCCTACCTGGACGCTGTGTGCCGCGAGACTCTTCGCCTGTGCGTCTTATCTTCTCCCGGTCATTAATCCCTATCGTCTTGCTAAGATCCACATTTACTATCTAGGTACCCTCCTATTTCGTATCTCTCTAGGACGTAAGGAACTGCATCGCTCGCGATCCTGTCGATTTCTTACTCAGCCTTCTATATGCATAGAACTCGCAAGGATACTGTGCTCCCGCTCCAGGACCCAATTCGGGGCATAGATGGCAGCATTATATCAGAAATCCCTATACCAAGCAACACAAACGTCATTGTCGGTCTTCGCGCTTCCAACACGAACCCGCAGTTGTGGGGATCGGACGCTTTGGAATGGAAACCTGAACGATGGCTTTCACCCCTTCCGGATGCCCTCCAAGAAGCACACGTACCTGGTATTTACTCAAACCTGTGAGCACCACCAGTTACTCCGAGCCCATCGATTTCTAAATGAAGGCTATATATAGGATGACGTTCTTGGGAGGGGGTAGAGCTTGCATGTAAGTACTTACTCCGTCTCGTCTCCCCCGGGCTAATCAATCGATGTTGATAATACCTAGCGGATTCAAATTCTCGCAGCTAGAAATGAGTAAGCGACCATTTCCTCGAACTTGCGTATTTGACTTACGAACGCAATGCTCTTTTCAGAGGCCGTACTATCTGCCCTCATGGAGACTTTCGAAATTTCGACGTCCGCAACTGAAGAGATTGCTTGGAACATGACTGCTATTGCAACGCCAACTATCAAGGGGCCGACGTCAATGATGCCACAACTTCCGCTGACGTTGGCACTAGCTAAATAGTTGTTTTCTACGTACCGAACCTCATTGTCGCCGATGGCGTCCTCATAATTTTCATATTGTACACTTCACTGTTTCAACTTTCAATTCAATTGCGTGTGGATAATAATTTATATGCAAAGTCTATTGCGTGGTATTGATGCATGATTGAATGTTTGTTATGCTATATACATGAATGGCATTATAAATGAGTCTAAGTCGTGTGTGATCGTATCGAAATCAAAACTGAAGGCCTAATGAACATGCGAAATTGAGGTTTCCAAACATCGGTCCCTTCGCCAGATGTGGCGAATACTTGTGTAACCTCGGGGCGCTCCAAAGTAGGCGCTGCATAAATGCACGGCCCGCTGCCTTATGGACCGGGAGAAGAACGAAGTAGTATAAAACAAAAACAATTTGGACTAAGGTCGAAGACCAAATCGTTGGATTGCTGGGTCGGTCGGATCAGTCTCTGGATGTATTTGAAGTTTTCCTTCCCATAGGGCGGCTGAGGACTTCGAAGGGTCCGTGCCGGCAGGATCCGAAAGGGATCCAGTTTGCTTCTGGGGAGCCCAACCAGCGCCAATGGTAGAGGCCATGAGAGAAGGTGCCATAGCGAGTAATGATGGCCTAGATATAAGCGGCGTTAATCTAGACGTTCAGGGGAGTGAGTGGAGATACACATACACAGCAACTCGTTCGGCGTCTTGGGCGACGCGGGCGGACCGACTCTTAACAACGAATGAAGACGAACGAAGGCGCCCACCGCGAATATTGGCGAAGGCTCCAAGATTGTCGCGAACCATGGTAATAGCAGCGTTCCACTCGGAATCGGGATTCGTGGATGGAAGAACTTGCTTGTAACTCTTACCAAGGAGTCCGACTGTACCGAAGAGTTTCTCGAAGGGTCCGTTGGGTAACAGACGGATAAGGACGCCCAAAGGAATAGAAACGACGCCAAGAGCAATAGAAATACCCCATTCACGGCCCCCCATGCGAGTGACTTGGAAAGCAGCGCCACCGACAAAGACGATTAAAATCTGGATGGCGACCTCTGCATGGAAAAGATGGCGTCAATTGCCTGATAAACGCCTGGAACCAAAGAGGCTTACCAATGAATGTGATAACTATAAAGTACCAGTTTCGGAGAACGCCCTCGAAGATATTGAGTTTCCTGTCGAGGCGACGACAATTGACCGAGTTAAATATTTGCGCAAAGACGAAAGCGTTGAAGACAAGGGTACGAAGGATTTCGCGATTGTGCTCCGTGTCCTCAAAGCTGAGGATGCGAATACCCAAGAAATGGAAGATGAGAATGATGATCGTTTGATATACAGATTGAAGCAAAATTTGCTTGTACATATTGACCGAGAAGAGAGGCGCCGTCTTGCTGTCGGGTTTGCGGTCCAAAAGCGCTTCGGAAGCGGGGTCCGTGGCCAAAGCAAGCGCAGCGAATGTGTCCATAATGATGTTGATCCATAACAGCTGCACGGCGGAGAGAACGGATTCTTCCTCATCAGAGGCGACAGCAGAAACAAACGTAATGATCACAGCCGTGACGTTCGTGGAGATCTGGAACTGAAGGAATTTGCGAACGGCGTCGTTGACGCAGCGACCCCACATAATGGCCTTCACGATCGACGAGAAGTTGTCGTCCATGAGGATGATGTCGGATGCTTCCTTCGCAACTTCAGTACCGGCGATACCCATTGAGAATCCAACGTGAGCCGTCTTGAGAGCAGGTCCGTCGTTGGTACCGTCACCAGTAACACCAACAATCTCACCGATAGATTTAAGCGTCTCTACAAGGATTTGTTTGTCTTCTGGGGACGAACGAGCCAAGACCTGCAGACGAGGCACAATTTCGATCCGGTCCGGTTGGGAGAGTGACCTAAAGACAGGGCCTTCCATGATGATGCCGCCTGGAGTGTAGATGCCACATTGGAGAGCAATGGAGCGAGCCGTAAGGACGTTGTCACCCGTGCACATCTTGACGGTGACACCAGCGCGATGGCATTTCGCCACAGCTTCTCTTACACCGTCGCGAAGGGGATCCTCGATACCAGTGATGCCAATGAGAGTAAGATCGGTGGCCATGTCCTCGTACTCAACCTGGAAAGAAAAATCAACGCACTGCTTGGTGCAAGCAATGAAAGTACTCACCTCATCAGTGCCGACAAGTCGCATGCCGGCTGGAGGCCAAGATGACAAGTCACGGTAGCAGAGCGCGATAGTTCGAAGTGTCTGATTGGCGTAGAAGATAATAGTCCGTGAGATGTTTTCAGCTTCTGCTGGGCCGATTTCCTTCGTCTCGATGGCATCCGTAGAGTTCGAAGAGCCGTCCTGGTTGACCACAACGTGTCGCGTACACTTCTTCGTCAAGATCTCGCTGGCGCCCTTCAAGTAAAGCCTCCAGGTATTCCTGTCCAATTGAACGACCACACCCATAGCCTTGCGCTCGCTCGAGAACGGTACCATCTGCACAATCTTCGCACTGTCCCTCGTCTGCTTGAAATCTGCCCAATTCAACTCCTTCGCGAACTGCAACAACGCTGTCTCCGTCTTGCTCCCAATAAACACCTTCTCGCCAGTCTCCGAATCCACGTTTTCGAAAGCAGTAGAGTTGATGGCGATCGCCGCGTTAAATACATCGCGAACCTGAGGCGAGAGTACACTGTTCAAGTGTTCCTGGTCGATCGAGAAGTCGTTCAAGTTCTTCTTCTCGCCATGTTTGAGGCCGGGTTCCTCGCCGACGTTCGTCCTCGCCTGATTCTCTTCCAATTGACGCACAAACTTGCAATTGATGCCGACCGACCCAGCCACAACCGTCATGACATTTTGAGTAAGCGTACCTGTCTTGTCCGTGCAGACAACCGAGGCATTTGCCATGGTTTCGCACGACCCAAGAACACGGACTAGGAGCTTTTCGTATGTCATGCGCTTGGTAGCGAAAGCCAGCGCCAAGGTCACAGCCAAAGGCAACCCTATGGAAGGTTTAGCCCGGTAATTGCCAGGAAAAATCAACTGACACACCTTCAGGCACTGCCACAACCACCAAGGTGACCGAGATGATGAGAATGTTCACGAAGGCGATCCCATTCTCACTAGGGTTACTGCATTCACGAAATTGATCAGTATGTTAATTAAGTAAAATACGGAAGGAGATCATACCGAGCGGGACTGCCTGTGCCAAGTTGAACAAAAAACCTGATCATGAGAGCCGTGAATAGCGTTAAACCCGCAATACTGCCAATCTTCGCAATAAGTCCCGCAAGGTTGTTGAGCTTGAACTGCAATGGTGTGTTTTCCGCATCGCCTCGGAGGGCTATTGAATTTGTTCCTGTTAAATTGAATCCAGGGTGTATAGCATGAGGCACGTACCCATCATGATGCGACCGTTGAAACTCTTCTGACCGACGGCGACAATAACGTAGAAACCGACACCTTCCAAGACCTTCGAGCCACTGACCATGAAGCAATCCGTGTGTGCGAGGGCGTGGTCCGCAGAGTCTTTCCCCTCTTCGCCATGCTCGCGCAAGATCTTGTCGCATTCCTCGAACGATAATTTCCGGATAGCATCACTCTCGCCCGTGGCGCCCGATTCGTCGCACTTGACATTGTGCCCACTAAGGAAAACGCCGTCGCATGGGATAATTTCACCGGATTCAATCAACGCAATATCTCCAACCAAGATGTCCTAATTGAGAAGTTTGTCGTTAACGTTGAGTGGCGCGATGACATAAGAGTTTCGCACCTTAATATCCACTAAGTGCTCAATTCCGTTGCGAATAACCTTGACGAAGCGTTCATCTTTCTTTTCGTTAAGTACCTGGAACTGCCGTTCCTTCTGCCAGTCATTAAGTGACCCAACAAGAACCTGGGGTGCAGAAGATAATTAGCGCTCCTCGACAGAACAAACGCACAGGCGCTACGTACCACAATAGCAATAGCCACAATAATAGCCACACCTTCGACCCAATCAACGGGAGGCTCCGTTGGATCTCGAGAAGGTCCAAAGTCCTGGAGGAACCCAAGCGCCAGAGATATAACCGCAGCAACCGATAACATGATCTAAATAAACGGGTGACATGAGCAACGATATCCTGAATAATCAACAGCTTGAACTAACCAAAACTTTGTCTTGCAGCGCATCCCACATAAGTCTGAATAGCGACTTAGATGGCCTATGGGGGAGTAGATTTTCACCGTATACTGCGCGCCTGGTCGCCATGTCGGCCTCAAAGGCCGGTCCCGAATCGCCTGGACCGTCATCATCGTCATCATCTCCGCCGTCCGCGCAAAGTTGCACGGGCTGTCGACCAGACTCGCCGTCGGCATCTGTGAGCATGATGCCAGGGACGCCAGGACCACCAGGCGGGCCCGCCTTTTCCGGATCATGTCGGTGGGAAGTACCTTCACCTGCCCCTAGCCCGGAGCTATTTCGTGTCGGTGTGCGCTTCAAGGTGTCGGATTTCAAGCCACGAGTGGCGCTCGTGCCTAATCCCTTCAGAAGACCCTTGGAGCCGCCAAACGCCCTCATCGTGTCAAAACTCTTGGGGTCCAGCATGTGCGCAAGTTCGTAAGGCCTGAACGCAAAGGGCGTAGGATCGACGGTCTTATCCTGCTCCAGTTGAGCGCGTTGCGCCTCTTTCTCCGCCTCTTGCTTCCTTTCCTTCTTTGACATCTTCTTCGCCTTGGCTTCAGTCTCCGACGTCACAGACGCGTCTAGCTGCGAACGCCTCGTTTCCTGCAGCCCATCCACATGAGTCAAACTGGTTGTGTTGGACTTTACATTCATGAGGTTATGACTGTCTGTCCGTTGGTGATCTGGTTCCGTGCCTTCACTGCTTACCATGGTCGAAACACTGCTTTTCCGAGCATGAGATGCGCCGCTGGCATCTCCAACATTGCTATCAGGGGAAAGCAAGGCGAGCGAGCCCATTCCGCTCGCAGCTTCTGGCTTATTGTCGCGTAAAGCGAGCGACGTTTGGAAATGAACGGAGGACTTGTTCGAAAGAGTGGGAGATGGCGGCACGGATATCGTACCGTCGTTCGATAGAAAAGTGGGTGTCGGTGACGGCGGCACGTCGAGGGAGGGGCGAGCGGGATGGAGAGCACCGGGGGACAAGAGTTGTTGTTGGTTTCGGTGTAGCGGAGGGAGATCGGTATCTGCTTCATGAACTTCGATTTGAGGTGGGAGGTTCACAGGTACTTGAGCAATGTCGCCGTCGTTCGACATGTTGCAGAAGCGTGTTTGCGGGAAGGTGGACGAGAGGGAGTGGGTTGCGTTATAAGATTTTTCCCTCTCAACAGCATTTTGGATCTCGATTTGCCTATTTTGGCTTTAACAGCTTGTGACGCGTGACTGACTCCGTTACGCATATGCCAGAAATCACCACCCCCTTCCGTCCGCCCCCACAAGTCGCTCCCAACCCTCTACTCAATATCTCTTGGGCTTGATTGGATTGGTCACGCCCAGACAGTTCTCGGCTCGGCATTGTCATGTACCAATATTCACAATCCCAAGGACACACAGTTCCACTAAATCCTGAAGGTGAGCTCGGCGACGGGGTTCAGTCAGGCTGAACTGCTGGGCACTCCTATGCTCTACCACAGCAAATATTCGGTCAAGTTCGCCAGGCGGTTCCCGCCCCTTTTCCATCCGCCAGTATTACGTTCCGACACTGCGGCGCCGCCACCTACACTGCTTCATTGCCAATTGCGGCGCCCGATTATTCAAGTGCAGCATTTATGAGGTCCTAGTCTTTGCGGTTGCCCAGTAAAAAATATGTGCAGGAATAGCAGCACAGGAAAGCACGGTGTGGTACGTAAACTTAATTACCTTTGGAAACACCCTAGTTCCGGTCTCCCTGGCTCCTCCTCGGTCTTCGTGGTTGGCACTTCATGAGTTACCCGTCCCGTCTCCGGAGGATCTCTTGAGTCGAAGCCAAACAGCCTACTCTTATGTGCAATTCATTGGATGAGACGGACTGACGGATGCACTTGAGTCCCAGTATTCCCACACATGTTTATTTACTTCCTCAATCAACAATCGGCAACGTCCTGATCTCCCGATCACTTCATGATCGGCGCTTCACTCAAGCGCTTCGGTGCGCGTCTATCGTCTAGTAAGTGCTACATATTGTCCTGATGGGCGTCTGGAGGTTTGATGCTCTTGATTGATCGATTGATCACTATGTACCATACCAAATGTACCAATGACAACGGAAGTTCCCTCTCCCCTCAAGTCACGCTTTCCTTAATTCCCTCGAGCCCCCCATGCGATGACCGGTGCAAGAGGATATCAACCCCGCGCTGTCATTAACATTAATTAACATTCATCAGGTTTTCTACAGTTCTCTACGCGTCATAGTCGTATCACACTCCTGGCGCTACTAACTTCGAAACTCGATCGATCGATCACTCCCACGTACTCCCACGTGCCACTTAGCGCCCGCCTGGAAGCAGGAGTCACCGTCCAGCTCTGTAATATCGAAATTCCTGACTCCTCCGAACTCAACTACAACTCAATTAGTATCGTGAACGTATGTTGTACATTCTGCGTGTATATTCACAAACCGACGATGACGATGAGCAGAGCATCAGTAAAAATCTGAACATGCAAAAATGTACGATGACAAACCTTCCGCAAATCCAGCGAGACGGACGGTCTATAGACCTGTCCAAGTGGTAGTCATTTTCCAAATCGAGGACGTAACCGACAGGCAGCATTGAAAAGTTTGAGGGTCCGCTTTAATTTATTCCATATATTCAGAATCAGTCGTTCGCATCACAAAATGCTGTTAAAAGTGGAACCACGCTAAGAAAATACACCGGGCTGATGGGCTCCGCCCAGACGACGACCTCGACATTATACACAAGGTGTACGGGCCGCCAGGAACGCACACGCCGCCCGCCGTTGATATAGCCTACACACGTATCGACAGCACCAACCCACGCGGTGCATATCTTTTCCTTATGCGCTATGTTTTCTCGGTAGTATTGCATGAATGCTAGTCAGTGCGCATGGTTTCCATCTGCTCACAGGCTGATTTAGAAACATATTGTCGACAGCCCCTAGGCTTCTTGAAACACGTAGCCTAAAATCACGGCCACGCCGATATCGTGAGTACAGGGACGACGAGCCACGTTGAACGCCGTCCGGGCTTCAAAGGCAGCGAGCGGTAATGTATCTGGCATGCTGTTTTGTAACAATCGAGTCTTATCTTTCAGCCATGATGTTCGCTGCGTTCGTCGCTGCATTCGGGAATGCTCAGTCTAGGGTACTGAGCACAGGTTTCTCCATCTTACTCTTCATGAATCATAGGAGAGACAAAGGCTGTCTGATACATATTAGTAACTAGGTGAGTCTCCATCCATTTCCGCTCCTTGATGTATAATTGAATGATCCTTGTCAAATACAGCAGGCTTATGGACGTATACCGGCACGACTGGCGAACTTATAGCACTGAATAGCAGTAAGCTCTCAAGAAGCTAATCAATCATTCCATCTTCGTCGGGCGACGGGTCAAGATAAAAGCGAAGATAACGCCCGAGTACCTCTCACCTTTGACGACCTGGTCTCCGGCATTTCCTCGATTGGCTACCGTTGTTAAACCTTTCCGGGACAACTGAATTGTAATCGCGTTCGCAGGCACTGCACTCGTTTAACTGCGGCCAAAGTCCTCTTTGTTGATGGGATCCTTGGCTACTGCCTGAATTATGTCTGACTTTGCGATGGATCGGATACCTGGCTGTACCTGTGACAAGATGTTCCAAGGCGACCGAGTATTAGGAGGACAAATAAAAACCCGCTCGCCAAGGGCTGCTGGGAACTGTTTGGAGGTGCGTAGTTCGTACACAGGTGGCCTTCAAGGACGACCCTCCATTGAGATATCATACAATAGATGCCACTGTTCTCGGTCTCGGTCAGTCATCTACCAGATCCTGGCCCGAAATCACCGTAACGTTACCTCCGCTCTTGTAAGTTACCCGACTCTACTAATAATCGAGTCCAAGCAGTGACTTCAACTTGGAGTGCCTCTGTGGAGCCTACAACAGTGGGGAATCGACCCCGCAAACACCCACTCGTCGCCCACGCTTGCGGACATCACGTATATGGGTAGTGCACACGATCTCTTTCGGGCCTTCAAGTTATTTTCCTCGTTAGCTGCGCACATCACACAGCGTCCTTCATACTACATCACGTTAACTTCTCGACTTCCGAATATGAGGTGATGTAACACATGCCCTGGGGTTGACTAGTTAAACAAGCGACCGATGAACGCTCGAATGTGCACCCACCTGGTGGTAACCTCGAGCAGCAACGCCAACTAAAGACCCTATTACACGATGTTCACCTTTGTATTATTATCTTCGTCACCCTATCTCGCCGAGTGGTCCCTCGCAAGCCCATCTCGACGGAGCCTTGAACATGCGGAAGCCATCAACCCCACAGCTTTCAGGCGAAGGATGTTCAGCGGCTTGCACATGCCTCATGCACGATTGGCCTGATTTCGGAGACGGTGACTCAAGTAGTGGAAATCAGTGTTACTGTTCTACATCGTTTAGTATGTGGAGATGACTGAGAATGATTGATTCGACCCACTCTATGTATGAATCAAGCAGTCATCCCACTAGGAACAACTTTAACTGCTGCGCTTGATATGCTATTTATAGCACCGTTCTTTTAAAGTAAACGTCGCGGGGGGAGGAGGATCAACTGACACTGCCTTCGCAAGGCCTAGCGCGGGCAGCAATGAATGGCTAGTTCTGAACGAACCCCGTCTGTCTCAGTACCATGCGCAGAGGTCCCCGCACTCGCAAAGCGCACAATGGTGATTAACTTGGAGATGCCGCGTGATTTAACAGCTTTCGACAAACAAAGCCCTCATTGTTGCCTCCTGGCTTCATTAGTCCCGAAATTATGGGGAGAAGATCTTCTAGGAAGTCAGAAGGTTGATAAGGATACGCATACGGTAGGACGAGGATAATGGCTTCGCGATTGACCGTTGAGTCATTGTGACCCATGTCACCATGTTAGGAGAAGGGAAAGCAGTGAGGACTAGGAATGCTTCTGGGTTTGGGTTATTTGGGGACAACGAACAAAGGCATCAAATGGTCATTGTAAGCCATTCCCAACTTACGGCGGATGGGGAACGGTAGACAAGGTTTCGAGAGTCGTGTATCACAGCAGCAACAGCAGGAGTGCGTGAGCAAGGGTTCTAGAATGATATTAGCCAGTAGCATCATACAGGCTGGAAAAGCATATTAGGCAGTAGCATTCTACCAAATCCATCTTCCTGTATGTATAACTCACGATGTTAATATGAAAGGAACAATGAGAATATACCACAGGTATACTCACCACTATTATAGCGTAAGGCCACATAAAGGGGCACAGCGATATATTTCAACGGCGAACTGCTTCAACCACTCTATTCGAGGAGAGCATCACTGGTCCTCGTCGATTCCTCGGGATTCTTGTGACCAAAGGTCATCTCCCAGAGTTCCGGACCATCGCGTATGAGTGCCTAGATAGACAAAGCCTGTGAGATCGCGTGGCATTTCCACTAGAGGGTGACTTACCACCACTACCTCCACAGCAATCAGGGCGATGATGATGAGCTCCATACGGTGTGACGAAGACTGCGAGGGTCAGATGAGAACAAATGTAAGCCTGATGTGACCATACCTCAGTCAGCAGTTGCCGAAGGACTGATTGAGCCTGCGGAGAAGCTGCTTAGCACGTCGTTATTTCCGCACAATAGAGACCTACTTCAGTGGCATATGTAATTTTGTCGTTCACCGATGTAGTCCTTGCCTTGATCTCCAGGGCATCGCTCATAGAATTAAAATATCCTTGCATCGTTTCACACACATGCCGCTCTCATCAATCGGAGACACTCACCTTCGAGCACAGGTTCAGCCCAATAGAAATCCGGAGTCTCCAAGTAATTTTCCCTGTTCAAGTTAATGCCTTGCCTGAACTTCATGAGCTGGCCTAGCTTTTTTATCAGAGCCTTTCTCCCCATTCCAGGTTTACCGGTCTGTTCTAGAGACAAGGGGAGCAGAGCCATTGACGACAAATAGTCATCTAACGAAACCTCGAGGGCGGATAGAGCCGTGGATCGCGACAAGGCCTGCGAGAACGCGTAGCGGGCCAGCAGGGTGGAAGGAGCGAGTGAAGCCGAGTTCGTGTCCAGACCAGCAGACGATGATGAATCCTCAATTTCGGTGTTCGATGGTGGAGTACGCCCGAGGATAATGAGGTCACCTTGCAGCCGGGTGTCTCTGGAGAAATCAAAAGCAGAGTCAACGCGCAGCCAACGAGGTCATTCTTGTGCCTACGAACTCTGACGGATCAGTCACAAACTCCAATTCCTCCGTCTCGTGGTCCCTCAACGGAGCGATCTGTGCTCCGGTAGACTTTTCGATCACCTCACTGGCGAAACGACGTGCTTCGGCTTCACCTAAACCCCAGCACACAAACGATCCATTCGAAAAGATGAAAATTTCGCCTTTGGATGCTGACGGAGATAGTTTTGAAGTAAACGTGCCGCGGTTGTCCGGACCCGAGTTTTGATGGGTTGTTGGCCAAGAAGGAATGTACAGAGACTCTTTGAGAATCCGAGCAGATGATGGCAGAGCAGGGGAGGTACATAGCCTACTGAAAAGGAACCGTTCGGCCGTTGCAAGTGTAAAGACTACAATTCAATCAAGAAAGTTAGAGACAGAAAACACGTCGTGCAACGCGCCAGCTACGCACCAGGTTGTATGTCTCCTCGCGTCGGTGTCGGGTTCGATCTGATGGCCAGTGAGGCCGACGCCGACCGACGAAGGGGGGTAGTCGCCTTCGGTTTTGGTTTGGAAGGTTCTTCGACACCCGGCTGACTAGCAGTTGTATTCGTCGTGATTCTGGTGGTGCTGAAGGACCTCAAAACATTCGTGAGTGAGCTCGGACGCGACAGAAGCTGCGCGACACCATTTCTCTGCCAGGGCAAGTGCAACATCAACATCAGAGTTATTGAAGGAAGAGACCACTGCCGCCGCGAAATGTCGCCGATCTGCGAGAGCACGTGATCGAGGGAACGATCAAAATCCCGCCCTTGCCTAAATAAGGCTACTACGTCCATAACCGGCAACTGCAAGTCTGCCGAGGGTCTTGCGCGTATGTCAAGCCGACGATTATATACGAATGATAGTACATGTAGCTATTCTACGGCATCGTTTTCTCTTTACATGTATGCTGCGTATCGGCATCTAACAATCCAGAGAATTAAGACAAAATATAAAAATGGATCGGACACTGGGCCAAAATAGTTACGGATAAAAGAGGTTGTCCGGCTCCCCCCCCAAAGATCGCACGGACGCCGACGCCATGTACCGCCCCCGGGTCTACTGCGCTGCGGTCGGTGTTCAAGGGCTTCCAACAGGAGTTGGCACAGTTCCATTGACGATGTCGATACCCGAGCCGCCTGCATCGCCTTTCGCCTTCAACTCCGCCTGGCCCTCCTTGTTCAGGTCCCCAACCTTTATTTTGCCCATCTCCTTGATGAAGCTGCTGCCCCAGAACGCCGCGCTGTACTTGTTCACGTACTTGAACAACTTGCGGTGGTTCTCGGCGCGCGTGGCGGCGTCCATTTCCACTGCCTCGTGGATCGCGTCGGCGACTTGCTGTGAGTCCCAGGGGTTGACCACGAGAGATCCGTTGAGACTCTGTGCTGCACCCGCGAATTCAGACAGGATCATGACTCCTTGGCGAGCTTGTTGACATGCAATGTATTCATATGACACCTGATCTTGTTCGTAAAAGAATATTTGAACAGCATAAGATGTACTCACGAGATTCATGCCATCTCGGGTACTGGAGACCAAGCAGACATCACTGACGGCATACAAGGCACAGAGCTCGTCGAACGGTAGACTTTTGTGCATGAAGTGGATTGGCATGAACTCCACCGTGCCGAATCGTCCGTTGATACGCCCCACTAATTCGTTCACCGTGGAGCGAAGGTTCTGGTACTCTTCCACGTCCTGTCTAGAAGGTACAGCAAGTTGCACCAGAACAACCTTGAGGTATTGATGTTAACGGCCTGTCACGGCACGGGAAGTGGATGGAACCCACCTTCCCAATCCACTCAGGGTGCTGAGTGAGGAATAGTTCTAGGGCATGGAGTTTCTGCGGGACACCTTTGATGTAATCGAGGCGGTCAACTCCAACAATAACTTTGACACCTCCGAAGCGCTGCTCAAGCTGGGCAATTCTTGCCTTCACGGAGTCCTTCTGTAGATTCTGTTAATAGACTTGATTAGTAGGTGTGTACTTGGAATGATGTAGGTGAAATAAAAATTACTTCGATGAATGAGCCGGGTTCAATGCCGATCGGGAATGTGCCAACGTGCGCAAGCCGCCCTTCGAATTCCACACCATTTGGCATAGTTGGGAGACCCAAAATACGGGTACACGATGATAAGAAGTGGCGCGCGTAGTCATAAGTGTGGAAGCCGATAAGATCACAGTACAGCACGCCAAGAAGAATCTCGCGGCGAACAGGCAGAATTCTACACGGGTGTAATGTTAACAGCTGTTCCACGGTCTGATATCACGACATACCTATAAATTTCGCTGCTGGGGAAAGGGGTGTGCAGGAAGAACCCAATCTTGACGCCTGGTACCTGTACAGGTTGGAACGCGGGCGCTTCACTGTCATCTTCGACATCTTCCGTGATACGTGCCAGTTCTCCAAGCATTAGTTCTCCTTGCTCGCCTTTGATCAGGCTGCGTAGCATCATTGGGAGAAGCATCAAATGATAGTCCTGGACCCAAACCATGGCGTTGGGCGTCAGTTGCTTTACAACAGCTTGCGCAAACTTGAGGTTTGCCTGGCGGTATGCCCTCCAATTCTCCTCATCAAAGTTCATCTCGCCTGGGTGGTAGTGGAACAATGGCCACAGGATTGAGTTGGAGAAACCGTTGTAATGGCGATCCGCTACGTCATCATCGAGGTAGACGGCCTGGCACGAGTACTCTTCCATGAGTCGCTTATCGACGAGCGGTCTGTCTTTCAGTGGGATGAAGAAGCCCGGCCAGCCGATCCAGGTGAAGTTCAGTGATTTCTTGAATCCCGACAAGGCGGAGACGAGACCGCCCGAGGACATCTTGAAGTGGTATTCGCCTTTCGCATCTTTAGTGATAGTGATGGGCAGACGGTTCGATACGACGATGAGATGGTTGTTGTCGCCGAGATCCATATTGTCGAGCGATGGCTCTGAGGTCGAAGAATAGATTGTCGGCATCTCCTGGTGATATGCTTTAAGTGTTTTGATGAGCTGGATACGCTCTCAGATGGCTCACCGTGATAATGTCGGATCTGGAGGAGAGGAAGCCGACGAACGTTCACTGTGGTCAGGAAGAAAGAAGGGCGACTGGTGATTGAGGGTGATGGCCAAATTGAGAGAACGGACTGGAAGAATACCGTGCTCTAATGGCCACTGGTGCAGCCAAGCTCATCCATAGCGTCATGGCTCACTGCAAGCCGAGATTTACCGACGAACTGCCGCATGCTTGATTCACACGCAATCGATCCAGTAGGTTCGCTCAAAGTGTGCATCGGAGACGCGGGTGACCAGCAGGTCTGGACAACGCAGGACCTTCTCAGACTGATGGTTGCCTGCTAAATGTCCGACAATTCCTTTTGAGATCTGCCACCCAAAATACCACGTCTCGCGCGTTCAATGGGGAAAGCGAATCTTGTCGAGCCTAGCTGCCAATGGCACGATTGTCTCTTTCATGAGGCCTATAGTGTGATATTCAAACCCCCAAACGAGGCCAGACTTAGAGAGAAGCACTTCAGAAGAACGGGGAAGAAGCGCGAACGTGTTATTCGGCACCCCGATTTTTCGACGAACACTGGGACACACGGCCCGCCAATATCATCAAGCATCGTGGATTGAAAAGGATACAATACGGATGTACACGGGAAGAACTGCTTAATCGAAGAGACCGAAGCCCTGCGGTAGATGTGAGTACAAGACCTGCCGATCACGTTTGCTGAAACACTGACCATATCGTCATCAGACTCCTCCTTCTCTTCTTCCTTCTCTTCTTCCTTAGCAGCTTCAGCTGGAGCAGCCTCCGTGGCGACGGGGGCCGCAGCAGCAAACGCCTCGGGGTTAGCAAGGTATTCCTTGATCTAAAGTAGATTAGATGAGTATGCATGTCAAGGTAAATCCACGCAAGTCCATCAGCAAAATAACGGTATCCCCAGAACATATCGGAATTTTCAGTGTAATGTATTTTATTGAAAATCATATGGAGTATGGAACTGTGCAAATAGCTCACCTTCTCAGAGCCCTCGAAGGTGTACTCGGTGCCAAGAGACACGGCCAACAGGTTCTTGTACGCGTTGACGAGCGAGTGGACAACGGAGACGATGGTGGGGTAGTTAAGGGCCAAGGAAATGGCAGCAATCGTCTTGATACCAGACAAGAAGCGGTCAACAAGCTCAGCTTCGTCAATATCGAGAACCTCGGGGCTGAAGGCGTTGCCCTGGTCGTAGATCTGCACGACAGTCATACCGTAGGTGAACGGCGAAATGTTCAACATGTTGAGAAGAGTGGCTTCGGAAGTCCCGACACGGGTACCAGCGACGACGACACGGACGTCGGACACGATTTCAATGGTACCACGGGCGATCTTGGTGGGGATACCGAGAGCCTGGAAGAAGGAGGTCTTTCCGGGTTCCATACCGGTGTTGCCGGCCGGGACGGTGACATCCTTGGGCGCAAAGGCACCTGCACGAGCGGGGGCCGCGACCTTGTTGGAGATGATGATCTCACGGATCTCCTTCAAGTCACCGGCGGTGAAGACGAACCCGATGTTACCACGGATGTGGGGGAGGAGCTTCTCGTACTGGGGGTACTCGGAGAGGATGGATCGCAGTGCGCGGCGAACCATGGTGTTCTTGCCCATCAGGACAACACCCTTGCCACGGAGAGCAACACGAATCTGATGCATTTGGTTGGACCCGACATTGTCAACATTGACCAAGAAGACAGAAGCTAACAAGCCTCGTCAGCTCCTGATCTAGAAAAGAGAGATGAGATACGAACGGAATTTGTTCAGGAGCTCCTTGAGCTTCTGGAAGTATAACTCCTTGTCAGCGCGTGAGGCACCCATTGTATATTTTGATTGTCGGGAGTGTGTTTTAAAGATTAACTAGTGCCTCCCGATTGACCTCTGCGAGCAGCAATTCAACATATAGTTCAAGTAGAGATGGCCTAAGAAACGTACCTGCTGGTGCCAATGGATTTTTCAAGGCAACTGGTCGTGATTTTGGAAAGCGGAACGATGAGCTGAACGATCGCTCAGAAGTTGTGTTGTCTGTGATCGTGAGAAAGTCAATAAGGTTCGAACTACGCCCGGCGTTCACCGTCGCCCGTCCCTTCGGCGCTGTCTCCCACGGCGAGCAACTGCTGTCGAATTCGTCCGACGTCGCTCGTTCACCCGGGGCGCCTCTTTTTCCTCCCCCTCTTGTCGTTCTCCCGCTGGTAGTCACCGACTTTACCTGTGGCGAGCTCTTGGTCGAACCCACATATAAACCAGGCCACCTCGCGCACCGTGACGCGCATACACTTCCGGATACTTTTCATGAAATGGAATGTTGCGATGCTGCCGCCCAGCCATACGATGTATTAACAACCCCGGTGGCAAAGCAACAACTTTGGGACGGTCCGTCGCATATTTTTGTTCTGACCTGGAATAGCTGGTTTTGACGCGTTTACACGCAGGTCCGCCTTCGCGCCAATTCGCACGCAACGTACCAATGTGCGGGGCAAGTTGAACGTTGGCAAATGTGCAGAAACCTTGCGTGTGGACAGCAGCTCATCGAACGAGACGACGCGCGCTGTGGACGCGTTCGACGAGCCCCCGCGGTTGGAGAGACTAGCGTCCAATGGTCGGACGGTTCTTACCGATGCAGTCAGCAACCGGGAAGAGGCGACTACATCCCCCACGACGGACCGTGACGACCTATCTAGTGACACTCGAGCCTTGGACGCTTTACTTGGATTTCTCTCTAATTCCACAACAGCTCAGCAACCCGGCGCTCGACATCCTACCTTGAACACGCTGAGGTCCCTGTACGTTTCCGTGAAACACCGTAATCAGCTCCAGCAGCTATCCGCGTCACAGCTGGGCGACCTTGCTGCTCTATTCGGCTCACTCTCCATCTCTATACCGCGCCATTCACATTGTACATATATACATCCACTTGTAGCATACTATACCACGGATCATACTACCGACACTAGAACACGGACTTACTGGCCGTTCGTCCAGCAAATCTTACAAGATAAAATGCGGCTCGAGCATACACTGGCGAATAGAGATCGCTTTTGGATAATGCGGGCGAGTCTTGCTAATTTGAAAAGCGGTCGAGGGGAAAGCATGGATACACAGGGTGCGTGGCTATCACTTTGCTGAACGAGTTTATGTTCATATGTTACTTAATCTGTAAAGAGGTGGAGCGAGTGGTCAAGCAGGCTCGCAACCAATACCTTAGGATTCGAAACGACTCGCCTATGGCCGAAGTTCATCTACCTTTCCTGAGAGCATTACTTTTTCTCAGGACTTCGCCGGCCATTGATGAATTCATACGCACGCTTTCACACATTCTTTCGCGTTACACGCAGGACCCTCGGTTGTTGAACTTCGTGTGGTCGACTCTCACTCGAGAACTCAGTAATCCCTCTTCTACTCAAAAGGAACGGATCCTCGAAGCTCTGTTGGGAGGATTTCACCGAACTTCTTCGACTTCGACGCAGCATGCTTCTCGCGGTCTTGGTTTTACCGTGGCCACTTCGTTATTGCCTTCCCTTTTCCAGGGACCTCCCGCTCCTGCCGTGGCTTCATGGGTTGTACGCCAAATTCGTTCCGCTTTGGGGGCAGCGTTGCCATTGGACCAAAGATGGCATAATTTAGTTGTACTCGCGAAGCTCTCGTCAAGAACACCCCCGCTTGATACACCCAACGCGCCGAATGAAACGACGATACAATGGGACGTTATCACTTTCTTCAAATATCTAGAGCAAGGAATAGAGCTAAAGTTGTCCTACCGACTATCGACGGGGGCGGATTCAAGCATTCGCGATCTCGTTCGGTCCTTCTGGACGGCTTGGAAGAAGGCAAATCATAACGATCGTCCAATCGACATCACCCGTGCTATCGTCGCAACATTTTTTCGTTTGTCGACAGCGCTAGGAGACAGTCGCCTCAAAGATGCGTGTCATCGCTTTTGTAGCAACGAAGATCTCTACAAAGCAGATTTTCCCGGTGCTGCTTCGTCCTTCTCAGCCAGCCGCCTCATCACAGAGTTCGCTATGGCTTCCCTCGCTTCCAACCCGCATTGCTGGTCAACCATTATAGCTCTAATGGAGTACCGCACTCAAGAGTCAAGCTGGAAGGTCGATCTCCTCTCAGCTGTGGTCGACTGCGCCATACAGGACCAAGTAGCCTTGCCAACCGGTCTACAAGAAACTGCATACTCACTCCTGGCGGACCCATCCTGGCCCCTTGAACAACGTCGTCGGCTTCTGGACACTGCCCTCACTATTTTCTACCTCTCTGGCACCGAGAAATTCGCACGAGATCAAGGGAGGATCATCGCCGAAGGTATGCTCACAGTATACGCTGCCAATCAACCTTCTGTCAAGTCGAGAGATGCCATTCTGCGTGTCCTACGCCTATTGATTTCGTCCGAGAACACATCAATGGCCTTAGCTATTGTCAGGGCCATTCACAAGCAGTCGCCGAGGTTCTTCTGGAACGCACAGATATCTCAACTTGTGCAGGCTCTAATTTACCACAGACAATATCGCTCGGCAGCTTCGATTACGGCCACGTTGGGTCGTGCATCCTCCGTCCGTCAGACGGTCTCCTTGAACATGGCACGAGAGGGTGCGACTTCACTCTCACGACAGGTATTTGCGTCATATACCGCTGGACGCCGTCTTACTGCAAGAGAATCTATGCTTCGCACCCTCAAATTCCGGCCCCGTCACGCCGGTCGACTCCCCATCCTCAGTGTTGTACCCAAAGCTTCCCGTGCCTTGCACGACCCCGAGCTTGTCAAAGATTCGATCTTTGCACTTGTGCACGCAAACCGCATACTCGCTGCCAGAAAGTTATTTCAACACACGGCCGGTAAGGTTGACATTCAAGTCCGGACTGTTCTCGGCAACATGATCCTCCACGGTATGGTTCACCGCCAGAATATTCGCAACGGCCGGCTTGTCCGCACTGTATTGCGTACCGCCGAGTTGCTGGCTAGTCGGGACGGTTTTGTGAGAGATAGGGTCACTATCAACATCCTGCTCAAAGCTGTCTTACGATGGAGGTCGTTCGTGGATGTTCAAAAGGTTAAGGCGCTCTTCGACCACATGATTCGCGGAGGGTACCCTGCTGCACTCAAATTTCGTCCCAGAGGCGTCCCTTTCTCTACACCTCCAACCACCGTGACAACGCTATCACTGCCGCCTTTACCTGCCCACATTTCCTTCGTGAAACATGTTCGGCCAATGTACAAGATGTTCATTAAGGCCTTTCATCTGCGGGGCGATAGGCGTGCCGCTGCTGTGGTAGTTGGGATTTTGAAGGCCGAAGAAGCAAAAGAGAGGGCCAGAAAGGAGGAGTTGAATAGGATCATGGCGTTCGGGAAGTTGAAGGGCCAAGAGGCGGAGGTGAAGAAAACTCGCCGGTGAACGATGTCACCCGAACCAGGACGATAGTTTACAAGGGATGGTCCTCTAGCACGGCGACTCTCTTTGCGAACCCATCCCAGCACTCTTTCCACAATCAATGAAAGGTCGCAACGCACCCCTCTGAGGATATTTCCGGCCGATGTTCCCAAGCCAGCGTGGACGATGAAACTCTCGTAGTCCGTCCATGCTGTGGTCTCCCAGGTCACAACCAAGAGGAAATTTTCTGCTGCGGAGTCCTGCTCATCCCCAGCGATCGTTGTTTGCTTTAGATGCTTCCAGGCGTCGGGCGGCCAACTTGGATGGCACCAACCAATGTAGTTGCAGGCTCGCAATCCGCATGAAGGGGCATCTCCTCACCGATGTTTCTGCTACCCATTAAGGTACATGCGGCATTGATCAAATCAAGCGTGCAATCCTAAGACTGAAATCAAAGACTCGGTCACGGATTTTCATGGCGAAACTCGTATTTACGCATGTGTGTGCAGTCTGTAATATCCGACGTAGTCAAACGAAGGGATGACTGATTGTGCTCAGAGAGATAGGTCCTTCTACCTTACTCCTACAAGTCCAGGAAACCCTTGGGAAGAAATTGATTCCATGGGTTGGGGCGTTACCTGCATACACTTTCGATGAATTAATATACTGGAATATTGCCTTTCGGATATGGTAGTACGAGGGGGGCATACAGCAACCAAAGGAAGTCCACAAATCAGGTGCAACGGTTAGGCCTCGTCTTCTTGAAGTTCTTCAACACAGGCTCTCCGATGTAGAGGTTTCCCCACGTCTTTCCGAGACGAGAGTAGGCAAGCGGCTCCAAATCGATGTCTTTCCCAGCTACGACCTCGTCTCCATTTTCCTTGTTATTCCAAAAAGTCTTCCGTGTCTTGAAATATCCCTTCTTGCCCGTCTACCGTGGAGGATCAGTGAGAGTGTCGGGTTGCCAGTGTCTCTGAGACATGGAACCAAGTGTTATTTGCCATAACCCCTATATAAACCTGACCCTTAATCAAGCGCTCGTCGATAAGATGCAACTTCTCCTTCCCACCATGTCGTCGGGACAACTTTCACTAGACGAAGAAGCTAGATTGTACTCCACCAACTCGGAGAGAGAAAAATACAATCTCCAAGCGACTCTCTTTGGCATCATTGTTGCGCTGGATTACCTTGAACGTGCCTATGTCCGTGACTCCATAACAGCAGCAGAGTGAGTAGTCGATTGATTGCAGCTTCACCACGTCCAACTAAGTCAGCACGTAACGACCAAAGAGATATTCTCCAGCATGCACAAGGCTCCTCTCTCAGTACAAGACCATGCTGAAGTTAGTAGGGGACGACGTACCATCAACAGAGGAATTTATGAAGAGATATCATGTACGTGGTCTTACGGGTGGCTCGTATTACGCTTATGCAACAATCTTACCCTAGATGGACAACCCAGCAGCACTGCATAGGGTGAAAGTCGGCGTTCCGGCCACGGTTGAACATTCCAGTGAAGCGGGCCCTGAGACGGCAAAGTGGGTGGCAGAAACAACCCAGGTAAATACTTGTCGTCTCGACCGCAACTGTCCCGTTGACGTTCCTTGACCCACCCAGAACTTTATTACGTTCATGGATGCGCTTAAACTACGACTAAGGGCCAAGGATCAATTGCATCCTATGCTACAGGAACTTGTGACCAGCTACGCTCGCTTCAAGGGTAGTAAAGACTGGGAAGGTCGAAGTAAAATGGTTGGCTGGTAGGTACTGGAACGATCAAAGCATTCCCCTTAACTTGATCCGACTACTTACTAGGTTAATCACCTTGAATGGAATGAAGGCGTCGGAGGAGATTACGGAGGATCAAGCACGGCAGGTGGGCAGGCAATGTTATATGTTCCTCACCCTCGTGCTAATTGCCGTGCAGTTATCTTTTGATATCGAGCATGCATACGCAGAATTCTTCCGGAGTCTAAGTGGAAACAAGGACGAAGGTTCATGAGATTCGTGTGTAGCACAGTGCATTCGTCGTCCACAACTGACGTTTCCTTGTCATTCTAATGCTGCCGTGAGATTAAATGTTGGGCTTATAGATAAAACCTCATCAACCCCGCTACAGTAAGACAAAGAGATCAGTCAACCGCTGTCGGCGTGATCCACAGCACATCACTCACTCAGGCCTGAAGGCTCTCAACACCAAGTTATCACTGTGCGCTAATTCAACAAGGCGCTCCAAGGCCAAGTAGAAACACTTACGTGGCACCAATGTCTGGTAAGGTAACGGTAATCCCCAGGAGAAATCGACATGCGATGCAAGTATGCTCTAGACCCCCGCTAGAGTGAGGTCATCAGGGAAATGGCGAAATGCTTATCACGAAGGCCACTTAACCTCAGTCTCTGTGCCCGAAACTGGGTTAGTCCGGGCATTGATACGGAGCGCCGCGACAAGCTTAGGGATGGTAGCGAGAAGGATAAGTGCAGCGTGTTCGTTAGAGCATTGTGAAGGCCAGCGACAAGCGTATGCTAGGCTTTGGAGATGATGATGTTCAAATGATCAAGGTTGTGGATGGTGGGCCTTTTCATTCATGGAGGACCTCGGAAGGGATACGGTTCGTGATCGCCTTGGTTTACATGGGTGCAGACCTGACCTCACGATTGACTTGTTTACGGTCATCCGTTTTGTGGTTAGAGCAGCAGCTTGCTAAGAGGAAGGAATCCCTTCAATACCAAATCGACGTGATTGTGGGTACACTCCGATATCTCAACTGGTGTGTCCAGCCTTCTTCCCAAGCACGACTGTAGATTTTACTCGAACGGCGATTCGCGACCTACCATCATGGGTTCGAATGGAGGTGAGTTGAGGTAACAAGGGAATCAACATGAACCTTGCCTCAGGCCTCAGGGATCGGAAGGTACTAAATACAACTATCTAGCAACAGACGCTCTAGGTATAAGTAATCTACTACTCAGCATGATCCCACTTAGCGGCCTGGTATCCAACCTCTTACCTTCTTGCCTCAACTAAATATGCTCTTCCGATCAACGACTCCCATTGTCACCACAGCAGCCTTCCTCTTTCCTCATGTATCCTTCTCCGCTGTAGTGCACATCGAAGCTCCGTCGGCTCCGTCGGCGGGCATTGACACTCAACTTCTGAAAGCACGGACAGGAACTGCAGACACAATCGAACTTCTACCGCACGTCGCTACTAACGTCGTCAGAGACACGCAAGCAGATAAAGACGTAGGCACAGACACTTAATCACATCCTGTCCTATTATACTGACCATTTTCTACAGAGTCGCAGCCGATTCACTGTTACACGCCAATCTGTCCCAGTTCAACTGGGTTGTATGTCATCCCAAACATGACTACACCTGGGATGGCCAGCGTGGCGTCGACTGGGACCACTTCCATACAGAGTTCCCCATCCAGTTCGGGTTAACCATTGGGTCGGTAGGGTTTATCGATACGAGCTCTACTCGACCTCTAACTTATTGGCTGTGGCTTCATAGATACGAGATATATTATGCGAAATCAGGACATTTCGTCCGCCACGGTGATGGGGGGTTTCTGAACGTAAGTTACTGAGGCCTCTTCCCAAGCGATTGATTATGATCAATATCTAGTGGGCGTACTATGGCAATGTGCTCGCGGTACAGAATGACGGGAGTGACGTTACATTTGGTGTACCTTAGCAGGTTTAAATCCTCATGACTGGTAGTGAGGCCTGGGGCCTGAAGTCTATGCATACTGGGACTCGCTGGCCTCTTTGACATTCTTGTCTGCGCGTCGTATCGTGTTACTCGCAAGGGGGGGAGGTCGCTGGATTTTTGGTGTTGACCATTTGGACAAAATTGATATTGAACGTTGAGTATTATCAATTCAAAAGTGGATGAGTGCGGCCGTGCGGAGGCAAAATAAACAATCTGGTGTTCGTCTCAATCGGCGGATTGGGTTCGGGTTCGATTCCACGAGACATCCACTGGCAGGGCCCGGATTCGAACGTTCAAGCTTAATGATATTTCCAGGTCAGATTCACTTCCGATCCCTTACAGAACGGAACCCCGCAAAGAAAGAGAATGGGCTGCCATCTGCTGTCATGGGCCGAGAGTTCTTGCTTCCTCACAAACAGGATACGACTAGTCCGACGACCCTCCAAGTTCGTTTGCCTATCTTGCTTCCCACGCCCCCAGCTTTCCTCTCAACTCCATGTCCGAGTCGAACCCGCCCAGTAGCCATAATAGCGATGCTAGCTCAGGAGGCTCACTCAGCGGGTTTCCAGAGGAAGACTTAAGGCCTGATGGAAGGAACAATCCTGGGTACTTCCCTGCAAGGCTTGGCCAGCCGCTGCAACAAGGTCGCTATTGCATCGTACGCAAGTTGGGCTGGGGTCAATACTCTAGCGTCTGGTTAGCCAAGGATCGTGGGTAGGTATTTACGCAGTCATTCAAGCCTGATGCATCTAAATGTCGGAGACTGTAGCGAGGACCGCTTCGTTGCTCTTAAGATACTCACCTGTGATGCCACTAAAGCCTTGTCTTCCGATGAAAATCAGCGCTCAGACGAACAGCGCATGCTGGAGAAGATCGCAGCTGCCGAGTCAAGTCATCGTGGGTTCAGCCACAGTCTTGCTTACTTCGGGTCCTTTGACTTCAATGGGCCACATGGACTTCATCGCTGCATCGTAACAGAGGTCCTAGGCTACAGCATAGATTACCTACGAAAGCTCAACGACACCGATCGTCGTGTTGCGCCAAGCATTGTGAAGCGTGTCGTGAAACAAGTCCTACTGGGTCTTGAATACCTGCACAATGTCTGCGGTATCGTGCACACAGGTTCGTTTGATGGGTTTCCTCCAGCACCCGACGAGTCCTGATCACCCCAGATCTAAAGCACGACAACATACTCTTCCGCCCCCTCGATCTGGCGGGCGTTATCTCCCGTGAACTCTTCGGAACCCCTTCGATAACGTACGACTGTGGCACCGAAGTGAACCCGCCCGTGGTTCCCGTTGTCTCGCAAGGTTTACCTCTCTCTACTGACGCTACCGTCCGGGAGCAAGATCTCGTTGCTGTGATTGCCGATGTTGGTCACTGTGAGTCAGCTGAGTCTCCAGCCGCACCGCAGCAGCGAACTTGACATACTGCAGCACACTGGAAAAATCGCCATTTCCAGGAGCTTGTTCAACCAGACGCACTTAGAGCTCCCGAAGTCATACTTGGTCACCTATGGGGACCACCTGCAGACATCTGGAACTTAGGCTGCCTTGTGAGGGCGTTCCTAGTTGTCAGAAACGGCGTTCACTGACAAAGGGGTAGGTTGCCGAGCTTCTCATTGGATTCTGGCTCTTTGAGCCAAATAAGACGGACCTGTGGGGGTATGAAGAGGATCATCTAGCTCGAATGACGGAGGCGCTCGATTTGCACTTTGAGACTACCATGTTGGCCAATTCTGTTCATCGAGACAAATATTTCAAAGCTGATGGTAAGCTTGCTATCGTTCCAAATATCAGTATCATCTCATTCAACATTCATGACAGGATCGTTTGCTCACTTTACAAAACACGAGGAGCCGACGTGGCCGTTGCGCAAGCTCTTGCAATCTTTCTCGGAGCTTGGTGACGACACCCCACGAGCAGAAGAGTTTCTCAGACGTTGTCTTAAACTTGCGCCCGATAAGAGAGCTACTGCTACAGAGCTCATCAACGATCCATGGCTAGCGATCGCTTAGCGTTGCGGTACTTGCTGAGAGTAGCTTGAGTTATCTAAAAAGGAACTTCGTGCATGATATTTCTAGGCCCTTTGTGCCTTTCGGGGTTCCGCACACATACTGTATACTAGGCTAGAATTCAATACTTCTTACTATCGGTGATACTGTTGGACTATCATAGCAATCTGCGGGCCCGACGTCAAGAAGAAATGACTCGGGCTACGACCTTTCACAGCGTGCAATGTTCCCTACTTTTATCATATTAGTGGCTCAAGTATCATGAAAGCATTCTAACTACTTTCAGGATCCTTTGTCTAGAGTATGGTCCAAGTATGGCCCAAGTATGCGAAAAGTATTGAAGAAAGTCGCCCAGAAAGGCAATTCTTTCAATACCTTTATCATACTTTAGACGATAACTTCGGACAAAGGATCTTGAAAGTAGTTAGAAGAATACTTTTATCATACCTTCTCACACAGTAGCGTAAAGATACTTACTTCTGAGCTGGAAATACAATTCGGCAGCTTGACGTTGGACGGAAGGTTGTCTGATGATCGGCTATCCAGATTCCTACGCATGGTTAATGAACTGCATGGTCTTCGTAGTACTAGTTGAATTTCTGCAGAAAAGTCAACGCTCGCTGACTTTAAATTCAAGTTTGATGGATTGTTTGGCGCCTGTAGACCTTCATGAATCTTCAAGTTCTGTTTGGCGATGTCTGAGCCTTCGCCCGTGCCAGAGCATCTACTCCGGTCGCATTCCACCAGTGTCAGAGCGGTTCATATATCCGAAGACAATGAGAGATTGTACTCGGGCGACAGCTCTGGTCTTGTCATAATAACCTCAACGCGTACTCTCCGTGCTCTGGCGAAGTGGGCAGCACACACGGATAGCTTGCTGGGCATAGAGGAATGGAGCGAACGAGTTATAACGTCTGCGTCAATTCCTCTAAAACGGATTCAACCAGTCTAATTCTCTTACTTGGCGATGCACGCGACGCCTGCAACGCCTATGCTCCTTCCCTGCGATCTAGGCATGCGCGGGACCATAAACTGCACGTTTGGAAGACCCTCGAAGATGTACCGCCGACCTCGAAGATTGGGGGCTCTGCTGTTGTGTCTGAAGCACAGGCTCCCACACTGTGTTACTCAATGGATGTCAACGCGCTAAATTACTGTCGATTTTCGTTACTGGGTCTTCGCAAAACCTTCGATACCAGTGCATTACCTCCTGGAAGAGAAGAGGATCCTTCGAATGCCAGGCCATCTGCTGAACATCAATCCCAGTGCCTTATTGCCCTTCCGAACTTGGTGGAATCGTCCCTGGTAATTCCGACTATCTCGACATGGTAGTGGCCTCTGATTCGCCGCCTTCAGGCTGATGTATGGGTACTTCCATCCTGCCAGAGAGTGCATGCTGCGATCGGCAAACCTCCTACTCAAGGCACTATGGCCGATGGACGCGGAGCTGCTGGTAACAACCCCCCCCTGTACTGTGGTTGTTGTCGTTCATCGAATTGTCTCTAGGACTTATCATGTCAATGCACTTATTCTTCGCGGAGGTCGCGTCGGCGGAGGCTACCTCGTCTACCGCAAAAATGGATGAACTCAGGCTTCTGTGTGCCTACGAGAACGGTTCAGTCACCTTACGTCGATATGCGGACTCAACCAATTCCTACTCTATTGAGGGCCGTGGGTGGGAGATCATATGGACCGCAAAGCTCCACGCTGAAACTAGTACGTCCGTACATATTCCTGAGAGATCATACGTCCGCGATGCTGATTTGAGCAAGTAATGTCAATGCGGGTCTCGCGAGGTAATTCATTTGCGCTGTCGACATCAGCGGACCATCTTGTTGGTCGCTATGATCTCAAGGTGAGGGTACCTTATACGACGTCCGAGTTATCGTTGACGCTTGATCCATCGATGATAAGTCTTCGTCTGCCAGTGGTTCTGTTGTCTTCAGGACCAAATACCCAGGCAACGGCGCAGTTGCTATTCGCCACGATGGGCGAGTCTGTGCAATTGGCGGGTGGGACGGGAAGTGAGCATCATCGCCGCAGAGTCATCTCCATCTCCTTCCTGATCCTCAAGTATGAATTTAGAATTCGCTTGTATTCTTCGAAGAGTATGAAATCCCTTGGGACGCTCAACTACCACAAGAAGGCCTGCCAAGCAATTGAGTTCGCTCATGGTTCCGAGACACTGATGTCGGGGGAGCCTATTGCTGATGAAGACGACGACGGCGATGATGACGATGGATTCGGTGATGTCGAGAAATCTACCAGAAAGCGATGGTTGATCGGTGGTAGTGAAGATGGCCGGTTGTCCATCTGGGTTCTGATAGATTTCACGAGAGGCTGAGCAGGAGGACTCTATGCTTGGTACATTTATTATACTCTTATCGAATGATTCAATCCTGGTTATTTAGAACTAGTACAGCCGGCACTACGATGCGGTAAAAAGTAAGTTAGGAGTTAAACGTTAAAAACTGACCCAAGCACGATGCCCACGGGGTAAGATAACTGTCTTTGGTCGACCATCCTAGCCGTGCAGATACACCACATCCACATGGACAGACCTCGGAGAAACGCAGACACAACACATACATAGAAATGAATCAGATCAGCCCTGCAGCCCTCAGATCTCTAGCCAGTCTAGCCTCCTCTAACGCCTCTTGAGATGGGATGACTATGACGTTCCCGTTCTCGTCTTCAGCATGGACACCAGGATCGCCCCTTCGCGTGTCTTCTTCTGGAACCCCGAAGCCAAAGACAGAGTAGAGGTTGCGGCGGATAGCGACATCGCGCGCAACGTCTTCTGGTGTGATAGGCTCGGAGCGTTGAGAGGCTGCGCGAATGGAGGTTTCCCATCTCTTTACCCGCCAGAAGCCGATGGAAGATGATAGAAGTATGAACCAGCCTAGAGTGAATGTATTAGCCTAGGGAAAGAATGATGTGACTGTAACGGAGGCCGTACCCATTGTCATCAGAAGGAAAGAGAGCCAGTCTCGAGGGCTGACGACGGGCATCGGTGATTCGTCGACGGTTGGATCCGACTCCTCTCCGCGCGTGAACCCAGTTAGTGCGGTTATACCCTCCTCCGGCGAGTCTTCATTGTGGGCGACGTGTGAATAAAGACCAAGTTGAATCATAGTCAACCCCAATCCTGCGCGGGATCCGTACTTGGCAGCGTGCGACGTATGGAGGAGGTAAGTGAGGAGGAAGCCGACAAATTGGAAGAAAAATGAGATGAACATGTTGAGCACGAAGACGAGGAAGGAGCCAGATGGGAGATCGTCGATGAGCATGTAGTCGCCCGCCGCGAGCTCTGCGGGGGCGTGGACGGTCGTCTCCCAGTACGGGGGCACTGCATCTGCTGCAGCCTCAGTATAGGACTGCCAGCAACACGATCAGATGGCGGCGGCAGCGACAAAAATGGAGACTCACAGGAGGTCCCTCCTTCTGCGTGTCCTCCGGTGCTAAGCGCATATCTCCGTCCTCTGTCTCAACGAGTCTCGTGGGCTGAGGCTTGGCCATCACGTTGGCGAAAACCCCATCGTTCTCCATCCCACCGCCTCTGGCCCTCGAGGCCTCTTCTGTGGGCAGCCTGCTGTAATGCGTTGGCAGGAGAGCACCGACCGCCCGCCTGAAAAGGCCCCCTCGCCGTCTGGGCGCCGTCACCGGCGACGAGGGCAGAAGGCCATTCGAGTTCCCAATCTCGTTCGGCCGCGCGAACTCTGACGGCGCAGGTGGCGACCCCGGGGGTGGGTAGTCGTAATCTCGCTCAAAGTCGTACACGCCTGGGCGAGCGCCCGTCGATAGGGAGTTGTGTGCGCTGTCGTGTTCTTGCCTTGTCAAGGGCGTCGATTCGTTGTCGTCTTCGGTGCCAAAGGCGTCGTCCAACATCCGGTCCCGCTCTGCGTCCGACGGTGATGGCTGAGTTGGTAGTGCTGCGTACCGGGCAGACATAATAGATAGAGAAGAAGAGAGAACAGTAAAAGTAGCGTCGAGTGTGGGATGATCTCAAGAACTCAGAGGAAAGGAGGGCATAGATTGGGCAAGCAAATTGGTGTGACAGTCGTCGTGATGAAGCAAAAATGCCGAAACGCCTCAAGTCAGGGGAAGGGCTGTCCTGAGTCCTGACACTGCGCTTTGCCTTTCCCGGCAGAAATCACACCCACTTGTGGAAATACCAGGGCGCGATACTCTCTCAACGTGGGCCTTCCAAGCCATATCTAGCTGCTGATCATCATGCATCCATGATTCAATGATTCTGATATCTATCCGTCTGGCCGCGAGTCGTTCTGATGGCAATACAGGGGCCCAGCATCTCTACAAACACATCACCCTAATAGACCTTTGACGTATCGCAACAAGTCTTTTCCCTACATTGCAAGTCAGTCAGAGTCCATTCCTACACAAATCAACTCACCCCGCGTCGTTTAACGCCTTCAACCATCGCTTCAACTCCATCAACTTCCATCCCATCATTCCCCTCCGCGTCCGTATCAGTAGTCGCGCTCCTACTCAACTTTCGCTGCCTTTGACTCAATCCATACCTCACGATCACCGTCAGCACCGCCCTCCAGCCTTCCATTGCATTGTTCACCCCAGCAGCAGTGAGCGCCTGCGAGCTCAACGAGTACACCGAGAAATTGAAGCGGCCTGTCGTCGAAGCGTCGCTTGCCGGAGATGAACCGGCAGATGGGGGAGGAACGGGTAGCGCGGGCACGATCGTTGATTTCACAACAAAGGGGCAATATGATCGGTGTTCTTTGAGCAGATCAAACTGCCTCCTTGCAGTCCGGATCGATGATGGTAGGGGTGGAACCTGGGGCGAATCGCTGGAGGCCGCAGGAACCGCAGGCGCAAACGCCCACAGCCCCACACGCCTTTGACACAGCACACAATGCAGCATCTTCTCATTGCCAGCAACTGCTGAACGCGGGCGGGCCGGTGCAATTCCAGCGGTCGAAATTGAGCTTAGTCTCGAGGGCGTCCCGGCTCGAGAGATGGACGTAGGGGGATTCGGCGTGGCTGCCCGTGACGCGGCGCGTGAGATCGACGGCGTAGAGGAGCGCGAAGGGAACAGCGATGCAGCGCGAGATATCGAGCTGTACTTCGGACGCTCTGCGGTTGGCGGGGGGACGATGGACCATCCGAATAGCGCTGTTAGAATCGCAGTTTCGGACGGCTCTGAGGGAGGAGAGGGATTCGGTGTTTCGGCACCAATGGTGAGGTCCGAGATGCTGGGCGGGAGTGTGAAAGACGACACGGTCGATTTCAGCGTGCTCAGCTGTGCAGATGTCTATACGAACAAAGGATTAGCATGGACCAGGTATGCGATAGCATACGTACCAACGGATGTTTTATTTCCACACCTTGGAGAACAGTCTCCAAGCCCAAAGCACTCGATTTCAGCCCCTGCACTGTTGTAGCCGGAGGCTTGAGCTGGATCCGATATATTGAATCTACACGACGTCAGCTCAGATCACCGGCTATTGACGCATGGGAATTTAAACATACCATCGCATTGCCTAGTTTTCCATGGACAGCCGTCCTTATGAGACTGCACCAGTTGATTACGCTGCTTCTCAACCAACGCATTGGCTACGCGGTGTCAGTCGCCTTCCGTTTGCAATTACGGGTGCATACTTACCGGCATCACGAGACATCCCCTCCCTCCCAGCTACTACCCACGAGACACCACATAACCCACAAACCAGCCTGTCCTTCCCGTCGTTGATCCAGCCGCACTTGGCTGCTGCAACGGCGTCGATGGGCGCAGGCTTGTTGGCATAGGTCGTAAGTTTGAACGTGGCTAGTCGTGAAAGGAAAGACGGGGTAGAAGAGGGCCGGTATTCGACGCTATTGTGTATTGTGGACGTCGGGGAGGCACTCGAAGCCGAAGAGGGAAACTTGAAAGACGGAAGTGCTTTACGCGTACGAGATGCAGCGCGACTCAGGATCGCGGTGAGATGTGGTGTCGGTTTCGAAAGAGTGCTCAGCTTTTCGGTAGCATCCAACGCTCTGAGATTCAGCATGGTGAGAGTCGAAAGGAAAGGATAGGTTCAGTCTGAGTACAGATATCCGGGTATCGCGTAAATGGTACTGACGGTGGTGGCTCCTTTGACTTGCTCTTGATGCCGTATTTCGCCAAAGTGGAGTACAAGGAGCGTGTAACGAGTGTCCGTTTTGCAGGTGGTGGACGTTCTGAGTCGTCTTGTGGCTTAACTGCATCGTCGAGTGAAGAGAAAGCATCGTCGAGTTTGCGCTGGAGATAAATGTGTTAGTGAATTCCCGGCTGAAATGGTGGAACAAATACCTTCATGGCCCGGATAGACGCGCCTGCATCGGTCCTAGAGTTCTCATCGTTGGCCGGTGGTTCGGTGAACATGTCGTTGGCTCGTCGCAGGTCGTGCCCTGCGACGCCGACAGAGACTGGATTCCATCTAGCGCGTGACTCTTCAAGGGTCAGTACGGTCAATCCACAAAAGGCAAAGAATGGCTCACTCCGAGTCGATGTGACTGCCAACTTCGAGGTCGAGGTGTGGTGAATGTCCAGCACGTGACTGCCCATTCAGCCTTGCCTTCGCATGACGTCGATGTCTTCGAACAGCCAAACGCGTCTCATCCCCTCAGTATTCCGCTTTCGCATGACGTCGATGTCTGCCACTTTGAACAGCCAAACGCCTCGTCTCTCGTGCTTTCCAACTGCGTGTCGTCCCCTCATCTGGCACCTATGCTGCAACGCCGGAAACTCCTAGATCCCCGCATTGATCAACTTCTGACCGACACTCAATAGCCTCACGTATCTCATCCACGCATGTTTAATCTTCGTCTTTCCGGTCGCCCTCGCCCCATCCCTCACGATTGCCAATGAAACCTCTTTTCCCGCCCTACCTTGCGTCTCCCGTGCCCCTCTCCCTCCTCGCGCTGCCCAAACCCGGTACTGGCCTAGCATATAACTGCTCAGCCAACTTGCTACCCCGCCCCGACTCCAATCGGCACCCGAGACAGACAGAACTCACTGCAACAAATCTCGAGAACCCGTCGTTCAGCTCGTCGGCACCTGATTTGTCGAGAGAATTCGGGGTGAAGGCTTCAGCTGCTTTACATAGGTCAGTGTGGGAGCTGCATATGCAGAAGCGATTGACACACTGAATACACACCCAAACACCCACATACATGCACGCCCAAATGCCGGTCGCTGACATGGACATGAGAGAGGTTTGCGTGGAAGGATGAACTAGAAGTGAGTGCACGCATTGAGTACACATGGATTGTGACTTACCTCGTCAATTGCACGACACACATCGTGACATCGCCACGTCTGCACGCTCGAACGACTACCTTGCACTCAACGCCAATGCCTTGCGACTATCCGGATAGGCGCATTGACGAAAGGCGAAGGGGCAAAATGTGGCGATGGTGGTACTGGGTGGTTAGCATGTTAGTAGGCGACGCAGATCGAACGGAACGGAACAGGATTAAAACGGACTCGAAAACAAAAATGAACACAAAACGACGTGGGAAGCTGAGGCAGGGAAGGGGAAAGGAAGAGAAAAGAAGAGAGAGTTGGAGGGGGCATGAGGGTGATGCGGGGACGGGGCTACGAGGGCGTACAGCCGCAAATACTGCTGAGAAGGGGGAGAGAGAACGGGAGAATGGCAGAGGGAGAATGAGGAGATGAGGAGACAGGGAAGGATGGTGGGGATGCGGGGATGGGGAACAAATCGGCAAACAGACGAACGAATGAAAGGAAACAAAGGAACGGAAGACACAGAGAGAAGCGAAACGACATGAAAACGAAGCGAAGGGAAAACGAAACGAAGAGAAAGGCGGCGGAGCACGTACCATGTTGGTGCGTCGACCGACTGCCTGGCATGCAGAGGAGGAACCCCCGCAAATACGCAAAACACGATTTTGCAGGCGGTACCCAGTCTCCAGTTATGGAGTGGAGTGGGGCAGGGCGGGTACGTTGTTTCCTAGATTGGATGCGGCACGATGAGTGGAGTGAGGGACGAGAGCGGGAATGGGGACGAGAAGAGGGAGGGGAGGGGAGGGGAGGGGACAAGAACGGGGATGAGAACGAGGAACGTTCGCCTCGGAGGCTCAGTGGGCACGTCAGATTGACAGACGCGCGGTGTATCTAGAGTGAGGGACGAGGGAAGGGACGAGGGAAGGGAAAAGAAGGTGAGCTAGACGAGCTATGAAGGAAACATGGACACTCACCAGTGCAGCCGCAGTCAGCGACAATAGTTGTAGGCAGTACATCGTCGCGCGCGCGAGAGTGAGTAAACGAGAGGGTCAACACCCTCGTCTTCGGAATGGATCTATGGAGACGGGATATGCTACGTCAGCGGGGCTCGAACGTCGGGGACATCGGTGGACAACTTAGCGTTCCAGCAACACACTCTGCCTTTGACGGCGGCTAACCCAACTCCCTGACCTCCCGACTCCCTGATGTTCTGTGCCAGTCCTGGGAGAGCCGGGATGCTGCAGCGTCGGCACGCCACTTCGATATTCGGGAGCTGCATCCACAGCCCATGTGAGCTCGACGCGATAACGGGAGAGGATAGAGGTACCATGTACGTACCTCAGACCTTGGGCTGACGACAGCGTACGAAATGCGAGGAGCCGCGAAGACATGCGCACTACCGACTAAACAGACTCGCAGCAAGGGCACGGCGGCGCGGATGTGAGGTGAGTGCGTGAGCTCGCGGTCTGGATTGGATGGGATTCGCGCTGTGAGTGTTGAGTTGGTTCGTTGAAATAGGATTGGCTCACCAAGGCTGAGCTGGGCGGCACTCGGGGACGGCGTCGAGACTCGACACAAGTGGAAACGGTTCGCGTCGAGGACATGGTGGCTCGTGATGGTGAGTACCCCACTGTCTGTCTGTTTGTTTGTCGTTCGTCCTCACAGTGTTGGATTATATATCTCTCAAGCTGCCGTTCACGCTCGCTGTTTATGGCGACAACGACTTTGTTCTGCCACTCTCACTCTGACTGCGTGCACGCAGTGGTTCGCATCGACGGGGGCCAGGCCAGCACCTCCCTTCGTGTCGACTCCAACAATGCCGACGAATATCTCAAGTCATCGACGGCAGCGTGACATCGGCAAGCCGTTCCATCTCAAGCACTGCCGCCAAATCCGTGTCCTCTCGACCTCACCCACGCAGGACTGTACCATGCTCGTCAGCGTCACAATGGGCTGTTCCAGCTGCTCCACGACTTGGATAGAGGGCAGGGCGTGTAGGCGAAAAAGCGTTGGTGCGTAGTTAGTCAGTCCGTAGGTCGGCCGTATAATATAGTCAGTGCCTATGAATATATTGTCTTGGATATTGGTTATATCTACGAGACATGAGGAACATTAGCAGCGACGAAGACGGCGATGAGGGCACTTACAGCGGTTGTAGGTAAGGATAAGTCGGTGTTCAAGGTTCAATGATTATTTCTGATCCATTGCGCATGTGTGGTCTATGGAAGTGTGTTAGGCGAAGTGGGTGAGATAGTCACACTGGGTTACTGGATCGTTGGGTTCACGGCAATGTGTCGGTGTGGTAGCTTGCGAGTGGATAAGTAAACGGGACGTGGTGAAGCGCCTGAACTTTGCCTCGAAATCCAAGAGTGAGTGAAATTCATGGTGAACCAATCATAAACTCGGGTTGATGTCGGGATATGTCACAACCGTGCTCCCTGGGGCCTCGAAATCCAAGATTCAACATCAGGAGACCAGGGTGGTGATCGAAAGCTGGGATATGAGGTTAGTCAATTAACGTTTGGTTATTCTGCGGCCCAGCAGTCTGCCTTGAAATCCAAGATTCAACTGTGGGAGGATAAATTATAGTGAGTGTTGGAATAACTCACTGTTGCCTCGAAGGCCAAGATTGAACACTGTGACCTAGCACGGTTGCGCTGGGGCTTTGGATGGTTGGTGTTGCTCTGGTGGAGTGAGGAAGACAGATGGAATATCTTGGGGGTGTCAAATGTCGGACGATGTCTCGACAGCCTTGGTCTGTACTGGGTCTGAAGGTTAAAAGAGCCGAAGACGCAGTCTAATATAGGTTAGTTTTTTTATTATCCTCGCAGGATTGTGATGAATTGCCATTGTTCGTTGTCGGTGTTGACTCGAAATCCAAGATCAAGAGCTAGGGAGTAATCGAGGAGAGTTAGACATATCTAATGTTCGCAAACAATTGAATGACTTACCGTTGCCTCAAAATCCAAGATCCAAGGCACGGACAGGTGAACACAGACACTGGAGTATCAAAATGAGTCTCCAGATATCTCACAGCACGAGCTTCCTTTGTCGCCTCGACTTTGAACACTGACCACAAGAATGAACCGATGAGGCCTCGCCGTTAGTTAGTTAGTCAACATGTTCAGCGAGCAATAGGATCACTCACCAAGCATAGAGTTGATTAACATGGGAGTCGGCATATGTAGATGGGCATGAAGATTGGGAGAGCGGCAAATGCAATAGCGGTAGTGGACGGCGTGTCGCTTGAAGGTTCGCGAGAATGATCATCTTTGTTCCTGCTGTAAAATCGAGGGTCAGTAATTTTATTTATGTACATCCGCTGACCTGTTCATATAAATGAACCACATCTTGACTGAGTGAACGGCTGGTGTGATAGGGTGTCCGTAGTGCGGGTGAACGATGAAACACTACTAGCCGGATAATACATGTTAGCAATATACTGATTGTATTCGTGACAGTGGCCTCACCGTGTCCTAGCTGCAGTTGTTATTGTAGTTGTACCGATGATAATGGCAGAGTCGTTGTCCCTAGCCTGTCATTCCAGGAAAGAATCTTATGTTAGTTTATTGACTTACTGAAGTTGATTCTTCAATTCTAGCAATCGTGGTGAGCTAGAGACATAGTCTAGAGTAAAATCAAGTCAGTTCATCTATAATTGAACCGTGTATAGTGGTCCTTACCTGTCAGGCGTTGGGTCGACAAGTGCAAGTCGGAAAGGGGCCCGATAGGAGAAAGCATCGATTCAAGGAAAATGAAGAATCAAGCGAGAGAGAGGAGGGGATGAGAGGAGAGGAGGAGTCCCAAGTGAGGGATGGAGACTTACTAGCAAAATATGCCCACATTATATAGGCGAAATGGGTGGTCATAGCGTAAACGGCCTCTTCATCTATTTCCGCGTCTGTGGATCCTGCAATTGCGCTCAAAAAAAAACTGCTTGATGGATAGGGTCAGTCTCGCGTAGTGAAGCGAGTAAGCGCCTAGCAACCGCGCTAGTAGACATGGGCCTGGTGATTTGAATGGCATCAAGGGATTGCGGTACAACGAGGAGACGGAGTCGGCTGAATGTCTGAATGGCGATCCTGCAATGGGGATGGCTGGGGGACGGTCCTGTTGGTTCATAGTAGGTATGGGGTGACATATATGTTGCATATACAGCTGACATCAAAGCTACATAGCGCAGATATTTCAGGATAGTGCTCACTTTATAGCAGTAGTGGAAATGGCAAATGAATTGGGGACAGCAATCGGAGCGGAAGAAGTTGTCTCTGAGGGTAAATACCACCGTAATATACAGCACCCTGTAGCTACGCTGTGTCGTAACATACGCTTCCTGGAGCTCTGTGGAAGTCATCAGGATCCAGGTCGCACTTGGTGTCTGCTGGCACTCACTGATTGGATGCAAGTAGATCCTGGAAGGGGAAGTGGGTAGAGGTACCGGTGGTCATGCAACTGCATCTGCATGCAGTCAATGTGGTAGCTGGGTACACGGAGGAGGGGAAGGGCACCAGGGGCTTGACATTGAAGGGACTGACGGAACAGAGCGAAGAGAGTTGGAGTGCAGATCCAGCTGTTCTTGAGTGCACATTCCAGTGCATTGCTTGACCTTTCAACTTGTGCTTATAGTGCACATGTACGAGGAGGAGGGATTGGGATGTAACATTGACAGGGGAGGGTGGAGCTGGACTAATTAGGCTAAATTCGGACTCCGATGATGCACACCGACAATTGTTCACTGTTCGCAGATCTGAACTTGCAGAACGACACCATTTGATCAGTGCCCTTTTGTTGCCTCATCCTCGACATCACTGGCCCATCTGCAAGCTTGAAACTGTAACACTGGGGGCATCTTCTATGTCCATGCGCGCTTCTCAGATAACCTCAAATCATGATGTTGCGCAACACTACCAGCTAATGCTAACATTCAACGGCGTGAACCACATCATGCATGCCTCAGCCTCTAGTCCTTCCATCCCTTGAGCACCTCTCAATTCCTGCCCAGCATCATCCCCATGCCTAGAGGTTGCCAATTTAAGTGCTCGTGATTGGCACTTTTCCAACCATTTTTGCAAGCTCAAAATCGAGATTTTGACCTGGTGACCGCCGGGGGGCACCTGCTGGATCTCCTTCCACCCCATTGCTGTACACTCCAACACTTGCAGATGCCGAAATGTTCAAAATTTGATATTCCAGCTCCGTTTTGTCTGTGGTATTTCCCTCATTTAAGTGCTTGTAAATCTCGCTTTTTTTACTGTTTGCACCTCCTTCAAAACAAAGTTTTGACCTGGTGCCACCGGGGGGGCCACCACCAGGATCACCTCCCTGTGTATGCCATTTTATCTCCCTGAACGACAAAGACTATACAGATGGGCTCCATTTTATCAGCCCCTTTTAGCCTCTTGTTCGTGCGACTTTAGCTTACTCAGGATGTGGCCGCAACAATGCACCCCGCCTCAAGTTCCTCAGACTCCACCACCATTCTGCTGTCTTTCAATGCTCAAATCACAAATTCTATCACCCTGGCATGCAAAGACTATATAGGGGGCATTTTATCAGTGTCCTCCCTCAGACTCCCTTCATCTTCTGTAATGTGGAAGAAGGTCACACCCTTCATACTTACTACTATCCTACTTAACTATCACTACGAGACTCACCTATGTACGAATATGGTAGCTTACATAAGAATAACTAACTTACTTCCAACCCCCATCTATTGTGCTCGTCTGCTCGTCCCAGGGTCTCTGACTCTCCCCTGCGCGGGTCAGCTGCCCTTATGCTTAAGGTATAAGCAATCCAAGGCCTGGATCTCTGGCCCTCCCGCTCCCGGAGTACTGCGAGCCCCCTGGTCCTTACGGCAGGACCTCACGTACACGGACGCTTCACATCTTCACTCCCATGTCTGCAGTCACTCGGCCTATCCGCTGACTCAGCATTTAGTATTAGTCTCCTGTATTACTCAATGTTGCTTTGCGCACTGAACAAACCACTCAATGAAGATATCTCGTTGTGGAGTGATCGAGATTTGAGTGACCGAAAAAATAAGCGAAGGTGGAAACAGGGAGGTATGTGTGACCGTAACACATTCCCTCTTTCTTTCTTACCACCATCTTCCTCCCCCCACTCATCCACGCCTTCATGCCTCCTCCACTGCAACTTCCACATCCTCTTGCACACAATCAGGAGCTCTTGTATGGGTGAATGCTGCTGTTCATCGGAGGAGTGTCAGGTAAGTATGTCAGCATCCATTCATTACCCATTCACTGACTGCCTTCTAGGTCTGTTCGTTATGTCTCTCATGTAGTGTAGCTGTAGTCGGTAGAGTAGTCCTGCACCTCCCCGGGCAGGGGGGACTGTTAGTCAGCCCCCCTGCCCGGAGGAGGGAGTGGAGGGAGATTGTAGTAGAACTTGCTACTTTTTTTCAATCTATTTTTATAAGCTCTTCCATTTGCTGCAAGCCCTGCAATTTAGCTCTCACAGTCACAAATTTACTCGCACAGTCACTAATCATTTCTGACCGTGCGACTTTCACCCTAGTAGACCTTTCACGTATCGCAACAAGTCTTTTCCCTACATTGCAAGTCAGTCAGAGTCCATTCCTACACAAATCAACTCACCCCGCGTCGTTTAACGCCTTCAACCATCGCTTCAACTCCATCAACTTCCATCCCATCATTCCCCTCCGCGTCCGTATCAGTAGTCGCGCTCCTACTCAACTTACGCTGCCTTTGACTCAATCCATACCTCACGATCACCGTCAGCACCGCCCTCCACCCTTCCATTGCATTGTTCACCCCAGCAGCAGTGAGCGCCTGCGAGCTCAACGAGTACACCGAGAAATTGAAGCGGCCTGTCGTCGAAGCGTCGCTTGCCGGAGATGAACCGGCAGATGGGGGAGGAACGGGTAGCGCGGGCACGATCGTTGATTTCACAACAAAGGGGCAATATGATCGGTGTTCTTTGAGCAGATCAAACTGCCTCCTTGCAGTCCGGATCGATGATGGTAAAGGTGGAACCTGGGGCGAATCGCTGGAGGCCGCAGGAACCGCAGGCGCAAACGCCCACAGCCCCACACGCCTTTGACACAGCACGCAATGCAGCATCTTCTCATTGCCAGCAACTGCTGAACGCGGGCGGGCCGGTGCAATTCCAGCGGTCGAAATTGAGCTTAGTCTCGAGGGCGTCCCGGCTCGAGAGATGGACGTAGGGGGATTCGGCGTGGCTGCTCGTGACGCGGCGCGTGAGATCGACGGCGTAGAGGAGCGCGAAGGGAACAGCGATGCGGCGCGAGATATCGAGCTGTATTTCGGACGCTCTGCGGTTGGCGGGGGGACGATGGACCATCCGAACAGCGCTGTTAGAATCGCAGTTTCGGACGGCTCTGACGGAGGAGGGGCATTCGGTGTTTCGGATCCAATGGTGAGGTCCGAGATGCTGGGCGGGAGTGTGAAAGACGAGACGGTGGATTTCAATGTGCTCAGCTGTGCAGATGTCTATACGAGCAAAGGATTAGCTTGGACCAGGTATGCGATAGTATACGTACCAACGGATGTTTTATTTCCACACCTTGGAGAACAGTCTCCAAGCCCAAAGCACTCGATTTCAGCTCGTGCACTGTCGTAGCCGGAGGCTTGAGCTGGATCCGATATATTGAATCTACACGACGTCAGCTCAGATCACCGGCTATTAACGCATGGGAATTCAAACATACCATCGCATTGCCTAGTTTTCCATGGGCAGCCGTCCTTATGAGACTGCACCAGTTGATTACGCTGCTTCTCAACCAACGCATTGGCTACGCGGTGTCAGTCGCCTTCCGCTTGCAATTACGGGTGCATACTTACCGGCATCACGAGACATCCCCTCCCTCCCAGCTACTACCCACGAGACACCACATAACCCACAAACCAGCCTGTCCTTCCCGTCGTTGATCCAGCCGCACTTGGCCGCTGCAACGGCGTCGATGGGCGCAGGCTTGTTGGCATAGGTCGTGAGTTTGAACGTGGCGAGTCGTGAAAGGAAAGAGGGGGTAGATGAGGGCCGGTATTCGACACTATTGTGTATTGTGGACGTCGGGGAGGCACTCGAAGCCGAAGAGGGAAACTTGAAGGACGGAAGTGCTTTACGCGTACGAGATGCAGCGCGACTCAGGATCGCGGTGAGATGTGGGGTCGGTTTCGAAAGAGTGCTCAGCTTTTCCGTAGCATCCAACGCTCTGAGATCCAGCATGGTGAGAGTCGAAAGGAAAGGATAGGTTCAGTCTGAGTACACATATCCGGGTATCGCGTAAATGGTACTGACGGTGGTGGCTCCTTTGACTTGCTCTTGATGCCGTATTTCGCCAAAGTGGAGTACAAGGAGCGTGTAACGAGTGTCCGTTTTGCAGGTGGTGGACGTTCTGAGTCGTCTTGTGGTTTGACTGCATCATCTAGCGAAGAGAAAGCATCATCGAGTTTGCGCTGGTGACAAATGTGTTAGTGAATTCCCGGCTGAAATGGGGGAACGGGTACCTTCATGGCCCGGATAGATGAGCCTGCATCAATTCCAGAGTTCTCGTCGTTGGCCGGTGGTTCGGTGAACATGTCGTTGGCTTGTCGCAGGTCGCGACTTGCGACAGCCTGCGACGCCGAATTCCATTCTACCACGTGACTCCTCAAGAATCAGTACAGCGTCAATCCACCCTTTGAAAAGAATATTTCTAGTGAATGTTCTGTGACCATAACTCTTTCTGCAGGTTGTATACTACTCGACGACGTGAACCCGCAGGGCCTTGTCGCCGTCGTCGCATGTTGGCCACCGTAATCCAACGGACCGGGCTGCAACAGCAACGATAGACTCGAAACAATGCAGCACATTGGAAAAATCGACATTTTCAAGAGTCTATCCAGCCAGGCTCCAGAAGTTATCCTCAGCGACTAATGGGGTCCGCCTGCAGACATCTAGAATTTAGGCTGTCTCGTTGGGACCTTGCTCGTCAGACAATCTCACTCGTGTGCCTAGTTCTAGGAGCCAACGAACGACTTTTCTTCAGAAGACCAACGTTCAGCCACTACGAAGACCATGCAGTTCATTTACTATGCGTAGGAATCTAGATAGTCGATCATCAGACAACCCTTCATCACTGACTTCAAGCTGCTGAATTGTGTTCCCAACTCAGAAGTACCTATTATCCATATTCCGGACAGGATGGTCACCGTACCTCCGCTTGACGCTGCAGATCCACACATCGTTCGGGCTTCATCTTGAAAACGACAATATATTCGCCCCGAGGCCACAAGGTTACTCTGGACTATTGATTGCAAACTGAATTTGAACAGCTCCTTCTCAACCTCCTCCAGCCCCGCCTCGGCCGCCTGCAACTCAGTTTTACGGCTGACAATAGCCTTGTCCTCCTCAAGGTACTCGGCACACCGGCGGCTAGTAGATTGGGGTGCGAGCTGGAAGCTTGCAATGAGAAAAGGCCGCAACCTATTGGCTATCGCTTTAACAGACTTCAAGTCGATCATGGAAGGAATATTGTCAATCACTCGCTGTATCATGGAGTCAGATAGGCAGAGAGGACACGCATGCACGCACGGCTTCATACCTTGTAAGATACCTGGAAGTAACCCACAGTGATTTTAGCCTTGTAAGGGTGAGCCGGTATCAATTTGGCGAGATCATCAGGCGTAACTGAATATCCCGCGTCCGCCGGAGCGGATAGGGCTGCTCTAGTCCGTCGTTCAACGAGACTATCATGGATTTCAGTAAGTTATTTTTGTCGAGCGGACAGTTTGATAGGAAGAAGTTCTGCTTGAGGTTCTTGTGGAGCTTCGCCCATGCCTTCATCCGAGTCGCCTTCGCTAATCATGTCCTCCAAGTCGTCTCTGGGTACGCCCCCATTCGGCGTGACTACCCTCGAAACCAAAGGTCAACGAGGTGCAGCCTGATGTCATTGTTCCCTTACCTGGAGCCGAAGGTTTAGGAGGCTCATCAACCCTTCGGCGTCCCGCTCGTCGCCCACCTCATCTCGCACGCCGGCTTTGTAACGTGCTAGCCACTTGACACGGCATTCCTGGAGCTAATGGTCGTTCCGTGTATACGGAGTGACTCCCGTTCCAGGTAGAGTGCGCAAGTACTCCTGGCATATCCCTGCGTGCTTGGATACTAAGTCCTGGATGATTGTCCTATGCAAGTAAATTGTTGTTAGCAAGCCTGAAGAGAGCGCTGGAGACAACACGAGCGAACCTGAGCCTCTTGACAAGGGAAACGTGTCACGCAAAACGTTGTTCTATCAGTTATGATAGAAATCCAGCATAGTGCTCTTGCACTCTGTTAAAGCATTGGTCGACGAAGCTGGACCATTTCTCCTGATACTTCTGGATCAGCGCGACCTTCGTCGAGAACAGCACATTCCCAGGACGCTCCCGGGTGATTGATCTATATGAAAGTAAGCAGAGGTGCAGGGCCAATGGAAACAAATCGCACGTCTCAATGGAAAAGTCACCCACTAGAAATCTTCTCGAGGATCGATTCTTTATCATCATGCTCGCCCGGTCGTGGTTCCGACTTGAAATTAGGCCTAGTGCCTTGTATTTAATCCCTGAATAACTGATGCACCGTCTTCGTGTATAAGAGCAAAGCTTCTCTGCGACACACTGCCTTACGTTGTCACTGAAACTCGATATCTTTTGAAGTGTGTAAGTAGCAGGCTCGATGGTGATAGCAGGAGGGAGATAAGTCAGTTGCACATTAACAGTCTGTAGCATACGAGCTGTTTCTGTAAGGAAACTCAGAGCACTGACACAATGCATTTAGTGGATTAGTGAGTAGAGGTACTCACGAGTCGTTGATGATGCCTATGAGAAAGTTACTCACATTGGAGATCAATTGATGTGTACCGAAGCAATCTCGGGAGGTGGACAAATTCCAAGGGTGCGTCTTCTTGAAAATTTCCTTCTCCAATTTCCGAGCTTCAGTGGGTGAAACTAAGGCTGCTCGCAGGATGTGAAGTCTGCGATGCTACTAAGCGCTGATACGTACTCAATGGCCCGTAAATGTTTTACCAAGGCCAGTAGTTCCTACCTACTACGCGAACCGAATGAACTACTCGAGTCCAAAACTTCCGTCATTGTGGTGGCAAAGAAGAAAGGGCGTCCAGCAGCGTTGAGGGACACAGGGGCAATTCAAAAAGTGGTTCGCTGGCTTTGAAGTTTGAGTGACCCAGTGGCCAAGATTCATATGTTTGGAGGCAGCGAGCGATTTCACTCACTCAAGACTGAAGTGACATTCCTGGTCTTATCATAATAACATCAGGGGAAAGGGATTACCGTAAACAAGTAGATATTCCACGCCGATTAGACCTTCAACATGTACTCCACTTCTGCCCGGATACTAGCAAGCATGTCTGCGGTGCTCTTTTGCGGGTTCCAGCCGAGGGAACGGGAGTGATTTGCACGGCAGCGCGAATTGCTACCTATAGGCGTTCTCTGATGCCCGCGTCAGTGTCCAACATTCAACATTCAAGTCTCCAGCAACCTGACATACCCCTCGGAAGTACTTGTCGATTTCCTCCTTCGTGAAAGTAGTAGGTTCACGGCTTTGCCCAATGCCTAAATCGACAAGGGCTTCGGCTATCGCCTTCCCGACATCGTACAGAGAGTGCTCGCCGCTCTCGCCGAAGTAGTAGCCGTTGGTACCGTGTCCAGTATCTTGCTTGGTGAGCACCGCATCGAGCAAGATTATGAAAAAATCTCCCTCTGGCGGATGTAATCAACTGGGCTGCTCGCTCGGACAAACAAACCACCCACGCTCTTCTATGTTCACGTTAGGCCACAGATTCTTTCCAAGACCCACCATTCCTCCCTGCTTCCGATCGAGGCTGGGCCGAACAAGACCCGGGATCAGCATAGATTGATTGTTAGATATGCCGAGATCAACCAGGCGGCCTTGTGCGATTCCCCATATAGTCGAAGGTAATACGATGTACGATTTGACGTACCCTGCGAAAAATAGGGGTGAGTGTGCCAATATATCACTGGTATCACCGTACCTTCTTCGTCGGCGCCCACGACTACTAGATCGACATCGCGGTGGATCTGGGTCGGAGGAAGTGTAGCCATTTGCTCTGGATCTGCGTCGTTCCAGACCGTATCGTACTGGTACATACCGCCAGCATTGTCCATCAGGACACCTACCGAAGGTGATGAATTATCGGTGTCATGTCCATTCGAAAGTCATTTCGTACCAGTTCCAGACTAGCGTTACCAGAGGCAGTGTGAGCACGTAGAAGTAGCGACTCAATATATGACTTACGGTATGAATTAAGATGGGGGGCGTGCCAGTTGCCTCGAACTTAGTCTTCAGTCCGCTCAGCATTGCTTGTACAGAGGCGAAATGGTCGGCATCAGCCTGAAAAAAAAAACAAGACTTTCATCAGCTATGGGTATCAGCTTGTTGTCCAAATGCGCCTTCACCATCGACATGACGACATCGGACTCGGAACATAATTTCTTCAGTAACTCGGAGTCATCTAGAGAACCAACGACTGGGGTCACACCCAACGATTTGAGCTTTTCAGCCTTGTCCGGCGACCGTACAAGGGCAGTGATTTTGAAGTCGCTGATTCTGGGATGACGAAGCAACCTGAGGAGTACTGCTCCTCCGATATAACCTAGCCATATACTCTAAGTCAAGTACTGCGCGAACATGCAATGAAAAGAGGAATATCTTACCAGTTGCTCCAGTGACAAATATGTTAATCTCTGTGTTTGCGGGCATAGCTACTAGCACTGATAGAGGGACAAAGAAGAGCTTGCGGGGCCTCCTTGTGCTGAGAAATCACTGGTACTTTTGAATTATTCAGCATTTCTGCGGTTTTGGACTGAAGCGAACGAATGACAGGCGTTAGGGGCATTTAGGAGACTATCAGGGGCAGCCGCTGTGGAATACCTTGACCGGAAGAAACATAGCAAGCGGAATACTTTTCATACGCGAGGGATTATCCGAGTCATCCTGCGAGCATCCACAGTGTAGTAACATGGCTACCACTGCCTACAGCTTCTGATCCTTTCTTAATCTACCTTCTGCGCTTGCCTTGATTTCCTCTTCGACTTCCGCCCGAATGCTGGAAAGCAGGTCCGCTGTGCTCTTCTTGGGGTTCCATCCCAAAGATCGAGCGTGATCGGCCCGACAACGCGAATTGCTACCCAAGTAATCATTCTAAGTGATCTCGTCATTATGGAGTTTCTCAGCTAGTACTAGGAGAGTCAACTCACTCCGCCGAAGTATTTGTCAATTTCATCCTTGGTGAACGTAGTTGGCTCGCGACTCTGCCCAATCCCTAGGTCCACTAGCGCTTCTGCTACTGCTTTACCAACATCGTATAAGGAGTGTTCTCCGCTCTCGCCGAAGTAGTACCCGTCGGTCCCATGGCCAAGCGTGTCTAGTTTGTCGAGAGCGGCATCAAGTAAGATGATAAAGAAGTCTGCCTCTATACAGACATGGTAAGCGAGATCACTTCATTCATCTACCAGTTCCGAACGAGTGGGATACGCACGCTCCTCGATATTAACATTAGGCCACATATTCTTCCCCAGACCAACCATCCCGCCCTGTTTTCGATCTAGGCTTGCACGGATAATAGCAGGAATCTGCCTGGAGCGATTGTTGGCGATGCCGAGGTCCACCAGGCGCCCTTGAGCTATCCCGTATATAGTCGAGGGCAGGACGATATATGTTTTGACGTATCCTACGCATTGATATGAGTGTCAGATTATTCTTAGTTTCGCAATTGGGGTATAACGACCTTCTTTGTCCGCTTCCACAATCATCAAATCGACGTCACGGTGCATTTGGGTTGGGGCGAGCGTGGCCATCTGCGCGGGATTCGCGTCATTCCAGATTGTATCGTATTGATACATGCCAGCAGCATTGTCGGCGAGGACACCTAGACACGAACGGAAAAATGAGTTAGGCTGCGGCATGCTACAGTGGGCTCCCATACCTGTCCCGGACTAAGGACGCAGGTGACGTTAGCACGCACTACACCAGACCGCCGGGAAAATGAACCCACCGTATTAATGAAAATGCCCTGTTTACCCGTGGTCTCGAATCGTTCCTTCTGCCCGTCCAGCATTGCTTTTACGGACGAATAATGATCCGAGTCTGCCTGCAGTGTCCATGGATCACATTAGCAAATCTGCACCAGCGTGCGTGCATGCCAGTGACTCCCTCACCATGGCTAAGACTACGTCGGATTCCGAGCACAAATTGTGTAGCAAATCGGAGTCATCTAATGAACCAATCGCTGGAGTGATACCCAACGATCTAAGTTTCTCGGCCTTCTCTGGCGACCGCACAAGGGCTGTAATCTGGAAGTCGCTGACCCTAGGATGACTGAGCAATCGGTCTACTACCGCTCCTCCAAGGTAACCTATGCGGACCTTTAGTGTGCTGTGACCACCCAAGGTGAAAGTGATAATCTCACCTGTTACTCCCGTAACGAAGATATTGATCTTTGCGTGTGCAGACATGGACCAAGTCAAGGGCGAAATGCTAGCCTTCAGAAATCCCCATGGCGCTGATAAATCCCTGGAACTTTCGAATTATTCAGCGTTCTGCCCAGTGAGTTCCATAACGGTGATGTGCACTATCGTGTTGAATTCCTGAACAGGTAACGACTTCAGGAAGTTTAAATTAGCCTTCAGGGGCATCTAGGGGACTAAGAACACTTCCTTTCGAATCATAAATGGATATAGGATAGCAACCGAAATAACTAGACGAAACGCTGGTGTGCCCTCTATTATACGGAGTCTCAATGGGTGGGCCTACAACTTTTTGGCCCTCTTCAATGCCTCTTCAACTTCCGCCCGAATGCTGGCAAGCATGTCTGTCGTGCTCTTCTTTGGGCTCCAGCCAACGGCCCGCGAGTGATTTGCTCGTGCGCGAGAATTGCTGCCCAGGTAAGCACTCTAGTAGATTGATCAGTATCTACACCCGAGTCTCGATATAAGCTACTCACTCCACCGAAGTATTTATCGATCTCTGCCTTTGTGAAAGTGGTTGGCTCGGGGCTTCCGATCCCAAGGTCCACCAGTGCTTCTGCCACCGCTTTCCCGACATCATATAGCGAGTGCTCGCCACTCTCGCCGAAGTAGTATCCGTTGACGCCGTGGCCTGTTTCTGGCTTGCTGAGTGCGGCGTCCAGTAAAAGTATATAAAGATCAGCCTCTGTAGTAACGCGATTAGATCATTGTCGTATTTCAAGTAAGAATCGAAAGGAATACGCACGTTCATCGATGTGTACATTGGGCCACAAATTCTTGCCTTGACCAACCATACCTCCCTGTTTACGGTCCAAGCTCGCCTCGATAATAGCGGGAATTTGGATGGAACGGTTGTTGGATACGCCAATGTCAACCAGTAGACCCCGAGCTAAACCGTAGATAGTTGAGGGTAAAATAATGTAGGTTCTGACGTATCCTGTCATAAATGTGAGCGTAAGTGTGATGTAACTAACTTGTGACAACGCGGCATATTCACCTTCTTTGTCTGCATCGACAATGAGCAAATCAACGTTACGGTGAGGTTGAGTGGGGGCAATTGTGGCGATTTGCGCGGGGTCTGCATCGTTCCAAATTGTCTCAGTGCGGTATAACCCTTCGGCGTTGTCGGAAAGAACTCCTGAAAAAGAAAAGGAGATGGAATGAATGAACCGTACTAAATGTTCTACAGTGGCTTCCCATACCTGTTCCAGACTGATGGTAGACGCAGTGTCAGTACACTACGACAAAGCGATTGGCAGGGAACCTACAGTGTGGATGAGAATAGGTCGTTCACCCGTCTTTTCGAAGCGCTCCTTTTGGCCGCTCAACATAGCTTGTACGGACGGTGCGTGGTCTGCATTAGCCTGCCGAATCGATGGTTAATTTGGGTATACGTTACCCCAGTAGTATACCCTTACCATGGATATGACAATGTCGGAGTCCAAGGATAATTTGTGCACCAAATCGGTGTCATCTAGAGAGCCAATGACCGGGGTTACGCCAACTGATTTCAGCTTCTCGGCTTTCTCTGTGGACCGGACGAGGGCGGTGATATGGAAGTCGTTTGCTTTAGGGTGTTCGAGCAATTTGGTGAGCACCGCTCCGCCAATGTAACCTAGGAGCACGACCCGGTCAGCTACCGCCCAATAACTTCACCGCGGTATCATGGAAATCGGAAATCGTACCTGTTGCTCCTGAGACGAAGATGCTGACTTTTGCACTGGCTGCCATGGGTTCTTTGCGTTGGTATAACTGATGATGGTGCTATGAGAGTGCAGCGGACGTCTTTTATGTATTCTCCAGAAACCCATCGTTTCGCTGAGCAATCACTCGAACTTATTCAGCTTGATGGTCGACTCCGCTCCAAACCGTATGGTGTCAAGATGAACAAGGCATTTGTCATGGTACTTTTTTGAACTTTTGGTGAGTCAGCGCAAGGTGAAAAGTGACAAAGTGGCCAGAAGTGAAGCTTACAGGAGACATTTGCGTTGAGCTCGGAACAAGTAGCAATTAGAGTCGGAGTTGAGTCCACTGTACTACATCCACCACCGTTCACTTCGTCGGTATTCGTCTTGATGCTATTCATTACGCTGATTGTGAGTGCAAGCAAGTTGCAAGGCAGAAAGAAAGAGAAGTCCCCTGGCCCTGATCTGAGAAGCGGATTTGAACGAGTAAATTAATGCAACACCAATATGATCAGAAGGCGACCACGAGCCCGTAATGCGGGTCCTTCAAAAGCCTTGGCCGTTGACCAGGACTCCGTACGACTCTATATATGAAAGCTTTCGGAGTAAGTTTTTCAGTCATAACTCCAATCCAACCTAAAAACGTGTGTTCACGACATCCTTTCCTAGGGCCGGTGCCCGAGTCTGCCATCTGGGTCGACCATTTCAACCGCAGCCCTACCCATGAGCTGGAAGCCTAGAGTCGTGTGTACAACTCTATCGTTGCTACGTGTTCGAAGGAGGGGTTACTACCCATTTCCCCGCAAAGGAACAAGGACGGTTTTTGATGCGCACTACCATCATTAACTTTGGACTCGAAGCTCCTTTTGTCACTTTCTCTGAGCCTGCGACTCGACAAAACCTTCCACCCGAGGAATCTACCGTCGGCCACTACCATGGTAGCGCTGGCCAACCACGCGACAAAGTGATCGGTTGATCGTAGTTACTTCCATGTTTCATACGAAACGAACCAATGGGTAGGTCATTCAGACAACAGGCAGAATCCTATATAAGATCCCATGAACCGCGACATATCACTCATTCTTCTTCGTTCTTTTCTGAGCAGAGCTCTTTAACCTTCATTTCATTCATCGCCTTGGTCGATTTGTCTTTCTTTTTCTACGCTCTGACCACTTCTCAACCTCACTCCACGCTACACAATGAAGCTTTCAATTGCATCCGTGCTTCTCTCCCTCGTATTGGTTTCTGTCTCGGCTCGACCTCTGGACTCGAGACAGACACGCAAGAACTCGAACCGGAAGCAAATGGGGAATGCCTCTGGCGTCGCTGCTGGTGCGGCATACTGTAAGTACATGTCCGATGAGCCCCAGTAACATGACTAACTAATGAGGCAGTCATTACCAATGAACCCGACGGAAACTTCATTGTTGCCGCTGACATTGGCAACGATGGCAAACTCGTAAGTTAGCCCCATACGGCCAGCTAGAACTTAAACTCAGTATTTCATAGACACTGCGAAGAGCCATAGGAACTGGGGGACTAGGTGAACACGGTATCACAGACCCCAATGGACCCGATCCTCTATTCACCCAAGGTGCCATCAAGGCCTCGTCAGCAGCGAATGTGCTTGCTACCGTCAACGTACATCCCTTCACTTCCACAACTATCCATGATAAAGATTAACATTTGGCTCTGCTTTTAGCCTGGATCCAATACGCTTTCTTTGTTCACGATTGACCCGAATGATCCTACCAATCTCCAAGTGATCGGCGCACCCGTTGGCAGCGGGGGCGAGTTCCCCGTCTCTCTGGCCTTCAACAAAGATGGATCGCAACTCTGCGCACTCAATGGCGGCGCCATCAACGGTGTGAAGTAAGAACACTACATCATTACCGTTCCCGACGTAGCTAATCATGACTTTGGCAAGCTGCTTTGCCGTTGACAAGCAAAGAGGACTGGTATCTTTGGCCAACACGAATCGTGCGTTGAACTTGAATCAGACGACGCCTGCCACCGGTCCGGCTGGCTCGGTAAGCCACATCGTCTTTTCAGAGGACGGTCAAACCTTGGTCGCCTCCGTTAAAGGTGTTCCCCCAACTCCGGGCTTCCTCGCCGCGTGGGCTGTTCAACAGGATGGTTCCCTCTCGGACGACTTCCAAAAGATCGACCCCGCTGATGGTGGTCTGTTGCCATTCTCTATGACGGTTATCCCCGGAAAGAACGCCATCCTCGCCACGGACGCTGGCCTTGGATTCGATATCTTCGACTTCGGTGGTAACGCTAGCTCTGCTGTAAAGATCGACGGACAGTCCGCGACCTGCTGGTCGAGCTTCAGCAAGAAGACAGGAAACTTCTACCTCACTGACATCGGGACCTCCATTGTTACCGAAGTCAATGTTGACGACAACCTCACGGGAACAATCGTCAAGGTTCGCATCACAGTTGGCTCGCGATCGAAACCCGCTGATCGTGATCGTGTTTGTAACATAGCAATATGCCCAAGGACAAGGTACCGCAACGATTGACAACGACATCGTCACGGTTGGAAATAATGAGTCAGTGATCGGTCTTCACATTGTCGTTCATGGACATTAATTCTCCTGAACCTAGCTTCATGTATGTGCTAGCGGCAAATGCCACGACCATCGACGTTCTGGCTCTCAATGCTCCGGGGAAAGCTCAAACTATCCAGAAGTTGGGAGTCGCTGCAACCGCCCAGAAGGCCAACCTCAAGCTGAGTCAGTGCAATTCATCGAAACCAAGCCCATCCCTTATACTCACTGGTGCCCGGCTCTTTCTACAGGTGCTTTCAACGTGCAAGGCATGACTACTTTCGTGCGACAGTAGATCAACGGCCATTTCCGCAGATTTGGCATTTCTCATCGTCATACCCATGTGTAGCTTTAGTGAATGTGAAGTTTTGTGTCTTATTGTCGTGGTTGCCCTTCAGGCTCTATATATCTGCCAGGCAGCTACTAGGATCTCGTTCTTGATCGTGGCAACGGTGTGAGTTGCTGGACGGGTTGGTCAGTCTCCTGACACCATGGTCAGAACACCTATTGAAGTGCTTGTTGCCCTAATCGGGCTCTCCACAGAATCAATCCCTTCGAAATCTATTCACCTGTGGTCACCAAAGTAGATGAAATCAAGTAATATTGTGGGGATATATCACTCTGATGAGGCTGAATGCATAGAGGTATGGGAGGTATGGGTGGTTTCCAAGAAAATATGTGAAAACTAGAATAGTTATACCAAATGGAAGTGGGGTGGAGATATTCGTAGATATTCGTAAAGGTCGTAAATGCGGTTTACATGATTGTACACCAACGAGATTTCCTCTCTTCGTCCTCGGCGAGGCCATCAACTGGTGTAGTGGCAGGAGCGGTGGTACCTGCCATATCGATCGGCGATTTCAGAGCGGAGAATTCGCCTTGAGCGTTCTCCAGTGAAGTTCTGCCTCCAATTGTTGGAGATGTTGAGAACCATCCACCGGGGAAGAACCGAGAAGAGGCAGTAGATTCCAACCGCTTTCGAGACTGGGCGGGCGTCTCTAAAGTTGATGATGTATCCAACTCATGCGATTCGCCAGAGGTATCCAGCCTTGACACACTAGGCCTAGAGGGGTGTGTTAGACGGACAAAATGCAGTATAACAAAGGAACTTACTTGGTACTTGCAGGGAAAGCTTGCGGCTCTTCTGACGGCTCGTTCCGAGGTGTTTGTGGGTTTGACTCAACAACAGGTTCATCAACAGTGATCGTCACTGAGGGCTCGAGCACTTCTTCCGTAGGTGTAGTTACCGTCTCTTCCGCTAGTTGCGCACTTGACAGCACAGGTGTTTGGCTAGATGCTTCGACGTCTTGAAGATTGTCAACGTCGGTCTGCACGACTGCGGGTTGGGTTTCTTCGCTATCTGGGATACGCTGATCGGAAACGTCCGAGAATGTGTCCGAATCCAAATCCACCAAGGTTGATCGCGGGCTTGATGGTCCTTCTGTAGCTAAACTTGCGGCAGCAATGTCAGACTGGGCATCGATATCCGCATTCTGCAGGTAAATATAAGTCATCGAAATCCAAGCAATTAGGAACGCAATGTGGGTACGCACCACCACGAGCTCTGTTGGAGCGGGTTGAGGTGAGGGTGGTGTAGAACCTTGTCGAGTGACTGAATACGATGGCGTCCAGGGTGACTTGGGGCGCTCAGGTACTGGCGCGACGATAGCCTAAACGCATCTTAGCCACACCTCCCGGGAAGCACGAACGCAACTAACCTCGACTGGTAAAGGATCTACTGAGGGTTGTGCAGTGTCTTCAACCGTTGGTAAACTCTCAGCATCAGTGGATGTTTCAACTGCAATGGTTGGTGGTTCCTCCGTCAGGACTTGAGGAGCTAGATTTGGACTGCCTTGTGAAGTAACTGAGTACGAAGGCGTCCAAGGAGACTTGGGCCTCTCCGGAATGTCATCAGGTGTTAAGCTGTCTGTAGATTTGCTACGAGAAAGTGGCGTAGATAGGATCTGTGGTGCGACATTAGGTTAATCTAGATGCATACTTCAAGATTGCATACCTCTGGAACAGAAGGCGCCTGCTCAGCATCCACCGATGTTTCTGAGAAATCTGCGAGGGTGACATGAAGAGAAGGAGAGACAGTACGTTGAACTGCCTCGGGTTCATCCGTAGAAGAGCCCAGGACAGATGAAGGTTCCGCATCGAGCACTGGCTCAACAGTCGTGGCTTCGTCTTCCTCATGTGAAGAGACTGGTTCGACGTTGATGGGCTGGGGTGCTACTGCTATTGACTCGGCAACTTCAGGTACTGGGAGCTCCACTACTTCGACAATAGGCGGAGGGGCTGGCGAAGAGACATCATCGATAATGGCGGGTGTGGTATCGGACTCGATGGGCGGGTGCGGGAGCTCTGCAGACTCGACCAGCGGGCTACCTTGGGTAGTGACAGAGTAGGAGGGCGTCCAGGGTGACTTAGGGCGTTCCGGAATATCTTGCTCGACCTGTACATCGAGCGGCACCTTAGCATGTTACAGACAAACTGCAACAAGTCCACTGACCTTTGTCTCAACTTCCAAGGCAGGAGGTGCTTCAGCTTCGTCGGACTGAGGTTGGGAAGTAATCAAGATAGACGGCGGCTCAGCCACATCTGCTAAAAGTTGGCTCTTCGTTTCTACAACGGTCGGAATATCCTCCACGGCAGTGACTTCCGACAATGGTTCCGTTGCTGGCTGCTCAACATCGGGTAGCGGAGATGGGGAGCGACTTCCTTGGCTGGTGGTAGAATACGATGGCGTCCACGTTGAACTTGGTCGTTCCGGCTGAGTTCGCCATGTTTAGCATATTACGATATAAACGAATAAAAGTGTGGGTAAACCTACCTCTGATACTTCTGCTTTAGGTGCCACAGTGCTTGTGAGGTCGCCCGCAGGAGGGTCTTCCTCACTGACTTGGTCAACAACTTCCACACCAGAGCCAACTTGCATCACACTGTACGAAGGAGTCCAAGGTGATTTCGGGCGCTCGATTGGGTCGCTGGCGACTTCTGATGTGCTGGGAACTTCTTCCACAGAGACTGCCGGCTCGTCGACGATAACAATGGGAGGCTCCGACGGCGCAGAAGTGTCAGCGTCCGACGAATCAGTAGGAGGGGAAACGGCGTCCACGGTCGTCTCCTCGAGAGATGCTTCGCGTACCACGTCAATACTGGAGCTACGCTTTTCCTTAGGAGATTTGACCTCTTCTTCCCGAGGAGCAAATACCATTTCTTCTTCGATGGGGACTACGACGGACTCTTCAACCTCGGGGTCACTTGCGGCAGAGTCAACATTGGGAATGAGGCTAGATGAATCCGTTGATTCTTCAGAGGCTAGAGCAGGCTCAGATAGGGCAACCTGTTCTGCGATGATTTCAGGCTTCGTCTCGTTAGCAGCGGCAACTTCAACGTCTGCTTCAGTTGGAACGTCGACCTCGGCCAATGCCTTCTCTTCGGCACTTGCCTCCAACTTGATCTCTTCCACAAGGGGTGCTTGTTCCTCAGGAGTGTCTTGCGCAGTTTCCTCTACGGCGATGGTAGCGGGCGTGGCAAGCAAAACCTCCGGCTCAGGAGCCTTCACGTCCTCCTCGACAACTTCAACTTCCTTCTGGATTGGCTCAGCTTCTTCTGAAGTTGGTACGTCCTCGACCTCCGTCACCACAGCCGACTCTTCGTTTATGGGCTTGATATCTTCGTCTGCGGCAACTACCGCAACCAAGTCTTCGGTCTCGACCGAATTTACAGAGGGAGCCAACTCAGTGGGCTCTGGTTCCGGCACGGGTAGGGATTCGGCTATATGAACCGCAGGCTCAACATCCTCCGCCGTTGTTTCCGTTGGCGGTGAAAGGATTGCGTCGGCCTCTGGAACAGATTCAACAACGACAGGCGTGACATCCACCTTCACAGGTTCAGGCTCTTCCTCGACGGTCTTTGGAGCGACCGGTGCTTCTGCAACTGGTGGGCTCTCGACAAGAGGAGTGGCCTTTGCTGGGATATGCTCGACGGCCGGTATCGCCTCTTCTTCCACTGACTTCGTGTCCTCCACGTTTGCTGCCTCGACAGTGCGTTCTCCTCTGGGGTCGGCTTGGGCTCTTCCTCGACGTTGAGCACGGGTCCTGAGGCATCGTTGTCAGATACCACCGCATCCAAAGGCCTCACATCTTCGGTTGCCTCTTCGACCTTGAGATCTTCGGTTGGTTTGGCTGGTTCGGCTTCCTCCACTGGCGTCACGTCGTCGACCGCTTTCGGTTCCTCCTGAGCGGGCTCCAGGTTTTCAACGACTGGATCTGGCTCTGGTACGACAATCGATTGGGCAAGTGGCGTCTCTTCCTCGGCGGCCGTCGCTACTTGGACGGGAGGTTCCTCCTGGACAGCCGGTTCCTCGACGGCTTCAACTTCCTCCTGAATAGGTGGTTTCGCCTCCTCCACAGCTAGCTTCTCCTCAATAACTGTCGTCTCATCTTGCACAAGTGGCTTCGCCTCCTCAATAACCTCAGCTTCCGGTACGGACGGTTCCTCCTTGACAATCGGTTCTTCGTCCACAACGACTGGTTCCTTTTCCTCGACAACTGGTATCTCCTCGACAACTGGTATCTCCTCGACAACTGGGGCCTCCTTGACGACCTCAGGGATCACGTCTTGGACAACGGGGGTTTCATCTTCAACAATGGGTGTCGCCTCCACAGGTTCCTCGACAAGCTTCTCTTCCGAAACCGGTGTCGCCTCTTCAGCCTTCACCTCGTCCGAAACGACTGGGGCGTCTTCCTCGACTACGGCTTTCTCCTCTACAACTGGCTTGGCGTCTTCAACAGGCTCTGTCTCCTCAACCGCTGGCTTGACCTCTTCTTCAACCAGGTCTGGTGTGGCCTGGACGACTTCTGCAACGACTGGAGCGATTGGCTCAAACACATCGGCAGGCTTCAACTCCTCGACGGCGGGTACTTCTTCAGCCATGTCGACCTTTTCGACGTGCTCCTTAGTGGGCTCCACGGGTTCCTCAGCGGCAACTACGGTCGAAGGCTCTTCGGCAGGGGTAGCCTCAACCACAAGCGGGGCTTCGGCGACTATCTTTGGTTCTTCAACAACCAGCCCGACTTCCTCAGCAACCGTTTCGACAGGGGCAGCCTTAGGTGTCGCGACATGGACAGATTCTGCCTCCTGGATAACCTCGACCACATCAGGCTTGGTCGATGCCTCTTCTGCCGATTCTGGGGCGGGTTCGTCCACAATAGGGGGAGCTACTTCCTCATTCGGCTCCTGCTCGACCGGTGCCTCAATTTCAACAGGCTTCACCGCAGCCACGGTAACAGCTTCTAGCGCGGAATCGGGGATGGGTGGGACTTCTTTGGCTTCGGGGATTGGGGCTTCTGGTGCAGCCTCGGCATCAGTGATAGTGATAGACACGGCTTCGATAGGTGCAGTTACGGCCTCGGGCACTACTTGGGCCTCTGGCTCTGCTGGAGTAGATAGAGCGGGCTGGGATTCCTCCGCAGGCTTTGTGTCTTCGGCAGGGATGTCTTCGGCGATGACCTGTTGTAGTTAAGTATACGTTATGATGCGTCAATGACTAAATGATATACCTGAGGAGTTGGGATATTTGCCACAGGCTCCTCGACTGTGATGGGGGCCTCCACGACCTCGTTGGGAGCAGGTGTCTGCGCTAAGGGCACGGCTTCAGTTGCATCGACCACGACGCTTGGTGTAGTTTCTTCGACAACCGGTGCGGTCTCTTCTACAGTTGGTGTGATGGTCTTCTCTTCTGGTACATCTACGACTGTTACTGGCTCGCTTGCCTCGACAGTCGGTACCTGAGTGGCTTCGTCAATGTCCTCGACCTTGATGGCCTGAGTAGGCTCCTCTGTGGGGCTCGACGTTGCAACGACCGTTTGTTCGACCTCGGGGACCGCTTCAGTGACAGGTTCGCCTGCCTTGGAGAGGACTGTCTCAGTCGCGTCCGCAACTGGTACTACCTCAGAGTTCTATCATAAGTAGCATACGATGTTAGCGTGCTGAGCATGGCCGTGAATACGATTGTTCTCACCTCCTCAGGCTTGACAACGTCAGCAGCAGCGTCCTTGCCACTGTCGGCCTCAGTACCATTGGGCTCGGGAACACTTACGGGTTCCTCATTCTTGCTTAGGGAGACGTCTTCAGCTTCTTCGACCTTGACTTCGACGTCCTTCGCGTCGACAAGCAGTCCATTCACAGCCTAAGAAAGCGCGAGGTCAACTATCAAAGGCACCCGCAACGAAGTCGCAAACACATACAACGTTCCCAAGGTCTCCGTTCACCCCGTTCGCCACCTTCGTAGCAGCACTCACGACTTCCGATAAGGCCTCTTTGCCTTCAGTGAGAGCAGCTTCGAGTATCCCGTTTGCTCCCTTTCCCTCCGTTCCTCCCGACGCGATGGGAACATCCGACGTGTCCGCCTCTTCCAAGGGCTTCTTCGACAACCCATTCTCCCCTCCTCCGTTGATGGTGGGCGACTCGATGGTCGCGGCGCTAGCTTGCACGTCCGCCTCGGACATATCGTAGGAAATAATTAGAGATGATAAAAAGTGTTCGCTTCGAGCTGGTGAACCGGAGGGTTATATAGATAGTCAAAGAAGAAAGGAATGTGAGTGGTCGTGCGCGTGCGCAGAATAAATCGCTGGACTTTGTCCTTCTTGACTCACGAGACTGTTGGTATCAAGAGTGAAAGGAAGTTCGGACCACAAGGAACACGAGGCCCACCTAAAATGGTGTGCAACGCGACCCTGGACAAAAAGTCCCGCGTAAGATTTCTCATGGTGACAGACTGTGACGCGTTTATAGCAGACAAATCCAAACTTTGACATATACGCGGTGCCATCGAGAGAAAATACCAGAATCCTGGTTAGGGTGTTCCAATATTAATGATAGTGTATAGGTATCATGACAAACAGGTAGGTAGTTGGTGACATTATCAAGAAAGAAATGAAGAGTCCATGGAACCTTGAAACTGCTAGTACATAAATGCAACACCTGTCAATTTACAACAAGGCAGCGGCACCGATGAAGCCAAGGAGTCCAGCGAGACCGAAAGCACCATCGTTGAGACGACTAGCCGCGTTGCTCCCAGATGCTGCGGCAGCGCCGGAGGAAGGAGTAGCCGAAACAGAAGCCGACGAAGGTCGAACAGACCCAGTGGATGACCCCGAAGCTGGGGATGCAGGGGAGGACGATGCGCCACTAACAGACAGCATTTAATAACAAAACCCGTCAATGATGCAATGTTCCGTTAAATACCTGCTAGATTGTGGGCTGGTGGCTGCCGGGGCGCTAGTAGCGGGGGTGCTACTGCCAGGAGCACCAGTAGCGGCACCAGTAGAACCAGCGACCGACGAACTGCCACTTGCACATCTACAAAGTATAATGATCAACACGCCGGAATATGGTGCATAAGAAAGCACTCACGGTGTGGTCGACCCAGAGATATTAACGATGTCGGTATAAGCAGTCGTTCCTGTGGAATCACGAAGTTGAATGGTGCTGCAGTCGACGTTTGAGTATCACACGAAGCAATAATATTCACCGACTTACACTGAACCCGCTTCCTTAGGCGTCCAAGTGAAGGAGGTCGCATCAGTAGATGGGAACTGCTCGAGCTACGGAGAGAGGTAAGTATGGCATACTCTAATCGCCTTTACTCGGTTGGCTTCTTACCGCAGCAGCATTGGGTTGACCGCCTACCAAATATCAGCAACGGATCTTCGATAACGAGCATAGGACATACCGGGGATAATTGAGAGGAAGTAGGGTGTTTGCCCGTCTTGCCAGTTCAGTAGGATTGGCTCTATCAAATAGATAAGCATATCGGCAGCGTGACAGCGCGACATTTCGCGACTCACGGCACTGGACAACGCCCACTCTATAATCAGGACAGAGGATTATTCTCTCGCCCTTCACGAGATAACTCCGAAGGACTCACGGCGTGTTGATCATCAAGCCAAGGATACCAGGAACGACCGAGAGGAGGGCAATGGCGGCAAAGCAGGACTTCATGGTTGACACTAAAGAATTCCTTTCAAAGAACGAATGTGCGAGCGAGCGACAGGCGAGTTTTAAGTACTCGACGGTGTGAACGGGCGAGATGAGAGGAAGAAAGAAAGAGGCGGGATAGCTTGAAAATGAGACGCAGCTTCTTATTTATATTGCCTTCCATTTCGCCGCATTGGGGTTGGCCGAGAGTCGGAGCTTGAATTCATTTACCGCGGAAGTACATCGCTTGCCTTTTTCCAGTGAAACGACCGGCTGGGCAGGGCTGGGCACCGACTCTGCGCTCGCAAAGCGTCGGGATGATTGCCCAAACGCACAGTCTTGAAGCTGCCCAACCAGAGATACCCAGACTGATTCCCTCAACAGGCTGGAAGAGTATCACGATCACCTTACATGTTGTTTGCTCCACCTGTTGGCAGGCAAGATTGATGGTGGCTAAGGATAGCAATGTCATGGATCCACAGCATGCGTGAAGCAGGTCAACGGAAAACCAGTGTAATGACACGAAGGGAATCATATAAGGATAACCGATGCCACCAAGCATCACACTACATTTTTATAGCCCTGCTACATACCAACGCCTCCGACCATGGCATCTGGCATGCAGACAGCTGCCCCTGCGAAACCTAGAAGCGGCAGCAATACTCGTTTCTCCGCCTGTCCTTTAGAGCGACCAAGTCACTTGGTTCCAGTCGCCACTTTCCTTGATCATTCACCGCGTTCAAAGCCCAATCCAGCTACTTCTCCCGCCCGGATTATGCAAACTCGTCTGCCCAATCTTCACAATCCCGCCCATATCCTTCGAATTGTCCACGCCACCGAAGTTCTTTTCCTCCCTCTCCAGTGGCGGAATATCCACAGCGTCGATTAACGGACTCGCGACGTTCATCATTCCTCCCATTGGCGGCGATGTCACGAGATGCAAACCGCCAGCACTGGCCCTCCTCGTAATCGAAGTCGCTGCTGTAATCTGGGGAGACGATCGCAGCGAACCGATGGAGTCCCGTTTGCCGTCTGGACCGGCAGACAAATAGAGGAATGCTTCGGCGTGCCATTCATACCACACCTGGCGCTTGTCTGTGAGTCGCCACAGAGATACATGCAACTCAGCATCATTTGGGAGGTACATCGGTTCCTAAGCATAAATATGACAAATTAAAACCTCGGTCTTGTCAACGAATTACAGCAACAAAGACACACCTTCAACGGGAAAAATAGAGGAAACCAACTTAGCATATCCTTCGATATCTTGTCTTTCCGATCTGGATGGATGCTCAAGCCAACCGTCCCATACAAGACCGCTTCAAAGTATCCAGCAAATCCACTAGGAAACCGTCAAAACCTCGTCACAATTACAATACACTCAACAGCCACTCACTGAATAACACCAGCTTGAGGAATGTGGTATACAAGCTTGGCAGACCGTGCGTTGTGACTGTTGGTAAGCGGCAATCCTACGTTCCTCGCTCAATCCCATTGTCCTTGCAGGGAAGGAAGGAAGAGGAATCTCACCGTTAGGCCCAACGACCGCGTCTCGCCTCGGGTGAACGAACTCCCAGCACTCCTGGATCTTCGGGCCACACATGCCACTCTTCCCACCATCGTCCCCGCTCAGGATATTGATCGCCTGGAACATCACGACATACGGCGTCTCCAGGTGCTTCTCATCCTTCCCCGACCTAGCTTCGTTGAACAGCTTCGAAGACGACAGCGGCGCAAGGTGCGCGGTGTACGACGAGGGTATAGATATTCCGCTCGCTATAGTGACATTCACAGTTCACATTCACATTCGTGAGTCAACCCCCACACGAGGCAATGGGAAATGTGATGACTGGGACGTACGCTTCAAGAACCTCATTGCACCGTCTAGGCACTCCGGGCTAAGCTCGTTGTCGCCAAAGGACCCCAGCAGCTCGCTGACCAGAATATCGGCTTTCTCGGGCACGTCGATATGCCGCATGTCCCCAAAGACCAAGTTAACTCTATCGCCCCATTCGTTCTTCTGCCGTGATTGAAGCCTGGTTCGTAAGGAGGCAGGCGGATAAGTCAGTCACCAGACAGGGGGAGGTGAGGAGTGGTAGACTCACGTCACAAACGCGTTTGGGTTCTTCTCTACGGCATATACTGATGCCGCTTTGTGTGAACGGTCGATTGCGTTCAAACATCGTTGGACTATGGGGCCGCGGCCGGCTCCAGCGATACAGAATATCCTAGATGATGGTGAGCCGCACGACTTCTACTAATCATCCCAAGGGGCAAGACTCACACTGCGTCGTTAGTCGACCAGTCCATCAATGCCTGGTACATAGCCTGTTCGAACGCTCAGATATAAACGATCCACGGATAGGGCGATGTCATTACACACCTCTTCGTAATTTCTGTACTTCACAGGATCCTGCTCGAACGTCTGGTACGTCGTACTTTGCAAATTATCCATCAACGGCTAAACCCATTGGGCCCGATTACACAACGTTACCTTACCGGAGACATTGAACTGAATCACGCACCTGTAACGGGGCCTGCAGATAATCCTGATACCCCTGCGCAAAATGCTCCACCGTCCCCGCCTTCTTCGCCGCAATAACATGCGGGCTCGTCTTCTCCAGATGCCTTACATACTGCGCATATACCGCCTCCCCGCCCTTATGATGTCGCCCCTTCGTTGTATCAGCGAGCACGATCGTGGGTCGATGCTACTAAACGTATGCGTGTTCAGTATGCTTGAATGATGGGTGGAGGGAATGACACCTGCCGCCATCATTTCGCGGATGAAAGACTGCGTTGCTTTGGGGAGGACGGGGTACCCTTTCATATTTGCGATGAACGTCGAGGAGGGGAGGAAGAGGTATTTCACCGGTTCGGCGTTCCATTTAAGGAGTGCCTCCGTGGCGGTGGGGAAAGGCAGCGGCGTCAAATCAAGCACTACCACACACCTTAGTAGACATTCCGCAGGTGCACGTAGGACTCACTGAGAACCAAACGCGGGTCGTAATCGCATATCGACCGAATGACATCCCACATCTCCCACGTCTCATTTAGATCTGCCTGGAACGGCTCCACCGACGCATTCGCGACGTCTGAGACGACGAGACGCGGGGTCCCGGGGTTCGAGGACACGCCGTCGCCCTTGGATGTAATGACATCCTGCCCCCCATTTGCGTAGGGGTTGTATATGGGGAGACGTATCGCGAGCTGCATGTACGGTGTCTTCTTGAGACACGCTTGCACGATGCGGCCGTACGACGCAACGTGTGCCCGGGTGCGGGGAGGGGGGAGTATCGCGGTGTGGATATTCAAGTACGATGCATACGCCAGCTCTTGTTGTAGTGCCTATCATAATTCAATGACACGTTAGAGCAGTGAGACTGAAAAGACAAGGAGCTTACGATCTCAGCGTCATGCCTGATCCAATCATCTGGCCCATCGACCTCCAGCCAGTCCGAGATCATGACCGTCGTCCCCTCGGCCTCGTCCAATCGCGTAACAGTGACCTCGTCGAGCGTGAATGCAGGCTTCTGTCTCCACTCCTCCGCCACCTTGCCGATCTGCGGGTCCTCCACGGCACCTGCCATCCCGTCGCTCGGTGTCGCATTTCGCTCCTCGTCGGGCCCGGGGGTGCCTCGTTCCGGGGCGAGACACATCCCTGCCCACCGTTCTTTCCACTTTTGCGTCGTCAGCGGGAGGCAGACTGAATCGTATCCTTTCCCCCGAGCGTCCGCGACCAGTCCCAGGACGTGGGTAGCATGTTTGCTTTCTACATCTACATCGCTGGGTAATTGGATGATGAGAAAGCGGCTGAGATGCGGACGTACCCTTCTTTGGAGGCCTCACGATGTCCTCGAGCGAGATATAGCTGGCTATCGTCACAAATGAATCCCAGGACGCCATTTTGCTGCTTATCACTGATACTTATTAGTTCGTCCGGGTGCGGCGCGCTGTGGTCGTGAGGTTACAAGGACAAACGCGTCAAGCTCATCAGAGTTCAAGGATTCCAGTGATCTTATCTCACACAATAATGATCGAACTCAAATCTCGGAATTCGGGAGCTTTATTTTCTGGGCTATCGCAAAACACTCTATCTTCTACGATCATTCAACTGACTTAGGCCACCAGCAGACCCCCTTCAAGATCTTCCCCAACGGGCTCGCCGAATGCTATTCAACGCGAATCTGACCAATGCACCTAGTATGCGCAGCGCAGTTATTCCTGGAATCGGGTTTCTTCTCTATCTATTAAACCCTTCAACTGAAGCGAATTGCATATCTTCCGGTCTTCGTTAATGGGCTCCGTCGTCGAAGGCCATATCGGGGGGCTGCTAGGTACTCGACGGCTGCTCTACTTTTGCTTTTCTAAGCTATCCCAAAAGTCTGCATCGTTCCAACTTCAATCTCGGCCATACCTCATCCATTTCAAGTGCTGGAGATCTCGAGACACGACTCCTACGTGCATAGCGTCGAACAGGCTCCAATTTATGCCCAGATCTCCTCCTGCTGGACGTCGACTGTTGCCTTCGTTGGACCGTTCAGCACCTAGCGCCGAGTATACCTACTCGACACCTTGCATGCTATGCTGCATCTTCCTTCTCCGGGATGCCTCTAGCAAAAATCACACTCGAATCGCAACTTGCCCTACTAGAAGCCACCTTCTCTGAAGGGGAGCCTGGGCGTCGAAGGTCAAGCGCTGCCGAGCATCTAGCGACAGCAACTACCCAGCCAGACGCTTCGTGCTCTTACTCATTTGTAGGCAACGATATAAAGAAGTCCATAATGCTCTGTTTACCACTAGCTCTCAGCGATCCCCAAGTCGTACGTTATACTCTCTCTTCTCACTGACTGACCAGTAGCCTCTCTAACCTAACACCTCAGCACGAATCAGCATGCAATTCGCCACCGCTATCCTCGCCACGGCTGCCGCTTTGGCTACCCTGAGCTCCGCTGCTCCTGCTCCTACCCCTTTGGAGGCAAGGGGTACGTCCTTGTCCCTCTCCACTCTTTTCATATATCTGCACCCTCGTATCCCTCGGAGACTAACGATCGACACTTGAATATGCAGCCGAAGCGACCTCCGCCTCCCCCAACGCCCTGCGAAAGACGACCTCCTCTACGGCTACAGATACAGATACGGGCCGAACCGATGGCGTTTTCCAAGCGTCTCCGCCCCCGTAGTCCGCCCGGTGGAAGTCGCGGTTACCAGTGAAGTTGGGGTGCCTGGTGCCGAGACCATCGTCGCTGAGGTGGTGTAGATAGACATGGTTGTGCAGCGGTGTAGCAACGACGGTGACACCAGAGCAAGAGAGGGAACATCTCCGTATCACTAGTTGTCGCCGATTCTATGCCATAACAAACGTGTTCGCGCGTGCTTGCCTCTCGTGCTCATAAATAGCTTACTGTCCGACCTGTCCAACAACGATCGAAAAGGCTTCTGGCCGCCAACACATGCGCCTATATTTTGCGACGCACGGCCAACCGTACAAACGATGTGTCCTGTCGAGGTGCAAATACGCAGAGAAGACGCTCGATCAGCCCTATGTAGACCAGAGAACTCCCAGTTTTCTCCTGGGTCCTGGCTTGCGGGCCGCCGGAGAGGCGTGATTCCTTGGAAGTTGCAAAGCTAAGACGTGTCGTATCAGTGTTCACGATCCCCTGTACAGAGGACCAACGATGGTATATTGGGAAGTGCTGCTGACAGAGTTCACATCACATTCAATTGCCCCAATTAATCCACAACGGAGAAGACGGAATCCGGGAGTCATTCTCTCTAAAATGGAACCTACATGCCCGCTGACTGCTCGGCACTCAGGCCTTGACGTAGAAGTCGTACTGTTTGTACATCCAGATCAGGGACGTCGCTGCAAACCAGTTTAAGCACCCAAATACGAATACAGACACAAAAACCTACATGCGACGATGAAGGGGCCCAGCACGCCCCCGGGTATTTTGGTGGTCCTATAGATAAAGTGCTCGCTCCCGAAGTGCGCTAGTGCGATCACGTACGTGAGGAAGGCCATTTCATACACGCTGCAAAGCAAGAAGTCAGAATGGAAAAACACATAGACCACGAGAACGTACATCTTTTCCTGAAGGTGATACGCCGCGTATCCTCGTACCACGGCCGAAGTCAGTGTCCAGACCGCAAAGGTACGCGCTTGCAGGGCAGTCACTGAAATTGGACGGCATTCAGAGTCTACGTGGTTTGAAGTCGCACGACGCGTACCATTCGTGGGGGGGACACGGTTATACACCCTCCGCGTCAAGCTGAGCGTCGCAAAGTTCTGCACGGCGTTGAAGACGGCTGTCGCGGCGACGAAGAGCTGCCATTTGGGGAGCAGCCCAGGTGATTGTGGGAGATCTGTTGGCACTGATAGTCAGCTTGATGGGATGGCGGTCGAGTCGCGTCGTCGACGCACATTCTGTCAGGAAGCTTAGCATTTTCTCTCTGTCCTGGGTCGTCTGACTTGTTGGTTCAGGAAACGAAACGGGCTAGCGCCAGGGCGCGTCCCTGCGCATGCCACCCACATGGTTCCCACGATGTGCATCATTTCGGCACAAATAATTTTGTGAACAGCACCTTCTTCCCCTCATCGCACCCGACGTTGGTCTCACCAGGAAGGCCATGACGCAGCCGTCGCTGCCCGCCCACCCCGACGTGTTTGGCGCGCCGCCCTCCCTCCGCTCCGTGCCCAGCGCCAACAGCTTGACCCAACGTTCCTGGTCGCGTTCGAGGTCGAAAACCATGTTTGACAATGGCTCAAATCACCCATCAGACGACGGGAGACTCAAGCCTGAGCTGCGTCAGGCTTACCCCCAGGCTTCCACGTCCTCCTCAACTTCCAGTCCAACCATGAATGTTCGCTTAGTTCCCAGGGCGCATGGGATTGGGCTTGAAGAGGGTGTGGAAACTGGTAGTTCGCATATTCATCACGAGGAGGACAATACCTTGGTTGTAGCTGAGCAGTCGAGAGTCGATACAGAGAGCATGGGCTCGGGCTTGCCCAAATCGAAATTGGTGCGTCGGGTTTGCTTAGTTCTCAATTATACCTTGGCTTGACCCAGGGTCGCTTCCATTTCCTCTCTTCAGCAGAAAGCCGCTGTGCAGGCAGCAGCTCTGAGTCGCATTGATACAACTGCCCGCCCTCCCCCTTCTGCGTTTTCGCGACCAGAGAACATGCGGAGCAACGTCAGAGACTCAATGAACTCCGTCGGGACCCGTTTCTCTACTACCTCGTCTTCTTTGTATCCTCCGTCGACTTCTACTTCTACTGCTTCTGGAACAGAGTCCCCTCCTTCGCCACGTTCTTTGGCGGAACAGATCGAGAACCACGCCATCTCTTCATATGATCCCGAAGCCGACGAAGCCAACGCGTTTGATGGGGATGATGTCTCCTATCGACTGCGTCTGCTGGTGAAAAATAGCTATTTTCTGCCTCCTGCGCACGCGAAGCCTACGCCGTCAGACTTTGCTCAGACAGTCCAGAAAAAGGCCCCCCGTGCGAATACTCCCGCATTTCTGGACCTTTTTAGGGTCGGGAAGAGCAAATCGAAACCTCCTAGTCCTGATGCTACGCCAACTTTGGACCCTCGCGCGCCCGTCCTTCGAACGACTGGTGAATCTGTAACACTGGCCACCCGCCATCATCCCCGAACCAACCCTGTACCGCTGCATCAATCGCCGTTGTCGGGGCACAAGCCCCCAGACCTCGCCGCTAGGGTAGTGGTTGTTCGAGAAAAGATGGCTGACCTCGCGACGGCCGCAAAGCAAGCAGAGCAGGAAATGAAAGCCAGGGTTGTCAGGAAAGAGGAAGAGCCCAAGCAAGTCAAGGTCGACGATGTCATTGATCCCACGGATGCCGTTGATCTACCGCCGCCCTCTTCCAAGTATCCGTTTGCTGTCCAAGCATCGGCGCTGCATGGCCTTGGTGTTCAAGACTCGGTGGGGGCAGCTATGTTGGCTGACAGACTTCCTCCTCCCATGAGTCCAGGCGACTCGTCTATGGATGCTGAAGATAAGAACTGGCGAAAGGCACTGCTTCATGCCGCGGTGGGGCATTCGCTTGATAATACGCCAGATATATCCACACTTTCCATGTCGCCCGAAGGTCCTTCGCGTGTCAACTCGCCGTGGATGACCAGTCCTCCTAGGTCGCCAATCAGAACGCAGTCACCAAGCATGAAGCGTGCGCTCGGGCAGCGCATCATCAACCAACCGCTCATAGAAGTTCAAGATGAAACCGAACACGCAGTTCCAGATCATTCTACTCCCCGTGGTCCATCCAAGCGTGGGCACCCTTCCCCTCTTGACCTTTCGTCGCGAAGATCCAGTTACTTTCCTATGCGGGCTGAGACTCCCGCTGGTCCGCAGACACCGTTAGCCCCTCCACCTCGACGGAACATCATCAACCCTCTGTATTCGTTGTCCCAGACTGATCTCGCGGAGTCGGACTCGGCTCCTAAGGATCGGGGTTCCTCCCAGGATGGAGCGCACACCGTTGACGTACGAAGCACTTTGTCGTCTCCAGAGCTCTCCGAAGCGTACGACTCCACCCGTCTGATGGTCATGACCCCGCCTCCAGCAACCCATTCCCATCTGAGTATGCACTCTGGATCCTCAATATTTGCTGCGAGGCCATCTACTGGTACGACACAGCAGGACCCCACCTCTTCGACAAGCAGCATCATGAACGCAGAGACTGCGGAGTCGCATTATTCTGACGACGACCGTGATATGGAGGAAGGCAATAGACCCTCTACGATGTTGTCCCACGTTACGGACGGTAGACCGTCAATGTCCATGTCTGAATATTCTCAGCCATCACCTACCGTTTCTGCGTTCCAAGATGCCCTAACTGGCGACGACTATCATTCTGCCGTGTCATCCCTGAATCGACCATGGAGAGGCAGCGATGATTTGCATTCAGCATCAACGCCCAGCGACAGCCCTGGACCCCGGTATTCAACAATGTCACCCCCACCTCGAGTTTCTTCATCTCTGGCAGCCCACCCTCTTTCACCACCCCCACGCTCGTTATATCAAGCCGTACACGCGGTCAGGCCACCGGCTATCCGCCAATCATCGTCGTTCCTTGATCTAGGAGAACCTTCCCCTGCCAGCACGTCCGAACAAGTCATGTCGGTTACTCCCCCTCGTCCACCAGAAATCCTTGCCCCCGAACCCGTCACACCTCCCTATCCTATCGTCGAACGGCGTGGTCACCCGCCATCAACCCCATTGACACTCAGCATCCCCTCAGAACCCACGCCCTTGTCAATACACTCCGCACCTCCCCCATCATCCCCTACCTCATTTTTTGATAGTATACAGGCTCAACCTAATGCCATGGATGACCTGGAGTCATCTTCGGACGAAGATAGTGAACAAGACGAAGATGAGGATGAAGACGACGAGGATGACGGCCGTAGGCCCAGTAATCTCTACGTTGATTCACGGACGAGGACAATATCGATGATGACGGCAAGACCGCCTGGTAGACCGAATCTCATGCGTCTAGGAAACCACTCGACACCGCATGTCACGGAGATGCGCTCGCCGCTACCCATCGGTGCGGTCGACCCGAAACGACCAATTGCGAACGTGCCACCTCCGGCGCCATTGCCGCTGTCCTCGTATACGAAAGCGAAGAGCCGCCTTCCAGCATCGACCTTCGATTTCTACCAGTATACCACCTCGCGTGCAGCTGAAGATCCAGGACCTTCCTCTGCGAGACGTCCTGCAACTGCTGATCAGACTCTCAAATCTTGGCAGGCAAACCAAGTGGAATCATCGAAAAGATTAGAGGGAATGCTGAAACAACACATGGAAGCGGAAAAGGACGTTATCAGACGTATTGCCTCAACACATCAACCATCCAATCCAAGTAAACCATAGCTTTCTCTCTGTAAATATCGTTCATCTTTCATAGTTCATACCGAGGATTTACTTATCATTTACTTATCAATTATCAACTTACCTGTTGCACGATATATACCCTTCGCTGTACCATATACGATTTGAAGTGTCCATGCCTATATACCGCCCAACAACACAACGTTTCTGTTTGCCGACACTCGCTAACAAGCGAAATGCTGGAGTTGTGGGTGGGATTCCGATTCGGCATGTTCGGATTTAGAACTGCATGTTTTGGGGACACGTGCTCCCGCTTGTACTACTGCCTCTGCCTTCATGTCCTTCTATCCTGACTCTCAGCTACACACACCTCAAAGCCCATGGAGAAGCACCGTAGCCACCAATACCAACCGTACTCGTGGCATCAGGTGCGGAAAATTCTCTACCAGAACATTGAATTGACCTAATGGTGGCCGAACACAGTCGCATGATCAGGTATGGGTGCTGTGAGTCACTTCAAGCTTGAGTGGGCTGTTGACGATGTCTTTTTCTATCGTAGGCAACAGTGTTGCTGCTAGTGCCCTACGACACTCAAGACGAGGACATGGTTGTGAGTCGCTTCGCTGCAGGACACTTTCAGTGCCACTTAGTAGGTATTTATGGAGGTCATCATCGAGCGTGATTATATCGTCGCAGGAGTGAGAGGACAAGCCCCCATTCTCAAGGCGAGTTGAAGAGGATTCTATCGTTAAGAGACTGTGTTAACCTCGGTTATCAGGGGAAAGTGTATGCCGGAGTGGACACTCGGGACTCAGTATGGATGCTGGAACCCCGACCCTCGCGGCGGTCTACTAGAGAGCGCACCATATCATCTTTGTCGACAGCTACTTCATCGACGCACTCCTCTTACGCCTTTGTGTCCGACCCCGAGATCTCAAGCAGCTTTGCCGCCTCACTGGACAGCGCCCAAGCTTCTGACACAGAAGAATTCACCGTCTCTCCCGCGCCCCGTTCACCCACTCTGTCATCCGCAGATGAACGCTCCTACTCGCCTCAGAGACGGCATCACTCACAAGTGGCAACATCGCGGCCAGTTTCTCCGGGCCATCTATTGCAGAGTCTGGCGTCATCCTACTCGTCCCTTGAATCCCTTCATTCTACTCAATCAGGCAGACTTCTGACCATACACCTTGAAAAGGAACAATCTATAATCTGGCCTTCATTAATCGTTGGTCCAGTACCGGAGTCTGTCTCCCCTTGCCTAACGGACACTGTAGTCTTTGACATGAGTCATGAACTCGAGCACCAGTATAATATGGATCCTACCAGCTTAGTACTCATAGCTCTCGATCTATACGACATTCGTAAAAACAAAGAGGAAGCTTTTGAATATTTCGTGTAAGCTGAATCTCGCCTGTTGTATGAATACTTTACTGACAATTCAGCAGACGTGCATGGCATCAAGCGCACATTCCTTCAGCAACCGTTCGCCTCGTTAATCACTACATCCCATTGTCGAAATCATTTGACCCGCTGCCGTTAACTACGGAGCAAGCATCAAGAGGGACCACGTCATACTACATGCAATGTATCGGTAGCTCAGAAGGACTGGCACAACTATATGTCGAAGCAGGTCTTCTACACCTGGAAGGCACCGCATCTACTATCTTATCGACATCGCATTCCAGCTTGTCGTCGCTCAGGGTGCCACACGAGCCTCAAGTCGGCGAAGCTGGCGCAGATGCATGGAAGCGAGACCGTGATATTGCTTCGAAATATTTCGAACGCGCGAGGAATCTCCATCCTACGCTGGAGATTCCTTCATTACCCCCCAGCTCCGAAGAGCTGCTAATGCCGTCGATTTATCTACGAGAAGACTCGTCAGACTCGCCGCCCACGGAACCAGACATACCTGTCATTCGGAGACGTAGAAACAAGGACGAGCAGGAAGGCTCGCTCTTCGACCCCGATCCAGAGGCCAAAGTGGACGAAATTGATAATACGTGGTACCTGTATATTCCTGGGTTAGTAGGAGCAGGGACAGCATTGTTAGTGGTGGGCGTGGTGGGCGCGTTAAGCTTTTCTACCTGGAGGAGAAATCAGGGCGCCTAGTCATGTTTTATTGCTGTATCTAGTGAACGCGTACTTGAATAGGAGCTGCTTTCTTGATGGATGCATCGGCGCCTAAAGCTTGACAATCATGATCTGTGCCCACCTTACCTTCCTCCGACGAGCTCGACAGCGATGAGCATCTGGTCGACACCGTTTCTCAGACGTAATCAAGCCGCAAAGACGTCGAAATTCCCACAAGAATCCAAGTATGCCCTGATAATTCTCAATCAACCCTTCTCTACACCTTTATTTCGCCAACTTTGGGACGCGAGCGAATGGCGGTGTTGCGCCGACGGCGGGGCCAACCGCCTATACGATCTCGAGGGCATAGTGGACAAGCGTGAATGGTATGTTGTGATGAGACGTTATCGATTATTCGCGTGTAAGAAATGCCAGAAATGCGCACAGTTTCTTGCCAAACTTGATCAAGGGGGACTTGGATTCCGCAAGACCTGCAGTACTGGAATACTATGGTTCCAAGGTAGGCCTTTAGGTTGCCCAGCATAGTCTGGCTGACGCAGACATAGGGCGTGGCCGTGATTCATGACCGTGATCAAGACAGCACTGACTTGATGAAATGTGTTGCTGCGTTGACGGAGATAGAGACTCGGGAGAATGTTCAAGTACGATTTCATTGTGAATTCCGTCATGTACTTGACTGTTTTATATCTGCATCAACAGTATGACTTGATCATCCTTGGAGGGCTCTCCGGGCGGCTGGACCAGACCGTTCATACTCTGTCTTATCTCCACAAGCTGCGGAAGCAGAGAAATCGTGTATTCGCGGTGACGGATGAAAGCGTTGGTTGGGTTCTTGACACAGTGAGTATTCTTGGATTTACTCGCGACGGGGACATCATAACCACGATCTTCAGGGTGAACATACTATTGAGATCGAGCATAACGCATTGGGTCCCACTTGCGGTCTCCTGCCTGTTGGTATCGGGGGTACCATACTCTCTACCAGAGGCTTGAGATGGAATCTATGTGCGTTGCCGAAAAGCTCTCCTTCCACAGCTCGACTTCCTAACGTTAAGCTGCAGCTAATACCCCGTCATCCTTCGACGGCATGGTTTCTACGTCCAATCATCTGGTACCCGGGTGTGACCAGGTGTGGGTGAAGACATCGAAGCCTTTATGGTGGACAGCTGAGCTTAGGCCGTTCTGACGTGCATGTTCGCCCTTGCCATTGTTTATTGCATTAATATATCAACCCGCGCACGGAACTGCGCCAAGAACCTCGCGTATCAATGTCTGACTGACATTTCATTTACAGTTGCACAGGGCTAGTGCTTCCAGGTTTATACCGTTAAATCATTCACACAGTCTCATTCCTTCTTCGAAGAGGTCGTAACTCGTTTGAGGATTTGAAGCCTAGACCGCAAAGTCAGGGCCTTCATTCTCTGTGGCCGACGCGCGGGCGGTTCCTGTCACCCGCAGTCCCAGCCTAGTTCATGAACGGCTTCTCTCCTGCACAGGTCCCACGGGCAATGTGATTAATCAATCCGTTCATCGGTATGGTGCGCCACATCACACGTCTTGAATGAACTCCGAGACAGTACCAATACACAAGACTTTCAGGCCGAGCCCGCCTGGAACGTACCATCCGCAAATGGACAAAACATTACCTCTGTAGGATCCTTCATCTTGCCACTGTCAAATCGCATCGCCGTCTGGGTAACCTCGCGGAGGCTGTGCGTGTGTGACGGCCGGTCTAGAGCCTAGACTCGCTCACAAATCTTAAGAAGAACCTTGTCCTTGATCAAGTACTTGCTTGAGTTTCGATTTTCTCCCGAGGCTTTGGTACCAAATGCTTTTCCGGAAGCAGAGCGATCGAGAGGCAATGATCGAGACTCGACTAACTTTTGCAGAGACATCGTGGCATGTATTCGGTGTCTACTCACACAAGCCCTGTGGGGAACGGCGTATTACTGATCCTGGATACCTAGGCCTGGTCTACAAGCTGACAATTAATGTGGATTGATCTCGCAGAGCGATAAAAACCGAGGTGGTGAATAATGTACTCCGAGATTTAGATAAGATTGATCATTCAGGATGGTGTGATCAGGCACCGAAGGGTAGTTGTTGAGATGGTCAGATGAATAATAAATGGCCGACTGAAGGCAAGGTAGACTAGAAGATGGCTCGGCAATGTGGAATGTACTATAGACTAGGGGGATGGCTGCGCAGATAAGAGGGTGATGTTATTCACCCGTTTTAGAACGCTTGGTATCACTTGCGTCATCTTGCATATTTTCATCAAGCGAGCCTGCACTTCTTGCTTCACCGACTTGTTCCTCGCCCGCTTGCTGTTGCTGCTGCTGTGCGGAATACTCGAGCCCAACAGTCATACCTCTCAAAACACTCCGAGTGACGGCAGCCGTCAGCGCTTCGTCTACTTCGGGAGTATCCATGGTATCGTTTGATTGTGCTTGTTGGAGAATGGACTGAACTGACTCAATCAGCTCTGAGGTAAGTGACTCGGAGGCGACGTGCTGCGCGTGTTGAGATGGGAATGAAGATTGAGAAACCGTTTGTGATGGTGATGATGGGAGATTCGAAGTAGGGGGCTGTGATGGTGGTAAACGTGTTTGAAGGTATGCCGCTACGGCGGGAAAGTCCTCTGATAGATGATCTATTGGCTGGTTTTATGGTTGGTCGTTAGCAACGTGCAGGAGATGGGTGCGATAGGAAACTTAATGTCGGATAAAATTGTAAGATATCATTGAACGGAGAAATATAAGAAAGTAAAGTGCAAAATAGATCAAGGGGGTAATAGGGTTAAGGGAAACCCACTCACTGAGATGCCTTCGTTGTTGGTTATTTGGAGTGAAGCTCCGTTATCAATGAGGAAACGTGCAGTTTGGATGTTTTCTACTGCGTAGAGGGGCGTGTCCCCGTCGTGGTCGGTGACATTAACATCCCCTCCTGTAATACCTGGCGTCAGAGCCGTGAATTTGGTCCAGCGATGAAGTAGAACCAGACCTTTTGATATGAGATACGTAAGTACGTGTAGGTGCCCATACGAGGCTGCAGCATGCCTGTCAGTTCAGACATGCGTTTTGAGTGAGCATGAGCTCGGTATACTCCGGGGATACGGCGTACATGGGTGTGTATGTGTGTGCATCCGGTTGGTTGGGTGAGATGCCTATGTCATCGATGAGACGATATGTCATAGAAGCCAAGACATTCGTACTTTGTGTTTCTACGAGATGCTGGGGGAAAAGGTTATGCACCGTTATACCACGCTCCCAGATTTTTCGACCGCTCACCTGCACGCGGGCGAGGTCTCCATCGCCAGCAGCGACCCAGATGTTGCTCATGGCGGTGGATGAAGGACCGATGGTGCTTACGTAAAAGAGATCGAAAGACAGCATCGATCGAGTGCCGATCGGAGCTGTTGTCGGAATATCACAATAATGACAAATACAGTAACCTAGTCTCTCCCTCTCCCTTCCTCTCTCTTGCTCTTGACCTTCATGAGCTTCATCCACCACTCGTCCTCGATGCCGCCGACTTCAGACTCATTTTCCTATCAGCCAGCATACGTAGCAGAGCAGCCGTCAGCGCCGCTGCCCAAGGTCGGCCAAACCAGATGTTGTACGTCTATTTCGATCATTCGATCGCCTCACTTCTCACTCCCAGCATAGACTGGGCTCTCCTGACATCCGAACTACAATTTATCTACCTTGACCCCGTTCTCGCTTCTCACCTTGAAGAACAAGCGTCCGTGCTCATTGGTAAATCCCTCATATCCTTTGTGCACCCGGACGAACAAGCGTCGGCAAAACACGATTTGGGAGATGTTCTACAGAATAGAACATTGCATGGGAGTGTCACCAGGTGCGTGGTATAGGGCTTGTATGCACTTTTGACGTTGACCGCCGCAATAGGGTACGGTTCTCTCGACTTTCCCGCGTGCGCCGCCAGCTCGGTTACACCGGACAACCGCCCCCCTTCCCCTCAGCGTCAAAGATCGCCCTGGACTCGAACTACATGGCGGTCGACATTGTAATTAACTACGCAGCAAGCAACTTGGTGCTCTGCTTCATACATGCCATTGTCGACCTTGATACAGACAGAGACAATGACGAAGAGAACAAAACGGAGTGGACAAATTGGTGCGGAACACCATGGATGGGTAACGGAGAGGTGGGAATGGTATGGGAGAGGCTGATGGCTTGGGTGCCGACGCCAGAAACGACGATCCAGCCGCCGGGCCAGGCGCAGCAACAGCAATACCCCCAAGTCATGAGAGTGTTTCAGATTCTAGCCAACCACAGCACACGCCCTATGCTCCTGTCATGGCCGCCGGACCCCATGCCGCCCCCACCATCTGCTCATCAACCCACCTCGCGGGACTTTGCCCGACTTGTGGAGAATGTCCAGATTGGAAGTGACCTCCCCAATGCGAGTGACGCCAAGACCAGCTGCACAAGGAGATATAAGGCAACTCAGATGATGCCGTCCTGGCCAGGGAGCGAAGTCGAGAGTATATACATCCCGCATGGTGCGTTACCTGCAAACATAGTTTATGTGAAAGCTGACCCGGTTGCTGTCTATGCTAATTTCCAAACGACACAAATCCCCTTGCCCTTTCGGTTTGATACGGCATCGTGCCTTTGAAACATCGATTCTGTTCGCTCTATTTTTGTATTCCTTCTCGCCACACCCCGAACGTTCTTTGCTTGTGTCTTGCTGCTTGATCCTTAAATCCCACTACTCCACATCCCCTTGCCAAATTCTGATTCCCTACCTTTTTGACTTACTCTCCGTGTCTTGGTCATCCACCCTTGGCTCATCCGCGTCGGTGATATTTTCTAGGCACCATAATATTCGCGTGCCACAAATTCACCCCAGCTTCCACCCGTTCCGCGTCCGCCGCCGCTCCATCATCTTTATCCCAAACCACTTCCACGACGACTGCTACCAACGCAAACATGATGTCCTACCCTCCGCCTCCCAGTGCCTATTCACCCCAACACCCTCCCTCCCATCCTCCGTATTATGACCAGCCCCCACCGACGCTGCCGCCCCTATCCGCATATGCATCGCCCAACCCCCCCAATCCGACAACATCAGCTAATCCATCGCCCACCCAGCCTTCTCAGCCCTATTCGCCCCAGAGATGGCCTCCACAGGGATATCATCATCCGCCTTCTTGGGGATCGTCCAGCCCAACGCACGGCTCTCTTCCACCATCTGTAAGCAACTTACGTTCTGCCGCCACCAATTCGTCAGCCGCAGCATACAATCCTTCCTCCCCCCACGCCCCGCAACCAGGTCAATGGCCCCCACCTGCTCCCGGCCCTGGATGCTTCCAGGAAAACCCGTCAGGAGTCGGAGTTGCTCCTGGGTACGATGCTGGGGGGCGTCCCATATCGCCATATTCGGGTTCACCTTACATGGCTGGAAGTCCTGCACCGACCAACATGAGCACTGGCGATATGGGATCGAACGGAAATATGAGCGACGGCGGAAGGGATTCACCTAATCATCTGGGTGTCGGGATGGATCTGGTGCCTCCGCCCCGAAGGAGGGTGTCACCTAATTCGAGTCGAGGAGAGTATGGAGATCATGGGTTTGATAGTTCGGCAAACAGCAGCGGAGGGGGCAGGGCAGGGGGTAACAGGCCCGTTGGGGTTTTGGAATGCTTTAGCTGCAAAGCTACCACGAGCCCGGAGTGGAGAAAGGGCCCAAGTGGGAAGAAGGAGCTATGCAACGCGTAAGCCAGCCTTTATCCTTTTGGATCCTAATCTTGAGCACCCAGTGATTTCTTACTCCTTGTAGATGTGGATTACGCTACGCCCGTTCGCGTGCCAAGAAGGAAGGAGCGGGAGTGGGCAACCGCCGCAGAAAGGACCGAGTCATTAGTGGAGGTACAACGAAGAGCAGAGACAGTGCAACGCCTCCCGTTGGTAGCCGCGCTGGTGGGTCTCCGTCGGCATCGTCATCCGGGCTATACGCCAGCCGTAGATGGACTGGAGATGATATCCATACAGGTAACCCTGGCGGACGACCAGGCTGGGCGGGCCGCGAGGAATATGGAGGTGGTGGCAGCGCCAATGAATTATATCACCCTCATGCCCAATCGCATCACCATCAACCCTACAGTAACCCCCGGGGCGGCTCGAGGTATGAAGATGGAACACCTTCTCCCTCCCCGCCTGCCTCCAGCGTAAATTTCGTGCACTATCAGTCAGGACCCGGTGCACCGGGCCCAGGCGGCGGCGGCGGCGGGTCTCCTACAGCACCCACAGGCCCTGAACCCCCTCATCCAGGACGATCAAGCGGCGGCGGCGGCGGATTCTACAGCGTGCCATCTCCACTTTCCAACCCGCCTGTTTCGGCCAGCCAGAGCGCCTCCACTGGACATCACCAATTACCTAGGCTGGATTATGTTGATAGATTGAGCCCTATGCTTGGTGGTGGGGAGTCGCCCATCATTGGGTCATACGGAGGCGACGGTGGAATGAGTAGTGGAGGAGCGTTGGGCGGGCTGCCATCTTCTTACGAAAGGGACAGGCAGCTGCCACCCATGGGGCCTGGCGTTGGACCTGGCGGTTTATCGGAGGAGCAGGCGTTGGCATGGGTGTCGCAAGGCGGTAATCCATACGCGCCCCTCACTTCCCTCGTCCGTCCGCACTCTTGATAATTCCCCGATAATGACAACTCGAGCGACCGGCCGAACTGAATAACCATTCTTATACGCACACGTATGGTACGGACCGGGACGTCCTTCCCTTCTTCCTTTTCTTCATTTCTACCTGCTCTGTCGTGTTATTCCTCGTCGCCTACAAATACAGTGCCAGTATAATATCTTCTCCTAGTCTCATGCCCCTCACTGTGTCTTAGCAGCCTGGTTTGCTCCCAAACTATTATACCTACACGATTGACTTCGTAATCCACTTTGTACTGTTATCCCTTTTCTCCTTGGATATCTACTCCGTGTATCGCATCCTCCACGTCGACCCCCAGCCTACAAGCACCATCCCCCGGACTCACTCCATCGCAAACGATTTCGTAGTATATGTGCACTCCTATACAGTTACTTGGTGACTCAAATGTGTCTTATGGTATTCTAGCACATTTTCCGATGTGTTCGCGTTGCGCCTTACTATGCAGTATTTCAGTAGAGTAACTAATAGCTTTCTTCACCAATCGAGATTTACAGCCACAGGGACGCGAGATTATATTCCGATCGTCAAGCATCCTGCATCGCTTGAGGGGTTCCCCGCAGAGGTTCTCCGAAGAATGTCGACGCGATCGTCCTCGATCGCGTTGTGCAAGCAGCAGCCACCCTTTATTGATTATCTTATCTCGGGTTTCGGCGCCTGTTTCAGGACCCTTATTCAGTTTGAACCTCTCTGGACTTCGCGGCAGACTCATATCATGCAAACCAACCTAATCAACGGAGAAGGCGCAATTCCGCCTAAAGAGAGCCCTACCACGGAGAAGCATGCACATGTTCATATCGCGGTAGAGAAGTACGCCACCTTCTTGGTTTGTACCAGCTGAAAGCTAAATGACTCTCAACTTCACTTCAGATCAGCGAGAGTGGTGCTGCCTGCCGACGAGCCAGTGGATACCGATGAAGAGGCCGAAGAGGAGGAGGTCGCAGAAGGAGACGATGGTGATTTCCTGGTTGACTTCCCAGACAATACAGAGGTTCGCATCTACACAAGCATGCTCTCCTTGCGAAATAAATATTCCTAATCCTCGGTGCATCTAGGAGCTCGAATTGATCCATTCCCGTATTGGGGCGCTCTCGAACCTTCGTCTACCGCGATTCGGACCATACCTGAAGAAGCTATGCCTGAGGCAGAACGTCATAACATACTTGGATCCGGAAATTATGGATGAATTGGTCGAATTAGAGGAGCTGGATCTATATGATAATAAGGTCAAAACGGTGGGGGATTCGCTAAGGAAGATGAAGAAGCTCAAGTACGTGTCGATGATCTGTTTCGCATGGTGTTGTATGCTAAACCATCGAAATAGGATCCTGGATCTGTCGTTTAATCTTCTCAAGTCGGTGCCGGAAGGTCTGGCAGGGGTACCGACTTTGAAAACAGTGTTCTTTGTGCAAAACAAGATCTCCAAGATAAACAATTTAGACCCCCTCGTAAACCTAACAAGTCTAGAGCTTGGAGGGAATAGACTTAGGGTAATGCTTGCAATCCGTCACACTCCCCCCCACACTGAAATACGTTGCCCCAGAAAATAGAAAACTTAGATGCGTTGGTGAACCTAGAAGAACTATGGCTAGGGAAGAACAAGATCACAAAGCTTGAAGTAGGCACAACATTTGCCTCGGTCTTGATGCCCATCATTGCTGATTTCCCTGCCAGAATTTGGGGACTTTGAAGAAACTCAGAATCTTGGCCTTGCAATCGAACCGGATCACTAAGATAGAGAACCTTGAAGGCCTCGAAAGTCTGGAAGAGCTTTATCTTAGCCACAACGGGGTGAAGAAACTCGAAGGCCTTGAGCAAAACGTATGAGTTTACTCCCTTCACCCGTGTTTCCATTTGCTAAAGGATGTTATAGACGACACTGAAGACGTTGGACGTAGGCTCTAATTTCATTGAAGCAATTGAGAATATTGCTCACCTATCTCATCTGGAGGAGTTTTGGGTGGGTTCGTTACACCTATTCGCCTGTCATGCGCTCATATTCGATTAGGCCAATGGTAACAAAATCCCAAACCTTCTTTCCCTGGAGCTCCAATTATCACACATCAAAACTCTGGAAACGATATATCTCGAGGGTAACCCATGCCAGATGGACGACATGGCGGGATACAGGAGGAAGATCATCCTTACACTCCCTCAGCTAAAGCAGATCGACGCGACGTAAGTGATTTTGCGAGTTTGGACCTCGCATCTACTCATTTTAGATAACTGTGCATATAGATATGTCCGCTAACTTAACTTTGGACTAAAATCCACATGGCTGGTATTCTCAGATGAACATATTACCTTGTAGTATTAGTTTTTGTAAATGATCGTCGTATTTATCAGTAATCTACAGACCAAAGCTTGGCGTTCAATGGGAGGTGCATAAGCGCCCGATTAGGAGTGGATCTTTCGTTCACGAGCGAGTTGCCTCAGCAGTAACGCGTTCATCTTCTTTCAAACTCTGCTCACCATGTCCCACAAGGCAAAGGCAAAAGCCGCTGGCATCAGCGCGACCTCTTTCTTCGACCTCAAAGCCGAACTTTCAAAGCAAGAGGCAGAATTCTCCAAGTCCAAAGCTGCAGGAAAGGCAGCAGCAGTTGTGGGGGGAATAAAGAGACCAGACAAGGTACATTCACCATTGCTCTCGGCTGCATCTTGTCTCTTATATGTCGTAGAAACCGACTGTGTGGGGACGTCAGAACAAGGGCGTGAAATCCAGGGCTCAGAGGGACATTGAGCTGGAAGCAGTCAGCAGGCCCACTCTCGAATCAGCTCGTGCGGCGTTGGAACGCAAAGCAAAGATATACGACAAACTCAAGAAGGGCAAGACCGGAGGATTAACTGATAGTCAGTACGACGCCCTGCTTGTTGATGTGCGTTGCTGCATTCCTGCTCGCCTTGGTGTTACTCTAACCGACTTGAACTTTAGTTTGACTCAAAACCGGTCTCTGAGTTCTTTGAACCCGATAGTGACGATGAAGATGAATCTCTGGCTGTCCCAGGACCAAGCGTAGACGAGGTACGTCTCCTTATCCTATATACAGAAGCCGAGTACTCACTTTACGAAGGATGATCCCATTATTGAATACGAAGACGAGTTTGGTCGTCTTAGGACGGCACCCCGCTCGGAGGTACCTCGTCACTTGCTCAATACTGAAGGCCCACATGTGGACATTGATGAGTGCGTGTTTCGAGACAACCCCCATACATTTCAGTATTGATATGGTATATGCACTCTCAGGGAACTTATCATTCGTGCGTCTTCTGCTTGGTATCTAAGCACCTGTGACTGACTTACACTGAATAGGCAACCCTGTCAATTACTTCCCTGTATATGAGCCGTCAGCTGAACGCATTGCTGAAATCGAGAAGATCCATTCCGAGGAAAACAACCCCTTGAACATCCATTACGATGCTGCGCGAGAGGTCCGAGCGAAGGGGGCCGGATTCTATCAGTTTTCCGCTGATGAGCAGACGCGACGTGCTCAAATGGAAGAAATGAAAGCTGCGAGGGAGGAAACTGAAAAATCTCGGCGAGAAATGGGTGCGGTGGATCTCAAGCCAGGAGAAGTCGAGGGGATGAGGGAGGGTGATGACGCTGCCGGAACTGCCTCGATACAAAGCAGGGCGATGGAAAAGCGTAAAAGGGACATTGAAGAAAGGAGGAAGGCATTGGAATCAAAGAGGAAGAAAGTCAAGCTTTCTGATGAAGACGGCACACATATTCTACCTGCACAACCAGTGCACGCCGATCCGTTTGCCGCTTTCGAAGCGAAGCAGACTAAGACACCTAAGCCCGCGACAGAAGCAGAAGAATTCCTGGCTCAATTGGAAAAGAATATACTCGGAAAAAGTACATAATACGCCTACGCGAATGTGCTACCTTCGGGCTTCCACAACGAGCCTTTCGGGGCAAATAAGGGAAAACCGCTTCCCGTCTTGCTCGTACATTACTGTTTCCTCTCCTCTCTTGGTCCAACGACGTTGCACTGCTTCGCGGCCTCTCAAGACATCTTCCATGAATGCCTTCGTCGCGGTCAAAACCTCTAGCGCTGGTTGGGCCGCTGTTTCGTGGCCAGCATTTATCCGCACTACCGACCCGTTTTGACTTTCTTGATCGCCTACGAACGAAATCAATTCATCGATGGTCTCCATCCAATCGATTATGGAGCCTTCCTTCGGGAAGATAATGGGAGCGTTTTCGTACAACGTATCCCCAACATACAGCATCTTCTCGTCTCCATCATATACCGCTAGTTCGTCGGGCGTGTGTCCAGGGGTATGCATGATGGTGATGGACGTCTTCTTTCCATCCGAAGACAAGACTTGATGCATGTGATCAACCAAGGTTGGAGAATATGAAGGCGTCTCGATTCCAAGCTCTTGACACAGCGAGTGTACGGGCAGTCTCGACGGTCGCAAGAATTCGGGGGAGTACCCCGACGCCAGTATCATAGAATCAGAACTATGGGTTGGTTAACAATGACCACATCAACAGCGCCATGAAGCTTCACAATTGCTCAACTGCCACTGAATGCGTTCCGATCAGACAGCAGATCGGACGAAACGGAGGGATCTCACAAATATGGTCGTAATGGCAATGGCTCAGAATGATGATGTACTTCATTCGCCCCCCTTCATTTAATGGTCGCCCGCCGTTGTCTTCGATGCCGACGGTTTCGAGGAATTCCCTCAACTCCTTGATTTCAACATCCGGGTTGGACGAATGACCCCCGCAACCGGTGTCGAGGATGATGATTGTGCTCAGTTGTTGGATGAGCTTGGCATATATGTGCGGCTTCTCGGAGTATATATCATCATACTCTTTGATGAGGAATGTAGTCGGTGTCAATCTGCTCGCGATAAAAGCCGATGAATTGGGTGAAGGCGTTACTGCTTGGGCTGTGTGTACAGATGGTACGTCTTCTAGACGACACATCAGAGGTATTCCAGAGGTTCACGTCGTCTGTGCCACCTATGGCTGAGGTCAATGAGTGCGGTGATGAGAGGAGTCATGAATTTCACCCACCATAGTCAAACTTTCTCACAATCAACCACCAGACACAGGACAGATAATAGCAAGTTCCTCCCCACCACTTAGTAAGACGTTTCCTGGATCATCAACCATTTCCGCATCGACGCTCCACTGACTACTCTCCAAGACCTTGTCAAGGCCAGTATCGGGGTGGAGAGATACGAGCAGATCACCAAGTTCGGATAAGAGAAATGGACGATCTGTGGGTATGCCGACGATCTCTGAGTTCAGGTTCGTAGCGGTTGAGGCTGCTGCGAAATACAGAATGGTGACTTCCATATGGTGAGTGACTGCCATGTTGTATGAGCTGCTGTCAGCCCGACCGTGGCATGGCCGACACCGAGTCTCGTCGGATTCAAGATGTCCCGAGTTTGGTTGGCGCTTCACATCCAAACACACTTACTTCCAACTTCAACTTGTAGCCTCCAACGCGAGGTGCCTACTTTTCTGTAAGATTGGGGCGAGATATCGAGCCGTCGCTCATTCTTGGAAGATTTCCGTCAAAAGGTAGAATATTTGCGCCAAAATAGTGGAGGGATCTAGGGGCGCTCAGTAACCTCTCACGATCACTAATCGCCTTCACAAGTTGTGTTCTTTGTCAGAATATTCAAGATTGGTGAGCAAGTGAACAATTCTTTTCCGTCCTGATTCAGCACTTGCGCTTCAAAGTTCTATGACAGCCTAAACTTGGGAGCAAGGTTCTGCCATGGCTATCGAACTCTGATTCAGCACATCGCGCTCATTGGGAGTAATTGTCTGTCTATGATGAATCTCGCGTCGGCTACGGCCACAAGTTATGTATAAAATCCTTGAGATGCTAACGGAGGTTTCACCACCCAACACAAAAAATTCACATCGATAACATGTCTACTTCATCTTCTCCTAAACTTTTTCAACCAATCAAAATAGGTCGGATGACTCTCCAGCACCGACTTGCGCTCTCACCCCTCACTCGCTTTCGCGCCGACGAAGGGCATACACCCATACTTCCCATAGCTCAAAATTATTACACCCAACGAGCGAGCACACCGGGTACCTTGCTCATCACTGAAGCAACGTTAGTTGGTGCAAAAGCGGGAGGAACCAATAATATCCCAGGAATATGGTCTGACACGCAAATCGCTGCCTGGAAGGAGGTTTGTACATTTCTGAGTCCTTATTTATGATACAGTAAACTGACGTGGCACGAATTACTATAGATTACCACATCTGTTCATGCGCGTGGCTCATTCATTTATCTTCAAATGTGGGGCCTCGGTAGGGCTGCGTTGCAAGACGTCCTAAGTGCAGAGGGATTAGACTATGTCTCCGCGTCAGATGTTCCCCTCACCTACCAACCGACGCCTCCCCCCCGGCCCCTAACAATCCCCGAGATAAAGGAATACGTCCAGCTGTTTGCGAAGGCAGCTTCCAACGCTGTCCACCTCGCCGGCTTCGACGGGGTGGAGATCCACGGCGCAAATGGGTATCTCATCGACCAGTTCTTCCAGGATGTGTCGAACAAACGTACAGACCAGTATGGTGGCAGCCCAGAGAATCGTGCAAGGTTTGCACTTGAAGTCCTGGAGGCCGTGTCCAAGGAGATTGGTGAAGACCGAACAGCTGTCCGGATTAGCCCCTGGAGCAGGTTCCAGGAGATGGGGATGACCAACCCCAAGCCGACCTATTCCTACTTCGTGTCGCAGCTCAAGGAGCGGTTGCCGAATCTGGCGTATCTGCATGCTATTGAGCCACGAGTGGCAGATGGCAAAGATATTGGACTTCGTCCTGTAGCAGATGGAGAGGGAAAGGGAAATACACACGTTGAAGAAGAGAATAATTTCCTTCGAAGGATCTGGTCCCCCAAACCTTTCATCAGCGCTGGTGGATATACCCGGGACCTTGCATTGAAAGCGGCTGAGCATGGCGATATCGTTGCTATCGGCCGTTATTTCCTCGCCAACCCCGATCTACCACTGAGGTGGAAGGATGATTTGCCTCTGAATACGTATGATCGGTCGACTTTCTATGTTCCTGGCGATGCCAGTGGCAAGGGTTATTCGGACTACCCTTTCATTGACGGAACTACTAGACTCCCACCAGTCGTTGCCGCCACCGCCCCGTTGCCCCATCCGATGGGCGAAGTCTCGTCCGGGAAGTCTTCTATGCCGTCGCTCCATGATAATGGCGTGAACTGCATGGCGTAGATGTGGGGTCTGTACAGCATCGTACGGAACCTCACGTAACACTTACATCCTCCCTATACTTGATGAATATACAATAATGCTCAATTATATCCGTAAATCCTATAATGGGCTTTACAAGACCCTTCCAAGACCTTATTAAACCGCAAGGGAAGGGGTGCAGACTCCTAGGGTGTGAGGTTAAGTGACGGGCGGTAGGTAGATGCGATCTCTCACTAAGAATCAAATGGAAGGATCCAAATATACAAACGTCGAGCCGTAAACTCAACGCAAGATCAAACCTTTTCTTCGCAGAGTGTCCCTACTGGTGGCTAAATATTGATTGTGAGTCAACTTCGCTTGGTCGAGCAGCATCCGCAAGCTTGAAGTCGTCATTTAGCCACGTATGTGATGTAGTAGCTGCGCTCGTCACTTTCGCAATGTCGACCGCGCATGGTGCCAACTGCTTCCGGTAGCAGGCATATCCTCATTAGCTTTAGCTGATGGTTCTGAGGGTCGAAATTGAAATTAATTCAGGATTGTTATTGCGACGCGTATTTCCGTCGAGCCCAAGCACCCACGCTAGGTCTTCGAGTGCGACGTTATATTCCGCCATCTCGACGAGGTATGACTTTCATTACCCTCTCGCCTCCTCGACCGCGGGTTTCCGGGCTGCGGACCAACGTAAAAGAGAGGTATATCCGAATTGGAGCTGGAAAGATGGTAGAAAACACGGGAGAACGGATGGACGTTGCGTTCGAAAGACGATATCAACCCCGGCGGTGCACGAGAATATCTTCGGCGAGAGAGAAGACCAACTGTTGAGGTTCCTATTGATCTATATCAGGACCATCACACAGCGTGAACATTAGCTATTGGTAGTTTATGAGTAACGAGCATAAATAACGACCTTCGCGAAGGATAATTTGGGGCGGGTTGCGAGGAATTAAGATGTAGGAATATGAATACTCACGACGTTGGGAACGACATAAATAGGTGTCAACTTTTATATAGCGCCGTGTAATTTGAGGTGGGATGCTACGAAAATAGATTTATGGGAGCTACCTAGTGGAAACGGTGGTTCTGCGTCGGATTCCGGAAGCATCTGTGAAGGATCCGTCCGTTTTGACCATGGGACAGATGTCGTCAATGAGACACATTGTATTGGCGGGTGGCCTGTTGGAACCGAAGTCCAAAAGTGGTACGCAGCAGGGACGCAGGTCAGCCAAGTCGTTCCAGACCACGAGTCCTTGCAAGTTGCAGCTGTTGCCAGAGAGCACCCGTTTGTGAAAAAGGCTGGTATTCACAATGAAACCCGCGCAGGTGAACTGTAGCAGAGAATCTGGGGATAATCCGGGGAAGGAACGACGTGAACTGGGGAGAATGAGTCCCAGAGGAGCTACCGACCACGCTAACGTTCCATATGCCAGGTTTGCTGTAGGGACCTGATCTACCGTAATAAAGGTTGATTTGAACGCCGGAGCTGCATATAGCCATATAGCATATAGGGTTCAACCGTCTGGCTATTCGTGAGTGGCTGTCGACAAAAATAAGCGCTTCCCAGTAGTCATATGTACACCCGTAGAAGAGGATTGCCATGAGGAAGGTGGACGGTTACACGGCCGCCTGAGTTAAAGCGCTACTCCGTACGCATAGAACCACGGTAGTCGGAACAATTACGGAATACAGATGCCTGGAAGAAATGAATGAAAGTCAGACGGTTGTTTTGAATTGGGGCATCAGCTGGCCTGAGCCAATCCCCATCCGTAGCTTCACCATTAGACCGTCCCGGTCGTAGAGGTTGTTCACGGAGATGAGTAACAGCAAGCCGAGATTGGAAGGTAGCGAGAGAAGGTTGCAGGCAGGAAATATGCTTTCGGCATGTCGAGTAAATAATCCATTGAAGAATGCTGCCAGAAAGAACACATATGGCGTTGGAGCATTTGACTTGCTTCGGATTGTCAGCTGGATCCAATACAAGAAGGCGAGCATGTTGCTGAGCTCTAGAGTATTCGTCGCATATGATGGCGCGAGAAGCGGGGAACGGAGCCAGGATGTTGGAAGGGAATAAATCCATCCCGACCAATCCTGGCTTGCATCATCTGGAAAGCAGCAGGGATGGCCGAGAAGGGAGCTGGGTAGGAGAGTAAAGATATCTCATCAACGTGTGTGGCTGGAATCTGAAACGGCAAGGCACGCGTCTTCGTGAACTAACCGCTCGGCAAGACAGAAGACATGGGGTGGAATGATTTGCTTCCGAACTGTGATGCTCAAAAACACCAGTGGGGAAGCGTGGTATTGCGAACAATGCGATCACAATGGCGCCATGAGTATACGCCCTTGGCCGGCCTCGCAGACCGCTGAAATAGTTCCGCATCGATGCTATTGCCGTTCCAGATCAACTGGATGAGCCGAATTGTCAATAAGGTAAACTTGCCTGTGTGCACGTTCAAGTTTATGTGCGAATGGCGGATGTACGTATACACATCCTGATCTTAGCGAACGTGTGTCCAGCCTGTGCAAAGACATTTGTATTTCTGTAGAGCATCAAATGCTTACCGGGTGTACCCCAAAGCCTTAAGGGAGCCATCATCGTGCATAACGATCAGCAGACTCAGGCAGACCTGAGCGGTACTTAGCAACCCGTGACCTAGTAGCTAGGAACTGAAAAACTTACGGTGGGATTGCGCCAAGGTTCGGCATTCTAAAAACCTCATCAATTAGATGCGGAGAGAAGAGTGCGCCCTTGCAGCACGCCTGTGGGCACCAACGGACGTAAATTCTCGGCCTGGAAGCAATCCGCAAGCTGTCCAACACATATTGTACCAGCGGGTTCAATGATCAATAGCCATACTTTACAGACAAGACTCCTAGGGGGGCATCTATTAAGTTAGCCCATGTTTCGCCATAGTTGGCTAACAACGTACCATTTTGTGGGTGAGACAACCTAGGACAACCCTTGAGGACATTCAGTAAAGTAGGTCCGGAATCAGCGATGTCGGGATCACATGTACGTAACAGTATTATTTTCGCCCGGATCTCGACATGGGGAGGTGAAACTAATTTCGAGAATCATCATGCTTCGGCCGGACGAGGTACTACATGAGGAAGAGAGAGAAAATACTCATTGAGAAGTGGACTATTTGCGTCCTCTTTGTCTGGCATGCCGCAGATGCTCTTCTGATATATAATTTTTACGGAGGAGCATGTATAGCCAGAACATGAACTTAGAACGTTCGAAGCATCTCGAAGAAGCTCTGGCTTTATTTGTGCATATTTGGCGTGTTCTTGGTACCCCGCACTGTCATCCCGACCTGAATGGCGATCACCCACGTGATCGACTGCCCTCCCATTCTGCCCGCTATAAAGACCCGTACCGAACATGGAAACCGACTCAACACGCCGCTGCAATGTCCACTGCGGAATATCCTCCAGAAATCCTTTTTACCATCTGCGCTCATGTATACTCTGCTTGTCTCCCTGCCTACCCCGTATCCCTCGACCCTTTAATCGCTGCCGACCATGGCATACCGACTGCACTACCATCAGCCATGCCTCCTGGCAATTGGCCTGAGCCGGTGAGCAGAAGGACCCTGGCCTCTCTCTGTCTCGTAAATCATGCCTGGCATGCCGCAGCGAAACCATGGCTTTGGCGTAAGCTTGAAGTTCGCTTGCCTCGCAGCTGGCTTTCACTCGTCGAAGAAATTGCTTGGGATTACGATGAGGGGCAGGTGGAAATGGTAGTAGAGGACACAATAAAGGCTGCAGCGCTGGCCTCACGTGCTTCTATCTCTTCGATGGACCAAGAGTCCACCTCCAAGCTGGAAGAAAATCTCCTTGATTCCCTAACGGAGCCAGACAGCTCCGTACCACTCGAACTTCTTTCCCCCGTCGTTTCTCGAGATCCGAGTCCCCGACGCCTTCGGCAAAAGAGCAAAAGCCCGGCCCGATGGAGGATTATGCGCTCGATTAGCGATGCTATACAGGACTACATGGATAGGCGAGATGCGGGGGTATACGGTACGTGCGCTTGTTCGTTCATCCTAATGACGAGACCGATTTCTCCTTTCAGTGCCCGTCCCCAATGACCCTCGTCCCGGCCGTTTCGTCCGTCATCTTGACTTCAACCACTTCCGTACCATTGGGATCAGGAGGTCTATCGATGAAGGTGTAAACTCCCGTTTCGTAACGGGTGATCGAGTTGAGGCCTTGATCAAGGTAGCTAGACATGATATCGCACTGCCCTAAGACGTCGCTCATGGAATGAACAGGAATGTCCAAACTTGCTGACCTTCGGCGCAACCGAATACATGTTTGTGACTAGCCCAGTCATTGTAACTTTTTGCTCATTATTCAAATAGGGACGGGGCCCTGACTTTGCCGGTACTCAAGGAGCTACTCCTCCGGGGCGCACCATCCCGCGGTCGAGGCCGTCCATCACGGGGCCGTGGTTTGGTCATTACTGACGCAAACGATGTAGAAGAAGATGATCGAGAGCGTCGACGCGAATGTCGTGAACTGGCTGCTATCGATCTCACCGGTTGCGTCAGCGCGGTCTTCGTAAACTCACTCACCGAATTCGTCAACACATATCTCCTAACGCAAGACAACTCTACAGAACGCCAAGCAAGCCGTCACCAAGAGGAGCCTTTGGTATTTCCAGGCCTCCAGCGACTCGGGCTGCGTGGTGTGAAATCGATTCTACCTAATGTTCTTACGCCACTGGTCCTTTCCTTCCCTTCTCTCACTCACCTGGATCTCTCTGGCACACGTGCGACCCCTGAGCTCTTGGATGCTTTGGGTGCTTCATCCTCGGTCCGATTGAAGTCTTTGGCTCTTGCACGTTGCATCAGGCTCACCAGCGAGTCAATTAGGGACCTTCTTGTTAATTCTCCCGTCACCTCACAACTTCAGGAATTGAACCTTTACGGTGACATGACCTTCACGTCCCCTTTGACTACGGAGCACCTTAGAGACATTGTCGCCCTAGCTCCTTGTTTCCAATCCGGCGACTTGGTGTACTTGGACTTGTCTAGCTCCCCAGTCACTCGCGAAATTCTGCTCGACCTGTGCCTCCCTCAATTGAGTCTCCGGTCGTTCGGCTTGTCCTATATTCCTGATTTGGAATTAAAGGCTGTGTCGGAGTTCATCAGAACGAAGGCGCGCAATGTCGAGATCCTCACGCTGGTTGGGACATCGCCAGAGCTTGACTGCGGTCTACGCACCGGCGGCATCAATGGCGCGCCTCGTGGCTCAGCCCGTCAGTCTTCGGTTTCATTGCATACTCAGCTCATCCGCCCTCTCTGCACACCACCATTTACCCTCAACCTGACCTCGACACCAACTCCTCCCAAACCTCCCCTCACGAGACTCCGTGTCATCGAGTTATCTACACCGATGTTGGGCGGCCTTGGTGCCGGTGCCGGTGCTTGGAAAATTGTCCGTAGCAAAGGCGGCAGGGGTTGGTACGTAGATACCGCATCCGGCTGGGTATCCGAAAGCTCGGGAAGTGTATTGCGCCGTGATTTACCTGCCGGACATCCACTGAGGGCGGAAATTGAGAAGCTGTCTGAAGCGAATGGAAACGTGAGCAGCGGTGTCGGATGGCATGCAAGGAAGATGGAGGTAAGCAAATGCCCATGTCCGCTGACTTGGGAGGCACTGACTGAGCGCTCTTCAGATTTTGCACGGTCACGGAATGTTGGGACGAGAAGATGGATTGTACGGCGCAGTTTCTTTCGCCTATCAAGGTTGATGGGCGTCGTATGTCCTACTCACGGCGGGCTCACACGAATCATCCACGAAAATGTCGGACACGATACCTCTTACAGCTGTTCGCGGACTTGCTTCGTCTTGTATGATACCACATCTTTTATCGCTTTATGTAGAATGCGGTTAATAGGACTTATTTTGTGCGTTCCACAGTCACCCCATCGTTGGATTTGATCTCGCGTCGTCACTGGGACCAACCGTTCCACTGCATCATCGTAAGGAGCAGTTAATTGCAGTGTCACTGTCGGTTCCCACTGCGTGCGCGTCACACAGTGCATCACAACACGTTGTCCACAGGTACTATTATTAGCACATGTGCAGGTCCATAAAAGAACTCGAACCACCACGCCCGCGCTGCTTTGCTTTACATTACCCCTTCGATTTTCCTGGGCGGTGAGCTGTATTTCTACGCCCAATGCTTAAAGACACCTAATATATGGGATACAGCTATGACACCAGTGAACGAAGAACCTGACGATGTTGTGCAGCACATGGCCAGCGGACGACAACAGCCACTTCAATCCACACTTAGCCATCGCCAGCGAACAGGCAGCCTACCTCAAAATAATCTCACCGAAACCGACGGGGCTTCAATGACTAGATCCCCCACCAGAAATCTCCTCAGAGCTGCTTCCATGCTACTGATACCCGACAAAAAGGTTGGTCCTGCACCATCGGTTGTGGACAGTTTGAGGAGTATCCTGTTCGCTTCGTGTATGTGCGCCTTCTCTGAAGCTGCAGTGGCACTTGCTAATTGCCTACTCGTTTCTAGGGTTGAACGTATTATTGGTCTTCATCCCAGTATCAGTGCGTATCCAGAATCCCCCCCCCGGGCTTGGCTCTGTACCGATAATCATCTATTAGTGGGCCCTCAATTTTGCAATGAAGGACGAACATACTCTTATTTTCGTTTGTGAGCTCTTTTACTCCTCACGCTTACCACATGCTCTAAACACCGAGCATCATCAGTTTCATTTCTCGCAATCATACCCTTGGCGAAGGTATGCCGCATAGCTGCGCCGTAATACCGCAAGTTGATGCCACGGCACATTTTAGCTGCTGGCTTTCGCCACAGACGAGCTCTCGATGAGGGTTGGGCAAACACTAGCTGGGCTTTTGAACGCAACTCTTGTGAGTTCTTCATCTCCGACATCATGACAAAAATATATTGATCAGGATCTGATCAGGGAAACGCGTGAGTCAAAGTTCGCCTATCAATCCAAAGCTGTCCCTGATCATACCCTCAGCGTCGAGCTGATAGTTGCTGTGCGTGACCACTCCGGGTCCGGATCTATACTCTGATGAGACTCGTGCTGACACCCCTTGTGCTAGATACTTGCTCTGGTTAAATGCCAACTGACCATTGTCCAATCTTCCCGTATGAAAAGGCCTTACATTTATCTTCACCTAGCTGAAGCTTCTCAATCTATGTAGTTATCGGATCGATCCTCTCAAATCTGCGTAAGCGCCTTCTCGCAGATCCTTGGCGACAGCTTACATCCCGGTACACGATCGTAGTTCTTGTTTTGGGCATGTGCTTCTTCGCCGGCGGTACACAATACTCGGAACAGGGCTTCACCGTCAGTAAGTATGCCCCGTTGAATATAATGGGGTGGGCGCTGAACACTGCCGCGTCGGCAGGCACCGTGCAACTCAATTCTTCCTTACTGACCATTAGCGTAATTGCTGTCCTGTTGCCCGCGGCGTATATCCTGGCATTGTCCGAAGGCCCAGCAGACCCCAATCAACAACAGGGCAAGCAAGTTTTGCAACTCAGTCGTGGCGTATGTACAACCTTACCGTCACAGTGACATATTTCATACTTACTTGATCCAGGTCGCCGTCATTTTGTTGTTCAGTGCGCCTGTTCGATGTTCGCGCTTACAAACCAGCCACTGACGTTTTTCCCAGTCTATGGTTCGTACCTTGTCTTCCAATTATGGTCCCATGCGGGTCTCTACGACGAGACCAGCGACGCTGTCATCAAATCGCAACCGTACGCCCGCAAGTCCAAAGACAGCAAGAGGAAATCATCAAAAGACGAACCCCGGCCTGATAACGTTATCGACTCGCATACTTCGAGTTCGAGGACAGCGACCATCAATGGCAACCCACCCAATTCGCCCATTCAGAACTCGACTGTCCCGTTCGCAAATGGATCTCAACATGACCTCGAGAACGGCAACGGGCGCATCGGCAACGCACTAAAGGAAGAGGAGGAAGAGAAACCTCAATTAAGTGTTTGGATGACTGTGGGACTGCTTGTTGTTGTCACAGTGGTAAGGGCGACAACCATTCATAACCTGCCGACCATTGACTCTGCCTTTCGTAGCTGGTCGCCGTCACTGCTGAATGGTTGGTGGATTCCATTGACGGGTTGACCGAGGGCGGTACAATCAGCAAGGAGTTCGTCGGCGTGATATTACTTCCCATTGTAGGCAACGCAGCGGGTGCGTGGGTCTGGATACCTCGCATTGTGGTTTACCAAACTGATGAACTCTCTTTTCAGAGCATGTAACGGCGGTCACTGTCTCCATCAAGGACAAGTTGACGCTGAGTCTCGGTGTCGCCGTTGGCTCCAGTATAGTACGTCACGCTGTTCGTCGTTACGCTCTGCGAGTCTAATTGCCGTACTCACCAGCAAATCGCCCTCTTTGTCATTCCGTGGGCAGCTGTCTTTTTTACCGTCTTCAACCCCCATACTTAACTACCTTAGGTTCATTGTCACCTTGGGCTGGATTCTGGGCAAACCGTTGACCTTGCTGTTCGATCCATACGAGTCAATATCACTCTTCCTTGCTGGTGAGTAGGTTGGGTATGTGTTGTTGTTGCAGGGTCTAACTGCCGCGCTTATACAGTTCTCACCGTCAACTACGTGGTGCAGGATGGTAAATCAAATTGGCTTGAAGGCATGATCCTGATGTGTACGCTTTCTCTTCGAGATTAGGTCCCTTACAGAGCTGATCCTGCGGTGCATGTAGGTCTATATCTTATTTTGGGCGTGACTTTCTGGTAAGTGGTTCTAGGATGAGATCGAGCAAACCATTAACCTGCTGTTCGGAGCGTAGGTTTTACCCTGGTTGGTTTTGATTCTCCTTTCGCGTAGGTAGTTGATGGTTGACCTCCCCTTCTAGGAGCCCCGAGCCTTGGCATTCTCCCACAATGCACGTAGTGGATAGATATACGACATCCATCCCTATACTGACCACGGAGGAAGTGATCGTCGTCGGCAAAGTCGATAGCACCTTTGAGGCGCATAAATTTATTGTCCATTAGATGCACGTAGTAGATACCACCTACCATATCTTATGCAACCTATATCCAAGCATCCGAGATACCCCGTCTGTTTTCATGCTTCCTGTTTTGTGGTTGTGGATTTCTGGACTTCAATTGCTTTGCCGAACAATATAACATTCAATACACACTACCGTACATACTCGTTAGACACGCTACAGCTTGGCCTTCGGTTGGCTTTCCTTCAAAGTCACTGCGGCTGAGGCTAACACGATGGTATCACGTTCCTTCACTTTGGTGACTATGCTTGATTTTTCAGCGTCCATTACGATGGAGACACTTTCTGGTTGGGCTTACCGAACACAACTTTGGACCCTTCTTTCCACATATGAGTAACCAACGTCTCTCCCGGGAAAACAACCCCAGCGAATCTAGAGCGATGAGCGATGAGACCAACACTCTGCATCGGCCCATAATGGAGGGAGCAAATTCTTTACCTGACTTTGATGTCTGTGTACTCTCCGAATGACTTCAACACATGTTTGCCAGCGATTCCCATGGAACACAGGCCATGGAGGATGGGTTGATCAAAGCCCCCAATGGCAGCGAACTCAGGAAGGATCTACGCGTGGATACAATGAGTACAACACGGTGACTAGAGATTGATGCTAGGCCTCCTACATGCAGGGGATTGGAATCGCCGCTCAGTCTGGTTGGATGGAGCATTGAATTGGATTGATCGAACGCACGGTGGTGTGTCAGACATACCTGTACAATGCGGCCTGAGAGGGGCTTGTCTGCTCTTCCAAGGTTGCGTCCGGGGCACGCTTAGGAGGGGCATTGATGGCAGACGCTGCCCCTCTGTCTGTTATATATATACTCGTCAGACCCACAGTCCCAGTGAGATCGCACACTGAGATCGCGTACCCTTCCCTACTCGCCTGCCACCGAATCCACCGGCACCACGGATGAACACGGTCGACTGGTTCTCGAAAATGAGCTCTCCGGTGTCCTTGTCCCGCGTCTCCACAATGGAGGTGACCGCCGCAGCCTTGCCTTTATCAAGGACTTCCATGAGCCTAGCGCGCACCCATCATTCAGTATAATGACACAGTCCAATGAAGAGAAACTCACCGGGCTTCGCTGACAAGGTTTCCGGATGTCGGTATCGGAGCCTTCAGGCTCAAATACTGTTCACCGTGCAGAAGTTTGGCCTACATACGATTCCGGACCATTCAGACGCACTCCGCAGGTCCCGATGGTACGGGCACGTACCGGGTTGAAATTAGGTAGCCAATCCAAAGCCATACCACCGCTGGCCTGGAACTGAGGAATAACGCCAAACGTCGGTAGAGCAGCGAATTCGTCGTCTCCCTCGAAAGTCCACTGAAGCTCCTTCGCGGTAGCCCCGATGCCTAAATTGTAAAGGATGACATCCCGTTCCGTGAATTGGTAGTCAACAGGAGCAGAAATCTGCTGCTTTGCCTCTGTAACCAATGCAGAGTCTTCAGCGTCGGCGAAAGCTTTGGGGTCCTTGAAATTGGCCATTCAGAAAGAGTACCGAATGGACTGAGCGCGAGGAGTTTATATGGTCAGTCGACAATCAAGTAATCACATGCCAATCACTTGGCCGAGCCCCGAGATGTACATAGAGAGGCTGATTGTAAAGCGAGTCTTGTGGAACACCTTCACTCAGGCCTTGTGGATACTTGCAAAGATTATGTGTGATAATGAACGAAAACAACAAAGACTAAATACACTAGCTTTCCATGTACACAACGACCACTGGTAGTACAACTCACAGCTTCGCCTTCACAGAGTCTGAACCAGTATTGCCAAAGTTCTCAACCAGCTACAAGATATAGGTCAGTGTCATGATGGAATGGAGGTTCCCAGAGGTAATACCTGTTGCACGGCCTCTGATGTCGTGCTTGGGTGGGTGTCTCTCCCGTCGTCAAAGTTGGTGATGACGCCCCATTTAGCAATAACATCTTCAGGTGTGAGAGGCCTGTTGGTGGGGAACCCGTGCCCACCAGCGCGTTGCCAGCGGGTTTGAGCGGCCCAGCCACCGGAAATTTCGAAGATACCGCCGGTACTCTCTTCGTTGGCTGAGGCGAAAAGGTTCAATCATGCACAAAAAGAGATGCGGAAAGCACATACCTGCACTCGTGAGGTAACCAACGACAGGAGCGACAAAATCGGGCTTGAAGGCGTCAAGCATCTCTTGCGGCCTATTCAGTCTGTTAGGTGATAAGAACGAGTAAAAGGTCGATACTACTAACCATACGGTGGCTGTCATGGCGGTACCAGCAGTGGGGGCAATGGTGTTAGCTAGAATGTTGTACTTCTTGCCCTCGATGGCGAGGACACGAGTCAACCCGATAATGCCAGCTTTAGCGGTCGAGTACTAACAGCGACATAAGTACATGAACCAGCGAGTCATGAATCAAGCACATACGTTGGCCTGACCGAAGTTACCGTCTATAAAACAAGATGAGCAGAAGGACAACACACGCGAATTAACACTTACAAATGCCAACAACCGACGTTGTCGTCAGGATTCGGCCGTATTTCTGCTTCAAAAAGATGGGCCAGACGGCTTTGGCACACTAAGAATAAAGTGCCTTCAGTTCCGTTAGGCACGACTGCTAGCGACGGTCTGACCTTATATGTGGCACTATAATCAAATAGTCAGCATTATTATAAACGTAGAAGATGAAAGAAAGCTAACCGAAGATGAATAGCTACCACAAGATCCCACTCTTGCTCGGTCATGGCCGTGAACGACTTGTCTCGAAGAATACCAGCATTGGCGACGAGGATATGTACACCGCCGAACTTCTCCAGGGCAACTTGGACGATCTTTTCGCCTTCCTCCGCTGAACAAACGGCGGCTGCTGCTTTTCCACCAGCTGCAAGACATTGGTGTTAGTACGATGATGTATTACAGAACTCTAGACTTACCTTGAACGATCTCGTCAACGACAGCGTTAGCGGCTTTCTCGTTTACGTCGTTGATAACAACGTTTGCACCAAGTCGAGCGTAGAGGTGGGCGTATGCGCGACCGAGACCGCCTCCTGACCCAGTGACAATGGCAGTCTGACCATCGAAACGAACTTCGGGTGATGCTTGGGCATTGGGTGGCAGTTTGGCTGCGATTTTGAGCTTGCTCTGAATTTTAAATTAGTCTGTCAGCCTGCGATTCCAACTGTGCGGGAAGGGGTATCTCTTACCACAGCGTCGACGTCAGGTCCGGGGTTGGGGCTAAAGAGAATCAAAAACAATAGAGGTAAGCAGCAGAATGATTACTCACTGGTCAACCTTGGAGGAGAAATCAGTGATCTCGCTCCATTTAGCCTTGACCTGGGGATATGCTTAGTAACCGGGACTAGCTAGAATGGGTCGGAGGAGACGTACGGCTGATGGGGTGAAGGAAGCATCTGTCTTCATCACAGCACCATTGCTTCGTTCCCAGCGGATTTCAGCGATGTATCCAGCGCCGACTTCGAAGATTTTGCCCGATGCATCAGGTCCATCCGGATGGCAGATTGCTGCGACGAATGGAGCAACGAATTCAGGCTGCATTAGAAGGTCAGCTCTGGGGATACTTCCGTCAGTTAGATAAGTGGTATCGTACCTTGAAGTTGGCGAGCATCTCCGGGGGCATAACAGTTTCGGTCATGGCAGACGCGGCAAGCTAAAGGGTTAATTCAGCATAGAATACCTGACAAACGGAAGTCTACAAACAGGGGCAATTGCGGTCGACTTGATGCCATATTTAGCACCTTCTCTCGCGAGTGTTTTAGAGAAACCGATGAGGGCAGCTTTAGCAGCGCTGTAATTTGCCTGTCCGAAGTTACCTACGAGGCAGTATAAATTACAAAGCTCGCGATAACATTCACCTTCACTTACCGTACAACCCAGCTGCGCTGGCGGTGTTAATGACGCGACCAAACTTCTGCTTGCGGAAGATGGGCCAGGCGGCTTTTGTGCATGAGAAGGCACCCTTGAGGTGAACTTCATTGATCTGATCCCACTCTTTGTCTGTCATGTTCTTGAAGCTTGATAAAGGCGTGCATCAATATCAGGAGCTCCCGGAGAGTACGTGCGACGCACCCCTTGTCTCTCAGGATACCGGCATTGTTCAGAAGTATCGTAACGGTACCAAAGTTGTCAACAGCAGTCTTGATTACAGCTGCACCGTCGGTCACCGATGAAGTGTTCACCACGGCCTTTCCGCCAGCTACAGAGCACTCCCGGTCAGATTTGTATCAGTGACAAGATCCGGCACACGTACCCCGCACGATCTCGTCTACGACCTTTTGTGCCGCAGCGCCATTGAAGTCGTTCACGACAACGTTGGCTCCCCGGGAAGCAAAAAGTAATGAATATCTAATCAAGGGACACGACGTCAGCAACTGCTAGTTACAGGCTCATTGCTTCACACGAGACTGAATCACGTACGCCTTGCCAAGTCCACCGCCAGCACCAGTAATGACAACGGTATGGCCTTTGAATGAGAGTTCTGACATGGTGGTAGTAGTGGAGGAGAATTTGGTTTCGAGCACGGCACCGGGGTTCAGCAGTTCTAATATATACCTTCGCATGTGATTTAGGATCGTGAATACCGGTCGTGTTCATTACGTAACCCGGGGTGCACCCCGTAAACGCGAATATCAGCGGGTTTTACTAACCTCCGTCCCTTGGGATGCCTTGTGACTGTCATGGCCAAGGCTCACAAGTTTTATAACATGGTATGGTCAAGGGAATAGCCTGTGACTTCGAGCAAGCTTTTCTTTCGTGGGCTGAATCTTCACTGGTTCAGAGAATAAATATAGCGCCCTGCGCAAATGGCTACGAATGTACATTGTATACACTACGCCAAATGGTTGGGTTCTGCAAGAGAGGGCGATGGGGTTGGATGAGAAACAGCGAAGGGGACGTGATAATGCCTTAAGGATTATGTATGCACAATGAATGCCGAAAGAAATGGGACAAAGCTAGAGATGGAGAGAAATAACATACACAAAGATGAAGAGCGATAATTGAAACTATAAATTGGAATAAGCGAACTTTTGCGGCGGGTGAACGAAACCAAGAGGCGGGAGATGCTGAGGAAGATGCAGTGTTTGAGATACAGATTGCATGACGGGATGGATGGGCATGATGTAACAATGGTCGTATGGATCATAGGCACATGCGTATATCTGGTTTCGTGGACGTTGAAGGTGAATGGCGTCCTGAGGTGGAGGAGGGAGAGGGGCAAGGAATAATGCATGAACGAGTGGCTTTGTCATGAAATGAGTGTTGGCTTGAGGCATCGGAGAGAGGACTTGGGCATAGCGACGACAGCGAGAGCAAGGCAGACATAGACGGACAAGAGAAATTCAATGAAGAATGGGATAGTCAAACAATTGGGATTGTTGATGATGAAGATAGGAATAGTGTGTTGAATAGTAAACAGATGTGATGGGGCGACAGTGGATAGATGAAGTCCAAGAAGGACATAGTGGGGAAGAATGATGATATAGTACAAGGATAGATGATAGATGTCCGTTATGCTGCCTTACTCTTCAAGTGCCATAAGATCATCGCCGGCATGAACGCGAGCCCACTCGGTCGCGAAGATAGATGCCTTGAGGAATTTCTTATGGGCGTACTTCTTGTGGACGTACATCTTCCCAAAATTCGCCCCGACCAACTTATCGATGAGCAAGAGGTGGCCCGGTAGTAGCTGTTCCTCGGTGAAGCCAGAGTAAAAGGTAAAGCCCTCGTTCTATTAAAATGGAGGGTAAGTCACGTGCCCTCAGACAATGCGTTTTGCACGTTTGCAAGAAACTCACCCAGTCTCCTCCCAACATCTTCCTTGCAGTGTACATACCCACTGCGGCAACCAAGCTTGGCTTCGCCCTCAAGAAACGGTGATCCAAGAGAGTGACCTCAGTTAAGAACTTGCTTAGTGTCCTGGTTTGGATGTCGTAGTCGTCCGCTTTGCTGATTTTCCTCATCCAGCTGTATGGCGAGCAGTAGTGGGAGATCTTGAAATCTAGCGTCTGTAGCATGATGCGCTCCCCCTTTAGGATCTCTTCTTTGGAGTAGCCGTTCTCGGTCATGAAGACGAACTCCTCGACGGATGGTGCGACGATCTCCTCGTACTTGGCAGCGATGAACATGGCGGTGACACCCACAAGTTGGAGCTTAACCAAAGACACCACTCGCTTGCTCAAGAATCGGTCGATGATGTTGATAGCAATCCAAAGAGTCTCCGGTACCATATGGTATCGGAGGTGCACTTGTAACAGCCAGTCAACCAAGGTCTGTCGCATCGACCAGTTCAGTTCATGCTGAGTCGCCATGTAGTCCCCGTTCGGCATCATTTCCTCCTATTGATCGGCCATCAGCGTCAGAGGGACGGAGATCAAGATGCGGGACAAACCTCAAGCTCGCCCATGTACTCAAAGATATCCTCGGCGTACTCAGATACCATTGTTGTGTCAAATACATCAACTTGGTCCACGAACTTGTCGGTTATCTCCTTGACTTGTTGCTCTTGTCGCATGCGGGCTTCAGTTGCCATGTCGGGCCAGATACGGGGGTGCTTGCGAACACGAGCGGTCTCTTCTTCATCCTCGCTCTCGTCGAGATCGACCATCTGTTCTTCGGGCTCTTCATCGAGAGGATGTCCATGTGCTGATTGCCGATTTTGGACATCCAGATGCTGTTCAACTTCCATGGCGCAGTCGTCTTCTTGGTCTTCATCCTCTTCCAATGGTGGCACGAACGTCTGGTGTACAGCGAGACGCGAGTTCCTGACTTGAGGTCTTTGAGGCTGTATACGCTGGGCGGGTCCGCGGGTGTTCAACCCGGTGGCTGTGGAGGCCTGACTACGAAGAGGAACGCGTTGGGCGGTGGTGATGGTGTTCGATGAGCGGCTTCGCTTCAGGCCAGTTTCCTCTTTCTCTTTGCCGGCGAGCTTATTATAGGAATCCTGATGGAACGCCATGTTAGTTCGTGCACTATGTTGTAATGTTGAAGTGCTTACCCTACGATTGACGGCGGTGGTTGTAACTTCGCTCAACGCGACGCGACCTGGTTGTCCTGCTGCCTTCACCCCGCTAATTGACATGCGAGCCACGCCATTGACAGTTGATGTAGATGGCTGACGAATGTGTCTGCTGGTTGCGTTCTCGTCGACTTTGCCTCTGGTCATCGCGCGAGGTCGCATCGAAAGCTAGCAGATGATATTTAGGCCCGCCATTACGAGAACGCCTAGAACGCGGGACTTACTCGTTGTTGATTGCTCGCCATTCAAGTACTGCTGTTGTGTCCTGGTTGATGAATGTGGGGACGCGAGCGGGGTTGCCTTGATGTTGGTTCGATTGAAGTGTTACGTCGTGTGGTAGAGGAAGAAGTGTACAGCGAAGTGCCAAAAGCGCAGGATGGTGGTGGTTGAGGAAAGAAAGGAGAACGAACGAAATAGCAGAGTCGAAATGGGTGTCAGCCTCCAAGAGAACTTGAACAACTCTGAGAACGGAAACAATTTTGAGCCTTCGAACCACCACGTGACCTTGCCTCAAATAGATCAAAACATCGCGAACTCGCGTCGCGACGCGTGATCCCTGAATAGTAACCACCACGAGGCGATTCGCGTTGACATGCTTCATACTTCGTCCCTGGAACACGATGCAGGTTGCATGCGACATAAGGAGACTGACAGGTAGTGCAACCTTCACGGCAATTTATATATTCGTAGGTAACTTACACAGGTGCGGCAAATAAAGGACTGTGAGTGACGGAGGAGATTCATCATTCCAAGGGTCAAAGTATCCGACATAGAATTTGAATTCGAAGTCGGCGGCTTCACTGTCGGCCAGAGGTGCGAAACCGATCTTCTTGCCATCGTCGAAACTTGTCTCGTTCTCTATTCGGAGCAATGTTGGGACGTTCACCTGACTTCTGATCGTTGGAGGGCATTCCGAGCCCAGCACGATTCGTGCTAGAGGCCAGCTCCAATGGCTCTACTAGCGCGGTCCGGCCTTCCAAAGCCGAGGTATTATCGTGCGTACCGAGAGCAGTTCCTGGTTCCCAGCCTTGTCCCATCAACAATCGATAACCCACATTCGTGTTAGGCAAGGGAGCCGGAGGTTGAGAAACTGGTATGTCCGGCGTTAGAGCGCGCGGCGATATAGGTTCCGACACGCTGCCAGTTGGGTATTGAGCTCTGTTCGTGAGCGCTGGTAGAGCAACATTTATCGAAGGGACGCCTGGTGCGTCGTGCTGCGAAGCTGACTGGAGTGCCCTGCGACGTGCCGATCTATCGACATATGCTTTCGACGCACTCACCGGGGAGCCCGACCTCGAAGAGCTGGCGGATGCTGGGGTGGGTGAATTATGACGAGTGAGAAGGCTCCGCTTCAGCATGGATAAGGCGGCTCTAGGGTCACTTCTTTGGGGCGCGGGCACACGAGCAGGATCTGATCCTTCACCCACTCGAGATTGTTTCAACGAGTGTGACCTCTTGGGAGTAGGAAAGAGTGGGATTTCTTCACCGCTCCCGGGAGAACAGATGTCGCAGGCTGGGGCTTTATGGAGATGGACCAGGAAAGTAGTACTGCCTATCGTCAGTTGGTCCAAATGTCTGAGCATGCGAGGCATACTTGCCATCCTTGGAGGGGACAGCCTCGCGCCGACGTCGTGCGGGTCTATCGTGTTGTGGTCGTTGCCTTGCGGAGAGTGCCTTACGAACGTGCCATGCTTTGACCCCATATCGACGATACCCCACTCTTTCCTAGCTCCGTCCCAGTAGACGGAGGCGTGTACTTTAGACACTTCCATCTCTTTGAGCCTCACCCTCGGGATGGAGCTTCCAGTCGGAGCAGCATCCCTCCCAAACTGAAGTTCGGGATATCCGTCTGCCATAGCAACTTTGTGTTTTGCGGGGAGTATACCAGATTGAATGACGACGAAACGCAAACAGGAATCATTCGTAGAGCGCGAGACGAGATTGGGACCTCCGCTAGTTGAACCAGGGTCGGGCAAGCTGGCGGTAGCTTCGAGCAGAGTGGGATTGTGTGCATCGGAACTCCAGGCGGCAGCATATGAATCAGAAGGACCGACATACTCATTGAAGTCGGACGTGGTCCCTGGCCATTCGTAGGCGGGATCATATGCTTGAGCAGAAGATGGCTCTAGCTCGCCTTCCTCCATCTCCTGGCCAAAAATTGAGTATATCAAAGGCCAATCACTGTTAGACTGAAGCACACTACTCACTACAAAGGCAATGACCGCCCTCGCAGTGCAAAGGCAATGGATTGCAACCTCACAGGGCGCATGGGCGCCTGAAGTCAGCAAATCAGGGATGGGCGCTATCAATTCAATCTTCTCGCCAGTCACACTCACAAGGCTGGTAACAGTAATGCCTCTTTGAGGCCAAAGTGACCTTCCTTCGTTGGATTTACATACAAGTTCAAGTTCAAGTTCAAGTTGAACGCGTCAAAGCACCTTTTCAGCGTCCCAGGAGCCCCTCAGGACGGTCATTCTACAGCACGGCCTCTTCAATATGGAACAATTCTCCGAGGTTCTTGACTCGCTACTTATACGCCGCGTCTTGTTACCCAACTTGTTTCTGATCTACAGGATCACGCGAAGCTGCTTCTCGACAAAGAATGGCTGGTCAAAGTCGATAACCCGAAATCTACCCCATATTTGCTCGTTTGTATTGACACGCCTACTAGGGGCCACGAGAGCAGCAACTGGCATTCCGTGGCTCGTTTGCTATATTTCTGACTTCTTTGTCTAGAAATTCTATTCGGCACCGGATAATCTATCCTGCATCCTTCTTGTGACTGACACGAAGTCAGTCTGGTCAGAAGGTTCGTCGACACATCGTGCATCACAATACCCGGTGTAACGAAACTATGGATCCCTCGACGCCTCTTCCTTTGATATTAATGTGATTAGTTCTGTCCAGTAAAGACCTAGCTCGACGCTGGCGTATAAATAACCCAATCACCGCTGCCCCACCATATGACGTTTTGAAAGACGAACAATCTTGGAGAACGTCGTGCCACGAGCTCCTTTCCCAAGCGCACACGCTAGGGGGTATCGCAGAACTATCGTTCGAAGTTGTTGACTCCAACTACTCTGTGAGCTATCTCGCCTACCTCGACGTTACAACGAGGAAGAAGCTGATTGAGCAACACGCCATGCCACGCTCCGCAGGACCTCGCGTTCGACCTCGAGTGTGAGGCTTTCAAGTGGCGATGGGAGACGAACTTCGTTGGCCACAAATTGTCTGCTGAGATAATATCGAAGCACCTTGTGATGCCCCTCATCAGCGTGAACCATCTTGCGTTCGCCTCAGCTGACCCAGTTTGCGAGCTACCTGAGGCAGATCTTGAGAAGGTTCGTCAGCAATTTTCCTATCTCTCCTGCTTCGCACTCACAAATACCTGATGGTTACTTCGATGGCCTTCCTGCATATCCAGGCTGTTGACAAAATGGCTCGCACCGCAAGACGAACGGTCGATACGCACGTCAGGCATGCCATTTCCAAACCCCGCCTAGCTACTACGCTTCGCCGCATGACAGCCATGTTCAACTTCATCCCAGAACTCCGTGAGTCACCTCCTTATCTACCTATCAGGTTTTCAGGCAGTTGAATTTTCTTCTTGCTTCGCTTGAACTCGTAGCGTCCATACTGTCAACAGCCGCTAAACCAGAACTGCGGGCTGTAGTAAATCCACCGACTTCCCAACCAAAGATACGGCCTGTCCCTCCGCTGCTCGTGGACAAAGGTTTTACCACTCCAGAAATTGACCAGCCCCCCGTCCGAGATCTCCCCAAAGTTGATACAAGGGTTCCCTCTTCGTCGCCTAAGTCTGGTGCTTCCTCCAGACGACCAGTCACCGCCGACTCGGCTACTGAATCAGACAGCGATGATGAACCACCGCAGACCACAGATAAGGGCAAAGAACGTGTCCTCGATGCCCCACACACCTCATCCTCGCAGGGGATGAAGTCACCACTACCAAGCGCCTCAAATCAACCGTCAACAAACGTTCCGGTTTCCGATGATGACTCTTCCCCACACAGACCTACCAAAAAAGCTAAGCCGCCAGCTCCTAGCAGCAGTGACGAAGACAGCGAGGCTGAGCGAAGACGCCGAATCGCCCAACTGAAAAAAGGCACGGTCGGAACCTCTAACCGTCAGGGTGCGAGACAACCCATCAAGAGAGGAGGGAAACGCTTCTAGTCCTTTGTAGCGGTGGTCCTCCACTTCACTTGAACATCCTATGTTAAGACTAGCTCTGCGCTCGGATATCAGCACTCTCCGGCCTCTATTCAATACACATTGTTATCAGCTGATACGAATTCAGCATCAGCCCAAACTATCTCATCGATTGTTGTCCGTAGCCGCTGGAGTCACTGTTGATGGTGCTACATCGGCAAAGAAAGAGATGCATATGGATCTACATGCGAGGTTGCGCGCGCGAAGGTCCCTGCAAATTGTTGCTTCTCTGGCTTTGACTGAAGGTGTATCGACCCTGGACACATGATCCATGTGCGACCACACGCGTCATGATTTGGTCTGCGTGCCTAGGTCCTTACCTCAGATGGCAATTGTTCAAGGATCCCTCCCCTCGCATAGATGATGGATAGGATATTGTACACTGCCCAACGGCACAGCCATGGACTGGTATCAACTAGAAATATGCATCGCCCAACGCTGTGGTTACCCTCGACCTGATGATAAGCGTTCGAATGCAGCAGCTCTACACGCATCGCAAGACACTTGGAACATATTCCGTACTTTGCGCTCGTCCTGGTCTTGCTACAAATGCATTACTAACATCAGCACGGACGAATACAGTGTTGATCGTCGCAAGCCTCACTTTCGGACACGGACAGTTCGGCGCCGTGTGTCTATGCGCAGCACTGACCCCACACTTTGGCGAGTTGCAGTCTGTTCTCTCGCCTGTGTAATATAAACCCACAAAATGCTGGCACTTGCGCGTGAGGATAGATGATGCCCTATCATAATCATATACGGACCTGGCATCCCCTATAGTAATCGCCTATGAGTTCCGCCGTGCACATATCTGCCCGAAGGTCAGCAAGGGGGAATATAAGGCACAAATCTGATTACCTTTACTTGGAAGGTGTTGGGTACTTTGGAGAAATAAGGAGTGTCGGTTGATGTTAACTGATGTGGACATGACGCTACTTATAGTCATTCGCAATCCGATAGAGGTAATCTAGGATGGAATAGCATGCAGTCTGGAGCTATCACGAGATCACCAAATTGACAGACCGGGCGTCGAACCTGTGCGATTGTATAATCAGAGCGTCAGGACTCAGCGGCTTGTTTCGGTAGCAAAGTGCCGGAAGTAGATAGGCGACTTATCCATGTAGTACCAAGGCAAGGAACTCTACACTCCGCATTGAATGGATTATACGGACCGAAGAGATGACTCACCGAAGTCGTTGACTCGAGCATAAATCGCCCGCAAGAATCTGTCGTGACGAGGGGCACAATCATGACAAAATAAACGATGAGCTCCTGCGTGTCGGCCTCGTTGCCGTATGACAAAGGAAGCTCTGTGACACTGGAGCCCACCTGCCTGGTATGGGTTGTATGGGATCAAAATTTAAGGAAGACGAACTGGACAATACCCGTCTGACGTTAATATTACTGTAGATACCGAGGCCACGGAGCACCTGGTTAAGTGAGGTTAATAGGTAGCTTCTACTTAGCTTACTTAGCTGATTGCTTCCAGCGTTTGGATTGCGATGCCCAAGGTCACATCAAGAACTGGAGATATCGGTACATCGGAGTTGCATGAAAAAGTATCGCTGGATCGCTGGAGTTGAGAATCAGGATGAAAGCAGATGATATGTACTCATGATGCTTCGGAGTTAGAAGGACAGTATGATATCCCTGTTGCGAAATAAATGCCGAGCAGGCCTGCCTATAATGCAAACTGTGAGCCACAATTCGCAGTTACCGTTCCCTATTTGTGTATCACGAAGTAGTCGTGGAGGCAACGTGTGTACGTGTTTCACACGACGGCTTGCTTATCAGAAAGTTGGCTTTCCTCCATGGCTATATGGGAGTGACGGGATCCAGGCACTTTTCATGATGCATATCCGTCACCGGCAGTCAATTGGTAGGGCTTAAGGCAGCCTTGGATACTCTGGATCACCATTGTCCCTGTAATGGAGTATGAGGTGTTGACACCGGGGGGCTGTTGACGTAGACCTGCATAAACCCAAGACAAACTGATAGTCAGTCGGTGTACGACCATCATCTTTGCGGGCATGCTGACCCAACGAGGATGGGCCATAATAGCGCCTCCTGGAGAGAGCATGAGCAACTATATCGCTTGGAAATGAGGATGGCAAGGAAAAAGAAGCGTTCTGTAATTTGACGAAAATGTCAGGAGACCCATGCTGTCAGCGGGCCTATTGAGAGGCGGGAGCTGGCCGTGGAAATTTTCCTTTCAATGAGGAAGGAGGGAAGATCGTAGAAACGAAGGAATCATCCATCTCCGATGTATCTTCACCATCACAGGTGGCGTAAGATATTCGCATAATGGGAATTTCTATAGAGAAACGGTCTCAGCGTCGTGCATCCGCGTTGTATTAGCCCTTTGAGAGGATGTCAGATTTGTATGTCAGTACTGCGGAGAAGATACGCTCACTGCTCGAAGCGGTCAAGACAGGCCTGTAATACATTGCCAATTGCCCCCTGGACCGCCTCAATGGTGGAGTAGTCAAATAAATGACTTGAAAAAGCGATCCTTCGAGAAGTAGCAGGCCGAAGGTGCCTTATTCCAGCTAGGCTGGTGGCTCGAGCTAGGTCGGCTTGAAATGACCAAAACTGGTGACCGCGAGTATGCCCAGATTGATAGAAGTTCCTGCCATCCTGCGAGTTCGATACATGTGTTGGCTCTACTGCAGGCGCGGTTTCATGCCTGCGTATGGAAATTCTTGTGCACAACAGTGCTCACGAGCGAACGCGTTACAGAGGTCATGATAGAGTTGAACCACAAGGTAATCAGAGGCGCCCGCTCTTCGCTAACCGCTAACTCCGGTGCTTCACGAGCGCTAAAAACGCAGCACTGACCGACGACCGTCAACGACATGGATGCTCACGGTGGCATTGAAGATGATGACCAGAAGCTGCTACAGGTGTGCGGTATTGGTACATAACTTCTTTTCTGGACTTCATTTTGCTTCTAGTCAGCGCTTTCCGACGCTTTCAATGTCCCCCCACTTGCTACGGAACGCGTAGAATCCGCACCCGCGCCGCAGCCTAAGGTCGCGACAGAAGAGCCAAGCGCGGATACCAGTAGCTCCAGCTCAGATAACGATGCATGGAAACATGAATACGAGTCTCAGGTGGAAACATGGCGAGAGCAGTCTGCGCTAGCCCGCGAACGGGCTGAGAAGGAGCGAGCTCGTTGGGAGGCGCTACGCGCTACGGAACAACAAGACCTAGCACGGCGAGGTCTTGAGCAAAAGCAGCCACTGGTTGAAGCCCCCTCCGTGACATTCACGTCTTCTTTTGATTCACCAAGCCCAGCCGATTCTCGTGACCTCGTTGCAGGAGAATCTCAGAAGCAGGTAAGTAAATATCAAAACCTGGAGCTTTCGTACCGTTTCACATCGATTGCCACAGGCTGCCCCACTAGCTGCTCCGCCTAGTGGTCTCGCACATGCTTCAGTCACCTCGCGCACAGACAACCCAGAGAAGTGGGAAGATATCCCCTCCTCCTTGACTTCGTCGTTTCCATCCATGTCGTTTCCGGAACATACCGAGACGCCTTCACCGACAAGCAAACCACAACCGGAAGCCACAAAAATCAACCCACCTTCAGCCACAGTTTCTGTGTTTGATACTTCCCTTTCGACGCAAACGCGTGCCAAAGCCTTGTTCGCCGCCGTCGCTATCAACCTACTATTGCCGTTTGTGAATGGCGTGATGCTCGGTTTTGGGGAAATATTTGCGAAGAACGTGGTTCTCCAGTGGTTTGGTTGGAATAAGCCTGCGAGGACAGGACGAGTAGCTACTGCGGTTGGGCTGGGGTTGTCAAAGCCATTTGATATATCTGCCAGAAAGGACCAATCTGGCGGTAAATAGAGGGGTGTATAAATATATTACGATAGTTACGGATATTACAACAGAGGCTACACATATTATAGACGAACATCTTTAGGTATGGCGCGGATTGCCTGTCGGACTCCGAGGTCACCGAGAACATCTTCAGCTGTAATTGTGATCGTCAGGGAAATCCGAAGTGATGGCAGAAAACGTGTACGTACCACCACCTAAGATAGCATCGAAGGGAACGGTACGATGATACTGTATCAAGTTCGTTAGAGAAGTGAGCTAGACTAGAATGATCACGGGCCTCACATGTTCAATCATGGCACCCATACCGGTCTTGGTGATACCACGACCACCAAAGATCTGGAAGAGAAGGAACGTTAACATGTGATCGTCGAATGTCTGTGTGTAAGAAGCGACGAACTTGAACAGCATCGGTAGCAGTCTCCTGGGCCGACCTCGTGGCATACATCTTGAGCAACGCAATTGGACTGCAACGAAGTCAATCAAAAGAAACATACACCAAGGAAGAGACAACATACCCAGCAAGCTTAGCAGCTTGTTCTTTGTAAGCCTGCGTTTCCCGCGAGTGTCAGTCAATGTTTGGGAAGAGAAGAGGCAGAAGAGGCAGACCATGTTGTTCATCTGGTGCGTGATGTTCTCAAGCCAATTTTGGACGCTCTCCACCCGAGCAATCATGGCTGCGAGCTTGCTCCTGATCACAGCTTGGGAGTTCAAGGGCTTTCCGAATGCTTTCCGTTGGTTCGTCCATCTGAAGACATATAAGGACAAGAAGAGGTAAATAGAAGTAGTGCCAACATACTGGAGACATTCTTCCACGATAAGACGCTGAGATCTCGCGGCGGAGCAGCACATCACCCATCGCTCGTGGTTGAAGTTGCTAAGCATGACAAATAGGCCTCCACCAACTGGTCCGAGAGTGTTTTCGACTGGCACCTTGACATTCTCGAAGGTGATGAAAGCAGTTCCAGCCGCGGGAGACTGAGAGGAGCTCGTTACTGCATGTTCTGATGGAGCCTCAAAGAATCTTGCACTCACGTAGCTGGTCTTGATTGGCTTTGTTTCGACGCCCTCTTGACGTTCTACAAGGATCACAGTGAATCCATCCTAGAAGCACGTTTCACTCAGCAGAGTCCGCGGTGGAAAACACAGACGTAAAACTTACCTCTGTTCGACATCCCACAGTGAAGCTGCATACTGTCAATAAACTAATATCACGCGCAGTCAGTGACTCACTAGTGAGCGAAGCTAAGTGTCCAGGAATTCTGTAAGCAGGCCGATCGATGTACACGATGCGGACACTCACGTTCCGTTCGTTATCCACTTCTTACTAAAAGGGGGGTATAATCAGTATACTTCAGCGACGTACTGGTTCAACGCGCAACGCTTACGTTCCTAGCATGAACGTGAGCACAGTAACAAGCTAATTTAGATGGAGGTTCTCACCGTTGATGATCCAGTGCTTGCCATCCTCGGTCTTAGTAGCTGTAGTGCGCAATCCTGCTACATCGCTACCGGCGAATGCCTCAGAGATGGCCAAACTTTGCACCCAATCGTCAGTCGGAGGTACAATGTGCGCGTAAATGATTGACACGAACCAGATGAGCTTCTTGCCTGAAAAGACGTCTGGTACAACCTTCGCCTGAATTTCGGGAGAGCCGAAATTAAGGACGGGGGGAAGCCCGATAACGGAGCCACTCAGGAAGCCTTGGGAGGGCTATTAACGACTGTACTTTAATTTGCACCCATGGCACCTACCGTCTCCGTAACCTCGTTGGCCCGTTCGCACGAACTCCTGGGTGACAATCAACTATAGCGAAGGAAAGTTTGAGCACCGTCGAGCGAATAGTAAAGATGTATCCCACCTCGTGGAAGTAGTCAAACTGTACGTGCAAAGGGTGAGTGGAGGGGATGCACGGTGTATCGGAAGAAGTTTACCTCTTCAGGCTTGACTAGCCCGCCCATCAACTCTTTGCCCTTGAGATGCTTTCCTGGTCCCATACGCATGGCGAGAAGGTTCAACTTGCTACATAGAGGCTCAGTTCTTGTTGCTAGATACGCCATGTGGTACTTACCACGATGCCTCAATGACACTGGCACTAGGAGGCTTTCCATCTTGTTCCCTGGCCTAGAACAACATGAGGTGAGATTGATTGCAGGTGGACTGGATTACAAGGGACGCACGTAGGCATCCGGCGCGACGACTTCATCAAAGAATTGTCGAAGTGCTTTCTGGAAACGCCTGTGATTCTACAAAGAAGTACTCCTTTAGTGTCACCGCGTTTATCTTGAGAAGCTGGGCATACCTCAGTGTAGTATGGGCTGTGGTATCCCTTGGACAACCAGTTTGGTTCAGCATATGGCACCGCGCTGAGTTCGCCCGTAATGCGCCCGTGGATAACGCTAGTCTCTCCTTCAATCGTGCCAATCTGGAGGCGGGCGTACTGAGGCCTTGCGATCACCTCATGCCTGTGAAGCCCGTAGAAGGCTTCTGTGGCATCCTGCCCAGCTGATCATGCAAGAAGTCAGCTTCAGAACAATATCAAATCTCTCTCTGGGACGCACCAATGTCTTCCTCCATAAATACAGATACACCACCTGGGTGGAGGTTCTTGAATCTTGTTACATCGTAGACTTTCCCATCGATGATAATCCACTGAAACGTTCTCATCAGCATAACGCATATATTTATACTATGTCGCTTTCTTACCAAATCGTCGGGGGTATTGTGCTAAACCAGGACGCGCGCCATCAGCATTGTGGGTGTACGAACGAGGTGGAAACCTCACCTTCGCGACTTCGTCTCTGGAGAAGGTCTTGAGTTGCTTTGAGGCCATTTCTGCGGTGGAGGTGGTGGTGGTAAAAGGTGAAGTAGCGACGGAGCAGTAGAGGCCTCCTGTTATATCGGGCGAGCTGATGTCGTCCGCCGCATGTGATTATCCCGAGCGTGTGGCAAGGCGGACGACAAACAAGCAACAAATAGGGCTGAGCCAATCGGAGCGCTGGTAATTCATACCCGAAATGCATCCTCTTCATCCAAGCGACGGAGATAATATCTCCATCCAAGTATATGGGGTATGGGTCCCATTATCATATGAAAACGATGTCTAGTGTACGGTACAAATGTGGGCGATATAAGCAGGTTATAGTCTAGAATCCTTGGGCATCTTGCGCAGTGCCTGTCGTACACCCAAATCGCCGAGAACGTCTTCGGCTCCTCCAAGTACACTGGCAGCGAAATCAGAATCGGCGTCAAATGACGGATGGAATCACTTACGCGTCAAACGGCACCGTGCGGTGGTACTGTTCCGTAGCGGTTAGCACCTAACGCGGAATAGGGAACATACTACTTACATGCTCGATAAACTTCCCCATCCCCGATCTGGTGATCCCACGACCTCCGAAGACCTGGACAGCATCGGCAGCCGTTTCTTGCGACGTATGTGTACTGTACATCTTCAAGAACGCGATTTGTCTATAGGCATGGTCAGTATTAAGAGAGACATCGAAACCGAGACCCTTGACGTACCCTGCCAATTTGTCGGACTGTTGGTTGTAGCTCATGTTGTTCATCTGGTAAGTAACATTTTCAAGCCAGTTCTGAGCGCTTTCAATTCTAGCAACCATCTGAGCGAGTTTGGCTCTGATGACTGGTTGCGAGTTTAATGGTTTCCCGAAGGCTTTTCGTTGGTTCGCCCACCTGGCGGCGTCAGCTTGAACTGACATCGCGATCAAAAAAGGAAAGACCTTACTTGAAGCACTCCTCAACGATAACTCGTTGCGATGAGATGTTTGCGCATGCCATACCCCATCTATCACTCCGTTTAGGTACTGCAAGGTCAAGATCACGGAAATGCGCACCGTTCGTGATTGAAGTTACTCAGGATAACGTGGAGACCTTTGTCTTCAGGTCCAAGCGTATTCTCGACAGGGACCTTGACATTGTCGAAGGTGATGTATGCAGTTCCGGCAGCCGTTGAATAAGACGTCTTGATGAGCTTAGTCTCCAAGCCCTCCTGTCGCTCGATGCACAGGACGACCATGCCCTTCTCGTTGCGACAACCAACGGTGAAATAATCTGCGAATGCACCGTTCGTGATCCATTTCTTCGTGCCTATGCCCGAGATATGAGTTTGCCACGTTCTACGAAGTAATGCACTCACCATTCACTATCCAGTGTTTCCCGTCTTCAGTCTTCTTAGCGGTACACCGTAGACCTGCTACATCGCTACCGGCGAACGCCTCGGTAATAGCAAGACATCTAAAAATAGAGATGAAGCCAAGTGGGACTAGTTGAGACGTGCAAAACTTACACGAATTTCTGGCCAGAGAAGACTTCTTCCACGATTCTGTCGCGTAGCGCTGGTTGGGCGAAGTTGATGATAGGGGGGAGTCCAATCGCAGTTCCTCCGCCAAGCCCATCAGTGTAACCACGGGCATTCAAGCGTCCCAACTCTTGAGCCATGATTAATTCATGGAAGCAGTCGAACTGTCGGCGACTATTAAAACCCGCGAAGTAAACGGCATCGGGACAAACTAACCTCTTCGGGCTTCACGAGCCCATTCATGAGGGTACGACCTTCCAAGTGTTTGCCGGGACCAAAGCGCATCGCGATAATATTTAACTTGGCCATCTCATCAAAGACCGATTGCGACGGGCGTTTGCCATCTTCCTCTCTGGCTTGAGCGTCCGGTAGAACAACGCGTTCCACAAACTCGCGGAAAGCTACCTGGAATTTACGGTGGGCCTGCGAGGGACATTTAGTTGCTTCGTCGTTGGAATGGTTGGAAATGAGACGTACATCTGTGTAGTAAGGACTGTGATAACCCGGCGTAAGCCATGTAGGCTCTGCGTATGGGATCTCGCTCTTTGCACCAATGGCTCTTGGTTTGATTTGTTCCGTCTCTCCTGGGACTACACCAATCTGCAAGCGAGCATACTGAGGCCTCAGCAGAACTTCATGCCTGTGTAAGGAGAAAAATGTGTCTGTTGCGTCTTGTCCGGCTAAAGGGGACATTCAGCATGTTATTCAGGTATTGCGCCCGCGAAATGGGGTAATAAATCAACTCACCGACTTCATCGTCAAGCAGGACCGCGAAGCCACCAGGGTGCATAGCACCGAAGCGTGAAAGGTCATATACCTTGGAGTCCACGACAATCCACTATATTGTTATCAAGTAGTCAGCACTAGCAGGACCTCCAGAGACAGAAAACTCGCCAGATCGCCGGGCTTGTTGTGTGTCGCTATCTCCTCCTTCGTGTACTGCTTGGTCTTCGACATTTTCTCCAGTAAAAGGGTGTCTGTAGAGAAAATGAGATGTCAGGGAACTATATACGGACTTCCGGCAATAATGGACGCGGGTCGGGGCTGCACGGTAGCCAATCAAGGCCCCCGGAATTTGTCAAAGATGGGGTCAATCACATGGCGCCGCTGTGCAGGGAGCTCAAGGCACGAGCGCTTATTTGGCGCAGCTGTCCCATGTCTTCAAGTTTCAGCGATTCACGATGCTGCCGACGACGTTGACGAGCTTGATTGTCTCGTTTCTCGACGTTTTCACCAGCAGATACCATTTCTCTACCACCGCCCCCGCCCCCGCCCTCGCCCCGCGCCCTGCTAAACTTCAGTTCCAGTTACGGCACTTACATGCTGTCTCGCCGTCTGCGCACGTAGTCTTCTCTGATATCACACCTGACTCTATTTCACGGCGGCCAGTCTACGATAATTACACGACACATGAATTTCTGTCGGGGTCGAACCAGACGACCTACTCGCTTCACACACGCCCGCTGCGCACCCACCGTTTGAAGTCATTTCAATCACACTCGGAAGCCCGGTTACGATCTCTTCATCATCTGCAGACCACTCCTGCCCATCAATTGTGGGATGAACCAGAGGAAGTGGATGGTCCAGATGTACAGAATCGAGAGACCCTTCTTGAGTTGGCTAAGATGACGAATAATGCGTATCTGGAGCCTGGACAAGATGGATGGTATGATTTGGACGAGCGGTGGAATGTCGTGAGTGCTCTTGATGCTTACGTGCTTAATGCTCTTTTAGCTGATCAATGAACCAACTGAATTCATTCACGTCTTGATGAACGGTCGCCGATTACCCTTGTGCTTCAGTCGTATCCTTTTGGCTGGGAACCTGATGCTGACGGCTTTCGAGGCCATGTCTTTGCAACCCCCGACAATTCCACGGTTGTTCTCTCAATCAAAGGCACTTCTTCTGGCTTCTTCGGGAATGGCGGACCGACTGTGAAGAAAGACAAGCTAAACGACAACCTGCTGTTTAGCTGTTGTTGTGCTAGAGTAGATTTCACTTGGTCTGTGGTCTGCGATTGCTGGAGGGGAGGTGGCAAGTGCGATATACAGTGTTTGGAAGATGCGCTGGTGGAAGAGAGTTTGTTTTATCCGATTGGGACTGTGAGTGTCTTCATTCATGATTGTATGCTGTGGTCTGAGTGATCGGGACGTGGTTGGCAACTAGAATCTTTACAATAACCTAACATATATGTATCCGGACTCGGACATCTGGGTGATTGGGCATTCCTTGGGCGGTGCGCTAGGGAGTTTGTTGGGTGCGACTTTTGGTGCGCCCGTCGTGACGTTCGAATCTCCTGGAGAGAAGATGGCTGCAGGGAGGCTACATCTGCCTTCCCCCGTATGTCCTAGTGTCTCTTCATCCTTAATTAGTCTGAACTCATTTCACCGATTAGCCCTCCACACATCATATCACCCATGTATACCACACAGCAGACCCAATAGCCATGGGTACATGCACAGGCGTATTGTCCTCATGCGCGATCGCTGGCTACGCCTTAGAATCACGGTGCGACGCTCCGTCTTCCTTCTGTAAATGGTCGCATGTATCTGATATAGTGCATTATTATTTTAGTTGTCACTTAGGCAAGACGATTCTGTACGACACAGTCTCGGTACTCGATTGGAGCGTCGACGTGCGCAAACATGGTATAGTCAACGTCATAGAGAAGATTCTTGCGGAACCGTGGCCTCCGAGCATTGAAGAGGACAGAGAAGTCCCCGAAGCGAAGGCGGAAGAAGATTGCGTGGTGAGTTCCGCATTTTGGCCAGGATAGATGGAATACTGATATTTGATGGTAGGAATGCTACAGCTATGAATTCGGTGATTTTCCGTGACTAGACATTTGATGTTCCATTCCTTGGAACCGGACGACACATGTATGTATGTCCAGCGTCAGTGTCTTGACGGTCGAGATTATCCTATTTCGGCACAATATACTTAATTGTAAGGATACTTTGGGAGGATGTTTTTCTGATCATAGCTCTTGGCTGGCTACTGAATGCTGCTAAACCAAATGGGATATAACCTATGCATGGTCACCTCCGCTGTTGATAGCCTGTCGAAATCCTCGCCCCGCTAAGCCGTATTCCTTCTTCGAGGTTTGACCAACAGATGCGCATTCAAAGGCGGGAAGATCGCCCCAGCAAAAACCACATTCTTCGGTCGGGTGGTCTGACCAGCGGGAAATTTGATATCGTAATTCAGAAGGAAGTAGGCTATTATGACTTTGAGCTGCATCTAAGTAGATATTAGATATCGCGATACAGTATTGCCGAGAGCCATACGATGAGTCAACTCACTGATGCGAAGAATCGCCCTGGGCAGGCATGTCTACCTAATTACATATGAATTGGTTAGTACGCTCCCTTTAGGCGCGTCGAGAGTGATTGTGGATCATTTGTCTACCTAAGCCAAAGGGCAAGAACTGTGAATGAATCCATTAGATGGAAATTAGAGCGTTGAAGAATAAACGTACATGGTTATCCACCGTCGTAAACCCATATTTCGCACCACAATCTAAGGGGGAAATATTACTCTAGCACTGGGGACATGGACGAATATTTCACTAACCGGTCTCTGCTCTGATCTTGGAAAACCTGAATGGATCGAAACGGTAGGGGTCGCGGTACACTTCAGGGTTAAAATGGATACGTCTGACATCGAAAGCGACCTCGTGGCCAGCGGGTATGACGACTCCATCAGACAAAAGGCCATCTGCGATAGTCCGGCGACTCATGCCAACTATGTCGATTGTTAACCATAACCCAGACAAGTGGTTAGATTCTCACACAAAGTCAAACCGTGGAAGCGAGCGATTTCTCTTAAAATGCTGTCGATCTTCGTGAATTTATTCAGCACAGATTTGGTCCAGCCGCCCTCTTGTTCGAGAGCTTGTTCAACTTCGATCCTGATGCTGTCAATGTCCTCAGGGGACATCTGAGCCGCCTCAAATAGAGTATGAGCAAAGAAGAGCGAGCTGAGGGGTTTCCTAGTCAATGATGCAGCAGTTATTGTAGGGGGGCTACCCACCTGGTATGTATGCTGGCAAAGTTGATATTTAAAATCCTCATGGATAGATCGTCTATGTCTGAGGCCAGATGCGGAGGTACATCATTGATAAGGAGCTCTGCGAGGTTGAACTGAGAGAGAGAGAGAGAAGAGTCTTGTGGTCGGAAATTGACATAGAAGCCAAACGAAGGAAGGACTCACAGGATGATCATCAGAAAGTGTTCGCTCTTCCAGACGCTTAGCGAAGTACGGTTTCAAGAAAGCCAGCGGTTGCTTTGAGCCGCCCCAAACGGATGATAAAATAAAGTAGGCTAGGCTAGATGGTATGACGAGTAAGCCATTGTATCCGCACAGCACTAAACATGCTATACACACGGTCGTAAGATGACGGGGGTCCAAAGCAGGATTCGCCCATGGACGAAGACGGTTTCGGCGAAGTGAACAACTGCTTTAATGAAACCCTCGTTTCGGCATAGGTCCGTGCCCACGATGGCACGGTTGGTGATACGGGCGACTATGTACGGTATGTCGTGCATTACTGGCAACTCAGTATATTCTGAACAGGCACATGGAGTAAGCATCAACAGCAGCCAAAGGGTGGTGTAAGCGTACCAGAACCAGGAAGTAGCTTCAAGGCCTGTCCCAGTACGACGGTCGTCTCGTCCAATATATTTGGGAGCAATTGAGGAATTCCTTTGGTGAATTCCTTTCGTACAGTAGACATATGGAAAGGGGTGGCCTGTTGATTGGAATTTAAGAGATGATCGAATTGCAGCATCTACGCCAAGCGTCAGAGTTACTAAACCAAACCACTGGAAGATAGCCAATGTCGTACTTCGCTGACTTGAGTGGGTTGATTAAACTTGGCATACGTGGTCAGCTTCATTTGATGCGTAGCACGGCGCAAGAAATGAACGAACAATCGTGTCATCGCTGGAACGCAAAGTTTCCAGGTGGTGGGGATCAAGGACAATCACCCAGCCAGAAAGGGACGGCACGGCGAATGAACGACCTGCAAAGAGTTTGCGAGCTTCATTTAGAACCTGTTCGGTGTTTATGGTGAATCGTAGTGCCGTGATAAAGTAACTGATTCCTCCACGTATACCGATGCGAGGGAGCCCTTTGGGTGCACCATCGACGAGGAGATGGTAAACGATGAACGATAAAGCCACGGGAGCTAACAACATGGATATCATGGTCATTGAAGACCATCACGGTGCTCCTGCGGGGCACTTAAGTACTCAGATTGGCTTTGCGTAACGCGAAGAAGGGGTTTGGTCAAGCCTAGAAGACGTTCCATAGTATAGTGGAAGTGGCACTCGAGCCTGAAAGGCATTTGAAGTGATGGCACTTCTGAAAGAGCGAGCGAAAGGGCGAGCGAGTTGCGATCCGCAGTGCATGCCTGCCTGCACTATTTCTGATCATCAGAGTGTGTCAAGTTTCCGTAGAGTTCAAAACCAAACTCACATGTAAAGTTCGCGCGCTGCTCGGCGGTGGAAATGAAAATGTTGAAGTCCAGCGCCCCCTGTCTCTCAAGCTCACCCTCCTAACTCAAGCTCAGCCAAATACCTACTGGTCCGTGCGCACCCCTCATTTCGTATATAATCGCGGCACCTCCGTTCTGTGTTCCTTATCTCTTGTGCTCGGGCATGTACTGTCGCCAGTGAGGTCTTTACCGAGGCACAGTCTTTTGCTGATTGCAAATTACACATCCGAACCCGTCTGTTAGCTTCGGCTTTCAGCAATTTTTGGAAACACCCTCCCTTTCTCTACCTTGTGACGGCATTGTTTTATGCTTGAAGGAGAGCAAGACTAGTTAGTAGAAATAGCAGTGAATAAATCATTTGCATTGGCACTACTTCTTGGAGTGAAAACTATACCGACACATCTCATCCCGTTTGATCCTTGTGTAAACTCAATAGATCTAACATTTGGATATTGATGCCTTCCAAAGGTGGTATGGTACGAGCGGGTACAGTGACGGCGATGAATACCAGGATTCGAGGAAAGTTTCATAGGCTTGCGCTAGCTAGAACTCGTAGGCCAACTCGTAGAACTTCGATGGTGGATGTCTCGACACCAAATGCTTTGTGTTCGATGATTGATGAAACGTGAGCTTGCTGCACGGCAGCTTCGAAGAATCTAGACGTACCTGTGAATCGAACTGTACCTCTGCTCGAGTGGCAAGTAAAAAAGGTGTCCAAAGTGGACGCTCGCCGATGCCGACAAGCCATAGATATTGTACAAACTACTAGAAGTACACATTTTGCACAGCTGTAACATAGATACGACAGTAAAGAGTGACTAGTATATTCTACGATTCTATCCTTCTCCAATTTAAATAATATCTTACACCAGAAAGTATCACCCAACATAGTTAACCCTCAGATGTTCACTCCTCAACCTGAATCACCAGGGTGCCGAACGACGCCTCCTCCGCCCCCTCCGCCTCCCCCGCAGCCGAGAGCGAAAGCGTCATGCGCAGGTCCTTGGGCACGCGCGACCGTCCACGCTCGACTTCGATTTCCGCCGAGTCACGTCTCGCCTTCTTCCCCTTCGACGCACCCAGTGGTGGCTGCACGAGGAATATCGCGACGATGGCAAGGATCAGGATCCCTGCTGCCGTGTTGAAGACTGCCTTGGGGAAGGTGGCGACGGTCCCACTGTATATCAAACCGAAGATCAAAGGCTGGAGAGGAGGAAGTCATTATTGTCAGCGAGTGCAAAAAACAGAGTGGAGACCAAAACTCACCCCTAGGATCATTTGCCCGACGGCCTGCAATACAGCGAGCGCGCCGAACAGCTTGCCAGCAGCAGGCGCTGCTCCGGGTGTCGACGTAGGCGATCCATTCGTCGTGGGGTCAGCGTTCTCCTCAGAGGACAATGCACGGGCCTGGAGGATGCACAGCGCCAAGCTCTGCACCGCGGGCATGAACCCACACCCAAAGCTCGTCAAACTCGACGCCATCACGAACAGCGCCTGCGAGTGCGCCTCCGCCGGCGAGCCCGAGCCCGGAGTCGCGGAAATCGAGGGGGAGGTGTGCACTTTGTACGCGGGCGAGGGCGACAGCATGACGAGGACATTCGACGTGATGTCGAGCATCAGCGAGGCTCGACACAGGCTCATGTCGAAGCGCATCTCGCGCGCGAGATGCGCCTTGGTCAGCTTCGGCTTCCCTGACTTCGATTTGGACGGCGTGCTTTTCGGGATTTGTTTCGTTGGAGGGACCGGGATGTTCGTGTATCTGATGTTGTTGCCAGTGAGGTGGCCGACGTTCGAGGCCTGTGAGGTGGAGGCGGATTTGGTTTTCTTGGACCCTGGTTGGGGTTTGAATGTACTGATAATGACTGCAAGGAGAAATAAGATCACTTGTCGGCAAGAAGGATGATGCAACTCACAGGGTAGTATAAATAAGAGATGGACAGCGCGGGCACCGCCCATGAAAGAGATGTAATAACTCAAGACCTCGGCGGACCAGCCATAGACATGGACAGCGTATAGATATTTGATCTGAAATATACCCTATATATTGTGGAGATTGAGAAACAAATTGACCTCGATATAGCGGGACCACTCACAGCAGAAAGATAATAGCCAAATAACGCGATTGCCAGGAATGTCAGACTCCAGTCGCTTCTGCCTTGTACCTTCTGGGGGAGGAATATACCAAGTGGCTGTAGCACTCGCATGATGAAGTTCGGGTCACCGCCTGCCTTGCCGCTCTCGGGGTTCGCGCTCGAAGACGACTCGTCGCCCGCTACATCTGCAGTGACAAGCGCCCTGCCTTTCCCCTTTCCTTCACCATTGTACTCGAACCGCGCAGCCGCTTGCTTTTCCTTGGAGAGCGACTCCGGTATGACGAAGAATATGAGCACAAGGTTGGCCAGCGAAGCGAGCGCCGACACCCAGAACACAGGCGTCACCGATTGCCGAGTCGGATCGGGATGCATGGCGCCCAAGTAGTCAAAGAACTTGACAGAATTCGAGTGCCTGATTAGCCAGCCACCAATACTGGGACCAACGCTGAACCCCAGATAGAATACGCCGGTGAAACGAGAAAAGATATGCGCGCGCGAGCCAGCTGATGTGCAATCACTGATGTAAGCAGAAATGCCCGCTTGCAGGGCAGACCATCCGCCCAGCGACCCCTCGATGATGGGTGCCAGGATCAGCAACTTGTGTCCGTGCGCAGCAAGCGGGCTCGATGGTGTAGACACGAGAATAAATGTCAGATCACTGTCACGAACGATGGTCAGTATATAACAACGAATTATTATGAGGAACCTACGTCATGAGAACTCCCAGCGTTGTGAGAGCCAGCACTCGGCATCGACCGTATCTTTCGCCAAAGTGACCCCACCACCCCGTTGTCAGCGCCGACAGCGAGCCCATGATAATCGTCATCACAGTCTGGATCCTCGCCGCTCCCGCCTGCACATCCGAGTCAGACATGCAGCGTTCAGAAGGCACCGTCATGGGATCCCGGTCTTCGTCACCGGTGACATTCGAGATGAAATTCAGGGAAACGAGTCCGGCATTGGGGAGGTATGGGCTCAGTGGGTCGATCGTAGATGACAGTCCGGCTACTCCGGTCCCACGCAGACGGACATCCGCGGGGGCATGCTGCGAAGTGTGGGTAGAGTTCTTGTGCAAGGCCTGGCAGGCCAGCTGCGTGAACACCTCCACTCTTGGAGCCAGAGTCATCCCTCGCTGCGATAAGTTCAGCGCATAATTCTGATATGATAAGCACATGGCGTACCACGAGAGCAGCTGCGACGGCGAACGGAACGAGCCTGGGCACCGATAAGATTAATTTATTCCTACGTGTGTCACAGCTTACCATAAAGGCCTGGCACGATAGAAGGGCTTTCTTCGCGGTGGTGGCGCTCCCAATAGCGGCTCGTGCTCAGACGGAATGTCTGACCTGTGGCTACTCGATGTCGAAAGCTCGGGGGTAATTAGTGCGCCGAAAACGACGGCGTCAAGCTTTGGAGGGTCCGACATGGTGGTGGTAAGAAGGAAAGGGAGTCCGGGCCAGCCTGAATCAGCGTGTTGGTATGTCGCCGCTCACGTTCATTAGGTGAGGCGTCGGTTATTAATAGCTTCGATCGTGAGAACGTTCTCTCTCTACCTTGACGGTCAGCGCCTCTTCACTTAGATTCAGAATTCAGAATCATAAGTGACAGGCAATCGTGATCTGCTAGTGCTAGCGATGATCTCTTGGAAATGCTCTCTGTCAGAGGAATTGCACAATTATATCGTACCAGAAAACATGTACCCCGAAGGCACATCTCCGGGACTTTTAGTACCAGTAAATCGTTATCGGACCGTCCACAAGCTCATTGTCTTCACACTATGCTTCTATTACTCTTCTAGGAATCCGGAGTCGTTGGAATTGAATCGGTAAATGAATACATCGAACCTGAATTGTCCGCTACATGCTGGCCGCCTTACATCTCATTATTATGTCGCGCTGCCGAAAATCTGGTACCTCCTGCAGATACTTGGCCCAATCTCGTCATATTGAGCCTTCGTGTGGCAAGATGTGTAGAATTCCGGGAGCGACGCCAGCAACGACCCACCGAACCACACAGCGTATCTAAATACACAACCATATTCAGAACACAGCTTAATCGGTGCAACGCCCACTCACCTTTGCCGCTTGTGCGAGATAACATCGACTTCGACTCCAGATGACTACGGGCGAGTGAGTACGACGACGTCTACAAGTCACCCTACGCACCTTCAGCACGCTACCGCTGGCAGTCGCACTCGCATCCAGCCGACGATCAACCAATTGCTTCAGATCACGCTTTAGCCGTTGTCCAAAGTGCTGGAACATTGTCGATCCACCAGACAGCACGATGTTCTGATTCCAACTGTCAGTGCGCGACCAGAAGATGTGTAAGCTGCTCACCTTGTACAGGCCGCGGCGTACGTCGATCGGCGACTGTTGAATCACGTCGTCGACGATCTCAGGCAGCGGCGTCAAGAAATCCGACGAGTATATTTCGGGGTTGAAGAAGATCTCAGGGGCCAAGAATCGCTCGTATCCGACGTCGAGGGTGTATTTCTGTCATCCATTTAGAATTGGAAGTGATGACCAACATTCTGCTTACCCTGCCGGTGACGGTAGCCTCGCCTTCGTACCGCTCAAAGTACTTGTACGGTTCCGCGTCGTACTTCCTGAACTCCCTGACGATATCCTGGCAGACGTAGCTGTAGTCCTCCTTGACTTTGCTCGCCACTTTCAGATGGTCCTCGGGCGGCACTGCCGTCATCTCGCCGCGCTCGCGCATCAGATTCAGCACAAACTGCGAAATATCGCGCCCGGCGATCGGGATGTGCTTGATGGCACTACCAATAACGTAGCCTTCAGCGCAAGGAATGACGTGCGTCACGCCATCACCCGAGTCGATGACCGTGCCGGTGAGCGTTCGATCGACGACGCGGTTGGAAGTCCATGATGCAGCGAGAGCAAGCACGGCCTGGACAGCGATATAGAGACCCTTAATGTTGAACGATTCGAAGAAGATTTCGGCCGTTTGTTCTCTGTTCTCGGGTGGATTGAGAGGTGGTTCGGTCTGTTTGCGACATCATGTTTTGATTGGATCTAAGAGTACAGGTGATGCTACTCACGAGGAGAAAGTAGTGATCCTCTGGCTCGGCCCGTAGGTACTTGAATATCGTCTGCTCCCAGTACCGTTCCATGTGATCCCAGTTGTCAATCATTCCATGGCGAATGGGATAGTGAACGCCGTAGCCGGGAGTCTTAGCGTTTGCAAGTGCCTCATCGCCAATGAAGAAGTCGAGGTCCTCTACTCCACGTTTCGATGCTAGATTGCCTGGCTTCGCTGGGACTGCGGGTCCCCGCGACGTTTGGGAAGACGAGCCACGGGTAGCAATAGCAGTTGGGAACACACTGCGCACTTGTGAGGAGCCTCTCAATCAAGATCGATTCACTACTTACAAAGATGGATCAGAATTCCCTGCAAACCTTTGGATCAGGGTGTATCAGTCGATGTATCTGTTTGGGACAAATCCACATACCCGACTTTTGAATACCCTGTGCCATTGTCGCATATAATTGGGGCAAGTTGCGCCATGGTGACGGGACTCACGGCGAAGGTGATGGGTGAGGAGTGAGCAGATTTGACCGCGCAGCTGAGGGTTGTTTGGGTCTCAAGCAATCTCCGCTTTGGGCGTCTAATGTAGAGATACTAATTTCGAGTCCGTACCTTTTCTGATTTCGTACCTTCATGGGGGTATTCACGTCTCTGGCGTCGAAATGGATCAAGCAGCGAGTCTCGGACGCGTAGAGCAACCTCATCTTGTCTCGCTGGTACTTCAGTCGAAGAAAGCGCTGCAGCAGGGTGGTCTGCTATGCTCGACCGCCGACAACATATCCAAATCGTCCGCGCAGTGCGCTGTTGATGTTCTTGCGCTCGACGCTCGAGTCAGGTGGATATCGGACGCGGTGGCTGAACAGCTCAAGGTGCGTGACGGTTTGACTTGTGACTCTCAAGTGCGGCTGATACGGAAAGCAGCTCGCGGCCAGTGTGGCTAAAAGCATAGAGGAGAAACGCGCACAGCTGCGAAGGAGCATTTCGGTCCGTGTCTCTGACCTGATCCTGTGCGCTCTTTGTAGATTTGACGAACCGATGCTAGGAATGGGACAGTTCCCGTGCGCGTCATGCCGATGACCTCGAGCGAGTTCTCGAATCTCTGAGCAGCCAATACGTTCCGCCAGGTTTCCACCAAACGTCCTCGGATTCATCACTATTTGGCAGCCAACATTCGCTGAATGGGAAAGCAGAGGAACGGGGGCGGAATGGGCATGCGGTTTCTGCTCAAACAAGTCCGTCTGCGACAATTCTTGGACTTCAAGACGGGCGAATGCATAGTGATCGCAGGAAGTGGAAGACCCTTCGCGACTTTGTTGACGATGGGGCAATAGAGGACGCGTTGGAAATCATTGAGAACGACCGTACAGCATTAGACGTGAGTTGCTCGAATTATAAGCTTGCGTTTCCGGGTTCAACAATCGTCTGCAGAACACATTAGCCAAGACGGATCACTTCTCAGAGACGCTGCTGAAATCAATAGCAACGATCGGAGAAGCATTGCAGTCGTCGCAAAGCTTTCCTATGATAGAAAGAGAGATTTCGACCCAGCACGAGCTTATGCACACCATGGCTAAGCATTTGGAGAGCCTCACATCCCACTATGACGAGATGTCCAACGCTCTGCACGACGGGGAGAATGGCGAGGTATTCACAGATGATGATATGGAAGGTTAATTAATATCTTCATGTTGACCGCACATGGCATGTACTGACCCGTTGTAGCCATGAACCGTGATACCGACGAGTTACCCGCTATTATGGCCGAGCTAGAGGACGGCGTATCTGTGATCCAAGCCGCTCAGTACGTGGAACCCATCCTCTCCTTTGATGAGTTCTCATTTCTTGTAGTGACCGGTTGGTGCATGCTAAACAGACTCTCGAGGGGCGTACAGAGAACCTTGCGTCTGTACTAGATGATCTCGACGAGCTTGGGGATATCATGACCGAGATGCTAGAGACGCAGCAGAACACGGAGGTCAGGGGCCTCCTATTTATCTAACGCAAACAAGACTAACGACCCTCTCACTCCAGGCCGATGTAGACTCTCAGCTAACGGGTCTAGAGCAGCATCTCGTAACTCTTGAGCATTTAGTGCAACAATTCGTCTCGTACCGTAACTCATTCAGCAAGCTGATACTGGAAATCGCCCGACGGAGACAATATAACGAAGCTGCGGAAAATATAGTGAAGGGTATGTTGGCACAGCTAACAGCGATGACAAAGGGTGCGCGCCTCCTTCGATGCCTCAAACTCTGTTGGCGGGACTGACCAAGTACATCCATTAGAGGAAACTCAAGTACGGGATCACTTCAATGAGGAGCACGGCGCGCACCTACCGGAGGACATATGCTTGTGCATTAGCAACCTTCCGACGAGATGGCAGGTCGTACCGTTGTCAGATGAGGCTGCTGAGACGTTTCCGGATATAGACGAAGATCTTATTTCTGAGGTCCGTGACTAGTCGCCCTCTTGCTCGTCCTGTAACTAAGGGATGTACGTGCAGGCTATGGCGCGTGTGCATGGGAGTGATAGAATCGGCCCAGAGAGCATATGATTCTTGACGCCTGCTTTCATTGCTATTTATGTATGTATTTTATTCTCAGAGCAAGTTTCATTCGTTGTAGAATATGTTCAATATTATATAGATGAAGCTCAACTCTTACTACGCTTCCACCAACCTCGCGAGCTGACTGTCGGCTGCTTACTTGTCGATGCTCGCGCTTGTCTCTCGGTCTGCTCCCATTCATCGTCGTCTAGGTACTGAGCAACAGCCAAACCCTCCAGACTTGTGTTAATGTTCTCTCCCATTTCCTTAGCCTTCGCGGCTTCTTGCGCGACTAACTCGGGATCATCGGCCAGTGCGACATATGCTTTAGCAGTGTGCCAATCCAGCTCCTTCGTCAGGACTTGCAAGCGCTTCGCCGCGCACTCACGGTCTCTGCGTTGCCGGCGTTCGACGTCTCGCTTGACCTCGTCAGGGGATTTGACAATGTCAATTCGAGTAGCTCCTGGCAGTGTCAATGATGTGCGGGTGTGTAGTAAGTGAGGGGTCGTATTCATCGTGCTAGGAGGTAGGTTGTTAACTCTACAAAGCTCACGGGCCTGAGTGGAGCTTGTGAGATCTTGCGTGACTACTTGTCGGATGAACTCACATCTACGCCCAGTTTGAATGCGATGCCGTGGAGGGTATCGCCATGTTTAATGTGGTACAGCGAATCATTGCCTGCGAAGGTGGCCTGTACGGGGTCTGGATCATCCTCTGGTGCCTGTGCTTGATATACTGGTGGAGGTGTCCTCCGATGTCCATCGTTGTCGGGATCACTATCTGGATCTTCGTCGTCGTCTCCTATCACATACGTATCTTCATCCCTCACCGCTCCAGTTATGTTATTCGGTCGCTGCGATCTGTTACTGGCGACAGCATCAACACCACCTAGGCACGCCAAGCAGGGGTCATATCTAGCAAGTCGTGGATTCGATTTGAGGCAGTTTGGGCAGATGGGACGCCCGCAACAAGGAGTAGTGAATACCTCGTGTGCATGAGACCTGGGAGGCAGGGAAGACGAACAGGCCAAGCATAGTGCAGACGCCATGATTGCAGCTTCACCAAGTCCGGCGGGCGCTAACATTGAGTAGGTATTCAGGGGAAAGGGGCAACGAAACCTCCCGGCCCCACGGTAACAAACAACTTTTCTACGAACGGGAGTGCTCATAGTTTTTGCAGTATAACCGTTTATTACTAAACTGAAGCTGGCCATCCGCGAAGAGTGCGACGTTGTAGCGGCTGGATCCATCAATAGAACGAGTTATCGACCTCCGTGTTTATTTTCTGAAGGAACGGACAAACACTGCCATTCGGAGGAGCAATACCAATTGATAAGCACCCGGGACCTCCATGCCTCCTAATATTCTTTCCGGAACACATATAAATGCCAGCCTGAACGTATGTCGCCTTACTGACTGTCCCGATGCTCGACACTCTACCAATAACCCCCTACGCCGAAGCAAGCGCCACCCCCGTTCGTCTTCCCCCGGACCTCCCTATCGAAATAATCTCCAAGATCGTCAGTCTATGCTGGCTTTCTCCTCTTACCAATGTCGAGCGCATCACCTTCATGAAGTCGTCCGTGTTAGTGTCCAAAGCTTGGACTATACTATACAGTGAAGTGGCATTCAAGGACGCTTTCATTCCATCGCTCGGGTACGCGAAGTATTTCCATAATCTCCTCGATGATGCGTCGGCGATTTTCGACGCCGACGTCCATTCTATGCCCGACAAACACTGCCGCTCGCTCACATTCCAAATCGAGAGGCCAACCGTCGAACTCCTTTTGAAACGCGAGGTACAATATAGCCCCGATAACAACAAGAGCATATTCGACCTACTCGACTGGGTTACCGATATACCGTACCTCCCCCATCTCCGACGCGTTTCTGTCAAATACCTCGATTGTGGGTACACAGATCTCTTCGACAACATGAGACTGGTCACCTTCCCACCCAGCGTAACCGACCTCGACATCTCATATACGTTCAGACCCAACGTGCCCTCCCACTTCATCCACCAGTTGCAGAAGACATATCCGGCCACCTCGCCAGAGGGGCTTCCGCTCAATCACGTCAAGAAGTTGAGCGTCTTCGGTGGAGGTGTCTCCGCGACACTCGCGTTGCTGGTGACGAGCTGTGTCGGTCTGGATGCAGTTCACACGGATTTAGGCAAGGGTACACCTAGTAGAGAAGAGAAGGAGTATCTATCGACACTCAGGGAGGTCTGCGAGGAGAAAAGTATCAATCTGACTTTATATCATTAGCCTGCTATCAGCCCTCACCTACTCCCTATCTTATTTAGTATTTAATTTCATTTACTTCTCGGAATGCTAGAAGCAACTTGGTGGAGTCAAATAGTTGCGTCGACGCAGGTGTAGCTCCCTCAAGGGCAACTCTCCTTCCCCATTTGGCCACAACCTCATTGGTTCTAATCGCCATTGTGAAATATTTGTTCAGTACATTAACCGTACTTGGGTTTTACACCATCTAATCTAGTGAAGGTTTGAAGCCCGGCGGCCTCAAGTCCATGAGGGTGAGGGCATAATCTAAGCAAAGGGAAGGGACGTTGGCGATACAGTGCAGCGAGTCAACCAACATATTAGCATGAGTGTGCGTAGAGTAACTGATGTCCGTATCGTGTCGACGTTGTATGGATGAGAAACTGCGTGAATGAGCTAGCATGAATAAGAGCGAATGAATCAATTGCGTCATGAACAAAGCCTTGAGTGAAGTATGAGTGTTTAGATCCTCCCATGGCATACCGTATGCCGTATGCCACACGGAGGTCAGAGATGAAGGGCCTCCATAGCCAGCCCCAAAGGATCTGTGGAAGGTAGGTTTTGCGTCATCAAGGCAGACTCGCTCTGTGCATTGTTGCTGAAGAACACTTCAGGACTTGTGCACGCAGCGACGGCGCGTCGCATGTGCGTTGTCAAGAATGATAGGCCTACTTGATAGGCAGCTGGATATAAGGGGAATTCATGAAATCCGGGGCTGACGATGTGAAGGCAGAGTAACGCACAATTCATCCATCCGAATCCTTCTCGTGGAACCATTTTGAAATCAATACCCTGATTTCCGTACTCAGCATCTACGAGATGCGAAAGTTTGACGGCGTCGAACTATAGAAACGAAGGTCAAGATGCTGCAGAATGAAACAGAGGGTGGGATTATACCTTCTCAGGAACTACACCATTGAAGTCTACGAAAGCTGTAGTCATCATGTAAAGGAAACGATAGGACAGGCGTTGGGCCTCTTCAAGATATCCGTATCTTTCCAAGCCAACCCATGTCATGATTTGATGAGGTGGCCTAATCCACTGTAAGCCTTAACTTCCTTGCGACCGTCATAAACACCTACCAGGCATAAGGATAGTCCCATTGACGATTAGGTCGATCGAGCGAGATCTTTCCTCTCGACTCCTCCGTACCGGATACAACTCCTCCGAGGACCTCGAACTTCTTCAAGGAATTGGACCTAGGAACCCCCGATGTGTCAGAATCGACCTGGATCGATATGGAACAATCACTTACACAAGCTTCCAACACTGTTCGTCGCTCGCACACCCGGCCCATAGCGCCCAAAAAGCCGTGACACTCTCATACAAGATTTGTTGCTCCTTGACAGTGTCGTAGTCGAAGTACAAGCTCTTGCTTTCGTTCCACAAGTACTTGTCGATGATACCCCTTCTAAACTCCGCTCTCTCAAACCACTCCTCGCTCGACTGAGGACGACGCTTGGAGCTTTCTCTATGGGGATTCCCGTAGGATTCTACTGACGGCGGGAATGGGGCAAGAGGGAAGTCCTCCTCGAGATCGAGCTCGTCATCAAACACTTCGCGAATGGCGGTACCGATGTCGACCTCGTACTTGTAGAGCAAAGCCTGCAGATCGATTGTCCCAAGGTTGGCACATCGTTTCTCAAAGCGGTACGTTGTATCATGTCCTGATTCCCGAACGGCGCGGTCATGCAAGAAGTACTCGTCCAAATCGGGTTCTTTCAGAATGCCAGCGTTGTACTTTTCGCTGAATTCGAGGACAGAAAGACCATGCTTCTGGGCGTAGGGCTCCAGGATATGGGTGAAATGAGTCGCCTCGGTTTCGGGTGGTATGCCCAAGCCATCCGGGCGATACCTGGAAAGTCCAGTCTTCGGATCCATGCGTGGCTCTGCCACCCATATAGTGTGGTATTCCTTGACCGCTGCCTGAATTGCCCTCTTCAACCAGCGACGGTTAGCATCTTCGTCTGAACGGTCTAATTGATTGTAAATCTGAAGGGCCATATCGGTAAGGAATGGTGGCTGGGTACGGCAGAGATAATAACTGCGGTTTCCATTGAGGATTTTGCCGTAGTGCTTGATTTCGAAGATGAAATGATCGACCATCCCTTTGGCCATAGCGACCTGCCCATCGACAAGGAGACCTAACGTGATAAAATATGAGTCCCAGTTATACAACTAAGATCGGGTAAGTGCTAAGAACAATGATATCATGTCAGATAACTAACCTCATTAAAACGAGCGCCAGGCACAATGAAAGGAATGCCTTTCAAGCTATGACCGCCTTTCCCGTCATCAACTTCATTCATCGCCAAAGCAAGGATACCTGGCTTTGAGTTCAAGCTTTTTACGAAGACAGGGTCATCGGGCTTATCGGGGAGCACTTGAACGTCCAAATTCATGTGTGGCTTATCCTTGGCAACCTTGCGATAATACTCCGCCATGGCAGGCTCCCCATGGGGTACATAAATCCGGGGGTTAACCCTTCCTGTGCGGTTCTTCGGATCCGCTGTGATGATCTCTAATCCGTCTCCGTCGATGCGACGGGTAAGCGAATGCCAGAATGAATGTCGGATCATGCGAGAAAGTCTATCAACGGGGTTCTCTGTGAGGCGAGCTTCATCAAGAATGATGCGCTTTCGATTGTGATCGCGAGCCAGCGCCAGCTCTTGGAGTAAGTTGGATAACATGTATGTGCCCTGTTGAAAATGCCGTCTTGAGTTCATGAAACAAAAGACAAACATAGTGTCGAACATACACGGATATCAAAGGTCTTGTAGCCATTGCTGGTCGCGGTCCCCAACGCCATCATCTTTGGACCAGCATCGGTGACACTAATCTGGAAGTCGCCATCGGTATCTTCCTGCTCAAGAATAACGCGAATGGTCTCCTCAACGTCGATCAGGAATCGACGCGGTGCAGTGACGTTCTTCTCATCGTGCGACAATCGCCTTGGACGAAGATGCCAGTCTTCTTGGAAAGCGGGCTTCCTTATGTTCAAAGGCTGGTGGGACTGCAGGACCAGAATATTGATAAGAATCAAAGCGCGGCGCAACATAGAACACTCACGTAGCTGTACGTTCGAGTACGACTACTGAACTCGCCGCTGTAGTACGTAGCGGCGTCGACATTAACTGGGCGGTGGTCGTGGTCATCGATGAAGGCAACGCCGGGAGGGTGCGGCATGGTTGAAGACGGCGAGAAAGTTGAAAAGAGCGGTCGGTTGTGTGGAAGTCTGGAAGAGAAGACGAAGGTAAAGGGCAAGGGCAAGTTGTTCTATTGGATTTATTGGGGCAGCCAAGCGACGAGCGGCGCTAACTTCAATTGCGGTCCGACAGTGGTGGCCCTGGCTCAGAGCGCTCGTGGGAATATGCAGCCTGAACTACAACGTCCATCAACGTCCCCGATTCACCGTCGACGTGCCGGACAGCGACCGGATTGCTGTCTGATCTGCGATGCATGTCGTGGCGGGTATGGGAGTACCGCGAATCGATATCTCTCTTTGCTAATACGCGTAGGAACCATCAAATTGCACCCGCGCGCTCGCCGCTGCATGCGCGGTGTTTTCGTAACTCATTTCATCAAATTGCCATCATACTGCAGCGGGATGGGGCCAAATATACAAACACTCAAAAGGACACGAAGTCAAGCTCTAGAAGCAGGGCACAGGCACTATTTTTTAATCCGCGTCTGTGCCTAACTTTCTTCGACGTACGTGCGCAAGGAACGAATGCAATCACGAACCCAACGGAGGCCTCAATGGAAACATTCGCGAATCGGCTATTAATCGGCGACGTGCTTCCACGTTGTACGTCCGAGATAAAAAGAAAGCCGTGTCTCTCGAACATCAAGCTTCTCATGCCGCTATCTATCTTCTAGCCGAGATCTATCAAACATGGAAGATAGAGGGGGGTTACATGGTGTTCCTAGGGAATGCGTATCGTTGGTTAACAAAACTCAGTCGAAGGCTTTCCGATCTGCCTCCGCTCTGACAAATTCTTGACACTCGACTCTGCTTTTAGGTACGTCCACTATCCACAGAAATATCGTACTGAACACGCCCCTGTTTATCCAGTAGTTAGCTAGGGTACCTTCCATTGCAAACCCAAGAGCACTTACAAGCCGAAGAGAAATGCGAACGGCATATTGTCGTTATTATTCGCTGCCGTAATGATCGCGGACGAGATGAAAGGTCCAATGAAAGCTGATGTTTTGCCAACCTAGTTTAAACCACGTCAAAAAAAACACAACACCCCCTAGTCAAGGGTGTCGACGCACCACGGAGAACAACGCAAAGAACAAGAACCTTGAGTTATCGTCAGTGTAAGGTCAACAATTACGCTACAAGAGAAGAAAGACATACATCTGTTGTAGCGGCGAAACTTCACTTATCATGGTCTGGCTATACGCATACCACGGGCACACCATCAATCCATAATATGCCTGGTACAACCTAGCATTGGAATATGTAAGCAAAGTAAGCATATTCCATGCCGTGCGCTGGTACCATATTTCCCAGACGTGTTTGAAGCCAAACTTATCAGTATGGATACCGATGAGTCCCCATATTGTCAAGACCTGTCCATACATTAGATGCATACGACCGACCGAGTTACGGATACGACGTACCAGAATCCACACGACGTTAAAGGAAAGCATCTGCGACGGATACAATCAACGAACAGAAAGCCAGTAAAATGGGCCGCGACGAACTGCTTTGGTACTGATGGCGAACTTCTTCTGCACGAGCCAGAAGAGGCTGAATATTGCAAACTTTAGTTCACGCCAAGATGCCAGAATGCAACGGTGTCAACTTACTATATACCCAGTCCTTGAGCTACTATCCCCACAATGAGCAATAGCGTAAGTTGCAAAGTCGAGTACGCGACGACACTGAGGACAAGGGGTCAGCCTGAGGTGTCGTAGAGGTGATTTTCATATCAATACCTGTTTTGAAGTGTCGCGATCACCGTCCTAAATCCAAGACGTCAGATTGCAAGCACCAACAATCGAAGGATAGGAATCTTGACACTGTAGTGTTTAATACGTCGCCCCTATAGTTCTATCAGTATCGTTTGCTCAATACGACGATCACCATTGAGGCTTACATTAGGAAGTAGAAGATCAGGTATAAGAACGTCTGTTTCAACCTGAGGCATTCTCTGAACGCAATATAGGTCTGCTTGAGCCCTATAGTCAAGAGGCTTGAACCTGGAGGGAGAGCCAAACCAGGTCGTCTCTTTTCGAATAAGAACCATGGGATGGCACAGAGCACTAAAAGTTAGCACGACGTGTCATCAATAACTGTGCATAAACTCAGAAAATATCTTTAGCAACCCACACCATACGCCGCCAGAAAAAGCGATCAAGACACTGAAAGCCTTGGTATTATTTTCTACGCTTTCATCCGACTTGAGACCCTTCAATATGCCAACCATGATAGCGAGGATAACAATTTCCCCAAGCGAACATATGGCAAAGGAAACATTCGAAATGCGGTTCCGGGAAAGGGACTCGAAATCTGCGTGCTCGGTGGACCTGAGCTCCGCTGTGAGTATTCTGGAGTTGACGTTGTAGAATGATCCAAACGAACGATTTTCCATTGTCCCTCGCTTGACTGGCAGAATCCCTCACTTCTCGTAAGTCTCTTGCTAACCCAGGGAAAGCAGCAGTCCAGAATGTCAAAGCACACTGCCCGCGGGTTCAGCCATACAATGTACGTGTGTTCAATCATACACGGCATTACCTGATAGGTTATTACTGAAGGCGTTCTTTATTAGTTGTATTCAGAGTGCCAACTGGTCATGCTCACAACCAAGAATATAGAGTGCTATTCCCGCACGCCACTTCGACGGTTCGTCTACGCCTAACCAAGCGAATGACACGCCCACGGCTATCAGTGTGAAGAAGATGGTGATGTTCGGTCTGAAATTACGTTAAGCGCTTTCAATGATAATTTTCAAGTGCACGGCGCACCTCCAGCGTCCGTAATCTGCCCAAGCACCTATTGATAATAGGACCACGGCTTGGATAGCAAAACTTATCCCGTTCGTCAACAGGACGATCGAGTTGACTACATTGCACGTAGTGAGCACACGAGCACAGGAAGATCAAGATCGAATGCAAACATACCATCACGAACTCGTCCAAGATAAGGCAGAACACATCCGTTCGCACTACAAGGTGTGGTGAAAGGAGGGTCAACAGGATCGTATCCCGCCAAGAACAGCAGGTTCTGGAACTGCGAAGGCCCGAAATTGAAGCCCGAAAGCCCATTGTTGCCGACATAGTAGAGATAGAATGACCACAGCTCCAAGTTCGACGTTGTGAATGAAGCCGAATCATCATCATCAGGCTGCGACGTCGATTCCACGTCTCCTACTTGCGATTTGGTGGGCTCGACGTTGGGCTCGATGATGTCCTTCTTGTCGGTGAAGCTTTTATCAATGTGAGAAGGCATGGCTAGGAAGACACATGGTGGTGGAGCCTGATCCATACTTAAAGGGAGAGCTGATTCGATGGGGTTAAGTTGGCAAACGCATGAATCTGGTGCCGGCGAGCGTTCAAATGAAGAAGACTGCTCAAGAATAGTCGATGAGGCGCCCCTGACTGACCTCCTAACTGTCTTTGCGATAGAATCGCAAGTGCTCACTGGGGATGTCAATGTCGTAAATCCAAGAAAGAGAAACATACATTAGACGGCGGGGCAGCCACCACAAAGATTATGTCCACATCCCCAGCAGCTGGCCACACCAACCCCCAACGTCCTCAGAGTAAGGGAGACAACACTAATAACGCCCTCCCCCAACACAAATCCACTCGCCACAACTATCAACCATATATCCTTTCCATCCTGACCGTCCTTGGCAAAATGCTTCCTGTATACATATTCCGTCACGCCGCCAACAAGACGAGCGAGCGAAAATGATGGGGTATTCAAAAAGCCTATGGCGAAGGCAACGCCGGAGGGGATCCATTTGGCGTACCAAAGCTGTCTACGAGATGCTTGAGTTTTCAAAGCTGACGTTAATCCAAAAAGAAGCGCAGATGAGATCATGAAGATGGCACTTTGGTCTGGTAGTTGGCCATCCCCTAGGCTCGTCGTTAGTAATCGACATACCCGTGATGGTATTGAGACGTACTTAGTAGGCGGGCCAGGCTGAGCCAGACATAGGCTGTTGGAGCGGGGAAAGATGGGCCGGGGATAGGATACGCCTTCGTGTAGAGAGAGTACGCTGTTGCAGTGACAATAATCGACACCGATGACCCAACAAGCTGGCCTAGGAATTGAGCTCTAGGAGACGCGTGGCACAGATGCCCCGTTTTCAAATCCTGCATCAGGTCTCCAGCCCTAGGGGGAAGTGTCAGATACTAGACAGCCGGTACACCCCAAAGGTGAAACTTACTGCTGTGCGCCAGCCTCCGCCACACCTCCGGCGATGATGTTGGCGACAATATTACCAGGCTGGATCCATGCGAAGAGAAGTTGGGATATTTTGCCTAGGCCGGATACAGGGTTTAAATCCGTCTCACCCAGAGCACGTACGCTAGCGATCCGAATTAGTATTACGCGGAGGCGACAAGTTTACACCATACATACCCAAGGATGCTCAGCATGCCACCAAAAACGAACCCCAGAACCGTGGCCCACGGCTTGATACCTTCATTTCCGAAGACGACCCATACCAGTATCGTGCCGACGATGATACTGATCGCCACACCACTGGCTACCCATTTCATAGGCACGAGGCGTTCGGGTGTTTCTACTTCGTGGTCCTCTTTAGTCTCTATATGGCCTTTCCCTGTAGTGTGTTTGATAATGTCGCTGACGTATTCGTATATGACGGGTAGGAGGGATACCACGCTGTCTGCACACATAATAGCGAGCGACGTCCATAATATCCAACCACGGGCGCCGGTGGCCATGTCACCAACCGGTCCAGGAGCCCATCCTTGGTGCTTAGATAATGGGGAGAGAATACCCCATCCGACAAGCATGCCCTGTGTATCATATGCATGAGAAGAAGCTGAAAGATGTCTAAAAGAGAGTTACCAAGTTCATACTGAGTGTCGTCGGGAAGCCCATAATGATACCTTGGCCAACATACGAGAGACTTGGCGTGAACGTCCAAAGCCATTCTCTAGCCAGGTAATTGCCAAACAAGGGTATTGCAAAGATGATGGGGAAGAAGTATGCTGATAGCTAACTCTACAATCAGTCATGGCGAGAGTCGGACCTATGAACTACGTACAGTCATGATGCTCGAGGCAATGAAGCTGTACGTCAGGGCGTGCCATCCTTCGTGTTGGATTAGTTCTCGTTCATTCTGGTCGTTTGCGGTAGTTGATAGATCGGGAGTAAGCATGGGCTCTTGCTCCTCCAAGATGTCTTCACGCTGATGTTCTTCACTGTCTACTTGCGTGTATCCTCGTCTGTGGCGAATAGTTGTGTCGGGAGGCGGTAGTCGGTGAAGGACCGAGATCAATTGAGCAGTAGCAGTGCCAGATGGAAACGCCAGCTGCTCTTCAATGATCTAACAGAAGGGCTCAGTGTGTGTCCAGTCCTGAATTCTGCAGGGAGAACCTACTACTTGTTTCCGAATTGGAGGTGATAGAAAGACACTGGATAACGAATCGAATCAGCCAATTCGCTGAATAAACAGGTCACCTTACCCAAAGAATGCCACAGAGCACGACCATCCAACTGCGGACAACCAAGTCAAGTGTATTGGAGGAGAACCATCGCGTTCTTGACTTATTAAGCCGAGCGCAGGGAGGATACCGACGAAGCCGGCGGCTAGTGGCATGGTGCCTGTTGCGACTGCAGTAGTTTGTACGACGATGACTTCTTGGGGTGATAGCGGTGTGGGGAGTAGTTTGGAGATCAGATATCCTATAAGTGCGGATTGCAGCGACATCCTGAGTATAGTGGCGAGATTACTTCTAAGTATGTGCTGAATATGAAATCACGGCGACTTACATACTGATCCATCCTGTCTGTAATCCAAAGTATAGGTTGGTAAAGCAAAGTAGGCATCCAATGAGCAGTCCAAGGAGCACGGCGGTAGGCTGAATAGGACCTGGCGAGTTAGCCATCTTTCCGTCGACTGGTGTCTGAAGCCTCAACTTACCGTAAACTCCGAGTTCGCATGGCGTGTCGCAGGGCCAATGGAGAACCTCCTACATCGTATGTGAGATACCGTGCAGCCCCTGGCGAGTTTACTTACTGCAACCAGCCAGCGAGGCCCATGGTGTTGATGTTGGTAGGGAACGAGGAGGAGGGTGACGGCGCGGCGGCGCGAGTCCGGAGTCGTAATATGGCGCCGGAGCATGTGACCTATTAGCCCCTCAGGGAGATCCCTAGATTCTAGTTATCTTCGTTGTGGCTCCTCACTCAGGACTAAATCTGCTGGAGGAAAAGAGGGCTATCATATATCTATACGCATTTTAATTCAGATATTAGAATATTAGATATCATGCTACCTACTTGTAAATGTTAGGTAAAAGAATAGGCCCCTGTCTCCTATAACACGCTAAGCGCCTCGGCCACACAGAGGGCGCTTCGGCACAGCCACCCTCGATCATTCAGCTGGCACTTGACTCAGTCAAAATCGATGCTCAATCCAAGTCCTTAAAAGGGCTATCTGATTCGCCAAACTGTTCTCTCTCCGCAATTCCATCTTCTCTCCATTGTATATTAGATCTCCTCTCCTTAGATTCACGTCCTCCATGTCCCGTAAAATTCGCGAAGCAGACGGCATTCTGCGCGTTATTGCGCCCCCAGGGCATCCAGCCATGTAAGTGCTACATGATGCACTGTTATATTGCCAATCTGACGCGACGATAGCCTTCCAAAAGAAGGGGAAACCAACATTTTGATTACTTCTGCTCTCCCCTACTGCAACAATGTCCCCCATCTCGGTCAGTCGAGCCGTTACTGCTGCACATGGAGCGTCTGACGGCGTTCACGCAGGTAATATCATTGGGAGCACGCTCAGTGCAGACGTGTTTAGTCGGTATGCTACCTTCTTACCTCCACCGCTCACACGACCTTATCCCCCCGCTCCAGATACAACCGTATGTCGGCTTTAATGAGGGGTAGGAATGGCTTGAATGACTCAGTGCTACCCCAGGTACCAGGAATAGAAGAACACTGTATATCTGTGGGACGGACGAATATGGCACGGCCACGGAAACGCAGGCGATCAAAGAAGGAATTACACCTCAGGAACTTTGTGACAAATACCATATTCTACACCGCCAAACGTACGAATGGTTTAATATAGGGTATGTCATCCGAACGATGGATGTAGCTCGAAGCTCACTAGTTCTCAGGTTTGATCACTTCGGTCGCACTTCCACTCCCCTCCATACAGAGTAAGTTCGAGCCATTCGATTTTCCGTGGTGCTTACATTCTCTTCTAGGATATCCCAGGAGATCTACTCCAACTTGGGGAAGCACGAACTCCTTGAGAAGCAACATAAAGAACAAACCTACTGCGAGGACTGCACAAAGTCGGTCGCTACTACGTTTACACGCCGCTTAGGCTAAACCTTCGATCGTAGGTTTTTAGCGGACAGATTCGTAGAAGGAATATGTCCCCACTGCGGCTATGAAGACGCCCGTGGTGATCAATGTGACGGCTGCAGCAGAACCCTAGACGCCATTGAACTCATCAAACCCCGATGCCTCGTAAACAGTTCCCATAAAGTCACCACCAAGATCTCAGAGCACATGTATCTGAAGCTTGACACCGTGCAGCCTCGGACGGAAGAGTGGATCAAGAAATCATGGAAAGCAGGGAAATGGTCCTCGAATTCGGTCATTAACTCGGATGGAGAGATCGTTGATGCGCGTATGAAAGGTGGCCTCATCCCGACGCCGCTTACGCGTGATCTAAATTGGGGAGTACCCGTTCCAATAAACAGCGAAAAGGATGAGGGCATGGCCGGCAAGGTCCTTTGTACGTACTTTTCTCGCCTTATATGGAGCTTCACTAATAATTGAGCATAGACGTTTGGGTACGTGCTATGATGCTAGTATTTCTCCCGTCTTATAGGATTTTTGGGATAGTTCGATGCGCCGATTGGTTACCCGAGTATCACCGCTAACTATACCCAACACTGGAAACAATGGTGGTTTAACCCCAAACACGTCAACTTGTACCAATTCATGGGCAAGGACAATGTCTACTTCCACACTGTGTACTGGCCATCCGTTCAGCTCGGCGATGGACGGGATTGGACTATGCTTCACCATCTATCAACCACTGGTACGGCAGTGCTTCTTATAGCTGGGCTTTCTGCTGAATAGTATTGCAGAATATCTCAATTACGAAGGCGGCAAGTTTTCGAAGAGTCGAAATCGGGGTGTCTTCGGTACTTCGGCCAAGGAGACTGGCATTCCTTCGGCAGTGTGGCGGTATTATCTGCTATCAACGAGACCGGAAACCGCGGATTCCATGTTTTCATGGGCTGATTGCGTACGGGTTATAGTTCTGCAGTCACCGTGTTTGAAGCTGACTGTCGTTCACAGATTGCTTCCAACAACAATGTCCTATTGAACAAGTGAGTTCGATCGGAGTTACCTTGCCCGGAACTTCATATTGAACCCATTCATAGCTTTGGCAATTTCGTCAATCGAGCCCTCAAGTTCGTATCTTCTCAATATGATGGCGTGATTCCTGATAGCGGCGACGCCCCCGGCCCACTATCTCCCAACGACCCAATCGACGGAGAATTTGTCCGCGATATCAACGCTCTACTCAAGGACTATCTCGATGCCATGGAGCATGTCAAGATCCGCCTGGGGCTGCAGACCGCCATGCTCATCTCGCAGCGCGGAAACGCGTATCTCCAAGCGTCCGGCCTGAACAAAACTTTGATGACCGAAAACCCCACCCGCTGCGCGCAAGTCGTCTCGCGCACCGTCAACCTAATCTACGTGTTGTCCGCCGTGATCTACCCGTTCATGCCTACAACGTCGGAGGCCATCTTATCTCAGCTGAACGCCCCGCCACGCGCTGTCCCCGAGGTTCTTTCTAGCGATATTCTTGCTGGGCACCAGATCGGGAAACCGGAGCATCTGTTCAAAAAGATCGATGAAGCGATGGCGGATGTGTGGAAGGCTAAGTTCGGGGGTTTGGATACGTCGAAGCCCGACACTTCCAGTGATCCGGCGAAGAAACAGCCTGCCGCGAAAGGGAAAGCTGCGAAGAAACCATCTGAGCCATCTACTGACGCTGGCCCGAAGTCCCCCGAAGTCCTGGAGCTGGAGGCGAAGGTTGCCGCGCAGGGAAACACCGTGAGGACACTGAAAGGACAGCCGAAGACGAGTGAGCTGGAAGCACAGATCAAGGCTGAGGTAGACGTGTTGAAAAAGTTGAAGGCTGAACTTGCTGCAGCTTCGTAGATTGGAGAAGATATTGCACATGTACGGTAGATGTATTTTCTAGCCATTAATTTTCTGTCTCCAGCCAGCAGTGGTAGTGACCTTACAGGATGATTGCTACACGGTGGGCGCTTATCAGGTACTGACACGCAGCTTCCACGTCACTCCATTTATACAAGCACAAAGGAGTCATGCATTTCTCCAGTATACTACCAGCAGCGGTCGAAGTGGCCCAGTCATGTCTCGCGTTGAACTCGCCCGGATCAATGCCTTGACGTTCTACAAGGGCGAAGAAACGACCTGGAGGCGAACAAGTGCACTACCACAGCTGGTATGTGTCGGCAAGCCGTGTACCTTGTACCAGCCTGAGGTGGTGCGATGTAAAAACATCGGGGGACATGGCACGGAGGTGGATTGGAAGGTGAGTGCTAGCGAAGTCGCCGTGGAGAGAACGTTGTTGACCACATGCTCAGTGTGAAGCAGATTTGCCCGAATCATTGCGATTTGGGCGAGTGGAAGTTTCCTGTGAAGGGTATTCTGGACCCGGTGATCCCTACGTGCTGAAAGGTACGCCTCATGTTAGAGTAAATGCTGAACTTTCAACGAAACGGATGAATTATTCAACCAGGATCATGTTCTTTGAACTACCGCCTTGTTCAAGTTCACGACACTCTAAGAACGCACAACGAGGAATCATGTGAGCCTTCAACGTTAATCAATGTCTAATTTACTCACGTATGATATTGGTGTAGCTTTCAGCATTGGCGCGATCATATTCTCCGTCTTGTGGTTCTCCGTTCTGGCGTTTGTTCTGTACAGCCTATTCTCTGCGTGCTGGAGAAATACGTCGAGGAGTCCCCGGCCGCCTGGATCGGGAGGTTCAAATCAAGGCGGTTCCTCGGGATGGTTTCCTGGTGGACATGATGACCACACAGGACCCCACGGACCTCCTCCCCCTTACTCCAAAGAGCCTCAACCTTCACAACCGGGCTGGCGTCCAGGTTTCTGGACAGGCGCAGCTCTTGGCGGTTTAGGAACCCATTTATTCAATAGCACCCGCCGAACTGAACAATACGCCCCTCGCTCGTCTATGTGGGATTGGGAATACGATCGGGTTCGACCTACTACATCATTCTTCTCTGCGCCGAGACGTACGGCGGCGTATTCAGAAGACAGGGGAGAAGGTTCATCAAATCTAGGAAGCATGCGGCGTAGCACCGGCCTGGGAGGTTCTTCAGTACGCTAAATCCCACCTCGGTAGGTTGTTATCCATCGACTATGTGTATCGTGGGCAGACTTATTGATCAACTTCCCCCAGTTAATCATATTTTAGCATATCTTTCATGGATTGTAATCATGTATCAGCAACATTCAGGACACGTATAATATCCCCTTGGCTCATATCAACCACGATAAGTCGTTGTGGAATCTACCCCATTAAACTGCGTTTCCCCGAAACAATATGTGCTCCACGGCAACACACGCAATAGCGCGATGCGATACGTACAGGGATGCACATTCGTCCAGTGTGCTCTCTTGAAATATACGGCAGGCGGGGTAATCTTCGGATCTCCAGGGAGAAGCGTATGTCCTATGATCTTTCCGTCAGCGTCACCTCCCGAGTTGCATGTTGCGGATATTCTGTCTAAATTTTGAACATACCGGCTTGGCACTGGAAGAAGCATCCCTCGTCTGTGGCTCTTCAAAAAAGCCGTGGATGGCAAGCACCCAATGGTCTGTCATGTCAGCGATCCCCCGTAAATGCATCCACGTATGGTGCGAAGCTCGCAATCATCCTCGGATAGTTAGGAAGAAGTCGGTTTTAACATACCAGAAAACATCCGAAATATGTCGTCGCTGCCGCTGCCACCCTTCGCTAATCCATGTGATGGAGAATGTGGATTTCGTCTGGATGTAAATCGGCGTATTGGCGGATGTACACTGTTATGTCTTTTAGTGGTGCGTGTATAAAATAGTCGTCGCAGTGCTCCGTTTGTCCTAGGTCTTCACCCTACCAACAACAAAATGAAGCTCGTCGTATCAGCACTCGTGTCGCTAGCCATCTGGGCTACATCGGCCTCTGCCACCGCCGTGTACGGCCAGTGTGGAGTGAGTATGCGAATGCTCGTCGAAGGGCATTACTAACATGGGAACTGCCATAGGGTATTGGTTTCAGCGGTGACACGACGTGTGTATCTGGCTCCAGCTGCCAGAAACTCAACGATTGTGAGTTGATGCTTTCCATTCGACCAAGTATTTACGCGTATTGTTTAATATCAATGATAAGACTATTCGCAATGCCTTCCCGGTGCCGCTGCCCCATCATCGACACCCTCTCAACCCGCTTCCACGACATCGGCTGCTCCAACTCCCACCTCGACGAAGTTCAAATTGTTCGGTGTCAACCAATCCGGCGCAGAATTCGGCGAGACCAAGATTCCTGGTGTGTTGGGAACAGATTACACGTGGCCTGCCCCTTCTTCCATCGACGTGAGTACTAAAAGAACCCGGACTCGCGGATGAATCTCACATCCAACTGCCTGCATAGTACTTTGTCGGCAAGGGCTTCAACAGTTTCCGTATCCCATTCAAGCTCGAACGTCTTAGTCCGCCCGCTGGCGGACTTACATCCCCCAACTTCGATTCGGCTTACCTCGCGTCGCTCAAATCGGTACGTGATTTTGGCGTACTCCAGCCAAAGGAGTTGCTCAGCACTCTTGTAGACCGTTTCCTACATCACCGGCAAGGGCGCATTCGCTATCATTGAGCGTAAGGGTTCCTTCTAGTCCGAATCTGGCAGGACCTTGACTAAATGAGGACAGCCCACAACTACGCCCGCTACGTGGACAATGTGATCACCTCGACTTCTGAGTAAGTTCTCGTTCATCGACTTGGCGGCTGGGACTTATGAAACTTCTCATCTTTAGCTTTGCTACCTGTATGTTCAGCCTTCGTAACTATTTTATATACCCGCTGATAGACTGCACAAGGGTGGGGCAACGTTGCTAACCAATTCGTGAGTTACTCCAGGCACCAAGGAAGCGAGTAACTAACAGATCACTTAGAAATCTAACGACCACGTCGTCTTCGGTAGGTGATTCGGACAGAGACCAGCCCTCGTCGATTGAAGTGTTTTGACAGACATCATCAACGAGCCTTACGGAATCCCCGCAACTGACGCATTCGCCCTGGTATGTTCCCCTGCCCGCAGGCCTACCCGCATACTGAAATTCTGGTACAGAACCAAGCTGCTGTCAATGCCATCCGTGCCGCAGGCGCCACAAGCCAACTCATCCTCGTTGAAGGTGCGTATCTGTATCTTAACCAAACCTAAGTCAAACCCACATATACACCCCAGGAACCGCTTGGACTGGAGCATGGAGTGAGATTTCTTGCTGCTAGAGGCTATGGAACAGGGCACTAACCTTCGTCAACAGCCTGGGAGTCTTCCGGAAACGCCGCCGCATTTGTGGGCCTCACGGACCCGAGCAACAACATTGCCATTGGTGAGCAATGCTATCATCTTAACTTTGAACTACCCCCTAACTACTCTGTCAAATATAGAGATGCACCAGTACCTCGACTCTGACGGTTCGGGTACTTCGCCCACCTGTGTCTCGTCGACCATCGGAGTAGAACGTCTCCAAGCCGCTACTGCCTGGCTCCAACAACACGGCTTCAAGGGTGTTTTGGGAGAAATCGGCGCTGGGTCTAACGGTAAATGCCTGATCTTATTTTGCAAAATGGCTTTCAATTTAACATATTTGTTCAGATGTTTGCATCGCCGCCGTCAAGGGTGCCCTCCAGCACTTGCAACAGTCCAACGGTGTTTGGCTCGGTGCTCTTTGGTGGGCTGCTGGCCCATGGTGGGGTGACGTAAGTCTCTTCATCGTGCATTACCTAGCGATGCAGAACTAACTGCCCATATAGTACTTCCAATCCATTGAGCCCCCTACTGGGGCTGCCGTGTCGCGTATTCTCCCTGAAGCTCTCCAGCCTTTCCTCTAGATCTGTAGTTGCTCTTAGCAGGCACTTAGACTGAACCTAGTATCCGATGTATATACGTTGACCAAGGCTATTATTACTATTGAACCAATCCAAAAGTTGGGGAAGAACAACTGCTGTAATTACGAGAACGATATGCAGGTATATACCACAATCCGATATGCATAGTGGGTCAGTACTACTACTACGAGTTCAATTCCTAACATCGCGCTGCGTCAAGCTTTAGTTATGGAAAGAAACAGCCTCTTCCTCGTCCTGGGTAATAGGGCTATACGAATCCTCCTTGCTCCCATTGTCTGGCTTGATCAACCATAGTAAAGTCACCACGATTGCAAGGAAGATGCTAGCTAGAAGGAACACCGCCTTAGGGAAAGTGACGACCGTCAAACCGTAGGTTGCGGCGTAGATCGTGGGCTAAATGAGGTGGTTCAGCATATCAACAAACATGCGAAGGAATCTAGATCCTTACGCTGAACGTATGGGCAATAGCCGACAACACTGCCAAAGCTCCGAATAACGACCCGACTTCACTCCCACGTCCGGCGGCGTGCAGACATACAGCGCCCAACGAGTGTACGGCAGGGTTTCCGCCGCTCGTGAACGATGTCAAGCATGAGAAGAAAATGAAAGCTGATTGAGAAGATATGGGAGCGAGGAAAACACAGAAATCGGAGAACCCGTCAACGAAAAGTGAATACCCAGCAATTTTCTGGTCGAAGCGGAGCTCAGCAGGGATGTCTCTTTCAGGCTCCGTGGTTTCTGGTTCTTCCCCGGGGGACACGGGAGAGACTGCAAGACGGGGCTTGGTGGGAGGCTTGAAGTACGAGATGATGACTGCGGAGATAGATATTGAGGGCTTGGATGGTGTTTACAACGTGGACGGGTAAACTCACGGGGGAGGACGACGAGAAGGTTGGCGGCTCTGGTTATCCACAGGAGGGACATGTAGAAGCTAAGCTGCTCCGCAGTCCATACATATATATGCTTCGCATACAAGTACTTGACTTGATAAACACCCTGCAGGACGATGCGTTAGGTGTCGTTTCGGGGTAGGCGGGATTGACTTACACTGGATAGGACATAGAGGAACAGGGCCAGTCCGACCAATGTCAGGTTCCAGTCCCTCCTTCCACGGCCTATAGTCTTTGGTCGGAACATCGTAATCGGCGAGATAAACGTCTTCATGAAGCGGATGACTAAGACCTTGGCTCTAGGTAGGAAGGGCTTGGAGGATGAGCTAGCCCTGGACAACGTAGAGTATGTGGAAGCGGGTCGTGTGCGTGTTCCTTCCGAAACGACCGGCTTGAGGGACTCGGGAAGTAAGAAGAGAATGAAAGTGAGGATGGCGATTTGGAAGAGTATACTGAGATAGAACATGAATGTCATCGACTCTGAGGGCTTCAGCAAGCGTAGGAGGATGCTGCCAACCTACATCATGGCAGAATGGATGGTCAATAGGCGGTGACATGTGGGGAGCTGTTGACTTACCCAAGGACCGGACGCCAGGCCGATGAAGACGATACCTTGGATAGTCGAGAATATTTTCGACCTGGAGCCATGCGGCGTGCAGTCGGATGTGTAGCTGCAAAGAGAACTGAGCTGATAGACCTAGAAGGGCCCGTAAACAAAATGACTCACGCATGTACAACACCGTTGAACGCAGACAGACCGCCAAGTAAGCCATCGATGATCGGGCCTAGCACGATGAATTGCTCGCCATACTGGCTGAAAAAAGACTCCGTGTCCGTGACTAGAAGGACGATGATGTCCCTGGCGCATATCCGAGTCAATCATCGTCCAAGGCGAGCATGGTTGTGCACTCACATGGCAATGAAACCGAAAATTGTGCTGCAAAGAATAATCTTCCGCCCGTGAATATCGCCAAAGCGGCTCCACAGACCGGTCGTTATTGCGCTCAGCACACTCATCGACGTGATGATGGCTGACAGAACATTGAGACCTATTTTTCATGGACTTAATTCTGGGAAGTAACTCACTGGCTTGGATCTGGGCAGCGCGAGGCTGAATGTCGGCAGAAGGACAATCTTCATCTTGGGCCGGAGCAAAAATAGTCGCAGTGAGATTCGATGGCGACGGCAATGGCAAAGAACCCGGTAGCTTCTTGAATGCCTGGCAGGCAATATGGTTATAGACTTGGATTCGGGGAGCCATGGTCAGGCCCCGCTGTTCGTTATCAGATAATCTCAATGACTTTGCCGACCGACGATAAGAACCAGTTCCACTTACACACATTGAAACGGTGATGACCACTGGAATCAGCCTTCGACCAGGCCTTCAGCTACGTCGAGGAGGGCATCGGGGAAGAAAAGGGCGCACCAATATGGGTTAGCTTTCCAGAGTCTCCAGCGGCTTTGGAGGTTCTTCCGGGGTGGCTGCATCGTCTCCCGTCCTCTCCGGGTGCCTTGGGTGAGCAGGGGTTGTGCTTGCTCGCCGTCGTCGCCGTCGGTCGGCCTGCCAAAAAAGTTCATCGTGCGCTCTCGGGGAATGTGAATGGGCGGGAGGAGGTGGGAATTACCAGGAGGGGGAGTGCTGTCGCTGGCTCGGCTCAGCTGCTACATAAGCCATCTCATGGCCATCTGCCGGGCTCTGTCTAGATAAGTCATCCATCTCCCAAGCCGAGAAACCCAGATCTAGTCTAGCAGCTGAATCTGCCCAAATGTGCTCGCCTTGCTCTGTGCATGGACGTTGGTAAATTTGGCTTCAGTCCCTTCCCATGCCAGCATGTTTTGCACCACAGATCGCAGCACAATTGTTGAACCGGTTCAATCTTAAGCGCCGTACTGGGTCACATGGTTCAGGGGACTCCTGAAGGTAAAGCATTGAAGACAGGATGTACGGCAGCGGTCTGTTCTTTTTGGCGTATATGGCGTATATTTGGCTTCCATCAACGAGATGAGGTCGTTCGTAATGGAAGAGTTGACTCTGAGGCGTTGCTGTATGTAAAGATACTCTATACAACGTATCAACTAGCTGTTCAAACCGCAACTACTTGTGACAGCAGTTAAATATTAACTCTGGCTCGCTCAGGTCCAGGGATTGAGGTCGTGTTGAACACGGCGCATACGTTCTCTCAGATGCCAATAGTAGGAAATAGAGAGCAGATTGGAAGCTATACGTCAAACATACTTTATGAGTAATAGGTGTCCTCGGCAAGCTGAGGTCAACTCTCAGGCGGGCTAGGACATGGCTCCTGACCCAAGCAAGATGTGAGTATGTCTAAACAGAGACCATTATCTTTGAGATACGATACCTCTATTGTGAGAGCATTTTGCTAGTGATTAGCTGAGTGACTCGAACATGCACCTAATCAGTTATTATGGTCAGAAGAAGTCAAGCTTGGTACTAAATCGAACCGTTCACTATTTGCGCCCAGTCCTGGCTCGTCTCCTTAGGCCGGAACCATGGAAACACAGATAAATGTACTGAATGACTTGTTTGTAACAATGTAACGAAAACATAAACAATGTGTAGTGATGTGATCAGCAGTTGAGAATACTGTAATGCGAGATGTGATACTGAATACGAAAGGTGATGTCGTGAGTGGGGTAATTAGATGGGCGGTGAGTAGGAGGGATGCAGTAGAGCGTAGCACGCAGCTGATGGAAGCATGACATGCTTGAAAGGAGGCTGAATTGTCCCGGGCGCGACCAGCAGTGGAATAACCCATGGAACAAAGTCATGGATGACACCCTGTCCTGTGCCTGTAGCACGCCCGACAAAATAAGAATCCGACGCGCCCATCATCGAGCGAAGCAAATCTATTCTCACGGCACATGAGCATAGATGTGATGCCGAATATCAAAATAGGTGAGGCCGCTTAATCAACGGTCGCAGTGGCGAGGTTGGAGGGGGGTGAGCTGAAGGGTGAAGCTTTAAAGGGGGTGAGAAGAGGAAGCGGGGGTGAGCTGTTTAAACGCCTTGAGGCGTGGGCTGCTGTTGTACAGCGGTCACATCCATGGCCTGTCCTTGGACGTCCTGAATACGAGTAAACAGCATTAGCACACAACTCCCATCGGATGAAGCGACGGCCGGAAACCCGGTATCGTGACTAACCATCCGCTGCCTTTTGATGGGTCGAGGACGAACACCTGCCGCGCCAGCTTTTGCAGCCATGATCACTTTCGAAGGATTTCCAGAATCGATGTACGGATTTGCCCCTGGTCCACCTCCATTCACCCCATGACCTCCCCCAACACCATTGACACCCTCGGTACCGTTAACGCCGATCCCATTTCTATTCTGCGCTCCAGTCCCGGCTACGTCTTCCCTCTCCCTCTTTACACCCCTCGCCTGTGTTCCACTTCCATTAGTCCCTTGCCCCGACGAAAACCCATTTACTCCGCCGCTCGGCTGCGCTGCACTTACCGGTGTCGAAGTGTTTACTCTTTGGGGTTGTTGCGAAGGACGTGCGCTTCCCGGGCGCGGTACGGCTGATCCGGGTCGGGGCGTAGATGAAGCGGTGATAGGGCGAGACGTGGTCGAGGGTATCGAGTGCTTCGCTGGGGGTAGCGTCGTGGCAGGATTAGTCGGTATTGGTGTAGATAATGGTATTTGTTGTTGAGGCTGTGAAGATGGAATGGTAGGCGTAGAGGGAAGGGCGGAGACTGAGGATGCACCAGGTGGAACTCCAAGATGTGCTTTTGCCAGTCTCTTGAGCTCCTTCTATGGGGATGTCAATGATTGTACAAGGAGACGAGAAATGCTGAGGTGCAAGGGAGACGCATACGTACCCGCTTCTTGCGATCTTCCCTGGCTTGCGCCGACTCTTGTATCAGCGCGCTAGGATTCCACTGGGGTACATGAGTAAGCGGAACAACAAAACTCGCGGCTGACGTACGCCTTTGAGACCCTCCAAGCTCACAGTAAACGCATCTCTCTGCGTCCGCTGATCAAAGGGCGCTATGCGAATGTGCTGTTTTGGGGGTATTTGTATCATTGTCGATAGATAGTCATCCTTCTTCATTGAATGTTTGCCTGGTTGAAGGAGGGTTGAGCCTATGTCATGTTAGCTAGTCGTACCATACGCACCAGGAATGTCTTTTATCAGATGTTTATAGTTATTCTTCTTCTTCTTGTCCCCTTTGCCAGCTCCTGCATCGTCGTCGTCTCCGTCGTGGGCATCTGGGCCTGGAGTTGCGCCCGTTGCGGGGGTTGTGGCGAGTGGATCACGTTCCCTCCCTTTACCCTTATCCAACGCGCCTCCCGGGGCAGAATTCAGCGCATCCGAGGCCGTGTCGTGAGGTGCGGCGAATGCGCGGACGTATTTGTCGTAAGCGGAATGTAGTTGAAATCGACCCAGCAAATCCTGGGTGCATCGTAAATGTGAGAAGGTTGGCGGTATTGGCGCTATATAAATTTCGACAAGCGTCCCCGCATGTCAGCCAGGCCACTCAGGAAGCGTAGCAGAGAAGTGGGCAACCGACCTGGAGGGGGCAAGAAAACAAGTGGATGTAGCGCTTGTGGGGATTGAGTTGATGAGGTGATGGGGGCTTCTAGTGAACGAGGCGGGGTTCGGGCTGTTGAGGGACCGGCGACGGCATTTTCGGGGAAGTGATTCATGCGGGGTCGTCGCTGAGGCCGATGAGGAGGAGGCGCGCCAGAGATTGTCGGAGAGTGATCAACGACAAGGGCGGAATCAGGACAACCGACCTTGGTACATTCGGAGCCACTGAGAAAACAACGGCTGTTTGTACATGTTGATTGTCACGGTGGCCCTATTGTGCCCTGACTCTCCAAGACACACATAATGATACTGTCTTGTATTTATGTATTTTGAGAGGCGTTGTAGAGCGTACCTGCAGTGCACTACAGCTTCGGTTTCGTTTTCTGCAGTGAAGAGACGGGTTAGGCTGGTTGATGGCTCTAGTTTAGACCAACGGAGTGATAGGGGTATCACAACAAATTAGAGAATAATATTACAAGAAATCCACTACCTCAATACATAACGGATGGAAAAAATAGGGTGGAAGCACCTAGATAGTAAACAGACATCCGAATAAATTAGCGTTGCCCAAGAGTAAAACTCGTTACACTCCGGTTACTTATACCTCCCCCAGCATCGTACCGAAGGCCCATCCTACCGTCTTCCTGGATCCCCCGCAACGCCGTCGAGCTCGCATTCTTCTTCCCATCCAGAGAAAAGTTCCCAACAGTCGCGCTATTATTGCGTTTGTGATCAAGAGAGAAGGGGTTCCCCACCGGCATGCTTAACCGACGCATCCACCCTTTGGGTTTTTCTGGACGGAGCAGTATAGGTTTCTCCGGGGGCCTGAGATCCGCTGGCGAAGGATTCTTCGGGGACATCTTGTATTTAGCAACAGAGCATTTATCGCATCCGCAATAAGGAGCATGGTCAGACGGTCCTTGCAAGTGTTGCGGAGAAGGAGGCTGGGAAGAGGTACCAGAGCTTCGTTGGGAATGCGACGATGATGTTGAATACGGCCCAGACGGAGGGACAAGGTGGGTAGTGCTGTACGAGTAACGAGGTCGAGCATTAGAGGCTTCGTCAGTACGCGTCTCAAAGGACTTGTTCCTCTCCCTATAACCCCTTCCAGGGCTACTGGGCTCTCCCTGACCATTGCGCGAGTAATTTGAAGCGGGTTCAGCCAGCAATCTGGCGCGATCCCGCTCCAGCTCCTTCGCCTTCATTTCGATTTCTCGTTCACGCATCTGCAACTGCCGCTCCTTCTCCGCCAGCGCCATCTGCGTGGTCTCGCTCATTCGTTGGGTATTGCGCGCGTTATCCCCGGGAGAGTTGCTCAGCGCTCTGACATTGGGAGTGGGAGGGCTGGAGAAAGCTGATTCTGCGAGTCGCGCTTGGGCAACGGTGTCAAGCGGTGGTGACGATATCCTTCTCGAGATAGATGGCGAGGCAGTAATAGGTGAAGAAGGACTGTCGGTAGGTTGGTATCTTGAGGCTAGGTTAGCAACGCTGAGGGGGAGACGCGGTATATCCTTGGGCGGTGGGGAAGTACTCCTCCCAGACTACACGGGGAGGCTTGTCAGACTAAGGCTTGCGAAGGACCAACAGTCAGGACTTACCCCGCTCGAAATGCGATTTTTCATGGTCGCTACAATACTGCTGGTCCCCGTATCCGTTCTATCCAGCGCCCGGACACGAGATGTATCGGGGGCTGGAGTATAGTTCGTCTCTTGTTTTCTCTCTTGAACTCGATCATCGTCCCTCGAAAGCCTTGGACTTGGTGGCCTTCGATCTAGCGTTGCTGGTGTAGGCTCAGAGAACTTGTTATCACCAACATATTGTCTATGAGGCTGTTTGGGAGATGGCTCAGAGACATCGGCGGTCAGAGGCGCAGGCGTGGGAGGATGTTGTACTGGTTGTTGTTCACGGGGAACCGAACCAGTGCTGCGCCTAGAGTCACCCGCCGTAGGCGCGCCATCACTCAATGTACCCCCATCTTGCAAACTCTCGTCAGGAAGGGGGGATTCTGTTAGTCGAGGCATGGTTGGGAAACTGACGTTAGATGGTGTTAGAGAGGGAGTATGTGGTGGATCCTCAAGCACTTGGGTAGCCGGCGCGCGGGGCATGTCAACGGGAGGTCGAGTTAGTGACGGTCTTCTGGGCGGGATAGGAAAATGTGTCGGCGGTGCGGGGAAATCAGAAAGTGAGCGAACGGAACCAGTATTTGGGTCCGTGAGAGGGCGCGGGGGTTCAAAGGATGAAGGAGGAACAGACGATGTGGTAGAAGCATAGTTCGATCTCATGGTCCCCGTAGCTTCTGATCGTGTCGTTTCATGAATAAGAGGCGGCTGATCCCGCCCTCTCTCATTACCGGAGAGAAAGACGGGGGAGGGCTCAGAATTTGGGGAGCGAGAGTTTTCAATGCGGGCCACATCCGGGCTAGGGTTGGAATATGACTGCGCCGGTTCGTCGTTGGTAGGCCCAGGGTTGTCAGACTGAGGAGGCGCAACGTCGGGCAGCTCGAGGGAAGTGGGCCCATTCCACCCGCCCTCGCAATACGATCGCCATTCACCCAGAGGACCTATTGTGGGTGATATACGTCGGATTCCCTCGCAAACTCTCAACCACTCCGCATCCGCAATCCGAGATAAACACGCCGCGACGTTATATGTAGTCAATGTGTGGCGCTGGGTCACCTGGAGGATATGGTTGCTGTGAAGCTTGGATACAAGTGTTTAGGAACGAGATAAATCCGGGCTTACTATTTCTCCTGCGAGATCTCTGGTCCGAGAGTGCTGAGAAGGTTGATATATCGTGCGTGCTCGTCTTCAGCATCTCGCGTACTGCGCTTCGACTTTTTCTCGTACAACATCCCTTGACAATATTCAGAGGGCGAGACAACTTGCCAGGGTAAGCGCACCTGCTTGCTTTATCCTGGCATTTGAATTGGCTATCCAGTCGTCGTGGGCCTTCTCTTCTTTCTGTCATTAGACCTTGTACATGAGTTGCACGGGGAAAGTGATAGGACAGTTTTGCGTACGGCGAGTTTCTTGAACCATTTCTTCACCTCCGAGCTGATGTTGTCGTACTCCTTGTCCGCAAACTTGGCGAATTTAGAGTCAATCTCGGACAAGACTTCGAAGATGGTTGCACTTGAGTTCAGCGCGTTTCCTGCCGGCAACACAATCATCTTTAATTGCCCACATGAGGGAAGGGAGAATGTTCTGCACTACCTGGTATTGTACCTGTGACCTTCACCCCCGCAGCGTCGCGTAGAGCCTTCGCCAGTTTCTTCTGCAAGGTAACTACTGCCCCGGCCGCTTCACAGTAGTCGTTCAGGATATTCAGTAATGTTTCCAGTGATTTACAAGACTTGTGTATGTCCGTCCGTTCAGCCAAGGGCGGAGCATTGGGCGCACTGGACATGTTGGGCGTCCGAGCGCGACACGGTTAAGGCTGGTTAAGGGAAAGAAGCTGCAATGCCAAAACAAGACGAAATGGGGGTGCACGTTACTCTGACCGATAAGATAAGATTTGGTCATCTATTACATTGTGCTATACAGTTGTACAAGTAGAATGGGTCATGATATGTCGTGTCCGTTGTCCGTCGTAAAATAAGGTAGAAAGTAGAAAGTCTTCAGCAACCCGATTCTATGTCAAGGTAATATCTGCCCTGGCCACCACACGGGCTCATACCCATGTTCGCAGGTCTCAGACCCAAGAACTTCGTCCACTCTCCCATTGCATCAATCCTTACATATCCCCTTTGATGCTCAAAGCTAGCCGCATTCTGTGAGACCTGCATTCGCCTGTTGAATCCTTGTTCCAGCTTCCCTGGGACGCGCCCCTCTATGTACATCTCGTCGTCCTCGCTAATCTTCGTGTACATGTATTGATGTATTGATGTCAGAACGTCCCTGACAGTGATGTGTGAGTTGCAAGAGGAAGGTTTAACGGGAATGCCGCCCCAGAGTGTAACCATATGGTCCAGATGTGGTATACGGAGGACGAATTTCTGGTATGCGTGCGATGGGGAGACGGCTGGGTCGTCCATTGGGAGGTTGTTCGTGCCAAGTGCGCTCGCCATACAGGGTTTGTACTTTGCGTCGGAGGGGTCGCAAAGCATGTCCCATTGAATGAACTGGAAAGTACTGGAGAGGCTGCTATGTAGCTGAGGTTCAACAAGTCCGACTGACGAGCATCCCACGAGTGCAGACGGAGGACATGTCAACACCGGTCCAGGAGAACTTGTGATCACTTGAGCTTGCTGTGAGGGGACAAAGAAAGCTTGAGGGGCCGGAGGAGCTGGAGTGAACGTAGAAACAGCTTGAGGGGCCGAAACAAAGGTTGCGACACCTTGAGGAGGCAGGGTTGTTGTGAACGTTCCGGGAGTGAACGTCGTAATCGCCTGCGCCGGGGGAGCAAACGAAGGAACAGCCTGTGGTGCGGGGGTCCAGGACGCCATTGCTTGAGGTGGAGGAGCATACGGAGTAGACAACTGATGTGTATGGGGCCAGGGTGTGCATCCAGGCCCGTTCTGAAAGCTTTGAAGCTGGTGTGGATAAGGCGACCCCATCGGAATCGAAGGTCCTTGTGGAACGAACGTATGGGTCCCCCCAGGGCCTGACCAGGTCTGGTGTTGGTTGATCGGCCATGGTAAAGGAGATAGCATAGTTGCTGGTGTGCATCCCATCGTCGTCTGAGTTACAGGTATAGTTGGGTAGCAAGCCGTCGGTGTCGGCAAGAGGTAGTTGCCGCTGATAAACGGGCTATTCATTCTGGCTGCTGCAGATTACGGATAGAATCAGATCGGCTCAATATACCGAACGGCGAATACGAACATGGATCCAAACTAATGCCAGAGTTGATCGGCACTGGACCTCGAGTTGCAGATTGTAGGCCGAATAGATGAACCGAAGGGCTGGATTTAAAGCGGACGCGTCTATCCAGAGACTTTCGTCGGCCGTTTTTGAGACAACTCTTGAGGGGGAGGATACGAGGCATGTAACGTTGAGCCACCAGCTTATAGTGCTTGAATCATCAACAATTGCCTGGGAAGCATGGGACAAAACATCGTCGGGTAACCAGCTTGAGGATTTATATTGATGTTTCGAGTCCCTTGTTTCCGAAGACAATCCGCATCGAGCTAGCAGGCATCCATCCGTGGCACTGCAGTGAGGCGTAGAGCAAAACAAAGGAACAACAGAGGAAAGTTAAGTTGGTAACCTGGAGCTGAGGTTCCCACGATTATCAGCCTTGTTCTTCAACTTACTTCCAGCTTCACAATTGCAACAACGATGCCTTGGGGACCTGTGTTCCTCGGCGTAGCAACGGTTTGATGGCTCACGGAGGATTCTTGTGTCGAGAAGCACGGTTAGGCTAAATGTAATCAAGAACCTTTTGCGGGCGACGGGCACATGGCATTCAGGAGAAATAGCATCTGGCGTGCAACACCGGCACGAGCAGCGATTTATAACCCAAGAAGCTGTTTATCAAGTACGAACACAAGAGCAAGGTATGGGGAAAGCTACCAAAGAGACTCGTTGAACGTGTCATTCATAGAGACGACATTTTTCTTTGCCAGCTCCTTGAGCTTCTTTTCCGTCTTCAAGAGCTCCGCAATTCGCTTGTCCCTCCCCCCCCTTCATCGTCATGGAGTTTGCCCAGACGAGCTGCATTTTTGGATAGTTCTCACGCACTTTCTGTTCTGCACGATTGGGAGAACGAGGCTCAGAGGGCTTCGTATCTCCATCATGTTAGCTGAGGCACACTTCAAATACCCTGCCGTCGATCGTCAGCTCTGGATTGAAGTTCTTGATTGGAATGCTTACATCCAGAATATTCCTCGTCGTGCGGGTACTGGTCCGAAGCTTCAAGGTAGAAGGTGCCAGAAACCCGAACGTACTTCACGAAACTAGCCATATCAGCCCGGATTAGCTAGCTGTAAAAGGCAGTAGCCTGTAACGCTTCTTAAAATCAGCTTTGAAACAAAGCAAGGCGGAATCAGATACAAACTTACGCATAAGCAGTACCCAGTGGGTAATAATGGAACGAGTAGATAAACTCAGGATCATTGCCACCGTCGGGAAAGCGGGGCCACGACTCTTTTATATCGGTTATTGAACTGTCGGCATCTTGTCTAAAGTCGCTAAAGGACATTCGCTGGTGTTCAGGGCCTGCGCCTGACGGTAGTTGAAGTAGCCAACATTGGCTTTTTAAGCATCTGAGGTCTCAAGCACTCACCTTCAGATACTTATTATTACTGGTCCAGTCACTCGGCCCTAAGTCCCATGAGAAAGGTCTCCCGAAACACTGCGCCCTTCTCTGAGTCTGGTACATTTGACCACACCTTTCTGCCTAACTTGATGATCTCAATGGCGTGGCCTACATACTCTGTAGCTACATCCGGACGGCCGTGGAATCCGCCGTGTAAGAACCCTTGCAGGAAGCGAGTCCTGAAGAGGTTCATTCAAGTTTAATAATACCATACAATGGGACCGCAAACTCACCACACACCGACAGAGAGAGCGGGGCGGACAGTGTCCCAACTCACTAATGGAAAAGCTATACTGTTCCACTTTAGAGCATACTTACACCTGTTTTCCCTTCAACGAGGTAGGTTTTTGACGAGTTGGGGGTACGCTTTGCAAGTTCTTCAATATTTCCATACCCTTGTGAAACCTCTAATCAAGCCAGTGAGAATCGAATAGAGGGTTGAGAGTTGGTAGTTCTAACCTCGTATGTAGCGTAGATAACCCGCCTGCCCAATTGAAAGACCATATTAGCGAGCGGCGTGCACTTGTGGCCCCCTCGACTTACACTACTGTAAGGGTTGTTCACGGCCCGCAACTGGGAAAGGATGTTGGTGGCCAGTTCCACCGGGAGTTCTTGCGCTTCGTCCTTGCGCATAGTAACGGCGTGCGCGAACATACCCTCTTTTTCTCCACGAGCTTGGAGGCCTCCAAGTTGTCGACGTAGGATTGGCGTTGCTTCGCTTCTGTCGGGCTAAGGTTTTCGCTTGGCGTCATCGCGTGTTCCCAACTGGCAACACCTGGAAAACCCATAGCCTACGCTGGCATTAGCAAGACCCCTTGATCAAATGATCTGAGAAGTGACGCAGGTTCGCGCTTACATCCATTGCTGTGGCCACCCTTGCATGAACTGTACGGCCAAGGTCGCGTCAATCCTGACGAAATGATTTCGAAACCTAGAACCCACCTTTTTCGCGTCTTCCAAGGCGTCGACAATTTCAACAGAAGTAAAAAAGGCAGCAATGAAACATCATGACAACATACCTTGACTGAGCCAGTCGACATGCTGCGCGATCACAATAGAGAATCGCATTCTGGTCGTCAAGCTGCAGAGCTTGCGTGTATTTGTTCGCAGCTGCCTCGGGTTTCTTCTGAAGGTACAGAGCATTGTCTTGTGCCTTCAGCTCGGCTACGCGTGTTTCAAGTTCTTGATCAGAGATATTCGAGATCACTGGCTCGCGAGGTATTCTGATCGGATGATTTGATACAAATTGTGTGGCTTATCGTATAGATATTATGGACGTCGAGAAGGGAATCCGAACCATGGCCACGAGGCGAAGTCGAATATGTTCTAAGTAAAATGCAGGCTCCACACGACCATTCAGGTAATGGCCAAAGAAGGAAGTTGTTATTGAAGCGCTGCCCACTTTGAACTTGCGCGTCGAGTCGTGGCCTTAGAAATACCTCCGCTCCCTCCCCCCTTCGCTCTCTGGGTGACCAGGAACTATCAACGGAGCTGCGTGCAATAACAGTGCAAGATAAAGTTGGACCTACTACTTCACATTGGCTACAAGAGAGGACTATCAAACGGGTCACTCAGAGACACGATGCCCTGGTCTAGTAACTCCTTGAGCCTGTCTTCAGTTCTGAAAACCGACTTGATTGCTTCGTCCCTGCCTTGCATAGCCGACGCAGAGTCCCCCCAGATGCGCTGCATCTTTGGATAGGCCTCACGAATCATGCACATGAGGGGTAGCGCCATGGAAAGTGGTTGGCCCAACGACAGTGTGCAATCCAACGAGCACTTCATAAACCCTAACGAGAGATAATCAGGTTTCTATCACCGTACAAAATTTCACTCGAGGGCAATAGCTCACACAAATGATTCTCGTCGTCTTTCATATAGCGTTGAGCAGCTTGAAGGTACAACGCTCCAGCTTCTTGAGTATATTTGCGCCACTCCTGGTAATCATTTCTTTGATTGGCCCTCTTCGCCATCTTCGAGCGACAAAAGGCTTTTGCGCTTTCCATGGAGAGGTGTTGGTGTGACGTAGTAAATAATAGGAAGACGGAGAAGAGCATGGAACTCACGCGTAAGCATGACCCATCGGATATGAGTAGAATGAGAGAATGAAGCCAGGATCGACATTCTGCGGAAGTTGATGCGGGAAGACAGCGTTCAAGTCAGTAATCAGTTTATCAGCCTCCTTCTCAAGCGTCTCCAGAGTGAATTGTCCATTCACTCCATTGTATGCCTGTCCGAGGCAGAAAGTAGAACCAAAACTAAGCAAGGAACAATGTTCCTTGCTTACGGAAAAATACTGTTCCAGCCATTCAGCCCGGAGCCCGAGGAGGAAGGCGGTCTGAAAAATCGCGCCTCGATCAGAACCTGGTACGTCAGGCCATTCTTTTTTGCAAAGTTCGATTATTTCAATGGCGTGCCCGATGAACTGAAGGGCTATGTCTGGACGTTTTGTCAAACCGGCTTGTATGAACCCTCGCAGGAAGCGACCCCTGGCTCAGATGCTTCCTGTCAGGGGAAGTGAATGGAAGCAGTGACACGACTCACCGCACGCTAACAGAAAGAGCAGGGCGGACCTTATCCCAGCCCTCAGAGGCCAAGCGCTCTCGTGCCAGCCGAAGAATTTCCACTGGTGTTTCTGACATCCAGGCTTGACTATTCTGCGCCTCAAACATTACTATTCGGATACCTCAAGACTCGACGGGGAGCTGATGCACGTCGTAAACATACCTTGCTGATTGTAATAATCTAAGAATTTATCGTCATTCATGTGAAATATCCGCCTGTCCCTTAGGAGGCCATTCGAAAGGGATGTAAGTACCTAACATCAAAGGAAATGACTGATCAGCTATGCAGACAATACGAACAGTGCATGTGACGGCGTACACCGAAATGCCCGAAGAACATAGTCGCTTCCGACGCTTCGGTGCCTCCCGTCTTCACAGGACGCAATAGCTTCATGTTCTTGATGCCTTCACGAAAGTCCTAAGGTTATCATCCAAGTAGGAAGATAAATATTTTTAGGGGACCGTGAAAGTGAAGCGTTACCTCGTAGGCGGCGGAAATGACCCATGCCTATCCAAGAATAGGGTCAATACACGAGAAAGGAACTAACAACGACCGAGACGTATAAAGTGACTCACACTGCTGTTAGGATTCTGCGCTTCCCGTAATTCTGGGATCATAGCAGTGGCAAGCTCCCATGGAAGATGTTCGGTTTGTTCTTTTTTGAGATTGATGAGTGATTTTCCGTCAACTAGAACCTGTACTTTTTTGCGCCGAGCCGCTTCCAAGCTCTGAACATAAGCTGCGCGTTGTTTGACTTCAGTTGCACTGAGATTTTCATTGGGCATCAAGTTGACAGCACGCTCCCAGTGAATGCTGCTATCGGCGGGCTCGTCTAGGGCCTACGATATCAAATGAGTCACGTTGTTAATTGAAAAGGATATACGCTTACATCTAGTGCAGTGGCTAGTCGTGCGTGAGCCTTGATATACTGGGGATCCAATTTCACGGCCTCTAGACGCGTCAACTTGGCCAGGGCTTCGCGTTTCTTCACCAACTCACCTTTCTAGCATCATCGCAGGCATCAACGAACCTAGTGGCGATTGAATAAATTCCAAATCACCTCAGCCCATCGAAGAGTCGAAACAGTATACCTTGATTGCCCAAGTCGACACGCGGCACGATTGCAGTAAATAACGGCGTTTTTGTCGTCTATTTCCAGAGCCTTTGAGTATTTATTCGCAGCGGCCTCCAGATTCTTCTGCAAGTAGAAGGCATTCCCTTCGGCTTTGAGTTCCCCGATGCGAGCTGAGTCATTCGCGCTCAGATGATTTGTGTTGTCGGCCATCGAAGTTGTAGAGGAAAAGAAAGAGACAGTTGGTGGCCCAGGAGTCTGAGGTATGTATATAACTATAACCTAAAGTTTATTAGAATGTGGCGAAAGGAACCTGTTGCCGTGCACGAGGCAGACTAAATTGCACATCGAATTGGCCGCTTGGGGGCGTGGTATGCAGCTTTCGTCGAAATACTTCCAGGACGACCATATCTTATAGGTGACGTTAGGATAAGAGATGAGGTAGAAGTAGATAATATAATGTACCAGTAATCATAATCAAATCGAAGTCGATCGAGGGAGAAAAGAACCACAGAACGAGGGTGCGGATGAAATGCATTGGATAGATAAAAGAAAGTGTCAATTTTATGTGAGACAGGAATCTTAATTGATAAACGCCAACTCGCAAAGCCGACGACTCTCTTCGTCTTCGATGCCATGAGGTTTCAATCTGTATACTACCCCTGCTATGTGCATCTTGGGACTGACGGCTTGACGAGGTGACTGCGGGGGTGAGGGCATCGCCGTGCCCCTTTTGTTCGACAATGGAAGAGCCCGAGCTTTTGCTAAGGCGGGTGAACTCTGACTGTGTGGGAGAGTCGACACATTTGTACTCTTGGCCTGATCGGTGAATGACAAAGGAAGCGTTGGGGATGGAGGTAAATGGGACGCATCAAATGCATTTCCCAGACGTTGCTTGTCTACGGATTTTCGGGAAAGTGGGCCAAATATAGACCGCCGAAGGTTGAAGACGCCGTTTTTCTTGGATTGTGAGGATGCGGCGGATTTCACGCTGACAGCATCGCTATTATCCCGTCGAAAGAGCCCAAACGACTTTCGACGCGTATCTTTGCTCCGTTGGGGAATCACGAGAACATCAGCGGGCGAGGCATGCTGCTGCTCAACACGATCCTCAATCTCGAACGCAGGTTGTAATTTTGCCGAGTTCATCTTCTCCTCGACAAGGCTCTCAAGGATAGCGGGGATGCCGTGTTCGATTGCCTTGACTTTGAAAGCATGTTGGTGAGAGGATGCCATAGACGAATCAATAGAGGAGGTAGTGTCGCCTTGCGAGTGCGTCTCTAAATTGGAATGCATTTCGTCTGGTTTCAGCTTGGGCGACTGAGAAGTTGGGTAGGATCGCGGCGATAGCGGGGTTGCGGCATTATCTTTCGAGAGAGTCGGCTGAGCCGGGGGTGAAGATGCGGGGGGTGGGAGAGAGCGGTTGATAGCGGACGACGGTGTGTTTGGGGTAGTCGGCTGAGATGCCGGGAGAGGTATGCACCTTGGGGAGTAGACAACCTCTGCATCGGCTGGCAGAGGGGGCAATGGGCCAGTTGGGCTAGGGCGAGGCTTCGATAGTGATCGCCTCCTCGCTTGACTGAGGTCGAGGGCGGGAGGTCGACCGAGTCGTGATCGGGTATTCGGAGGTGTGGGTGTAGTAGGAGGACCATCATCGGCGTTGCATGTCGATACTTCAATAGCAGGGGCTTCAGGGGGAGTCGGTGGCGCAAGTTGATCTGACAGATGATCGGCATCGTTGGTGACACTAATTACGACTTCCTCAGGCACTCCAAGAGACACGGCACTCCCACCAAATTTGAAGGATTGCAGTCGGGTCCGAACGAGCATGGCCTCCTCCTCAGGGTTACTCAGGGCTTGATTACGAGCCTCCCACTCCTGCTTGATCTTCTTTGCCGCCGTAATATCAATATCGCTATCAACATCCTGCAAAGGAACGACGACGCTGTAGCGAAGATCTTGTTCCTGTTCCTGAGTACTGAGGTCCGGATTAGGCTGAAGAGGCGGTAGCAAACCTCGCGCTCGCAAGGCAGCCTCTCTGCCGCCTTGGGCGGCGTAGCTAGATGTATGTGGGGGTGGCTTGGGGAGTGCGCTGGACAGTGGGAGGCGTAGCTTTGTGGTGAGTCGCCGAAACACGGTCTTGGATGACGACGATTTCCTGGTGGAAGGAGAGCACTCAGCGAGCGGCGTGCAGGAGGGAGGCGGTATAACGCACCTGGTGGGTGACATGGCAGGATCCTCCACAACGCGGGCTTTCGAGGGACCACCATCCGGACTTCTGTGGGTATTTTTGACCGACGAAGAACGCCTGCTCCCATGATCCAGTGATGCATGTGCCTTCGCACAAGAGCCTCCTTCTTTCGTACACCTGCGCGTGTGTTCAGCCCCTTCTTCGGCGCGTTCTGTCGGCAACAACGGCAGCGACTTGGATGGCTGCATATTCAGAGCTCAGAACGACGTATCCTGTAAAGGCGGGTTGCAAGACAAGACGCGGTGCACATGTGTTCCTTGAGCTGTTTGTTTGACACAAACCAATCAATCCAGAAATGCGAACTAGATCAGAATTCTACCCGGAGCCTAGGCAAAGCGCGTGTTCGTGCCTGTGCAGGATGTTCGTGAAGACAGGGCGCGTGCGATGCTCGCCGTGGATGCTCGATCCTGAATCCTGATTGAAGGGGGAGAGGGCGAAAAGGAGTCATGATATTCCGTGGTTGCTTCGTTTATATATGTCCGTGTGGGAGTAGGGCTGCAAGGAAGTCGGGAATCGTCAAGGCCCCTGAACGCTTCTGATCGGTGGGATTTGCGATGCACCCGCCACCCGCCCGCCAGACTAGGGCGTTTCTTCTCCATGACTAGTGACTGCTCTCCGCACCAAAATCAAAATCGCAGATTCTCCATCGCGAATAACTAGCACGTTCTCCTCAACACGACACTACTCCCATCCCCCGGCTAAACAAATGACGCGACCATCGATATGCGATATGGGCGTGTTGGAAGCGTCGTTACCCCACGTAGCGAAACAATATCACAACTTCCCTACATCACCATGCATGCCTGTAGCCAACGGTGTTTTACGTGTAGGAATGCCGTTCAATAGGACGTCGAGAATGTAGTGACACAGGTAATCCAATCCGGGGGTAGACAACCTTGGGGCGTGTGCATTTGAGGAAGTCATGGACGCGACTCTCGCCGAACTTTCTTACGTTCCGACAGACCCTTCTCGCCTTGACGACTGCGGCGGTCTTCGACGCCCTCTTCTTCTCTTCTTCGCTTCCGTTCATGATCTGCATCTCCTCTCCCTGCCTCTGACTTTGAACTCGGGCCCTCCGCCTCCTGCTTCTCCTTTTCCTTCTGACGCTTCCACAACAGCTTCTTGCAGCACTTGGGGCATAGAACCACTTTCACCAGCGCAGACCTGACTTCCCCGTGCTCCTCGTATGCAAACGGTAGCTCGAGGGTTGTCAGGCGAGGGCCGGAACCCTCGGGGGCGGCGTGGTGTTCACAACGAGTGTTCCCGCATGATGTTTCGCCAGCTCCTGATAGCACCTCACTCTCTGTTCTCCATCGTAATGCAAACTGTATGCTCGTTAGTTATTTGTGGTTCTATAGCATATAGACGCACATTTCCAGTCTTGTAGTGTTTCAAATCGCAGACGGCAAACTCCCTATAGAGGTTATCATAGTACTTGGCTGCCAGCTGTTCGTTCCACTGTAAACCCTTGCTGTTTTCGTCGTCGCGTAAGAATCTAGGCAGCCGGGTGAGTGTGTTCAATTAGTCGCAGTCTATTTAGTACTCACTTATGTGAAGCCTTTAAGATATCGAACTCTGTATGGCTGATGTGTCGAGATGACTGTCCCGCCCTGATATACGGGTACAATGCCATTGTTCGTGGTAGAAGGTGTTAGAGTGAGGCGGCCGTATGCGCTTAGGCGCCCGGAAGATAAGGACCAAAACTCAGTATGTTTTTACCACCATGTCTGAAATTGAGAACGTTTGTCTCGAGGAGCTCATCGTTCGTGTCTAGCAAGCGTACATGGTCCCGCTGATGCGATTCTGCTCATTAGATGTCTCGAAAACGTAAACGTCTACGACGGGCCATCGACCCTTGCCTGGGATATTATGAATCTCCATCGGTGGTGACCGAACGCGAAACCAATGTGCCATCATCGCGCCCTGCGACAAGATCGAAGCCTTTATTGGTGAGTAGATCCAACTATATGCGTTTGAACCATCGTTTAGGAACATGTTTCGCAGCCAGTAACTAGTCATCCACCGCCGGCATGGATACCTCGTAAAATGCAAGGCGAGGACCAGTTGCCATCCGGAGAAGACACAAACTTGATACCACCGATTGCATGCCTTCGAAACGACGGCGGAGACTCCCCACCCGGATCCCCCATGTACACTTCCTCAACACGAGCCATGAGACGACCCAGGAAGTATGATGGACTCAGAAACAGGGTAGTCTTGAGTAGTGAAGATCATCAGGAAGCAGAGTCCGACGTTGAACGCTCCTCCCCAATAACTGTGGATGCTTTTCTGAGGAAAGCGATGAGACGACCCAAGCGCAACGGGCTTAGAAACAGGGTCATTTTGAGCAGTGAAGACCATACAGCAGCTCCGCAAACATCGAAGTCGGAAGAGGCTCGGAGTCGTAGAAAGAGGCAGCGACAGAGACGCCATGAAGTCGACTCGGATTACCAGCCATCTTCGCATGAAACCTCCCCTAGACTCGCCTCCCCCCGGCGCAAACTCCCAAAGGCTCCATTCACAAAACGACTTGTCACCGCCGCAATAATGTCTCTCGTTCATCCTATAGACAGTCTCGTCACTGGAACCGCTCCAGATGGTCGTCAGAGTCAGCGGCGTCCTCTACGTTTTGAACCCGCGCGATCCGTCTCTCCACCCCCACCAAACTCTACGTGGTCTCTAACAGATCCTAGAAAGACCGACCCCTTTCGAGACTCCTCGTTTGCTACAGGAGGTCCCATGCATGATTCATCCTTGGCTGCCCCTCGCAAACCTCTGAGCGCCTGGCAAACTCCTTGGAACCAGATACCTAGCCGACCCGACGATGCCAAACACAAGCTCCAGCGTAGATCGTCCACAATTCCACAGGGCTCAGAAGTGAGAAGGATGGTATGCCCGCCCTTGGTTTTCGTTCCTCTCGCCGAAGCCGAAGCGATGTATGCCTCTTCCAGACGTTGAATATCCACACCTGTATCTCTAGCACACTTTGTATTTCTGTAGCAGCACACATTGAATAATAGTTTTACTAGTACGCTCACTAATGTCAAGCTGAAGAGAGAGGCCAGCGGCCAGCCTGACTTTGTCTCTAACATTGCTGTCCTTGGGTGAAAACCTGTTGTATTTGTTATCAATGTTCGTTGCAGCGAAGTCTTTGATTCCTTTCGTAGAGCCTGAATTCAGCATTCCGGATGGAGAACAATATAGATTTTTGTGAGGACATAGTATAAGTTACACCCAGCTTTGATTTCAAGACATATACATACTTGATACTCGCTCACAGATACTATTTATTTACTGTAGGTATATATTGCTGTACTGCGTCCTTTCTTGACGCATTTTCTCAAGCGGTAAGCTTTCGACTTCAAATTTGAAGTGATTGCAAGGTAAGGTAAGCGGCCGGCAGAAGCCGGGACATCTGTGCATGACTGGGCGACTGCATTTCGTGCACTTGACTTGACCACTTACATTTATCGCAGGGCTTGAATGTATCGTGCATTGCCCTCTAGGCGTGTCGCGTCGTCGACTGCTCGTGGTCTTGTGGGGGCCACTCGCCGGGTGAGTAGCCAGCCGACTGCATAACCCGAACGAATACTGACCAGCACTTGATCTTGTAGCGGCTAGCGACGGAGGCCTCGCCCTCAACTCCGAAGAAGAAACGCGGTGTCGTTTCAAGGATTTTCTGGTACACCGCGACGTTGACGGGCACATTCTATGTTGGCAGCACGTTCGTTTCCTTCAAGAACCAACAATACTACGATTTCTTTTCCGACCACGTTCCTCTCGGCCAACCCTTCCTGGAATATGCCGAAACACATCATTGGGACAAGCTCACGGTGCAAAAGGTCATTGACACTGGGAGGGAGACAGCAACCTCGGCCCAGAGGTTTATTGTGGAGAAGGTGGAGGGGAAACCGAGCGGAGGGGAGGAAAAGGTCAAGCAGTCTGTAGAGGCCACCAGACAAGCGGCGGAGAAGAAGGTTCACGTTACTTCCGAGAAGGTCATCGACGTCGTGCAGAACCTCGAGAAAAAGGCGCAGGATGCCAAGACGCGCGTGCACGATGTAGCGGCGGATCTGAAGACCTCTGTGAAAGCTGGCGAGGGGAAACTCTTCGACAAAGCTACAGCCATTGCACAACATCAATCTCAGCAGGTGAATGACGAGCTATTGAACTTGATTCGTCAAGCCGAGGCAGCGCTGTCTGGTAAGCCCATCGACTCTTTGCCAGAGGCCACGACCACTCCCGAACAACCTGCCGGTTCCCCACCTGACTCAGTACCTCCGCGCCATAACGAAGACGAAACCTCGAATGATAGAGACGTCTACACTGCTCCATTACCCGTCGGTTTCGAACCTCCTCCAGGCTACAAACGCCCTGCTCCTCCCAAACCTCCACCAGCACCGAAAGCAGAGCCACCAGTTTTGCCTGCCCTTCCCCTCGTAGCTCCTGTAGTCTCAGAGCTCTCGGCATCCGAACCCATCATTGTCCACCTCGCTACAACCATTGACGACCTGGCTTCGTACCTCAAATCAAATCCTTCTGCTGCCTCCCATGCAAAGGATGTCCTTGAGTCGGCCAAGTCAGACCTAACGTCACTCGTTGATCGCATTGAGAAGGTGAAGGAGGAGGAGCGAGTCCAGCTTGAGCAAAAGATGGACGAACAGACGCGGGAGTACTCCTTGAAGATGATGGAACTCGAAATGGAGGCACAGGACAAATTGGACGGTCAGGAAGAAACCTTCAGGAAGTTCTATGATGAGGAGCAGATGAGATTCGCCCAAATATACCGGGAGAAGCTCGAGCAGGAACTTGCCACACAGACGGAGATTATCAACGAACGGTGTGTAATTATTCCCGCGTCATTCCGTCTTAGTGGCTCACACCATCTCAAGTTTGAAGCAAGAGGTCATTGCTCAGGGAATCGAGCTTCAGCGACGATGGATCCGCGAAATCAAAGTACGTGTGGAAGAAGAACGAGGCGGTCGCTTGGCGAAGCTTGATGAACTCGCCGCGAATCTCAAGCGCCTTGAACGCATCGCTCTCGATAACACCGCTCACCTAGACGACAACATTCGGATACATGCCCTGTGGTCGGCATTCCGTGCTCTAAACCACACTGTAGATGGACCAGTGCGCAGGCCGTTCCGGGACGAACTTCGCGCGCTTCGTCATGTTGCAGCCGCTCGTGAGGACCCCGTTGTTACCACCGTGCTCGAGAAGTTGGACGCTTCGGATGTTCCAGATGTTGGCGTTGAACCCCTTGCGGACCTCGCTTCATGGTTCACAACATCCGTCGCCCCGAAAGTATCAAGCGTTGCGCTGGTACCCGACGAAAATGCTGGCCTGCTTTCTCATCTTGCTTCCCACTTTTTGTCGAGCTTCAGGTTCAAACGGCAAGGCCTCGTCGAAGGAGACGATGTACTAAGCGTCTTGTCGAGAGCCGAATACCATTTGAACGAAAAGAACCTAGACGGCGCCGCGCGGGAGCTGAACCAACTTAAAGGGACAGCTAAATTACTCCTACAAGATTGGCTAGAGGCTGCTAGACGGCGACTAGAGGTACAGCAAGCTTTGGAGGTGTGTTACTGTTCATTCATGTCTGGTGGCAGTGCTGACGGGGAACGATAGGTTGTTCAAGCTCAAGCTACACTGTCGTCATTATTGGTGGTATAGATCGTATTGCGAATAGATAACATCATGATTCCGAGCCCAAGCAAGTGCAGAAGAAAATAGAAGGGCAAAGGTAAGCTAAGTTACAGTACAGAGATGCTTCACATAGGAGGGGTACCCATGCCGTTCATTGGTGGCATCCCTTGGTGCATGCCCTGATGCATGTACTCGCCGTTCATGGGATGCCGAACTGGGGCGCCCATTATGGCACATTGGCATATGACTTGAGCTCGGCGCACCACAGTCTGCATGTTCGTCGCTTTCTCCCCTTGTCCTGGCGGGGGTCTCGACACTTTCACCAGGCCCGGGAATATGGTAGCACCAACAAAATCGGGCTCTCCTCTTTCGCTCTTGACGCACCGTTTCACAAGTTCGATTTGCCTGGGGTACAATGTGCTCCCTAACTCAGGCACAAACGCACGGTAGAATGCATCAGATGTACCGCCCGCGCTGGAACTGGAGCCATGGAGCATGCGAGAAAAGTCGTATGCCTTGTCGAGAATGGATTGCCCGCCCGAGACGGGGTTTTCGCCTTTGAGAATCTCCATTAGGTTCGGGAGCTGCTCGGTGAGGATATTCCGGGACATTTCTGGTGTGCAGGACTCTACTGCAGCGGAGAATGTCTGTCGGCGCCATACGCACGCAACAGTCGGGTCCCCTATGATGGAAATGGATTCAGTGAAATGATCCGCTGAACAATGGAAGTCGACCCACGCGCAAATATATGCTCGTGTATTCTCGTTAGTTGAACATTAGCTTCTGCAGAGTTGGTAACGATGAGGCAGTTGATGATGCCCTCTGATATGGTCTCAGATAACGCGTGCCGGAGAAGGCTTTGAACAACCATGGGCGTTGCTTCGAACCCTTCGATCTCAGCGCCGGCCACATCATTGAATATTGCTTGTGCAATAACATCAAGCGGTGCAGGCGGTGCTTTGATGACTTCCGCTGCCCATCGGTTAATAAGCTTGTCCAGCAGTGAAGCAGCATTCTATAAAAGCCGGAACGCAATTTGTTAGATGATATACGTCCCCTTGAAGACAATACTGACCTTGATTGAGAAATCGTCGATAGTGTTCTGTCTTTTATCTTGTTTCAGACCAGCACCTCCTTCGAGGAGCGCAATCCGTGACCGAAGCAATGCAACCTGGCGTTCTTGCTCTTCCAACTGCTGCCTCTGCTGCTCGACTTTCTCGTGCGCAATACCCTACAAGATATCGAAATCAATACGCATACCTGATTATGAGGGACGGTAACATACAAAATTGGTTAGGACGTAGCGGTACCGTTCTCCTGATACAACGTCTTGATCTTGCTGCATGGGCTGCTGCTGATGTTGCTGCTGCATGTATTGTTGAGGCTGCTGTTGGTTGTACGCCATGATAGGGAAGGTGGATGGGATCTACAGCCGAAACTCAAATGTTCGAAGCTCATCTTATGCGGGCGCTGGTAACTCACAGAAGACAGGGGTATGTCCAAGGACATCGGAACACGATCTTTCCGATTTGATGCAATGGAATCGCAACATCAATGGCTATTCTATTTTACATTGAGAGAACTGAATCCCAAGTCTCCCCCACTCCGTTCGAGGTCGTTGAACGGGTCTCTCATGCTCCCCGTCTTTGACCGCCAAAGTTGAGTATAGAGGGTTTTAATCTTCTGCAGCTCGGCATCGAGGGCAGCAGTCTTGCTGGCCAGCGCAATGAAAGTCGCGTGCTGAGCCTGCAATGTTGCTGATATGGCTGTGAGGGTTTAGGTGAATCGTGGAAAGGGCTGCCAATATGCCGTTTACTCACCCTGCGGTGTATGCTGCACCTGGCTTGAAGACGAAGAGAGTTTACGTTCGATTTGCTATATTGCAAGGGACGGTATTAGTATTACGATACTTGAGGAAACAGAAAGGGAAGATACCTCAATAGTCGCCTTGTACCACAACAGCCGCTCTCTTGTTTGTTCTGTAATACGGGTGAAGAATCTGATTGCAATCAGCATCGGACATACTTCGAAAGCCAAGATCCTACTCCAGCGGGAACGTTGCGTGGTTTTTCAGGTAGGCTCCTTGTTGTTGAGGGTTTTTGAATCCATCGATGATGCGCGTAGCGATTATTGTATCCTGCACAGCTTGGTCGGCTTTGGCTTTGATGTCTCGAGCATACAGCAAATCCGAATGCGTTATCGAAGATGTGTTCATCAGTTCCTAGGCATGATTTATCCAGGATGAGGGAAATGCACGGGAAGGCACGCGGCAGGAATTACTTTATTCACAGAACGGATGAGTTCTTGACCCTTCGCAGCTTCGTCACCAAGCTTGAGTCGATGTAGTTCTTTGCCGATCTGAATACGACCTTGGATATGCGAGCTAAGCAAGATGAGTGGTTCATTAGCGTGCCAGCACACTGGTCGCTCACTCGATATTTTCTAACGTTCGCTTTATTTCATCAGGGAGGTCGTTGAACTTGGTAGATTTAGTGAACAACGGCGTTGCGTTTTGTTGGACACTGGTGGTGGATTTGATAAGACGCCCTCGATAAGTCAAAAAGTCAAGCTAAGCACCTACCCAAGTCTAGATGAATGCGTTCATATAAATCCCATTCAATGGTAATGGTCAACGTACTGTGGCTGTTGTGGCTTCTGCCCAAATAGAGTTGAGGTGTTCCCAAAGCCCCCCGCCGTTATTGTAGGCTGGGCTTGTAGAGTACTCGCACCAAATCCTCCCTGCTGTTGCTGCTGTCCCTGCTGTCCCTGTTGCTGTTGGCTATTTTGACCAAATGAACCAAATCCACCAAAAGTATTTGATTGCTGAGTACTAGTCTGATTATTGGCGCCAAATAGAGAAGATCCAAATGCATTCGGTTGCTGCTGTGCTGGCTGACCGAACAGATTGGATGTCGGCTGCTGCTGCTGCTGCTGAGCGGGTTGTCCAAATAGCCCACCAGAAGGCTGCTGCTGTTGGGCGGGCTGTCCAAAGAGTCCCCCAGTAGTCCCCGACTGCTGCTGTTGCTGCTGTTGCTGAGGTTGTCCAAACAAGCCTCCTGTTGGTGCCTGCTGCTGAGCAGGCTGACCGAACAAACTACCCGCAGCCGCTGGTTGTTGCTGAGGTTGGCCAAAAAGACTTCCAGTAGCAGCGGGCTGGGAGTTCTGCTGATTTTGCTGCTGCTGTTGACCAAAACCACCGAAAAGAGAAGGTTGGGTGGGTTGTCCTTGTTGCTGAGGCTGCCCAAATAGATTTGATCCTTGCGGTTTGGGTGCCCCGAAGAGCGATGAGCCTGCCGCCGGTACAGTGGGCTTGATGCCAAAGGCAGAAGAACTGACAATTTTCAGTGGACACCGTGTTCGTCGCGTGAAACGACTCACTTTGTTGCGAACGACATACTGTAGTAAGGACAAGGCCACTGAACTACTATGGGCGCTTGTGGAACGTTTCTGACCGTGGGAGAATTACCGTTTACTCCGCATTCACCTATGTCTGTTTCTTTCATTTCTCGCTCCCGGATTATAGCGAGTACCGATGCCTAAGTCTCATTGAATTGACTTCTTTGACTGCGATGTTGACATGTGTGATTGATCTTCGGTTATTCATAGTGGACTAAGGTTTGCTTCGTCCATACTCATCAAACCTTTGTGACAAAGCGTGATGTTTTCAAAGAATTTCACATAACAATCCTGGTACTGTTCAAATCAAAAATCCAGAACTATGATAAATTATTGAATAGTGTTTTGGAATTTCTCATAGTTCTGAATTTCTAAGGAATTGCGGGTACACATTGTTATCTAATTGTTTTGTAGCCATTGAGAGATTATGATAACAAAGCAGGGCACCAAAATGGCGTGGAGTAACGCGATGTCACATCAAGCGAGGTTTGATGAGTATGGATGAAGCATATCTTACTTGCTGTCGGAAAAATGCTAGCTGACATTTAAGCGCTTGAAAGGCGCTTTGAGGCCCTAATTTAGACCAAACATAATAATGGCTTATAAGGAAGGCGTAGGATTTTGTGGGGCTGGAATTCTCACAATCAGACGACCAATATTACAAGGGAAAGCGGGCCTTTAAAGGAAAAATCCGCTTAAAATGTCCACACACCATTTGATGGGCTGGCGGGCCCTAAAAAGGTGGCGCTCTCCCAAATTATCCTAATCTAATCTCTTGAGACTATTGCGGGCTTTCAACTTCAGGCTAACATAACGAACTCACATTATCTTATCGTTATCGTATCTTACTTCATTGTGTAATTGATTTGAAGACCTATCTTATATATTACATCTTATATCTTGTATCTTATATTATCTTATTTGGAGAGTATCTTATCTTAATCTTATCTTCAACATCATGATAATCAGACTGAAATTAAATGGCATTGCAACATTGGGAATCGAACTCACGACCTTGTGATATAAAAACCTTCCTATAATTACTGACGAGAATTGCCACTACACCAAAATCCCATCTGAAAATACTTATGTTACCTTCATTAAGATACCATAGTTCCGACTTTTAACCCATTCCGAGTTCGCAATTGCACGAACTTATAGAGCCATCCGCAGCCCAACGGTCCAGTAACAATAGTGATACATTCATTGCACTCAATGTCACTATGCTAAGGACAGGGATAGTAAAACGCTGCGCGCAACACTGTGTCGGAAAGTCTCAACTGGTCCCTCAAGCACCGCACTAGCTCCCAACCACCCACGATCATGGGCGTGCTGCATTTCCTAACCCTCGGCGAGCCAGGTTCGGACAGCGGAGGTGTAAGCTGTTGCCCGGAGGTCCCGACAGACCCTCTTGCACTACTGTAAGGCGACGAAGGAGCCACCCATTCAGCTTCGTGAAGAGTCGGCGTCAAAGATCTAGACCGCAATCACAACCAGTCAGTAACGCATAGTTATTCCATAGAGAAAGAGACTAACCGTCGCTTTGTGCTAAAGCAAGAGCCAAGCCTGAGGGCATCTGCGAATCGGGAGGCGGAGCGGGGGTTGGAGTTGGAACAGACGAGGGAAGATTTGGGTTGACGCTCGAAGACGACAGCATGGGCGTGCCGAGGGTAGCCGTTGACATCGAGTTCACGGCAGACATCGACACGGTCAAAGTCGAGCGCATCGACGATGACAATGTTGTCAACACGCCAAAGAAACTGTCGTGCTGCGTCAGCGACCGGCTAACACTATGAGCAGCTATGTCATCGTGTTTCGGTGTGCTTTCCTCAAGTGCCTTCAGGGCGATTGTCGGCGAGTTCGGTAATGACAGTGTTGGCGACGGGGCCAAGTGCGGGAGTGGCTTCGTCAAACCAATAGCTCGAGTGATTGTCGGGAATGAACTTGCTAGTGTCAGTAAGGAATTTGATATGTAGCTTATGTTGTCAGTGAAGACTCCTTAAAAAATGGTCAATCAATTGAGTAGACTATATACAACGCTTACGATCCTATGTGCGCACTGTGCCCGCGTTACGTTGGCTAGTGCGACGAGGCTGTTCGTCTCGAACGCTCGCAGCAACTGCAGCCTTTCCGCGAGGCTTATTCCCTCCACGACCTCTCCCTTTCCCCTTCAACGTTGCAACTTCGACCATCATTGGTTCGTTTCGTGAGGCTGAATAGGTGGTTTGAGGGGTGTCTTGCTCGAACGCGAGGCGTTGGCCTTGCTTTGAGGGATGTCCCATGTCATCTTGGTGGGCAGCCTGGCCGATAGCGTCGTAATTACTTGTGTGAGCAGATTGAGGAAACGGCGAGATAGCTGTGATATATGAGAGGGGGGGAGATGGTGTGGGACTGGGACTGGATGGCGGCTCAAACGAAGGAATATGCCTGTGAGAGTGGGCAGTGCCGATGCGGTGCTGGGCACCAGAATCGTCGTCTTCGTCTTCGTCTTCGTTATCGTTGTCGACGTCTTCATTGTCCGAAGTTTCAAGCATTGCCGCTTTGATGCGAGCAAATTCCGATGCGTCGTCCTGATCTGAATCTTCATCGCCATCGCCCGAATTCTGCTTTGCCCTGGGCACTTCTTTGAAGACGATTTGCTGGAAAAAGGCACGCAGCTGCCGCCCTTTGCGAGAGTTCTTTGTCGACTCGATCAGTCCGTAGTAGTCGTGAAAATCTTGTTCGTAGTTTATCTTTGTTTGAGCTCCAATCGGTGATAGCTCTGAGTCGGGGGATGCTAGGAACCGTGCCTATCGGTTAATCTAGTAAGTCTGGACGTAGCATGGAATGAGAGTAATTCAATTTACTTACGATGGTGGCTGACAGGCAGATGCTGCCTGTCGTAACTTCGGTGACAGCCCATTTGCGGCCCGATGAGTTTGCGGCTGGTGTCGAAGAAAGTGACGTCTTGCCAAATAATGCGACGCGCAAGATCTTAGGTTGTTCTCAAGTAAGTAGCGTACCTATTTAAAAGAAATTGGAGGGTGCTTACAAGTGGGAGGATGGGGTTCTGGAATATGTCGGTGGAGTTTCCGGGTGGATAGAGCAAGGGAGGGAGGGACGGATAAAGGCCGTTCTTGCTGGGCTTCAAAAGTGCCTTGAGCTCAGGAGATGTGCGCCGGGACTCCTTGCTCTCGAACACTTGACTAGGTACACCAATAGAAGCGAAGATGTTCGCGGCACAGTTTCTGAGAGTGTGGGCCATTGCTTGTCGCTGTGCACCCATCGCGAGCCGAAACTACATTAGATATTAGATAAGAACAATGATTGTATTGAAATTGTCAATATTATTTACCTCACTGCCCGTACTCGCTAGCCTGAGGGTACCATGCATATCCTCAGGGAAGACCTCATAGAGCTCCGCAGCTATTGCCAATGTCCACTTCTCCCTCGCGCCGAAGTAGCTAGGATCAGTGGAGGGCTTTGGGGGCCGCAAGACTGGGAATATCTCATCCGGCACCCAGAGATGATGCATGATCGTGAATTGTTTCGCAATTCGGCTCACTCGATTGTCATCAGCTTCGCCTTCTTGACTCGTAGTATTGGATTTTTTCCCCCGCCGAGGCCTTGAAGCTTCTAATGCTGCGATCTTGTCTTGAAGTGCTGCTATTTGCTGCTTAAGCTCGCCGTTCTCGAGTTGCGCATCTTGCAATGCCTAAGAATTACTGTGTGAATCATCCAATAGTTAGAGGTAGACACGATGTGCAACTGACCTTCACAAGTCCCCCCATCTGTGCGATGGTGCCCGAAGAGATGGTAGGGGTTGATGCTGAGAATTGCGAGGTCATTGTTGATGGTCTGTCGAGAGTGGTGATGAGGGAGGTGGATAAGAGGCTTGATCTCCCACCGATTCGTTGCGGCAGCGTTGATGCAGCATGTCCACTGACTTGGTTGTCAGTTGGCAGCACATGATTCAGGGGTCCCTATTCATCATTCATCGCTCACCACTTAGTATATTACAAGGTGCTAGGGCTTGATATAATAAGATGTTGAAGTCAGCCCACAGGGACATCATGACGAAGCAATACAGTGGGTGCTCATTGCAATCCAGGAGGATCCAGATGTAAATACAGTACTCAAATACCTAATTTACCTACTAAGTTCCATGCAAGATGCCTGTCTGTGATAGCGCTGGGCTCGCAGTAGCTCGCTGCTAGCCCCAAATCCAACATAAGGTAGCCTTGAACGTAACTATTGGGTGACCTAAACCATGGATTTAGATTCAAGCTTATAGATATCAACGGTACAAATATGTATGAGTGTAACAGATATCTATTAGTCAAGTATATCAAAGCCCTGCTTGTTTGTACCGGAGGAACATATCATCATCTAATGTGTCAACCAGCAAGTAGTCCCCAGGAGTATCAAATGCCTCAACAACCAAAGCTCCACGTATAATTGAGTCCACAAATATAAATTCACCGGTTCGGTGTGGTTTGGTGCGAAGTCGAATAAGACCAAGCTCGATGTCGGTGATACGGCGTGGCCCAATAAGGGCATCAAGTGGATCGATAAGGGCAAGGTAGTAGACCTTATCTTGAATGGAGCAATGAAACATAAAAAGGAGTTTGCCGATGAGGAATGGTGTGAAAACGCCAAGTGGCTCTTCTGTTTTGACAATGACATGGTCATATCGAGGGTGGCCATGGAAATTTGGATTGCACCACAAGTGATCAGTGACCATTGTCCAGGTGACACATGATTCGTAGTTGACTTTGACATAGCGGAACTCCACAATCTATAAATGCTTTAGTCATTTCATGTGAATAACATATAGTTGTTTACCTTGTCATTTGGGCTCAACCTTAGGTATCTGGCATTTGGAAGATGTTCAACAGGAAGCACTTGGGAAAGAAAATTGGCAAGGCGAATGTGGAAATTGTGGAAGAATTTGGGTCCCGAATCATTGATGTGATTTACTTCAAGCTCCTTGAATGAGAGTGGAGGCTGTGCCACAGTGAGTGATAAATGTGTAGTGTGGTGGCTTGCCTGAACTCCTGATTCTTGATTGTTTCCAGGAGTAGCATTTCCATCTGCCAAATCTGCGGTAGCTGCTTCAAGCTCTTCATCATATTTTCCGATGTCTTGCCAAATATATTCTGCCACCAACATGGAATGTATCTTCCCAAGGATCTTAAACAATAAGTCATATTAGATACTTGATTGCATAGATAAAAGAAACACTTACTTGTGGTGCAATATCCTTAAAGTTTGTTGTGAAATATGTTTTCCGAATGCTACGGTGCATTTGCTCGCTTGGCTTTGTGTTGTAATTCCGGGTAACCCCTTTCGCAACAATGTCATCAAAAAGATGGACATAGAGGTGATTCTTCGGGAAGTTCCAGTTCTTCGGCAATTCTGCTTCTTTATTTGACTCGTTTGCGTACTCCTTATCATAATTATAAGCATATGTATATGATGTTAAAAATAACCCACAAAACTTGCCTTTATTAACACTGAGAATACCTCAACCGCCTCTCTACCAGCAGTGATTGTGTCGTCAGTATGCACTTGCATGCCTGCATACATGCGCATATTGATATAGGCACGAAGGCAACGGAGCAAAAGATAACCTGTTGCATCAACATTCTTGGTGAGAATGTTGTAGGATGCAAAAAGTATGAGCTGGTTGCAAATCAGTTTAATGTCAGATGTAAACATATTAACATACTTTGCTAATATCAAGGTTTTTGGAACCATCATTGAAAGCAATATTGCTTACACTCTCAAAATGATGGAGATTACGCCATCGTGGGATCAAGTCAAATCTATAGCATAATAATTAGAAATGAAACAAGAAAGTGGAAGAATGAAAGTTCTAACTGTGTATCAAACTTGCCCACTGCTTGAGTACCAAGTGCCTGAATGCGTTCTATAGCTTGAGCAAACAAGTGATCTTCAAAGAGACCATTATCGAAAGTATGGAGGGGATCAAATGATGCTCCCTTGTATGGATCAGACAGATTGGCTGCCCAAAAAGCATTCTAGCCATAGTAAAGTTAGTATGAATTGAATGATGAACCTATCAAATGCACCTCGATCTCCCGTAAACTGACTTCCTTCAGTATTGCCTCCTGATCCTTCTTGGTTAACTGAGCCATTGCCAAGTCATACACTGCCTTCATTGACTTTGTCGTACGTAAAGGATATGTCGTCCCATGTTCCATTTGCATGTCTCGAGGAACGAGGCACACAGGGCAGGGAAATAGACTCCGAACACCGCGGGTTCCTGTCATAATACATCTAGGTGACTGTTAGTGTAGTAATAAAATTGATAAAGTAACTCACGCTTCTTCATAGTCATGACTATGAAATGCATCAATGGGGAACAACCTCCGTTTGACTGAATCCCCACAAGTGACCCAGTATCCATAATACGAAGCATCTTGAACAGATTTTAGTATCTTTCCAATACCTTGGTGCCACACCATAGATTTGTGAATAATGAATTTCCGCTTTCCTGAGTCCTCCGAGTCTTCCTTAATCTGTTTGATAAATTCAACTTGTTGGTCTGAGATCAATCTCTGCAGTATGAAGTGCACTTACCACAGGGAGCCAGCCCACCACTGTTCCACCACCAATCCCACGTCCATTCCGGATAGAAGTGCACAAGTTAGCGCACCGTGCAATTACAGGATATGCTTTTGCGGTTCCAAAACTCGAAAGCTTTGACTTGTCGGCATATAAAATAAAGAAAAATGGAGTCCCGTCTTCTGGAATGTCCGACTGATGTTATCAAATTTATCATCAATGAGTTCAAAAGGTAAAGACTTTATATTACTCACCTCCATGTTCCAAAGTTGTTCTCCAGTGAGTGGTTCATCAACAAAGCGTACAAAGTTAGTTCCATTGAATTTGTACAGCCGTTGGCTATTCCACTCAAAGTATGGAACGAGCGAAGAATCCTGAACCAGGCTCAATGCCCAGTCCCAGAGGGGTCGGTACCACATTTCGAATGTCATCATTTCTCCATCGTACTCGACTTCAATGTCATCCCGAATGAACTAGAGTTTTATTAACAATTTTTGTACATATAGAGATATTGTGGGACACATATACCCACCTCAGGTGCCTTGTGAGTAGCCAATGTCCATGTGTCATCTATGTCTGCTGCATTTTGAATGGTGAACTGCTGAGGATCACGACCACAACGTTTGAGAAGTGAGATAAGGGCCTCAACGTGCTCCTTCTTCAATGCAGCGTCAAGAGCCAGTGATGCTACCTCAAAATCCAAGCGGCTGCGAAAGGGGCTCCATGGCGGTAGGGAATTATTATGTGCTGATGCTTCAACCGGAGGGGAGGTAGGACGGCGCTGGTAGGTATTGAATGATTGGACAGTGGGAACCTTTCTGCTATGAGGATGATATTCCGTCTTGATATCATCCTTCGCAAATGGTACAGAAGGGTCATCTAAAGTAGAGATTGGGTTATTAGTTTTCTTCCGTGTCAAATACTTGTTTTGACATACCGTTGATCTGAACACCATCACGGTCGCCATGTCCAAGCATGATTGGGCTGAATCCACGGTAGCCTTCATGTTCGTCCATGAATTGTGCCGGTGCATTGTGGTCGGGCGTGTCGGCTGGACCAGCGGGGCCTATTGCTTGTATCAGCCGGAATTCCTACGACATTCATAGGATATAAATGCGAATTTACCTGCTGATAATCCTGCAATAGCTACCTCCAGCTCAACTTGAGCAGCTCTTTGTAATTGCTTTTCAGCCATGTCATGCAGCGCGTTTGCGCGATCCTTCTCGCATTTCTTGCGATGGGCCGCCATTCCTCGCGCATGAATGTCCTGGCCGCAGATTGCACATGTTCGCAACTCGGACGATGTACCGGTGCGCTTGCGCTTTGGCGGCATGTGTGTTGATAACGATGGGGGGGTGTATGATCTGAATCAAGCGGGGAGGGACCTCGATAGCCAACCAATCAACGAAGATGGGTATAGATCGCGGCCAAGGGTCGTTCTGGTCCTAATCTGCGCAGGGGGGACTACGTGTGAGGGACGAATTGATGCAAAGTTGATGCGAAGTCGATGCGAAGTCGAAACAAAGGCGAGACAAAGGCGATGTGAAGTAGCGGGGAGGGACCTCGATAGCCAACCAATCGACGAAGATGGCAATAGATCACGGGTGGACCACCCAAGGGCCGTTCTGGTCCTATTTTGCGCGGGGGGGACTACGTGCGTGGGACGAAATGATGCGAAGGCGATGTGAAGTCGAGACGAAGGCGATGTGAAGTTGAGCACTCTGAATGGTGATTTATGATCGAAGGAATCTGTGCTTGTGCTCGGGGGGATGAGGGGATGGAGCAGTAAATTGCCACTGAAGGGAAGGTGTCGAATCGCTGGAGATAGGCGACCACAGTAAAGCGGCACGCGTGTGGTGGGGAGAGCTAGATAATGTGCACAATTTATTAGTGTTAACATGTAAATCAAGGATTGAGGACTCATAAGTACGTGGGGCTTTCTCTTTCTTTCGTCTCCGCCACTACGATGTACCGTGTGCAATAGCGAGTTGGGATTTCCCAGGGCGAAGCCGCTGCGTTGGGATTTCCGAGGACGAGGCCGCTGCGTTGGTTGGTGTTGAGGTGTGTACAAAGGCGGGAGGGGGGTCTAGAAGAGGGTCAGGCTCGTGTACATTATACCACAGAATGTGACGACATACCTAGTTGTGCTCAAGCGTTGCAGCAAGGGCGCGGGGCGCAAACTCAAACTCGAACTCGAACTTGAACTTGGACGTGGGGAAAGAAGTGGACTCTCGAGGCATCACAAGGGTTGAGGCACGATCACAAGGGCCTCGGATCGGGTATGATCATCTCACGATTGATTCATTCTTATTGGTTCGCATTGTAAGGACATTGCAAGGACCCTTACAAGCTACTTAAAATGGACGCCCCTTAAAAGGCGCCTAGGATTTTTCCGACAGCTGATGGTTCTTGAATAGGATCGACTTACGCGAACAGGTGGAAATATGGGACGGACTCAAGTAGGTACCGAGGAATCGTGTTATTGAGAAACAGAGTTCTGTCAGTCGCCGTGCCAGTCGCGCTCGATTCGTCAAGATGGAAGCAGTTGAAATGATGAGCATTTGCCAGGCTACCAAGAGTTCAAGTGAGTTGCACTTGTTGTGTGATATATCCATATATGCGTCGACGTGTTGTATTCGTCGCGTGAATCACTACCCAGAGATCCATGCATGCTTCTTCTACGCGAGAATGCATATTCAAACTAGGAGTTTTCCGGACGCGCGGGGCCTCACTGTGTGAGCGATCCCCCTGGTGGAGACGCCTCGATTGGGATGGAAGGCTGAGGAAAATGGGGAATGAGGGCAAATGTGAGATCATCAAAGAACACAGAGAGGGACCGAGATGATATGGACTTGGAAAGTGATGTGCGCCTTTTATGCTTTCGACCAGCTGACCTTCCATCACTATAGACTGGGTCAGTTGGCTGCAAGCATGAGCCATGGTAAAGACTGACAAAACCAAGGCAACCCAAGCTGACCACGGCCACTGACGCACGAAAACAGGCGCGGACAAGGCAACTATTATCTTACCCGACCTAAAGCGCTTCGAGATTACTTGCGCAGTAAATGTTCGTCGGGTTCGCTGCCAAAGCTTGAATCGCTGGAGCAATGACCATGGGATATCGTTCACGAGTCATTTTCATTGACGATCCCTCTTCGCAAGGTGCTCCAGAGTCACGACGAAAGAGTCACCGCCGACTGGCGAACCTCCAGCCCTCGTTGTTTCGCTCTCATCCTCTAGGCGGCCATCAAGCATTATTGAGACACGTCCTTACTCTGAGCTATCTTGCGCCACGTTGTCAATACCAAACTACAAATCTACATTTGACATCAGAATCCACTTTCAGCGTCTATTCTAAGAACCATCAACTCTCATAGGCCTGGTTTCTAGCCAACCTTCGGGGTACTCCCTCGCGAACGTGCCACTTTGGACGAGAAAAGAGCCGTGCTCTGGGGTATCAAGCTCAAGCTACTTGGTTGCTTCCGTCGGCAAAAACCCACCCTCGTGAGAGTGGTACACGAGGACCATACGCCAAAATCAGAATCGGTGGCTACCATTCTGTTCGAAGACGGTGGAGGACGTATGAATGCGAGGGAAAACATCTGTGAGTGTAAACGGGCACCTTGATTATTCTCTCAGTACTGTCTTCAACCACCTTCCTCGCTAGAGCTGGAGCTATCACGATGTAAATACAAATACTGATGCTCCTAACTCTCCGGATATAGCGTGCACACATGTGGTCCAACCTTCTTCATGACATGTCTACCGCCCTTGGCACAGTCGTCCTTATGGGTCCTTAAGCAATGTGCCTCGGCTTTCTGGTTCCTGCAAGACATCATATTGGTATACCTCCATTTAAGTGCCTCTTGATGATTTGTTTGACGCCATTAGTTGACGTATGGATTGTGTGGAAAAGATCATGGCTGCCATGCTGTACAACCATGTGCGATGTGAGTACGCCGTGTTCTCATCACTTGCCGCTCACCAGGGCCATAGTGCTCGGATCGTCTACGGGGACATATATCTTCCATCGTGGGCTGTGCAACTGCGGAAACCTAGTTAACCAGACTGAGAGGGTAGGATCCATCCTTCATTTATATCATCCATCTCCTATAGGTGGCGAAGTTGCCGATCCGACATCCATGTGCTTCATCGGCGGCCAGCTATTATAGTCACAGTGTTCCTCTGCAGGCCTCGCTATCTTGCCTTGACGCCTTTCGGTCATCATCGGCCTCCCAATCGCCAGAGTACAGCTTAAAATCCGTACCTCTCACTTCCACTGCCTTTCACATGCCTGTGATGCAGTCGCCCGACGCCCCACCACGGTACCTTGACCAAGGAGCTGAGCAACTCCCAGAGTACACGAGTACTAGGCCATTATCTCTAGTAGCCTCGCGTCATACACCAATTCTCAAAGAGTTCACGTATGACTCGAAGAATAGGAAGGGTAGATCGTGGTTATCCCTGACTCTTAAGGGCGACACCCTACTCTCGAAGCATACCCCAACTATCGCTGAAGGCAGCGGTCTATCTGGCTCAGTCAGCTTGAACCTAGAGAGTAGCGAGGCGATTCAAGCTGTTAGCATATCCGTGAGTGCCGTTATGACGTCTCGCTAATCCAGAAGCGTTAATCCGCTAGTATATTATAGGTGATTGGACAAATAATCACAGGGGCTAATCCAGGCGAGTCGTTCACTTTCCTGGAAATACCCGTCACGTTATGGTCCAAAGCGTTGGGAGAGGCAAATCCCGCCGGTGATATACGACAGGAGAGCAGCGGAAAGCTACTTGGGACATATTCTTGGCCGTTCCACGTCGATATTCCAAAGCAAGTTACCCTGCCCATCGGCAGCTATGGCTCAAGTCAGACGTATACCCTCCCCCAGACTTTTCTAGAACGACATACCAGAGCTGGTATCAAATACGATGTCATCGTACGCATCTCGCGGGGGAAATTACGCGTGAATTCCAAGTCCGTATCCTCAGTCTTGATGATGCTCTTGACATCGTTGCTCATATGACCGCAGACTCACCGCAACATTCGGATATTTGCCAATCATCCGACCAATGGCACCATCTCCTCTCCGACAGCTTGCGTATCAGGAGAACAGTCCGATACTTGGTCCTGAAGCTGATCCTGAAGGGTGGCACACGGTCCCATCAACGTGGGTAAAGGGAAACGTATTTGGCAAACGATCAGTTAGTATCCACTGTACCGTAAGTCAGATACAGCGTCGGCGCGGTATTATTGTTGACTTGAATTCAAATAGCTTTCACTTGCCAAACCCGTCAGTAACAACCATTCAGTTTATCAACATTTACTTAACGCCCATCCATTTTAATCGTAGCTATGCTACACAAGGGGGACGGCTATACCCTGCTTCCTAGATTTGCAGAGTGCGGACGGACAGGCATTAGGGTTATTATCTTCGCCCAACGCTGTTGTCCTGCGCCTGCGGCGACGCGTGAAATATCGTGACAACAACCTGACAACCAAACTCGAAGTAGGGATAGATACAAAGGACATTGTCACTGATTCCGAGTCAGCTGTTTGGTGGCCCTCGAGGGAGGGTGATACCACGATGGACTCTCCTAGGAGGTGCCTCGCTGGTGAGATCCATCTCAACAAGATTCTCAAGCCGACCACAGCCATAGCTAATTTCTCCATCGAGGTCCGTTCTTTTCCACCATCATTAATGATATTAACGGATGCTGAGCTTCGTCACTGCAGTATGCTGTGGTACTCTTTTCATTTGATGCGCCAGCGTTCACATCCACAGGACCCGATACTCTTCTCATCCAACCTGTCGAAGTAGCGACGGCATACGCACCAGGACCTCGCCCCCGAATATATTCCCCTCCCAATTATCAGCCTCCTGTCCCTGTCAACCCTTTCTATCAAGCGATGCCCACCGAGGCCAGTCTTGGATCGTTCTAACAGCCTGTGTACACTGTTTATCATACACTGATGCCACTATCAGCAAAGCCTCTTTAACTCCTAGCTGAAACCGAATAACCTCTGTTCGAGCTCGATTTCGCTCTCACCCTATTGTCTCAGAGACGCCTGCACGTGTACTTCTTATTTGTTCCCAATATAGCACACTCTGCCTTCCCTGCATTCCGCCGTTATTCTACTTCCATCGATTACCTTGTTATTATGCAGCTTGGTGGCTCTGGCGAGCTCTTTGCTCCAGACAATTACAGGCCGAACCTGCGGGGCTCGCATGCCCACTTGGACTACCCACAATTGGGTTTCCCCTTGTAAATTTGGTGAAATGAGCGGCGACGCTGCGCCTATATATCTCTGTCTAATTCTCGGCTCAAGGTATCTTTCATTTTCTTTCCCTATTTCCCTGTAATATACCCCTCCCTCCCGCCTCTCCTTTATAATGTCTGAGGTCACCGTCGCACCCCCTCAATACCGACGGTTTTCGAGTGTTAGACTTGGGCAGGCCCCGACGACCATGACGACGCAAGCATCTCCAGCCGATTTGCCACCTTATTCCCGTCGCCGACGTGATACTGTTTCGCAGATGCCTCGTCGAGAGCCCGTGGCACACACATATCAGTTGGTCTCTGGAAGTAAAGCTTGGGCTGTGTGGAAGGTTGTGAGCAGTGCAAAGTCGAGCAAGTCGTTGCCCACTTTCTACGAGAAGGAGACGATCACTGGGACGCTGTCGCTGGATGTTGATAGGTTTGAGTCGATACAAGCCATCTATGTCACCGTGAGTGCCAATACGTCTGACGCCCACGAACAAGCAGTAACCGGAATCGGTTTCAGGTCACTGGCCGTATCATAACTGGTGCTGGTTCAAGCGATAGCTACACATTCCTCAACACCTCGGTACCCATCTGGTCCAAGGTCGCTGCAGGTGCGAAGTTGCAAGGGAGTTCGACGTGGCCGTTCAGCGTTCCTCTTCCCAAAACCGTGAGCATACCCACCAGCTCTGGCGGTAGCAAGCTTTGTCCTCTGCCCGAAACCTTTATGGAGCGAGGAATGATGGCCAGCATCCAGTATGACCTGACGCTGAGGATAGCGCGAGGCAAATTGCGAGCTGATAGCACGTATGTCTCACTGTCACCTTTGTGGCCCTATAGACCTACGTACTGACATTGTTCAGGTTGACAACACCTTTCGGCTATGTACCCAATAGCAAACCAGAAAGCCCATCAATGCTCCGACAACTGGCATACGAGGAGGGCTGTCCAACGATTCCAGGACCTGACGTCGACCCAGAAGGCTGGCGCATACTACCCACCGTGCCCGTCGCAGGTACTCTCTTCAATTCTAGGCAGCTCGAAGCACGTTGCAACATCGCGATAGCCAAACCTGTATGTGGAACCTCTCGTGGAGTCTTACACTCACTCACCCCGTCGTCTCCCTTGTAGCTTTGTTACACTCGAGGAAGCGTCATTCCGTGCACTCTCACCATGGATAGCTTGGACGTCCAGGCGCTCGATCTGCTCGCTACCAGCAAGGCCATCGTTGTCAATTTGCGACGGGCCGTCAGGTACTACAACTCACCTTCACCTCTCAACAAATCCGATGTACTGTGGAGAGAGTTGTCCGAGGACGTAGGACGCGCAGTCTGGTGGCCGTCAGTCAGAGGTCGAGGCGATGACTACATCCGTTACCTAGAAGGAGAGATCCAACTAGCTAAGGACTTGAAGCCGTCTGCATCGATAGCCCATTTCAGCGTTTCCGTAAGTATATTCACTCGTTTCCTCCCTGTCATTATTAATAATCATATGCAGTACTCCGTTGTTGTCTGCCCTTTCGACTCCCCGGGCTTTATCTCGTCTACTACCGAACCTCTGCATTCCGAACCCGTCGAAATTGCCACCATGTATGCCCGCGGCCCCAAGCCTAGGTCGTACGCTCCCCCCGCATATTCACGCACCACGCCACGCAATGAGGAGTTCTACGCGACTATGTGTGGCTTTCCCGCCACACTCCAGTGATCCAACCACGCTCCGTTTTGTTTCTCACTCATCTCTATCGCATCCTCTCGCATCGCATCGCACTGTACCCTTGCTTTCCATCATATCTTATCCTATATCTGCATCGCATTCATTTCCCCCTCACGACACTAGCTGTCAATCTGCATCCTACACCTTACCCTTCACTTCATGTCTTTCTCTTCATTTGGTTTAATGCTGTCGCATTCTGGCATGACTCCCTGTACGTCCGTGATGTTTTCTACGCTTGCTCATGTCACATTCCATCCTTTTGACGGTGCTGGGCCGCGTCTTGGTTGGGATATTATCTATTACTTATGAACCCCTCACTCTTGGCAGTGTATACCACACTTACTGCTATGTAGCAGCATAATCTACCCACCTATAGCATTTGTAGCCATAATTGTATCAACTTCGAGCAGTTTCTTCAAACCCCTGGATCCCTGTTCTGCGATCACGTGTCAAGGGGATTTTGGATCTTGGAGAGCAGTCGCCCTTCTCTCAACCTCCATGATCATACTCCCTCCTCAAATGGCCGTTCCCTAGAATCGAGTCCAAGTATGTCGAGTTTCTGGGGATACAGCCTCCGCGGCAACGACTTTATCGACGATCAGGATGAGGACGACGGTGCACCTGATGACTTGTCTACAAAGAGTCATCTTCCCAACGAAACTGATATGCTCAATGACCTGGATCTGTCAACTCGAGAGGAGGCTGCTGTATACAAGCCCAATCCGTGGACGATAGCCAAGATAAATGCGGCCTCGAGACGTCCTGGTGGTACTGACACGAACGCTGCCAAAAAGCAACCAAGATCTCGTGGCCTTGGGCCGACGACTAGGAATCCTGCGAAGAGCCACAAGGCCGATATGCTGCATATACCTAGAAAGAGGCCATCAGTTTCTGGTAAAGCTTCTTCAGCAGCAAGAATCGCGTCGGGCTCTGGCCAGTCCCAGGACATACCTCAGCACCCGCTCAGGCCAACGGCTGTCCGACCGCATACTGTTTTAGAAGGCTACTACCAGAGAAAGCCTGTTGGAAGACCCGACATCACTAAAATAACCGTAACTGGCCCGCGATTACTAGCTCAGGGTTTTCCCCTGCCGTCAGCAACAATCATGGACAACACTACGCCGCAGCCTGGCTTCGAAGATGCGACCACTGCGGTCATGCTTTCTACTAACAATCCGCCGATTTTGTCGACGAATAGGCCCGACTCCTCGTCTCTGGTTCCTTCGACCTCTGCAATACTGTCTGGACAGCTTTCTCCTCACGTTTCCCCTGCTCCGCCTCCAAGGAATTTGCTTCCACGAACTTCAGGATACAACTCGTCCCCTCTTGCTCCATCGCGTGCTAAAGGGCTCAACCATGCTTTTCTCTCTTCTCCCTTGCGCCCGCCTCGCAACCCAAATGCTTTCGATACCGGTTTCTCTTCAAATGCTACTAAGATATTTCAAACAAAGCAACCTGCTAATTTTGCTCCGCTGGGAAACGGGATGAACTATGCCCCACCTAACTTGCTTCCACTTCCACCTTCAAGTCCCCTTCTGCCATCGTCGCCTATTCCAATGAAGAGCCCAACTTCATTATGTGCGGTCGAAAACTCTGCGCCCGTAAGGTCAAGAAAGCGCAATATCTCCCCACCACCTAGTCCGCCTGTCAAGAAGCGTCCCAAGAAGGATCCGTACGAATATATGCGTGCCATTGAAGAGGCCGACGATTCGTCCTGGAGCACCTTGCCCGCGCGAGGTAAAAATAAAGAGTTGGTATCATTGTTGTCTTCTGTGCTCTCTGCATATAACAACATCCTTTCAGCCCACCTCCAGTGCTCAAGACGTCAGGAGCCTTCCGTCTTCCCCCCAAATTTCGACCTGCTCCAATAGGTGTTGACGCGAATGTGAAGAAAAGCGGCATGAGCGCCGACTCGACGAGAAGAGTCGTGACGTTTCTGCCTCCTCCGCTGGTCGCGCCTCAGAAACCCACAACCGAACGTGCTGAGCGATCGCAACTCGCATATCCCTCGCCTACCCGTGCCAGCCTCCTCACTGTCAATAATCGATCGGTTGATCGCAGTCCACAGCCCGTCATTTCCACTATGCAGTACCCACTGTCCCCGCCAGCATCTGATCCCCCCTTCGCCTTCCAAGTACCCGACCAGAGAAGTGATGATGACGTGCTTCTTCCATTCGACGCCGATGCTACCGAAAGGACGTACCCCACTGTCCGACGATTGACTTCAGAGGTGGGTAGTATTTGGCTTAACGAATCGTCGTCAGGACAGGGCCTGATGAAGTCCTGGTAGTAGCGGAGACGCGATTCCTTGTGGTTGTGGCGTGTTTTACAGATGCAGAGTTGTGGAATGGTTTTCCGTGATGACGAGGACGATGGGTCGTTGAATCAGGAATTGCCAATCGCCATCTGGAAAGGTTTGTAAATATTTCGTTTCACTTGTACGCGGCTGCGGTCCTTCTTCGAGCGTATAACAAGTGCCACCCAGCCTTATATATGCTTTTGACGCGTTCCCCGTGGATAGTGGGAAAATCTTACTTTCATCACATGCGTGACGTTAGGCGACTAGGGCACACAATACGGCCGGAGAGTTCACATCTGCATAGTCGAAGAGTAAATGCTAGGCTTTCCCCCACGTCAGATCCAATGCTGCCAGTGTACACCCCCAGCAGCCCCACTTCTCCTACCTCCCAGCAGGCGGCGTCGCGCTCAGAGCATGTTGTCTCGCTACAGGGTAATAAGGGGCACGAATGGCTCTCCTTATTCGTCAACAGCAGAGCAGCGACGTCAGCGTCCCTCCCACTACTCTTCCAAGGCGATTCAGTGACAGGGCGTGTTGAGCTGGATTTACTGAAGGAGGAGACGATCAAGGCGATCGTGATCTCTGTGCGCTTAAGCATACTTCCAACAACCTCGACAAGTTACTGATGTGTAGTAATGTGTAATTTTTGCTACCATCAGGTATTAGCAGGGACGACCGCCGTCGGGCAGGAAGAATCGAGATTTCTCCAAATTGACAATCAACTCTGGCCTCCAAGTACTCCCAATACCAAAGGACCTTCATCGCAGAAAATCAAAGGCCGGCATTCGTGGTCATTCACCATGGGCTTACCCACTACTGTACCTGTTACTGAGCCAAATGGAAGGCACGGCCAATACCCCCTTCCTCCCACTTTCTCTGAACGAGCAAGTCCGGTATATATCGACTACAGGGTGAAGGTCGTGGTCAGGAGGGGCATGTTTAAGGTCGACCAGCCGTACGTCTTAAAGCCCTTCTCGCGGGTAGTTCGTCGATATCGAGGAATTGTAGGTTGACGTTAAGTTTCGGGTATCTACCAGTCGCCTATCCAGAAGCACCGTCCACGCTACGAAGGATGGCGTACAATGAGGGTAGTTTGTTGATTGGGCCGGAGGGAGATCCAGAGGGGTGGAAAGTGTGCGAGACAGTCAAGGAAAAAGGAACATTATTCGCCGTCAGAGCGGTGGAAGTCAAGTGTTCGGTACGTCTTCCGCGGCCTTCTCAGTGCCATCATGAGGGATGCTCAAGTTTGTTGCGAAAGCAAGTTAGCTATCGCCACGCCGGTAAGACATGATTCCGTTGCCCGCGCGTTCTTCGGTGTTGATCTCGGAATGAACTTGTGCCTACATTAAGCTCTGCTATGCCATCGGCACCCCGATCCCCATCGAAATCACGCTTCGCAGCAGTGACAAGCAAGCCCTCGATCTCCTCGCAACGCCAGAAGCTCTGCGCGTCCACCTCGTGCGTTCCATGACTACAGGATCCGACGCCATGGATGATGACGCGCCGCGAAGAAGTAATAGCCACTTCCTGGAAAGCGTTGGAGATGCGTACTTTTGGATCCAGCTGGAGTCGAAACTGGAAGGGAATTTGGATGGCGCGCCCCAAGAGGGAGGAGAGAGAGGGCGGCTGTTGAGGGGAGAGATCGAAGTGCAGAAGACGTTGAAGCCAAGCTTCAAATTTCCTAGGTTTACGATGAGGGTAAGTCAGGGTTTTGGCATCTTCATTCGCGCCTGTGGGTGACTCGGAAAACAGTACATGATACAGATGCTGCCCTTGAAGGCGCCTGGGTTCACTCTAGCGACATCCAGCGACAAAGCGTTTGTGCCGGAGGAACCGTTGATTAGTGTCCCTGTGACCATCGTTACTCGACAGGCACCCGGGGTAAAGATACGGTCGTACGCTCCGCCTGGGTACGAAAAACGGCAAGGGGGCGATTACAACAAGTCGATGGGGTTCATGGAAAACGGGAACCAGCGGTTTTTCCACCATTTAGGATGAATCTTCATCGCTGTCGTCGTCCACAGACATTAGCAACAGGGTTTCGAATGTGTCGTCGGATTTGGGGCATGAAGTGCCTCGTGCACCTACGCCTTGTAGTAGACTTTGATCATCGTTTGGTACGATCCAGCATGATGACTCAGGTCTTCTATGAGCAATAAAAATGAAAGGAATGTCTTCGGTTGATCCAGTACGTGCCCATGATGACGATGCGCGGGCTTTGTATAGAACCGGATAGAACGAAAACCATAACCCAAAAGCAGACCAGAAGACAGATTCCTTGGCAAAACTGCGAATTTTGTAGGAGATAATGATGGTTTGTGGGGTCGTGAACGTTGGGTTTATGAATGGCGGCGAGGAGAGTTGAAGGAGCGTTCGCAAAAGAGGAGACAGAAGTTCCGGAAAATATACCTGAGAGGTTTTGAATTTAGCGACTCTAAATCTGATATACACGACGCAGCGCCTTACTAGATCGCTGCATACAATGTGGGTGAGGAAGCGGTCAGTGCCGGAGATCAGCTCGCTATGTATCTGCCGTGCTTCCTCCGCGTTTCCCCACGACAAAGGCCTGATGACGAGGCGCTCGGAATTTCCTCTTAGGTTCTCCTCGAGCAACGGACAGACCTGACACATTGCCGGGTTAGCTTTGACGCATGAACACGCCGATGCATAGGACTCTGACCTCTGGAAGATCGGTCACGAGAAGGGTATCCCTCGTGTGTTTGGTTGCTTGAGAAATGTAATGGCTAATGACACCTGACCCCGATCCTAATTCCACGAAAAGACGCGACGATTGGTCTGGATGTGGGTCAAGAAATCGGGGTTCGAATGACCATCCGGGTGGGGGATTGATGTACAACTTGAGGGCAAATGCGGCTTCCCTGATCATACAGCTTGTTCAACGGACATCCGCATTGATGTTTTGCCATCAGCGCACCAAACGCGGCCAGCGATGCCATATTTGCAGATCGCGTCTTTTTGGGCAGACGCGTCAAAAGACCAGCCCGATTCCATAAATTGGTTCGAAATGTCCAAAGGCTTTATCTGCAGGCCCACAGGAAAGTTTGGATCGTGAGCATTGGTCATGGTGGTACGGTACGAGGAGAAGGACGTAAAGATGATCGAGCGACCTGATCGAAACTGATTTGTCGATGTTATGATTGGAGGACCCCGGCCGGGGTAGAGTATTCACATGTGCCGGCAGCCCCCTGTTCGCCCGGCTACCACCATCTCCCGCCCGTTTATATACCTGAGCACGCGCCCTTGCAGGATCTCCTAGTATTGTCCCTCGATATGGCAGCACAGTCGAAACCAGTCCAGAAGCTCACCCCCTTCGCCTCTGCCTTGGCTGGTGCCCTCGGTGGTTGCTTTAGCACTGCGTGAGTGAGCTTTTACTTTGGCATGGATGTCTTGGCTGATTGGTTGTGAATTAGCGTCGTTTACCCCCTAGACGTGTGCGTGTGATGTTCACATTCTTTAACTTGAAGTTGAAGTTTGCTTCAGTGCCAAAACTCGTATCCAGGCTCTGCCATCTGATGCGAAAGGGAAGGGCAAGGACGACCTATCTGTAAGCCATGTATTGTATCGCATCTTCCAGAAAGAGGGTCTCTCCGGCCTCTACCGTGGATTCGGGGCGACGATGCTGAACACCTTCTCCATGCGTCAGTAATCCTTTCATTCGACCCTGGTATAATCTCACCGTTTGCACCAGAATATGCCTATTTCTTCTTCTACTCCTTCGTCCGAGGCTCGTACATCACTCGCATAACACGAAAGCTTCCCCCCGGAGCAAAGGTACCCGCACTATCGACCGCCGCAGAGCTAGCCATCGGTGCAATTGCAGGCGCACTAGCTCAGATATTCACCATCCCCGTATCCGTGATCGCAACTCGTCAACAAGTCGGGCGAACTGACAGGAAGACTCCTGGCGCCGAACCGATAGATGCGGAACCGGCCAAAGATAGCGACGATTCATTCTTGGGCGTCGCCCGTGAAATCGTCGAGGAAGAAGGCGTCACTGGATTGTGGCTAGGAATTAAGCCCGGACTTGTCTTGACTGTTAATCCCGCCATCACGTACGGCGTCTTTGAGCGCCTCAAGAACGTCGTGCTTGCCGCCCAGCAGGCTACTAGCTCGAAATTGTCGCCGTGGACGACGTTCGTTATCGGTGCTTTGAGCAAGACCCTTGCCACCGTGGTGAGTAGTCTCTAAGCAGCTGACCCCCGGATTCCGCTGACCCGGAACTAGGTCACTTACCCATACATCATGGCGAAAGTCCGCATCCAAGCTCGCTCGGCAGATAAGGAGGACGCAGAGCTTCACCACTACGAAAACCCTGAGCCACACCACTTCCACCATGAGAAGCACAAGCACGTTGGCGCCCTAGAAATCCTTGGGCGAGTTTGGAAGCGGGAAGGATTCTTTGGCTGGTATCAGGTACGTGCTCTCTCGCTTCAGTTGACCAGTTGACCAAGACATGCTCACGTCTTCGTCTGTAGGGTATGCAAGCGCAGATTACAAAAGCAGTCTTGTCCCAGGCCCTCTTGTTCATGTCAAAGGAACAGTTCGAGCACTGGGCAGTCGCAATAATGATACTATTTGCGCGCTTTGCGCATAGAAGCTAGAGCAGTGGACAGCATCCATAGCGATAGTAGATGTACTTTAGACGATATCATTTAGCATACTAATGTTATTGTATGTATTGCCCAAAGACACATGATGGCAATCTACGATAATTTAAGTTTGTTGCAGGGTGATGCTCCCGTCGTCATCCCGACGTTGTAATGAATGCACACCGGTCGTAATTTCCATTCTGATTTGCGCCCCACCTACGCACACGATATACCAGTCAGCATTACAAGAAACATTAACATGAACTGTGACTTCACTAACCATTGAGGGAAGAGATGTGAATCTCCAGCAGCGCCTTGCACTGCGAAGGACAAGATGAATACCATCACTTGGGTTCCTCCATCTATGAATCGTACCGTGAACATCACATCTCGCAATAGTGAACCAATGCTGACGTACCTAACGCGGCTGCCAGGATATAGTTATACTTCACAAACCATTTAGGATACCGCGTTCGAAGGTACCACTGGGAGAACCAAGCAATGGCGAAGTACGACAAGATCGAGGAGTTAATCCCAACGCAAAGCCATCCAATATAGTAGCTAGATACGTGTGAACGCCCCCCGTTAATTGTTTTTGGAAATGAAACGAAGAAGTTACCCACCAAATGACAGGTGTGTATAGATAATCCGCCCTTAACTTCGGCCAGAAGCGATGCACGAGCCAAAACGGTATGGGGACGAAAAGCCCTACGACGTACGCCCAAGCTACCCATTGGTACCTTTTCCCGGACGCAAACAACTCGTGGCTGAGGCCACCCCAAGCAATGGCTTGGGAGTTGTATTGCTGAGGCTGCTGTCCGGACCAGATGTTGGTGCCTTCTACGGACAGGAGAATGTCACGTTGGTTGTCGATGATGGAGTTCATTAAAACGTAGTTCAAGACACATCCGAAGAGTGTGCCTATGATCTGAGCGGTGAAGGCTGCTCGAGGAGGAAGCTTAGTATCTAAGAGACGAATATAGAGTCCAATCAGTAAGCCTGAAATCGGAGTAGACGTAGGGTAATGCGTACATTGAGCTATCTTCAGATCTCGCATCAACAGCTGCGCCTGAGTGACGGAGTCTGGGAATAAGCATAAGGAAACAAAGCGATGCAAGCAAGTGGGAATGACGGACTGTAGCTGAATAGCACGAAATACATATTGGCCATGGGTTTGCCTGGATGAATGAAGCCACCGATCATCTACGGCGTTGCTTCAGTATACTCTTTGTTGACGGCACAAGTCAGAAACATTCACCTGAACGAACGGTTGAATAATAAACTGCAGCCCAGTGATAGCAGACAATGTCCCGAAGAACAAGATTGACACCGTTGCTAATAGCATGGCGATGATAAAACCCCACCTAATAGATAACGGTTGAGTTCTACTTGTCGTCACTTTATAAGGAGGCCTACGAACCAGGGCAAGGTAGAGTCTGCCTTATAAATGATGACCAATGCCATAATGACCGAGATGAGGAGGGTCACGATGTACCAACTGTTCGGAGCATCGGGATACTGAAGTTAACGAATAATCAGCAAGCGGCTAGGTACATTGTTAATCTCTCACCTTAAGCATCTCCCGGTAATGAGGATCAAGATCCTTCTCATCAATGCGTTCATCACGCATACCATTGTCCCTCCAGAACCTCCAGTCAAAATCCTGATACATCTGCTTTATTGCGGGTATAGACACCCAGCCGAAGGCCAGAGCGAGATCATCGCTATTCCATAGAAGGAGATGTGTGAAAGTGGCTGCCATGCCCAGGTTCGTGGAGAGTAATTGAGTTACCCAGGTTCCGGAGTAGAAAGGCTATGTTTGTTCCGGTATTAGCATCTAATCGAGGTGTATGTAAGTCGGTCACGACTGTATCGACGTACCAATCCTTCTTTCGCCAGTAGGACTGGATCAACTTCGAGACGATCATTCAGGATACGCAGTTGGTCATAGACAGATCCGTTCGGGTAGAATAGTGTTTGAGAAAGCTAGAGATATACTTCAACTTTCGGTGTGTAGACACTGCTAGGAGGAGCTCACGAAGGGCAGGGATCGTGATTCCCAGATGTTGTTGTAATACACACCCACGAAAACAACCCTGATAACAAGCTCAACCATGTCTGCCCACTCATATACCATAAACGAGGTGGTACGTACATGCACAATATATAGCCAATCAAATTCGAGAACTGTGCCTTGAGTGGGATGGCCATTGGGTTATATCCTAGTAATGGCAGCGATCATCATTAATGGATAATGCAAAGATCCATGAACAAATGTGACGCGTACCTCCAGAGATGTATTGCCAATCCAAACACAGCGAAAGTAAACCCAGACCTTCGTTTCCATTGGACCCGCCAAAGATGCGGGTGAAGTCTGTCGAAGTCGGATTTGCGAGGCAGAATATAGAGAACCCGGTTAACAAGGGGAAGATCCATTCCGGGAAGATTTCCCAAATGAATATACTAAATGAGATAGAGCACCGTGAACTTTCTTTCCCTGCTTGATGCTGATTGTGATAGATAACTTACACCCCAAATGCAATCCAGAACAACCTCAACTTCTTGGTCGCGCCTTGCGCGTCCCTGTACAACGCATCGAACATAGATACCAACGGAATGACCGTAGGGTATAACATCTTCGAGGGGTACAGCAGGACACCTAGTGGATTGGCTGAGTATGGATACGGTACCGCAATACAACCAAGCTTACTCCTGAACAGTCCACCGATGCCATAGCCAAGTAACTGGCTAGCGAACAACAAGAAGATCGAGCTTGCTGGGTTGGGTGTCACATTATAAAACAGTCTCTGGACAGCTAGCACTTCCGTTCCCAGCGCCGAGTTCGCCGCGGCGCTAGACATAATGACGATGAATGCATTTTCTTTCTTGTTGAAGGGGTGCTGGATGGGGCAATCATAATTATCATCCGTGTAGATTGGAACGGCCGGTAAGCAACGTACTGGATTGATGAAGCGGAATACCCCACGAGTGGGAACGAAGGTTTCCCATGCCATACCTAGTACGTATGCTATGATAGCAAGGAACATTGTGGAGACGAGAACAGTTTGCTAGATAAGGCGGTCAGCTCGCGGATAATCCTCGAGGGCGGGCCGCAGATACACACAGGCTTGAAGTAGTAAATCTCCGCTGCCGCAACGAAATCAGCATCATCGATAACGTTGTTTAGAATTCATACCCAACACTCCCCCAAAGGCACTCAGTCCAATTCCAAGAACGAATGCCCTCACTGTCCATGGGTTTAATGAAGGGTCATCTGTCACGGTGAGAACATGTGTGGCGATATCTCTCTCGTTCTCCAAGACGCCGCCGAAATCGCTGTCCGCATCAACGTCTTTAGTCGACTCGATGTCTGTATTCGAGTACTGTTTCTTCTCGTCGATGGGCGAAGTACGGTTGACCTTCTCGACGTTCTGAACTTCCGGCGTCGGTTGACCAACACTGCCCTTCAATGGGTTCGATAGAAACATGGCGAGACACCAAGTGCAGAAGGGTTAATTCGCACGAAGGAGTGGGTCCCTCGCATTATGTAGAGCCCGAGTATAGTTTCGCTCTAGATAAGGCTATATTTATGGATGTCAACCATGGGGTAGAGCAGGTGGGACGTAAGTTGTCCTCGCTGTAACAGCCCCATTGGCATACGACGCTATCGCATGGGAAGTAGACCAGGCATTATACTTTTCAGCGGATAACCAAAGCGACATGGATATTCGCGTTGTTCAGGTCTTCGTCTTCCCTCGAAGGAACGTCCATCACAGGTCCTAGGTCGTGATACTTTCTGAACTGTTGCTGATGAGACTTGGTGGGTACGTCGCTAAATAAAGATGACGCCACACGTACACGGCCTGCCACTCCCCGGCTACAGTGCAAACGCGAGCTTGTGGGTGTAGAACGTGGTGACGTTGTGTCAGCGAGTTATTTTTGTCGAGTTATTTATTCCGCGAGCCTTGTTAAATCCACGATGTTTCGAATCGGCGACGAGCTACCAGCAAAAAAGGATTTTGTTCGTGGTTGTACACGGAGTACTGACGTACGTCTAGGCCAGGTCCTTGAGGCGATAGATGATGCGTGATGCTATGATATGTTCTCATGGGAACATACTTTATGCCGCAGTGAATTCTATGAGAACGTTGGAATGCGGGGTGAGAACGACATGAGACTGATGGGACCCCGAAGAAGGTGTGAAATGCATCAACCTTGATCGCGGAGAACAGAGGCCGTCAAGAGACGTGCCATCATTGGGTGGTAAAATCGATTGAGGCGGGGAAGTTGCGCACGCATAGACGATGTGAGGGTCCGCCAGAGTCGATGTATATTGGGGTTACAGTATACCTGTAGGAGCGCTCAAGATGCTTCCGAGAACAGTCCAAGCATGCGCTGCTTTGATTCAGAGGGTCAGACGAAAGGAGTTACGCATAATTCAGTTTCTCTCGCAGAGAGTACTCGTTGAGATGCACACACCAAACTTGGCCTCGCGATGCCCAGATATGATATCGCCGTTCCATTATACGATGCGGTGGGCGCTGCTACATAAAATACCGAACAATTACCGATCAGTAGCTCGAGTCTCGGGTGAGTACTCACTAGCAATGACCCAAACTGATTGAAGCTACTTGAGACGATGTATCGCACATGCACGAGTCCAGGCTTGCCGTTGCTAGCTGAGGAAATATTACCAGTTCGGTGCGACGGCTCCTGGAGTAAAGCCGTCGACGAATATGTGAATCCCGTCTGCCCAATGAAACTGTGAGTATGTGGATCTAGCCTGAAAGTCTTCTAGAAGTAATGGGGTAGCCGCATCCCGTTGTCGAACTGGTATGAATTTGTCGCGAATGATCGCTGCTGGTGTTCAAGTTCAATCCGCGTATATGATTGCCTTGTCCTCTCAGTGAAGGCAGCTTGATAGTTCTTCTCTGCGCCATATACCGATGCGCAGTCGCGATTCGACACTATGTGCATCTTCATAGGAGCGAGCCTATTCGGCTTGACTGGGGAATTCAACGTCAGCGACCAAGTCCACGCCCTCCTGGACATCTACGCCGCACAGTTACCCTCCCACCCGGAAACAGAGACCCTGACCCCAGTGGTAAACGAGGTTCCCAGAAGTGCCTGAGGACCTATATGGGAATTGGCCTGCCCTTTGGAGAACGAGACCCTTCATGCAAACAAATAGATGTCGTGATCCCAACCGAAACGTGGAACGCATGTGGCCTGAGGCTACTGCCTTTTGAAATGGTCGCCACCATCACGCCGCCACCATTGTTGTCACATTCCTTGAGTTGTAGTTGCGATATCGATGTCCTCAGCCGCGTGCTCGGTACGATGAATGCACGAGGCAAATCTGCGACAGTTCTGCGGGTATCCAAGTGAGCTCGGCGGCCAAAATAGACGACAAGAGGGATGAATGGGACATGGAGGACAGCAAACTGCAGGCTAGCTTTCCCGCAAGGACCTGGGGTGACCGTGCGAATAATAGCCAGGGTCGGATCAGTAACCTTGGCCGCCGGAAGTCCGACCGTATAATTGTTATTCTGCAAGACAATAAGGACAATTGCAATTATTATGAGGACACAGCGCAGTCTCTTTTTTTACTTTCTCTTCTTCCCACCACATCGCCAGTCGAGCTCGCTGTCCAGAACGGCGTCAAGGAGTTTTATTTCTGTCGCATTGCGCCTGTTCGGTGCACCATCTGACACCTTGCTTGGACGACCAGCAACATAAATATCACCTGCAACCTGAGACCATTTCCGGTTGCGACAAGTGGCCAAGGTAAGGCTTTGCTACTCGTGGTCCCGCAAGTGTGCTCATCTGCTTATCAGTGTTCCTGGAGCCATAGCTGCTTAATCGGTGATTCAGCTGCTCCTCATAACTAGGAGCTTGGTATAGCTTTCCCCAAAGCAGCCACTGCGATACCCCAACTTTCCGCCCACCTTCCCCCCTCCTCTTTCTTTGCCCAAGATGATGATCGGTGACTTTCCCGTGAGTTTCATTTGCCGTTGTTCCGCTGCTACCTGGCTCACAGATGTATAAAGGGTGGAACAGGCAACATCGAAGGACCTATCTCTCCCCATGTGTGTATTGTCTATCTGATCCGAGGGTCTTGGTTATTTATCTTCAGGATAGAACTACAAAAGAGCCGTTTATCGGTCAGCCCCTTCACATTTCTCCGTAGAGATGCTGGGTCCAGAGAAGCAAGGTGCGTACCGTAGAAATCAGTTCTAATCTATGCTCATCCCAGTCCAGGGGGTAGTTACAGCTTTGGCATGCGAATTTGCCCCATCATCACAGGCGATCGCCATTCAGTAACCTCTCGTGGCTCTCACTCCGAATATGAGGTGTGGAGGCGATGGGAAGACTGTCTGTGGTTTCAGGAGACCATTGAGCTCGAATATGAACGGTTAGCGAGGCAAAAGAAGCAACGCCTTCTGAAAGGAAAGGGGGTCAAGAAGAACGGGATGTATCTTCAAGACCAAGCCGCCTCCTTCGAATCGCTCCCTCCTGGTCCCGACCCCAACTCCGTTGCACAGAGCATTCACGACTCTATCCCAAAACTGACCAAGAAGGGGACTTTGTTCCGCGCGAGCCAAGCCACCATCGACCAACGACAGAAGGAGATCGCAGGCCTCGTTGAGGGCCTATTCAGAGACGACGTGCCCATGCTCATCCAAGAATTACGAGAGTCTCGTATCGTGACCGATTTCTTTGGTTATTGGCGGAGGGACTACGACTTAGACCAAAAGAAAGGCTCGAAATCGCGCAATTCTGTTTCGAGCAGCGTATTCTCAATGTACTTCTCGCAATCTAACCCGAACCTCGCCATCCCCGAGACTACTGTACCACCTATCCCATATTCTCCCTCGACGATCACAGTCAGGACGAAGCGCTCGCAATCCAGCCCAGCGAACCCAATGTCTTCGTTCACTAATCTGCCTTCAGCAGTATCTTCAGACGAAGATATCCTTCCATCTCGACCTCGCCCACGTCTCTCCTCCCAATCATCTGCATCTTCATCTTCCTCCCACGATTCAGCCGGCTCGATTCTCTCCAGTGCATCCTTCATTGTACCCGATGACGCTTCCATTGTAATCGATCATAGCTCTAAACTCTCTCCGGATTATACGTTCAGCACGAACAGGCCGTCATCGAGGGGATTGGAAGCACTTCCGGAAGATGTAGAATTGTCAACGAAGCTTGACAATTGTCTCAGACCACCATCTGCGGGCATGCGTACCCGACGGTCAAGTTCTGCGGCTGATGCAAATCGCGTCTGTCATATCTACGGCACTCCACCGCCAAGCGCCCAAGTGTCGAGGACGAGCTTGGACAGGCAGTCAATTTCTCCAGGTAAAGTGGCCTCATATTCAACATTCAATGTCTCAGTTCTGACAATCATCTTACTTAGTACGCCGTGCTAACCGTGAATCCATGGTATCCGTGGCATCGGGGATATCTATCATAGACAATTTAAGTGGCATGCTCTCAGATGACGGCGGATCTCCCGATCATCGTAGAAACGCGAGAGACTCGATATGCAGCGTAGCAACATTCATGACAAGTAGCTCCGCTGAAGCGATAATCCCTCTTTCTCTGGCCTCCTCCCCAAACAGACGCCCCCAGTCATCCAGGCTACGTCCCTTCTCTTTTGGTGAAGAAGACGAGGAAGACTTCATAGATCCACATCTATACGGTATGTCAATATTATCTCCACGCTTGAATTTGATTAACTGACATTTCTGCAGATGAATTCCCTATGCCGCAAATGCCAGAGAGTCCTCGTAGCCGCTATGCACCCCCGGTTATTGCCCCAACGCCCCCTCGTCCCCAAACCGCTTCCAGCGTCAATTCAACACAATCATCCCTTTTTCCTCCATCTCCCACAGGTTCCGCGTTCACACAACTCTCCGTAACTACATCTTCCTCCGTCTCTCCATACGACAGCTTCTTTGTCAAGGCCGCATATGAGGGCACGATCATGCTTTTGCGCATACCCTCAGAGGCATCCTTTATGGAACTCCGTCACCGGCTGTCTGAGAAGTTCTGCAGCCAAGGAGTCCGTCTTCCCCACGAATTCGTATTATTCCTGGTCATCCCGTCATCACCCGTATCGAATCCCCGCGCGACTGCTGCTGGGAAGAACAGAGACCGTTCAAATTCATTGGCTTCCACAACATCAGCGACTTTCGACCAATCAAGAATGCGCCCGATCCAATCAGATCAGGATTGGGATACCATCTTCAACTCCATGGATGGAACCAAATTGACATTCAGAATATTAGACCCCGCCAACCTTTCATAACATTTCTTCTGTATCTTGGATCATTCATCTGTATTTTCGACCATTCATTCACCGCGGCAATATGCCCCTTTCGTTCGTTCGACTTGCTTATCTTTAGTCGGTAACGGCTACCACTATCATTAACCATCCTGCATCTCTCTACGTTCAGCTCCCATAGATTCACTTCATTTGTTTATAGCCCAGTACGTTAAGAGACTGGCCCCGTGTAGCATTCTTATCTAGGCTTCGTAAAGCCCTGTGTATATTTACTTCGAGGTTCGGACCAGGATTATTCGTACCTTACTTCACTTAGTTCAATGAGGATGAGTTTCAAATCATGTTATCCGCTACAAAATGAGTATTAAGTTTTAACAGAGCGATCTACAGTAAGTACTAGGAACATAGTTGGCGTTAGACGGATTGAAAGGCCTCCGCCGGTCTGGCGGACGGCGCACCGCCTGGTAACGGTGATCTTGTCCAGTCTGGTAGGAACATTTTCGTAGGTTTTTCGGGGCTCATAGATATATCCATAGACTCATCGGGGTCCCTTTCTGCAAGTTCACTTTCATCCCACCGCTCACGGGCGACCTCTGCACCGCCAGTCTTCAACGCACTTGAGTGAACCAACCAACATCAGCATGTGAATAGGCATTAGAAAGGGGGTACGTCTACTCACCCAGCCAGAGACCCACCCACCCACGCAAGTGTAGCAGGTGTGAATGCCGGTGCCTTTCCGGCGGAAGCGCGGGCGCGGTCAGATGCTGGTGCAGGCGGTGCGGGATTGTTCATAATGGCGATATATGGTATCAACGGTCGCAATGAGGCATATCGATCGTACTTGCGGGTCGGGACCGGGGCGTCGCCTTGCTGTTGTGGAGGCGAGACAGCGCGTAGGAGCTCCGCGTGCAACCTGGTGATGAACCCTGGCAGCATTGGGGTACCTCCCACAATCAAGATGGACGACGCAAGTGTTTTCCTAAGATCCATGGGGACCTGATCGCCACAAATAGGTACTGATCATGAGCTCATGGGGTGATAGCGAGGACAATGTGGAAGTGTACCTTAAGGAGGGCATCCAAGATGACCTCGGCCACGCTGGTTTCGTCGACATCACCCCCTTCAAATAAAACTTCCGCCGCTCGCTCCCGAATCCACCCAGGGATAATCAGCGTCGCACGACCAGGCCCAGCTTGATGGGTCGAAGCAGGCGGTATGCGCATTTGGAGATCTGTAGCCGACGAATAGCGTTTATACAAGGTGGAAAGCGATTGAAGGTGATTCTCTTGCTGTTGTCTCTCCCTCTCCCTCTGCCCTTGCACAGGGTTCGAAACAACGGAGAAATCAGACGGAGGAGGGGAGGATACAGTGCTGCTTATGTGAGAGAAGTCTGATTCCGACATGGTTGTGTCACTGGGAGGTACCTCCATCTCGAACGAGTCATCCGCTGAGGCCTGAGGCTCAACAAGAGAAGATTCCATTGCAGAGCCAACGAAGCAGCAGCGGGTCTTGATTTCTTCCATTATTGCGTCGGTCAATACTTCTTCGGGTATTCTTGTAGTGCGATTCGCCGCGGGCACATTGACGGCGCCAGTAATCGCTGGAGGGGGTATATAGGTGCCAAAGACCAATAAGAGGGCACGGAGGTGGGAAGTAAGTCGGGATCCTGCCAGTGGTGTGGTCTGAATATAGGAATATAGTGGTCGCGACGCGAAAATCTAGAAAGTGTTACTCGATGATCTACACTGAAATGACACGCTAACGCACTGGGATGGCTACTGACTCATGATGACCGCTATCCAGTACAAGGCCTGTTATTCGGCCAGATGCAAAGAGAGCGAGCAGGTGGCTAGAAGCGAAGGATATCGAGGGAACCTCAGGCTACATTGGGTATATGCTGTACTGTGTTTGCACTGCACTCACTTGTAAATTTTGGAAGAGAACTCGGGCCAGGATGTCTTTGATGTGAAGTGGTAGGAAAGGGTGCTCGACCAATATGACTTTACGAGATTTCGGGTCGGTCAACAAGGAGCTTTGGTGTCATCAGGTCGGGGTCAATGGTGGAAGCATTGTGCGCACTCACTCGTGGAATACAGACCTCAGTCGGGCCTCGAGCTTGACTTGGAGAATTGTATCCTCTTCGGCCCTTTGAACGGGGTCCGTAGCTCTGTCAAGCCCCCACAAGGCATCCCCCGTCGCGCCGTCAGCATAGAAGACATCCCTAGGCTTCCCTTCTCCACTGAAGCCCACTTTCCATATGCGAGAGCCTGGGTCGATAACAATGCGGTCTTCGGTGCCATACAGCGCGTGCCGACGCGTCGTGGTGTAGTGTGGGGAAGACTGGATGATATGGGTGCCAGCAACCCTAGACGTTGCTGGTGTCGATGGCACAGCTGCCGACCTTGCTGATTCGCGACCAGGAGTTGACGGTTGCGCTGCCATTGTCGCCAACGGTGAGTAGTCGTATTTGGCAGGTGTCTCCTATTAGGACTAGTTTGAAATATTCCCAGTTCAGTGGTCCCCCGATTCCAGTTTACTTCCTCGAACCCCGACGTTGTTCCAACGTTCTAACTCTCAATAATGTTGGGCGCCGCGAATCCTTGAATTGGGAGGGGGATCTATCCCTCACGTGATGTCCTTTAATTTAATGCAGCAGCACTGACGCTGGTGGAGACCGCCGAAACGGCGAGGGAGCAGCGTGGAGGGCGCAAAGGCAGCCCCAGGTCGCCATTCTTCGTCCTATAACCTCAACGTTACAGGTTCTTCGGAGAACCTTGCTTAACGAGCACCATGATCATCAACGACAAGTCCGACAACTATCGGAATCAGGCGCAGGTGCTGTATTTTAGCTAAGGGATCTCACTTCAACATAAACTGACACGTTTTCGTCCTCAAGGAAACACATAGCATGGACCGTGACTGGGAAGATCTCTCCGAGGCCAGCACAGTAGTGGCAAAGCCGTCACCTAGTCCTCCTCCGGGGGCTAGTATTCGACTTCATACGCGTAAACGACGTAGTGGAGGGAGACCCTCTGTCGTCTTTCAGAAGGCATCCACCAGACGCGCCCCTGCGTCGCCTACGGCACAGCGGCCTCGTCGCGTGGTTGTTAACAAAGAGGTCTGGCTCAATGGCATGCTTGACCTGACAAGCTTCAGTGCCAAATACATCTTCGATGTAGTAAGACGCGCCGTCTGGTTCATGAAGTTCCCCATATCCATCCTGGTCTTCGTCTGGATGCTGGCCTTTATCACGGTAAAAGTTCAAGACACGCTCCGCGCAGCTCTGTCCCCCGTTTGCTTCATCCCAGGAATATCGAGTTTACGAATATGCCGGCCAGAAATTCCCCACAGAGAGACTGCATCCAAAGCACCGCGCAGGGCAGACTATCCCGCGATGATTGACATGCAGAGCAAAAGCTTCGAAGAGCTCTTGGATCAATCCGTCTTCATGGGAGGCGGTGGGCTGTCTCTAAACATCAAGAAAGCGGAAATCGCGAGCAGAGACCTTCTCACCTTAATCAAGTACAGTGACATGAAGAGCAAGGACGTTCTCGTAGAGATGATGGACTCTTTCGTACTCGACGCGCAAACCGCGGGACGAAGTCTCAATAAGCTGAACGCGAAGATTGGCGGCGCAGTGGACAGGTTCGTCTACCTTCCCGTTTATTATCATTCAAGTATGACTTACATATTTTTCGAAGTATCACATCAGTCAACAATTACGCTCTCCGAATCATTGAAGAAGCGCAAGCAAACGCTGCTTCGGGGTTCTCTCTGAAGGCGCTCATACCTTGGTCATCCAAACCGGATACACAAGCAGTCGTCACGGCGACATTCACCCAAGCCATGGAACTCTTGTCCACCCACCTCCGCCGCCTCATCCTCGAAGCCGAAATCTCGCACGCAAGTCTCGAGAAGCTCGAAGAACGCCTCTCCACCCTCCACGAAATCGTCACGAGAGAAGACGCCGCCCTAGCCGCCTCTCGCGCAGCGCTCTTCGCTGATCTGTGGACGATTCTAGGGGGGAACAGGGATAAAGTCGATCAGCACGACAATAACCTCGCTTTGCTCAAGAATTTAGGAGGATATAGGAATAGAGCTTTGTCGCTAGTGGTGTCTGCACTGCACACACTGCGTGGTTTGAGTTCAGAGATAGAAAACCTGCGAGAGAGGGTGTCTGAACCCGAGCTCATTGGGACCGCGACCCCCATCGAGGTCCATATGGAAAGCATCAAAGCGGGTTTGGGGCGGCTCCAAGAGGGGAGGCTGAAAGCTAAGGAGAGAGAAGATTATGTGCTACGACAGATCATGGGGGAAGAGGGCATAACTGATTGAAGGCAGCAGGACTAAGTCTGTATTGGTTTGCTATCGCTATTGATTGTTTTCGTTCGGTGTAGCATTGCTTTGTAGTATATCATCATCAATGTATTATATCTATGTGTTATGGCCACGTTTGTGACAAGCCCTAACTACGGAACGAGAGGACCAGTGAGAAAAGTACTTTCCAGAGATCAGTGCATGGACGGGACCTCCTAGCCTCTGAAATAACGGCTCTCGACGAAGGGCATTCCTGTGACGACGGCCTTGCGCCGCTTACCACGGATGTCTACCTCGAGTTCTGTCCCCTTCTTGTGCGAACCATTTCGTACGTAGCCCATTGCAACGTTCTTGCCAAGTGTGGGTGAGGGGATGCCTGACGTGACAACACCTGTAAAAATGCAACGTAAGTATACGCAAGTAACAAGTACATAAATCAGCAAGGTAAGGAAGGAGAGACATACCTAATTGATCATTGCTTTCAGGCGTAAAGATTTTAGCACCCTCTGTGTTATCATTCGTTAGGTATGCAAGTGAGTTGGCTTGGATGGAATGGCTCATACCTCTAGCTGGTGCACCTTCTACAATCATGCCTACGCGCCGTCTTGGAGGACCATTTTTGATATCTTTCAGGATGCGATGGGCGCCAATACAGTTGATATTTTCCTTTCGCGATTTTCCTGCGGGTGCGACGGGACGGTGTCAATGGGAGATACACACCAAGTTATCGGAAACTTACCTATGACCCAGCTCAACCCAGCTTCTGCGACACTCGTGGTTTCGTCGATGTCGTGGCCATATAAGCACATCCCGGCTTCGATGCGGAGACTGTCGCGAGCACCAAGACCACATAGTTGAACAGGAGGGTTCTTGTACACTAGTTCAGTGAACGCGAGTGTTTGGTTGTGTGGGATCGAGATCTATTCAGGAAGGTTTAGCGGTACTTCAGGGCGTAATGGGTATAGATACCAACCTCAAATCCGTCCTCTCCGGTATATCCCCCTCGGGCGACATGGAGGTTGAATCCTTCGATTGGGATGTACGCAGTTTTGCCGAATGTCAGTTGTCTCAGGTCAAAGGATGTCAGCGACTGCAAGAAGGAGGCAGCCTGTGGGCCTTGCAAGGCAAGCAGCCCCCAACCATCTAGGACCTCCCAATCCACCTTGCCAGCTATCTCCTCGTCCTTTAGACGTTCTGTGAACCAAGCCATATCCCGATCCCGTCTTCCAGCATTCGTTACAACATAGTACGCATCCTCCGCGTGCTTCGTGATGATCATATCATCAATAATGCCCCCGTCTTCGTTCAAAAGCACCGAAAGTGTCGACGTGTAAGGCTTAAGGGATGAAAGACACGAGGGGGTGAGCTTCTCGAGAAATGCAGTAGCACCCGGCCCTCGGAAATGCGACTGCAGCATGTGCGACACATCGAACAAGCTTGCAGCGGTCCGGGTGTGGTTATGCGATGCAACTGATAAAATGCTGAGTACCCGAATTCGCTGCAACGAGGTAACGCGCACCTTGGCCTACGTCGCCGTATGATAGCGGCATTGACCAGCCCGCAAATGGGACCATCTTTGCCGCATTTTGGACGTGAAAATCGTGCAACGGCGTTTGTCGCAGCTACGATAGAGAACGACTGGTCAGAATTTCTCGTGTAGACGGAAGAATTTTCTACGAACCTGCTCAGCTTGAGTAGCAAACGACCTGGCCAACGACCGCGACAGCCTCGACACTCGAGAGACGGCATTCATGGCGCGAGGGATGGTGGGCGCGAGGTTCAAGAGCTGCAGAGTCGAGTCCCGGGTCGTATATAACAGGGGTCAGGGACACGGCGCTCCGGAATTTCAACTCGAGTCCCCTTACCTCTCGCCACATTATCATGCCTGTAGGTATCGACGCCTGGATTTCCCAAATACCACCAATAACGCGGGGATGGCTCACATTGTCCGTGCTCACAAGTCTGGCCGTCGTGAGTGCCGTCGCGCTTTCTGCGAAGGGGAACGCTGTTGACTGCCACGTTGTCATCCAGCAAACGCAGCTGGTGACACCGCTGCAACTCTACTATAGCCCACGAAGTGCATTTCTCAACGCACAGGTGCGCTATTATGCCGGAGTTGTGTAGCCAGTCTCTCATTGAACGGTATTGTAGCCATGGAGGGCAGTCACGACATTCTTTTACTTTGGATCCATATCGCTGGACTTTGTATTTCATCTCTTCTTCTTGTACGTCGTAAGGCACATTGGCAACAAAGCGCTTTCTGACCTTATCAACAGCATGAGGTACAGCAGAATGCTCGAGGAGTCATCGTTCGCCAACCGTAAAGCAGATTACTTCTGGCTTCTGCTCCTGTCCTCAGTGATGCTCCTGGTGAGTCTGACGGACACGCTCCTATGCGCTGTATTAATACGCTTCAACGTCCATTAGGCTCTGTCCCCCCTCTTCAACCTACCCTTTCTGTCATCATCTCTCGCCTTTGTGCCAATTTACGTGTGGTCACGCAGGCACCCCTCTACACCAATATCTCTATTCGGTCTGTTCACCATTACAGCGCCATACCTTCCTATCGCTTTGGTGGCCTTCTCGTGGGTTCTCAATGGGACATGGAAGGCCGCCGCCGGCGATCTTGTTGGGTGTGCGGTTGGGCATGTAGGATGGTTCTTCAGGGACGTATGGACAAGGGAGATGGTCGGCGGGAACACTTTTATAAGCGAAGCGCCGCAGAGCTTGTGAGGACCTACTTTCCCCCTCTCTGACCATTACTGATCCACGTATCACAGGAAACGGTTATTTGGGGATATATAATTGCTTGTATATTTAGCGTGCGGGATACTATTAGTGGTTCAAAACGAGCGCCATTAGTTCAACCATCAATGGAATGCTACACTGCATAAGCGATACAGCACAGCATGCTATCAAACGAAGATTAGTAGTAGATCTCGTACACAAACGAGATCGTAATATGACAGAAATTATATGGTGTGTACATTTTGGGTCCATCTTCGACCCAGCACTCATCCCCGGATAGTGGCATGCGGATCACTTCGTTTCGATGTACTTCCTGCTGCATTGTTGCCTATGGGTTGATTTCCAATGTTCCTGAAGCGGGAAGTAAGTAAACGGACTGTCTGTGCAAGACGGGACTGACCTTTTGGTGCGCAGGTGAGCAATATCTATAAATCATAGATCAGCCTCCGATAGACATCGAACAGAAAGAACAACGAACAAGATGACGCGGCATCCGCTACAGGTTTTGAGCTTTGCTCCACCAGGCTTACCACATAATCCACAGACCGTCTCGCTCTTCTTGTCCTTCTTTGTGGAGGTGGTTTCCTGCCAGTAACCATGGGAGTCCGGAGAGAAATCCCGCACCATCGATTGTCCCTTCTTGAGTTGATCAATATTCGTGTTCATCGCATCTGGGTGCAAAGGCATCGTATACGTCTTTGCTCCAGACCGGACTGAGTTAGTTGACGCTAGAGCCGCAGAAAGACCCTCATGCGCGGCGTTGATATCGAAGTGAGTCACGTCAAACAGCGCTGGCGGTTTACCAAAGCCTTCGTAGTTCGGAGAATCAAGAATCTCGCGCTTCTTAGCCTGCCTAGAATGTAGGGCGTCATTTCGTCACAACTTCTCCAGTTAGAGATAGGCATACTGACTTCCCGACATAATCCGCCGCGTTAACTCTTCCACGAACTTGGAATACATGAAGCATCCCTGCATGTTTTCCAAAGGGAAGTCCAGTAAGGCGGCCATCCATTCAGTTGGCCCTCCTGAGCTTACCTCCTGGACACATTCCCCGGCCGTCTATAATCTTGATACTCCCATCTGAGTCATCGACGGATAGGATTCGCTCGATCTAGTTCAATATGAGCCGTGATCCTGACCCATGGGTTCATCAGCCTCGCTTACCACTAACGTGTGGTGCATGCATTTATCCCCAAAGTCGTACAAATACCAATCTTATCTCCCTCCTTCCCGAACACATGCGCCTGTGGGATGATTAATGATGCGTTCGTCAAACGAAGTTAATCGATGGGGCTGAGATGAAGTTCCTTAGGGCCCGGTCTGCTCGTCGAGATGTTAGTCCCTACCTGCCAAATTTGGCTCCCACGGTTGGACCAAACCTGGCCCAAACCTACTCCAAACCGACAGTTTGGTCTGCTGTACCAGGGGGTTTGCGGGTGGGTTAGGACCTTCCTGTCACATTATTATGTCAGCGTTAATATACCTGGTGGCACCTTGTATCAACTGCATTATCTATTCCCTCCAATAAACAGTACTACAGCTTGTGGTGTTTATTTATTAATGAATGTTAGTGGTGAGATAGCAGGACGAAGAAGTGAAAAAAGGACAATCCGTGGCTCGAACCCGCAACCTTTCCGTGCTAAAAAGTAGTACTCAAGCGCGCAAACCGCTAAACCAACGTACCACATGTTAAACTCTTTTGGACTAGTATATCACCTACTGAGCCGGGATACTTCAGGTCGCCGACAAGAAATACAAGAAATACCGAAAGCAGAAGTTTGCATGTATTTACTTTGTATCTATTGCCGCTTTCCCACCATGATGTCTGTGACTTATTTGTGACGATTCCCAAGCGCCCTGAGCAGACTCCAGCGCTAGGTTTTGTCAAGTTCAATCTCCGCCAACCCCAGGCCCGAGGGACTGACATCTCGACGAGCAGACCGGGCCCTTACTTATCATCAGGGAGGAAATCATAACCAACCTGGAGGAAGTTCGGTGAGCGGCAGAAAGGCCAAAGGGTTTGGAGCTACGCACCTGAGCTACATGGGCCATAACGACAGCCCTGCTTTCCTAGAAAAACACATAGATGCTTTGAGCCTAGATGACGTACGTCCAGCATCTGGACAAGAACTGACCTCAGGACCATATACGGATTCATCTCTATAATCGGTGAGCGTGTAAGCGTGCAGGTTCCGTACCCTGCCGTAAGAAGCAATCAGCTTTGGCTCAAGAGAATCTTGATTGATGGGCGCACCATCCCATTACCGGGGCTATCGCCTTGTCTTGTAAAACACTAAGTTTAATTCCGGCTGAGACGCGGAAATGTCTCCACACTCGTGGCTGCCCGGTACTGTCTTGGAGGTGGCTAAAAACAAGATCGTTTATCAATACCCTACATCAAGGTTCTTTTCCTGTAAACATCGGCTCACGCAAGGTATATCTTGACGATGACATCTTGTTTGGGAAGCGTCCCTAAGTTTGTCCGCTTGAGCTGTTCTTTCTAGGACAATTGAATCGACGATCGGGCTGGGAGTTTCTAGAGCGCCTACCGGTACCTTCCTTTCCATCAGGACATCGACAAATTGTTCTTCTGGCTTGCGTTTGCCGCTACTCATGTAGAGATGCTGGTATTTTATCTGACATATTCAGTCAGCGGGTGTCACTGAAGGGCACGAGCGAAGCCCTTACCGTTCAAATCATAGTCGACACGCCGTCAACTACATACGACGTTTATCTGTTTAGCGGCAAAATTTGACTTACTGTAGACCACATAGATTCAGGAACATTGTTATTGTCGTCGGTATAATGGTCAGCCCTACTTTTGCAGCTGTTAGCGCTTCAAGCACGGAGTAATACCATATTCGGACAACATACTGCATAAACCCCCCAGGCGTGGATTTCCCCCTTAGGACCGGGTTGAGGCGTAAATGTCTTAGGATTAGTACAACGTTCTGCTCATCGATAGGGCATCGAGGTGAAAAACCACGCCGTCCGCATCCTTGAGGATATTCAAGCGATGCAAGTCCTTCGCGACTTTTGCTGACGCCGAAGCGCATTACAACGCTCGTCGGTAAGAAGCCCACTCGCTGCCAAGAATGGGGTGCATCGTATCCCCAGAGCATGATGCGTGATCATCGAGAATCGGATTTATCCCCTGGCGTCGGCTTGACGAAAGCTGGCATCCCACCAAGCGAAGTTTGCGCGTAGTCTGCTGGGTTGATGTCCTCGTACATGCCATTAGGGAACATTGTTGTGGTTCAGCGCAAGTAAAGCAGCGCGAACGGAACTTGCAGCAACCTCGAGGTTTAAGGAAAAGGAGCCCCCGCGCTTCAACTTGAAGCTCTGCCCTGAAAGGAAGGTTAATTGCCTTCGATCAAACATGTGCAAATAACGCGTCGCGTCAATATGTCGCGCTGTACAGAGGCGTCCTACTTCGGTACTGATGCAGGGAACGCCTCTAGTTCTACTTCACCCATCACGTCGATTTATCGAGCCAAAGCCAACCATTTGGCAACTTCATTAGCCGAATCCCACGGCAATATCTTAATGTAACTTGAGATCCTGAGAGATCGTTTAGTGTCGGTGTCGGTTGAACGAGACAGCTGTCGGATCTGCGCTGTGGCTCTCTTCTATGATGAGATTGGATGAGCCAACCTGAGCCCTTGGCCGAGGTTCTGACTTGCAGTGGCTCCTTGATTCCTCTCCTGCACAATTTTATCTTATTATGTGCATCTATGACCTGGGCGCATCGAAATAATATGCATCCTTGGGTAGCAGCGTACTTGCCACTGCCCTACTCTAATACCGTCGACGCGGTTGGTCGAAGACTCAAAAAAGCCGTACCCTGGTGCAAATAAGGGTACACACCACTATCGTATTTATTCCCTATCTTCTCCTTTCCTCTCTTTATCCTCGACTTTCATCATCTTCTCGGCGTAATCAACCGAATTCAACTATATAATGCCCAACTCCAGCAACGGTGATTACTCCTACAACAGCTCTGGGACCAACTCCCAGGTAGGCATACCCGCGCTCAATGGTGCGGCGTTGTGCTAATCTCTGCGTCCATCTCTGCGACCACACACAACTCAGGGAAATCATTATTGCTCCCGCGACTACGGTAATGGCTCCAACTCCTACCATCACTCCAACCAGTGAGTAAGATCTGTACATCGCGCCGACGACGAATGGAGGATTCTAAGAATATTTCTAGGGACGGGAGCTACTACTACAGAAACCCCAACGGCTCTACCTACCACAGCTCTAGTGGCGGCCAATCCACCTACACCTCTCCCAACGGGAACACCTACTCCAAGAGTAAATAAAGGAGCCTGCAGAAGATATAGGAGAGTGACAGGAGCTGTCATCAAAGGTACAAGCCTTTTTTGGAGTGGCTGTCTCTCGATCTTATTCTAAAGAATAATCTCAGAACTTTACGAATTGAATACGCCTCTTATGCTACGACCAACCCCGTAGTATCGTAAAAACAAAATGATTTTTTTTGCGCCCGTGATATGTAACCGAATGGTCGTGACGTGCTCGCAAGAAAGCCACAGCTTCTTTCTTTGTCGTTTCCCGTCATCAAGCCGAGTTCTTCTCATGTATCTTTGCGCCGGCCATCCAACATCATTCATCCGTCGTTGCCACCCTCGTCGGTGATCCTTCGCTTCACGTCTTGGTAAATATCGACAAATAACGCGTCGAAGACGCCGCGATCACGATTTACACAGCCAGCCAACGGAAAAAGCACGGAACTCAAACCTCATGCACCCGCCTCGTGCATGGAGAGTGAAGTGTATTCGCTTGCGGAACAGCCATGCTCGCTTGCCTCATAATCCGCGCGAAGTTGAGGCGACTCTCAGTGAGTTGGTGGCTTCAGTAACTCAAAATCCTCGGGTTCTAACTGTCAATGTCGCTAGACCAAGTCGATGAACGAATGAATTACTCTTGTGTTTTTAGATCGACCCCCTGGAACAATGGTACATACTGCATCCGGGGACCGAAATGCATTCTGTTTCGATGGCGTATGGCTTGTGGGCTGCCCGAAAAGGTGCACAACTGGCTTAAGGTAACCCTGGAGGCACTCGGAGAGCACTGCCTCGAACCCCTCCTTTAGGCCTCAAAACAAAGGCTGGTGAATAGCTAACCCGATTTCGACGCGGGGTCCGTATGCATCGGTATGCACTTGATAGCTGTGATAGAATTTGGCCATACTGACGAGATCTTCGAATAGTACATCCAGACTTGTTCGATGCACTGTCTCCGTCCAAGAACATTTGATAAGCATCGAAGAAGCTACACCCCCATATTTTGTGTCGTCATCATCAAGCTGCGCCACCAGTTCCAGCATGCATGCCGCACGGCGTATTGACCCTACTTGTCCGTCAAAGAGGGGCAGTCATATTATCACAGAAGGTCTATAAAAGTACCATCGACAGACCCTCGTTTCGTTCAACGTTGTCGTAAACGGCCCATGGGATCCGGGATTCCACTTCGTCTGGACTTTCGTGGTGCTGATATGATATGTCAGCTAGGTAGCCATGTCAGTCAGCAGTGTCGTTATCGATCCGTCGTAACCTCGCAGCACCTCAAGGCGCATTCTCGTTCGATGTTTCCTAGTAAAGTCCGCAAATCCACTGGTCTTTCAGACGAACGGACGCCCAACGGTGAGCCGCCAATCCTCTCTCCCACCGTGATAGCCGTTAATAAACAACCTTCAGGTTCGGCCTTCGGAGGACGTATTTTATATGTGGCCTCGTCTGCTTTGGCTCATTCCAACCTTGATGGCTTGCTTACGCGATGTCACAATCTGCGATTTCCTAGGCGTCCAAACGCGCCTTCTATCTGCAATCCGATCGCTGCGGTTCTAGCTTTGGTAAAGAAGCAGGCCGTTCGCTCCGTTTGTACCGAGGCTGGGAACGTGCATGGAGGTATGTGCTGTCGGCCTTGGGGCGCTGAGGCCTGCTGACGCGCGTAGGGTTTGTTGTATACGTCTACCTACACGCCATATGGTGGGAAGGAGCGTCAAGGCAATCTCCAAGCTTCAAGATTGTCCTGAGAGGGTACTCAGGTAAAATGTGTATCTGGAGTCAGCTTATCTCACTTTATTTAGGGAGTATTTCCCATCTGCAAACTGAACTTGTGACCTCCTGGCGCACTTTCCTAGCCGTTCGTGGTTAGTAGCGCGATTGGATGACTGATGCATGATGGTTAGTGCTGATGGCATACTTGCACTGCACATCATCATCCATCAGGATTATGCTGTTGAATCATGGAAGACTTTGTGTGCGCAGTGGCGGAATGCCAATGCCGTTTGAACCTTCCATTCCAGGATCGATATGGCCTTCCAGGGCCACTGCAAGCGGTGGTTGCGTGGGATCTAGAGATATCGATCCGGGAAGTTCCATCGGGTTTCAACGATCCAAACAGGGCCAAATAACGAATTTAAGTTTATTGATCAGGCACTTCGGGATAAATATGAGCACGTGGAACGATTCCCATGCCTTGGGGGAGCGTCACGCAATATTGACTGCGTGCACCAGTCCTTGGAAAGCTTTCCAGGTCTTCAAGGCGGGGAGAAATTCTGACCCAGACAATTGAGCATGAAACGTACCACAGAGACGGAACCGAATTTCTTATTGAACGGCGTTGTATAATATTGCATTTTCCCTCGCACACGAATACGTAAATTGCGATCTAATCGAAATGAGATCGCCGATTCAAGATTGACGGTCATCAGGCGTATACGGCGAGCTTTGCAGTCGAATGCAGTCGCCGATGGAGCCATGGGGCCATTGAAAACATGCAGCCATGAAACGACTTCTGTTCTCTGCAAAGGAAGGCGAACATGAGGTCGAAGGCGCAGAACAATTGCAACTGGGAGTAAGGCGATTTAGGGGGATATCTGGATCCATCAGTATATTTTTCAAACTCCGAGATCCAAGCTCATCTGAAATGGCTAGGGTTGCAGTTTCGCCTCTGCCACAACTCTGTCTCCTGCCTCCATCATCGCTGCTACAATCGAACTGCACTGTCCCGCTCTAATATCGCGGTCCTGCTCGCCTGGCCGTGTCGTGGGCAGTCGTCTCCTGGGTTTGCCAGGGATCTTGCTTTGCGACCTTTCGCTTCAGAGGTTTCGTCCGTGAACTTTGCCTAGATTTTTCAAACATACCAAGATCCGCCGTCATCGGGAGATTGGGCCAGCTGCCTCGTCTTCAACCTGATCTCGCACCTTCTCGACGACCGATCTTTCGACGACCATGGCCTCTGCGCGACATCAACAATACTCCCTGCCGCCGTTGAGGTCGCTCAATTTCCCCCGGTCGACTCACAGGGACGACCAAGGAATAGACGGCGCAGTATCGGCAGAACCACAAAGTGCGACACAACAACACGAACACGCCCGCCTTCGCCATCAGCAGCCATGGGCGCGTTCGGGCCATGTTCAACAACCACAGGCAGCGCCAGTGCACCAAGGGCACCCTCATCAACAGCAGACACCACCACTGTCCGCAGGCCACGAAGTCAACAACCGTGGTATGGAATATACATCGAGGCACGACGGAGCAGGCTATGTGACACCAGGCATGCCGCTGTCGGCCCAATTAGCACCATCAACGAATTCTTTGACTAGTGTAAGCGCAGGTGCGCGTGGTGAGGATGCGTCTCACCTGCAACCTCCGAATTCGAGAAAAAGAGAAAGTGCCCATCGTCCTGCGCGACAAACACACGTGAGTACTACGGTACACCTTTGTGCACAGTCGATGATTGATTGCCATTGACAGCCTTCTTACTCCCATCCGCCGCCATACCCTACCTATGCAACCCAACAGGGGACCGCTCCGACGAGTCCAGTGTATCAGACGCAGCCCTCGATGCCTCCACCGCCACCTCAGCGAGGCCCTCCCGCCGGCAGTATCCATGCTGGGTCTCCCATGCAGGACCAGATACCACCACAACCTAGCCCAGTGACTCCAACGCACCCTGGTTACGGTGGATATTCGCATCCGTACATGCATCAAGCCAGGCCGACCAGTGTGCACTCTCAACATTCTCCTCCCCACCAACCTCCCGCAAACCCGTATCCTTCTCCAGCTCCGCCTGCGTCTACCCTCCCGTCCCAAAATTCTTGGGAACATCATCCGCGGGGGAACAGTAATCATCATCAACCCCAGCAACATCAACAGCACCCTCCTCAACAACCATATGCTCATCATCCACAGCCTGTCTCTCAACCACAGCCCTCTCATCATCAACAGCAGCGTCCTCCCCAGACGGTACATCACGCCCACCAACAGCAGGGAGTTCACTCGCAGCCAAATGGACAACACCAGCATGCCTCTCAAATGCAACATTCTTCCCATAATCAACATTACCCGCCTCCCGTGCAGTCACGGCAGCCTCCACAGCAGCCTCCATTGCATTCGGCCATGCACCATTTAGCATCTTCCCAGAACCGCCCGCATTCGCCCCAGACGCCCCAGTCTGCTCTGCCGACTTCCTCTCAGCAGCCTCAAGCTCCCTTGACTCCTCAGTCAGCGTATCCTTCCCCGCATGTCCAGTACCCCCCTCACCAGTCCCAGCACCAATCTCAAACGGTTCCGTCGCATCATACCCAGGCGCCTCTTCCTCCCAACAATCAGAATCAAAGTATACCTCCCGGACAACATCTGCACCAACATTCCAACTTTTCCCGATCGCAACCCTCCCCTCGCCCTCCTCAACAAGTTCATGCTCCTCCTCCTCCTCCTCAACACCACCCGCCTATTCAGCAGCAACAGCAACAGCAACCGGCTCCTCAGACCCGGGTGTATCCTGTTGAGGGTCATAGCGAACAAACCTACCAACAGCAGCCTTACTCGCAATTTCAATCAACGTCTCAGCCACCCTCGCAGCATGTACAGCAAATGGCACCTCCACCCCCTCAGCGGCACCAGCCCGTAGTACATCGTCAAGCGCCCCCTCCCAGCGCACCCCCCACTCACGCATCTCACCCTGCCCACCCATCCCATGCACCGAATCCTCCTCATCCTCCACAACCATCTACTAATCCTGCACATTCGTTTCACCCGTCACAGGCACCGCATGCTTCCGGCATCCACCAACCCTCTCATCCTCCTCAAGCCCCACATCTCCCGCATCCCTCTCAATCCTCACATCCATCTCAACCGTCTCATTCATCACAGCCATCTCAACCGTCACAACCTTCTCATGCCTCTCACCCTTCTCATCCATCTCAAAGCCCTCACCCATCCCAACATTTCCAGCATCCGCCCCAGCAGCCTCCGCAACACCCACCTCATCAACAGCAACCCGCCCATCAACCACCCCCAACACACGTCCAGCATCATACCCCCGCTCCTCCACCTCAACATCACCAACCCCTTCAATACCAACAGCATGCACCAAGCCAAGAACTTCAACCCATGGTTTCTCTCCCACCACCGGCCGCATCGCCCGAACCCGTAGCTCCCGCACAACCTCCTCCACAACCGGCCTCGTTCAGCCGTACTACGGCGCTTGTACCCACAAGTGTAGACCCTCGCGCCCCTCAGTTTACGTCCAGCGATCCGGAGAAATCATCCGTACGAGACAGCACAATGGCTGAGGTACGTCCATCGGCTCGCATATTATTGCCACATTGCAAAAACCGTGGTGAACTAATGTGTCTGTTATTCTCCATTTAGATCCTCAAACACTGCCACATTTTGTATGATTTTGCGGCACGTTATGGTGAGTAGGCTCTACGGTTTATATAAAGATTACGGGGCCTTTCCTTTCTTTCTTTTCATCTCATTCCAACGCATTGTACTCATGCCACTCGATGATCTAGCTCAGCTCACTGCGAGTCTTCCACACTCTCAGCCGTCGCCAGAGGAATGCAACGATATGACTCGGCGAGCGAAGGAAGTTGTACGCCTGTTGGAAGTTCTTCGGCGCATGGGCATGCCCGAGGCGGATAGGATCAAGATGGACAGTGCTTCCGTGAATTCTGCGGCAACAGAGGACCATCGCCCTCCGAAGCGCCCTTGGGAAGACATTCAAGGTGGCCCTGGAGAATCCTCGTTCTCCGAAGTAAGTTACCGTTGCACCATTCTCTGGGCCTTAATGGAGACTGATGCTTGGTGGTTCTTCAGTTCCCAGCTGCGGGTGATAAGGAACAAACAGCAGCAGAGAAGGATATGGAAATCATTCGCACGAAGCGCGCAACGAGTACGGCAGGGGGTAATGCGACAGCAGGCCAGCCCAAGAGCAAATATCGGAAGAGAAGCGTTAGTACTTTTCTTCCTTTCTTTCCTTGGAGGGAGATCGCGATATAGCCCTTCCTTCCTTCCCGCCCTGAACGAATTTTGACTGACTTCTTCGTGCTGATAGCGTGCAACACCACCTGGCAAGTGTCATTCTTGCAACATCCGAGAAACCCCTGAATGGCGGCGCGGACCTGATGGTGCCAGGACACTGTGCAATGCATGTGGTCTACGTAAGCTATTCACTTTTGATTGACAACGCAGCTCGTGGAATTTATTCCCGTCCTTTTTATTCAGATTATGCCAAGCTCATGCGGAAACGTGAGAAGCAGCATGGTAACAATCCTGATGCGCCTCGCATCGACATGGAGACCTTGAGGGCGTCGGCTCGTGCGGCTGATATCGGCGGGGAGAAACAGTCCTCACGTCCCTCTAAGCAGCATGGGAATCAATCGAATGAAAACGAGTCCAGTGAAAGTAAACATCAACCAGGAGGCGCTCAACCCCATCAACAGCCCCATCACCAAGGATCGTTCCAAGTTATGCAAGTAACGACGCCCACTGACATGGCAGTTCGGATGCAAACCGACCATGTGGCGGCCCAACAATCCCTGCCAACACCCGCAAGTGCAACCACCTTGCCCCCTCCTCCACCATGGGCAACTGCTCCTTCTTCCAGCCGCGGATATCCTCTTCAAGACCAGATGCAACACCAACAACACCAGTCTTTCTTGAGAACGTCTGACCATGGATCCTCGAACCATACATCCCCCCGCTAATCCTCGATATCACCAATCCATCTATCCATCTATCATATCTCATACATATATTCGTGATTGCCCATTCGAGCGTTTGGGCTTGTTATTGCACAGGTTTAGTCATGCCTTTGCCGTTATGCCAGCTAGCTATCGTATTCTTGCTGTTGTGAGTATATTTACACATTTGCCATTCTACCATTGTTCATTACATCCTATCCCCTCCGCACCTTTACATGACCTACTATGCTCAGTACATAATGAAGTATATAGAAGTGTAATATCTTGGTTTTCTGGTTTTTTGGGTTGACGACTTCAGACGCAGTTGAACCTGCATCGCGGAGATCCATCCTTGATCCCTTCTCCAGTTTCTAGTTTCCGACGTATGACGAATGGTTCCGGTTGTTGGTGATCTTAGTGATCGACCGGCGGCTGTCCATGTCAAGAAACCTGGTGCATTTTGTCGATCGAATTTTTCTGGAAGGATCTACTTTTTGGCAATCTCGCGTCTTACCACAAACAACCCGGGGAGTCGGGAACGCTTTCAAACTAGGATGCAACTTTGTAAGGACGATTTGTAAATGCCTTACTTAGCACTTACTCAACTCGTGGATCTCGATTAATTTGATCCTCGTTGGCGACGGAGCCGGAGTGCGTATAGTCGCGGTTGTGATCTCGCTGCTATAGGAATAGCTGATCCTTCTAGTGGTAAAGAGCGGACTTAATTCGTCGAGGCGTAGCCCGTTTGTGGACTCTGGAAATCGTTATCAGCGATCCTATACTTCGCGCCCCTCATCTCTGACCATATATCCCTGAGTTGAGTTTTGGATAAGCAAGGTGTCAATGAGGATTCAAGGTAAATCGTGGACCAAGGACCAGGATTCTGATACGGTATACTTCGGATGACAATGCCACATTACCACTTCCGACTCGCCTAGTGCTACCATCAGATCTTGGGCATCAGGTACGTCGAAGAAGAGGTGGGATTTTTGGCTTGGAACCTTTCGTCATCTCATGTGAACTTTTGATTTAGCGATAAGGCCAAATGTAGAGCAGCGCTAGTCGACTCACCAAGGGTCTTAGGCAGCGCCGATGAAGTTGAAGACTGAGAAACAGGAAGAGTAGATTGGAAATAGTCCCCACCGACGTGTGATTGATCCCAAAATTTGCCGACAAAGTTGAAATTCACCAACCTGACGAATCTCACCTCGATATGGAAGATGTCAAGCACCTCCAACCAAGATGGCAGCACCAATACACTTAATACGGCCTCTGTAGGCACTTCTAAACAACACTATGTTCTGAATCGCGGGATCATCCCCCGGTTCTACCGGTAACCGAACATCTATGTTTCATCTCATTATGATTTTTCTCCGCCTCTGCATTTCGTACGCCAGCCTGTATCGTTCCGGAACGGGAAAGCACCCGCGATCCGATCATGATCGGCGGGAGTATCCTGACCATCATGCAATAAATTATTGGTGGCAAAGTGATCTAGGGGATCCCGTACGGTAAGCGCCAGAGATTTCCTAGCCATGACACGATCAAGTGCGAGTATATCAGTACGACACTGCAAGAGCGTGATTAGAGGGACCAAACACCACGCCTCGGCTCCCTTTCCCCAGAATATCGATGATCGGGGTAGAGCAGTGAAGGTCAGTCTCCCTATTCCCCTACCCAGAATAGATCGAACTCGCGTAGAACAAATTCAATCGTTTAGATGCAATAACAACACCAGATATTTCAATCTGTATTCGCCCATATTTATATCCCATGACAAAATTTCTGATTTCAATCGTTATAACCCCTAGGCTTCAGAGATCCGCCCTTGTTCGGATCGACTGCGGTGGCTCCCGACAATTCGAGCTGCCTATCTTTCGCAACCTTTCCGGTCGACTTTTCGTAGTCCTCGACGGATGTAGGTTTCTCTCCGTGAGGAGTAGCTCTCAGGGCATGCCTTGTTGCGGGCCAGAAGTCGAACGTTGCGGAATGGGTGACAACCTATAGGAAAGGCAGCACATATGCGTCAACCGAATCGAGTAGAATGAAAAGATTCTGGAACGTACCCTATTATCCCAGATCGCAATAGAGTTGGGTTCCCAGTGGAATCGTACTTGGAAGTCAGGATTCTCACTGATTTGGTGGAAGAGGAACGACAGAATAGCATCAGACTCTGCCTTAGGGATGCCTATGATACGACGGGTAAAGCCTACGACCAAGGTCGATGAGTGACGGATTGATCATACGTCGCTAAAACCTTACCAGGGTTGACGTAAATACTCTTCCAGCCGGTCGCAGGATGGACGCGAACTATGGGATGAATCGATTCGATCTCTTTGCGGCGGACGTGAAGGCCAGCTGCTCGGGCTCCTTCTGCCTGAGCCACAGCACTGTGAAGAGCCGTTAGGCCTTCAAGGTACTTCTGTAGCCCAGGGCTCAAGGATGAGTAAAGGGCGTATCTACGAAATCGATTTAGATAAGCAAACGACTGGGTGTTGTTAATGAACATACCCAGAGCTCCAAAGGGTGTCGCCACCATATTCAGGACCAGTTATCACCTTCAGAGAAGTAGTGCTGGGCGGCTGGAGTTCGTAGGACACGTCCGAATGCCACAACTCCAGCTTCGTGAAGGCTGAGGTATCGGGCCGGCGAGACGCATCGTTGTATACGACTAACCATAATACACACCATGTTGTCAATTGTTGTTATTACTACAATCGCGCAGGATAGACTGACCATGGACTTCCTCCAAACCATTCTTGGGGATCGGCGTAGTTGCATGTTTGTGCAAAGGGCCAAAGTGTCGCGCGAGGTCCAGCTGTTCGTGGATGTTCAACTCCTGATCACGGAAAACTGGGTTCAAATTGGTTGAGCGATCTACGGCGGGATATTTAAGGCAAGATGAGCTTACAGACGACGCCTCTTTCTCCGATCAATAACGCCCTATCCAAGGCAACAAAAATAGTCGATCAAAAGTTACTTCTGCTGCTATAGATACTTACAATTCATCCTTTTGTGTTGCTGTCAGTTGCCTTAGGTCAAGGCCCAATATCTCTGTACCAATAGCAGGCGTCAGGTTCTTGACTTTCTGCGCCGCAGATAGCAGATTCTTCTTGGAGGGATCGGCGAATAGTCCGCGCTCTGTGACGGCCACCTCGGTCAGGGGCTCCCAATCGACTTTGGGGAAGAATGGCTAGTGAACGAGAGGTAGTTGAAGGTTCGATGTACCGCATTAGACAATTAAGGGAGGGATGCAACGAACTGACCTTGAAATCGGCGTACGGATAGGTGGTGTCACCATCATCACCGAGCGACGGCGAGTAGAATGGGTTGATAGCGATCACTGGTTCAACCTTGGATTTCAAGTTTGCCTGCGGGGTGCTGGCCGGGGTTCCATCGTCCTTGATGACTGCAACTGGCGCCATGATCTTTATCTCTGAAAATGGGTGATGGTAGCAGTCAAGAGCCTGTGAGATCTCGGGGAGCCGCGCGTCTTATATGAATAGTGCATCCAATAATGGATGATGAAAGCCATGGCAAAGTTAACGCAAGTGGGCTGGAGGATGGCGCAACTTATGTTGTAACGTGACTGCGGTGAGAAGGAAATATCGCAAACGGGTAAGAAGTATCCATGAGAAGCATGTCAATAAATACACACGCGTATACTTCTACAGCTTTGCTGAACCGGGTGCTAAATTTAATGTCTTCCACTAAACCGCATCGTCAGTTGGAATCAAGAATGAGTTATGTGTTCTTACCCAAGGGGCCCAGTTTTTCATGATATTCACAGAGTCAGTGAACTTTGGGAGCCTTCTTTCTTTGAATGCTTTCGCCCCTTCGACGAGATCGTTCCCTTCACCGGCTGTTATCTTCTTCAACATGTAGGAGTCGATGAGATGGGCCTCCTCAGCATTTGCCGGTGGGTGGTTAAGCATGGCCTTTGTAGCCGCGATAGAAGGTGCCGATGCGTTCGACGCAAGCTCCTTTGCAAATTTCAAGGCTGCGGGGAACACTTCCTCGCGATTGGGGAGAACAGCGTAATACAATCGGGTAAGAAGAGGATGGGTGGGTGTGAACGTTTCGCCCGACAAAAATATAGCTTTTGCCGCCGAATAACCGAGGAGGTGTGGTAACATGAAGACGGAAGAAGCTATAGAATGGGCGCATTTCAGTAGGTGATCATCGAGTCCCCTTTGCGTTGCAACCCACCTTCGGGCGTAATGGCACGGCGGACGAACGGTAGGGCAATTTTTGCATCCGCCCATGCGAACCGGAAGTCAAACGGGAGCTGTAATCCAGTCACGCCGACTCCAACTGCATGCCCGTTGACCGCTGCGATGGTGACCTTCCGGCATCGAAGGACGGCCAAAGTAACTAGACCTCCGGGGTCGCGGAAACCTTGAAGACACGGCAATTAGAAACTTGTTGACAGCCAAATCGTGGAGGACTCACCGTGGTCAGTGCTAGCATCTGGGTTGGCATTGCTCCATTTCCAGCCAGAAGATAAATCTGCCTATGAACCCGGCGCGAAGAAATCAGATACATGTATAGGAATATATATAAGCATCACCACTCACACCAGAACAGTAGGCTGGGGCGCTAGTGTCTGCCGTGAAGACTACAGCACGGACTCTGTCATCCTTGTCTGCGTAGTCGAGCGCTTGGATGAGTTCGTGGGCAAAAGCCTCAACGAAAGTATTCCTCCTTCATGGTAACGATAGTATGTCAGTACACTGTCCATTTGAGCGGTGCATGGACCACCTACGCGGCTGGGCGGTCGATCACAATGACCAACACCCCGTCGTCTAATGTGACCCGGATGTGTGATAACTTTAGTGAGTCGTAGTCGACTGCGGACATGGTGATATTCCAGTAGTTTCAGTGTAGCGAATCGCAAGTCAGAAGTTGATATACTCCCAGCTTCGGGTTCTAGTTACTCTTGTAGCCGGTGGAAGCAAGGTGATAGCACATAAGTTCGCGCCCAGCTTAGGCTCCTGCGCTCGTTCCTCTTTGGAGAAGGGCTAGGGAATGGTCAGTCTCGGTCAGGGCTCGGGCACGTGGCTGCGGCACGACCGTCGGGAGCGCATGATTTATAGGGTCCGTGTGAACATCATCCAGGAGAGCTCAGGGGACGCATTTGTTGTTTTTAGTTGTAAGCTTCTCTACTACCACACGTATTAAACAGAAATCATATTCGCACGCGATAGGCCTACAGAGTCCCCGTCAAGCGTTCGACATAATTTTCTTCACAAAATAATCCTGTCTCTCTTTGGAATTGATCCGTCCTTCCTGGAGACGTCCCAACCCCGCCTTGATACTCTCGATGTGTACCACAACAGGAACCTGAGACCCAATGAGATCTGGCTCAACTACCCTTTCTCTCAAATTCTCTATGTCCTCGCTGAGCTCGCGAAGCGTGTACAGCGACGACACTACCAACGCCAAGGCCTTCTTTCTGTACTTAGCGACGTCGGTCAGCAACGCTAGGTTCTCGTCGTGCTGTCGGACTTGCTGTCTGTTCCGCAAGCGCAGCTTCGTCCATAAGTCCGATAGAAGCTCTGCTTTAGCCGAATTGATTGAAGAATCTTCCCTCATGACGATTTCGTGCAGGACGGAAAGACTCTCCTCGAGTTTCTCTAGATTGGAGTGGCAGCTCTCCGCTTCTAGGATGAGTTGCCGAAGATTATTGGAGAGAATATCCATGGTTTGCGTGAATGCTGTTGCTATCATGGCTTGCGTGTCTCGTTTCGTTGACCAAGGCATTAGAGAAAAGACTGAGGGTGACGCGGCAATGGTCTGCGCTTCTTCGATGGTGCGAAGAGCGTAATTGCTGATCGCCTCAATACTATCAGAAAGAGAACACGTTGGTAAGAGTAAAACTGATTGCGAGCGAGGAAGCGTGCCTGTCCATCGCCCCGCCCATCTTCGCATTGAATTTACTGAGGCCCCGTCCGGTAGATTGGGCATTGCGCACAAAGGTAGTCATTGTCCGGGCGATGTCGTCTCTGCTCTTCATGTCGCTGACCTTAACTAACGTGACAAGGTCTTTGCTGGCCATTTCGACCTTCTTGAGGTCCAGAGATAGACCACTACCCCCGAAAGAGGCTGATTGATCTGCTAGGTGATCGAAGGTCTTCTTCTGGATGTCGAAGATCTTGGGGAAATCCATGCCTCGCAACCCTTTAGAAATGGTACTCCCTGTACTGAGAGACTCAGAGCGACAGGCTGGTAGGAGCGATGTTCCTGGGAGGACACATATGGGCGGTAGGGCTTCCAATAGGATGGGCGTTGCTTTCTTGGTGACCTCGAGCATCATCCAGAAGAACACCAGGTATGACATGGGTCCCTTCATCATCTGGGCGGCGCATTCCACGATTTCGAGCAGATATGCGAGGCAGTTGCGTGCCATGCTGAGTATTAAATCGGACCACAGGCTCTTGTCAACGGTCGGGAGGTAGCCGTAAAGCCAAGCCACAGTGGCCGTAGGTACGAGTGGCTTGGGCTCAGTGGAATCGAGAGCAGTATAATCGTCTTGATAGTCGAGGAAAGGCTTATCCTCCACTGTTTCGCCGTCATCGGACACACTAGTTGCATCGGGGACGCCCTCCACTAGAGGAGGGATAGCGTAGTTGGGGTTGGACAATTCTGCCCAGTCGTGGACGGTGCCTTTAGGTTCCTAATTGCAGAGCATCGTGTCATTGATCGTTAGAGTAATCCCCAGCTCACGCACCTCATGAGACTCATTCTCGTTTAAAGAGTTGACTTGGAAGTCCATGATGATTAAGTTGGGGGGAATAGTTCAGTGGCCTGGATGATTTATGTGGTAGAAATTAAGCTCAAAGAACTGCGATGCGCAGTCGCCTGCCATGTTCTTCCCTTTATTCATTAATGTGATGATAGAAAAAAGGAAGAACGCAAGGCTGATGACTGCAAGGCTGATGGCTGGCCCAGGCTTCTTTCCAGGGGCGTTCAGGGGTACGGGCGCTTGTCCGTCTTGAGTCAGACCGGTGCTGCGCTGATCTGCTCTTGCTTTCACCATGTCCTCGTATCTTCGAAGTTGGCTCGGGACTGGAATACCCGCCGCCCAACCTCCGCCCCCGACGCAGGATGACATTCCTGTAATTTCTAGATCATCGCCGCCGCCGCCTGACGATGAAGATGACGGCGAGGCCACGGAAACGGAAGACAACTCTCCTCCGCTCTTTCCCAGTCCATACAGCGCGCAGCGAGCGTCGTCGGGCGTACCGCGAATTCTCACCGATACCCAATTAATGCCCCCGCCCCCGCCGCCTCAGCTAGCATCGCGTACCCCTGGCGTCTCCTCAAATTCAACCTCGTTGTCAGCACCTTCGACACTGGCTGTCCCATACACAACCACGAAGCCCCCAGCGAAGCTGAATACCAAGAAGAAAGGAAAGGTGGCTCTCGCGCCGGGGCACAGTCCTCTGGATTGGGCGAATCTCAAGGCATCCGGCGAGGATCTGAGGGTGATGTGCCTGTTTGCCTGTCGCCGCTCTCGTATACGTTCTGAACGAGGGATCATCAGGGAGTGGATACCTTGATGCGCATTCCCCCGTCTGTGCTGAAACAGCATAACAAGCGCGACGATGCGTGGACGGCGATTAATGGCAAGGTTTACAACATGACCGCGTACCTCCCCTTCCATCCCGGCGGTGAGAAGGAGCTGATGCGAGTTGCGGGGCGTGATGGGACAAAGTTGTTTGGTGAGTGGCCTGTCATCGGATTTGTAGAGATTGTCTTGAATTTCAGTAGCCTCTACTCATGCTTGGGTCAACGCCGACTTCATGTTGGATGCTTGTCTCGTAGGGTTCCTCATTCCAGAGCCATCGACATAGACTTTAGTATCTGCATATTATCCTAGTTTTCCGTGCAAGTTCCTAGACATCATTCAACGAGAGCGATATAAACGTTATAATAAATAATGCTACTATTTACTTGAAAATATTCTACAGTGCAAGAAAGGATAACGAATGAGGTGTGGGGACGGGCAGAAGATCGAGTATATTAATGTGTGGCGAGAGAGGTAGCGAAGGGGCTGGGTTGCATCAAGAGCTTGTAGAAATCGGCTGAAGGAGTGGTAGATTCGGGGGTCTGTTCGCGCGATGACGCATGTAGAACGAAGAGATGGCGAGACATATCGGAGAGTTGTATTAGGCGGATAGTGTTTTGACCCTCTCTGACAGATGCTGTGAGATCCAACGGCGGGCTTGACGGCCCCTGCAAGGCAAATGCCGGAGAAAGGTGTTAGAAAGCGTGCAACTTATCGTATGACAGAAGGGGATTTACCAGGTCTCTCGGCATGTATGTACGGCACCATGGAGTACCTTCATTGACCTGTACAATCAGATCACCTTGTCGGGGCCACTGGACATCCATCTTCAGTACTTCCTCCGCCATCTGCCACGGCGTGACGGTGCTAGGATCGAATGTCAAGCCGTTCCACGCCTCGTCTAGTGTACAGAGTAGCTGCAGTCGGAAAGGCAGCCGCGACGCAGGACCAGGTTCATCTGAGCCGCTGTACATATAAGGTATGAGAACGCGGCAAGCATCAACGCAAAGGAATCTCGAGAAAGGGATGCTAACACTTACGCTTTTGGTATGCATAGTTGGGTGGAAGTTTGTGGGTCAACGGCAAAATCAATAGATAGGATGCCGGGCGAGGGAAGTCCGTCTTTGACATCCCACAGGCTCGGCAGGGGGCAGGAAAAGTTCTGGGATGGAATGTCAGAAGAGGGAGGGGACATATCAGCCTCGAGGCCGTTGGGGTGTTGCTGAGGGATATCGTCGTTTGGCTCAAAGGCCGTCGACGAAGCTGGGGGCGTCGCAGCCGACATAGGTGGCGAAGTCATAGTGTCGCCCTGAGTCAATTCATCTACCTTCTCTGACTCACGTTGGTCCCAGTCAGCTTGCCGCTCCGTCACTCTTCGTCTCTTCGTGCGTGTGTGAGGCTTTGACCCACTGGGCATCGAGGGAGGGCTCCGAGTGTCCGAGCTATGCTTGTCATAAGCAGATCGGTGGTGTCCAGGGATGTATGAAGCCAGATCTTCCCTCCGTTTCGGGATTCGGTGGACATATCGCGCGGGCGAATCAGAGCGTGACCGCGACCTGGAAGAAGAGGACGAAGAGGCGGGAGAATCATACGGTAGATAGTCTTCCCGGTCTCTTTTGCGCTTCATGCCGTAGGCGCCAGAGAGGCTATCATGGGGCGCGACCTGACTCATTTGGTGTGCGAACAAAATACGCTCGTCCTTGCGTGACAACGGAGCCGGGCGGTCTGGGTCACGATACAGCGAGGGCGGGGATCTGGGATTGTGAGTGGATGCGGAGGAGGAAGAGGAGGGGAATGAGGCAGAGTATCTACGAGGGACGTATAACACATCGATATCCGGGGCTATCGGCGAGCTATTCATCGAGTTGCGTCGAAGTCGGGGCACATAAGGTTCTGGCCGATCGGGGAGGGTAACTTTGCGACTCGTGTTATTCTTGTCCTTGTCCTCATCTTTGTCCTGATCCATGGGCGTGGCCTTCTCATAGCCCTTCTCAGAAGTCCCAAGGGTCTTGTTTTGGACTGCTGATTTAGCGGAAGAGTCGGACAAGGATATATCTGATCCGACTTTATGGACGGCTGGACGATCGGGGCTATGCGCCAGCTCTCCATTCTCGGCCTAATCCTGATCAATTCGCCGAACCCAGCACAAAATCATGTTAACTCACAGGGTCACTCGTCTTCACCCTGCTACTCAACGCGTTCTGAACCTCATCCAACTTGATCTCGAATTGAGCGTTCAGTTGAGCGTTGAACTCCTTGTTCAGGCCCGCTAGGCTTCTGCATACGTCGTCCGTGAAGAGCTCGGTGATTTTCTGCTGAAGTACATCGGGCGCTATGGTTGATCCGCCGCCGCGGCGCGTCAGGTTCTCTTGGACGAGCGAGACGAGGTGGGTCGGATAGAGAGCAAGAACAGGCGGGTCGAGGATCTCGCCTTCTTCGATGAGTTCAGTAACTTCCCCAGGCATCTGGCTTGAAACCGCACCGTTCATGGTGCTGGATGCTGACAAGCCACTCTCTTCTACAGCTATCTCGCCTGGCGCTGATGGCTTTTCTAATCCATTGTCTATATCAAGCACGATCGACCGTAGGAATTTATCGACCTCTTCAGAAACAGCACTCTGCGTGTCTGCCTGCGTATCCGATGCGCTTCCTTGCCCGTCAAGATCGGTTCCCTGCATCCGGGCCAACAGTGAAGGCGCCATGGAAGTTATGTTTCGGAGAAAGAGCGTTGCTTGCCCAAATGTGCATGTCCAGTAGGTGTGTGCATATGGTCAAGACTCAACAGACGATGGACTTCGCGCGCGAAATTTTGGATTTCCGAGAATATTTGCACGTGATTTATTGCCAGGGGACGCGCCGTGACATTGAACGGTTTGTCACGTACGGGATCTTGGTGAGTGTTACAATGTACGCGTTCACAATGCTCAAGCAAAACTTTCTGACGCGTAGCTCGCTCAGTGTAACGCCGATCACTAAACATAGTGCTAGAACACAGTTGCAATTTCGACTCATCAAAGTTTAGAATCCCTACAGGTCTCCCGTCGCGTCCACCTCAAGTCTGGATTTGTCTCTCACATCTCCGCACTACGCGCTCGTACATGCTATAGATATTCAGGAAAGACGTATGTGTGTGGATGTATCACATCGCCCCCGATGAATCCCCTTGAGAGCGCGCAGTGCACTGAAGGTCGCTGATAAACCATGACAATGGGAATGCGACGCGAGTGTCAGACTGTGTCGGACGAAAGAAGCGGAGGCAGAGAACTTCGAGGTCAGTATCTCCACCCTGAACGCCATCATTGCAAGGGACACGCAAATGACATGTAACTATGAATGTAGCTGAATGCGAGAGTCAACGACGAGTCGCCTGCGAGAAGACCAGAAGGCCAAAACAAAGCACAGGACATATGGGGGTGCATTTACCACCCCGCATGTATACCGTGACACAGTACGTCAGGCTGGCTGTGGCTTGTCGAAACTCGAACCTAAAATGCGAACGACCATGTGCACGAGCCCCCACGCAGCAGGCCGTAGCACTGGCAGATCAAGCACCATCCTCCAGCGACGCCGTGACCAGCGTCGTCAGCCCGGTTAAGATGCGAACACAAAGGCAGGGAAGACGTGCACATATATTGTGCTCAGTTGATGCGTACACCTAGTACAGACGATGTAACACAATGCAACACAGCGTAACAAGCGACGATAACGAACGGCAGCGACTATGTACGCTTACCCAGTGCTCACGCGTGTGCAAAGGGAGACACTGGGAACGGGCATCTACTCAGCTTTTTTGGGTTTACGTTCTCATGGGTAAGTCATCTATTCGACTTGATGAAGATCCGGCTGCAGACAACAGCGCCTGGGGCTCAAAGGATGTACCATTGTCGGGAGGTACACCAATATTCCTACTGTCATTTTGGGTGCGCTTCCTCAGCCCATGAAGTCATTTTGTACACTCATCGCGGTCACTATTGGCATAGGATGTATCAAAGAACCTCATACTATCAATCACGGCCAAGTGTACGGGCGACTCTCTATCCATAAGGGAGTTTGCAGCCACCAGATTCATTAGTTACCGCTCCTGTCGAGCAAGCACAGGGTGTTCCACAGGCTCGTGGCTCATTCCTGCATATCCTACTCGAGCTGAGACTACTATCTCAGGTCCACGGACAAGGGTCCTGCACGACAGTACACCGGCATGTCACGAAGCTTTTATATAATATAGACGTTGAAGAAGGCAGCATGCAGACCATCTTCCGCAACTCATCCGTTTCAGCAACACTGTGTAAGTGCAGATCTCAGACGAACACATTTTTTGTTTATTTCTGTTCAGCGGCTTTGCCCCCCTACGAAGCGACTGCGCAGGATTTGACACCAGCAGATACAGCACCACTGGCTGATTTGATGGTCTGAACCTCGGCACCATCAAATAACGCCATCGTTCCGTGGACTTGGTCGGAAAGCTACGCAAACCACTTCAGGACCTGAGGCCTCTCAGAGGTATACGACCTATACAAGCATATTCTTCAAGGTTTGGTGATGGACGTGTCGGACGTGGTCAATGTCAAGGAAAGGGTAGTAACAATCAACTGGGTGGACGAGGTCAAGTGTATTGCACGCTTTCACTGTATGCTGGATAATAATCGTCTCTGGGTTTAACTTGGAAGACCCGCTAGGAGACGATGCCCACGCTCTCTGCCGTCAAGGAGCTCGCTTGCAACCCGTGAGTGAGGTTTCGATTCTTGATTCTTGTCAATCAGTGCAGTTGGACCTAAGATAGCCGCAAGTTGATAAGATAAGATAAGATAACAATCCACGACAAACACAAGCCTTGATCAGTGGTCGCTACGCGTTACGCCAATCTCCAGCAATCGACGCGTCGCGTCGGTAATTACACGGAAGAATACATCTAGAATGAACGATACATGTCTTTTCCCAAGGCAATCGCACCCGAGTAACGTCTCTCATGCGGAGGACTGGGTAACCTTCGATAGCCGAGGTCATCTCGTCCTTCCGATTGAGACTTCTATTTTCCCAACGATTCCGAGGTAGGTACATCGACCATTTGACCTGCGCCCAACCCGCGACTGTGCGACATCAGATGGGGAGAGAGCAGCCAAGCCCGGGTGCGTGATTCCTTATCACAGCTCCTTTGGACATTCAGGACCTACAACTGCACCACCCAGATTTGGGCTCTGGGCTGATTGGGAAGGGTTGCGTCATGGTCATTTGATCAGGAATCAGGACGAAACTGATGGATGATTCAAGTGGTATATAGCTGTTGCGTAGCCGGTATAATGAAGAGCGTGCCCTGGTTGCTGCGGTTTGCGGGATGGTGCTGGTGCTGGTCAATGCGGGCGCTGGCGAGGAGGCGCATGCTGTGCATGGCTGGACGGCGGTGGCCCACATGGAATGCAGATGAGCACGGAATTTCTCGTTTCGGGCCGAAAGGACGAGTTAATTCGCCGAGTGACAGCGAGAAGGGCCGCGGCAAGTTCCGAAGCGCGACTCCGCTCGACGCGTTACATCCACCACCACCACCACCCCTTGCTCATCGCCCACCGCATCCTCCTATCCCGCCTGCTCATCGCGCCAGACAGCGGCAAGCAATCCACGACCAGTGGTCGCCTCCCTCGCCGCCTCCTCTCCTCCGCCGCATTTACGCGTTGTACATTCGTTGTTGTATACTACTACCCAGTTATCGCACTCACATGGCTACTCCTGATTCGTCTGCCACGTCCCCGTCGCCCCCCATGGCCTACCTCACCCAAGCGGTGCTTCCGCCCCACAGCATGAAGGAAGTCGGCGTTGCCCAAGAAAGAGATGACAGGAAGAAGGCTGTACAGAAGTTCAAGGCGAGGGCTGAAATGTCGTCGGTATGTTTCGTCCCATCTTCCCGACGCGTCGGGCAGCAGCGTGCTGTATCCTGATCCGAGCAAGACATACAACGTTGTGCGGGCGCTCGAGCTGCACGCCACGTTCCCCAGCGTCGCCCTTAGTCACCCTTCTCCATTTCCCATACTGACGCTTCCTCCCACGCATTTCAGGTAACCCGCGCCCTTCGTGCGCGCCTTGCATACGCCTCATTCAAAGCTGCAAACAATCTCTCTCACGCCTCATTGCGCGACCTCGAAGAGCAGTCTAATCAACTATACGCCCCTCCAGCTTCCCGCACCATCTCCGCGAAACGTAAAGCCGGTGCAACCACTACTAGCGTGCCAACTAATCACTACGCCAACTCTTCCCCCCAATCGGGGGGGCTTCGTAAATCAACCTCGGGCCTTGGTTCTTCTACGCAGAGGGGGAACTATTATCCCAGTGTAAACGGTTCCGGATCATCTACTTCTGCGAATATCGCCACTACGAGCCGACCGTATGCATACCCTGCTTCTCCTGCAAGTGCTTCACTTCAGGGGCAAAGCTTATACACGTCTTTGCTTGCTCCACCACCAGCGAAGTATGCACGCACGATACACAACCCAAGTGATCCACCCATGGCTGCTCCATCAATGGCACTCAGTTCTCCACGCTCTCGACCCCGAGACACTAGCACGCGTCAAAATGCTTCTGTCAAAAGCATCGCAGAAGGCACACGCGCCCACACGAAAGGTCGGAGTGGGGATAGCAAACAAGCTACGCCCAAGTCCAAACGGAGCCCCAAGGGCAAGCAGAAGCGGGCTGACCGCCGGACCTCCGGCACGACTAATGATACCGATTCGGTCGATGGTGATGGCGACGTCGATATGAAGGCAGCAGCCGCGCTGACCTCGTTATTATTGCACAATCATCGTGGTAGCGCGTCAATGTCTGCTGGTGCTGGCAGCGCCTCTTCCCCTCGGTCTAGCATCGATGGAGCGGCGTCTGAGGCGGGATCGGCGACATCATTTGTTCATTTTGTGCATAGCTCGGGCCGACCCGTCGCCGACGTCCTCCACGCTCCAGCTGAAGGCGTGCACTATCGACCTCACACGCCTGTGGGAGGCGCTTCTAGCGAACCGAGGGTTTCCACAACCCCGCGTCCCGACCCCTCAGACAACGAAGCTGCTGATTTGATGCTATTTTTAGCCACATCGCCATCTCCTGCTCGACCTACCACAACCAAGGACAGGAATACTCGAGACTTGGCTGCCTTCAGGGCGCTGGGCAGTGGCACGGACAAACCGAAAGGCCGCATTTTGTTTCCCACCGCTGCCCCTCCAGGCGCCATTCTTGAAGATGTGTCGAAAACATCTATTGGCAGTGCAAAGCCCCTAGCGAGAGGGAGTACGGGCGACGCTAGCTTCACCTCTAGCGTGTCTAGCATCGGTAGCTACATGGGTGTGGACACTAGCTCCTCGCGGATAGTCAATTCAACCCCACGATCGGATCGCCCTGTTCTTAACCCCTCCCCCTCCCAGCTGTTACCACCACCATCCTTACCTGCCCCTCGCAGCGCCGAGCCCACAGCTTCGCAGCCTCAAGGCGCCCCACGTGCGGCGCAGTCACAGAATCCGTATCCTACCACCACGTCCTCCGCGGATTTCAATATCAACGAGTTCATCAATGCCTCACCGTCCCCAAGAACCAGCAAAACTGCCGCCAGCCCTTTCGACCCTAGCGGTGCTCCGAAGCCCAATATGAGTCTAAGGGCTGATGTTGGTCGCAAGTTATTCGAGGAGGAGCAGATGAGGTTAGGAGGAGGACTCCGTAAAGGACTGAGTCAAGAGACGATCGGTACCCCCCTTGGCGCAAGCATCGATCTCAACAGTTGACCGAAGAACACAACGTTCGAGCAAGCCTATCCTTATGTCCCAATTTTCCGATCCAACTCTTGGAAATGTATCTTCAAGAAGCTCAAGCTTCAACTCTCGACTACAATAGACAAGACCATCTCATTTCACTTCTTCCTCTCTTTCTCCGCAATAACGAACTCTCTGCAACACTCCGTGTCCGTGACCCTGCCGTATTGCCCACCTATCTCTTCCAGTACTCTTAATGTATGACCTATCTCAACAATCAGTGGACCCGCTGCGGGACACGAAGTCTGTCAACGACACCTCAAGTACCTATTTATCATCCGCCTGTATCAGTGCCAGCATCAGTGCAAATATGAATGCAAGACATCCAAATACGAAAACGACGTTTCTTTCACGCACCTCGGAACCCTTGTTTATAAACAGTTATATCTATAACGGACTCTCCATGGTACCTCAAAGCTGTGTTGTTTCATTTCTAGTTTCTCATTTCCTCCCATCCCTCTCACTTTAGTCTGTTGTTCTTTCTCTCTCAATGATGCCTTGCGGGACAGTAATTACTAGTTTAGTCGCTGGTCCTTCAGTCCCTTCCCCCATTTATTCTCATTTCCTTCCCATCTTGCATCTCCATCATCTATCAACTACTTTGTGTTGGGTGTGCTTCTATTGTCTATTGTGGTCATCTCCTGTAATAATACGACTCGATTCGCCTGGGTTACTACTGCATCGCTTGTATTCACCATTCTGATATCTTGAAATCGCAATGAGAGAGGAAATATTTCAACTCTGAACGCAAACTATGGCAGAGACCTTGTGCAGACTTCAGGACGAGTAGGGCTGAGTAGAGACGTGGGGGTGAGGTGAGCCCGATTGTTCGATCGCGTTCTCGGGCGATCGAGATTCGCTGAACTCCGATCTGACACCTTGAATGTTAACATGTTACAGCCTAGAAGATCTGCAGGTCTTCTGGACCCTCAAGTGCCCATAAGTCCCACTATTTGCAGGCTCCGAGACCCGACGGAGGTTTATACATATACTGAGTGGAGGACGGGCATAGCACAGGGGCAGCCACGCCTACGGAGAGGGAGAATTGTCGGCAATTCATGGAATAGATACGGACACTGAGCGAACTATAATACCGTGTGCTAACCCAAGGCATACTTGACATACCACTTCGGTAAGAACCCGATCCTTTCCTCCTCGTCGCCGGCTTCGACGTCCGTGACACCAGCTTTGTCGAGCTGCTTGACTGTGATACCGACCTTGGGCGAGAATGAAACGCGCCAAACCGGGAGGTTGGATGAGATTCCGTCTTTTTCACTGTCGAGACTGGGAGTGGGAGTGGGGTCTACCGAAGGGACGTCTATGGCAATGCGCAGTTCACGGAGGAACCTATCGCCCCATTCAAGACACAGGGCTGGATCCCAAGCACCGGGCTTCCCCCGGACGAGTCGGGGAATTTCGATCGTTCGGAACCTTTGGACAGTCGAAAGGACGCCGGAAGGCGTTCGGAAGCCCACAGTGATTTCCTAATGAAGGAGAGGGAGGGGATGAGTAAGGTGTTAGCATATAAAAAGGCGAACGTACGGGAACACCGAGAAGGAAGGACTGGAAGTAAAACTTGATTAGTTTCCTAAGGGTTAATTAGATGGGTATGGTTATCATGGCGAGACTAGATTGAATGAGCATACTTCTCGAATCTGGCTTCATCAGATGCACCACGGATGGTCAACGACGTCTTCAGCTCGACGAAATTGTCAGGCTTCCCAGTATACCTGCCCCGAACACAATCTACTTCACCGCCGATGACCATCCTGGTATTCCCTAGTTTCGTTTTGACGACGCTGCACCACTGAACGTTCGTATTTACGTCCCCGCCCCAGCCTGGAGGGTGTCCATCCGACGTGGATTGGATCGGATTTCCTGGATGTGACGCTGGGGAAGGTGACTCTGAAGTGCACCACGATTCAAACGAGTAGCCGTAATACATCTGAATTCGGTGTCGCGGTTCTATGTCGTTCCTGCGGTGGGCGTAAAATCGAGCCCTCGCCGAGACAAGAAGAGAGTAGCGTACTTGCTCTGAAGTTTCTCTTCCGCGAGATATTCTTCAAAGTACATCGTCCCGTTCACCAGCATAACATTCAGCTCCCAGCCGTCCCGCTCTTCATATGGGGCGGTAAGTATCCTCTGCGTAGGTTAGCCATCCCGCCCAAATCCCGTCTCCCTTGACCGTCGCCGATCGTGGGATAACTGGGACACTCACTTTGTCATGACCCCTCGCCACGAGACCACACCGACCTCTCCCAGTGCACCAGGATGCTCGGTCCCAAACTTCTGCCAGGCCTTCAAAAGACTGTCTATCCTCCCCCGCTCCTCTGGCCGTCTCACCCAGCGATCGTATCCATAGCTCAGTTGCGCACCCCGAGGCGGATCAACGAAGTATCGCATTGCAGAGTCATTGAATTCCAGCACCCGATCTGGTGTATATGAGAACGATATCAGCTGCGTTGGCAGCTGGAAGGGCACGGCGTTGACGGATCGTTTCGCGTCCTTTACTGAATAGGACAGCTCGAGGACGGGCTGAGAAGCTTGCAATGGCGACGTCGCCAGGAGTCCTGGATTGGGAGATTTCAGTCTTTTCTTGTCCTGGCCTTCGACTTCGACCGCATCCGTTTCGTCTAGGTTCCTTTTCGACATGATGGTAGAAGGTAAGCAACCCCGAATTTAGCGCCAAAATCGCCGAAACTCAAACAATTTAGACCCCACTTGGACCTAACTCCCAGTTTGTGCCGTTCCATGCAGAGAGCCACATCGCAAAAAATATGGGACATCTATGAATTTGCGCAGGCTTCAGTTGGCTCTCATGTTTGCCTAGTCCTCTCATCCCCTTTGAACTCAGGAGAACCCCTGAGCATCGATGCAAAGGCCTTTGTGTCACAATTTACCACTGGCCTTTGTCCGGAGGCAAAGCCACAAGCCACTCTTATTATATGTACGGTGGCATACTACTGCGTGGTTGTGCCACCTTGAAGGGGTATAAATTGGGAGGAGACTAACGCTGCGCCGTCAACGTCCCAACCTTTCATATCTTCTCCCCACAGCTGGTCCTGTTTTTGCCTTCATTTATTCAAATAAATTACTCGAGTTCTCAATGACTTTCCTACGCTCCGTTCTCAGTGCGTATCATCCCCACTTAATAGCCGTGCCACTGTTGCTGATTCTCATCGCTTACGGCTTCGCTAGCTCCCAAGAAGGGTACAGATAGCGCCCTCCCCCCAAACTGGCCCTCTCCCCTTCACAACAAATGCTCCGCGCCCGGTTGCACATTCCCAAACCCTCCGCAGGTAGTGAAGGGCGTGTACGACTGCCAAGGCGTCCCAGGAGGCTTCTACTGCGACGGTACCTACCGCGTCTCATCCGCGAAGGCCGACTCGGCGGAACGTTACTTCAAAGAAGAATTCCGCATCGAGTCGACGAACAAACGCCGCCAGCGGCTGATGGAGAAGCGACGATACGAGGAGGAGCATTACAAGCAGGCTCATTACTGTCACCACGATGATCACCCGAAAGTGAAGCTTGTGATGAACCTCAATGCGCGCTACGAAGACCCTGTCAGGCGCCAACGCGTTGCTTCTGAGGCTGCTGCCCAGCTGCCTGTACCGGCGGAACACCGCAAGAAGAATCCCCTTAGTCCTACATCGCTCCGCCACCGCGTGGCGTCTGAGCCAACTGCCGAAGCGAATGCTAGTCTTCACAGACGGATCGCCCAACGGAGAAATCCTGCTCAGGAATGTGCGATCCCTGGCGTTAGGGAGTATTATCAGCATAACATCCCAGTCAAAGTAACTCAGCAAGCTCGTCAGCCTCATCAGTATGACAAGGTGAAGAGCACGTCCGATATCGTTTATCACCATTCGCACCAGCACCAGCACCAGAGTGCTTCATCCAGAGCTCCTGCTCGCGATCTTGGGGAATTGCCGCCCTCAGCTCCTCGGACCGTCCGCTCGCAACACAATATCTACGCTAACTATACGAACTATCCAGCCCAACAACGACAATAGCGGGTGGTCTACTTACTGGTTTACGATTACCTTCTAACCCTCAGTCAGGTCCAGCACGCCGACTGACCCACACTCGTTCGCCATGAATCACTATAACCATTCATTTGTCTTCTTGTACTTACTCGCACTGTAACCATATCACAGCTGTACTTCTCCACTAATTGAATATTACAATATATATATCTTCTAGTCAGATCCCTCGTGCTCAAACACGAGAGGTCTACAGAGTGTCGACGCTGCGAATGCACAAGTCCTTCGCTATCGCACATCGGTCCTTGTCCCGCCCTTTGCCTATCTCAAAGGCCTTGATGAGGGATGCTTGTCCCTCGTCGATCCTACGGGTCGAGAGTAGTGATTAAATAGCACGACCCGGAGTACTCAAACAGGACAAACCATTGACATGGATATCCGTGCTTTTCTAACAGCACTTTGACTGTGCCCCACGAAAATCTGACTAGCTTAGGAAAACCGAAGGTGGGCTCGAGTGTCTTTTTTAACCAAGCCTGTGTCTTGGGGTCTATAGAGGCATGGAGTTGATGGAATGATTTAAGATAACGAGATACTAACCTGATGGGTAGCCGCTCCCTAGTTCAGTGTTCCATAGCGACTCTTCGCTTTTAGGATCGTCTTCTTCGAAGACCCACCCTTCTATACAAGCATCTCGAGTGACTTTCGCTGCAACACTAGCCGCACTGACGATCTTGTACTTGGAGTCGGCTTTGGCCGTCACGGTGAAGTTTATACCAGGGAATGTTCGGCTTAGATAGGCTTCGTATGTCGTGGTGTTACCTAGCGCGTCGACGTAGACCTGTGTGCCAAGATGAGTTCAACAGGAGCACATTCGCGGAACAGTAAACTGACTTCAGAAAGCTCTATCCCCTTATCCAGGACTTCTCGTATGAGCAGAATCGTTGCGTCTTCGGACTGCTTGTTTAGATTCGTGGAAGGTTTGCGCAACATGCCACTTGATATCGCTTGAGGCCTATAGATATACTTTTCAGACGATGTGTTACCGTAGCGTTATATCTGAGCCACGCACGCAATAACTCGAACTGCCCAAGCCAAGTTCTTCGGGTCTGAAGACAAGCTATCGAGGAGTGTCCTTCTCGTGTCAGCACTCAAAACCTTGGAGTCTGTGGTAAAAAGAGTGAGTTTCAGCACATAATCGTGTAGCATATGGCGCACCCGCAAATCCGAGCTCCTCCAAATCTTCCTGATACGAGGCTGGGCAATAGGCGACGCCATATACCAGTGGTCCTAGAACGGGCCCACGACCGGCTTCATCGACGCCGAGGATGTACGGCCCATCAGCAGTGGGCTTGGGTGAATGGTATGTATACGAGTGCGTTAGAGGCTTCGACGGTCCTGGCGCTGAAGGAACAGTTTCCGACATAATGGAAATTGGAAGAAGCCAAGCTGAACGCGCGCCACAGACGCGATCGCGTTGTTTGGACGTACTTGGCAAGTCGCGTGATATCGAGCCCCTCTTCTGGTCGTACCCACCACCGGCTACAATGAAAATCGATCCGACAGTCCTTGGGATCATTTTCTGATTTCCGAGACCAGATTTCTCAAGACAATTAAATAGTTTCCATCTGACGAACTGAACAGTGAGTTACTTCCCTCGCGTTCCACCACGGTCAATCGTCGGAGCCCAACGCTATTCTGACTGTTCCTGGTTACCACTATTGTTCCTAGGCCCTTCCTCTCACCCCCACGACTTCGGTCATAATATGGCCTTCTATAGCCCTGAAATACTGGGCACTCTCTCCGGAAGCGTTAGTTGCAAACAGCTAGCAACCGGCGTATGTTCGCAGGCCGCTGAAGATAAAATACGACGGAGATCTCTCGCGCTGGCCCACTCATCGTCCTCCTCCTCCCCTTTTCTTTCTCGATATCCCACCTCCAGTCGCTGAGCGGCCCTTTCGCCTCTTGCCAGGCCAGGAATCCGACATTCGTTCATTACAAGGAAATTAACTATAGTCCCTCTTTTGAAAATCTCAACGCCGTTTGCGTGATGTTGGTGAAGCTCGCAAACTTGTGGATCACCGTTTTGGCGATTTCATTGTCGGATCTGGTCTTAGGCCGTGAAAGGTGGCTTGAGAGAGATAACCGACCTGTTTTCCTTTACCCCCGTCGGTATAGTGAGTAAACAACTTCGTTTGCTCGTTAACAGGGACTTAATCTGCGTGCTTTGAAGTTGAGGAAGACAATGTTCTCAACAAGCTTCTGGGGGCGTGCCCAGGAGAAGTGTGTAGAGATTTGACTGCTCAAGCTGTCACCTCCCTTCTCGCTGCTCAGCCAGAATGCTCGCAACAAGATGCGGCAGATGCTATTATTGGTATGTCCTATTTTCGTCACCGTCACTGCTCCAATTAATTGAAATTCGGGGTCTCAGATGCAAGCAACCAGTTTGATGCTACCATTCAAGCAAACATGATTGCTATCGCTATCGAATACCGTCAAACGGAGAAGAACACTCCCCCAGTGCGTTTTACGTATTTCTTCCATTCCAGGATAGAGTTGACAGATGGATGTATCCAGGACTTCTCTACCGACCCACCTACTTTGAGAAACTCCGTCTTCTGCACGAAGGCGCCAAAGAACTCTCAGCTGAATGGGCTGGTGCAAGCCCAAGATCCTGACAATGACCCCGATCTCTTCTTTGACCCGGCAACCCAGTCCACTGTACGTAAAGGAGAGCAACCAAACACTTTCCCTTTCGGCCAGACAGACGCGTATGTCGAACAGCACAATTTATCGAAGTTTAAGGACCTATCTTGCTTATAGCTCCCCCCCTTCCCCTGCGACACCAACTGAACCAAGCTTCGACGACTTCGCAGACGTTTTCGTCGTAAACGATGAACCCACTGCAGAGACAGCGACTGCTTGCGCGGTGAGTGCAATTACATCGGTACGACCTCGTCAGCTCATCTCCATCAGACTCGAATCACTGTCTATGTTGGCGGCAGTTTGGACATACAACCCGTCGGCCCTGCTGTCACTGTTACCTATGGGGACATGTCTGCTTCTCCCACTCCTACATCAACTTCAACACCTAACGATGATGTTGGAAACTTCGGTACCTGCACAACTCCCCAGATCGAGTTTGGCGCAGGATTCGATGGACGCAATGAAACCAGCTACCGGCCAGTAGACAAAGGTAATGTTGCTTCGCCCCCCTTTGTACTTCACGCCTGACTAGAAACTTTATAGTCTCATTCAATCACAAATCTGATCAAAATATCGACGTCATCATTCAATTTATCTGCGATACACTTAGCAACTTGTGTGAAGGAGATCAGAGGGCACAATCTACTTGTGTTACCGCCCGAGCGGCCGCATCAGCCGCTCCCAAAGATACAGGAGCTCAAGCAGATGCGTTTAATGACGCCTTTGGCGTTCCTACTGGGTTTGTCGATATACCTGCTCGCGATACTTCAGGAACTCCAATTCCCGGGACTGGGTCAGTCGCTGGGTCTTCGAGCTCAGTATCCCTGCCAGCATCAACAGTTACCTCTGCTTCTGCTTCCGCCCAGACCACACCAAGCAGCTCCAACTCTGATGGCCTCGGTGACTTTGGAAGCTGTACAGTCCCACAAATCGAATTCGGTGCAGGCTTCGACAATAGACGGGAAACGTCCTTCCGCCCTGTAGACCGAAGTGAGAATTTGATTTGATTTACATTCCTTGTTTGCTTGATACTCATTTGCGTTCTTCTTTCAGTCTCATACCCCCAGGGATCTGCTCCGGACGTAGACACTGTTACACGGACATTATGCAACCAATTAATCAATACCTGCGGTGCTAATCAAGTCGCATTTGCCACTTGTGCTGCTGCGCGAGCTGCTGCTAGCGCCGCTCCCAGCAGAACAGGTGCCCAAGCCGACGCGTTCAACGCTGTGTTCGGCATTTCAACCAATTTCGTTCTCATCCAAGCCCTCGATACCCGGGGTCAACCTTTGGGCAGTGGGAACACCCTTACCTCGACGGGGCGGAGTACCTCTACTACTCGTACGGCTACCTCGACAACCTCATCATCAACTCGAGTGAGTATTGATCTTTCCTTTTATGTATTTCGCGTATTCATTTGCCCGAACAGGCTACTGCTACCCCAACGCCGCCAGCTAATAATAACGGCAGCGGCAACAACAACGATGATGATGGCAACCTTCAAACCTTCTCAGGCGCGCTGGGAGGCGTCGAAGCACCTCCCGTAACCGATGCCGGCAATGGACGATTTAAGTTCAGGGGAACACCTTCAACAATCGACAAGACGCGTTGACACGATCTTGGTGCGCCCTTAGTCTCACGTCATGTTACTGCGTCCTGACTAGGTCTCTTTTGCTTTTGCGTGATGTAGCGACATTCAAGTCAATGACTGCTCAAACGCTGCTAACGCTTCCGGAAATCAGGGTGATTTCACGGTCGCCAATTGTGGGGCTCAAGGAAACCGCTGCAGAGCAGCCGCAAGTTGAAAAGTAACTCTACGTGTACTACCATTCGCCTTCATCCAGTATCATTGTACATTACCGCATTTCTGCAATCCCACTAGCAATCATCCGAGATCAGCGAAGTTGGACCACGAGGCGACTATGATGCGTGATGACCAGTATATTTATACCTACGAACGAGCACTCTAACGACTCTATGAACCTGGGACGACGCGAAACTAAATGAGACCATAGAAATAATATACTTATATGTACCTATACCTACTTACATGCGATGGCGAAAGCAAAGATTGACAGCAGTCCGTATTATTTCTCGATTACGTTTCATTGGTACCCGACTTTTGCAGCGCGGCACGTCGTTCCGCCTCCCATCTATCAAGCTCGCTTCTGAGCCTTTCCACCCTCACCTGATTCATCGGGTGGCTAGACCCCATAATCTGTCGGGGAAGCATCCTGGTGCTCGTGCTAGAAAGTTCGTCTTTATCTTTATCAGCATGCCCACATTCTGATTTCCCGAATTCCGACCGCTTTTCCCAGAATCGGACTGCGTGTCGAGCATCAAAGCCCGCATGTGCGAGAAGCCTAGGCACGGGGATGTCAGAGTTTATGCAAAAGCGAAAGAACAAAGAGCAGAGCAATGTACCTCGCAGAAACAACGTCTGCTTCGACCTCCTGAGACATGCTGGTGCAATAATCTCCCATTTTGACTAACTCCCCAGATCCGACTTTGCCTAGTTGCGCCACTGCATCGTTCACGAAAGGTCCGAACAGCATCGTAATGGGAAATAGGACGGTCCTCACAACGTCTGTAATAATCGAGATGAGAGTCGGTATGATGATGGTTCCGGAGGAAAGTGTCTCTAGATGATGCGAGAGGACCAGATGCGCTAATTCATGGGCAAGGAGAACAGCGAGATCCGCCGTTTGTTCGCGGGTCGGGATAGGGTGACTGGGAGGCGGACGGCGCCCTAGAAGACTGTCAACGATGCTAGACCACCATGACTTTTCCTCGGGGGGAGCCGTCACGACGGCACCGTCAGCCGGAGGACTCGATAAGATTTCGTCCAGGAACCCAGAATACACAACTATCCCTCCCCCGCCATTAGGCCCGAAGCCATATGAGAATGCGTTCGATGCTTCTGGTTTATCCACGAATAGAAGAGAATAAGGAGGTCCCGTTGATGTATGTGGCGGCAGTGGGACCTCGCGTTCGCAGAGGCGCTCGCAAAACCGCCATAACAATTCGGAGCCCCTGGGCCGAGGCTTGAGCGGGTATTCTGCTGGGGGCGGTAGGGGGTCGTCGTCCGGCCCTCTTTGAGTCCAAGCGTAATCGATTTCGCCTTCTCGTTCAAGGACGGGGATATAGGCTTCGAGATTACGAAGGGTGTCTCGGATCCACTCGTATCGCCAGTCTGTTGTTGGGATAAGGGAGAACGGTCCCCCCTCTAAAAGAATTTCGTGAACGGCCTTGTACCACCCAGAGCCAGCCAACTGGGATGCGATTTCGTCTTCTTCCTCTGGCGATAAGATGATTAATCTCCAGCTACAGTATCATTGTCAGGGGGTCTGTACACACTGCATCATGTCGCTGAGAATACCCACCGTCCGGTCAAAGGGGTTCGCTCCAGACTAGCGACGATAGTCAACCAAAATGTGAAGACGGGTACGAAGAAAAGTAAATGCAGAAGCACTGTTCGCTTCCGTATATATTTGAGGAGCTGCGCCTTTTTCTCCTCTGTCGTCGGGATTCCATGGATCTCTGCTTTCTTCAGCCAGTAGAGGGATTTCCGATTCTTTATAAGTATGACGGGCACGAACGTCAATGCAATGCGACCAGCAGTACGCGCAATCTCCAGCGCCGCTGAACTCTGGTAGACTGGTCTCTTAGTACGAAATTGAGGGTTCGGGGGCTTCAGCAGCCTACTTACCTTGAAGATGGCGAGCACCACAGGCCCGAATGCTGGGAGTCCATTTCTTCGCGGTGTCGAGTGGAAAGCAGCCACCCTCTGCAGTCTGCCTGGGCACTGCGAATGCCAAGAACCTGGCGGCACGAAGGGCGACGTGCGCAGAGCCGGGCGTCGGGGCCTGCCCACCGACGATGCGGTGTACCGCCTACAAGTCGAGATCGTCGCGTATGTCGAGGAAGTGGACCGAATCGACGACCACATTGCACATTGTACAGTCTGACTCCTGTCGAATATAAAAGTAATTGATCTGCGGCTTCTGAGTCGTGTGGGGGAACCGCAGCGCCGAGACACGTGCACTTTTGACACCATCACTGATTCACAGAATTCTCGAAACAAAACAATCATCAAATTATCGTGAGATGCGGAAAGACGGCGAATGTGTATTCTACAGGTCAATGGTAGGAATCGTGACTCGTTTACGATATGAAGGTCGCCTCATTGTACAGTTTGCCTGCAATCTCAAGGCTCGAGCCAGGACATACAGACTCAGGACCACTGACTGATAGTGTCGCAGGGTTCAGCCACTAGTAGTGAATCTTACTCAGCCTATCAAATCAGATGTTCGAGGGTTGATGGCTTACCTGGTAGACGTAAGGCTTCGTGCCAGCAACATAGTTGACCACCATCTTGATAGCGTATGGTATCTCAGCGAGAACGTCAACTTTCTCAATCAAGCCCTTCGGTTGCTTCACGTCTCCGATATCGGCTTTGACTGAGGCTTTGACGAGGCCATCAGTGCCGGAGACGATTGAAGGGGCAGCCCATTCGAAGAGGATTTCGCTCGGTATGCCGTATCCAGTATCTGCATCGTGCGTCGGATTGAGGTGCGTTGCCCGAGATACGATGTCTCCCTGGGAGGACTCTCCGGGCCAATGGGTCTCAGCAGTAACACTGACGAGTTTCCCGCCAATGACCAACGATCCGACATTTACTGAAACCCCGCCTGAACCATCTCCCTTCTTTCCGTGTGACTTCTGAGTCGTGAGCTCCATCTGGATAGCAGAGCATCCGCCAAGCTCGTCGCTCTGGAAGTGGGCGAAGTTCCAAGATTGCGCGATGACATCTGGGCGCATTCCTTGGATGGCATGAACAAACATCCCGGGTCCCTCCACTGCGCTAGCCTGGCCATTGCGGATTATATGTCCAGTCGCCTTGTATCGCGGCCAGAACCGATGCACCACGTAACCCTCTGGCTTCTCGATGTCCGGCCCAAAATATGTAAACCCTCCTTTGGGTCCCTTGCCGACCTTCCATCCTGGGATCGCCGCCGGACGCTGCACGTCCAGGGAGATCTGCAAGTCAGGACCAAGGTTGGCAGAGATGACATATGACTCTGGGTGGTCGGAGCCGGGATTGGATTTGTATGTGACGGAGAACTGATCTGATTTGCTTGATCTCTTGTCGAGGCCAGGCGGGCCAGCAACGAAGTTGGCAACATTAACCGATCTCCAGACATTTGTGTCCGTCTTCGGATTAAAGATCCTGCATGTAAACTGAACAGTGGGATACCATACCCTTGACCGCAAAAATAATGTTTTAACCCAACGTATGTACTGCAAAGATGGGCATTACTCACCCGACTGCAGAATGAATTATTTGGCACATCAGTGCGGTGCCATCATCGGCGAGAGTGTAGAAGACCTGCGTCTCCGTCGCAAATCCACCATCGCAAGTCCACGCCTGATCTTTGAGTTCTAATTCACCGGCGAGATCCTTAGGTTCATATCGTGAGGAGACAGGGAAGAGATTTTGTGCGGTAGGGTCGACAGCGGTGCTTTGCATACGTTCAGCGATTCATAGATGAAACGACAGGCAATCTCAGCGCGACTCACAAGAACGATGAGAACATGGTCGTGGTCGGTGGTGGGGGTTAGAAGACAAGTTGTGCACCCTGGATGCCCCTAGGGGCCTCGTGCGCTTATTTATATGCCTGCCGAGGGTCGATCCCGCGAGGCACAGGCGCGTTTTACGCGTTTCTTATTACACAGACGACCGTACATCGATACCGCAGCGATACTACGCGACGTGCACGAGCGCAGTAATCCAAAGCCAGCCGTGCTGGAATTGAAGCGGGGTATACAGTGTAAACTATCCACCATATCTGGGACGCTTTCTGGAGCCCAGATCACCATCACCCTCCGCAGCAGAAGCCACACCGCCATCGCCGCTGTCGTCAGGAGAGCGGGACGACATTGAATACTGCTGCATTCCATCAATAACATCACTGATGAAAGAATCCGGAGGACGCACGGATATCGTGGAATCACCCAAGGAACCAGCCGCATAGTCCCCGTCCGAGCATATGTACTCATTCATGAAGTCCAACGTCTGGGCGTCCTCCTCGGAGGTCTTGTCTACTAGATCTTCGGCGTGCATTGAGGAAGCAACAGACAAGCTATCATCTGTTTGGTCAAATTCCACGGGATTCAGAGCAGACGGGTTCTCAGGTATGTCGTCAGGCCAACTGACTGTAAGCGCACCGTATGCGCCCAACCGCCGTTCGTGGTTCGTCCAACTTTTCTCAGCGTTTCGAGGGCTACTCGCATCGTCGACAGGGTTGTTCCATAAGCCCTCACCCATCGAGGAAGTAACGGACCGGCCGTCAAGGCGAGAGAATCCCAGAACACCTGTCTGGGCAAGTTCCAAAAGTTGCTTGTTCTGAGTAGAGTTCAGAACCGACGGATTCTTCTTAGGTATGTCCTCGGGCCAACCAACCATACGTACGCCATACGCACTCAACCGTTCGTGGTTGGACCATTTCATCTCGGCATTTCGAACGCCACTTGTAGTTCTGCAGGAGCGTTCCATGAAGTGTCGAAATAGCCCTGATGTATGACCCAGACAGACCTTAGACGAGATCGAATAGCATTGTAGAGTTCGTTCTTCAAAGCATGAGCAGGTGAACTCTTTTGCGTAGTACTTGGACCAGCCACTAGGGGAGGAGCCTGAGGCGCTGCGGGAGGCGTGTATGCACATGCAGCATCGGGGCCAGCTTTAAGGCAGTGTGATTTGAAATGATTGGCTCCAGCGTCGCCACCGCCTCTGAGTCTGCGCCAAAAGTCGCGCCCGACGGTCGTACCTCCCAAGAAGCCCTGGTCCGAACTGTCTCTCGGATTGACGGCAAGGAAGAACGAATGCACGCCCGTCAATCTGTGTAAGGACTCCAAGGTTTGGGAGACCTCCAGTAGCACCGGGCGTACTATATAGATCACCACGCAAAAGTGCAATCAACCAAATGGTCCTTTGAAGTGATCTACCTGCAAAGTACCTCGTACAAGCTGAGCATCTGACACCAAGTTCCTGTGCGATCGTTCCAAGAGGTAGTTTGTGTGCCATTCAGCAACCCGTCGCACCGTCTGCAAGAAGTGAATACGCATGGTCCTGCACCGAGGATCAGGAGATTATGAGACAAACCTCCTCATAGGAACGATGTTCTCTTTCTGAAAATGCCCGCACCTCAAGAAGGCATTTCTGCATGAATGCCTCTAGTCTCTCCACGAATAGCTCATCTGCTGGACCCAAGTGTTCCAGCTCTTGCATTCAGTGTTCGTGACCGAATCAAAGGGAGGAATTGCGGGAAAAGCAATTGTCGCGCGTCGACGCGTCTCGCTCGAAGGATAAAGGCTTACGTAATTATCTTAGAGCGCCTCGCCTCTAAATTTCACGACCAATCTACATATTCCATGGGTCGTACTCGAACCAAGAAGAAGGCTAAAGCCACAGAATCGAGTTCGAAGAACCCACCATCAGTGCAAGCTTTACTAGAGAAAGCTGAATCTCTCATCGAGCAGTGCGACTATGATCTAGCCCTGCGATTTATCAAGCGAATACTGGACCAAGAGCCAAAAAATGTCGTAGCGAGGGAGATGCTTGGAGTTGCCTTGCTTGAGACGGGAGATCTGGTAGAGGCAAAGGAGGCAAGTAAAATATTGTCCTCTAAAGTGTCAGGCATCGTACCTCAGAGACTAATTTCACGTTGAACAGACATTTTTGACGCTGATCCCACCGAACCCTGATGCCCCTTCGCCTCCACCGCCATCTGCATACCTTTACTTAGCTCAGCTGAGCGACGATGACCCCAAATCTTCATTGTCGTACTATCAGAGCGCGATCGACGTGTTTGGCGTCCAACTGAAGGGCAAGGAACGGGCAACCGCTGGAGACGGAGCGGGGGATGATTCTGAGATCAAGAGCAACATTGTCCGAGCACTCATCGCGATGGTAGAAATATGGATGGACCCCTCGTACGATCTATGGTTAGTCAGACCTTCTTTGGATAGCGTTAGTGGATATCAATCATTCCTTTCTTAGTTTCGAGCCGGATGCGGAGAAGACATGCGAGGGACTCCTCAATCATGCTCTCCAAGTCGACCCAGGGAATTCCGAGGCTCTCCAAGCTCTTGCTTCAGTGCGCATGTCTCAAGAACGCCCGGACGATGCAAAAGCCTGCTTAGAAGAAGCGTGGTCTACATGGAAGGACCTGGATCCAGGTAAACGTCCTTTGGGAGATCATCCATAGCTTATGTGCTTATGCAGGTACTTTAGATGATCCGCGTCTTCCCCCGCTCTCTTCCCGTCTGTCGATGGTCAAGCTATTCCTCGAGCTGGCGCTGTATACGCCTGCTCTACTCGTACTAAAGGGGATCATGGACAATGATGATCAAGACGTTGAAGCGTGGTACCTGGAGGGGTGGTGTTTCTATCTCATGTCCGAACAAGCCAAAGAGAGTGGTGGCTCCCTCGATGAAATGACTTCGGAAGAACTAGCGAAAGACTCGAGAGATTGTCTGGATACGTGTGTGGTTGTGAGTCGCCTTACAACTTGCTATGCGCGAAGAATGTCTAATGTATTTTACGCTTGTCAGTTACACACAAACCAGGAGCACCCTGATGAACCGTTACTCGATCACGCGAAGGAATTAATATCCAAGCTCGAAGCCCTGGGTATTCAAACTTCGCCGGTAGAAGAAGAAGAACCCGAAGGCGAGGTCGAATGGGAAGATGTTGACAGCGAAGACGAGGATGTGGAGATGGCTTAGAAGCCTTTATAGTTTGGCTTGGTACCTTTCATTTCGCCTCAGCCATCCACAAAAAGTACTATAAGCATGTGAAGACAAATGTCTGTTACCTAAACCCATTGGAATATTTCAGCGTCCTCGGTGCTGAAATCCAATAATGAGTTCAACAGCTCCACAGTCAATGTGGAAGGGAAAATCTAGGGGTAAGTTCGACATATAATTTGTGATAGTGCATAACCAAAATTCACCGAACTGACCCTCGGTTCTTTTCCCCACCACAAAACCCTTTACCCGCTGTTCTTGAACAGACACCCTCGAGCCGGTGCTGGTCGACCAAGTATTCCGGGTGTGGCAAGATTTCAGCAAGTTCACCATGGCGAAGCTGCGACGCGACGTACCAGATATCCAGTTTCCGGGTTCCAGTTCGCGCCCTTTACGTGTCGTTGCGTCCGGGACGCTGTTCCAGACGTATACACTTTCGATTCCTTCGTACCCGGCGCCGTCGACAGTGACGCGCGCGCATTCCGTCGCAAAGACGCGTGGAGGATCTGCGAGTACTGTGCTGTCGCTCCTGGCGCAATTCCCTGCTGTTGAGGCGGTCTTGGTTGCATCTTTAGGGGGAAATGATGAAGGGACCATGGTCCTGCAGGATCTGGAAGCAGAGGGCGTGGTCACTCGTTACTGCAAAATCTGGAAGCACTCCGGTGTACCAACGGCTTGGGTCATGCATTCTGGTGCGCTTGGACGAAAGGAGCTGCGGCGATGGACTGATTCTGGATCTTTGCAGCCGAGGACGACACCCGGACGGTCGTGAACCACAATCCACTCCCCGATATCACTCACGAAGAGTTCGTGTCGTTGCTGGGACCTTTGGTGGCTCCAGAAAACTATGCCTTCAGTCAATCAGCTACAGTCTCTCCGCCTACCCCTGCCATCCCCGCTTCCGCTTCATCGACTTCGCCGTCCCCCACAATGCCTTCACCGCGGCCGTCTCAGAGTGGCCCCCATCCCCTCATCTTCCTCAATCCCAACAGTCCTGCACCATTCGATTGGCTGCATTTCGAGGGAAGGTCAGTCAAGACGACTCTTAGCAATATCACAGGGCTCGATGGACTTGCTCGCGAGCGCAAGTGGAGAAGCCACTGCGTCTTCAGCGTAGACGTGGGACGCAAAGGGCGGCAAGGTGTCGAAGCGGTGCGATATCAGCTATTTGAATTACTATTTCCTCGTTAATGCCGTCAATCCGCAGCTGATACCCCAAGCCGATATTCTATTTCTCAACAAACATTACGCACAAACTCATTCACCCCATTACGCAACGACGCCCCGTGCTTTCCTGCTTTCCATAACGTCCCTAGCTGCACCGCACGCCCTTCTGGTAGCTTACTGGGGTTCCGAAGGCGCTGCCGCTCTATCAGTGCCCACGAAGGAATACTTCCAGAGTTCGGGATGGGTAGAACAACGCCCTCAGCCCCCGCCGCAAGCGCGACGAGAGACCCACAAAGAACGTCGGGGACGGGAAAGACCGAATCAATCCGTTGAAATACAGTCCGTACGAAGTGGCAGTGACTTTTGGGCAGGCACACGCAGTCGAACGCCGTCCTCGAGTGCATTCACTACTTCAAACTATCTCTCTGACGCTACCCCTTCCTCACCGAACCCGTTTACCTCACCCCAATCACGGTCGAGATCACGAAACAATGCAAAGAGTCCTGGGAGATACAACGCGGAAGAAGACGACGACAATGACTCGCAGGGTACGGAGATGCCTGCCGAAGAGGAGGTCGATGATGGCGTTGTGGATGAGGTGGGAGCTCAGGATGCGTTTGTAGCGGGTATGATATTCGCACTCAGCAGACGCATCGTTCCTGGCGCGCCGTATACGCCATCATCTGGCAAGGCAAACCCAGAGAATCCTTCACTTGATGCTGAGCGAGGGAAATGGCGGCTCGACGAGTGTTTAAGGTCGGTGATCAAATACATCTACAACACAGCTGAATATTCATACATTGGACTAGATTCGCTACAGAGCTTGCAGGAAGAAAGGCTAGGAGAAGATCTTGGAGTGGACTTGCTGAGGAAATGGCCAGGACCGGCTGGCTAGATGGCTAGATGGAGGGTGCACCGATGGTCCCGTCCCATTCATATATAGCAGCAGATATCACCAATGCAACTCCCTCCAATCTTCATCCTTTTTCTCATGGGGTGTCCTGCACACCAAAATGAAATGAGTCAGACTTCCCACTCGCCACTTGTCCAGGATGGTTAACATACTTTTTAGAGCGTTTCCGCTCCGCAATGATCATTTCAGCTTCCTCCCAGAAATCCGGTTCTTGGAGAAGCGGGCCGCCCCATTCGCGCCATATCGTCTTTGTCTCCGCTGTCTGGGCAAGAACACGATGGATGATGTATTTGGCATTCGCCATTTCTGGGGAATTCTTTGTTGTCTTCATGGATACTACCAGGCGAGGGTCCGCGTGTCCCCCAGCTATGTCGTCGATGACTTTCATGTCGCACACTTGATAGTACCGGAAGTGGATTATCCAGACCCTCGTCGAAGATGGTAGGAACGGTGCGAAATGTGACGCAAGCGTAAGTGCTTCATCACTCGCAGAGACCATGAAGAGGTGGGTGAGTCGGTGGAGATACTGAAGGATCTCTGCCCGTTGTAAAACCCTCTCCTTGAACTCGTACAGATCCAGGTGCGTGATGTTGAACATAAAGTTGGGGATACTGCCCGGAAGGCTGCTCAAGACGCATGACTTGTCGGACATGAAGTACTCCATGTGTATGGATACTCTTCGAAGACACTTGTGTTTCGACAAGTCTAAGAGCGACTCCTTGTCCTTCAGCGACCAGAGTGCGATGGTGACAGCGTTGGTGCAAAGGGATATTATCTGTGTGGTCGCAAGACTTGTCCGAGAGTAGTAGGCGCCCGCCATCGTGTCGATCGTCAGAACTCTGACCATGAGCCGTACGTCCTTGTCGGAGTGTTCCAGAGCATACAGGAAATTGTCGACGGAACGGATTGTCTTGAGATTCACTGAACGATATATTATGGGAGTAACCCTGCAGACATCACAAGGCTAGTGAGTAACTCACTCAGCGTGGAGAGGAAATGTCCTTACCAGCATTCAAACCGTCTGCAAGATAGTGCCAGCGCCATTGCGCTCCTGTGATCTATTTCACCGGTAACTTCCACAAGCAGGCGAACGACATCCACCGGAAGTGGAGGGATAGGTAGACAGAGGCTATCGAAGTCGTCCATAGCTTTGTCGTTTCCTCCGCTGCGTCTGGGGTGAGGCCAAGTGCCAGGTAATCATTGTATTCACACCACGATGCACTCCCTTCACTTCCTTAAAGAAGCATCCCTGTGTAGTCTCCTCACTGGTCAGATGTCATTCCACTGATTTAGGTCTGCCATAACAAGTCGAATGATTCCGAACACGGATCGGTATAGCCACGTGACTTTCTTCGAAGCTAAGAGTCGTTGCTGAACAGCGAGAGTGAGTCGAGACGAAATCCACAGCGGCGCTGAGTGCCTAAGGACTCCCAAAGGTCAGCGTTCGGCTTGCATTCCTTCTTCTGATCGAAAGGGTTGACGGTTATGTCCACAAACGCAGCCAGAACTAGATCTAGCCTTGGTCCAGATCATTGACGGAGCATTGCGGACAACGGCCCCCTTCAAAATGTAACAGTCCTCTCCAGCGGAACGATGCACAAAGGAGCAGAAAGGAAAACGAAAAGGGCATTGTTTATGTCTACGAAACCGTGTACAGTTTTCGTGCATCCATGCATCCGTCAACCAGCGTATTTCTAATGGTGGCCATGGTCTTCTTCGCCTTGGAAGTCAAGGGTGTAGACTGATCAAACACAATGTCAGCAGGAGATCGACGTAAAGTGAGCGAACAGTTTACCTGAGCCACATTCAGTGCAGCGGCCCAACTTGTCCTTTTTCAGGGTAAACCAAAGAAGGTCATGAGAGTCGGCAGGCGAGCCCGTGCAGCCAACAATGCGCTCAGTGTCCTATATACATAAGTTCGCAACGTGATTGAGCGACCAAAGCGAATTTGACATAGAAAAGCTGCGCACATATGATAGGACCTTGATAGGGTCGGCTTTGGTGCCAATCCTGCTCGCGTCCAAGGGCTTGTCGTCGAAAGCAGGCGCACCCTCCAAGTCGCCGAGCAACTGCAATCGCTCCAAACCAGTCGCCTGGTCTAAATCACTGGGGACGGTTCCGGGCTTTCCTCCGGTACCATAAAGCTGGGGCGGTGGGGGACCATGGTCTGAGGATGCGCGAGAAGTGGTCGAGAGGGCGCGCAGGGCAGGCAGCCTGGTTGCCTTGAAGGTCTGGAGACGAGCAGCACTCGCGACGGGGCGGGCAGCGCGCACAGCGGTCGTAAACATGGTTGTAAGAGTGGTTGCGGTTAACGGCGGGCGTGACAGCGGTATATTTGCTGTCACGCGTTATGTTCTTCCGCACATTTCCGATAGGGATGAATAGGAGTGCTACAGGGGGAATCGATTGTCCCGATCCTTCTGATACCATCTACATCTACCCTGCCCACAGATATGGCTCCCTTGAGAGTAGGATACGGTAAACGAATTATTTCAGGTCAAATCCGACGAAGATCATAACAGACAGCGCCATTCTTAGTGCGCGAGCATTTCTCGTCGCCTTTACTGCAGTTTGCCGCCGATGATCAAGGGTCCACTTTTACCTTGGTTGAATGTCCCAGTAAGACTCATTGGCTTTGTAATTCTTCTAATAGCTCACATTTCATTCGTCTAGGTGGTACAGGTCAGCTAATTGGTCGATTGACCAACGATGAGATAGATATCGCGATGTCTGTGTTATACGTAACCAAATCACCTTTTCTGTGTGTGCTTACGCTCCAAATAATAGAGCCCTCACGGATCCATTGATTTCTGGGATCGCAAAGGGCAATAAGGCTTACAAGTTGGTCGGGAGTTATGTCTCAACGCCTTTGAACTGGTAGGCCTTCCCCATAACTCACCCGTGGATATCGATACTCACACAAAGAACTCTACAGGGCTGTAATCACTGGCAAAGACACCAAGTATGCCAGCATTGCCGATTTGAAGGGGACAACTCTAGGCATCTCCAGGCCAGGTAGGTCAGTACGCCTAACGAAGTATTTGATTTCTTGGGACTCGGACTTAATACTGGCATGTTCGTCATTCGAATAGCGGTAGCCAGACAATGGCCTATGTAATGGCCCTCCAACAAGGCTGGGCTACCCACGATATTGATTTCAAAGGTTCGTCATCCCACCTGCCTAACCGATGGCTGGTGTCCTAGTAAGGACTTACCGTGGTTACAGTGAACAACGACATCCATGGCCTAATCCAGTCGGTCAATGACGGGTCCACCAGTGCTTTTATGTGGGAGTGGTTCACCACCAAGCCATGGGTAGACCGCGATGAAGCCCGATTCGTATGTCTTCTCGTGTGCATTTTATTCCTTCCGTACCAACCTAACGCCTACCTTTATAGATCGGCTCAGTCCCCACACCCTGGCCGTCTTGGCTGATCGCAGCACACCCAGAGAGAGCCCCAGCCTCCCAACTATCCCAATTCCTAGACAAGTTAAGCACCTACGTGCGCAGCTTCGATTCCCCTGAGAAGCGGTCAAAAGAGGACATCGAGTTCATTAAGACCCACTTTGGGTACGCTGAAGAAGATATAAAGGTCAGATATTTATCATCGTGTGGAGTTAAACCGAGTCTCACAGAGGATTGATGACAGGCATGGCTCAACACGGTTGGCTATCCTCAGTCTTGCAGTGAGATCCCAAGGAAAGTAATACAGGATACGATAAGGTGAACGCACTGCCTCGACTTCCCTTGCCTTGGCTAACGGTGTTCTTAGTACACTGGAGAAAGCGGGCGTGATCGAAGCTCCCGAATCAGGATTCAACGTCGCTGACTTCGTTAACGAGACAGTCGTCACCTTGACTTGAGCTTCTTAATGACAGTTCCTGGCACTGACTCCAAGCACCTCAATTACACGTTAAGTTCGCCGTTTGTGTATAGATATGTATGATCTATTGCAAGATATGCATGGATTAACGAAGTATCAATGTGTGATGTATGATGTATGAGCTATAACTCTATACTCCCCATGGTTTGGTGGCAACAACATGTGTGTGCAAAATGCATGATGCAAATGAATTATAGATGTGTGCGATAAATCTACTCATCTCATCTCTACCGCCTTCGAATCCTAATTCGACGGAATCTCGCAGTTGCCGAACTTGGGCGAGCCTCCTGCGTCGGGGGATACCATGAGCTAGAAAGTAGAAGGAATAGATGTCATCAGATAAAGAGAGGAGGAAAAGACAATAAATTAGTGGCGGAACGAACCTTGATTGTCTGGATGGTCGTATACGCAGCGGCGACCATACCAAAGACGATCATCGCTATGTCTTTCCACTTCTGGGACCGAGTACGCGCGACGGCCTTGTAGTGGAGCAATGCCGGGTACACATAACACAACGGAACACTGCGGCGCAAGTCAAATATCAGACTGGTTATTTACACCAGCACCAATCAACAAACCACTTACCACGCAAAACACCCAACAAAGGCCACGAACTTATCCAAATCCGACGCACCAAACCAGCTAATCGCAGTGCACACCATCACCATGCCGAACCTAAACGCGTTCTTCAACCACTTGACGCGCGTATCGGCCTTCCCGCTCCTCGTGAACATTCCGTTCTCCAAAATGCGGACAGCAGGGAATAGCTGAAGCGGCACCGAGAGCATAATAGCTAGAGAATACAAAAATTGTACCTATACGATAATAAGAATGATAAGATAAGCAAAGAGAGATAGTCGTTTGGCGTACCGATTGGACCATCTTGCTGTCAGCATCGAGATTGACCAGGACGACGGTCTGAATCTCAGAGCCAAAGGTCATATAAGCCAAGACACCAGCACCGCCGAACAAGACTGCAAAAATATGGAAATCAAAACACAATACACGAGCAATAGGCGAAGTATACTGACAAATCAACCCAATCATAACGCCGGTAAGTACCTTGGGGAATTTATGCGGTTCCCGCATCGCGTCGGTAATAGGGATGATCTAAACAATATATATTGAGCATTGCAAACTTGAACTTAAGAAAGGAACCAACCAATCCAATCCCCTCAAACGAGAACACAGCCGTTCTAGACGCGCATCGTAGGTCAACATTCGCGAGCTTGGGATATAACCTCGATCGGACTCACCCAATGAAAAGCGGGAAATCTCTCGGATTGAACCACTTAATATCTGCCACTCCCTGAGTCGAAACAATCGAAATCTCGCTCCCGAAAATATAGCAGAGGCCAGCAAGTATGAACACGTCCGCTACAAGGGCAGTCGTGCTCAGCTTCGCAATGTCACGGACGAGACTCAATGGCAGGAAGATGACAAGTTGCATGAGAATGAAGTATTGCACGGGGAGGAGCTTCGCGCAGTGCGTGACACCCATCACGAACGCCTGGAGGTTCTCCGCGACGAAGATAATGTAGGCGCCGACGAAACCAAGCTGAGATACAACGATGGACCCCAAGATAGCATACCGCATCCAAGGGCCGTACAGTGTTCCACCGATATCTAGGCCAAATTTAGAAGACGGCTATACAGTCAGATGACAAAGAGACATACCTCCGAAACTCCCAGACACTACAAATTTAGTATCAACTAATAATAGGAAGGAGTACAGCGAGATAAGGGCGATGAAGACGAAGGTGATGATCGAGAAGAGCATCCCGCCATTGTAGAACCTGCGAGGCGTTATACAATGATTGAATAAAGGTCATTAAACTTACGCTTTGCCAAGAAATAGAACGCCAGTGCCAACGAAGGATTTCAAAAGCTAGAACAAAAATGAAGCAGTTTCTTGATCGCAGTTTCTGGGTGCTCACCATCAGAACAGCTTGTGTGACCGTTGCGTTTCCGTGCCCGTCAACCGACATACGGCGTCGCCTCGATCGAGAGCGGGATCGAGTAGTACCACCCACGAGCGGCGTGCGTTCGCTCAACCCTGCAGACGGCAGCTCATCCGCCTCACGCCCCTCGCCGAGCTCTTCATCATCTTCCTTATCTTCGTCCTCATCGTCTTCTAGGTCTTCACCAGCCTGTAAAGGATGAATACATTGAAAGAGAAATAGCGACATAGACTCACATAATGCCCGAAGATAAACAGGAAATCAATGAATGAGTTGAGCATGCGGGGTTCATCGGTGCCTTGCTCGTTCGCGCGCAGTAGGAGGTAATTGCGTCGGAAACCACCCGGCTGATGGATATGCTCGAACGCAGGATCTTGTGGTGCGTTGCTAGAGCCAGCAAATGAGGCAGCACGGGGGCGGCGCTGCTGCCCTGAGTGCCACTTATATATGTCATGGCTATCATAACATTAGGAACCGCACTTATTATATTGAATTGGAACGTACGTGACATCCGCGCCAGGCGCATGATATGGTATAGGAAACGGCTCTGTATCCTCTCTCTGCACCCCGTGTTGCGACGAGTGTTGAGAGATGGGTGTCGACGATCCTCCAGCCTTTGAGCTTTCAGCACCACCTACTCCTGGTCCACCCTGCCTCTCCTCCTTGGACACTAGATGTCTCCTGAGGACCCGCGCTTTCTCTTCGTCGGGAAATTCGTCGAGGTTGAACGGGGGGATGGCTTCCGTGGCGCCAAACGATACACCTGGCTGTCAACGGGGGTCTCTGACCGCCTCGACGGCGGTATTGCGAACAGTCTTGGTGAAGGCGAGACTGAGATGCCAGTCTGCGGTAATTGCACTGCGCCCAACGCAGGGGACCCATTCCTTTGACCCGGGGTACCACGCGGCGGAATGTTCGGGGGTGGGGGTGTTCCAGCATACTGAGCTCGTAGGACACGAAGATCTGGAGTACCTAGCGGTGTCGCCTGAGCGTTGACCTCGTCGCTGTCAACAGGCCCAAGCCTGGGACTACGGATATTCACCGGCTTTGAGGGGATACTCATGGTAGAGGAGGAGGAGGGGTTGGGCGCTAAAGCTTAACTTAGTCCCGCTGCAGCGCCCCGCCGCCCGAAAACGGAAGCATATTCGGTGGCTATATCTAATATGCCCAGCATGACTCACTATATTGAAAGCCTCTTGATTTGTTGTGATCGGAAACTTCTAGCTAGTCTATCAATACAAACTAGGATCTACTTGCCCTTGCTCTCCTCTTAGCTCGGCATCTAGGTCCAATCCAGCGTACCACAAATATCAACGGCATCATCAACAGGCAGAGGCCGGCAAAAAGTACATACGTCCACCCGGGTGTGAGTGCTCTAAGAATAATATCAACCACAGCGACGAGTACGGCTCCCAGAGAACATCGAACAAAATTATTCTAAGATCATTGGATAAATTATCAGTTAGATCTCAGAGGATGATGGATGAGGAAGATACGAACGCAGGCTGTTACAGAAGAACTCTGGGCAGGAAGGAGGTCGATTATGAGTGTTTGAGTGGTATTCATGACGGAGATGGCGATGAATCCAACTAAAGTCACTGTAAACAAGCCAGCACCGATGTAGGCGTGTTTGACTCACTAAAGAATTGTAGCACCAGCGGTCCAGCAAGTGACACTCTTCGTTGTAGACACCAGCCATAGCCTATGACACATGCAGCGTATACGACAAGCATGAATGGGACAGTGCGAAGACGAGCACGTTCAATCGGGAAGTTCTCCTCCCTGGTGACCTCCATGATTATGTTCTTCCTTGTGTTCTCCGTGGTATTTTCGGAGTCGTTCACCTTTGACAATTGCGAATCGGGGAGATTTTCGTCCTTGGCCCGCTGGATCATTGCCTTCTTAACGAGATCCCTTTTGACGACCTGGTATTCCTTGTCGAGAAGCCACCCTGAGGAAACAGTTCCGCACGAGGCACCACCTCCGACTGCGAGAAAACAGAGCCCAATCTTGGTTTGATTTAAGAATGGGTAGATTTCTGTAAAGAGCGAGGAAAGCGAAGCGGTGACGCCATAAAAAACGGCGTAGACAATTCCGTTGAAGACTAGAAGAGTCTGAAAGAGTGGACTCTTTGGTCATTTCAAAGCAAATTCTAGCGAGGAATGCGAGCTAACCAACACATCCACATACGTGAGTATGCGCATGGGATTACGGAATCTGAAGGTAATCTTGGGATCATCCTTTGAACGTCTACCCGACTTTTGAGAAGCGAAGATAGGGACCAATGGTCGGTAGAGCTTGGGTGGTGTTATACTACCGTTTCCTACGATAGCTCTCAGGGTCTCTGGGAGGAAACTTGATGATATGAGACTTCGTGGCCTCTCGAAAAGGTCTGAAAGAACGTACAGTAGTAGAAAAACGAAGCAGCAAGCAGCGCCTATGCAGAGGAACCAGAATATTGACCTGTTGCAAAAATGTTAGTGAGATGTGATTACCTAGTACTATAGCGCGTACCGCCATCCCAGTCCATCTGATAGAGCACCACCAATAACTGGCCCTATAGCGGGACCAACCTATATCAGAAGGTTGAGTATCGCTCTTGCTGTGTGTCAGGACAAAATACCAGAGGTCCTAGGCTGTAAACACCAAAAAAGCCTCCACGTTCAGAGGGCACGGCAATATCCCCTACGACCCCCGCGCCAAGTGCAATAGTACTAGCGGACCCCGCGGCTTGAATGCAGCGTAACAGCATCAAAAGCCAGTACGCCGAAGTGGGGACCAAAGCCAAGCCAATGCATGCTCCGCAGAGCACCACAAGGCAGGCTAAAAATATGGGACGCCTCCCGTAGCTATCTGCCATAGGTCCCCAAAACATCGGTGCTGATAAGGAGATATTAGATAGCGCTGTGTACATCGCACTTTATCAAAACGTACAGACGCCCTGTATCACCAGGTACACGGTCACCGTCAGATTGATGAGTTCCGTTGATTTGTGAAAGGCATTGGCGATAACGGGAATTGCTGGAAAGTATATGTTTGCCGTTAAAGGGCTTTTTACGGATAAGTATCAGAACCTGTGTAAAAGACACTACTATTCAACCACACACCTAAACAACCCCGCAAACGAGATGATGGCTACTAGGAACCATTTCTCGCGATGCGAATACACGCTGTACGGTGCGTGATCAGGTTGGTTCTCCCGCGACATGGCCGCGTCGTAGAGGGAGCAGGCGTGTCCCCGTGCATTTATATGGCCCTTTGATAAGCTTAATGACTCACGGAACCGCGAGGTTCGCACAGAACTACGACCATGCTGCATCCATGAGAACTGGTTCTTATTCTGCTGTGGGCGCTACGGCCAAAAAAGGCGCTGGGACGGACCGAATTCATTTCGCCACCATAAATAGTCATGGGCCCTCCAACGGCCATCCAAAGTGACACTGGATATAAGAAGCTCAAGAACGGACCACTTCGTGATGGTTTGCAGAGCCCCACCATCAACAGCCTGGTCCCCGCACTTGCATCAAAATCTCGCGAGATGGCATGAGAAGGTGATACCAGGCTGATGCGTTGACAGCAAACAGCTTTGCTTTACGACCACAACTCTGGTGCTTGGTACTGGGAGACACCGCTGAGCGCTGGGCGTTCTACTCGCTGGGCGGTTCCGCAAAATATCGTGCTCGACGCGCCGGAAAGAGCCAAGGCGAGTGGATACAGTGGAGGACCAGCACGTACGTGTGAAGTTTGAACTGACTGGCCAGGTACATCAATTGTGCAGGTAACAACACGCGGTTCGGACTGCCACTTGTCAATGGGTACTATGTGGTATCCATTCGTGAGCACCTGTAAATCAAGCTGAGAATAGTCTTTGATGTTTTCCTTTGGGTTCCTGTTTTAAGCAGGAGATGAAGGGTGCAAGGCTGTTTGCCTTCCTTGTACCCCAAGGTTTACTCCCTTTGGCGCGACCCGAGATGGCGTCCTACTTTATAATCACTCGTGGTACGTTTTTCGCGGTTTCTCCATGTGTTTGAATTCTGAAGCTGTACAGAGGCCTCTGAAGTAGCTGGTTCTCCAGACCCTGCCCTCATTAATGCCTACAATGCCCTCCAAATCACTGGACTAGTCCTTCTTGTGGCAATTGTCCTGACTGCCCGGTTATCACCAACTATCAATCGTTCTATAGCGTGGTACAACCTCATTCTCTCGTTTGTATTCTACGCCGTTTCCTTTCTCCTCATTATGGGCAAGCAATACGGCCCAGAGCCCCCGTTTGGACTATGTTTAGCTCAATGTTTGTTCGTCTATGCGGCACCTGTCATGTGTGTGATCTCAGTTAGTACGGACACACGGCTGATCAATTTATTACAGGAATGCTTGTGCATGTCTCTGTTTCGCCCTCGAAGTATGTTTCATGTTTTACATCTTAGCTTCAAAGTCAATGATGGACCTTTGAAAGCTTTTCTTCTGCGTATCTCGCGCTACCGCTCAGACTCGATTGTCAATCAAGTGGAGGCTCTCGGTATGTCGCGTTCAGGAGTCGCCCAACAACCTGTCTCACGTCAATGACCACGCATAGATAATATTAATACCCTACATCGTACCACTCCTCGTTTGCATGGAGGTTCTAACGGTAATATCCGCCAGCTCATCCCGTTTGTTGCGCCACTGAACCCCTTCAGTTCGCTCTGACTCGCCATGGCATAGTCCGTCGAAAATCAATTGGGATGTACTGTCATCTCGCCATATCCACAGCGTTGGTTTATATCTGCATTGATAGATTGTATGAAAATGACAATTATCGCAGGTCTCTCATTACGAACATCGCAGTCACTGTTATCATGGCACTTCTACTGCCTGTATTCGGTAAGTTCTATCTTACCCTCTGCTTTCTTGTATGGGCTCGGAAATACTGATAGAGAAAACTTTCGTAGGAGTCACTATCTACAGAGTATCGAGAAAATGGAAGGCGTCCAGACACCTCCATGTCGACAAGGATGGTCGGGTGCCTATACAGATGATTGTGCGCTTTGGTATGGTGTGCATATTGCCGATCCCTGCCGTTATACTGTCGTAAGTGCTGACATCAACTTCCTGCAGAACTGACTGACAGATTTAAAATGCTAGAGTGCTCAGCGTACCAGCGTTCGACAGTCGCGGCGACGGTCCTCTTGCTGTAGCGATCGCTACATGTAGGCACAAGTTCACGTTCTTCTTGATATACCCTCGGAGTTGATACATCGCTGGCAGATCCTATCTGGGCGGCCTTGATATTCGGAATTCAAAATGTCGGTACTTATCACAGACAAACTAAATCAGTCATTTACGTCCACTCTCTAGGATATACTCCGCGTCTGGACGTTCCGAAAGCGAGTGCCCAAGTCTACGACTACCTCGCCGTCGACCGAGGTATCATGTGAAGTAATATCAAAGCCTTCAGGATCAACTTCCGATGTTTAGATATATCTTGCTGGCCTCTCTGCTCAAGACTCTGGCTCGAACTTCCTTTCCTTAATTCATTATATTCTGGGGACAGAATTGATTGGTGCGAATAGGACTTTGTATAGTAGTCAAGAAGCTTCTCCATGTTGTACTAGTAGGCTTTATTGTTATCAAGGTCAAGGTCGAGATGAGCTACGACGGGCACACCCATACTTTCGGCAGTGCAAATATGGGGCGCAGCTGCCGTGTCGCCTGTTCGATGTCAGTGGCTCTGCTATTGCCTACAGGGTTGTAGCGTTCACGGAGCTTCCTATTTAGGCAATTAGTATTCGTGGCGGTGGCACAGGCGGTCTCAACATCTACAGAACGTGCTCCACACGTACTACTTACTCGACCCCGGCCGTCCTCAAGGCATACCTCCTCGCATAGGGATCATGGAATCCTACCGACCCCAACGAAATCGAAATCGAGGACTCACCTCACGTTAGTAACACTCACCATAGGCCAAAAAACAATAATCAATCAACTTCAGTCCTAAAGGCCTGAATGCTAATATCTAGCCGTATCCGCGTTTATGCATCCACACGCCCAAACGTTTATGTCCATTTCTTAATCCAATCCATAACCTGCGCAGCCATCTCCCTTCCCTCTACCTGCCTGTCTTTTGCCCCACTTCCCATACCCCGACCGCCTCCGCAAACACTAGCATGACCATCATTAGCATCCTCAGAACATCTCCACGCCGGGTCCCCGTACTTCCTCTTCCTCGCCTTCATGTCAGTCCCTCTCGCGAAGGCTTCTTCGACAGCGCTCGCCCAGTCGCCTGCTTCGTAGGATTGCCGGGATAGCTCGACGCCAACGCCTTCCTGCTCGAGCAGGAGCCGCAGACCGTGCTCTTCAATGAATAGTGGACGCGACACTAAAAGGGCTCAATAGTGGGTATGTGTAGTGGATGGAGAGAGACATACCATATACGAAAGGTGTGCAGGCATCGACGCACTCCGATACAGTTCCATAACCCTACGGCAAGATGGCAAATGGTAAATCAGCAGACGACGGATGAAAGCCGAAACTCACCAACTTTCCCAACAGAACATCTCCAACGGCTGTTAAATCCGGCATGTAGACATCTCGCGGTGCGACATAAAATCCATCGGGCAGTTCCGAGCTACCGTCCTTCTGCGTGGCATTCCACTGCTCCTTCGACACACCACAAACGATCGCGATCCATGATAAATCAGGGAGCAGCCGCACCTCCTCGTCCGCGTACTCTGAATCAATAGGATCTCCGAGGGGCGCGTTCTCGTTGGGAGTGACGTTCGGCGTGGGCGGGATCGTGGATACGACGGGCAGTTCGGTGCATGGCACGGGCGGTGTGCACATATGCGGGGGCTTCGACGCCGGCGGGGCGCCTGGGATCCAGATGTGCGAGGGCGTGGCGATGCGTGAGGGTGCAGAGAGGGTAGGGGGAGAGCCAGGCATCGGCATGGCTACATTTAGTGAGGGTACATCACTAATCCCTAGCCCGTTGATGTTCGTTACTGAGCTATCGTTGAGAACAGGGCGTTTCGGGGTAGTGGGTGGGGAAAGGATCTTGCCCTTACGCTCCGGAGATGTGCTTCTACTGCCATTAGTAGGCGTGGTTGATCGGCTCGGTGTTCTACTCGGCCTGCGGAAGACCTGTCCGCCAAAAGAAACTATAAGAATGCGCGTTTTTGATGCATTGTGGTAGTGTGGTGGTACACCTATGGAAGACAACAATTTGGACCGGCCACTTTGGGTATATATTGAAGAACTGGGAGGACGGACGAGTAATGGCGCCTTGATTACTGAGCGAGGTATATTGAGCGATGAAGATGGCGATTGGACGGGTGGGTGAAGGGTATAAGATGCTGGTGACTTAATCAGATGTTCTATAATTTCCGGACGAAATCTATTGCAATTAATATCTACCCAATCGGGTGACGGAAGAGGAGGGTCGACGGCGAACGAGGGGATGGGTATAGCGCCGGGAAGGAGCAGGAGAAGGTCGGCACAACGGTATCCATGGTGAATCTGCTCCACCAGAGGCACGAGCTGTGCTAGAGGTATGGGGTTGTCGGGAATGAGCGCATCGAAACTCGACGTATGCCGGTGATGCTGTGGCACGGTGTGTTTCTGTGGGTGCTGCTGGCGGTGCGGGGGACGGAGATGGTTTACAGCAGCAGGTTCGGGAGACGCTACGCCATCGATAAACGAGGTGGAGAGGTAGCTGTACACCGAGTCGAAGGTAAAGTTGGTGATCAGGATAGATGGGATCCCAGCTGACTTTGCAGCCAGGCTGCTTGTGGGATCAATGAACGAGCTCCTGAAAAGAGTGGGCGGATACTCACCATCCGAGGAACGCTGCATCGCTCAGCACACAATCAATTCGCGTCTGCCTTAGCCACGTTTTCTCCGTTTCGAGCAGGGTATTCTTCGAATCGAGGAATCGCTTGAGCACCTGCACACTCTTCTGCCGATCAACACGATATCTAGATTATACATGCACCGGGCACGCGTCGTGAGTCTTTACGCGTATTGTTTCCCGTAGCGAACTCACGCTAGAGGCTGCACGATGACAGGATCGATCTCTGCATACCGATATTCAGCGCCGCGGGCAATGCTGTCCGCAAAGACGTGTTTTGGAGCAGACGACACAATGCATATGGTGGGGTTTTCGCCCTCGTGTTCGCTTGGAACGCTGAGGAGATGACAAGCGAAGGCTGACACCCTAGTCGCATGGCCGTATCCTATGAAATCCCATCATGAGTGAGTTTCGGAGTACTGGCAGCAATCATACCGTGTCCAGAGCAATAGTAGGCAAATCGCAGAGGCATTCTGGGCGCTGATGCAGACAGCGCTGCGCAGCTGAGCGTTTTCGATATCTGACATGGACGAGGGACCACCCTGAATTGGAATTGACCGCTTTCGGACCACTCCGCCAGTCGGGCTTTGAAATCTACCTGGGCGGTGGTTTCCCCTAAGCAGCAAATAGCTATTTGAGTTTCGGAATGTTCAAACCCACAAAAGGTTGTCGGAAACTGACGGTTGATAGCAGCATCTCCCATTTCATATACCTCAAAGACGCCATATAACCGGAGCGACACGAGTCTCGTATCATGATATTTATCGTATCTCCTTACAATATGTACACGAGATAGTAAGTATTTTACACTTCGCATTTCTCCTTGGAATCTGGAAATTTCCTGGATGCTAACATTTTGTGGGCACACCAAGCGAAGAGGAAGAAGACGATGGCGATGCCAGCGGCTACACCTACATGAAGGTGGAGAGCAATGATTGTCAGCCCGTGGGCAAGGAATATGGCTGCTCCGTAGATGTTGAGGACTGCGGGAAGCGCGAACAACATCCCAGAAATTTTGAAGCCGTATTTCTCTGATCGGATAGCCAAGAGGTGATCCGCCGCGTGAAGTGCCGTTGCGTTGAGTAGATGCCTGTGTTGGACGAGGAGGAAAGATGCTGCCAAAACACTCATAGAGAGAATGGTAGCGGAGGTTAGGCATAGCGATGGGACACCTGGTGCGATACAGGAGATGTGTGCGACTAATAGTAGAGTGGACTTGAAATCCGTCAGACGAAGGGAATTTGAACGTGAAATGAACACCGCGTACAATTTGTAGAGATGTCTTCCAATCTTTGGTGATTGATTGTATCATCCTAAACCATTGTTCAGCGTAGACAAGATCATCGATGAAGACATCTTCAAGTTTGCTGGTATAGACGTCTGATAGCCCCAAGGTTAAGAGGGTTACCGCTCGAGAGACGAAGTTAGGGGTGTAAATCTTAGGTACCAATATACTTTGGGTTCTGGACAGACGGCTAGACTCTTGTCCGTAATGAGTGGTGAACCGGTGGTTCGTTACCAAGACCCACAGACGCGCGATCACGCAGACGTTATACATATCTTGGGTATTCTCTGTAAAGGAAGACTACGTAAGATATGAGGCTTGCGGAAAAGCAGTATCACCGACCTCGAGCAGTTTTGAGCAAGTCCATGTAGTTCCTACAGTCCTTGGGAGTGTACGGGAAAGTGCAGACAGCGGAAGTCATGCGGTCTAAGGATAGTAGATGAGTGGAGCCTTGATTTCAGCGGTAAAGGCACAGACCTAGGGTTGCATGCGAGAAAATAGAAATCAACTCAACAACTGTGGATTCTTCCAGACCACCGAAGTGCCCCGGGAAGTATTCTACATGGGACCAATAGTGCTCGTTCAAGGCCAATTCTGTAGAACGCGTCAGTTGAGCCGCTCTATTAATGAAAGTGCTCGCCTCACTCAGATGCTCCTCAGAGGCAACCTGGTCCAAGCCTATTTCATTGGTATCAAATTGGTCTAGCCAAAACTCCGTCCTGGAGAGGTGGTCGACAAAGTAGTAGGCGCATCCGGACTCCTCGAGTTGTAAAAATAGTTCGACGCCCGAGTGGATCACGACCTGGCGCTCCTCGCAAAGCGCCTCGATCAACGTCAACCAGGTAGCCACTCTCCGCATGTTCTCGGAGTTATAGAGGTAAGCTTCGGTCACAATGACCGGGGTGCTATGCCGGCAGAAGTAAAGTTGACCCTCGGGGTGGGCATAAGAAGCCCAGCTCTCAGGGAGGTAAGTTGGCCTGCAGAATTCATTCATGTCAGCGCCTGGTGACTAAGTTCGTTGTTAACATACGTTACTTCGCGATCAAATTGTCCGAGGCCGGCCGGGATGATGAAGCTGGATAATTCTACGCTGTGTTTTTTGTTGTACCGTTCGGTGGTAACGGAGGTGATAGGTCGCAGAGTCCCATGGCTAGTCAAGGCCTCGCAGGTCGTGTATGCCAGTGCTGAGTTTTGTTTCTGTTCCAGGGGGGAGGTCATTTGGGATGAGGCCTCAACTAGCAGTGGTGATGGGCTTTGGCAAGGACGTCTGTATTATATAGCCCTGTACTGCACAGGCATCCATATTGGTATCATTGCGTTCAAGTTGGCAACTTGCGTGTTCAACGCTGGGCTGTGCCAAGGCTGGTACTCGGATGGTGATAGCTTAGCAGCCACAACTCGCCACTAGTCACGAGCAAAGTGCCCTTTCGCCGTTTGCCCACGAGCTTGCTGAGTACCGTCAAAATCCAACCGTGAGCAGAGTGAAACATTTGAGAAAGGTAGCTACGGCAACGAAGCTGAGTTGCGTGCTTCAGCGGGCGTCTGATCATTCACCTTCTATTATGATTCTTCCGCCAAAGTTCTACGCGGGCGACGCTCAATTAGGTTCAATAGTTGGCGGCACAGGCACGTAGAAGGCTTCATTGGGGCTCTCAGATCTTAGCGGTCATAGCCATCGATTAGTCCGATTCCCAAATTCTGAAGCTGTAGCAGTGGGCGGTGGCGCTCTCGATCGTCACAAGTTCCGTTCATCAACTTCGATACAGCAGGTATGGCCGCACTGGACACGAACCCCGTTGCGGTGAATCAATCTCCGTAGGTTGACACAGTTGATTGAATCTTGCACAATTTCTCACCTGTACAGTACACCCTATGTTGGCTGTAGATCTTGCGAATAGGCATTCTGTCTGCGCAAAGGTCAAACCCGCACTCCTCTTTGCGACAAGTAAGGACCTCGCTGAACGCCCGCCGCGGCCTAACCCCGGCTCAGCCACAAACCAGTAAGAGTCACACCTCGGGAGGAAACGTCGACGGAAAGCATGGCTAAAGGCAACGAAAGACTTAACCCAAGCCTAAACTGAAATACTTCTTACAGCCCACGTTCTCAAATTACATTGGCAAATCCACGTACCAGTCTACCATGATATAGTTACGCCACCTCCAATATCAAGGCGTCTAATTCTTAGATGTGGGGTCCTTCGAAGTTGACAATTCATCAGCATCAAAGCAAGGATAAACGCTTGAACTCCCTACTTGGCCAGAGTTTCCCAAGGTAGTGTGAGTTTTCTCGATTCTTTGCTTCATATCCGCCCTCTTCGTGGTTTTTCAGCGCCTGATAACATGATAACAATGGCTCGCGCGTCTATCGATGAGGGTCTGCCGTGATAAGTAAATCCCATTGGACATGTATATAAGGTTGAGACGCTCACGATGAAGGATCCAGGAACGTTATGTCTTCAAAGGAGACCCAACCCACTACCACAGCCACGGATCCAAGGTAGCGACGTTCCTTGTAGTTGTCTTCTATATGTCTTCTATCATTCGGACTGATGAGCGGGGTCTTCGTTCCTAGCGACCAGCCCAGTCCGAACGTAGTCGAAACCACCAGCGAAAGTGGTGATGTCGAGGACTCGCACGTAGAGGACCCGCAGGCAGAAACGAAAGTTGTACAGACAGCACAGTAAATCACTTCACTTAAACCTCACGCCTACCAGGCCTAACACTTTCATTGCGTCTATGGACCCGTCCATACAGACGCCGTCCCAGGACAGCCTACAGAACCCCAGGTAGGCGCTGACGATGATGAGGAAGAGGAGGAGGAAGAACTAGAGGATGCGTAAGTGCTTCTTTGGTGGGCTATACATCTTACTAACACTGGGCCTCTGGCGGCAGGCCGACCACACCTAAGTATGTAGCGTTGACGTTAGCGCTAGGTCATATCATCTGATCCTTGTCTAGATGGCGGATCCGGGGGCCTGCAAATTTTACTAGCAGCAAGGGCACACGCCCACCCAAACCTCTACCCACTGAACCCAAACCTCTACCCACTGAACCCAAACCCGAACCCAAACCCTGATGCCTCTCTTCCCCCAAGAGATACAATTCAAGCAATCTTCGATCATTTCTCAAAAAAATTATCTACCCATCTATAGTCTCGAGCAACATATCGACAGTAAACGTATACATCCAACGAATACACGGCATCCCTGCGCCCTCGGCCTTTATTTTAGATATAAACTCTGGCATCGGTATATAGGCACTGTTTTAACAGTGTCAAATCGACAATATACATGGGCCTTGTGCCAGACTTATCCCTTCCGCGAGTAACAGCTCGTAGAATATACTAAACACCATGTTAAATCCGTCATGGTGCGCTCCGTTGAGACGGCCTTATTGAGCGTCCAGGACTGCTACACTACTCCAACCCACCCGTGGCCCTGAGCAAGGCTCAGATAACTTACCATAAGCGGGGGACGTGGGCGAACGACAGAACCCTAATTTGGCAAATCCCGGACTCACCAAATCGGGAAGCCCTGAGGCCAGAATTCGCACACCGCCTACCACTTCTTCGTCTCCAACCACCACCACGCATGATCGAATTCGCCTCTGCCTCGCCCTACGAGATGAATGCGAACGAGGAACTCTTTCTGCCACATGGAGGGCGCGGTCTGACACAGAAGCGCACACACTATCGTCTCTTCTCCCATCCTTCATTCTTACCCATACTCTCGGTATCGCTTATTCCACCCAAGGTGTTGCTCCGTGAATACGCCATGATACTTTCTCTCTCTACCCGCCGCCCGAATCGATGCTTACTTCCGACCCGTCACCTATGTTTTCGAGCGACCCATGATTTGTAAGAATCACTGCTTGGTTTTCTCTATCGCTGGGTTTTCTCCATCATCTTGAATGCGCGAGCGTGTCCCAGCATCGTGTTGCACCGTTAGTAATTACGGAAAATATCGTAAGCCGTTCTATGCGACCCAGCCTAGATTTGCCTCCATGTGCAGTCCAATCTATTCTACTATCTATGGTGCAGCATACGATGGTATTATATACTGTGGCCTTTTCCTCATCTTTCGCTCTCAGCTCACTGCAGGGACTCGAAACCTGATGCAAAGTGCTGTATCTCATCCAGAATATCTAATACTCAGCTACTCCTATAGGTGTTTAGGAGGCACCATATGTATCTCGTCACTTCAAACTCGGAATGGGCTCCCAGAGTCCGCAAGGGTCCGTGTCGAATCGTGAAAATGTATTTATTGAATCTAGAAATCCGTTCACACCCGTACGCTCTTCCGTCGATCAACACGATACCTGGATGATACACGCGTCACACACGCGTCGTGGGTCTTTACGTGTATCATTGTTGCCTGTGGCAAGAGGCTGCACAATGACAGGGTCATCTCTGGATTACCGACGTTCAGCGCCACAGACAACGCTGTCCGCAAAGACGTGTTTTGGAGCAGACGACACAATGTATGCGATGGTTTTTCTTTCTCGGGTATACTGAGGAGACTCTGACATACAAGCGAATGCTAAAACGGATGACGGTAATTAGATGAATGCTAGCTACCCGTATGGGGATAACATACATCATCAAGAGTCGCAGTAAGCGAAACGCAAGGGCATACGGGTGCTGTGGTGGGACTGCGCACAGTGCGCAGCCTTTGCTGGTCAACGTCTGCCAATAGGACGCGATTAATCGGAGCCCACATGTATCAGGGACCGGCGCCTATCAACCTCACACCGAAGTTTGATTTGATTGTTGAACAATTGCGGAATCTCAGTCTGTGATAGCGTGTGGGGAGCATGTGGGAAGGCACGACCAACTCTTCGAATACAACATCGGGGTAGTAGGATGCTGCTTGAGCTAGTCGTAAATGCGTAAATGAGGCGTATAGAATGAGTATGAGTATATGAAATCTCTGACATAGCAGCAATTCTTACGCCCTGCCAAGTCACGAACGAGACTCGGAATGAGACTCGGAATATCGAATTAATTTTCCGAAGGCACCGGAGGATTACCTATAATTGGGAAATTAACCGGTATTCGGGAGCGGACGACAGCGGTCCGTAACTGACATATTTTGGGAGAAAATATTTATTTGTACCGTTATCACACCGCCTTGAATCGACGGCGACCAAACTACAAAATGCTACGAACTAATCGACTCCACTGAGCTGAAAACATCTCTGACCCGTACCACCATCATCTCATCGACCGTCAGAGGGCGAGTCCTGGTGAGCCCAAAGCTCCACCTTCTCGACCATTCAGTACTTCAGCTTGGGGTCCTTAGCTCACCAATGGCCGTCGCTTTGCCCCCACATCCTTTACCGGTTGACGAATATCTCCCGGGGCCCTCTACGACCGTCAGAAATCGAATGGATAGCGGTAGCACCATTACCGCCAAAAGAGTGCCTTCGTTTCGCGACAGGCAGTTACCGCCGATCCCGCAGAACGACGGCGGCGACGTAAGGCCGACCTCGACCGTTAGGCCCAGAATGAGGAGCAAGTCGCCGCCTGTCGCGAAATCGCGCCATCTGTCGTCGTTTCTGCCTTCGTACTCGCGTCGGCTCACTTTCCCCACCTTGCTCAGGCAGAATCCCCGCGTATTAGCTCACTTGCTGCAATTTATGTCTTGGGCGGATTTTCTATCGCTTGCGGGTACATGCAGAGACTTCATGAACTTGTTGGGCCCTCTCGAGACCAAGGACGTCCTACTGTCTCGGTTCATCCCTGGGTACAGCGACGCCCTGCGTAGCCGCGATCTGCGAAGATTCCGTGACGTCTCGATGTCATTACATGACTTGAACCTGCTGAGTACGTCCCACTTTCATTATCCGGTTTTCGCGTCTAATTTCCTCCATGTAGTCTTGTCCGAGATGACACCCCTCCACCAATACCCTATGCACGCCTTGTCCTGCCTCTCCGCATTTATGACGACCCTGGATCAAGAGGAACGGACGCACAGACTTATTGCGTTGACCCAGGCCCATTCTCGAGCCGTGCTTCTTCTCCAATCTGTCGTACATAGTTCATCTTACCCCATCCCACCCGAGCCCCGAGATGACGCGAAAGCCAGTCTCCGGAACTTACAGCGCCCCATTCTTCGTGAACTAACTTTCCCAGCTCCTCTATCTTATCAACTCTCCGATCACCCGGTACGGGATGAGCTTGCGTCGAGATCGCCATCAAATAGCAAACATGTGCGAGGTCACACTGTCGCTGATGTTGCTCCCGGTCTCCATCAGCGCCGGAGTGTGCCAAAGGCGCCTGCCAGCTCCACTCCTTCGGTTGCCGCCAAAGCCAGGAAGAGACTTTCCAAACTAGTTAATACCCCAGCTGCTCCTCCTCCCCCACCAGCGTCCATGCCTCGAGCACTCAAAGTCTATTCAGACGGATGGAGACGGGCCTCCAGGTTTCCCGTTGCAGCCACACAGTCAGATGACGAAGGAGGCAGTGCAGCGTTCAGCAGGAGAACCACCATGGTCTTGCCAAATGGCTATGGTTCAATCCCTCTGAAACGCCCGAGCCGAAGGTTCACCTCTGCGAATGCTTCCAGCGACTCGTCGATTGACTCTAGTCCGTCGCAATCACACCTGTCGCGGAGTTCCATCGTCGACACGCCATCGTCATCCCCTGCTGCTCTGTCACCTTCAGCCTCGACTCACGCCTCGTGCAATTCGCTCGCACCTCCACCCCACGACTTGAATATGGCAAAGTGGAGGGCTCGCGCGCCCATTCTACGCGTGTTCGTCCCTTGCACGGAACTTTCCACCGGCAACTCGAACAGTATTGGCAAGTGCAGGGAACAACTCGTCGAATCCAGGCTCTGGGGACATCTCTCCGCAGGAGATATTGTTTGTAATCTAGGGTACGTTCCTGGTGGTCCACGGGCGCAAGCCTCCGAAGATTCGAACGTGCAAGCACCGGAGTTTGACGACGCTGAGACGCCAAGTCAACAGAAGTGGCTGCTTTACGACGGCGAAGATCTTGTGCCCTACTTACCTCCTCATCCGCCCCCTGTCTTGGATGTACTGACGCTTCCTTCGCCATTCTATTACACGCACATCATGCCTGCGTTGGCCAACCCGCCATTTATCGTCGATAGGCTGCCGATGTTTAATGAGGGGCCTCAAATGACTTTGTTACATTCATCGACGCGAGTGAAGAGTCCGCATTCTCCGAATGGCTACGCCGTGGTGAAGAAGCACATGTGGATCGCCCGAGTAGTTAAGTACCCATCCACAGGATACGAGGAGGACGACGCCATAGGTGAAGGGTGGACGGGAGAGTGGATATTAGAGGGGGAGGGAACAAGGGAGGGAAGGCAGGCATTATTGCAGTGCTTCGATCGGTGGGCCTCTGGTGTAGTTAAGAAGGAATTGGAGCTGGTGAGAGACAAAAGCGGTGGAGGTCGATTATGGTTCAAGTGAGCGTTCATTTAACCCTCTTCCTCGGCAGTTTGCTCAATGATCTCTCCTTACCTCCCTTCTCGCCCTTTTATATCTGCTGCTTTCTCATGATGATGCTTTGTCTGTCAAATCATTCATGATGCATTGATAAATGACCTTCTCCCTTTGGACGTATGCCGTATTTCGACGCTCGGATGGGTCACCCTGCAACCGTTTCCTCCTTCGAATCTCACGTTGTTCTGTGATTCGTCTTGCATAGGCTGTTAAATTCATACTCGGACAATCTGGATCCCACGGACAACGGTCAGATGGCTATTTATGCGTGATACGGATTTTCGTGTTGCTCTCTCACCATGTTCCTTCTGTCTTTCACCGCCGGCAGTATGGCTCCATCTATCTATGCCGTCGCGGCACACGATCCTCTGCTTCTCACAGTATCTTTACGGAATCTCAACCGATGCCTTCCATTCATCGACGCCGCCCACACTTTGATTATATATTTATTCCACTACAATATACGTACATCTTCCATATTGTCTTGATTATTGTCTTGATTATTGTCAGTCAACTTTTACCCCACCCTAAAAGACATCGGTTCTCTTGTTTTCATTACTGGGACACATTCTCACTACCGTATATTCCACCCATTCACGCTCACTCATTGGTTTGGGTATACTTACGGATACTACTATACCTGTTCACCGCCAAAACCTTCATGCAATGAAGTATTATGATCTATTATGATCTCACTCACCTTGAACACATTTGCCCTCGGAAGATGTTCGTATTACAGCCTGAAGTGCCAACCATTCTTCTCGCACAGGCAGCAGAACAACTCCCTCCTATATAGCATTGAACTTCGATACAATATGTAACACCAAAAATCGTGCATAACGTTGACATATAGGGCAGCAGCAATGTACGGGGCATTCAACAGTAGGTAAAGGATGTTGACATGAATTCAATCGTGAATATACAAATGCAAATATAGGACCAATCAACCCAATCTATTTGCTGCAGCCAACCACTCAACCAACTGGCGAGGTGCATGCAACAGCAAAAAGAAAAGCAAAAAGGAATCCCCTGACGACACAAGCCGATAGTGCAGTAGCAAGGTCATCGCAGCCCCCGTGTTGCAAGCAGAGCACAGAGACTAGGGGCGGCAAAAATAAGATAACCAATGAATGGGGGCGGTGCCCCCATAATAGTGGTTAAACTATTAAGAACAGATACTACACTTGATCTAAGCCAAAAGGCCAGAGTGGTAAGGATTCTGGATGTCCGACCGTCGTACTTAAAGGAAGGGCAACGAGCACAGACCAGGACTTGACTTGGGCGGTACGAGGAGGAGCAACAGGGAGAATAGGAGTTAGGCGCCGACTGTTCGCTGGTCTATTTGTATAATTTGTCCTCGGAGTTCACAACGTTCGTCTGCGTGCGCATTGAACAGACTCATAATAGACAGCAGTAGGTGTAATGAAACAAGGTAATTGTAGTCGGATGAAAGGGAGTGTGTCATTGACGGCACTGACCATGTCATAGAGAGATTCTTCAAGTTGTGGTATGAGTGGTTACAGAGAATGCGGATGGAAAGGGAAGGTGTCCTGGACCATGCAAACTTGCGTTGCATTTCGGGAATCAGAGGCAAACGATATTTCAGAGACAGACCATGGATACAAATATATTGTACCGAGAAAACAATTTGCGTGGATAAAGCCAGACAAGTACAAGGAGGTAGATAGAGACTAAAGGGGAAGCTCCCGCGAGCATCAAGCGAATTTAATCGTGAAGAGGAACCTGTTGAGCTCTCGCGATTGCGGTCTGGACGGCAGCGGGGCTGAAGATCCTTGCCATAGCCGCTTGGTTCAGAACCTCGATGCACCAGTCCTGGCAGTTCCATCGACCGTCCGGAACTCTGACCTGCGTGGTATTAGCAATCGCCTCCAGCTTAAGGCGGGCATCTTTCTCCAAGATCGCCAAAGGCACACGGACGAGCCTCTGCAGCTCATGGCTTTCTACAGCCCCAGTGAGCACTCCCCAGTTCGTCAGGTGAGGAACCCCGGGGTCTTGTCGCAGATGGCAGCGTCGGTGAGCTTCATGACCCGAAAGTGTAGTCCCTACATGCCAGGCCAGCATCCAGTGAGAGTCCTTGGGGGTGTTTGCGGCTCCAGTTCGGGAGCGTCGAGCAGCGGGATCGACCATGAGGAAGACTTGGAGCGCCTGCGCCGGGTCTTTGACAGTCCAGTCACCACTGGGCGCATAGGCACCTTGGGGACGACCGTAGGAGGGTAGATAGGCTGCCATGGACTGATGATCATAAGCGATATGAAGGGATGGATAGGGCTTGGTGAACTCACTGATAAGCTTGAAGAGATGAACTTGCTTTCGATGTCGAGGAGCTGAATTCTGCATTCCCTGGATGCCCTCGCAGAGATTATATAGACCTTGGGCTGATGTGGCCAAAATGTGTGGCCCACGAAATTAACAACCCACCCATCTACTACCACTTAGGACAATGGGTGGCGAGAGGCGCAATTGCCAGTTTTGACGAATATTGCAGTGGCCAAAATACATCGTCCACCCCAATCTTCAGGGAAGTGAATGAGGGCATGTCTATTCCCCAGATCCAACGACGGTCAAATAAGGCAACTAAAGTACAGTATCGATTAGATAGAGAAGGCTTCATAGGCGTTGAAAGTACTTACGAGAAACCTATAGAAGAAAATAGTAATAACCATCCTGACCGACACCGAAATTCATTACGTATAGGCCCTCCCGTCTTACATTAGTGTCACACCGGCGTCTGTGCTTAATTAGCAAACGATGTGACAATGCATACAATCCCTTGGGTGCCATTCACATGCCACGAAACACAATGGGTGACTGGAAGTGCATTGCCAGTTCTGGTAAATATCTCAGTGGCCAGAATATACCGTGCAGAGTGAACGGTCCAACCATCAGGGGCGAGGTCGAGGAGCAAGTCCTTTCGGAAAATCCAACGGCAGTCAAATAAGGCAACTAAAGTATAACATCGATTAAATCACAATCTCTGGTATTCGGTCAATACTAAAGGCGAAGTCAAGGCGTATGAGTGACTCACAAACGGCATGTAGGTAAATCAATAACCATTGCCATTGGCACCCATATGTATCCTTGCTTCATGTACGGGGAGTGACCCTTCCCGCCTCATGTCAACACCAGCATCTGGAGGCGGGATCGGTTGAATGAACTTTTCAGCTTCCGGCCTACGGGGCAAATGAAAGCTGTTATTGGCAAGATTTAAATAACAAGCAGAGAAATTATCCCTACCCTCCAAGCGCTCTGAGCACATCATCCACCAGCCTCTCCTTGTCCCCAGTTAACCTACTCATCTCAATCTCTGCGTTCGCCAGCTCTGCCGCCAATTCTTCCTGTTGATCGCGGGCATACTTATACTTCGCTTTGGTTAACAAGTACAAAACCTGATACGGCGTACGTCCCATGATAGTATCTGTCGCTTCGTCATATTGGTCGACAAATCGCTGAGGTAGGAGATCGAAGACGGATGGAGGGGAAGGCGGGCGAATATTAGATTGAGCGGAGGAGAAAGGGGGAGGGGGAGAATTACGCGTGAACATCGAACCATGTTTTGGCTGCGGTTGGGCAAAAGATGTGCCGTTGGTTGTATTGCCGTTGCCTTTCGACCCAAAGTAGTTCCCCGCCTCTCCTTCCTGCAGCGCTGCACTATCCAATTCTGACGGCGTGTGTGGTTCGACTTTGAACTGACTGAAACCAGACGCTGCGTCGGGTGGTTGGTGTCGAGACCACCGTTGGCTACCTTCATGGTTGGGCGTATCCGGCGGTCGGGCTGACGAATTCACGTCCTCTCCGCCATTTCGTTTGCGCTTGCGTGATGCTCCACGCCCAGGGGCTGGCGGCGAGATATTGTGTTGCAAACGCATGTGCTTAGCTAGTGCATCGGATCGCGTGAAGGATTTATCGCATTCTAGAAATTGAAAAGAAGGTCGTCGGATACACCGCTGCTGCCGCGCTCAAATAAACTCAACGTTACCTGGTAAACTGCAGATGAAAGGTTTCTCGCCAGTGTGCGACCGAATATGCGATATAAGGGCAAACCTGGAGGTCTGCGCTAATCCCCGCCGCGTACAGGATGCCCATTCGCAAGAGTAGCTCGATTTGTGGACTCCGATGTGGTCTATCAGGAATGGTAAGCAAAATTGAGTGGCTTCCAGGACACCGTGACAATACACGCGATTCAGCATAGAGACAGACCTCACCGTTGTGGATATGATCGATGAGTGTTGGCAGGTGGGTGTACACCTTGCCGCAGCCATCCCACTCACATGTAACGCTGTCCTCTACGATGGGTGGCTCGTCCCCTGGATGCGACGAATCGGGGGAATTTGGACGTGAGATAGACGGTAGGGGGCCATTCGTCTGTCCAGCATACGATGGCGAGTCATACTCTGAATCTGAGAGTGGAGAGGCCGTTGCAGGGGAGGAGCCTCGTTCACTCATGTCGGCCATCGTCGTCGTTCGCGTTAGAGTTTTGGGCGCTTGTCAGTGCTCAAGCTCACAGGTGTAAAGGGGTAACAAAACATCGAGGCTTGGGTGATAATATTCTACACCACGTAAGTAACCGAAATAAAAGTATATACTACATTTTGAACACCCTGGCCGCATACATGTTATGGTGATAATTTGAATACACCAGCCGAAATACAATTATGTAGAATATAATACCCCAGATATGAAGTCGTGAAGGTCGTAAAATGAATCATACCGGACGGAAGATTAAACTGCTCGTCCTAGGATTGTAGGTTGTAGAAGTTCCTCGTCCTTGGGTGGAACCTCGGGAGCACCATCGTCCCCGCTTGCCGACGGGATCTGGGGATTGATGTCGGGGAGGGAAGTCTCCGACCCTACGAAAGGCTGGCATGCCCTAGCCACGGATTCCACGACTGCTTGTGTTCCATTTTGAAGCACCTCGACGTGGCCGGTGGAACATTTCTCCTGTTCGGTATCGGCAGATAGTTCTCCGTCCATGCACTCCAATTTAGCGTCCCCGTTAGCTTCTGCCTCCGGCTGCACATCTGCTACTTCGACGGCAGATCGCGGGTCGTCAGGAAGATCCTTATCCTTGAACGGTTCTAGCGCTTCCGCAACGACAACGGCGTCGTGCAATTCTTCTCGCCTAATATCAACAACCGGAGATTCTATCGTGCTTTGGTACACAGCTCCACCACACGGTGCAGCATCGGGGAATGCAACGGCCGCATTGATGGATTCGACGGGACGAGGAGGAAGCGAACGTCTGTTGATCGAATGCGAGAAGGACGATGACATCGACGGCCTGGAGACTGTAGCGGTCGAAGGGCGAACATCCATGCTCGCGCGAGCCATAGCAATCTCCTTGGGGCTCCCAAGACACGAGGTGGGTGCTACGTCCAATTCAGGGACATAAGTCTCCTGGGCGGGAACGCTAACTCCCAACGTCTCTAGGATGTTGATGACTGGGACGTGTCCTCGGGTGGATTGCATCCGGTGGGCGTACGTACATGTATTTCTGTTATAAGAGGACGTGTTGGTCAGAGATTGGTTCGAGTCGGAATTGGCATATACCTTACCCTGGACCCAAGACGAATTCACCTCCCAATCGATTAGTGTCCCCTCCCTTCTCCCAGAGAGGTAGCCCAACCTTCAGCGCCCTGAACACGACAGCCGCGAACCCTCCCACAGCACCCCTCTTTGCGTACTCTGTTGGCTCACCCCTCCTTCTCTCCCTCTTCGTCCCCTTCTCAACGACGCCCATCCGCAACGCATCGTACACCTTCGAGCTCGGATCCGAGAATACCTCGAATGAATTCGAAATATTCAGCATCTGCTTATACTTCGCAATCATACTCGGGGCGCCATTTCCGATGATCACCAATCGCATACCAGATATCGCGAGAAGATCTGGGTCGACCGAGCGATTCAGCTGAGAGATGTAGTCCTGGCAATTAGGACACCAGAAATGACGGATGAATATGACTATAGTTCGCTGTGCAGCGAAGATCGAGGAGAAGGGGACGCGGACGCCGCTTTGGGCAACAACGCTGAGTGCGCCGGCGCGTTCGAGCTGAGCTGAAGAGGGTAGAGCCCACTCGGCGGCGTTGCCATGTCTCTCCGTCGTAGAAACAGGGGAATCAGAAGCAAGCGGCACAGAGTATCCGGACGTCGATGAAGAGGGTGGGTCGTAGGAAGTCGAAGACTCCGAGGGGGAAGATACGTGGACATAAGATGAAGACGCGGAAGGGGGCACAATAACGTTCACGAGGGGTGAGAACGAAGTTCTGCGCTTGTTCTCGCGAACAGAAGGCGGGTTAGGTTTATTATAGAAGAAATCAGCCTCAGAGCTTGCTGAAGATTCGGCCGTCCGCGGTCGCCGTTTGGAGGAGAACAGAAGCGTAGAATTCGCTTTAAGTTGACGCTTGGTCGGGGACGGAGGTTGGTTCAGCGGCGAAAGGCTTGGGACTTTAGTTAGTCTGGTGGGAACAGTGTCTGCCGTCTGCGGTCTATCTGTTTGCCTCCGTGGGGCTATGAATTGCGAGATACGACCGCGATAGTGTACAGGGAGATACTCGAGTTCGCTTTCGGTACCGCTGCTGTCGTCTTGAACGAGACTAGGGGGCTGAGGCGTCGCAGGGAGGATATCTGGCTCGAGGATGAAGGACTGTTGGTGCCAGAAATCATATGGTGAAGAAGACGCCGTGTGAAACGCAGTGACCGATTGTGAACGTGTACGGTAATGACCTTCGCGTGCTGGCGTCGCGTTCAATGGCCTGGCACCGAAATGCTCTGCTGTCGAGTATATACCGAGCACTGGTGGATGGAAGCTGTCCTGGCTGTTGCACTGCAACGGCGTCCCAGAGCTTTTACTTCTAAGCACTGAGAGGGGTGCGAAGGGATCACATGGATCTGGAGCAGGATACCGTTCATTCAAGTCAATTGACGGGGCTGGTTTTCGTTTGATGCGAGGTTGACGAGGTGTAGAGAGGGCTGAGGACATGATGGGGGTGGGGGTCCAAGGGGACAGCTGGCTCACCAGGCTGGTTCCAGTACTTGAGTATGTTTCGAGACACGACCCTTCACGCGGGGGGTTTATCAAGCACGTACCATGCGTTCTCCAGTCTGTCCTTATGAATGTGGCATACGAAGCAAAGTTTGGCTGGTGCACGTGTGCATCGTGGTTGCCAGTTGCGTCCTAGTGATTTTGAGTAAACCAAAGCTAGAGTCAGTGCTAGTGCCTGGTAGTTCGACCGCCGTTACGGAAGATCCACGTAGAGCGAGGAGCCGATCCATCGATGTCGCCCGCTGAGGACTGAAGCGAGTTGTAGGTAGCAGATAGCCAGAAGCTTCGATAGTAGAGTTGGTCTGAACGGGAGCATTGTTTATCAGGATGGTAGCATGCGGTCAAGGATGAAATGAGAAGTGTGATTTCCAGAGGTTGCGTGACTGACATTGTCAATGACATGAAGAACTCAGTCACGGGCGCTTCTTCTAGCTCTAAGGCAACGGAACATTAACAGACCGTTTCAACACCATCCCTCGTTGTCACGACCGCGCAAGAACTTTGCAAGATAGCTTGCATTGGCGGTAGCTTGGCGCACCGATGTCCAGCAGTTATGTCGACATTTATTAGGGATGCATATCAAAGGTTGGCGAATCAAGCTGAAAACTGGGATACGGCTGGTGGGGACTTGGCAGTGGGACCCAGGCAAAGGGAATATTGTGGTGTCGACTTGCAGTTAATAGCATGCTGGTTGTCAACAAGTTGCCTCGAACGAAATGACGGCAACGAGGAGGGAAGAATAGTTCCAAACGAGGCGGAAGAACGCAGCCTGCATCGATACGCACTACTCATCTTGTATTATTACTCTGAGGGACGAAGGAACTGTACGTGGTGCCCACCTTGGTTCGGCGACCCAACGCCTCTTGCTCCGACTGCCATTCCACTCTAGAAATCCTACCATCTGAGTGATTTAATTGATACAAACCACTGCAGTGACTTAGCACCCGAAGCGACAGGCTGCGACTTACCAAACACCAATCTCATTAATACGGGCATATAGGCGTGTCAGACATGGTGGAAAGGCTGGGCACCCCACTACACAATAGATATCGCGTACGTGTGAGGAATAGATTGTGAAGAACCATAGTATTGAACTGGCTTGAGAGATAGACGTTGGTGACACAGAGAGAGGGTGGTGAAGGACGGATCCAATCGACGGGCGCTTACCTATATTCTATAACTTCAAGTTCTTGTTCGCTGTTCGCTGATGCTGGCAAACACTTCTCACAGCGGCCACCATCTTCAAGCATCGCCAGGCTATTCTCCAATAAGGATACTCTTACCGCCCAGGTGGTGACTTGCGCGGCATGGCCATGCGAATGCCTTGAGCGTGGGGTATGTGGCATTTTTGCTCCGACACCGCCATGAATCGTTGACGGAGATTTGTTAAGGAACTGCGAACGTACAATGGATATACCTTTGCCAATGCAGCGCTCAATTGATGTTGCCAGCTAGGCACTCTGAGCGGCGACGCCGTGAGCGACATGCCCGACTGGGCGGCTCAGTTTCGACAAGGCCTCATCGGAAACTTTGTCGCCTCTGCATATACATTGTATTGTGAGGCCATGTTGTTTGACCGTATCACCGCACAGGACCAATGAATACCGGCAGTTAAGCTTTGGATGGGACAGTTCCAGCACAACGTAAGCGTTCAATGCAGTGCAATTGTTTGATCCCACTGATCTGCCTTCGATTACTTCAGGACCGCCTTCAAGTGTACCCGCGCTCACTGCTGAACGGTTCCGACTCCATTCACGGTCTCCAGCGGTGCCAAGGCTTGCGCTCACAAGATCTAACACCGGATTGGCCGGATGATATCCCCATTCCGCCTCAGAACTTCCTTATGCGTATTTTGTTGGACATTGCCTTCTCAACGTTGCTTCTTGGCAGTAGGGTGGCTTGAACCTATTGAAACGTCTTGGATCTCGGGCAACTACCTCTTATAAATGTCAGTCTCCGAGGGAGCGTTTACTACACCGATCTCCTTTTCTCGTCTTTCCTTTTCTCCTTTCTCTCTCTACGATGTTGTCTGTGTCGGCTGTACTCTACCTGACATCCATACTCTCCGGGGTCACACTAGCCACACCCTCAGCAAACCGTCGAGACTCTCATGAAATATGTACGCCAAACTTTGAGGCGGACGCCCCTTACGACTGGAATAACTCGGAGGCCGTTGGACTGCTGAATGGTGTGGCCGTGGGCTCAGCGCTCATCAAGAGATCTCCCGCTGCATTCTTCAAGTTCACGAAGATTTCGTCGACACCGCCCTCATTCACAGTCCAGTAAGTGCCACCTCTGATTAAATTTACATCTCGTGCTTAATCGCTACCCCAGTGCCTTTGATAATCCGGAATTAGCTGTCGGACTCAGCAGCAACAAGTCCCTCACCCTGACCTCTAGTCATGGCGACGAGTATGCGTGAGTCCCTTCACGCGTGTTCAACTGATATATATCGTTGCTGACAAGTCGTCAACTCAGTGATACCAAGTTCCTCATCGAATGTACTTTTTGCGGCAGTGCGGTCCAGGACAACTGCTTCATGAAGCTCGCCGAATATCCGGACCACTGCGTTCAAGTGGGCAACGCGAAGGATGCCGCTGGAAACCCGACAAGAGGCGGTTCGGGAGATCCGTTGTTCGTGACCTCGCCTTGTAGGAAGGACGACAGCCAGCGGTTCAACTATTTCAAGAAAGACCTTCCTCCTTCCCCGCCACCTACGCTGGAGACTCCCTCCACACCACCTTCGGGGCAAGTCGTTTGCAACCCCAACTTCGAGTTCGAGGGCGTACGTGTGGCGAACAGCGCCGTCAACTGGGGTGCTCCTGCTTTCGTCGACAACACGGATCTTCTGGCGGAGAGCGACTTCAACAAGCGTCTGGAGATTCGTTTCGAGCAAACTGGACATCCCAACCCGTACTATATCGCTAAGTGAGCACATCGCACTATCGTTTCAAGGCATGCGGACTGATTGTAGGTTCATAGGTCGTTGAACGGAAGTAACCTTGTGGTCGCTACCCGCGCCGTTAACGATAACTTGTACTTCATCCCTGCCGACGAGCAGAACGAGTACGTTCCCTTCCGCGTTTCATCGCTAACTTCTCCTAACACAGTTGTTGTTGTTAGCCGCACGAAGTTCCTAATCGAATGTGTCTCCGGATGCCAGGGTGCTGGCCAGGTCCCTCCGGGAAGTCTTTCTGCAGATGGGTGCACGATCAAGTCCCAGTTCAACGGCAAGTGCGTCCAAATTGGCAGCGGCCCACAAGCAGGTTCCAACGGCGACCGCATCTTCCTCAACAACTGCGACGCGACCGACAGCCAGCGCTTCAACTTCATCACCTCACCCTTCAAGAGAACCGGTATCGATGTGAACTTCAACTCCGACGTCGCGCCTTCCAGCGATGTCAAGGTGCACCTCGCTGGCAACGAAGACGGCGGTGAACTCGATGTGGACTTGAAGGAACTGATCAGGAACAGTTATATTGCGCTTGGGTTGCTCGCGGGTGTCTTGGTCGGCATGATCGTATTCGGTGTGATGATGCTCGCACGAGGATGCATGAAAGGCCGCGACTCGAAGCCCCGATATACCGTTGTAGCCGGCAAGAACGACGTCGAGGCATTCACGGCGCCTTCTGGTCGCTACAGCGACTAAAAGCATTTCATGATACTGCTTTGTCGATTATTTCATGGACTTTCATACTGTGGGCTCTCTATTAAGTTGTAGCAGTCGTGATATTTATAAATACCATTGATGGACTTGTTGCATAGTAATCGTTTACATTCTTTCTTAGCTCGGGCCCCCGTTGTCGTTGTTGGATATCCATTATCGTTTGGATAGCAAGATATCAACGTTATATCAACTCTCATCGGGTTGCAAGCCCCAAGTGACGGGCGCCCAACTCCTATTCTCCCTGTTGCTCCTCCTCGTACCGCCCAAGTCAAGTCCTGGTCTGTGCTCGTTGCCCTTCCTTTAAGTACGACGGTCGGACATCCAGAATCCTTACCACTCTGGCCTTTTGGCTTAGATCAAGTGTAGTATCTGTTCTTAATAGTTTAACCACTATTATGGGGGCACCGCCCCCATTCATTGGTTATCTTATTTTTGCCGCCCCTAGTCTCTGTGCTCTGCTTGCAACACGGGGGCTGCGATGACCTTGCTACTGCACTATCGGCTTGTGTCGTCAGGGGATTCCTTTTTCCCTCTCTTTTTGCTGTTGCATGCACCTCGCCAGTTGGTTGAGTGGTTGGCTGCAGCAAATAGAACTGGTTGATTGGAATTTTGTATTCGGCCTCACCTTCCTGTTTTTGGCATCATCGACACTGAGTAGATGGGGCGCCGCATGACTTGTTGCGCAGGATCAAGGTGATGTCGCAGTGCTAACATATTCGATAATCTCACGTACAATCACCACTTAGTTGGCTTTCCGCCCACAACAGATTAGGCTGACGAGAACGGGCCGAGCGCGAGCGTCGAGGACTTCACGCGCAAGTACCAATGCAAGTTATCATTATTCTATATCAAGTTCTATATGATCATATACGCGCAATGTGCTGCAATGTGTTTATCAATACGGTCCCGGTTGTGGCGTCTGTCGGCGTCCCTGTAAGCTTGATGTTGATCTTCACGCTCACCGTGCCGTATTTGTTGCCAACGACGATGCATTGCCAGTGTGTGAGTGCTTGCTCTCTGGACCGCTGTTACGGTTGATCTCATCTTCGTGTTTCGTCTGTGTAGGGTGCTACCGGCGCACTGATGCTACCATCGGTTATAGAGTAGGAGCAACACAATGCAGACTAGAGTCTTTACGCTTTCAAGGAATTGTTCGGGACCCATCGCGTCGCGCCTACTGGTCGGGCTCACGGGGTTGTTCTTCCGGAAGCTTGAAAGCGACGACTTTCCAAGTTAGGCAATTAGTATTTGCAACTCATTCAATATTGACCTACAAAGGCACTCTTACGAAGCTATCCGGTGGCTTCAACACCCAAGCAGCGTGTTCATTGACTTTCGTGGCCACACTACGATGGCGACTCTATCAAATCTGGCCTTATTTGCGATTAAATGCAACATCTGATGCAAATCTCAGTCAACCTCTTCGCTATTGGACTCCACACTCACTATAGATTAGTCCTTGTCGCTATTCAGCGTGTCCTACTTGCATAACTCCGGTCGTCCTCAAGGCATGCCTCCACGCATGGCAATCATGAATCCTGCTAACCTGTCCCTCTCGCCTATCGGTACCGCACTGGACCCAAGATGACCTCTCGTGATTCTCCCTGGATGATCTTTTAGGATATCGGTGTGACTAGTACTGGCCATCCTGCTCAACGACGTTGCCACCTCGTCCAAGATCACGATATTCAACAACCGCTATGACCGATGCCGTGGGGGCCGCCTCCGAAGGAATATCCATCCATGATCTAAGCTCCTCGAGTAATGACTTTAGCCGAACGCCAGGCTTCGGGTAAAATTGCGAATGCTGCCCCGGTTCGAGTTCCTGACGGGAAATGGAATTGCCAAGACTGGTGACTCGACATCTTCCAGCAAGCCATCAAGCACGGGCCCTTGTCTGCGTCTGAAGTCAAGGCTGCAACTGACCGCGTTTGAACTGTTCAACCTATTGCCGCTGAACGATGCCTCGAGTTGTATTTTGTAGGAAGGATCTCACGCTTGTATCTGTATCACTGTCATATATTTATCTGAATGCATATCAATCAGATAATGCCCACGTCCTGAACCCAGCAGACACTCTTTTGGCTTAATTATTCTGATTTGAAGTCGTCAGGCATATTGTGTCCACTCTAACTATGCGATGGAAGTCTTGAATGATGTACAGTTTCAGACGGTATGGAGAATTGAAGGGGTATATGGAGGAAAGGTTCGGGCGGTTACGCTTGAATATGGGCTAGGCGGAGGCTGCCCTCGCTCTCCGCTTTGCACGACATCGGGGGCCAATCCATTGCACTATAAACACCAACGGCATCATAACCAAGCAAAGGCCACCGAACAAAACATATGTCCATCCTGGCGTGAGTGCTCTCAGGATGATATCAACTACGCCGACCAATGCAGCCCCGAGGGAGCACCTAACGAGATTATTCTGGAATAGGCAGCTGGTCAGGGAGGTACGGCGTCGGAGGGTATGAAGGACGTACGCAAGCGGTTATAGATGAGCTCTGGCCAGGGAGGAGGTCAATAAACAGAGTTTGCGTCGTGTTCATTATCATGATACCGATGAGGCCAACTAAGCGTGAAGTTTGTGAGCGAGTCAAGATGACAAGAAAGGAGCTCGTGGTTCACTTAGGAATTGCAGTATCAACGGTCCGGCGAGTGAAACTCTCCGCTGTAAACACCAGCCATAGCCGGTGACACAACCAGCGTACAAAATGAGTAAATATGGAACGGTGCGAAGTCGAGCACGTTCGATGGGGAAGTTCTCATCCTTGGTGACCTCCATGATTATATTCTTCTTCTTACTCTCCGCCGCCGCTTCGTGATCTGTTGCAATGCCTGGCTGTGGTTGTTTTTCGTCCTCGGATTGCTGGATCATCGCCTTCTTGATGAGTTCCCTTTTGATGGCTTGATACTCCCTATCGAGGATTCGCCCCGTTGCAATGGCGCCAACGGCACAACCGCCTCCGATGGAAAGAAAGCACAGACCAATACGAGTCTGGTCAAGAAATGGATAGATGTCCGTGAAGAGCGAAGAAAGCGACGCGGTCACAACGGTGAACACAGCATAGAGAATTCCGTTAAATAGCAGGAGGGTCTGAAGGTGTTTGTCAGTGAAAATCAGCTGACCGGAGGACACGAGCTGACCAGTACGTCGGGATAGGTAAGTATACGTAGGGGATTCTTGAATTTGAAGATTATCTTTGGGTCTTCGTCGCTAGTGGGTTGTCCCGCTCTTTGGGCCGCGAGGATAGGCACGAGTGGCTGGTATATTTTGGGAGGCCGTATGCTACCGTTTCCCACCATAGCTCTGAGAGTCTCTGGAAGGAATCTTCGAGCGTGTGGAAATGAGATCCCCGAGTTCGCCAACAAGATTATGGACCTACAGCAGCAGAAATACAAAACAGCCAGCAGAGGCGATACAGAGGAACCAAAATATGGCCCTTGAGGGGAAGTCAGTACGGTTCACTGTGAACACATATACAATCTGTTCCATACCGCCATCCAAGGCCGTCTGCTAGAGCACCGCCGATAACTGGACCTATAGAGGGGCCAACCTACACGTTCACCGTTGGTTGAGCGACGATCGCCCTTTACCAAGGCAACGATAATTACCAGAGGCCCCAAGCTGTATATCCCGAAGAAGCCGCCTCGTTCGGCTGGTATGGCTATATCACCTATAACCCCTGCGCCTGTAGTCGTGGTACTGGCGGAGCCTGCAGCTTGAAGGCAGCGCAGCAACATCAGAAGCCAGTACGCAGAGGTAGGCACCAAAGCCAGGCCGATGCACGATCCACAGAGCACCGTGAGACATGCTAGGAATACTGGACGCCTCCCGTAGCTATCCGCAATCGGTCCCCAAAACATGGGAGCTATGTACACGCAATTTAGATTTATAGATACCGCGTGCTCGTAGCGCTCACCAACACCCTGGAGGACCAAGTACATGGTCACTGTTAAATTGATCAGTTCAGTCGATTTGTGGAAGGCATTGACGATGACTGGTATTGCAGGCAGGTAAATGTTCGCTGTCAAAGGACTTCACTATATTTTAATCACGGGACAATATCATTGCTATTTCGCGCACCTAAACAAGCCAGCAAACGAGATGATGGCTACAAGGAACCATTTCTCGCGAAGAGAATATACGCTATACGGCGCGTGGTCTTCTGCTTGCGGGGCTGCCCTGTGGGTGTTTCCCCCGGACGTCGACATAGATGGGACGGGAAAAGAACGTGTCTCTGCTCATCCTATATAAAATTATTGAACCTGTAAGCACCAATGACTCAGCAAACCGCGAGGTTCGATGGGAACGAGTCAACGACAGCTAGCCATGAGAGGTTCTGGTTATAAATAACCTTTATGGGCGCTTGATTGGACGAGGTTTGATCCAAGTGGCTGTGCCAGTCCCCGGCTGGCGTACGTAGTTCGTCGGCATCCAAATTTAGATACGCTTCACTTCAAAATATGCAGATGTAGCACGCAGAGCAATACGTTAATTGTATCCAGCGTCTCTTCCCTTTCTCCATGGTCCCTCATCATCCTCTCTTCTAACTGTAACAGTATCCTCATGTTTAGCCGTTCTCCACTAGCCCTCATCTTGCCTTGATTCAACCTCGACGTACCTTTAAGCCACATACTGCTCTGTATATAGCCATATATGTACACGATTTAATGGCTACTATGCCCCTAGGTGCCCCTAGTATGAGCCCCTAGACAGCGAGTTGTAGGCACTCGTCCACATAGCTGCATAGCATGCCGGTAAACACGCCCATACCTCTCGCCGAGGATGGGAGGCGTGGATTCATTGAGTCATTTCGACGAAAACCCAATGTTTAGGCGTCTCGCTGAAGACAGCCTCCAGCGCTCCGACGACGAGAACAATAGACTCAGATCAGGACGTGCGAGCAGTGAGCACACAAGCATAGGAATTACACCAATTAAATAGGTCCAATTACAAGTGTTCAGCCAAAAGCAAAACATGAGGCCGGATCCTTTCAGTCGCTGTACCGTGGTGCAACGAAAATGTCCGTATCACCTTTCCTAGAAACTGCTGCATAGCGCGGTTTTGAGTCCCGACCCTTCCCACACCCTCGCGCCAGCGCCAGCGCCCCCAGGACAATCAATGCCAGTAGAACACCAGCGAGTAGACCAAGGGCGATATAACTATTCCTTATCAACTCTTTCAAGTCGAGGTCGAGGTCTCCACCTTCTCCGCTACCAGCAAGATGGACTTTCGCATCAGTGGGAGCGAGATCCGAGTCTGCTGTTGCGACCTTGCGGCCAGTAGTTTTGAATGGGGAAGTAATGAAGTTGAATCGCTGACTGTCAGAGCCATCGCAGTTATTCAGGAAGATTCGGTCGCCTTGTGTCCCTGCTGTTGGCCCAGATCCAACTTGAACGCATCTCCCGTTGAATTGTGACTTGACCACGCAGCCGTCGGCGACAAAGCCACCAGGAGCGACCTGACTCCCGCCCGTGCACCCAGAAGCGCATTCGATGAGGAACTTCTTGCGACTAGGAGTTGTTACTACGTTAGAAGCTAGAACATCGCATACATAGAATCAGAACTCACTCGTTCTCTTCATCGATGGGGAGGAAGTATAGATTGTCGTTGGTCGCACGAGACGCGATAGCGAGGTTAGTGCCATTCAGAGATCTGAAATCGATGATTAGCTCTCCTGTTTCCGAATATAATCAGGGGAAGCGGTGCTTACTTTGCTATATAGTAGGGGTTAGGGTGACCAGTTTGTTCGAAGCGAATCTCCAATCGCTTATTGAAGTCCCTTTCGGCGATGAGGTCGGTATTATCGACGAAAGCGGCAGCTCCCCAGTTGACAGCACTATTTGCTACCCTCACGCCTTCGAAGTCGAATGTGGGGTTGCAGATACTAGGAGTTGGCTTTGGGACTGAGGAAGGCTTGATTTGACTCGGTGCCGAGTGTCCATTGTCGTGCTCCCAAGGAGATTTGGTTGAAGACGGAGAGCTAGCAGTGGTGCTGGTGGGTGTAACGCGTTTGAAGAAGTTGAACCTTTGGCTGTCTTCTCGTTTACATGGAGTCACTACAGTCAACGCTTCGCCGGTACTCCCTCGTTGAGGTCCCTTTCCTATTTGCACGCATTGGTCGGGCTTATCCGCAAGTCTCATGAAACAGTTGTCCTCAACAAAGCTTCCACAATCACCACAATCTATGATGAAGCGCGTGTTTCTAAATGGTGCAGAGTTGGGTGATTAGGCGTCACTACGATAGAGGGGAGAAAATCACGTACGTCTGGTCTTTGGTCAGGTAAAGCGAGGAATTTGCCCGAAGACCGACGAAGAGCTTGGGATCTTCAAACGCGCTATGAGATGTTTGAATTGTCGTAACAGCATGTATGGGTAAGTAATGCTCAAGTCCGTAAGTGAATGAATCTACACACGTGATAGAAAACGAAGTCGGCGACGACGAAGCGACTTTATGGAACTTGAAAAGGCCACGCTCTCGCGCCTTTATCAAGCCGGAACCGTCCTTTATGCCACTGGAAAACCCTACAGGTTCTGAGTTGTTCCAATCGAACGGATCGTCGGAAGAGAATCCGGGCGTGCAGCTGGAACTTTGTCGCTGCTGAAGGGGCTTTCCAAGTACAACCATACCCGATAGGAGGTATAGCGATGTGAGGTAGAGAACAGTTCGATTCTTGACGGAGGCCATTCGTTGTGAAGGAAATTGAAAGGTGAAGGACGGGGGAAAGAAAATGGTGAATGTATAGGGTGAGTGTTGGCATATACCGCGTTATATAGGTCATGGGACGGGCGGTCGATCCTTGGCTTAACACCTGAGGCGGTTCGCGCTTCATGGGCCCAACGGTCAACGGTGTTTCATGTCCAGGATCATTGCATCGACGCAGGCGCACCCCTTGCCAAGAAAAACGAGTGGCACTGCCAAAGAATATAACGGGGAAATAGATATCCGAACTAGGAAGGAAGTGATTACGATACTACCCATGTCCGGTACACGCGCTTTTGCGATTGCTATGACTGAAACAAATTGAAAGCTAGTGAAAGCACTGGCTGTATGGCGGGAGGCGCATCAAACCGGACTTATTTGTTAGCAAATTGGCCAAGTGCGTTTCGCAAGCTTGAAAGAAAAATGTCGGAATTTAGTAGTTCATTTATGAGCAATGAATATATTACAGACTTCCTCCGAAGCAGAAACACGAGGTACGGGGGAGGATGTACACAATGCTTTGTGTTATATATATGAGTTGCTTATATAGTGGAGGAAGGTGCTAATGGTGAGAAGTACTGAAACTTTGGACCTGAAGATATATTGCGCCGAGAAAACAATTTGCGTGGGTAAAGCCAGACAAGTACAAGGAGGGCAAGAGAGGCTGAAGGGGAAGCTACCGGGAGTCTCCACAGGATTTAATCGTGAAGAGGAACCTGTTGAGCTCTCGCGATCGCCGTCTGGACGACAGCGGGGCTAAAGATCCTTGCCATAACCGCTTGGTTCAGAACCTCGATGCACCAGTCCTGGCAGTTCCATCGACCGTCCGGAACTCTGACCTGCGTGGTATTAGCAATCGCCTCCAGTTTAAGGCGGGCATCTTTCTCCAAGATTGCCAAAGGCACACGGACGAGCCTCTGCAGCTCATGGCTTTCTACAGCCCCAGTGAGCACTCCCCAGTTCGTCAGGTGAGGAACCCCGGGGTCTTGTCGCAGATGGCAGCGTCGGTGAGCTTCATGACCCGAAAGTGTAGTCCCTACATGCCAGGCCAGCATCCAGTGAGAGTCCTTGGGGGTGTTTGCGGCTCCAGTTCGGGAGCGTCGAGCAGCGGGATCGACCATGAGGAAGACTTGGAGCGCCTGCGCCGGGTCTTTGACAGTCCAGTCACCACTGGGCGCATAGGCACCTTGGGGACGACCGTAGGAGGGTAGATAGGCTGCCATGGACTGATGATCATAAGCGATATGAAGGGATGGATAGGGCTTGGTGAACTCACTGATAAGCTTGAAGAGATGAACTTGCTTTCGATGTCGAGGAGCTGAATTCTGCATTCCCTGGATGCCCTCGCAGAGATTATATAGACCTTGGGCTGATGTGGCCAAAATGTGTGGCCCACGAAATTAACAACCCACCCATCTACTACCACTTAGGACAATGGGTGGCGAGAGGCGCAATTGCCAGTTTTGACGAATATTGCAGTGGCCAAAATACATCGTCCACCCCAATCTTCAGGGAAGTGAATGAGGGCATGTCTATTCCCCAGATCCAACGACGGTCAAATAAGGCAACTAAAGTACAGTATCGATTAGATAGAGAAGGCTTCATAGGCGTTGAAAGTACTTACGAGAAACCTATAGAAGAAAATAGTAATAACCATCCTGACCGACACCGAAATTCATTACGTATAGGCCCTCCCGTCTTACATTAGTGTCACACCGGCGTCTGTGCTTAATTAGCAAACGATGTGACAATGCATACAATCCCTTGGGTGCCATTCACATGCCACGAAACACAATGGGTGACTGGAAGTGCATTGCCAGTTCTGGTAAATATCTCAGTGGCCAGAATATACCGTGCAGAGTGAACGGTCCAACCATCAGGGGCGAGGTCGAGGAGCAAGTCCTTTCGGAAAATCCAACGGCAGTCAAATAAGGCAACTAAAGTATAACATCGATTAAATCACAATCTCTGGTATTCGGTCAATACTAAAGGCGAAGTCAAGGCGTATGAGTGACTCACAAACGGCATGTAGGTAAATCAATAACCATTGCCATTGGCACCCATATGTATCCTTGCTTCATGTACGGGGAGTGACCCTTCCCGCCTCATGTCAACACCAGCATCTGGAGGCGGGATCGGTTGAATGAACTTTTCAGCTTCCGGCCTACGGGGCAAATGAAAGCTGTTATTGGCAAGATTTAAATAACAAGCAGAGAAATTATCCCTACCCTCCAAGCGCTCTGAGCACATCATCCACCAGCCTCTCCTTGTCCCCAGTTAACCTACTCATCTCAATCTCTGCGTTCGCCAGCTCTGCCGCCAATTCTTCCTGTTGATCGCGGGCATACTTATACTTCGCTTTGGTTAACAAGTACAAAACCTGATACGGCGTACGTCCCATGATAGTATCTGTCGCTTCGTCATATTGGTCGACAAATCGCTGAGGTAGGAGATCGAAGACGGATGGAGGGGAAGGCGGGCGAATATTAGATTGAGCGGAGGAGAAAGGGGGAGGGGGAGAATTACGCGTGAACATCGAACCATGTTTTGGCTGCGGTTGGGCAAAAGATGTGCCGTTGGTTGTATTGCCGTTGCCTTTCGACCCAAAGTAGTTCCCCGCCTCTCCTTCCTGCAGCGCTGCACTATCCAATTCTGACGGCGTGTGTGGTTCGACTTTGAACTGACTGAAACCAGACGCTGCGTCGGGTGGTTGGTGTCGAGACCACCGTTGGCTACCTTCATGGTTGGGCGTATCCGGCGGTCGGGCTGACGAATTCACGTCCTCTCCGCCATTTCGTTTGCGCTTGCGTGATGCTCCACGCCCAGGGGCTGGCGGCGAGATATTGTGTTGCAAACGCATGTGCTTAGCTAGTGCATCGGATCGCGTGAAGGATTTATCGCATTCTAGAAATTGAAAAGAAGGTCGTCGGATACACCGCTGCTGCCGCGCTCAAATAAACTCAACGTTACCTGGTAAACTGCAGATGAAAGGTTTCTCGCCAGTGTGCGACCGAATATGCGATATAAGGGCAAACCTGGAGGTCTGCGCTAATCCCCGCCGCGTACAGGATGCCCATTCGCAAGAGTAGCTCGATTTGTGGACTCCGATGTGGTCTATCAGGAATGGTAAGCAAAATTGAGTGGCTTCCAGGACACCGTGACAATACACGCGATTCAGCATAGAGACAGACCTCACCGTTGTGGATATGATCGATGAGTGTTGGCAGGTGGGTGTACACCTTGCCGCAGCCATCCCACTCACATGTAACGCTGTCCTCTACGATGGGTGGCTCGTCCCCTGGATGCGACGAATCGGGGGAATTTGGACGTGAGATAGACGGTAGGGGGCCATTCGTCTGTCCAGCATACGATGGCGAGTCATACTCTGAATCTGAGAGTGGAGAGGCCGTTGCAGGGGAGGAGCCTCGTTCACTCATGTCGGCCATCGTCGTCGTTCGCGTTAGAGTTTTGGGCGCTTGTCAGTGCTCAAGCTCACAGGTGTAAAGGGGTAACAAAACATCGAGGCTTGGGTGATAATATTCTACACCACGTAAGTAACCGAAATAAAAGTATATACTACATTTTGAACACCCTGGCCGCATACATGTTATGGTGATAATTTGAATACACCAGCCGAAATACAATTATGTAGAATATAATACCCCAGATATGAAGTCGTGAAGGTCGTAAAATGAATCATACCGGACGGAAGATTAAACTGCTCGTCCTAGGATTGTAGGTTGTAGAAGTTCCTCGTCCTTGGGTGGAACCTCGGGAGCACCATCGTCCCCGCTTGCCGACGGGATCTGGGGATTGATGTCGGGGAGGGAAGTCTCCGACCCTACGAAAGGCTGGCATGCCCTAGCCACGGATTCCACGACTGCTTGTGTTCCATTTTGAAGCACCTCGACGTGGCCGGTGGAACATTTCTCCTGTTCGGTATCGGCAGATAGTTCTCCGTCCATGCACTCCAATTTAGCGTCCCCGTTAGCTTCTGCCTCCGGCTGCACATCTGCTACTTCGACGGCAGATCGCGGGTCGTCAGGAAGATCCTTATCCTTGAACGGTTCTAGCGCTTCCGCAACGACAACGGCGTCGTGCAATTCTTCTCGCCTAATATCAACAACCGGAGATTCTATCGTGCTTTGGTACACAGCTCCACCACACGGTGCAGCATCGGGGAATGCAACGGCCGCATTGATGGATTCGACGGGACGAGGAGGAAGCGAACGTCTGTTGATCGAATGCGAGAAGGACGATGACATCGACGGCCTGGAGACTGTAGCGGTCGAAGGGCGAACATCCATGCTCGCGCGAGCCATAGCAATCTCCTTGGGGCTCCCAAGACACGAGGTGGGTGCTACGTCCAATTCAGGGACATAAGTCTCCTGGGCGGGAACGCTAACTCCCAACGTCTCTAGGATGTTGATGACTGGGACGTGTCCTCGGGTGGATTGCATCCGGTGGGCGTACGTACATGTATTTCTGTTATAAGAGGACGTGTTGGTCAGAGATTGGTTCGAGTCGGAATTGGCATATACCTTACCCTGGACCCAAGACGAATTCACCTCCCAATCGATTAGTGTCCCCTCCCTTCTCCCAGAGAGGTAGCCCAACCTTCAGCGCCCTGAACACGACAGCCGCGAACCCTCCCACAGCACCCCTCTTTGCGTACTCTGTTGGCTCACCCCTCCTTCTCTCCCTCTTCGTCCCCTTCTCAACGACGCCCATCCGCAACGCATCGTACACCTTCGAGCTCGGATCCGAGAATACCTCGAATGAATTCGAAATATTCAGCATCTGCTTATACTTCGCAATCATACTCGGGGCGCCATTTCCGATGATCACCAATCGCATACCAGATATCGCGAGAAGATCTGGGTCGACCGAGCGATTCAGCTGAGAGATGTAGTCCTGGCAATTAGGACACCAGAAATGACGGATGAATATGACTATAGTTCGCTGTGCAGCGAAGATCGAGGAGAAGGGGACGCGGACGCCGCTTTGGGCAACAACGCTGAGTGCGCCGGCGCGTTCGAGCTGAGCTGAAGAGGGTAGAGCCCACTCGGCGGCGTTGCCATGTCTCTCCGTCGTAGAAACAGGGGAATCAGAAGCAAGCGGCACAGAGTATCCGGACGTCGATGAAGAGGGTGGGTCGTAGGAAGTCGAAGACTCCGAGGGGGAAGATACGTGGACATAAGATGAAGACGCGGAAGGGGGCACAATAACGTTCACGAGGGGTGAGAACGAAGTTCTGCGCTTGTTCTCGCGAACAGAAGGCGGGTTAGGTTTATTATAGAAGAAATCAGCCTCAGAGCTTGCTGAAGATTCGGCCGTCCGCGGTCGCCGTTTGGAGGAGAACAGAAGCGTAGAATTCGCTTTAAGTTGACGCTTGGTCGGGGACGGAGGTTGGTTCAGCGGCGAAAGGCTTGGGACTTTAGTTAGTCTGGTGGGAACAGTGTCTGCCGTCTGCGGTCTATCTGTTTGCCTCCGTGGGGCTATGAATTGCGAGATACGACCGCGATAGTGTACAGGGAGATACTCGAGTTCGCTTTCGGTACCGCTGCTGTCGTCTTGAACGAGACTAGGGGGCTGAGGCGTCGCAGGGAGGATATCTGGCTCGAGGATGAAGGACTGTTGGTGCCAGAAATCATATGGTGAAGAAGACGCCGTGTGAAACGCAGTGACCGATTGTGAACGTGTACGGTAATGACCTTCGCGTGCTGGCGTCGCGTTCAATGGCCTGGCACCGAAATGCTCTGCTGTCGAGTATATACCGAGCACTGGTGGATGGAAGCTGTCCTGGCTGTTGCACTGCAACGGCGTCCCAGAGCTTTTACTTCTAAGCACTGAGAGGGGTGCGAAGGGATCACATGGATCTGGAGCAGGATACCGTTCATTCAAGTCAATTGACGGGGCTGGTTTTCGTTTGATGCGAGGTTGACGAGGTGTAGAGAGGGCTGAGGACATGATGGGGGTGGGGGTCCAAGGGGACAGCTGGCTCACCAGGCTGGTTCCAGTACTTGAGTATGTTTCGAGACACGACCCTTCACGCGGGGGGTTTATCAAGCACGTACCATGCGTTCTCCAGTCTGTCCTTATGAATGTGGCATACGAAGCAAAGTTTGGCTGGTGCACGTGTGCATCGTGGTTGCCAGTTGCGTCCTAGTGATTTTGAGTAAACCAAAGCTAGAGTCAGTGCTAGTGCCTGGTAGTTCGACCGCCGTTACGGAAGATCCACGTAGAGCGAGGAGCCGATCCATCGATGTCGCCCGCTGAGGACTGAAGCGAGTTGTAGGTAGCAGATAGCCAGAAGCTTCGATAGTAGAGTTGGTCTGAACGGGAGCATTGTTTATCAGGATGGTAGCATGCGGTCAAGGATGAAATGAGAAGTGTGATTTCCAGAGGTTGCGTGACTGACATTGTCAATGACATGAAGAACTCAGTCACGGGCGCTTCTTCTAGCTCTAAGGCAACGGAACATTAACAGACCGTTTCAACACCATCCCTCGTTGTCACGACCGCGCAAGAACTTTGCAAGATAGCTTGCATTGGCGGTAGCTTGGCGCACCGATGTCCAGCAGTTATGTCGACATTTATTAGGGATGCATATCAAAGGTTGGCGAATCAAGCTGAAAACTGGGATACGGCTGGTGGGGACTTGGCAGTGGGACCCAGGCAAAGGGAATATTGTGGTGTCGACTTGCAGTTAATAGCATGCTGGTTGTCAACAAGTTGCCTCGAACGAAATGACGGCAACGAGGAGGGAAGAATAGTTCCAAACGAGGCGGAAGAACGCAGCCTGCATCGATACGCACTACTCATCTTGTATTATTACTCTGAGGGACGAAGGAACTGTACGTGGTGCCCACCTTGGTTCGGCGACCCAACGCCTCTTGCTCCGACTGCCATTCCACTCTAGAAATCCTACCATCTGAGTGATTTAATTGATACAAACCACTGCAGTGACTTAGCACCCGAAGCGACAGGCTGCGACTTACCAAACACCAATCTCATTAATACGGGCATATAGGCGTGTCAGACATGGTGGAAAGGCTGGGCACCCCACTACACAATAGATATCGCGTACGTGTGAGGAATAGATTGTGAAGAACCATAGTATTGAACTGGCTTGAGAGATAGACGTTGGTGACACAGAGAGAGGGTGGTGAAGGACGGATCCAATCGACGGGCGCTTACCTATATTCTATAACTTCAAGTTCTTGTTCGCTGTTCGCTGATGCTGGCAAACACTTCTCACAGCGGCCACCATCTTCAAGCATCGCCAGGCTATTCTCCAATAAGGATACTCTTACCGCCCAGGTGGTGACTTGCGCGGCATGGCCATGCGAATGCCTTGAGCGTGGGGTATGTGGCATTTTTGCTCCGACACCGCCATGAATCGTTGACGGAGATTTGTTAAGGAACTGCGAACGTACAATGGATATACCTTTGCCAATGCAGCGCTCAATTGATGTTGCCAGCTAGGCACTCTGAGCGGCGACGCCGTGAGCGACATGCCCGACTGGGCGGCTCAGTTTCGACAAGGCCTCATCGGAAACTTTGTCGCCTCTGCATATACATTGTATTGTGAGGCCATGTTGTTTGACCGTATCACCGCACAGGACCAATGAATACCGGCAGTTAAGCTTTGGATGGGACAGTTCCAGCACAACGTAAGCGTTCAATGCAGTGCAATTGTTTGATCCCACTGATCTGCCTTCGATTACTTCAGGACCGCCTTCAAGTGTACCCGCGCTCACTGCTGAACGGTTCCGACTCCATTCACGGTCTCCAGCGGTGCCAAGGCTTGCGCTCACAAGATCTAACACCGGATTGGCCGGATGATATCCCCATTCCGCCTCAGAACTTCCTTATGCGTATTTTGTTGGACATTGCCTTCTCAACGTTGCTTCTTGGCAGTAGGGTGGCTTGAACCTATTGAAACGTCTTGGATCTCGGGCAACTACCTCTTATAAATGTCAGTCTCCGAGGGAGCGTTTACTACACCGATCTCCTTTTCTCGTCTTTCCTTTTCTCCTTTCTCTCTCTACGATGTTGTCTGTGTCGGCTGTACTCTACCTGACATCCATACTCTCCGGGGTCACACTAGCCACACCCTCAGCAAACCGTCGAGACTCTCATGAAATATGTACGCCAAACTTTGAGGCGGACGCCCCTTACGACTGGAATAACTCGGAGGCCGTTGGACTGCTGAATGGTGTGGCCGTGGGCTCAGCGCTCATCAAGAGATCTCCCGCTGCATTCTTCAAGTTCACGAAGATTTCGTCGACACCGCCCTCATTCACAGTCCAGTAAGTGCCACCTCTGATTAAATTTACATCTCGTGCTTAATCGCTACCCCAGTGCCTTTGATAATCCGGAATTAGCTGTCGGACTCAGCAGCAACAAGTCCCTCACCCTGACCTCTAGTCATGGCGACGAGTATGCGTGAGTCCCTTCACGCGTGTTCAACTGATATATATCGTTGCTGACAAGTCGTCAACTCAGTGATACCAAGTTCCTCATCGAATGTACTTTTTGCGGCAGTGCGGTCCAGGACAACTGCTTCATGAAGCTCGCCGAATATCCGGACCACTGCGTTCAAGTGGGCAACGCGAAGGATGCCGCTGGAAACCCGACAAGAGGCGGTTCGGGAGATCCGTTGTTCGTGACCTCGCCTTGTAGGAAGGACGACAGCCAGCGGTTCAACTATTTCAAGAAAGACCTTCCTCCTTCCCCGCCACCTACGCTGGAGACTCCCTCCACACCACCTTCGGGGCAAGTCGTTTGCAACCCCAACTTCGAGTTCGAGGGCGTACGTGTGGCGAACAGCGCCGTCAACTGGGGTGCTCCTGCTTTCGTCGACAACACGGATCTTCTGGCGGAGAGCGACTTCAACAAGCGTCTGGAGATTCGTTTCGAGCAAACTGGACATCCCAACCCGTACTATATCGCTAAGTGAGCACATCGCACTATCGTTTCAAGGCATGCGGACTGATTGTAGGTTCATAGGTCGTTGAACGGAAGTAACCTTGTGGTCGCTACCCGCGCCGTTAACGATAACTTGTACTTCATCCCTGCCGACGAGCAGAACGAGTACGTTCCCTTCCGCGTTTCATCGCTAACTTCTCCTAACACAGTTGTTGTTGTTAGCCGCACGAAGTTCCTAATCGAATGTGTCTCCGGATGCCAGGGTGCTGGCCAGGTCCCTCCGGGAAGTCTTTCTGCAGATGGGTGCACGATCAAGTCCCAGTTCAACGGCAAGTGCGTCCAAATTGGCAGCGGCCCACAAGCAGGTTCCAACGGCGACCGCATCTTCCTCAACAACTGCGACGCGACCGACAGCCAGCGCTTCAACTTCATCACCTCACCCTTCAAGAGAACCGGTATCGATGTGAACTTCAACTCCGACGTCGCGCCTTCCAGCGATGTCAAGGTGCACCTCGCTGGCAACGAAGACGGCGGTGAACTCGATGTGGACTTGAAGGAACTGATCAGGAACAGTTATATTGCGCTTGGGTTGCTCGCGGGTGTCTTGGTCGGCATGATCGTATTCGGTGTGATGATGCTCGCACGAGGATGCATGAAAGGCCGCGACTCGAAGCCCCGATATACCGTTGTAGCCGGCAAGAACGACGTCGAGGCATTCACGGCGCCTTCTGGTCGCTACAGCGACTAAAAGCATTTCATGATACTGCTTTGTCGATTATTTCATGGACTTTCATACTGTGGGCTCTCTATTAAGTTGTAGCAGTCGTGATATTTATAAATACCATTGATGGACTTGTTGCATAGTAATCGTTTACATTCTTTCTTAGCTCGGGCCCCCGTTGTCGTTGTTGGATATCCATTATCGTTTGGATAGCAAGATATCAACGTTATATCAACTCTCATCGGGTTGCAAGCCCCAAGTGACGGGCGCCCAACTCCTATTCTCCCTGTTGCTCCTCCTCGTACCGCCCAAGTCAAGTCCTGGTCTGTGCTCGTTACCCTCTCTTTAAATACGACGGTCGGACATCTAGAATCCTTACCACTCTGGCCTTTTGGCTTAGATCAAGTGTAGTATCTGTTCTTAATAGTTTAACCACTATTATGGGGGCACCGCCCCCATTCATTGGTTATCTTATTTTTGCCGCCCCTAGTCTCTGTGCTCTGCTTGCAACACGGTGGCTGCGATGACCTTGCTACTGCACTATCGGCTTGTGTCGTCAGGGGATTCCTTTTTCCCTCTCTTTTTGCTGTTGCATGCACCTCGCCAGTTGGTTGAGTGGTTGGCTGCAGCAAATAGAACTGGTTGATTGGAATTTTGTATTCGGCCTCACCTTCCTGTTTTTGGCATCATCGACACTGAGTAGATGGGGCGCCGCATGACTTGTTGCGCAGGATCAAGGTGATGTCGCAGTGCTAACATATTCGATAATCTCACGTACAATCACCACTTAGTTGGCTTTCCGCCCACAACAGATTAGGCTGACGAGAACGGGCCGAGCGCGAGCGTCGAGGACTTCACGCGCAAGTACCAATGCAAGTTATCATTATTCTATATCAAGTTCTATATGATCATATACGCGCAATGTGCTGCAATGTGTTTATCAATACGGTCCCGGTTGTGGCGTCTGTCGGCGTCCCTGTAAGCTTGATGTTGATCTTCACGCTCACCGTGCCGTATTTGTTGCCAACGACGATGCATTGCCAGTGTGTGAGTGCTTGCTCTCTGGACCGCTGTTACGGTTGATCTCATCTTCGTGTTTCGTCTGTGTAGGGTGCTACCGGCGCACTGATGCTACCATCGGTTATAGAGTAGGAGCAACACAATGCAGACTAGAGTCTTTACGCTTTCAAGGAATTGTTCGGGACCCATCGCGTCGCGCCTACTGGTCGGGCTCACGGGGTTGTTCTTCCGGAAGCTTGAAAGCGACGACTTTCCAAGTTAGGCAATTAGTATTTGCAACTCATTCAATATTGACCTACAAAGGCACTCTTACGAAGCTATCCGGTGGCTTCAACACCCAAGCAGCGTGTTCATTGACTTTCGTGGCCACACTACGATGGCGACTCTATCAAATCTGGCCTTATTTGCGATTAAATGCAACATCTGATGCAAATCTCAGTCAACCTCTTCGCTATTGGACTCCACACTCACTATAGATTAGTCCTTGTCGCTATTCAGCGTGTCCTACTTGCATAACTCCGGTCGTCCTCAAGGCATGCCTCCACGCATGGCAATCATGAATCCTGCTAACCTGTCCCTCTCGCCTATCGGTACCGCACTGGACCCAAGATGACCTCTCGTGATTCTCCCTGGATGATCTTTTAGGATATCGGTGTGACTAGTACTGGCCATCCTGCTCAACGACGTTGCCACCTCGTCCAAGATCACGATATTCAACAACCGCTATGACCGATGCCGTGGGGGCCGCCTCCGAAGGAATATCCATCCATGATCTAAGCTCCTCGAGTAATGACTTTAGCCGAACGCCAGGCTTCGGGTAAAATTGCGAATGCTGCCCCGGTTCGAGTTCCTGACGGGAAATGGAATTGCCAAGACTGGTGACTCGACATCTTCCAGCAAGCCATCAAGCACGGGCCCTTGTCTGCGTCTGAAGTCAAGGCTGCAACTGACCGCGTTTGAACTGTTCAACCTATTGCCGCTGAACGATGCCTCGAGTTGTATTTTGTAGGAAGGATCTCACGCTTGTATCTGTATCACTGTCATATATTTATCTGAATGCATATCAATCAGATAATGCCCACGTCCTGAACCCAGCAGACACTCTTTTGGCTTAATTATTCTGATTTGAAGTCGTCAGGCATATTGTGTCCACTCTAACTATGCGATGGAAGTCTTGAATGATGTACAGTTTCAGACGGTATGGAGAATTGAAGGGGTATATGGAGGAAAGGTTCGGGCGGTTACGCTTGAATATGGGCTAGGCGGAGGCTGCCCTCGCTCTCCGCTTTGCACGACATCGGGGGCCAATCCATTGCACTATAAACACCAACGGCATCATAACCAAGCAAAGGCCACCGAACAAAACATATGTCCATCCTGGCGTGAGTGCTCTCAGGATGATATCAACTACGCCGACCAATGCAGCCCCGAGGGAGCACCTAACGAGATTATTCTGGAATAGGCAGCTGGTCAGGGAGGTACGGCGTCGGAGGGTATGAAGGACGTACGCAAGCGGTTATAGATGAGCTCTGGCCAGGGAGGAGGTCAATAAACAGAGTTTGCGTCGTGTTCATTATCATGATACCGATGAGGCCAACTAAGCGTGAAGTTTGTGAGCGAGTCAAGATGACAAGAAAGGAGCTCGTGGTTCACTTAGGAATTGCAGTATCAACGGTCCGGCGAGTGAAACTCTCCGCTGTAAACACCAGCCATAGCCGGTGACACAACCAGCGTACAAAATGAGTAAATATGGAACGGTGCGAAGTCGAGCACGTTCGATGGGGAAGTTCTCATCCTTGGTGACCTCCATGATTATATTCTTCTTCTTACTCTCCGCCGCCGCTTCGTGATCTGTTGCAATGCCTGGCTGTGGTTGTTTTTCGTCCTCGGATTGCTGGATCATCGCCTTCTTGATGAGTTCCCTTTTGATGGCTTGATACTCCCTATCGAGGATTCGCCCCGTTGCAATGGCGCCAACGGCACAACCGCCTCCGATGGAAAGAAAGCACAGACCAATACGAGTCTGGTCAAGAAATGGATAGATGTCCGTGAAGAGCGAAGAAAGCGACGCGGTCACAACGGTGAACACAGCATAGAGAATTCCGTTAAATAGCAGGAGGGTCTGAAGGTGTTTGTCAGTGAAAATCAGCTGACCGGAGGACACGAGCTGACCAGTACGTCGGGATAGGTAAGTATACGTAGGGGATTCTTGAATTTGAAGATTATCTTTGGGTCTTCGTCGCTAGTGGGTTGTCCCGCTCTTTGGGCCGCGAGGATAGGCACGAGTGGCTGGTATATTTTGGGAGGCCGTATGCTACCGTTTCCCACCATAGCTCTGAGAGTCTCTGGAAGGAATCTTCGAGCGTGTGGAAATGAGATCCCCGAGTTCGCCAACAAGATTATGGACCTACAGCAGCAGAAATACAAAACAGCCAGCAGAGGCGATACAGAGGAACCAAAATATGGCCCTTGAGGGGAAGTCAGTACGGTTCACTGTGAACACATATACAATCTGTTCCATACCGCCATCCAAGGCCGTCTGCTAGAGCACCGCCGATAACTGGACCTATAGAGGGGCCAACCTACACGTTCACCGTTGGTTGAGCGACGATCGCCCTTTACCAAGGCAACGATAATTACCAGAGGCCCCAAGCTGTATATCCCGAAGAAGCCGCCTCGTTCGGCTGGTATGGCTATATCACCTATAACCCCTGCGCCTGTAGTCGTGGTACTGGCGGAGCCTGCAGCTTGAAGGCAGCGCAGCAACATCAGAAGCCAGTACGCAGAGGTAGGCACCAAAGCCAGGCCGATGCACGATCCACAGAGCACCGTGAGACATGCTAGGAATACTGGACGCCTCCCGTAGCTATCCGCAATCGGTCCCCAAAACATGGGAGCTATGTACACGCAATTTAGATTTATAGATACCGCGTGCTCGTAGCGCTCACCAACACCCTGGAGGACCAAGTACATGGTCACTGTTAAATTGATCAGTTCAGTCGATTTGTGGAAGGCATTGACGATGACTGGTATTGCAGGCAGGTAAATGTTCGCTGTCAAAGGACTTCACTATATTTTAATCACGGGACAATATCATTGCTATTTCGCGCACCTAAACAAGCCAGCAAACGAGATGATGGCTACAAGGAACCATTTCTCGCGAAGAGAATATACGCTATACGGCGCGTGGTCTTCTGCTTGCGGGGCTGCCCTGTGGGTGTTTCCCCCGGACGTCGACATAGATGGGACGGGAAAAGAACGTGTCTCTGCTCATCCTATATAAAATTATTGAACCTGTAAGCACCAATGACTCAGCAAACCGCGAGGTTCGATGGGAACGAGTCAACGACAGCTAGCCATGAGAGGTTCTGGTTATAAATAACCTTTATGGGCGCTTGATTGGACGAGGTTTGATCCAAGTGGCTGTGCCAGTCCCCGGCTGGCGTACGTAGTTCGTCGGCATCCAAATTTAGATACGCTTCACTTCAAAATATGCAGATGTAGCACGCAGAGCAATACGTTAATTGTATCCAGCGTCTCTTCCCTTTCTCCATGGTCCCTCATCATCCTCTCTTCTAACTGTAACAGTATCCTCATGTTTAGCCGTTCTCCACTAGCCCTCATCTTGCCTTGATTCAACCTCGACGTACCTTTAAGCCACATACTGCTCTGTATATAGCCATATATGTACACGATTTAATGGCTACTATGCCCCTAGGTGCCCCTAGTATGAGCCCCTAGACAGCGAGTTGTAGGCACTCGTCCACATAGCTGCATAGCATGCCGGTAAACACGCCCATACCTCTCGCCGAGGATGGGAGGCGTGGATTCATTGAGTCATTTCGACGAAAACCCAATGTTTAGGCGTCTCGCTGAAGACAGCCTCCAGCGCTCCGACGACGAGAACAATAGACTCAGATCAGGACGTGCGAGCAGTGAGCACACAAGCATAGGAATTACACCAATTAAATAGGTCCAATTACAAGTGTTCAGCCAAAAGCAAAACATGAGGCCGGATCCTTTCAGTCGCTGTACCGTGGTGCAACGAAAATGTCCGTATCACCTTTCCTAGAAACTGCTGCATAGCGCGGTTTTGAGTCCCGACCCTTCCCACACCCTCGCGCCAGCGCCAGCGCCCCCAGGACAATCAATGCCAGTAGAACACCAGCGAGTAGACCAAGGGCGATATAACTATTCCTTATCAACTCTTTCAAGTCGAGGTCGAGGTCTCCACCTTCTCCGCTACCAGCAAGATGGACTTTCGCATCAGTGGGAGCGAGATCCGAGTCTGCTGTTGCGACCTTGCGGCCAGTAGTTTTGAATGGGGAAGTAATGAAGTTGAATCGCTGACTGTCAGAGCCATCGCAGTTATTCAGGAAGATTCGGTCGCCTTGTGTCCCTGCTGTTGGCCCAGATCCAACTTGAACGCATCTCCCGTTGAATTGTGACTTGACCACGCAGCCGTCGGCGACAAAGCCACCAGGAGCGACCTGACTCCCGCCCGTGCACCCAGAAGCGCATTCGATGAGGAACTTCTTGCGACTAGGAGTTGTTACTACGTTAGAAGCTAGAACATCGCATACATAGAATCAGAACTCACTCGTTCTCTTCATCGATGGGGAGGAAGTATAGATTGTCGTTGGTCGCACGAGACGCGATAGCGAGGTTAGTGCCATTCAGAGATCTGAAATCGATGATTAGCTCTCCTGTTTCCGAATATAATCAGGGGAAGCGGTGCTTACTTTGCTATATAGTAGGGGTTAGGGTGACCAGTTTGTTCGAAGCGAATCTCCAATCGCTTATTGAAGTCCCTTTCGGCGATGAGGTCGGTATTATCGACGAAAGCGGCAGCTCCCCAGTTGACAGCACTATTTGCTACCCTCACGCCTTCGAAGTCGAATGTGGGGTTGCAGATACTAGGAGTTGGCTTTGGGACTGAGGAAGGCTTGATTTGACTCGGTGCCGAGTGTCCATTGTCGTGCTCCCAAGGAGATTTGGTTGAAGACGGAGAGCTAGCAGTGGTGCTGGTGGGTGTAACGCGTTTGAAGAAGTTGAACCTTTGGCTGTCTTCTCGTTTACATGGAGTCACTACAGTCAACGCTTCGCCGGTACTCCCTCGTTGAGGTCCCTTTCCTATTTGCACGCATTGGTCGGGCTTATCCGCAAGTCTCATGAAACAGTTGTCCTCAACAAAGCTTCCACAATCACCACAATCTATGATGAAGCGCGTGTTTCTAAATGGTGCAGAGTTGGGTGATTAGGCGTCACTACGATAGAGGGGAGAAAATCACGTACGTCTGGTCTTTGGTCAGGTAAAGCGAGGAATTTGCCCGAAGACCGACGAAGAGCTTGGGATCTTCAAACGCGCTATGAGATGTTTGAATTGTCGTAACAGCATGTATGGGTAAGTAATGCTCAAGTCCGTAAGTGAATGAATCTACACACGTGATAGAAAACGAAGTCGGCGACGACGAAGCGACTTTATGGAACTTGAAAAGGCCACGCTCTCGCGCCTTTATCAAGCCGGAACCGTCCTTTATGCCACTGGAAAACCCTACAGGTTCTGAGTTGTTCCAATCGAACGGATCGTCGGAAGAGAATCCGGGCGTGCAGCTGGAACTTTGTCGCTGCTGAAGGGGCTTTCCAAGTACAACCATACCCGATAGGAGGTATAGCGATGTGAGGTAGAGAACAGTTCGATTCTTGACGGAGGCCATTCGTTGTGAAGGAAATTGAAAGGTGAAGGACGGGGGAAAGAAAATGGTGAATGTATAGGGTGAGTGTTGGCATATACCGCGTTATATAGGTCATGGGACGGGCGGTCGATCCTTGGCTTAACACCTGAGGCGGTTCGCGCTTCATGGGCCCAACGGTCAACGGTGTTTCATGTCCAGGATCATTGCATCGACGCAGGCGCACCCCTTGCCAAGAAAAACGAGTGGCACTGCCAAAGAATATAACGGGGAAATAGATATCCGAACTAGGAAGGAAGTGATTACGATACTACCCATGTCCGGTACACGCGCTTTTGCGATTGCTATGACTGAAACAAATTGAAAGCTAGTGAAAGCACTGGCTGTATGGCGGGAGGCGCATCAAACCGGACTTATTTGTTAGCAAATTGGCCAAGTGCGTTTCGCAAGCTTGAAAGAAAAATGTCGGAATTTAGTAGTTCATTTATGAGCAATGAATATATTACAGACTTCCTCCGAAGCAGAAACACGAGGTACGGGGGAGGATGTACACAATGCTTTGTGTTATATATATGAGTTGCTTATATAGTGGAGGAAGGTGCTAATGGTGAGAAGTACTGAAACTTTGGACCTGAAGATATATTGCGCCGAGAAAACAATTTGCGTGGGTAAAGCCAGACAAGTACAAGGAGGGCAAGAGAGGCTGAAGGGGAAGCTACCGGGAGTCTCCACAGGATTTAATCGTGAAGAGGAACCTGTTGAGCTCTCGCGATCGCCGTCTGGACGACAGCGGGGCTAAAGATCCTTGCCATAACCGCTTGGTTCAGAACCTCGATGCACCAGTCCTGGCAGTTCCATCGACCGTCCGGAACTCTGACCTGCGTGGTATTAGCAATCGCCTCCAGTTTAAGGCGGGCATCTTTCTCCAAGATTGCCAAAGGCACACGGACGAGCCTCTGCAGCTCATGGCTTTCTACAGCGCCAGTCAGCACTCCCCAGTTCGTCAAGTGAGGAACCCCGGGGTCTTGTCGCAGATGGCAGCGTCGGTGAGCTTCATGACCCGAGAGCGTAGTCCCTACATGCCAGGCTAGCATCCAGTGAGAGTCCTTGGGGGTCTTTGCGGCTCCCGTTCGGGAGCGGCGAGCAGCGGGATCGACCATGAGGAAGACTTGGAGCGCCTGCGCCGGGTCTTTGACAGTCCAGTCACCACTGGGCGCATAGGCACCTTGGGGACGACCGTAGGAGGGTAGATAGGCTGCCATGGACTGATGATCATAAGCGATATGAAGGGATGGACAGGGCTTGGTGAACTCACTGATGAGATTGAAGAGATGAACTTGCTTTCGATGTCGAGGAGCTGAATTCTGCATTTCCTGGATGCCCTCGCAGAGATTATATAGACCTTGGGCTGATGTGGCCAAAATGTGTGGCCCACGAAATTAACAACCCACCCATCTACTACCACTTAGGACAATGGGTGGCGAGAGGCGCAATTGCCAGTTTTGGCGAATATTGCAGTGGCCACATCACTTCGTCTACAATGAATGGTCTAACCTCCATGGATGTGCACGAGGGACATGTCTATTCTTCGACAACTACAATGGCGATCAAATGAGGGAACTAAAGTATATCATCGATGAGATGATGAGTTAGGTACAAAGACCAATCCAAAGGCATAGAAATGACTTACGAGCAATGTACAGGTGACGGTGTTGATGACCACTCCGACCAGCACCTATATTCATCGTGCATAGACGGTAACCCTACCGCCCATCTTGTAGCCCTTTCCCTATGCCGAACTATTGCCGCAACGAATGACCCAGGAAGTAGTCGTCATCTGCGGACCGCGTGGGTATGCAGCCGAGACTCGTGGGATGGGATTTGTATCGCTGATCGGATCGAGACGTACTTTCCTTCAACAAACATAACCTTGATACTTGAAACACATGGAGGCCATCGCGAAACTTGAAGACAGGGAGATCGAGAAAGTCCTCTTTCCCAGTGAGTGACAGCGGAGGACCTGTAGTAGATTGGTAATAGATCCCTTGTTTAGCCCTCGGCGCCTTTCTGCCATTACTGGCACAAAACAAGGATGCGATTGCGAGTGTTCCAGTGAAGACGTTCACCTACGGAGGCACCCCAAGGCACCAGGTCTGTACTTCCTAACAATAGTAGGCGCGGATGCCATTCCTCACGGGCCTTCCCACTCCAGCTCGATGTTTACTATCCTCCCAATCCCACAAGCGGAGCGAGCCCTGTCCTATTCTTCATATACGGGGGCGGGTTCACGAGTGGCGAACGTACATTGCCTGGCCCGGCGAGCCTGGCGTACGCTAACCTGGGGGCATACTTTGCCCGGAAAGGCTTCATCGTCGTCGTCCCCGATTACCGACTCGTACCCCACGTCAAGTTCCCCGGGCCAGCTGAAGACATCCGTGACGCCGTAACATGGGTCGTAGATGACCTGAACAAGTCGAGCGGTGCTGGTCTTCCACAAGCAGAGACGAACTCGATCTTCATTGCGGGTCATTCAGCTGGTGCGGCCCACACATGCACAACCGTTTTCTACCCTGGTCTGGCCCCGGCTGAACTGAAGCAACACATCAAAGGCCTCGTTTTGATGTCTGGCGCCTATCACAACTTTCCCGCCGGAACTAAGGGTGATTTCGAAGATCTCAAGGACGTATATTGGTCGGGGGAAGAGCACATGAAGAAGAACGAGCCGCTGCAGTTACTTCAGGGTGTTCCGGAGTCAGAGGTGGCGAAGATACCTAGTATATTGCTGGTGGAAGGCGAACGGGAACCTGAATGGCTGCAGATCGTCGGGGAAGACTTCTACAAAGAGGCGTCGAAGAGAGGCGTTCATGCAGAGAAGTTAATCGCCAAGGGGCATAATCATATCAGTCTCTCCATGGCGTTATCGTCGGGACAAGGAGAGGAGTGGGCTGATACGGCGGCGGAATGGATGCTGGCAAGACTCAGCTCGTAATCGAACGTGCAATCGTGCTGGAATGGTTTTCTCTGTACGAAATACAAGACAATGATATACAATGAAGGCAAGTTATGTCCTGGGCGCATCACGCCACTCGACGCCTCTTCCTCGGCTGTGGCGAGGGGTCGTGCACTGGTAACGTGTAATAATCTTCATCGTCAGCGTTCTCATCAACCTCCTCGAGGTTTAGCGGTGCCCGCGTTCGTGTGTTGACTCGATGCCGTAATGATTGCATGGCTAGGCTGACGAAGGAGTTTGCTGCGTGTAGCTCCTGCGACTCGGCTTGCGCGATGGGAGGGGCATAATATCTCCGCTTCTTGCGCAGCACGACCAACTGAGTGACTCCGTTGACTGTCGAAGAGCCGAATGCGAAGTAATGTGAGGAAGGAGCGCCACTCGCTTCGAGTTGGGGAGGTTGCTGAAGGATGGGGATGATCCGCATTACCGATCGGCGGGGAGGTGGGGGAAGCGAGCCCGTGCTGGCTACTTGTTGTTCTGAAGGTGCATCGACGTTCTCAAGCATAAGACCAGGGGAGCTACAAAAGGAAGACAATCAGAGCCGTTGTCATACAATAGAAACAAGGGCGCCTACCTCTGACTGCAGGTGACAGAACTAGTCTTTATTGTCTCCATCACTGCCATCATGTTATGAATGTTGTTGATGAATCGATTGTTACTTGGGTGGTGCTGAGGTGGTATTGCTGAGTAGGAGGATGCTTTCGTTGGGTTCTTATGCTGGGCTCGTCCGGCCTTATGTACAGCATAAGGTGAGCCGCTTTGGCAGTGGCAAAGCGAGGATAGCCACGATGGCGTCAGCCATAGTTGCTTTGGCTCAGGCGTGTAAGGGGTGAGGCACGGACGGTACATGAGGATGTATGGGATCTGATAGGTATCGAGAACGTCGTAGCATATGGGCTTGTAGATTATCAGAGTGGCCTTGTGTCGTCCTCCGTGATATCACCATACTACATACTTGTCGAACCGACCCCAGGATGCATCGTAAAATCAATGTCGCTTGAACGCTTGAACAGCTATGCCAAATCGTATTGGCCAATGATCGTGCCCACAGGCGGATCCATAGCGAGCGCTTTGTCCACAGTCGCGTAAGCGATAGCAACGTCCTGTAACCCTACTCCGACCGATTTGAACATCGTAACACCTCCGAAAGTAGTGGGTCCTCTCGGGTACGCCTCGCATTTTCCAATCATCTCGCCCATCTCGATAATCGCATCAGGACCGATCCCCGCGTCGATGAGCTCGCCAGCTTCTTTGGCACATGCTTCCTTGGAATCGACCAGCAGAACTCCACCACGACTTGTATCGCATGCTCGGAGGACAAGTGATGTATCAACTTCGTGCATCCGGGGTGTGTAGCTGCCGATCAAGATAATATGTGTTCCGTCGCGGACCCACTGAGAAGGGAACAAAGGGCGCGTCGACGATGTAGCGCAGATGATCACCGACGCATCACCAACGAGGGACTCGATTTCTTCGTCTGCTGTGTCTTCCCTCGCTATACATCTGATCCTGACATGGGGGTATCTTGAAGTGAAGTACTGCTGAAGGGAGGATAATCGAGCGTTGTTGGATCGGTTAACAATGGTGCACTGCCGGATAGATGGGTATGCGCGAATATGAAGGTCGAGATGGGTCTCTATCTGCTTCCCTGCTCCAAACGCGACGATTGTTGCCGGATCTTTGAGTCCGACGAGGCGAGTAGAGAGCACTGAACCTACGGTAACCATGCAAGCAGTCCTCAGGCGCGACCGAGCGCTGCTAGACAAGATGCGCACCAGCAGCGTTCCGAAGCGCTGTCAAGCTTCGTGCGTTGACAATAGCTCTTACGGCTCCAGTCATCTCGTCCATTACGAGCGTTGTTGCCGGTAACCCAGAAGAATTGGCTGCAGTAGGTACAGAAACGACCTTAATTGCAGTACCAACTTGCTGCATTCTTGACGGCATGAACAGGACGTTGTGCCGTTCGGTAGGAATGATCGTTCTCGGCGGAGAAAGATTGACTGGCGTGGAGGTGTCAGATATTGTGGTAAAGACTTTCGACATCAAAGACTCGAGATGTTCAACATCGATCGCGTCCACGATCTTCGCCACGTCTGCTGCGGTCAGGACGAGGAGAGACATTGCGGTCGAGAAAGGTTTCAACGAAGAGAAGCGCTGGAGGTTCCTCGTGATCCCCTTAGCCGTCTAGGAGCACTCAGGAGAGCCTAAGGCCACGAACAGCTGGGATTGGACCTTGTATACAGCAACATAGCGGTACATGGTTGATTTAAAGGCATGACATAAAGGCATGATATAAAGCTGAGACGGGGAGCCAGCGGAGAACGATCGTCACATTTGCGTTTGCCTTGGGAGGAGCGAGTACCGAACTATGGCCTTATGTTGCTGTCCAATCTCGACACCTGGTCAGAGTTACATCCAATACTTCTGTCGTGGGGGTTAGGTTGAGGAGAGTGTAGTCTTACCATCCGCCAGGGAGAGATTTCACGTAAACGGCCAGCTCCTTGCCCTCCCCATGAGGAACCTCCTCCAGAACTACGCAGATACGACAGGAGGCAGGGGTTAGATAAATGTAGATTCAGTGACTGAAATTATACGAGACTTAAGGTACCCGCAATCGCACCAGCCTTAATCCCACAGTTGCAATCGACGCACTTCCAGAAGAGCCTGTAACGTTGCCCATTGCGAAGCATATCAGCTAATTTCAATTCAAGCAACCCATCACGCCAGGTACTACATAGTTTATGGCTTGTGAACTTTACGGCTGGTTCGTTGTGTCGGAAATAGGGTACGTGGTTAACAGACAAATGGATGCCCTTGTAGAGGTTAGATACGAGGGGCTGGGGCATTGTTGCCGCAAGTCCAAGGCTGAGCGAGAGAGAAAGAAGAGATTAAGCAGCTCATCTTATCTTATCTAATCACATAGTGTACATCTTGAACATCTGCGCTACCTTAGCTTCCAGTTCCTTTCTTTGCTTGCTCTTTCCTCCTTCTTCCGTGATCACAAACGGCGACGTGGGCAGCTTCGCATCGTAGACTCGCTTGATCTCCTGGCAAGAACTCCAGATCCACCTGCGCACCCGCATACCCTTCGTCCGATGCACCCTCGACAAATACATATACCAGTCGGCGTCTGCAGGCGAAACCGCCATATCCTCTGATGCCATGATAGAGCGGACGTCCTTCGAGGCGGCCTTGTATTCGTTGCGAGTGGGGAGGGGCCAGACGAGGGAAATCACGATGTTGCGCGCGTGTGGTTGGAGCGTCGTCAGTGCGTGGTAGCGCAGCTGTCGGCAGGTCGAGACGAGCATTGCATAGGAACGTGCAGGGAGGTAGGGGACGAGGGCGTGTAATACATCCATGGGTTTGTTGCATATCACGTCGTTTTCGCCAATCGTGAAGTCTTCGCTGGGGACACGATTCGCGTCAACCTTTGCTGGGAATTTTGGGAACCTTCACCGCGATTCACGGTGAGTGTCCTGCTCAAATAGTCGCGCGTAACTCACACATCTGGCCTGTTGATCAACCAGCTGTATTTGCTCTGCCCAAGTGCTTTCCAGTCGAAGAAATTATTCCCTTCATCACCTGGAGCATGGTCGTGCCAGAACTTCCTCAGGTCGATTTTCTCCCCGACACCTTCATAGTCGACGAACGGAAGCCGACCTGCATCGTGCCCAATTCCGCATGTGCCAATAACTTCGGTGATCTGGCAGAGCGTGACGAGGTTGGCTACGTTGAGCTCCTCGCAGCTGAAGGCACGACGGAGGAGATCAGCGCACGCGACATGCGCGATGAATACCTGAGAGCCCCTGTAAGCCTCGATTCATGAGCGCTTCTGTAGCTTACCGTCACACCATAGGATTCCCAGACGATGGATATGACCATCGCTATCGTCTTGTGCCCCCCGAACATGTTTCCACCTTGATTTCAGTTTCACCGTCAGATCGGATACGAGAATCGTATCTTATCGCACTCAGATCCCTTAAAAATGCAGCAGATACGCACTGAAGTACACCAATTTCCGAATGACACCCATGACAGTCGTCCTTCGATCTCACCTCGTCAGATCGGTGGCCCCGGCGAATGCTTTTGAATGGGGGACTTACCCAATACCCATTCCAGTGTTGAAGTAATCATATTGCTGTTTGGTGAGCATCCCTTGGGGAGGGAAATGCTCGGGCAACGGATTCGCCGACATCTTTGGGTGGGGGACGTAAGGCATTCGGCATACTGGGCAGGACATGGCTCAACAACCAGAAGCACTAATCACCAATGCAGAGGGACTTTATAGGCTCAGGGAAAGCAGTTGTGGGTCCGCATTGGGTCCTTTTGTAAGTGCGCTGATACTCTTCTATCTTGGTTGCATTGTGCTTGCCTTCTCACACAAAGCTTAGATAGGTCATGTTGTCAGCCCTGCTCTATTGTCGAGTCATAACTACCTATAACTATAAACATCACGCGCCTGAAAAGATCGATAACCAGCGGTGAACCCCAGATCTGCGTATCCAAGCTCCCAAGGATGATGCGAGAATGCAGGGTGCGTCCCGAAGCCCCAGATCACTCAGGCAACATCCGAAGCATCATATTCACTTTCCTCCTTTTTTAGCGATGTCCGTTTGCTGCCCCCCTGCAGTGATCGCGTAAGGGGAGCCCTGAAGCCTCTCCTCATACACCCTCTTCACCTCCTCGCACTCCCCCAAAATCCACCGCCGCACCCGCATCCCTTTCGACGTATGCACCTTCGACAAGTACCCAAACAATCCCCATCGACGGGCGCCAGCTTCGCGTCTTCGGATGCCATGATGCCACGGACCTCCTCGGGCGCGACTTCGTATTCTTCCTTTGTGGGTATGGCCTAGCGAAGGGTGATGACGAGGTCTCGCGCGTGGGGCTGGAAGATGGTGAGTGCGTTATAGCGGAAGAGAAGGTCGAGGCGAGCATGGCGTATGAACGAGGGGAGAGGTGGGGGAGGAGGAGGTAGAGAAGTTCTAAGGGGTGGTGCGAGAGTCTGCTGCCCTCCCCGACTTCGAAATCGTCGCCCCAAGGCAATCTCTTCTCGTCCACCTTGGCGACGAACTTCGGGAATCCGGGGTATCACCGTCAATGCTCAAAGCCCACGGCAGCAGGTAGACGGCCTACACATCTGGCCGGCTCACCAGCCACTTATATCTACTGTTCTCTAGTCGTGCCCAATCGAACACATTGCTCCCCATGCTCGGAGTATCAGGTTGATGGCTCCAGAACGGCGCGAGGTCGATCTTCTCCCCTACTTCCTTGTACCGAACAAGAGGTAGCCACCCAGCGCTCGCCCCGCCTTGCACCTTGCCCACGACCTCTTCGATCTGGGAGACGCGTGCCAGTGATTTGGTGTTCATGTCTTCCGCGTCGAAGATGCGCCGCAAGATGTCGGCGCAGGTGACGTGCATCACGAATAGCTATCGAACATGATATCGGTTGGGCATATGCGCGTAGTTGAGGAGAGAGTTGGACTCACCGTCCCGCCGGAGTTCGCCCACTGAAAGGCTGTCCTCGTTGCTAGCCTTTGTCCAGTTACTGCATTATTTGCTGCAAATCGTGAATACTTGCGTAAGGTCACCCAGGCTGCTGCCACGCACTGATGAACACCATCTTCCTCACGAGACCTCTGAGTCTGGTCCTAGAGCATAGTAACACAGTGAGCACCGTGTCTCTGCGACTACATGGCTTGGAAGCGGCGTACCCGATACATATAGAAAGTACGCGTGTTGGTGCTTCATGAGGGTGCCCTCTGGGGGGGATATACCCCGCGATGGGCCGCGGTGACATAGTCACGTCGATGCTCTCTTCTGGGCGGCGAGGGTCCAGTACAAATGGGAGGCAGGACATGGTGGAAGATTCGTCAATCACTCAGCCACAGTCGTTCTAGTATCCTTATATCTGGGTATGATTGCCGCAGATCCCTTTGTTCCTCGACGGAGTGGCCTTCCTTTGTTCACGCATCAGCTGATCAGGCATTCAGAAGCGTGTTTCGTCTCGTTATAAGTAGCGTCGAGAGATCTGGTATCTAAATACGGGCGAGTGCAAAGGTGGAAAGCAAAAGCAAGGGCCGCAGGTGAATTTTGGCTAGTGTACAACAAGAAATAGCATCCAGAGGCATAGCATAGCGAGGGGTCATAAGTGGATAAGTTATGTTGCAAGATAGTCGTTAGATATTCGTTACGGAGTCGTTACTTGGGATCCAGGACGTCCAACACCGATTCCAGCACGATTCTAGGCCGAAGAAGGAGCCGTCGTTCGATCCCGTCGTCCGTCTTTCCGTCCGCGACGACGCTCATGCCTGCGACCCCGCCCTTCTTCGTGGTGCATCGCACGCCGAATTCCGACGTCAGCAGCACCGACCCCCGTGACGTGGAGTAGTCTGCGAACGAGTCCTGCATCAGGTGCGAGTCGAACGTATCTGTGTATCCGACCGCGACCAGGTCGAAGTTCGTGGACATGACCTCCTCGCGCGTCACCTGCGCGAGCTTCGTGACTGACTTGGCGATGCGCCGCACCTGGTCGCCGAAGCGGGCGCGCAGGGCCTCCTTGGTGAACGACGGCTGGTTGAGCTGGAGCTGCGAGAGCGAGTTCGAGTGCGGTAGCGACTGGGAGATGTGGGGTGAGGACGAGGGGGATGAGTGTGACGTGGACAGGGATGGCGTGCAGCCGGCGACGGTCAGGACGTCGGCTATCCAGCGGAGGATCGTCTCTACGAGGTCGTTGTTGCCGTAGTCTTCTAGGGTGGGGTATAGCTTGTGAATGTGTTTGTGCGTGAGGGAACGCCAGCGTGAAGAGGTCGGCTGGGGTTCTTGTTCCGGGGTCAGCAGATGTGTAAGAGAAGACGGATGGAGACGTACCAGTTGCGTACATGTAGGCATAGACCTGGAGTATCACCGAGTCTGCCTTTGAGGGCCAACCAATACAAAAGGACGATAACGCTCGTGCAATGCACGCAACGACGCATCCCTGGAGGGCGAGCTGGACAAGGATAGGATCCTGACTGTGATCTCTCGTGGAGAGGATGCGTGTAATCTGCGGGCCAAGCCTTGCAGCAGTGTCCTGTATAGCTTGTGAATTCTTCGCCGCCAAAGTGTGCGCATCCCTCTCAAACGAGCACGTTTCTGTTGCGGATGCTGCGAACTGCAGGATCTCGGAGTTGATATCGTGGACGGCCTGGAGAATCTGTGCGCCCGACCATGCGTCTGTGCGCGTCAGGAAAAGCTCAAACGCACGGGCTTGGGCGCGTTCCTCCTCGGAGCTCGCTATCGAGATTATCGATGAGGTGCCAGAGCCATCTCTGCGGTGGCCGTTCCGGAAGCTGGAAAGCGAGTGGTTGTGGCCGTAGATGGCTAGCAGCGTCGAGTCGGGTCTCGGACTGATTGAGTTTGGGGGGCTGAGGGATTCCTCTTTGTCCCTTTGGCTCTGGGATCTGAACTGATAGCGCAGGCTGGCATCGCTGCGGTGACGGTGGTCGAGGGTGCGCTGCTGCTCGCGTTCTCGCTTCAGCTTCTCGATCTCAGTGTCCCTCGCCTTCAGCATGTCTTTTGTCTCCCTCAGCAATCTCTCCAACATGCGGCAGCGCTCCTCGAGGCGCAAAACCTCAATTTTTGAGGTAGACAGCTCATTCTTCGTGAGATCGAGTTGGCGGCGCATTAGTGGTTGCAGAGGGCTCTGTTGCGAAAACTGACAAGTGCATGTACTGTGTTGCTGCCGACTCTCGGCTACGTCGAGTCTTTCACGTAACGACGAGCACTCTCGTGTCAGCCTAGCGATGGGGTCGGGAACTGGGGTCAGGGCACGGCAGTTTTCCGACTCGTGGGTCGGGGCAGCAGACGGGCCCGCAAAGAGAAACGAGGGACTGCGAAGGGCGAAAAACTCGACGGTGGTATCGTACAGGTCCTTGAGGTGCAGATTGGCGACAGGCAGCATCATGTTCCTGCCCAAGGATAAGATAATCAGCTCGCGCCTGAGATTTGGGTGAAAAATTTCCACACCCAAGGCAGGTAATAAGGCAGCCTCAGGCCTCGAGGCAGGCGTGCGCACAGTTCATTTCGCCTGTTTCTTTCTTACTACCGCAGCCATGCTGCACCGCGTGTAGTTTAGCCATTTATCTGCCGCGAATCCAGGCGACGTTCTCCAATGGAATCAGCCCACATGCGAAAACCCTACAGCGGGTCCTCGCGCTCTCTCGTTATTGCCTTCGACGTCGGCACGACTTTCAGTGGCGTCTCATATGCCATCCTAGAACCGGGGGAGGTCCCCAAGATACACGGTGTAACAAGGTCAGTGTCCCCCAGCGTGCTCGATCATGAATTGACGGCCACCTGCTAGATTTCCCGGACAAGAACATGTAGCTGGTAATTCAAAGATACCCTCCGTCATGTATTACAACAGAAGCAGCAAGATGGTCGTAGCCGGTGCAGAGGCAGAGGATGCTTCAATAGCATCGCAGGCAGAGGACGAAGGCTGGACAAAGGTCGAGCTCTTCAAACTTCGCCTACGGCCCTCGTATGTCCCCTTCATTTCCTGACCGAAGGGGACTCATTAACCAAGCTTTCATAGCACAATGAAGCTCAAGATGAACGGGCTCCGGCTGGCCTCTCTTCCGAAGCACAAAACTGCAGTCGATGTCTTCGGCGACTTTCTCGGGTACCTGTACAAATGTACACGGACATTCTTCACGGACACCCATGCTAACGGCCATGCGCTCTGGAATGCCGTGCAGAACGACATCCAATTTGTGCTATCTCATCCGAACGGGTGGGAGGGCGCGCAGCAGACGAAGATGCGGAGAGCCATGGTCTATGGCGGAGTCATCCCGGACACCAACGAAGGCAAAGCTCGGATACGATTCGTCACAGAGGGCGAGGCGAGCTTGCATGCCTGTGTTTTGAACGGCCTAGCGGCGGACGTGCTTTCGGTGCGCGTTTATCATGGAAATTGCGCGCTATCTAACATTGTTGCTCAGAGTACGTCGAACCACGGGTTCTTAATTGCTGATGCTGGCGGTGGCACGCTCGATCTCAGCTCGTATGCGATTCGCGGTGTCCACCCCCTCGTAATCGAGGAAATTGCCCCGCCGGACTGTACGTTCTCCTCCCTCTGCCCCCACCCCCTCTGAACACTCACCGCGCCCTTCACCAGGTCTATTCGCCGGATCCGTATTCGTCAGCCGGCGTGCCCGCGAGTTCCTAGAAGGTTCGTACGGCATCCCCTCCCCTCCGCGACTCGCCCTCACTAATTGGGTGCGCTCCTAATCAGAGAAGCTGCGTGGTTCCAAGTATGGCTCCGCAGACTCCCTCGACCACATCACGAAGCGGTTCGATGAGACCACGAAACGGCTCTTCCGGGCGAAAAAGGACCTGCAGTTCATATCTTTCGGCTCGCCGCTTGATAAGGACATGTCTGTGGGCATCCGGAACGGGCAGCTGAAGCTATCAGGGTGAGTCCGCAGCAACCTTCGCATCATCCCTATCTCCCATCTCTCTTCATCTCGTGAGGAGGAGGTGAGGTGGAGAGGAGAGGGTTCGCACTGCGCATGTTAATCACCGCTAATATGATTCTACGTTCAGATCGGAGGTTGCGGACTTGTTCGAACCGTCAATTGAAGGTATGTACTTCCTTCTCTCTTCTACGCTCTTCTATACCCTTCTTATCATCTGCTGTGCATCCCATCACCTCGCTCACAATCGCTTGTTGATTAGCTGCGGTCGCCGCAATTAGGCGACAAATTGAAGCGTCAAATGGGTTAATCGAGGTGGGTTTGCCTATTAGCCTTCTAGCCCGCAACCCTGCATGCTCACTTGTTGACAACCGATGAATCGTGAACCGATGACTTGATGACGTACAGTCCATTTGGCTGGTTGGTGGCTTTGCGGCAAGCCCGTGGCTGTTCCATCAGCTGCAAGAGAGGTTGGCCCCTGTGACCGTTAGCAGGCCTGATTCTCAGACGTACGTCTAACATCTATTTTTTCTCGTCTGACGTTGATGTTGACGGATACGCGAACGCACTGCGTTTGCTTGATTGGTGATTAGGTCGAAGGCCGTTGCCGACGGTGCGATTGGGTTCTACTGCGACCACCATGTCTCCGCGCGCATGTCCAAGTACATGTACGGCGTGGAGTATCTCCGCGAGTTCGACCCCAACGACCCCGACCACGTCGCGCGCAAAAATAGGCTCTGCGAACTCCCCTCTGGCCCGAAATTGCTCCCAGACGCGTTTGATTGTATTCTATCCCGAGTACGTGCTCTGATATCTACTATATGGCGTATTCCAACTGTTATGTTCAGAGTGTGAGAGTGAAAGAATCAACGGTGTTCACGAGGAAGTACTGTACAGAGTTGACGAGTTTGTCATTGCTCTCTGTATTTGAGGTCGAGATTTGGTGCTTTAGAGGGGGAAAGGAAGTCCCCAAGTGGATCATGCGCCAAGCAGGTATGCCATATGTCGACATTCATAGGGTGGTGGTCTAATGGGCATTCTGCCTGTTTCCCCAGAGGACTTCGGCACGCTATGTGTTGTACAAGCAAACCTGTCGCCGCTAGCAAGCAGTGCTGAGCCTAAGACGGGGAGAAACGGGAAAACGTATTGGACGATTGTATTCTCAGTTGAAATCCACTTTGGTCTCACCGAGTTCAAGGCTAGGATTAAATGGAACGATAGTGTACGTCTGTTCGTCGTCCTTTATCGCGTCTCTTGGGCTTATGACCTTGATCTTATCTAGGGAGTAACGAAGTAGTAAGTATCGCACTTTGCCGCCGTCGTATCTCCTTCTGACACCTCTGCAGCGGTCCAGCATCCATCATTTACAACGAAAGTGGTCATCGAGCGGAAGAAGATGAGCCCGATGATTCGCCTGAAGACGAGCTCACGATCGGCTCAACCGCCCCTTCAGCTGCTGCATCACGAGCACCATCACGCAATGGATTCAACGGCTCCCCCAGCAAACCACCCTCAACGCATAGCACGCCGAAGCAAGAGTCCTTCCACGATATACCTGATGTCGTCAGAGCCGATCGTGATCGTGGCCTTGCGCCAAGTACACATACCCGGCATTCATCAATTTCCCGTCCATCAGTCGTTACAGACAAGTCGAACTGGAGGGACAGTCACGCACCCTCAGCCAATGGCCGGTCATCTAACCCTGCTTCTCCTGCAACCGAGCGTGCGGCAAGTGGGAGCTGGCGCAGTGACGCGGGTAAGAGCGAACGGTCGTCGAAAGGCAAAGATAGAGAGCGAGATAGCTACGTCTCTGACGCCGATCGTGACCGGGGTAGGAAGGATAAGCCGAGGGATAGGGAGAGATCGATTAATGGGGAGCATGAACGGTCGTCGGTGTTGGGCAAGATTGGGGATGCGCTCACGTCTGTATGGGGGGCTGCGACTTCGCCAGCACAACCCCCCACATCTGCGCCATCTGTTAGTAGCCCGCTTGCTTCCAAGGCACCTTCTATGTATGGGCGGAGGGACAGTGTTGCTGCAGAGAGCATGGCGAGAACTCCTAGGGAGGCAAGATCCCGGCATTCGCCTGCTGCCAACGCGTCTGCCTTGTTTGATACTGGACCCCAGGACAGATCCCGGGGTATGGATGCTGAAGCCTCGCGCCCGCTCAGCTCTGTTAGCTTGATGCCCGGCAGTATGCCTGAGCCCGAACCTGAGCCAGTCGTGCAGGAAGTGCAGGAGGAAGTCCCTCAGCATCTGACTCCGAGAGCCCGTGGGTTGGAGCTCGAGGAGACGCAACCACCACCTGACCCTGCCCCAGACGACACTCAGAGCATCGCCCACAGCACGCGCTCGCCTAAGGCCCCTACTCCGCACTTGACGCCTAGACCTCGAGAACTGGACTTGGCACAGCCTGAGGAGCGGCATGAGTTGCAACACGAAGTGCCAGAAACCATTGCGCCCGAGGCTACCCAACCCTCGAAGGCACCGTCCAGAGTGGCGTCCAGAGCAGCGTCACGAGTGCCGTCGCGATTGCCGTCGCGTGCAGCTTCGCCTAAACCCCCGTCAAGAGCCGCGTCGCCTAAGCCACAGTCGAGAGCAGTATCGCCTAAACCACAAGAACCTGAGCCCCTCCCTGAACAGCCAGCCACTAGCGGGGATCTTGGCTCACTCTCGTTTGGGTTCGGTTCGTCTGGGGACGACTTTGCGTCTTCCCTCGGGACAGGTTTTGGCACATCCATTACAGGGTTTGGTACATCTACAGGCTTTGGCTCGACTGGAGGCTTTGGCTCATCAGGCTTTGGTTCTACTGGTGCAGGATTTGGTTCCACCGGAGGATTTGGGTCCACTGGTGGGACTGGCACCGGGTGGGGTAGCGCAGCGACTGGCTTCGGATTTGGGGAGGCACCCAAACAACCGTCGCCGAAGGCTTCGCCTGCAAAGGTTGAAGCTCCCTTGGAAGATCCACCCGCGGCGGATAGTTGGGACAGTTGGGGTGCATCGACGAAGAAAAAAGGGAAAGCTGCTTCGAAAGCTGCTTCCAGAGCTGCTTCCAAGCCTGCTTCCAAGCTTCCGTCACAAGTTAATACTCCGTTGGTTGCTGCATCTGAGCCACCACCAGAGGAAACTCCTGCGCCTGCCGAGCTTGTAGATGCTCCTGTAGGAGAGGCGCCTGCACCTGAACCTCCAGCACCAGAACCTGTGGTGGAACCTATTACTCCTGCCGCTGAGGAATCTGCATTTGAGACGAAGGGAGCTAAGAAAAAGAAAAAGAAAGGCAAGGGAGGTGCCAGTGAGGTTGCTACTCCAGTTGAAGAAACACCGCCCCCCAAAACACCTGTCGTGGAACCTGCTCGTGTGCCCACGCCCGAGCCCGCCGCCGCCGCCCCAGCTGCAGCAGAGGGGACCACCGGAAACGACACATGGACGTTCGATGTTGTCTCTCCGCCGGCTGGCTCTGCAGATAATCTCCCCTCTGCGACCTTCACCAATCATCTTGGAATGTCATCCTTCGGTGCGGGCGGCGCCACTCTACTAGATAACATCGATTTGTCGCTATCGGCACCTAAATCTCCCAAAGTCGCTGAGACTTCCGAGTTGCTTTCGTCTTCTAAACCGGCTTCGCCCAAACCTTCACCAAAACCCTCGCCCAAGCCTAGTCCTAAGCCAGAGGCTTCCGCTTTACCCGAGACCTCAGCGAACCCCGAAGTTCCTGCGGAGCCAATGTCGATCCACCGGCTGCTGAACCGGAAGCGATGCCAGCTGTCGAAGAAACGAAGGCGGAAGAAGATAAACTACAAGTTCCTGGCGCTGGCGCTGATGACCCAACATCACCTACTACTCCGGTCACCCCAGGGGACGAGGGTGGGGAGGAAAACGCAGAAGAAGCTGAAGCTGCCACACCCGCGGGCAATAAGAAAGGTGCCAAGGGTAAGGCAGGTGGAGGAGCTGCCACAGGCGGAGGCGGAGCTGGAGGAGGTAAGAAAAAGAAAAAGAAGAAGTAAGGACTTGGGGTCCGTCTTCTCTTGCTTTCTCGTCGTAAAAATGTACATGCACGATCTATTGTTCAAGATATATGTTATATTCGTATATGTTTCTTAGACACTGAGCGTCCACTGGGGCTGCGCGAATTTCAATGATTTCTTGTGTTATAGCGGCTGTGTACGCAGCATGAATTAGGTGCAGCAGGAATTAGAGCCAGCAGAAAAGTAACCATAAAGAACTATCATAAAGTATATAACCTACGATTTGGTATAAAGAGTATTAAATACAGTAAGGTGTTACAATGGAGTGAGAGGAGGAAAGCCTAAATAAATTACTTCTTCAACAACTTGAGCAATGCATCTATGCCGTGCAGGCCAAAGCCGTGTTCCGGATAACATACGTACATCGGGTCATGTTCTGAGTCAAATTTGTTCTGCAACTAGTGGTCAGCACAATATCCGCAAGCTCCGGAAATGATTATTCACCCTAAAGTCACCTCGTCGCAGCAATCCCGCAGTCTTCGCTATCTGGCCATATGTCTTGGCCAATGCGTTGACCTTCCAGCCAGAAAGGTTCTCAATGGGTTTTATTTGATCTGCGGCTGTGATACCGAATGTGACGGTGATGCGGTCTTCGTGCTCGGCATCTGCGCCTCGAGCGCGTTGTTCGTTGTACAGATCACGTAGAGCGGAGGCAATCAAAGATTCGGAAGTACCTTTCGGAGCCGAAGGGAAGGAGACGCAGTTCTTAATTTGGTACGTGTTGCCTTTTATGGGAGTGAGGATGAGGATCCCGACGACCTGTCATGCAAATGAGTAAATGCGTAAGCAAAGACGGAAAGGATAAGACTTACGTGTCCCTCATGAGTGGCGATCCAGTAACGTCGATGTACTTCGTCAAGCCATGGCTTCGCAGAGCTCTGTGAGGAAGGTTAGACCACACTCAAAGGTACATACGGATAGGGGCTCACCGATGCTAGCTGAAGACCGTGCTTGCTCTTCCTCCATGCCTCTATTCCATACTCTATCTCAGACCGCTCTTTCTCCGTCCATTCCTCGTGATGAACCTGCCTAATTTGTACATGGGCTTTGGAAGCTCTCCTAAGGTTCTTGCGGAGGTCCTTGATATGCGAAGGCAGCCCGGCACCTTCTTCGTGTTTACCGTGCGCCTCCTCGGTGATGATATCAATAACATGCGCGGGGTCAACGATGTCTTCGTGTATACAGTTGACTGTGCTCCATTCGAATGGCGGGCCGCCGAGAACTTGTTCGAGGTCATGATCCACGCACGCCCAGATCGGGCGGAGACCCTGCTCCATAGCCCAAGCGACAAATGCCTGCGCAGTGGGCTTGAGGGCTGCGGGGTCGGAGACAAGGGGATTCCCCCACGCAAAGATATACGCGTCGCGCTGCATGTATCCTTGCACGGGTAGGAAGGAGGATTCTGGTATGTCTTGTGATGGTCTCCAAATCTTGTAACGATCAAACTCTAGCCAAGCTGACGCGCTCGATGACCCATATTTAGCTACGAGATCGGCTATGGTTGATTTGTCGAAGCCCTCAAAGGGGTCGACGAAGGACTTGGCGCTAACCGGTGATGGGGATTTGGGGGACTCGGTGGGGGACTCCAAGGGAGAATCAATGGTAGAGGATGGTTTGGATGACTTGGGACTTGGGAAGCCGTAAGGCATCTTTGGCAGTGGTGGTGTGGGGATGGTGGTAGTAGTGTTGGTAGGATGATGTCGGGTTATACTCCAAGCGGAATTTATACCAGGAGTAAACAGCGGGTGGTTGACAAGCTCCTAACCGGAAAGACCTAGAAAGAATGAAGGGACGCGATAGTCAGCACGGATGACTAACAATCCCCGACCTATTCGTCACGGACTCGGAGCGAGTCAGTCACTCTGCATGGAGAAGCACATGCCCTTGTCAGCGGCACTAACGATGAGCAGGAAACCCCGCGATTTGTCTCGAAAGCAAAGATTAGTCATTGCGACGTTTCGCATAGACGCTCCTCTAACAAGTCCAAGATGTCCTTATCAAGCATAACCCCCCCTTGCCAGAGATGCAACTTGCTGACAGGCCAGCCACTCCATGTTTTCTGTTTTATGTCAGCCACGAATCCACCCTAGGACAAGTGTGAGTCAAACGAGTTTTTAGGACCGGTGTCAAAGATCCCTACCGGATCGGAATACTCTTGCCCGTCGTCGTTACATCCGCCGAGCCGACCGACATAGAGGATCAGATGTCGAAGCTCCGGGCATCTATTCGCTAAAAGATCCAAAAGACGGACGCTCAATGTATGAACGCATATCTGAATCTTCTTAATCCGAGTGGCTTCGCCGCCCAAGATATCTTCAAGCTCTCCGAATGACAAATATCGATCCCGAATGGTTAAGTTCGTCATTGTGCTAGATGATCGGTGGATTAACTGCTTAGCAGCATCAAAACCGTGGGAGAGGGTAGTCGGATACAGTTGCAAGGTCTTGAGGTTAGTCAACATCGTTGGATGATGATCCACCGCACCACACAACCAGTTGGCCAACTGAGGCTCGCCCTCCTTCGCGGGTCTGAGCTTCAACTGAACGTGCTTCAAAGTTGCAGAGGAATCGACTAGTAGCCGCGTCAACCCATCAGTCGATGTAGCGAGGGCTTGGTCGAAAATAGCACGTGTGGCAAATGATTCTAGTCGCGGGAATGGGCCTATACGGGCGAAAAGCTCGGAAAAGTCCAAGTTGGTCCACGAGGTGACGCTGAGTGACCGTAGTTGGGGGGCCACTTGTTTGACGAATGGGAGGATGGAGTCGACTAGCAGCTCGTGATCCCTGCTGCTGTCGGGGGAATATATATCATTCGTAAAGTCCAGGGAAAGGCCATCGAGAGATGGAAGGTCAGGCATCGAGGATACCACCTCCTTCAGAATACTCGGATATCCAGCCAGTGATATGGACTTCAGGCCCTTGCCAAAAGCAGAACAAGCCGCTGAGGCAAAGCCACCAAGGTCAATCGCCGTGGGGGGTAAATTCCAAGCATCAACTTGAAAATCCACAACATTCGTCAAATACGGTAATATTTGCACTAAAAGTGCTGTGGTTTGCTGGATTCCGGTCGCCTCTGGGGCAGGGTTGGGGAAGTGCCGTTGAGCAAAGCCGGTGACACGATTGACGATATGGCGTAAAGTATTAGGTTCCTCCGCGGGTGCTTGCCGAGGAGGACGTATACGATAATTCGGCCTGAGGGTCAACGTACGAACGCGCCAGCCCACGGCAGGATCTCTATCACGAGATGAGTCAGTGGACTCCTGACCTCCGACAGTCGAATTCATGAACCATACCTAAGCCTGTTCAACCTCCATGTGGTTTCATCGTTGAACTCGGTTATGGTGACAGTCTCATACCGCAATCTCATAGAGAGGTCATGAAAGGTAGAGTTAAAGGATAACAACTTGTCGCGAATGTCGTCGTCGAGTACGAATTGCGCAATATGTAACCAGACGTCCCGGGGAACGTCGACCGTAGGTCGCGGGCTCGTTGTCGCTACCATTGTCTGAGTGGGTTGTATGTGGTTTGTTGGAAAGATAGGCCATTTCTCGCCGCCGATGACATTCTTAGGACGAGCACTGCATCTTGGTTGAGAACAGTTCTCGACGTGGGAACTTAGAAGTGATCGCCGATAAACTTTGCAACAAAGTAAGTTGTATCACCTTCAAAGCTTCGCGCTAATCACATCCAAACGAAGAATATGCTACGGGCTACCATACATATATATACATAGAAAAAGCCGAAACATCTTCTGATTTAGGGTACGCATTGGCCTTGATAAACGCACTTCAGCGATCTTGACCCTCGACCGCAGTACGAAGAACTCACTGTAATAATCATTGGCAACCTTGCAAGTACCCTGCGCGCACGTCGTAGGGCCGGTCCACCCGATCCCACCGCATTGTCCTATCATCTTTCTTCAGCCTCGACCGTGATGAATACACAGAATAAACACAAACCATAGAGTGGAGATCCCGACCCAGAAGTCGGAGCCGTCGTGGTACTGGTGCGCGTTGGTGTCGGAACGGTCGAGGTCCGGCTGGTCGAGGTGATTGTGGGTTGCGGAGACGAAAGGTTGTAGCGCGTCTTGAGATGGCGCCACCAGTCGCGCAGCATCTAAAATGGCTTTGGCTTTAGCATCCTCGCAATCCTGCTGACAAGAACGCACCCATCCGTCAAAGTCGGTGATCTGCGTTGCGCTGCCGGCCTGCATGATGAAACCGCCGACACCCGACGGCGTCCAATCATAGAAGTCTAGTATTTTCTGTTAGAGTGCGTACTATTCTGCACCAGAGCACGAACCGTCCAAAGCATATGTGTGTCCCTGGTGCCAGCTGGGTGAGCATTTGTTTACCCAGGTCACGAACTTTGCTCACCATCTCATGAAGCAAGATATGGATGTTTTCGGTGTTGATTGCACCCATGAAATACTCGCGTCCAATACGTTGGCCCCAATCTCCTCCGGCCCCTCCGCCAAAGCCGTCTGTCAGCCAAAGCGAATGGTCTATCATCAAAAGACGTCAGCAAGGAGGGGGCGTTGCTGGACACTAAGTAAACAAATACCGTAGTGACGAGCGGCTCCTCCGGGGCATTGATTGTAGTTATTGTCCTGGTGGAAGAAGCGACCACACGCTGGGGCGCACTGAGGCGCACCTTCGGAATCGGTGCCGGTATACACGTCAATGTTCGATGTATCGCCCTGGAGCAAGCTCGACTGTGTCACAGCCCACCCAACCACTTTAACATTAACCGATGAATACGGGAACCCATCGAACCCATAAAGCCAGTTCATCCACTTCAGATACGAACGCCTGTACGCGACCTCGACAGCATCGCGCTGCGCCCTCGTAACGGCGGTGGACGACTCCCACCGGACGCAGATGTTGATATTCCCGTTGGCTGCGATGAGCTGGTCGAAGCCAAAGTTTTGGAAGTTCATGTTATAGGTCTGGGTCTCGTGGTCCCAAACCTGTTGAAGGGGTGTGACGAGGTTGGACGGCGGATTCCACGTCGATGGTGAGATCTGTCGCTTGGAGATAGCTTCGTCGTCTATGAGAAGGCTGCGCCTGGAATCCGCGAAGTTAGCGTGGTCGTCCTTCCATGTCAAGCTAGACGGTGATGCGGTAGGCGATGCAAGGGACGTAGAGATGAGAACGGCTGTTGCTACTAATGACCGCAGATACAGCATGGTGTGAGCAGAGTTCGAAAGTGACAAGCTCGTATGTTAAGACATGAGTCCGTATCGTTAATAAATCCTGAGCGCGCATACTTCGGGTGAAATATTGAACCCGACGATGTCCCGAATGTGGCAGAATTGGGAGGTGTGGGTAGTTCACATGTAGTTCGACGGTATTGCGGCCCTGTTGTAACAAGGTAAGCGTCCTACAAGACATATTTTTCTGGCCAGGCGAAGTCGTAGCGAACCTTCACCCTATAGTACGGCCCGGGGATGAATAGGCAGTGGAGATGGAGTCGGATGATTGACTGTCAAATTCAAGGGTCATTGTTGGCCACGAGTGTCAAACGGACCGTGGCGGTATTCTGCACTCAACGGTCGAAGACATCGACACAGGTCGTTCACAACAGTTTCTACGCACGAGTGGGTCTTGGCTGATGTTGCGGGGCACGCTTTTCACCGGTTTATAACCGTCATTTACGCGTCCACTTCCTAGGTACCTACTAACTACTTAACTAGATCTTGCTAGATACTATACGAGACGATGTTACACATACTTTAATGGGCCAACCCCAGCGCATCGGCTAACTTGAAGAAGATATCAATGCTATTGTCTATCGTACAGCGTAATATTAGTATTTTGTAGCAAGGGATGAAGGGTAGAGTGCACTTACAGACACCACGGAATGCTTCCGACCCGGGGCCATTAGCAAACACTGATACATCTGGAAGCAGACGGTCAGCTTTCAGCATAACTAGTGGAGAATCAGTTCACCTTGAAGAGAGTGAACACCTTCTGAGGCGCTCAAAGGAAGAGTTCCATCTATACAGGCAAATATTGTCAGTCATCTCGGTCTACCGGCCACAGGTAAAGAATCAATACGAACCAACATGGAAACCTGGGTAGAATAGGGATTCAGTTGAGTATGCAACATTTCAGGACGGAAATTAACTGATTTAACGGACCATGAGGCTGATCTAAAGGATTGCCTACAACTCCATCGGTGGAAGAAGTAGCAGGGATACGAGGTCCAGTGGTATTCACTGTGAAGCCTTCGCGTCTATTCAGTGCGACAGAATATTAGCCGGCGTGAAACAGTCAAGATCTGAGAGACTCACCGGTCTGGGTTTGCAGCAAACCCACCCTGCAAATAGTATTAAGACTTGAGTACCAAAAACCTGGGAGGAAATACTTACTGCATAGGTATATCGGGGATCCCACTGCACGGGGAAGTTAGGGCCTTGGGCACCAATAACGATCGACACGTTTGCTGGACTCGAGCCTTTGGCGACCATGTATTCGCTCAGCCCCGAGCTTTCATACACACCAACTAGCAGAGCAAGCATTTAGCCACCAGCGATGGACAAATTCCAAAAAGAGAGAGCGCACTAGCATTGCGCTTCTTCCTGTCATCAGTCTGAGCAGCGAGATACTTTGTGTCAGCTCCTCCGAAAACATCGAACCCGTGGCCGTGATCGGCGGTCACGACAATGAGCGTGTTCTCAAGCTCTCCAATCTTCTTGAGGTCTATTATATCCAACAGTCAGAAATCCGAGCCAGCCTGGTGACGGACAACTAACGAGCGATGGTAGCGCGGATAGTATCGTCGAGTTCGAGAAGTTCGCCAAGGGCACGGTCGTAATCGAGGACATGCATCATCTTATCGATGCTAGCGGCTTCGGACCTGGGAGGAGGAATAAGTATATAGTACGTAGAAACTAAGATGTGCCCGACACACATCATGAAAAAGCCTTTGCCGTTATTCCGGGCATGGAGAATGTCAATGGCCTTGAGTGTCATGTCCTTCAGACCGGGCTGGTCTACTGCATCGGTGTTGTCACCGGTAGGAGAGTTCTTGAGCCCACGAAGGTTCTCTGGGTATACCTGACAAAAACGGTCATCAGACCAAAAATTGACTGAAGAAGACGGGAGACACACATTACGATCGAGCCATTTTGCCCTGCGTTGTTGTCAGCTAACCACCCTGATCCACAGTAAGCGACATGAGGACGTACATGTTTGATTCTATACGTGGTGTTGAGTTGGTAAGCTAAGAACCGGAGGCAGGGAGGATAAACACACTGGAGAAGATGCCCAACGTCTTCTTTTTGTTACCAACTTTGTCAAGCTGGGATTTGCTGTTGACGACGTTGTAACCCTCGGATTGGAAGACCTTGTAGAAATCAGTTCCATTAGGTGAACCTGCCCCTGCGATAAATTGTTCTGCGCCTCCCCTATATCATAATTAGGGTAATATTGATTGGGTGATTAGGAAGGGCCAAGATACGGAGGTATTCGATATTGCGTACCCAAAGACGACGTCAGGACCCTCGCAACTCGTGGGCCAAGACAACGTTGAATTGAGCTTAGCAGGACCGTAGAGGTACTCATAGACGATCGACGCAGATTGTCCACCTAGGATCATCACGAGAATGCCGTTAATTGAGTGATCACTAGCCAGCCGATCAGACTCACGATCGCGGGTGTGCGAACAAAGCGCAGCTATCAATTCAACCCGGTTACTCAAAGTACGATCTTGATCGAACAAACGACTGACCTGGAGTTGCATCAGCGATGTAAGCAGTGGACACCATCCCGAGTGCTCCTCCCCTTCGGCGTCTGAACAGTTCGGCTATCGTCTCGAATTTAGGATCATCGAAGGAATTACGGGACTATTGCGAGTTTAGCAATAAGCCTATTGTAGAATGGCGATATACTTACGCTGTCAGCATAGACGTTCAACGCGCTGACCGAGCTCTTGTGCCCGGTATACAAAGCGGTAGCTGAATTCGCTGAATCGGTGATAAAAGAGTCGATCGAGTGTGTCATTTGGCTATAATTAACAGGATGGGGACCACGTCAGTCCTGAGTCGATGATACCTTAAAATAGGCAACAGGGAATGGGAACGTCGGAAGGCAGGCAAGATTCCGACGGCAACGAGAATAGATCGACGTACTGTCCGAGAACTTCCATCTGATCCATCTGCATCAATGTCTGATACCGACCATTGATAGACTTGTGAGCAATCAGTCGGGCAGCGGTGATCATGGCTTGCGTCATGCCTTGAAATAGACAAGAGTAGATAAGTGGAAGAGCCTGTTGAAATACGCGAGATCGTACCGTCTCCGATGAAGAGTATCGCGTTCTTGGCCTTTTTGCGCTTAGATGCGTCGCGAACACGCCAATGGGCGACCGTTTCACTTCTCCCGTTGTATTTGAGACGAGCTGTGTACTCTCCCGGCTTTCGGACAATCAGACGATGATTCGTACAACGGTGGCTTCACAAACCTTATTGAGCGAAAGCTATAGACGTTGGACTCAACAACTACATATCACAGTAGCGGTCGAAGACTTACTGCGCGATAGGCCTTTGAAGCGACATTCACGATCACCGGCGTCCCCGCGTCCTTCGCGAAAAGATCTTCGAAGTATCTACAGATACATAAGATCAAGACTAGCAGAGTAGCAGAAGCAAACGTACGAGAAAGTCCATGTCTCGAGTGGAGACTGCTTCACCGAGAAGAACTTGGTGACATCCTGACATTTTCCCTTGCCTTGCTGGATGCAGAAGGTGAAGTTCTGATCGGGTACACCATTGGCACTGGCCTCAGTTCCGTTAACTGGGGCGTGAACCTCGAGCCGGATATCAAAGAAGGCTCCTGGGAAAAAGTCTGCTTGATCAGGCGGGAAGATGCAACCCAATGTCGGGCATGCTCCCAGACGCTGGAATGTTTGAGCAGAAGCTAGTTGAAGGAGTACGGCCGCAACAACGAAGGCAGGAGAGAGACCCCTCATTTCTGGAGGATAATCGGTGGGGCTTAATATCTGGCTCCAGACACGCGCCGCTTTATAGGAAACCCCGTACGAAGCGTAATCTAGAGCTCCCAGAGCGAAATTGAGTTGAACGCATGAGTGATTGACTCCAAACGCCCATCAATGCATGTGGGATCACTAGAAGCAAGGCACGGTGTAGTCGTTGCGGTACGAACGTGGTCCTCCTGCTCGTCCCGGCTGAATGCTACCGTATGTCGCGGTGCCTGTCGTTGAAACCAGGACAAATTCCACTGATAAAATATCAGGCATTTTTGTCGCCGGCCACCCCAGCAACGGGCGGTCCCGCACGTACTGCAGTCGGTACAGCGCACGTTCGTCCAAGGCCACATGGTTACCAAAGGAGGGCGGCACAAGAGCTGAATTAACGTGTACATATCCCCTTTCTCAAGCTTCTATGCTTCCTGAAGAATAGAATTTTGACGTAAGTTGGCGAGGCGGCAAGTAATCGAGGAATCGGTACTACCAGTAACCAGCTGGTTTCATGGCGAACGCCACATCGCACCCTGGTAGTCGTCGTCAGACGCATTGTCGTTTTCGTGGACGAAGCAGTTGGAAGAGTAGATTTAAGCGCCGGAGGGGGTCTTGCTTTCGGGGAAACTGTCGTCGATTGAGAGGCGATTAATTTCGTCTTAGGCCAAAGGATGGAAAGCATAGCACGCATTTATTGGGACCCCCAGTCTATGTAGCGAGGGTATTACTTAGGGTATCTATCGTTATGCTTCAAAGCTCAAATACGAATAAATATACGCGTCGGTTCTTCGGTTCGACCAGAACCTCACTGGGACTCTGAGCTGGGCGCGCCAAGACCAAGGGCATCGGCGACTTTGAAGAAGACATCAATGCTGTTATCTGCACACAGGTTGTCAGAACCGATCACGGCATGGTGGGCAGGGTGGACGATTCAGGAAAGAAACTCACAAACACCACGGAAAGCCTCGCCACCGGGACCGCTCGCGAAGACAGAAACATCTGGAAACATACAACATCAGTGGTATGTCAATGCTTATGGTTCTCTGGAGCACGAACCTGTCAGTGAGTGGACGCCGGAGGAGTTATCATCGGGAATTGTGCCCTCTGGAACATACGGTGTCAGATACGGAACGGTGCTATTACTTAGGTGTGCTAACCGATCTCAATGCCTGTAATCAACGCCGTGAGCAAGTATAAGATCATGAAGATGATTTACGTACCTTCAGGTTGATCATTAGGATTGGCGACGTAGCCATCGTCGCCAGACACTACGGTTTTGCGGATCCCGGTTTTGTTCACTTGCCATCCTTCACGACTGGAATGAATCGGAGTCAGAATCTTTCAGTATGGAGCCAGGGTCTATCACTGACATGTCCGGATGAGCAGCCATACCACCCTGAGGAATTTACAACTGGATCAGTACAAGATCGTTGAGCGACGGCATTTTGGGTCTTACAGCAAAGGTGTATCGAGGATCCCACTGCACGGGGAAGTTCGGGCCTCCAGATCCAACTACGATGGTATTGTTATCCGGCGACGAGCCTTTTGCGACAGTGTATCCACTCAACCCAGACTCGCCGTAAATGCCAACTAAGGAGGTCATCAGGGGAAGGCCCAAGGGGACAGGGGTGGAGACATACTGGCGTCACGCTTCTTGCGTGGGTCGGTTTGGGCAGCCATGTACTTGGTGTCGACGCTACCGTAGACATCCTGCCCATGAAGAAATCTAAGGACAGATCGTATAAAGATGAAGAAGAACATACGAATCCGTGACCGTGGTCGGCAGTTACAACGATCAGGGTGTTGTCCAGTTCACCGATTTCTTTGAGGTCTGCGTACGATGTCTAGACTGTGAAGCGGGAGATGAAGAATGATGACTTACGAGCAATAGTCGCGCGGATTGTGTCGTCGAGTTCCAAGAGTTCACCCAAAGCACGATCGTAGTCGAGAGCATGCATCATCTACAAGTTGCTCAGAAAACCCGGCGTTGAGCTTTGGCATTGTTGCTCTTACCTTGTCAATGCTAGCACCTTCGGATCTATCAAAATCCTTAACAACCTGTGCGAGGAGAAAGAAATGACATGAGGCGTACAGCATGAGCCATCCCTTCCCACTGTCCTTCTGGCGATTTTGAAGAATATCGATAGCCTTGAGTGTCATGTCTTTGAGTCCAGGTTGATCGAGAGCATCAGCATCGTCTCCGAGTGGGGAGTTCTTGCGACCCTTCAAGCTCTCGGGGTAGATCTAACAAATAGATATGTTCAGCATGAGAACCTAGGATAGAAATCAAATGACCTACGTGACGATCGAGCCATTGGGACCTGGATTAAAGGTTAGTCTCACCACAAATATGAACCACGACATCTAAGACGTACATGATACCCTCTAGAGGAAACATATCAGCACCCTGAATTGGAGTTAAGGACGAAGGCTAGACATCGACTCACTGGAGAAGATTCCGAGTGTCTTCTTTTCGATATCGACCCCTTGCAACTGAGTATTGTTGTGGATGATATTGTATCCTTCCTTTGCAAATGCCTGATAGAAATCAGTGCCGTTAGGAGAATCGGGACCGGGGAGGAATGCTTGAGCGCCGCCGCTGCATGAGTTGTTAGGCATGGGTTTTCTATAAATGTGAGATGTTGCACATACCCGAAGATGACATCGGGTTGCTCGCAGCTGGTGGGCCAAGCGAGCGATGAGTTGAGGCCAGTATCACCAGATGCCCCGTTCAAGAATGTGTAAACAATACCAGCAGACTCGCCACCTATATGAACAACATTGATCAATATACTCCGGGAGCTTGAGTAATACTAATAGCTGGGAGAACTAACGTTCGCGTGTATGCGCGCACATGGCAGCTGTCGAGGGTGTTCTGCGTTAAGCATTTGACGTAGATAGATGAAGAAGGATGCAGCGTACCAGGGGTAGCATCGACTACATCAGCAGTCGTGACAATGCCAAAGGCACCACCACGCTTGCGTCGGAAGAGCTCAGCAACGGTTTCATATTTCGGGTCGTCGAACGAATCACGGCTCTGAGAAATGTGCGAGTGAGAAATTGTCAGAACGCACAGCTACCAGGAGTAACACACGCTGTCGACGTAAACATTGAGGGCGCCTGACGTTGTCTTGTGTCCAGTGAAGAGAGCAGAAGCCGAGTTAGCAGAATCAGTAATGTATGAGTCAATGGAGTGCGTCATTTGACTGTTAAAAGACATTTGTTAGACGTCGATCTGCGATAATGGGAAGTATTAAACGTACTGCCCGAGATGTTCCATCTGGTCCATTTGCATGAGGGATTGATAACGACCATTGATAGACTTGTGGGCGATCATGCGAGCGGCCGTGATCATGGGTTGAGTCATGCCTGAAAAAATGTAGAGATTGAGGGAAAGCTTTCAGTAGATGGACATATCTACCCACCGTCACCAATGAAGATGATGGCGTTCTTTGCCTTCCTTTCGGGGGCGGGCTCACGAACAAGCCAGTGAGCGACCGTTTCCATGGTCTGATGGTACTTGAGCCGCGCAGTGTACATACCGGGCTAGAAGGAAAGCATGAGTTCTATCCTTGGTTGAAGGTGATTAAATGTCACCTCGTCGAGAGCAAGCTAAGGCGAATTATATGTCAGAATGGGGTTCATGCAAATTGAGACTGAACCCACAGCGCGATATCCCTTTGAAGCGACATTCACAACTGAGGCCGAACCCGCATCCCGGGCGAAGAGATCCTCGTAATACCTGTTCGAAGACTTCAGTTGCGATTACGGCATTTCGCATTTCATGATGAAACTTACGAGAAAGTCCAGGTATCAAGTTTTGAGTCTTCTACAGTGAAGAATTTTGTGACATCTTCACAAGGACCGTCACCCTTTTGGATGCACAGAGTGAAGTCCTTGTCGATCTCGCCGTTCTTGAAAGCTTCAGTCCCATTGACGGGAGAGTGAACCTCTAGGCGGATGTCGAAGTACGCTCCAGCATAGAAGTCTGTCTGATCAGGAGGGAAGATACAACCCAAGCTAGGGCATGTCCCGAGCCTCTTGTAGGTCTGGGCGGAGACAACGCTGGCAGCGGCAAAGATCAACAAGGTGGACCACTTCATGATGCTTGAAGGTGAGGTACGACGAAATACTCAGCGCGGCGACCCCATTAAATACGTTCTGGCGACAAGGAAAGTCATGATAAACGCTGGGGTTGTCATTTGCCGAATGTATGAGAAGCAAGGCACGATAGGGCAAACCGCGAGGAGCGAAAAGACGTGAGCTGTGGGATGAGGCGGGGAGGCGAGCGTACTATGCTGATGCTTACTGCCCAATATCACTGAGACTCGCAAGGGACGCCAGCGCCATGCGTGCCAAGAGCTGCGTTGGTATCAGGTGTATTCCGCAATGGAATTGTCACGAAGGTGAGATGGTTCAACCACCGTATAGCAAGCTGCGATAAGAGTTGGACTACGGGAGGTAGATGGGGAGAACAACTCTGAATCTGATTGTTTACAACGTTATAGATACAGCCATTAGCACAGTATAATGCCAGAAAGACAAATCATACTGGTATTTCAATTTTGTCTGACATACATATCACATGGCCCAGCCTGCCATTCCCTCTTGCTTCAAGGCGAGCGTCGTAATCCCAAGGTGCTTGAACAAACGTTCGAGGGCTCTGGACAGTTCACCATGGGATCATGGTTTATACGGAGGGTGTTGATTCGTGCCACCAAGAGGCAGATGACAGGACTGACACTCCAGGAGGGTAGAAGCAGATAGGCGTCCCAGGCAGCGCGCACCCGAAACCAGAGCTTGATGCAGCATGCGTGATACCAGGGAAGGTAATATCACATATCCTCTACACTCCATTGATGGCTTTCCTGCCCTTGTCGCTTCCGCGAATTCTGGGTCTGGAAGAATTTCTTCTCGAATCCATTACTCCGATCTATGAGGTGGTATTAGTGTCCGTTACGACGATGATTCATTCATGTGAGACTCACCAACGCCGTCCCACCTATAACCAGGTTTGATACCAAACCTATTTGGTGCTGGCAAAGGACCTGTGTACTCCGGTTTCCGTGGTCCCTTGGTTCGTTTTTTCTGTGTAAAAGACCTTAGTAAGTCGGGGTCCGAGAGGACGATGGAGGGCGTACTGTCATGAAGGCAGCGGCGGGATCATTCCATAGTTCCTTCGACTTGAGTTCCTCATTCAAGTCTTTATCATCCGCGTATCGAGCAAACTCCTTGCCCCGTTGGTTTTCCAGCTCCTTCCTCCGCTTCTCCTGCTCGTCCCTCTGCACGAGACCTTTGCCCCACTCCATCTTCTTTGCTTCCCGTTCCTCCCTCTCTCGCTTCAGCCTCGCTGCCTCAGCCCGTTCCGCTTTCGTATCTATCTTCTTGCCCGTAGCATCACGGTAAACAGTTTCCTGCGCAGCTGCAATTTCTTCTTGCGTAGCTTGAGTATCCTTCTTCTTCGCGCCCATTGCTTTCTTCAACTGTTTAGCGGAGACGAGCCCACCGGTGAACGGAGCGGCAGGCTCGTCGACGACCATAGGTTGTTCATCGGCAGCGGGGGGAGGGGTGGCCTCGCGCATACCGCCCTCAATAGTTGCCCAACCTCCCCCCTCTGCAGCTTGCTCCGTCTTTCTCTTCTTGAATCCTCTGTCCGACGCAACCACAGCCTCTGTTACATCCTCCACTTCTTCCTTAGCACCTTCATCACCCCACCCCGCATCATCGTCTCGAACAATAGCGCCCGATCCCGTCGTGGTTTTGCTGCGTTTCTTCTTCTTGGTCCCCGTGCGAGCTAATATGGCGTCGGCCTTTGGGCCAGACATGTATTTCTCGGCGAGGTATGCCTTCATGGAGGACATGGTCGTACGCGAGGAGTATGACTCAAGGAGCCTGGGACTGAAGTTGGCGGCCACCAACAAGGCAGCGAATATTGGCGCCCGATCCTTACGTTCTAGTTCCCAAATTCCACACTCACACAACGAATCCGCCCAGTTCCCAAGATAATATATATAATTTCCAAAAAAAAGCCCAGACAAAACCGCATAGTCAGATGTTACAGATGGTGTTCCAGAAATTTATAGAGAGAAAAACATCGTAAGAGTCATCCATGAGATCTGGAGGCGAACACTAGACTTGGGTCGCCTGCGACTTCTGCTTGTAACCGACGTAAATTCCAACGACAATGAATGTAAGGACCACCAGGGCGATTACGGTCTCCTTGCGCGAGCGAAACAGAAAGGACGCGACGGTCGCCCTGTGTGAAAGGGGGGCCTCCGGGACAGGCTGGCCTGACGCCGAGGGGATGTAAGCTAACCAGAACTAAGAGACGCGGCAGCAGATGTACGTACCGTTGGGGTTATCAGTGGGAGCAACGGCTGGGGCAGCTGGGGCCACAAAATCGTTGCGAACATGCTGTCGTTCTCGTTCTTGAAGGGTATCTAGAGCACGCGGGGTATAAGGAGGCAAGACATCGGAGGTATACATCGGGAGCGTGTCCTGAGAACGCGTCGTCCGAGCTTGCTCCCCGAAGGTCGCCATTTCTAAAGAAAGAGAAGAAAGAGGTGAGCTCATGATGCGAGATGATGCGGGAACGTGCAGATTTCTCTTGTTGACGGTATCTTGCGCGGAAATTTGAAGAAAATACGCTGTTCTGCGGGGAGGGGGAGAGGTCAAGTAGGTGTATAGAGGGATAAAGATATAGGCAAGGAGAACTGCGAGTCGATGGACGCGTCTCTTTTATAGCGACGCGACGCGATATCGTGACTTGAGAGCCACGCGTATTGAAAGTATCTATATATGGTGATGGTCCATCCAGTCTGTGGGCAGCCACGCAAGGACAATGAGAGAAGTAGCGGCCTGAAAGTCACAGTCACCAGAGGAATGGAGGCGCAGTTTTGCATCGTGACGTGACAACGCAGAAGTGCGTCAAAGAGGTCGTGCAATCATCGAAGCGGGAGCGAGTGAACAGCGAACATAAGTTTACGGAGGCGGGGAATCGAAGGCTTGATGAAGAGGACGTTCGCGACTATATGGGTTCTCTAAAGGCTTACCAGAGTTCAAACGACTTCCCAGAATTGGAACAAGTCATCCAGCCCTGACTATGGATACAGTAAAAACGCCGTCTTGTCAACAGCTGTACAGCATGTGTTGCTTTGTCTGAACGACAGCAGTATATGGTCTGGCCCGCAAACGGACGGGCGTTGACAGTTATGGAGGGCTCGCTACAAATGGCCACACTCCCGGGCTTCCATCTTCTGATGTGGGTTTGCTGGTGATGCCCAGGACTTGATACTCTTTACCCATTCCAACCGGATCGGCGAGCCGCAACGCAGCGTCGCGTATGACCTTCTGTCGTTCCTCTGTAGATGCGGCCTTGACAAGGGCGTCCACTCGCATATCGATTCCCATTCCTTTGAGGAAGTTGGCTTGTGACATGGGCCCATGAGGCACGGCTAGTAATTCGGGTGAGACGATACTTTATACGTTGAAGTAGATGAAATTGACTTGCCGATATCAGAGAAGGACTCCTTGAGGTATGCGAAGTCAACATTGCTAGTCAAATCGCATTCCCCTGGACGGTGGAATATATCCACAATTTTGTGATCCTTGAAGGCCTGTCGCAGAAGATGAGGCAAAGTGAACGATGACCAGGCAAGAGTCGAAACATACACGGAACGAGTTATTAAACACTTTATCCTCACCATAATCGATCACCAGCGCGCTCCCTCCGGCAGAAGAGCCAGCTATTAGTTCGCCAATCCTTCTGGAGATTTTGAACGATGAAGGGGAGACTTCGATTCGCGTCCCAATGGGTAGTTTCGAAAATCGCTGAGAGGACATGCCTAGGAGGCTAGAGACGGGCGACGGTTCGGGCGAAAGCACTGCCTTGAGACGAGGTGAAGTAGCAATAGATGACTTCCCGTCCGAGGCCGAAGCGACAAGCAATTCTTGCCAGCCCTTCTGGGTCTTCTCCACTATGTGGATAGGCAACGCGTCAAAGAACTCGTGGGCAACGAGAATGGTGTAATCGTCTGTTTCTGGTGGGATGTCTTCAATGGAGTTATTCCATTGCAACTCCCATCCGTGTTCGTCAGCGAACTTCTGGAGTGTGTTTTCTTGGGCTCGGCGCATTGCCGGGCTTGTTTCGACCAGCTGTACTGACTTCCGTTGGACGGCCTTGGCCGACGGAATCTTTGATATTACACGCAGTATGTCGGCCATGAGTGTCCCCCTCCCTGGCCCCAACTCAACCAGTCGAATGGACGACGGTTGGCCAGCAGCTACCCACTGGCTGAGGAACCAAATGGCAATAAGCTAATTGCACTGAACAGGTCGTCAAGTAGCCATCAAGGTAACAAGAAGATACGCACTTCGCCAAAGACTTGACTGATCTCTGGGCTCGTGATGAAGTCACCCCTCGCGCCGAATACAGGATTAGACGGATTCATGTAATAACCATGTGTGGGATGCGAAAGGCATTGCTGCATGTATGTCGCAAATGGCAGTGGTCCCATAGCCTCCCCGAAACATGTCAGGAACACGCTCCCCAGTCAGAGAACACGCCATGTACCTTGATACTATCCAGTATAGCCTTTTCCACCACCGTCGGAGCGGTGTTCGAGAACGAACTCTGATTCCGAGTCATTCTGTGCCACTGTTTTCCAAGAAGCCGTTTCCGGCATGCTGGCAGTGCGGTTGCGACTTGTCTGAGGGACGGGATCATGGTGATACAGAAAGAGTCACTTCACCGTCGGACGCGACGGAAGCAACCACGGGCGCTTGTTCGGTGCCGTCCAAAAACTTAGATATAAATTTTGATCGAGTTCTCCTAACACTCTACCAGCTCACCGCAGATCCTTCCGCAGGCCTCTCGCAGGCCTTGACTTTTGCTCCCGACCAACTCTTTCGCCTCTTCTAGTCTACTACCACTTCTAATTTAATCCCCCCCCAATCATGGCCACCCGTATGAGAAATTCCTTATCGCATGCGCATTCTTGGATCTGATCTTTACTCTCCTTAGGTCTCCAGTTCGAAAACAGCAGCGACATCGGTGTATTCGCTAAACTCACCAACTCGTACTGCTTGGCCGCAATCCAAGGCAGCACTAACTTCTACTCCGCTTTCGAGAGCGAGCTTGGAGATGTCATCCCTATCGTACACACGAGCATCGGTGGCACAAGAATTATCGGACGTTTGACAGCAGGTGAATACTTTCTCGATCGGGTATCGCGATTTGTATTGATGGGGTGAACGGGGTGAACAGGGAACCGCCACGGACTTCTCGTGCCATCTTCAACGACCGATCAAGAACTCCAGCACCTTCGAAATTCCTTACCAGACGCTGTTGCGATCCAGCGGGTGGAGGAGCGTTTATCCGCTCTCGGAAACGTTATCGCTTGCAACGACCATGTTGCGCTCGTCCATCCCGACGTCGATCGCGAGACAGAGGAAATCATCGCCGATGTCTTGAAGGTCGAGGTCTTCCGACAAACCGTGGCTGATAACGTCCTGGTGGGCAGCTATTGTGCGATCACAAATCAGGGTGGTCTGGTGCACCCCAAGACGAGTGTCCAGGATCAGGATGAGTTGAGCAGTTTGCTCCAGATTCCTTTGGTCGTGAGTCTACCGTGTCCGCAATATATATCCTGTCGTTGAACGATTGAATCAAAGGCCGGGACAGTCAACCGTGGATCCGACGTTATCGGCGCTGGCCTCGTAGTCAACGATTGGTGTGCATTCACTGGTCTGGAGACCACAGCGACAGAGATCAGTGTGATTGAAGCTACCTTCAGTACGTTCTCCCCCTCTCTCTTCATCCTCATGCTTATAATGCCACTCTAGAACTGCAAGGTCACGATTCTGGCGCAGTGATAGGAGAGATGCGGGACTCACTTATCGACAATTGGGCGTAAGAGAGGGCTTCATATCGAAGAAAAATAATATTGCATCGGGTGCTCACCCTCCTTGTATACCAGCACATTTATGTTGTAGATACATCGTTCGCATTGCTAATGACTTGTAACTATATGTATATGAGACTTTTGTTGTTCTAACCCAAAATCGACGGATGTCCACCAAGCCCAAGCCAATTACATGATCGCACTTCGTCTAAATATAGATTCGCCAGGTCCTTCTGCAATACACCGAAATTTGAACCTTTTGTATTTTTTACATCTCGCCGCGACCATCAACAGCATGTTCGTTCGATCCTTCTCGGAGTTGTGTCTCGCTGACCATGGCATGCGCTGGGTGAGGCGGCTTGAACGCGGTCTCCTGTCGCTCCATCTCGGCCTCTAGAACATCCTGTCCACACGCGGCAGCGATAAAACCAAGGAAAGGCGGAGACGGGTTTAGTGGACGGGTGCAGAATTCCGGATGAGCCTGGAGACCAACGAAGTAAGGATGATCTACAATGCACATTAATAACAGTACATAGCGTGATCATGAATATCCTTACCGAACAACTCCATAACTTGCATTCGCTCCCCCTTTTCATCCTTACCTGTGAACCTGATCCCGTTGGGCACGCTCTCCAGCTGCGCGACATACTTGGGGTTCACTTCATATCGATGGCGATGACGTTCCCAGATAGTTGCCTTGCCACCATACAGCCGCCGTGTCTTGGAGTATGGCTTCACGGGGATCGAGGGCACCGGTGGTTTTGACGTGGAGAAACGAGGAGACGTGAGCGAGGAGGTGGAGGATGAGGGCGAAGGAGTGGAAGGAGTAGGGGGAGCGTGATATTCGGTGCCATCCTGGAAGATAGTTGGTCGGAGGCCTAGACGCATAGTCCCACCCATGTGCGTTTTGGAGATTTCGGGCATGAAAACGATGACGGGGTGCTCCGCCGTCGGGACGAACTCAGACGAAGTGGCGCCTTAAGGAGAGGGCGTTGATGAGCATTATTTAGAACGAGGGCCAGACAGAACTGCCGTAATGCCTACCTTGTAAGTTCAAAACGTTCCTCGCCCACTCTACGACTGCAAGTTGGAAACCCAGGCAAATACCGAGGAAGGGGATCTTCTGTTCTCGGGAGTATTTGATGGCTAACATCATGCCTTCTGTTCCGCGAGTACCGAAGCCGCCTGGTACGAGGATGCCGCTGCGTAGATGAGCGATTGAGCTTAATAGTTGAATATACAGATATACTCACCCAGCACCAACTACTGCTCTCCACGCGTCATGGTACTGTTTAGGGTTGGTTTCTTGCGTCTCGGGCTCCAAATCAGAAGATTCCACCCACTATATATCAATTAGAGGAGAACGAGGATGTTCAACGGACTAGGGTGCTTACATCGATAGTCAATTTCCGATGTACTCTGAACGCAGAGTGCTCGAGAGCCTTGATTACGCTCATATACGAATCTTTCAAGTCTGTGTACTTGCCTACAAGAGCGATTCGAACAGTGTCGAACAAACGCTCCTGGCTAGATGGTTGGGACGCGAAAATTAATCATGAAGGGGGCACTTAGGGACGTGGGTGCTCACGCAGAAGTCATTTCCTTCCACCTGACACCAAGGCACCTCCCGTTCTCAAGCATCTCATCCGTGATGTGGATGTCATCAAGCTTGAGGCGATGGGTGAGGTACTCGATGATTCCTTGGGACTCGAGGAGCAAAGGGACGTGATACACGGAAGACACGTCATGTACACCGAAGACTTGCTTCGAAGTGACGTGACAGAACATGCTAATCTTGTCCTTGGTCGCAGGAGAAAGGGGTTGAGGGACCAGGAGACGACACGCGATCTGCAAAGCCCGTTAAATCGAGTACATAAAAAGCTCTCCATATATCGCGCACAAGATCAGGTAGAAGCCCCAGGCCTCTCAGAGAATGAACAGTCGTTTGTGTGGGCTTCGTTTTCTGCTCGCCATGCATGTCCGGCACGAGTGAGACGTGGATCAAAGCAAAATTGTCGTGCCCGACTCTGAATTGAAATTGCCTCATCGCCTCGACGAAGGGTGCGCTTTCGATATCGCCAACCGTTCCTCCCAGCTCCACGATGCACACGTCAGGGGGCAAGCCCGTCTCGTCCACGGGCACTTTGGCGACACGTTCGATCCAATCTTGGATCTCAGTGGTGACATGCGGGACAATTTGCACAGTTCTCCCCAAGTACGCGCCTTTTCTCTCTTTCTCGATTACTTCTGAGTATATCTTGCCAGTCGTGATGTTGTTGTCGCGAGATAGGGTGACATTGAGGTATCGTTCGTAGTTGCCTAGATCGAGATCGACTTCACCACCGTCGTTGAGAACGTACACTTCGCCATGCTCAGTAGGACGCATCGTTCCCGCGTCAATGTTCATGTACGGATCGATTTTGATGGAGGTGACCTTTAGGCCAGTGGTTTTCAGAAGCAACCCGGTAGATGAGGCTATTCGAGAGAGGAAAATAGTCTTGGAGGTTTGTCTGGATAAGAGGTGAGCGGTCTGTGCGCACCAATGACTCCCTTCCCAATCCCGCTGACAACTCCTCCGCTCACAACAATGTACTTGGTCATGGCGACGTCCGTGAATTGGGAAGGAAAGAACTTTGATCATCACACTCAAAGTTTTTGTTATCTTGAGGTCACGTGCCTTCACGATACCGTGATTGATTTGTCGAGCTTCAGACGCGTCAGTGCTCGGATTGGAGTGCTACGAGCTCGATACAGTTCTTTGTATACACATGAACGGCACTAATATCGGATATACAGCTATTATCGTCGATACGTCGATTCTTGGGAAGCGAGCGCTAATGCGATTGCCCATACTGGATAATGATTCTTTTCCAGTACCTGAGCCGCTCGGAAACAATACTGCCGACGGCGAGACCCGCAGGCGAACAGAAATCAGAGAGATACTACGGTTGTTGTACAAGAGACTATTTGTCTTTGTTTGTACTAAGATGCCGCGGGCTTGAGCTTGAGCTTGAGTTACTCTCAAGACAAACACTGACCTCGAGGCCTTCGCTGGGCTACCACGACTTGGGCCCTATCAAGACCTTGACGATAAACGAACTCCGGTACAGCACCGGGAGCAAGGATGCCACCGGCAATCTGGGAAATAATCTGGGACCCACAACTTGCCCATAACAGCGCTGGCATCAGAGGTGACTCGCCACGGACAGGAGCTGTAAGCCCTTTTGGTGTTCATCGCATCATCTCTGAATGGGATCATCATGCAATGTACACAGCCTTCACGATAACAAGGCTAATGCCATCGGTAAAAGCATCCACAATTTTGTGGTTACCAGTTAGCAAATCTTTTGTGTCTCGTTGACTCGGTGAGGCTCAAAGAACTTTCCCATTATGCTCGCAAATGCTGCGCACTAACCTTCTTTCCTTGATCATAAAATCCTCAAGGCTGCATAGTGTGGGCGTCCGGCGCCTGAAGCCGTATAAATCATGGGAAGCAAGGAACCGACATCGATGATCCCCCATGCCTCGAATACAGCACCTATCAGCTCCCGCAATATACAAGTCTTTGGCAGCCCCGACTATTCAAGTAGTCGATATCCATATCAGCGAGCTACGGCTTGACACGGTCACGAAATTTCTTCAGAGCTGTGCAGACGATGTGCCACTGGGCATATCACCAGAATACGGTGCCCACGCTGCTTTGGCTGCGGTCGCATTTTCATCGCCAACTCATGCAATATACCTACGCTTATCCTCTAAACGGTCGAACCGGCCCTGCTCTCCCAATCGCCTTCTTCTGCAGCCTCTCCTAGCCTCGACGTCAAAGAAATACGCTCTACAAATGGATGTTTTAGCAACGGCCTTGTATCTGGACCTCGACCTGCGGATCAATCACGGAATAGATATGCTATCCGCTGCAAAAGGCAATCGATATTCACGACAGGCGGTTTATGATGTTTTAGGCGGGGACTCGAACATTCTCGCGGACAAAGTCGATGCTTTGTTCTTCAATCAAGAACTTTCAAATCGGCAACCCATCCTAAGGGCGTGGGCATTGTGCAAGGCGGCATCTTCGGAGCATGTACTATCGAGACTCAGGCACACAAGCGAAATCGACACCAGCCAGATTTCTACAAAGGTAGAATTGAAGATCTAGCAGGTTATTGTTGCTAACTTCTGCTAGCGTCTCTCTGTTTTGGCAAAACTCGTTCGCGACGCAGAGCTGCTCAATAGATTAAAGCCCACCGTGGTCAAGAACTCTGTCGATCCGAATGTAACGAAAAATAAATCTGGCGAAGTCATCCTACATTCGACCCGTTACAAAACTCGACTGATGCCAAATGGAAATGTAAGCTTCACCCCACTCAGCACAGTTTTTGTATAATGTTCAGCTCTACAGCCACTCCGAGTTGTGACTATCAATCAAAAAGGGAAGCAACAAGTCAATACGGCTCGCTTGAAACGAGTCAAAGGGCGAGCGGCTACCATTGACCCTAAGACCCCTCTGCAAGGAAACAAAGTAGTTTCCGTCTCGACCTTGGGCAGAGAACCACCCACCAACGCCGAACGGGTGCGATTTGAGGTCGTGCTTTCGGCGTTACAGCGCACCTCCCGAGTCCTTGACCAGTCATTCGTCCAACGCTTGTGGTTGCCATCTGAAGCGTCCGCCACGCCCACCGTCGCTTCCAACTTCCCGACAGATACCCCGATCTACTCTCCCAAACAGGCGTTGAACGACTCTCAGCGAAAGGCTGTATCTGCTATTTTGGCGGCAGACGACTACAAGAGCAATCTCACATTGATACATGGCCCGCCTGGGACAGGGAAGACCACTGTGATCGCTTCTGCCGTCACCAGCATTGGACGGTTATATCCATTTCGTCCAATGTGGCTCGTTGCTCAGTCGAACGTAGCCGTGAAGAACATCGCTGAGAAACTGGCATCCGTGGGTTTCACCAAGTTCAAGATCCTAGTTTCCGAGGGGTTTCACTTCGACTGGTACGTTCACTTTATTCACAATAACCTTACAAGCCGCCAATATCTTTAGGCACGAACACTTATACGAGAAGATTGCCCCTAACGTGATACGTTCGGACGCGTTCACAAAATCTTCCCTTGAAGCGTCCCGGCAATTGCTCGACTCGAACGTGTTGCTATGCACGTTAAGCATGTTTGCCAACGACAGCATGAAAGTGTACACCCGATGTGTAGCAGTTGAGACCGTCATCTTCGACGAAGCCAGCCAAATTGAAGTTGGCTGTTACCTTCCATTGTTCGCTCGTTTTAATAGCACTCTTCGCAAACTAGTCTTTATCGGCGACGATAAACAGCGTAAGCGATCCCGTCTCTTCCGTGATTTCGTAGCCTCATTCATATTAGTCCCACCCCATGGACAAGGCGATATCGAGGACTTGCAGAGCATCTTCGAAATGGAACACCTACGCAACCATGGTATTTTCCTTGATATACAATGTGATCAGTAATTTGGTTTCTACATGATTCCTGTCTTGACACCCTTGTAGATCGTATGCCAGTCGTCATCGGGAACTTCATCTCGACCAATGTCTATGGGTCGAGACTAAGGACGGTACACCAGGTCAGATGGCAACAAAGCTGCCTATTTGTTGATGTATCGAACGGCAAGGAAGCACAGCAAGGGACCAGCTGGACGGTGAGTAGCGGCACCTGCAATCTTTCGGTTGCTCACCAATGGCTTTTAGAATATCCCGGAGATTCGAGCTGTTATCAAGATCGCTCAACGCTTCCACAAACAAGGAAAGCCATACCGCATAATCACTCCCTACGACGCGCAGCGTTCAAAGATTGAAGGAATGCTGAAGCAAGAGAAGCTTCCCTGGGAGGACAAGTGCTTCAACGTTGATTCTTTCCAAGGTGAAGGAGTTGCTCCTCACTTCCATTCTGAAGGCGTAGTGCTGAAGTCGCTTCATGGCATGTTAGGCAACGAAGAAGATCATATCATAATATCCGTTGTACGCACCCAGAAGATCGGTTTCCTCCAAGAAGCTAGGCGGGTCAACGTGATGCTGACGCGGTGTAAGAAGAGTATGGTTTTATGTACAAACAAAGCCTTCATACAGGGCCCTGCAGCCACGTCGCTGGTTGGTCGACTTGCGGCTCAATTGGGCCCCAAGAATTGGGTTGGCCTTGGATGAGTATCGAGGTTTTGGATTGTTGTATCTATTTCTTGCCTTACTGTCGTCCGTGCATTCTGTAACTGTACTAGACTCACATCCTTTCTTATTTTCTTGCGAGTGACATATGGAAAGCCTTCAGGTGATTCTCCTATGAACTCCTGTGTGATTCGACGATCACGTGCAAGAAGGCGCATCGCTGTTCGACTGTTGCACTTTCGCCGTCAGTGCACGTCCAAGCAGCCATCGCAGAAATGGCGTTGAAGTTCGAAACTATGTATCAAAATCTATACGACGATCTCAACGATCCAGGGTGTATCCTGTACAGGACGCGCCTACTCAAGGACCTGAAGTCTGCGGCTCTCAAGCCCTTTATGGCGGCTCAACCCATCGGGGCATCTGCAGAATACTCGAAAGATGGGTATCTGTCCACGCTCGCCCTCGTCACAAAGATTCTGGAGGGGTCGCCTGAAGCAAAGGGCAAATGGGGATGCCTAATTGTCGAGTTCCCCGCCTCAGGAGGACGGAAAGGCGATCGACCCGATAGCCCAAACAGCCAAGATGACTCGCTCCTCCAAAAGATGTTCCAGCAGCAGACCAGCAATATCTACGCCTTTGACATCGCGCCCCTCGCAATGTCGTTGTTCGGCGATCACAATCTCCGTATATCCAACGGCATCGACATTCAGTCCGCTTTCCCCAAAATCGTCGATCGCAACCCGCTTAAAATCATTCACGATATCGTTGACAGCCGATTTCGCGTCTTTGACGAGAACATCAAATCTGTATTTCGTCACAGCAACGTTTCCGATGACTCGGCAAACATGCACAACGACCTTATCCTCCGCGCGTGGATCTCTAGGACGATAGTTGATATTGAATCGGCTTCTACCACATTCGACAAGGTCCCCAAAGTCAACCTAGCTAATTTCCCCGATGCAGTGAGTTAGTAGCCTACGTTGCAGCGGCGTCGCCGACTAATATCACGCCCTCAGACTCTCCATTTTCTCATGAAACGAGAGAAGGATGCCCTCAGGCTCGAGCAGCAGAAGCCTTCCCAGACCAACCACCGTTTCCAAAACACAAGGGACGGTAAGGGTAACTACATCGCTCGCGCGTCAACTTACAAGGGGAAATTTCAACGCGGACAAGTCAGTCGGCCATTCATGCTGGTGATCGTCTTGCTAATATTGATATGTCGGAACAGGAAATTGAAGTCACGATTACGACTGGCTCTGGGGCGAACTACGTTCTGACTGGTACTACCGCGCGCGTCGACGGGCAGTCAGCAAGGATGGTGACGGACGAGTCCCTGAATAGCCGTAACATCACGAACATCGTTTCGGTTGGACGCGACGAACCAACCCTTGCCCAGCGCCAACGGGCGAATACCTTGCTTCGAATTCTCCAGGGCGAGGTCGGGCTAATCGACAACAACCCGTGGATTCAAAATATCTTCTTCTACAACGGCTCCGCGCTTGTCTGGCCTCCGGATTGGCATCCTCCTTCGAGCAAGCAAGCCCCATCCAATTGTAACCTGGACCGCTTAAATTTGAATCCGTCGCAAAATACTGCCATTCAAGCCATGCTTTCGACATCATCGAAAGACCATATAGTCATTATACAGGGGCCACCTGGCACGGGCAAGACGAGTGTCATCGCCAACTATGTGAAGACTGCCATCCATTCTGGTTATCGTGGATTGTGGCTTGTTGCCCAGTCCAATGTTGCAGTCAAGAATATCGCAGAGAAACTTATCTCATATGAGTTCACCGATTTCCGGCTACTTGTATCCAGGGAATTCCGATATGAATGGTAGGCTTCTTCCATGAAAGATGTTCAACATGGTGGCTTACTTTACTTCAGGCATGAGCATCTCTATCAGAAGATTCAACCACATGTTATACAGTCTGATGAATTCACAGAGTATTTGGGGGTCCGCCTCAAGGGTGTTCAAGTCATCTTATGCACCCTTAGCATGCTCTCAAACAAACATATCAGCAGATTTACATCATCTGTACCGCTTCAGACCCTTGTGGTTGATGAAGCAAGTCAGATTGAAGTTGGGGATTATGTCTCTACTTTTGCCAAATCCCTGGTTTGCGTAAAGTTTGTTTCATTGGTGATGACAAACAATGTAAGTCTTTTAACTCATACTGGTTATCATCATTAGCTTATTTGTTCATTAGTGCCACCATTTGGTCAGGAGGAGATAGAGTCACTTCAAAGTATCTTTGAAGTAAGCCATCTACGTGAGAAGACATATCTATTGGATACACAATGTAAGATCTTGATATTGAAACTATATGCTGCCTACTAATGAATATGAACTCAGACCGAATGCCACCACAGGCAGGAGATTTTATCTCTGCGGCTGTTTATGATAATCTACTGAAGTCCAACCCACTTCATCCAATATCTGGTGATACTTCAAGCTGTGCTTTCATTCATGTGGATGGTCGGGAGAGTTTTTCCAATAAAAGCTTTCAGGTATTTGCCTCAGTTTCATTTGCCTGTCTTCATGTATGCTAATATATATATTCAGAATGATGCAGAGATGAAGCTGGTTTTAAAGCTGGCTTCTCAGCTTGAGGAGAAGAGACTAAGCTACAGAATTGTTACACCTTATGAGTCTCAGCGGAATCTGATAGAGACTAAAATGCAAGAGAATGAGATGCAATGGGAGGATAAATGCTTCAATGTAGATTCATTTCAAGGTAAGCTTTGATTGATTATATTTGTCATCTTGCTTATTATCTTATAGGCAATGAGGACGATTATATCATCATCTCACTGGTTCGTACCAGTGAGCTAGGCTTTCTCAAAAGCCTTCGACGTACAAATGTCATGCTTACTCGCTTCCGCCGCAAAATGTATATTGTCACACTTAAGGAGTTCATCAAGAAAGCAGGTGCTTCTTGCCTTGTTGGCAGGCTTGTTGAACATATGGGTGAGGAAGCTTGGTTGACTGAGAAAGATGTGGAGTTGGGAAACATTTAGATGAAGTTTTGGTATTTTCTGTTCTTGCTATCTTTTGCTATGCCCTTTGCTATTGCTCTGATTTGTTACATACTGCTATTGCTTTCACTCTCATGTATTACTCTTTACTATTACCAAAAAAATCATAAAATCACTTAAACATACAAGCAATACTATAACTTCTATAAATGACTAATGAGTTGATGCTCAGGCTCAAACAGTAATTTCATATCATGAAGCGAATCAGTAACTGCAGTTTGAAAAAGGGCTGTTGAAGTTAAAGGACTAGCATACTTAGATTCAATACCAAATTTGATTTGATCAGCTGCTGCAAGGTCTAAATGCACAATTAGCTTTAAGCAGAGAGTGAAGCAAAATAAAAATCCCTACAATTTATCCCATATCCATCATTGTACTGAGCACCAAAGCTGAATAATGATGATAAGTGTCAGGTAACATTAATAAGAGTCAAACTCACCCTGTTCCTCGAAAGAGATAACCAGCACTTAAGCCACTTGTACTGAGTTTCCAAGTAGTCGAGCGCTGGAATACGTTGTCCGAGAATAATTCTGATTGTTCCCCCTCAGCCGGTTTGAGGAGAAGCTGTAGACCCATGAGATGTCTATCTATTCCCCGACCAGTCGCAGCCTCACGCGTGAGTGACGTGTGGGCCACTATAGCTCTGTGGAGCAAGGTCGCGCATTGGGAAGGCTAAGGGAGAATATGTTGAGAACATAAGGAGGTACGGTCCGAAATGTTTCACGTACGGAGGATCTGGGATCCATCATTGCGAGTACCCAGGCCCGGCTTTCATTGGTGTGAGTTCGTATAGTTTCAGTGCGGCCGTGTTTGAACATCCGAGTGAGGGTAGTTTCGTAAGTCGCTGTAAATGAGCCGCGCGTGCGATACCAGGCGAGCTGCAAGGCTTGTTGGATAAATGCGTCGGGTGCCATTTGGGCTTGAAGATAGCAGTTAAAAAGTGACCACAAAGGGAGGAATCGTTGAACACCTACCAACAGTTTTGATCCAATCTGTACCGTAGTCGCGGAACCATAGCACGCTGTCGTCAGAATCTTCGATAATGAGCTTCGCTCGAGCAGCGGCGTCGTTGCACTCTTTCTCGATGTAGACATCGGTGTCCCAGTTCAAGCGCGACCAGCCGTTGGAATCGGTGGCATTGTCAAACCACGTACTTTCTATGTCGGAAGGGAGGGTATCGCTAAACATGCCTTGGTCTATATCTTGAACGATAGAGTATTCCCCGACTATACTGGGGACGAGGGCGTCGACAGGCGAGTGTTCGCCGGTAGCGCCAGCACGAGCAGATGGGTCGACTATTATGGTGTAAGCTTTGTCGAAGAAGCGATTAGAAACGTTAGTTGTGGTTGAGCGAATGGTATGGAGGTGGGCGTCTAGCTCTAGTTGGCCGGGGTGCGTCGGGTCGAAGGACGAGGATGCAGAACCGAGGGTTGGGGGAAGAACGTTGGGGGAACGACGAAGGGAGTGAGTAGTGTCATCGAGGCTGAGGCCTATCAGAGAATGGACAATTGATTCGTGAGTTCGTCTATTTTGTTCCGAGACGGACAATAAATGGGATAAATTCTATAATCGGAGGTGGAGGGGAGTCAGCAAGTATCCGTGTTCGTTACGATTAGGATCAACGAACGGCAGCCCATTTATCTCTCTCGTCGGCACTTAGGGCGCCAATACGGGGAGCCTTCTCGCCGCGCTGAAGCCGCTGCCTAGCATCTCGTACTACCGCGCGCAAATTCTGCTCAAGGGCTGAGACCGGCAGCAATTCCCGGTCTACGAATGCTTCCACAAGGTAGAACCAGTTGTGCACAGTTACGATGATACATCGTGTTGCAGCCGAGGATGGTGGCGGCGGCGGGGCTAAGACATCGCGCTGCGGCCGAGGGATTCGACAGACGTTGAAGACGCGGGCAATGTTCTCTCGCAGCCATATCCCTAAAGCGTGTTGGTGTATGAGACACTTATTTCAATGTTACCAGCGCACCTGTTCGCGTATTATCTGAGCTCCCTGTGCTAGTAAGTTCGAGGTTAGGACACGGTAGAAACCGAATAGAGTATGAAAGACTTACGCCGCAATAGTATCTTTATATTGGAGCGTTCTATGAACGAGCCACGCTGCACGACGGACCTGCCAAGGGGTGATACCAGTGCCATTGGTCCCATTGATTTGTGGTTGGGGTATACCCTTGTCGTGGGCGAAAACAAGCCACCAGTTGGAGTTTACAACAAGCGGTGCCCGCCATTCCATATAGGCCTTGTCTAGCCAGAAATTATCGTCTAGCCAGTTATGTGGTGACTGTTTATCCAGCGCTTCGGTCGGTCAGCACGGGCAGGACAAGTATCGAAGTCACGTACCTAGTAATCGCTCCTGGCACACCGTCCCTATCCCGCGCTCGAACTCGTCAGCCCATTTTGTTCGTAGAGCCAGCGCGTCGTAGAACGGCTGACCACCCTTGGCCTCGTCTTCGAGGAGAAAGGGTTCTATGGATTTCAAGTACCGGTCGAGAGTTTTGCGTAATGGTGGAACTGGGAGCCGTGGTAGATTGTTGAAAGTCCCAGTCGACGCGACACCGGTCTTTGTGCGCATTTGTGTGGTTTGAGGGCTAGAGAGTACGCGACTGGCGCGCCGCAAGTTCTTCATCTTGATTGGCGATGGTCATGCTGGCAAGCGTTTGGCATAACTTTGAAGCTTTTCTTACTCACGGCCCTGATCAGCGCTTCGATCACACACATAATAATAGAGTCGCAAAGTTCAACGGAATCAATGGAATAAAGTATGCAGAGTAACTATTTGTTTTCTACAGATTCATTGGTGCCCTCATGTTTGGGCCCATGCTCATACTTGTCAAAACCCAGCGATTGCTGGACTACGTCCTCAGGAGCATCCGGTTCGAGGTGCCCTTGACGATTCCGACGCGCTCTGGACGATAGCCCATTTTCAATACATAGCCGTGACACAGAGAGGTGAGTACTAACCGAAAGAATGTGTAAGACAATACTACGTCGTCTACGTTTCGACATGCAGGATCATCAAGAATGTCTTTGTCTATGAAGAAGAGTAGTGGCATGTCAACTTCCTCTCCGGCGAGCAGCTTTTGCTCTTCGAAACAAAAACATTCTACTTTGGAGAAATAAGGCGCAACCTGAGCAATCACGCGTATTCAGGAGTTAGAACGTTTCGAGAAGCAGATAGTACCCACCCTATCAGGTGTGACGTTGTACGTAGCAATACCGATGATGTCTTGGTCGCTCGTATTCTTTGCACTATAAAACGCCAAACTCGACTCCCCGGGCAGGACGCTCACAAACTTCTGTTGAGGAGTAAAGGTCCAGGGGAGCGCCCCCGACTTATCCGCATTGAAATGGACTTTGATCCGTTTCGCACCATCGACGGGAACTAGGCGCGAGGACTCGAACCGTCCTGTCCCGACTTTTGGTGTACCAGCAAATCCGGTCGCTGCGCAAAACATTCGATACAGGGGGACAGCGGCATAGGTTACGCCGACTGCTGCGATGATCTACTCTTGTAGGTGAGTCTGGTAGAGAATTCTAATATGATTCGTAGGTCTTACCACAGCAGAAGTATACATCGCGAGCGTCCGGTTCTTGGCTTTGTACATTTCTTCTCTCGTCATACGAGGCCGCTTCGTGGAGGCCTTCCTTGTCCATTGTGATGCATGCGCGAAGGAAGGGGGCTTAGCAATGGGCGATCTGGCCTGCAGTGGTCGAAAAGATATATGTCTACATCTTATTGCGGTCCATTGCGAAGTGAACGCAGGAATGTTTTGTGCAGGGCGCCGACATTGCCTATTCTAAAGGTGACTTCAGCGAGAACCTCTCCATCAAATAACTAACGCGTACCAGCAACTGTCTTGTGCATTGAAGGGATGAGAGGAACGACATGATGTCCGACGTTCTGCCAGTGCGTGACTTGGAGTGTCACGGAGAAGTCACTTTACTCAAGCGCCCATTAAGTCGCCGGCCGGCGGCAACGGTATTCAAAACAGAGTGTGACTGCTCTGTGACCCTTGTAACGCAGACCTGCCGTAACTCACCTCCTCCACCAGAACATGTCTTCTGCTCAAGCGTCGTCCTCGAAGGCTCCCTCCATCGATGAGGTCGAGAAGCTGCTCAGCCGAGAAGCGTCAGCGTTTCAACGCGAAGTCGAGGTTGAGCGCATCCTCAAAGCGTTTAAGCTAAAGTCAGTGAACCAGTAACCTGTATAGTCGTACCTAGCTGACGGACCCACATATTCTACTGCTTTGCTCTTATGTTCTTGGATGATCAAAAGCCCGTATGAAATGCTAGATCTCAACGAGACCGCCACACCAGAAGACATCAAGAAGAAATACAGACAGCTATCATTATGTACGGTCAGGCTAGCTCAAAGATGCTCATTTCCTTCAATTCTCATCGTTCATCATTTTAACACTCCCGGTGCACCTAGTCATCCATCCGGATAAGACACCGCATGAACGTGCACCCGAAGCCTTCGATCTTTTGAAGAAGGTCATGAAGTTGGTTTACTCCACAAGTGCACCTTGGCTAACATATGGTATCTACAGGCTGAATCTGAGCTTTCGGATAAGGCGAAGCGTGAAGAATTGGATGCAGTCATCAATCAAGCCCGCATTCTCGTTCTGAAAGCCAACAACCTCCCCCCGAACACTGCCCCCAACGACCCACGTCTCGCTAGTCTTGACCCACCATTCAAGACACAATTTAGACAGCAGTCTAAGGACCTACTGATAGAAGAAGAAGTTAGAAGGAGAAAGTGAGTTCAGCGTTCAACTTGAGTGGACGGAAATGTGATTGTTTTCGAAGGGCGATCAAGATGAACCTGGCCAACGAAGGTTTGGAAGCTAGGAAGAAAGACGAGGAAGTCTCTGCCAAGAAGCGGAAAGCGGAGGACGACAAAGTATGGGAAGGTACGCATATACTATGTTCATTTACATATAGCGTCGCACCGCTGACTTCGCCCCAGATACAAGAGAGCAACGTGTAGATAGTTGGCGTAGTTTCTCCAACACTAAGAAGAAGAAAAAGACCAAAGTGACTCTCCTTGGCTGAACTAGCCGTCGCTTTACATATTCTTCATAGTTTGTCATATAGTCGTACAACGGGTGACATTATTAGACGGTTTCGTGTATCACCAATACATATGGGCATTTACTGAAGTGCCCGAGAGCTTAGAGAACGGGAGTGTGCGGGCTTACATAGCTCTCGCTCAGTCAGAATCGCTGATTTCAACGATGCCCAAGTGTTCGACGGCAGTGCTTTGGGAGCGCACAGGACTCGTTCCCATCCTGCGTCGAACGTGTCTCGGAGCCGACGGGGCATTCTCCTTCTCGTCTTCTTCGTCAGACTCAATCGTAATGATTTCTGATTGCTATTTATAACAATTAGGTCTCAGGCGACAAACGGTCAAGGAGAGACGTACATTGGGCGGTTGGCTAGATGGGGCAAGCGAGTGGCTGGCATGTCGGTCAACCTCATCGAAGGCCTCCAAATAGATAGGGTCTAGAGTATCCCCGAAGTCGGAACTCATGTCGGCCTTGCTGTCCTCGTATATAACAAAAGGAGTTTCGTGCACAACGTCTCGAGCCTTTCCCTTATCTGTGAGTACTTGTGAGTGTTTGAAAGACAACGTAGAAGAGTGATCGCACCTTTGCTTTGAGCGATATCAGTTCGAGGAGAATCACGAAGGCTGGCAGACCAAAGGGTGTGGCCTAGCATGTTCCCCTCGAAGTTATCGCTGACCAAAGTGGCCGCTGCACGGGTGGGAGTAAGGTGGAAGGAGGCTTGTATCGCTTTCGCATCCGAGGTTGATGCAGCCGTGGAGTTACTCGCAGAGGTGAAGTACGGGGACTCCATGGAACGGACAGGAGCAAGTGTTGACTTGGACGGGATGTCCGCGGGCTGACTCTGCGTGAGCTGAGCAAGAGTATCCTGGGTCGATTGCCTGGCACTGGGGAATATCGAGCCACCGCTGGTGTCCGAAATGGAAGTGCGTTGCCGCGAGCCGGGGAGCTTTCGCCGATGGGGAGGTTCATCGTCATTATTATTGTTGAGATTTGTCGAGGGACGCGCTGCGGGCGGCAGGTCTTTCGTGACGTCTCGAAGCGCGGGTCGAGGGTTCACGGGGACAGGCTGAGCACCGCCGAGACTAGCTCGGGCGGGGAGGGGGACGATAGGTCGAGTATTCGGGGGATGAGCAGCTCTAGCCATTTCGTCGTCTAGCTGAGGTGCTGGGGGTTGTGGGTCAGGTTGTCTGTAGGCGGTCAAAGAAAGTCAGTGTTTATATATGAAAGTGAGTGGCAAAGCAGCACAAAGGAATGGCACGGGCAGGTGATGACGCGGTGGCAAGAATGCAGGTGGAATAAAGGAACGGAATTAACATTGTGAGAAAGGGAGTGTACCAACCCCAGCCTGAATCGTAGACTCCGCGCTAGTATTTCGTCCCTCATCGCGTCGAGTTCGGCGTTAGAGTGTCCTAGTAGTGTCACGGTCGCTGGCTCGAGAAAGACTGTCCCCCCTCGCACGAGGGCATCCTTAAGTTGCAACTTGAAGGGATAGCGATTTAGTGATTGCGAAGGTCCTCGACAACGAAATCATTCCAACCTTGTATCCGAGAGTGGTTACGCCAAGTTCAAGCTCTGGTAGGGGGCGGTATTCAATAGCGGGGATGACTACGTGTCCGTCTGACAAGTGGAGCTTGAGCATAGAGCGTTTGTATTTTGGTATCCTCCCACCGACCTCCCCTATCCCATCGTCCTCAAGGGGGTCCCCTTCCTCGGTCTCCCCCGCAGCAGCTCGTTCAAGGCGCGACTCCAGGGTCTTCTGCAAGGACAATGCACTCAGACCGATTTCTTCTATTTGAACTATCTCAACCAAGATAGGGCGACCTGGGAGACGAGTTCCTTGCATCTCGCCTATGTCCGGCGGAAATCCAGTCCCTCTGACCATAGAATCACTAAGGCCAGAGAATAAGAGTTGATTCCGTATGCCATTAATGACCTCTGGCGTCGTTAGGGGTTGGGGGGCCTCTGATTGCAGCCATTCGTAGCAGTCTTCGAGCCAGACCTGCCAAAGAGCGTATCAGCAACGACGCGGGGACGGTGAAGCAGAAATATCGCAGTACAGGATCAACTTGGGGGCGCGGAAAGGTGGTTCGCAGCCAGTTGGTCACGGCAGGTGGCACGGGCATGGTGGCTGACAGAATTTGAATAATGGGTCGCGTGCTGTCGCGATTGTCGCGTTATTGACTTGTGTTTGTCTTGCAGGCCAACTCGCATGAGGTGCAAACACGTGACAACAAGCAGGCGCGTGTTGTTGTTGTGGTCGTCCGGTCGTGGCCTTGTCACTTTCTCTTCTTCACTTCCATGAACCAATGTCCTTTTCCTCAACTCCTCTAGGCCAAGGACGACGATTAGATCACAGCACTTTTCTCGGCAAGAATCTACATCAGCACAGAAGCGCGCCGAAGATCATCACCTCTCCGCCTCGCAGCCCAGAAAAGCTACACAACACCACAGTAAACGTCGCATCAGCCTTCCAGCAGGCCGCACTCCAGAGCGAAGCAATGAACCCGAACGACTCTTGGGCGTCGGGAGCGTCGGCTTCGTACCGAAACGTACCAAGAAGCACCAGCGTAGACTACGAGAAGGAGACCCAGAATACAAGCGCACGCCGACTAGCTGCACCCCCGAGGCGCAATAATGCATTGCCATCTCGTGCCACGAAACCCCTCTCCAAATCAGGTTCCATAAATTCCAACATCGTACCGGACTCACAACTTGACGAAGAACCCAGTCAACTCGAGAACCGATCATATCAGCGGGGGAAGAGCCCTATGGTGGATGCCATCAATGGGGTCTACCAGAAGGTTTCCTTTTATATGCGCGCTCGCTCTAACGAACCAGATAATTCCCTCGATCACTCCGGGAACGGGCCCCAGGAGGATGCAAGTTACAGCTACGACCAGGAGGAACAACAATTCCAGGCCTCGCAACCCACAAACGCTCGCAAATTGAACTCACACAGAAGACGAAATATCTCCGTCGACAACAAGGCATACAAACCCAGTCAATCGGATCTAGAACAGTCCGATTCAGACTTCGAGGATGACGGTCGTAAGCGGCGGAAGAAAGCGAAGAAGGGAGGGCCTCACGGAGGACCCTTAAACAGCCTCCCCGTTACTCAATACGACAAACGGAAGCGAAGAAAATCAAAGGGAGGCAAAGGTGGCACCGAGGCCGAAGGAGAGGGTAGTGCAGGCGAAGAGATGGACGACGAAGCGGTGAGCAAACTTCTGCTTCATTCACATGATTTTTTTATTCAGTGCTGCCAAAGTCGCAATCCAATTCTTCACATCGCACGTCTCAACCGCCGCGGGCGGCGGAAGAAGACTCTATTGACTATGCCGAACAAGGGCTTAAATCTATTCCTGAAGACGAAGAAGATGACGATCCTCAGGAAGCGAATTCCACCGATGTCCCGAAATCCCCTTCCACCGATCCCGTATCCCCTCAATCCCAATCCCGACACGCAAATTCGCGATCCAAGACACCCCAACCTCGGCAAGCACCTCCATCCTCGACGTTTTCCATCGGCGCCCTTTGCGGTAGGGGAGTAAACCGGCTCATTCACTACGCGCATTCGATATTCTTCCTCGGGGGTCAACTACTTGGACTGATCGTCAGGGCCTTCCTTACGAATGGACCTATCAGATATGTCTCCCTCGGTCTCGCTATGTGCGCCGTCTGGTACATATTGGGTTCGCCAACAACCAGCCTGCAGCATTATATCCTGGGTTGGGGCACATCGAGTGTCGCATCTCCTCCTCCGACGGCACCTCCCGCTGACTTCGCAGAGATTTCAGCTCGGCTGCAAGCAATAGAGTCTACGGTCTTCGCGCTTTCGACGTCACAGGATCGAGTGCGTGTCGATTTGGTCTCCGAAATCAAGTCACGCGACTCCCTCAACGACGAGATCAAGAAGGTCTTTGGCGATGTTGGAAGAGTCAACACTGAGGTCGGCAAACTCAAGTCCCAGATCGGCACAATGGACGGGCGGCTGGGTACCGTAGACGGCAGCGTCGGAACATTGAGCGTGCAGATTGGGAGTTTAGGGGGCGATTTGAGCAAGCTTGGGCGGCAGATTGGGTCACTGAGTGGGCAGATTTCGACTTTGGAAGGGCGGGTCGAAGCAGGTGGTAGCAAGGGCAAGGACGGTGTCAGTGTGGATTCTGGTGCCTTAGCTAATCTGAAGAAGGAAATTGGCTCTGTCAGTGAGCGGCTGGTCGCCTTCAGCAGTGTTGTGGACAGGCTGGATGGCCTGCGTAAAGAGTGGGAATCCGAGCGCAGTAAGAAAGACAGGGAAAAGGAAAAGACCGGGAATGAATCTCGTGTGCGCTTGCAAACGCTCGAGGACCGCATGGATACTATCGCAAAGAGCGTCGATGAGGCATTGGACCTTGGTCGTCAATCCCATGGCGAGACCAAACCCTGGTGGGCCAGCCTCCCGGGCAAGAAGACGGATTCCTCGATTGTCATCAAGACCACCGATGGACAGGATATATCTTCCCTCCTTTCCGACCTCGTCAGCTCCACCGTCATTGGGTACTTCGCGAAGGATATCCTAGGCAAGCCGGACTATGCTCTGTATTCTGGTGGCGCGCGCGTCATCCCCTCCCTCACTTCCCCCACCTACGAAATCAAGCCATCTACCCTCCGAGGATCCGTCGTTGGAATGATTACTGGTCAAGGATACGCTTCGGGTCGCCCCCCTGTCACTGGCCTTCACCCCGAAACTCATAATGGACATTGCTGGCCATTTGCTGGAACACACGGACAGCTTGGCGTCGCACTGGGTGCTCCCGTTTTCGTCAATGAAATTGTCATCGAACACGTACCAGGAGATGTAGCATTCGATTTGCGAAGTGCACCCCGAGATATGGAGGTTTGGGGAGTGGTTGAGGGGATGGATAACCTGAAACGTTTGGTTGCGTGGAGAGAGGAGCAGAGGCAGCTCAAAGAGACGGAGGGAGAGCAACAGGAACAAGAGCCATACCCACCAACACTACCTTCCCATCCACCCTACATCCGCCTGGCTAAGTTCTCGTACGACGTTCGCGCCCGCAACCACATCCAGGTTTTCCCAGTGTTGCCTGAAATTAAGGCACTGGGCATCGACTTCGGTGTCGTGGTCCTCATGGTGAAGAACAACTGGGGTATGGACGACTATACATGCATATACCGCATGCGTGTGCACGGCGACCGCCTCGGCGAAGTGCCTCCATTATATGACTCAAGACTCCCAGAATCCTCCGAGTCATAGCATTCATTTCTTTTTTATAATAAATTAACGACCACTCACGACTTCTCTTCCTCTCCTTAATTCTTAATCTTCTTTTTATTCTGTTTGCTTTCATATTTGTGCCATACATCGTGTGCTTTGCCACTTATATCCGACCCTCATTATATCCTCTCATCCATGCTCCAGCACTCCTTGAGTTGATATCGCAGCATCACCGCATCGTTGTCCGACTTAATCTTGTATTTGTCAGTATCGTTGCTAATATTTATTCAACGGGAAATGAAATGCAATAGACTTTATAAACACTCTTTCCGTTAGATCCTCGTCAAGTCTGCCCGTGTATCTTAGCTATAGATCAGCAAATTTGTCCGTAGCCTACGTACGCTTCAGTATCTAGATCATATCTAAGATGAAGGTGGAATTACCTCAACGAGTAGTTTGGCCGTTCCCGTTTCTCGAGCTGAGTGTCCGGCATCGGGCACGATGTGGAGGGTAAGTTCAGGGAATGCCTTCACCTTCGTTAGCCGGCTTGAAAAGGAACATAGGATAATGGATGTACCTTCTTCAAGGCATATGCCGTCGTGGCCTGGCGTGCATGGAGATCAGCTACCGCCGCATTTCTTCAATGAGATAAACACATACAGGACAGACTACGTCGTATCTTCCTTGAACAACTATAGTTGGGATATGACGGCTGAAGGGGGGGGAAGTACAGGTTAACAATGGAATGAGGAAGTGAAGAGTCATGATTCGTACATCTTGTCGATCTCTTGCTTCTCGAGCAGTTGTCCGTCACGCATGAATCCCTAGAATCAGGGTTAACAAAGTGATCATCCGATATCTGGGGTAGATCACCTCGTTGACGAAATAGTGGTTCTCTATACGAGCAAAGGCCCTATGAAGTTCGCGCGGTTGGTTAAATTGAGACCCCCACAACAGGGCACGAAAGCGACATACAATGCAAATTTATCATCTTCGCCACGGGCAACTTGTGCAAGATCGATGTGCAACTTAGAAGTCATCATCCTGCATAAAGAGAGCGCGATGAGGGTACACAAACCGACGATGTCATTGTTACTTACTCCCATTTAGACCAGGCTCTAGCCGCGATCAGCTGCGTTTGCTCGTCGACGGAATTGAGCTGCGCATGATATGCCAGCATCATGTCTTTCCTCTCCGGTTCAGGGATGGGTGCAACGAAGTCATCCCTCCAGAAGTTCACGTATTCAATTACTAGCCTCATTCTCGGACAGGGCGACGCACCATGCCTCGGGGAAGAGATGCCCAGCTCCATCTTGGTAGAAGAATTTGAGTTCACTGGAGAGAGTCAGAGTCGTAGAGTATGCATTGCCACGGGCGAGATGCACCTCTTCCTGAGTGTAAAGATCCCTCTAGATCGGAATAAATATAGGTGTGCGATCGCAGGGTACAGACAGCCCTTACCGGAGCACCAGACTCTTAACGCGATCAGGATGTGCCTAGACAATCTCAGTAGCAACGTGCAAGATTGGATATGTCGTTTACCTCTGCATATGCCAAGGACAAGGTAGACCCCTGTAAGAACAATATTAGCTTGCACACTCAGCATCAAACAAAGTACTCACCCAAGATCCACCGAAAACGTGCCATTTGTCTACCTTAAGCAATTCCCGAAGTTTCTCGATGTCTTTGACCAAGTCCCAGGTAGTGTTCTCCTCCAAGCATGCATGGCTACACGATTAAATGAACCAGTCGATAGAGAAGTCCCCCATTCGGACTTACGGCGTAGACTTCCCAGAACCTCTTTGGTCGAATAAAATGATCTAAAGCGCACCAATGAAACGGGTAATAATTCAGGAGATACGGTCATATACATACCTTGTATTTCTCAGGATTAAAGAACGAGCGATCCTTCGGATCCACGCCACCTCCAGGTCCACCTATCCGAGTTACTTCAGCTGACTTCGGACGCTGACATCATCCCACTTGCCGTGAAGGAACACAACTGATCGCGACTCAGTTTCCGTTTGAAAGGATTGAAAAAGCTACGCACCTGGGTTCCCTTCCTTGTTCCCACTCACCTCATAGCTGCAAAAGTTGTGTGAGGGTCAAATTGGTGCGATAGTCACCTGGCTTACTAGAGGGTGTGCAGATCGGAGACCTTGAGGGTACCAGTCTCGAATGGCTGAATGTCGGGATACATGGATGATTTCAATAGTTGCGAGAGGTAAGATCTGCCTGGGGACCTTGGTTTGATTGGTATCGGGTAACGGACGCGAACCCGGAGCATGAGACTGGCAAGCACACGATCCTTTATACCCAAATTAGGAAGGTGTACTATCGAGGCCGGCGCTATTCGTTAAGCGCTGTGGGTTTGTCGGACTCGGAAGTCGCGCGATGATTGGCTGACAAGTCAATTAATTATCAGGACATGCACAAAACGTTTCGGCCAGGCGCCATTTCACCAACTCACCAACCATCATGTCGCAGAAAACCTTCGTTCCGCTCCCAGTCCCCTCTGTGCCTGCAGATTGCAAGCCACCGCCGGAGTTGACAGCCACCGAGGACGAGCTATATACCAAAGTCCTAGCACACTTCTCCAATCCCGAGTACGCGATTCCAGGCTTGGAGAAAGGCCAGCTCAAGGAGGAGGAAAAGTTCTGGCTGTCCCGTGAATGTATCATTCGGTGAGCCCCCCTTGGTTGTCGTTTGAAGTCGCGCTCGTCTTAACAGCACGCGGGGTCTGTAGGTTTCTTCGTGCGGTGAAGTGGGCAACTGCAGAGAAAGCGATAGAACGTCTAGAGGAGACTCTGAAGTGGAGGAGGGAATTTGGTCTCTACGACCTTGTCACCGCCGATCTCGTCGAACCAGAGGTCAGTATCAGTGATGGTTGAGGGTGATAACTCCCATTGATAATACCATAGGCTGTGACTGGCAAAGAAATACTGTTCGGTCATGACACGAGTCGCAGACCCGCGTTCTATATGATTCCAAGCCGTCAGAACACGACCGAGGCCGAACGACAGATACAATACGCGGTTTGGATGCTGGAACGTACGTTTGACCTCATGGGTCCTGGAGTAGAGTGCGCCACATTCACCACGTCGCAGAAACTTAACCACTAAATTCTCTATTGCAGGTCATTGGACTTGATGATCAACTTTGCTGATAGAGCAAAGAATCCAAGTCTAGGCACGGCACGCACCGTCCTCAGCATCCTGCAGAACCACTATCCCGAACGGCTCGGCCTCGCGATCATCATCAATATCCCCTTCCTCGTCAACGCGTTCTTCAAGCTCATCAGTCCATTTATCGACCCCGTAACACGCGCGAAGATGAAGTTCAACTCGTCAGTCCTCGACGAGGGTATATTCACGCCTGACATGCTAATGAAGGAGTGGTGGGGAGGGGACGTCGACTTTGAGTATGAGCACGAGAAATATTGGCCAGCACTCGTTTCGCAGTGCAAAGAGAATGAGCAGAAGTGGATGGCACGGTGGAAGTCATTGGGCGGAGTGGTGGGCGTACGGGAATGGGACTACAAAACGGGTAGCGACAGCCCTTCCTCCGCGTCTGCCACCGCTGAAAAAACATTGGTCTCTACAACCGTTGCAGAAGTTCAGGAGCCATCTCCGGTTGCTGTCGCATAGACATCGTTTCTCTCTTTCTGGCCCACACCACTATAGATCTACCCTACAATATCTTGCTTTCGATTTGCATTCTGGTTGTTTTCCGATCATGTATATGATTACTATCGGCTAATATTGTTGGTTTTAGTGAAACTACTCGTCGGCCTCGCCTGCTGTTATGACATCGTCTAAGAGGGGAAGGTTAGCAAGCTGAAGAAAGGCCTCCATTATTATACTACATACCTATTTTCAATACCGCACGAACGAGCTAAAGAGCGAAAGGCTCAGTGAAAGTCTGGGAGGCTCTGCTAGAGGAATAACTCACCTGAGTCGCCAGGAGGTACTGTTGTCGTTTCGAAATCAATGGGTCGTAAACAAACTGCTTCTTCATATCTACACCAAACACCACCAGTAAGGATAATGACATCTTAGGGAGTGCAGCATGAGTAGGTACGTACCGTTCTCGCCCCTGTCGCTGCAATCTATACCAAGCTTGGTATCGTTCTCCTTGATTTGACGACTCTTCACGTCAGTGAGGGTTTCTATTGGCGAGAGACCGCTGTTCTCGGCCAAGGCAAGGGGGATGGCGTCGAGGGCGGACGAGAAGGCGCGCATGGCGTACTGCTCGATGGAAGGGATCTATCATCGCGACGAAGTTAATGAGGGGAAGAAAGATATAGCTGCAGTAAAATGTTACCTCATCTGCAGCTTTGGACACAGCGATAGAACAGCTGATATCAGCTGCACCACCACCGTACACAACGCGGTTATCAACAACCAGGTTCCGGACGGCGCAAATAGCGTCGTGCAGGGCTCGCTTGGCTTCGTCGACAATCTAACCATCGTGGTGAGTACGCATATTGGATGTGGATGCAAGCGATGAACGTACCATTTTATTGCTACCTCGCACAAATATCGTGACGGCGCGCGTATTCGCACACTCCTCAATAACCAGCATCTTGTCTCGAGTCGTGCCAAAGGAAACTTCGCGAACGATGCCGGCTTTACCCAGTTTCTCTGGTGTGAGATCTTCGAAGCGAGGGACGATTCGGCCTTGTGTGGCAATCGCTATCAACTAGTTCGTATTTGAGTTTCGTTCCCCTTCAACAACAAAATTCTTCAATGACTCACCTCGATCTCGGGTCCACCCACCCATCGGACAGCAGGAAGTTCGTTCTGCATAAGGAGATGGTTTGCCTCGTCGTCGAAGCCCCATTGACATATGACCAGATTCGCGCCTGTATCCTTAACAAGCTTGATCATATCAGCGAACTTCTCCTTCTCGTACTCCCGAAGCTTTTTATACTCTTCGACACTGGTGATATCAAGCTTGTGCTTCGTCTTGGGGCGTGGGGGTTCAAACGGACATGTGAGGATGGCGAGGCGGGCGTCTTTGACGGAGTGGGGCATTTGTGGATGCGACATGTCTTTGTCGAGGAGTACACCCTTGATCAGTGTGGTGTCGGCAAGCGATCCTCCGACCTTCCCATCCACTTTGATCAGGTCGAAAGAGACATCTCGGCGCTCGAGATCTGCAACTTGGAGTACAGCGTCAACAGCAATCTGCGCAAATTGTTTGTGCTCCTTGGAGACACTTCAGACGAGACCAATGATGAGCGACACAAAAATGACGAGAGGGCGATGTAGACGTACATTTTGCTACCGAGACTCGTCATCGATGTTTTGAGCAGGTTTTCAGTGTTTGATTTCGAGAATTCGACGCGATCTGCAATCTTGTCGAGATGTTCGATGGCCACGGCGCATGCACGATCGAATCCATCCGCAATTCGTATTGGATGAATGCCACGATCCAACAGGGCTTCACTTTGTTCAAGCAGAGCACCAGCAAGTACTGATCAAGCGTAAGGAATATATCAATGAACCAAGGTGCGGTAGCAGACGTACCGACAACACCAGTAGTCCCATCACCGATCTCATCATCCTGACTCTTCGAAAGCTGTACCAGGAGTTTTGCAATCTGATGTTCGACCTCCATCTGACTCAGTATTGTTGCACCATCGTTTGTCACAGTGATCTCGCCGTCTGGTGAGATCAGTATTTTATCAAGCCCTAGAACCTGGGTTAGAGTCAGCTGCAAATATGCTGAGATCGACAGGACATACCTCTTGGTCCCAGCGACGTTCTTATCACGTTGGCGACCGACCTAGCAGCCAAAATATGTGACTGGGCGCATATTAGCAGATTGGCAATTATCAGCATAAGAACTATCTACTTTTATTGCTTCTACGCCATGGGTTCGGGTTTTCCTTGCTTGTTCTCGTACAATGATAAACGGTCTTCCGTACTCGTCAGTAGCGTACATCGCCTGTGGTTGCGCCATGGTGGTATGAGGGGAAGGCGCGTCGCGTTCAAGGAAGGGGTGACCAAAGATGATCAAGGTGTGTGACTGTGACTGTTATGTGTGATTTGCTGATTGCGGTTGAAGCACTAGCATAGCCGCATTCCTTTCCTCCACATTTACGCATTCACCTTTCAAAACGCACCATGGAACCGGAGATTGATGCTTGGATCGAGCAGCTGAGCCAGTGCAAACAATTGACAGAGAACGATGTCAAAAGACTCTGCGATAAGGTCTGTGGCGAGTCCGAATACCAGTGCAGAATGCGCACACTGATCTTCGGTACGATGGTGCACGGGACACCGTAGACGAGGGAGATATTGACGGAGGAGTCAAACGTTCAACCGGTTAGATGCCCTGTGACCGTCTGCGGTGATATTCACGGCCAGTTCGTACGTCCTCATGGCTTTCATTTTGTCGTAGCTGTCGGGCTCACTAAATCCTTGATTTCCACTCACAACCGCCATTTATCCAATGGCGACAGCATGATCTCTCAGAGCTTTTTCGCATCGGTGGAAACTCTCCGGATACCAATTATCTGTTCATGGGGGACTATGTCGATCGAGGATACTACTCGGTGGAAACTGTTACGTTGCTGGTTGCGTTGAAACTACGTTATCGGGACCGCGTCACTATTTTGCGTGGAAACCACGAGTCGAGGCAGATCACCCAAGTTTACGGGTTCTACGATGAATGTCTTCGAAAATACGGAAACGCCAATGTCTGGCGGTACTTCACCGACCTCTTTGATTTCCTCCCACTGACTGCTTTAATCGACAACCAAGTGCGTTGGTTGTTTTCGCCTTTCCGAACTCGCGGATGCGTGCTTTTATACTCTTCAGTAGCTAACACAATATGTCTCACCTAGATATTCTGCCTTCACGGAGGCCTCTCTCCCTCCATCGACACTCTAGACCACGTTCGATCCATCGATCGCGTACAAGAGGTGCCCCATGAAGGACCCATGTGCGATTTGCTCTGGTCTGACCCAGACGATCGATGCGGGTGGGGAATATCACCTCGTGGAGCGGGGTACACCTTCGGGCAGGACATCTCGGAGGCATTCAACCACAACAACGGCCTGACGCTGGTAGCCAGGGCACATCAGTTGGTCATGGAGGGTGAGCTTCTTTGTCTTCATATCTCGCCCGTACCCACCAACCAGGATTGTCTCTGCAGGTTACAGTTGGGGTCAGGATAGGAATGTTGTCACAATATTCAGCGCGCCGAACTACTGTTACCGTTGTGGCAATCAAGCTGCGATCATGGAAATAGATGAAAAGCTATCCTACAGCTTGTATGTGGTTCTGCTGAGCGTTCTCCGTACTGACCCCAACACATTCCGTAGTCTACAATTCGACCCCGCCCCTAGGGCTGGTGAACCTTTGGTTTCCCGCCGTGTACCCGATTATTTCCTTGTGAGTCCTCCCTACCCCTTCAAACGTGAATTATTGCTGATGAATGCGCTGTGTTTCAGTGATGCAATAACTACATTACATACACTTAAACTCGACCTTGCATGTATAAATACCACCGCCGATGCAACCTCTACTGCAACGACACCCGTACATATAAAGGAATTCTTAGGCCCAAGCACCTTACACGCACGTCTCAAAAGACAATTTGTGGATACCTGTCGATCCTGGACGTTATCTCTCCCGTTACACTGTTTCTGTTTCACCATGAGTTTCAGCTTGTTTACGCCGTGCTTCGCTTTCTAATAGAATAATGCCGTTTACTTCCAAGAACGAACCCTCAAAGTATGCAATATTCAGTACCTTACGCGTGCAGCCACGGCCCTTGCCGATCCCCCCAAATTTGTAAACCCATCGAGTTCAAGGCGTGCATGGGAAACGGTGCAGCAGAATCGAAGTCGAGAACGGATTTTCCGCCCCCTGTGGAGTTGGGTCCTGTACTAAGCCTATACTTGGAGGTGCTCGGCGCGTGCGTGGGAGCAGGAAATGATGTCATTGTTCCTCCTGTATCTATATACCCCCCAAATCCCCGTCCTACCTCTCTTGAACCTGAACCACCACCATCTCCTGAACCACCACAATGTACATCACGACGCGCTCTGCAGTCACACGTCGCGGAATTTTCGCTGCTCGTCGTCAGGCAGCAGTAAGCGGGAGGCGACAATCCAGGTATGGGCAGCCTCTGCATCGTTGCAAGGCAGTTCGCTGATAAGAGTGCCTCACATAGCACAATGCACGACAATGATCCTGATGTGAGCTGGAATATTTCTGGCGGCCCATAGGCGGAAGTTGAGCGTGTACCAGGTTTTGGATTTGGAAAAGAAGCGCAATCTGTCGGGAACGCAGCATAAGACATCGACACCCCACACCAACGCGCCTGGATGGAACGAGCACCTCGCGACGGCTTCGGAGGCCTCTGTAAAGGTCTGCCTCGTATTAGCGCGATGTTCATCATAATTCAATTATTTCGCAGGCTGACCGCTCAGACAGTTCACCTGAGGATATGCAAAGAACAACCGTTGAATATATCCATTCCCGGCATGCACCTGATGAGAGAACAGAGCCAACGTCGGCCTTCTACTCTTATGACACAGTCGATGGGCCGCTTGGCGCAGGTGCCGACAAAATTCTGTCTAAACGCACTGTTCACGAGGAAGTCACGGAAGTTCTCAAAAAAGATGCCAGACCTACGGACAGCGAAGCCAATGTTCGTCATTCCTCCCTCATGCTTCCCGTTGAGCTGACTTCTTGGATAGGTCAAGGCCGACAGAGGCGAATTGTAAAATTGTAACAACCCCGAGCAACATGTATATTATATTGACATCCTTGTACTATCATTGCATCATCCATATCCCACCGTCTTGCACTTTTACACTCTCTAGTCGCATAGTAAAATGATATTGTCTTGATCTCAACAATGATAGGGAAAGTAGGAAGTACATCGGCCTGTTTCGTGCACCTGCTATTCAAGCCTCACAATATTTAGGTTTGGTATCCAGTTCAATCTCTTCTTGTGGAAGCGGAAAAGGTATAGCGGGCGGCAAGGGTTGCGGCTTGACCTGCGGCTTGCGAGATATAGCCCTGGTACTCCGTCTCCAGAACATCCAGACACGGAATATGTCCTACACGACGAAGAACAAATAGATCAGCACCAGTTGCTGCATATTTTCCGTGTACATACCCATTGCGTCCCAAATATCAGCGCAGTCATAATTGGAACTGCAAACAGATTGTTAGCTGTTGCGCTGCAGAAATAATGAATGTGTTCCGGACTCACGAGTGGCGATAGCGACAGCCACATTAGCAGCATTTGGGCTGGCATCTTGAAATTGCCAGCTAACCAAACTAATCGTTACATAGCATCAGCATAGGTAATCTAGTAGAGTACTAGGGCACAATAGGGTATATGAACCTACGAGATGGTGACGATAGGGACTGGCAATAAGCAGAATACGCCATAGCGTATCACCAGCCTCAACGGGAGGCCCCCGTTCTGCTCGGCGCAAAGGTTCCTTAGTGTACCCCAGTTGCGTATGAACATGAAGATCGTCACAGCTATGGTAGGGGAAGGGGGTAGATCAGTCCGTTTTTCTACCTGAGGGGGTATGGAAAGAAGACGGACAGACAACTGGCAATACTGATATCATGACGAAAATAACGATAATCCCTGTGATGATTGACCTGTTGGTACAATGGGTATATGAGTTTGGCGAGTGAGGGATGAAGGGAAGGGGTATATTAGACGCACGGTGTTGGGATTGTGAAATGGCAATACATTCCAATGGCATTGCGTTGTACTACGTCTTGCCGACTCAGACCAATCTAGGAAACGAGTCAACACCGCATATATGCGGGGTGCAATGTTGAGAGTACCACAAGGACTTCGAGGCAGACTAGAAACGATGTGATGTACGGTAGAGATACGATCTACAGACGATGTAAGTGTCGAAATAGTGTGGCGCAAGTTAGGCATGCAAAGGATACTTACGAAAAGTTTCCAGTTACGCGATGCTGGAGTCTGAGCGGCAGCGGCAGACACATTGAAGAATAGCTTCAGGAGGGATCGGTACTTCTGAATACGCATATGTATACTTGCAACGTACCTCGAGTGCGAAGCTGACGCATACACACGCGTTCCTTGAATCAATAGTATAAGCACCCCCGCAGCTGGATGGGATTCATGCACAGTACATTGCCGGCGCCGCATATATCAACATGGACTGAAACAAGCACAACCCAAACGGTGGCTCAGGTCCAGTTTGCCGGCCCATGAGCAGGAGAAATGACGACGCAGAGAATATCCACGAGATGATAACGTTGAACCACGCGATGGACCTCTTGACGGACGGCGCCAACCACGCAGTCAGGATCACGGCGAGGAGAAGGACTAGCCCTGTCATCTGCACGACATTGAACGCGGTAATGAGTGCGGGATTGGGAGAACCTGCTCCCTGAGCCGATTCAGATTCGAGCTCTGGAGTTGTGTGGCGTCAGTTACCATCGGCATTGCAGACTTGATAATGAAATGGCAATGAGTAAGAGTTACCTCGGGCGGTCATGGAGAGAGCGTTCATTTTGGACTGCGGCTTGAAGGGAAATGAGCGTGGGCCAAAGGAAGGAACGAGACGACTCGATGCACTCGCTTTCCGTGTAAGTTAAAGGCTGTCCATTGAAGTGGTTCTACAAGGAGTCGCTTGATGGTATCAAACTCGTTGGGAAGCTGAGGAGGCACGATCGTGGTCTTGCTGATCTCGCTGATGCGGTGGGTCCAAGATGTTACGATGGGTTACTTATTCGATGTTCTGGTTCTCAAGTGAGTGAGTGGATAACACGGGATGCGAGAACACCGAACGTACTGTGAGCTTACCAAATATTCTATATCTTGCGTTGCAGAAATGTTGCTTCAAATGAAGTGTTTCGCGAAGGTGTTGAGATATCAAAGTTGTACACAATTATCAAAATCAATGCTGTCGGTAAGTGATACCATCAGATAGAGAAGCTCGATGTCAATCTTTGAAGTGGGTACAGGGCCCGCCAGCGGCCGCAGAAACAAACGAAGGATATAGTCATTACACAGTAGACAGATTGGGCTTGATATCCGGCTCTATCACTTCCCTCGGCAATGGAGCGGCCAACGGCTTGGCCGGAGACAGAGGACTCACGGGCTTCGGATGTCGTCGCCAAATCATCCAGACATGGATTATATCCTGAACCACCAATCGGCCCGGGAAGAAGTCAGTGCCAGAGTTGATGAATCGTGTATGCCAACACGTACCCATTGTGTCCCAAATATCAATGCGATCATGATTGGGACTGTCAAAAGTCCATGAGCTTTCGCTTGACGGGAATAGTATGAACCTACGGGTAGCGATGATTAGGGAGAAGGAAGCGCTACAGACTTCCATACTAGACAGTCTGATGTTCTGTCTTAGAGTATGAAAATCATTTTAAGAAAATAAGTGTACATACATTACGGCGACGACAGGCAACGGCAACAATAAACAGATTGCGCCGAAGCGTATCATCATCCTGCGTGGTACTCCCCCGTTTTCCACAGCACAAGCAGTCCTAAAGTTGCGCCAGTTGCTCACGAAAATGAACACGACGATGGCTGTATATTCCAAGCTAAAAAACTTATCCGGTTGGACAATGATTGAAGCGCACCAACGACGGGGAATACCCATGCCATGACGAGAAGAACTATAACATCTGTGACTATTGAGCTATTCGCCACATGAGAATCCAGCGACGTGAGTTTCATTTTGTACTTACGGCGCTGATGTCAAAAGATGGCAATACATCCCAAGCGCGTTTCGTTCGACTAAATGTTTGTCAATCAGACCGATCTAGGAGAGGTCACTCAATTAACAATGCAGCTAATGCAAAAGCTTGGCAACAGTACCGTTAAAACTTCCAGGGAAACTAAGAATGTTGTGACATATGGGAGAGATACAATCTAGTGGTGCAGATCATGGTAGAGGGGTACGTTACTAATACAAAAGGGCACTTACAAAGACTTTACACCCGGACGGTGTTTGGGTCTGGGTGGCAGCACCGAACACACCGAAGAAAAGCTGAGGATATTAGGCATGCATGCACGTGGGTGTACGAGTAGCAACATACCTCGAGCGCAAAGCATAGGCATGCACATGCATTCCTATAGAACTAAAATCAGTGACGATTATCTGAGAGGGTTGACGTATCGTACATTGCGGGAGCCGCGTAAATCAACATCGACTGGAGTAGGCATAGCCCAAATGGAGGCATGCGCCCTGTTTGCTGTCCCATGAGCAAGAGAGAGGAGGATGAGGAGATGATCCAGGCAATGATGATGTTGTACCAAGCTGGGGACCGTTTGACAGTCGGCGCTAGCCTTGCAGTCAGGAATACGACAAGGAGAAGGACTAGCCCCGCCATTTGCAAGGTGTTGAACACAGTGATGAGCGCTGGATTGGGAGAAACTGCTCCTGGTGGCGATTTCAAATCGAACTCTGTATATTTCAAGTTCAGTTATTTACAGTGCTGACGCAGGGGACGGAGATTAACGACTTACCCATGGAGGTCATGGCAGGGGAGTTTAGTGTAGATTACGGCTGGAATGGAGATAAGTGTGGGATGAAAGGAAGGAGCGGAACGATTCAATGCTCTCCTTTAAAGGGTGTCCATTGTCAGGGAGTTGCGCTATCGTATTCGTTGGGAAGCTGAGAAGGAACGATCGTGATAATTGCTGATGTTGCAGACGTTGCGCTTCTATTTCAGTTCTTACTGGATCTGATCTTTAGTGAGGGCAGAGAACGTCGAAGATGAGTGAGCGAAGCATACCATTGAGCTGGCATCCGCAATGCAATGTATCTTGCGGCTGCAGAGGACGGATCTCTTCATCTTCAAATGAGGCATCTCACTACGATCGTGTTCTGTCAAGATCACAATCATCAAGACTAATACTGTTGGTATGCGACGTCATCAGACACGAGCAAAATATAAGGGAGAGCAGTTTAGAAGCTCGATACCAGTATCAGCATTGTTTGATTTGCATTAGAAAGGAAACAGGGGCCACCGGCAGCCGCAGAGAAACAAACGAAGGACAAGGTCATTACACATTAGAGAGACTGGGCTTGATATCCAACTCTATCTCCTCCCTCGACAGCGGAGCGGCTAGCGGCTTGACTGGGGACATAGGATATACGGGATGGGGGTGTCGTTTCCAAAACATCCAGACATGGAGTATATCCTGAGCGACCAACCAATCCATGCAGAAGTCAGTGCCCACGATGATAGATCATACGACAACAACGTACCCATTGTGTCCCAAATATCAAAGCGATCATGATTGGGACTGTTAACAGTACATGAGGCATCGCTAGTAAAGAATAGGGTGGCGACTTACGGGTGGCGATTACTATGGCCAAGGGAGCAGCGCTAGGACTTCTGTCAGAGAACTGCCAACTAACCAGCCTGTTATGCTTTCTGAGTATCGTAGCAATTTCACAGGAAGAGGTGTACATACGATATGGTGACGATGGGAAGTGGCAATATGCAGAATATCCCAAACCGTATCATCATCCTGCGCGGTACTCCCCCATTCTCCTCAGCGCAAAGAGTTCGGAAGTTGCTCCAGTTCCGTATGAACATGAAGATGACAACGGCTAGGCGACGAAGGAACATTAACCCTTTCCTTTTTGAGGACGATTAAAACGCACCGACGACAGGCAATACGGATATCATGACAAAGATGACTATGACGCCTGTGACTATCGAACTATCGACTACATGAGGATCCCGGAGACGTGAGTTTCAACATGTACTTACGGCGCTGATATGCTAAGATGACAATACATCCCAATCGCATTTCGCTCGACTAAGTTTCGGTTGATTAAACCGATCTGAGGGATTGCTATATAAATTATGTAGCCAATGATGGAATAGGGTTGGGGAATAGTACCGTTAAGACTTCCAGGCAAACCAAGAATGTTGTCACGTATGGGAGAGACACAATCTAGTAGGGCACATCGTGGTTGGGATAAACATTACTAATGCGAATGAGGACTTACAAGGAACTTCCACTTAAATGATGTTCGGGTCTGAGTGGTAGCGCCGAATACGCTGAAGAAAAGCTAGGAAAAGTTAAGAACTTTATAGATGTGTGAACGGGTAGTATCATACCTCAAGCGCGAAACAGAGGCAGACACACGCATTCCTGGAACCGTCATCGGTCATGACTATCTGAAGAGGGATGTTGACACATACATTGCAGGAGCCGCATAAATGAACATGGATTGAACCAGACATAGTCCAAACGGAGGACTAGGTCCCGCTTGCCGTCCCATGAGCAGAAGGAAGGAGGATGAGGAGAAGATCCAAGAGATGATAACGTTGTACCAGGCAGGGGATCGTTTAACAGTCGGTGCCAACCAAGCAGTCAAAACGACAGCCAAGAGAAGGACTAGCCCTGTCAATTGTACGCCGTTGAAAGCCGCAATGAGTGGTGATGATGCGGGAGAACCTGCTCCTTGAATTGAGTCGGGCCCTACGAATATTCAGCTAAGGCCTCGAGAGATAAAATAAACCATACCGCGAGCAGTGATTAAAGAGTTCATACTACTAGGCCAAATGAGAGTTAAAAATGGGAGGGCCTCACCTAAGGCAGTACATGTAGGGGTCTCCAGGACTGTTTTATTTCGTAGTGGCAACCCATTCTGGAGACCTCTTTCTGAGGTTGAGGCCTTATTTGTAATATCTACGTCACGATATCAGTGCTTCTAAATGATGTGATGGGACTCTGATATCCCCCTTGGGTATTCCTCTTGCTTCTTTCAGTAAGATTCCCGCCTCCATGTTTATGCTTCGGCCACACCAGCCTTGTTCGCCTGCGCGCTGAGCCACGACGGCTGCATGACGAGCTTCTGTTCGTACGCATGCACATAGAGCCACGACGACCTCCAGGCAATCTTCTATCCCCTATCTCCCGCATAAGATACATAATGTTTTTATATACCTCGTTGATATGACATCCCCTCTCCATGCCCAAGTCTCAACGGAGGACACAGAAAGTGGTACCCGGGCTAGGCCAGCATTATTCTAGCCCGAAAAAGGCAGCACCTCGACATGCTATCTTTGTTCGACCCCTTGGCCACGAAGTCAAGAAACAACGTCTTACGGACGAACTTAACAAACTTTTAGGAAAATCTGCCCCCACCCCAATCACACCAACCTCGCCCAAGTCCCGTGCCGATGCGTTGGACACTGAGGCCACTCTGGATGCCGACACCGATGCTCTGGACAATTTCGCAGCCATGGACATAGGTGTGCAATTACATTATATTGTTCCAGAACCTTGCATGACTAAGGCTGGCTACATACCACCAAGACCCTCCCGCTCCTTGTGCTTCCCCTCCACCCCCAGCAAAGTCGAAGGGGGACAATTCCACTGTCATCAAGCTATACACTTCCTGGGCAAGCCTGTTGCCAACTCTGGTTGACCCCCTCCTCAGATACGAGCGCAAGTCAGTCAGTAAACCGTTGGTCTCACCCTCAAGAATCCCGCCCGCCTGCGTAAGTATTCCAGCCAACTGTGAGCTCAAGACATTCAACATCCTTTGCTTATTTCAAGACCGTAGGTACCAACTTAAATTTGTCTGCTGCATTCACCATATGCTTCGCCAGACTTCCGCACGATGGAAGTTCAAGGATGTAAATGCCAAACCATCCCACAACGACTCGTTTCCCATGGCCTATTCCCTACGTCCCCCTCGCAGCCACGAATGGCTGTCTCGATCGATCTTCTCAATTTCTTCCACGCACTCTTCGAGGAATCTTGCGATGCGGTGCATGCAATGTCTCATGCCTTGAAGAAGTACTACCTTCTTCGGGGTTATGCTCTTACAAGTAAGCAAACGGTGAGCTTCAAGTGGGTAACTTCATACGAACGAATGACTCATAATCATGCTCAGGGGGACGAAGTGAAGGAGCCCTTTCGAAGAAGCCTTGGGTGTGCCATGCAGTGGCATGATACACTTCGCCTACTCGTGGAGAGGCGAGTCGAAACCGCGGTCAACGTCATGATCGATGCAGCACGAAATCCAGCCATCAACACGAGGCTCGAGCCACTTGAAACTTCGGAATTTCTGAGCCAAGAACCGCCAGCAATCAAGCCTGCATGCGACCAGCCCCCCCTGCATCCTGGTGATCGATGCGCAAGGAAACTGCAGACTCGATGTCCTGCCTGCTTTGGAGGAGATATGTTCGGTATTCCATTCACAGAGTAAGTCTGATGCAAGCAGATGTTGCACACTCACCGGTCGCTTCCTTTGAACCTCAGTGGTGGCGACTTTCATGTGGCGGTTGATGGGAACTTCCATCATCGGCACCGACGCAGCGCTGGCGACAGTGCCAGGTTCCACAAACCAGAATACTTCCTCTCGAAGGAACAAGTCGACAAAGTCGGTGTGCACATCTCCAAGGTCCGAAAGTCAAAGCCAAAGGAAACACAGCCCGTCGTTCCCAACGAGGCCATCGATCAATGTAAGCAGTCTCACGATGCCGCCAATGATAACAAGGCAAAGTCCAACGAAGAACAATTCGATGATCATGGGATCAGTGCCCTTGTCTGTCGCCATGGAGCACCGCTTTTCACCGCCAATATCGATACACCCGGTGAGCAGCAGAAGTACGCTGTTGCACTCATACAGCACTTCTTTCAGCACATTCCTGGCAATTCCACTGTTCTTGTTCTGTACGATGTAGGTTGCGTTTTAAACCGATCGTTGGAATTGGTGAGTTTGCAATACAAGGACTTGGTGGGTTGCTTACCATTCTCAGTACGACATCCTTCCCCCTGATATCACAACACGACTCGCATTCACTACAAGTGCTATGCACGCCTATGCGCATCAGTGGTCCTGTCAGCTCGTGTACAATCCGCGGCTTCGGGAGGGTGTTGGGCTTACTGATGGCGAGGGCGTAGAACGCCTGTGGTCGAGGCTTCGCAAGCTCATCGGGATCACTCGAACATCAGGAGTGAGTGACACCTCGAACCATTAGTCCTGTACTCTGGCTCAAGTTGTGGCCTGTGTAGAGATCTCGCCGCATATGGCTTGTCGACCGCCAGCTCGATAGCATTGGATCGTCGCACCGGGAAGGCCTCGGTGACTGGCTCACAAGACGCAATACCTTCGCGCAAAGGGAATTGGCGGCAAATAAGACAGTGATACGGAATACTGGCTTTTCTACCAACGAGCTACGCTGCGAGTGGAGTCTACAACGAAAAGCACAGTTGTCTGTTCAAGCCCGTGAGTGCCGCATGGTTCAATAGCACCCATCTTCATTTTCTCATCGTATTTCTGCCTAGATGCTCCGATGCGATTGAAGCAAGAGCTCGACAGTATCCTCAACCTTCAGTCGGAGCTGGACTCACTAGATACCACCATTGAAGCCACGAAAAGGGCCTTGAGTAAGGGCACGACCCCACTGGCCTCCACCCTCCTTCCTGAATTATCGATCACTGGAGACAGGCTCCGGACACAGGCGGATCGAATATACGACACTCTCAATGTCCAAAACCGATTCCCAGAGCTTAGGCAATGCAGCCTTGAGTTTGTCCGGATACTCCTTGTCTTGCGAGACCTGAAGATTAACATACGGAAACGCGCCATCGGTAGTTTCTTCGAATGGGACAAACTTGACCAAGCCGTGGGTGGACGACAACAGTCGATAGGCATGCCATCAAGTCCTCTTGCCCTGATGTCCCATCTAATCTAGCTAGCGTAGGGACAAAACTACATCAACGTACAAGGAATGCCATCACCAAGCGAAGGCCAGCGTTACTTACGGCAATCAATAAGTTCAACTCGCTGTGCGGTACCCTCGAGAAATTGCACGATCCCACATGGTTGGTGCCACTCCCTAAACCCCTTCCAACGCAGCTGAGTGGCCTCCGGGACGCCCAAGAGCTTATGGAGGATGTGTGGATCACACCGTCCGAATCTACGGTGCCACGTTGGCTCGAAAATGTCGACATTCGCAATGGGATTCGTGCCATGCAAAAGGTCGACCGCTGCACAGAAGAGGCCGTCCGACTGTGCCGCGAGGCCAACAACATGTGTCTCTGGTTTGCCGCAGAAGCAACAGCGGTGCGGCAGGCTTTAGCTGCACCTCGGAGTGAGTTGTCCTTAAGGACGTACACCATTTACTCACTAGTTTAATCAGACAAGAACCTTTCATTGCGGCTAGAACAATATCTTACCTCTGTTGAACGCCTTGAGGCCCGATGGTCATGTACCCTCATTACCCGCAAGCGCCTTCAGGGAATACTTGAGCAGTCGACAAATGTACATTCAAGTCCCTCAAATCGAGAGACATGTACGACATCAATCAACTACTTGTTGGAGGCCGACGATCCCGATGACGACGACACACCTGCCGATGAGGCTCGCTTCCTTGAGCCTGAAGCATTCCTCCTTTCCGACCTACTGGACGATGCCGAGGCATCCGACGATCCCAACGAACCAGATGTCGTGTCAATCGAGGCCTCAAGTAGTAACGGCACACAGCATGGTCATACTGCCACCACACCAACCAAAATCTGCAAGTACCCGGCTCTTACCGACAGCCGCGAGAGCTGCGAGGTCATGCTAACCAATCAGGACCAACCGACACTCTGTAGTCTAGCTACCATTGATTGGGTCCTACCAGTGAGTATCTCGCCATTGGTATGCTAACCCTGCTCACATATTTAGGATAACATGCATATCGACTACAACACCCTGCCCCTGCTTCGCAGTATCTCTTATGCTAACCTTGTTCTGCCTTCCAATAATGCTCCCCGCGCCGTTGGCAGGCTATCGATGTATGCTGATTCCATTCGCCTTCTATCGGATCCTAACGCGTGGCTGGACGATGTTTGCATCAACGGTTGTGCGAGTTTATTACAGAACTTCCTCTCGGCTCCCCAGCTTCCATCATCCGAGGCATCGAAGGCATGCGCTATATTTAGCACACATGACCTTGTTCGACTACGACAAAACACGCCAGACGATTACTTTTGGCGTCAGGTAAAGACCACCGAATACTGGAAGAAGACCACTTGGATCGTCCCCATCCATCGTCCGAGCCCTGAAAGCCATTGGGTCCTATGTATCGCACAGCCTCACACACACACATTATTTCTCTTTGACAGCTTTGGCCAACGTCAATCTTGGGCTCGAGACGTAGAAGTAGCCGTTCCTCAATATTATTGCGCCCGGTATCTTATTGAAGCACGTAGGACATCATGAAACTTATCACGAGGCTGGTCCTCATGGCCAACAAACAACGTGAGCCATGCCGGGTCATCACTGAAGGGTGGACCGCCAAACCGACTTGTGTATGGACGGCCGTATCTCCACGAGTAGTTGCTAACTCATTTGCTCTAGGTATACCCCATGCAAACAAACGGCTATGACTGTGGCGTGTGGGTCTTGGCCGCAATCGCAGCCGCTCTTCAAGGCTATCATGTTCCGGGGATGGCTGAATATGAGGTCAGGTCACTGAGGCACGAGCTATACCGCGCTGTGATGGCACAGCCTGTTTATATCCCTCGGAGTCACAGGATGAAGTAGTGGTCAAAGTAATACATTGGTACATGTACATCATCTATCTTCATTGTCTAGATTGCCTTGCACGAGACTTCAGAGCTTCATCAAAGAGGTGCTTGACATTACGCGCACGCCACCACAATCTATTGCGGGCCATTGCAACATGGCAGGGATCGGCCTCATAGGTTTGCAGAAATGTGGCAAGATCTTCCCATTGGCCCAACTCGTCAATCAACGCCCTTTCAACCGTTTGACTAGACATGGACTCCATTTCCACAACCATATCTCTTTCATGTCTGGCGCAGCGCCCGCTCATGACATCCACCATTTTCGCAATATATGCCTCATTGCAAGGCAATATGGTGGCCACATATGGCGGGTCGCAATTGAATGCCGCGATCTCGCTCTCGTCTAAGTTGTCGGCACTCTGAGAGGCCTCCAAGAAGAGCTGTGTCGTAGGTAGAGGCTGAGACGCCAATGCAATAAGCATAGTCGGTAGAGATTGTACAGCGGTTTGCTTGTTGATGTAAGGTGTGCCTTTCCGGCTGCGTGAGTTCTGGTATGCCCTTCGTTTGCGCTCAGAAATCTGGGGCCTGTAGATAGATGAGCTTCAAAAACAAATCAGCAACATCGACTGACTTATGAGCTACTGAGTATGCCTTTGAGGTGGCCTTTCTTCGCAGCCGTTGCTCTTCGACGGTATGACACTTTGAGGCTCTGCCCATGGTGGCTTTGGATGAGAAGGAAGTGAGCACTAGAGATTATAGTTCAGATCAGTACGATTTCCAGGATAGTCAAAAACGGGCATCTCGGGGCGTCTTTATTCCATACGATTTTGACATCATTTTGTTGGGGCAAATTGTGGCTATTGCAGTGAATGCTCCAAAAGAGGTTTCTAGACGCGAAATGGGGTGAGGAAGTACTTTTTGTTTTCCATGTTATATATGTGATCTCATTGGTCGAAGGCACGAGTCCCGAGTAATCAAGAATCAGCACGTGCTTACTCAAAATGGACATTAGACGCCTCGAGGTGACCCAACTTGGCCTTCTCACCCTCAATGTGTTCTTCAACGATGAGGACGATCGTTTGGTGTACGAGTCGCAAGGCAATGCCGAAATGGAATCTCTATTCAAGGGTTATGGGGTCACCTTCAAAAGGTGAGTGCCGCTCTGGCTTGTGGCTTCCTTCCTTCCCTCTTCCCGTTGCTCTTGTATCGCCTCACTTGTCTTTTCCCCTGCAAAAAAGCATCCTACCTCTGATTTTACACGCTAAATACCCTGCTAGTCCACACAAAACACCCTCACAACGTTGTCCAAGGCATCAAGACTGTGCCTGACCTTTTTCGACTCAAAAACACGTCTTGCGCAACAGACGGCCGACACATCTTTGATCTTACTTCGTGAGTCTCCCAGTGCGACCTCAGAAATGGCGAAGTGACATCTCTGCTCAGCCAACGCTGGATATTGACGTGTTTCCCTTCAAGCTCCACCTAAAAAAAATTTGGTATGTCTCTTTTACGCGGGTTTATGATGCAGAAATGACTCCCTGCAGTACCGCTCCTCCGCTTGCCAACGATGGGTCCTACTTTTGATCCCAATAACTCACAGCCTAACTACGGCATCCACGATGACTCAATGATGAGAGATGATGAAGACGATGAAGGCGTGCTCGGTGCTTCCCTGTCGGTGAGGGACACTGCAACCGATGATGAATACGCGACCCCGCCCAACCAAAAAATCCCTTTGCAAGACCTCGAAGAGGTGATGTCTCAATATGATGATGGCATAGCCTTGGAAGGTAAGTTGACATCCCTTCACTCTGCCCATCTGATGAAATTACTTGGAAAAGATGCGAGCAAGCTTTGGGATGACGAAATGCTGCCACCTCTGGTTGAAGGTAAGTTCGTAGCCTGCGTGTCTCTAGACTGACTGATGGACCTTCGAAAGATCCAAGTAAACTATGGGACGACGACAACGACATCCTGCCATCTCATGCTGTCTCTGACCTTAGTGCTGATCTTGATGGTGAGTTGCAGCTCTGTCTCTAGTTTAGCTGCGACTGATGTCCTATGTAGATCAGAGTCACCTGTGGGACGAGGCGGCCTTCCGGCGCGAGGAGCCATCAGAATTCGACGACGCAGAAGAGGCTGGAGAGCTCGACACCCTGGAACGCAACAACCTGTCAGAATTTGGTGACACCGAACAAGACACCGAAGATGTTGACGCTGCCGGTGAAACAGATGATGAAGACCCCCCTGCAATGACACAGCAGGGCGGAGGCCAGAGGGATCCTATGGATCCTCGCGATATCATCACAGATGGCCGGAAGAGGGCGATTAAATTGACACCACGAGCCACCAGGACTACATATGTCTCAGCGGCGGAACGGGGCCCCGGGGTCGAGATACCTCCAATGGAGGATGAAGATGAGTCTGACCGACCCCCCCAGTCGCCATCACCCACCCGAGCAGGGAGGCCGCTGCCATCCCTTGAGCCTCTGGAACACGGCGAGCTTCATTATTCGGATGGGTCTGATGGCCCCGTACTCAGTCTGCGCATTGAGAATATGGCGAAAGACGACCCCGAGCACGATGTTTACAAGATACCGATGACGGACATCCGCGAGAAACCCAGTGCCGGGCTACCAAGCGTAGCTCAATACCTTATTCATAGAAGTCAGGGGCAGAATGTAAAGCCTGCGGATTATGGGATCACTACACCTGTGCGAGGCTCAACCTACCGGACAGCAGACGAGATTGATGATGATGGCGATGGTGCCAACGCGGCTGAGTTCGACCACTATGACATTCACCAACTACCCTCGACTCCCCTCCCAGGCCGACCTCTCGCCGTGGCGCTCGACGTGGTGGATTGCGGCCTCAAGTTACTCAGCTCAGTGCGCTCCAGCCTCGCCAACCTTGCTGGTGTCTCGGAATCATTCATTCAGGCACGCTGGGATAAACAGAAGGGGAAAACTGGCAAGGGTGTAGGTCAAGGCCGTTGGAGAACGTTTCTTCGATATTATCATGGACGACCAGACGCAATCATGGAGCAGACCGGTGTCACATTGGCTGAAGGGGAGGAGAAATGGAGCAATGCCGTTGCTGCTCGCTGCTATGAGAAGTTCAAAGAGCTCTTCCCCGAAACGCACCAGGACATTTTAGATCATCTAACCGGGTTGGTCGAGTTGGAGCGCCAAGGGCAGACGGTGCACCAACGCAATAACGAATGGGACAAGTTCCACAGTAAGGCACTTATGTTGATGGACGAAGGCCATGAGAAAGGCTTCGAGACATACATGTTGGCTTGCGGCTCCAATATTCATCAAGACAAAGGCCTTGCCTTCATCGAGGAGTCAGAGTGCGCTGAAGGAGTACGTGGGATCATCAATTGACTTTATGGCGATGCTAACATTTCTTTCTTTAGTTTCTATCCGATAAGATGGGCGTGAAACACAGCGACTACCTGGGTCACTTCATATCATTTGTCCAGTATGATTATAACTATTTTACCACAACGAATCACTAATATGTTTAAACAGGAACAAGGTCTCTGACACCATAATTGAGGACTCCCGTGAGGCTAGTCCCTCCAAGCCCGCAAAAGCCTCGCGTGACGCAGGTGCATCAAAGCCCTCAAAGTCCTCAAAACCACCTGTTCCTTCGAAGTCCTCAAGCGTCAACCCACCAAGTGTCAACCCACCATCAGTCATATCGCTATCAAGTGAACATGATGAACCTCCCTCTGGCGGGCTCCTGGGACGTGATCGGTACCATCAAGCACGTCAACTCCTCGCTGCGGCAGCTTGTAAGTCGTGTCGCCAATAACCATAGAACTGCACTAACAACCTGTTTCAGTAACGGTCGGCCTCAGCTTGAATGTTCATCAATTCCCTTGGTCCACACTTGCAACTACACTCGCAGAAGGTAGCTGCCGCCTGATCAACTATCCCATCGGTGTTCCGTTCCCCGGGAAGGAGAAGAAGTCCGCAAAGCCTCGGGGTATCACTTCCATGCCTGCCGCCTACATAGACACGCTGATCAAGAGTCTGAGCCCATCGCAGCCACAAAAGCTGCAGTTTGAGTTGATTTCTGAGAAAGAGAAAGCTTGTATGTCTGTCATCTATTATCCACGAATCTATATTCACCGCCTATTGCAGCCACAGCGACGGCCAAACTGCCTGTCATCATCAATGCTGCACCCCAGCCCCATTCCAAGGTTGTGCGAGGTTCACGAATGCTAGCCGATGGAAGTGTCGACACCCTAGGACCCCTCAAACTCCACCGGGGTCATCCTGACGTTGAAGACAACTTCGTGGGGTCAGTCGATGAAGATGCACCATCAGCGGCACGTACTCGCATCAAGAAGCGAAAGCAACCAACAGCTGCAGATAGTGATGCCGACAAACTAGGCCCACGTGTGCTACGATCAAAAGGGAAATCGAAAGGGAAGGGCTCGCCTGCCATTGTCATCTCGGATGATGAACAACAGGACCAGACAGAAAGTGGGGCTCAGCGCAAGCGACTGCGACGCAAAAATACCATAGCTGCATCCAACGAGGCCCCAGTGGCGCCGGCAACAAGCCACCCTGAGGGTCAAGCGACCTACGATACCACCAAGCGGCGCCAAGTCAGCTTTTCGCCTGCAGAGACACTGCCGCCCCTGAAGAAAGCTCGTTCTGTGGTAGAAGGTAAGCCACATATTGCTGAACTTTTGGACTATTCTCTGAATTCATTGACAGTTGTGATTCCCACCCCACGCAAGAAGGTGCCCAATGCTGAGATTACGCCCAAGGCAGACGTCAGGGCCCCAGGCGCTACCACCAGTAACACGGATAGCTCCGCCGCCGCCAGTACCTCAAGGACCTCGAGTATGCCAGAGGCCACGAGCATGCCAAAGGCAATTCGCAAGGCAGCAAGCAACCTGACGGCTGCAGCCACGGCCGCAAGTGACCCGAAGCCTGCTGTTCGAGGCGCAGCTCGCTCCAACAGGTCAAAACAATCAGGCACCGCAAGTGCCTCAAAGGACGCTGCCCCCCGTGCCTCAAGTGCCTCAAAGGATGCTGATTCTCGTATGGACGCACCAGTTGTGCTTAGCACGCCGGAAGAATCAAGTGCCGTGGAGACCTCAAAGGGGACAGATAGATCGGCTCCTCGTCCTAGGCCCTCGAAAGGAGCCATGCCCAAAGCCGCCGCCAATGGAGCGTCCAAGCAAGCCTCAAAGTTGGCTAAGACATCGTCACCAGTGGCCTCAAAGACGAACACAGTGCCCTCTGATCCAGCCTCCACAGCAGCCGCAAAGATCTTGCCAGTGGCCACGAAGACGACAGTGGCGCTGGCACCCTCTGATCCACTCCCTGAAGCTGCTGCGAAGACGTCGCCAGGGGCCGCAGAGGTCCGTGCTGTACCAGCAACGTCGAATCCCTCCACAGCAAGTGCGTGCGTGGCCATGAGTAAACCCACAACCATTGTTGATCAATGTCCAACAGCGACCCGCCCCGAATCACAGGAGCAGGTCCACGGCACCGGCGTACCCAATACCTTGGCAGCTGCCAAGAAGATTACCGGCGAACGTGCAATGCCCACCCACCCGGAAACACAGGAAACGCCCACCCACTCCGAAGCACAGGAACAGGTACCTAGCCTGAAGGCCAGTATTGCCACCTCTAGTGAGGTCTCTGCGGCAACTCTCAATGTTCCTGTATTGGCCAAGGAAGCCATAACGGTTCGACCTATCCCCCGACGCCTACCTCCATCAACGACAACAGGAAGCCTCGACACGGTCCAACCATATGAGGGCTTGCCTCGTAGGACTGCTCTTGCGGTGCCTCAGACTGGAGGACACGGACATGCAGGGGCCGGAGAACATCATGGTGGAGGTGATGCCGAAAGGTATAACCTTCACACCGGCCTTCCTCAAGGTCAGAGTCACGACAGACCATGGCGGCACTACAACCGACCCTCTCGCAGCATGCTTGAAGTAGAACATGACGCTCCTGCAGCCTTGGGGCCCCTTCGCTCTCCTCTGGAACCAACGAGGCCCTCGTTACCCCGTGAACGCAGCCAAGATGGGCGGGAATATCACCCTCCCCCACGATCTACGACTGAGTCTCAGGCTGGCACCACTGGGGATTGGCAGGAATGGGAGTACATCCCTCGAACACCCATCCCTCGAACACCCATCCCTCGAACACCTGAACCCCATTGGGAACCAAGTCGTGATGGCGGGAGAATGTACGGACACGAATTCCATCATGACCGCAACTACCGTGAACGGAGCCATGACAGTGGGAGGGGGAGGGTGTATGAGCACAACCAGCCTCGTGAGCATGATATACACCGCCGCGCTTACTATGACCATGATGATTACCACGATCGCCGACCATACCGCGAGCTGCGACGATACAGCCCCGAGCGTGGATACAGCCGCGAGCCCCGCTATGTGTACACCTCAAGGGATAGGGACTACATGTATGAGCCTGAGCCGCATGGTCGTCGTCATCTTCGCCCACCTTCACCGTACGAACACACCCGGAGGTCTCATTCACGCGGTCGAGGCAGGTCTCCCTACGCGCCACCACTGGCCTCGGGATCCCGGAGGTCTCCGGAACATGACCACTTCCCACCTCACGCCCCTGGTTCCCGGACTCCTGTCCTCCCTCATTCGGAGGGCATGCCTTCCCTCGAAAACCTCGAAAACGTGCCGCCCAGCCTTGAAAATGAGTAGAGCCCCCATGTCCTGTATTGCCGCTGCCCGTATCGTTGTTCACTGTTATCTTCGTCGAAATTCCTGTCATCTCTCGCCTGCCCGTCGCATTTCTTTCTCTCATTTCTTGAACGCCTGTATGATTTCTTGTAGCTTGCTTGTAGCCTCTGACGCCTGTATGACTTCTTGTAGCTCACTCGTAGCCTCTTAGCCTCGTATACCCAAACTAGTTAGATTGCATCTCGCTAGCCCCTAATTTCATGTTTTCGCTAGCACAGACTGGATTTGACATAAGTGACAGCATCCGAAAACATGTGCAACTGCAGTCATGAACGAAACCCTATGAAGAGACACAGCAGCCTTGAGATCGGAACCACGAGATCGGGACAAACATTGGTTCCTCAAACAATACTAATTCAGCGTAAGTCTCGCACTTTGGAGGTACGGGCTGACAGTCTCCCACCAGACTCGGGCCAGACGATGCGACTAACCCACAAGATGTCTTGTACCTTGGGCCTATGTACTGGGGTCTCCAGAACCCATTGGCACTACAAGATAATTCGGTCTTCGAGACCCCCAAATGTGCTGCCTAAGGTGGAGGGCCTAGTAGACGCGAGTCCCAACTACATCCCTTATTCTCGAAGATAAGAGACGGACCCACCGAGGTGAGAACATCAGATGGTAGGCGATGTTTTAATTTGTTGGGACGGCGAACAGATCATGGTGATGATGTCGAGGGTCCAATATGTGTCTCATGTCTGGTATTGACTTGATGCTGATGCTGGTGAGCACAGAACATTAAAGCAGCCTGATCCTTCGCAAACCGAACCACTGATTTTGCCAATTCCTCCTCAGAAGGAAGAGTGTGGCGTCAAAACATCAGCACGACCCCCATCGTCCAGTAAGAAGGTCATCAGGCTGCGTGCAGGTACAAGGTGTAGGTAGCAGAGCAGCCTGCAGTTCGCGATCAATGCTAAGGTGGCCGCTGTTGAAGTGCTCCACTTCCACCACCCGTGACATCAACTTTTGTCATAATCTCCGTGATGCTGTCCATCCAGCTCGTTTGGGATAACGACATGTGTATTCGTTGTCGCCAAGAGCTCTCTTGTTCGGCGACTGGCTCGCGGACCGGGAACAGAAGGAACCCGGACGCGGAACGCAGCCGAACTCCTGAAAGGAGAAACCCCTGTAAGGGGGGCCGAACTCAAGCCGGCCTAGGCGAAGTGTGCGAGTACGTAGATGTAGGTAAATCTAAGTAGTAGATGCAGTAGGGTAAGCGATATGGGTGGGGGAAAGAAATAGACTGCTCGATATGCTATCGAGCGTGAAAGTAAGAAGATGCTGGGAAAGCGGTAAACTAAATAAGAGTTTACCTATCGAGCGTGAAAGTAAGAAGATGGGAACAGTATACGGGAATAGAACATATATATACGTTCGCGCGAGGACAAAGGCGCGATGCTCAAAGGGAGAGACAGGGGATAGGAGTCTCACGTGCACTCGCAAATAGACCGAGGATAAACTTCATCTATCCTCACATCCATCCAGCTCGTTTGGGATAACGACATGTGTATTCGTTGTCGCCAAGAGCTCTCTTGTTCGGCGACTGGCTCGCGGACCGGGAACAGAAGGAACCCGGACGCGGAACGCAGCCGAACTCCTGAAAGGAGAAACCCCTGTAAGGGGGGCCGAACTCAAGCCAAGGAGGGTGTGAAGCGTAGAGAAGGAGGCTCGAAAGCGGGAACATGAGGATCGGCCATGTGGAGACGCGATGAAAGGTTGAGAATCCTGTCTTTCGGAGTGTCGATGTAGAGGCGGTAGGCGTCGCTGCGCCAGCGTCCGAGTTGTTGGATTTCATGATCGAGGAAGCCTGCTGCTGCTGCTGCAGATGCTGCTCCACGCCTGAAGCTATGACCGGAGAAACCGTGAGGTTGGTAACCTGCGTCAAGTAATGCAATGCGAAGGCGAGCGATGAAGCGCGAGCGTGTGAGAGGGGATTGATCAGAAGTAGTAAAGAGGGGGGAATTAGGGGGAAGGGGATTAACAGTGAAAAGATGTAAAAGGGCGGAGACTGGACAAGTAGCGGGGGAATCAGGGGCGGAGGAAATATAGATAGTGACTCCTTTTCGAAAGGGATCCGTCTTGGATGCGGGTAGGGTGAGAATAATGTGGTCAGGATTAAGAGTGGAAGGCATGAAACGAACTGAGGAGCGAGTAATGTGAACGTTAGGGTCAAAGGAATTGGGTTTGTCTATAGTAAATTCGCCGCAACGGAGGAAGCCAGCGTAAGCTAGCTTCGCTGCCGTTATAAAGACGACATCGTCGAATGATGGATATGCGAGGGAAGCAAGTTTGAATAAAATGGGGAAAGTGATGGGAAGTTTGGGTTTACGCTCGCGCTCACCGTGGTACCGCTTGATGCCTCTGATGAGGCGCTGAACGATAGGCGCTTCGCATGCCGTAAAGGGGGCGTCCGCCTCGAGATGGAGGGAACGAACGGCGGTGAGGTAGGATTTAATGGTCTTGGGTTGGAGCGAGCGCGATCCCAGGTATGCGATCCACTCAAGGATGCTACGTTGTGAGGCTGGGATGCAAGAGCCGTCGTTGTTGACCAGGGCGGGACGTTCGCGGACGAAGTTGATAAAAGATTTTTGACCAGTGCTGTAGGTGGACCGGGTGCTGGACGCGAGACCGTGCCAGAGGTAGAATGCGACGAGTCTTGAGTGCTGAGGATGCGTTTGATACCAAGAGTCTGGAGGTTGACTGAGTAGGGCTTCTTGTCGAGATTAGGGGCAAGAGAGAATAGACGAGCATATTGAAAACGGGAAGCAGCGTCAGCGATTGCATTATCAGTGGAAGAAAGCCAAGAAGATGAAAAAGAGAATTGTAGGGCGGCGGCAAGCATGAGGACAAGTCGCAGCAGCTTGACGAGGTGGGTTGATCTGTTGGTGTGGTCGGATAGAGCGGCTACCACAGCCTGATTATCGACGTGAAAGTGTACGTGAGAGTGTCGCCAAAGGTGCCCCCAGCGAAGTATGGCCTGTAGGACCGCGTAGAGTTCTTTGAATTGAATATCGCGTTTCGAGCCCCTGAATCGCCTAGGGACCCGCGTGCTGAACCAATGATTGTTGTAGGCGCCTCCTAACCCTTTTGTACCACTGGCGTCAGTGTAGACGTTGTGATGAATACGGGGAGGGTCGATAAGCGTGACCCCGTTCCAAGAGGAAGCGTACGTAGACCACCAGCGCAAATCACTGCGAGCGTAGCGAGGGATGAAGCGGCGTGAATGTGGCGTGGAGAAAGATGTGGAGAACCTAATCAATTGGCGAATAAATGCGCGAGAATAAGGCACTACTTGAGAGGAGAAGTAGAGGAATCCTGTGAGCTCTTGCAGCTCGTGTAAGTTGCACGACGATTTAGATGACCAAGAGGAGAGCAGCTCTTTGAGGTACGTCAGTTTGTCATCAGGGAGACGAGCTTCCATTGATCCGGAGTCGAGCTCGATCCCGAGAAATTCGAGACGAGTCGTAGGCCAGACCGTTTTCTCTGGTTGGAATGTGAGCCCGAGCGAGTTGCCTAACGTCTGCATCCAGGCGACGGCGTCGTTGGCTAGTGTCAGGGGAGTATCAGGGGCAAAGATGGGGAGAAAATCGTCTAAGTAGTGCTTGAGCTCTGCGGGAATATGACGTTGTATGATCCAATGGAGCGCTTCAGCAAACAAGTTGAAGATGTATGGTGCTGATTTGAGTCCGAATATGAGGACCATGTATTCATAGAACGCGCCGTCCCAGAAGCAACCAATTAGGTGGTAATCCGCGACCCTGAGAGGGATGTGGCGAAAGGCGTCCTTAAGGTCCAGCTTTGCGAGCAGGCAGTTGCGCCCCAAGCGGCGAATGGTGCTTATTGCGTGATAAACAGCCTCGTATACAATGTGTGCCTCGCTGTCTGGGATGCCGTCGTTAACGGAATCGCCGGGGGGCCAGGAGAGGTGGTTGATCACGCGGAATTTGCTGGGGAAGCGCTTTCGCGTAACCGTTCCGAGAGGGGAGGCGCGGAATGCTGGATGAGGTGGTGAGCTGAGGGGGCCGTGGACTCTGCCGTTGGACTGCAGGACACACATGTCCTTGTCTATGACGTCAGGGTGCTCGACGGCTGTTTTGAGGTTGCGGCACGATTGAGGCTTATCGCTTCCAGCAAATCCTATAGCAGCACCATGTTTTATTATATGCAGTAATGCCTGTACAAACTCATAATCGGGGTATTCGGCTAAGTAATGCGCCCACTGAGAGGGGACGAGTGTCGAAACGACTGGCGGGTCATCGGCGGAGCGAAGGGATACCCGATTGCAACGAGGGTCCGAGTTGGGGCGAGCAGGAGGCAGAATATTAGGAGGGAATAGGGATAGAGGAGCGTCGATTAGGGGAGGAGGTGTAGAAGTAGGAATAGATGATGGGAGAGGAGGAATCCGTGGCTCGTCCTGCTGGCGAGGACGAGGAGAGGACAGTGGGTGCGAAGCCCTCGTCCTGCCAGGACTTCAGGTGCTGGATGATGCCTGCGTACAAGCCGACTTGCCGTGCGCGGTAGAGCCGCAGGCGGAGCATTTATGAATGCGGCCGGACTTGCAAGGCGTCGTCGAGCATCTGCCGTCGTTGAATCGGTTGCAGGTTTGGCTAGAGACGTCGCACGTCACCGATGCGGGGGCGGCGGACTTTTGCTTGGACGAGCTGGCGGAGCTAGACTTTACCTCCTGGAAGATATTCGATCGGTGGAGCTGCCCAACTAGTGCTCGATCCTCGTCTGCCCAAAGGGAATAGTCCCCCCTGAGCATCTCCCTGATGCGACGGGAGTGATGTGCGATGTGATAAGTGAGGATAGCGGGATAGCTGAAGTACCTCGAGTATTCATGTAGGAGGTTGGTGTAACCCTGAGTGGAAACTGCCACATCAGCGACCGCCTGGATGCTGCCCGTAGTTGCGACGAATCTGAATAGGATTTGGAAGTAAACCCCGAGAGCGCGCATGAAGGTGGAGAAATCTGGGAGATCTTTGATTGGAGCTGTGTCCGTGGCGCGGAGAGCGCCGTCCTCGAGGGCATATGTGGTTGTGGTAGCCTTCGCGGTGATACTGGGGATGAGTTTCCCAAGCTGCTGAGGCTTGAACTCATGCTTGCCGATAGACGCGACGATCGTGGCATCGACGTCGGGGAAGAGATCAGGAATTGATAATGCACCGGTAGTGGTGTTCGACGTGGGAGGAGGAACATAGGAGAGCAAAGGGGGGGCCCCTTGTGGGTTTGGTGTGATGGGGTTGGCTGGAACCACCGGAACAGGAGGAACAGGGGGGGGTTGAGGAGGAGTACTCGCCGCTGTGCGAAGAAGGCTCAAGATCTCCTGCATGCTTGATTCGAGTCCTACGACCCTTTGTTCTAAGGGATTGTTCTCCGGGTCGTTTACTGGCGTTGTTCTTCCTTCACCTGGCATGATTGGCTCGTGAGGTGACAAAGGCTGAGGAGATGATATTATTGGTGAAGTAATAGGCGAAGAGGGAGGAGTAGGCGAAAGACGCGACTGAGTGGCTAAGGACGACGATGAAAGGAAGCGGCCGTTGGCGTCGCGGGGGCGAGCAGAGGTGCGAGCTCTCCTTGGAGGCGTCCTGGAAAGAAATAGACTGCTCGATATGCTATCGAGCGTGAAAGTAAGAAGATGCTGGGAAAGCGGTAAACTAAATAAGAGTTTACCTATCGAGCGTGAAAGTAAGAAGATGGGAACAGTATACGGGAATAGAACATATATATACGTTCGCGCGAGGACAAAGGCGCGATGCTCAAAGGGAGAGACAGGGGATAGGAGTCTCACGTGCACTCGCAAATAGACCGAGGATAAACTTCATCTATCCTCACAATTGGAACCGGTTCGTAACTCGTGAATATAGGAGGATCAAGTACTTTCTTTTACAGATGGCAAGAGTGGCTACAAGGACTCACCGATTCCGAGAACGTTGCATGCTAGTGGGGAGTCGATGAACAGTTGAACCACCGCGAGCGGCGATCAGATGATACTTCAAGCCTAGATGCGGTGGCGTGAGCGCTTGCGCTTCATTGAGCGTCTGACTGCTTCGATGAAGCAGAGTCTCTTATCAGAATCGTTCAAAATGCACTGTCAGGAAAATTCATCCTACAGTACGACTTAAGCAGTTGTAACAGCGTAAATACTGGCGCAAGCACCAATAGCAAATACAGGCAATAGAAGCAGATACCCGTGAAAGTGATAATTGTAGCAGACCCAAAAAGAGAAAGGACACAAAGGGATAGCTAAGCAGAGTGTAGCCGTTTATTTTATTCCTAAAGAATTAGGAGGCAATTAGGCGCTCCCATTTCCATGGAAGCGTCTCCAGTAGACAGTGTTATCAACCTGGAAGAAGATGAGTTTACTGGGACGCGTGGTAGAAGAATTTAGCGTACCGAGTTACGTGGGTTAGAGACATCTGCATAGACAAGGAAGTTCAGAAAGGTTCGAAAAATGTAGTATGGAAGCGACTACTCACGGGTAAAAAGGCATACATATACCTCGACCTTGCTCTTAGCATTCCTCATTATTGAGCACATATCACCCTCTTGCCATTGTAAGCCTACGGCCCATATTTTGGTGACAGGCTGAAACCCGGATGGTCCTTGAACTTGTTGAGAAGCCATGTCGATTTTTGTGAGTCTAAGCTGATACAATGTCAGAGTTGCTAGTCAAGAGTAAATGAAGAAACAGACATACGCGTAGAGGATGTTGACGCTTGGGGGATAAGAGGAGGATGGTGTTCAGCCTCGGAGACCCGTTCCTTTTATGCACCAAGATTGTGGACGGTGGACAGTGGAATATCCAACTGGCCACGGCCACCCATTGTTCGACAAATCTTTGCCTTAATAGGCTATGTTCTGAAATGGCGGCCCACTGGTGGCAATTAGCAGTGGACGATGCGACTGCCACTGGCAATGTTCTTACCTGTCAATGGAAATAGCTCAGGGCTGCTCATGGGCTTGAGACACTTCGAAAGGAACATGACTCAACTAGGGTTTATTTCGTCCGTAGTGTGTTCATCTGTTCATCGTGGCCTCACAGAATGTGCGCTCAGCGCTGTAGCTGGTTGAACGTAGAACGAAGATGTCGCGGAGTTCAAGTCAAGTTTCAAGCGCCCACCTGCGATCTAAACATTGTCAAATAAAACGCGCGTCGAAGCAGCGCGTGCAGAACAGCGCACTTCTCCTCATCGTACTGACACCATGGTCGCCACAACTACAGAACAAGTGAGTGTCGGTCTAGATATGCTTGTGCGCGGTGAACTAAACTATACGGATGACTAGTTGACATCCCTCGCCAGCACCACCGTCAGTGAGTTGCAGCTACGTCCAGTATTAGAAGGAACTCAATTGCCATTCGTCTCACAGTCGTCCATCCCCTGGTGTTGCTTTCTGTAACCGACCACCACGCTCGAGCGGTACCTCGCAGCTCCAGCAAGCGTGTAATCGGCGTGCTTCTTGGGCAAGACAATGGCAAGACGATAAACGTCGCCAACTCATACGGTATTCCTTTCGAAGAGGATGAGAAAGACAGCAAGACATGGTTCTTGGATCACAACTATATCGAGTCAATGTATGAGCTCTTCAAGAAGGTCAATGGTGTGTACTTACGTCTCTCATACAAAGCCATTGTTCACGTTCTGGTCAGCTCGCGAAAGAATGATTGGGTGGTATCATTCAGGTCCAAAGCTGCGCGCGTCTGATCAGGAAATCAACGAGCTTTTCAAACGATACATTGCTCGCCCTGTCATGGTGATAGTGGACGTACGCCCGCAGACGGTCGGCATTCCGACAGACGCATACTTCGCTGTGGAGGAGATCAAAGACGTGAGTTGGATTATAATGAATACTACTGTCGCTGACGCACATGGATTTTTAGGACGGCACCGAAACAAGGAAAACGTTCCTCCACGTACCATCAGCTATCGAGGCAGAAGAAGCAGAGGAGATCGGTGTTGAGCACCTGCTCCGCGATATCAAAGACTCAACAACAACAACACTTTCCACCCGAGTCAGCGAGCAACTTTCGTCTCTCCGGGGTCTGCAATCACGGCTAGGCGATGTGCAGAAGTATCTCGTTGACGTGGCTTCAGGCTCGATGCCGGTAAACCACCAGATCGTTTATTACCTGCAGGACATCCTGAACCTCCTACCCGACCTCTCCGATCCCACTCTCACTTCCAGCGTCACAACCAACACCAACGACCAGCTTCTTGTCGTTTACCTCAGCAGTTTGCTTCGCGCTGTCATTGCTCTGCACGCATTAGTCGACAACAAGGCGTCAATAGGGCGGTCAGAGTTGCAAGACGGCGGTGATGACAAGGAGAAGGAGAAGAAAGGCCCCAAGTCGGAGAAGAAGGGTGACAAGGACGATAAGACGAAAGAGTCGAGTACACCCGAGAAGAAGTAGTGGATATCCCTCAAGTTCGTCCTTCTGTTCCCTTGCATTGATCAGCTTCTCGAAACGGCAACGTCTGCCCCGCGTGGTTTGTCAGTCAAAATAAGCCAGTACCTAACACTCAGCGTTGAAATGTTCGCATGCCGAATGGTTCATTCCCTTGCCCTCCATTAGATTAACTCACGAGGTAATGGCTTGCGACCTCGCTGTCCCCTTGATCTATCTGCTGAGATTCTGGGTTGTTAAGAGAGGACGGGATGGACGGCCACTCCCCTCGGTGTGACTCGTGTCTCCGCCTCGTTGCTACACCAGCGATACAACAATGCATCCGACAGGCCACATATGATGGGGGTCTTTCGTTGCCTCTTTTATAACCGTTTCGTAAGGCACCCAGTATAATAGAGTGCATAGGAAATTCGAACAAACTGAACGCAATGAGGTCGTCCTCTTCACGAGGAATGATTTGTTCCCAGGCCAGATACAGTCGTGAAATAGAAACTGTCGGGTTCTGTGTTACGATGCGACTAGTCTTCACACAACAATAAATAAAAAATTGTCGAGAGAATCAGGACGCGGTTGCAATGACAAGGAGAAGCATATGTGCAAAGGAGGGGGCGAGAAATGCTAGTGAGGAGCCGAGGCACTAGAATTGATTGATGATTAAACATATTACTGCTATTAATCCCTATATAAGATACATATCCGAAATGAAAGGTCTCCAATGTAGCTGACTATAGTTGCTTGAGAGGTTTCCGTACAAATGTGTGTCGCAGCAATCCATCCTTCCCAACCGAGGCCTCTCGCTCGAGAGTATAGCGCCCTATCTTCGGCAGAATGACACTCCATAGTACCCAGTATAGGCCGCCCACGGCGAAGACGGCCCATCCTGCTACGGCATGCGTCCAGTAAGGTAGCTCGATGTATGGTTCTGCGCCTGGGGGAGGCGGTATGAATGGCACGATGACCAAGAATATATTTGCAGCGCCAAAGAATGCAGCTGCAACCAATGTCCACGAATCGACCTTGGGCCAATCGTCTCGTGGGCGGAGAGAGAGGTACAACAAGCCAATGGATATGACGGCGTTGATTACGGACAAAGGATACGAAATCTAGGGGGGGAAGTAAAACTTAGCCAGGTTTTGAAGTAGCAATGACATCGACTTACGACGTTGATAACGAAGTTGTAAGCGTCACCTGGAGGGAGGGCAAAGATAACAATGAGGCAGATAGCCCAATCTGCAGAGTATGTGAGTCGCAACGTCGCAGAGCGGAGACCGGCTGACACATACGGAGGAACAACCCAGCTAAAGGTGCATTAAAGGGCCTATTCGACCCCCATAGCTTGCTGAAAGGAAGGACCCCTTCATTACCAATTGCTTGGTTGACTCGTCCTTGGGAGAATATCTTGGGTGGTCATCAGACACCATGTTCAACCAACAGAGAAGATGCTCAACGAACCACAGAGAGAACGTTGCCCAAAGCTGAGAGAGCGACGAAAACATTGAGAGCTCGTTCAGCACGAGGGCCATAAACGTTTCTAAATAGCAGGGCTGCGACAAGGCGACCCGAGCCAGTGATCTCCTCTTTGGAAGCACTAGCGAGGTAAGCGATGTTTGCTAACATGTAGAGCACAGTGACAATGCCAACTGCAAGCGGCCCTGCTATCCTAAGATTTCGTCGAGGATTCTTCAACTCGCTGAGAGCATAATTGACGTTGCTGAACCCAATATACGACCAGATAACCTAGACGTAAGCCAATCAGTTAACATCTCAAACTCGGTGAGGAATGACGACGAGCGTACATTGTAGAGACTCAAACAGAAAGAGGAGGCACTTGAAGTTGTACCAGAGAAGTTGAAATTGTGTGGTTTCTCAACCTTCAGATGCCCTCCTAGCGCCACCCAGCCCGAAACGATGATGAAGACCAAGATGAAAATCTTCAAGCTGCCAAGAACATTCTGAAGCCGAAGGCCCCACTTGAGTGTTGTGCCGTGCACAAGGAAAGCGAAGGTTATGCACGCGAATCCTACGAGGCGAAGGGTCCACCTCCCGGGAGCGACATTGGCGGCTCGCAAAATGTATTCTCCGAAGACGAGGGAGTTCCCAGCAGCCCAAGCTAAAGAGAACAAGTCAGTTCAACCAAAATACGGTTGAGAGTAGATGCGAGCGTACCCATAAGTATAGCATATGAACTGTACACTGACGTAATGAAATATTTGGGACGTTGGAATAGGTACTCCAAGTAGTTTTTCTCTCCGGCATTTTTAGGTATGGCCTAGATGACTGTCAAACTCCTGTAACCGAAGCAAGTAGAATCAGACTCACCAGACCCCATGAGATGTATACATATGTTCCCGTGAACGCAATAATAGCCCCAATAACCCACATAAACCTATGCGAAAGGTAGCGTTATTGCTCGATTCGACACACGGCGGATATGAAAACGCACAATGTAAGCCCGCCACTTCCGCTCAGGGCAAGGATAGTACTTGGCGTGGCGAAGATACTACAAGCATCGTCAGCCACGATCGATCGTACCAGTTAAGGGACTTACCCAGTGCCAATGATTCGGTTGAAAATCAGGAATACCGCAGACCACAGTCCTACTGTTCGCTGATGGTAATCGACAGTATCTGGTGCTTCTTCATTGCTCACTTGGCGGTCGAACGCGGTGTCGTGACGGTCATCAGAGTCGTCGATATCTTTCAATGATTTTCCCATTTCGAAGAAAAAGAGGTAAATCGGGCGGAGAGATGAGGAGTTGACTTCAGCAGTACTGTTGCGTTGCTGAAACCTACGCACTTAAGTACTTGCCCTCCAAAAAGGCGAGACAACGGCCAAGGCATGCAATTTTGAGGATCCACATGGAGCCTTCTAGGGCACAGGCCTACTGGAAGAAAATTCAAAATGGTCTTGCGCGGTTGAGCTCCATTTGTATCGGCCAAGGTGTGTTCTGTATAAAGGCGTTCGATGGCACAAGAATGACGAGCGATGTGCACAAGATTTCCATCTCCGATCCAAGCGCTTACTGCCTGGAAACGTCAACTGAAAGTCTGAAACGCGGAATCAGACACAACATAGGCCTATGATAAACTCGTGTGATCAAGACGCTATACAGCGCAGTAATTGAAATAAAAGAGGTGATTTGGCGACTTACCGTATGTTTTTCGTCGTCAACCATGACGGGAAAGCTCTGCACTAGAAACCGAAACCGAAATGCTATCCATGTCGCAAACCTCCTTTCCTCTCCATTAGCCTCTGAATCAGAAAAACTAATACTACCATCGACGCCAGGTTTGAAGACATTGATTGTCATCGGGTTACATCGAAGGAGGTCAACTGAGAAGGACAAACAGGGCAGTAAGTTCGACTGGATCCTTGCTTGGCAGGTCTCTGTCGCATCGAGATGACGTTTTCGAGGGCTCATTGTCGCGGAGTGAATCTCAGATTGCAGCCCTGGCCGCTTTCCCTCCCTTCAGTCCGAGAGAACGAAGTTGCTGTGGTACCTCACAGCTTGAGTCAACCGCTTGTTGGGGGATTATCTACGACTGTCTGAGCGTTCGATGTCATAGGCACTACGTTCTGGACCCTTGTCGAGAAGGGTTGAGCACAGGCTTGATTTGTCGATGGTTGGCATCAGCTGGATGGTACCCTGAGGGCTGGGGCTCGCGCAAGGTCGAGAGGATGTCGCGACTGTGCTCCTATGTTATGTTCAGTAAACAGGGCTTCTAATATACAAAATAGATATGGTCTTGCCGATTAAGAAAGCTCCTGCGCTATAGTAACAGTCTCCATCGATTCTGTCGTCCTCTGTGACGTCCGGGGGCTATCTCCCGAAGGGTGGTTGCCCCTTCGCCTAACTATTAGCGACAGCTCTCCGCCTAGTTCCACCCCGGTACCTATAAGAGCCACCACCAAGACACACAAGGCGCAAGTCCTTCAAAGAAAGGCGTCAGATGAGTACGACGACGCGGGGAGGTACGCACCACTTATAAGGTCACTGATAACGAGTTCAATCCAAGGGACAAGAGCATAATGATTCCGGATTATGATGATCGCGCACTTGTCTGTGTTGATCGCGCAATGCATGGACCCATATGCCTGCCATTGCCACTGCGCCACCACTTTGCAATTCACTTCGCCGCCTCCACGACCAGCTGCTCATTGGGCCTCGCCTGTCTCCTAAGTCTAGCCTCGGGACTTGCTCTGGCTGCATTATACGACCAGAGCTTGTATAGATCGCGAAGTTGTACCCTGTCAGCTAGCCGTGCTTCCACCGTCCAACCCTTAGGCATCGAGAGCGGCGACGTCGTTCAAGCTGGCCTTCAGAATCCTTTCATCATGACATTCCCACATGATTGCATTGAGAACGAGCAGAGATGGGAGACACGACGGCCAATATACCACGTCTGGTCGCGTTTAAGCTGGATGAGCTATTCTTGAAGGCTCTTCAGGACATCGTTTGCCCCAAAAAGTGAAAGTCGCAAATCAGAAGTGTAATCGAAGAAGATTGAAGACGGTAGTGGTGAGGATGCCTGAGGCAGCAGCAGCAAGTGGCGGTGCTGGGCGTCAAATTGCTCCTTACCTCCGAGTGGACAGCTCTTTGAACTAACTTACTGGCACAAGATGTAACGGTCTCAATGCACGGTTTCTCTCACAAATGGCCTTGGGATGAGTTCTCATCTCGACCGGAATCTCAAGGTACCATCTCACAAATCCCGATACCTCGAAAATAAACCCATAAGCACGCGGCGCGCCTCTAAATTGAAGCATCCGAGCTGCTCCATGTTAAATTTGCGAGGATGGTAATACCTTTTCGGCGCCCTTGGATTTTTTCAAGTGTAATGCGAACAGGTCACTTAATTTCCTTGGATACTCACCATTTCAAAGGTTAGTGAGATTCTGTCACATTCGCGTAGCTACTATGGATCTGGCGACCCTTTCTTCACAGGCTATTTATTGCACAGTGACATATCCGACCAAATCTTTCAGCCTCCTGACCTCCGAGCTCGGTGAAGGATCACCTATTTAATTTACCAACTCCCACCCCGGCTTCTTCGGCGCGTTGTCCGCAATATTACCATATACCACAACACCATCAGAATCGACGAAGCGGCCGGTAGCAAAATCTTCGAAGTCGAAGGTCCAATCGTTGGTGCTACCGCCAATGAGGTTCCCCTGAGAACTAATACGGATTGCCCTGTTGTGGGGCCACGCTGACAACGCCACCGTGTCAGAGCGAATCATGACCGTCTTCTCTGGGACATTCTTTGCGACCACGGAGAACATGGTGCGCTGGCAGTTGGACACGACCACCCTGTTGTTACCCACTTCGTAGTGCCAGTACAGGCTCGGATCAGTCTTGGAGCGGATGTAGAACCTATCACAAGCGGTTAGGGCTGCTGCGAAGCCACAAGACTCTCCGCGTCATTCGTACCAGTCTCCACTAACGAGGTCGGTCACTTTCTGATCAGCGATAATGTCGTGCCCCCTCCCACCGCGGTCGTTCTGGAGTGTAATGAACATCCTTCCGCGGAATGGCTTTGCGAGCTCCGTAACGCGCCAATCAGTGAAGAATTCGAAGACGTTGAAGATCGAGGCATTGTGGTTGTAGAACTGAGGATTAATGCGACGAATATCGGCAAGAAGGTTGGCAGGAGCTCCTGCAGCAGTCTTTCCCGACGACACGGCCCGCCACCACTCGTCAGCAGTAGCGGGGTCTGAGAACGTCAAGACAAGACGCCATACGGTGTCGTTATTGATCTGGATGAACGGGTAAGGTCAATTCACTAGTGAACCTGCCGGGACGCTTACTTCTGAGATATAGGCATGGAATACGCCCATGGTGAAATATCAATGGTTGATGGTTGAGAGATGGGTCAGATCCTTTCTCTTGCTAAAGGACGTGTTGGGTTATTGTTGGCATTCAACCCCGCAATTTATACGTCTCGCCCGTCACACAACATCCTGAACGCAGACGATAACTGAACACGATAAACACGATAAGTTGGTGCCGCAGCAGATACCAACACGCCCATCTCCACCCCAATTTCCACTATCCAGCTTCTCCTCGCTTCGTATGCAATTCGAAGGTCCCTCTGATTCGTCGTATTCGAATATGAACGGTCAAGTGGTACTGCCCCTCCGCCTCGTGCATCTGGGGAGGAAACAGTCTGTCAATGAAATATCGATGATCAGTGACTCTGATACCCTCAAATGAAGATAGTCTCCAGCCTGGGCCAGCCATGCCAGCGTCAGAACGCTACCAAACACCCTCCAATAATTCATTAATCTTGAGCACACCTCCGCCGTTCCCCTCATAACCACATTCTCGTCCCAGCACATGACCAGTGTCAAACCAATGTGTTCTTAGATTGAGTTCCGTTCCAGACTGCAATACTGCTCGGGAAGCGAACAACAAAACGAAGATAAAGACTGTATTGCATGCGCATCCCATCGTGCCTGTTCTATCAAGTACTTTCGGTTGAGCGCTAAATGCAAACCTCTTCCCATGAATTCACTTGCACTCACTACTACTATGTCTGCCTTCGATCGTCTCAATCATCGTTGCTTCACAAGTGCCCTATTTGAGGGTGTCGCCTCACCTCTCCAACATTGACCAAATACTCGTTATCGAAATGGTGAGAGGATTTGAGGTTCGCAAATCTGCGGATGATCTGTGATATTAAACACGCGACTTTCATAACATAGTCCCTGGTACCATTGCAACTGGAACCTCGCCTTATTATAGCAGGCCCGATAACCAAATCCCATCTTCGCCTGACTGGGTTGCGACCGACCACAACCCATGCTGACACCTAACCTTGGAGGCTGCTCGCCCTCTCAATATTGTACTTCGACGGGAGCAGTGCTGCCAAGTTGGAAGGAGGGCCCCTGGACAGCCAAGATATCTTGCTCTGGGGGGAGACTAAGCCGGAGTGGACCTTTAATGAACGAGAGAGGATAGATCAGCTTTGCCGGTGGGGAAAGACTTTCGATCTGGACGGCTTCGTCAGGTAGACCTTTTCCCGAAGCCTTCGCCTTCATTGCCAATGTTTTTCACCTCAGGATGGAAACGGACTTGTGAGTATCGCCATGTTACGCGTTGACACCTTTGAGGATGGGCGTACATTGTAGCGAAGTTATGCTCTGTAACTTCACTGAAGGAGTTCGGAGGTCTTCATTTCTTCAACTTTCGACCTGATACAATAGCGACCGCCGCCCTCCTCTTCCAGGATATCCACTGAGCTCCAGAGCCTTTGAAGTTCTCAATGCTGGCGCGTGGCACGCTCGTTATGCGGGGGACACGCGCATCAAATTAGACATTTCACGATTAGTCTCGTTCTATGACACATCGCTGGCCCCTTCCCCCGTGAAGAAACGACGTTCCCGGTAGCGATGGCAGCATCAGTTACAGGGGATCAGCCAACCAGATGTTCGCGCCGTCATGCATCGGCTTACCGACCCTTAGCAGACGACTTTCAAAGTAGGGCACAGGTGGACTGGGCGTCTTTGATCAGAGCAGTGTTAGATAGGTTCGTAGGAAGATTGGACCTCCTCCGATACGATACATCCTTCAGACAACTTCCTCATCCACTATATCCAAACCTCTTGACCGAGCGACAGCGGCCCAAGTCCAACAGAGAACCATGCTGCGGCCTTACTTGCTCGCGTCTTCAGTTCCTCCCATCGACCATCCAGAATCCGGTGGCTCCAACCTTACCTGGCTCGAAGGAGTCTATCAGGCGTGCTCGACTTCTGGGCCTAGTCTTACCGGTGACGGAAAGTTCACGCTTTCGGAACGAACCATTCTGTCTTCTATCCGGGGAACAGAACGCGAAATTTGTAGGACAGTAACGACGATGTGGGGCGAAGGGGTATCCTTGGGCCCCAATAAGGCTCGATCGCCCAGAGAACATCCCAAACTCTCGAAAGTCCAACGGGCACTTGCACATGGGAGATGAAGCTAACAGCGCTTATGTCGTGGCTAGATTGGAGCGTTTGGATGCGATGCGATCCCGAGTGCAACGCCGAGGTAGCTATCTTCGCAAAGAGTTGCGATTTTATTGCGACTCATACTTGATGTAGGAAATGTGCTACCTCCCTACGTGGCCATTCTCTCTCCCTGTTAATCGTCGACATCCGCATCTGCGTCCCATTAGGCTTCATGCCACTGATGCTAATATTATCGACGAAGACGACTGGGATCTGCCAAAGTCTAAGTGCATTCGGCGGATTGGTCCGTACTCAACCTGACATCTACTGTAGTGGTCAATTTGTAAATAATATACATGTATTCATGTTTAGCCTGAGGATGGGGTATCTTGACATACACGTTCCACACTGACAAAGGAGAATGCGAACTGCAATGTATATGGTAGGACAATGGTATGTAAATGACAAGCATGCAATACTTTAATACATTTATATGATTCCGTCCACGACCAAAAAGCTAGAGAGAGCAAAAGATAGCAAACATTGCGACTGAGACATAACAAGGAAGACAAAACATGTATGTATAGATAGCGAAGTGATCGTTCATAAGCTTCATAAGCGTCTTGAAAGCAACCCATATTCCCTGGTGAGATAAGAAAACCATTACGCGCCCTTGTTCCCCTGACCGCCCATCTGAGGCATGAATGGAGGAGGGTTCGACCGGTCTAGACGATGCCCCTGTGCTTGTGTTGAACCCATCGCCGAACCAGGCGCGAAGTTAGAGAACTGCTCAGACCCTCCGTGCCAAAACACACTGGGTGGCGCGGATGTTGGCGCAGGCGGCGGGTACATCCCGGCCATCGAAGGAAGTCCGAATACGGGAGGGGTCGATTGGGTGGATGTCGGTTGCTGAGGGTATCCCGGAGGGTAGGTAGCTCTGTGCCCGAACGAGCTTTGTCCGAAACTTGGGTGAACGGATGACTGACCAAAGGAAGACTGGCCGAAACGTGGTTGGGGCGCCGCGAATGGGCCAGTTGTTGTACTTGGGATACTAGCATTGGAACCTGCGGGCGACGGCGAGCCCGAGTGGGGATGGAAGGATCCAGCGTCGAGAGTAGGCTGCCGAGCCGGAGGGGATGATGAAAGATACGGTGACGTTCTTCGGGAGTTTGATCGTAATCTCATGCCATCGACGCTGTGTCCCTCGTTGCGAAGTTGAGGGTCTACATTCAAGTCTGTTTGCGTAGCTGGGGGACTAGTGGAACCATCGTCGTTCTCGTCTGAACCTTCATCGTCTTCAGCGGTGGATTGGTTACTTGACGCGGTCTTCTTTCGGCGTTTACGTTCTCGCTTGTACCCTTCACCTTGTGAGATATCGAGTTCCCAGTAACTGCCCTTGCCTGGTTCCGTGATTGGGCGTGCCGTATTGCGGAAGACCTTGTTCAAAGAAAGATTGTGACGGATGGAGTTCTATACAGGCACTCATTGAATTTTTGGCACACGTCAAAAGTGTGCTGGCATACCTTCCATGCGCTCTCGGACTTGTGCTCCCTGAACCATTCAAATCGTTGTTCCAAAGCCGCGTAAATCTCCTGAAGAGTGAGTCTTTTCCTGGGGTTTCCGTAAATCGCAAGTTTGATCAAGACAGGTAGGGGCTGAGGAGGCTTCTGGCCAGCAGGGGGGTCGGGTAAGGACCAAAGATTGACAGGCTCGCCAGGCCCGATGTTTAGCTGAGAACGGAGATAATCGCCAGCATCAGGATAACGCGACTCTAGGTTACCATGAGGGTATGTCATCGGTAATATATCAGAGTGTTGGGCATCGAAAACGCCAGTGTGTGGTGGGAGTGGAGGCAGTGTGGCCGAGCGATGGGCCGACTGAGACGTTGATGCTGTATGGCCTTCATAGAAGGTTGTGCCATCTCCGGGATAAATGGGGGGATGGGTCCGGGCCTGTCCTTGGCCTTGGCGCCACTGGGAATACTCTAACCCAGTGCGGTTCTGATCCCCTGAACCGCTGGGTTGCCCTACGCGGCGAGGGTCGAAGGCCCTGGTCAAGTCTTGCGATGAGCTCTGGTTGTAAGAGTATCTCGCTGAGTTGTAACCATCTTGCGGAGGATACTTTATTAAGAAATGAGATTCAGATCACGAAGTAAGCTGAAAATGGAAGGCAGACATACCGGAGGGGCCGTTGCAAAATAATCGGCACCCAGCTGCTCCCTGGGTGATTGAGAGAAAGGCCTTGGGGGGATGTATGGCGAATCGAAATCCACAAACGACGGTTGAGTGGTCTGCGACAGTGGTCTGTCCGGGACGTGCTGGACACTTCGACCGGGTTGAGCAGTATATGAGCCACCGCCTCCAGTTGGGGAATCCGGTTCCGATCCCTCGGAAGATCGATGGTGGAGGCGGGGGACGCCGTACGCGTTGTCGCGAGCCAGAGTGAGCGAGTGTATGGACGGCAGACCGAAATTCTGGTACATTTCAGACATCATGGCGGACTGAGCATGGTGAAAGGCAAAAGAAAATATTACGCAATGATAAAATGCATGGCATCGGTAAACGTGTTAGGTTTAGTTTCCGAGTGGCACAGGGGCGCCGTTGCGGACGATCGGGAGAGGTGCAGAATAAGTGCATCGGCGTATACAAGTCGGTTTCAGTTATCGTAGATCGAGGGTAATCAAGCCTTCAATTAGCATGTGGGAATGACACCGGTCAAAAGAAGGCTCACGGGAAGAACTGATTGTGCAATATGGCAAGTGTGACGATATGTGACTGGCCAAAAAGGCGTTGGTTTCCTGGAGGATTGTCGCTGGAGAAGTGGTCTTGGAAGTTAGAGGGGACGATGGGGGATGTTGGCAACCTTTGATGGAGGTCCTTGTGGGGACAACACCAGCAGCTGGTCGTCTTTTATCTGCATTGCAAAGGTTGTGACTGTTTGCGCGCAGTCACCGCTCAAAATTCCTATAGCTGGTAATTTTTGTGGATTGGTCGTCCATGTTCAAAACCAATCCAACTGCTCGATTGCTTCAGATGCAGGTCCCTTGTGGGAAACCTACCGTGGGAACTCTTCTGAGGGGAGAGATCGAGCCCTTGGGAATTTGGGCTTCACAGAAACTGCCTTATATGGCAATTCTCTCACTTCATTAGCCGTTGTTGATCCTAGTCGCCCGAACCAGGCAATTTCGACGATTGGTACGGGTGCAGGTTTCCGCGTTTCACTATTTTGGCTAGCCGACGCATCAAAGCCGACACGCCGACGCGCCCTTTGCTATCTTGAGTCGCCCTCGTGTATTTTGGGCCTCCCGGCGGCAGGTGAGGCAACGAATCGGTTGTACCTGGTCGTTGGGGCAATCTGACGAGTAAATCTCTATACTTGGACCCTCAAGGCCTCGAGTATATAGTTTGGTGCACCCACAATGATGATGATCCCATGGAGAGGGGTCACTAGAATCAATATGATGACAGGTGACCGGTGGGCCGGTTGACTGGAATGATGGTCGCGCCCACAGACGTCGCAAATTTCCTTTCTTGGATGCCTGGGCACTGCCGAATGGAGTTAGCTTGGCCGTTGTTCTTTGTCACGGCTTAGGTTCGAGTATTGGCGGTCTGTTGACATGATACTACAGGAAACTACGTGGATCACAAGAGTACTCCCCTACCAAAGCTGCTCTTCGCAGTCGGGTTCTTCAATCCGCGGGCTCGGGTCGTTGACACGCCAAGGCGAGCTCACACGTGCTTCAACTTACTTCCCACTTCCAAAGAGCATACCAGGCAGGTTCTTGGCATTTCATGAGCTGGCACCAACTTTTCCGCGGCTCAACAGCATCGTAATTCACGCGCCACATTCACGGGGAGTGCCACCGTCACTTCACACCCGCGCGCAGGATAACTAGTAACTAGCCATGGTAGATTGACCATTCACTTCGAGAAACAACAATACACACTCTGATTACACGACTACTATACGAGAAGAGCCGGCGGTTCGTTGTATTAACTCAGTTCGACCGCCCCCTACGTATGCGCGTCTCCTTATATCTACTCACCTAGATGGGCTTCGCGGGGTCGAAAACGCCTATTACTCTGTCAGTGGTCTAAGTCAGACAAACCGAGTCCATCTACATCGAGATAGTATCAGAGATCCACACAAGACTATTCCAATGGGTTCTCCGGCATACTTATCTTACGCTCCTCGTGTCATATATGGCTCTCCTCCGCTCCGAGATGGCAGTTCGCTTTCACCCACGTAAACATTGGCTTGGCACCCAAGGTAACGGAAAGTTTCCGCAGGAAACGCCCGATGTCTGCGAATTTAAACCTTAGAAGAGCATCGCCTCCAGCGAAGTACAGGTTCTTAAGCGAAGCAAGATAAGTGCCGTCCTAGACAACGACTGGAAGATATCATTAGCATATCGTCAGAAGTAATCTAGGTTGGCTTGGCGCACCACAGTGGGCTACATCGGTCCTCTAACAATGAAGTACATCTCATTCTTAGACACGGAAGCGTGTCTGCCTGCCTTCAATCCAGCGCTTGGCTCAGCGTTCTCAGCCACCATATTTCGCGGTTGCAATCCATCACCACACGTATCCACGTACTTCTCTCTCTGTGGGGGCCTGTGCGAATATACATCTCTTTCCGAGCACAACCATCCGTTCTTGGCAAGACGGCAAATCAGGGGAACAGCATGAACGTCTCCGCGATCATACGACGGAGCACCATCCTTGCGGACTTAGATCACTAACGCCGCAAGATACAGCAAAGACCATGTTCACAGCTGCCTGATCTCGCGTGCCGTGCTAATCAATTGAACTGTCCGGAAATTATTATAGCTCGAGGCGGTCTGGATTGGCGGTCTGTTCGAAGGAAATCGGCACACGGTGCTGTACGGAAATAATAATACCCCCCATGATCAAACATAGATGGATCTACACCGTACAAACATACCTCGGCTGCTGGGCACGTACATACATATTTAGATCGCGATTACTCGAGAAGATGTGGGCGAGCATCCCAGAATTCGTCCTTGATGATATCACAATGCAGGAGATTGATCTTCGTCTTCGCCTTCGGTTGTGCCTTGTTCTTTTTCTGTTTGAGTGGTTTATGCGATGCCTCGGCTGCCGATGTAGATTCCGAAATGCTTTGATCGCCAGCCGTCGAGGAAGCTGGTGTGGGCTCCGGAAGCTCAGGTGGGGCGGGTTCCTGGGGCGAGCATGTCAGCTTCTCGACATAGAGACAGGGCCGCCCGGCAGATGCTTACATCTTCGATGTCGCGAACCAGGATGCTGCCCTTCCGGAATCTAGCATCGATTTCATTGTAGTTGACACCGAAGGATTTAAATAGCATCTCGTGCTTCTGGCTGGATACGGTGCCCTGGCTGGATGTCAGTTCTTTCATTCCGTAGCACAGTAGAGTCAACGAACGCGGAGGGCGGCGTGGGCATCAGTTGTAGTCTTACCGCCTTGCTGGACAAGGGCCCAGAATATGGTGTTATACAGGTTGTTGATGTGAGCTGATAATATATGAGCCGTCGGATCGAAGTTAAGATGGCGACGGTACACACTGTCAGCCTGTCTCCAGGAGAAATAGTCGCGGATCTCGCGCGAACTTGGATAAAGTACTATTCGACCGTCGAACGAAGGCGGATAAAGCAGCGGCGAATCGGGGAAATATTCCTTCCAGTGGAAGACATAGCACGAGGTGAAGTAGGAGGTTAACGTGCTACATATTTTGCTTTCCCTACGGTTGTATAACGATGTCGATTTGCGGAGTAGGAAGCTGGTATTGGGTTGGAAATTGTACTTGACTGAGGATAGGGGTGCCATCAGACCTGTATTCATCTGACTCGCCGAACGCAAGTACGATGTCTTTGTATTCTTCCATGACATCCCGAGCAGCGTGGTCCATGAGCATGAGTGCTTGCACATCATTTGGCTTCGTAAATTGGTGCTCTGTCGAAAATCTAGTTCAGAATTCACTTGGATGTCGGCGCGGTAGTATTCAAGCAACGTGGACCGTACCGATGGAAAGAATGGCCGTCTAATCGAAAGACGAGAAAGGTACCAGGCAGAAGAGGGTCTGGAAGCTCGAAATTCCTGACATAGGCATATTTACTGCCTGCCATGACTGCCTGGTGTTTGACTTGTCGAAATTATCGATTTGATTTTGACATCGATCCCGCAGCAAGGAACCCTAATCGGGAGTATGAGTCACCATCACACTGTCACAGTCCTCACCTCCTCCACGAAGAGCAGTGCCATCGCTTCTTGACCTCAAACCACCACCATCGACCTGGTCGCGACTCTGAGCCCCAAGCATCTTCCAAAGTCTGACACTATCTAGTAGCACAATGAACAACACGGCGTCCTTGTATCACCCCCGCCGTCGCACCATCGGCCGAGCATCCTCGCCCCCCACGTGGGCCTGCTATGAGCAGATTCCATACGAGGAGGATGGGTACAGCGACAGTGCTTCGGAGTCTTGTTCCGAGGATGAGGAAGACTACGGGCGAGGCGTCGCTGTGGACCACAGTAGTGACTCGGAAGAGGACCAAAGTCAGACGGTGCGCCGGGACGATGCAGGCCATGACATCGACAGTATGGACATGGACGAGGAAGGGGATGAGGTTGCGAGAAAGCTGGCCGTAGCGCAGAAGGATGCCAAAGGAAAGCAGCGTGCAGTCAATGCCGAATGTTCTCCCGTTCGAAGGCACCACCACCCCAAGAGACAGCGTCAGCAGGTAATCACGCTGCGTCCTATCTTGACTATTCAGAAGAGCCAGGGCTTCGTTTGGAACCAAGTAAGCACTGTGCTGCGACGATCTCTCGTGTCTGATTGATCACCCTTATTGCTCAGGACCTCTTCATTCCACCCTACATCAAGGACCGATGTCAGTCTTCCCCCTTGCTTCAATACTCCAATCACTAATCTACATCTCCCATTGTCTTTCATCATTGAAACCTCTAGACGTTGCCTCTACTTCTCCACCTAATGCCACGGGGTTTATCTCCACCTCCGCATCCTCCACCTACTCCGCTTTGAATGAATACGAGGTCGAAGTTGTTGAAATTAGAGTGGAGGAGGGAGAGTTAAACGATATCATTCCCTAGATGATTGCCCGGACGGATTTTCTATCATTTTCGCTTACCTATATTTCGCATTCGGACCATCTTGATTGTCTTTCTGGTGTAGTATTAATCTTCTGTCTTCATGTTTCTCTAGCTATTCCGAAGTGTATCCAAACATCCCCCCTCTTCTTCGAGTGAACGTGTAATTTCTGAAAGCCATGTATCATACTGTCGCCAGTAGTGCGTCTTCCACCTCCTTCATTCTTGCGGCTTCTTTCTCCATTTCCATCTGTTTCTCTTTAACGGCCTCTGTTTCTCTTGATAGAACGTATGTAGGGATGGTGAAGGGCTTATAATCAAGATGTCTCTTCACGTAGAAACACATGTAAGCGGCTGAGTTTAGGCAGGCACCTAAGCTTGAGGCGGTAACTCTGGGGTAATGTGGAGAGCATGAGAACAGTGCGGGCTACGAGGGAGATTCCTTACTTATCATCGTCGAACCGGTACCACTGCATCCAAAAATAAATGCATCGCCCCAAATGAAATCCAATCAATGCCGCACCTCGTCCAAGTATCGAGCGTAGCTCGTGTAATGCCCGTTATCTATCTGGCCTTCGTGATTGATGACAGCAAACAGGTCGTAATCGTACATAATATCAGGTCCGGCGGAACTGGAAGCCGTTAAATGGCTTTCTGATCGTTTATAAGGAGATTTAATTATTCACTCACGAAACCAATGGGGTATGGTTCTCCTTCTCCTTCTCTGTCATTGTGACTGTGGTGTAGGGAGCCATGTTAAGCGTCGCAGTGAACTTAATGGGTGTATCAATCTTGCGGGCCGAGGTCTTGTCAGTTGACTTGTGTTCAAACCGCTATCAGCTTAAAATTAGTTTGACACGTCATGCTGAGCAGCCATATGCGCACTTTGAGCTGGAAACTCAGGACAGGGGGGAGCTTCCGTATGCTCATCCTTTTGCTTGCTTCCTAGACTATTGATCAAGTCTCATGATCGAACGGGTGAACCACCTGAAGAGCACATACCTGGCCGGCCTTTCCGCATTTGTCGCAACTGTATTCTTTGGGTCCCAGCTTCTCTGGTTGCGTATATCTAGCAAATTCGCGGTCAATCTCGGGTGTGGCGCCCAGGAAGAACGATCATCTGCGAAAACTATAATTTACCTCCGGAGGCAAGCAGCCAGTGTATTGTCCGCAATAGTCTCGTTGCCTTTACGCTTCAACTCCAAGCTGATATCAAGCATTGGGTCGATCGTACTTGTAACGTTGCCACACCGCTCACATCTCACGTCGCTCTGCAGTTGTCCTGCAAAAGTTGAGTGGATGATGCAGTTGCAGGAGACATTCGTTGAGCCACGAGAAGTAGAGTGAATCTGGTTGAGGGCCGAAATGAAGAATTCATGGGCATCACGCTGAGCGTAACCGGCCAGCTCAGGTGAGGTCCGCCACGTCGTCGCCAGGAAACTTGTAGGGCCGTAAGGAGTCGTGTCTGTTGAGTGAATCTAAAAACAATTGGCCCTAACAGCTTTCCTGTTGAGCTGTGGGAACCTACCTCTGTAAAGAACTTGTCCATCTCACAGCAGGTACAGTTCTTTGCTTTACACAGCTTCCAATTATGTTTATCGCTCAGAAAGAAGTTTCGCAGCAGGGGATTGTGCGCGAAACACTGAAGGACGGCGTTAAGGAAACATGTTTGGCCGAGGTTTAGAAGGCCTCGTCGTCCTGTGATAGGTAGGTAAAAAAGCAAGGTTCAGAAGGAACAAATCATCTACCTTGACACGAAATGGGTTCCGCGTTTGCCAACGCGGCTGCATCCTTTGCATCTGGTATCCACGATCGGTATGGCTCTCGAAGCTTTTTGGCAACTTCACGAGATGTAAGTAGCTAACCACAATGGGTAAACAGAGTATTACCTTGATATTTTGCTTGTCGCTCAGCTACACTCACTGTAGTCGAGACATGTATAGCATCCAGCCTCGGATCATAGACGAAGTTGTTGCAAGCAGAACAAAACACCGCCCCAGTCTTCGCGTCTGCACCTATTGATAGAGAATTAAGTCATGGTGCCTCCCAATTGGTCTACGATGACCCAGGACTAACATAAGAGGTGTCCAGTTTCTGCGAGATGCGCCGTGATATGACCGCCGAACCAGCATCCCGTAAACGAACAATGCAAGCACACGAACGGTCGTGGAAGCGACAGCTCGCAAGTACCACATGTAGGGACGGCGATCTATTATTGATTTAATTTGTGGTATCTCAGGTCGCAGTGCCCAGGCTGACCTTTCGACGTTTGGCAGATTCAGTGACCTTGTGTGCACGCTCCAAGTTCCAAGTGATAGCAGTCTTGTATGTTTCAATAGCTTGGATCTGGGAATTCGGACCTGTGTCGCCTACAATGCTGGAGATGTGAGGACATTCTGATTTTACCTCTCCCACCATAACCGTGAAGTACTAGGAACAAGGCCTAGTTAAGCGCCACCAACGTATCGCGATTGATCACGTGTAGCACTTTGCTTGCGCTTGTTGACGGCGTTGGTCTGATTTCCCACCCGGTTCGTTCATGTTCATGTTCACCTCGCTGCAGCGCTTGCACCATGTTGTGAGATCAAGAGATCACACCCAGAAACCGACCAAAGGGACCAAGATAAAGGAGTCATGTAGGTTCTGTGATGTCTCCGTTAGTCCGGGATTCGACATTGTTCATGAGGTATGTGGCATCAGACTCATCACTTTCTGTTACCCAAAACATACTGATGATGATGAACCGGATGGCGTGATCTCTCAAGGACGATATTTTTGTTGCATTCCGCGACCGCAATCCATCGTCAGTACACCACATCCAATTGATCACAAAAACGCATATTGGTATGCATCGCGCCACTTGAGGAGCTATGCCATATCTCATATTTACTGTGCGCAGACAGTGTTCAGAGTCTCAGCACAGCTGATGTAGACTTGGGTGAAGGCGATAGTGTTTTTCCGCCGGGCGCTGTCTGACTCGACTTCTTTACAGTGAAGTCAATGGAGAGAATCGGGCATAACATTCTTGATAGTCTAGATGTGCCGCCTCATCAGCGCAAGTAAGCTCGGTGTTCTCTCCGACCCATGTGGTAATGAGGGGTTCTAAACAGAAACCCAGACTGGGGTTCCACATACCGCCTTTCAATTCTGTTCAACATCTTCACCTCCATCTTCAAGGCCTACCTTACAAATCCCTTGTCCGTCGGATGAAGTATCCTGTTGTTCAGGGGGGTAAGGGTTCCGTGAAAGGGTTTAGCTGGTTTGTGAATGTTAGCCAGCTTATCGAGTTGTTGGAACGACGTAGATGTGTGCGTGTTATGCCCTGTTGAAGAGAAGAGAATCAGGTATGTTCCACCATCCTGCTGGCAATCTCACTGTGCCCTGCCAACCGAATGTCTCATATTTAGTTCATTGCATCGACAATATTCCAACCAATGAGCAGGAAGCAATTTGTCGGCTTTATGTTGTCCGAGGGCACGCATCTCTTACCCGGTAATAATTCACAAATATGCGATATTCTTAGGACTTTGTGGAGTCCACCACGCTCATCTCGCAGAAACTACGCAAAGGAAAACTTTGCCCCGCGTGGCAGCATCATATTTACGGTTGAAGTTGGCCAATCGTCGCGGCGCTATTGGTCAGAGTGCACGACTTTGCCTATCGGCATGGTGCTACTGTACGTTTCCGGTTTGCTATTATTGGAACTGCCCTTTATTAGATGGATGTATTTATACATCGCCCAAGTCCCATCTGTCCAAAAATCTGCCGACCGGTTCCTGTCAGGATAGAACGATCTGATCTCCTCATTAGGACTGAACGGAATGGCTATTCAAGCGGCGAATCGAGGCCGGCGCTTGTAGCCTCCCTCCCCAGCACTCCCACAACAAAAATCGAGGCAATGCTTCCCGCAGACATTTAAAGGTATGTACATGCTCAATTTTCTCCATAAGCAAACCTCTCTGCCTTTTCGCTGATGTGAATAATACCCATTGCTTTTAGCCAAAGGTACCCATGATGTATGACTCATGCAATCTATGAGGGCTCCAGCTTCTCATTGACGCCCTAATGGATCTAACATGAGCTGGCGGAATTCTGATGTAGATTTGATTCGATGTTGTTGCCAGCTCGGACGTCACTGCGCTGCGACGAAGCTCCGCAAGTCATGGAAATCGGCGACATCCCGCTGAAATTGCTTGGGTAGAAGAAGAGGACAAGCCACTGCCTCTCATCTACGGCGCCGCTGGAGTTCAGCATGGTTCCTTAATCTCGGCATGTTCTTGAGAAGAAGAACTGCCAGGTCGAAGGACGTAGATAGGCACTGACAGTGCCATACTTGTCCAACACACGTATTATGCGAACCTGAACGAACCAACCTGGTCGAATTCAATTGCGGTCACCTATCTATTGTTAGAGTCGGCCGCGACTTGCATGCCGTGTCATCAGCATCGGCAGGGGATGTGCGTGCTTCTCGATATCTATGGACTCTTCCCCATACTGACGATTTTATTTTTGGTGGCGCGCTAACAAACTGTCCTCCTCAAAGGGCATATCCTGTTATCCGTCCGAGTATGCAAAGAATGCTGCGATGCCCTCATGGGATCACCAGGATCACTTGTCAGGTGCTTGCCACGGCCTTTCATTCCGCCACGATTCGCCATGTTTCGGGAGCAACTTTGTATTGTCTGTTTTTGCAAGCTATTGCACCGTTCTTCTCCGATACACCATGTCTCCACAAGGTTCATCAGTAGCGACAAGTCGGATGACTCTTCCTACACCACCCGCAGCATACTTGACTATGCCTCCAAGGTATCATGTTTCCGTATTCGTAGATGCGATTCTACCATATGCCGTTTCTCCGATTTCGAAGCTTCTATACGTCGGTTCGGCGGACCAAGTAAAGCGTGGATTCTCGTGACCACATTGCTACATTGCAACACTTCATACCTATGAGTTACCCGAAGGCATCCTCCATCTATAAAAAGGGCATCCCGCATCCTACTCTCACCAGTGGACAAAGCCCCTCTAGTCTTCTACGATGATCAGCATTACTTTTTGCCTCTGCTCCGTATTCTTGGCTTCAGGCGTCCTCGGAGCTCCTGCCCCAAGTTCGTCGGTTGCATCTGCACCTGCTCCAGCCTCTTCTGTTGCAGTTTCAGCTTCCTCCGCCGCGGTTTCGGCCTCCTCCGCCATCGCGTCTGCTGTTTCGTCGGTAGCTGTTAGCCCTGTTTCGAGCGTTGTCCTGTCATCCGATTCCGGCGCTACACCGACATCGTCTGCCGTTGACGCCACTGCAACAGTCCCCTTCATCGATTTAGATCCCAATCTCCCCGTGTGGCCTGTTGGAGACGAGGCCAACGACCAATGGCAGCCCGAGCGCGGGACCCTTGGAGCTCCACTCTTAGGACCCACGAACAATGAAATCGCCCAACAGAACCCTGACTTCTTCGCACCTCCCTCTACCGATTCTGGAAGCATGTAAGCCGAAATCTATTACATATTTCAGGCGGTGCTCTGATCCATCCACTAGGCCCAATGCGAAGTGGCCCTTCAGTATGAGTCACAATCGCCTCCAAACTGGCGGGTGGGCTCGTCAAGAGAACAGTCAGTCGTCGTTTGCCCTTGTATGCAGTTTTCACCTCATCTTGCATTTCACAGTCGGTGTGATGCCCATTGCTACTCGTGAATATTTTCATAGTTTGCACGCACGACTCTATGTTGATGCATCCTTTTTCTAGAAATGGCCAGCGTCAACATGCGTTTGGAAGCGGGCGCCATTCGGTACATTTGACCAACAATGTGCTGGGACTTGAAACTAATATTTTTTCTAGAGAGCTGCATTGGCACAAAACCGCCGAGGTTAGTAAATAAACTTACTCGACGTTATCACTGAAACTAATAGAATGAAAGTGGGCCTATGTCTTGAAAGTAAGATCGTATGTAACACAGTCTCCTCTTATTCTGACCCCGATTGCCAGGGATCAACGCAAGTTACCGCAGTAGACCCGCAGGGGCGCAACTTCATATCTACAGTGGTACGTCCCTTGTTGGAATCCCACTGTATCATACTATCACGACTCATGTCAATTCAAGCAAGCTGGTGACCTCTGGTACTTCCCTCCCGGCATCCCGCATTCACTCCAGGCCACGGCTGACGACCCCGAAGGCTCTGAATTTATTCTTGTGAGCGACGGAGCTCCATCTAAAAATAAAGGCAACTGATCAAAAATACCGACCAGGTCTTTGATGATGGGAACTTTAGTGAAGATTCGACCTTCCTGGTAATATCTATCCTTGCAATCATCAGTCACACCCCTTATTGTTCTCATGCTAGCTAACGGACTGGCTTGCACATGTCCCCGCCGAAGGTGAGAGTGTTGCTATTTTCTCTATGGTGTCTTATCTTACGGCTTTGATGTCTACCAGTGATATCACGAAACTTCCAAGAGCCCATTACGTCCTTCGCGCACATTCCGGCGCAAGAATTGTACATCTTCCCGAGTGGTAAGATCGCCGTCTCGCGTATTCACACCAGGTAGTAGCTCAACCAACGACAATAGCCCCACCTCCAGACGATGCCTTGGCACCTACGAGCCCACAAGGCAGCGTCCCGGACCCATTCTCGTTTGCCCTCTCGAAGGTCAATGCTACCCAACTGGCCGGCGGAACCGTCAAGGTAGTCGACTCGTCTACGTTCAAGGTCTCGAAGACTATTGCTATGGCTGAGGTCACTGTCGAGCCTGGTGCTATTCGGTCAGTCTTACCCTTCTTTGGTGACGACATCTTGACTCATTCAAACCTCGTAGTGAGCTCCACGTAAGTAAACATAGCAGTAGACGCCTTTCCGTCGCTCATCCGTCCTTAGTGGCACCCGACCCAAGATGAATGGAGTTTCTTCATGTAGGTCTCCCGCCTTCGCATAGTTTGTCCCAGAGACTCACGTACTTCAAGCGAGGGCGAGGCCCGCGTGACTATCTTCGCATCCCAGGGTACCGCTAGAACGTTCAACTACCAGCCCGGTGACATCGGTTAGTCTCGTTGCACCCAGGATAAATAAATGATAAGGCGACTGATTTTTGCCCTTTCAGGATACGTCCCTGCTACCATGGGTAAGCAGGTCGCACTGCAAGCCTAGCCCTACTAACAGTCTTGCAGGCCATTACGTCGAGAATGTCGGCAACACTACGGTCCGCTTCCTTGAGATATTCCGCTCTGGTAAATTCATGCCCCGTTCCGAGTCTGCATCTCGGCTAACCTTTTATTTCAGACCGATTCGAGGATATCAGCTTGAACCAGGTCAGTGACAGTCTGCATGATCCGATAAATTCTCACTGAAACCCTCTACCAGTGGCTCGCCCTCACTCCTCCGGACTTGGTTAAGGCTCATCTTGGTTTGTCTGATGAGACCATCAGCCACTTGCAGAAGACGAAACCCACCGTTATGAACGGCGCTGGTGCATGAGGAATCTTAGAAATGAGTTAACGAAAAGACGCAGTCAGATGATCATGTATCTATTCCCAGCTTGTATATATATCTTACGCACCTTTGATTATTCTATCTTGTGCCTCACTGTACATTTGATAAGAGCTTGAGGCCATGGAGCCACATGCATGTCAGGATGGGGGCATTGCCGTATTTGCGAAAGAAATGCCGAAGAACGTGGGCCTGAGGGGGTTGACCGCCGCCGCGTGTTTGTAGATGATGGTTCGCCAAAATAGTGACGAACAACCCTTGTATTTTTAGTACGTCGTCCCGATGTATTTTTAGTGCATCCTTGATGTAAGATAGTATTCATGCTGCGTCTCATCCTTTCGCAGGTATGCGACGGAGTCTGTTGAAGTTTGATATTCCGCCAAGGTTCGTGCTCGTTGAGAACATCAGCTGGGATATATTCCACTGAAACTCAGCCTTTGCGGATGCGAATCCGTTGCCTACGACCACAGTAATGGATGTTGACTACGTCGTATTTTGCATGCATCCCCACGACGCTGACGAGTGTAGTCGGCCGCAGGGCAGGATGAGCACGACTTGCCAGACTTGCTGGACGTCAGACGCTCGAGGCGAATAGTCCTTGCGCCGGTGTCATGGAAATGCGTAGTGGGAGTCGACTGCCTGACAGGCAGGCACGCAAGTAGATGAAGTGTGGCTTGCCTTGTAGGCGGGACGAAGCGCTCGACAGCCCAGTGATATCAAGCCGCCGAGACAATGCGTGCGTACTGATATCAACATCGAGGCGGTCTGTAAGAGGAGGAATAACTGGATGAATAGCTGTTGGAGGCCAGCAAGGTATCGGAAAGGAGCTACATATACGACTCGTGTTGACGAATGTTTACAGAACCTTCGGCAAGGATTTCCGACCAAAGGCACCACAATCAAGAGTACGCTGGCACAAGGACAAGGTAATCCAATCGTAGTAGCGAGATCGGTGATATATTTACCATACGAAGGAGATGAAGGAGGAACTATGCATCCAACGCGTCGTTTTCGGCATGATCTTTGTAGAAGCATCGGGTGATAGATAGATAGGTCAGCCGGTATTTTTGTAAAGGGACATACGGGGAATTGTTGGTGACGGGTGCCACTTGATCTAGAGTTCGTTGTAATCTGAATGACCCAAGATCTTCGATCGAGCTTAAGGGCGATTAGATCGATTGCGTCGAGGAAGCAGAGGGCCACGAAGTAAGTAGTGTCCAATAAACCCATCCATGAGTAGCCATGAACCAGCCTTAATTGCCGGTGGTGCGGCTTGGTTCGTAAGGTCCGTAGTCGGCGTTCGCTCCAGATTTCATTGCTGGCCTACGAGAGCGTGGAGCGGCCTTTCTGGGGTCCGGCTTCGTAGCAATATAGATCTTGAGATCGCAAAATCAAAAGAGCAGAGTCATGGATTCGAGGTCGCTTGACTGGGGTGTTCAACCTGAGAGTGTAACCAATGAGCGCCTGCAGCTGTAGAGACCCTCAGCAATGCGAGCTGACATACATGCGGCATTAATAGGCCTTGTATATGCCGCGCCTGATAAAGTTCATCATTATTCAACAGCACGGCTGTCACGGCGATTCTCATCGTTGAATCTGCGTCTGGCGCAGAGCGAACGATTCTGAGGCTTTTCGTCCAGCAAAGACCCTCGAATGAAAAAGCGCAGGCCTTAGCACAGTACTTGAGACAGCGCCAAAGAGACGATTACGATGCATCCAGCGGCTTCGCACCAGTCAGAAGTCATTAAGTTGAAGTCGGAAGTAAATCGAAAGTCGGTCTTGGCGCTATACTTGGCGGCTTGTCTGAACTAACGACCACGTGACTGAACCATAACCTGCCCTAAAGCTCCCACGGGCTGATTAAAGTGCGAAATTTTTGAGGTCAGCACACTCTTGTTCTTGACCAACATTGTTCGCAACCATGGGGCATCGTTTCTATTTTCTGTAGCAGTGGTAAGTTCTTTTCTCTTTCCTGCGAAGTGATGACACTTCAATTATTTTGCGAGTGTCAATGCGGCACTATGGGTCATCTTTTTTGTCATAGTTACACTGATCGGTTCATATGTGTCATTTACTGCGCTCAAAATGCTAACCAACCTCTTTTATTAGGACTGATACCCTTTCGAACGTGATGCGACGCTGAATCCATGTGGAGGGCATGATAGGTGAGCCATCCGTTCATTAACTACAATTATTTTCTTCTCTTCTGTGATGAACCATTACATTCAAACTAGAGTATCTGAGTGCCCATGGCACGATGCTTTTAATATATCTGTCAATCCACTGACAGTCGCTTTTCTCATCTATTCTCCTTCGACCACGGATAGTCTTGCTGACCGGTTATTTTTCTTAGATTCTTCTACCGCCGATGGATACTAAACGGATGATGCTACTGGTGAGTACTTGGTTTCTGATTGTTGAATGATGAATCAATGGAGTTACCGCCTGAGCTTGTCGACCGCAACTCGACTTCTTTGACGACAAATCCAAGGCTGTATTTATTTACCCTGATCTTATGTCCGCCATGATGATTTCGAACATTCGCTCATTTCTTTTTTTGGCAGGTGCCAGACTACTACCTGTGAAGTTGGCTTTTGATTCACTCCATATGTATAATTCTCCGAGTGAGTGCAATTCTCTGTCTTCTTTGCATGATGTTTTATCACGACGGTCTTCGTACTACTGCTGCCGAAAATGCCCGCCACAGCTCATTTATTCGGGCACCCCCATCTGATCTTGCTTCCCTTGTTGTGTTCGACTTGCTTGCTGACTATCATCGTTAGATGACCTCCGGGATGCGGACCTACCAGGTACGTTGAACGATGTTCTCAATAATCCATGTCCTTTCCATGATGAATCAATATATACAAATTATCAACTAGAAGCTGTTGCTGAGCCTTGTGCCATGTTGATTATATACTTCAAGCCTGATTCCTTCGTTTATCCGCTGTTTCTTGGGCATGCAATCTGATTCTTCGACCACAGGGATAGCGTACTGCTGAAATCGATTGTCTGTTTGATACTGTTTGTGAATAGAAGCTGTTTCAGTCGTTGTTCGGATGTGCATCGCCTTCTCCACAATCATACATGCTATAAAGGCAGGCCGCAGCAGGTGCGATCCTTTTATTTTCAACCCGTCATGCAAGTGCCGTTAGAAATCGTCGGCCAAATCATCGCCTATGTTGGAGACAGTTCCTCCCTTCGCGCGTGCTCGCTGGTCGACCGCGCCTGGCTTCCATTTACAAGGGAACTCCTCTACAACCAAGTGACATTCGCCTCTTCTGAGGAAGGACGTGCCAAGATCGAATTCTTCGAGCAATCACCACACCTCGCACCATATGTTCGAACACTCTCTGTCATCTATCGGCGCTCTCCAGAGATCGCCTCTGTCATGTCCCGATTGCCAACCATTTTCCCAAACACCGAGGATCTATTGTTCATGGGGCAGCCCCGGGTTCAGTGGACTTCTTTACCCAGCGAGCTCACCGAGTCATTTCGACAACTCGTTAGATCTAAGCCATTAAAATGCCTGCGATTAACTTGGTTTCGTTTCCCGGAAGACCCGGATGCACTTGGGGACCTTCTGCGTTCGTGCTCAACTACCTTGGAGACCCTTAGATTGCAAAATCTATACAATACCGTTGATATTACTACGATCGACCCAGACGAAGCCCCTGAAATCAGCTTTCCACAGCTTAGCAACCTAGCCCTCGCCTCCGTCGCCGCCTCTTCCCCTACTTCCTCGTACAGGTTGGTGACCCCAAGCTTGAAGTTTCTGTCATGGGAGTCCAACATCACCTCTCTTCCCTATCTCATCAACATCTTGCCACGTTCATCGATGTCCACTGTCACGACGTTTGAGCTCTCCTTGAGCCTTGGTGAGTCCCATTAATATTACTTCGACACAGACCCACTCATGAAAACCTCCAAACAGATCCGTCGCAGGACAATCCTTACGCAGCACCACTCGTTCCTCCAGGGTTCTTCTCCGATGCGTGGTGCTTGCCCGGCGTCCGCTCCCTTGGCATCGCTATGCGGTATCCCACATTTGACAATGACAATCCCTTGGACACTGCATTGTCATGCGTGATGCGATGTCTGGAGCAAATCCCAAACCCTGATGTAATCAAAACGATCAACATCAAACTCGAAACCGAAGCCTTTAGAGAATCTCCGTCATGGAAGCTCCTCGATGCGGTGCTCCTTGATATCCATACGCATGGGTCGTTGAAAGCCGTATTCATCAATCCATCCCCACCAAACTCGTGGTTACCGCGATTCGGGAGTTCGGGAATACTCAAGGCAAGCGACGCAGGTGAGTATGTTTCTTTCACAATGTCGAAAGGCACAACTAAGGACTCTCTTGCGAATAGAACAAGAGACTAGGTGGTAGCTAAGTGTTGACTTGATGTGCTTGCTGGAGGGCAGAAAGTTGGACTCGAAATATGATATATGTGTTGCTTCATTTGCCTTCTATAGCGAACTGCATGCCTTTGAAGGGACAATTCTACACTGACTTGATGTTCTTGATGTTTGTGGTATGGCATCCGTGCTCCGCTTCCACTGCTGCTAGATCGTTCATCCTTAAAACGCAAAAAGTGGTGACGTTGAGATAAGTTGATCACGAGCCGGAAAGTTGAGTTATTCACCCTGGTTCAACGTGCCGGGGTCACTGGTACGCGCTGGGTGAAAAGCCAGGACGAATTGTAGGAATCGCTGCACTGTGTGAGGCCCCACACGCTGAGGTCACGTTGTCAACCGAGAGTCGAGCTGCTCAGTGCTCTTGTACCTCAGTGTTACAATATATCGCGACTTTCTGGGAGAAGACATTCGAGAAAGGCTCGACCGTTCATGATGAGGTTGTATTGGCGCTGAGGCAGGCCCTGTACAGAGTTCATACAGTTTTAACTCTAGACATCTTTCCCCACCATGTTCCCTCAACTACCCAAGTTGACCGTGTAGATAATTCGTGTTTAGTCGAGCTCGTCTAACTCGTAATCACGTCGGAACCTAGTTTCGGGTCTGGGAGGACGATATGGACCGCCGAATGGGCGTCCTCCTTCTTGGAAGTACCAGGGTGGGCTGCGTTCCAGGTAAGTTTATTTGAAGCCACAAGAGATGAATTCACTTACACGACTATCCGGGCCTTAAGGGTTTGAGGCGCACCTGCAGGTGCGCCAGGTTCGGCCGGTGCAATAGGTGGTGTGATCTGCGTATCAGGAGGGGCATCAACCACTAGTCCCGGCACGTCTGGTTGAGCGACCGGTGGAGTTGGAAGCTTAGGAGGCAAAATTGTCGGCTTGTTTGGACCATTTGGCCCTTTGGGTCCTTTTGGACGCCCGATAACGGGCATATGGGGACGGGGCGGGAAGGGGCCATGAGGATTGGGACGGCCGTGGGGGTTAGGACGGCCATGAGGATGAGGACGACCATGAGGACGAGGGCCAGGACGACCGTGAGGGCCGGGGCGGCCATGAGGTTGAGGACGCTTCCTGCCACGACCTTGGGATCCATTGCTAAAGTAGAACGTCAGACAGCAAGCCACAAGCATAGTAGACATGAATTACGGTTTCTTTACAGCGCGAACTTGAATGTCCTCTTCGTCAACTATCGTTCGCGTCTTAAGGTCTTGGCTCGGCTGGGATGCTGGTGGCGGGGCGCCTCCCGTGGATCCAGGAGCGTCTGGAGCCGTGGGTGGTACGGCCTCCACAGGGTTCTGCGAATCAACCAGGTCAGGACCCGTTGGCGCGCCCGGAGCGGGGGTCTGCTGGGTTGGAGGCGGAGACGCTTGAGGCGTCTTTGGTACTTTGGGACCTTTGGGACCGTTGTTATGAGGTCTCCCCTGCGGACGCTTGTGAGGCCTGGGGCCGTGAGGACGGTGCTGCTTGGGACGACCGTGGCCGTGACCGTGAGGACGCTTCTTGCCGTGGCGGTGCTTGCCATGGTGCTTGCCACTACATGCGAAGGTTAGCCATCATTACGACCAGAAAGTTTGAGGCATACGATTTCTTTCCACCGCGGGCTTCGATGTCATGGTCAACATCTCTAGCTATGAGCATGGGGCTTCCATGTGGGTGTGGCGTAGCATGATGGTGACGGTTATGGTCCACGGGGAAGCGTCGCTGATCCCATGGTCCAGGGAGTCTTGGTAACGCCGTCCGATGTCAGTAACGAACAGTTGAGTTCATCAGAGTTCTTACATCATTGGCTCTCTTGCGTCGAGTTCTGCTTCGTCTGCATCTCTTGTGAATCTTGGGTGGGTAAACATAACTGGACCGTGGTGGATGTTAGGCACTTGATCGAGGAGTGAACGGTCGTCGAGTTCAACGAGCTCTTCCCTGGCGATCCGCTGAACCTGGCGGTGGGGAGGGCCGCCTTGCCTATGAGGGCCACCTCTGAACCGCTGACCTGGGTACCCCGGGGCATGGTCTATGTGGTGAGACGGACGGCCACCGTGATGTCTGAAATAAAAGGACGTCAATGGGATTCTAAGTTCCTACACAAAAGTACGTACCCAGCCGCATTGACAGAAACAGTGGCGGTTAGTGCGGCCGCGACCAAGAGAGATTTCGCGTAGACCATATTGGGAAGACGAAGCTTACTACGGTAGAGAGTTACGGAAGGAAGTTGGAGTGGGATGGGACGATCAATGAGTTACTCTACGATGACCAGCACCGTTGAGATGGAGAGCTCAGCTGAGGGATAATCCAGCCTTTGCAAAGACTTATATACCATCTAGCATAGCGCCTAGTGACCCATTTGTACGTTAATGGGTACATCTGGCCATGAAACGGCTCCCCCACTGCATGCTGATCGGAAGGATACTAAACACTTTGAAGAGTTATAATTAGCTGGAGTATATCCATGCGTTAGCACCCACAAATAGTGAAATGAAAGGAGTAGGCGCTGACCTCCAGGGAGTTGGCCTGCCAATGCCAGCATGACCAGTCGCGGCTGGAAGTATGAAACGGTCAACCATCAAAGCTAGTGCGTGGTACTATGAATGGACCATTTTAGTCCTCAATCAAAAGTTAATGATGGTCGCGGCGGCTTTCAGCCGTTCAACCCCAAACCTGCTTCGAGACTCCATGGTGCGAGTCGCAGCAGCGCCAGCGACCGTTGCGATTCAAGTTCAACTCGTCTGCAAAGCGTATGTTATTCCCACGTATCATGTAAGCTCGATCAGAGTCGATCAAATTTTCGATCGTAAACATACCGCTACTAAATCTTGAGTTCAACCCTTCAGCAAAATGCAATCAGATTCATCACCTTCGCCGCCAACGCCAACCTCCATCCTCCTCGCCCGCGGGGTAATCGCCCGGCTTTCGACATGGCCGGCTCTTCAGCTCGCCGTCTCCAATTCGTGGGGTGGCCCACAGTCCACCGAAAAACGCACTTGGGTCGCCTCCGTCATCGTAGACACATTCGAGGATACCTCCATCTCTCAGAAAACCAAGTCAGACTGGACGTACTTCGAGGAGATGTTGATGCAGATCATGGCGGATGAATTCGAGTTGATTATGGAGGATGGAAGCGCAGAGGAGGTCGGCAAAGATTTAGTTAGGCTGTGGGAGAAGGTGTGCGGCGGTGGCGACGCAGGGGATGGGTTGAAGTTGGTGTTGAAGTTAGAAGAAGAGGCGGAGCGCGTGAAAGGGAAAGCTCCTGTTGTGCAGCAAGCCCCTGGAAGCGACGACGACGAAGATTGGGAAGACGACGAGGACGACAGCGAGGATGACTGCGAGTGCGACGGAGAGCATGATCATACACACGACGAGCCCCCGAAACTCATAGATCGCGATGCTGGCAAGCCACAACGGAAATCCTCGCCGGAGATCGACGAGGATGGGTTTACAGTTGTCAAAGGAAAAGGGAAGAGCCACCGATAAACTGGAATAAAACATAAAAAAGAAACCCATTGTCGAAGTACGAAAAGATGTTCATCACCATGCATCGTGATTGCAGGAAGGCTTGGGTATACCCTGCTTCAGAGGCCGTGGTCATGCCGCGTTATGACATCGGTATAGATTACGCCGCGATACAATAAAGCCCCGTGTGCAATCAGTTCATAGATTGTAAAGGCAAACATTTCATTGCTCTCTACTATACTTCATTGGAAGCCAATTTCGACGAAACATCGTGCATCAGCGGTCAATTCTGCGGATAGTGAATCTTCTGTGCTAAGCCGCCTCATCCCGAAGGATTCAATACATCTATTACTACGACAGGTGCAGGTCATGACACAAAGGCAGCATCAAGCCTCAGACTACTTAGTCTAATTCATCCATATCGTAGTCCCGTCTAAGCGTTCGACATAAGCCCAAGAACCGCAACGAACGACAATTTGATATAACACTCACGTTTCAAGTTCGTCGTCGTCAACCTCTCTCAGCCTCAAATCACCCACGGGGCGTGCGTGAAACCAAGGAGATTTCCATCCAGCTGGCGGTCGTGGAGCATCGGGGTTCATCCTACAGGAGTGGCTGGTCAAAGGTCCATCATGTCAATATAAATACGGAAGAACCCACATAATAGGCTCCCTTGCTTCAAGTTCCTCTTCTTGGATGTCTCTGGCCATGCCTACAGGCTTTCCTTTCCACCATGGAGACGCCCAGCCCACAGGAGGTCCATTCCTGAAGCCCTCGCTATCCATGAGTTAGATATTGCTTTAATCATGTTCAGATCGAGGTTGTAAAGAAAGGCAACATACAAGGGCATGCCTCTCGCTTCGATGAACTCCCTAACATTGGGAGGTATATACGCTGGAAGCGGCCCTTTGGTGGTGTCGTACCGACCATTGGAGTAGCGTTCTCTCGCTTCGAGATCCCCGTCATCAGAATTCCTGGCAGCAATTGGGGCTGGTCTGATTACGTGAAACCTGTTCATGCCGCCGTACCGAACATCGGTGTACCGATGCCCGAAGGGCCGAGGGCTGCCGAAAAATGGTGAGAGTGGATGTCAATATCATCGTATGTATACTCAAGATGAGAGAGCAAGACTGGAAATACTAACGGTATCGGCTCTCTCGCTTCGAGTCCGTCGTCGTCGTCTCCGCGTTTTTGGCCTGGCTTTTGGAGGGGTCCTGATCCTACAGGTTTACCGTTCCACCATGGAGACATCCAGCCCACGGGTGGCATATCACTGATACTAATTACGCCGTCAGTTAAGTGATGATTTGAAACAGTCGATGGATCGATTAAACGAGTGATTCGTACCTCATAGGCTCCCGAGCTTCCAGTTCTTGATCACGATATCCATCAGGTTCTCTTCTCTGACCGACTACGCTCGGTGCCGGGCCCCAGCGTTGGACTCTGATAGGACCACCTCTGTAAAGAGTCAGAGATGTCAAACGGCGTATCGAGTGGGGGCGATTGATTAAAGGAGACGTACGGAGGGATGAACATACGTCTGGAAGGTGCTTCATCGCTATCATCGACCTCTCGCACGAGTCCAGCCATAACTTGAGGTCTATAACCACCTCCCCAGTGGAACTGGAAACCGCTGGGAGGAGGACTAGAGGCAGAAAAGAAGTTAGGAGACCAGGTGGACCCAGGCGGGTGATGGCTTACACCGTGGGCTCCCGGGCCTCAATCCTAGCGAAGAATACTGTCAGTGGTTGTCTTTGCAGCCGCAAACATCTAAACATACAAGTTTGCTTCATCACTTTGCGTCACTTGATTGGTTTCTCCGTTAGAAGGGACTGCGACCACTGCGGTACAAGGACGGCGGCCAGAATGACGGCCTTTGATTGAACCATATTTGCAGAGTAGTAATAACTTCGATGACCGGCACCAGAAGTCGAATATGTGAGCTCAGCTGGAGAACAATGCATTATAGTCGCGATGTTATATACTGCGATTCCGCCAGTAACACCGTCGTTGAAACGTTGTAGCCCTTAGCGTGCACGCTGCACAAGTACCGCCATCGCCGGACTTGTTGCATGCCTTGGCATGGGGCGCACCACAGAGGCTGCATGGTCCTCGTCGGGTAGGAGCGGTGAGCATGGAATCTGCACCACACAAAGATGGGATTCAGGGATCGCGTCCCCTCAAACAAAGCTCGAACCCAAACTCCCAAAATTGCGGTTTCGGAGATGCTCAGGGGAAGTTTCAGGTCAGATAGAAACGGTCGTCTGTCTGAAGAGGGGATGGTCAGTATCAGTATGAACATTTCAAAAAAGCTCCCCATCGCTCCTGTTCGAGGATTTGAATGAAATCCGACTCGAGCTCGCTGAGTCTGAGCTCGCGTCGTGGCACGGTCACGTTCTTGCTTTCACAGGGCTGTCGGTGACCAAACATTCATTACGCAGTCTAACACCAGAAATTCGCTGATTCGGACAGCCTTTTAAGTCCCTATTCCAAGCTGTCGGCATCGATACGTCTATTGCGAAAACGAAGTAGCCGATCATGAACCCGACGCTCCGCGGAGTATTGTCATTGGACGGATGCTGGCCTGTCGAACACGGTCTTCGATGAGGTCGGGAGGCCAGCGGGAACATCTTCTGCGGATTAAGAAGGCCACAGAATCCTATCTCGGAGCCTGGCAGACCAATACTACGGGAACTGTGCGCCTAAGAATGTATGGGCCGAGATGAAAGGTATCCCGGCATGTTGTAATATCAATCGGTTAGAGAAGCGCAGCAACGTAGGACGAGAGGAGACTGAGGGGAGAGGGCAGTGAGGACTCAGCGAAGGCTGGGGCTTCCCCCACACATCGCGCCCGATTCCTTCACTTACGCTTTGGAATCAGCGCAGACATAATTCGACGCCCTACCAAGACCGGTCATAATCAGCAGAGCACCTGGGCTTGATTGGACGCGGGTTAGGACGACCATCACAATGTCCTCAACCTGGCTGCCAGAGGCACCTAGAGCAGTTCGTTTTGTGGCATGACTTCCTGATGGCACGATGTACTCATTTTGTGTTGATAGGTACAGCGTGAGGCGTGTACGCCATTATACTATCGAGGCCGTCGAGCCGCGAACGTGAACAGAGAGGTTGCCAACATGGAAGACTGGAGTACTTGACAGTGAAGAAAATTCAATGTAGAAGCTGGATTAGATGACCGTCCGACTCGGGCGACGCCATTAGAGATAGCACGGTCTCGTGTTCTACGGATATCAGAAATGCGAAGTCGCTGTCGAGAAGAGGGGACTCATTCAGCTAAATCATGAAAGCAGAAATTCAATGGTTTCAACTAGCCGTCCTGGCTAACACCCCTCCTGTGGTGACGCATAAATCCGACGACATTGCCAGACCAATGAATGGACTCCGAGCGGGGACTCGGTCACCGGGATTCCCGGCGAGCTGGCTTCCTCGACCCCGAGCTCACCGGTAGCTCAAGAGGGGCCTGCGAGCCAGGGGAGGAAGGAAACGATGGAGCAAATGGAGCGTCTTCAGGGCATCATCTTCGAGCCCGACACGATTGATATGGCCGCTTACAACACGTACCTGGATGGCCTATTCTCGAGCGACGCAGGCAAGGCAGTACTCAAGTCCGTTAGAGACCAAACCAGATCAGCATCTGTTCAACTCCAGCAGCACGAGCGAATCACTGCAGATGAATAGGTCATGGACAATCCGATCGGTACTCTCGTCGGACTTGATGAATCAATGGAAGCGCGCGACGCTGAAGGAGATAGCTGCCAGCAGTATTGTTCTCGAGGAACTGGCGAGCGTGTTGACGATGCGTTTGGATGACTTGGAGTCATGGTCCTGGCCTGCAGACGGTATCCTTTCTCTCGAATACGTTGGCATCAAGTGGTAAATTGCTTCCAAAGACGCCTTTCGGTCCGTTCTATCCTCTTCGGTCTGGAACCCATCTATCCCCTTCATCCCTCGCAAAGACCTTGAATATCGCCGACAATTCATTGATTCCAGCGCAGAAACCTTCCAATGCAGCTTGGAGAGTTCCCGGGTCTTGAATTTTCCCTCACTCAACTTACCAGTAGCACACCACGACGGCAATATGACGACGAAGGGGATGCCGAAGTATCTGGAAGCGAAACACTCAAACTGCACAGATTAAACAACGCCTCATATATCTCATGATGAATGACTGCCTCCTCAATCCTGCTGTACACAAATCACACACTGTTGTTCGGAGCGACTTTGAATGGTTCGGCCCATCACTCCCCCATAACTCCATGTTGGCTACCCTTGAATACTTTGGCGTTTCCCATTCATGGTTGAAGTTCCTCAAATCCTTCCACCGCGCGCCCATCCATTTCCCCCAAGACCCCACTAGCGTCGTTCGTGTGCGTGAACGCGGTACACCTCCATTTCCCAGTTGCTTGGCGAAGTCGTCCTTTTCGGTATCGACTTTGCAGTCAACCAGCGCGCCAACGGACTATACCTTTATCGTCTCCACGACGAAGGCGTCACGCCGCACATCATTGAGTTGCAACGCCATCTCGCCGCCACCAAGCCCATCTTTGGATGGGTCAATGTATTCAACAGATACATGGCTTTCTTCCAGAGGAATTTTGGCGGTCCCCCCCCCGCGGCATGCTCCAGGCAACCACTTATCAACGACATCATCGACACCTTGGCGAGAATCCAAAGAGAACTATTTATTACCCACATTCTACTTCCCTATCAATGAAGGATGCCTCGAGTTCCGCAACCCCATGATCGAGGCTTACGCTCTGCAGACATGGCCGTGTGTTGAGCGGCTCGGAGGACCATGAAAACTCGCTTCCTGCGCAGTTGTTTGTCAAGCATATGGCAGTGAGGGACAGAGAACTGCAAGAAAACTGGGACTTGGGGCGAACATCAAAGACGTTCCAGCAAGGCGCACCAGACGAGTTCTTGCCTTTCAAGGAGTATGTTCAATATAGGGAGACGCTCCTCGAGCATTGGCAGGAACTCTGGTTAGAGATGCTGCGCGTTCCTGATCCCCGCAATATCACCTTGCCTCCCGTCCTTCAAGCATTGCAGACAACTCATAGCAACGACTACTACACTCACTACGCCCTTGCCTGTACGGCGAAGAGTTGGTGCAGATGTTCGGAAGCCTGGAGCTTGTCGACGCAAACTTGATTCCCGTTGGAATATTTAAGATGTCGAAGTTGAGGTGGGATCAGTAGACTTGCAAGCCTATCTAATCTATCATGTACACTAGGTCACTCCCATGTATTCAAGCAGCAACTGCAATATCCCTACAGCGGTAAAATGGGTTTCAAGAACACCTAACTTCTTAAGCACTCGCCCGATGCTCCCCTATCAAGCCGCCAACACGCCTGGCGAGTTTTCTCCTTAACTAAGTATACTACTGTTCGCCTTCAAACAGCCGCGGATAAACACCGATGTTCGAAGGGCTTCAGTAACAAAACGGCGTCGCCGCCATGATCCCGAAATACTGCAGGAACACAGCAAGGTTATCGAAATAAGGAACGACCAGAGTTAGAGAAATTTACCCAAACGTGCGCTGGATTGATGCCCATGGTAGGTATCGACGCGGAGCAGGTGGGATCCTCGCCGTCAGCGGAGCACTGCGTTGTTGATTCCGCTGAAGGGGGATCGGTGTGTTGCCAGTATTCTATGCCGTGATGGCGATAGCCTAGCTCCTTAGGAATCATCGTGGGTACTCTGAGTATGATTATTGTTAGGGATGTTGTGATGGTTGAGAATAGGCGGTCGGAGACGTACCCGTCGCTGGTATGTACCACTTTTTGCGTCACCAGGAAGTTAGGGTGTGATTAGGAGGGTGTGATTAGGAGTTAAGCAGGTAGCGGGTGAGGGGATATGTACCTCGATGCATGCAACTGCCAAAGCTCTTGTTGATAAATTCAGCCCAGGCTTGATTCTTCCCGGACGTGCGTTTGAGTTGTGATTTTGTTTGTGCTGAGGAAAGGCAAACGTACCCCAGTCCTCGGTGCTCCATATGAAAACGCGTTCAGTGGTCTAACATGTTTGTTGTTAGTATTTGTGAATCATAAAAATACGGTTTCTAGACGTACGCGTCGGGGAACTTCGCCTTCAGCGTGACAGCAGCAAGGTCCGAGAGTGCACCGCCGAGGGAGTGCCCGGTCACGGTGATAGAAAAGTCGGGGTACGATCCGAGTTCGTGTTTTATGATTTCAATCACTTCGTAGGCTACTGAATTCCAGCTAATGAATTTAGGTGTGAAATTCGGTGCTAAATTAACAATTTGACGCGTACGAACCAAGTGAGGAATCCGCTGTGTACGCGAATGTCATCTAGATGCACAAGGTATGATCAGCGAAATGAAGACCGGTGCGCGGAGAGCTCGAATGCACCAGGCGTAGTCTTGATGCCCGGCGAGATAAAGGGTACAAGGACGAGCTGTCCGTCCATCAAGAAATCTGTTAGAGACAAACTACCCCATGTAATCGACGCGCCACAGGTCAGCACGCCCACAGTGCTATGAAACACGCTTCGGCTTTGCATACCTTCCTCGCAAAGCTACGACCAGTTCTTTCTTCTCGTTATCTCTAGCGACGTAGCCTTGAACATCGGTCACTGGGTTCGTAAACTGGTTTTATCGGTGACCAGGGTGAATCACGCGCGAACTGATCACCCTCACTGGAAGGACTAGATGTCGGCCGTTTGGACGCGGGCAGACTGGGACGTAGGCACACGACGCGTATTTGAAGTAGTGCACGAGGTTGTCATAAAGAACTGGCACTGCGATGAGAATGGGTGGTATTCGAGCGCTGGTATACGTACCTGGGGATATCGACGTTCGCTGTGTTAGCTGTTCCTCGTCTTCGCGGGGGAGAGCCATTGTCGTGGTAATCAGAAGTTAGAAAAATGAGAAGGTGGTGGTCAAAGTTTAAAGTGCATTCTCTAAATCTCTACGCCGTCCTTATTTGATTCTTTGGCACGAACGGCCGGAACACTGACAGAGTGTTCATTTGGTGCTGAAGCGAACAAGATCCGTTGTGACTGTGAGAATAGTCTTCTTACCGTGGGTGTATCCTGAAATCAGGCTCAGCCTTCCTAAAAAAGGTATGCAGGAGATGGAGACGAGAGATGCATTCTGCAGCGACTGCATATGTCCGGAATAACCTTCGATCTAATTCAAGGGCTCAAAAACTTGATGACCTTGCCATCTCCACTCTTGCTAGCGACATTGCCAATATATGCCCACTAGAACGAGCGCTCGGTCAACCTTCTCTCATAACTGGTGCATAGTCGGGGAAGCTTACATTAAGGAATCCACCGTCTCCCTGGCGAATGAACTCCCCAGATTTCAGGTTATAAATCTCAAATCTATAGGTCACAGACGTGGTCAGAAATACTGTCCTTTGGGTTGCGTCTTGAACGAAGGAGACTGACCCGACAGTGCCACCGAGTTTGATATCAAACTCCTGGTGTCTGTGATCCCACTCTTTCCCTTTCTCTCCATCGAACTTGGTCTCGTGCTTCGTATGGCAGACAACCCAATTGAATCCAGGGTACTGCTGTTGCATCTCCGAAACAAGGTTGTATGTAAACTTTCCACGGGCCTAGAGTCCAAGTCTCAGACCCGAGTGCTGTAATGGGGATGCGGGAAGGAAACGTACGTCCTTGTCTTCGTCCAGTGTGCGCTGTACTTTGCGTATTATAGCCTTGATTCCGTTGACGGCGACTCTTGCCAGAGCATTGCGGCGCCCTTCGAGTACAACCAAGTGGCTCTCGTCATCAGTTCGAGGATGTACTAGTTCGGCGGGAGTAAACGCATCAACGCCGTCCTCTGCGTGATGCCGCCGAACGACCGCGACGGAGATAGTTGAAGTCGCATATGATAGAAGAATGATGGTGAGCGCGACGAGGGATGGGATTCGTGCCAGCATCGTGAGGTCGTGACGGGTCGGAATGTGACGTGAACAGGAAGATATGAGAGGAAGGGAATCCAGTAGACACCAGGTCACCGAAGTCGAGGGGATTGGTGAACGTGAACCAGCACGATGAGGAATCGAGAGACGCGTTAACTGTGTATTTATACATATGTCCAAGTGACCGACTGCGGGGAACTGTGATATATGAACAGCAATATATCCGACGAAAGGGATTGACCGAGTAGCCCTCTGAAAAGTAACGGACGTTTCGCTATAAGTTGACTGCGGGAGGGGGAGGGTTAGATGTCGATGAAACGGAACCGTCGATCCCGACATTGCACAGTTGTGGCGGAAAACATGTGCATCATCCCTCGTCGCGAAGGTTCGAAGCCCCTGTGGTGAATAACAACAGACGAGAGCGGAATGCTATGGTGTTCTTTCCGCACATGCCTTTCAAAGCAACATTTAGCCAAAATGTCGGGGGAAACCCGGGATCTGGCTTTCTCGAGCACCATCGACGCAATTTTCTGCGGGAGCTACGGGGTAAAATGAGTTGAACGATAATTCACCGAGTAGGGAAGCTGATTATGGATGAATTAATACTATACAAACACTGAGTCAATGTAAGCGCAAGCCAAAGTTTGAAGGTAGAAAGTAGCGAAGTTGACTCTTCCGTCTGGTAGGTGATCTAAACAAGCCACAGCGCAATATTCACCGCCCAAGCACCGTCCCGCTATCTTTGACTAGCTGATCCTTTGCAAGCACCAGGGACTTGCTGCGTTCATCTAAAACAGTATTATGCTCGTCAATCTTTTGGTTCATCGTTGCGAAAAGCTTCATCTTCGTGCTATCGAGAATAGATAAGTAAGGAGGGAAGGGAACTAGGAAATAGGACAAACGTCATGTGGTCTTTGACCTAAGTGCGTTGCAAGATAGAAGGGTGAGTCATTGTCGAATAGACTTGAAATAGAATGAATAGGCATACAAAGTCAAGAACCTGCCCAAACCTATGCGTGAGTTCTATGAAATGATGATGTTCTGGTAAGGGTGTCGTGAGTTCCGTAATACTCATAACCATACCGTCAGCCCCCGCAGTCCATTCATCCATGGAGCACGTTTTCCACTTCTCTCTTGCTTCTTCGTACTTCTCTAAGTGACTTTCGATGTACTGATCAACATCGAGTCCGAGGAGTTTGTCCAGGGTGTTCATCCTGGGGAGGGGTGCGTTTCCACTTTGCGCTGGTGTCGATGCCACGGGGTGGTACTGTTCGTGGAGATCATCGCGCTCAAGTGATTCTCTCTCATGCGTATATGCTTGCTATCAGTAGCCAAGCCTATTCAGAGCAAAAATAGACAGAAGTAGAAGGAAGTTTTACCTCTGGTCTAAGATGTTTGGCCCGGCCATGCGAAACCCCTTCACGCACGGAATCTTCAAAATCAGCTCTAGAACGCTTGGTAGTGGGTTTCTGTTTCCTCATTGAACCTTTTCTCGAATCCGGAAGTCGTGCAGAATCTTGGAGTCCGTCTTCTTCAAGTAGGACGCGCTGGGGCCCACTATAGTCACCAAAGGGGAGGCTGAGATTGAATGCGCTATGGTCATTCGTAGATTCAGAAAGTTCGTCGATAAGCATATCTCCGCCGCGTGGGTTTGGTATATCCAGAGAGGAAGTAGGGGAGGTAAAGCTGGCCTCGGCAGAAAATTGCGTAGATGTATGCGCGGCATCTTGAGATATAGCCTTCCCGGAATTGGCCTGAAAGCTAGCGGGAATAGCGTCCGTTGCAGCAGGCGGTAAAACAGGCATCCTGAAGCTAGATTCCGAGAACGAGGTATTTACACCGAAGGTCCCATTCGGCGAAGATGTAGCCAGGAGCTGCGAGACATCCCTGAGAGGATGTGGGGTAGGAGAAGCGATATTTATCTGCTGTTTTAAAGAGCCCCGAGCCTTGAAACCGGTCGGATTTTGGCCGCGTTCGTTAATCTGTGGACTACCCATATCTTGATTCTGCGCGCCTTGGGCCGATCCGTTGGCAGAGGAGAGACCGAGACGTGGCTTTCTGAGACTAGAAAGATTCAGTTGCTTTGGCTCCGGGTTATGATGCTTCGTTTGCGGATTCGGTATGCTACTGCCGGTGGACGAGCCCGTAGCCGAGGACTTTTGATTCAAAGGATTCGTAGGGTCAGGCTGGAATTGCTTCGATGGGGCTGAGTTATTCTCGTCGTTGTTGACATGTGTTGCCCGGGATGCGGGCCTAGGGAAGAATTGCTGTCGCGCACTCATGATGATCGCAAGCAAGGTGGTGGTAAGAAACAAAGATTCAGGGTCGTGACCGATAGAATCCTATTCTTTCTTACCGTGGGAAAGCTCAACTATGAACCCAAATTCGGTACGACACGCAACTTAAAACTCAACTTGGGCTTGAAGGCCGATGCTAGGAGCACGGCATGTACGAGACCGTTGAAGACTGGTGCATACTAAACACTTGGGCCACATGTATCTGGGTCATGTTCAGAATCCCCAATTGCAACTATCTGAACTTTGGTGCTTCATACCTTGTTTTGTTGCATCTTGCACTGCATAAGGGATGTTGGCAACTATTGTAGGCCATTCCCACACTAATTACTCTCTCTCAAGCTGTTCTAAGTGCTGCTTTGCAGGTTGGGCCTCATCGCCCAACCTACGGTTGGCCTCATTCGGCCCCTGGTTAGTTTTGGGTGCCCTCTTTATGCCCTATCAGGGGGTATCAAGGGGGCTCACATGACCACTTACTTGCAGCGAAGTCTGGCGCTCACTCCAGCCAATCAGAAGAGAAAGAGCTTTTTTGGAGCAAATAAAGACAAACATCCAGACAGCCAATAGCGGGCTGAGAAATCCTGGCCGAACCAATGAGATCGCTGTTCCTAGCTCCTTGTTGGACCCTGTCCCAAAGTTTCAGAGCACTTCATACTAACGAGCCTCCATTCCATTACGGTCTCGTAACCATGCGTCTAGCTCTCAGGTGAGAGATCCAATGACTTTGACCTGAATCGCCTCTACAGCTGAACGAAAACTGTAGGTAGAGCTCTGAAAGTACCGTCGTCCAATACCCTGAACTCGGGTCCATTCGAAGCTTGAAATCCCCGGGCGTGGGCCTCAGCCTTCTCGTCGTATCAACATCGAATCGACGCGTCTTGTGGTAGTGCCAGAGTGCAGCCATGCAGCTCTGCCTTGTATAGACATATTGGAGAAGCGCACCACGGAGAGTAAGCGGTATGAAGAATACAAAGCTGGCGCGCGGCAGTGCCCATGACACGCCCAAGAGTCCACATCGCAGTGTCCTCTTCGCCGTTTGGAAGGGCTACCCGCGGGCTACCCAGTCCTATGAATCACTAGATTCCACGCACGTCAGTCCCATGTGTAACGATTCAGCCAAGCTAGTGCATCTCGCCACCCTTCGTCCGTAACACCCAGATTCTATCTTCGCTATCGCAATCGGCTCCATACCATTGGCCAAGAAAGGTTCATACAACACACGATCAACAGCTGGTGAGTCAAGAGATGCATTACTCCACCCAACCAATCATCCATCCGTACTTGCCTTGCAGTGACACCGAACTTTAGACAATGAGCACCAAGATGGGGTTCACGATAGAAGCTAGTCATTAAACTTTCTCTCGACCTCGAACGTATCATCCTATGCGTTTCGTTCAAAGAGTCTTTCATTGCTTGATGTGACTGTTGCAGCGCAGGATGTGTTTACCCGTTTCCCAAGCGCAAACCTGCTAACGGCACCCATCTCATGATCGTTCCACTAACGATACGGTACATATTTATAAGTCAGTTTTCATTGACAATTCGTCCAAGGCCTGCAGTATTTAAGTGACCCCAACCCGGGAGGACCTACATTCACTAAAGCTCTGTGAAATGACCCTCGTACTTGCTTTTACTGAGGCCCTGGGCTTGCTAGCGACATACCTGCTCTTTACAACGATATACAACAAACTCAGTCGCAAACAGCCGTTCCCGTTCCCCCTTCCTCCTAGCCCTCCTGCTGATCCCCTCATCGGCCACCTGAGGAAAATACCGCTGGTACATGCGGAGCACACCTTTGTCGAATGGGCAAAGAAATACGGTAAGTGCCCTTCATACTCCATGACTTCCCCTTATAAAATATGGATATAGGTGAAGTGACTTACCTGAACATCTTGGCCCGGCATGTGGTAGTTCTGAATAGTAGAGAGGCGGCGTACGAACTTCTCGAGAAGCGAGGCGCCTTGCACAGCGATAGGCCTGATATGATTGTCTGGGACATGTAATTCTTTTGCTTGCGCTTTATCCTGCCATTGTCTCATCCACGTTTCCTAGAATGGGATGGGGAAACGCACTGACCTTCCTCCATTATGGCGACCGTTTCAGGAGGCAAAGAAAGCTGATGAACTCGCACTTGTCGGCGAAAGCCTGCACCCAGTATAAGCCAATGCAGTTGGAGAATGCACACCTTCTCGTAGGCCACCTTATGGAGGCTAAGGGCGAGTATGCACATGCGCTAACCCAGTACGTTTCTGATCGCGTTGGCTGCAGTCAATTAAAACCATCGGCTTTCTAGCTTTTCTACTGCTATCATCATGCGGATAACTTATGGTCACCAGATTTCGTCTGATGGCGATGAATATGTCGTGTTAGCAGCTAATGCCCAAGCGTCGGGGGAGGAAAGTGGAGTGCCAGGCGGGACACCCATCGATTATTTCCCTATACGTACGTCCGATACAAGTTTGTTATGGCGTCGGTGCTAACCAGTATTTCCCAGTTCAATATCTTCCCTCGTGGTTCCCCGGCACGCACTACGCTTACGTAGCCCGCAAATGGCAGAACCATGTCCAAAGATTCAGGAACATTCCTTTCGAATATGTGGTCACACAAATGGTACAGGGTAGAGTACTCCATAGTAAGCCATGGTACTTACTCGCCATTTAGGCGGAGGGAACATCAAAACCCTCATTCCTCAGTAACATGCTTGGGCGATTCAATGGGCGTACGTTATCCGACGAAGAGCGAGAAGACTTGAAGGATGCTGCCGCCGTTATGTACAGTGCTGGAGCAGGAACTGTCAGTACCTTCCCCGTTTGGTGACTTACTGCTTCATTGAAGCAAACAGACTTCCGCAATTCTTGGCCTATTTTTCATGGCCATGCTGGAGAATCCAGAGTGCCAGAAGTTGGCGCAAGACGAGATCGATCGGGTAGTTGGGAAGGACAGACTTCCGACATTCGAAGATCGTGCCTCATTGGTATATGTTGAGTGCCTAGTGCAGGAGCTATTTCGGTAGGCTATCGATTTACTTTGGAGCGTAAACTTCTGACATCTGTTCAGATGGAACCCCATTATCCCTCTAGGTATGTCACGAAGTGCAGTCATAGACGGCCGCTACGATTCATGAGAATGCAAGGCTTGATGCACCGCTCAATCGAGGACGATGTTTATAAGGGTATGTTCATACCAAAAGGCTCGCTCATCTATCCGAACGTACTGTAAGCACTCATCGTTCTCTCATTGCCCTCTTGCTTATACGTTTCAAAAGGGCGATGTCACTCGATGAAAACTATTCCGACCCTACTGCTTTCAACCCGTCCAGATTCATGCCCAAGTTAGATGGCGGGGGCGGCGAGCCGCCTTTTCCCTCTGCCTTTGGTTTCGGAAGAAGGTATTGTACAGCTTTCGAGGCCTGCTCTTACTAATCTCGTGCTGCCTCCAAGGATATGTCCTGGGAGACACTTAGCGTATGCCAGTGTTTGGATCGCTGTGGCTACCATTCTATCGACGCTCAACATCACTCGCAAGAAGGACAAGGAAGGGAATGATATCCCCTTCCATCTCGAGTTCGCATCGGGTATAACCAAGTAGGTTCGCTGTTCCGACGTCCCCTATATGTCCATTCAGCAGCGATTCCACAGCCATCCGAAACCTGTTCCGTGCAACATTTTGCCCCGCTCCGAGACCGTGGCGCACTTGGTGCAAACTGCTATTCGCAGCATTCAGACGAACTGAGGTGTCTTCGGCGATTTGGGGCCGGGGCCAAGATAAGACGTGCTACGTTTAAGCATCATTTCCCCGGTCCTAAGTATTATGCAACCCCAAGTCTGACCACCAAACCTGTATTGACGCGCCTTGAATTAAAGCTGTAGAAGAAATGACTTGTTGGCTCATCAACCAACGTCAAGAACATAGCTGCGGAGCGTACATACCAAGCACCACATCCAGTAACGTTTGCGATCCTTGGTCCGGTGCCAGCTTCCTGATTTACTGCCGGAGAAGCGAGATTGCTCGTCCACGGAGATCGTCACGATCATTTTCTCAGGCCCCATTTCGGAGAGCTCGACTTGCTCAAACACTGAGTGACGGGTTTCGGCACAAGGGCGACATGGTCTGCATGTTGTGATCGCCACCTTAACCCATGCAGAACGGTCTGAATGAGTAGGCACCCCGGCCTTTGGTGGCGTTGGCAGGAATTCAGCCACCAATACAGTTAACATTCCATTTCGTTAGCTCCAGGAACTATCATGGCTTTCGTATTCGCCAACCCACAATCGTAGGCGAGTTGTCGTCGAATTTTCTAGGTTGAAACTAACTACCACTTTTTGGCAGTTGCATGAACCTGAATCATATGTGTTCCCTGTTTCCATTCACTAATCTGGGTGATTCCATTCGATCGGCCCCCCGTCCCATCTGATGACCAGGATACCTTGGGCGCAAAGGCAGATGATCGGATTGGCATGATACGTGGAACAGCATATCCGTCAGCATCTCCACCACCCTCGTGGACTGTGTGGGATAGTTAGTCATTGATACCAACTCGCGGGAGCTTAACTAGCCCGTCGAAAGGATTCGCTTTCACTAAGGTGCCGTGACATGTCCTTCACCACTTTCGTTCTTCGGGCCTTTGGCTGGGCGACGACGTACTTCCTCTTCTCTATGATATACAAGAGATCCAGTCGAAAGTGGCCGTTTCCATTACCGCCTGGTCCACCTGCTGACCCTATCATCGGCCACTTGAGAAAAGTACCGCCTGCTCATGCAGAAGTCACCTACCTTGAATGGGCGAAGAAGTATGGTAAGCGCAACTCGTTCCTAGCTATACACTTGATTAATCGTGATGGACTAGGCGAAGTTATATATCTCAACCTCTTGGGGCGACACATAATTGTTTTGAATAGCAAAGAGGCGGCGTACGATCTTCTTGATAAGAGGAGTGCCCTGTATAGTGATCGACCAGATATGATTGTTTGGGGCCTGTAGGTTCCTCCGCTCGCAGGTTCCCGGCTGATTTATTTCATGCTCACAGATTAGGATGGAGTACTACGTTGACCTTCCTCCCTTACGGCGATCATTTCAGGAGGCATAGGAAACTAGTGCACTCTCACTTGATGTCGGGAGCTTGCAAACAGTACCAGCCAATGCAATTGGAGAACGCACACCTCTTGGCAGGGGGGCTTTTGGAGAGTAACAGTGAGTACGAACATGCACTGACCCGGTACGCTTCGGATTTCGACACCATCATCTGTCCATATCTGAGCCTTTTCCAGCTTTTCCACGTCGATAATCATGCGGGTGACGTACGGTCATCAAATTCTGTCGGACGATGACGAGTATCTTGCGCTAGCGAATACGATTCAAGAATCTGCAAGTGAAGTAGGAGTACCAGGAGGAACGCCTGTAGACCTTTTCCCTATACGTATGTGTATGCCTTCGACCTAATGGGATCTCGGTGCCTAACAAATTGCCCTCCAGTACAATATCTCCCCTCATGGTTTCCTGGCACACATTATGCGACCATGGCTCGAAAGTGGCGACCTGAGACGGAGAAAGTCCATACTGTTCCGTTCAATTCTGTCCTACATCAAATGGTGTGGCATGCGTGCGTTGCAGCAACTTTGCACTGAAGTATTCTTTCCAGGCGGAGGGGACGGCAAAGCCTTCGTTCCTGAGCAGCATGCTTGAAAAGTTTAATGGCCGTGCACTATCCCAGCAAGAGCGTCAAGACCTGAGGGACGTTACTGCTATAATGTACGGCGCAGGTGCCGAAACTGTCCGTCTCTCCATTTTGTTTGATGTTCGCGAGCATACTCAACTTCGCGCGAATAGACCACTTCTGTCCTCGGAATATTTTTCATGGCCATGGTGGTGAACCCTGAGTGCCAAAGGCTAGCTCAAGAGGAGATTGATCGAGTAGTTGGAAATGAGAGACTTCCAACATTCGAAGATCGCGCCTCCTTGCCATACATCGAGTGCGTAGTCCGGGAGATATTACGGTAGGTATTATCAATCAAAGTCTTCAACATGGTTCCTGACGGGTTTTAGGTGGAACCCTATTTTCCCTTTAGGTGAGTGATGAGACAAGAAATGTGAACGTCACTGCCATCTGTAAGGAACGCAGGCATAGTACATCGCTCCGTACAGGACGATATTTATAAAGGCATGTTCATACCAAAAGGCTCGCTTGTATTCCCCAACGTATTGTGCGATCTTGGGCTTCCCTGCTCTCAATATCTGGACTGATGTATTCAAAGGGCCATGTCACTTGACGAAGACTATGTGGACCCTACGACTTTCAATCCATCACGATTCATGCCGAAGTCAGACGGTGGCGGGGGCGAGTCACCCTTCACATTCGCTTTTGGCTTCGGAAGAAGGTACCGAACCCAACACAATTGTTATATACTCGTCTGATTTGATATAGAATATGCCCTGGGAGGCACCTAGCATATGCCAGCCTCTGGATCGCCATCGCCACCATTTTCTCGACACTCCACATCTCTCGCAAGAAGGACAAGGACGGGCACGACGTTGAATTACAACTTGAATTTGGGTCAAACATTACGAAGTACGTTTGCTAGTCTCTGCGTTGCCTGCCTGCCTACTCATCTGTAACTCTCATAGCCATCCGAAGCCACTTCCATGTGACATATCGCCTCGATCAGAGACTGCAATGCAGCTGGTGAAAGATGCTATTAGAAATATCCAGGCGAGCTGAACTGTCAGAAGCTCTGATGAAATGTGGCTTCGTTGGGTCATGTTTAAGCAACATTTTCCCCGTCCTGTTATGCAGCTTCGAGGATAACTACTATGCCTGTACTGACATACCTTGAATTCAAAAAAGGAATCTCATGAACCCACATCAACGACAAGAACCACTCCTGCGAAGCATACCTATCAAGTACCATATCCGGTATTGTTTGCATTTTATGTTCTAACGGCAGCTTCCTGGATTGCTACTTGAGAAGCGTGGTCGAGCTCGCTCGGAACGACGGCAGGCAAAACAGTATTCTCAGGGCCCTTTTCGGTGAGCTCGACTTCAAGCTTGCTCAGGCACTTCGAGTGATGGCTCTCGGTTACCTTCGGTCAACAAAGGCGACATGTTCCCCATGTTATTATCGCCCACCTCACCTGGTGTTTGGGCGGCCCCGTTTGGTGTTGAGACCCCAATCCAACCAACATTCTATCCAATCAGCTCCAGGAACTATCACAGAAGGCTGTTGTATTCAGTAATCCACGACAGTAAGTGAGGGTCGCCGAATATTCTAAGTTGGGACTTACCTCCTTTTATGCAGTTGCATGGCCTTGAGGGCCTTCGATTCACTCGGCCTTTCACTCACATGGTTGATTTCGTTCCATCGGCATGCCGGTTCCAGCGAGCTCCAGCTGATGGCATTGCGAATTTACGATGTCAAGAAGACGATGGGCACGAAGGTAGATACTGGGATTTCTAATGTTGACTCAAGACGAGATCAACTGACACGATACATGGAGCGGTATATCTCCATCAACTTCTCAACTGAAATCTTCCCGTCCTCGCGGACTCTGTGGGATAATGACAGGTTAATATAGGTTCGCGGAAGAAAGGTTCAACTTAAGGCAGTAACTCGTCGGCGAAAGCAATTGCTTTCACCAAATTGTTGTGACACATGGCCCTCGCTACTCTTGTTCTCCGGGCTTTGGGCTTAGTGACGATGTGCCTCCGGTTCTCGACGATATACGAGAGGGCTAGTCGAAGACGGCCGTTTCCACTACCGTCTGGCCCGCCGCAGAACTCGCTGACACATAGTTGTTCTAAGTAGTAAGGAGGCCGAGGCGGCATATAATCTTCATGAGAAGCGGAGCGCATTGTAAAGTGTTCGGCCTGCCATGATTATCTGGACCCTGCAATATTGCCTTCACTTCTCTCCCTGGTCCTCGTCTGATTCATCACGATTCCATGTTAATAGGTTAGGATGGAATACCATGTTGACCTTCCTCCCGTACGGTGATCATTTCAGGAGGCACGGGAAACTAGTACACTCTCACCTGTGACGGGAGCTTCCAAACAGTATCAGCCGATGCAGTTGGAGAACGGGCGCCTCCTGGTAGGGGTCCCTTTGGAAAGCAATGGCGAGTACGAACATGCATTGACTCGTCGAGACCACGACCACCTGCCATATTTACTAAGCCTTTTGTAGCTTTTCTGCCTCAATCATCATATGAGTGACTTACGGCCATCAAATCCTGTCAGACGACGATGAGTACGTCAAGCTAGTGAACATAAGCCAGGAGTCTATAAGTGGAGTAGGAGTGCCAGGAGGGACAGCTGTAGATCTTTTCCCTATACGTATGGAAATGCTTTCCTCTTGACGGGATATCGGAGTCTGACGAATTATTCCCCACTGACAGTACAATATCTCCCCCCGTGGTTTCCATCATATGAACATGGCCCGAAAGCGGCCACCGAGGCGGAGAAAATCCTGTGTTCCGTTTGAGTCTGTGCTAGACAAAATGGTACAACAAGCGTACCTAGCAAAAAGCGTTGCATTCTCGTGTCCTGAATCGTTCTTAGGCGGAGGGGACGGGGAGACCTTCATTTCTCAGCAACATGTTTAGAAGATTTAACGGCCGTGATTTATCACAGCAAGAGCATCAAGATTTGTGGGACGTTGCCACCGTAATGTATAGTGCAGTTCGTGCTTCACCTACTGTCCCGGAAGACACCTACCATATGACAGCCTCTGGATCGACATCGCCACCATTTTCTCGACGCTTCACTGGTGGAAGATGCAATTCGAAGAGCTGAAATGTAGGAGAAGGCAATAGGTAATAAATATATGCTAGGTCATACGCTTTTGCTAAGTCATGTATCGATGCCCGTGTGAACCCTCTTGAAACCCGTGCGAACCCTTATCCCACAGAAAAACTTCGTGGTCAACATGCCCAGCGACGGTGAACGATGGAAGTACCCGTTGCCTCAAATGCACTCAACAAATCGATGCAAAGTCTATGGTCAAATCACCGACGTGCCAAGTTAAATCTCAATTCGCCAGCTCAATCGGGCTCAGCAACTCCAACTCCTGTTGAGACCCCTGCTAGTGAAGAGGCGGTGACCCAAGCGCAGGAAGTCAGCGTCACACCGTCAACCGTAGAGCCTCCAGTATCACCTCCCCCTGCATCCTCGGTGAAGCGGAAAATACGATCTTCGCGGACAGCGGTGGAAAGCAACAAACGCAGCAAAACCGCGACTTCTGACCCAAAGGATCGCAGCCCACCTCTCGCAAGACTCTCAGACCTGGGGGGCGTCGAGTCATGTATAGAGAAAATGCTGGAGCTCGTAGCGATGCCATTGTGTCACCCAGAAGTGTATCTACATACGGGCGTTCAGCCTCCGAGAGGTGTTTTGCTTCACGGACCACCGGGATGTGGAAAAACCTTACTTGCGCATGCCATGGCTGGGGTTCGTACTCCCCGGGATAGCTATGATTTCCTTGTCTCACAACTTCATGTAGGAGCTTGGTATCCCCTTTATAAATATATCTGCACCGTCGATCGTATCTGGAATGTCGGGAGAGTCTGAAAAGGCTTTAAGAGATACATTTGAGGAAGCTAAGGCAAGTCCTGCAGTATCCGCTCTTCAGGATATACTGAGATATCCGAAAGCGCGTAGCCCCTTGTCTGCTTTTCATTGACGAAATTGATGCCATAACTCCAAAACGCGAAAGTGCTCAACGCGAAATGGAGCGACGGATAGTCGCACAGTTTCTAACTTGCATGGACGGTACGCAGCTATTCTGCCTCATCGTCACCGCTGTCCCAGTAGTCATGATCTTACTTAGATATGTCTTGGGACAAAACCGAGAACAAGCCCGTCATCGTCATGGGGGCGACGAATAGACCCGATTCATTGGATCCGGCCCTCCGTCGCGCGGGGCGATTCGATCATGAGATAAGTATGGGTGTCCCAGATGAAGAAGCTCGAGAGAAGTGGGTGTTTTGCCATGCCGTATCAAGGAATTGGGAATTAACTTTGCCCGACAGGATTCTACGAGTTCTTTGCGCTAGGCTCCGCATGGAGGGTTCCTTCGACTTCAAAAGCCTAGCAAAAGCGACGCCTGGTTATGTTGGCGCTGATCTCTCAGCTCTTACTGGCGCCGCAGGTATCATCGCTGTCAAGCGAATATTCAAAGAATTGTCCGAAGGTACTCTAGTACTACCACCCCCGGAGGATGGCGATATCTCAATGGCCGTTGATTCGCTGAACCCGCCCGATTCATCTCCAGTCCCTGCCCCGTTTGCTTCTCTACTGTCCATGCTCCCCGGTACTTCACTGGCGCATTTCCTCACAACTCACCCATCGCCATTGACAGATGCCCAGTTGCTCCCTCTGACCATCACTTCCTCTGATTTCCAGCACGCCCTCACCGAAATCCAGCCCTCTTCGAAACGCGAAGGATTTGCGACGGTCCCTGATGTCACATGGGATGATATTGGTGCACTTCACAGTATTAGAGAAGAGCTTCACATGGCTATCGTGCAGCCTATCAAACGGCCGGAGGTCTTCAGGATGGTTGGCATCACTACTCCTTGTGGGGTACTACTGTGGGGCCCGCCTGGTTGTGGCAAGACGCTCTTAGCAAAAGCCGTGGCTAATGAAAGTCGCGCCAACTTTATCAGTGTCAAAGGCCCGGAACTACTGAACAAAGTAAGTCTCGAACATGAGCAAGATCTGCATTCCATTGACCCCCAAAACAGTACGTTGGAGAAAGTGAGCGAGCAGTGAGACAAGTTTTCTCTCGTGCGAGGGCGTCGTCGCCATGCGTGATATTCTTCGACGAATTGGATGCACTAGTCCCGCGTCGTGACGATAGTCTTGTGAGCCCGTCCCCCTCTCCTTTCAGCCGCCGCGCCTGAAGTCTTCCTTAGTCCGAGTCTTCGGCCCGCGTAGTGAACACACTTCTCACTGAACTAGACGGCCTCGATGCCCGAAAGAGCGTATATGTCATCGCCGCAACGAATCGCCCGGACATGATTGATCCTGCAATGGTTCGACCTGGCCGTCTTGACAAGTTGCTCTACGTCGACCTGCCCACCGATGCTGAACGGACCGAAATTATTCGTACCCTTCTAAGGACGGTGCCGTTAGGCATTGTTGGTCAGGCGCGGACGGACCAGGCGAAGCAGCAAACGATGGACGAGGTCGAGTCGTTAGCGAGAGAGCGTTGCGACGGATATAGCGGTGCAGATTTAGCCTCGTTAGTACGAGAAGCTGGTGTGAGCGCGTTGAAGCGCACACTTGGATCTTTGGATAGGATGGATGATGAAGGACACGGAGCCTCTGCTGGAGGGATCATCGTTGGTACCGACGACTTCTCACAAGCTCTAGGTAAAATAGGACCCAGCGTGAGCATCGACCAAAGGAAGAGATATATCGCGTTGAAGAACAAGTTCGCGGGTCTGCCTGTTCGGTCCAGTCGGTCTACCGGTGATTTAGGTGTCGCCAGCTAAAAGTATACTACTTGTCATCTTAGGCGTAATCTAACGTTATTGACCGTAGAGATAGTTAAGTCCAGTGGATATCAGCGTCAATGTGAGCCTTGTGGCAATGAATGAAGTAACCATCATAGCATTCTCTGCACCGCGGTGCTCTGAGTTGATCTATTTTTTCGTCCATATTTATCTTGTGGTGAGTTCTCATCTAGGGGTGCTAGGAGTAATGGAAGAACACGATCACGTGCCCAGGCGCGACAATTTAGCCTTGCATTGCACTTTGCAAAGCTTAAGGTGACCACCGTTCACTGTCGGTCCTCGGAGTTCACGAATTACATTCACAACTCTAGACCGCGCACTCAGATGAGGGTTCCCAATGTGTGTTATAGCCCCTCTCAGCCATCGTCGCAGACCGACCAATGCACGAACACCTTTCATCAACAGTGCACTGCGGCGACAGCGGATATGCCTCTCGCAACCTCACTCCCAGACCACTCCGTGGCGTCGTTCTGAGCGCTACGGGCCTTAGCACTACTGATAAGGTACGAGATATGACTTCGACTTTGTGGAGTCTCGTTACGAGTTTGGTCGACTGACCCACCAGTCATCGTGTAGGGGGCTTTATTTGAACAAGCCACCGAACTTGGCGCCTGTACTGTGGCGCCGTTCACTGCCAGAGTCACCCGTCTCATCGCAGACGCCCATGGCGGGCCAAAGTACATGGTATGCTTGTTCGTGCATTGGTGGACTCCCGCACTCATGCGGTGTCGCTCGATTGCCAGTGCGCCGTTGGGCGCGGGAACCCGGTCGTCCGGCCGTCGTGGATAATGGAGTGCTATCAACTCTGGATGCGCGGGGACGCCGTGGATGTGGCAGAGGTGAGCTTCATTTCTCCTTCCGTGCCTCTCAATTGACCTTTCGTTTTACAATCAGATGACGCGTAAACATCGCCTACCTACGTTCGAGGACGTTGTTCTATGCCCCACGGGGATCGACGCTGCCCGCCGCGCTTAGATCCGCGGCCTAGTCACTGCACACGGCGGCACATACGTAGCAAGCCTCCAGACGCACGTAACACATCTCCTGTGGGTGGGTGACGAAGAGACTGACAAGATGCGATATGCCGAGAAAGCCTATCCCACTGGCGAAGCACGGCCTCCCATTCTGTTGGTGCGGGAGGAGGTGCGATGAAGATAAGTACAAGGTCTGGAGGCCTGAAGCTGGAGGCCTGGCGACAATACTTGAGCAATTACATTCGGAAGACACGGCACAACAAATGCAATCCCCATATAAACGACCGCACCCTCCCTCTCGCGAGACTCTTAGATCTCGGCGCGGTCGAGCCATCCGCGATGAAGAAAATGCTGGGGCTCGTAGTGATGCCACTGCGTCACCCGGAATTGCATGCGCATACGGGCGTGCAGCCGCCGAGGGGTGTCTTGCTGCATGGGCCGCCGGGGTATGGGAAGACGTTGCTGGTGAATGCCTTGGCCGCGGTGCGTATTCACCCGGAGTCGCCGCTATGCATCCAACTTCCCATCTACAAAGAATTGCGCAGGAGCTCGGTATCCCCTTGATGAACATGTCCGCACGTTGGCTCGTCTCCAGCGCCTCGGAAGACCCCGAGGGGCTTCTGAAACTAGCGTTTGAAGAAGCCAAGGTAAGTCTTACTTTTTATGTGCTAGCCATGACTTGTCCCAACTTCGACAGTTAACGGCGCCGTGTTTGCTTTTTGTCGATGAACTAGAGGCTATAACCCCAAAACCCGAGTCCCGTTCCGATACAGAAAGTGCGTGGCAGCGCGAAAGGGAACAGCGGATGTTGGCGCTGTTTCTGAATTGCACGGATGAAGGTATCCCAGATATGTCCTCGGATAAGTCCGTGATCGTCATGAGCGCAACGAACAGACCTGATTTGTTGGACCCGGCTCTCCGTCGCGTGGGGCGATTCGAGCACGAGATACGTATGAGTGTCCCAGACGACGAATCGCGACAGAAGTATGCACGTTTTGATTTCGGGTTTGAATATATATGTAGAGTGGCGCCTCACTACCCTTGTTTCAGGAGTGTTAAATGTGGATACAGTCTTGCTCGACTTTGAAATGGGTTAGCGTATTTTACGGTGTTTCTATAGTGTTGTCTTAGACGAGTTGGATTGCGTGTAACACGAACCAAGTCTCGACCTACGGCAAATACATAGTCAACAAAGGAATATTCAGCAGTTGGAACAGTAGCCGTGGCCTCACCCACGACCTTCAAACTCGATGGTGGCCCGGCGCTCATAGACGGACACCAGGACATGTCTAATGCTAGAACATCGTAAACGCGAGTCAGCACTATTGCAAGCTCAGATTGACCACATCGAGACGACACGTATTGGATCGTGTTGTATGAAGGATGAGTGAGGGAGATGGGCAGTACTTGCAACCGCCGCGAACCTTGGGGAGGGGGCAATGCGAGTGGCGACCTGTGAGGCGTTGGTGTTCTACTCATTGCAGTGCACCCAGTCGCCAGACGGAGCAGGACATACATATGCCCCGAGTGTATGATCCCTGTAATCGACACGAAGAACGGGGACGCCGCGTAGACACTCGATGCATACATCAGTCAATCGTGAACGCTCTGCGCTGGGGTCCGTTCGCTAGGCGTACACAAGGGTATCGAAACGACGCCGAGAGAAACCAACGGGAAAGCGGCGAAATCAGGGACACGACGGAGGCCGGACGATGCACGTTTCTGTTTATCATTGTTCGTCCGTGCCCGAGACCTCTAAGTTTCAGAGAAAGAGTAATTGCGATAATGGTTGTTCCCTTTGTCTTGAGTTTGTTGCTAGTGAGTGCGAGTAAAACTAACACACCGCCCATCGTAACGGATTCCGGGGGGATGGACATCCCCCAGCGTTTTGGAGTTCCAGAGAAAGACCAGTGCCAGAACCCTTCAAGACCGCATTCCTACAGTGGCGAACCGTAGTCAGTCAATACATAGAACACCCCACTGAGATTTTGGGCCCTTCAAGGTCGTCTTGAGAAGCGTTCCGCGATGACAAGTGTATGACTCTTCTGCGTAGTTGGAGAGTTTGACTCAACGACGTGAGAAGTAGCGCTGGGGACAGTCGATGTCTGATGCGTGGGAGAAATTTACAAACGCGTTTCTTTCACCAACTTGTCGCACGTCTCATCACATCGACGACGATGCAAGCCCTCGCTTTCAAGAGGTTGCCCCAGCTACGGCTAGCTCAATCTCACGCCAGCCGGTCCATGTCTTCTGCTGCACAAATTGAACCACCCTCGACAAGCTCTTCACCGCCAACGACGCATTTCAAAATCACCCTGCGTCGTTCAGCCATCGGGCTCGGCGACCGAATCAAGGGGACACTGGTGTCTCTCGGAATCCATAGACGCCACCAAACGGTGTACCATCCCCATGGACCGGAAGTCGCAGGAAAACTATTGGCCGTGAAAGAACTTATAGATGTGGAAAACGTTCCGACAGAGCTGGTGAAGACGAAAGAGCAGCAGACGAGGGATAGAAGGCCGCCAAGGGGATATCAGGTCGTCGGGAACAGACGGAATGAACCCCTCATTGCTTAAGTGGTATGTTCAGCCCCCTTGGGAATGGCTTTTCTTTGAATTCTCGGGTTGATATCATTGCCGTAGATGATGTCTGGATGGTTCTACCTAGGGCATATTCGAATACTTTGTTTGCTCACGCACACATCTGGGTCTTGGCCACCGTTTGTCAGCTAGCGCCTCGTTGTCGTATAAGTAATAAGGCGGTTGCCGGTGATGTATATCAACAACGTCAGACGGAAGCAAATTTCACGACAACATGTTTGGCCTGATCCGCCCTGCAAGGCGTTGATTAGACTTGAACAGGGACACACGTGCATGAAGAGTTATGAAAGGTGCAAATTTCCTCCAATAGATAATGCCATCGTTTCGTAAAGGCCACAAGCCACAAGCCTTCATTGTGGCCACACCGGCTATATATTGTCGGACGCGCGCTGTGCCCTTTTCTCCTCACACTTCTCCCTCCTCCCTTCTCCAATCCCCTCCTCTATCTTCCTTTCCCTTCTTCAGCCCCCATCCCCTCCAGATTGATGGCCGCGGTAGAGGTTTGTCTTATCTATATTAGTGTGTGCTCGTTTTCCAACGTTTCCTTGCTAGCAGCAACAGCTGTGCATAACACCGAGCAACTCTTCTGAGTCGAGCTGCTCTTCCAACGCAAAGGTACGCAGACGTTTTCCATGACTCTTTGGTGCCAATGTCAACGCAGTATCATGCAGGATGGTAGCTCAACAACATCTTCGAAGCGAAAACGATCTTCAGGCGTGAGTCTGGGAGAATCACTTACACAAATTGATCCTCAGCGTTATTGTTAGCCTTCTTTCCTGAGTATTCTCGGGTCAATGCTTCCGGCGAAGCGAGCTTCCGAACGTCGCTCGCAGCAAGAGTATTTCGAGGACCTTCTACTAAACCCCTTGCCAGTCAGCAAAATCCCGGTACGATAGCCTTCCGGTTTCTTGAACCACCTATTCATCCTGATTTGCATGCAGTGTGGCGATGACTACTGTATCAGTGGGATATCACATTGGATAGACGCGTACATGACACGTCTCAAGGTGCTTATCTCCCATTCTTCCTGTCCGCGTGCCATGCTGAGCCCAACTACCCCCGACTTCGATTGTTCAGAACGCGGAAAAAAGGACACGAACTTTCCCAAAGCACGATCGAGATCATTGGATGCGAGTACTGCATTACGATCGGATTCCGAAGCGCCGTGACCATATTGACACTGTCAACTTCTCTGGAAGTTACCATTCGGGGATATCGCTCTTACAGATGCTGTTTGGCAGAGGGTACATGAAAGGTCAACACGATCATCCCATACGACCAACATATCGCAATTACATCAATCTGATCATCAATGTGAGGGCCCGCATCTGCGCTAACGAATGTCCAACAAGTTCTAAACATATTTCGTAATCTTAGTGGCCAGGCTACCCCATGCAAGAACACCGTATTCTAGTGCACTGCCAATGCGGGGTCGACCACCAGAATTTCCATGGCAGTTTCATCACTAGGCGAACATTAGCTTTTCTAGTGGCGGTACATTGCATGATGCTTTTCACTGTGAGTTTCTGCTTTCATCCTGATGAATTCCACGCTCACTCTAATTAGACTCATAAGCCCTCCGAAGCGAGTAAGTTTGGTGATCTCGGTCTGCCCGAAACCTTCAGTCGCTTGCGCCTTCTCTGTTTGTGGTACGCCCCCTGATGCCCCCCTTTGCCAAGGAGTTGACTGACCCCTACTACGTAGGAGTACTGACAGAATCAATTGGAATGTTCAATTAGGATACGTAACTGAAGAAAAGGTTACAATTCCTGCTGCTCATTGATATCTGCATCCCCCTGCGTCTCTTCTTGGACTTGATATATCGATATTTCTATACTAAAACTTAGTTGTGTTTTTATTTGTCACTTTGCGTATTGTTATAGACTTCGTTCCTCCAGGACCCCTGCCCTTGCTGCACACTCCATTCATCATGAGCCATTGTTGAACCTTCTACTCACTTCCTTTCTTTGATTGTAGCACGGGCGGTACGTTGGGCCATCCCTTTCTTCCTTGACCCTGAGCGCTGATTTGTCTATCGCTTGGTAACATAGTCACCAGTGTTGCTTTCTTTCAAGGCCAGCGTAGACACAGCACCTATGTGGCTGCGCGCTTTGTCTTTCTTTCGGCTGCTTCATGCAAAGGCCATACAACCAAATATGACACTAGTCGAAGAGGTTCGTGCAATATATAAAAGCCCTTTGGTTTCTCTTCCCTCTTCCTGTTCCCATATCCTTCCACCCAGAGCTCCACCAACAAACTCACTAGCACCGATAAAATGGTGAGTGGCTCAACCACGAGACGCGCTCGAGAAGCTGATCATGAACTAGCAAACTGCATATGAAGTTTACAGTTATGGAACCATAGTTTTTTTTCGTCGCAGAATTGTACCTGATGATGCTTTTCTCCCGTTTGATGACAGCTTTGAACCTACCCAAATCCCAAGGGCCGGAACGTACCAGGCATGGCAGTCTCTCGAATCCTTCGGTTACCATTGACTGACTAGGGTTTAAGAGGGTGAGAACTGGGGCATCCTATGCGTGCAGTGAAGAGCGCTTTAGAGAGCACATACAGCGTGTGAGTCCCCCACAATCTACGCCGTTCGTGCGCGTACTGATCTGCTATCGGCACAGTTATTCTCTCATGATCAAGACCTCGTGGAGTACCCTAGCGTCGACGAAGAGCACGCAGCAGTATTCAACAGTATGGTTTATGATCCATTTAGACAAGGTCAGCATTTCGTATCCTTTGATTCGCTAAACAATGCAGGGCTTCCTGGTGTCGCTCTTATCGATGTCCTCTTGGGACGTGCGAACCTCATTGACCCAGAGGCACGTCCATTGACCAAATGCCAATTGCCTTGGTTCACTCTCAACGTCGGCGTATGTGTTCGATCCAAATATGCTCGCTATTCACCTGATACGAACGCGCGATTGTTAGGCATGGGGCATTGAGATGCTTCCCAATTCCTTCGACATCGTGCGATTCCCAGTTAGATCTTACGAGGGGAACACATTGCCCCTATGGGCGCTCGCGCACGCGGCTGCCTGGGCCGTTTTGAACCACTTGTGGCGCGTGAGTATCGCCAGGCTATATTTCCCCCAACCGTTAGCTGACAGAGCAATCGAAACCTACTCTAAGTTCCGATGCCTTGGTCCCGATACTGAGAACATCAACAAGCCCGCCCAGTTCCTCCGTGCCTTCGATATCCTACGCAAGATCCGTATTCTCGGTCTTCTTGACCTCGATAACCTCGACGAGCCTGATACGCGTGCCTTCAGGATTCACTATGAAATTCTTTGATTCGCTTTGCTATCCTACGTATCTTTCCGGACGCAGTCCAGTCCAACTTGTGACCTTTTCCTTGTTTCCTTCATCATCGTATTTACATTTACTTTCCCTTCCCGTCCTATTTACTCTTCTCTTAATTCTGCCTTTGACTGTCTATCAACTACGTATCACTGTATTCTGCACCAACTCTGCATCTGTATCATTGAAAGTTAGGCTGGTCATCAACTTGAATGATGATCGACAACAAAACGGAGAGATTGAATAATAGTTCTATTAGTACGCTCACTAGAGCCGTCCGTGTCAAGCTGAAGGGAGAGGCCAGCGGCCCGCCTGACTTTGTCTCTAACACTGTTGACCTTGGGTGAAAACCTGTTGTGTTTGGTCACTGTTCGTTGCAGTGAAGGTCAATTCTGAGTTTGACGCGTTTTGCCCTGCCCTCATGTGATCACGTGATGGAAGCCCAACAACTGATGCAGGGAACTGTCTGACCATAACAAGTCGTGAACAACGTCCACAACGTAGATGCGGCGGCGCAGCAACAAATCCGCGAAGGTGCAAGTTCTGTAGACGACGTACTCTGTGGGTGCTCATTAACGCGTTCACAGGTCCCCAATGTCAAGCTGCGGCCCGCACAGCAGTCGCCATCCAATTCACGGAAGAACGCCCTGCGCGCGGACGAAAGCGTATGCTTGGTAGACGAGAGCCAGTTCGGAAGTGACGACAACTACAACGACTACACTCCGAGACCGCTGCGCGGCGTGGTTGTGTGTGCCACGGGAATCGCTGACAAGGTGCGCGGCTCGAGCTACTAGGTACCAAACGACTGACGGGCGGGCGTGCAGCCGACGCTATTCAAACAAGCCGTGGAACTTGGCGCTCTTGCAATGTCTGCGTTTACGGACAGGGTTACCCATCTTGTTGCTGTCGGCCACGGCGGAGCAAAATATATGGTACGTCAGCTTCAACTCAATCCCGCTTGTCTCATTCCAGTGGCTAGTGTGCCGTAGAACGCAAGATTCCGATCCTACAGCCGTCGTGGATAACAGAGTGCTTTCAGGTCTGGCTGCGCGGCGACGACGTAGATGTGGCAGAGGTGAGTCTCACTTCTTTTGAGTGCTCAGCCATTTGACCTTTGCTCTCAGATGACGAATAAACACAGACTGCCCGTGTTCTCGGACATTGTTCTATGCCCCTCAGGCATCACCGATATCACTAGGCGTACCCAGATCCACAGACTCGTCACTGAACATGGTGGGACGTATGTCAAAAATCTCGAGAGACCTGTGCGCGTTACGCATCTGCTTTGCTCAGGGGAGGAGGAGACGGACAAGATGCGATATGCTGAGAAGTTCAACTCAACTGGCGAGGCAAAACCTCCCATTCTTCTGGTCTGGGAGGAGTGGTTTTGGGACTCTTTAGAGTTTGGCGGCAGGTTTGACGAAGACAAGTACCAGGTGCGGAGGCCTCGACCTGAACGCAAGACAATTACTGCACGTATGTACTACACTCACGTAGATATACCCTTCAAGACTCATCTCCTCTTTTCTCTCGTAGAACCCACTACAGTTTTTGAAGACTCGATCCCCTCATCACTAGCAGATTCATCTTCAATCATTGCACCAAAGCCCCATGGTGATGAACAAGATCCCGAAGAGGCGGCCTCAGTGAAAGTACTTCCAGCAGTGACACTTCAACTTTGGGAGAGCTTGCTGAAAGTTCGTGGCTATGAAATTAGTCCGGGCGGAAAGTTGGCCAGGAGCCCGACGAAAGTCCGAAGTATCATGGCTCACATTGGCGCGGAGCCGGAGTCTCCTTCTCAGAACGGTCAGAGGAAGAGCGTCATAGACAAATTCCGACGTGCCAACTCATTCGCCGAACCTGCTTCGCAGGGGTTCAGACGTACGAAGACGATACCTGCGCTTGCGCTATCGAAAGGAGCTTCTTTCGGTAAGGATGGCCCGCGTAATGGCGTCGTTGAGGGTCCTGGAGAGCCCGGTCCGTCGTCTTCTCCCCATAGGGCTCCACCGTCGTCGCGAAGCCCGTCTCCTGAGATCGGTGCGCTGGAGGAGCACAGCGGCCCTTTCGAGCCGCTGGCTCCCATGCCTGATGCCGGCGACATTGAGATGTCAGAGTCCGAGCGAGCACCTGCAGTGCCTGGGTTGCTATATTCGGGCAAGATTTTCCGTGCTCTCGGAGAGGCCAGCTGTTCCAGCGTCCGTGAGGCCATCGAGAGTCAAGGTGGACGGCTGGTTGGAGAAAAGGCCGCCGCCAATGTCGAAGTCGATTACATTTTAGTCAGGCTCGTCAGGTGAGTGTCCTCGTTTAATCTATTGCGTCCCTTGGTAGACATATGTGTTCCTTAGTGGAAGCAAGTATTATCACGACGAAGCATCCCAGACAGAACGACAGAAATATCGGACGGAATGCTGGCTCGAACGGTGTATGTTCGAGGAGCGCATCATCTCACCATCCGAGAATATCACGTTTGCTCCCTTGGAGCTTCGACGGTCCATACCTGGTAAGTAGTTATCTATTTTCGTCATCTGCGTTCAGTTCACCACGATCATTGCATAAGGCGTAGGCAAGATCGTTGTAAGCCTTTCTGGTTTGGATCAGAGCGAAGTATGCTGTGTAAAACGGCTGGCCAAGGCACTCGGTATGTTGATGCTTTGAAGGAAACGTCCTGGGTTGATTTACGGTTTACTTAGGTATCTTAATTTCGCCCAATTTTTCCCGGCGGTCGACGCACCTACTATGTCCGGCGGGTACAGGCGCTAAATTCGAGAAGGCGAAAGAGTGGGGCATCCCCGTAGTCAATATGGGATGGCTTGAAGGTATAGCGAAGACGGGGAAGATTATTCCTGTCTCTGGCTTCCGAGTAGGTCCAGGCGGTGCGATTCAAGAGGCGGTTCTTGATCCAGGCAAAACAAACAAAGGGAAAGGAAAGGCAATCGAGTCTCCCATTGTCGATATCACCAACAGTAGGTGATAATTTCCGAAGACGATGGCTGTTGTTGACGCTCGGTTAGGTGGGACACAAGATGAATCGACTCTGGCTACCCCGGAATTCGCCATTGCTGTACCCTCTCAAGCTTCGGAAGTTGTTCCAAAATCTGCCTTTGGAGTTCCGAATGGACTCCTGGATGCTGAAACTACGAAAAGGTTACATGTTGCGCCAACGAAGAATACGTTGTCGGGGGCTTCGTCGGATGTAATTTCTCCCAAGGATCATGCTCCTTCACCAGACGCTCTTGGTCATTCCCCAGAGCACCCCTCTCTATCCCCTTCTCAGCCCTACGCCCCTCTCCACGTTGCGCCGGATCCTTTACATCGAAGTAATCCATTCCAGGATGATGACCAACGAGATAACCTCCGTATTCCCTCCTCGAGTTCACCTTCCCCTATGAAGCTCCCCGGTGACGTTGATGGTGGCCGACAGACGGTGCCATCGTCGCCTTCCAAAGGATCCCAAGGGAGACACATTCCGTCGCCTACAAAGATGTCCGCAGAAGCCGCGATAGCCCTGCAGAAAAGCCTGACAAGCTTACTGGGGAAGCGGAGGGAAAGCGACGAGGATCCTACTGTACAGGCGGGTACCAGCGGAGCCGCTGGCACGCGGGCCAAAAGAGCAAGGCCGCAGAGATCAAAGGTAACTTTCTCGCGAGCATTCCCCATCCTCAATTGTTCAAGGGCTCAATATATTTCTCTTATTTCATTAGGGACAGGCAAGGCAGACTTCAGAAATACGTGTCGCTAATACACCCGGGACGACCGTTGACCCCTTCGGACCCTATAACCTGAATCATCGACATGCCTCCGACGACATGAACGAAGATACTAGTCAAGGTTCCGTGCGCGACGAAATTGTCGGCATAAAGTACGAGGATCCCAAACAGCGCGAAGAAAGACAGCGTTTGATGGATCTTTTAGGCGATACAGTGGATGCTGATGTTGAGAGTAAGGGCAAGTCTAGAGTCGGTGGCAGGAGGCCGACACGGAGGAAAGCCGGATTTTGATTTTGAGAGGTAGATATATATATAGTTAACATGTAGAGCACCGTGATATACCTTGTAAACTTGATTCCCGTGGAGAAACTGATACCATTGGGCTGAGACGTCGCGACGAGACGACAAAATTTCTCCATACGAAAAAGATATGCGACGGGCCTGACCGGGAATTGAACCCGGGACCTCCTCGATATTGCAAGTCGCTTTCGCAACAACGCCCTAACAAGGAATCATACTACTAGACCATCAGGCCGATGAGAATTCTTGCTCATTAGAAGGCCACATCGGGCGATACTAGCACCAGAATCCAGAAAATGTCCACTATATCACGCGTGACACCCCTGATATGGTTCAGGAGACACCAATACTTGGTACGAAAGTAAGCATGAGTACAGTTACAAGTATCTATTACATATTCGAAATGTCTACGGCTGCAATGTGGGCTCTATATGTGTCCCCTTGCCTGACCAGACTAATCAAACGTAGGTTCTGCAAGAAAGACCACAATTGCAGTTGTCCGGGAAATTGTGGCTATTCGCATCCATCAGTCAGCAAACGATGTACGCGAGCTGCGTACAGTAGTACTCACAGAGCAGAAGTATTGTGCCACTCGACAGCACACCTCATATGCGAGATACCACCTTGAGATCTCTCCGTGTGGACATCTGACACGAATTGTAGCCAATTTCGCCTGTTGGTCTTTCCACTGGTACGTTTCAACCCACGAGGTTAGCATCTTATTGGCTTAGATCACCAAGGCCACTTACCACTATTATGACTTTGATTGTGTCCGCATTGCTTGCAGGTATTGGCCGGGCGTCTGGATCCACTATGGTAATGCGCCCAAGGATCAGCTGAGTCACTGAGACGCCAATCGCACTTCCATAGTCCCGGTCCGGCGGGAACTGAGAATTGAAAGTGATCATATAACGCCCCCGGGGTGGAGATAAGTCCTCTAACTTGCATTTCCGGTGCCACATACTCGGATGTGGATCATCCAAGCATAAATTCGCCCATATCTTCACCCACGATAATAAGCAACGGTTCAAAAATTGGAAAGATCACTTACTTCGCTCAAGCTTTCATGCAGTTGCGGTGCTTCAATGTGGGAACACATGCACTGTGCTCCTTCCATTGCTTGGCACTGCAAATATAGCTAGGTATGATGGGCGCCCCATAAAGCGTAGAACAAGGTTCACCTTTGCAATTCGGAGCGGCCCGAGAGTTATTGGCCCACTCATTAGCTGTATCGAAGAAGTGTTCTTGTTATTTTCACCTGTGGTATTTGACGTCTGACGCCAGATAGTTACTGATGAGAGGATGCAGAAGGACGATGTAAGTGGGAAAGCTTACTACAAAAGGCATGATTCAAGTCAGAGCTGAGGTGATAGTTGAAATTCAAGAATGGAAGGAAGAACAGAACGTTATTTATGTGCGTGAGCCACATGCGATATTGCCACAACTTCGCCACAGCCCACGCTTGGGCCCTCGACTGGGCCACATACTGCATACCACATAGGAGAGCTAATAACAGCTCTATATGTACGGTCTCACAGAGGAGACTGTGGCCAACTCTCCTGGTCCCATCTCGCTTGAGGAAGAATCTATTCGATTTCTTGAGGCGTTAGGAGTAGTAGTTAGGGGCATATTTGCGACACAAACAACCTTAGTTCAGCGTCCGATCAACCTTCTTGAAGGAACGCATCTACTTATCAGACATATCAGACATAAACCCAGTGTCTCTACAATGTTCATGACTCACACAATATTCCAAGTCGGTTTTCAAACATACGGTCTTTCCTCGGTTTGGTCAATATGTAGTGTTTACGCGAAATCAACTAATCAGATCAATGTTCCAGAAAGCTTCCAGTGAAGTCCCCAGTGAGTTACGCAGTGCGGAGAACATTATTAGTTCACCGACTACCCATATAGTGAACCAGTCGAAATATGCCAGAGAGCTTGGCCTTGCCACCTCGGCGGCAATCTCTTTTTGGGAACAACCTCCCATCAATCGTCCTCGATGTCCCATCGCGGCCAGCGATCCTAGGTACTGCGCCCTCCATGGTAAAAATGGCGTTCATTTGGGTAGCCTGACATTTTCCGAACCAAAGCCTGCCAGAAACTCCGAATCGTGGACACCCTGTTTGACGAGCTTAAATGATTGGGGATTATTCGGGCGTTTTCCTAAGTCGCAGACTATTTCCTCCTTGCTGGAGTGGTGCTCTGGCGAGTCTCCGATCATTCCCCGCACCGCTTATGGGGAAACCTGGGGGAAAGGGTCCTGCGTGTCACTCACTCAGATATAAACCAAGACTTTGAGTTGAGCTGCTCGCCAGACCAACTTCTTCGTCGCCGCTAGGTTCTCGGGTATCAACGTCAAGGCTCGCACTCATCTCCCCACTCACTGTAATAACCCTACTTCCTAACATGTCGGCTATTGGACCCTTCATGGCGCCCTCTCTGAGAACATCAGAATTGTACATCCTAACTCCCACTGGTGTGGGATCTCCCTCTCCTCGGAGTCCCGGCCAGTTCACATCCTTCCGACTCTCGTCTACGCCACCAATCCTCCCTCAACGTGCCAACGCGTCCCGCGTTCCGCCAGCTTCAAAAACCTTCGAGCGATATTCCCTCTCCCCACCTCCCGTTTCACCTCAGGCCAAGAAACCCAGACGCCCCTCCACCGCTAATTCTGAAATGTCCACACTCTCATCATCCTCCAATTCCTCGAATTCATCCTGTTCCTCATATTCACCTGAAGTGACCAAAGCTTGGATGAAGTCTGCGCGAAAACACTGGAACCAAGCCATCCTCCACCTTGATCTCCTACTCAGCAATTGGATGCTCTTCGATGAAGAAATTATCATCAACCTCCGCAAGACGTTTGTCACGTATGGCCACCCCTCTATATCCGCGTAAACTCTTGACTGAGCACGCGTTTCTTTTGATTCAGGCTCGACTTCCATATGAAGAGCATTATTGGCTCCACAAGTGAATCCTTGGCCAAGCGTTACTGCTATGAAGCCGAATGTCTTCGCCGCTCCGTTGTAAGTTGAAATACTTTTCTTAGGTTCTTGCCCGTCCCAATCCAGCCTATTATAGGAGTCGTATACGAAGTCGTCACCACAGCCTTCGACGCGCAAGGCAGATAACCTCATCGTCGCGGCACTCAAGCACCTTTTTGTCAACCGCAAGACCTCCAACGAAGCTGTTCGCTTAGGAATTCGCTTCGCTGCCCATGTGTGAGTGTTCATACTCCCTTGCTCGTCATCCCAAGTTTCTTATGACGTGTCTTTACTGCCGTAGAGTGCGTTCTTCAGTCTCTGAAGATGAACTACTCGCATGGGCGCGCTTCTTCCATAACAACGCCGTCTATGATGAGACTGCTGAGGTAGGCTATAATCATAGCCGTTCCGATATACCTTCTCATCCTGTGATTAGCAACTCGAAGCAGCTATAGCGGGACTGCACTCGGTAAATTGTATGGAGGACGCCGGTGCCTGTAAGTCTGCAACATAACGTCTCATGACTCTTCCTAAAGTTTGTTGATACAGTGGCGCAGAATCGTCGGCGAAACATTTTCCATTCTGTCGCGGAGACCCAGCGCCTCAAATCGTGCTTCGAGGACTAATGCTACGAAACCTCTCCTTGACCGATATTTTACTGTATCTGTATCATTAGCCTCCTCGAAAAAGTACCGATAATCAACACCAAAACTAGTATCCTATGTATCTCTTTACCTACGTTGTATTTTTCATCGCTTGCCTTGCCTGTGTATGGCATACTTGACACTCATTAGCCTTTCGAACGTCTATATGGCGATCGTACACATCCCTTTATTGTTCCATTACCCATACCATCATTAATTATACCCTCAGTTCTCGCCTACTCTCTTCACTCCAGCGACAACGCGCTCGTTCCGCCTCCAAAATTCCACCACGATCTCGGCAAGCCGAGTTGGATCATCCTGGCAAATGAGAGTAGGATTTGTAAACAGGCGATAGCCAAACTATGTGCAGTGAACATACTTCCTGGACCATATGGCCGACACCCGGAATAACCATCAGTTGGAACTTGCCTTGCATCTGGCCAATCATCAATTCCTTGTCAAGGCGATCGTGCCCAGCCAAAACCAGCAATCTTGCCGTTCGAGCAGCCAGGAAAGTGGAAGATAAACCTTTGAACCAGCCTGGATGTGTGATCAGTCAAGATAGAATCAAGCCACGAAAATCACAGTGCGCACTGGTCCAGTAAGGTGCGGTAGATCGCAAAGGCGTCCTCCACACATATGCAGGAACGAGGGGCGATTTCGGCTCTGATGCTTTGAAGATCGAGGGGATGGATATCCTGGCCGAGCGTACATTGCGGATGGTATTTGTTGTCACGCTTACGACGATGTATCATTGGCCGCTGTGGCACAAATATAATAGAGGGAGATAGCTCACTGCCATTCAATGGCTTCCTCTAAAGAATCAAAGCCATCCGGACGTGCGTTAAGAAGACTGTGCATGTGAGGAAGAGCATCAATAGCGGAACCTAGGACAATGTCAATGAGTTGATAATTAGAAGGCGAAGATATTATCACACACCCTCTACAACGTCTATGACTGTGACGCCAGTCACTCGGTAGCCCCCGTCCTGTAACTTTGGACACGCTCTCGTTATGACCGAGCCTCCCATGCTATGTCCAATCAACTTTGGATCATGAATGGAAGGTTCCCAGAGTCTCCTTTCAAATACTCACTACAAGGGTAGGCGCGTCTTTGGGTGTCTGGAACGTAGTCCGAACGAGTTCATAGAGATCGTCGACGAGAACATCGATTGAGAGATTCTCGTCATCGGACGAAGCAGTCGTCTTCCCTAACAAGACGCTAGATATGAGAAACCGTTGAGACACATGGAACTACTTACCATGTCGCCTTGCATCAAATGCGAGGACACCACACTCTCCTCTGGTCATATCCGCTATTTCTTTTGCGAAACACGCAAAACTGAGGCCGGAGTACCCAGCGCCGTGGTGGCAAACCATGACAGTCCCATCGGCGAATTTCGGCGGTGTATAATACACTCGAACGTCGAGCCCCCTGGCTTCTACCTGGACTTGAGCAGCGCTATCGAAGAGGCCTTCAGCAGAAATGGGCGCAAAGGCAGGGTTCGGTTCTCGTTTGGGTTTCGTACGGGGATGTCGTGCGGGCCTTAGTACAAGAATATGACTCCCATATGAGTATATTCCGAAATGCTTTGCTGATCAGGCTAAGACTTGCATTGCTGGAGGACCCAGACCACTGCCTGGCAACGCTCCGACTGAGTCGAGTTCCTCTTCTTCCTCCTCGCCGTCGTCACTTGTCTGTGGTAGATCTGGAGGAAGCTTGGCAAGACGAGCACTCATTGCTGAGCGATACAAATTCGACATTGATGGTCACTGAGGCAAAGTCACTGACAAGGAGATTAAATAAGCGCCTGTATTTACTTCCAAGCTTTGAGGCGCGTGCGCTTCATTGTCTCTACTAACACGCACTGGCAACAGAACATGTCGGAATTGGCCATATTTGATGTTTCGCAGTGAATAGAATATGGTCGAATGTTGCTGAAAGTGCCAGATCGCGTGTTCGTACGTTCACTCGTGTTGCACGTTATTAATCAATGGGTTGAAGCATCAATGAAGATTCAAGAATGGGGATTCGGGGAGGAGGAGCCAATGAGGGGATCAGAGTATGTGATGGATAGACCATCCAAGCCACCCCACGGCTGTCTGGATACAGGTGTGGGGGGTGGTCCTGAAGAGTGTCCACGTCAAAACGTCTTCGCAGCGCACTAATGGAGCGTTGTGTTTCCAGCGTTAACGGAGCAAGGATAGGGCTTGCCTAAGGCTCGGAGGGCTCGGAGGGCTGGGCAAAGGACCATCAATCAACGCACAGTTCAAGCAAGCCAAGGACAGTAATTAATTCATTTGTCAACATGCTGGACACGAGGCTAACACCAGCCTACCTTCCATCGCATGTCCGTCCGTCCGTCAGTCTCATGGCACATCTCAGCTCAAGTATATAAGGCGCAGCTCTGGTATCCTGTAACCTCACACCAACATGCACTCACAAGGCAGCAACTCATCGTGGCCGCCATCCTCATCGTCTACATCGACGCACCATCCTCCAGCGCGCCCTCAGCATCCTGCTTCAAAGCCCAAACCTCCTCATGCAAAGCCCAAACCAAACCAACACGTATCCCATCGTGCGTCCATTTCACAGCAATTTTTCATCCGTCACCTTACTTTATGTCGTAAATCTCTCTAGCCCAGCAGCCCGCTGCCCAGTATAACCCTGCTTACGCATATGCTTACTACAACGCGTATGCTGCTGCCTATGGTGGCCAGCTGCGCGGTGTAGGTGCGAACGAGTATATGGGCACGATTAACCCTGGATACTGGTAGACCTGCCCTTGTCTCTGTAGTACACGCGGAGGGTAGGGTAGTTGCAGTATCGCCTCTAAGTTTCGGAGTGTTTATAGTCTTGATATATGGACCAACAGCCACGAATGATGCATCTATTTCAGGCTTCGAAACGCATGCTTCTTCTGTAAGCAGAACTACACAGGAACATTATCTTGGATAAAATCCATCTGGGCACGAAGGGAAGCCCCGTAGTGTGGCTGACCACTGTAGAGATCAAAATGACCCGCTAAGATGATATTAGAATTTCATTGTAGGGTAGACGTGCTCAGATGTCACACCGGTGGGGATAGAGATCTTGATACTCCCTTGAGCCAATTGAGCGACCTTGAGAGTGCTGGAAGAGTCGCAGATGTTATCATTCTGGGCGACAACCATGAGTAGCGGGCAGCGAATCTCCGAGGCCCGAGAGGATGGATCATAAGACCTGAGTGCAAAGACAGACGCCCCCGAAACCTACAGGAGCGATCCCTTCAGGACAATAAACGGCTACGGAAGCCGATATAAATTTTACCTGGTTGTTCCTCTGACTACAATCGTGTGTTTAAGTTCGTCGCATCATCGTCCAGCACTCCTGACACGCACCTTTGTGCATTGGAAGGGAAGGTTTCGCTGATTCGGTCAAAGCAATGTTCATACGTCAACGCACCAACTGTTCCTGGTGGCCCAGTAGCAGGTATGTAGTAGGGCGCCAGCCCCAACATCTGGCGGAACCAGTCATACACGGCAGCGCACAGCGTCATCACCATTCCAGGCCCGAAAGGGACCTTGCAGGCTGCCCCAGTGAATGGACATTGTGCGACTGCTGCCGCAATGTTGAGCGATATCTATTTCATCGTCATCATCAACATCGGACGGAAGCTTATAACCTCATATGGCTTACATCGCTCGCAAGAGTGATGACGTGCCCTCCTGCAAATCCATCAATCAGGACTATTTCTCCAAATAATAGTCCGGCGGAGAGACTCACCTGAAAGACTGGTCCCCCACAAAACTATTTTGTTGGGATCGTATTGGTTTTGTGATCTGACGTACTTGATGACGGTGCGAAAGTCTTCCAACTGCTCAGCAACGTTCACCAAGTTTCTCGGTGTTCCGCCTTCAAATGGGGGTAATCGGCGGGTTGCGGGGAATATAGACGGAAACGCACCTGATGTCCCCCAACGGCGATAGTCAAAGACAATGCAAGCGTAGCCCGCAGATGCGAAAGCCTCTGCATACGGTGCCAGGTTCATTTCTTTGGTACCAGTGAATCCATGAGCCCTATCATATTCCGAGCGTCAATGAAATCTGCAGGGGAGTACGAGAGCCGTGCTGGCTGCTGACAAGATGATTATTGGATGAGGTGTCTTAAAGCCTTGGGGGAGATATTTCCAGGCATCAAGGTGCCACCCCGGCGTAGCGGAGGGAATCTTGACGGTCGTTCGTTGTAAAGGCATTTCAAAGTCTTCCCACCAATGCTGTTGAGCTATTTATGCCAGAACTGACAGCACCCGCCTTTTTACCTAGGAAAGCAACGAGCTTAACCACAATTTTGATGTTTCTGCTCAGGATCAGGGGTTGGATAGGATGCAATCAATGGATTAAAATAAATACGCCCGTACAGAAAACCATCAAGGTGGGATACAGGACATTACAGCCGTTCTTCTAGTTCCTCAAGCCGAGCAATTTGCCTGTGCGAAGACAATCAATTCACAGTCAAGTGGGATAAGAAGTAGAACACACCGATCTCGAACTGCCTCCTGCCACCGCTGTAATTTCGCGATTTCGTGCAGCTGGAACCCGTAGATCTTGGGTCGATATCGTTCTGCTTTTAATGCGATACCCGCAGTGCTGAGCATCTCGCCTCCGCCCTCTTGTTCGGGCTCCTCTCTCGTTCTTCGGGTTCTTCGGCTATCCCCGTCCCGTGAACTTGGGGCGGGATCCATGGCGCCGCTCTTTGGGGGTATGAGGGTCGGATACACGAGGAACAGGAGGTGAGGGAATGTCGTGCCGAAGTAGGCACCGTCAATCGATCCGTGACGCGATGATTTAGGTGAATACAGATCCTCGCAACGTCCGCAGTAAAGCTTGACAGATTTCTCGTAAGGTATGTCGGTGAGCCCTACAGGGAGGAGGGCCTGCAGTTGACACAGTACACGAGGACAACGGCCGAACTCCGCGCGCTTGTATTTGTCAATCTGAGCGTCTTGTAAGATAATCTGGTCGAACGTAACTAGCCGTGTAGACGTACCATTTTTGTTAGTCCTCTAGCTGTGACAATCCATCTTGAATGGATAAGTCCGTAAAGTACTCTAGCCTGGACATCGAGAGTCCCGCGGAGCTCGTCTTGGATTTCATCATCTATCCAATGAAGTAGCAATGAGGAACCGATATTGGGGTGTAACACATGGTCTTGCGCACCTAGATTGTCCGTTATCAAGTCTAGTGCTTGGGAATAGTTTTGCACTTCGTTGTTCAAACCCGTCAGGTTGAATCGATCGAGAATGAAATCTTCATCGACCTCGCAAAAGTACTCGTTCCCCTTCGAGGAAAGAAACCAAGAAATCCACTTCGTAGGAGAGCATGAGCATCATTCTCAACGTGCAATGAAAAGGGGACCTTACCGAGCTAATAAATCACATAAATCTACAGTCCTTGAACAGCCCGGAAGATGAACTCACCTGGAGTAATCAGAATCTGAGCCCGTCGAGACATCGTCCACTAATCAGGCGGTGTTAGAGTCAGATTTTGCAGCCGAAAGGAATACAAGCAACCGACTGGTGGCAGTGAGCTTGAGGCGGGATGGCGGCGAGACAACCGACGAAGAGAGACGCAAGGATTCCTTGTGGCGCGGCGAGGGTCGCGTGTGACAAACTCGCTCAGCGTGACTTGTCCCTTCGCGTTACTACCATCCCCGCACTCAACTCTTCTTCTACAAACTGCTTGGCTGGTTTCTGGGACTTGCGCCGACTGTGGACACCTTATCGCTCTGGTATGACCTCTGGTGTCACCCCCGAAGTGGAATTGGAGTCGTTCTTGCCGCAACCACACTCCCTCAATTACTTTGAGCACCAGGACCACAAAAATATGGGGATCGTTGGCCTTACCGTGGATATACCTTCGTCTCGACGGCCGGACACAAGGACTGACAGGAAACACTCTCCCCCTCGGTGGAAGACGGTCGAATTCAAATGTTATGCCACGATAGCATGCATAGTGATACCCATAATGTTCTGGATACCGATGACACTCAGCAGCTGTATGTTTCTGAGTTACTTGACCAGACCTTCTTGTCGCTAATGGACTCAGCTACGCACCCTAATTATCCTCTCTATGCACCCCGTCTTTCCAAGGGATGGATGTTTGGGCGCAAAGTGGTGCGTCATCCCTGAGAGCGAATCTACGGATCCCGCTAATGCAGACACGCGTAGGACAATAGCGACGACCAATACCGTTCGTTTCGTACCAATATACCATCGCTTTCAGCAGCAGCATTAATTTATCTTACCCTCAAATCTCTCTACGTTCGCGTCGCTGGAACCTCTAAACCGGATTCTACCCATTTAATCCCGTTCAACCTCGCATTTTCCATCCTAATGCTTCTTGCTTTGCATGGAAGCAGCATACTTAAGATATTGCTAATACTGACCATAAATTTTGCTATTGCGAAATGCTGTGGTCCGTCGAAACTGGCTCCGTGGCTAATCTGGACCTTCAACGGAGCCATTTTGCTCGCCAACGACAGATACCATGGATACGTCTTTGGCGATATCGTCCCGGCTCTCTCGTTCCTGGTAGGTTTAACTCGATCCACTGATTCACACATACCTCTCATCGCGTTTAGGATGAATGGGACGGCCTATATCCCAGATGGTACATTAGCTTCAATATCACTATGTTGAGGTTAGTCTCCTTCGGCATGGACTATCATTGGGCGTGCAAGCACCCCGGAAAACTCAATGTAGGTTTTCAGTTCATGGATTTCTATTTGGAAGGTTATATCATTAGTAAAGATAGACTCCAATCTGAACGAAAAGACCCGTGTATCCACGGTCCATTCTTTGGAAATGTATTCGTTTATCAACTACCTATCTTACGCCATATATTCGCCGTTGTATATCGCTGGCCCAATTATGACGTTCAACGACTATGTCTGGCAGGTGAGCCACTCTTTTGCGTCGACTGGGAGGATGTTTTTAACAAGCTTCTAGCATCGCAAACCGATGTCCGTCACATGGCGGTACACATTAGGCTATCTGCTGAGATTCCTGGCGTCCCTCCTGACTATGGAATTTATCTTGCATTTCATGTATGTAGTCGCCATCAAGAACAAGAAGGCTTGGGGAGGGGATACACCGGCCGAAATCAGTATGATAGGCTTCTGGAATCTCGTCATTGTCTGGCTGAAGGTCACTATTTTGTTCCATATTCTCAACCTTTCACTTACGAAACTCTCGCGTAGCTGCTGATACCTTGGCGATTCTTTCGTCTTTGGGCGCTCTTGGATAATATCGATCCGCCAGAGAACATGGTGCGTTGTATGGCGAACAACTATTCTACATTTGGCTTTTGGAGAAGTTGGCACCGTAGCTATAACCTGTGGATCATCAGGTGAAGCTTTTGTACCCTGACTAACCTTATCACTCTATCTGACGTATGTTCCAAGATATATTTACATACCCATGGGGGGAGCGAAAAGCGTGGTTTTGAATAGCGTTCTCGTCTTTACATTCGTAGCCTTATGGCACGATCTCACCTTTCGCTTGTTGGCATGGGGGTGGCTGGTTAGCTTGTTCATTATTCCGGAATTGTTGGCTAGTTCTGTGCTTCCAGCCTCCAAAGTGAGTCCATTTTTCTCAGCCTTCCGACCCCGGCCTTGCCCCGCCCTCTTTCACTCGTCAAATGAATTCATCTGGCGAGTGTCCCACGTTCATATCACTCACGCTTTTTCCCAGTATGATCAACGCTGGTGGTATCGGCATGTATGCGCGCTTGGAGCTGTGGGCAACATGATGATGATGATGGCAGCCAACCTTGTTGGATTCGTTATTGGAACCGATGGCGTCCAGTTCTTCCTACAGAGACTTACTGGAAGCATCGAAGGCGAGTCATACCTAGAAGCCACTGCATGTCGTCACAAAATTCACACTTCGACTTCTGGCAGGCACAAGATTTTTGGTGCTTTCCGTGTTCTGCATGTTTGTCGCGGCCCACCTTATGTTCGAGTACCGGTAAGTTCTAATTGTCTACTGGATTAGACGTTCGATAACGAAGCTGCCTTCGTGAAATAAAGTGAAGAAGAAATGCGGCATGGAATCTATCGTAGATGCTAGGGTTTGTGTGTGCGCGTGTCTAATATATGTTGACTAGCCTGCGCGCCCGTGCAGACAGAGTTGCATACTTCATCCCAATTTGAAACAAACACCTCAGGTGGTTGGCGAGACGACTCCTCACAGGCGACGACTCCGACGAACTAACCATTAACGGTCGACTGATCGGCTGATCATTCGTGAATCTGATCGACTTCGGACAGGGGATCCTTCCATTACAATGGGCATATTATGTACTCAGGCGTCAGTTGCTTGGATGGGCCCTTTAAGGGACGGCGGACAACAAGCTACTGAAATAGTGTTCCACTTGGTGTCTCAGTCAGAAAACACCCTCCCACCATGACTATCCATCCGGTACGTCGTCTTCCAATTTTCCCCAAGCAAATTTAACAAACCGCGTATTGGTAGAAGTCACCGAAACAGACGGAGCTTGCCATCCGCTTTCTGATCGTCGGAGGAGGCATGTCGGGCCTCGCCTGCGCCATCGCATTGCGTCGGGTTGGTCACCAAGTGACTGTCTTGGAACAGGAAAGGGCCTTGATGACAGTAAGTCCTCATTTTACGGAACCGGTCGACGTACTGACGGAAAAGCAAGAATTCCGATGCAGGTGGCATCCGAATGCCACCAAACTTATCGAAGATCCTCTTCCATTGGGGGCTCAAAGACGAGCTACGAAAGATAGCAATTAAATCTATGGCGATTGATCTATGTCTGTGTGCGTCACCTCAATCTCTGATTTCTTTCCTTTACTTATAACATCAGGCGACACTGGCGAACTACTTGGTAAACATATCTGGGATGAGGAAGTTTTCCGGGAAACGCGGGGAGAGTTCATTTTTGCCCATGTACGTTTTATTTCTGCGTGTTTTTCTCGTCCATATTTAACCTTCGCGTGGCAGCATGCCGATATGCGAAATCTGCTTTACGACAATGCCATCGCCTCTGGTGCCAAAGTTCGCTTAGGCTGCCCTGTAGTCTCCATCGATCCCGACAGGCGCACTGTCACTTTGGCCTCTGGCGACACTGTGACGGCCGACGTTATCATTGGGGCCGACGGAATGGGCGGCATCTCGCAGTCTGTGATGGATATAGAACCGCCAGTAGCCGCACCACTAAATATGTATAGGTATGTCTGTTCGCTGCTATCGTTGACTATCGCTACATTTTTGTCTAGCACGACTGTGCCTAAGGCAGTTATAGTCAATGACCCTGAGTTAACAACCATCTGGAAGGAAGACCTTGTAAGGGTTTTGCATAGAACTCGACTAGTCTGGGCCGCGATTCTGACTAACATCTGAAGGTTACCATGTTTTCTTGGTTTGGCAATGGACATGCTGTGCTCGGTTTTCCTACTGTAAGCAGTGCACAATTGTCTGTACTGACGTCGACTAAACGGTCACTGTAGGGAGGAAGTGATCCAGACTTTGCTATGTACGTCTACGGTCCTGTCAATGGATGCGAAAGCGACTGGCGGACGCAGACGCCTATACAAGGCCTACGGTCCGTGCTGGATCAATGCGAACCTCGGTAGGTCACTACATTCAACCTGGCAGAAAGGACATGGTGATTGATCTCCCGACATAGATTACGTCGACTTGGACAATTAGCTAAAACCGCACGCTGCATACCTGTCGCAGAATTTACTACGGTGGAGGACTGGGTTCACGAGAGCGGCCGAATGGTGTTGCTCGGGCAGGCTGCCCACCCGATTCCGGTTAGCGTTTCGTCGCTTGATTTCTGCTTCCGGAACTAAACCGTTATCTTTGCATGCAGCCAGGGTCGATACAGGACTGTGCGTTGGCGATCGAGGATGGCGCAGTCCTCGCGAAACTGTTTTCCCATCTTCGCTCAGAAGATCAGATAGGGAGCTTCCTCTGGGCGTTTGAAGAGCTCAGGCAACAACGATGCTCGTCAGTGATAATGAACGAGTGCGGCATCGTGCAGTATATGACACTGCCACCTGGCGAATTCCAGCAAGGAAGGGACCAGTCAATGCGGGCGAAAAGAGATGCTGGATTGAACGCGCTCCAGGCCTCCGACGATTCGGAAGAAACTCCAGAATGGGCTGAAATTAAGGAGGTTTTCGGGTATGACGCTGAAGATGAGGCCGATAACTGGTGGGTGCAATGGGGACGTCTTCGCGAGAGGGCCAAAGGGGTAGAAGCGACCGAGATCGTCAACATTTCCCTTTTCACGAACACCTCATGAACGAACGCTGCAATCGTTGTTATTTCTTCATCTCATGTTCTCTAGCTTTATCTACGCTTTGCACCCCATTCTCGGATTGTAGTATACCCATCATCATATAGATATCCTGGCATATTCATGACTCTTGTCTTGTGCGACTGACTGTGCAACATGCCAGCCCCGTTCCCCGAGTGTGGTATCCCTGAGTTTACAAGATGGAATGTTGCACATAAACTTCCGCCTTTCCCCTAGCGCATTCCAGAAAAAGTGGAGGTTTATGTTCCCATATGCGCCGCGCACGAACCTGCACTCCTCTCCGGCGCTACACAGGGACCGAATAACAGTGCTAGTGCCCTGACCGCGAAGCCGCAGGTACCGGAAGAGCTCCTAACTGACTTATCGTAGCCGCCGTCAACCGCCCTAGGCCCCCCCAAGGGCTTAACATATGCCCAATCCGAGCCAATCCGCCGTTCATCTACCGAGATCTATGCTTTTAATTAAATCGCGCCCGCGAGCGTCGCCTGCTACTCGAGCCACGTACATTGTTATTTTACATAAACTCTATATCAGAGTTTAGATTCTAGGAGAACGGTAAATGCACCGTTAACTTGATGGCGAAGTTTCGCCTTCCTTTTTTGTTTGGCTTCTAGTAGAACGCTTTCTGCCCAATTTAGCATGCCTTCGGCTAGCATCTCAACATCCTGCCGTGTGTTGCCTGCATGCAGGCAGACCCGAACACGGTCCTTGCCTTTAGGGACGGTTGGCCACGTAATTGGACGGGCATTCATGCCCAGGTTTAGTAGGTAAGCAGAGAGAGGGCGGGGTTGGGAGGTCATAATGGGAATGATGGGCGAAAGTAATCCAGACGAATTACCCTGAAGGGGATGCTGAAGATGGAACGGGAGGGCGAGTAAGTCCTGGGGGATAGAAGCTAGGCGAGGGCGAAGTATTTCATGGAAGTGAGCAACGAGGCCGAAGAGATCGTTAGCAAGCTACACCGAAGAACAACGTAAGTGAGCGGTTCAAAGACGATGGTGATTGGTTACCTTATGTGCGAGACCATTTTCCAACATATCGAACGAACAGCTAGCCGCGATTATATTGGCGTTGCTCAACGACGTGGTATAGATCAAGGGGCGTGCATAGTTTAGGAGATAGTCCCGGATAAGAATGTTCGTGAGCAATACAGCTATACAAGGATACAGCCGTCAGGTTCATAAAAGGACCACAAGGATAGACATCATACCGCCTGTAGCTGCTAACGCCTTGCCGAAAGTGTGCAGACGGGCCAGCACTTTGTCTTCCAACCCCAGCTGTGCAACTCTGCCTCTGCCTTGTGGACCGTAGATTCCAGTCGCGTGAGCCTCATCGACGACGAGATGAGCGTTTCCCCTCGGGAAATACTGGTCAAACAGTTCTACGATCTCGGCCAGAGGTGCGAACGTTCCGTCCATACTGTACAGGCTTTCCACGGCTAGGAATAAGCTGCATGTACCATCTACTAAACTCGGCCGCTCATCTATGAGTCTAAGCAGGAGCTTTCGCAGGGAAATGATACAGTTATGACTGAAGGAGAATTGCGCGTTTTTGGCACGCGACGCACGCACACCGTCATGCACCGATGCATGGATATATTCATCGTACACCACGACATCCCCCTGCTGTGGAATGCAAGCAAAGAACCCCGCGTTGGCATCGAATCCCGAATTGAAGAGTAATGCCGTCGGGGAGCCAAAGAAGTGCGCTAGACGTGCTTCAAGCTGATTGTGGGCTTGGCCATTCACCAGGAGCCTAGAGCCTCCGGAACCGAGTATATCTGGAGCCTCGGAGAGCACAGATAGGAAGCGATCACGTAGCATGGGCGATGAGGAAAAGGAGAGATAGTCATTCGTGCTGAAGTCGATCAAGCTGGATGAGTCGGAAGAGGAAGTTGGATCGGGAAGTCTTCGTCGAATTTGGCGTTGCTCTCGAGATGAGAGAGCTGCGGCAAGTTTTGCATCTAGTGCAGACATTCTACCAGGTTACTTGATATGAGGGAATGGGCATCAAGGGCACCGTTACGTGCCAATAATATATGTGGGTATAGAACGGGTTTTGTAGGCTTTACGATGTGATTCTGCTCGGATTGATCGTCCCAGTCGTCCACGAAAGAAACAACACGGTGGGGACCAGATGAACGGGCGTAGATGCAGCAGAGTGTGGTACTGGCAGGAGCAGGATAATTCTGAGCCTAATAGCCGGAGACGGAGCATGATATTGAAATCTAATCTTATCTACATCTCCCTCCTTAAAACTCCTAAAAATACAAGTCCAATTATCTACATGCTGCAGACTGCGAAGCAAATCAGGGATGGAAACGGACTTTTCGCCTCTCAACTACACTATCTAAGCGGCGCCTTAGGTTGGTGACACTGACAGTTGGGATAGTGCGGCAACTCGACGAAGGCCCCGCGGTGTGTGGTCCAGGTGTCGGGTCAACTCCTTGGAACCTAAGGAAGCCAGGCGGTTTAACGTTTAGCATCCCTTCGATGCACAACAAAAAATAAACACACCAGGTTGACGTCCCATATACGCCCATGGGTTCTCTGACCATCATGTAAACAAATGCGTAAAGCGAGCGCTTCTAAATACTTACGTATTGTCACCTTGACAAGACTCAAATACACCTGAATCGTAGTTCCCAGGCATGTTCTACACCAAGACTGTAAGTCGGAGAAAGTATGATGGAGAAGGATCACGGACCCAGAAGCATCCCATAACGTCGTAAATGTGCTGGCAATTCCTCGCGGCGTTTGGACCTACACAGGCGCGGAAGCAAAACTCGCTAGAAGAAATAAAAAGGGTCCACTCGTGGTATTGCAGAGCTTGGCCGAAAGAGTTCCCAAAGACGAGGCCTCCAACTTAGGGAGGATCAGACCAAAGCCTCCTCAAATCAGACGGCAGAACTCACCAGGGTTTCCGTTGCCTGTCATATAGCATGTTAATAATAATTGAAGCATGCTGTAGCGCATGGCGAAGACGCACCATCTGCACCATGAGGATCAAGCTCACCCCCGCTAGTTTGATCGCGTAAGGACTAGCTCGAATATATCCCTGAAACACCACGTACGCGTCTCCGCCTCTGATATTGATTCTAGTGAAGTCCCCCGTTCCAGTTATTTGAACGTAATCCTGGGTCTTCACAAAATGTACTCCTTGAAGCGTTCCATCTGGTATTAGTCGAGTCCCCCGGCCTGCCTTTGTGCACCACGACACCTCGATACGTTCAGTGTCGCCGATGACAGAGTCCGGAGAAGGAGGTGCGAATAAGCAAAAATCGTCTACATCACTTCGATCGACAACCCAGAGGTTAGCAGTCCCATAACAAGTCAAATGATCTCGGAAACGTACTTGATCCAAGCAGTCTGACACTGCGAATCCTGGCTGTTACTTGCACCGCAGTTATTGATGCCACTTTGGCCGATTTCCGATTTCTCAGGTAGCGCAGACGACAAGTAGCCAGTGTTCCACACCTGGTTCGGGTTGCCGTCTTGACACTCCCATGTTTGAATCTGGTGGTCCGTTCTGTGGCTGAATCGGGAAGTAAAGCAAGCGAGAACGTACACGTGTATCGTCGCTAGAGATCCCCCCAGGAAGGTCAAGACATTTTCCTTGATTCGTCCAGGCAAGGCGGTAATCGAACTATGTTCGACATTAGCTACAGGCATCGAAGACGGGAAGTACTTGCAGTGTAAGACCACTGCTGATTTGGATTGTTAGGTTGGCAGGTCCATATTTGCATTTGTGCTCCGTCCGCTGTGTTTCCACCGGGGGCATCGAGACATTTAGTACCACCGAAAATTGTCACTGATCCGCCATTAAAGACCCAAGATTGACTGTCGCCGCCAATGCATGGTTGAATGACAACAGGCGCGGCATCTACGTTCGATGTGGCGGTAAGACACTGTCCTGCAAGTGTCGAGATGGATTAACGACCATGGCCTAACGCCCCAGAAGTGACCACTGACCATTGTTGTTCCCTGGTCTCAGAAGGAGCGATCCCTGGTAACTAGCAAGGCGGCTTGTGAGTCAATTATCCGCGTGGCAGTAGTGGAGAGTGTACACACGCAGGGGTTTGCCCAGTGACTGACAACACAAGGACCGACAGAGTCAACAATACTCTACTCAAACTACCCACTACCACTGGCATACCGCAAGAAATATCTCAGAAGTTTGGCAGATCTTCAGAGGGTGGAGACTGACCTGCATGGGTCAGCACGCTGCCATATATACTTGCAGGCCCTCCACGTTGTGGTTGAGCCGAAGCGCTCCGGGTGTTGGGGCAATACGGTTAAGGTCCAACTCCCTCTCGCTAAGACTCATAATGTCCATCCTGTGTCATTTGATTGTACTAGCTACAAAGCGAATCCGACCGATGGCGGCAACCTGCAATATTATCCGTAGAATCTGAATTACTGGGCCCATTGGGGATCGGAGTATTCCACCCATTTCCCATTCGGAGTCCTGACCTCCCAATTTGCGTCCAAGATAATCTCTCCGCCCGCCTTGACGGAGGAACGCCACTCGAACATGCCATCTTTCTCACCTCCTTTCCCATCCACGACTGGAGACCACATCACCTTGAGACCATCCCGGACCTCGACCTCTTCCTTGTCTTTTGCGTCTGCTAGCTCGGCAGGCGATTTCAAAACGACCTTGACCTCTTGATCGGGTGAAGATAGTGGGAGGCACTCTCGAACAAGAAGTCTAGGGACATCGTATTTATGACTGTTCGAAATGGTAACTTTGGTAGTGCAGGTTGCGATGCTGATCTGTTCGGCGAAGGATCTTTCTGCCGTTTTGGAGACGACGCTCTTCTTTTCGTAGTTCACTTTCATGGCCGAATCGACTCCTAACGTGCAGTCAAAGGATTTTCCAACACTAACTCCCTGAATAGCAAAACATTCAGAATCCACGTTCTCGAATCATTCGAATCATGGTGAAAGTGCTGCTTACTTGAATGTACACACTAGAGACATGGTTTCCTTCTAATATCACGCTCACATTTCCAGCGAGCCAGCGGTATTCAGAAGTGTTTGTAACGCGACACTAATCTCAAGATGAGAGAACGTACAGTCAGACGGAGAAGAACGCCACTGACCTGGATGTATACAGCTGGTCTTATACGAGGTACCGCGATGTGCGAAAACTCCACGCCGACAGGTAAGATGGCAATGGGCACTTGATGTTTCAGTCCATCAGTGGGGATAGTGGTTTGCCCTTCGATAGCGAAGGATATCGATAATGGAGACTCTGAGGCGACCGTCGTTGGTTTCGATGGTTCGCTGGGTATGTCGTCCCCGAATGGGTTGATATCGACATATTCTTGAAGTTCCGCTTCAGAACGTGAAGCGGGTACGGCTTTGTCCCTCCCCCCAGACGCGCCGAACGCTTGGGTTGGGTGCGCCGCCGAACCGAATAATCCAGCGCTCGGGGCTTGAGGCGCTGCAGGCGTGCCGAATAGGTTTGATGATTGACCAAATACTGCAGGCTGAGGCGCGTTGGATTGCGCCATACTAAGGCCGAATGGAGGCGGGGCACTGAACTGATTGCCTCCGACTGGCTTAAAGGCAGGCCTGATTTTCAACGGAAGCAAGGTTGGAATTGTATGAGATATACCGCCAGTTCCTGTGACGCTCAAAGTTAGAGGAGCATCTACCCAGTCCTCTCCAGTGCTTTGAGTGACTTGTGCACGGTAATGGAGAGTGGTGGGTTGCCCGACCTCCATTGATGCATGAAGCTCGTAGGTCGGCGACCATGAAGCATTTGTTACAGCTAGCCAAAGAGCGTTAGGTGTATAGATCACCACTGGCAAGAAATCGGAGACCTACCGTATGTCAGATCAAACGACACAGATTGCTGCCCCTGGGCGCCGATGACCACCACAACCTTGGCGTTCGTTGACCCCTTCCTCAGTTCTTTCTCATCCTTAAGACGCTGGATCTGACGGTCGATGGTAATAATCTCCTCGCTGATGTTGGTCACGGCCTCGAGATTGTCTTTGCCCTGTGATACAAAATTCTGTAGAAAGGCGGGCATGTCGCCATACGCAACGTGCTCCGCGGTCACGCCCTTAGCCCAGCTGACCAAGAGGTCGGCTTCCGCCTGCCTGACATTCTTCTGGCCCTCTAATTCGACCTTCTTTACCTGAAGGAGACGTATGGATTCAAGGACCGTATCTTCAGCGTCGCGAGAGGTTCTGATCGTACACACAACGTCATAAAGACGAGCGTTCGCTAAGCCACTGACTCTGACCGAGTCTCTGACAACGTCGCTGGGGAGATTTACGATCTCAATCTTATTCTGGTCTGACTACAAACATTGGTTTATGTTAGTCGCAGAAGCAGTCCCATAACTAACATCGGTTTACCTTGAGCTCCAATTTGAATCTGCGAACAATTTCAGCCTTTGATTTGTAGACCTTTACAGATTTGATGGGATAGTCGCTAGCTGGATGAAGACCGTTAATTAGCCTGGTGTTATCGGGTTACGGGACTTATATACCTGATATATTCATGGTGTAGGGCATGACCGATATATGTGTGTGTGTGAGGTTATTAGAGTTTGCAACGAGGGCCAAAGTGTCGGTGTCCTTAAGAGGTAGCCTGGCGGGCCAGTCTTGTCGTTTCGAGGATAACGATTGAAAATATCGTACTCGAAAGAGAGCGTTAAAACGGTAACGTTTTAACCCCCCCTCCCCTAGGAGGAGTCAAGATTCAGACTGCGGAGCCAAATTAGTAGATCATGTGACAGTCTACTCTCCAAACCGGACCCGCATACTATTCCTGCGCCACCAAAGTGGACCCCCTAATGCAAAATCTTTCTTTGCCGCCCATGCTCTGTCCCACAAATCGCCGAAAAATCAGTTGAAGTGAGCACAGATACTATCAACCTTGGTAAAAAACTTAGGGTCCCTTCGTCGTCTATATCCTCGCGACGCAGGTAGCAAAATAGTTCTTTGCATTTGGGTGCAAATTGCAGTTCAGCGAGCTGGCGGCATCGTTCAAATGTGTCGCGTGGATATTGTCAATATAAAACATTCCACCAAGTTTCTACAAGATCGGCCAGTTGGAATGCGAGCTACAAAAAAAGCTGTGCGGTGGGCATGTTGGCACGGACAATAGCGATAAAGGTCGAATTCCGTCGACGCGTCCAACCCCTGGTTCTGAAGGCCTGACGACTGACGCGACGCGACGACTGCAACTATCCTAGCTTACAACTTCTATCACCCGCATACTGCTCCATAGTTTTATTGTATTACAGCAAGTTTCATAATGATAGGCGTCCGCCATTTTCATTTGTTTACGCCGGAAGCTGAACATTTCTAAGCCCGAGTCAGAATTCTTGACGATGATTAGCCGCACCACGGGACTTCTACGCACCTCAGTCATTATCGGGGCATGCTGCCATGGAGTCTCATCCATCACTTGGGCCGCTGAGGATATCAAACATTGGCATGAAAAACTTGCAGAGATCTTAGACATGCTTAAGGCTCTGAACTGGACTAATAGGTAGTTCAAGTTCAAGTAAGGGCACGGGATATAAAGGCGCTCATATATAGCTCCGGAGAACTCAAGCTGTGTGTATTAATAAAACTAAACGACGGGTGCTACTTCATCATGCATGAGTATTCTATGTTGTACAGAAACCCCATGTGTGCTATGTCACTTGACATCTGTTGCGAATTTAGGGAGCTGGGGTGGGAAAGACTCCAAAGGCATCGCGACCTGAGAACTCGCGTTCGAAGGCACCGTTGTCCCTACGGCGTCTCGCTGGGGAGGCGGTAACAGTCGGGATTGTGCGGCAATTAGAAGAGGAAGCGGCTGGATGGGCTGGTGGTGTCGGATTGACACCTTGGAACCTAAAGTGTGTCATGATCAAGCCCAGCGCGTAATACATAGCAAGGTACGTTCGCTTACCATGTTGATGTACCGTAAACACCCATAGGCAAACTGTGATTCAAGTCAATATCGTCCTGACGAAGGAATGGCATTTCTTGCGTACTCATCATCAGCATCACAAGATTCGAAAGTGCCGGCATCGTAATTGGCGGGCATGTTCTAATCATATTGGTTAGTATTGATACTACAAAGAGTGTCATAGAATTACCCAGAAGCAACCCATGACATCGTAGATGTGCTGACAATTCCGGGCAGCGTTGGGGCCTATGCATGCACGGAAGCAGAACTCAGTGTCGGAAATGAACGATGTCCATTCATGATACTGCCTAGCTGCACCGAACGTGTTGCCGAAGACCAAGCCACCGATAGGGTTGCCATTACCGTCAGCGCCGTGCGGGTCCAATTCTCCACCTCTACAGACGCCAAGTCACAATTGTTAGAATGATGTGCAGCTCGGGGAACTTACTGATCGCCGCGTCTAATGTTGATTTTGGTGAAGTCTCCTACACCTGTCACTTGCACGTAGTCCGGAGTCTTCACGAAGTGGACGCCTGTCAACGTGCCAGCGGGCATTGTACGAGCTCCTCGGCCGGATTTCGTACACCAAGCAACCTCTTCGCGCTCTGTGTCACCAATGGTACTGCCTGGGTTGGGTGGGGCCCACAGGCAGAAATCATCCACGTCGCTGGAGAAGAGTGATTAATTCATGGAGAAAGACAACGATGGTAGTTCAAGTACTCACTTAATCCAAGCGGTTTGGCACTGGGATGTTTGAGAACTTCCGGTGCCACAGTTGTTCGTGCCGCTTTGGCCGCTCTCAGAGGTTTGGGGAAGGGCATTCGCCATGTATCCCGTGTTCCACACTTGGTTTGGGTTCGCGCCGCTGCACGCCCAGAGTTGGATCTGGCAAACAACTGTGAGAGGAGGCACATGATAGCCACGAGCGACGCACTCGATTCCCATCGCTTTGGTTGCCGTCTGTGAGATCCATGCATTTGCCATGGTCGGTCCAAGCGAGGTGGTAATCGCTCTGGATCACATTGTGAGTGACCGACCAAACCTCGAAGCCGCCTCATGTGCTTTACCGTATAGAAGAATTGCTGGTTCGCATTCGGAACGTTGCAGGTCCAGATTTGCAGCTTGACACCATCGGCCGTGCTACCGTCCGTAACATCAAGACATTTGTTCCCAAATACTTTGACAGAACCGCCGTCGAAGGTCCACTTTTGTGCATCGGCACCAGTGCAGCCTTGAATGGTGACGACGGCTCCATCGTTATTGGACGCGGCAGTCAAGCACTTGCCTACGAAGCGGATGAGTAGGTACAGGGGAATGCAAGAAGCGAGAACGTACCGTTGTTGACTCCGGGCTCTATGAGCAAAGCGCCGAGGTAACTGCGGGACGTTGGGGATTTCAGTGTTATAATCTAGCTCCAGTAACCGCAAAGGTACGCACGCAGGTTTCTGAGCTGCTGCACCCGACAAAAGCAAGGCCGCGAGGCCCAAAGAGAGAAAGAAGGACTCCATTACTGAAATCGATTATAGTGGAACGAATGTGGGGTTGTAAGGAATGTGGGCTTTTAGCTGGAAGAACGAAGAAGAGGAAATAACCTCAACGAAACTTTCACCTCGAAATGTTGTTTCTTTTATACGCGCGTGATCAGTTTGTCAGGCACATGGAGCTTGACGAGAAACGGAGAGATTTGACCGGTGAGGATATAGGATGATGTCTCGCTTCGAAAGCGGCCGGTGACCTCTGTGAAGCGGATATCGCGTTGAGCATGTCGGACAATACGCGCCAGTATGCAGCGACCGATCCCGTTCTCGGCACCAAGAATGTAGGAAGCTAGTAAGCGACCTCAAATGACCTATGCTTGAAGCTTGAACGCTAGTCATCTAGAGCGAGCATTAGGTATTTTTAGATCTGGTCACACACACACCAAGGACACTGCATGGGTCGCGTTTACATATGATATGGGTTGATATATGATGGGATAATGTCACAACTGTCTCATAGAATCGTAGCCCTGGTTGATTGAACTGGAATAGCATTCAGTGAAGACTCTAGTGACGAAGTTATTATGATTGGGATCCGTTATGCCTGGTATCCTCCCCAAGGCCAGAAGACCGGAACGGTTCTAGGCATGGATTAGTGTGAGCAATGAAGGGGACCGCCCAGTGTACTACGACGTACCGCTTGTAATCTTGCCACTTGGGGTCAGAACCAAAGCGTTTATCCCCCTGTCTTTCCAAAGGAGGCACCCCCGAAAGCTAAACGCGCATGGATGAGCAGGTAGGCTAACGGTTGAGACGTAAAGGAAGTACCGACCTTTCGGAGGATGTAATATGTGAACAGAGGGCTTGCCATGGCTAGGGCGACCATGCCCCGTGGATAGTACGCCACTTGAAGGGAAGACGTGGAAAGCAGCCATATGGCAGTCTGTACGCCTATCTCACCGACGTAGCTGTTCTCGAGCATCAGAAACGACGTGATATGCTTTGGGGGGAAGCAGACTTACTTCGGATGTCTACTGATGCCCCAAAGGCCAGAGGTTAGGAACTTCTCGTCATGCTGCTTGGCATCTTTGGCTTTGCGCCAGTAGTGCTTCTGCATGTCCGCCACAACCTCGAAGATGAACGATCCGGCGAATAGACCAATCGCGGCGTAATCCCGTGTGCCTAGAGGTGGATGAATACCAACCGGCGCAATGTTGCACAGGTAGACTGGCAATCCAACGAGAAGGATCCAAGTGGCTGTGAATCTCAATAAGGAGTTGTGCTTGAGACTAGGCCACCGCAACTCGCCTTGGGCAACCCAATAGAAACTGAATCTTCTTGGGTGCATCTTTATCTCATCAAACCGAGAGTCGCCGCCGGCTTGGATAGCTCTCTAAATACCAATTGATATGTGGAAACACCGGAATCATCGCCAAGACGTTCTTGAACTTACTGAAGCAAGATATGTCCCTAACCGCGCCGTCCATAGGCCCAGCGCAGCACTTATCAACACTTGCCTAGGTGCAAATGACAAGATCGAGGGCAATGATGCCAGGGTGCCTTCCAGATATTTCGCCTTCAACGCCGGAAAATACAGTGACATTCCTATGGTCGATAGGTAGCCCACAGAACCACAGAGATCGTAGAATTTGTCGTTGTGCTGAGGGACGAATATTGACGCGAACACTGCGAGGATACCGTCAGTTGACTTGCAAGACGTGTAACAGAGATTAAACGTACGTATTTGAGCTCCATATGCACTACCAATGACCGGGAGTAGCTTCGAGAATACGCCTGGCATGAGAGTTTCGACGTGGGCAATGTTCACAGAAATGCGGGGGGATCAAGGGCAGCATTTCCAGAGAATATGGTACATTAATAACGAGCGGGGTTACGCAGGGATTGTTTCAAGGTTCCCATCCCGGATGCGCTGGGCGACGACCGCAGATGAAGCCAATTTGAAGGAGAATCCCAAGGGGGTGAGATGGGCGACAGTGGACGCAAGTGGACCGCTGTGGTGGCACACAAGCGCTCCGACCCGAACGACTCGCCCGTGACCCAAATTTAGGGTTCTCTTCTTGACCGCCATCATCTCCATATCGTGACCTAAGGTCTCCGTGCCCAAGAAAAATGAGCGGTGTTTGAGCTCCCAGACACAAATCAAATCCAATTCTTCGTAGAGTGCAGGGTCCGCGTCAAACTTCAAATAGTCATCAAATCGCGGTTGACCGCTTTCTGGTTTGACATCGCCTCAGTCATATTAGGTTGGAATCACATAGAGAACCTCTGTAATGTGAACGCTGAAGCACTCAAGAAGAAGCATGGCGGTGGATGCAGCGGCGCCATGGTGCGTACAATACAAATCACCTTCACGTTGAGGCTAACGTACAGTGGATGTATCTTCGTATATGCCACTTTATGCATAGTCGGATTCGGCGAGGTCTCGCGTCCCATGTTGTGATGCGCCGCTTCGGCAATTTGAACCAGTTCGCTGCGGGTGCATATATTGGGAAAAGAACCTTGTCACAGGCAGGGGGAATTACTGGCTTCTCGAATTCCCGAGTACACAATTCCTATGGAGCCTGTGAGGCCCGCTGCTTGGCGAAGGCCGGAGAAGAGCACCCGTACATCCCACTATACCTGTTTTTGCCGTAGAAGCACGGATTCTCCCAAGGATTTACAGGCAACATCCTGCATCGACGATGAACAAAGGTTCTGTGCCACGTTCACTGAGCACACTCTAACCCCTTGTCTTCTAGAGTTCACCATACCAAAAGGCATGTCAGGGCTTGCGCAGATCAGTCCAAAAGAATGTATAGTAACGAGGTAACCCAGGCCATACTTTTAGGCTCAGAAGCGTCTTCCGCATCCAATTTCGCGTTATGGCTCGCCTTTCGTGGCAGCATTGGAACAACGAGACAAGATACAAGAAGATTCAACGAATGCGCCATCTTAATGCCGAAGAACACAGGAATGCAACTGTCCTCCCAGGCAGGAGGAGAGACGATTGATCACTGCGAGACGCGCCTTCGATCGCCGAAGTGCGCTGGACACTTGGGTATAATAAGCAATTGATTCTCTTCTTTGTATCCTATGACATAGCAGAAACTCTAAATCATGCAAATCCGAGAGAAGCACGAGACTGCGTAAGTCCTGCTTGTGTCAAGAATTGCTGGGCATCGAGCATCCTAGAAGCGAGGGAGATTAATCATTCGGGCGACCAAGACCGATACGATGGAGAACGTACATTACACGGACGAGGTTAATCGAATTGGGAAGCGTCCGATTCAAAGCAACGTGCAAAGCAGCAATAGCTGGGTCAAGGTCGGACATCATCGTGGTATACGTCGTTAATGAATTGACTTGTTTCAATCCAGCAGCAGTGCTAGCAACCAGTCTGTAATACACCACATGAGTCACTTTGGCAACATTACGCACGCGGGTGGACTTACTGAAGGGCTACGGCGTATGTGATACTGATGTCGTCGTTCGTCGGGAAATTCGTCGTGTCGCCGCTACTGACAGCCGTGTTCGTAATGGTGGCTGCCGCGAGGGTGAAAGCGTCGGTGAGTTCATTGAGTTCGTTTCTAACTGTCAGATCAGTGGCACCCCCCGAAGCTTGTAGCGTATCTGCCCACAACCGTCTGGTCAGTTGGCTTCGTAATGCAAGGTAGGCTACCACTTACTTAGCTCCGGGATATTAACATGAATCTGTCGGGACAGAACAGAGATGGCCTGGTAGATGGCTGGATTCGTGTTCGATGACTGCCTTGGGTGCAAGGGTGAGGCGACGACCGAAACCAGAAGGGCAGCGACAGAGACGAGGAGTGAAGGTCGGAAGAACATGTCTGCGATGCTATTCGAGGAGATCGGCAAGCTGGAGATACAAACCCGCAAAAACGACTCACTTTTATACCGCCTCGGGGCAATGATTGTCCTCAGAACTTGACGAAACAAGGCACATGGGTCGTCTGCTAGCCAAGACCATTCACGAAGGGAGTTATTGCATAGGGCGCGACGGCCAAGACTTTTGCGTACGTCAATTGGCCACCATTGTCACTTACCATCATCCCAACATAGATCAATCACCGGCACCGACGATATTGGTAACACAATATAAACAGCCAGATACACAAATGGCAGTAGGCATGGGTATTTCTGATGGCTACTCCATTGAAATAACGGCGTTGTCATTGCGTATTAGGTGAGTACGGAACTTGGAGACCTCGTGGAACAGCGTTGACGGTGGGAAGGTTGGTGAAATAGAGTTGCTGATTGACCCAGGCGGAATTGACGCGTAGTCGTGGAATCTAGCGATCGTGCGACGCAGTCCGAGTATCGCGTAATACGGAGGACGGCGGTGAGAATAAGCATCAAGCCCCGGACAGTTGGATCACACGGCGTTGGAGTTCTACCTAACGTTCAAATGACTCGATGAGTAGACTAAGCATTCAGGTGGACCAGAACTGAAGGCTTCTTGTCCCAGATAGACCTTTCGAGGCAACAGACACTCGACACGGTACGCGTGCTGTCCCTTTTCCTCGGCTAGAACTAGATCTTCTCGGAGTCACATCGATGGGAACAATGTTAGTGATGCAAGCTTAATGAGAGGTGGATGTACAAAAATAACACGCCCGCCCGTATCTGCGACACTCCGGGTGACACGCATCACGCGTCTCTTTCACTATCTCCCGCTCGCGACTCTGGCTCACTGCCACGACCATGAGACTCGGTCGACGTTATGTGGGGCTCTGTCCTTAAGCAGTAAAGCTGTTTCCCTGTTTCCCACCCTGGCCTTCAATCGCAGCGGCCTTGATTGGTTATGTCGTGGGTGGGATACAATGGCCGGCCGAGACGCGACGTGAACGACATCAAGCAATGAATGATGATGGAGGTGTCTATTCTTTTGCGTCCATGTGGTAAAATACTATAATCCCAGGGCTTGGCCTTATATTTCGAGGCTTGGCTGATTTCATACGCTGCGTAGCTCCAGTCAGCTAAGGTACCCATCCATCATGTTCGCCTCTCGTCCCATTCTGTTCGCACTCGTCGCGGTCACCGCCCTTGCCAAGCCGCTGGAAGTACGGCAGACGACCAACACCAACGCTCAGATTGAGCAAGTCGTTGACAGTCTAGACGAGAGTATTCACATCATAATTCCGAATATCCGTGCGTTTGTCCGTACCTAACCCTCAACACCTGCTGACCTGGACGGCAGTTACTCTCCAGGCCCAAGAGCGGGCTACGGATGCCACCATTGGAGCGCAAATTACCCAATTGGTTACGGCCTTTCAAACATCCACCAGCGATTTCACCCAAACTCCCATCAGCAGTGGGTCGACTACTGACTCCCCTACCAACGACGAAATCAGTGTCTTCTACGCGGATGGACTACAGTAAGTTTCCGAAACCGTGATTCTGTTGATATTTAATCAACGGTCTTTTTACAAAGACAGGTCGCCAGTGGTCTTTCAGGCCTCGGTCAAATTCCTGAATTGACTACACTGTCATCAATGATGACAGCCCTGGATCCTGCGATAGCTGCCTCCGTGCAGGCTTTCAACAGAACCTTACCCGGCGCGATAGGATTTGTCAACACATTGTACGTTGTCAAGCATCTGTTTGTTTTTGATCAACTAACTGTTCATGAACACAGGATGCTTGATGCGCAGCAATTCCTAACGCTAGACGGGTTGACTCAGACTCGTAGTGCTCTCGGTTTTGCGTAGAAGGCTGGATATACTTGTTTTACAGTACATTAATTTATTCTAACGGTTTCTCCTGCGTGGCGTGGAGATTGTTGGATTGTAAAGTACGCTGCTGTCTTCCTTTTGGGGGTTTGACCCAAAAGCCCGCGCTTTTGTCACCAGGCATTCTTAGTGGCTCACAATGGATGTCGCTACACTGGAAGCAAGGGAGTTAAAGTATTCATGCTTCGAGCTAATCTTTTTTCTCTAAGATCACAAAGTACATATATTCCTACCGTACTATGTAAAACAAGGACCCCATCCTCGTTGAACATTCTGCGCCTCTGTTAACTTTCACAGATTTCGCTTGCAACATTATGGGGGGCCCCTCCAATATGGCCCATCTCCTAGATTCCGGCTGTTGGTTCTGTAGAACGGACGACCTAGCGAGGGCTCTACAGTAGTATGCGAGATTATAACCGGTGTAGCGATGGATTGCATACCTCAGGATACTTGTGGTTCGAAGCCGGTATAGGGAGCGCCTTGATACTAGGCGCTAATACTAAAGCGGAAAGGGAATGTACATAAAAGGAAAGGAGTAATGAAGTAAACATGGTGTTGCATTTCTTTATAGGTTCCCTCTTATTTCTACAATGTAAACCTATCAGTAGCTCATACAGATAATCTATCCGTGGTTAATACCCACCTCCCCCCTACAATCTGCCTCCATTCGTTAACCTCTGTGGACCACCTCGAGCTTAATACCTGTATATACCTGTGTTCAATCCATTGCCATAGATCCCTTTATATGATCTTAGAAAGTACATACTTCACACAGATTTGCCAAACCGTCTGCAGGGTAGATTTTCAATGACCAAAGATGTATCTCTTATGTATGTCAAGCCCGGAGCAAACGGGATGAGGTATATTCCCACAAAGGCGTCTGGAATAAAATCTTAAGTTCTATGGGAACGATAGTATGCAAAACACAGCGAAACACATGATAGTAATGGGACTGAATCTGGAGTACTTGAAATAGTGTACTTGTAATACCGTATGGAATCAGGGAGTAGCAAAAGAGTAACAAAAGAAACAAGTTAAACGTGAAGTACAAGTACAATTATGTGAAAGGACAAACTACAAGACGACTGCCGCGCCTTGATCCCAGTCCGCCTTTGATATGGCTCCAGCATGACGGCAAATCGGACATATAACTGCTACTTCATCACCTTCCACATGCTCATCCTGCCCTTGAGAAGCGATCCGTTCTGCGCTGACTAAACAGGAAGGATGAAAGGTGTGTTCGCAGACTTTGCTGCCAACTTCGGTCGCGGGTAGATGGTCGGGAAGGTAATGGATGGACAACTGGCTCATCGTCTTCGTCACAACAGGGTCCTCGTCTGAGGGTCCTACACCACAGCTGACATCGTCACAACGCAGGCCAGCTTCCTTTTCCTTCTTTTCTACCCGTTGACGGAGGGTCGCGCCAGGGGCCGGCGGTGGTGACCACTTCCTCGTCTCACGAAGGGAGGGGCGTTGACCAGCAGCCCTTGAACGGAGTCCTGCCAACAAAGGGAACCCATCGAGGATGTTAGGGGGACTATTAGGGTCTCGTTGAGTACCAGCTGGCTGGGTGGTACCATCAGCCGCTGGTTGAGCAGGAGGGATCCCGAAGAGGTCAACAAGGGACCTAAATGGCGTTGGGTTCGCAGCTTGGGCGTTCGTTGCAGTAGTTCCTGGAGGGTTTGCTGATGGAATGGAGGTGGGCTGAGCTTCTGCTTGGGGTTGTCCCTGGTGTGCGAATCGGGCCAAGAGCGGTTGGTATTCTCTGGCCATTTCCTCGAAGCTGGGAAGAGGGGGGAGCGGTCCAAGTAACGCCTCGTACCGTTGGACGAATTCGTCAATTGTCGTTCGTGGCCGCTGAGCATCACCGGAGTTGGCACCTGGATTATTCGGAGCTGGGGCAAACGCCTGCGCAAGCTGAGCTGGTACTCCAGCTGGCAAGCCATTCGCAGCAGCTTGTTCGGCGTCCTGGGGCTGTACCTGTGGGGGAGGGAGTTCATTGGGAATGTTAGCACCTGAAGGTGGCATCGAGGATGTCCCTTGGTTCTCTCCTGGCGTGGCTAAGTTGGTGGGCGTGCCGGGCATAACATGGTTTGCCATTGTTCCAAGCGTGCGCATGATCACATCGCCTAGCGAGCCGCGAGGACTGTTACCATTGGACTGCCGTTGGTCCGACGACGCTCGACTGGTTTGAGGAGCGGCGCTTGCATTTGTAGTGGCAGGAGCTGGTGCCGGGGACGTACCTCCTGCGTTCGTGGCATTGGAGGCATTGGGGACAGTAGGATTGCTCGTTGGCAGCAGGTTGCCAAATAACTGCTGTAGGAAACCCATGCCCATGCCGCGAGGGTGGCGGCGATGGGCACGCGGTGCTGGCTGCGGTTCCTGGGGTGGTATACTGTCGGTGTTGATATTATTGACTGCTGCAGCAGGTTGGGGATTAGCCTGCGGGGCATTTGCCGGAGTATTTGATAGAACGCCATCCGATGCTCTATTTCTAAGTGCTTCAAAGAATGCTGCATCTTGCGTATCTTGTTGGGCCATGTTGCTCAAGTCAAGATCCAAATCCATGGCGAAGTCGTCGGGAGCACCGAAATCCATGTCTATGACATGATTGTCGAGATGGAAATGCTGCGTGTGGACATGATGATGATGTACATGATTGTGCTCGTGTGCTTCAGGGCCAGGAGCGTTGTCACCAGCAGGCTCGTTAGTTGCTGGTTGACCGCTCGGTGGTTGTTGAGGATCTGCAAGATTGTTTGTTAGTAAGTCGTCTCAAGCAATGGCTAGCGATAACTGACTTAGTCCCGGGACGCGTCCAACATCTACAGGGATGACATCAAATACGACGTCGACACCGCCTATCGGGAGATGGGCGTGGTATACAGTTCTGGAAGCGCCTGGTGGAAGTTGAGGAAGTCCTCGGCCCCGTGCCCAGGCATTGGCAGTCGCATTGTTATCGGCAGGTGCGTCTATATTATCTGTAGTGGCAGACTGGGGGGCGCCTTCACGCGGAAGGGATTGGGTACGCCGCCTTGGTACGGACTGCGACCGCCTCTGAGCTCCTGCGTTAGCATTTGGGCCATTACCGCCATCTACTAGCACTAGTGGCACTTGAGTTCCGTTAACACTCAGCATCAATGGCGGGCGGCCGGCTGCTGGAGGGGGTGGGGCGCCATGAGGAGCACCTGCCTGATCTGTTGTCATAGTTTGCACGAAGCCAGGCGGAAGGGCGAACGGTCCAAATGGCATGCCCGCCATACCCCCCAAGTTTCCTAAGCCAATGCCGCCGGGCCCTGCAGCGCCTTCCGCTGGTTCTCTTGCTCTTCGTCCAATTCCCCAGATGATTCCCTCTGGGTCGATGTTGAATCGGCAAGTAGGGCACGTCGTTCTCATGGGTTTCGAGAACCAAGGTACCAAGCAAGATGCGTGGAAGGCATGCGAACATGGTAGAACAACAATCTTTGGTAATGGTTCCTCATCTGCCTCAGGTACGGTCGTTGTCAGTGGAGTAGGGGGGGCTGACGTCGTCGAGGATCCAGCGGGCTGTTGAGGAATCTCAGCTTGACTGCCACTTCCACCGGACGTGGCCGCAGCCCCTCCTTGGTTCGGAGTTGTAGTTTGTGCCGCTTCGAAGGGCGCCGTTGCCTGAGGATCAGCCTCTGCACCAAAGCCGGCATCCTCCAAAAGACTGTCCCAACATATCGCACATCCCCCCATACCGCTCTCATCCCCTTGCGTCTTCAAGGCATCCATTCTCTGAGCCAAGCCTTCCGGCACTTCTTCTAGCCCTCGTACAACCATCCTACCCCTTCTCCTGTCTTCGCCGCTGGCCCCTTCCAATGCACCGAGCGCTGTCGTAAGGACATCTGTCATCGCCCTCACCTGTCTGAGTAACTCTTGGGTTTGAGCGAAGGAGTCCCGAAGATTGGGTCGCGGCGCTGACGGGGGTGCAGGATTGGCAGTCGCATTAGTATTTCCACCGTTTGCCTGCCCGGAGGTATCTCTCTGGTCGGCAGAAGGCGGTGTGGGATGATCGTGATGTGTATGAGCATGGTCGTGATCCTGGGGTGCGGGTCGGTTATTAGCATCAAGAGGGCGCACGACAGGAGGGCCGCCACGGAGTAAATCGAACGTTATTGCGACGCCATTGGGACTATTGGCAGCCAGTGAGAACCAGTCAGTAGGCGCTGCAGTATCAGAGCCTGGGATAGATTGAGGATTACTGTTCCCGCTGCTATTATTATCTGTGCCAGTGCGAAGGTTATGGTGATGGCCGAAGAGAGTGAAAGGCACGCCGCCGAAGTGTGTTTGCATTTGAGGTCCTCCTACAATAATGTGTGTATGGCCCGACATAGTTATCAATGAGGGATGACGGAACACGAGCGTGAGGCCATTAGTGGTTTCCGAGTTCAACGAGAGGGCGATTTGTGCATTACCAGTTCTTTGCGAAGGGTGCCTACGGTCTCTATCCGCATCCTCATCATCCTCTACCCGCGGTCGTCTATTTGCTCTTTGTGGAGTCGAGGTACCTGACACTGGTGGGGTCGAAACATCGCTGTTTGGGGTAAGGCTGGAAGATAGAGCGGGCAGAGGTTCTAGAGGGGGCATTTCTGGGTCGATACTGCTGGCCTCCATGCTATCCAACACCATTCCGTCGTCTGCGTTGATGCTACTATCGTTGCCCGTCGACGATGGCTGTTGGCCTTGATTAGGCTCCGACATGTTGGCATCGCTGGTGTGTGCCATTGGCAGGGAGCTCGGTGCAGACTGCCGTTCAAGCGTCGCATTTACGTTACTAGTTTGGATATTCGCCGCATTCAAGTCGACCACAGTCGGCAACTCGACCGCTATAGCGTCGCGTCTGGAATCGGGATGCTCGCTGGGAGGGGGTATTGTGCCAACGTCAGTCGAGGGTGCGTTGCCCGCATCCATCGTCGTGGGCTGTTGAGCGCCTTCTGCACCGCGTTGCGAATCAGAGGAATCCATGATGGAAGTGGTTGAAGCGCAGATGCAAGCGTCAAGGGGAATGTCTTCTGTCATCTTCTGCCAAGCAGAACCAAACAAGCCATAAGCACTGGCTCGCTCGGGAACTTGCTGGAACCTGCACATATGAAGTATGTTCAATATTTATTTCCGTGATAAAGTAATCGTCTAGGTAGGGCTGGTGCAGCAGTACAGCAGTCGCATTAGTAGCTAGGTACATTTCCTTTTCATAAATCCGCCCCCAATAACAATAATAGGTGAGCATGTTGAGATTATCACTGGGCTTTCCCAAGGGCTTCCTTCTCTTTAGCAGCATTCAGCGCCTTAACTTCGAGGAGTGGGTCGAGCGAAGACTCTGGCTGGCGATACGACCCAGACCATCGATCAGCCCATGTGAAGTACTAGGAAACCTGTTAGGATCGCCGCATTAACTTAGCAAGCGCGAGAACTCACCTGGCCGTAGTTCACGGTGAAGTACAAATGATGCAGTGTATGGTGCGCCGGTCCGTTTATGATCTTCTCCAGGGCATGCCCTGTAATCATGTCGGAATCATGGATCTACCATGCCGTACTCGGTCAGAACATCCGGAGTAAAATATGGAAAGCAGAACTCACAAAGATGGACCAGATGTTGACGAGGACAAACAGGACCAAGTGTAGAATGCGGTGCAGGGGGAAGAGGTAGATATACAGGTGGTAAGGGATGGACTGTAAATACCCGTCAAGTGGATGGAACGCGTGGGATGCGAAGGGCGTGGGGACTAATCGAGTACACTATTAGCTTTGAGGGTTTCAGCAGGAGAAAGAATGGGACGCACTCAGCCATTTGTGGTGGGGCTTGTGAACATGCTTGTACACGAAAGGGGCATGAAGACCACGGTGGATCCAGTAGATCAGATAATCCGTGAAGAGGAGATATCTGGAAGCAATCCATCAGTACAGCCCAACAGCGTTTAACCTAAGCTCTCACAATGGAACGCTCGCAATCAAAAATCCCCACCCATACTCCTCCACATTATCGTACAGCCTCGAGTACCCCATAACTTCCCCTTGAAACCACGGTAGCGTCAACAGGATCATGCCAGGGAACGCCTTCAAGCTCGCCCGTATTTCGAGCTTGACTTGATTCTTCAGAAAACGCGGGTGCTTCATCATTTCATGATTGAAAATAAATCGGTAGGATAGCCATGCGAACAGGAAGTACAGGACGTGTATTCCGATATACGTCAAGGTAAGAATTGAGAGTATCTGCCGGGGGACGTAGTCGCGCGGCCATGCGGACACCAGCGGTGCTGAGGCATACACTGTTTCCATTTCTTCAAGAGGGAGCGGGGGGTGCGGCAGTTTCGAGACGAAATGCGTCCATGTCGACGACGACCCAACGGCTGGTAGAATTGTCGAGCTGTTCAACGTTTGGAAGGTATGCGCGCTCGAAGCGAATGCGGACACGGGAACGAGGGACGCCCATACCCGATCGAGAAATAGGTGGTCGCAAACTTCGAGAATGAGATCCATGAGTGCGCTTCGAATGGGGGGCGGGGGCGGCGGGATCCTTAACGACGGCGGCAGCGACGGGGACTTCCTGGACAGCTGCCGGCCTCCTGCACTTTATATAGTGTTGGCAAAGGGAATTATCATGCCATTTGGATTTTTGCAGCTGAGGCACGTGATCGTGTGATAAGATTATTTTGTCAGTGGGCCGAAGCGTGACACTTTGAAGGTGGGCAGACATTGAATACTACGCGGGTCTGGTGGGGTCTGGCTCCCTCTAGTGGTAGCAGTACAAAATGATGATAGAATAGCACGAGCGTCCAAGTCGAAACATTACAAGAAGATAGGTAGCCGAGAGCGAATAATAATTAGGATAGCTAGAGGGCACATACAAAAGTCGAACGAGCTGGGTATCATCATGCACACCGTCTATAGATCGAACACAAATACAACATCGGGGGTTAGTAGGCGTACAACAACCAACCATTACTTGTCCTTCATCCTCGACGAGCCGGAAGGGGGTTGGTACATGAACGGATGTTTTGACGGCGGCATCTCGCTCTGAGCAGAATGCTTCGGCTCGCTGCCCGTCCTCTGCTGCCGATAGTAGCTCATCCTCTGCTGGCTATCCACCGCACCGGGTGCGGTTGAGATCACCGGCGCGTTGCTCGAGGCAACGTGCGGCATGGGGTATGGCAGCGACGGACTCGTCGTCGCAGAGTACTTCGAATGAGAGGATGAGTTATGGAGCTTGGATGGAGGAGCAACTGGGCGAGGTTGATTTTGCATGGCGGGAGACGCGGTAGGCGTAGTGGTCGCGTGACTCATGGCAGGCGACGCCGAGGCAGCAGCGATATCGGGACCGGGGATGTTGCTAGGAATGTTCGCATTTGCCGTATGGGGCGTTGTGGGTATAGACGACGACGAGACTTCCATCGCTGCTTCCGTATCCCGCCGACGCTTGACGCCCCGACCTGTGCTCTCTTTCAGGCCGAGACTCGTCGCTTTTATGAGTATTTGATGTCTGCAGCGCAACATGAATTTCTAGGTTTGATGCAACACCCCCAGATACTCACCGTGTTCGGCCATGCCCCCATTGGCGACAAAGCCAATCCCAGTCAATTTCCCCCGCGCTATTGTAACTCTTGCTATCCTCCGCAAGTCTCCGCAGTCTGTCCACTTCTTCGTCGGACCACGACCCCTGCATGCCAGGACCTACGCCTGTAATCATCGTCGGGTTCGAAATGCCCGAAGGGGTAGTCGACGTCATCGTCGGGGTCGTTGCTGAAGGTGTCGTAGACTGGCTCGGTTGCTGTGATTGCGATTGCGATTGCTGCTGCGGTTGATGCTGTGGCTGCGATTGAGGCTGAGGTGGCTGAGATGGCTGATGCTGGGGTGGTTGCGGTTGCGGTTGCGCGGGTGTTTGTGGTGCTTGCGCTGGCGGTTGGGGCTGCACCTGTATAGGCGAGCTCGTTGTCGGGGCCGGATTACCTGGTGCGACAGGCTGCTGTGGAGGGGCGGAAAAATACGCCGTGCCCGGTGGGTAAGAGTACGGGTAGTACGGGGCATATTGGCTGCCATATATGGGCGCGTATGGAGAATGTGGGTACGCGCCTTGTGCGCCGAGAGACACGACAAAAGATTGAGGGTTGGTGATGACAGTGGGAGGGGAGGTAGCTGGCGGTGCACCGTTGGTAGCGGGAGTACTAGAGGGTCCAGCAGAGGCGTTAGTTGGCATAGGCTGCGGCGGATAAAGGGTGGGGATGACAGTGTACATTGGTGGTGGCGGGCTTGAGATTAGCCGCGATGGGTTAGCTAGCTGCAGCCCTTCGTCAGCGAATCTCAGACAACGTCTATTTCATGCCTACCAGCGTATCGCAGACGCGCTTCGCGTCATTGAGCATAACCAAGGGATCGACCTTGCTCCCGGGACCCATCTGGTAGCATTGTGCTACGACGAGTGGGGGCGTTCCTTTCTAAGGATCACAACAAATCAACCAACGGCTCAATTTATCTTTGACAATATCGCTGACCACCAGTTCCTCCGCGGCGCCATAGAACTCGGCGCACAGGTTCAGCACTCTCCACTGGAACTCGTAGTACTGCTGATTCTGTGCATTGACTTCCGGTAGTTGCGGCGGTGCGGTCGCCGTCGACGAGTTCGCACTTAGCGTCTGCACCTGTGTCGAGGACGAGCCGGGTTGTGTAGGAGTTGGTCCCGAAGTTGATCGGATTTTGCGGTTCTTGGATCCTTTTGGACGGCCTGGCCGACGCTTCTCAGTTTCTTGCTGTGATAGTTGTTGTTGCGACGACGACGCATGCCCACGCGATGGTTGACTACTTCAAGTGCAGCACATAACATAACGATCAGTACTTGAATACCATACGGAAGTGGAGTATCGTAAAGGGGGACGACGGGGGGACGGTAATACACACCCTGATGCTTTGGGTTTTGGGGAATTATGGCTGGGATTGTCATCGCGTTGCTGGAGGTGGTCTTCGACCATGCCCTCGTCCTCGTCGTCATCCTCCTCTTCCTCCTCGCGGTGGTGCGTGCCCGCCACATGGCCCGCCGTTGCCGCAACACTGCTTCTGTGATACGACCCATTCGCTGGGTATATCTGCTGCGCGGGGGTCGGCTGGATCAATGCATGCGACAAGGGTTGATAATGTTGGGGGTTGTCCATTCTGCCAACGTCTGTAAATGATGGCGCACGCACTCACACTCGACATCGCCGGCACACGCAAGCAACACGTCGGGTTCTCAAGTACTCACAGGCTGCCGCACAAAAGCAAGGTCGCTATATACCCACCGCTGCCAACCTAGACACATATTCAGAAATATATCGGTTCAGGAGGTTAGTTGTGAACCTGAAAAGTCCGATAAAAGATATTTATTATTCATCATTGGACCAAAATTTACGCACACACCTTTTAGCTGCACTAGAAGTGCTGGGGTCCGTCACTTTGCAGTTACGGTACACGGAAACACTCTGGCGTCGTCGACGGGTCTGTGAGAGGAAGCAAGGCTCGTTCGTTGTGTTCGACGGTGACTAGAGCAATTCCTAATCGTGAGAATGTTGGTGAATCAACACAGCCCTTTCATTATTTTATTTCATACTCCGGCGTCACGCATCCGTCACAAGCCGATGTTTAAGAAGTTTAACAAGCTTCAAGTTCACTTCTGGTCGAAGTATCCGCCCTCGCCGCCTTGGAAGTGCCCTGCTCGATTTCATCGTGGTATTATCCATTTTTTATACGTCAAAAGCTAGGATATAGGCTCCATCAGTCTATGTGAGTAATACCAAAAATGGTACCTTGATGTAGATAACTCTGTTGCAAACTACTATCAAGCCACCGTGACATGCACTTGCCTTCTCAGACGAATCGTGCAGCAAACAAACGAACCTTGTGTGAAGCATTACTGCGGTGGCTCGGGAGTTCAAGTACGGGATCGGGGAAGGATGGAACTCGCGCGGACTCCATCCAACTTAGTCCTCCAAGACAGGATTGCTGGCCAGGGCTTCTGCTACGAAGGGACCTGTGGTGTCAACCGAAGGGATACTGTAGTGCCGATTTCCTGCTGCATCTGAGGGGTCAGCGAGTCAATATGCCTGTCGTAGGAATGTGGGAGCATCTCACTCTGTTTGGTCAGTCCGATGAGCTCTGGAAACCCAGAAGTGCTGGGTGCGAGAGACCGAAGCTAGCAAAGTCGAAGGACCTTGACTCGAATGTCCTCAATGATGGATTCTGGCAATCTAGGCGGTACAGGGGTTATAGGGGTACACGTGACTAATGTAGTATCGCTTCGCGCGCATGTATTATTTCTTCATGTGTTTGCTGGAGTCCCGGTCAAACGCAGTACACTACTTGATCACTCGGATATCGCACGACCCTCGTCAGCTTATTTCAACACTTTGAGTGGGGGAGAAACCACAAAGTACAATGAACTTGGACGTACTAATCAACCGCTTGTTATGTAAACACCAATGAAACCGGCGCTTCGGTCCTATTTCCTGTGCTTGGGGGCTGGGTACTATTGGAATTCACCGCCAGATTACGTTGTCCTACCGCATACTTCGAGATTCTACTGTTAGGTTTTAAGAAAGACTGTCAGAATAACTTATAAGCAGCACCCTTGCGCAACCAAGGGTTGTGATAGTTGGCGTCTAAGACGTTACGCCTTTGATTCCGTGGTCGTCTTTGTACAACAAGACCAAACAAAGATTGCTGTGGGCAGACGTTGACTCCAGCCGCTTGTACTCGAACGTCCATCTGCGTTGCCACTCACACCACCTATTTCACTCATTTGGCTTGTCAATAGACCTCCACGATGCCCCCCTTCGCAGAGCTCATGCGCATGGCGGAGGTCCAGACGAAGGAATCACAGAGCGCCGTTCAAGCTGCGCTGGAGGAACGCAAACGCAAGGAGGACCTGAAGAAGCGGCAGCAGGAGGAGCGAGAGCGGAAGGAGCGCGAGCTGGAGATCAAGCTACGCCAGAAGCACTTTGAGGACGAGAAGCGGGAGCAGGAGCGGCAGAAGCGCAAGGAGCAGGAGAAACAGGCCATCGAGCAGGCACGGCAGCGACGAGAGGAGGAGCAGCGGAACCACCTGCTGGGGAAGAAGCCTGCATCGAAGTGGCCTTCGTCGTCGTCCCATACACAGGCGCGCGAGGACGTGCGCAAGACGAGGGTGCCACTCGAGGACGAGGACGAAGGACCGTCGTTCTTGACGAGGGAAGAGAAGCGTCAGCGCAAACAAGACGCAGAGTGGAAGCGGCAATTCGCCCCGCAGCGACGGACGCCGGCAGCTGGTGGGTACGGCAAGACTGGTCGACGACTGCCGGGTGGTGCTGTCGATGTCACAGCATCCGTCTCGTCGTCGGATGCCCTACAGCAATCGCCGGGTAAGACCGTGCGCGAGCGTCTGACTGCGATGCCGAACACGTTGACTCGACTGAATGTGAACAAACGAGATACTCGAACTATCGATGAAATTCTGCAAGACAGGGCGAAGGCTAAGGAAGCCAAAGTACTGGACGGCGAGAGCGCTAAAGGGTTCAATGACTGGTTCTCGAGTGGCAAGAAGAAGGATGTGCCGAGGTCAGCGCCTGGCTCTGGAACGAACACGCCCACTGCTCGTGAGTACAACACCATTGTGCATTATGATGACGGGTCCTTTACAGCCTATGGTAGAAGGGACTGCAGCCGTTGCCCGAACGCAAGTACCATCGAAACCACTGCCCTCCACCACACCAAGGTCCACCGCACGACCTTCAAACTCCACCTCGCGCGCGTCAAGTTTAGACAAAGCGTCGTCGTCCAGGTCTGCTCCCTCGAAATCGGGCTCTGGGTTAGGGCCCGTAAGGTCGTCTAAATCATCTGCCGTTTCGCACCACTCCAATGGCAATTCCTCGGGATCTCGACCCATCCCCACGAAGAAACGCCCGCGCTCACTCAGTATGTCCGAGTCTCCCCCGCCGCCCAAGAAACGCGCCACGCCACCTGGCGGGGGCGCAGGCGGGTTCCGGGATGAAATTTGGGCATTATTCGGGAAATCTAGACAGGAGTACGTCGACAAAACCGTTGACAGCGACGACGATATGGAAGCCGGCGCGAGCGATCTCGAGAAGGAGGAGAAGTATAGGTGTGTACACTGTATAGGGGGTGACTTCGTGTTGTTTGCTGACGAGATTGTAGTACGCGGGTGGCGAAGAAGGAGGATTTGATCGCGCTGCAGATGGAGAAGCGGGAGCAGGAGGAGAAGGAGCGCCGCCGCCGTCAGAAGGAGGCCCTCATGCGAGAAAAGCGGCGCTGAAGATCCAACGTCAAATATCTACATCCAACAATCGTTTGTCTCATTTCGATATTCTGGAAGAAGGCCCGATACACCTAGAGGTACAGTACTACCGCTAGGGACTGTCCGCACTCGTCACTTTTTATTCCTCGCACTCGCACCTCGTCGCATCCGTCGCATCTGCATCTGCGTTATCTATCACATATTGCCATACCATAGTAACATGTTGTCTTATTACATTGATCTGGATTCTGTATACTGTCGTCACGTCAACTTGTCTCCCGCTTCCGCTTCGTCTGCACAGCACCTACTACACGCATTACCCCACCTCCTGGACTCGCTACTCGAGTAATGTCGCAATCGCAATCTCAACTACATATTCATATTCTGCTAGCTAGTTTAAGATCCATTGTACATTGTATATTAAGCACTCAAGCACTTGCATCGATAATCGGATACTTTAGAATACGGCTAAGAGTGAAAGCTAAACTTTGTGGCAGCTGAAGCGCGTAATTACCATACACTGTTCGCTGGTTCTCTCGTCGACTCATATACCTTACCACAATACTTGCTCAAATGTCCTTACAAATGAATAATTTGAAGATGAGATATTGTTGAGTGGTTTTTAGTGCAGGTACTTTCTACGATGAATAAATATTATGATTGTTAGGAAGCTGGTATGGGGTTGTACAATACTCGTTCTCTGTATGAATTGAGGTTAGTAGATCAATCTTTCCCTTCCCTGTCCAACGCCTAGTTGAATGCGCCACGAAGCCTGCCCACCACGACCAAACCTTGACCCCCGCCTCTTCCATCCACCAAGCTCAGCCGCTGGATAGCACCGTTCCCGGGTCCAGCACTCTTTGCATCTCCCCGCCGCCATGCCTTCACCAACTCCATCCCCTCCACGGGGGGCACCTCGTCACTGAGAGTCCCAACAGTAACATGAAGCCGCGTCCGAATCTCATCCGGCAGATGTTCACGGAAATTCTTCGCCTGCTCCGCACCGCCTTCGTGCACACCAAAGTCGTCCACCACAAGCGCCATGACACGCCCGTCCCAGAGCAAGTCGCTGAATCGGACCCAGAAGAGAGGTGTGTCTTGAACTCCCAAACCATCGACCTTTTTGCAGGCGTCCCATATGTCCTGTTCGGCTGGCAGAGACCGGTTGTGGGTTATCGTAACGTGGGGCCGTTTGGTCACTCTCTCCTTCGCCTTCAACCCCTCCCAGAATTTGTTCGTCGATTCGCCCTCCAGGTGTTTGTCTATCACGGAGGACAGATCCATTTCGGGAAAGACAGCAAAATACCGGACATCTTTCTTCTTTTTCTCTTTCCCCTCATCGGCCTTCTTCGTTGGAACGTACCCCTTCGCCTTGGCCACACCTTCCATTACGAGCACCTTGCTCGGTGGCTCCAAAGCGAGTTCTTTACACAGAGCGTTAACGGCCCTCTCAACCGACTCCTCCAAGCTTTCCTGGAGGTCCATATCCACGACGACGTCGTATTCGCCCTCCGTGAGATCCTCGGCCTCCTTCATGAACTTCCAGACTACACCCTCGTGTCCCCGAGAGGGAGTGTCGTCTGCGAGAAGGGACTGGTGGTTCGTGCCCCGGCTAACGATGCGTTCGGACGCAAGGCGGTGAATTGCTGGCCAGGACAGTGGGTTGGGATTGGAAGAAGTTGGTGTAGGGAAGAGTACATGATTCCAATTTAGAACGAGCAATCGGACTGGAGGGGAGAATGACTTCGTGGCATCCCGGAGGGCTGTACGGTGTTGACTAAGGTGATTGTTCCTACAACATTTTCGATATGGTCAAATATCGAACCGTTAAGCAGTCTCGTCGACGTACTTATCGGCAATAACAATATTGTGCGTCTCGAGGAGGGTTTTGACGCTTCTTACGAATGCGGGTGCTGCCTTCTTCACTGTGATATCGTCTGACTGTGTGTGCCCGAAACCGAAAATATGCGCCAATGCGACAGAGACAGCGGTTTTACCTATTCATAACCATTTGAGCCAATGTGTATTGCGCGATGACAAAACAATGACTTACCGCAACCGGGGATAGCAATAGGTACTATAATAGTCTTGCCAAATGTTTTTGGGCCCTCAACCTGCTCGCCCGAGCTGGTACCATCGACCGTCTCCAGTGTACCGCCATTCGCCTCAAGGATAGCCAGAAACCTTTCCCTCGTCGCAATGATCCCCTTCCCCTTGGTGTATGTCCCAAACTTAGGCCCAAGTTTCCCGTCGTTCTCCTTCAACTCCTGCTTCAACTCCTGGCATACCCACGCAGCATACCTCTGAGTCTCTGGCCTCTTCATCTTCGTCTTTGGCAGCTTCGCCAGAATGTCCTTCGTCGGGGACTTGAAGCTAATCCCCGTATTGTTCTTCGTGGCTTTCGTCAAGGTAGTGATCATCATCTTTGTGATTTCCCTCCAGTCGCGATACATCAAGTAGGGTTCGTCGAATTTGATCTTGAAGAAGAATGAAGAGCCGGGGGAGTAGGGCACGCGTTCGAGTTTGTCTCTGTCAGAACTCCCCATGCCCTCGGTGGGAGGTTGGCCGACACGACAGCGAACGACGAAACCTTCGACTGCTTCGCCCTCCCACTTGCCCGTTTGACCTACCTCGGCAGTGAACTCGCGGACGGCGGTGATGGTAGGCAGTACGATGGAGTGTGTACGAATGAATCCCCACTCTGTTGCGAAGGCATCAACTACAGCCTGATCTTCTGTGTCGAAACTAGCAGACGCTTTATTTAAGCCGTGAAGGTGGAGGCCAGTGAGATGGGGTGGATAGGGGAGCACATGTTCCTCGAACGAGTCGTCGCATAGCTGTTTAGATCTTCAGCACTACTGGTATCCCCGCGCCAAGGAGGTATAAACGCACCTCGAGGATCGCCGTCCAATTCTTCTCCCACAGAACTTTAGCGAATTCCTCCTCCGTTCTGCCTTTCTCTTTAAGATACTTGTGTAACCAAACCTCTCCCATTTGTGCATGGCTGTATGTCACGCCTTCCACCGGCCCCAGTGAGTGCTTAGATGTGACTACAACTTGCGTAGGGGTCAACGCAGCGATGAAAATGATGCAGCCGTTCGATTTGAGCGTGAGCGTGTACGGCGCGACCGTATGTGCTTCAAGCGATGGCCACTGGCGAAAGGAAATACTGTCAGTTCGCAATCAAGGTTCACGACCGACGCGTCGCGCACCGTTGTCCAAGGAACTTCACCGATGTTGAAGAATTTATCGTATCCTCGGGCAACAATCCGATGTCGTTGCTCGCCCCCGTCCCCACTCCCCAACTTCTGGCTGTACAGCCCCCTTGCAAGTGTCGGAAACGGGCTCGGAACGTCGTAGTACTTGAACTCATTCATCTTCCAGCTCCTCACCGTGATGCTGGGGTCCGCGGGTGCTGGGTAGTCCGACCATTTCACGAGCTTTGGAGACCGCCCCGAGAGCGCGATCAGCGAAGAAACCAAAGCCGAGTCCTCAGGCGAGAATTTTGCAGCCGCCATAGTTCGAAGCGATGCAAATTGCGATAATCTGATGAAACCCCGCCGGATTCCACAGCGCGTTAATGATGAGATGACCTGAATATTGGTGGAGCCCACGGCCTTTTTCTAGTGTTCAGACGAAGGAGTGAGTCTGACTCGAACAAATTCATTGGGTGCCAAGAGTGGTGATGGTGGTACGAGTCAGTGTGGGTCCAAATTACAACTTCGAGTCAACCACCAAATTATCGAACAAATTAGTTGCAGCGTGTCTAGCATTGAGGTCGAAGTACAACAATTCAGATATTTTGGGTAACAAGCGTCGCAGGTTCGTGTATATCATAACGAAGAGGACGCTCCTCATGAAGGCATCGTCCAGATCTGCCTCGGCAGCAATGAACCCACAAAGATCGACGTCCCAACAACGCAAAGAAGCGAATAGTACACCATCCATCCCCCGAGATACTGCTTTTCTATCGACAGCGAGAACAAGGAGTTGGCAGTGGCCGGGCCTACATTCATTGATAAGCCATGTCATAATGATGAAAAGCCAATAATGATGGAGGGGACGCACCAATGGCTCGCATGATGCTGACCGTCGTTTGCGCAAGTCCGTTCGTGGCTCCAAGCATAGATCGGCTAGGTGCAGAAGCTGAGATGTAGATGAAAATAGCGCCTGTATCCCAAACATAAGCTCATCCTCCAGACTATGTAATAGCACAAGGTGCACACCGTATGACATGCTCATGAAGACAGATATGGTTATCTGCATCCCAACGACAGCCCATACAAGAAGACTGGTGCCTTGGGATCTTGCCAGGACATTGAGTAATGGGAATGATAAGAATAGAGGGATGGCAGAAGCGAGGCCAACGAGGAAAACGCGCTTTGAGCCCCATCGGTCGTTAATGTAAGCGAAGAAGAACACCTGGATAACACCATTGAGGATGCCAAAGACGGAGAGGATGTTGCCTATGATCTGTGGAGGCAAACCCAGGCCACCCATTTCAACAGGGGTTGAGTAGAACAGCGGCTGGATAGCGCGGAACGCAATGTCGACGAGCGAGAGGCACGCATAGTTCGCGGAGGCAACGACAACCCGACGCGTGAGTAGCGAAGCGAAGGTCGGTTTGTCTGGTTCTGGTTCTGTTTCCGAGTTATCCCCAGAAATCAGAACGCTCTTCTTTGCATCGATGGCAGCTTGACTTCGTTTGCGAAACGGAAGGAGATGTGAAATAGGAGTCGGGGCGGCGACCGTTTCCTTCAGGAGGAAGAGGGTCACTAGCCATGCAACGACAGCAAACGTTGCAGGAACTGCACAAGGAAGGAAGTAAGGGTGGCTTTTGAGAAATTCAGATGCTCCGAAGAGTTCTGGGAAGCGTTCCACTGGATGGGAGAAGGAACCACCGATCATAGGACCCAACGTCGCCCCAGTCGACCATGCGATAGGGAAGTAAGCATAAGCCTATTGGTATTAGACGGTGAGAACCTGCCCTGCCCGAAACGACTGAAATCTCTACCAGCGAAATATTCGTGGAGTCTGTCATTTCCACCATCATACTACAGGATTGTTAGCCTCGCGCACACAGCATAAAGGGCTGCGTAACTACCTTTTTATGACACCAATGTTTCCATCTGAAGGGCAGGCAGAATTAGCATTATCCCAACGTAAATAGATGTGTTCTTACTCAATGCCCCACATAAACCTCGACTAAGGAAACGTGAGTACGAGTGCCTAGCACGTAAAATACACTTGTGACTTGCCTGAACAACAGTCCGACGAATGTACTCGATAGACCGAAGCAATACATCGAAAGTGATATTCCAAACAAGCCTGTGAGGATCACAGGTTTGCGACCAATGCGATCGGAGAGACTACTCCAGTGGAGTACAGTGAACGCTTGTGCGACAAAGAATACAGATTGCTGAGATTATTTCATTGAGCCATGGATTCCATGTCCGAGGGGAATGACTCACCATCATTCCTACATAATATCCAACCTTAGCCTCGTCGCCATTCGTAACGCCGATATCTCTTATGAGCTACATCACAGCTTAGCATCAAAAGTCGAAGCTGATAGACGTTCACTGTCCACTGACCTGGGGCGCAAATGGGTATATGACTTGGGACGTCAACGGCTCGGCGAGCTGGAGGAACAGCACCAGGGAAAACTGGAACCAGGGAAGGGGACTCCGCGGGCTCTTGCCTTGCTCAATTTGCAGCAAGGGGGTCTCCTCGTCGCACTGGGCTTGGGTCATGACTGTTCGTGAAGAGGAAGATAATTTCGAACTTGCTTACCCCCTCCCCCTTGTCCTATTATATATTCCCGTTGGAAGCGAGATCAAGCGATTACCGAGATTAAATCAGAACGTCTACTAGCAAGCACTGACTTCATTGATTGATTAGGTGATTCGCATACCTATTATTCATAGGTCGAAGTCCGGTGCGCACTCGACGGTCGACGCTACGGGCCATGCAGTGGGTTTCAGGTGTGCGATTGACTGGGAACGCGTCCAACGGAAGAACTGCGATACTCCTCATCCTTGAGTTTGTTCCCAGTCGGGCATTCACAGGCTAGTCCGACCTGACAAGCTTAAATTGGGTATCTTCGATGTTGTCGCCATGCAAGAGTGATCAGACGATATTTCGGAATGAGGGCCCGACACGGAAATCAAGCTCAAGGCCGACAGATACTCCGAGAAAGGGGTAAGTTGAAGCAGTCAATATTAAATCCGCGAGTGATTGTATAAGCCATATAAATACTGGTACAAAACATTGGACATATCATGACCAGTAAGAGTTCAGGACCGACGGGGGAACATGTCGGCGTATGAACTTGGGTGGTATACGTTTCCAATCATCACGGCTCTCGTTTGTACGCTGCGTGGGCTCTGGTGCCTTTGCCAGTACACCATCGTCGGGGTTTAGCTCGAGGAGATCTTTGCCTAATGTCTTTCCCAAATTTCCAGTCGTAGGGACTTGGTCTCCACGTGTATGAAATCGCCTCTTCTTGGAGTCACCTGGGGTCGAGGTAGGGGCATCGTCATCGCAGGCATCGGTAGGAGAAGGTGCTCCCGGTGGCTTGACACCATCAGGCTTGGATTCCGGGGGAGGCACATCCCCGGGGCCTTTGCCATCGGCGGAACCATCACCGTTGGGCGCATCGTCAGTGGGATTTGATTCGTTGTCGTCTGAGGGAGCGCCAATTGGGGGGTTGACAGGTGGTGGAGGTGGGGGCGGTGGCAGATCGCCGGGTTTATCTTGATCCCCTCCCGGCGTAGTCACTGGGCTGTTCCCATCGGGCTGCAACGACGGGGCACACGGGCAGAACCCAGGCGGGGTGGTGCCAGGCGGACCATCGACATTCTGAGGCGGAGGCGGGAAGTCTGGGGGCGGGGGGCTCTGGCCATCCATCCCAGAGGGAGGAGGACCATCCTTCGGCATCCCTTTAGGACCCCCTTTAGGACCCCCTTTCTTCTGCATATTTCGGTAGTGCTCAGGAGACTGTGGGCGCACACCAGGCGGGCCCGGAGGGCCCGGTGGCCCAGTCCTTTTCTCATTTGGTGGGGGATGCGGCTCGTCCGTTGAAGTAACGTTGACAATTCTGCGAGCAATCTCACTAGAAGAAATGTCTCGGTTTATTGCTATCGGTGCGACTGTCTGATGGACATCGCGATTTATGGCGATAGCGCGTCCCGATGTACGCTCCGAATATCTAAGTCAATTAATCAGTATGTAGACAAGCCCGAACAAGATGAATGCATACCCGATAGGCGCGCCGTAAGCTGACAAAGTACCAACGGCGGCGAGAACTGCGATGACAGAGGCGGATTTGAACATCATTGTCACGGTGAAGGATGAAGTAGGAGATGATTCGACGACGAAGGGTTAAGAAAGCCGGGGTTCAGTCGTGGGGATGTGCGAAACAAAGTCGAAGCTTCAAAGTTCACTGAGGACGAGATCTAAGGCAACCGGCGCCGAAGATGGGTGAGCACTGCTGAGGTTTACAGAAGGGATAGAGGGGGTTTATATACCTTTGGGTGCATAGTGCCTCAAACGGGTTGCGCGTTACGGCAACCATCTCTGAGCCACACCACCCGGTTGATGGCCTCCAAGTTCGTATGGAAATGGTGCTTCAGAACATCGCCCGCCATGCAATGGGGGTATACAAATCTCGAACAGCAACGCGAAGGGCTCGTCCCATACAAAGAGCGTTTCAGGTTATTTCAGGATGCCTTATCGCCTGGTATCCTGATTTCGTAGGTGTTTCTGCTATTTCAACGCAATGCTGCGGTCTGTCGCTTGGATTGCTGATGGTATTAGTGGAGACTTGAAACAAACGCTCCATGCCCTATTGCCCGACATGGGGTAGTTCAGTGACTGTGAGAGCATTATTACTGGCGGGAACCACGTGCCAGTGGCATCCAGCCCGTTGTTGTTGTCAGCCCATGTCGAGCTTCACTAAATTTGTCATGTACGAATGAGAAAGACAGGCATTGAGAATCAATTACGATGTATATTTTTACTTCTGAAATTCGGCCAAAACCCTCGCCGAATTCACGAAATCCGTCTTGTCAACGTCAAAGTCTATAGTTCGGCTTAATGATGCAGGTACTATAAAGCATCTAGTGGACACACCATCAGGAATTGCAGTAATGTTTCCGCGCATGAGTTGCAGAACTTGTTTTCCAGCTTTAGTATATTGAGGCCATTGGACTGTCCACCTTTTAGCGGAAGCATAAAACAACGACAGTTAAAGATAGTTACCTCCAGGATTCAAATCGTGGACGAAACTGATGTAGAAGCCCAGCATTTGATTAGCAAAATCAGTTTCCACAGCATTCGGGATGGGACCGAATAGTAACGGAAGCTCTGAGGCGTGAAACACTGCACCAATGATCAAACGTTAGCACCACGCGTAAAAATAGTAAAGAGGATTCTGTGAGCACGTACCCCCCAAGTCGGGATTGTTGCCGGGGATGAACTCCTTGAAGTAGTAAGCAAACATCGGTTGACGAGATGCTGCGTTCTCGAAGAAAAGCCGCCTTGGTCCCAGGTAGTTCTGGACTGTGTACCAAGACTCGGCTCTGTCAAAAAGAGAGTCTCCGGTATTGAATGGCGCCCCGAGGGAGGAATCATCGGCCGGGAAGTGGCTGTGGATGCCGTCAAAGACTTCCGATGTGTATGTGCTGTTGTCGATCGCCAGAAGGTCAATGACGTTATCGAAGGCAGCGTCCTCTTCCTCTGCGGGGACACGTAAGTTGCGTACACTTTGGCTGAATGTGGTTCCTTCATTTATCTATTTTGCGCGTACGTGAATAAGAATGTATTCGGGGCCAGGGTCGGTGACTCACGTTGGTTCCAGCTAAGTAAGGAATGTGGGCGAAGTTGCCTCTCAACACACGTTGAGATGGCCTCTCGTTAATGAAACTCGCGGGATGAATCGTTGGTTGCCACAATTGACTATTAAGTGTCGACCTGATCATGGAATTGCTGATATTCAACAGGTTCTAAACACGTAGGTGAGTAAATGTAGAGAAGTAAGTAGTAATGTTGTCACTCACCTCGAAGGGGACTTGCTGTAAACAAGCTACTGCGCCCCGAAAACTGCAGCCAGTGGCAGCTAGTAGGCGGGTGAAGGGCTTCCCAGGTTTGTCATATGTACTTGGTGGTGGGTCGTTCTTGCTGTGTGTATGTGAGTTACTTGCCTACTGATACGACATGAAAAACAAACAATGGTCCGGTCGAGGAGTCAGCCATGGCCGCTCGGAACAATTTCCTACGGGGAGGAAAGAGTACATGCGCTTCGACACTACCAGCCCCAGCGGACTGTGCGAAGCGATTCCCTCGTGAGCTAGATTTATAGCAATTACTCCCTGAGGCCTACCTGACCCCAAATAGTGACCTAGGACGAAAAGTTTGGCTGTCAACGTTGACACCCAGCGTTGTAAACTACAAAGACCAGACCAGACCTTGCTTGGATCACCACCGAAAGCAGCAATATTATCTTGCAGGAACGTTAGAGCAAGTCGCTGATCAAGAAGCCCTGCATTCAGGTCTTCTGGGGCTACGCTCGAGCTAGCTAGCTAAACTATGGCTTCAACAAGTCACATACAAGAGACTCATAAGAATGTGGACTTACGAAGCCGAACGTATTGAGGCGGTAATTGCTACGATGTCTCTTTAGTTAGAATGTCGAAAAGGAAGACTTGGCAAACACTTACACTGATGCGAACATAATGGGCTTTCCCATTGCGACGCTGCGCTGGATGATTCCTAAAGATAGAGTCATATCAAAGGTGAATCAGAATTAAATCGGAATAATCAAGCTACGGGTTGGATCATATGCGGCATTGGAAGCTGCGCTAGAAGAAAGAGGTGTTGAGAAGCCTACTAGAACATAATCAATCCTCTAATACCCGTTTGTGTAAGCTCCACCCTACAAACAAACAATGAGAAAAAAAACGGGGGTCGACCATGATACACTCACATAGAACCAGACCAATATTGGGAGTTTGCTGGCACTGGTAGTGCCTTCGGGGCGCCATATCTAGTCGTATTCCGTTGATATAGGTAGATCAAGAATTAATGTGCGGCAAACATACGTTCAGAACAAGGCAGTCCTCGCCGACTGGTGCTCCCAGGCTCTGAGAAGGAACTTGGGGGCATGCGTTTCCGAATTGAGACGCGTCTCGAACGGCAGTAGACGTGGCAGTGATTGGCCGTGGAGCTTTGAAGCGCAAATTTCCTAGAGGTGGTTGGGCGAAGGGAATTCCTAGCCATTTTTCTGTTTCATTTGCTGTCCTGATACCGCGAAAGGTCCCTGTCCGTAGCCTTACGTCTATCGTCTGCGCACCAGCAAGGTGTGATGCCGTTGCGATAAGTCCAAGGATATACGATGCCTGAAAGGATGCTGTAGAGAACAACATGATGGCCTAAGGTAGTTTCCCGCATCGTAATTTGCTTATATATACGCACGAACTCCCACCGGCTTCTTCATATCTATTCGCCATGCGGTAAACAGCGTTCTGGCGAATTGACAATCGCGCAGTGCCTGTTCTCGTGATCGCGTCTCTCACGAACTGACGTTTGCTCCCATAAACCGCAGTAGGATCAGAAGTGTAAAGGAGAACGAGATACATTCTTCTCGAAATAGGAAGCGTTCGAGTGACCAGAATAAAACGATATTTTTATGAACGAGGACCTGACCATCCGGAACTGAAGTACTTATAGTTCAATGCCCTACAAAGTGGATAAAAATGAACACTCACAAACATCCGCTATACCGCGGCGGGCCGTGTGCTCATTTCTGAAATTCGGCTAACACTCTCGGCAAACTGACGAAGTCAGACTTATCCGTGTCCCAATCTAAACGCGTAGAGTCACTGTCAACAGCATATGTGGAGCCTACATAGCTACGCACCGTCCGGTATGAGGGTGACATTTCCTCGTAGGAGCTGCATCACTCGTCTTTCGTTAGCACTGTAACGCGGCCAAGAAGCTAGGAAGGCGTCAATCTGGAACATACGAAGAAAAGAAACCAAAAGATGCGCACCCCCGGGATTGAGATCATGAATGAAGTTAATATAAAATGTTAGCATTTGGTTTGCGAAATCGGTTTCGACGGGTGTTGGAATTGGTCCGAACAAGAGCGGTAGCTCAGATGCATGGAAGACTTAACATTAACCATTAGTGTCGTCCTATGGAACGCCGGAACGACTTACCGCCTAAAGAAGGGTCGTTTCCTGGAATAAACTCCCGGAAGTAGTAGGCAAACATAGGTTGACGAGATGACCCAGCCTCGAAGAACAAACGTCTTGGGCCGATGTAGTTCTGAGCAGTGTACCATGCTTCCGCTCGGTCGAACAAGGAGTCCCCAGTGTTGAACGGTGCTCCGAGTGTGGGGTCGTTTTCCCGGAAAAGTGCGTGGATACCGTCGAAGACGTCCCCGGTAAGACTGCTATTGTCTATCACCAGATGGTCGATGAGATTGTCGAAGGCAGCGTCTTGAGCTTCCCCTGTTAGATTGAGATTGCGTACGCTACCGGTGAACGTAGCTCCCTCGTTCACCTAGAACAATAAGATACTCAGCTCAGTTGACTATCCGAGCACGTACATTTGTTCCACTCAAATACGGGACGTGGAGGAAGCGACCGCTTAGCACCCGCTGGGACGGTCTTTGATTGAGGAAACTTTGAGGATGGACTGTAGGTTCCCAGAGTTGGTCATTCAACGTGGACCTGACCATACTATTGCTTATATTGAATAGAACCTGGTTGCGAGTCAGCGACGGTAAGACGCGAGTCAAAAAACGCAAGACGCACATTAGTCGGTACCTTCTGGAGACACGCGACTGCTCCCCTGCCAGTAGAGCAACCTGTAGCAGCGAGCAACCGTGTGAAGGGCTTTCCTGGTAAACTATATGTACTTGGTGGAGGCGCGTTCTTGCTACAGATGAAATGGGGGATTAGAAGCAATCTTACGTATCTTATATTTGTGTTGACTTGCATGGGGCCAGTGGCTGAATTAGCGATGACTGCACGGAACAATGGTTCGCTGGGAGGGAACAAGACGTGCGTCTGAACGCTTCCGGCTCCAGCAGACTGCGCAACACATTCAGCGAGTTTGGAAGTTTCGAGCAATGATATGGATACCTGTCCCCAGATAGTGACCTAGCATCATGTCAACTTTATGCTGAGTTCTGTGACGATGAGCTTACCTTCGCTGGATCCCCGCCAAACGCAGCAATGTTAGCTTGCAAGAATGCAAGTGCAAGGCGCTGATCCAGAAGCCCAGCATTCAAGTCTTCTGGGGGTACATCCGTGCCTGCTAACTATCGCGCCTTTAGACAAAAGCGATGCAATGAAATCTCGGTCACATAACAAACTCACGAAGCCGAACGTGTTCAGGCGGTAATTCCTGTAAGTGCCAGAAGGTATAAGTACTTGTGTGTTGGAGCCATTGACTAGACATACACGGAGGCGAACGCAATGGGCTTTTCGATTTGGACACTATGTTGGATGATACCTTCAGTCGAGTCAGTGATTTAAGAAGGCGAAGAGGAAGGATATAATTACGAGTGGGGTCAAAATTAGAGCTTGACGATGCTCTAAGAAGTGAGTCAGTCTCGAAGCCAATGGTGAGAGTTGTAGAGGATTACCCAGTTGCAAACGATCCACCCTGAAATGGATGAGGCGGGAACAAGTATACGAGAAATGAGAACACACATGGATCCAGACCAACACTGGGAGTTTGCTACGACTATTCGCACCTTGAGGTCTCCAAACCTAATCCAGGGATCAACACTTCGAGTGGGAGAATATAATTTGTTTGACTCACGTTCAGAAAGAGACAATCTTCCGCAACTGGCGCGCCCAAGTTACCGGAGGCAGGCTGAGGGCATACATTTCCAAATTTCGAGGCATCACGTAAAGCATTAGATCGCTTGGATATCGGACGAGGCGCTTTGAAGCGCAACGCTCCTTCCGGGGCTTGGGCGTAAGGAATGCCGAGCCATTTGTCTGTGATGTTGTCCGTCCTGGCTCCACGGAAGGTGCCCGTCCTCAATGCAATGTCCAACCCGGTCGTCGGGGGACTTTGGCTGGTAACAAGCGATGCGAATCCCAGACCTAAGAGACAAGACACAGCGAAGGAACACATCGCAGACAGCATCATCCGCAAGCTTCGCAATGCGGCAAGGCTCCTCATTTATACTCCTCGCGGTGCTCCGCCATTCCCAGTCATGAACTCGCTGCTAGTCGGGTACCGGCAGAAATATCAAAGAAGTCGAGAATATCATCTTGTGACCGCCAACTCTTGATCAGCTCTCCAAGAGTTCCCACCAGAGCCACTTGCGCCAGAAACGATCGTTCCGCTCGCTGCAGCACGGGGCGCCAAACTTGTCGTTTCAGGAAATAAGAGGGAGCTGATAGTGATGGCGCGTCGGGGACTCGTCGTCGCGACGTTCCTCGAGACACGTGATCAGCTTATGACCCTGCACACTCTGCCCAATTTGAATACGGCTTGACTGCCAACCACATCCGCACACAAGTACGAATAGGATGGCGGGGGCCAACTACATGGGTGGTAAAAGGTCAGTAATGAATTCTCTGGACTTCTGTTCTTCACACTATCCCTTGACATAGGAACGCCGTCAAGGCTCGTTCTAAAAATCCCGTTCTTCGAGCACAGAAGGACTTCTTTGGACGGCAACGTTTGGGACTGGGATCTCTGCCAAAGGCCATGCTTTCAACAGCCGTTGGAACAGCACAGGGTACTGGAACAGCGCCTTCAGAAATAGATCTGCACCATGCTAAACGAAGACGGCGGAACTCCGCTTGTTCAGAAGAGGACTATGGATTTGTTCCAGGACCAACACCAGTGAAGCCGCCTGTCTCACGTCTTATACTAGAGGCTAGTGGAAGTAGCAACAAACGGTCCAAAGTGCTTGATGCTCTAGATGAAACCGATCGTGTGTATCCCACTCAATTTCTCACCCATGGCTGACATCACTGTAAAGCAATGTTCATTAGGGCTGCGTTGGACAGAGTACTCAAAATGCCAGACTTGGCTGGACTCCTACCACGGGTACCCATACAAATGTCTGCAAGCGGCGCGAAGAGAAGGCGAACGGACTTGGATGTTGGAAGTCGAGACAATAACAAACGACAGGTCTCCTAAAATTGGCTTCATTTCACTCTCCACACTCACGCGAATACCGTAGCATCTGCTCTACCCTCCAGCTGACAGACATTCGCGTTCCCCAGAAGGACAAGTTCTCCGCAAAACACACCATGAACATGACGTTAGTTCTCCGCGTTGTTTGCGACCACCATTACCCAATCAACACCGGGTTGACACCCAATCGGGCTCTTCTCTCCCAGACTCATCCATCCCCTCGTCGGACCTTGCGTTGACCTCCAGCCCCTCGTCACTTGGTCTCCGTCAGCCTGGCTCGCCAGAGTTTAGGACAAGATCGTACGATGTCCGCAAGGATGCGATCTCCGTTGAAAATCTGCTCTATCAAGATGATCCATGGCAGGCTCTGGACATATTGCTCGATTTCAAGCCGTCTTCATTTCCTCGCAGAAGCACTAGCTATGAGGATCCTGTGGCTTCTCGCCTCAGCTTGAACTCTCTTCACGAACATACCAGCAATACGCGGACTGGCGCCACTATTCCGAATGATGAACGGCATAATATGTCTAAGTCAGGCGAGAGTTCTCGACACTACCTCTCTTCCGACTCTCCACCGCGGCAAGAATCTTCTACTTCGTTGATATCCCTCAACGTTTTTGCGAGCGATCGAGCATCCAATATGTCTAGTTCGTCTAAGCGAAGCCACCGACCAGTACGATTCTTCGTAGACTCCATCAAGCCTCCTCATTCTGACGGTCAAGCTGGTTATATCTCGGGCTCTGAAATCCTTGAGGTCTCTTCCCACCATGGAGATAGCAATTCTCCTCTCTCGTCGCCATTGCATCACATATCCTCTGCTTCTTGGAATCTTTCTCCCAACTTCGCTTTACGCCATGCCTCCCCCCAGTCGAACAAGAACGAATTCGATGCAACTGATTCCTCTTCCCACGACTCTTTGCTTGAAACTGCCTTCCATAGCCCTGCTGTATGCCCTAATCGAATCTATGCTGGCGACAGCCCCTTGCAACATGTCCTCTCAGTTATCGATGCTGCCTCTCCTCTGCCTCTCAGTGAAGACATTGGCCAATACTCTACGCGTTTGGCCCTCGATGGTGCTTACTCCCCATTGCAACTTCAGTCTCTGAATAAAGCAAACCCCTCATCGCCCGTCGGAGACCACCGTGAACACATATTCTTCGATGTCCCTGCTGGCCCTGACTTGGATGGAGAAGCGATAACCGACATACCTGGAGTAGATCCATACAACGAAGACTCTAATCCTCCCATCCATGCTAAACAAACTGCTATAACCAGCCGCTCTGCCCGCCAATCACGCATCAATCCATCTGACAACGTAGAATGCTCAGTTGACTCCGATGATGAACTCGATTTCCCAGATGAAGTTGACAATGAGACGGTCGATCAACCGTACCTCTCTCACAATGCTGCTTCCGTTGCACAGATCAAAACTTCAACTGCTATGACCAACCGTAACTTGTCTGATCCACGTTCTCCCCTCGATGCATTACTGCTATTGCGAAAGGACGAAGGTGTTTACATAGGACCTTGCTTATTCTCGGACGAGGGTGAGGAATCTGACTGACGTCTAGTTGACAACCGCCATGATTCAGCACTTGTGTGTACAATCGTGTTTGATGCTCCTGCCATCCCGAGAATGCTATCAAAATTACCCAGCCATTTCCTTTCAGCGCGTGTCACATGGACGAGTACTTGAAGGTGAGTTTAACCGCGGCCGATAGGGCGCCCTACTCCTCAGATAGGCGTGTAAACTTCAACCCTATCTAAATCGGCATTTATTTCCATAATTTGCATACCTCCGCTATATCTTTCTCACTATCAACGTTGGCGCGTGCCTTTGCCATGCGCTCCCAGCTTATCAATTTCACCTCTATTGAAGCTGTGAAGTATTAATATTGAAGCTGTCGTCGAAGAGAAAGAAGCTCTCATCTTCGTTCATCATGGCTACTCAAGCTAATTCTGTCGCGCACAAGACTGTCGTTAAAGTCGACCCCTTTATGTATGTCCTCGAGTTGCAATCTTGACCAGCGCCAAAAGTTAACATCACGATAGTCCTGCTGACCAGCAGAAGGTGACCATTTCCCACAGTGTTTTATTATACCCTGCGCTCATCGTAGGTTGGCATGGCGTAGGGCATTCATAATCGTTGGCAGTGAGTGTGATACAGCTTGTAGCCGAGACGAATTACTTACATTATTTCTAGTCCCGATATTCCCCCATACGCGACCGTAAAGCCGGGAGAGGTACGTAGGCGTTCATTGACCATATATCTTAGACCTAACCACCTTCTAGGTGTTCAAAGTGGAATGTGTCGGTGAGCATGCCGTCGTTTGCTTGCCAGGGGCAGCTTAGGAGATCGCGATGCAGACTGGACAGGGGCTCAGATCGGGAATAACGATAGTGCGTTGAAGTCTCTCCGCGCTTTAGGACTTTCCCCAGTGCTGAGCCTTCTCATAGACAGCGATGATATCAAGAATGTGGATTTAACAAAGATCCACAACCTCTCCGGACCCATCGCTGTTGAAGGCGCCGAACCTGGCGATTGCTTGGTAGTGGATATCCTTGATGGTATTATCCCTTCCGTTCTCTAAGATTTGCAATAACTGTACCGATGAGCATAAACACCTCGCAGTCGGACCTTTTGACAAGATGCCTTGGGGATATACAGTACGTCAACCTTTATGAAAACTTACGCAGTGTCTAACACATTCCACGAAGGGCATTTTCGAACTTGAGAACGGCGGTGGCTTGTTTGGTATGGCTTCTAAATCTGGATTGCTATGGTACAATTCTAATAGTTTTGTAGCAAAGGAATTCAACAGTCGTGCGTGCAAGGCCATCTGGGACTTCAAAGGTACGAACCAACGTTATGATCGTCTCCTCAAATTTAACACACCCCTACCTACCAGGTGTATACGCCACCTCTCGCCATATTCCTGGCGTTCGCTTCGCAGGCGTTTCGCACCCTGGTCTCATCGGAACCGCACCCTCCGCCGAATTGTTGGCAACATGGAACGAGCGAGAGTGCGGTTTGATCGCTGAGCACGCGAACTCTGTTCCTCCCGTAGCTTATGCTCCCAATCCTACTGGCACATATGTCGGTCAGGACCTCGACTCTGCCGTGCTGAAGAAGATCGGGGAAGAAGGTGCACGAACTGTCCCAGGACGCGAGCACGGTGGTAACTGTGATGTAAGTCTCATCATTTTACCCCCGTCAACGAATAGCCCTAATTATGTGTTATAGATTAAAAACCTCTCCAGGTAACGCTGTTTCCACCCTCAACAAGTGACCCTGTGTTTACCAGGGGGACAGGGGCTCTCGTTGTTACTTCCCTGTTTTCGTCAAGGGTGCAAATCTGTCAGTTGGCGATCTACATTTCTCCCAGGGCGATGTACGAGCTTCTCCGTTTATCTTCTTCTCGAAGCAACTAACAGTTGGTTGGCTTTAGGGAGAGGTGATGCTTTATCACGCTCACACTAGTCAACTACTAATTGTTTATCTCAGCTGAGTTTCTGTGGTGCCATAGAGATGGTGCGTCTAATGCCTGGTTCGGGCATGGGGCAATCGCTCACATCCCATAGGCTGGAGTAATCACCTTCAGCACCAGCATTATCAAGGGTGGAGTGGAGAAGTTCGCACTCAAGCAACCCATCTTCCTGGTGAGCATGCCTGCAAGTCTTTGTGCATTACCTGTTTGGTTAACGCATTAAACAGCCATCTCCCATTGACCCTCTATACTCCTCCAAGGTCAGAATGCAGCCTCTTAGACACCATAAGCTCCGTACTAATCCAATTCGGCCTTCAATGCAGCTCATCTTTGAGGGTATCAGCGTGGACCTTCGTGCGTATTTCCAACCTTTCACTCCTATTCCGACTGGACTATCTGAACTGTACTGAAAGACGGCGACGGAAAACAATACAACATGGATGCGTATGTACCCCCCTCTTCTCCATGAAGTCCTCTGAACTTTGGCACAGTACTGTGGCGTATAAGCAAGCAGCCCTGAACGCCATCGCATACCTGCAGAAGGTGAGCCCGAGGATTGAGAGGGATATCGTAGCCGCTGATCGCTGTCTACTTTCCTTAGCTGGGCTATAGTAAGTCTTATGCCGGTTCTGTGATCTCAAAGCTTGTTGACGTCGACACTTCGAAGCCCGCGAGCAGGCTTGTAAGTCATCCCTCACGTCAGCGACTCTTGGTTTACTCAGGTTTGTGTTTTAGATCTCCTTTTATCCGCCGCCCCCGTTGAAAGTCACGTCGGCGCTGTGGTTGTAAGCTCTAACTTTCGTTGACTTTGCCAATATGCCAACCATCCTATATTTCTCTCACAGGATTCGCCAAATGCTTGTGTCACTCTCGCAATTCCGACTGGCATTTTTGACTTTGTAATTACGGCTTTCCCCATGCAAGTGCTTAACATCTTTGCTGACGAAAGCATAGGACATCCTTCCCAAGGACGAGGGTCTCACAAAACATGACCTTGGTCAATGTGCGATTCGAAGCGATGGGGTACTGTAATCGGTCCGGAAATATAATTTCGACAATGATACAACGTTTTATAAGCGATACGCAAGCTGTACAAATGTTAAAATCACAACCATTTCTTTGAAGCTAAATATAGTAGGAGTGGGAACCCGCAGGCAGCAGCTGTGAAGGGAGCCCTATCCTGAGGTTCAGTACACCGAGGCTTTCTAGCTTGGAAAGCTTGTCGTCAAGCTCCATCGATTCACGAGGATCGCCTTCACTAAAGGTGACGATAAACTCTTGAAGAGAACCGTTTTGGCAGAGATCGAGGACAAAATCGAGAACCTCAGAGGATATGGGAACATAGTGCGGGGTGATTTGTATCCACCTGCTAAGGAACAATTCGAGGTGCTTGATCTTCGTCGGGCTATGCAATGAGCTCAGTGCGAGTAAGGCGGACGGATTATTCATTCGTTCCCCAATGAGACAGACGTTTTCCGCACTGATAGGAAGTCCACCTGAGAACTAAAAGTGTGCGGTTCAGCTAGTCCTTCTCGATCTGGGTATGAACCTACAGCCGTATCCACCACTAATGTCTTCAAAGACGCCGGCAACGACTCGCAGAATGCCATTTGACGATGCTTCCGACACTCTAAAACCTGCAAATTCGGCATTGTGATGACTTCGGGATGAAAGGGAAGGTTGTAGCAGGTTTGAATACGAAGGGCCTCCAGAGCGTTCATAGGGTATGGTAATGCGACTCGCCCATCCACTGCGCCTTCGAGAGAGACTTGTTTGAAGAATAAACCGCCTAGGCTTAAGGAGCGAAGTGTGTCGGCGGTCTCCCGTAGAAGCTTCAGCAGCCAAGGTGGGGTGTTGGCGGTCAATGCATAGGGGTCCCAAATGTGCAAGGCAGTGATCGATGAGCATCGGGGGATTCGTAGGCACCAATCGTCAGTCCAGGAGTACACGTCAGAATGTAGAGTGTTCAGCTTCGGGAGGGCTTCGATGAGTGATAGAAGTAGTTCCCTTTCCTCGTCGGATTTGGAATCAGCTTCCCCCATCACCATAGATGGCGATAATAACGTTAACTTTTGGACATGGGGGCGAAGGTGAGGTGCATGAAACATCAGAAGGCGGTATGCGCGTATCCGCGATGGACTGTCGAAGAGACGTAGATCGTGAAAGAGGAAGGGAATGCAGATTTCACGCCAAGCGCTGCACACAAGCGAGCATTTTTCAAGGGCCCCCCTGTAGCCTCTCAGTTCGCGGAGGATGAGGAAGATGAGCTCTGGCGGTAGTTCATACATGGTTGCGGAAGAGCCTGGAAGAGTCAGTGGACCGATACGGGACGCAGTGGCTGTGCTCGGGACCGTGAGAATGTCTGAGTCACCTTCCTGCTGTTGTCGCCACTCAGGTCACAGCGCAAAACAAAGCTCTTGAACCCGACCACCACAGCGACCTGTGGCACAACAGCGCCCTCGTTCTCGCTTGCAACCACCACAAAGCCCGTACTCGGCGATGTTCTCGACAGTCGCAGCGGCGCCTGGCGCTACAGTAGTTGCCTCCAGCGCATTGCGGAGCGCAGGCCTCATTGATCGCGACGCACGAATGAAAGACGCAACGGACAAACCTGGAGGACGAAAGGGTATATCAAAGATACGCTCGCACAGACCTCGACTTGTGGATTCATTGAAGGAGCAGCCATCGAGCAGCCGCACGGTAATTATTCCTCCTTCCGCGTAGGCAGGGCTTCATTGCACACCATTACCGTTGCCCTCCTCGGTACCATCGACAATTGACTTACACATCAATTCCGAGCAGCACCCTGCAAGATCGAATCCGATATCGATACGTGGAGCAGCCGACAGACCCACCATTGCTGGCCGTCTCCGACGTAACGCTGTATCATCATCATCTGCTGATTCACGACCCATCAAGGCGACTATCGTGCATCGCACTCAGACGAATGTTCTGGAGACTTGGAGGGAGTTCGTGAAGAAAAGATGGAATCCCGAAGCTCGGTTCCTCAACCTCGAGGTGAACACCAGCCAGATGTTTGGCTAGGCCTGCAAGTATGGTATAATGTATGGTTACTGACATTCTTCACAGTCTATGGGAGAGGACGAGTTACTGAAGAAGCATCATCTTTCACCACCTGGCTCGGGCGGTTCCGTTAGGGATGCCGCAGTCATCTTTAAGATGGCCTCGCAGCTGAAACCGGAAGTGCAAACAATATCTCTCGCCAACAACTACATAACCGGCGGAATGCTGGCAGCTATGCCCCGATACCTTCCACGGTTGGCCAATCTGTCGTTAGCGAATAACAAGATAAGGACGCCCAAAGACCTAGACTCTATCACGTCAAAGAAAGGGCGGTTGGAGTACCTACGCGAGTTGATATTGGTTGGCAATCCTGTGCGCGAGGAGGAGGTGAAGCTAGGGCAGTTAGACCGATACAGGACGTGAGTCGTTCTCTATATTTGGCGGGTTGATACTAATCGCTGCCCCAGTGAAATGACACGGCGATTCCCCTCGCTGGAGATTCTCGATTCCGAACCTGTCACACAAATAGGCTTTGACGTTCCACAACCATCTATGGCCAACACTGTGGTTCCGAAACCGTCTTCCACTACCTTCCCTGTTGAGATGCAACCATCGTTTATCACCGGCGTCGACGGCGCCATGGTCAGCAACTTTCTCATGCGGTGAGTATCCATCTCCGACGGGGCGTTCATTGTGCCTTAACCTCGCTCTAGTTTCTTTACAACTTTCGATAATCAACGAGGTACCCTCGTCAATGCATATCATTCCTCTTCGACATTCTCGTACTCAATCAACACGTCAATTCCTCAACGGGCGCGTATAGCTGGCTTACACACGTCTCGCGACCTGCCAAACCAACGAAAATTGGACTGGAAACCGTGGATACAGGGCGGGGAAGGAGGTTCTCGCAATCTAAGCCGAGGGTTCGTACTAGACAAACAGTACAACAGCCTCCACTTCGGTGGGGAAGCCGCCGTTAAATCGATGATAGCTCTTCCTGGCACAAAACATGACATTGGTGGACCTCCAGAGAAGTTCTGTGTAGATTCGTTCCCCGTTCCACACGGAGACTCTATAGGGTTATTGTTAGTTGTCCACGGCGAATTCGTCGAAGGTTCGTTATATTTGGCTAGTTTGTCTCGTTGGACTTGATAAGTTAACATCATGCGTTTGCTCTAGTCGGAGTGGATGGAATTCGGTCCTTCGATCGGTCATTTATCCTTGCTCCAGCACCAGAAGGCTCGGCGTAAGTATTCGGTATCTTGATGATGCTCCTCCACGTACTTATTGTCTTTTGGACTGTAGTGCAAAGACCCACGGTTGGGATGTTGTTATACTGTCCGACCAATGGATCGTCCGGCACTATTCGACATGTGATGCTTGGAAGCCTGGGCCGATGAAGGTGCAAGCTAGCGACCCAAAGGGGTCTACGCCAGCCGGTCAACAGCCAGCGTTGACACTTCCACCAGACCAACTTGCCTTGCTTCAGACGATTGTACGTCACTCTCCTTCAGATTTCCATATACGCTATCTTGTTGCTTACGTTCAATGTCATGTTGTGTGATCTCTCGTCCATGTCACTTGTACCGTGTCTCAATCAACAGCCGGAGTTCCAACAGCCTCTCGCGCTGCAAGTGTGTCAGCGGACTTCGCTGAACGTCAAGTTCGCGGTGGATTGCTTGACTGGGAATGGTTGGGATATTGAGAGGGCGGTGGCTAATTTCAACGAGGTCAAGGTGAGTAGTTTTTTGGGTTTGGCTCCGAATTTTAGAAACATGGATCTAATTTGCGGTGATTTTGGAAGGGTACGCTCGGCAGGGAGGCATTCCTGTAATACGCCCGCGTCTAACTCTACAACGATTCGTCGCGTTCTACTTTCTTATTATCTTCTCATTCTTTAGTATAGCAGCCCACATAGTTATTCGACACAGTCGTACAATGTACTATCAACGCGCTGGTCACCGAGCACCCCTCATCATCATAACACAACCAACAATGCAATCACTACAATTATTTTCTTTATTCATCAGACACAATATTATTACGTTGTCACGGCAGTCAGTGAGTCGGCGAGCTGTAGAATCGGAGGTATAGGAACTGCTTGGTGGGGCCAAATGGGCACTCTCCGTCGGTGTCGCACAGCGTATAGCCTCATCGGTCGAACAATCGTACGGTGAAATTTGCTTGCAGGGCACCCTTGTGTGATATTGCTACTTCGTCCAGTCACAGTCTCTCCGACGTCCTCGAGGCGATGCGGCGGTGCACTTTTGTGTATCCTCCGGTGATAATGTCCTGGATGGCGGATCCCGCGTGCGTGTTCAGTCCCATAGCGCACAAGTTTCCTCCATGGATTCTGTCAAACTCTGACAACTAAGTACTAGGTCTAAGTGCATCATATTGAGATAATTTCTTGCTTCGACGCTAAGTTAGCTGCTTCACGCACATGGCATAATATCTCAGAGTCGAATCGGACAGCATCCATACGAGGGTAACGGAATGGGATCCGGAAGGTTCTTCTACCTTCTATGTTTGCGTTCGTAGGCTCCTTCGAAGTGACCATATGCGTCAAGCCGAATGGACCTTTCGCAAGAAGACCTGAGCGCCCTCAGAATTCTGAACACAAGGTATTATTTTAAATTTGCGAGCCACGTGGTTGGTATTTGTATACAGAGACTGGCACCAAACACCGATGCTTCTTAATGGTTTGTTCCATTATTCTACCAGAAACAGGACACAGAATAACATAATATTACAGGAAATTCCAAATTCTCACCGCTTTCGAGAATAATTATCCGTGCATCTGGACGGGGATTTACCTGTTGGGGCGGATTCCCGGCATGAGGCCTAGGGCTGCCTCATCGCAGAGGCGCCTTTACGAGCCGGGGATATTCAATTTGAACGCACCTGCACCAGAATTTATTCAGGGAGGCTGGCATTCTCACTTCTGATGCCTCGTTGCAGTATTTTTCCGTACCGCCCCGCACGAGGATTCGAGTACATTAATGCTCGAGGGAGCGCTCACTGTATACGACGAACAATATCCCTCCTCTCACACGACGAATTCGAAATCACCTCAAAAGAAAACATATCAAATTCCGCGAAATCACCACCCGATCACACACGACTCTTCTAGCTTCCTATTTCCTGGCCTTATAACCTGAACCTTCTTTCCCCACACTTGTATCTCTCCTGTAGAACATCTCTAGTACCCTCCCTCGTATCACATCTCTCGACGATATCGACGATGGACCATCATCAACACTCCTTTGGACTGCACGAAGCTGCATTACGGGGCGACGCAGATGGCTTTCATAAGGCTCTTGAAATGGGGGCTAATATCAACGCGCTCGACGACTTGTGCCGTACAGTGCTGATGTGCGCTGTCGCTGGTGAAAGGTGTGTGACATATCCAAGTCCATTAACCCTCACTAATTCAAATACGCCCTCAGTTGGCAAGAAGTCGACGCGTCTGACGCGTCTTTTGTGACGCTCGGGCGTATGAAGGTCATTCAGACAATCATCGAACATCCCGACGTGTCGCTATACACTCTCAATGCCCCGCAGAGCGCGTTCAACGGCGTGACCCCTCTAGGTATGGCCTCGTGGCTTAACTCGCCTCAGGCGGTAGAATGTCTACTCGAAGGCAGTCGAGAGACAGTTTCCGTCAACGGCATGGACTCGCACGCCGCTACTCCTCTCATGTGTAAGCACTGGCACGCTCCTTGGTATAGATTCTTTGCCTGACAAACGTTCCTTCAGACGCTGCACGAGACGGCAACCAGGAGGTGACGCGAATTCTTGTAAGCTCGTGCTGTATATCCCTCGTAGCGCCATGCTTATTCCGTTGACTAGCTCTCTCATGGCGCTAGACCAGATTTCCGTGACAAAAATCACCGCACGTCCGTTCAGTTCTCCCTCTCTCACCCCTCAACGCTCTGGCAATGTGAACTAGCCCTTCGCCAACATAGGCTAAGAGAGAGTCGCGTAAGTAGACGTTATAGCCTCTTGCAAATGATCCCTCATCCTAACATGTACAATAGCACCCCGGTCGTTCACGTCTACTATCCGCCTCCGATCATCTGCTCTCACTAAGCGAACCATTTCTCTCCTCTTGTTCTCAGCAATCATCACCATCTGTCATTTCTACCAAGGACTCCCTCTTGCAACTCACACATTCTCTTGTTCAATGTATATCTGCATCAGACGCATCATCTGTACAAGCTTTACTGTTCCCATTATCTCCCTCTCTTTCAACACCTCCTTTCGTGAACTATCCTGACCGGGAAGGATGGAGCCCCATCCATCGTTGTGCAGCAGCCGAGCGATTGTCGATTGCCGTCCTCGATTCTCTCTATTGCGCAGGCGCCGACGTCTCCCTATTCACGACAAAGGAGCACTACACCCCCCTCCACTGTCTCGCCCACTTTGCCGGCCTCTCAGAAGAAGACCCGGACCCTTCCCTTACTCTTTACCAATTCACTATTCACCTCATCCGTGATCTCCAGGCCCCTCTTTCAGCACGCGATAAGAATGACGAAACTTGCATCCACATTGCTGCGGAGCATGGCTCATGCATCGACATCTTAATGGGCTTCTTGGAATGCGACACGACCGGCAGCATTCGCGAGTTTAGGAACTCTCGTGGGTAAGTACTAACCAAATACTGTGTTTCCTCAAGTTTCTTATGCTCACACGAATTATTAGGCTGACGGCATTAGAAGTTGCCAAACCGGAGTTCCGTGTAGCTTTTGGGGACGACTGTGACAGGCTGCGGTCCGTTTCATCCCTTTCAAACCGCACAGTTCGCGCGCTTCGGCCGACGGCATCTCTCACCTCGATCGTTTCGTTCTCGAATGAGAGGTCCTCGGTCCGCGACAATGAGCTCCTGGTTGCGGATGATGATATTGCCCTATCTTCGCACAAGCTGATCGCGCATTTACGATTTACCTGCCCCACCTTGCAGCATGCTCCCGATGCCAGCAGCGTCTCTGCCCTCTCCGAGGCTCTTGCCGAGTCCCAGGCCCTCGGTCAAGTTATCCTTCAGAATTATCGTGGCCGAGCGGATGACGCTATGAAAGACTTATATGAAGCTCGAATTGTGGTGGCTCGTATCGGCGCTATGCTTGATAAAGTCAGTGGTTCTGTAGACGGCGAACTCGCACAGCAGGGTCTACAGCCTATTCACGTCCTCGGTGGCCGTTTCCGCGATTCCCAAGACTCTCAGGCCACTGCCGTTGCGTCTGAAGACGGAGAACATGTGCAAGTTGTCTCCACTACGCTGTCGTCTCCGCAAACGTCTGGGCAATGTTCTCCCATGTCAACTACCGGCAAGCCCGTGGATGCGTGTTCCATTGCTATCCAAAACGCTTGCCTTGATCTCATCCGATCTGCGACAAAAGAGAGTCAGCAACGCTCGCCTTCATTCTTTCGCTCCTTGTCCGGCTCGCCCACTGTGCCTTCTGTTCGATTGGCTACTTTGGTAGACGAGGAAGAAGCTATCATTGGGAGTCAAGTGTGGGACCCATCTTCCATTGCTGCTGTCAAGTCTCATTGTACCGAGGAGAAGACCGCAAACATCTTCAAGCGGGCATGGAAACATTGGTTCAAGAAGAAAGACATCGAAACAATTAAAGTGTCTCGTCCTCCCTTCAAGCAACAATTGACAATCGACACGAAAGCTTGTCAGCTGACTCCTAGAGTTACCTCAGAGTCGGCCACAGACGAAGATGGACATATACATTCGCGCAATACGCCCTTACGTATGTCTCATGTCGTTCTTGACGCGTCAAGAAAGGACCTACATCAGATCGAGGAGATTCTCCTAGCGGTAAGTAATCCCCTGCCCCTGGAATATATTTGAAGCTCACTATCTTCATTAATAGGCCGAGCAGTTCCTGACTGCTGCCAACCATTCTATCAATAGGACCGCGCGGGTGATTGACAGAGCAATCAAAGTATGTGCCATTATAGCGTCCCTCCCACACACTCTTAACCATATTATCCTTTTGCAGAAACGCCAAACCGCTGTCGACGCATTACAAGCGTTATCTCTGGCAGGACACTCCCCAAATTACGTTCATTCAAATTCTTCCTCTTATCTTACGGCACCCACGCCGCCATCCTGTCTTTCATCTCCCAATTCCTCCTGTGTGTCACTAGCGGCAACTTTGACCGAAAACGACGACGAAGACGTACGCGCTATCCGCAGACTACTACTTCGAAAAATAGAAGCTAGCCTTGGCGGCTCCATAGACGAGATCAGCAAGGTTACTGCATGGCTCCCCCTGGTGAAGGAAGCAGTAGCTAGTGTCAAGCGAAGGACTTACTTGTGAACAATGGACGCGAACTGTCATTATTAGATGTAACATTATCTGTATGTATCAAGCTGTGAAAAGTAGATTAAGTAGTCATTTGTAAGACACCATAGACATTCATTGAACATTGCACGCAGATTTCCAAACCCAAAATGTACAAATTAATAAAGCAGATAGGGTAATAGTCGCAGAATAAACCAGAGTATCACCGTCTCAATGCCGATATCTTCTTGGAGAATGCATCACGACATTGGTAGTGAGTGACTTCTCCCCTGTTGCGCCGTTAAGGAGACCAGAAACAAGGGGTAAGTAATGGTGAACACTCACCGAGGAAGGTGGACTGCAATAACACTGTTTCCAATGCGTTTATGGCATTGAGGACATCTGGAATGAATGGTACGTTAATGTGATGAGAATAGCACCGTCGTCGAAACCTACATTCTACTGTCGGTAACCTTGACTCTCTTTGACTGCAGATGCATCAGTTGCCTGGACAAATGATCATTCCGAGCCTTGCTGATATTTCGAACAACTTGAGTGTCGAAAACGGGTGCGCGAAGCGTATCCTTCAGGAACCTCCCAACGTCCTGTGCCGTCACCAAGGGGGGGAGAAGCTGCAGAGTCTCCGCCGCGTCCAAACGCGGGCTCTGCCGTGCGATGAGGTCTAGGGCTGGCTGCAACAAGTCGTGCTCCCTGCTCAGCTGCGCCGTTGGGCGAAGATAAATGCGGAGTAGTGTGAGGAAAACGCCATCCGTTTCCGAGCCTGGTTTATACACACGCTTGCAATACCTGGAAATATATACTGTGAGAACCGAGCTAAGCAAACTCGGACTTGAAGGGCGTACGTACTCCTCTGCTTTGATATAATCGTGTAACTGATAGACATAAAGTCCCAGGGCCTGATCATGGCGTCCCATCCTGCCAAGGAGTATGGCGCGGGCCTCGTATAGGTCTAGCGGAACATGAGCATGATCTACACTGAAAAAAGTCCCGCGAAGGCCTACCCTCTGATGAGATCACGCCGTAAAACCAGTCTATCCGGAAATGATCGGTGGTGTCGATGAAGTGCAGGAGCTTTGAATACATTTCGTCTTGCAGCCCTAAAATCAGAACAACATTGGGATTTGTCGTACAACATAGACGACAGGAAAGCGTACTAGTGTCCTGCCGCTTCTTCGCTATCAAAGTCGTCCTAAGATACAACTCCGCTAGGCGGTCGTGGAATTGATGCGACTCTTCTTCGCGTTCTTCAATCAGATACTCGATGAAGCGTATGCAGACTAAAGGATCAATCTTTTCCAGATGGTCTGCAACATCTTTGCGGGGCAGCTCCACATCCTCAGAGGTGAAGATCTATGAGTAAACGTGGTACTTAACGGTGAATAGAAAGAAGAAAATCCGAGGAAACTGACGTCGAAGGCGAGGTCCCGATCCTGTTCAAATATCCAGCGTGAAGCAGCGAAGACATGTTCGATGTGCTCCGGCCCCAATTTCTGCAGATACGTGATAGAGGGGCCGAGCTTGTCCTGCATATCTTCCTCGTTCTCACTGAGCCTAGGCAGCGATCAGTCGCACATCGCCTAAACAGAGTGTGATAACGTACTGTCGCAGTAATGCTAATGCCTTCGCATGCATCTTCTTACCGTGGAATAAATCTATCAACTCCCTAAATTTCTGATGCTCGTCAGACACCATACGAAACAAAGAAGAAAAGAACGGGTAAACACCTACCCCTCGCGCGCGTAATTCCTCTTCAACCTCATCCACTTCACACCAGTTAGGCACGCGACACAAGGGACCTAACAAGCCCGGTCGAATCACGATGTAACTCTTAAACAGCGCCGTGTCGACTATCTGCGCGAAGCGAAGGAGCTGTTCTGGAGTCAAGGCTGACAGCGGCGCGTTAGGGAGAGCGTACAGCTCCTCGACCAGAACCTCCGATAGCCTGGGCGTATCATGCGACTGGTTAGCAGGCGTAATGCCTACACTTTCCAGCGCAGCGGTAACTTTGGGACGGTGATCAGAGAGGTAGCGAACAAGTGTCTCCACAGAGCGGCGGAAATCATCTGGAAATGGACGGTGTTAGTGGGTGGGGACACCATTTGAGCATGGGGCTTCACCATTCACGCTAGCCCGGGGTTTACTATTGATGGACGCCGTGTCGTCATCTTTGGCACTTTGTGGCATGAACGCCCCTAGGCCTGTCCTCAACCTCCCTCTTATGCTCCCGGAAGAGGGGATTGCAACTCGATCGAGCAGATCCTTGGCAGCATTGCTCATATCGGGGTCCTTATCTTCATCACTGACCACCGGTGAGCCCTTCGCCTGTTTAGAGGAATCCCGAGACTTGACCGAAGACGCGTCGTCGACTCGAGGCGGGCCGCCAAACAACTGTATCCAGCCCTCCTCGGGTACTGCTAACCTCCCAGCCACGCTTTCTGGGAATAACGCTACCACTTTGGCGGGGTTGATGTTCAACTCTGCGAATGTGTCTATGGCGGCGTCGTATTTGCCCTCTCGGAACAGCGTAACTGCATCCAAAGCACGGATCAGAGTGATGCGTTTAGGCTGCGTAGTACATGAATGCTGTAGAATTAAAAAATGTAGACGTAAAGTGCGCACCTTGTCAGGAAGCAAAGCATCGTCTACATTCTTCAGTAAGCCAAGGGCATCTCGATACTGCCCTGCTAACACCATCTCGTCGACCTGCTCTGCCCAAGGCCTCATGGTCAAGCCCCATAGCGTGCTCCCCTCGGCAGTCGCTGCAGCTCGGTCGACAGGTGTGGTTACAAAGAAAACAGGGGCCTTGGACGGTTGCAAGGAAGTCAGTAGCCTTACTGTGGCATTAGGTTGTGGTACACTGGTCGCCGGGGCAACGGACGTGGTCGAAGTGTCTGATGGAACGAAGGGGAAGGATAGAGATTGAGTGGGAGTAAGGGAGAGGGAGGAGTATATTTGTAGAGTCGTGGTAGTGCTCGTGGATGTAGCAGCCGGCGACGAACGAGGGTCCGCAACAGTACCTGCCGGAAGAACGGACAGAATATATGGCTTGATGAACGCTAGATAAATATTCAATATCTACCGTATGAGATTTGACGAGAAGAATTTACTAATGTCGTCAGGAGGGGCAGGCCAGAGAAGACTCGAAGGTCGTGACGGTTTGGAATCCGCACCGACTATGATTCCCTCATCTACATCCGCGCATTTAATGGATTTACTGCGACCAAGCAGGGAAAATACTGACTATCTTTGACAATAAGGGCTTCGTCATTGCCCAGAGCCACTGTCAGAGGCTTCGGCTTTGCACCTAGACCCAGAGTCATGTATCCAGTCAAGCCAGTGAGCGCACTCATCCCTAGACCGGTGGCAGCGACCACGGTACTAGCGGTGGGGTTGGGAATGTGTGTTATATCGGTTGCTGTGAGCGTGGGGATGGAGAATATGGCGTGTTCAGTAGGGGAGTAAGCGAAGGACAACGTCTCTGAGTTTAGGAAAGCGATTACACGGGGAGAATGAGGGAGCGGGGCTTCCTAAAGTATTGTCTAGCGAAATGGATGTCATTGGGGTAGGCAAAATACGCACCTTGACCTCCTGTGCCTCCCCGTCCCTCCAAGAGTACATGACCAGTTTCCTCCTACACCCGACGATCAGCTGCGTGACCATGACGGGTATCGTCTTCGTCTTAAGGTGCGCCGAGCTGAAGTCTGCGCCAGTTGGAGACTCCGCACCTGCCGGCACCGAATGTTCCACCGACGAATGGATGGCGAATGAAAACGCTGCCTTCGCTTTCACGAGAGGTGTCGGAGGCGATAGTGATGGTACGGGCAGCAGTGACACAGCCATGTCTGCCAATACGACCTATGAGAAAGCGTTTTCTAACCTTGGCATGCAACTGCACTCACCAGAGAGAACAACGAGAGAATTAACATCCTTGACAAAGCCAAGCTGGTCAATGGATCTGCGCGTCAACCCCTTCTTCACTTCAACCAGACTCGTCGAGACATCGCCGGCTGCACCCTGAACTGTGCATATATGTTACATAGCACATAGAAATCAACGAAATTCCCACTCACTGGTCGACTCGTCGAAAGAGTACACATGCAGGCTTCCAATGGACGTCCCAATGTATATCCGATCCCCTAGTCCACCAACGTGAGCAATATCCAGGCATCTGCAATCGTCGTGCCAGACCTTGTACAGTTACGGAGTCGACACGCTCTTTGAGGCCCTGTATCATGGGCACGGGTGTCGTAAACGGGGCCATGTCGTGATAGTTGTGGTGAGAGATGCAGTCTCAGCGGAATTCACGTCGAAGTGCGTAGTCGCCGACCTGCGACCTCGGTGAACATGATCGAGATGGACTGCTTCCGCCTCCTGGCCAACGCGATGTGATCACGTGTTGCATAGGGCCGCTGAAAAGATCCACTTCGACAATTTCGCGTATCACTTTTGTGCAAAGTAGCTCAATCCCAATGTAGCTTGCAGTCATTGAAAATGGTTCCAGAAAATGGTGTACAACTATGAACACATATAACTTGATGAATACAACCATACGCCGCCAAAGCAGTACGCCGTGCCAACGTGAAGACAACAAGATACTTTGGCTTGTGAAGATACCCCAATAGTGCAAAGAAGATAATGAAACAAAGTGGGTAATCCAATAAACCAATTCTATTTGCCAAGACCCACAACTCTACCAATTGGCGAGTCGCGTGCAATAGCAAAAAGAGAAGGGTTAAAGGAATCCCCTGACGACACAAGCCAGTAGTGCAGCAGCAAGGTCATCGCAGCCCCCGTGTTGCAAGCAGAGCACAGGGACTAGGGGCGGCAAAAATAAGATAACCAATGAATGGGGGCGGTGCCCCCATAATAGTGGTTAAACTATTAAGAACAGATACTACACTTGATCTAAGCCAAAAGGCCAGAGTGGTGGGATTCTGGATGTCGGAGCGTCGCTTTTAAGGGAGGGGAAGTGGCACAGACCACGACGTGATTTTGGGTGGTACGAGGAGGCGCAGCGGGGAAAGATAGGAGTTAGGCGCCGATCTTCGATCATGATCGACTGGCCTCGCTGACATCTCCGCCAGTGTTGAGGGCTGCGTACAGACCACGGCTGCGATGCGGTAAATGAAGTATGATAAGATCTACCTCCAGGAACTTGACCTTTTCGGTGCACATCTTCAGTTCTTCACGGCGAGCGGGGCTCGATGACGCGAATGGGACACAAACTAGCCTGCAGCGAGTATTCCCAATCCTAATATTGTTGTTGAAAGTACACAGAACACACACAACAGGAGAAATGTGTATATAAGTACGAAGGGAAAAAAGGTCACTGCATATACTACGCTGAGAGAACCATGGACGAGCAGAAGAACGAGTTGAAGTTTGTAATGCGTTGGAAGGAAATTAGGCAACACTCGAAATGGGAAAATGATAGAATGCAAAGAGGCTGAAGTCAAAGAAGTTAAAAGCCCGAGCCCATACTCCCCATACCTCCCATGCCCATTCCGCCCATCATACCTCCGCCCCGCCCCATGCCCATTCCCCGGCCTTGCCCCATCATCCCCCTCCCTCCGGCAAAGCCACCCATTGCATTCATCCCGCCCATGCCCATACCTCCCATGCCCATGCCACCCATCATCCCCACGCCACCCATGCCCATACCGTTCATCATCCCGCCCCGCATCATACCCCCGCCCATCATGCCCCCGCCCCGCATCCCACCCATCATATTCATGTTGTTATTTGGAATCTGGTTATGCCCACCCCGGAAGTTACCCCCACCGCGGCCAGACTGGGCTGGCATACCTGTGTGTTGCTGAACCCGGCCGTCGCGTGGAGGAGGTTCTACATCGACGAAAGAGAATATATGAGACAAGCCGAACGCAGATATCTTGGAGGTAGATAACGCACCTTTGGGTAATGTGCGGAAGGGGTTGCCTTGCGCCGCATTGGTTAGCGTAGCATTCGCCCTTCTATTCTGGAAATCACTGCGTAGACGTCAGCCATCAGTGTTTACCGACGGAACCGTCGTTCCACATACTTGTTGTCGAACCATGCCTTCAGCTTCTGTGCAGATTGTGGATCTCCGCATTCAACATAGGCGATCCTAAGCGAAGGAGATGATTAGGAGAGCGTATCTCAGAGCCTTGGCGTGGATCCAGCAACCCAAAGTGATCCTTACCCTTTACTCTTGCCGTTAACTTTGTGCTCAGAAAACGTGATGTCCTTGTGGTCAATCGTGACGCCCACGTTGAGCGCAACTTGCCGCAGATCTTCATCGGTCGTCCACTGCAAAGCAAACAAAAAATAAACGTTGGTAAGAAATACAGGACTCTTCTAAGACAAGACGAAAGGAAACACAACACATGTGGACTAGGCGACAAGATAAACGGACCCATTGCAAGTCTCCGATATACAGGGCATCATAGTCAGCAGTTCCGCTCTGCATCTGCGCGGCCATTCCTATGGCCTGTGCGTTGGTGTTGAAGGGGGTGGTGCCATTATGGCTCGCGGGGTTGGATTGTGACGCGCTGCTGCTCCTTGAAGCAGGGGCGGGGGTCGCGCCGTGGTCGGCTGAGTCGTCGTCCCTTGGTCGCTTATCGCCAACGTTGGGTTCGGCCGAGGTTGTCAGCGATTGCACAGGCTCGTTGGCCTGTTCTGCTTGCTGTAGAGTCCACCCAGCACGAACAAACGGTCAGTATAATATCCAAGCGCATATATACAGTCAATACGCACCTCTTGCTTCCACTCCTCCTCTCCGTAGATGTCAAAGTCGTCTTCTGGCATGTTTGTTGATTGTGCGTGTCAGGAGGAGGTCAACTGTAGGTCTCTGAAATGGTCAAGCCTTGCGCTTTGCTTTTCTGAAGAATTGGGGAAGAAGCACAAAACGTGGATTTGAGTAAACGACGAACAAAGGAGTTAAGAACAGCGTAAAACGAGGAACATCGACGACAGACGCGCTCTACGCGTCAGCGCTTGGGGCAGTGAGGAGAGGTGGTCTTACATGAGGAAATTACTGATACAAGGGGGCTGATACAGGATTTAAAGCCTTTTGCTAGTGTACGGCTACAACGAGGCGGGGAGGGGGCGTAGTTGCGGGGGAAGAACAGGAACACCCCCAGGACCAACAAATGCTTATATAGGCCGCCTTCCTGTTGTCGCGTGTTTGGCATTCTAGCGCCCCATTCGTCAGCAGATCGGCCTCGGGGCCGCCGGCGTCGTTCTCCTCGTTGCCCTCGCCATCTCACTAGAAGATGATCGTCGACCAGGCAGCCTGCCGACGAGCCAAGCACCGCACTTGACTTTATATGAAAGAGACTACATCGGCGAACCGGGCGGTTCGAAGGGCGAGCTACAGGGAGCCGCTTCCCTGATGCATCACGCGTGAGCAAAAGTCAATTCACCTGTTTACCACAAACCACAATGCGTTGGCTAGCGCTGGGAACAGCTGTGCTGGTGCGTCGACACGTCCTTCCCATTGCCCGACCACTGACACAATTTCGCTATAGGGAGTCTTCATCTGGCGCAGCGGACGAGTCGCCAGACACAGTATCCTCACCAAATCCGCGTTTCCTTTGGGCTACTATGCCTCTGGAGACTTTGCAACGAGTTGTTCGCCGATAGCACCAGCGGACGACCCGGCGTTCAACGACCTCAAATATTGCGAAGACGAAACATTCTGGGACGTCTGGAATGGCCAGGGCAGCTTGCAGACGAGGCATCTCATCCTGAGCTGCGACGCCAACCGCAAGGCATGGAACACCGTCATGGGACCCTTGCGCGACCCCGAACCGAGGGGCTCGCTTTGGCTGAATACGCTCACGTCGAAGGAGGGGCAAGAGGACGCAACTCCAGTCCGAATGGTATTCCAAAACTACCCGGAAGGGCACGACTTCCACCCCCTCGGGCTCGAAATTTCTCCATCCCACGCCGGGAACACGTCCAACCTCTTCGTAGTCAACCACGCCCGCCAACGCACTACCATCGAGCACTTCTCCGTCGACCCCTCGAACCCAACTATCGCCCTCTACCTGCGCACCTTGTCCACGCCATACTTTGTATCCCCAAACTCCATCGCCCTCACATCGCCCACCTCCTTCTACGTGACAAACGATCACTTCTTCACGCGGCGCCTCGCGTGGGTGGGCAAGTTTCTGCCAATCACGGAATCCATCCTCGCCCTTCCGTTGGGCTGGGTTGCCCATGTCGCACTCATCCCCAACCCTCTCGATCCATCAGGTGAACCCATCTTTTCACATACCGTCGCCGCCCTTGGAATTCCCTTCGCCAACGGCATCGCTCTTTCCCCCGACGGATCAACAGTCGCCGTTGCTTCCACTACATTGGGCGAGGTCTACTTCTACCAACGCGAACCCAAGGATAATACCATCAAGCGCATTGATTCAGTGCCCGTGCCGTTCACACCTGACAACATAGCATTCGACGATTCTGGTGTTCTCATTGTGACTGGCCATCCTCACTTCCCCTCCATAGTCAGTGTTGCAGCCAACAAGACTGAGGTAGCTCCAAGCTGGACGGTAGCAGTCGTCCCGCGATCATCATCGGTACTACGATCGGAATACGACACCCAGGCACCCATATCCGCGAGTCTGAAAGCCCCGGCTGTGATGAGCTATGAAGTCGAGACGTTGTTCCAGAGCAATGGCACTGGGTTCTCTACATCGAGTACTGCGTTGAGGGATGCGAGGAGCGGGAGGCTGTATCTCACTGGTTTGTACGCAGAGAACGGTGCCATAGTTTGTAGGCCGAGTTAAATATGCTAGTTAAATATGAATCCCTAAGAAGTCGGACCATCATGTGCACTGCACGGCAATGAGTCACCATCGCGTATAAAAACGTTTGAGCGACAACTAGGATCCCCAGAATGAGTTTCACGAACCTATACAAGCCCACCCCGCCGCCAGCACCGGTGAGCACAGAACCCACAGACGAACCATACGACATCAACTTCGCATACCCCCTCAACCTCGACATTCTGCAAACCCCAAAAATCAAGCTCGTCCCCTTCATCCCCTCCGTCCATGCCGTCCCCTTCTACGCCGCCGCGACCAAAACCCCCGAGACGATGCGCTTCATCCCCTTCCATTTCACCAAGCTCGATGATTTCCTGGTGAATGTCGTGGGGCCCTTCCAAGCGAGCCCGGACTACCTCCTTCTCACCATCATCGACAAGCTCAAGCTCGAGCAGGGGGCGGAGGAGAAGGACTGCATCGCCGGCGTGATTGGGTACCTCGGGATGTCGACCATGAGGAGATCGGTGGAGCTGGGGCCGGTGATCGTATTGCCTGAGTACCAGCGCACGCATGTGTCGACGCACGCCATCGGGGCGGCGATGCGGTATATCCTGGAGGTGCCTGCGCAAGGCGGGCTGGGCTGGAGGCGCGTGCAGTGGACGGCGAATACGAGCAACGCGGCGTCAGTGCGGAGTGCGGAGAGAATGGGGATGAAGGTCGAGGCGGCGGCGATGCGATGGAGTTTTTGTCTGCAGGAGGAGAAGGAGGGGATCGTCGTCCCGGCTGAGAGGGGCGGCGGGAAGGGGCGGCATAGCGCGCTGCTCGCCGTCTGCTGGGACGACTGGGAGAACGGAGTTCGAGATCATGTAACGAAACTCATCGCGCGCGATCGTTGAAATTAGAGTTGTATGGTAGCATATCATGTTGGCGCCCATACTGGAATTCTTGTTCAAGTCCATCATGGCTCCTGGTCGTCCAGTCGGCACTGTCAAAGTCAGAGTTCCACGACACAACGCTCAACGACTAGGCGCGAAACTCGGTGCACAGGTCAAAGCAGTAGCCAAAGCCGAAGCTATCGTTGCCGACACATATCAACCAACACATGATTCAGTGGCTCTCGCACAGGCTGTCGTATGTCTCTTCTCTCTGGACTGGTTCGTGTGATTCTGAAGTGGGATTGTCGAAGGAAAGCGCATCTGAATGGAACTCAATGCTTATAACAGCTCGAGCGCAAAGAGGGCCTCAGTGGGATATCGGTACACAGCAGTACGTTCGTTCATATACAGCTTACCTTGGGCAGAATATCCTTAAATCAACGGGTTCTTCATAGATTCCTCGTAGACGACGGCTCAGATCTTTACTACGACCCGACACCAATTCTCGAAGCTGTCAAGAAACTCACCGAAGACGAGACTCCCAAACCCCACGAATCACATAAACCCGTCGGACGGGGGACACCTCAACCAATGCGAGGGGACCCGGGAGGCCGAGAATTTGCGCCTCAGCATCCTCATGGGATGCCGCACGATGGCGGTGTCGTGGGTACCCCTCAGCACCAGCGACACCCCGGCGTACAGGCGTACCCTCCGTACGGCGTCGGTGTGGGGATGTCTCCTGCGGGCCCAAGCCCGATGCGCCAGCAACCGCAGCAGCAACAGTATGCTTCTGGGCCGCCTCCCGGTGGTGTTGGGCCCTTCAACCCTGTTCAGGCGGGCCAGTTCTACAACCAGCATCAGCAACATGACGTGCCGTCGCCTATGCGTGGCATGGGCATGGGCATGGGTGCGGGCATGGGTGCTGTAGGGATGGACCAGGTCGGCGTTCATCCTGGGGTGCCGGGTGTGAATCCGATGCAGCAGCACCCAGGCATGCATGGCGGCATGGGTGGTGGGATGGGGATGGTAGGTATGCCTCCCGGTGGCGGCATGCCGATGCATATCTCGCCGGATATTAGACAGAGGATGGCCCGCGGGATGGGAGCAGAATTTGGGGTGAATTGAATGATTATTGTGTGTACTATACCTCGCCTGATATATATATATATATATATAGTTCTGACTACGCGTTTGAATCCTGCGTGCAACGGCATAACATTCAACGTATTCCAGATTTCTTCGGACGGTGTATAGAAGTCGTAGCTGCAGTATCTATCAGAGCACCTATCTATCAATTCGAGAATCATCAGTCAAGACTTAATTTAATAACACCTCAGAGGAATCAGAATTCTCTTCGCCAAACCTCAGCTGCGCCCGTTAAACCCTACCTACGACCGTGATCTGTCCGATAATCCCAGAGTTGGAGTAAAGGACTGCGACCGCACTCAACCATGCCCCCGGCTATGCCGATCCCAAAGAACGTTACTCACAGGCGCGACGCCTGGATACCTTGACTTCCCTGCGTAGCAAGTGTACCAACTCCCGACAATGCCCCTGGGCCGACCCCCCATACGTCCCCGCTCCCAGTCACCCCAGTTACGTGGAGTCAGGCACGACGTACAGGACAAGGCCAGATAGACGGATAGATAAAGATATCGTCCAAACCACTGTGGGTTTGAAACGAATCCGCGAGACTCGCCATACACCTGTCTCGCTATTCGAGGTATTATCTCCACATTTTGTCTTCTATCTCAGCATGTCTATCTAGTCAGTTGCAAACTCGCACTCCAGAACTTCTTGGAAGTCTCTTGCAACCAAATGCTGCCGCAGCCCTCACCTCACTTAGATCTCATTATCACCACGTCCGACTGTATAGTGCGAATGGTCGAATATTATTGTCAAAATTCTACAGATTCGCAATGGCCTGGAGTATTTGATTTTTTGGATCCGCTCGTCCCACAGTGCGAACGCACTTCTTCATCGCAGCCGCCGAAGCAGCGCGACTTTCCAATGCAACGCCTGAGGGCAGAGCGTCAATCGACGCCATCAGCTGTAGACGACATCCTGATTGTGGGATAGCAGAGACTATGAGTAAAGGGAGGGCAGAAGAGGGATAGGACTTACGCCAACGAAGCCGATACCACAATGCTAAAGAGCTTGTAGCGTCGGTCCCGCCATGTTAGAACAGCGATTGCGTAGCCCTTGGAGATCTGATCAAGTCGGGAAACAGGGTGTCCGTCAGCACACAAGCACTGAGTAGCATATGGAGGCGGATACGCACGGTACACCCACTTCCAAGAGCTTCGCCGAGCGACCTTCGCACCCTAGAGGGATGGGAAGAGTGAAGAAAGCGGAGCGTGGCGCGGGATGCATATATACTGCTTGACTTCAGGGCCGGCGTAGATAGGAGAGTCAACAAAGCGTAATCCACTTACCGGACCAAGACTGATAGGGTATGTACCACATACAGCGACTATGTATGCCGATTTGATTGTTAAGTGCATTCTAAATCTACTGTGTCTGCATTAATTGCACGTTACGAAATTGAATCTCCCTCCTCACGTAGCGGGTTGTTGGACAGCATACACCCCTTTGTCAGTGGATACTTCCTAGAACAAGGACAGAGCATCATCTCGTCAAGCGTATAAGCTGCAACTCTCACGTCCTCAAAGATTGCTATGGAATGGTCGAATATATCATTGACAAAGCACTCTACGTGTTCACAGTGGTCTGGGATATTTAATTTTTTATGTAAATCGGTCAACCAACGAAGGACTCGTTTGGTGTTTGCCTACGTCTGTAACCCGAGGAATCTCGAGGACGAACGTAAGGGAACATGCAAAGGGTTGGCTAAGCTGCTGAACCGTCACAATCCACTCGACCGTTCCGGGTAACAACCACAGACAGTTCGGGTAGGACCTGAATGTCAGGGAGGTCAGTAAAGGGAAAGCTGACAAGTGGCGAGGGGTAAACATACGTTAACAAAGCCGGTACGACAATACCGAAAGGTTCGTCGCATCGGCCCCGCCTGATTAAAACAACGAACACAGTCATCTAGAGATCTAATAAAGTCGGGAAACACGCTCGTCGTCAGCGCATAAGGATCGAGCAGAATGTGGAGGGGTACGCACGGCACGACCATCTCACAGACCGCTCGGGGTTGAGCGACTCTCCAACCTTCAAGATTGGAGGAGCGGAGAAACAGGAACGCGTGCTGGAGGTACATATACGCCTTGACTTCAGGGCCGACGCATGGATATTCTCTTCAGCGGATCGAAGTTAGGATGTATGTAACAAGAGTGGCCGCGGCCAGCCTATGTCCATCAAATAGAGTGATTCTTCCGCTCGCAGGTGTCGGTCGGTAGGTGTCAGCTTCGGGCGGACCTGTGCCCTCAACCATCCAGGATATCCAGCACTTCAGCTGCTAGTGCTCAGGATTATCTCAATTTATGGACGTTGACATCTAGTCGATCGTGATCGAAGATCGGCGCCTAACTCCTATCTTTCCCCGCTAAACCTCCTCGTACCACCCAAAATCACGCCGTGGTCTGTGCCACTTCCCCCCCCTTAAATACGGGGCTCCGACATCCAGAATCCTTACCACTCTGGCCTTTTGGCTTAGATCAAGTGTAGTATCTGTTCTTAATAGTTTAACCACTATTATGGGGGCACCGCCCCCATTCATTGGTTATCTTATTTTTGCCGCCCCTAGTCTCTGTGCTCTGCTTGCAACACGGGGGCTGCGATGACCTTGCTGCTGCACTACTGGCTTGTGTTGTCAGGGGATTCCTTTAACCCTTCTCTTTTTGCTGTTGCACGCGACTCGCCAATTGGTAGAGTTGTGAGTCTTGGCAAATAGAATTGGCTTATTGGTTTCTTGCTCTCTAGTTGCACTGCCGATGCGTTCAATGATCTTTAGACTTGTTCTTGTGATGATTGATTCTTCTTTCGTCGTAGACGGTGTGTGTGGCTTGGAGCTCTGCCAGATATTCTTTTCGATGGCACCGTTCCTTGGCTGTGGCACATTGACATCTATCGCCTGCATTTCAGAACTCCTCGAATTCCAAACCACAGGCATCCATTTCGCCGCTGTCATCTAGGAGTCGTTCACTCTGCTGGCCATGCTACTGGGCGCTAATTTGGACTTGCTTCGAAGACAACTCCACATGAGTCTGCGTTTGCGTCACTTACGCTAGGTCCTTTGTCTACCGATGACGAAACGGATGGGTTATAGCTATATGCTGCTTCCGCCCCAGAGTATATAATGCATGCTCTCCGTTGTCCGCTCTTTCTTCAATCCCTTCGTTCCCTTTCTGCCCCATATCGTGTCCCGCCAAGGAGTCCAATTTCAGTAAGAATGTCGTCCGAGAAAGCCCAAAAGCTTCGTAAAGAGAACGATATCATCACTGCATACGATGCGCGTAGCCTCGCTTGTTCTTGATTCACGACCGTAACTAACACCTACCATCCAGCCCGCGTCCTTTATCGAAAAATTTACGCAAGATGGTGTTGGCTCAGACAAGAACATGGAGCCTTTGGCCGAACATACGAGGCTCGAGAAGTGGGACGAGAATGGCAAGCCGTTCCTTTGGGAGTACAGGCGCGTGGATTTCCTGTATACAACCTCTTTGCTTAATTTGCTTAATTTCCTCGTTGTATGCGCGCATATATAGAGGCTCTGGCAAGCTTGAGGGCAAGAACGCCATTATCACCGGTGGTGACTCGGGCATTGGCCGTTCGGTGGCGATCTTCTTCGCACGTGAAGGTGCAGATGTCACGATCCACTATCTCAAGGAAGAACAATCTGAGTGAGTCCCACCGACGTATTTCATGCTTTCTACCGCTGACATATATGCACTTCCCAGTGCCGACGAAACAGCCCGCTTGGTTCGCGAGGCCGGGCGTCAAGCCAACCTCGTCACAGCCGACTTCGACGACCCCACCTCCGCGCAATCCGTCGTCGATTCCCATATCAAGGCATTCGGGCGCGTAGATATACTCGTGAATAACGCGAGTCACCAGGTTATGGTCCCCGACATCGCCGACCTACCTCTGGACCAGGTAGAGAGCATTTTCCGCCGCAACATCGTCAGCATGATCGCGATGGCCAAATTTGCTGTGCCGCACATGAAGCGGGGCGCCGCGATCATCAACACGACCTCCGTAACGGTACGTTCATAGCTTCCAATTTTTTCACGGAAGTCATCGACGAGACGAGCCACTGACTTCCTGCTAGGGCTTCGCTGGTTCGCCGTCCTTGATCGACTATTCCTCTACCAAGGGCGCCATCGCCGCCTTCACTCGCGCACTCGCGAAGCAGCTCGCGCCGAAAGGCATTCGCGTCAACTCGGTTGCGCCGGGGCCGTTTTACACACCGCTCCAGCCTGCGTCCAGGCCGGCGGAGCAGATGGAGGGCTGGGAGCTGGGTAAGATGCCCTTGCATGGACGTGCGGGTCAGCCGGTTGAGTTGGGCGGTACGTATGTGCTTTTGGCTGGTCCAGATGGGTGAGTGGTGTTCTTGACGATGTGCACTATACGATCACGCGACGCTAATTGTCGGGTACTTTCGCTCAGGAATTATATCACAGGGCAGACTATCCATGTCAATGCCGGACAATGGGTGGGTTCGTGAACCTTGAGTATACCGGCCGAAGAAATAATACCCAAAGCTCCATGAGTTCTCACTGTACATCGTAAGTAAACCAAGAATGTTGTAAGTTGTAACCTTTACTGTATACATAATGACTCGTTTCTTGCCTTTTTGCCTTGCACGCGACGGTGGTGGGGTTCCCAGACAGAGTGTCATTGCGGTGAAGTTGTCGCGTTCTGGTACGTTGTCATGTGCCTATTCCGTTTCGACGACTGATCGCTGGCGTTATACTTTTAGATGGCCTTCGAGCTCGAGACTGCGACTGGAATCGTCGCTTATGCTGTCCACCTTGGAGTTGTCGGCATATACATTCGATGAGAGCTGTTGGGCGAATCTCAGTGCTCTCCAGACTCCAATTTGCGGAACGGCCCAAATGCTACCAGCAATCTTTGCGGGAACGCCCACATAGGTATCGCGCCTACACGTTCGATCCAATCCCCCACGTTCCGTTCACGGAACCCACCATTCGACACTTGTGTGATAGAACACCCACAACTCTGCACTTTGAAACCCTTTTACAGATATGGTGGGCGTGGGTGTGTCCGCCTACAGAGCAGCCTGGCTGTGACACATCGTGGGACGTGAGCATCGCAACAATAAGGCTTACGAACCTCTACACCAAGAACGCTAGGTCCTGAGGAGGAGCGATGAGTCGGACTATCATCCCCCCAGATGGAGACAAAAATTTGCCTCTTGAATTTGGTCGTTCGACGACGCGGTCGCCGGCTTCTGGATTGAGATTCGAGGACCGGCTTCCTTTTTTTAATTTGACTGATGGATCTATCCTACGAGGTGAAGGATGATTCCAGATTTCAGCAGCATTCAAGCAAATTTCACGCATCATTCCATACTGTAGCTACATGGCGGCATTCAGCGAACGACATTGTCCGGTATTCACGAGCACATCTAGCACCGAATCGGATTCTGGACCAAGCCACCTTCGGCACGACGGTTCCCGATGCCCGACGCCAGCATCACACACGAGCCGAGGATAGTACTTACACCAGTCCAACACTAGTCACAATATATTCGAATATTCGTCGGGGCTCCCCTCACACGACACCCTACGGGTACCTTAGCTCAGCCTCGATTAATTCATGTCCGGCCGCCGCTCCTCATCGCGCTTGGTGCTCAGTCAATTTTCTTCTCACTTCAATCGATGCACTCCACTGATGCCGGTGGGACTAACATACTGCGGCTGGGATTTACGGAGACTGTATGCGCCCACCTCCTTACCCGAACCTGGTTGCCCTGGTCTTCAACCTCCCTAAATCCATTTTGTTGCTCCCCAGGTCTCCCCAGGCTCTGTGTCGTTACGCACTAGCCGCATGGGCATGGGATGCGCTCGTATAATATTTTCCCCCACCCACACGTTGGCGTACAAGTACCTGCGTGGGCCTCGACGTCCACCGATACCGTAATATGTGTATCTCATTGTGCATTGCCGACTCCATAACATGCTAGTACGTGTGCGCGTGTCCTGAATCTTCCTCAGGACTCGACGATCACCCAGTAGTGAAGTGAAGGGAGGATGGTCATTTTTACGCGGCGTGATGGAAGACGGATGATAGATTCCATCAAGCATGGGCCGGAGGTGTATGGGAAGCGCGGTCACGCAGGGATGTTTTTGCTTCCACTTCGTTGACCGGTGCATCATACATGCAGGGTCTTACAGCTAGGAACCTCAGGCCTCATTGCTGCAGATTACTGCTCAGGTACCTCTAGGTCTTGGTGGACTGGTGGGGCCGTATACTGGCTGTGCGTCGTCCTTATGCACATCCACATTGCGACTAGTGTCCATGCAGGATCATCTCTTCCACGGACCAGATTCCAGAACAACTTGTTCTTGCCAGCGCTTGGCAGAAAAATGATCAGAAGATCAGTCAGGGTCCTAGCTTGCTTGCTGACAGTCATAGCGATGGTGGAGTAGCGATCCTTGATCGTCACCACAATACAATCGGCATCAATGCATCAGCATCAGTATCAAGTTTTCCCATCCTGGACTTCATCGTAGCAATGCGATACTCTGCGACAGGGAATCTGTTATTCACCCTCAGCTCTAATCTCTAAATAACTACGACTCGGAACGGAACTCCTTTCCCTCTGTAGCAATGACGAACCCCCAGTGATATATGTACATATGATTGACAAATGACAAAAGATTGCGAAAACGAAAGGAAGGATCTAGCGAATGAGTGGCCCGGGCGAGATAAATAGACTCTCAACGGTAGTGAGGTGTATTTACACTGCGGCCCCCTTGGACGACTGGAAGACGCTATCCGTTCCGTCGAAGTGGGTGTCGGAGATGACTTCCTTTTGTATTTGCACCGAGTGCAGCGTGTGGCTGTTGTTCATGCGGAAGGCATTTGCGTTACTCTGCAACCGAGCAATCAGCGCCCGGTAGCCTCAGATAACTAATGTGGACGCACCTCGGAGTCCATGTCAATTGTGTTGGTCATGTTCTTCAAATCCGCACGGGCATTCAGCGTGTCCAACAAAGTCTGTGTGATTCGGGGTTAGCGCGCAGGATCGACGGCGGGGATGGAGGGGCTTACGTTCGTGTAGATACGGCCGATGGGGTAGGCGAACATGGCGTAAAAGTTGGTGTCACCGTGGAGAACGAAGGAGAACAAGTCGGCGAGGGCGAAGATGGCGACAAAGAGCCCGGTCTGGACGGCACCACGGATGAGGCGGTTGATGATGGTATCGGTACGACGGAAGCCTGTCTTCGACTGGGAGAGGACAAATGACAGTGAAGCTATGGGATTCGGCGAGTTAACGTTAGTTGAGGGTTCTGATGCGATGTAGAATAAGGTTAAGCTCACCAGTGATCAACAAGTCGGCGGCTGTTTGGAATCCGAGCCAGCAAATGACATAGGGCTTGAGAGGACCGAACTTTGAGACTCTATTCACCGCAAGGTTCAGAGGCGATTTTGCGAGTAGCAGAGGGTGTTCGAACTTACTCGCCAGCGATACCAGACTTGATACCGGCTATCATGCCGAAGATGAAGCCCAAGATACTGAGAATTCCGATGGCGGTGGCAAGGATGTAGCTCTTGGTGAGAAGGAAGGCACTGAAAGCAATGAGCATGCGAGTACCATTAGAAGCAAAGAAAGGACTGGTACCGATGACCAAGGAAGAATTGCGAGATGATCGCCACCACCGACGTCGCACATGCAGTGAAGGGGATCGCCCAGCTGACGACTATGGAGGGGAAGTCATGAGCGTTTGGAAATGAGGAGGCAGAATGATTACGAACGAAGAAGGGACGCAGGATTGCCATAGTTCGTGACGCTAGGTTATCCTTTCTCAATCGCGTAAACCAACCAAGGAGTCGCGTAGGCACGTACCACATATCCCATGCCATGTAGATACCACTGGAGACCAAATTAGTGCCCGCGTCGAACGTAAGATTTTGTCAAGATGGAGCTTACACCGCAGTGTGGATCGTATCAATCACGAACAATACGCCCACCATGATCCTATTGTCCACTTAGTTTAGGCGTGTGCGGAGCTCCCTGACTTGACTTACTTGATCCATTGAGGGTCACTGAACTCTAGAAGCGAGATATGAGCATCGATTAAAGACACGCAGCGAGCCAAACTTACTCGTGTTGCTGTACACGATGAACTGATAGGTCACAAGCCCATAAAGATAGGTGTTGACTAGGCCGCAAATGTCAGACATTTCTAGCCGACAAGGAAAAATCCGTAAAAGCGTGCTCACAAAACAGTCCGATGAGCAGGACGCCTTTCGTAAGCTATTAGCCAATGTAGACACCGTGCATGAAACGCGACGCACCAATTATGAGGTCGAAGGGGCCGGCCATGGCGTTCACTGGTACAGGATGGGGTTGGGACAGAGAGGTGACAGTGTTGGATGCAGAGACCAAATGCTGGTATTTATGCCGGTAGCGCCAAATCTGTGCCGCAAGGGTCGCTGGCGGTAAGGGAAGCAATTCATGAAGTCCCCGTCCTGATCAATATAGAACTTTGGACCTACGATTCCTGTGGCTGACCTCGATCCTGGTCCACCATTTTCGGACTTCGTCACGTCACCCGTCACAAGTTCAGATCTGCTGTCGTTCCTCACTTCGGTTCCTTACACGCTTCCTTCCTGCCCTTCATCGCTGTGGCGCGTTTATCGACCGCCATGGTCAAAAAAGTGGAAGAAGCGTCTAAAACGGTGATAATCCACCACAAACGCAAAGTACTATACAGTGCAATTGCACGCCGATCCAACGCACCACCTTCACTAAGTTGTACGTACAGGCATACAACCTTGAAGAGGGTCACATTCTTAGCCTATGTTTCACCCAGCACCCTGGAATACAGTTTCTTAGAGACATGACATCCAGAGTATTTTCCTTGCCTGGAATCTACAAATTTTTCCGCTGAGAACAAATCTCGCCTTTGCGGAACCAAATATACGGGTGATCGATCCACGAAAACGTACGCGGTCACGCAACCCTGGACCATGAGCGCAACGAGCAGATTGACCATAGGCCCTGGCTTCGCTTGCCAAGAAGCGAAATGGAATCCTTCTACGGCGCGCCCTTCTCATGGAAAAATACTGCTTTTCTGGTATTTGCTCATCACGCGGCGCATCTACATCAGAACGGATCGGACCCACAAAGCTATCCTCTCACTAGGCTGCCATGATAACAACTCCGAAAGAATTTAAGGAGCTGCAAGATACCGTCTTGTCACCAACCACCCCAGAAGTGCTACGATGTCAACGATCTCTGAGCTTACTAGTCTCCAGAACACTCTCAACGCCGCCATCGACACGTTCAAGGCAGAGCTTGCTGCTCAGAAGCTCCCAGAACCATCTTTGACGACGTCCAAACCCCATCCTATCGATGATATCACTTACTTGCCCACACCGGCTATGTATGAGGCACGCCGAGCTGCTCTGGCGAGTTTGGTAAGCCCGCCCACAAAGCTTTCAACCCTGATGGACATGGACTTAACCTCTCCCCCACCTTCGTAGGGTTTGATCAAAACTCTGATTGCCTCGCCCCACGATACCATCGCCGCAACATCATGGATGACCATGGAAGCTGCCTGTGTTCGACTTGCAGCCGATATTGACCTCGCAGGCATCCTCGCCAGCGCGCCTGATCCCGAAGTTGGGTTATCAGTCGCAGAAATTGCTGAGAAGACTGGAGTCGATGGCTTGAAAATCGGTACGCATTCCCAGTGACTTTATAAGTTGAACAAATCCTGAAGACTGTCTTTGAAAAGAACGCGTCTTGCGCCTCATTATGACTCAAGGGTGGTTCCGCGAGTCTAAGCCTGGCTATTTCGCGAACAACAGACAAAGCAACGTCATCGTAAAGAATTTGCCCGGATACCATCTTGCTACCTACATGTAGGCCAAACACCGCCCCAATGGCTCGCATTGCTGACATGTTCGCCAACTTCTAGGAACGAGCTCTTCAACAAGATCAGCGTATCGTTCCCTAACGCTATCAACCACCCTGATCCAGAGTACCGAAAGAAAGATGACCCGTTCCATACCGCGTTCAACCTTCAGTACAACACCGAGGTTTCTTTCTTTGGGGCTGACGGCTGGCTTACGAAGGATCCCGAAGAACCTGTTAAATTTGGCCTTGCGTACGTCCCCTCCTTATCAATAGCGAAGCCATCAACTGACGTATAACCATTTGCCAGCTTGGGTGCCGTAGGCCCCACGTCCGACCCCGGTGTCGCCGCTGACTTCCCCTGGGTGGCTATCGCTGAAGGCAAGGATGCCATTGTTGATGTCGGTGGCGGACAAGGAACACTCTGCTGTTCTCTCGCCAAGAAGTACGTTCCATTGGGGAAGTTCTTGGCTCCTCACAGCCGACTTACTGGTGCAACTTCTTTCATGAAAGGTACCCTCAAATCAAGCGCTTCATTGTTCAAGATCTCCCTGAGACACGCGAGGCCGCCGAATCTTTCATTGCAGCTCAGGGCCTGTCCGATCGTGTTACGTTTGAGGCGCAAGATTTCTTCAAGCCGCAAAAGCGTAAGGGCAAGTATGTCTTCGTCATGCAACGAGGTGTGTACTTGTTTACCTGGACAGCCGATACAATCGGTCCCGATGGACTTACTGATGATGCATGCTCTTCGCTTTCTTATCTTCGTATGAAGTCCTTCACGATTGGTCAACTGAGAAAGGCGCGGAGATGCTTAAACAAATTCGCGACGTCTTGAACGCAGATGTGTGTTCAAAATCCTTTTGGACATGACACGGCCATGTGGCTGATATGGTGCATATAGAGCCGACTTCTGATCATTGATACCATTATCCAAGCCGGGTATACCTCCCCCACCGGTCCTGCCTTGACAGATTCTCTGGCTCAACTGGGCGAAACGTACTCTCCCGTGCCTCCTCCTGCGTTCGTCCCTGTGGACTTCGGCGATGCCAGTCGCATCCAGCACCAGATCAATGTCTCCCTCACCGCTCTTTGCAACTGTAAGCAGACCTTTATCCCTTCCCGCGAGACACGCGTTCGCGGCGGAGTTTACGGTGGTGGCAGTGGCTGATGATGCATCATACAGCATTCGAACGCACTAAACCCCAACTTGAGGAAATGGTGAAGCTCGGTGGTTTGAAGGTTAAGAAGATTCATGCTACTAGGTGCGATGTCCCCTTTTTTGACACCTTCACTTGTCTGACATCTTTGTCACAAGGGGTTGGGCTTCCATCACGGAGGTAGAGCTGTGAGGTCGGTCACGGGCATCCTTCAAGACTTCATATTAACTAGACTCTCGACCTCCATTATGCTCGCACTTGTACTACTTATGGAACATACAATAAACATTCTGGCGTGCTTAAACTCAAAGTTTGCTGGTTCCTGTTAGGTTTGGGCGGTACTGCCTACCGTGAAGGCACAACCGCCTCGTGAAGCCTATTGCCCAAGTGCCACCGACCATGGGTATGACGCCATTTGTATAGCAATCCCATATGCACTGTCGCTTCGTGCTATCCTTGACTGTCTTGACTTGGTTCAGATATCAGGCTCGTTGTCGTTGAGCGGCCCGCCATAACAGGGGGCCCCTAATATCGACGGAGGAAACATAAGCTGAAGGGTGACCACTGCCAGTGTGACGGCAAGCATGCTGCAGGCCCTTGGAAGAAAAGGCTTTGTACGTTCGCCATTTCCCCTAGTACCAGCTGCTTTCTACCGGGAAGACGGGGCTCGCTAAACAAAGTTGTACCAACTCTTCCAAGAAGAAGCTGGTTGGTATATAGACTACCTTGCATTTCTTTGTCGACGCTCTATCCCAAGACAAAGGTCGACTGGTGAAGGCCAGGTCATGGTGGTAAATTTATGTAATAATTTACAGGCCCTCAAAGGGGCGCATCTCGAACTTCCGGCCCACCGCGCGACTATTTAAAGGCTTTGTCTGTTGGGATAGTATCGTCTGAACCCCAGCAATGTCCAATTTCCAAGCTTGCCACCAATTCGCTGACACCGGTGCTTGCACCTACGGTGGTAAATGTAAATTCCAGCACATTCGAGAGTCGGCGACACCAAGCTCGGTAAGCACCCTACTATCTGAACAACGGGCCAGTTTCCACGATGTCTCCCACTTCAGCCCGCTTCGAGCCCGCCGCGAAAGAAAGCCAAAAAGCAGCGTACAATTACTTCGTCGCAATTCACCACTTTCTTCGACGACTACCCTGAATTTGACTACGACCCAGGAAATTCTTCCATCCGTGAATTTTACCGGCTTTGCGATTCCAAGGGTTGGGAACGGAAGGATCCTGAACGAACGAAAGCATTCCAAATCTTCAAGGATGCATTGGTCAAAGAGTTCAACGGGATCTATGGGACGGACGAGAACGATATCGACTCTTGGCACAAGATATGCACCGTCTTGGACATACACCCCTTGCCCGATACTCTTAAGGAGGCGAGAGATGTAAGCCGAAGCCACTGATATGTACTCTGAGGAAGGCTTATAATCATTGTCATGGTTTTAGGGAGTCTTGTCGAAGCATATCAATATCGTTGACCTCGTCGACAATCCTTCGGGTCATGTCGCCAGCTTCGCATCCCTTGAAGCACTGCGCGAGTACACCGTCGACGAAGGGAAGTATTTCCCTGCCGAAAATGCGTACGCAGGTGGGCTGTTGAAGTATCTACTTCGGGAGATTCACGGTACCTATAAAGGAAGAAGGAGACCTAGCGGGTTCCGAGGTCGCCGTCGCCGTCAGCAACAATAAGATTATTATATAATTTCCTGCACTACTTCTCCTTACTTCTGCTACTTATCTACATAATGACATTGATCCTGATGCTTTCTACTGGTGTGGTTTTAATCGTCGCAAAAGTCACCGAACCGTGCTCAAGGGGCCAGGGGACCCCTGAGGCGCTGAGTTAAACAAGCCTTCGCGCTTTCACGAGAAAAGCAAGACAAGTTAAAGGGTGTATCTCAAGGCCTCCGAGTCAAATTTCCTTGTTCAGGCTCCGTTGAGGAGCAGAGGTGAAGAGGTCAAGGTCAAGTTGGCTATATCTGTATTGGTGATGGTGGGTCCTCAAGGCGCGTGCACCACGAACTTGCTGTCCCACGGTCTAAGTATATAAAGGTCTAGGATGTTACGAAATGGTCGTCTGCCCCGTCGATGTCTGGCCTCGGAGTCTGCCCCCAGTTCGCCAACAGTGGCACCTGTACCTATGGTGCTGGGTGTCAATTCCAGCACATTGACAGGCCAGAGGTCCGCAACCCTGTGAGTGTTCCTACTACCTGAAATAGCACTCGATTCTGAGGCTGTGAGGCTGTCTCAGACAGGCGCGAATTTTTCTACCTTCTTCGCCAACTACGCCGGGTTCCGATACAACCCAGGAAACTCTGCCATCCTCGAATTTTACCGGCTTTGTGATTTCAATCACTGGGATCGGGATGATCCTGAGCGAGAGAGGGCGCATAAAGCCTTCAAAGATGCTTTGGTCAAGGAGTTTAACGATATCTACGGGACGGACGAAAAGGATATCAATTCCTGGCACAAGATATGTACCGTTGTGAACATAGACCCCTTGCCTGATACTCTGCGGAAAGCGCGAGATGTAAGTCACGGTCATTACAGGCTCTGAATCAAACTGACACTCATTGGCGCGATTTTAGGCAGTCTTGTCAAAGCACATTAATCTCGTCGACCTCGTTGACCATCCTACGGGGCGTGTTCGCGTTTATGATTCACTCGAAGGGTTGCGCACGTATACAATAGCCACAGGCAAATATTTCCCCAGGGGAAATGCATACGCAGGGGGTCTGCTGAAGTACTTGCTTCGGGAGATTCATTCCGAATACCAAGGAAATAGGAGACCCGGTGGTAACCGCCGGCGCCGCCGTAACCCATAGTAATAAGATGTCGCTTAGTTTGTTGACATTTAGAGCCTGTACAAGTATTCTGGACCTCCATCACAAAGCTCAGACAGTCAACACCATCGTAATTCATTTATACAACAAGGCAATGTACAGCATGCCGCAGAGTACTTCTCTGAATGACTTTCACCTCACACGATCGTTTGACCGATTTACAGGGCTCAGCATCTGTTCTCTTTGATTTAATGCCTCAACTTCGACGCCTTCTAATGTATCTAGCCTCTAGAGAGCACAAGTCGTACTCATGAGGAGGATAGGGGCCCTTTAAGGCGCTGAGGTCGAATTTTACAGTCAAGTTCACGCCTCCAGCAAATACGTCTTAGCAACCTACATATTCACCAATTCTCGCCGTTTTGAAAGCAAGATTCTGATATCTCCCACACCCCGCCCAGCCTCTCTGGAGAGATGGCAGAGGCTCAACGAACAAGGACATACTGATCCTTTCAAAGAAAAGGCCGCATAACACCAAAGGGGACATACTCATACTTAAGGAGTCAAGTATCTTTGCCTAGGCCCTTTGAAACCAAAGGACGACTGGTCATAAGCTTTAAGCTGGCTATTATTGGATTGTTTGTGGGTCCTCATAGGCATGCATCTCGAACTTCCCGTCACACGGCCCAGCGTTTGAGTATATAAAAGCATGGATTGTCGCGGGGAATTGTTTATGTCCCTTCGTCCCATCAATGCCCTCTTTCCAAGTCTGCCGCCAATTCGCTGCCACCGGTACTTGCACCTATGGCGGAAGTTGTAAGTTTCAGCACGTCCGAGGGTCGGTGGCCCCAAACTCTGTAAGAACTCTGCTATCTGAGTGATCAACTGATTCTCACGTTGCCTCCCACCCTCAGGCCATACTTTCCTCCACAGGACGGCGAAAGAAACACAAGAAACGGCGTTCAAAAACGACGCAGTTCACCGTTTTCTTCGATGACTACCCTGGGTTCGACTACGACCCAGGAAATTCGGCCATTCTCGAGTTCTACCGGCTTTGTGATTTCTGTGGTTGGGATCGAGAGGATCCCGACCGAAAGGAAGCACACCAAGCCTTCAAAGATGCGTTAGTTCAGGAGTTTAATGACATCTATGGGACGGACGAGAACGATATCGACTCTTGGCACAAGATATGTACAGTTTTGGACATAGACCCCTTGCCTGACACTCTTCAGGAAGCGAGAGATGTAAGTCGGGGGATTACTTACTCTGAATAAAGCTCATATCTCACCGTCACAATTCTAGGAAGTCTTGTCGAAGCACATCAATATCGTCGACCTCGTAGACAATCCTGGGGGCCATGTTACCAGTTTTGAATCCCTTGAAGATCTCCGCGAGTACACCGTTGACGAAGGGAAATACTTCCCCGCCGAGAATGCGTATGCAGGGGGGCTGCTGAAGTATCTGCTCCGGGAGATTCATGGTACGTATAAAGGAAACAGAAGGCCCAGCGATTTTGGAAGCCGCCGTCGCCGCTTCAGGTAAATGACCCTCGGAGCGTTCACGTCCTCTCTGTACTACTTACCGAGTTACCGTCACTACATTTCTAAAATGTATTCCTCCTCATTTACTCGCCAAATGCTACATTAAGATAACGTTTCTTATCTTATGGGTTCCTATCTTTCACTTAATGACATTGATTCTAAACAGCCCTCTGGCGGACAGGGAACCCCTGAGGCGCTGAGTCTTTCCACCTTCCACAAATCCATCTTGATTCTTCCGATCGTCCTCAAGCGCATCCGTGCCATGTTTGCTCCGGTACTGGGACAACTGCAAGCATGTATACTTCCGCCTTTCAAACAGGACTTGAATGGTCGTTGCCACTCCTGATTTATTTTCTCTGCATACCTCGGAAAGGATTCAACGAACGAACGACTCAGGTGCACCACTTCACTCACAGAAAAGCCAAGGCCCGGTACAATATGTTGTATTAATGCCAGAGGTGCTCTTAGATATGCCCGTTCGCAAAGAAAGGACAAGCAGGCAATGCAAGGTTTCAGTTCGCTATATTTGTATCGCGGGTCCTCAAGGCGTGCACTTCGAACTTCCCGTCACACGACCTAACGCTCAGTATATAAAGGCTTGGGGTACTGCGGATGGCCCGTCTGTATCCCAACAATACCAATGCCTAACCTCCAAGTTTGCCGCCAGTTCGCCGCCGCCGGCACCTGCATTTACGGTGCTAGGTGCAGATTCCAGCACATCCAAGGGGCAACGACCCAAGGTCCTGTAAGTGTTCTTCCAGCTCTGAGATCGCTAGGTCATCATGTTATCTCCCAGCCTCAGGCTGCTCCACACCCAGCCGCTAGACATCGAAGGAGATCGAAGAAAAAGCGTACGCCCGCACCATCAGCATCAGTGACCCCATGGACAAATTTCTCCGCGTTCTTCGCCAACTATGCCGGATTCGACTACAACCCAGAAAATTCTGCAATTCCAGAATTCTATAGGCTTTGCCGATTCATGGGTTGGGGCGGATATAATCCTGACAGAGAGGAAGCACGTGAGGCGTTCAAAGATGCGCTGGTGAAGGAGTTCAACGATATCTATGGGACAGACGAGAACGACATCAACTCCTGGCACAAGATATGTGTCGTTGTGGGTCTCGATCCTCTGCCTGATACCCTCGAAGAAGCGAGAGATGTAAGTACCGGGAGCCACCACAATCTGCTTGGCGCGCTCATCTTTGAGATGACTATGTAGAAAGTCTTGACGAGATACATCAACCTCATCGATCTCGTCGACAATCCTGCGGGTCGTGTCCACAGCTTTGGCTCCGTTGAAGAGCTGCGACAGTATACGATTGTCACGAAGAAGTTTTTCCCGAAGGAAAATGCCTACGCGGGCGGACTGTTGAAGTACTTGCTTCGTGAGATTCTTCACAAGTACAAGGGAAATAGGAGGCCTGGTAGGGGCCGCCGCCAGGGCCGCCGCAGAGGCCGCCAGCAACCCATGAGTACTATACAGACCGGTGAAATCATGTAGTCGTATCTTCGTAGTGGATCAATGATCTTACAAGTATACACGCTAGGATAGCAAAGTAAATATGTGATGCAACGTGTACATTATACATGGACGATATGACGAAAACATTAAATTAGTGTGACTACTTGTCAGCGCCTTCACGTCCCAGCAGCAGGTTTCATATTCTTCCTCAGCTCCTTCCCCATCTGCACCATACACGCATGTTCCAGCCCGCACTCCCAATACTCGACCTTCGCACGTTCATACTCTGCCTTTAGCAGCATTAGCCTTTCCCTCACTTGCTGCAGAATCTCCTGTTTCTTTTGCGCAGTCCTGCGTACTGGCGGCGGCAGTGGAGGCAATGGTGTTGACGTTGTCGTCCGTAGCGAAGTATGAATCGTTTGTGTTGAAGTAGACGGCGCGGACCTCGTGCGATTAGGCTGCTTACGCGTCCGACGAGGGGGGCGATTAGAGGACGAGGATGTAGGAGGTGGTATTACTGGCTGTGGGAGAGCCGTAGGAGTAGGGGTAGTACCTGGAGTAAAGGGAGGTGTCTGTCCACCTCGGAAGCAACGCACGTTGTCTGGTAAAGGTGATTGAGAATTGGCATTAGCGCTTGGAAAGGGTGCTGGTAACGTCGTCGACGGAAGCATAACATTCGAAGTTAATGGATTAAGTTTTGTTGGCATGGCCTGCTGAGTGACGTTGGTAGATGATGGGGGGATTCCAAAGCCATCTGGGACGTCGGTAGCGTTAAAGATGCCTTGTCCAACCATACGTTCGAAATCAACATCGACATCCATATCGAGATCGATGGCTCTCTGCTTCCCCTTCCCCTTCCCGCTATTAGCACGCCTGCACTCCTCTTCATCGAGTTCGCCTTCGTGACGCATAGATCCTGCCACCGACCCGCCGAATCCAACACTAGGCATATCGCCAAAGCCCACGACGCTCGCAGAGGGCGTAACAACCTCTGGCGTGTCTCGAAAGGACGACTGTGACAAGTGGGGTGAGGCGAGGGATGTGATGCTAAGGGACGGCGTGAGCGGGCGGTCCAACGCCAGAGCACTGTTACTACTGGTGGCTTGTTGTGATGTGGTATTACCGTGATTATGATCATGTTGGAGCAACGCAGACGTCGTCGAAGTCGAGATCGGATAAGGGAGGACAGGATCAACGTCCATCGGCATCGACAATGCCCACAGTTGAGGGTCGATAGCTGAATCGGGAGGCGGATTGTGGCTGAACATCGGCGTGTTCGATTGGATCGGTCGATCGACCGTCAATCCAGACGCGTTGAAGCCATCTAAAGCAAATAGTTCACGGCATGTCTGAGCGCACAGGAAAAAATCCTCACCACCAAGCTCTCCTAGCCCATCGAATTCCAATCCAAAATCTACGGCGTCGAAATTCATGTTCAAGTCCCCAGGGGCTGCGGTGGTGGTCTCATAAGCGCCGTCACGAACATCAGGAAACGCGTCCAGCATCGATATCCAGTTGTCGAGGAAGCCCTGATCGAAGTTATTGGAGAAGGACGCGGCGTCGTCTATCGGAGGGGCATTAGATATATCCGAGAAATCGAACAGGTGCGACGACTGTGCAGGGCTGCCCAGACACGAAGGTATCGACGACGCCGGAGTACAACGGTCCGTCTGGATTTGTCCGTCAATCGACCGTGGGCCGTCATCTCTGCCGCCAGGTCTGTAATACACCAAATTGCCCTGTCCCAGCTCCTTCATAAGTTTCTTCTTCGCAGCCGATTCTGTGGCCTTCTTTACCAATTCCACGAATTCTTGCACTAGCCGTCGTCCCCGCGTGTGCTCCCATGTAGCGTAGTACATCTCAGGCCCCTCACCTTGCGCGAACGGGTAAGGAACGTCCCAATCAACGGCGCCTGCAGGTACGTATTTCAATTTGCGTCGTTTCCGCGGGCGTGGGCCTGGTGATGGGGGCGAAGGGAGGACTCTGACAGGCGGACCAGGCGCAGGAGGAGGAGGAGGCGGTGGAGGAGGATTCCGCGTAGTGCTCGACGAATTGGCATGCAGCTTAAGAATGTTCTCCAGCAGCGGAAATATCTCCGGTTCGTCGACCAGAGCAGCGACAATCTCTTCGTCGGTCAACCTAGGAAGCTCTGAAACAGTGAAGGGCTGAGGATGAGGAGTACCAGCAGAGCCCGTCTGCTCTGTAGGTGGTACTGGAGGCACTGCAGATGAATCGATGATTATAGGCAGATCTCTCGTGGTACCACGATCCAGCGCAAGTGCTGAGGGCTTGACTCGCCCCACGAGGCCAGCAAGACCGAGTAAAGCAGACTGATTCCGCAAAAAGTTCCTCGGCAGCTGCGTAGACGGTCCAGGCACTTGTATTTGTGGAGTGGGCGTACGCGTAGACGACGCGCCAGATGTCTTTTTTGTTGTTGTCCGCCGTTTTCGAGTCATACGCGAGCGCGATGAAGCTGCAGCGGGGCGCCGAGATTGTGGGCCATCGTGAACCACTACCTGATTTGTGAGTTGAGGGGCAGCAGAGCATGTTGCGGACGCTTGAGGGTGTGGTCCTGCGATGGGTGCTGATGTTGATGGCAAATGACTGGGAGAAGCTGTAGATACGCCTGGAAGAGCTAAGAGGGGTGACGGCGACCTACCTCTTGGTATCGCTGGTGCAGCTTCGGGTGGCGGCGACCCGAACAGCGAGTCTTCATCGCCATCCATCCCCATCGTCGATTTTCGATTTTCGTGGATGGAAGTTGGAAACAAAACCAGATGAAGAGCATTCAAAATGTGAGTGTGGGATGAATTATGTGATCGTGAGAATTATAAAAGGGTTCAGTACAGGGGCATAGCAAGTCACGATGCTACTAGATACCAACGAATTGCTACTGGTGGTGGCGACGGCGATCACCAGGTTTCCTATGTCCTGCGTACTTGGAATGAATCTCCCGAAGCAGGTACTTCAGAAGTCCCCCTGCGTACGCATTTTTCTTTGGGAAATACTTTTCTGTGCGTTTGGTGTACGTGCTGAGGGCTTTAAGTGAATCAAAAATGCGGACACGGCCCCTAGGATTTTCGGTGAGGTCAACGAGATTGATATGCTTCGACAAAATTGCCTGAAATCGCGACGATAAGATAAAACTTGCTAGAGCATATGGCGACCCGGGCTCCCGACTTACATCTCTCGCTTCCTGAACAGTGTCAGGCAAGGGATCTATGTCCAAAACGATACATATCTTGCGCCAAGAATCGATATTGCTTTCGTCGGTCCCATAGATATCATTGAACTCCTTCACCATCGCGTCTTTAAAGTCTTGGTGTGCCTTCTTTCGCCAAGATTTGCAAAGTCGGTTGAATTCGAGGATGGCAGATTTTGCCGGGTTGTACTGGAACTCAGGATAATTGGCGAAGAAGGCAGGGAAATTCGAGGCGCGTCGCTCTTTCTTTGACTCATTTGTGTGTCCCTTTGCTGTGTGGGGGGCTACAGGGGGCTTGGAGACGACATGAGACATGGGCGGCCGTCGAGCCAGTGCGAGGCTTACAGTACTTTTGGACACCGACTTGGTGTGCAGGAATTTACAGCCAGTACCGTAGGCGTAAGTGCCGCTGGCGGCTAGTTTGGGGTAGCAATTGGAAGGTCCCCGGGGCGTTGAGGGGCCATAGCTAGCTCCTCGACAACCTAAACGTTTATGTACTTAGTCGCTGTTTCTTGGGGTATTTTATGGGGATACGAGCCTTCGAAGGACCCGCAACCAGAAACACTAATATAGCCAGCTTGAAATCTGGCCTTTGTACTGCAAATGAGCCTGGACAAAGGAGCTTGAGGTCTGTTCCCTTGACCAACTAGCTTCGCCTTTCGAGAGAGTGGTCGATGGGCCCTGGTTCGTTGATTAGCCGTTTTTTGAAAACAGGCAACGGAGAATGGTAACAAACACCCAGACAATATGTCTCCAGTAGTGGGGGCAGCCTTGTATCAGTAACATGGGAGGGGGGAATAGCTGGAGACGTCTTCGTGGGCGACGGCATGCTGCAAGCAGCATGTTGCTTAAGTTCGAAGCGATTTAGGGGCCCCTATCGTCGCGATTGTCACCGAATGACTGCAGCCACCATAGCACGGCAACATGAGTACGACCTGGGTACTTCACTTAGTAGCGAAGTTGATTTTCCCATCAGCTTGGACTACTGGATAAGCACGTGTGTGTACTTGAGTGCCCGTCCAAGAGTAGAGGCGCAAAAACTAGCATTCTATCCCAGGAGGCAAGGTGTACCACATCGTTGCATTAAGCACTCTCGAGGGATAAATATGAGTCACATTCTGCCAGTTCTTTCGTATTGAATTCTCCATTCCAGCACTCCGACACCTTTTAGATTAACCTACAAATAACGCTCCTTCATGAGAATACGAGGGCTGGACATACTCGTTGATGCTTCCCTGCACCGTCATGCGTGGTCACTCGCCGTCAATTATGTCATTGATAGAAGGTACGGATATGAGAAGCTCATAATATGTCCGTACAAAGTCCTGGATGCGCACCAGCGTCGGCCTCTCCTCCGGAACTCCTATCCAACATTCCTTCATCAAGTCCCAATGTGCATCGGTGACCCAAGGCTGGAAAGGGCGTCGCGGAAATGAATTCCGATATAATTCAAAAAATACTTGGCCATCCGTTCTCAGATAGTGGTAAGGTATTTCTCCCGACAATGTCTACGAGATTCGATACATCAGTGAATATAGGATTCCAGGTATACAAGAGGAGGTAAATACAAGTACCTGGAGCATGACCCTTCCGTACGAGAAGATGTCGCTATACACAGTGGGTCTGGGTGCTGCCGCCCCGTCTTGGTCGGGATCGCCTACTTTGTATAATTCAGGTGCTGTCCATCGAACGGCCCCTGTGACGCATGAGTTGGACGAGGTGTCTTGAACCTCGGCGATAAGAGTGGATAGGCCAAAATCACATATACATGATTTTGCTGATTCATCTAGCAGGACATTCGACTGCCGGATCACGCTGGTCATTGAGGGGGGCGGGTTGAGGTGGTGAGACACTTACCCCCGTCAGATCTCCATGTATCACAGAGGACGAGTGAACTGGCAAAGAAGGTTATTAATCCCGTGAGATAGGATGAGAGGAAAAGCAGTACGAACGATATGAAAGGCCGGACGCCACTTCATCTAGCTGATGATGATTAACTACCCTACACAAATAGAGGAGGATGGAGATACGTACAATTCGATAGCGTTCAGAGAGCTTCATGGTGTCTTTGAAATTTGTCATATAGTTATTTAGATTTCCCTTCGCAGCCCAGAGACACACCATGCCGACGGATGATGGCGGTCCAATGTCTGTTGTCGTCCCGAGCAACTCGAGAATATGGCGATGTCTAAGCTTCTGCCAAATTGAAAGTTCTCGACGAAGCCGCTACAACATTGGGTTAGTGGCCTCAATCGGGAGGAGTTATATACAAGCCGAGATGATCACTGACTTTCTGTTGCTTGCTACGGGTAGAGGCACTCTGCGTGTGGAAACGGGGGACTTTGATGGCCACCTGGTTTGGTCAGACATGTAAAGCTTCATGCAAGCACCTGTGAAGACTGACTGACCTTGCATTGACCCGAAGGCCCATTCCATTCGCCAGCCCAGATGTCTGCGAACCCACCGCACGCAACAGGATAAAGATGGGATCCTAGAAGCTTGATACGTCCAGTCAAGTCATGAATGAGGCGAAGTCCCTGGTCCAGCTCAGACCTCACAGTCTGGCTTGGTATCTGAGGCAGTGGCTGGAAAATCCATTGGAGATGAATTGATGAAAATTCGTGCCAAATTTAAACTGCTTACCATGGTTGGGCTGGGTGCTCGACTCGATCCGTGTTCCAGCAATCGTTCGGCTCGCCTTCCACGTACGTACGTTTCACGCACAGTGAGATTTTGCGCAAGCAGAGCTTCAGCCTTCTTTTTGTACCCGCACAGTCGCTCATGGAGAGCGGAGAACTGCATATGAACTGCAAGCCATGCTGGGTCTTGCATCCGCAATCCAGAATGTCTACTAGCCTCCTCTACCACGACGGCAAGATCCCTATATATTCCTCCGAAGTCAGCAAAAACGCCCATTAGACAAACATTTACGCCACGGACTCTATCAAGATCTTGCATGTCTCTGAGTATTCCGGCGCATCGGAACCCTCGACTTCATGTCGCTTCAAGGCGCCCCATAACAGTACTAACGTCTCCACGAAGACTGCCCCGATCTTCAAGAGTTCCTGCGTGACAGGATCGGCCTCCCCCGAAGGAAGGTCTAGAGTCTTGCAAAACGGACAGAGTCATTCATGATGAAGATGAAGATTTTATGTTGGATAAGGAGCAGCGAGGAATCAGCCTAGTTCTCACCTGAAGCGACTTGAGAAACGCGATCCCTTTATGAGCTGCATTCTCCATGAACGGTTGTGCCAGTATACGGTCATCTTGAATGATTGACTCGTGGATAGTTCCAATTTGCCTCTGGAGCCATTCATGGTGGACGGGCGACATCGTTTCCGGCAAGTTCTCATGATGGCACAGCCTAACGCCGTAGACGGTTACTAGTTGGGAATGAAGTAGAGGCCAATCACTAAATCACTGATCTCGACAAGATCTCGAGATCTCACATAGTTCTAGTGGTGGGCAGTTTGACGAAAGCATTGCAACAGCAACAGCATTTAGTGGACAGTATCCCGAACTCACGATATCACTGCGGAATCATGGCGACCTTCTTATGCTCACCTTTCGTTAATGTCATGACTGGCGGGCGTACCGGGGGGAGGGGGGTCATAAGAACGGCAAGGAGTAGCAAATCATATACAAACGTAGCATGAAGTCCGACAACCCTCGGTATTCGCAAAAAGAAGAGATGCTATCTGAGAACCGTAGGAGAATATTGGAATTATATCTAGAGATGGACGAATCAGTCGGCTTAGCCAAGACATGTGCTTCGTGATTTATTATTTTAGGGAGTTTAAATCAACTTTGTAGTTCACGGGAACTCCCTAAAGGTCATGTTAGAATTTGCAAGGCGACATCTCAAAGGGGTACTCACACTCATGTACCTCTCCTCATGGTTATGCTCGTAACTTCCATGTATGCCATGCACGAACGCTACAAGGGCGCAGCATCAGTCAAAATAATCATGACACTTGATCGTGCGGATTGGACCCACTGATATCAAAAGGAAATACGTCGAGATTGCTTACGCGGAAGGCAGACAAGCCATGTATCGGATAAGACACGCCGATAGTATGCTAAATTGATCTTGTCGATGAGGGAAGTTGTCAAGCCAGTAAGAGAGCCGAACCCACGTTTCCATCTAGTCGAAGGCCAGACTTGAGGTATGTGTTATGGAGCTCTGCTGACTGCTGTGCCTTGCTTAAGGTATATATGTCTTTGTACTGGGCCGCGAAGTCAAAGACCTCGTGGCCATTGTTCTTGAACATAGGCATCTTTTGCTCATACGAGATGGTATCTGGATTCGGACTGTCAGCCATCGGAACAATACGACTATGATTAGGGGACTCACATCTGTAGTCAGATCCTTCTTTGACATAGTTGCCTGTCTCCGGGTACTGTCCTTGGACGTCAACGCCAATAGAGACATCGAAAGTATCCCCGGGCTTTCGCGGGCCGTATACGGTATTAAAGTATTCGATTTGATGACCTTGTACGTCGGCGAGGGTGATGGTTCCAGAGTGCGTGATTAGAATGATAATCTCCCCTCCGTCTTCCTTGAACTTGGGGTTGACCACAGAAGCGCCTGTGTCGCCGTCGACGAATACCGGTGCGCCCGTGCCATACATATAGATTTCAACATTCCATCTAATCGTATCTCCCAGTTTTATCTTTCCGGTATCGTAGTCTTTCCAGTTCTGCGATACGTTGTTCATCACGTTGAAGGCATCACTGGAGGAAGGCATGAGCTCAAGGTATGATGGCACTGTGGGGGGAGACGGATTTACTGATAGAAGAAACTAGTGTCAGCGGGAGGACGCAGGGCTAATTGAAGATCGCGTGGCTCGAAGGACGACATCTTGCAAGGAGTTGAACAGGAAGGAAAGCTGTCGAGCGTTGAGGATTGGGATCAAGCAGCTTCATCTCGTCGCTTTTATAAGATTTTCGAGCGAGTTAAGGACCGGAACCGTGTGGACATTCAAAATCTGTCTCTATCCCTCAGCACCAGTCGGATGTCAACCTTCCGATATTTCGTCGATCGTGGGGATCCATGATGGGTAAGAGGTTCCTCTGGCAGCGGCTGGTACGATAGGCCGAAGAAGGGGATTCCATAGGTGGTCAAAATGGATTACCGATTCTGTGAAGCCGACAAATGTGATTCAGCAGCCAGTTGGATGGAGATTCCAAACACTGCACCTACTCGCTTGGTATTTGATAAGTGGTATGCAAACGCTGAGAAATTAAACGGAAATAGGGATGCTGAGAATTGCACAGAGGAGGATAAGAACTAGCGGGCTTTGGTATGCCCGACCGGTAACAGTGCACAGCGGCGTCACATTCCTGAAGCCCGAAAATCCTAGAAGAGCATTATGTATCCTAGAGTGACACCATATCAGCACCGTCTCAATTATGTATAATTGTACTTACATGTTCACAAGGTAAGTCATTGATGGTATATCGCAACAAATGCCGACATCACTTCAAGTGACTCGCATCAAACGCTGAGACCATCACGAGGCGTGGCCAACACGACATTGAGGCGTGTCCATATGACCACGCAGTTCTGGCGGAATACGCCTGGATGCGCCCCTGCAGAGACCAAGTTCAAGCTGGATATTGAGCAACATGGGTTCAATATTTTAGAACCAGTACGAGAGCAAGTAGCACTTGATGCAAACCACCGTCGATCTTGGTGAAGATCACACATGGGGCAACGAACTAGGAAATTGGTCAGATAAGATACAATATTGAAAGTCCGACGTCCCTCCCGTGCCGGTACCGCTATAAAGGCCCCTGTCGCTTCTTGCCCTCTACCACACATGGACTCCTCACCCTACACACATTCTTCCTCGAATTCAGAGGTCGATAACCTCTCTGATTCTGACTGGCTTGAAATATCAAGCAACACTGGCTCTTCCACGGACAACGATGACTCGGAGAGCGATCTCGATCGCGACGACGAGCTGAGCTCGATGCCACTGTCCCGTAGATCCTCCATGAGCTTGGGGAGCTCTCGCGATGGCGAAGTAGATGCTTGGGAGGGATTTGTGGATGATGCAGGTCGTATCCAGACACCCTCAGTCCTTGGAGTCCTTGCAGCGCCCATCGACGGAGAACTTGCGGCGCCAGTGGAAGAGGCTAGTGTTGACAGGGGACAGGAAGACGACGAAGACCTACGAGTCAAGGCAGCCCTCGATCAAAGTATGGTTAGCACACTTAGTGCGTCTCGTACAAGTTCTAGCGCACTCCACGCCTCGACAAGCACTGCCCACAATTCGTTCAACGATCTAAGACTTTCGTTCCCAGATCCCCTTACTAGTTCGCGCGACGAACTCGTGCGGTCCTACGGAGACGTCCTCGAAGAAGAGGACTCTCGTGCGGTTACCGACGCTAAACCCGATATCGTTGCGGAGTCAGAAGAAGCGGTACAACCCACTCTCTCGGAGAAACAAATCATCGGCCGTCCAGAAGTGGTCACCAGTACACAGTCTATACTCGACAGGCTAAACAACACCAAGTTCGAAATTGTTCTTTACGGCAATTCCTCCGATATCAAACTGTCCTTCGTCGAGACTCTGTTGCAGAAGATTGCCGCCGGCGGTAGCTGGATCTCCCTGGCTTATAAAGACGACCGTGCTAGCAGATGGTTCCCCGTCGAAGAGTTCACTGGCGACAAGTATGAGCATACCAGCTGGATTCGCGTACACGACCTCACGGGCGACGTCACAAGCGTAGGTTGTTTCTTCTCATTATCAAGAGTATTAAATCCAGATTTTCGTAGCCGACTACATTTAGCGGACATCATCCCTCTTTAGCTATCGTTTATCTTCCGTCTCTTATTCCGCCTGAGCTTTCAAGGCACACTCTTTATCTCCCAGTTTTTGTTCCGTTCCCGTCCTTGACAGATCCGGTTGGATCAGGCGAACTTGCCCGCCGAGCTGCACAGGATAATTGGGATTTATTGGATATCCCCACCAGTAAAGTCCTTCGGCTCAAAGGGAAGAATAGTAGCATCCTGTTCGACAGCGATGATATTCATGATGCCGAACCACGACAAGTCTATCTTGCGTTACAGCAGTTGGTTAAGAAACCTCTATCGAGTGGCTTTTCTGTGGCATTGTAAGTCCGCTGCTACATGTGGACATTGACTACTTATCATTCGTGTGGGGTAGAATCACGATCCTATCTTTGATATTGGGTGTCATCGTACACTCTGTATTTCGCACTTCGGCGCCGACACCGACTATTCCTACCCACTTGGTAGTCCGACCAACTGGGCATCTTACTATCCAGACTACGAATAGTCCTGTAGGCGTAACTCGAGCTATCGCCACCAATCACAGTACTGCTATCATCTCGTCTCCCATCAAAGACTTTGCGGTCGCAGTCGTCCATCCAGCATCTACTTCTTTGTCTGTCCGCCGGGTCGCTACTACCAGCAAACTCTTCAAGCCTGCGGGAAAGTGCAGCCAGTCTTCCACCACTGGTATTGCGATCCGCGATGCTGCTGAGGTGATGGTCCGTCCCTCTTCGGCAATCGCGCCCGTTGCGTCGACTTCGGCTCTTGCGGTGGTTACACCGCTTCCTGGCCCATCTCAGCCTAGTGTAGCTCCTTCAGCCGCCAAATTTGTGACCACAACGGTTGCTTCTTCGCCTTCGGCTCTCAGCATCCGGCTGGCGACGACGTTAGCTACTATCTACGGAGATGCTGCGAGGGCCGTCGTTCAAGCCGTCAGTCAGGATGTGAAGGAGTTGATGGATGCGTTGGATGCGCTACTCCAGGCCATAGGCGACCAGACTTCCGTTTTAGTGAAGAAGTCCAAGGGCAAGGCGTCGGTCCTCAGGGAACAGCTGAACTACCGCAACAAACGTGCAAAGATGAAGGCAAGAGAGTTGAAGGATATAGGAGATCGATTCGTGTCCTATGCAGGCGAGCGGTTGAAAGAGAGAGCGAGCAGGGCGAAGAAGAGAGCTTCTCAGCTGCGCGAGTCCTGGGCGAAGTCGGAACCCATACAGGCATGTTGGAAGGCTCACGAAGGGACAACGGGGAGGATTGTCAAGGAACTGTCGAAACACTCAAACTCGCTTAAGGCGGTGGCGAAGGCGCACGCGGCATCTCACGAGAAGATAGTGAAAGACATAGCTGATAGGACAAAGCAGCGTAAGCGTAAGGCGAGAGGCTTGAAGAGAGCGACCTCGGTTTAATGAGGACTTTATTTTTTCTTCTTTCTCCTTCGATCAATAATTGAAATGCTATTATTCTGGATACAAGATGTATGTAATCGATGTCAATGAAATATGTATGTTTAACGTATAGTACTGTTGGTCTTGAGTTTGGGGAGTGTCGCTAGAGTATGGCGAGGAAAGGGAACCTCAGACTAGGGTTAGGTGTACTAGGGTTGCCCGGACCGGCGATCCTCCCTGGTCCCAATGGTCCATCAGGTTTCGTTTTTCGCAGATCCATTCCCGCTGATTTCCAGCGACGTTCGTTTACCTCTTTGAACGATCAGACTTTCGCAAGAAGTACTTTCAAAAAGAGTTGCATTGTAATTATTGTGTAGCTTGAGACGCGTGCCCATCGCATAAGCAAAGCGGCCCCATGCCTCGTGGTATCCTCGGTGAGAGTGCTTAATATGAATCTGCATTGATGCAATGCTCATCCACAGTAACTTGCTTCTTCTCCATCATCTGTGAACACACTCAAGTCTAAATTTGCACCCTGGATGTTGTCGTTGCGGTCGATTTCCCTGGTGCTGCTTCTTTCGTTGGACCACCTACGAGTCGCAGCGTCGCAATGCCGATTGAAGGTGAACAACGTGTTAGATGACCCTAGCATCCCGTCGCCCGCACCCCTACCAGGGAATGGCACTACCACTGCGCCACCGAATGCGGACTCGGGCAACGGGACCTCCACTCAGGAATGGGTTCCGTTCAACTATGGCAAGGACACCATACGGGGTGTGAATTTGTGAGTGTGAATATTGCTCTGGATGCTTCCGAAGTCAAACTCAGTTCTATTTTCGCTAGGGGAGGCTGGCTAGTGCTTGAAGTATGTCACGTACAATGCCTCTTGACCGCGATCCATTGAAACTGCTTCCTTCTGTAGCCATGGATAACGCCCAGTTTCTTTGAGAGGACGAACAACACCAATGTCGTAGACGAATTCACCCTCGGACAGCTGGTCGATCGTGACGTCGCCCTCGATATGCTCAAGGACCACTGGGAGACGTGGATAACCGAGGATGATTTCAAAGCCATCAAGGCTGCTGGTCTCAACCACGTTCGGTGAAGAATCTATAATATAAATAGAAAGGCTAAATAATAACATTTATATGCAGCATCCCTCTCGGATACTGGTCAGTTCCTCTCACGGAATCTGACACTCAATACACAACTTCCGTCGCACCATATATCCCGGGTGCATGGCCATACCTTCTCCGTGCCCTCAATTGGGGGCGGAAACACAATGTTCATGTGATCGTTGACCTCCATGGAGCCCCCGGGTCGCAAAACGGTTACGATAACTCCGGGCAACGTACAGGAAATCCGCAATGGGCGGTCTCTTCCAATGTCAATCGCACAGTCGAAGTGCTGAGGTTCATAGCAAAGAATGCTGGAGGGATGATAGATGTCATGGAGTTGCTGAATGAACCTGGAGGGTTTATGCCAAGTGTTGCTGCCGTCATCCGGGATTTCTGGTTGAACGGATACAGCGCTGTGAGAGATGCTGCGGGGGAGGATATTGGAGTGATGATCGGGGATGCGTTTATGGGGGTCGGAGTAAGTTCGTTTGCGATAAAGTCGAGCGAAAGAGATACTGAAACTTGATACCCTAAGAACTGGCAGAACTTCTTGACGCCTCCACAAGGTCACGGTGTCCTCATGGACTTCCACGAATACCAAATCTTCAGCAAGCCTGAGTTGGCACGAACCTGGGACGAGCATGTCGAGGTCAGCTTCAGGGTCTTTGCCTTCCTTCCATCATATCTGACCATGCCGGGCTTCCATAGTTTGCTTGCACACATGTGAACACACTTTCCACCTTCGCGTCATCGAATCTATGGACCATCATCGGCGAATGGTCCAATGCGCCGACTGACTGCGCGAAATGGCTCAATGGACGGGGTAATGGGGCCCGCTGGGACGGGTCGTTTAATCCAGATCCTTCGGACTTGCGTACCTTTGGAACGTGCAGCAACATGACAGGGAGTTGGGAGGGTTGGTCAGACAAGTACAAGACTTTCCTGAGAAGGTGCGCACAGATTTCGTGGTCGCTTGTAATGTCGCTAAGGACCCATGGGCTCATCATATGGATCGGTCATAGATACTTCGAGGTGCAAGTAGAGATTGGGGAGAGTATACAGGGGTGGATGTTCTGGACGTGGAAGGTATGTGACATATTTTGGATGTACCCCGGAAGCTGAACGAAGTTTGGATGCCAATAGGCAGAACAAGCAGATGAGTGGAGCTACCAAAAAGGCCTCGAGGGTGGATGGATTCCGAAAGACCCCACTGACAGGATGTACCCTAATTTATGTTCGTGATCTTTGGACAGACGCTCGTATGTGTATTACGGTCTGTGCGCTGGATGCTACAATTATTTATTATGGGCTACAACAAGAATCAAAGCGTACAACGATTTGACAACTTGTGTGATATCCGGGGACCCGGGGACAACCTATATTTGTTGACTTTACCAAAGAGAGAGAATTTCCGATTCTTTTCGATAGATGATGGTATTAGAAGGACTGGGAGGGCCAGTCCGGAAGCCCTTGTAGGGCGTAGTTCACACTTTCTCGGACGCGCCGCTTGCTAGCTGCGTCTCCTGACTGATGGTAGCCAGTGTAGGCTTCCTGCATCTGGAACGTTGATGCAGCGACGGTGCCTAACGAAGGATCGCTGGTGGTAAGCAATGGCTTTCGCGGAAGATTATCAGCAGTACGCACCGAACAATGAATCCGCTTCCTTGTACAGCTAGAGCGAAGGCCATGTCAGCGCGACGCGCATACTCCATGCATATGATAACGTACTCCTTGTAACCTAGAGCTCTCTTGTTGTATCTGATCCCCGCTATAGTACCCACCACCACCAATCTGTAGTTGATTTCGCAGCTGCATCGCCCGTGCCTCCACTTCTTTCTTCCTCTTCTCCCAAGCATCTTTCAAAGCCTCGAACGCCCCGATGACCTGTTTCCAGGCATATGCATCCCATGCCTCAAGTTCCGCTTTGTGCGTACGAATATATTCCCGCGGATGAAGTTGTCCGTTAGGACCAATCGACATCGGGGATGTTGTTGTCGGACTGAGGATCTGCGAACCGGTATTCTGACCAGCCTGAGATGGCTGCGGCGACGTAATCGCAACAGCAGAAGGCCGATTCTGAGGCTTCCCTATGTTCTCCAGTTGTCCCAGCGAAGAATATGGATCAAATTGTGCGATGTAGGTTGGACTATTCAGCTGTTGTTGAGCCGGTGCGTACTGCTGCTGCGGCACTCCCGTGGGCTGCCCGCTCAAATAGCCGTAACTGCTCCCATTGACCTGAGCTGTAAGTTGCCTCCCGAACGTGCTCGACGGTTGGAATGGCTGCGATGTCGGCTGTGGTTGTATCGGGCTCAGGAAACCTGATCCTCCTCCTGGCAAGCTAGGGCCATAGCCTGTGGCGAACTGCTGTAGAGGCTGCTGCTGCGGTTGATATGTAGGTTGAAGCTGTGGCGTCTGGTAATTATTCTGTCCGGGTTGTATCCACGAAGTAAACTGGCCGTTCGCCGGGGGACTTGGCACTGAAATGTCTGGATATCTGCCCTGAGCATTGGAGGGATCGGAGACGAAGGGGTTGTTTGTGATGTGGGGGCTTTTGGGGGCGTAGCCGTACATATTGTCGTATATTCCGTGCCTTGGAATTCACCTGTATTTATCCCTTGAGAAGAGCTGTGGCGACTGTTGCAGCGGTGCAGCTGTTGTTCTTCTGGCGCGGTGACGGAGGCTGAGGAGCGGGCGCAGCTGTAGATAAGCGCCGATCAATTGCATCTTATCTTATCTCCTTTAGACCAAGCGAGCCTTTCAAGTCATCGTGATTCGTGATCGCTCGCAGACGACTTCTTGGAGCTGAACCACCGCTACGCCAGACGCGTCCTTTTCATTCCAATGGAGCAGGAGACTGAACGTGTTGCGCAGGCCATCGCAATTGCTGCAGATCCTGCCCAGGTGGCGCTTCACCAAGAAGCATTGTATTATCTCACAACCGTACAACAAAACGCCAACAATACATGGCGACTCGCATTGTCGATCTTCGCTGATGCCACACCCGATGGCTCGAGAAGATATTCACCACAAGCACGATTCTGGGCGCTGCGACTTCTGGAAGAATTTCTCGACAATCGGTAAGTTGTCGTGTGGCCCGATGGATTGGGGGACGACTCAATGGTTCTGTTACTAGATTTGAGCCACTCGACGATGAAGCTTTCCAAACGCTGCGGCAAGGATTCCTGACATACATACAATCGGAATACGTGTTTGGCAGCGCAGAGGCTAACGCTTCGTGTAAGTTCTCTCGTATTATCCTTCCCCGTTCCACCAATAACACCTCCCCGTAAAAGTCCTACGCAACAAATTCTCACATACGCTAACCCTCTTCTTCCTCTGCACCTACATTGATCAATGGCCAACCTTCTTCGCCGACATATTCGCACTCATCCGACAGGATGCATCCAAATTCAACAGACACGTTTCGCTGCTGTTCTTCCACCTGGTTCTCGAAATATCAGGCGAGGTAGCCGATCAAATGATCAAGGCCGCACGGACGTTCTCTACACAACGTCATACTCGAGATGGCCAGGTGAGGGACGCCGTTCGGGAGAGGGACGCTTCGCAGATCAATGAAGCCGTACTGACTATAATTGCTGACGGCGTGGAGAGAATGTCGGCTTTACGGGAGGCTGGAGATTCCTCACGCGAGCTTGGAGATGTCATAGAGGTTGTAGACTGGGGGATTCGAACGTTTGGCTCCTACGTCGGTATGCTGTCGCTTTCCTCTTCGTCACTCTTTGCTGACCGGTATACAAAGGTTGGATTGATATTAATCTCACAGTCACACCAACAACTGTCCCATTACTATTTACTCTCCTTGCCGACCCGTCGTTACCTATTCGTCTTGCTACATCAGTGGCTCTCCTCCGGATTGTGGCGAAAGGACTAAAAGAGCCAAGTGACAAACTTCAACTAATAAAGGTCCTCTCGCTGGGTCAAGTCATTGACGCGCTGGAATCAAAAACCCGCAATCAACAAATTCAACGGGGCTCGAACACGGACGAAGGGGAAGAGTCGTACCGCGAAGCTTTGGGGAAATTGCTGAACATCTACGGCTTAGAGCTACACAAGCTCATCGATGTGCGCAATTCGTTTAATCCCCGATAGATTCGTCGTTGACTCTATTATGACAGGATTGTTCAGATCAGGCGATCCGGACCGAAGCTACGCAGTACCTGAACCAGATACTGCCCGTCATGCTTCGCTTCATGGCCGACGAATATGACGACACCTCCTCCACCATATTCACTCTCCTTCATACTGTGTTGTCAAGCGTGAGTGGTGTGTCTTTGATATTCCAGGGTTGTTCCTCAATGTGCCACCATAATAGTACAAACGTAGTCGCAAAATGTCATCCGAGCCCATCGAGGACTCAAAACGGACCTTCTTGGTCTCGCTGCTGAATGTCATTTTAGAGAAAATGAAATGGGAAGAAGATACCGACATGGATGACCCTGATGACGATGACGTCGCGGCCTTCGAAGGTCTTCGCAAGGTAAGATCCTAATCCTGCCCATCCTCTTTACTTCCTTTTGGATCTCGCATCATGATAGAGCGGATGATGACCATACATGTTTGTGGTCTTTGTGCCGTGCAGGAATTACGAAGCTTTATGGATGGCGTGCTGGTCATTGATCAAGATTTGGTGACAGAGGCCGTGCGAACACTTGCCCTCAATACGTTGGCAGGGTATCGCAATGGCGTTGCGGTGAAGTGGAACGACGCCGAGTTAGCGATTTACCTTGTTTATATCTTCGGGGAGATCAACAAATGTAGGCATACGACCCCATTCAACTTCCAGTTTGCTTAATCTTCTTTCTTCGCAGCAGGAGGTAAAGGCCGAGCGGCCTTCTGTCAAGCTCCAAGTATTGACAAGACGATGCGGAAAGACGTGGACTACTCAGAGTTTCCTCTGACTGCTCACGGCGAGATGCTTCTTAGTCTCGTTCAATCCGGCATCTCCTCGTATCCACATCGCGCCGTCGTCATGCAGTTCTTCGAGGCCGTCACTCGATATAGCGACTTCTTCAAGGTCCGGAAAGACTGCATCATGCCCACCCTCGAAGTCATGGTTGATACTCGGTAATGCCAACGACTCCGACTGAGTTGGGATTGAATTTCTGATGCATCTTTCCTCAGAGGCTTGCATAGCCAAGATTCGACAGTCCGATCGCGGGCTTTCTACCTCTTCTACCGGTTCATCAAAGAAAATAAGACTGATTTCCCCTCGTCCGTCGCAGTGAACCTGGTTGAAGGAATACGGGATCTCTTACAAATTGAAGTGGAACTCCCAGAGATAGACGAAGACACCACGAAGGACATTCTCACGGAAGCCTTAAGCACACCAAGTCGATTCGACTCACAGATATATCTCTTCGAGACTGTTGGTGTGCTATGTTCCCTTCTCAAGTCCCCCGAAGAGCAATCGGCTCTGTTACTTTCCGTCGCGAAACCGCTTCTAGACGAATTGTCTACCAATCTACAAGCTTCTACCTCGTCCATGGAGCCTACAGCAATATTACGCGTCCATCACATCATCATGGCACTTGGAAATATCGCAAAAGGCTTCCCAGATTTCCCTTCCCCCGTCCAACCAGGACATGTGCTCCCTCCCCTTGAAGTACTCCAGCAGATTGCCCAGGCGATTATCGTCTGCTTAGAGGCCATGAATGTCTACAAGGTCGTCCGGGATGCTGTGCGTTATCTTGTGGTCCGATACAATGTTATTATTTTCTCATGGACAGATTTATAGTCACGGTTCGCATTCGCTCGAATCCTTGCTACCGCAGGACCTAGCGTCACGCGATACATCCCACCATTGATGGCCAACTTGCTCAATCGGTTCGAACCCTCGGAACTGGCTGATTTCATGACCTTTATAGGTTTGCTGATCCATAAGCTGCAGGTACGCAACTCTGAGACCGCAACATCCCACGGAACGCTGAATTGTATTCGAATTTACAGCGAGATATGCTAGGCGTCCTAGATGAACTTTTGGGACCGCTGAGCTCTCATATATCGTCTATCCTCGCCCAGCCAGTCGGTGGAACGGACGATCTAGTGACACGGGTGGATACAAAGAGGGCCTACCTCTCGCTATTGAATAGCATCATGGCATCTAAGCTGCATAGCGTCTTCACATCAGAACGTGAGTAACATTACAGATCCTCATCTTTGTCACGTATCTTACGTGTGTGTGTTCAGGGAATAAGGCAACGTTTGAGCCGCTCTTGGAGACCGTCCTTCGAGAGATCGAAGATCTGTCAGATCCGAGTAGCCAGAAGACCGCCCTGACATTCTTCGGTCGATGTGTGGCTGTCTGGGGACAGCCTACCGGCGGGCCTGGCGAAAATGACGCTATCCCCGGATTCGAACGGTTTATCTACGAACGGCTGGTGCCAACTGCTTTTAGCGTTCTGTTCAAACCGGATTACAACATCAAAGATGGGCAGATGTTCACGGTTTGTCTTATCATCATCATCATCGTATGACACAGACTGAACGTATATGATTACCATTAGGTTCTTCACGAAATCGCCAGTTTCCTCCAGGTTGTTGGGAAGACACGGGGTACGGAAGCCTATGAATATTTTGCTACCGTTTTCCTCCCAGGCCAAAATCTACCATCGCAACTCGCCGTCGAGTTTGCTACGAAGCTACGCGATTGGGATGGCAAGGCATTCAGGAAATATTTCGCAGAATTCGTTCGTTCTTCTAGACCTCAAGCCTAAGCATTTTTCCTACCTATTAGTGTTCGCTGCTGGATCCATTCTATGACATTCTTAATTAGTTTCACTGCATGCACTGTTATCCCTTACACATTCGTACCCTACCCATCCTCATCGACTATTTCAACGCAATCGACGTACGTATATTCCCTTTACGCCCTACTATATGACCCCAACGTGCCCTGAAATGATATAAGTAATAGACGAAAGACGTATGCATTATGCGTTTTGGTCCATAGTCTAGAATCTAGACGAAATCAAAAAGATATATTTCGCCGCTGTGTAGGCCTACACATAATCGGCCTGCGGCATCGTCGAATGCAAGGGATTGACATGATTGGACGCGAAAGGGGAGGGCTGTGTGAGGGGGGAAGAGGGGGCCCACAACAGGTCTTTCCTCGGGGCTGCACGGTAAGGTCAGTTTCATGAACTTAAATTCGTCGGTTTCCCATGAGCGCTCGACCCAGACGGCACGGTACCCAGACGTGCCTATGCACATTTCTTCGGGAAGGGAATGCGGGGATGTGGTTATTGGATATTTGCGGATTGGGGTGGTGGGGAGACGAGGAGTGCTGTTGGATAAGGATGGAGACGGGGATGGAGATGGGCAAGTATGAGAGGGGGAAGTTTTTATGTTGGGAGGTAGAAGGCATCGTGCTACGAACTCCCCAGAATGCCTCGGGGAATCGATAGAGGGGTCCACGCATAATACCATTAGCCCTCCTGATTTAGATATATCGTCGCTAGTGTGGTACTCAGCGTCGCTCTTGATGGGTAAGGGGTCGAACACGAGTACGGGGAGCCCGAAGTCATCGATTGTTATTATTTGCTGGAATGGAGGGGATGTAGTGGAGAGGAAGGGGGATGTGATGATGTCGGGGAGGCGGTAGACACGATTTATCAGTGCCATGTCTGCCTTAACACCAGTCACGACGACGTGCTCGTCGAATAGCCGGATCTGGACATTAGAGAGATGCTATATATATGGGGGGGTGGGATGTGAGCGTATCGATAAATGTAGGGGTGTCTCAACGTACCAGGTCTTTCATATACGCGGCGACTATGACGCCAGTCCGAGTGTTTATTAAGAGGAAGGATGTATGTGGTATAGTACGGCCTGTCAGCTTGAACAATTTGGCAACGACATAGTGTGCATGAACGTGGAGATCAGTAAATATTCCCAGGTGAGGTTGTTGCTCAATTGTATGTATCAATCTTGGAGGAATGAGTTTCGGCGCGATTAACGCATCGTCGTCGAGCTGGACCGAATAGATACTCATGAATTCCGAGTCGTGCAGTCTGACGATCACTGCGAAAATAATTTCTTTGTTGTTCCGTTGCATTCCCGCGTATGTTTTGAAGATGCAGGGGATCTCGAAATGGACGACGCGGTGTACGGATGTCATATCGTGCAGCGACCAAAGTGATATGTGGGCTTTGGACCGATGCGACCTAGCCATCGTGAACAGCCATTGCGAGCAATCTAAAAGCTGCATATGAGAGAGTATGTCTCCGTGATCGATCTTCGCTGTGCGTTTGACCTGTGACCACTGCTGCCGCCAGTTATGGTCAAGTCGGAGGGCGTGAGTGATAAGAGGCTGGAGACGCGATGCAGGCAGAGCCTTGGAATCAATGAATGGTGGGATGTCAAGGGGTAGATCCACTTGGAGTTGGTGCCAGACGTAGTCTGTACATCCGAACGCGTACAGGGCGCGACCAGTCTGGGGATCGCAATACACAATCAGTAGCGACACAGCGACGGGCCTTTGGTGAAATCAAATCACTTGTTTCAAGGAAAGGAGATCAATGGGGGATATGTGACGGCATATTTCCAGCAGGATGTCTTCGGACAGATGCAGCAACGACGACATCCTCTTCCGTCGGCGTTCGATATGACTGGGAACCGTGCCCCAAGAACGATGAGTTATATTATATGAGTGTCGTGGCGCAGTAGTGGGGGAACCCCGATCCTCGGGATGTGAGAGTGCGTTTAGAATTCGGTCGTTAAGTACGAGGAGGAGAGGTAGCGATTCTGTCACGTGCCTAGTACGGGCGCCTGTCGGAATCACAGACCCAGCCCTGTACTTATCTAATGTCTACAGTACTTGCGAAAGCATATGAACATCCGGGAGGGCCGCGACGCTTCTGGCCATGAAATTAAGATGGTCACAACACAAGTTTTCCTCATAGTACATTGACCCGGAGGGCTGCTCTATTCTTGACGTAGCATTAAAGACCAGAAGAATGAGGCCCAACTACTTAACAGACAAGAGACCGCGAGGCGCGACTAGCCACGCCCAACCTGCTGAATTACGCTCAGAATTGCGGAGTATACAATATGTTTTGTTGTCCAATATTAGATAGAACCAAGATATCGTTGCACATGCGCCTGACCAAGGGTCCTAATTCCTATGGACTTTTGGAGCTGGGATGAGCCCAAGAAAACCGAACACCAGTGCGTATAGACACGAAGCTGGAAAGCACGCACAACGACGTGAGTTGATTAGCCAAACTCCGCAGTGGGTTGTAGGAGGAAGTTTGGCTTACCTCCAATCACGCCCTTGAAATATCCGAGACTCGTATAGTATCCAAAAGTGTATACAAGCAATAGCCAACCCAGGACAATCGATGTCGTGAGGACCTGATGGTACGCCTTCGGTCTACGCAGGGCGCTGGTAATGGCAATGTGCTTACCGGTATTACTTTCGATAATACACCAGACTGCCGCCATGACCGATACTGTCAACAGTAGTCGTTTGATTGATTATTACGGGAATTCGAATGCAAATATAGAAGACGCACGTCGGGCATGACACCCCTTATCAAAGGGAGCATCAGAATATACACAAAGAGCAAGACAGTCGTGAATCCGAGGCCTATTGTCGTGAGCGCCGTCGTCCTGCGTATCCGAACAAGAGTCAGCCTCCGCATCGACGTGTCGTGCGCCGGTACAAGTGAAGAACGAAGAACGAGGCCTGTGTCATCCTGGCAGGCCTCATCCACATGAATACGAGCTACGTGGGAGACTCACCGTGCCCAACCGCTCGGCTCGTCGAGCAGTATCCTGAGTTCATGCACAATCCCGAGGAAGTAAGCCCCCGCCGCTCCGGGAATGATGAATTTGAGTTGCTGCATCGTATGATGGGATGCCATGGCGGTGCTGAGTCACTGGCTCCCCAGGTGGAAGCTTGTCGTGGTGGTCACGGTTGAAGAGACGGTGACCGCCAGAGTCTTCGAGTGGTTGGGGTGCGCCGGACCACACGCTCACGATCACTGAATTCACGTGCATCATGATGCTGGGGCTGGGGTCATAATATCTTCCGCGATTATTTTGAATTTCCATGATACAATACAAATCATACACTACGCGTATCCTACACTATAACAGATTATATGGCAGGGTTCAGTCCAGTAGGTGTTTATTTTTATAGCTTGGCAGATTCATCAGCAACTTTGACCACCCTGTGCGAGGAGAGAGATCGTTAGCGTGAGCATGAGCGGTTGAATAGCAACACGCACAATTTCCCCGTATTGCCACCGCTGAAAAGCATGGGGAGGGCAACAGGAGCCTGCTCGATGCCTTCCACTATGTGGAATTTTCGCTTGATCGACCCGTTGGCAAGCCCTTTTGATAACTCGGCAATAGCTTCAGGATATCGTTTTGCGTAATCAAAGCTGCATCGGCGTAAACATAACGATTTCGCATATGCAAGACGGAAACTTACACAATGAATCCTTGGATGGTGGCGCGTTGAGAGATGAGGGTGAGATAGTTTGAGATGCCTTTGGGCTTTGCGGCATTGTACGCTGAAATCGCACCTGTGATGAGACAGAGCATTGTCAGACGAAAGTTCCGGGAAAGCACGCGAGAAATATTTACCGCAAAGAACAATACGTGCGCCTTGGTTCAAGCGGGTCAGAGCAATATCCAAAATGTCTCCTACAATCGGGAAATCGCTTCATTTGACATATTTGGGGAGTGATTTTTGATCCTGGGCTTACCACCGACGTTGTCAAAGAAGACATCCAAGTATCCCATCGACTTCAATTCTTCTCTGAACTTGGGGCTCTTGTAATTGAAAGCCCCGTCAACCCCGAGTTCCTTCACCAACCAGTCGCACTTCTCCGGTGTACCAGCGATGGCGTAGACTTTTGCGCCCATCTGCTTCCCAAGTTGGCAAACGATGGCACCGACAGAGCCTGCTGCTCCAGAAACGAGCAAGGTTTCTCCAGCCTTGAGCTTGCCAATATCTTTAAGACCCTGAAATGATTGGGCGGTAAGCTAGGTGCTATTTCGTGTGAATAGACCGAACGTACGAAGTACGCAGTAAGACCAGAGGAGCCTAGCGTGTTCAGGTAATCCAACAGTTGTATTCCAGGGTAAAGTCTGCTCGTAGTGTCAGTCTTCAATCGTCTATCAGACAAAGATCAACTTACTTGAGCGGCGTCAAGTCCTTGTCCTTCATGACAGCAAATTCGGTCCAACCTGACATATACCGTCAGTTATGCTGCGAGCAGTGCCGTGGAACGTTGTATCTACCGAATGCCCCAGAGACATTATCTCCGACTTTGAACTTGCTATTCGACCCAGCTTGCACGACAACGCCCAAGCCCATCGCACGCATAGTCTGTAATTCTGTCCATCAGCTCACAAGCTCCCGCCTTCACCGACGCGCCTCCAATAAAGGCGGAAACGCTGTACTCACCTCGCCGATTTTCACTGGTGGTAGATAACTTCTTGCGTCGCGAAGGTATCCCCTCATCGCGGGGTCCAGCGAGAGCCATGTCACCTTAACCAAAGCCTCGCTATTTCCTGGCTTCAAGTCAAACGACGGTGTCTCTTTGCGGAACGTATTCGGTTCTATGTCCCCAACTGGTCGCTCGTTCAATACGATTCGCTTGTACTGAGACGGCGTTGACATTGTGGTGGTGGTGGTGGTGGTGGTTCGAGTGGGAGGGGGGATTGGTGAAAACAGTGCGGAGCAGATGGACTTATAGGTTGGTGATCAATTCGGGGTCGGTCCTTCATTGAAGCCGATTTGCGTTTTCTGATTTCTGCAACTTGGTGAGCTTCGACCTGCACAGGAGATCATAGCCGTCGGCAACGTTGACCCCGGTGCCGGTCTCAGATAGGGGATATCTCCTGTCCCCTATGTTGGGGGTAGCCACGTCCGAGACAGAAACAAGAATGTATGAAGGTTTCGTCTACAATATTGTAGCAACTCCTTGAGACGATTGCAGTGACCAGAAATCATCAGACCAGCAGGTACCAACAGCTTGCTGTTCTGTCTACCTCCTTTGAATCTAACGAGGGACTACGACCCACATTTATACTAGACGTAAGCAATTTTCACATCAAAGACGAAACTTACAGATTTATGATGGACGAACCAAAGAGCTAAGTATATACCGGTTCCGCGAACGTCGCGACATATACCATTGCTGGATTGGACCTCAGGGCTTGATACATCCATAGATCTCGTCGATATTGATATCATATTTTGCCAGGAATATACGTAGTGACATCAAGAGCACTAGTGGAGCCCAAGTCCCAGACACTATTTACGTCCCGGAAACACCGTACCTTGAACATTCCTTACACAGCAGTAACTGGCGTTGGAGTAAGTGGATGCGAAAGAGTTACGTTCCGGTATTCTGCCGTTACTATATCATGCCGTCTATGAACCCATGCCTGTTACTACCAATACACATTTCCTTCCAGCTAACTGCAAGATCGTAGACATTCCCCGGAAAAAATGAGATGTTTGCATGATGTATGAGTCAGCATACCAAGACCAAGATAGTAGTTTCGTGATGGCCGCTTGCCGCACGCAGACTTGGTGGTCCACACATTCGCCAGGTGTTCGCCGACGCTGCAAGGTTCGAGATTGCGAGTAGACAGTCGGTCATAGGGAGGCTGGCCAGATGGTATGGACGTTGGTTGTGTCGAGAACTGCGTCGCCTCGGAGACACAAAATTTCCACGTTTGGTATGCCGACGACCTTTCACTTATTTTTTGGGGTGTCTACGATTTTGCAGTTAGCTGGAACGCCTTCGTCCACTAACGTCTTTTGCTTCTTGGAAGCAGGGTCCTCCCCGTCCAGGAGTCGTTTCTGTCCAATCTCAAACAATACCTCAGCGTCGGGCAAATCAACTGGGACATTGCTCCCCAAACCCGCAGGATAGTCATTTGCCAGACATGGTGATGTAGCCGTGATGTCGGTGTTGCGAGACTGTAAAGGACTGTCGGAAAGTTGGAGCGAAGAAGGGGGCGAGGGATGAGTCTTGAGTGCCAGCTGCGTCTTGTCAACCCACTCCTTCACACGCAGGGTGCGATCGCGGAGGCCAACACGGTCGCGTAGTACGCGGAGGGTGCGGACCCCAGTCTTACCGGGTTGGGGTGACTTTTTTAGGGGAGCTAATTCTCGTTGTGGAATGGTCCCAGCATCACTGCAGTCCTCATCTTCGTCGTCGTCGTCGTCAGGATGTGGGTTGAACGCTGTGTCTGCCAGAAATCCAGCCGGAGGACTCTCACTCCAGGCCCTAAATATGTCGAGAATAGAGCATAGAATTGGGGTAGTGTTAATAAGCTTGATCTTTACATCCATGGGGAAGGCTGCAATTTGACGTCCAAGCTCGAAGATGGCGAACTTGGGGTGAATGTGGGAGGTCAAGATGGGCATTGTGTCGAAAGGGAAGTAGTGCGTGACAGTATCAGAGGGTCCCAGGGAGTTTCCCGGTGTGGGCATGCGCAGGCGAATGATAGGGACGAGCTCCATATCACGGAGAGGAAGAAATCGATAGGAGAAATTGCCATCCTAGGTATTGGGTCAGACAGGGAAGATTACCCACGTAGGGGACAACATACAGGAATATTTGGGAAATTAGTTCGCTCAGCATAAAACTCGGAGTGGACTCTGGTAAGGGAATCGTGATATTGCGCTACTATATCGTCGGAAGGCAACAGGCCCCATCTGAGTGCATCGTGTGAAATGTGAAACTGGGCACCGCCTGGGATAAGTCGTTCAGAGCTTGAAATGTAACACGCGATGAGCACCTACATGGAAACATATTGTAACAGGTGTCCAAATCAATTGTGCGGCGTGCCATTCCCCAGTACCACTCCAGCTTGTTCATCTGTTGTGCACCTAGTGAGATATTCACAGGAGAGACAAGCAAGATCGATAATATTCACAAGTTCATCATCTTGGGCAAGAGCTCTAGGAACTACGTGAGCGTACTGAATGCCGCTCTCTGGGCCAAGGTTTTGGAGAAGGCAGCGATCTTTATGGGGGCAGACAGCGTTCACGCGAGCAGCAATATTCAGACTGCGCGTTGATCGTGAGTCCAGCGTGTCTTCCAATTGCGAGTTGGACATGGTGGCAACTTTGCAGATCGCCAAACGCGACAACCTCAGCCGGTCTCGTGACAGTCTATGAGAGCACGTGAGATCTCGACACTTTATCATAATCTCATCTATATTCTGCTTTATGCACAGCGAAGCACATTTCTTACGGGGTATGACAGTAGACCCAGCTATCATCGGAAGGATGGTCCAGCTTCGATATAGGACAGATGCTGTCTACGCTTGCTATGTTATCCACATTTGCTTGACAAGGAAGAAAGGGACTAGGAACAAACGGAGCACTGATAACCAGCCGCATTGTGCATCAGAGAACGGTGAATGATTGCTGGCTTTTCAATTATCAGAGTCTCATGTTCCAGAAAGAACACCTTGTGCCGTTATCGGTGACGCCGTGCATCCGAGTCCACATCAGTGGTGACGAATCGGATAAATGTACGAATGTATGATGGACGTGTTCAAGTACCGAGAATAGCTATGCCGGGACCGCGCGACATCGCGACATCTACCATAGCTAGATTTCGAGTATTCCAATGTTAGACACTCGGTGTCTGATTTATGCCAACTGGTTTGAATTCGAAGTTTGTCACGTAGATATTGATGTTGTACTTGGGACAGGAATACGATAATGCATCACGGCGCATAGCGACATTACTTACTTATCTTCACTCTTCATGAATAGTGATAGCAGACGACGCCACAGTCAACTCTGGCTACTTCTTTTCAATGGAACCCTACAACTTCTGGGCGCTTCTGTAGTATATTTACGTCCCGGAAGCACCAACGTACCTTGAACATACCTTACACAGCCAGATGCTTGATCACGCCAAGATAAAAACGTGCTTGCTCTCCCATCGTGCGGATCGTCACTCAGAACAACGGGACAGTAACTGGTGTTTCGGACATGGAATATCGACGTGCGGTGATATGTCTGTCAGAAGACCCGGCGAGAATGGTTGCCAAAGATAGTTGTACTTCCGTAGATCCTATCATACAGCGAGCGTTCGTCCCATGGTAATATCATCACCCGACATCCAACGCATGCGGAACGGAAGAACGAGGGTCTCGCCGTGAGCCGCTGGCACACGCCTGAACAGCAAGGACACCCACTGTTTCCGGGCGCAGCATTCGGATAAGGGCAATGGGCTTGGCCTCCAGACATATACACAAACAAGCTCTTCGTCCACCGCCGATGGCGCTCAACATCGAATCGACTGCGATGCAGGGCGACTCCACTGAGGTACAATACGGCCCAGACGAAGCATACACTACCTTTGCTTTGTGAATGGATAATTTAAGGTATATAAGATAGCGGCGAAGTAACCTCGCACCATACTATTTGATCGTTCCTTTTGTATACCTCCTTCTGTGATCGTTTTGAACCCAAGATGCCCCATAAGTCAGAACGTTCTTTTCCGCGTGCAATAGGCCAATGTGACATGGAGCTACGCGCCTACCATGGAATGAAATGCCTCAATCAGGCAAGAGTGGGCATGAAACCAAGATCTATAGGTCGCGAGGATACCTCGTACCTCTATAAAAGCAAGCCAGACCGATGTCACTGGATCAGTTGGGCAGGAATAGTCCATCCCACGTACGTCCCTCGGGCTTCGCAACCTCCCGTCCTCGCTATCACTGGATAACCGCGATATCTGTGCCAGCAAATATGTCAAGCCCCACAACGATGAATATTGTGTACAGTGGAGATGTTCTGCCACGGAGAGGTTTCTTCAAGTCTTGGGAACGAACGAGACATTCCAGAGAAGTTCATTGGTTCGTCGAATGCTTTGCAGAGGCTGTAAGTCACATCTATTTGTCGAGAGGTCCAGTATGTCTAACAAGCAGATAGTTGGGGGTGTTTCTCTATACCTGGGCTGGTACGAGTAGAAATAGACGGTGACCTGATCGAACGCTGACCATGTGGACACTGAATAGGCGTTGGCGCAACGGCAGCATTTGTTGTGGGGAATATCCTGGGGCTTGAGAATGTCGGCTGTGGGTTTCAGTTCATGTGGGGTAATCCCCGTCGGCTAACCAAGATTTCATCTCAGCGGTGTTGGGTATCGGCTTTGCGTATGCATTTGGCATCCTCCTGGCGCTCGGAATATGCAGTGCAACATCGGGGGGCCACTTCAACCCATGTGTCTCGATAACGCAGGTGGTCTTCAGGGGATTCCCCCCACTCAAGGCCGCGAGATACATCGTGTTCCAGATCCTCGGGGGTTACATTGCATGTCTGCTGGTATACGCGCAATGGAGAGATATGATCCTGGCAGCGGAGGCAGCGCTCACTGCGGCAGGTAGGTTGGAGGAGGTGCAATTTACCGCCATGGGTACCGGAGGGATCTTGGCCCTGTACGCACCTCCTGGCGCACATTTGGGGTTGACTTTCGTTAATGAGTTCGTAACGGTGAGCTATCCCCATAATACGGTACGCCGTTGCCACATTGATCTTGACACCCGTGTGGAATGTAGGATTTCGTCCTTGCTTTGGCGATATGGGCGTGCCTTGACCCGACGAATGCCCTGGTACCTCCACAAGCAGCTCCATGGGTCATTAGCTTTGCATAGTGAGTTTATCGAAACACCTAGAAACTTTGGATCCAGGTTAATTTGTCCCGAACCACAGCGCGATGGCTATTTGGGGATTCGCCACACCAGGACGTGCGTAATCGACCAGCGTTTCAGTCGTTTGTGTTTCTTGCTGTCTGACATGACACCTCCGCAGTCGCCGCAAATGCTGCCAGGGATCTGGGTGGGAGATTCGCTGCAATGTCGCTTTACGGCACCAAAGGTGAGGGGTGATTCAGTGATGGTCGTCGGCCACGGGCACAAAATTGACCGTGTTCTTCCATGCAATCCAGCGAGCGGTGGAGCGTACGCAGCTATTGCTGCCCTGACGAGCATACCAGCAACTTTGCTCGCGGCGTTCACCTACGAGACAATGTTAATGGATTCAGACCGAGGTAATGCATTTCAAGACTCGGAGATCACTGGCATGAGAAAACTTAGCTGATTGATGCTAAAATTTCATAGTGCTTCCCCGAGCAACGCTTGAATTCCTCGCCGTCCACAAGCACCACCGCCGACAAGGTGAGGAGCCAGAAGCTGAGAACCATTCCCATTCCGATGGTAAATCTTCGTACACAAATGGGTCAGGCGCCGGCAAGCCTCACATCGAAGCGCTCGAACACACTCAGCGTGTATAAAAGTTGTCGCTGAAATGCGCATTATTTGCTAGTGGTTATAATAAGATATTTATCATAGGCCTCAATTTAGAGAATTTGGAGAAATATAAATTGGGTTCATGAGTGGCTGCATGGCGCTTAGTCGCCTCGACAGTCCACGCTGTTTCACTGCCAACAAAAATGCAGAATATAGAATTAGCAGACAATACAATAAGCAGAGTAAGTATCACGATATTCGGAAGGCAGATAATGTACCAGGGGTTATTAGAGTAGATGTCAGGGGGAGGAAATGGGATCATGAGATAGAAACAGTTATCAACGTCGACGGGTCTAGATGAGAATATGAGAATTATATCGGATAACGGGTGATTCCTTGAGAGCGTAGTGTAGAAGACTAAGAGCAGGGATACGGGAAAGATTACATTAGTTACATTTCAAGCCAATCGAGCAGAGAGAATGGTGGGCACAGAGACGCTGCGTTGGACTCGTCCGATTCGTGGCAGCTGCTGAGGTCGTGTGGGGGTGGTGTGATTGTCTTCGAGGGAAGACAGGGATTTGGCACCGATGAGGGGGGTCTTGCTCTGAAGGTTTGTAGGACTAGCCTGAGCTTCACAGAGCTCATCCGTCTCATCCGTCTCGGATTCCGAGGCTTCAGCATCCTCGGGTAGCGTTTCCAATCGATGAGGTAGTGCTGATGGCGATGGCGATGGTATAGATCGTACTGGTATAGTGGAGTAGGTCCCAGAGGTTCTCTCCGGGCTATGGAAGGTGGGGATGCTGTGGGCTGTTTGTTGGTCTAGACTGCGCGTCCGAGTCGCAAGTGCGGAGACATCCTGTGTTGGCCGCTGCGGTGGGTGCTTCTGAAACTGCATCTGTGACATGACAGGAAGCCCTTGGGCATTATTCATGACGTGCGGGGGACGTGGGATAACCGATGCAGTAGGGCGGGCAGGAATGTTGGTCAATCCATGGGGATTCGGCCACTTGTCTGCTTCTCCTGCCATCTCTGACGCGGCGAGGTATTCTTCTTCCGAAACAAGCGGGCATTCCACTAGCTCGCCGGTAGACGCCTTCTTGACCACCAAGAAATCGCGCACTTGCACGGCTTCGTTGGCACTAGCGAATTCTAGCCAGAAGACTTGCTGTCCAGCCGGGCGCGTGCGAAACATATTGATGAGATGGAAACGGGCAATGGACTTAAGGCGTCTTAAATACGCTATGAGGGAGGTATGGCTCGTGATGTCGGAAGGGAGGCTCCAGATGCTGAGGAACGGCGAAGAAGTCACCGTATCGCTCACGGGGGAGGCACTGCCGCATGACGGGGTACTGCGTAACGGCGAAATCGGAGGGGTATTATTGTACGTTAGAACGGGTAAGGACTGTGGGCTAGACGTGAGGGAGGCGTGGAGATTGGTAGTAATGGGAGGGGAATTGAATGCCTGGCTGCCTCGATTATAAGGTTTGATACGGTCAACTGGCGTAGGAGAGTGCATTTGCATTTGACTGTCTGATGTATCGTGGGCGTCTTCATCGACAAGTTCAAATATGGCTTTCTCCAGATGCTCCTGATGTGTAGAAGACGCAGTCCTTCCTGGCGACGATGCTGCTGATCGCGGTGCACTTAAAGATAGGCCCCACGAAGGAAATGTGGAACTGGGTGTAAATGATCCGGCATGCTGTACCTGTGTACTTGACGGGTCCGCACCATCAATTCCCCATACACTAGCCATATGAGATGTCTGGCCACCGACTGCTTTACTGTACGCTAGTGAGTTTGGCGAGATGTTCGCCGAGCGTTGCTGTAGGTGCCCCACAGGAGCACTGCGAAGCGCGGGCGGCCCCGACCACGGGTCCGAATTCAGAGCAAGTGCAGATGGCCGACCGATGGGCGCAGAGTAGCCACCGTCTCCCCAACCAGGGCCGGGGTATGGTGTTCCGCTTGGTGACGGACGCCTGAGCGCATCGTTAGTCTCCTGCGGGCTAGAATGAGCTGGTCAAAGCGTCAGCCGAATAATCCATGGTGCCAAAAATCCTCGACTCTCAAGGCTCTTACCGTCGAGTTGCCGTAGCCGCTGCACCAGTACGTGCAAGCAATCATGTACGGGCGAGTCCCGGAAGATGTCGGCAAGTAACAGAGGTTCGCTGGCTTCCCCAAAACGACTCCTGTTGGTCCTCGAGCCTTGAGGGGGAAGCAGGATCTGTGGTACGTCGTACACCTTCCACAAGACGATTCCCTCTATGCCAATATCTGGGAATCGAGCCCGCACGGCCGCATCTCTGCAGACAATCGCCCTCAACTCCGCGACTGTGCACCGTTTGCCCACTCGAACATGGAAGACGTTGTTGAGCCCGTCGCCAGCAATGAGGCAGTTGAGCCCGAGTACGTCCGCGTCGCCGAGCATCCTGACGCGTCCTGGCATAAAATGGTAGGAAGAGAAGGAGGGGAGAACGTCGACGCGCCCGATGCCAGTGGGAACAGAATCAACGGCTTGGGCCCAAATGACACATAAATACCTGATTGGGATATTACATACAAAGATCGCTGATTGTATCCAGAACTTGGCCTTTGGCATTATAGAATCCACACACAACAATGAAGAACAGGAAGTACTAGTAGGTACAATGACACAGCGGCACCCCCAGCACCTGTGATGGATCCCAGAATACAATCGACGCAAGACAACAGGAATGGGATTTCCGTAAAGGAACCCGAGCTCAGGCCCCCAACAAAGCCATCGACGTGCAAAGAACTACGTAGTACCCGAAAGCAACCAAGAACAGCAACAGCAGTGAAACCTACAAGCCACCTACGCATGTCCACCCATTTGCACAGGTGGTGCCGGGCCCTGGTCGTATTGATGAGGAGGCATATTAGGCCCGCCGGGTGGTGGCATCATCATTTGGTAGGGCACTGCGTGCTGCACTGTGGGCATATGCATAAACATCTTCCCATGATATGGATCAAATGACATATCCGTACGTTGAGGGCTTTGCTGATAGTATCCGGGGTGGGCATGTCCTGGAATAGGTGTTGGCGGCATCGATGGGCGCGGGCCAGCACCGTTGGGTAGCGGATATGTTCCTGGGGGAGGCGGTTGCATGTAGGCTTGAGGGGCTAGGCGTCGATCAGCAACTCTTACAGAGATCGAAGATCGTGACTTACGCGGCATCTGACCCATTGACGGGGAGGCATACATGGCTATAGAAAGGCTATCAAGCAGTCAACTAGGAATTGACGAAATTGGGAACTCACCTCCTGGGGGAGGCATTCCAGGAGGATAGGGCATCGGTTGCATGAAAGGATTGGGCACGTAAGCACCTGGGGGACCAGGAGGAACCATGCCAGGCATCATCTGAGGAAGAACATATCAAGCTAAGTGCATTGGATTTGGACGTTTGAGCGTACGGGGGGATAACCATATGGTGGGTAGTAAATGTATTGCTGCTGTTGTTGATTACGAGCGGCGGCTTGGGCAGCGGAGTCTTCTTCGTACGTCGGGGGTGCCATGGGAGGGGGTCCGGGAGGTCCCATATGCGGTGAATGCTGCTGAGGGGGGTGTTGAGGTGGAGGGAACATTTGCATGTATCGCTTGCCATTGTAGGGCCAGAGCGCAGCTGATCATTTGGTGAGCAAGCCTGCGAAATGAAATGCAGGTAGGTACGCACCGACACTAGTGGCTTCCGCAACTTTGTTGTGCTTGAAAGGGTTGAAATCATCCTTTACATGCACAGGTGTATTTTTCTTGATGATGCGCGGTCCAAAGAAGGGGTTGGGAGTCGAAGGGGCGGTGGTCTGAAGAAGGGAGCGTGTCATCATAACACGGAGAGATTGCGATAGCGGCTGACTCACGGTTTCAGCCTTGGATTGTTTAGGTGATACGGAAGACGCGGAGCCGTTCGAGGCACCATTACTGGAAGGAGCACCCTAACCCACAACCCACAGTAAACATACAGATATGAGATAGGCGTAGGCAAAGTGACTCACGGGTTTGAACGCTGATGCCATGGGATTTGGTCGGAAAGGTGAAGCACCAACGTTAAGTCGATTGGCGCTAGTTGGCGACAATGGGACAGCAGACTGTGGCTGCGCGGCAGAACTTGCTTGAGCGGCAGCTTGCTGTTGAGAGCTACCGTTTGGTTGTGCGACGGAGGCGGTCGCAGGCGCACGAGCTTTGCTGCCTTTGAAAGGAGGTATCGCTTGGATAAACATGCTTGACGTTTTCTTCCCAGCATTGGTCTCAGTCGCGCCGTTTGGCTTCGCCGAGGCTGTCAAAGGTTTCTGGTTCGCAGAGGGGGCTGCGGCCGGAGCGCCAGTCGTAGTCTTGGCTGCAACACCAGTCGATGGTGCAGCGGCTTTACGGGCTTCAAACGCTTTCGAAGACTGAGTCGGAGCACGGGCACCAGGCGCGGGACCAGCAGCCGACACTGAACCAATAGACCGAGCTTGCGCTGAAGCAGCATCTTTTGATGCCTTCTCCCGGATGGCCTTCTGCTTCTCTTCATCCTTGGCTAGAATTGGCACAAGATCGTCAGGGATAGGTTTATTCAGCTAATGACAGAGTACACGTCAGATAGCCGGCCTGTCAATATATAGTCGCGAATGCGTCAAAGTGACCACATACCTTGAAGTTCTGACTAAACTTGACGAGGTCTGCCATACGCTTGTCCATTTCGTTCTTAACAAGGGCTTGTCTCTTCTGGGTCAGGCGTTGTTTCTCGTTCGTGACAAAGTCGCGGAATGCTGGGAGTGGGTCAGCAGGAGGCTGTTGTATATATACCTTGTATCAGCAATGGCGCCACACAATATACCAGACGGATAAAGACAAACCTTGGTCGAGTTAGAAGGCGCGGGGGATGGGGCTTTCGAAGAGTTGGAGGGAGTGCTGGATTGCTCCTGCTGCGAAGGCAGTGAAGAACCGTCCGGACCATTGATGGAAACCTTTGGAATCTCAGCTGCAGTTTTTGCCGCATTGCTAATGGGAGGCGAGGTCACTCCCGGCTTCCTGGCGCCTGGAGGAACGTAGGCGTCTCGTCCGCGGACAACGGTACTGTATCTAGACAAAATAGCTTGTCGTTAACCAACACAAGATCACGACGCATACATAGATTACGGGATCACATACTTATCTTCCTCGTTAGCACCGCTATCATCAACAATTTGATTCCTCTCCTCCGCGACGTGGGGATTGCTGGTAGAACCCTATGTGAACAATAAGGCATGAGAATAAGACTTGCTGTGAGGATATCAAAGGCCCGTACCCCCAGGATCTCATTTGCAATACGCTGGGCCTTCCGTTCTCTCTCCTTGAAATCGGCTGCAGACCGATCAAGCTTGGTCGTGTATAGCTCCTCATCAAATTGGGTCTTTACACCATAAAGTTGCTCGTTGACAGCAAATTGATCCCAGCCACCATTTGAGCCAACACCAAACGTACGATCGTCGCCGTTGCCCACTTGGAAGTTTACACTAGGTTCAGGAACATCAGCCGAAGGTTTCCATGCTTGCAGCTCCCGGTGCTTCATAGTCTGGCTTTTCTGGCTGATGTCAACGTCGGTCTTAAAAGCTATCAAAACATCACCAAAAGCACGGAGAGCGTCACCCAAAACCCTATACCACAAGAAGAAGCCACATACAATCTCCGTTAGTCGTCGGTTTAGAATCGGCCGGTCCAGACGTCCAGGTGTCAATGTTAGTAGATGCGATAAAAAGAGTGTCCTTGAGGGGTGCACCAGGGTTCGTTAACTCCTTCACGTCCTTCAATGTTACACCGGTAGTGTCGCCTTCGCCGCCCGTGGACCCAATAACGCCTTCGTATCGCTGACCAGTCCTAGTAGCGAGAGTAATCGTGGTACCCTGCCGATAAGTTAGGCCTGACACGACAATACTTCCAAGGAAAAGCATACGGTCAATCCGGCAAGGTTCTGAAGAATTCGGTCTACAATTCCATCAGTCCAAAATATCCCGGTCTAGGGTTGTTTCAAGGCGCACCTTGGCTTGATGGTGTCACCGTGCGCGTAGGGCGATTGAAATTTGCTGGGGGAGTGAACGTAGGGGAAGCCCTCGCACCTGTCGACCAGGCCGGGGTGCGGCTAAATGCGTATCGCCATGTCAGAACGATAAGTCTGTTCCAGACAACGAGCAAGGCGCATACCGAGAGGCGTCTGACGGTCCTCCCTTCCTTGTGGGCTTCGGCTGCCGTACAGTAGTCGCCATCGAGGAGGTCGTCGGTCAAAATATAACGTGAAGTTGAAGAAATAGAAAAGAAATATAAACGAGACTAAAAGTTAGAGGATAGCGAGCTGGTCGCAGAGAAATGAAGAGATTCCGCCGAGGATGCTGGCTGTGGTCGTCTCGTCGTCGTCGTCGTCGCTTGAGGGGTCCGTGCGCCAATGGACTGCGTGAGTCTCAGAGAGAAGGCGGCAGAATGAATTGGGGGAAAGGCGAAGGCTGCACTGTAAGTTAGTTAGGACACAACGGGGTTGCCAAGTCGCGGGAATCTCATACCAAGGACCCTTGACACCTAGCTTATTTGCCACCAGCCACTCGACCAAACAACCGCTCATGTTCATTGTCCTGCCTTCGCGTTCTAGATCTGCGATAATGATATTCTACGGTCGTGAGCTCTCTGTAAAATTGCATGGCTTAGACTATGAAGTCGGCTAAATATCCAGCTACAACGTGTGATAGACTTTAATGCGATAGCGTACGCGTGGGGTCTCACTTTGATGGTTTAGCCTCAAGGCGCTCATTGCGAATTCCTCGAATCAACTTCGTCGGACTCTCCCATGAAATCTCAAAATAATTCCGTTTGCAGTTGCACCGCCAAAGTCGTCTATCGGGCAAATCACTTTTTACATGTTATGCTGTGACATCAATCTCGGACGACTTGACAGCAAGTAACCATCGCCGGAAGTAGATCATGAAACTTTGCATTACAGCACTCGAGACTCGCAGTGATTGATTGCAGAAAAATGAAGTGTTCATTACCTCAGGGGTGTCTCACATCAAGCATAGGGCCCGACTAGGGGAGCCAAATTAACGCACCGACGACTGTGCACGAAAGCCACGTCTGGGGGCCGATACACCGACGCAATAAAAGCCTCTCCGGTAACCCATCTACAAAGTATATGTACATCTGTCGTCAGGCTGACCCCGCCAACGAAGTCAACGAAGAAAATGACTGTCGGCGAGGTATCAGGGCTACTAATTTTCTACTTTTCCAACGGCGGTAGCGTAGATACAGAACCCGGGTAATCACTGCCAGAGCGAATCCTCCAACAACACCGCCAATGATAGCAGCGGCTGATGGAGTCGGCTTCGATTTGAATATCGAGGGGGATGCCGCTGACACCTCCGAGGGCTGAGACCCCCAGTATGTTATTATAACGGATGAGAGTGGCGAAATGGTCGACACTATAAGGCCAGTTGGCGACCCCGAAGTTGGCGAATCGGTACTTGAGAGCCCTGACAGACTCGATTGCGATTTTGTGGGTAAAGAGGGTAAGGGCTGTGAACTTGCAGAACCCGAAGTGATTAATAGCGCGGGAGTCTCGACTTCCAAATAGTCAAGGTACACCAACCCACCTTCATCGACACAAGTGCCGACGAGGGTGTGGGTTCCGTATTTGAGATCGGGCGAAGAAAAGAAATTTCGGCGATATTGCATTTGAGCAGGAGGCTCCCCGAAGAACAGGACAGGCTCGCCGCTATCTATGCTATACGAGGTATTCGGGAAAGTGGTTGCAGCCAACGTGCCGAAGACCCTGACGGAGGTTCCTGTGGAAATTGGTCAATAGGACCTGTTGGGCAAGAGCCGCTGTCTGACATACCGAGAAATACGAATGTGAACTGTGCACCTTGTGTGCTAGTGTAGCTGATGGTATGATTAAGGTCGGGGGGCGAGCCACCTCGGCTCCAGCCGTAGGAGTACATGATTCGAGCATCCCCGTCGTCCACCTCGATTATTGTCATGTATATGTTGGGTACTAATACAATAGTACGGGCAGGGGTGGGGTTTTGGGAAGTTGCAGCCTTGCACCCTGTGGACATGCAGCATGGTTTAATATGGTCTGTATTGACGAGGGAGTAGCTAAACTGAGGGGATGGCTTACAGCCGAAAAGCAACCCCGCACGTTTTGAATAAATACCACAACGTCGTCCCCATCATTATGGATCATCAATAACCACTTGGGAGCTGAATCGTGATCGTTGAAGTCTAGGACATCTTGGCGAAACCATTAGCAGAGCTAAGCATGATCCCACTAATAGCGACTCTATAGGTGCACTATGTGAGTAAGAACTCGAGAGCGGAGGTCAGCAGACTTACTACTCAGTTGTGATCTGTAACGACAGTATCATGACTACCAGCGGCATCACCTCAGTGCTGCAGCTACGCTCAAACTTGATGCTTTGATGCTTGCTGAGAGCATAGGGGCCAATTAGGGGAGAAATTCCATGGATAGGGGCTACCAGCGATAGCACCAAGGTACATTCATCCACACAGGTGCCAACGAGGGTGTGGCTGTCGTATGGAGAACATTCTGTGGCCATATTGGTGTCGAAAGCGGCTTGCCGCTACATCATATGGACTACGAGGTGTTCGGGGAAAGTTTCAACATAGTTTGGCACGCCACAGTCTATCAGGTCCATTACTAGTCTTTGAGGTGTTTCCTGCAATGTGTAGGAGCTCGCTAATCAAACAGCCGTAAAATCAAAATGACTCACAAGCCTCGTTAGTGCGCCAAGCCGCACAACAAGCCTCAGATCGCCGTACTCAACATTTTGATGCTCAATACATGAGACGCACTCGCTTTGCAACTAGCCGGGAGGAGGGCTGATAGAATTCTCGGCCATTGGCCGAAGCTGTGTGCACAGCGGCATAGATCCAAGAGGTCTATTAAGTGAACCAGAGATATCTAGATGTACAATGAGTGACAGTGTATACTATAGTTCGTCACCGGAAGGATGAGACGAGCCCTCCATGCCAACGAACGCTTCCATTAGTTCTACAAGCGGACTCGGGTCAGATCATGGTCAAAAAGCGAAAAGCGGCGTCACAAGGGAGGGAAGGAGAGAGGGAAGGGGAAACAAACGTACTTCTTTTTGTCTTGGGAGACAATTCCATAGGTAGCACAACATTGTACTCCACAAAAAGGTCACCGAAGGAGCCTCTATGTTCATGGATCGGCATTCCTTCCTCTTCAATCTTTTGTACGAACCCTGAAGATCGAAACAACAGCATCTTAGTACGCCGAGTTGAAGAGAAGACCTCCAAATAGCGACGCACCAGGTTGAGTAACACCTGTACGTCTTAGTCTGACTACATGTCCGTCTAAATGTGTGAGATTGCGATCAAATCCAAGCAAGGCCTAGTAGTGATGTCAGTGAGATCCCTGACTGATATTGTCCCAACGCAAGTACCTCGTCAATGCCAATGGTTTCCTTCCAATACAGACTGGTCTCTTTCCGTCTCCACCCTCCCCTGTCCTTCCGGCTTCTCACTCTCAAGACCACATCTCCAGCTTCCCAATCAGGGCTCTCATCTCCTTCACCCTCGAACACCACTTGGTGTCCCTCAGGCATGCCGGGCTCGACCTCGAGCGTATAATGCGCAGTATGATCCACGACTTTCGACCCGCCACAATGCGGGCAGACCTTCTTGATGACTTTCCCCCTCCCACTACATTCATTACATGTAGTCTGCGTTTGGGCGAACATGCCAGGGAAAATCTGTTGCTTTACGATTTTCATGCCAGAGCCACCGCAACCTGAGCAAGTATGGATATCGCCGTCAGAGGCGGCACCTGAGCCACGACAATGATCGCACAGTATTTGCTTCTTGATCATAAACTGTGACAAACGAAGGGAGTATCAGAGGCGTGTCAATAATTTCACTGGTAAGCACGCACGTCGATATTTGCGCCAGTGTATATGTCGGATAGCTGTACCTCAAACTCCGTCATCGAGGTTGGGCCCCTCCGCGTCTGTTGCTGAGAACGTTCTGTACGGTTATTTGAGCAAACTCCATGTGCTCATCACGGGAGCTACTTACGACCGAAGAAGTTCGAGAACATGTCGAAGGGGTTGGACGCCTGGTGGCCGTCCTCATGTGCCTTCAATCCCTCCTGTAGCTCCAGTGTTAGGAACAATTTACTAGGCATAGACTGCAATTTCCAACCTCTCCGTAGCGGTCATAGATTTGTCGTTTCTACGGACGCTGTCAATCAGGGTTTCGATATAGTATATAGGGCAGTGGACTGACCTCAGAGTCAGACAAGACCTCATATGCTATATCCTGGTTTAATCATCATGTGTAGAGCGCGGTAAGGTTGTCCCCTCGTACCATGCGCAATCTCGACAAACTTGTCCTCCGCTCCTGGGTCCTTGTTCTTATCAGGATGGTATCTGCGACTCAGTCGCTTGTACGCCTTTTTAATGTCCTGTTCCGACGCAGACCTATCCACTGGATATTCAACTGTGGTGAGCACCTGATGGATAAATATACGCGTCGAACTCACCATCTAGAACTTTGTATAGGTCCGCTGCAGCCGCGAGAGTGACCAGGATAAACAGAAATGCCAGAATTTGTATTGAAGAGATCATTGCAGAATACTATGAGCTGGACGAGAGCATAAATGAATGGGATGGTGTTGGCTGGACTTGAAGGAATGAATAAGGTGTCCGCTGCAGTGACACGAAAGCAGGACACGTATAATCACGCACGTGACCAGGAGCATGGCCCATTCAAGTCCATGGACGTTGCGCGATCGACCGGAGTAATGTGCACAATATACTGCAGCTCATAAATTTCCTGGAATTCGACGACTCGCTCTAAAATTCGATTTCTGCGCTCTGCACTGATGTTGCTGCGAAATCATAAAATCTCAGCGCCCAGCCCGTTTAAAAGGTTCATATCTGGCGCAACAAAGGGATACTCGTCCAAAGTTCGAGGTGGTTTCACTCTTGTGCCCAGTCGCCATCGTTTCTGACGACCTGGACATCGAAATCCGTCACACAGCTCTACCTTTTGCAGTAGCAAAGCACCAGGCGATACAGCAAATTGCCCCATACGCGTCGCTGTTCACGTTTACTGCGCCCCTGCGTGATCTTTTCGCTCGGCTCATTCCAGGCGCCATCGAACCGCTGCAGCCAATCCGAATACAACCACTATACTTCCCATGCTGGTTTATAGATGCAGAGATCCAGGGCTCGACCTGGTTGAAGTACATGGGACCGGCAGGGAAGGTAGGTTCTCGTGTTTGCCCCATAACATGCTTGTATTGAGGAGTGCTCAATGATAGAGTACGGCAGCGGTCGATTTATCACGATCGTACGTCTGCCAAATCTTGGTCCTGCAAACGGATATATTGACCAGAGTTTGACAATGAAGATATCTACCTGGTACGCTTGTCGGATTCATCTAGGTTGACTGGAGTTCACCAAGACGGTCGCAGGATTTCCATTCGAACCAATTTGTCGTCTCTCCCTCAACGCCCCGAATTTGGAGAAGTTGCGAACTCTCCCTTTCACGCCAGAACTGGCGAAATTACATGGCGAAGAGATAGCATGCATCCCATACTCCATATCCCCGACATCGGCTCTCAACTTAGCGCGTCTACTACCCGAAGACAAAGGGCTCATAGATCAGGACATGTGCTTCAGCCCATCTTCTTTGAAACCGAATTTGGTGCGTGTATACTCACACCCGACGTTCTTCCGCGTGTACCTTGATATTCAACCTATCGTTCCATGTATATAGTTAGCAGCCTATCCCGTCCTGTTCCCTCTCTACCTCGCGCAGTACGAGCTGAAAGAACCGCTGTCAACCTTTAACCCTGGATCCACTCTGCAAGTCCTTCTGGAAGCACACGTACCTGAAGTATGTGGGGCAATGCTGTTCTAATCTACCTATGATTCTGACCAGTTTACTATATTAGGGCCGTCTTTCTGTCTGCCCCGTCTACCCTCCTAATCTACCCGACATAATTGCACGCGACGAAGTCGTCTCTTTCCGCGATTTCACTGAACGGACGTTTGCCCCTTCAGACTACGATTCCGACACGTCTATCACCGCTTCTTATCAATCATCCTTCCCCAACTTCCAAGTTAAGGTCGCCAAATGGTTGGACGGTTTGATAACGCAGCCCGGAGCCGCAGCGAAGTTGGCAGAAGTGTCTGACATCCCCGCCGTTGATGGTGAAGATGCCCAGAGATTCTGGGACCAGCCGTGGATACGCGAATGGGACGTCTCGGACATCCGTAAGAATAGATCGTTCATACAGCAGGGGCACACGAGAGAAGCAGAGAATCGTGAAAAGCCGGACTGGTGGAAGGAATGGGAGGCATCGCAGGGAGCTTAGTTGACAGGTGAGCATGATAGCCGAAGCTGCCTCATTCTCGACATATACTGACAGTCTTCGTCCGAAGGTGGGATTGATAGCATGGACAGCTGCAAGTTACAATTGTGTTGGTATACATAATCAAACGCTTTTAAACGGAGTGGTGGCACGAACGTATGCAGTCCTCCCTGGTCGCTGATGCCGTTCAAGGTGCGCTGTTAGGCTCCTGCCCTCCTCCGCGAAGGCAACGTTTGAAGGCTAGCCTTTGAAACGAACACATCTACGCCGTGGGTGCCCTAGTAGATGCCAACTCTGGACCAAAGTAGACATACCAGCAGTCACCTTTGATGCTTAAGGTTGAAGCCTGGAGGTGGAGCCAACGTGTTACGATGAAGAAGGGATATTTTGTATTGTAATGTGTCTAGAAGGTATAAGTACAAATGTCCAAGGAGGAATAATTAGTGGTCGTTTACCCGTCAAGTTCATCTAGGAATCGCTGTCTTGACGACCAGCGTGTATTTGGCGGTCACCATAGTGGAAAATGTAATGGTGGCCGATTATCCAAATACCAGAAAAAGAAAAATAATTATTCAGAAAGCGGACTAGCCCAACGAAAACAATCATATATCAAAGCATCGTGAGAGTGCGGGGAGTGTTGCGGTCGTAAGATATCGTGGGGCGGGAAGAGATAAGGTTCGGAGGGGGAGAACTACAAGTCGGCAGCGGCACGCTTTGACTTTCCTCGGATGATACCACCATATCGGTAGAACAAAAATGGGATAGGCATGACTGCCAGGGAGATGAATGCGAAGACAGAAGCTGCCCAACCATTACCGAGGTTATGGTACATTGGCACTACAGAAAGCGCACTTTAGTCTTTGCGTCAAGCCGTGGATGGCCACTGGGTTACTCACCAATGAAAAGGGGGATAGCGGCACCCATACCACTCCGAACAACAGTCTTGCTTGCAAGTACGGAAGCAACATAAGACGGGAAACTGTCGATCAAGTACGCGTTGGCAGAGAAGTATATGATAACCATGCCGAATCTGCAAAGATAGGACGATTAGTTCCGACAAGGCACGTTAGATTGTCTAAAGCTTACCCGAAAAGAACACCCGAGACACAGAGTCCCACCCAGTTGCCGCCGTGAGGCGCGACGTATGGCGGCGAAGTCCAGCCCATCATGAACAGTGCGACTACAGGGAATGGAGCGCCGATCATCATGCCAACCAATCGATCCTCAGGCAAAGGTTTGCCACCTCGTTCTCTCAGGCGTCGCACATATGTTTTCTCGAGTTGCGGTGTAACGAGCAGCGCGAATGCGACTCCAATCAGGACGGATATGAATGTTAGGCCCACTTTGCTATCGCTAAATCCCCATCCTTCGCCAAAGATGACGGGGAAGGAGAAGAAGAAACCGTAAAGGAGACCGTAGATGACGGAGATGTATAGCGACATAAGGAGAAGGATAGGCTCTGTGACGAGCATTGTGAATGGACGAACGAGCGTGTCGATGAGGAGTTCACTGAATGGTGGGCGAGAAAGCTCCTGTTGAGTGTATATGTTGCTGTTGCCCTCTTTCTGACGAAGCCTTTGGGCTCGCTTGCGTAGCAAGACAGGCGCGAACGTCTCCGGCACCGTCAGGAGGAAGAGAAGGCTGAAAGACACATTTAGCACCGTTACTACGAATAAAAATACCCAAGACACTCACACAACACCAGCGAAGATCATGTTGACCCAGATGATCCAACGCCATCCAATACTGTCCCCAATAAAGCCACCAACGAGTGGGCCAAGGACAGGTCCACCATAAGGCGCAGCAGCAAAGAGAGCGCTGAAAAAAGAAGGTTAGCATAGTGCGAAAAGTAGCTATTGGTGAACCTTACATAGCGAGACCTCGCTCATCGTTATCCCAAATATCGGAGATAGCACCGCCAGCCAATGTCAATGGAGCACTGGCAAAAAGACCGCAAAGGAACCTGGAAACGAGAAGTGTTCCCAAGTTTTTAGCAAGAGCCACGGGAATGTTAAATACTAGATCATCTGTCAACACGAACTCCAGCATTCCTGTACAGAAAAACACTTACTGACGTAGAGGAACATAGGTGCTATCCATAGTGGACGCCGACCAAAAAGTTCGGAGAGGGGACCAAAAACGAGAGGACCCAGACTAGTGTACAAGACATCAGTATTGACATGCCATCTTCGTAACTGAATTGATGCTTACCCAAATCCAACAACCATTAAACTAACGGTTAGAGCAGCGACCACTTCCGAGATTTGGAACTCTTCTTCTATATCTTTAAAGTCGCCGGTAATGACAGAGCTACCGAATGCAACGGCAAGGACAGATCCAGCGAATAAGGTGGTGAGGTACCATCGGTACCCCTTCGACCAATTACGAGGATCTTCGGGGTCATTCTCTTTCCATACTACTAATTGGATAGAGGTTTGACCTTTCTCTAAGGATGAGCTAGAAGGCGATACAGGGGAGGTGTGTTGCTCTGCTATCCCCTTGATGACATCGAAGGGTGCAGGAACAAGACCAGTCGGAGAGGTCTGACGATACTCTCCGGAGACACCAAATTTTTCGACCTCGGTTGTCTGCTCTGGGTAAGAAAGATCTGCGCGGTTTGGGTCGTGAGATGAAGGGAACTGGGGTTCATCACGCAGAGTTGGTGATCGGGATAGTTGGGCGCTAGGGGGCACCGTTTCGGGCCCGTAGGAGTCTTCCGAGGAGGACATAGGCGGTGTGATACAGTTGCGCGTCGCAACACCCAGCAGAGAGAGGAGGAAGGGGGAGGAAGGGGGAGCAGACAAAGAGCCGAAGGAATTTGCAGAAATGAAATGTCTCGTTTGTCGCCTTTTTATAGCGTTGCGGCCATGCAGAAGCGGCAAGGGTGATCTCTGCAGAGCTCGATTGTGAGGTTTAAGTTTATGGCGTCCTTTGGCGTCGGCACCATGTCCTGCCTATCGTCTTGAACCGTGATAGGGTACGTGCAGCGCACGGGCTAAAGATAACGCGGCATGGTGTGGGCGATCAGGCTTCGGGATAGTGATATCAAGCGACATCGATACCGGTGCCCTCAACATCAACCAATCCGAGAACGGCCGCTTGGAGGAATTTCGCTTCATGTTTATGGCCTAATCTTAGAACTCCTTATCCTGTGGTTTCCGACCCGATGACAGCGCCCCCTGCGTTGATATCGCCCAGAAAGCATGTTCCCAAGCTAGAATGATGATGTGAATTTGCCGAAACGATGCTTCGAGTCCTTTTCACGATTGTTGATGTCGTGGTCAGGGAAAGAAATGGATCGTGTCCTTCCGCGTCGCGTGTTCTGCGCGCGACTCTCGGTTGAATTCCCACGATCTTCCGGTCTAACTCCGCACTTACTTCCTACTTGCTCCACCACCAATTGAAGTCTTGGCAGGACACTCTCCCGCCCACTTTCCACACTGTGCAACCTGTGCAGGCAAGCCTTCGTTCTCAAACATCGCTTATTAAACGCCTTTCGCACCTGCCCGCTGCTCTATCATTGGTTCGTCACTGTTGAAACAGATCTCGGTCCGGGAAAGTATGGACAATTTCAGGTTCAGGGTGCGCGTGCACCGCGCAACAGTAGACTGTCCCTGCATAATGGTCTTGGTTAATTCACTTTGACTGCGTGACATCCCCTCATCACTTAGAACCGTACAGGTCACCGAGATGCCGCCGGCAACACTTGATGCGCAGCGCTGAGTCTTGATCAAGCACTGAGAACGCATGGGGGGCTTCTGTTCTTGCATTTTACATCTTCACAGTTATTGGATCTCGACTAGCGACAGGAACGTAGTAATCAGCATGCTTGCGGTAGGCAGGTACTGGGCTGGGCTGTATGAAATGACAGCATTGTAACAAAAAAATGCCATCTTTCGATAGATGATGCGATATCACGACTAGAAACTCAAGCCTATGAGGGGACGGTGTCCGGGGTTGCACCCAAACACGACTTGATCACTGCACGTAGTGCGGCGATATATATCATGTGACTCGCAGAAGGCAAACCACAACGGTGATCTGGTGTCGCGAAAGTGCGATGTATGTTGCAACCTTGTTTGACATGCATGTTGCATTCAAGAACATCTTCGGAACGGTGAATTGATCTATGTAACACGCGGGGTACATGAAGGGGGCCTCTTCATTAATTTTACGCTTCCAAAGCCAAGTCTCTCCTTACGTGTGCGCTACTCTGAAACTTGAAACTAATGAAGTACTGCATAGGACGCCATCACCCGCCGGGAATCATTCAGTGTATTCAATAGACTGCGATCGAGTTCCGCGTGTACTTAGCTCCTCCTTCGTTTTCGGAGCGCTCCAGTGCTGCCGTCGGTGTTGCTGATACAGCCCGCTAGTCGGCAGGCAACAGGGTTCTCGAAGCTTCGGGTGCTTGTTTTGGAATTCCCGACGTTGCCGCCCTGCCGCCTTTGAGGTCACATGATCCCATAGTTCCGGTCCTTCCGCTTTTGTCTAGCCCCGACTCGGCTCCCCGTAGCGAGGGCGCTGGGTATATGATATAACGGGATAATACTCGTAGCGACCGGGAAGTAGGTACTAGACTCGTCGCCGTCTATCTACGACTTTCTACAATCGTCGGGTAGTCAACGCTCAAGGGCTCGAATGCTTTATCTTTCCCATTGTACAAGGGTACTACATCCGCCTGAATGAGTAAGTGAGCTACTTATAAGTACAACATCATTAAATACAAAATTTACCACTATGTATTAATAAGCACTAGAGGCTAGTTTCGGGTTGACGCCCTCAACACCGACAGCTCGACCTTCTTGAGCAACCCTTTGAGGGTATTGCTCGTCCGGTTGCAGTTCTTCTGGAGCCAGGCTTCCATGTCTTGCCTAACTTCAGCCACCTCGTCGCAAACAGGCAAGTGGCCACCCCTCCGGAGCAATGAAGGGTTCAACAGTATATCAAACAGCTTGTTCCAAAGCCCGGATTGCCAATAACGTTTGAAGGGAGTCAGTACACGGTATCTTGGTCCAGGATGCGACGGGTTTGGGCTATCGGCCAGACCAATGAAAGTGCTCTGCATGTATTTGCCGAATAGCATGCAATATATGATCCCAGCTAAGCCGTAGTAATCGGTTTGGTACGTCCACGGCTGGTCCTCCCGAATTTCTCGGCAATCCCGCTCGTCAGCGGGCCACTCAGCGATGAATTGCTGACCTGAAGGGAAAAGCTTGGTGTCTATCGTGCGCCCGAAATCGATGAGCTTGATCCCCTTGCACTTCCAACCCCCACTGCCGTTTGGTTGGTAGAGGCTTTCCCAAGCAGGGGCACCCCCAGGGACATCTTCCAATCGAAGAAGGCAATTATCGATTTTAAGGTCGCCGTGGATGAACCCCGCTCGATGCAGCCCTTCGATGAGACGCACTAACTCAACAGCGAAGAACATGACCAGCAGTTCGTCCAAACAGCCGCCCTGTTGCGATACGCCCGCTGCAACGGCGTTGTTAACAATGCTTAGTAAACTTCCTTGAGGGCACAGTTCCAAGACCAAGAAACTCTCGTCACGGAAGGCGTAGAGTGCTTGTGGCAGGATTATTGAACGGCGGAGCGATTGGGGCAGCGAAGTGTGTAGTCTGCGTAGTACGTGGTACTCCCAGAGGTTCCGTGGTTTAACTATCTTGATGGCTACCGCAGACGAGCTGCCTTCATCTTCGTCCTCGCAGAAGTCGTCGTCGTCGTCGTCGTCGTCACCGTCACCCTTCCTCTCCTTAGCCCTGAAAACAGCACCAAACCCTCCCTCCCCGAGCTTCTCCGACACATCAAACTGCGTTTCACCCAGAGCCACGGGATAGCTGTCACCCATGTCAAGATGCCCGCCATGACTGGAACTTCCGCTCGTCTTCCGAGATTTCTTAGCGAACCTCTGAAGGTCGTCGAGCGTATTTGACTCGTAGTTGCTAAGATCGTAGAAATGGGCGTCCGAAGTAACGAGGGTAAGTAATGTCGACATGATCGGCGGATCGAACGCATTGCAAGGATTGGGTGGTTTAAACTTCGAGGTCTTGGTGAGTGTATCAAGAAGGTTGAGTTTCCCCGTCCTTTCTTCTAATGCGTTGACCTCTTCATCTAGCTGTCGGTGGCGCTGGTTCTCAGCTTCTAGGACAGTACCAAGTCTCATGCGATCCGTTATGTCTTCCGCACGCACTTCTTCAGCAAGGCGTTCTGCTTCTCCGACCGCGTCGTAATCCTCTGCATGTCGACCCGATGAATGGTTGCGATCACTTGGAGTAGCGAAGACTGATCGAGTTGTCGTGTATTCAAATGTTCGCTCTGTAATGGGCGTCATCACATTAAATGCACCGAATCGCCCTCCAAGGGGGGCTTCTGGCTCATTAAAGTCATCGTAATCGTTGCCCTCGAAGTATTCCCCTTCTCCTTCAGCATACTCCGCTTGCCCTTGAGATTCCTGCCAGTCCTCCATTCCAGAGGAAGATGTGCCCGTTGAAGGTGATGGAAGCGGTTGATCCTCCTCCATAACCTCCCCATATTCGTCGTCGTCAGTAGACTCAGAAGACATTTCTTCTTGCTCTTGCTCCTCTTGCTCCTCAGCGACTTCTGCAAACGGTTCCAACCTCTCCGGTTCTCTCTCGGAGGGTTTGTCTCGGAATGGGGTAAAGGAAGACTTAGCATCATCTCGATCTTTGAAGGGAGTGAAAGTCGGCTTGTCGGAGAACGGTGTGAACGGCTTTGCCGTTGAAAAGACGTTTTCGCGTCGGTAGGCATTCTCTCCTTGTTCTGGGCGACTAAATACCTTGAAGGGTGTGCGTGCGTCGTCGTCTACGAAAGGCTTGAACGCTGGGGCCGGTGTCCTTTCTTGTTGGGCAGCCTGGGCCCGGCCTGACGCGGCCGGAGTGAATACGCGAGCAAAGGTTTCTTCGGATTCTTTGACAGAAGCGAGTCTGGTGGCCTTGATACCTGTGCCCAGAGCATTCTCGTTATTCTCGGTGCGATCGAGGGGACTAGGTGTTGCGTATTCCTTCGGAGCGAGAGCGAATCGAGGGGTTGTAAGAGGGGGTTTGGCGGCCTGATTCGTAAATGGTGTTCTAGCCATCTCGGGATCCACGTAAGGTTTGAGCTGAGAGATCGTTAGGCAAAAAATACTGTACGCATTCATGACATTTGTTACCTTGGGGCCCGGTGTCGCATTCTCTTTCCGCATCGCGTTTTCATCAATAAATGGACGGAACCCTGCTGATGGATCAAAAACAGACCAACAGAAACCCACTCATCAACGGCTTACCACCTGTGGAGGTACTTAATGCAGGATCTCGTTTGGGCTCTGCGTTCAAAGATGCAGACATGTCAAACCTCTTGACGGGGGCGTATTTGCCGCCGGGACGAAGAAATGTCGTGGTGACTGTTTTATCCGGAGAATTGTACATCCCAAAGACGTCCGCTAATGCTTCCTTGGTATTGATCGTCACTGTTGGTTCGGGCACGCTCAGACCTAAACCAAGACTTCGTCGTGTCGCGTACTTCCTGGCCGTAGATTTGCCGCCGTCGTCGGAGTCGGATGAATCGTGTGACAGAGACATGGAAGAGGTGGAAGAAGTGGACCTGGAAAGCTGCTCTGGTGGCCCCCATTTCTTCCCAAGTAGCCCCATCGACCGCGCCCTGGCTTCTTGAATGCTATACTCTATGCCGTCTCCTGTAAGGAGTAGAGATAACGAGAACTGCAATTTCTCTCGCCGCTGTCCTGGCCCTGGAGTTACAAGCTTATGCGCATCCGGCGAAGATGCGCTTTGACCTGGGGCACTTTGTTTGGGGGATTGAGGTCCGGCAGAAGTGGATGGTGCTGGACACCGTGCCTTGAAGTCGCGATACCGGGTCTTCAACTTCTCTACTGGCCTGGCCTGTTGTTTGATTCCCTTGCGATAGATAACGTCCGCCTCCGAGATCCTGGTCAAATCCCTCGACATGACTTGCATGGTATTATATGAAGTCTACTCACCTTCCTTCTCGCTCCAGTACCCCGGCAAACTCCTCGTATAGTACTGAGTAAGTGCTCCCGATGTCATTCTTCAGTAGAAAGCCATACACGGCAGCAGGCGTTCCCTTCTCTATGTTCTTCGCGTATAGTATCCAGAGTTTTAGATATCGTAGATCTGTCTTGTAGGCGACATCGTTCCTGAATTTCCGCGTCGCCTGCTCGAGCACGGGAAGTAATCCCGAGGTCTTAGTATCCGGTTCATTCTTCATGATCCATTGGACGAAGTCGTAATAGACCGCAAGCGGGTCTTCATCCTCATCCAAGGCCGTCTCGATCCGCTTCTGATAGGCAGATCGTTCTTGAGCCAGTCGCGTATCCATAGAATGAGGTTAATGGGAGAGGCGATCATGTGGTCGCGTGCAATAGGGTCGTGTTCGAACTTTCGTGATCGTGGAAAAGTCTCGTTCTTGCCTTGACGTTAGTTATTATGATGGCGCCCATTCGTTCAGTGATGGGCTGCACCTTGTGGGTTCCCGGCGCTGGGCCACACAGTTTCAAGAAAGAACATAAAAGCAGACATTGGCCATGAAGTCGTGTTTTTGTAGGACGCCATGGTTTGGACCTCGACGATCTTTAGCATCTACGCTACGCTACTTCCCACTATACTAGTAGTATGTGGTGAGTTTCCTGGCTTCATGAATACGGATTGTCACTGAATCGTATACTATAGCTAGCGCTGCCACGTTCACTGTATTCGATGTGCGGCCGACAGGCGAACCCCCGCAATTCATATCCTTGAGCGCCCTAGGTGTCGGCGTCGACGGAGCCACGACATATGACTACTTTGAGGTAGCCACCGCCCGAGTATTATCGGACCCTACCACAACTCAGACCGTTGCTATGCCCGCCGTAACTCTTCATGGTGGGCGTTATTGTCCCATTTGAGAGGGAACGGTTTGATGATTGGATTTGCCTCCGTAGCGACCCTCGTAGCTGATGCAACCAAGAATTTCAACTCGCTCAGTCCGCAGACAAGCCTCCCGTTTGGAGTCACGTCCAACTGTACCTGGGATGAGAGCGGCCAGGGTGTATGCATCGCTGAAGCATTTGCACCTGGTTTGGCCTCTACGCAGACAACGACGGTTACAGGGCTTGTCGTGCCCATTTATACGTTGACTGTGGACGGCGGATCTAGCATTACTACATTGCCGGAGAGGGCCGGGACGACGACCCGACCCGACCAAACGACAATTACACCCCCTTCCACCACTCTCCCAAGGGAAGCAAACACCACTGTTGGACGTCGGACCATGCTCGCCCTCCACATGGGTACCATTTGCGGTATCTTTATCTCTGCTTTTGCACAGTACCTCCTTTGAGCCCTTTTGGGTGCTTTATCTTCCCCGTTTCAATGTTATGCCCGATAGGCCACCTTCACTGGCCTTGCATCATATTTATTCTCCTCTTTTGATAGTTGCTTCAAGTGAAGGCTCTTCCCGGTGTAGTTTAATAAACCTCAAGATGCTGTCGTCTTCGTTGCCTCGGCAAGCATGATCGTATTTTGGTGCTTAAGCCCGCTTCTACCCACCCCGAGCCTTTAGTGCCACACTGGTGGCTCTACCCGTCACGATAACACACATCGCCCTCTACGCACCACGCCGCCCAGTTGTCGTTCGGCCCTTAATCTGTATCGTACTTAGGCAACGGCTTGTTGACAACATGGAGCGTACAGTATTTAAGCCTCTCAGTACGACGCAGAAACTTCAGTCTACTTGTGTCCTACTTCAAATATCCTTTCTTGCTCCTCGGCTGTTGTACAGCATGTTCTATCTACTTCCTCTCATTCTGGCACTAAGAGGTATGTCACAGATACCTTTTGGGCCACGACCAACGACTGATATGTTTGACGTTTACTTAGTCTCTGCTGCAACTTTCACCGTTTTTGATGTCGCATTGCCATCAGATGTACTACCAGCAGTGGGTCAGCAAACTGCGTCCATTGTATCCTTCAAGCCCCTCGGTGTTGGCCCTGACGGGACCACGTATGAAATCGCCCAAGCAGGGCCTACCGGCGGTCCCATAATCCAACGTATACCGCTATCTTCTCGTTTCAGATGGAATTATCGCTGACGTCTATATCACCCAGAAACCATTGTGGCCGACAAATCTGGCATTTCGGGCGTTGCCAATCCGCAAGCGGGAGTTGAAATTAAGGCGGCATGTCAATGGGGGGATTCCCAAGAGGGCGTTTGCGATGTCGACATCTCTAACGAGTCCACCACAGCATCGGTCACATACACGGGGACCCTCGTTCCCCTGTTTACAGTGACGGTGGACGACTCGAGTGCCCCTGCTTTACCCACCAGCACCAGCGACGCCGCTCCCAGCTTGCCTTCGCCTACTAGTGCTGGTGGCGCAGATCGCAGCTCACCTGCAGGTAGCGCAGCCTCCGAATCAGGTGCCTCCGCTTCACCCACAAGCGATGGTGCTTCTGCCTCCCCCTCCGCTTCCAACGCTGCCTCCCCCACGTTGATCGAACACATTTGTATCTCGGTGTGGCGGCAGTATCCGTGTTATATATGTTCTAAGACGCCTGCTAGCTGCCACTTCATGCTGATGTTGTAGATTAGCATTGACCAGCTTTGTTTCTGCCCTACCCTATTCCGTTATCTACCTCGATACGACTAAATTGATTGCTATGGGCCATTCTGGTAGTGATTCTCGCTTCTGTTCATGATCGAAGAGTTCGACCACCTACCGAAAAAAAAACCAGTTATTATTGAGTATACCCTGTCAGCCAAGACTTGGTGGCCTCTCTAGCTTTTCGATGGTTACAATGTTGATCAAGCTGTAGCGATGTTTCCTTAGTGTCAGGCCTTTCACCCTCCTGTATCATGTGGTTCACAGCACTTTCTAGCGCTTAGCGCTCACAGAAGTTCGAATCCGATCAGTGACTCTGGAGTGCTCTGACATGGCAACGCCTCAGCATCAAGAACTCGCAGCTATTTACGATAGCGAAATTGATGCGCACTTCGCCGAGATACTTCGTTTGCGTAAAAAGCGCAATGCCGACTGCAGTGCTACGAGGAAGCTGCCCCCGGAGATTTTGGCCCAGATCTTTGGCATCGTGGTATACAGTGCTAGGGGCGTCTCTGACTATCCATTATCGTGGGTGGCCATCACGTACGTTTGCAGCAGCTGGCGCAACGTCGCATTGGACGAACCTAGCCTGTGGACCGATTTCACCAATGTCCATCTCAAGTGGGTCCGGGAAGTTTTCGCTAGGTCCAAAGCAGCGACGTTGCGCGTGCGGGTCGGCGGCTATAGTATGGACTCAAGGCGCCGATTTCGATTCCTTATAGAAGACATGAACGCAGCCCCAGAGCGGCTCAAGGCCTTGGAGGTTGAATCCAATAGTTCATTCCTCGCCCTGCTCAACAAACCGACCCCTTTCTTGGAGGCTCTCACTGTAAATGCAGCAGAAGTAACATTTCCCTCCGACTTCCTTGGTGGGTGTGCACCACGACTACACTATGTGAAATCCTGCGCGAGCTTGCCTGCAGACGCGAGTTGGTTGGCAAACTTGACGAGCTTGGAATGTCAAGGGATGCTGTGTCTCGAGGCGACCTGGTTTTCGCACGTGACGTCTCTTCAACTAGGTGTGGGTTGGGACGGCACGGATGCATCAACGGGGAAAGCGCGGCCTGTTAGCATGGATGTCCTCCTCACAATGCTAGAGAACATGCCGTTGCTGGAGCGCCTCTCCCTCTCTCCTCCCAATAACTTCGATCCTGCCCCCTCCACTCGGTCTACACCGGTCGACCTTCATCACTTGCACGACATCACCGCTTGGTTTGGTGGCGAACCGAATTTGGCCAAAATCTTCAACCATCTTCGTGCGGACGACATCCACAGAATATGCACCTACTGGCCACACAGCAGTACTAAGACAACCACATTCATCAAATATGTGTGCCACTTCTTTGAAACGTGCTATCATGGCATCAATCCTTCAATGGTACAGCGGACCGATGCGGGACTAGAAATATACAAGGTCCTCAACTCCACTGGTGCCTCCACTCCCGTCCTATCACTCAAGAATTTCGATCCCTCCGATTTGCAACGCTTCATGAAACTCCTCCCCCGCTGTGTCCCCCGTACTTACTCGATCCGTCGATCATACTATGAATACATTCCTGCGCAGGCGCTCGGGCTCACCGATTGCAATACTATTGAAGAACTCCTTCTCACAAATCGCCTCTTAGTGTCTTGTTTCCTTGCATTACCGGCGGACGATGTAAATGCGATACCTTATCCGTCTCTTCGCCTCATCCGTATAGAAGGCCTCGATTTCACCTCGAAGCCCCAACTGACTTCCCATCTAAAACGATGGCTTGAACGGCGAGCGGTCGTTTCTAAAATCGACAATCTTGCCTTCGAGGACTGCAAACTTTCGGACGAGGATATTGAGTCTCTTAGGGAGGTAGTCCACGTTAGCTCTTGTTGAAACCCTTGGACCGCAGGGTGTTCGACACGAGCCTTGCAGTTATTGTGCATCTGGTCTTTGTGGTAGCTCCCAATACAACCAACAGATCACCCGACCTCGCTTCAATAATTGAATTGAATCGTGTCGTCTAGTGAAGGAGCTGCACCAAGAACATCACTCGGCTGGGTATGGTACTTTTGAATCTTGACATCGAACGAAGAGAGAGATCCGAGCGAAGTAATGGCGTAACCCTCGTCACCAAGGATCTTTCAGCATTTTTCTGTTGTACCTTCTGCCCTCGTTGAATCCTCTTGATGGTGCTTGATGGAAACTACAAGGAAGTGAATTGAGTCTCTAACTCTGATCGGATACTCAATATGCAATGCCATCAATTTGTATTTTTCGTAAGTTAGAGTTCTCTATCAAGCTAGAAACATGGGTAGCCCAGCTCGCCACCATTCCTTCCCCGGAAATACAAATATCAGGATACTACGCAAGCCACTCTAGTACCCGCTCACAGTACGATTCTTGCTCTCCGGTCGCGGGTTAAGGGCACGGCGCGTACAGCATATGAACTTCTCAATGCAACACGGAACTTCAGTTCCCTTCTTCACCTTCCTTGCTTCCTGATTTTTCTTTTTCAGGTTCTTACAAAGCTGTTGAACAGTATGTTAATCTTCCCTCCTCTTCTCCTTGCACTGGGTGGTACGTCGCAGCCGTCTCTCGAACTCCGTCAAAAGGCTAGTTCGCCATTTAGCTTCTGCGGCGACTTCCACCGTCTTCGATGTAGCCGCTGGAACAGGGGACCTAACGCGCCCAACGGGATCCATCATATCGGTCAGGCCCCTCGGCGTTGGCAGCGACGGTACTACATATGAAGTTGCTGCCGCACTGCCCACTGGCGATTGAACCGTGACTAGTATGTCGCCTTTCGTGTTAAATGAATTGTATTGACGCCTATATTCCAGCAACCGTCGTAGCCCACGGAACAATGAACAAGGCCAATGCTGCCTTCAGCGTGGAAGGGGTGGGACCCTCCACTCGCAGTGAGCAGCGGATGCGCTCAGGGGACCGGCAAAGATGGTGTTTGCAAACTTGAACTCTTTGGGGAGTGTACCACGACCGCCACTACGGACCATTGCGCCTTCGTTCACAGTGACGGTCGATGACTCGAGCGCTACCGCGTCGCCAACCTCCGCCTGCAACTAACTCTGCCATCTCCGTATTAGGTGGAACACGGTCGTATATCGGTACAGCTGTGGCATCCGTGTCATATCTGTTGTAAAGACGTACTCGACTCTGGCCCAGAGGACACTTCCTATTGGATGATATCAACCTATTTGGCTCCCAACTCCACCGGTCTGTGATCTACTACTATATTGCAACTCACTTGAGTGCCAAACCTGGGATTAACCTCGCTGGAACACTTCCAGACCTAAGCCAGATGGATACAGGTTGGTGCTTCGCGCCACCCAACGAACGATGGTGACTCGTACTGTACAGAAAAAAGAACTCAGCAGCACGTCCTAAGTCCGACCTTCAAGCCTTCAGAGTTCCACTGATACATATACATCTGACGAAGGCCCTGCAAACCTCAGTGTCAATCAGACAATCATATGGGACAGCAGCCTTGACCAGTATCACAATAAAATATCGCTGACCCCTTACCATACGCATCTGGAAGGCGAGAATACACACGAGCATGACATAGATGTACTTGACATCAGTTAGGGTAGGACTGGTCATCAACTGGGTTGCGTCTCGCAGATATTTAATTGGTATAATACTCAGGTATCCATTTGCGCGCAAAAAAGAAAAAAAAGCCGTCTCTCGAGTACTAACGATACAACTCCATAATCTCTAGAGCTACAATGTTTGGGTATCAAAATAAATAACGTAGCCACAGGATCAATCATAACTTTACTGTCGGACGAACGTGGCCATTCCTTGTACATTGAACCCGCCTACGGAAGATTCATTGGTAAGCATGGACTCCGGCAAGTTCTGCGAGTTTCACTTACTCAGCTTAAGATTAGCTCGCTGGGCTGTCTGAGCAACTCCTAACTTCTGGATAGTTTGGGCTTGGCCTGGTGCATTGAGGGCCAGAACGTCTATGGTCGTAGCGTTTGCTGCGAGCACATACATGAAACTGGTTGAAGGGTTAGCATCAGAATGTCTATAACTTGCGAAGCCACTGACTCGTTATTTCCAACTGTGACAATGTCATTGTCAATTGTTGCCGTGCCTTGTCCTTGCGCATATTGCTGTGTTGTGAACACGGTTAGCTTCTCTGAACGCAAGCTTTTTGTGATTGGATTGCGAACCTTTACAATGGTACCCTTGAGGTTGTCGTCGACGTTGACTTCGGTGACGACGGAGGTCCCAATGTCGGTGAGGTAGAAGTTCCCGGTCTTCTTGCTAAAGCTCGACCAACACGTCGCTGACTGGCCGTCAATCTTGACAGCAGAATTGGCCTGACCACCAAAGTCAAAGATGTCGAACCCTAGGCCAGCGTCCGTAGCGAGGATGGCATTCTTTCCGGGGATGACTGTCATAGAGAAGGGTAACAAGCCACCATCGGCTGGCGCAATCTTTTGGAAGTCGGTGGATAGAGAACCGTCCTGCTGTACAGCCCATGCAGCGAGAAACCCTGGTGTTGGGGGAACGCCCTTGACGGAAGCGACGAGGGTTTTGCCGTCTTCTGAGAACACGATATGGCTCACTGAACCTGCAGGACCCGTAGCAGGCGTCGTCTGGTTTAGTTTCAACGCTCGGTTGGTGTTGGCCATCGAGACGAGGCCCTTTTGCTTGTCCACAATAAAGCAGCTGGGGTCGACAGAATTAGCTGGGTTGGGGAGGATAAGTAGTAAGGCGGACATACTTTACACCGTTGATTGCGCCGCCATTGAGGGCGCAGAGCTGAGATCCATCTTTGTTGAATGCCACAGAGACGGGGAACTCGCCTCCACTGCCAACGGGCTTCCCGACCATTTGCAAGTTGGTCGGATCATTGGGGTTGATCGCAAACAAAGACAAGGTATTGGAACCAGGCTAAAAGCGGGTTAATCTCAAGAATAGAGTCCCAAAGGAAATGAACGCACGTTGACAGTTGCAAGCATATTGGCCACTGATGAGGCTTTGATAGCACCTTGAGTAAAGAGGGCATCAGGCCCATTGGGATCAGTGATACCATGTTCGCCCTGTCCACCGGTACCGATGGCTCTTCGAAGGGTCTATATGCATCAAAATCCCATCAGAGGGGCCTCCGCTGACCCAACGTCATGTAGCTTACGAGTTTGCCGTCGCCGCCAATGTCGGCTGCGACTATGAAGTTTCCATCGGGCTCGTTGGTGATGACTGTTCGGCGTTTGATCAGTAAATATCTTATGGTATATTTGTAGCGCACTTACAGTATGCCGCGCCCGCAGCGACACCGGAGGCGTTTCCCATTTGTTTCTTATTGGCCGTGCTGCCTGTTTGTCTTGAATAAAGAGGCCGAGCAGAGACGGAAACCAGGGAAAGGGAAAGGAATACGGAAGAAATTGACAACTTCATTATGTAGCTTGAATGGATTCGAGATTAAGTGATTGATTTATGGGAAAGAGAGACGAATCGATGAACGAAATAAAAGCAACAGAGCTCTGCTCAAGAAGAATAATATGAAGCACTGAAGGAGAGAAGGGGAATGCTGGAGAAGCGATGGCTCACAGGAACTTATATACTCTCCCATCCACTCTCCCATCCACTCTCTCTGAAACGTGGACTCGGAAGTAACTGTGATCGATCGATCATAATCATCGAGTAGTACTGCCATGCCACTCAGAATCCTCGGTGTGAACGGTTGTATCATCGAGTTCGCATCAGCTACACTGACGAACGGAGTTCTGTGGGTGTTTCCTTGGTGACTCCAGAAAATGGCAAGTGATGGTAGTCCTGTATCAGGAGCGTACTTTGTGCCGCTGTAGGAAATGAGTAACGGCGCACATGTTTTGTATTTGTTAGTGAGTGATCTCTGAGGTGACCACTTGGTAAGCCTTATGAGAATCCGACGATGACAACTGTTGCCATTGCACATGTATTGAGACCTCTGAATCACTTGAGCGCAGTAGCCTGTAGATTGTATCAATAGACTGCGGCACAGTCGCGTAAGGCATACATACCGTCATATAAGCACAATCCCAACCGAGGAAGTAGCGTCTCCGAGATGCGCATGAGTTGCTGAGGCCGCGGCGCGTCAGAAGAAGTCCTGGATAAATACCTGGTCTATGGATGGTGGAACCTGCGAGACAAATTGGCAGGAACGAGGGTTATCTAAGAATAAAGCTTGCAGGCCTAAAGTATGATCGGAAAGAGATGACATAGAAGTGGTGATCCGTTACAATAGCGAAACATTAGATCTTCGTAAACAGTAACTACAGTGGGGTGATACATAGTGATGCTGGAGGAAAAATAGCACGTGTCAGAACCAACAAGGAAGGGGGTAACGATTGGGTCATAATCGTGCGGGGTGAATTCCAGTCCACACCCAAACTCAAAGAGGGTACGTAGTGAATAAAAAAGGAATCGTGAAGGGAGGGAGGATGTAACATGGGTAGCGCCAATTGAATAAAATAGCTGGAAGATAATAAAACAGAACAAAGCGGGATTGTTGCTAGAAGATACAACAGGGGTCGATAGCCATATTACCGCTTTACGAATACCTTCTTGAGTAGGCCAAGCACCTTAGGCACGTTCAACTGTACATATTCCAGGTCCAGCAAATGCTTGTTGTCTTTTTGCTGTTGGTCCGAATTCATCATTCCGTAATGTCACATAAGGCGATTAAACACACCTTTTCCAAAAGGTCATCGATCTTGAGATCCATTTCCAAGATGGCTTTCTCGCGACCTTTGTAATGGAGGGCAATGATGAATGTACCTGGTGAAGGTGATGTAATGTTGAAATATATATTGGGCCGCCTGATAATCATTAACGTATTAACGAAAGCAAGTTCCCCGCTGACGAGGGGGATCTTACCGATTATCAGGGACATTACTTTCAACAATGATACCCTCCTTCTCGAGTTGCGCATGCGTGAACCTATATGGGCCCAGTACAACAGCTTTGGTTGGTTTCTTCTCCTTCCCACCCACTGTGACAACACCGACGCCGGTCGTACTGCCTTTGTCCTTTGTCGCCGTAAGTCTGACGTTCTGCAGGTAGGCCTTATACTGCTCTAGCTGCGACCGCAGATAGTTATTATGGTCACAAATGGTCTTGTAGACGGCCTCGAGGGACTTCGTTTCCAAGAGCACCTTCTCCCGCAAGTTACCCAGATGCACGAGCTCCGCGCCAACCTCCTCTTGCATCAAGCGATATCCATCGGAACGGTCTATGATTCTTTGCTCTTCCAATTCGCGGAGCATCTCCTTGACCTTGATTCCCTTGCGGACCAGCGTACTATCCTTCGTCGTTGCTGCACGTTCTGCGATTGACGCCAGGTTGTACGGTCCTTTGCCAATATTGGGAAGGGAGCGAATAAGCTGCACGAATATCGACTTGGCTTCCATGTACAACATGTCGTTTGATGATATGTTGTCTAGAAGTGCGGACTGTAGATCATGTACCGGCGTCTCCCAGCGACTGTAAAGATTGAGCTCGATCGTCCTGTTTTCTTTGCGAGGAACTTGAGGAGGCGCCGGCCCTAATTCATCGGTTAGAATCCTTAGGTGATGTTTGTCATTTGGGGACTACGCGATAAATCAGTGTTTGTCACACCAAAGCTCAGAGGCACCCACCAAAGTCTCGATATGTTGCAATATTAGGGAATGTGTGTTGTACAACTCGTTCATGGTGATGTGAATTACCAAATCTTTCTTGGACAAAGCCATGTATTGATCCATCTAAGGAGACTGTCTAGTCAGTCCCGGACCGGATGAATCGTGTGCACGTACCTCCAAGGTCTCATAGAAATCACCAACTTCGCAAAGGTTGTTGAGGAATTGGTTAATTCGTGCTTTGTTATTCTCAACAAACGGATTGAGTGTGATCATGTAGGCCTCCTTCGCATATGAAGGCTTGTTAGCCAAGTTCTGAAGCATCTTCGCTATCTAAACTGGCGTCAGATACGGGGCGTTGAGATGGGGCAAATAGTTTACCAAAGTTAACGTTCGGCGGGGATGTTTCGCTGGAACGCCATCAACTAACATATACGCTTGTGGGGTGACGATGGCAGGGTTGATGAAGCGAAGGAAGAAGAAGCCACCGATAAGGGAGCAAATAGCGTAGTCCGTGGCCTCTGGGTACTTTCTCTGAGGGAGTGGAAAGCGTTAACAGAGTACGGGAAGACAAGAAGGTAGCGTACCCGTGTCAGACTGCGGATCTGTTTACATATCCACCGTATCCCATACGGTACACTTTCCATGCTCTCGATGATTGTTAACAGGAAACTGTTTGCAATCTCCATCAACATCGTCAAGCGGGGAGCTATGATAGCTTGAACGTCTGGATTCTCGGCTGCGACTTCTGGAGCGACCCCTCGTGGAAGATTCGGTGGTAGAGAGCCGGTGTCCTCTTCGATCTGGTTTACCATCTGTTCGTACACTTTGACCGGGTTAATCTCCAAATTGAGATCCTTGTGTTCAATCAAGCTGTTGATGCGTTCGGCGAGAACGCTCTTGAGATAACTCTGGCCTGGGCCACGACGGGTATACGTTGTCATCATTCGAGATACTGGTGTATTCGCGCGAAGTAGGGAGCCAAATTCTGTCGCGGTTTCGAATTGGGCGGAGAGTACGGACTGGAACATGGTTAGGAGAAGATGTTCTTCCCTGCTTTCATACTGGTTTCCGTAGAGTGTGAACATAACTGTTTGGAGGAGGGTGTCTATTTCGGAAAGGCTGACTAGGCGGCAAAGGGCGGCGACGTGTCGTGGTTCAGATTGCAGGAGGAAGAAGAGATTCGAGTATTGCTGTAGCTTCCTGTCGTCAGGATAGTGTCCTTCTGTGGGATCAACCTCTTCAAGAGTTCTTTCGACTTCTCTTTGCTGTTGAACGTCATTATGTTATCTTCATTCACCTGTTATCTACCCACCTCATCCAATGCCATTCGGTTCTGAATCAACAGCGCGATTCTCGAGTCAAGGTATCGTACATCACGCTCCAAAACGAAGTTCTTCTTTGACTGGGCAGATATCTTGCCCTTGAGGTCCCTCAGGCGTTTCTGCGCTGGGATTCACGTTATTGCACCAGAATCGCACCGATGCTCGTGTGCGAACGTACCTCGTGCGAGATCATCCTCTACTTCCACATCCTGCTCTGCAACCATACTAAACAGAGCCGTAACAGAGTACCTGTTGGTATTCCTGTTCGTCAAACGGCGCGTTGACAGCCCAGAGGGCGAGCCCGGTTGATCAGGGTAAGACATGGTGATCGCTGACATGGCTTGGAAGGGATTTAAACAAGGATTTCTGGGAACCACGAAGTATAATTGAAGGCGAGAAGCAGCACCAGCGCTTGCAGCCTGGCAAAAGCGAAAAGCCGGAGCCCTGGCAAGGAAAACGACGGTCGGGGAGTGGGTATCAAGGGAGTCCAAGTAAGAGAGCAATGGATACCACAATTTCCATGTCTGTGCAAAACTAGCGCCGGCATCTCGGCCTATGGCCCAATTTCTCACAGCCCCTGTGCTGGCTGATAGGAGTGGGCTGAGGCTCGGTCCAATGAACTTGGGTTCTTCGTACAGCGATATGCGATATGCAGTGTCGAGCGCTGAATGGATACCAACATACTAGTAGAGCTGATGGATACAACGCCGTTCTCACAAAGTCACCCCGACGACGACAGCATCACCGAGCGTTAGAAGGGAGATTACGACAAATCAGCTATTTTTGTGGCATCAACTATCCCGTCTCGAGATATCTACGCATTTGGCTAGCATCTACGTTGCTATTAAAAGCTCGATACTAAGCGGCGCCTTCGTGCATCTGTTTTGTGCTTGTGTGGTGATCTCGGTCCCAAGCCCTCATCGGGCAATATTTGTTTCATCCTCACGAGGCGACCAATGAATCTAAGTACGAGGCGAGAGCAGTCGAGAATTATGTCGAAAGACGTGCTTAACTCGCTAGGAATTCCCTTCCTCTCTCTTTTGTCTTATACCTATACAATTATCACCCGCGCTGAAATCAATAGCTCTGTTTCTCGTGTTTCCTCTCAAATCTAAGTTAAGTACTTGATGATCTTGATCACGTTTGCAGCAATTACCCGTGGGTCAGTGTTTGGCAGGGGGACTGCTGGAAGATCGACGACGCGAGAGGAGATATCAACGTGGATCGGGTTGTTGACAAGGGCCACTTTGTCGTGTTGATTGAAGTAGCCCAAGTCATGGACGATACAGAAGGCCCAAGCAATGGACTGCAGGAAGTCATATCTCGCGTCAGCCCTCCATGTATTAGAGCCACGGGGATCCTGAGACTGACATTGTCGATATCTGGGGGACACACATACCTGCTCTGTGGTTCCAGTGCTTCAGGTTTGCCCAGTTGAAGGACATAGGCTCCCCGTAGGGATCATCAATGGGATGTACGTAAATCGCTGGCGAGCGGCTGAGGTTCATTCCTGAAGGACAGACAATGCATTGTCCCTGAACCTCCTAAGTACATTGATGGACTTCAACGAAATGGCTGAGGGTGTGCGTGCGCTGAAGTGCTGGAGTTCAAGACCCTGATGGCTCAGCAATAGCGCAACCTCTGAAGCCAATACATCGATACACCTTCAACGACATCTTCTCCGCAAATCATCAAGAGAGAACCTGTGCGTCTGGGAGACGACCACCATGGCACATCAAAAAAAGGTCCAGTTACAGCTGCAGTTGCAGTTACGTGTGATTGTCAGCTCCTCCACTTTGCATGTAGGTAGCCCGACAACTACCCGTGAGCCCCCTGAGAGAGTATCCAATTCATTGTGGCAAAATACACTGTTGTGAGGACGATGATCTTTATCTAATCGATGTTTATTGCGACATCGTTTTTGAGGCTACCGCTTACCCATAGGTCGTTTGAGGTACTTGATATTACTCTTTGCGAAACTTTTGTATCTCTCATACACCTAGGAAAATTGAACACTCGGCGACAAGAATGGTCAACCGCCAAAAAATAGCTAGTTTTCCGTGTTAGTCGGCGCCACACAGATGAGTAAACATCCCCTAGCCTAGCCCCTCAATCCCCCTCTCCAAATAGGGAGCAAGATTCCGAAACCTTCCAATCTTATCTAGGATCTACCCTCCTGCGATGGCGAGTAGGGAAGAATATAAGTGAGCCATCAGCATGCTAGAGTGCACGACGCACAACGAGAAGTCCTCCCGGCTGTAAATTCATGTCCAGCATGCGTGAGCATTAAGCAGACTTAGCTCAGGAGGAAAGAAAGTACAAAATGAAGTAGGTTGAGAGGTACAGCAATTAGGTCGTCTTTGAGGACTTCGTACGGTGGAGATAAGTGCCTGCTCAAAAATATCACTCAGATCAAGTACGCGATGCTGCTATGGTCATTGAATGGGCATGCAAACGGGGTGAGCTCAGATAATAGCAACATGAAATTCAGCAGAATGTTGCACACATACGCCAAGAGGAGTCACCCTCCTCCACTCGCCCTCAGAAAGTACAATGTATTCCCGACCTACGTAGCAAGCTCGTCAACATTCCTTACACGGGTGAATTACCATTTATACAAGTAATGTGTTTAAAGTTCAGGCATAATTGACCTTCTCATGTGCAAGGAACCATCTCCTTTTTACCTAACGCCTCTAACGAGAAGAATCCTCCATAAGGGCAAAAGTGAGGGCCACCTTGTTCGAAAGGCAACGTAACCAGCTACCAATAGGACTGAGATGATCCTCTGATATCGTGGAACTTACATTTACAATGGGCAGAGAGCCCCCTCAAGCGGCATTAGCCAAAGAGCAATATCAAAGCACCGTGATGAAAGGTATGCATGTTGGTTCCATTCCGCTGGGTTGCTTCTAAATATTGTATGCATTGCCAGCGTGTCTCAGGCCCCGGGGCTAAGGCCGAGCGACGGCACACACGGCTAAGCGAACCTACCTGCGTGCAAGGTTGTAAATTAAATGGACCTGCAACGTTGCCGTTGACAGCAAATGTTATAGATGACTTGCTGTTCGCGGGGCTCTAAATGATGTTATCTTTGCCCTTCAATAGCTGTTCCATCCACGTTCAAATGCCCAAGAGAAAAATTGAAGATCACCGGAGTCATGAAGCGGCGATTGGTGGAGGTTGACAGTCTTCGCGGCTGTTATGCATACCTTACCTCTTCAGGCGTCCGGGGAATGATAGCGTCGTACGACGACATGTCACTGGGAAGCGCTCGCACGCCTGGGGTAAGGCGCATCCCATGATCAGGCATATGACAGGCTTCCGTTCACCCGTATTCCGCGATACGATCACGAAGAGTTCGGTGCAATGAGCGCTCGTGGATAAATTAGAAGTGTTGAAACAAAGGCTGTGGGCATGGATGTGCAATATGCTGTGCGTGTGTATAGTATACAATGCTGGTTCTGGTTCAATCGCGGTCAGCGGCTCGGACTTTCTCGTAGGGGAATGCGTCTGTCGTCCATTCGCCGGACGCAGGCTGGATATATCGTACATGGTATCCTCCACGACCCGTTATCTGCGAGCACGGCATGCGTCAACGTGCGGGAAAGAAGCCATGAATCATTGGTTTACCCTATCCAACAGGTGAACGGCTCCAACTACAAACCCAATCACCCAGACGTCCGCACGTATGCAGACCTCCACCTTGTGGTTCTGAAATACATAGTTAACGCATGCAATTGCCTATGTGGCAGCCAGAAACGCTGACAATCTTCGCTGATCGCGGCTGTTTCTCGAAGAAGGATGAAAGCGTAAGTTTGGAGTACCCGAGCGAGACAAAGGAACAACTCACATAGTTATCTTTGTAGTTATCTTTGTACCTCTGTTCCGGGTACCGCGACGGTCTCTCGGGCATCTGGGGCTTTTCGGGCCCTTCAGGATGGTATGGCGGGGGGAAATGGGCGCCTGGAAACATCTCAGGTGTCGGGTAATCGGCCTTCCTTGGATACGCAGACATGGTGGTGGTGAGGAAGAAGGAATTACTGATCGACGAACGACTTGAGGAGTATTTATGCACAGCTGACATGACAAGATACCCATTTTCGGTAGAAGGTGACTTGCGCCATAAGATCAGCGAAGTGCAGTGCTGCAGATAGGAACCTAGATTGCCGATCATAATCGTAGACTCCCCATCCGTTTCATGGGACGCTCTTCAACTTTAAGAGTGCCTCGTTGCTGATGATCATGAAAGCCGTTGCGCAGTTCGGCTTCTAATATTGCTCACAGGCTCCCCAATTCACATCGGAGGGACGGCGATAAGTGGACTTGGGCGGTCACAGTTCTCACTCCTGCTGTAGCCGTTTCCCTGGTGAGAAGCGGGATGATACGCGTAGATGCACGAGGAGGACTGGGTCCTCACACAGCGCACTAGATAATGCTTCAGAAGCTTCTTCGACCGGAAGACAAGGCTTGTCCAGTAAGAGATGCTCAGGGACTGCGATAGGGGCTCGGCGTTCGCCGGCGCCTTGCGCCTTTCACCAAGAACAAGTCGACGACCTTTCCGCCACACCATCGCCAGTTCTGCACACCGTCGCGTAGATACGCGCGGACTGAGCTGAGCGCAGAAAATGGCCAATCTCCTCACAATCCCGCTCAAGAAATCATATGAAGTCGACATCCAGACGCCCGTCAGGGACTACATACAGCAGCATTGCGCCGCACATCCAAATCAGTTCAAGGACGACATCGAGCGGTGGCAGAAATTGCGAAGAGACTATGTTGATGGCGGGATACACATGGATCGGGTTGACGCTGCGCTTAGGTCGGTCCCCTTTGCAAACTTCCTCAGTAAGTGCGAATAAGGCATCTTGTAGGTATCACGCACAGCTAGTGTGCATTCTGGCAAAGCTCCCAACGGATGTAAGTTCATCGCGGAATAAGTGTACCATTCTCATCAGAATTCAAGCACCTTTTAGATCAACCTCGCGATACCATATGCCCATGCGTTCGCCTCTCGGAATGCGTTGCCTATAACCTTGAATAATCTCGCGTTCGAAAGGGTATGCGTACTGTTCAATATCGTTGCTTTACACTCGCAACTCGCGGCCGCGGAAGATCGGTCCAATCAAGAAGGTATCAAGCGTGCCGTCTTGAACTATAGGGTCAGTTAGATCTCATGTTTGTTTTGTGAGTGAAACTGACACACTTGCGCTGTGTCAGAATGCTGCAGGGACACTGCATTATATGATCACGAAGGCCCTCCCGAGCCTCCACTTTCTCCCAGATGACGAAGTCCCTGCTGATTTATCGGAGGACTTTCTAAAATCCTTGGAATACCTAATGAAGGCACAGGCCGAGGAATGCGGCTGGCAGAACGCCAAACTAGGTATGACTTAGTAACCGTTGACCCGCCCGTACTCACTCTCGTCAAGCTAGCGTGAAGAACGGTCTTGTGGCTCGACTCGCACAGAAGGTAGTAACCATGCAATGTCATCAGTCCTTGGAGACTAACATGTCAAAAGACAGCTTCTGAATACTCAGCGGCCGCAGACGTCATAGCCCATGCGTCTCCTGAGACAAAGGGCTCATTCCCTTCGGTGCGAGTCCGTTTCTCTCGCAATGCTGTAGTGGGCGCTTAACTAGTGCCAACACAAACAGCATTGGCTTCCCCACCTCGAGGCCAAGAGATCCCATTTCTACGCGGTGGCACAATATAGAAAGAGTATTGATGAGAATGAGGGCAACAAGTTAGCGCACGCTGATTGATACCCGTATCAAGACCTAACTTGTGTCACAGGTACGGCGTCGAACTGGCGCGCCTAACTTTAGCCCAGTTACACGCAAAGACGGCTTACGATCGAGCGCGAAGAGGTGGCGTCGTTCAGACTGTCGTGCAAGACACTAAAGTTGGTATAAACACACCGTTGCAGACCTTGTGTGATAATTCAATACCATGACATAGTCTCTGTTGGACAACGTTGCCAAAGACATCGCCAGAGCGGAGCGCGATAACGACCTCATCTATCATCAAGATGTGCCAGCGCACTCAGCCTTGCCCGAGATCGTCATTGCTTCACTCATTCCGAAGATCGAGCCGCCGACCGGACTTACGCAAATACACACCCTTATTTCTGATGATCAGGTTCTCTTCAAGGACCTCCTTGCCTGGGCGGCACGAGAAGCTATCAGTACGTCTAGCCTTCCCTTTCACCTAGCGAGACCATGCTTCACATTGCGCTTAGATATTTATAACGACAGAAAGCAGAACCTGATAGAAGAGAGGATAATAAGTGCTACGCGTGATCTAGATGAGTTGATATCGCAGTACGGGTCGTTCTCCCATACTCTTTCGTTATGGTCCCTGACAGCATGAGGCAGGACACTGCGTGAACTCAATCTGCCTGCCTCGCTCGAGGCGCTGGAACGTCCGATAGGCTTACCCCCCAGTCTCTTGAAGAAAGCCGAGGAAGTTCGGTTAGCGAACGGCCCTGCAACGATCAATGCATCCATCGAGGATGTGCAAAGGTTAGCGAAGCAGGATATGGATATATTGAATGAGGTATTTTCTACGTCTGCCAAATTGCTACATCTTCGTGATGAAATGTTGGTGCCTAGGCGTTAGATATCTTGGACGAGGAGGCGTCTGAAGACGAAGCTCTTCGGAAAGAGCGCCCACTCCCTAGACCTCCTTCACATGAAGCCAATGCAGTTCTCGTCGAGAAAGCCAGCAGGTACAGGAATATTCTCGAGGAAGCAGCGAAGAGCGACGAGTTTGTCCGTGAGAAGTGGGATGATTGGGAACAGAACATTGTTGAGCTTACCTGGGACCAGGTGGGTCTTATCTTCCGGCACTTGCAAACACCATTGACGGTCTCGATAGGCCGATCTTGAGGCTGCTGTGCCGTCATCTACCATCAAGGCCACAGGGCGCCTAAGCGCCGCTAGTCCGCCTACCCAAGTCAATGCCCGCAAATTACGTGCTCTCCTAGATGATATCGAACGCCTCAAGCGCTCGCGAGCACGCATCATCGAACAAGCCCAGAATGTAGCAGAAGCAGACGAGGAAGTGATTCGAAGTCGCGTCGTCAGAGTGTCAGCCGGCTTTGTCAAGTGGGCTGACATGAAACCTGCGATGTTTGAGGATCAGTCAGACGAAGAGTTGGCAAAGTATGACGGGTATGTTATGGAGGTAGAAGAATCCGAAAGGAAGCAGGTCGACCTTCTTGATGAGATTCGAGTGAGTGGTTTACACCATTAACCCCTGCATCGTTCTCATCATGGCACATAGGCCCGCAACGAAGTCTTCGTCCAGTCTCGTAAGGAGGACCCCTCGGTCAGAGAGCGCGAAGCTGCGCTACAGTCACTAGACCTATCGTATCACAAGTACAAGGAGATTAAGCGGAATCTGGAAGAGGGCTATCAAGTCAGTGTTCGCCTCTGATCACAACACGTGTGTTAAGCATCACAATCACAGTTCTACAACGACCTTGCGAGCATTCTTCTCCAATTTAAAGAAGCATGCAAACAGTGGCGTACACAACGCAAACAAGAAATCCAGTAAGCTTCAGTTTATTCTTGGTTTGAATGGAACACTCGTGACGACTAAATTTGCTGCGCAAGTTCTTTATCTCAGGCAATGCAAGCCATGTCACTGGAGGAAGTAAAGAGGCCTGGTAAGGCTCCACCTTCCCCAAAGCCAACAACTCGGGCCACGCACCGAAGGCCAGCCTCGAAATCATCACTCGGCTTGCCGTCACTTGACTCTGATGAGTGGGAAACATATGTAATGCCGTCTCCTCCAAGCGGATCTGAACGAGGGTAGTACCAGGAATGTTATCAGTAAGGGAGCCTTAATTTGTCTCATCGCGAATGTATGCATCTACGTCGCCCAGCTCCTCTATGATCGTGTCGTGAATGTTTGACGATGGAGGCGAAACGATTACCTATGGACAGCCCCTAACTAAGGCTGTTGCCAAGGGAGAGTCTATATTTCATGGGCGGCGGGCGCCTAACAACGCTTATAATACTTGTTACTTTCTCTCATGGTCCAGCATCTTTGAAGCCAACACTCGTTTCTCGCCGCTGCCTATGCCGCAACCTGCAAAATAATCCCGAACTCAAACAACATGTTGCCCCAGGCGTTATTACTTCTGCTAGTGGCTTTCCTGGCTTCCCCGCTGCAAGTTAATGGCACAGTACCGACGCGGCTTGTAGTCCCTTCCGCGCAGCACATCTCGCTGCCAGCTATTCCAGGGTCATCCCCTCGAATACAGAAGCGAGCTTTGAACGAAACGAACATTGGAATAACGTCTGCTATTCTGGCAAGCGACGGACAGTCAGTTCGCGTCTCTGTCTGCGAGGATGCCAGGGTTTAGCTCATGAGGCCTTCTTTAGATCGTATTATTCGATTATCGAGGTCGGCGGGATGAATTTCAGGGTGGCTTTGGACACGGCTTCGTCAGATCTTTGGCTTGCATCTTCTGCATGCACAACGGAGACTTGCAATGCTATCCCGCGGTACCCTCTCTCGTACGAGAGCCCTTCGTTCGCAGCCGTCAATGGAAATCAAACTTCTTTCAATGCTAGCTACGCAGACGGGACATGTACGTTTTGTGGATGGCGGCTTCTTGAGTTTGGCTCAGCTTCATCCACCTAGCTTCCAACGGCTTCATTGCTCGCGAGAGGGTGACTATAGCCAATTTAACAATCCCGGACCAGACGATGGGGATCATTACCGATTCCAACGTCACTCTTACGGATAGAACGACTGGATTACTTGGACTGGGTTTCCCCCGCCTCTCTAGTGTAAATCAAACCGTCACAAACTGTCAGTGAATGTTACTTATTCCAACTGAGAGGCCCTCCTGACAACGACGACAGCTACTCCGTTCTTGGTAAACCTCGCCCAACGAGGCCTCTTGGAATACCCTCTATTCGGACTTCATCTTACCAGAAATACCTCCGGCACAATCTCGCTCGGTGATAATCCCCTCTTTTGCTCAAAGAAGTTACGAAATATTCATTCTCTTGAGCTTAGGGGCTATCGATGCTTCCGTTGTAATGCAGCCAGCCAACATTTCATGGAACCCAGTTGTTCAATTTGCCCCGTTCGCCTCCGAAAGTAATGTATCTTCTTATCTCCAATGGGCTATCCCTTTGGGCGGATTCTCTGTAAGGTTAATGACATACTGAGTTGGCCCACTTAACGCGTTGCAGGTAAACCATACTCGGTTGGCACCGATGCCGACATATACCAATGTCACAAACAATATGTCTATTGCCTTGATTGACATGTACGTATCGCCTTCATCATCACTTCCTTTATCCACTTACCCCTTCACAGCGGAACGCCCGGGCTATATGGACCTTTCCAAGATGTAAGTACCAGAGTAGAGTCATCCATTCTTGTTCCCTCATCAATCCCCAGGTCTCCCGCCTTTTCTCATTGATTGATGGAGCCCGGCTTGTTGACACTTGTATGCTTGCTCTCCATACAGAACTGGGTTATGAAACTAACGAGGCCTTCTAGCTGGACAATGGGCCATCCCGTGTGACACTTCTGTACCGATATCCTTTACCTTCGGGTGCGTGCATCCCCCAAAGCCTCACAGGCGTATCTAAGGTCTGTTTACAGCGGTGTGAGTTATGATCTACAACCCTATGAGTATATCATCGGTCCCGCCGCTGGCAACCCGAATCTTTGCCTGAGTTGGCCAATGGCGGCGCCCCTCAGCTCAGATGGCATCGACTGGCAAATCGGTACAGGACACCTAATTCTCCTCGTTACACCCTTTTACTGACTATTATAATCATCAGGTGCCAGCTTCCTACGCAGTGTGTACTCGATCTTCAGGTAACATCTCTTACCATCCCTCGTCATCGTTTCTGAACTTACGCCTACACAAGCTACGGTATCAACCGCAAGGAACCCCCGATGATTGGCTTCTATTCCCTCCGCAACCAAACTGCTGCGCCGTCGCCCATAGATGCCGTCTCCTCTGTATTCGAATTCATCTCTGGTATCTCCACCGTTGCCACCACCCTTCCCAACTTCCCCCTCCCCACGCCAACCTTTACCACCCCTCCCTACGCATTCAACGCCTCAGTCCCAACCTCGAATGGCGGCATCGTATCCTCCGGTCTGGCGACAAGCACCTACTAAGACCGGTCTTAGGCGGTCCAAATGGCGTCAACGCATCCGCTATACCGACAATTTCTCCGAAACCGGCGTTACAGACATTGATTTTGACGAACGCCCAGGGCTTGCTAACAACTTCCACAAAGACCCTCGAGGAGCCAACAGTAACTCTGGCTCTCCCGCCAGGATGGAATGCTGCGTCCCGCCCACATATTGATACCTTCGCCATATTTTTGGTATTCGCACTGTCGTGCACACGGTTAGTTCTGTAGATGGACTTCGTTCTAGTGATAGTACATATAGTAAATATTGATGTATATCTTATCAGCATTCCGTACATAAAGACATTTCTTATGGATTGGAGTAATCATCTAGCTGGAAAGTAGTCCTGTGTTCCCTATACAGAAAGTTGCTTTCGACCCGATTCGAGCTAGTTAAGGTATGGTGAAGAGATTTCACTGAAGATTCGAATTTCGGGATTTGGATTATGAGCTAGCAACCAACATTCTGGAACGAGGCAGCAGCGTCGAAAGTGGGGAAATAAGCTTGACAAATTATGTCAACAGATCATGCAACTGGAGCTTTCAATTCACGAAAGTTGTCATCAAGGACGCACACAATATGGCATGGAGGTGTCAGATACGGAGACCAGTAGATTTTCAAGGAGCGTACAACATCGAAACAACACTTCGGGTATAAACAAACTTGGAAGCTCGAGGGCGGGGAGACTTCTACAGATGCAAAACAGCATGCGCTCAGTTCACAACATCCACTCTACGTAAAAAGGCGTCGATTAAAAAGAGCACACCATGATCGTGAAAAGTCCGTAACAAAAGCAAGTACCAAGTTCGTAGATAGTAGGTAAGGCGGAGGGTTGAGAGGGAGAAAGGATACCTAGGGTTGGGGTGTCCGATTAAACAAGTATTACGGTCTCTCAGAACAGTTGTCCTTTAGGTAACGAGAAAAGACTGCAACGAGCGTGAACCATGCCATCAAGCGCCCGACGATCAAGCACGAATTTTTGCTTCCTTAAGCAAGGATGGCGACGAGGGCAGCGCCGACAAGGCCAGCAGCGCCAATCTGCGCAACTTGGGCAGACGCAGCGTTACTTGTCTGGGCGGGCGCGGCCGTGCTGTTAATGGAGGAAGTCAGTTATCAGGGACTAGTGGAAGCAAATATCGACGCACCCGGAGCTAGTGACAGAGCTTGTTCGTGGAACCGAAGTACTTGCTCCCGAAGTAACCGCAGCGGTTGTGGAAGAGGCTCCAGGAGCGGTTGTGGTAGGAGCGGCAGGGGCCGAAGAGGTCGTGCCAGGGGCGGCAGCGGAAGTGCTGGTTGTACCGGAAGCGGAATCAGAGCCAGAGCTCGAGGAACCGCCGTTCAAGCAGCTGTTATCGGCTAAGATGCAAGTACGGCAGTTAAGAAATGCCCGCAAGAGGGAAATAAGCGTTGATACTCACGACCAGCTTGGACAGTGACTGCTGCGGATTGCGCGGTGGCACCGGTCTGGTCACGGAGTGAGAAACCAAGACGGGTATCTATACCGTGTTAGCGGGAAATCGAGGATACACGTGAACATAGCCGACGTACTGGCTTGGAAAGTCACGCGTTGCCAGGAGAATGACGTTGCGCCAGCAGGCTGCTCGCCAAGGTCAGCAATGGCGGGGCCCGAAGGGTCGTCACCATTGTGTACACTATCATCAACACCAATGAGCTGACATACGAAACAAGCGAACCCTTGTATAACTTACGACTGAAGTGTACCAAAAACGAAGCGCAAAATTGATCAGAGAGAAAGCCGCGCTTCCGTAACGACGATTGCTTACCAAGAAGAAGGGTCCTAGACGTAAAAAGTCGCGCGTCAGCAAAAGTCATTTCCGCCTGCAACGATGAGCAGCATACCTTGGCCACCAACCCAAGAGATGAGCAAAGGCTGGCATTGTACAGGGTTCGTACTGCGCATGGATCAATATCAGTCGCCGCATTTTGCTCCTCGGAGGAAAAACTGGGCATACGGAGTGTTGATTGTGAACCCAGGGGTCTGCGCAAGGGCGAGAACGGCACAGAACAGAGATGTCGCGACGACTGTGAACTTCATCTTGGACGGGAGGGGGCGGGAAAGGCCTGTTTGTGAGTGGGAAGCAAAAGAGAGCAACAAGAGGAATCGTTGCGAGGCCGCGCTATTTATTTGGGAGCCTGATTCTTCCTTGTCGTAAACAAGGACAAATACCTGAGCATTCCCGCTTGGCTTGCGGCACGCGCAGCACTTCGCCCTTGATTCTGGCCGTCATCACCGCGTATATACGCTGTGCTGTACTTTTGCGCTCGTCGTCGAGCGCAACGCCGACATCCCGCCAACGCGCCGCCGCCTCTCACTGACGGCATTCTCGTTATCTCGCGTGTCCCAGGGCACAGTCTGAGGTGATTTGCTATCATAAATGATCGAACAGAACAATCCAGAACATACAGGTACAGCACGCGAGTCCCGAAAAAAAAGAAAAAAATACGAAATGCGAGCTCATCGAAGAACGCGGACCGTGGTGACTAGGCCATAGTGATCGCTGGCGAATTTGCCCTCCTGTGTTTGCACACCGACGCCGATTTTTGCTGGCTCGTCCACTTTTAGCCCTCGGCGAGGCACGAACAAGACTTTATCAAGCCGTCCGGGCGGAAATTTTCCTACATCCTTCCCCTGATAACCCCAGGTGAATCCGCTCTCGTCCTCATCCCCTTTCCGCCATGCATCTCGCAGTCCGTTCTGCTGAGGGAGTCGTTTGTCTTCTGGCATGATTGCATTCATATCGCCGCAAACTATCCCGCTATGCAATTTGTCCTCCGTTAGGAGCTTTGATATGATGTTGAGTTGTCTGGGCCGAGCCATCGTACCCGAGGGCAAAGACTCCAGGTGCGTGTTAACCACGCGGACAAGCACATCCTGCCCCTCCGACTCCAATACTCTCATCCGCACATCAACGATCACTGCCGTCCGCTGCATGCCCGAGCACCCAAACTCCAAGATCCCAGCAAACACCACAGGCACCTTCCGCGAGACGAGCGTCACGTTCCCATAGTATGCGTCCTCCGGCCATTTGCGTGTCGTCGAAGGGGTGACGATGAAGTGGTTCTTGACCCAGTCGTCGTGGAGTATCGTGGCGAAGGCCTCAATGTTGACTTCTTGCAGGAGGATGCAGCAGGGCTCCGGGGCTTTGCCGGATTCGCAGTGAAAGATGTCGCATCGCAGGTACTCGAGCGCTGTTTCGAGGCGGGGGATGCAGTCGTCCTCTGCGTAGTCGACGTTCCAGGATATTATGCGGACGGCGGATGGAGCCGCGGCCTTATGTAGATCGCGTTCTGAGAGGTGTTTCCAGGCCTCTTTCGTCGTTCGATATCGACAAGGCCGGAGTTCATATAATGAGTTCGGTATTACAGGTTCATCGTCGGTGTACGATATAGATGACATTTTATCTTGAGGGTGGAGAAGAGTGTGAAAGCGAGCAAGAATGGAGCGACATGTGTATACCCACCGATGGGAAAGATACGAGAGGATAGGCTCCAGGGCGATATAATACAAGCCACTCGCCAGCAACTGCGATAACAAAAGTGTTGGCGTTATTATTGGAAGAGGGAGCACCAAGATGACAATCAAGAGGGGGACGGATCTCTTAGCCTCATCTTATATATGAGTGAGGCTGCTTTGTGCGGTGAGGACGATCACGAGAATGTTTGCGAATTCCCTGTCAACGATCTCAAACACGAGGCAGGCTATGACCTGCGTCTGTGAACGTGTATATACCACGGCTCTTGCACCCGTCCGCACCGGAGACGATTATAACATCAATTGAAAGAAGACACGTAGTAAGTACGATCACAGCTCAGCAGTATCGCGGGCAACACTCTCTGTCTCCTCCACTTTCTTATCGACGAACGCGCGGAGGATGTTGGCCTTGATCTTGATCTCGTCGAGCTTTGCCTGGGACATGGTGCGTTTCGCGAGGATAGATGCGAGACTGGGTTGCGGAGATTGTAGGGCGCGAGCATGAGTACGACCTCGTGTAGACGGAGAAAAAAAAAGTAGACGCTCACCGCTTGGATTCCTTCTCGATATAGGCTTCGGATCCATTGACGACCTTCTCCATGACGCGCAGGTAGTGCTTAGACGCGTCTCCAAGTGTAGCAGCGATGTGAGTGGCTTCTTGCAAGATAGAACCGCGGACATCAGCTGCCGCGACGAAGAATCTGTGGGCTAGATCGTCGAGTTGCGCCAAACGGCCAGCCTGCAGGCAAAACGATGTCAGCAATGCTGTTGATGTAGACGCTGGAATCTGCAGCACTCACATCATCGGAGAGCCCTCCGCCGACGGCACGCTGTGTTCCGCACTTCTCATTGAGGAACTGCACGAAGTCTGCCTCGCTGCGGCCTCCCTCGTAGTCTTCAGCTTGGTCCGAGCCGGCGGGGAAGAATTTAATAGTCGGGTAGCCAGATACCTCGTACCTCCGCGCGATATCCTTGTTCTTCTTATCGTCGGCGTCAATGTTGGCTACGACGCACTAGAAGGATTCCGTGAGCAGTGGATCCATCATCCGACCAAGCCGATACCGAGCGAACTTACGTTGGATTCTGGCTTGAAGGCGCTTGCAACTGGGGTTCGTTATGAATCCAGGTGATCACGGCTAAAAATAACAGAATTTGCTTACCTTTCTCGTATACTGGCTTCAAGTTCTTGCAATGTCCACACCATGGCGCCTGTGCGGAAGCAAAATGAGCTAGTACTACGTTTGCCACCACACAGAACACCGACCGTGAAGGTAACTAGTACGTTCTTGGACTTGTCCTAGAAGTTGCAGAGCAGTCAGAAGCTGAACACGGTGCCTTCGTTGGCGCTACGCCTAACTCACAAGGGCAACTTCATCGAAAGTGTGGTAATCGAGGATGAGAGTCTCGGGAGGCGGGGGAGGTTTGATGTTCGACTTCACACCAGAGTTCTGGGTGATGCTAGACGGAACAAGTCATCAGCCCGAGTACCCACGCCCATCCCATAAAACTCTACACTCACAACGCGGCTAATGAATCCAAATCACGTCCGGATTCATACGGCTCGTGCGTCCCATCTGCCTTGAACCACTTCAAAGCTATCAAGCGACGCGAGGAGTAGGTGGGAGAACAAAAGCCGATGAGAAATACTGGCGCTTCGCGGGTTTCTGTCACACGTACTTGGGAAACCCGTAACACCGTACTTTTGGCCCAGAGGCTTTCCCTCGCCGTCCGCATCGACTTTGGCGATGACGACCTTGTCTTTTGCGTGTGCGAAGGCATCCCCCAGCTGCTCGTAGACTGGCGCGAGGTTCTATTGAATATTCCCGGTCAGAATTTCTCTTAAACGTAGAATGAACGCATAAAGGCGTGCCTTGCAGTGTCCGCTGGTATTATCGAATAGCGTCAGTCCACTAGTATGCATGGCTGTCAAGATATACATACCACCATGGTGCGAAGCTGCGTTGGTGTTACCTTAGTATACGCGATTACTAAAGTAAATGAAGAACGTACAACTCAACCAATGCTGGCTTGCCCTGTCCAACGACCTCGTCGAAGTTCGCGGGGGTGAGGTCAATTACATTAGAAGCTGCTGCGGCTGCAGCCCAGAGCCCGGCGACGAAGAAAGGAATTGTCGCTCGCATTATGATGGTATGGAAGAAAGTGTAAGGAAATTCTGGCGTCGGTCACGCTCCGAGTCCTAACTCACTACGTGTAAGTTCTTGGATGATGTAAGCCCGCTTATTTCTGCAGATAAGATAGGCGCCCAAACGATAACGGAAATATTTTGCGATGCGATCACAAATCATCGATGAGCATCAATCACCGTACTCGAGTTACTCAGCTGCTTGGTGATCCACCTTGGACGTCGCCAGTATAAACCTCGGACGCGAAGCGGGGGCTAGCAGTACACACTCTCCTCGGAACTCATGGCCTCAAATCCAAATCAGCCGGACGATAACAACGATTTCGACGAGGAGGAGCAATATATCGAAGCAGATGAGGTCCTCGCCGAAGTACCAGACACAGAGGACAGACCCATGGACGAGGATGACGAAGACGACGAAGTTGGTGACCTACCAGGAAGCTCAACTATAGACTACGGCACAAATTGCATACAACACTTTGCGTCGCACAATGGCTCCGTCTTTTGCGTAGCGGCGCATCCGACACAGCCTCTTGCAGCTACTGGTGGAGAAGACGATTTAGGGTACATCTGGAACACTTCGAACGGCGAACTGGTCGCCAAATTGACCGGACACACCGACAGTGTCACGTCCATCGCATTCAGCCACGACGGGGAGATGCTTTCCACTGGCGGTATGGACGGCAAAGTGAGAATATGGCGAAGAGTAGGCAAGGAGCATTGGAAGACATGGGAGTTTCTGACGGAGCTTCAAGGACCAGATGAGGTTATGGTCAGTACGATTATGTATTCTTGCAACTTGTTGTCAAAAGAAATTCCTTCGCTTTGTAGTTCCTGAGATGGCACCCGAAGGGGAATGTATTGCTTGCTGGGTCGCAAGATGCCACCGTCTGGCTATGGCAGCGTACGTGCATCCTAATTCTCACATAGGTGCTTGACTTACGTGCCTCGTCTTTGCAGTGCCGTCAGGAAACACTATGCAAGTGCTTTCGGGCCACAGTGGTCCTGTACAATGCGGCGAATTTACGCCAGATGGTACGACTCACACAACACCGACGTCAGCCTACTATGTCTAACACTATAACTAGGAAAACGAATTATCACCGCTTGTGCTGGTGGCGATCTTATATATTGGGACCCTCGATCAGACACTCCAGTTTTCAAACGACTGAGCAGTGAAGGGAAGTTCAGCGTCGGAGAGGTGACTAGCATCGCCATCAACCCTTCGTCAACTATCGTCGTTGTCGGCGGGTCCAACGGGCTTACTCGCATCGTCAGTCTTGTGAAGGGCGACGTCGTTGCGACTTTGACTGGCCATTCAGAAGCTGATAGCGTTGAGTCAATAGCGTTTGTTGACTTGTCCGGGACATCCAATGGGCCGCTGGTGCTGATTACGGGTGGGACTGATGGCAAGGCTTGTATATGGGATTCAAACACCTGGCGGTTGCGAGGGACACTCAAACATGAAGTAAGTTGCGTTTTGACTGCGTGCATCCTGTGTTCTGATTACCGTCCCCTAAGGAAACGGTGACTGCGATCTTACCGCTTGCCGCCCCGAAAAGCTACTACGTAGTGACCGCATCCGCAGACAGAAATTTGAAGACGTGGGATGCGCGGACAAGTACGCAGCTATGCGAACATGTTGGCCATCAGGCCTCTGTCTTGGCTGCAGCCTTGGGTGTCAATGGCACAGTCATATCGGCAGGAGATGATGGGATGTGCTTCGTATTTGCAGCAGAGAACTTCGAAGAAGGAGGTGGAGCGATGCAGACGGATTGAGCACGGCGTATATAGCATATTCACCTTTAACTACTATTTTCTGCCTCCTAACCCCTGTAACTTACTTCTGAGATTAGATAACGCGTCGAGCAATTTCAGAGCTGTCCTTCTCATAATGCGCCCTCATGAACAGCCTGAGCACGACCGGCGCAGGCCTCAAGTCGACATTCCATACGGTGCACGCCCCCCTCAGAACCCGAGCGGCCCTGCGTTTCCCGTCCCAGAGAGCCCTTGGGCATTCGAATTGTCGCCACCCTCACACGGCACAAGGGCTACTACAAGCCATGGCATGAGCCAACGTCTAACGAACCCATGGGACGATGTAGTAACAAACTCACCAGACACACCAAGAGCTTCGAACTCGAGGACTAGCAACCGTCCAAATACTAGCACCGGATATGACTTTCGGCCAATGGCGGACGGCGGACTTAGTCGCGCGACTAGCATGTTTGAGAGTGGAGTTGTAGGAGCGGGACCCGTCACCGGGACGAGCACACGGATGGCGTTTCCTGAGCCGCAGATGTACCGTTCGACCTCTAGCAGTGCGTCACTTACACCTCCCACGCAGACGATGAGGCATTCTCGCAGCAGAAGTGACCTGTCAGGCCAACGGGCAGGCGCACCTCAATTGAGGAAGGAACCTTCAATGGTGTCAATCGCGTCGCACGCTTCGTCCTATCACGCAGATCACGACGAAGATGAACATTACTACACTGCTGCTGAGGTATTATGAGACTGGTTGTAAGACAAGGTAATACAGCTGAACATCGTACTTAGTCATCTGCCACGGATGGTGAAGCTGAAGACTTGTCTAAAGAGCTCTCCAAACTATCGTGAGCCTCGCGTCTGCTTCGTTATGTGCAGCCATGTTGACGCAGGTGCCTAGGTTAGACTCTGAAGAAAACTTGCTCAATTTCCAGAAAGGGAAGCTCCAGGATAAGGACCAGGAATGGCACAAACTGGTCCCAGATGAAGCCAGAGAAGCATTGGGAAAGGAAGAAGTCCAAAGGCAATCCGTGATTTTCGAGGTGATCAAGAGCGAAGCTGACTATGTCGCCGATCTGGTGGCCGTACAAGCAGTCCGTGTTGATTCGTCCAAGACGTCGTACCCCGACTCATCCAGAGTTTCCGTAGATATTCATCCATGGATTAAGAGCGGCCGATCCGCCCATAATAGAGGGCGGGTCACTGGAATCTTTTATTTCAGAGGTGTTCTATAATGGCAACAACATCATCGATCACCACCAACGTATGCTAGCAGCTCTCTTCGCTCGTCAAAGAGACCAACACCCCCTCATTCAAAGCATAGCAGACGTGATTCTCGAAGGTGATCCCTCTGTTATCCCTGTCCTTATACCTTGTTCATCACCTATTTTTCAGCAATTTTGAACCCCGGCTTTCGGGACTCATATATCACATATATCAAACACTACCCTATCGCTGAATCCCGGCATCGTCGAGAGCTCAAAAAGAACAAGTCATACGCGACTTTTATTCACGCCGTCACCTCCGCCACGTCTTCATCCATCTCCAGTCTCCAGAAACTTTCACCCACTCACCTATCTCGCATCCGTAAGCGCGATCTCGTCACCTTCTTATCCCGCCCAGTCACTCGCCTGCCCCGATTAAACCTTCTCCTCGGCCAGATATTGAAGTTGACGGAGAAGGGCGATTATGAAGATCACCCAGACCTGCAAACACTCCCAATCATCCTCGGGATCATAGGTGATTGCGTGAAGGAGACTCAGCCGGGAATAGAGGCTGCGGAGGCGAAGGTCAAGTTTTGGGCCTTGTGTGAGAACATGGTCTTGCGACCCGGTGAAATATTAGTAAGTTATTCCCGTTTGCTGCACAGCGCTCTGGCCTTATTGGTTTAGAACATGGATTTGTATGATGATAACCGGACTCTCGTTTACGAGAGCATGGTAGCTCGCCGAGGCCGCTCTGACGCGGGCTTTTCGACCTGGTTAGACCAAAACCTAGCTCTGCTAGATAACTATCGTGCGTGTCATTACTCTCCGAATGCCAAGCCTTCGTTACAGTGCCCTCAGTCTTGATCAACCAAGAAGAAAAACGTGGCGGAGTCATCAAACGGGTTGCCGTTTCCAGAGTCAGTCTTCCGTCAGCCAACTTTTTCGACCCGACTGTTGACTCAGCCGTCCAAGCCTATACATCTTTCATACCTGCGTCTCGCGTCTTTCTCGGGTCCACCAGAGACCCGCAGAGAAAAAGCTGAAGATACGGGTGGTATCCTCGATAGCCTCAGACGCGTTGACGTCGCATTATACCCGTTTACTGTATACCATGCTTCTAGTCGATCTACTCGCCGATATACCTTCTATGTCACAAGCGAAGCTCTGCGGCAGAAGTGGCACAATGCTTTGCTTGATACCCTGGCTGTAAATCGAGTGCGGGACGAGGCCTCCATGGTACGTGTCCCTTGCCAGATCGCCGTGTGCAGAGCAAGCAAGGTATCTGATCATCGTTTACTAGTGGTTCCTCCAAAAGACAATGAACGATCGTTTCTTCCGAAGTTTCATAACAAGTACCCCTGCATCATCCGAAATATCAGGAAGAATAATATGTGCTGTACCATTTGGCGAGTATATGATGCTCCTTTCGTATTCTGCGACTGACCACACTGCATTCCAGTCAGCGGCAGGAGAAAATTCATTGCCGTGGGATGCATCACAGGAATTTATCTGTCTCCGAAGGGAGACGAAGGTCAATATGAAGGTTTCTACTTCATTACTATCACAACCACATGTGTACCGACCATTATTTCAGCGTTCCGCAAAGTACTCAGCTGCAACAACCCGATTTCCATGGCGGCAATACAATCGATGGACGGGAAGGATTTCAATAAATTCCTGGTTCATTATGACACATCCTTGGTGTCGTATTCGCTGGATCTACTGGCCCGCTTTGCTCTGGGGGAAGCATCTAAACAAGCGCTAGATGCTTCCTTGGAGCGTATAGCCGGCGGTGATTCTGGTGCTGGCACGGGGAATGTACTGTTCTTTAAACATGCACAGGTTGAGCGCCGGATGCTAGGTGCGGCTCTCATAAGCTGTTGTAGCTCCATCGTGCGTATATCACTAATTTCTTTCAGTGATATACGCTTCCAGAAAGACTTTGAGCCTCTCCGTTGGCCTCAACGTACTTGAAGCAATGGACGTTGGCTCAACTGCCATTGTACCTAAGCGCAGTGGCTCCTCGATGTCCTTTCGGCCGTTGGGCGAGGTTTGCACCCTTCCCCTCCAAACATTACTACTGAAGCTGATAGTTCTAACCGTTGGATCCGTAGCCTGGCTCTATACCCAAGGATGCTCACGATGTAACGGTGCTCGTCAAGACAATCGGCGTTTGTACTACTGACTCCATAGTGATCGTGAATCCTACGAAGTTGGTGTACTCCCCATGGTACAATATTGAATTTCTCACTTCATTCTACCGCCAGCGTCGCCAAGTCATATGCCAGCCTTGTTCCAGACTTCTCATCTTCATCACAGAATCCCCCTATGGCTGATCTGAAGGAACATACTTTGGACGCGAAACCACTGGGATTGGTAAGAAGCAACGATCGGGAGTTGCTGGTGATTTATGATAGTAAGTACTTCCACTAGCCTACCCATCTTCGGCCAACGCGTTCATTGTAGCTTTGGGATGCTACATCTCGAAACACGGAGTCCCTCAAAGGAAGTCCGGGTACATCAAGTGGGAAACGCAGGCTGCGTCATATGCCCACCGCGGACCCCATATCCTGCTCTTCTCAGCGTCGTTTATCGAAGTCCGCGAAATCGAGTCGGCGCGCCTTGTGCAAGTCATCGAAGGGAATGATATCCGCTTACTTTATAGCGGCCCCTTGCAGGGCGAATTCGAAGATGTTACCTTGGTAGCGATGAAGAACGGCAAGGATGATACAAATTCTAAGGAGAAAGTCGTTGCGTTGGAGCCGACGGTGGCGATCCAAAGTTCCGTCGCCACCCCCGCGTCCGCATCCAGCCAACCCGGTATGTGGGATGAATGGGATATGTAGATGGTTTATATAGTGAATATAGTGTATGCCGGAGGCTGGACGAGTAACTATCATTATTACTGTATCTTTTGTAGCTTTTTGTGAGTTGTATACATTCGTTCGAGATTGGGTGAACAGCTCCTTTTTGAATGACTCGTTCGTCGGAAAAGGAAAATGGGATCGATACGCTCTTTCTCCCCCCCTACCGCTGGTACCTGATTCTCTTGGAAGAGGACTGGAGTCCGGTAGGTTGCCGGTGGTATTGCACCCGCGTCTGGGGAGGTAAAGTTGAAGGTCGGTTGGCTCAGGAAGAAGATCACGTTGGCGAGAGTGCAACGCAGAAAGCCGCCTTACTTCGGTGATATTTTGGCGGCCTAGCTAGGCACGGTACCAGTGGTACCTCTGCTCATCCAGCGCATTGCGAACGGCGCGATCCACGAGCGACGGTCCCACGCAAGCCACACATGGTCGACCCACCACGACGGTTCAGCCATTACTGGCATGGGTACATGGGCACCATTCGAGCATCAAACAAGCAACCTCCTGCAATACTACCACCGGCGATCAGTGCAAACACACGCCTAATCTCGCCTTTTCGGTCTCACGTCTGCGTATTTCGTGCTTCTAGCGCGAAGGGAAATCCGTTTAATCGGACATCTCAGGCTTCAACTTTATTGTCCGACACTCTCGTCAGGAAACCAGGCAGGTTTGACTACGGGATCTTCCATGATTGTCTACCACTGCCGATGTATGTATTTCCATCGCGAAGTTGCGGAGAGGGTTCATACTTCATTAAGAGTATGTTCCTTTCCCCGGTAAGTTTTTGCATCGCCTATAGCTACGACGTTCGCCACTCAAGGAGACTTTACCTTTGGAGAGTAGGCGACGACAATTTTTTGTCTCACAAGACCTCCGCGGTGAATTGTCCCAAGGGTATTTCTCCGAATTTTGTCGTCAGTGGCATGCGAAGTTTCGCCGACCACTCCTACCCTTCAATCGTTCACCTGCAGCTGCCTACACTCTCGCCAATGTTTTACTCACCGGCGTCCTCACTTGACGATATGTTTCTCATGAAAAACGTCACCATCTTCGCATCAGACCTCCATCCTAGTGATGCGCAATCACAACGACTGCACTCTAAAAACTTCCCAATCTCAGTTTCGGTTCCGGCCTTTCCCCGCATCTACCAACTTCAAATCCCAGAAGGTATGGATGCCGATCGACCGCCCTACGGAAACCGTGTAGTGTAGGCCTATTTGGGTGTTTAACTCCCCATGAACGGATCGATATTGATCAATTTCCCTCGTGAGTCTCCTCGTCCACCAGGCCCCAGGGACCGTATGCCATTGCTTATTCCTCGTTACCCCGCATTTCTACCCTTGTGCTTCCTTTTGGATCCTTCTTCTTACGGTCAAGTCACTAGGATGCGGAGGCAATAAATCACACTTACGCTCAGATCTCGTACTCGCGTGCGGTATATGAAGCCAGCATTACACGGAGTGGGAGATTTCTTGATTTCCCCACCTCACTCAATCTTTCCTCCGCTTTCCGTATCGTGGGGCTACGGTGTCTCTTTCGTTCTGGACTAGCCACACTCCCTCCCCTCCCCTCTGACATTGGTTCATAAACTGGCTGGATAGTAAGATATGGCACCAAGGCAGTTGCCGGAATGGACGATTGTGGATTTCATACATAGAGGGCCATGGTGGCGGAATCACGGTGAGCAAGTTACATGCAGTAGCTCGTGTCCCCTCTTAAGACGTGCGTAATACAGGCATTCTCATGCTTAATCTCTGTCTATGCATCCCTCTGATGACATCAGCTGTCAACGGTTTGGATTCCTCAATGGTCAACGGTACGCTATTTATCCATTTGGCTGGAGGAGCACAACTTACGATTCCACTCAAGGTCTCCAAATCATCCCCGACTGGCAGGAATATTTCAAGCATCCGACAGGGATCGCCTTGGGTACTTCCTCATGCAATATTCCCTCAGAATCAGAGCTGATCGACATAATCATCCAGGATTAATTAATTCAGCGCAGAGCATCGGTGGTTTACTGGTAGGATTACTCTGCCCTAGATTTCACCCCTTGGCTTATCGACACGGCTATCAAGGGCTTGCCACTAACACCACTGGCTTCGGATAATCTGGGTCGGCGGGCAGCTCTCTTCATCGGCTCAGTGATCATGCTTGCTGGCGTCGCCCTTCAATGCGCTTCTACCAACGTCCAAATGTTCATCGGTTCACGCGTAATGAGTCAGTGTCTCCTGTCATACCCCTCATTCGCCCCCTTATGATTAGTACAGTCGGAGTAGGGTTAACGTTCTCACTTAACGCCGCGCCGCTGCTCCTCATCGAACTGGCATATCCAACACAGGTACGCCACTATTTCCCCCGTTAGGTATATGCGGTTGTTTATCGGCTGTTATTTTAGCGAGGAAAGATCACCTCGATATACAATTCGAGTTGGTATCTTGGAAGTATCGTTTCCGCTTGGTCGTGTTTCGCTTCCTATGATCAAGCGAGCGGGAGTATGTGGTCATGGCGTGTACCGACCCTTATTCAGGCTGCTGCGCCATTGCTCCAGGTCATTCTCATTTGGTAGGTTCAGTTATTGCGCTAACTCGTGTCGCCACTAAAAGAAGGGTATAGGCTCCTCCCAGAGAGTCCTCGATTCCTTGTATCTAAAGGCTTAGTATGTGCTCCGTCCTCGTGTCGCCATGACTATCTACTAAGCAGGTGATCTTACAGGAGGGACAAGCTGCCCGTACATTGGCGAAGTATCATGCCAACGGTGGCGACGAACGCGACCCGCTTGTTGTGTTTGAGATCGCTCAGATAAGGCATGCCTTGCGGATGGAAGAAGAAATCAACAAGAGCACCAGCTGGTATAGCTTGGTTTCAACTCCTGGGAATCGAAAGCGCCTACGCATCATCGTCGCGATCGCTCTATTTTCTCAATGGAGGTGGGTGTCTCTCCAGGGTTCAATGGCGCATACCTAGTTGCCTGATACTATCACGTCTTAGTGGTAACGGTCTGGTGTCGTATTACATCAACCTAGTCCTTGAAGGTGTCGGCATTTCCAGTACACGCACCAAAGCGGCAATCAACGGAGGCTTGCAAGTATTCAACTTCTTCATCGCTATCACGGCAGCCATGCTCGTTGACTGGGTCGGCCGTCGCACACTCTTTATTGCATCGAATGCTGGGATGCTTATAAGTGAGGTAGCTTCCACTATTGGTCGAGTTCCTAGACTTACGGGACGGTTTCCAGCTTTCTCGATGTGGACATTGACCACGGCGCTTTTCAGCGAATTAAACAACACTGCTGCTGCAAAAGGTAAGGCGTCTACATTATTTCCTGCAAATGCCATGTTACTGACAACTCGGTTCCAAAAAGCAACAATTCCTCTCATTTTTATTTTCTATCTTTTCTACGACATTGCCTACACGCCTATGCTCGTTGCGTATACCCTGGAAATTCTGCCGTATAAAATTCGTGCAAGAGGGTTCGCTGTCATGGTATGTTCTCTGTTGTTTCTCTGTGTTGTTCATAAGGTCCTGACGGGCGCGTCAGAACTTGACGGTCTATTTGACATCCGCTTTCAATCAATTCGTCAATCCAGTAGCAATTCGAGCGCTCGGATGGTGGTATTACTTAGTATACGTTGGATGGCTCTTGTTCGAGCTTATCTTCGTTGTTATGTGCGTCGTTGAAACGAAAGGTACTTCCCTGTGTTCTTTCTTCGCTCGGCAGTAGCTAATGGGCCATCAGGGCGTACGCTGGAGGAAACTGCAGCACTCTTCGATGGGGACCAGCAGCAGCAGGATTTGGTTCTCATGGGCGGCGAAGCCGCAACGATGACAATGGGCCAGCGGAATTTCCTTCAACAACACTCAAAACATGAAGAAGCTCAAGGAGAGCAACATGAGCTCAGACCACGAAGTTCCTCGTCACATTCAAGCATGGCTGTTGCTATATGATTTAACGTTCTACCAAAAACTCTTACTTACCCCTTAGCCTTGAAAATTGACAATGGTTTGTATTTTTATGTTAGGATTTTTTATTCATTACTAGTTGCTAGCTGCTAGCTGTTGTATGTAGGGTTAAATGTAAAAGCCCAATTTGGATGTACTTTACGCTACAGGAATTAGACACAAGGCAAGCAAACCGTTGAATGCTCTGGAATCTTACACCACCTGATCATCGGCTTCCCGTACCCATACTTGCACGGCTTCGGGGAAACAGGTAAAAATACCCCAACCATCCTTGTCCACTTCTACCCTTCCACCCTGTGTCATGTAGCTTCTGTATGCCGATCCAGCATTTTCCTGTTGAAGGCCCGTAAGAAATGGTATTTCGCCTACAAATTGCCGTCAACTACTCACCGGACCGACGTTCATGCGTAGGCTGTGGACGAAGTTGTCTGAACTGCGGACGCTCCACGCCTGATCAGATATCATTCCGCTGCCGAGAGTAAATCCCTTACTCAGTCCTGTTGCTCACAAGCACAACGCAGCCTTGATGCCGGGCATCTCCCGTCCGCACAAACCCAATGCAGTTCGGCTCCAAGAAGTAGTCTTTACAGAGGCCGTACGCCCAGAGCTTCCGCGCTTCCGCGAGTAACTTCAGATTCCGGGCCGTCGCTTCGTGGTAGCATTCTGTGTTTGGGTAGAGGTCGCCATAGAAGACGCATCTAGCACCATTATTGCCTGTTAGATTCATAGTCACGCGGCGAGGGATCACCTACGGATGCCCGCCAGGTCGGAGAAGAATTAGGGCGTAGGCCTGTATCTTGAAGTGTATGTCCACCTATAGGAAACAGGATCAATTAACCAGGGCTATCGACTCGATTTGCTGACCTACCCAACTCTCAAGCGTTTGACCCTCCACCTGATGAGTCGTGATGATGAGTCTTTCGTCTCACACCGTGCCAGGCCTTACCGTGCTAAGAAACGAGATGACTGTAGGCACAAGAGATGGGAGGAAATCAGCCTACTCATGGTTATCCACGAATGTCACAGCGTCGTTGGGCTTGATCTTGACAATTGTGTCGTTAAAGATAGTCCTCAGATCGTATCGAGCCCGCTTTCTGCTGGCCTGATAGAAGTTCATATGCAAAGGGACATCAAAGAATGCAGTCTATGAATGAATCATCAACACACGCTCAGGAGACGGGAGGGAATGATAATATACTTCGCCTTCAAATGCACGTATCCAGGGTAGAATCCTCTTCAAGCTACGCTGATGTAAGCTATTGGTTATGTATGGTGGCAAAACCCCGTAGGTGACCTACTCTCCGGACCAATACTCGGCAACGGAGAACATCCGGGGCATATCAGTGCGACTTCGAGCAGTTTTGAGCTAAATGGATGAATGCCGTCCATGTAGATATATGCACATCATCAAACGGAAACGCCGTACAAATTCCAAGAGAAACCGCTGGTCCGTATGTTTTATGGCGTCCAAACGGAAACCGCTGGCACCTGTAGTCTAAAGATATTAGTACGAGCGGGCAAACGAAGTAAGGAGCCAATCATACTTCCAATACCCAAGGTCCCCAGTTGAGCATGTCTTCTCGTACATCAGGATGCCTAAAATCAATCTTGAGGAAAGCGAAAAGGTAGAATTAGTGCTGCACTTATAGTGTAGACTTGAATGGACAGACGTCGATCCCGAGTAGATAGTCGTAGTTCCCCAGCTCAGAGTCAACGTGTTTTGACCAACCCTTATGACCAGGTCCAGTGATCCGGTATATACCATGGGTACGCGTTTTGTGATCCCAGTCGAGGCCTTGAAAAATAAAGTTAAGGAGAAATTATTAAGTACTGAAATTACCTGTGAAATGATCTTGATTCCAACGAAAATCGCTATACTAGGACAAGGATGGCAGTGAGATTCGACATTGGAGAGACTCAATCAGTATCGTTACCTTTCCGGCTCTGGCAGTGTAATTGAATTTCGTCCAGCCCTAAAAATTGCGCTGTCAAACCTGATCCGTGAGACACCCGACAGAAGACCGACTGACTGACTTGGATTTCCCTTGCGTGTCCTTCTTCTTTCAGACGATTGTTCGGATTACATGGAACAGCTAGGAAAGTCTCGACTTCGTCTGCACCGAGCTTGTGCTACAAGGAGATGTCGGCGGTTTCTCACGTCAGTGAACAACGCTCATCACTTACGTTGAGGACGGCGTCAATGAGAATATCGACACCATGCTGCTTAGCAAAGCTGCAGGCAAGCAGGAGTTCCTCCCGTGTTCCCCATCGAGTGCCCACTGTACCCTTTTGATGAAATTCACCCAAGTCCCACTGGCAAACATACAAAATTGAGAGCGCAGGTTTGTAGGAGAACGAAGAAACTGACCAAGTCATACGCGTCGTATCCGCGCCCTTCCTGTGACAAATGGTTAGGCTCAATGTGCAATAGGTGTCCGAAGATATACAACCTTCTGACTAGCCTTGTTTGGGGGAGGCAACCATACTTGAGTGACACCCATCTTCGCAAGCATTGGTATCTCAGCTTCGAAGTGCTTCCACCAGCTCATTTCAGAATGCTTCGTATCCCAAGTAAAGAATTGCATCTATAAGAGCAAACAAGCTTTAATTTAATCTTCGCGTTATAGATTGTTGACAGAGAAAAGCGTGCCATGAGTGCATTATCTAGGTTATCGTCGGGTCCTAGCCGCATCCTCGGGAACGCTGAGGGGTATGATTTGAATTTGAATGGCGATAGGAAGAGATTCTTAAGCTCTGCGAAGAAGTTCATCGTTGCCTGGGGGAGCCCCTTTCGTTCTCTGTTGCGGGACTTTGTTCGTGCGTGAAGTATGGTTTCCACTGATACTGTGGACGGTATAGCCGTTAGTGCACAATTCGCGGACCTGGAACTCGACTCAATATCGGGACCCCGAACCAACTCCGAAGTACTCCGCATTGGATAAGAGGTCAAATTTTCGCACCGAACAGCTTCAACATCCTCCACCACCGCACTCTCCAGGCCTTTCGTTGGCGTTCTGCTTAACATTTGGGACATGGGCTCGAGTGCAACTTCTTGTAACGTTGGTGACTAGGATTGACAGCCTCTTTAATCGCTCTGAACACGGTTTCCTACGATGTGAAGAGTTTCATGATGTGGCGACAGTCTATAGTGCACGATATCGAATGTATCTACCCAATACGTTCCCCAATGTATTTGACATCAGCCAGCATTTGGATTGCCTGATCGGAGAACGTGACGGAAACGAGCAAACGTCTGAACCTTCGATATCCAATTTTCATATATCATACGCAAGCGTTAGTCAATTATTGGAAGCATATGGATATATCAGAAGAGCGGTGCCAAATCACAGTAGTGCGAAGCGGACAAGGTATCCTAGAATTGCGTCACCGTCTCCTAGTGATCGATGCAACTAGTCGAGATTGAAGGAAACTACTGCCAATACCACTGACCGACCGACTGGGAATCGCCTGCGTGTCTTTGATAGGCGATAGTTCAGTAGGTATGCCCAGACCACCACCCAAACCCTGAAAGATATCATCAATACATGATTGGACGCCTCAGATAAGACTCACATTTCCTATGAAATCGAACGATGAGCCTGTTTGCGCAGCGGGAAATAGGTTGATCTTCCTTTTCTTCTTCGGCTGAGCCTCTTGAGGCGGTAGATCATCTGGTACTGGAGATGGTGTCCGCTTCTTGTTTTTACCGGGCTTCGCAGCGGTACTAGGGGCTACGCTCCCCGCCCTCCCGCCCCGTTTCTGCTTCGTATCCTTGGCTTCGACCTCCTCGACATCGTTCTCGATGCTCGACTCCGGTGATACCTTCCTCTTTCGCGTCCGTGTCTGTGTGGCAGGTTTAGAAGCGGCAGCCCTCGACTTGCCTTTGGCGGGTTTGGCCTGAGGCGCGTCAACAACTTCGACTTCGCTATCCTGTTCAGCCACTTTCTGTTTCCCCTTCGACCTCTTTGCAGCTTGCGGAGGATCCTCCTCACCCTCGATGTCGCTTACATCATTCACATCGGCTTTGGCTTTAGCCTTAGCCTTGCCCCGTCCTGGCTTCTTCACGGTGTCATTTGCCGGGGGCACGTCGTTTGTCTTCGCCTTCCCTTTGCGTTTCGTAGCTGCAACGGGCGAAGGAGTAGCGGGTAGCTCCATGATCTCTTCTACTTCATCAGCAGAAGCGCCTGACGAAGGTTCATCCTCTTCATGTTGACTATTGGACGGACCAGCTTCCACAACGTCTACAGCAGGGGAAGCGGCGCGTCGACCTCCCTTAGTAGTCGATGGGGGTTTCTGCTTGGGTTTCGAATTGGGCGGTCTCTTGACTCTTGAAGTGGGCTTTTGGCGCGGACTAACCTCGATCTCTTCATCATCACTGTCTTGAACCGCCTCTTTCGCCGTATGCTAGGCCGCATCAGTATCCCAGTAGATGTAGTAGGTATGGTTCACTCACTCTTCTGGCTCGTGCTGGCCGCGATATAGCCCGCTCAGTTTCCAGATCTGTCTGGAGTTGTGTTATTTCGTTCTGAAGCTGAGCTATCTGACCCTCAAAAGTCATCAAGTCGCCTTCGTATCCTTCAGCTGCAGCCTGATGGCCAGCGGGCGAGTTTAGCGGTCATACAAAAGCTTGGGGGGTCAGACTGACCTTCCATTCAAGGGCGGCTTCCTTCGCTTTCTCTGTCCGCCTCTTCTCCTTCTCCAAAAGACCCGAGAGCTCTGCCTCCTTCTTTTCCATCTGATCTAACCGCCCTTGTAGTTGCATTAGGCGTGTCTCTGATTCCACTCTCTTTTTCCGCTCAATTTCAATCTCCTCGACCCCCTTCACGTCTAGGGTTTGCCACTTGCCTAGCTGATGCTGGAGATCGGCTACATTCCGGACCAATTCATCGTTCTTCTGCTGCAAAGCGGCGATAGTCGACTTGGATCCTTCGAGTTGTAAGGTAGCGCGTTCCAGTCGAGTTGATGATGAATCGGATGAAACCTTGAGCCGCGCGTGCTCCTCCCGCAACTTTCCCAGCTCTTCCTGAGATAATGAGGCCTGTATTCAGAATGACAAGAATATCGGGACTCACTTGTAGCCGATCCCTTTCCTCTTCGATCTCAGCGTACCCCGCAGCGTCTGCCTGTGCTTGAGCAACATATTCCGCATACTCAGCCTTGATCTTCTTTAACGCTGCCGCACGTGAACTCTCCTTCTCGGCCATGTCATTCTCCTTCGAAGCAGTCAAACTCTGCAGCTCCATGGTGAGATCTTCCACCTGCCTCTCCAGCTCGTTCTCCCTCGCCTGAAACATCGTTATCTTGAAATCCCTCTGAAGCCGAGCAACTTTCTCCAACCTCGTTCGATTCCGTTCCTTCAAAACACTGTCCTGCTCCTTCTCTAGATCCATCGTAAGTCGGAGGTATTCAAGCTTGTGACATGCTTGTAGGGTATCGCAACCTTCCTGCCACTGGAGCCGTTCTACGTGCCACTGTTCCTGAATCTTCTGGACGACCTGTTGACCCCGCTTTTGTTCGGCGGCAAGCTCTTCGTGTAGTTTCTTCACGCCATGCTGGAGTGTTCGGTTTTGCTGGACCAGTTGGTCAATATGTGCCTGTTGCGAAGCCGCCATCGTGTCAACAAATCCCGCAGTGGATGATGGGCGTGGAGGCGGTCTTGCTAGAGGCGTCTTCTTTGACATTGGAGTTTACGTGATGAGATTCGCTGAGGAAAGTCAGAGAGGTCGTTATCGCTCACTGACATCTATATCGAGCACTTACAAACAAAAACAAAAAATAGGCATAGGTGGTTAAGGCGAATTCGACATTATTCCGGCAAGCCTCGAGGTGAAGAATGAATTCCCTGCTACACGGTAACGTGACCGAGAGGATAGGAGCACCCTAATGGAACGCAAAAAGCCCGGAAGTACGAGAGAACTGATATACAGTAATTCAGATGTCAAATTTTTGCGCTCTTGGGTTGAAACCAGACAAATAGCTGCTGGCTTCAGCCTTGTTGCCTTTGTAGTATTGAGATCCCTCCTGCTCTTTAAGCCCATAGGCGCCGGAGAAAGACTTGGCAGTGCTCCTCATCGTTGCCATAATGTCGGAATCACCAATGTGAGTCAGACCATCGGTATTTTGCTCTCCGAAGTGACTTTGAGAAAGGACGCAGACCAGCAAACTCTTCGACTTCAGCATTGAGATCCTCGAGAACATTTTCCAGCACCTGGACTCTCTGCACCTGCTACGAGTTGGCTTGCTTTCTCGCCAGGCCCATACGTTCCTCCTACCGTACTACTTCCGGCGATGCAACCTGAATTACTCGGATGATTTAACGACCGTGGATTATCTGAGCTTTAATAGAGACAAAATGGCTCTGACTGAAGATGCATTCCGAGCTATCAGAACATCGCCTGTGGTCACCAAAGTCAAGCATCCGCATTGCGTCTTCAGCTTTCCGGAGCATCAGTTTCTTTGGGAGATACGCAACGTATACACCGTTCTTCTGAAGCTCCGGCACGTGGAGAAGATCGAACTCAATTTTGCTGCTATACCAAACCGTCTTATCAGTCATCACGTCGGCCGACTGAAAACACTACAGGAGTGGCGCTGCGCTTTTAGGACATTCATGCAGACAGTTCTCGACAAGTCGCCTTCGTCGCTCTCAGTGCTCTATCCCCCGGACGGCCTTTTGGACGGCCCCTACGGAGTCGACACCAAAGACCAACTTCGAATCGGGGTTTGGAGAAATTTAGTCTCCTGGACAGGCTTACGACATGGGCAGCGCCCCGTTACGATCAGCGAGCGCTCTTTGTTGGATCGCGTACTTCCTGCGGCAATCCGGCCTCATGCACCTCTCTCGACGTCGTCGATATCGCTCGAATCCATAACGAGTCTTCAGTTGGGCGCCAATATCAGACAAGAAGGATGGGGGATATTGACGAATCGCTTTACACTCCCTTCCCTTACTTCCCTCGATCTAGACATGAGATCCCAAATGGGCTTTATAGCGACCCTACGATTCCTGGAGCGACACCCTACAATATCGACATTTTGCCTCACGAACGCAAACGCGGAAGAAACATATGCTTACCGACCCTATATCATTCCCGACACCTTTCTTCCGCATTTGAGGACCTTGAAAGCATCTTTAGACGTTGCCCTGGTTTTCTTTGGACCCCATAGCACTGCCAAGTTTCCGACCAACTGGAAACCGTAGAGGTTTCTGAAGAGCTCAACCTTCCTCCATCACCAGACTGGGAAAGCATGGCTCGTCGACTGAATCGTGTGGCCCACCGACTCGACGGCAAATCTATCACTCTGGATTTAAGCGAACTCCAGCGTAATCTCTTCCCGAAGCTGCCTTGTACCATCCTCTCCGCCATGCAGATCAAAGAACTCCGACTTTGCACCCTGGGCGTGGCTGCCAAGAGCTACGACCTGGTTCCATGGATCTCTAGCTTCAATCATTTGGAACGTCTGTCTATTCGCTCTCGTGATAGGCTCGAGTACACTCTATGGTCCACTAACGCAAAATTTGCGCATGCGGTGTATACGCAGCATCCAAAACGTCTGCATAGCGTGTCAGTTGAAGGGTAAGGTTCAGGACACGCTGTCCGGTGTCGCCTTTGCTGATGTACCTGCGTAGGGAGATAATACCAGACCCAAGTCCAGACGAACACGAACACTCAGTTATGCCGGCAACGGTACATCCACAATCGTACCAGCATGCGGGTTCTCGCACGTTATCCTTGCGTAACGGCTAATAGTACACTCCCGAGGCAGAAGATTACCCAGCCACGAATGACCTTTCATTTCTCGTAACCACCGGATAGCGCGCTCCGATCGATCCCTACTGCGTTGCATCACAATATAGCGTCTTATGTATATCCAACTACTCGCCGACCACGATCCACAGGTCACCTTACTCCCAAGTTCGCATCTTTTTTTGTTCCGCTTTGTGCACCGTAATGCCACCACCAATCAGTGGTCTCGCGAGCACCATGGTGGTTACGGCGAGCGATGTCAATGCAAAACTCGAGTGACTAGACCAGTCTGCCATCAGACCATCCCATGGGATTGATATGAAGCCCGCCCGAAAAGCCCGCCAAGCTTCAGGGACTTGCTCTTCACAGAAAGCTCAATTCCTTCTCAAAGGGCACGAGGACAAGTGGCGCAGCCCCGCCACAACGGCACCGAGTCGTCTCGGCCAATATTCCAAATCCCAATCCTCAGTGGTTACCATGCCTTCCTGGCTGGTTTACCAGGAACATGGGGTTCCAGCGTCTGCTTCTATCAGCGCATCACCGACGTTGCCGATGATTATCGATACCATCTTTCAGCGCAACGTTGGCTGCGGTGGTACTCGGAGGATGTAAATCCCCTCTGGGTTTACTCAACTTTGCGGCTGACAAGCTAATTTGGCGTATGCCAGGAGCGCCGCTCGAGGACTGACATACTCTAACTTCTGCTGATGTATTGATGGTTCATTGACTTTAGTGTCTGACTGTCCTTGATTGCCATCAATGAGTGCGTGGCAGAGGGCGCCTCGCCGAATCCGAGTCAATGGTCCTTGATATCCCTTCCCAATTCCCATATCAACTACCAACACACTGTCAGCCTGGAACCAATCTAATGTGATGGATGCAATTCAATCTACTCGTTCCCTCGTATGTGCCGTTCAGACGGCAACATAGTTCAGGAGAGCTAACACTCCTAACAGTCACATCTAGCGGCTATAACTTACGAATATCCCACGTCCCCCACCCACGAGAAGACCGATGCAGGCCTCATGTTTAATTTCCATCGATATCTTACTGTTCGTCAATGGTCAACCCGCTCATCAGAATCAAGGAAAATACTTGGCGCAACTTCTTCGGCGTCGACGTCGACATCACCTTAGGTCGTGTTCTCTGGGGTGAACCACATCATGTTCTACATGGCTATGTGAACACCTGTTGGATCAAAACACTTTTTTGTGAGATGTCCCGATTCGACATTCGACGCCCAATCAGCTCGGCGCCACTTGAGCACTTTGATGCGCGCACCACCGTGGCGCCAGTAACGTTCCTCCTCATACTTATCCTCGCATGACCAATCCGATATCGATAGATGCGTACGTATGATCTCAAGTATGACAGCTTCGCAGTCTTCGTGTTCTCAAGAGGCTTTATTCAACGCTACAATTATCATCCTGGCTTCTTCGGTCAAGGTTTGCTCAGTCCCATCGGTACGATTTACTAATGTCATGCCATCATGGTCTTTCGCCAAAACTAACTTCGAGAAATGAAGATGTTTCACTTGGCGTGATAATGTGAACGCTTTCGCAAGAGAACACGGAGAACGACATCATGGTTCCGAAGGAATGGATTGCTGGATAGATCCGCCTCCCAAGGAGAATTCATTCAGGCGACATTTGGCTACCTCGAATACGGACGACATCAACGCGGTTGTCAAGTACGCCCATGCGAGCCTCCCATTGGACAGGCCGAACAGTTGCAACATACTCGCCTAAAAATAGAGCCGCTTGAGTCGCCTATGGGAAAGTAGAAGGCAGTGAGCAAGGTCGTCTCTCCCTTGTTCTGGTTCAGCACCATTGCTTCCCATCAGGAAGTGCGAGCATGGGAGGGGGCGCTGGATGCCATCCCTAGCACCGGTTTCCATACGCTGATATTCGCTGACTGGCCTCCCAAGTGTATAAAAGCTACATGGCTCGCAGCTTCAATTCCTCACTTCGTTCTTCACTTCCCATTCTTTCTTAGCTTTCGCTTCCTGGCCAGGTTGCCTTCAATCCTTTCTTTCTAAACTTTCAGAGCCCAGGGTTCTTTCCATTTACACTTTCAAGCAGGTCAGCCTCAACGTACCAACTACTGGCAAGAGCGATATGACTAACATTGGCTTTTAGATACTTCCCAATCCTTTTGATTTTATTTACATCATCATGTTCGCCAAATTCGCCGCCGTCTTTGTCACTGCTTTGGCCGCCACTGGTGCTTGGTCATCTCCCATCGCTGCTCGGGACACCAGCGATGACCTGGGTATGTATTCACAGCCCATTGGAGCGAAGGATGTGCCTCTAACGCATCTAATTTAATTTAGTCGCCCGTACCTCCCACTCCTTCAACAACTGGCGTGGAATCTCCTCCTTGAACAACTTCGATAACTTCTACGGCTCGGACAACTTTGACAACTTCGCCGCGTTCAAGCAAGTTGTCATTCAAGAGCAACAAGTTGTCTGCCGCACTCAGCAGATCGAGATCATCCAACAGCGCCTCGTCATCCTCCAAGAGATGGCCAAGAGGTAAGCAAAGCTCTCCAACGATACTGCGCCATGCGTACTCACTACTTATCTTACTTCCAGGATCATCACCGAGCAGATCTGCGAGGTTGAGACGCAGACCATCGTCTTCCAGCAGTTCCACGCCAGCTTGGGACACTTCAGTGGCGACCTCCGCCGCAACTCTGGCCACCAAGTTGGCTACGACTCCAACATTGTCAGCCACTTCGGCAACATCGTTGGCTCTGATGGTTCCATCAGCACCGACGACTTCGGCTTCTCCGGCAAGGACGTTGGCAGCAGAACCATCGTCCCGAGCGGCTCCAACTGGAACGACTCGTCGTCCCGATCCTCTGTTGAAGCTGCTTTCTCTGCTGCGTCTGATGCCAGCAGCTCCGATTAAAGTGCACAGACTTGTTCTTACGCGGTTGATGTAGATATGTTGCTTTTTTCACGAGGACTCTATGGGTATCTTACACGGACTTGAGAGTACATTTGGTGTAGACGCTAATAGTTCCTTAATCGAATTACCCTGGTGCGCGACGAAAGTTTCGCCATAAAACACTTGCGTCTCCATTTAAGTCAGGTCTTGGCACCATGTCATCCGAGTCGGGGAATAGTTTGCTTCAAGTCATTCATGCTGGTATGCAAGCCATCGTAGGTTACTTAGGGACTATCACCCTCGGCCATTTCGGAATGCAGTAGACCCATACTACATTAATATCTCACACTCGTAGTCACGAGAAGCATGTAGGAACAGAACCTTGGGTAAAGGGTTCAACCAAGAAGTAACCAGGGGATGCCCACCAACGGTGCAGGAAGGCTTGGACTAAAGCTCCCTCTCATCGTGCACATGACAATGCCATTGCAAATCGACGATATCGTCAGCCTTGGCAGATAGAAAATACACATCTCCGATGATACATAGTACACGATGATAATTGTTGAAATGCATACTGAGGAAATTTAAGCCTGGGAGATCAGCGACGTTAGCAACTGCAAGACAAGTTCAGACAGCGTGCGCCCACTGACCATGTAGTTGTATGATTTACGATCATCACAGCGCTCCAGGTATTCTTTCTGTACGTGGGACGTGAGTTACGATCACGGCGTAGTAACCACTGATGACGGCGAACCTCTATCAACCCTTCGATGCGCTTTTTGATATCCAGCGGATTGGGTACAAATCGGCCCGCTAACTGACGAGTCACTTCATGTACCAAATCATTATGTGTCATGTGTTTCCTGTCCTTCATAATACGGACGATGCAGGCCTTAGAGATAAGAATGATGAGTGTCCGTATAGAAGATCCATGTCCATCAGAATTTCTCATGAGACTAACCTCCATTTGATACTTGCGCTCTTCTTCCAGGTGACTCTGGGTCTCCTTCCTTTCTTCCGAAGTCTCTACTTTGGAAGCGACGGTGCTGATCTTGATCTTCTGGAGAGGTGCAGAGAAGTCCTCGTTGAATGAGAATGAATCGTCCTTCGCGACATCACGCCCTGGCGGGTGCTTCTTGAGGATCTTATACTTGGCGCATGCGAGTGTTTGTAGATGCCGTTGTAGTTCGGAGTCTGATATGGCAGTGGCCTCTTGTATGTCCTACATCGTAGCATGGGAAATAAGAGACCTTCCTTAGGAAATGTGCGCGGCTAACTCACAGAATATGTGAGGAAATCACTGGCGGGTAAATCCTCGAACAAAAGAAGGATAACGAGTGCGAACGTGGAAACGTTCAATTCATGTGTCCGCGACTTGAACGCAACCTTTACGTCGGCGTTTCCTAATGTGGGCTGCCAAGTGAGGCGACGGCCAGAGTGGCGATTGAGGTAGAATTTCTCGAAAGACTTGCAACTCGAGAGCAGCCCAGATGGGAGATTGCATGGTGTGGGGGCGAGACTCATAGGCCACACACTCGATGTCATTACAGTGACCGAGATCGGTATGTCGGGAGGCTATAGACGGCGAACATAAGAATTACAATAACATGGAGGAATGAGTAGGAGATTCCCACCGTTGTGTTCTCTAGATACGTTCTATAGGAAGACATGGTGTCGTCTGATATCTTCATATCATGGAACATGCCCTCCAATTTGTGAGTAAACTGGTACCCGCATTCGACCTTGAGTTTGGCGAGCATACCCCGCTCGGCGTCGTCGGAGACCGAACGCCCGTGCAGTAAGCGTTTGGCGAGATGGCTCTTGTAATACCGTTCGAAGACGTCTTTCTCCAGAACAAATCGGAAAACAGTAATGGTTTTGTCTAAAATCGAATCGATCTCGCTATCCGTTTTCTGCACAGACGCTCAGAAACTGAGCAGAGATGTGAAGAGAACGCGTCTCACCCCTTTCAAACCTCGTTTAAGGTGATCGTCGATGAACAGTGAAATGAACTCGGAGCATCGCTCGTGTTGATTGACGAAGGTCTCGAAAGCCTAGATAGACAATGATGAGTAGGCCGCCACAAGTGAAATTGGACGAACATCATTCAGAGCGCTTTCCAGAGTCCTGTCACTTTGCAGCGACTGTCGCCATAGCTGATCAAACTGGTCCTTGAGATCAAGTACGTCTTGAACCCATTTCAGCGCCAAGGTAAGTGTTTGGGAGACGGCGGTTGGCCGGGCTTTGGCCTTTCCCTTCCCTTTAGCGGTCGCCTCCGTAGATGGTTCGTCTTGATCCACTTCCTGGGCCGTAGGCTCAGATGTAGTTCGATTAATCTCTTGACCACGACGAACAACTGAGTCCTTCAAAGCCTTTTTCATGCACGCTATACCAGAGGGTACCATTATGAAGAGTCGATACATCCGTGAGAGATCATCGTATTTGTGTGTGTCGATCATCGAGTCAAAGCCTGAGCCCGACATAGAGATAACCTCCACAAGGTTAGCGGTGAGTAGGTGGTCTTGGAGGAGTTGGCGTAGTGGTGGGTGTGTTTGAGGCGAAAGGTAGTGATGTGTTCGTTCCTCCTCTGAGATGAAGCGAGCTTCTACCTGCAATGAGCAACGCACAAATCAGTATGTGGAGTCAGTCGTAGACTAGACCTTACTCGGCGAAGGTATTCAGGCGCGTCGCAAGTCTGCAAGAGTATCATCCCTTCATTCTTGTAGAAAGCGTCGCTTTCAGAAAGGATGCGTGGCTTGAGATCACGTTCGTAGACAGACATTCCATGGTCACCTGTATCGAGACCTATGAAGACATCCACACATTCTTTCACGGCCGATCGGTTTATGACATAGCCTTCCCGTTCAAGCCGTATCTGCTTTAGCACAGCGTCAATGACATGACTGTGTATGGCGTTCGGAGGCTGAAGGATGTGTTTAAGGAAGAGTTGGCGTCCGGCTTCTTGTATCTTGGGGACGCCTTCGGCGGTTGTGTAGACACGATCCTAGAGCTTAGAGTGACCTCGTAGAATCTGGCATACCGAAGGCGCGAGCGTACCATATAGTTCAAGAGTTGAGACAGCTTTACGACATTGCTTTTGTGTTCATCCCAGACTTTCCGCAATGCCTTGAGCAGCAACTCGGCTTCGTGGCTTTGTTGTGTAGGTTCACTGCTTGCGCCTGTAGGAAAGACCGGATACAAGTCCTCCTGCGCGAGCCTGTTCAGATTCTCGACTATGAGATTTGTGGTTCCTTTATACAGCATTTCTCCCTGTTTCCACAACACCAGCTTATACGCATACCGATGGTTCTCCTCAAATGAAAGATGCCGAGCATTGTTGTTCAGGACTTCTTTCAGGTTCACCGCCAGCGTGTTCCAAGTTTGATCCACAGATACGTCAGGTCCGTGCTGGATCCGCGACTGAGCGAGATGCGCATATGCGATGAGTCAGTAAGTACCTTGGTAGCTGGTTTCTACGTGCGCGCAGTGAGCATCGGCCATATTAGAATATAGCTGGGGAACATACGATCTTGGTTCTTGACTTGATGCTGCGTCCGGCTGAATAAGACTGAGCGATAAATGAGAAGCCATCTTGCAGCAGACAACTGTACTTGCCATCGTTGTGGAATGTCAAGCTCTCCAAGGCTAAGGACAAGCATCGAGTCACGAGTCTTTGGTGGGAGCACTCTGAGCGCTAATCTCCCACGAGGCCTGAAGCACTCAGACCGCTCACATCAAAATAATAGCTCTGCAGAGGCTCGAGAGGCTTGTATAGAGTCTTGATGGCAGGACCTCTGAGGTGCGCCTATTGGTGACAATTACACTCGATATTACACTCACAGGGCTACTAGAATACGAACATTTCACGAAAAGCATCCTTGGCCTAAACCCCGTGTATTATGAGAGCTTGGCCACGATGCAGCTGAGAAGAGTAATTTAGTCGTGTGTTCACTGGCATCGCCAATGTTATGTTAACAACAGGCCGGCGTCAATCAAAACGTGGATTGAACAATGTACTTGATACCCGAACAATCGCCCAGGTCCCATCCTAAGATGAATTCAGCGAAGCGCCTACCTTTGCCTCGGAATCGGTATAAATGCTGTACTTAGTTTTGCAAATGCACCGTTTGCGCATCCATGTCAGTCCTCGGGCCAGCAGGTCTCCCCACCTTCCCAATCAGTGTCCCATTCTTAAACTCGAATCGCGGCATCAATGGCTTGCTCGTCAACGCGGCCAAGTTCCTGGGGCTAGGATCCATATTACAATCGCTGTTGCCTGGTCTAGGAGGGGCGTTCTCATCTGAGCAGATCTCAAATAGCATCAAGCTGTTTCTTCTTGGTACAAGCATCGAATCAGGGAGAAGGTTTTGGCAGTGGGTTTTCAGACGGTTCAAACCTAGTAAGCACAATGGCACGGGAACGAATTAGGCCTGCTGACGAGCTACACAGAGCTATATATTACTGCCATATTTCCCGAAGGCGATCCTATCTATGAGTGGATCACAATATTCCTAGTCAGTCCTCCGCCAGTTCCACCACTTTTTTCTCAGTCCTCCTGCTCCATAGGCTGAGAAGAAGGTCTGGCATCATTCGCGAGACTACACGATCAGGTACAAGACGTCGAACACGCAATGGGGAGTCACCGTTGACATCGAGAAGCCCCCAGAGCCGCCTAATTCAGATGCTGAAGCCAAGGAGCTCGAGGAGCTAGAGGAAAGTGTCAACTTTCTTCCCAACTATGGTGCACCACAACTTTTCCGCTGGAACGGATATTGGGTGGAGGTGATAAAAGATATGCCCCGGCTCGCTCCCCCAGCTCCGGGAACGACTGCGCCGCGAACCATCGGTTCTGTGTGTCTCAAGTACGTCCTCCCCGCATCGATACATCTAATAGCTGTATGTAAAGGGTCGTTACAGCATGTATACCCTCAAGCAAAGTGCTCTCAGGCAACTCATTCGCGAAGCAAAGCAATATTACGTCGCAAAGAGCAAACAACGGGTGATTGTTCGAACCCTAGGCAGCACCTCGGTAGGATATGGACCCCCCGCCCCCGGAACTCAAGCTTGGACTGGTATCAAGATCAAGCCTTATCGGCCACTTGATTCAATCGTTCTTCCAAAGGGTGTCCTCGACTCTATTATCGCAGACGCGCGTGACTTCATCAGCTCAGAGGAATGGTATACCCAAGCCGGCATTCCGTACCGCCGCGGATACCTGTTCTACGGTCCACCTGGGACTGGGAAAAGTGAGATCCTTGGATGCTTGTTTGTGTTGTTGGCGGCGCTGACCCTTGACTTTGCTTCAACAGCTTCAACAGTGTATGCCTTGGTGAGTCCGACCCTGAGCATACGGACTTGCGGTTTGATTGTCTGCAGGCAGGGGCACTTGGGCTTGAGCTATACACGCTATCTCTCTCGACAAATGGGTAAGTAGGCGATGCTACTCCGTCAGATCAGCAGCTAATTGTTTGCAATCGTAGCCTAAATGATGCGTCCTTGCAAAGTGCTGCAGACCGCATCCCAAAGCGGGGAATTCTGCTGATCGAGGATATCGACTGTGCATTCCCATCTCGCGAAGACGAGGACGAACTGCTGGCGAACCCGATGGCTGTGACGCTCCCGCCTAGGCCGGGGGTGCCTCCACCACCACGAACCTCCGTCACAATGTCAGGGCTTCTAAATGTTCTAGATGGTGTCAACAGCGACAGCGGGAAGATATTCATGGCAACGGTGAGCTCGATATGCCCTTGATGTGTGAGGAATGCCCTTTCATGCATGTGTTTGGGGAACAAGACGAATTACGTCGACAGGCTCGACGGTGCGTTAATACGACCAGGCCGGATAGACATGAAGATAGAGTATAAACTTGCGAACAAAGAGCAGGCCGTAGCCCTCTTCAACCGCTTCTTCGTTGCTCCGGATGCTGTACGAGGGTCTCATGACAAAAACCCTCACGAACCGCCCCCTCATCACGAACTCGCAGACGAGTTCGCGTCCCATATTCCTGAAGACGAATTGACAGTCGCAGAGCTGCAAGGCTATCTGCTTGCTTGTAAGCGGCGGCCGCAGGTGGCATTAGACGGCATATCTGAGTGGATAGTGAAGGAACGGGAGGAGCGCATTGCCAGAGAGGAGAGGGAAAAGAAGAGGAAGGCATTGCTGGCTGAAGCGAGACAGAAAGCCCAGGAGGCAATGGCACAACGCACGCTTGCGAATGCGGTTGGATTGTCAGCTCTGCGCATCAATGCCGCCCAGACGAAGAAGAAAGAGGAGGAAGCCAAGGACGCTACCACAACTACGAACACAACGACCACGACACCATTGAAAGTAGACGCCAGCACAACAACGGAGCCCAAGGCGCTGACAAACGGCGTCCAGTTGATTACCGCAGAGACGCCCTCCACAGACACGAAGTCGGATTGCAGCTCTGATTAAGAGCAGGCCTCCGACGATCCCTGTATTTCCATTGGTATCTAGTATTTATATCAAACAAACCGCACGAGTAACACGTTATGACACACATTGTGTACAGTAGTCTATTCACTCTTTTCGGTGGTCACGGAGGAAGCCAACGGAGCAGGGGTTGCAGGTTTACCTCCCTTATCTGCTTCTTTGGCTTCCGCCGACTCAGAGCTGGCTGGGGCACTCTCAGTGGACGTACCTGGCTGGCTACCCTCCGCAGTCTCTTTACCTTTACCTTTATCTGCATCAGTAGGTTGTGGAGGCTGAGGGGCCGTTTCTTCACGAACCAGCCCGCTAGCACGCTGGGGAGCTGCCATATAGCCCATTTGCCTAGCGGGCTGCCCGAAGGCCCCGCGCGACAAGCTATACGGATGTTGTTGGCCGAATGCGCCGACAGCAGCAGCCTCTCTCGTTTTCTTGGCCTCGGCCAGCTTTAACAGCCGCTCGCGTTCCCGCTTCTCCCTAGCTGCCCTCTCCGCGCGCTCTGCAGCAACCCACGCGGAGATCCCCGCGACGGCTGCTTCGGGGCGGGTCTTGCAGGAGAGGAGGTAGCCTTGGAGCTCGGCGATGGTGAACTCTGGCGGGACGGCAGCGGCGAATTCGTCGGCGAGGGGGTGGTGGCCGGTGCCTGTGTATGGGAGGCCCGGGGGCGCGTGGGCTTCATCGGGGGAGGTGAAGAAGCGGTTGAAGAGGGCTGCTGCTTGTCTCTGACTTGCCAGGTCGTATTGGATCTTCATATCGATCCTACCTGGGCGCATCAAGGCGGCGTCCAATCTATCTACGTAGTTGGTCTGCACACAAGATGATGGGCAAGTCATCAGAGAGCATGGGTAGAATGACTTACGGTTGCCATGAAGATCTTACCCTCCTCACTGTCAACACCGTCAAGAACGTTCAGCAGGCCAGACATAGTGACCGCCGAACGCTTTGGCGGATTGGGATTTCCGTAGGGGAATGCGTTGCCCAGAGCACGCTCCTCCTCATCCTCGCGCGAGGGAAACGCGCAGTCAATATCTTCAATGAGCAGAATACCGCGTTTGGGGATACGCTCCACTGAGGTGCGAAGACTGTTATCGTTGATGCTGGAATCAATGCGTGAGTGGGCTATACACGTCGGAATGAAGATGCCGTACCTGTCGTTCGAAAGAGACAGCGTATATATCTCCAGTCCAAGTTCACCTGCCTAAGAAGGGTTAGTTGGGAAGCCTATCGCACGTATAAAGTGCGAGATACCAGTGCATAAACGGTCGAACCTACGCAAAGACAGTCAGCGAGGTCTACAGAAGGGGCATAAGGAATGATACCGACTTTTACCCGTTCCAGGGGGGCCGTAGAAGAGATAGCCTCTTCGATACGGAATGCCCGCACGAACATACCAGTCTTCTGAAGCGATAAAATCGCGCGCGTCATTAATTATGGTGTCAAGTACGCCATCTGGGAGAATGATGGATTCAAGCGGGCGGTATGTTTTGCTTTGTACTCTATTCCAGATGTCCATGCGACTCCCACCATCACCGCCCATGGAGCGAACGATGACTTTTTGCTTGCTGGTCTCGATGTAGTGTTCCTTGGCCTCGGAGATAAAATCCCGCAAAGCATCTTGTTTTAGGGTATACATACTGTCGAAGGAAGAGCAGTCAGTGAACGCAACCAGGATTAGTGCCGAGAGGGAAAACATACTTTAAACAGAGACCAGCAACGGAGCCAGGTCTCGGGGTTGTCCAAACTTGGGGCGTGGATTGGAGTTTTGGAGTGTCCTTCATAACCTCAAGCCAGTAGCCATTCCAGCGAAAAATTTGGGGGGTATCGAAGCTGGGAACGTACTCGATGCCTTCTTCAAGATGGGCCGCCGTCTTGTCCTCCGGCGGTTGCTGTGACGGAGCACCGACAGTGACGCCCCACTTACGGGTAGAAGCCTTGTATCTAACGAAGTAGTCTCGCGAACGATGCCATACTTTTCTATCAGTCTGCGAAGGCACGAAGCACGGTGAGCGAATGAATGCATATTAGCGCCCGTGTGACTCACCAGAAATAAGACTATCCACTCGTGAATTGGATCCCCCTCCGAGAAACGCGCCGTAATCGAGAACTCTGGAAAGCAATTAGAGAAACTTTGACGCGAACTCAAGAATGACACGTACTAGGGTTGAATCGCGTGAACACCCACTGCCAGAACCGCCTCCCCGACTCCACCATAGTACCGATCATGAACAACTTGAGACTGCCCGAAATTTGCGTCGATAGCTGGTTCCCTCCAAGGCCAGGCAGCAGCGACGAAAGCACCGATCCCAGGCCAAGGAATTTGATGAGGAGGGAGAGTAGTTTGCCTAGTGGACCAGCATTCTCGATTGTCTGAGCTGCTGTCTGAGACACTTGGGCGGAGGATGGGGCGACGTGGGGGTAATTTGCATATCGTGGGGCACCACCTCGAGTCCGCATTGTGTGGGATCCGCACCGTTGTCGCCGTCCTTTTATATGATGGGACTTGCACTGACCACGACACGGCACCGATGCCGCGAGTCAGGCCGATCAGTCGTGACTGCGTACATAGGGGCTCATTCAGGGGGCTCGTGGGCAGTACACTTAACAGCTTTCGCTGCGGCCGTTGGGTTTGCCATAAGTAGTATCCAGACAAATACCAGCGCTCTATTCAGCACAATGTCGCCCCACAACCGCCGCAAGAGTGTTGACTCGTCCGACTCATCAAGCGGCTCTGACAGCGATCATGGTGGCAAAGATTCCCATAAAAAGGAGAAGAAGGACAAAAAGGATAAGGACAAGAAGGATAAGGACAAGAAGAAGGACAAGCAATCGGCTCAGGCAGCAAATTACGGGCACTCAAGCACCGCAGACATCGATAACAGACAGGCCCGCCTGCATACCAGCCAGATCATGGACTATGAACAAGGCCCCCCGCCAGCGTACCCGCCTCCTTTACCGCGCGCACCATCGTCGCATCCCCCATCGGGATATCGAGTGCCTCTGACCACCGACAACGCCTTCCCTCCACCAGCTCAAGCCGGTCCAGCGGTCGCCCACGACCTCGATGGCTCGCCCATCTTCATCGGGTCGGCCATTATGGACGGATCCGTGCACCCTTGCAAGATCGGTCCGCATCTCCAGCCCTACGTAGCAGTACCCTACGGCGGTGCCGAATTCGGGCATCATGGACGATACGACCTACTTCCCTTCGATGGTGCGTCGATGGAATGGGTTCCCTCTAGCCACGGGCGGATTCCTCCAGGCAGGTCGCCCGTTGAAGGAGGGTACGAGGAAGGAGGAGAGAAGTTGTATCACGCCCTGGGGGATGTGAATGGAGTAAAAGTACCAGGGAAGACCGGTGAACACTTGTGAGTCCTCCTCATGGGTCTCTCGCTCCATCTCAGTCTGAATGCCTTTGTGCCACAGGAATGGCGCCAATGTTTCCTTCGGTGGTGCTGAGATTGCGGTATCTCAGTACGAAATTCTGTGCGTCTTGACATTCACTCCCCATCTGCTTGTACTGACAATGCGACATCTTCACCGTTACCACAGATGCTGGCGTTAAACGAGGAGATCTGTGTAGTGAACAAGTCCAGATTTCGCGTAGAAGGAGTAGCCGGGTGAAATAATAAATGTATTGCCCATTTCTTGAACACACCCAAGCGCGATATCGATCTCATCATTGTTGTTACGAGTTCCTCATGGACGGGCTTGCACACTGTGCCCTCATAATCAACCAGAGGGAGACTGAGCAAATGAGCAAAAATACCATCGCTGCGAGTAGGATTTGAACCTACGCGGTGAAACACCAAGTGATATTCTCAACACTCTTTCAGCGTTCGAATCACTCGCCTTAACGACTCGGCCATCACAGCAAGCTGTAAGCGCTCGATCTGGCGTGTTGTTGAGGGGGAGGGCTCCATCGTGGCGAGACGTCTCGCCGAATTTAAATTCACACCGCCCCCTCATGAGCAGGTCAATCTTAAACCCTTCATTAACTACAAAAAGCAGCAATTAGAAAACAAAACGCTCGCCGCTGCGAGCACTCTTGCACTTCCCTGCGAACCTGTGCCACAAGTACAAAAAGTTCGCTGCGAGCAGGATTTGAACCTACGCGGTGAAACACCAAGTGATGATGAACTGAATTCAAATCACTCGCCTTAACGACTCGGCCATCACAGCTGCACGACCGTGGCTGCCTGTAAGCCTATAGAAGGAGGAGAACCCTCTGCGGACTCGAGAGCCATCGAGATCGGAGAGTAAACGCCCATGGAGCGCCCACGGGCCGGCTGTAGGTATCTCCATCTTCCATCATTGAATCTGGCTTGAATGGGGTGCTTGGGGCCCCTAGTATCAGGTGGTGTTGCCGCCAACTCGGCTTGACTGATTGAAGCCGACGAGTCAAGCCAGTTTTGAAGCCTGGCTGAACCGCTTTCTTTCTAGGTCATTTCCTTTACTAAGTCGGGTGCCATCGTTGCACAGCCCTCGGCGCAACAAGGCCTAAGGTCTACGCTTGAATATAAGAAGGTTTAAAAGCCAGAGGTGTGTTGAGATCACTCGCCTCTAACCAATATCCATGTCAAAAAGGTATCAACCGACTTCAGAGCTAGCCTGCCTTCAAGCCTCGACCTCTCTTGAGTCTTCATTGTCGTGCGCGTCCGAGCCGAATAGCCACAAAGCGGCGACGACCGTAAATATCACGAACTTCAACATCACATACTGCGGAGACAGCTACAGCGGAAACATCAACGATGGGTTTGCAGGTGGTCGCCACAATAGGAATTCATCTACTTCATGTCGGTTATATTCGATCGGTTTGGCCGTGTACGCACTAAACGCCCTCCACAGACGAGACGGCATCAGTATTCTCGGTGAATGGGGTGACACTGACGGTTGGGATGGTTGGTGCAGCAGTGCTGCTGATGCTTCTTCGACGATAGTACCTTAGATTTATGGTGAGCACGTAGGCTCTTGAGCTCTTTGACGGCGCTAATCCGGTAATGACAAGATCGACCTGCGGGATGATCTAGTTATCGTTCATGAGAAACAAGAATCCGCGAAGTGGTTACCCACTTCAAGCTCGTACGCCCCCCGTATGTCAGGATTGGGGGGGATTGGTCGGCCGTCGAAAGGACCCGTTTATGTGCTCGAGGTGTGCAGAGAGACGACGACCGTAAGCATACTTTTTACCATAGTTGACTGAATTTCATTTACCCCTGATGAGACAAAGATGTCTTAAAGCGACATCCCCCATTTATTCGAGCTGTCCAGGTATTCTTTTGCAATGGGCGTTGAAAATGTGTGCTACTTTACGCAATGATTTCCAGCTATATGAATATCTTGACCTGTGTTCAACGTTTAACCTGACTTGCATCTAGCTCATGAACTGGTAGCACTCACTAGCTTATTGAACATGTCTCTTCCATGCAGGAACAAGTCGTAAGCCACTCATCCTTTGAAAAGGTGTCATCGTAAGTCTCCGCACGATTTAAACGTTCAAGCGTTCAAATGTTCAAGCCTTTCAAGGCCTAGGCGCGTGCGTACATATGTACCGCTCGAAATTAGGGCGTCGCATGAAGCGGGTCACTTTACTAAAATTCCAGATGGTGGTACCCGCTCTACGGTTCATCGTAGTTCATGTGTTATATAGGCAACTTCGGTACAATCAAGGTACAATGTCGGTAACTCCTGTTGAGCTTTGAGTCCAAGTCTGAAGGTTCAGCCGTAGAAAAGGTTTCGCTCACGAAGCGTAATATACGCATTTCCTCTGATGTTTACACCTGCTGGGCCCTGGTCGATGTCCTATGAAGCGTCCTGAATAATTTGAAATGTTGAGTGCTCCGAGCACGCATTGTTGATTGACGCGTGGCGTGAGAATGTTTACTTGGCTGTCGCGACAAGAGCCAAACAAACACCCTCGTTTCCTCCACCACCGAGTCTTTGCGCCGGACCCCTTCTCTCCCCTGAACCGCGTCTTTGCCCAATTCCACGCTGCCGTCCCTTGTCATGACACGACCACCTCTACCCACTCAGCACGCGAACCCTTACATCCAGGCTCTCTGTGCGTGCATTTTGATTCCATGATCACAGGCGCTGACTGCAGTACACCACTGTCTCGTCGAAATCCACATTGTGGCCTCGATTTCCCTGAACACAAATCACGCTTTTCCATACACCGACCGCAGTGAATACAGGCGTACCGGATGTAAAGTACCAGATCCTGAGCTGCCAAGGTAATGATATACTGGTATGTCCGCCATATATGCAACTACAACCGGCCTAATCACGGGAATGAACATTAGGTGGGACGGTTGAAAATCTCCACTCCAACGGTACGTATCTACGCTTGTTCGCTCTGGTATGAAACGGCACCAATTTTCGGCATAAATTGTCCCGCCACAGTCATCTGGTCATGCCTTCATCCTTCGACGATACGACACTGGCGCGGTCAGCCTCACTACCATGTTCCGAGCAGCTTTTCCCACTGCGTCGGAAGAGGATGAGAAACGCGAGACGGCTTGGATCAAGGAGAATTATGACCTTTCAGGAAATAACGGTACGCAGAAGGACCCTACCATCTCACGGCTCGCTGGTACTTGGGTCGATCCGGAGCTCGCCAAAGAAATCGCCCGCGATTACAGAATTAGCGATATGATCGCCAACGTCATCGAGGCGAAGCCTGACCCCAATGGTAACTATCGCAGGAGTGGAGGAGGCGGTGGCAACAAGGGGCCCATCACTGTGAATTTGGCAAAACAACCTGTGAGTGTTCTCTGTTAAACTCACCCAACAATCCTTGTACCCGTGAGTTTTCCTCAAACAATCTCTATTAAGCCATCCTCCACGTCGTCTATCAAACCTCCATCTCGAGCCGCCTTCCCGAGTCCCTCGAAGGCCACCCTTCCTGCTGCTAAGCGACGAAAGGAATCATCCCCCGTACCTGTCTCGTCTCCCCCGCCTGAAACACCTCGCCAAGTTCGACGTTCTGGTCGCACTCGCAGCCCAGCGCCTAAACCATCTTCAATACCGGTCCCCCTCACCAGCATGAAGACACCGAAGAAGGCCACCCGCGTAGAGCCTGTTGTAACCCCAGGTGGTTCGGATGAAACTGCAGTTGACGAAGATGGCGATGGTGCTACTACTGCAATCGCCATGACGGAACTACACGATGAGGATATCGCGTCACAAAAACAGATGATCGCAGATATGAAAGCTCAACGTGACGCCGCGCAAGCCTCTACCCTGGAGGACGCTATGGATGAAGACAGAGTTAAGGACGAGGACGATGAGTCTAGCGATGAAGAAGGGGAGTCTCCCAAGGAAACTGCCCAACCGTTGAAGCGCTCGCGCGAGGATGAAGAGCTTAAATTCGAATTCAAGGAGCCCAAAGCAGAGTCAGAAGTCACCGAGCGAGCGATTGTCACGAATCGCCGGGTATCCGGGTTTAGGCTTGAGCCTCAGCAGAAGAGCTTCGCGTGGGGTATGGCTGCATTTGCAGTTGGGTTTGGCGCTGTGTACGTCCCTTTTCTTGTTCCGAGTTTAAGGCGTATCATGACTCCCAACCCCACAGTACTTTCCTCCCCAATTTCTTCTAGGATGCCGCCCCATTCTATGCCGTTTCCCTCGCCCTCGAATCTGTCACACTCATGTTTTCCGTACCTTCTATCCTTTTGTTTTGCGCCTGCGTTAGTATATCTATTGCCTTGCCTTGTAGTCGCAACTATTCATGATTTATTTAGGTTTGTACGAGTAAATAAATACCTCCATTTTATTGTTCTATTGTTCTGGGAATGTTTAATTTTCTCTTTCTGCTACTAGATGATGCAGCGACGATATATCATATACGACAAACGGTGGCCAGAAGTTCCCACCGAAACTTGTTTGATAGTTGTACCCAAGGCTTTTTGCAATGTATGGTGAACGCGTCGTTGGGTACCGCCTCAACATGACTATCTACAATCTACAAGCATGTTTCTATACACAATTTTACAGTCTATTCAGGCTTTAGTTTCTTGTTCCCCCGATACCTTACACCTCCAGTTGCGCTACGCTTCCTCGACATGAAAATCATGCCTTAATATCATCCGCCGCAGCTCCGGCACTCACCCCAGGGATTTTGAGTCCAACTAGCTGCGGCCTGCCGACCAATGACTCCACGAGATCCTTAACCCCGCTGTCGATCCACCACGCCTTCTTCCCTCTCCTGTGCTTCATATCCGCATGTTCAACCATCTCCCTTACGGGAACCCACTTGATAGAACTACTCTGAATGGTGATCACCGCCGCTGACTCAGGGGGCGCATGCCAGTGACGAGTACTGTTGTACCCGATTTCGGTATCCTGACCTGTGCCTTCGCCGTAGTTGGTGGTGCCTGAGTTATCGTTGACGTCCGTGAGTCCATGAGAAGAAGAGGTGGATTGTGCTTGGAGGGCTTCGTTCTGGCGCTCGAGGAAGGACATACACTTCAAGGATAGACGGACGGCACGAGCGCGGTCAATCGGTGATGGGATACCACCTTGAAGGGTATGACCAAGAGAGGCAGAACGCGAGTCAAACAATGAGCCTCCTTCTTCCTTCAGCATCTTGGTTATGAACTCAGTCGTGTATACCGAAGAGGCCTGCTCGCTCCTGTAGAACGTGCCCTTTAAGATGTGCACATTTACTTCAGGAGGAAACATATGCCGTACCTGATAACTAGACGTCCTTCACTCTTGCCTTTGACGTCCAACGCGTAGCGGGTCTTCAAGAATCTGACGTCGCGTCGCAGAGTATCTAGGTTCATCCCATCTTCTGGGGTGTATACCAAGCAGGCACCGGTCTTAGGTTCGAATATTCTCATTAAACGGCCTCGAATTGTGGATGGCATCAAACTACTCACCGCCAACGCACCCATCGTAGCGAGATATCCGCACATACCTCCCTGCGTCTCTACGACGAACACACGGTTCCTGCTCGCACTTGCACTTTGCTTGATCGCATCACAAGCATCCACGAGCGCGTTTAGACTCGTGTCGCTTCCAAGACTGTAATCAGTCATCGGGACGTTATTGCTGATAGTGGCCGGCAGATGAACCATAGGGATTCTAAAGGAGGGGTAGTGTTTTCTCCCTTCTTCCAACTCTAGGAGAGCAGCGAACGCTTCAAACCCGCCGATTAGGAGGAGCCCGGATAGTTTGTGGGCCTGGAATTTAGAGGCTACGCAGCCGATATCGACGGAGGGAAGTGTGCGGTTGGTCCCGAGCTCAGAGCCACCTCGAGCCATCCAGGTATCGACTTCCAACCAACCAAGGGGTTGGATGTTGTCATCCAGAAGGCCACGGAAGCCGTTGTGAATACCAAGGGGTGTATGCCCGTGACGAAGGCAATAACGCACTGCCGCACGGGTGGCAGCATTGATCCCACCCGCTGGTGCTCCCATGCTACGATGCATGTGTGATCAGGGCAAGCTAAACTCAACACGCAAATCAACCTACTGCATTATTCCGACTCTCATGAACTAATATGTGCGACTTCGTCAACTGGGCGTCGTTGTGGCGGGTTCAGACGTACCGTGTGTGAAGGAAGCCGCTCGCTAACCTTCAATTCAGAAGTTGAATAGAAGCCTTCGAGACTCTCGATAAATTCCGGATCTCTCAGAGACATTGCTTTCTTGAAATCTCGATTCGTGATTGCTTCAGCTACTGCTTTAGTCTTTCGGGATGTTCAATCGGTATGAATAGGCGGCAGCACGAACAGGCGGAGTAGAATTGAGATGCTTACCATTGCAACCGCCTCCATCAGAGGAACGCGAGTAATCTTGTTCTCTTGAATGCCGATCATGTAGGAGGGCGTATCAGGTGTGGACTCCAACAAGGCGTCCACTGCCTCTACCCCTTGAAGCGTAGGCTATTGACGGATATTGAACGCGACCTGAGTAGAGATGCAAGTACTAACCATGATCCTGTCGAATGCGCATGGGCGACCGCCTCTCTGAGTGTGACCCAATTGTGTTACTCTCGTATCAAGTCCTAAGCGCTCAGTTAGAACCTCCTTGACATACTCCGCGCGAATCGGTTGGAGGTCTGCATCGTGAGCTCCTTCAGCGACGATCACTATGGTCTTGCGTTTCCCGATCTTACGATGCTAACGCGGGATTTTGGTGAGGGATTAGGCGGAGGGGTGTTGTGGTTTCGCTTACCTTGTGGATGGCATCGCACATTCCGTCTTCCCAACCTCCCCCGCCGCCTCCATTCTTGTCGGAGGCGGGCGGAGGAGATTCGGGGATAAAGATGAAGTCGGCACCGCCAGCAACACCTGCGAGAAGCGCGAGCCACCCGCAGTGGCGACCCATGACTTCAAGCACAAATGCACGAGAATGAGAGAAGGCGGTGGAGTTAATGTTATCGATGGCCTCGCAAATTCTGGCGACGATAATTAATATATGTGCGTCATGGTAAACTGACCCAGCTACCGGTGTAAAGCCGTCGGTGCGCCAATGGTAAGGTCGGTGAGCGACATATCATTGTCAATGGATCCAACAAGACCAACGATCCTGAGGTGAGCATGCTTTTCGATCTGTTCATCGTTTATGAGACCTGTAAGAGCATCAGAGGAGGCACTTGGTGGTCAACGAAGTTCCTACCAGTGGCCTTGAGCTCTGTCAACAACCCAGGCCATTCTGCGCGGAAGACATCAGCACCGGTGAGTGAACCGTCACCCCCACAAACGACTAGAGCATCAATCCCTTCAAGAATAAGATTACGCGCGGCCTTCAGGCGGCCTTCGCGCGTCCGGAAGGCAGCTGAACGTGCGGTGCCAATGAGAGTACCTCCCTATTCGTTGGAATTTAGCACAGTGGTAGAATGCTTGCCAACCGAACGAACCTCTGCAAACCAGGCCCTGACATCGTCCCATCCAACTCTCACAATGTATCTTCCCTTGAGTGTCCGTTTACCACTAGAGCCGTAATCTCCCGTCCCATCTTTGAGAAGTGGCCCATCGCCGAAACGGAGGTTATGAAGGAAGTAGGGATCCGTGGGCTGTATCTTATAGTGGGCGGGGGCAATCTCTGTAGCCTCCAAGTTGGAAGTTGAACCAAAGATACGCGTCGTAGATCTAACCTTTCGAGCCGGCGGGCAATCTTGCGTCTTCTACGGAGCCTGCCTTCCGGGCTTCAGCGTACTCCGTGTTCCCTCGAACGAGACCTTCGTAGCCTTCACGCACGATCCAAGTCTCGCATTCCCTATATCAACCACAAAAGTTATTGGCAATCGCCGCACCATGGTTGATATGCAATTACTTGAGGATTGCAGCCTTCACGACGGAACGCACGACGGCGTTCATGCCGGCGCTGTCACCTCCAGAGGTGAGGATCGCGATCTTCATTATTCTCGGCGGTGAGCAAGCTCGGGGGTATGGCAGAGAGGTCGGCGATAGGGAGGAAGGAATCTGGGTGATACTTATCTGAAGAGCTTGGCCGCCCAGTGGCTGGAAGCGGGGACAGGGGCTGCTCTATTGGACGCGCCACTGGTTCCTGCGCATCCCCGTCTCGGCTCCCACCTGCACATCGTCAGAGACGTCCTGGAACGACCAACCCACGGATCCTAGCATGGTTCACCATAGACTGAATGAGCGTGAATCAAATCCAAATCCACACGTCAATTTCATCTCAGCACTGCCGGCAATTGACCGCGAGGAGCAAGAGAGCGCGAGGCAGCTCTTACGCGCTTTGGCTGCTCAAGTGCGCCCGGTAATGAAAAGTCACGGCTTTGAGATCAATAGTCTTGAAGAGGTGGGTGTATATAAGTTGGCAGCATTGTGCATGCGCCGACTCTATACAGTACGAATTCAACAAAGTCTTTGGTGGGAGGAACTGGAACAATGGCGAAACTGTGGGTAAGGTCTCTGTTTGGGTGCTTCAGGAAAGCTACTGAGAGTTTCTACGTAGAACTGGTCCTTCGCGGTGCTGACGGCGCGTTCCAGCCAGTGTCCTGGTTAATGAGCACATTTTGCCATGAAGTTCGTTTCGTTCTCGATGTCTGGCGACTATATTCTGACCTTTCTCCAATAGCTCGCGCATATAAAGGTATGTGCTCTCCAAAGCCGGGGATTCCCCAACTTCATTGCACCCAGCATATGAACCACAGTCCAGCTTTCCAAGCACTGTGGCGTCGATTGAACGCCGAAGTGAGAGCTCTCCAACTGAAAGGGTATTACGGCGATGGTAAGGACCTGATGGATAGTCCACAAGACGAAGTCATGACGCATGCACTTCTCAACAGGCTACTGGTCATCAGGGACGCGTCTAGCAGATTCTGCCAGAGTTGGTGGCCTTGGATTGGATGCGGGGGAACTACCAGAATATATGGTTCGTATCCTCATCCTTTCTCCACGCCAATCTCATTGAAATGCACTCCTATACTTAGTGTGGTGGTGCACACTCAAGGCGACGACCAACGGCTCTACGTCGCCGACGCAACGCCGGACCCCGCAAAACGGCCTACAATGCAGTACCGACGGTCCACACTGGTCGACAAACTGCCAAGAAACGCAAAGCTGGTGCGAGAGTGACTGGGGAGTTTGGCGGTGAAGGGCATGCCCTCGTGGATGCTTCTGATCCTCGGGACGTCGAGGGTGGTGGTTTCGGAAAGAAAGCTGCTAGGTATGCCTTATTTTGGTCTACCTCATACCCACACACAGATCTCATTTTAGTTATAACTCTTAGCAAACGGGCGCGCGAGGAAAGAGCCTTAGCTGCAGAGCGTAGAATCCAGGCATTGCAACGGCAGCAACAACAAGCGTCTGAGAGCCGTTCTGGCGGCGATTCGGATGGAGACGACGAAGACGGGGAGGAGGTCGTGCCAGAAACCGATGCAGAGCGCTTGCAGACACTAAAACAATCAGAAGAAGGCACGGATCTGAAGACACTAAAGGAAGAAGGCATCGATGTTGGAGATTTCGTGTTTCCAAGCAGCGACATTAAGAAAGACCACCCCTCAGGAAAGGCAAAGAGCAAGAACACGGAACCCATAGTTATTGATGAAGACACCTCGGACGCCTCTCCAGCGCCAGGACCATCGACACTTATTTTGAACCCAATTCATACCTCCACCGCATCTGTCGAATCGCATACAAAACTCAAGAAGGGAAATATCGTTAAGATAGAGACCGAGTCGCGCAAGAAAGAGGCTCTAGGTATGGGCCCGTCCAAGGCGGGACAGCGAGTGCTCGGGAAAGGGAAGACTATTGCTACAACCCGGAAGCTAGGTTCCGATGCGCCTTCAACGCCACTGCGCGTAACTGCGCGCGAATCAAAGCAGTGGGCGTGTACGGTATGCACATTGTGAGTACTCCACTGTCCCTCTGAAACCTGAAGCTGTCTAAAAAGTATCAACTAGGTTAAACGAGCCATTGCATCTCTCATGTTCTGCTTGCGGATCCCTCCAAGGCGGGTCAGGACCTGCTATCTCTTGATCATACCGTTTAGGGTTTTGGAGGGCTGGATTCTTGTCATATGCAATGTACATCGCGGCGATATTACCTACTTCGCTTGCTTCAGTCAGGCATAGATGATTGATGCAAGTTTTTGATTATTACAGGAGGTAGGAAATGAGACACTTTGAACGAACGTTGCCGGGGCGAGAATAAGCATCACTTTGCATCGGAAGGGGAAAAGAAAAAGTGCTAGAGTGTGTGCATTCCAAAGGCGTAGGTGTTGAACAGAAATCTTAAATATGCACAGTATAACAATAAATGAACAGATAAATGAAACCGCACGATAATTGGATAAGAAGGGTAATTAATAATGGTAAATGGAGGGTCAGTGTGTATCGCATGGCAGGTTTAACTAAGAAGCGAGTCATGGACAACAACGAGATTGTTCGTGCGTTTGCACTTGGCAGGAGCAGAGAGAGGGGAAACCAGGGTGCTAGCACCATCGCCAGGAGGATGAGTGATTTCTGTGTCTGATGCACGGTTGGGGGATGTGGGGTAGTGGGTTGCTGCGTAGAGGATGTGACAGGAAGACAGAAGGATAGAAGCCGCGGGCGGTTGGAGAAGGCAATGGCGCATTAGCACCTGGATAAATATTGCGAAAGCAAGGGGTAAAAGCGATATGGGCAGTAGATCAGCAGCGTACATGAGACACTAGGTCAGTAGAGGGGAAGCTGAGGAGCAGCGGTGTAAGGACGAGTGAAAACGAGGGAGAGTACGGATGTACAGGGGCGGGGCAGAGGGATACAGTGGTGGGGTATGACGGCGAAAGGCGAAGACCGGGGGAAGGAATCAATTGCTTCCCTTAGCGTGTGGAGGTAATGGGAATGCCTGGGTGACATCCTCTTCAGTCTGTCCATAGGCAGATACGGAATAGCCGTCAATCCCAGAGTAGCCTGTCCCTGTGCTCAGTGTTGACAACACCCGACTATTCGGCTCAGGTGTCAGCGAGGGTGAGCCATTTTCGAGGGCTGCTATGATGGATAATATCGCGCGCTCGTTATCGCTCTGTGAGTCATTTGCAGCATGTTTGGGTGCAAGGGGTGAAGAAGTTGTGGAAGCGGAGTCACTTGAGTGGTCATCCCTCGCGGCAACTTTCTCTTTGCCCTTCGCGGCCTTTGCGACTGCCTTCGACTTAGCTTCATCGAATTCCTGAGCGCTGAAGAAGGGGTTATGTATGCTTTTCCGCGATTCACTCTGCTCGTCATCGAATGGATCAGAGTAAGTGACGACTTCAGCTGACTCCCACTGATGAAGAGAGGATGTAGTAGTCGTGGGCGGCGTCGGTCGAGCAGCGGAAGGCGATATGGCACGGGCAGTGTTGATGTCAAAGTTATCGGAGCGTAGACTGAAGTATGCACCGTCTTGCTCTGAACTCCAACTAATGGACCCTCCGGTGTCAACAGAGCCGAGGTGGGGCTTGCTACCAACTGAACCAGGGAGAGAAGGCGGGCCTCCGTAAGGGTTGAATGGATGCGCATGCATGCGATCGAATATCGGTAGAGGAAGGTCCAAATTCGACTTCGTCGTAACAGCTGTTCGGACGCTGGGCGAGCGAGTCTTGAACATAGTGAGCTTCTCCATGGGACCCACGCTCTCCTGAGTGCCTTTCTCCTCCACATTCCTGTGGCCCACCTCACTTGTTTGCATCCCCGCCCACTTATCTTCATCGCCACTTTCTAGTTTGTTCCATGGGTCACCACGATGAGAGTCGGAGCGATCGTGGCGTGCATTTCGCGAGATAGATGTGAGTGGTGCGCGGGCACGAGCTTTGAGAGCTTGCGTAGAGCGCCGGTACAGCCAGAGACCGATGCAAATGAGAAAGACTGCACCGGCGAAAGCGCCCACACATGCGCCCACCACTGTGGTGGTCGAGATGCCGGAGCTCTTGGAAGCGACGGCGCTTTCTGTGGTTGGAGCTTCTGTTGAACTAGGGAGGGCTGGCGATGAGGATGTCGGGGTTGATGGTAGATTGCTTGTGGAGACCGTGAAGTTTGGGGAACCCGTTCGTGGTGCGTCAGCCAGTTCGGAGTTGACAGCGAGCCCCCCGTCAGGTACATCCGAGGTCTCAGCTACAACGGAGCCCCCAATCCCAGATAGCGTTGGCGTTGCGAAAGGATTAGGTTCCTGTCGCTTGAAAGGCTTTCGGTGAAGGCCAACCATTGAACGAATTCGAGGGGGTCGAAAGAGTGACAGGGTCTGTAAAGACAGTATTTGGAGGACGAGTGTGTCGAGGCTATGTGAGCTGGGAGTTTCGAAACTGTGTGGGCCCGTCGGAACACCACGAGTGAAGAAAAAGGGAGATCAGATGAGAGCGTTTCGGTTTCAAATGGGCACTTGACGCACAAAGAAAGATCTAGAGTAAGGACACAGAGTATTGCAGCATCGACAAACGGTTTTCGTCGAAGAAGGGGGTGCCGCCGTCCGGTACGACGAGGAGAAGGGCGAGAGAGTGGTGGTGGTGACGGTGGGACGTGAGCTTGAAGCCTTCGCCGTTGCTAGGCGCTGTGAATTCACCTGCCATTTCAGGACACCGCAACTTGCCGGCGGACTTTTTAGACCCATATTCGGTAGCAGAGAATATTGTTCGTATCATCGTTCTGGTCTGTATCACATACCATGTCACCCTCTGGCTATCACTTGATATTTTGGCCTGTTACAGTTGCAACAATCTGCAATCACATACTCATCACAACGGATGTGAGCTTTAGTGATTCGTTATTGGCGCCCGACCACTCATCACTTTTGAAGCCTTGACTTTGCCTAGACTTACCAATACTGAGTGCGGTCCGGTCTGGTCATGAGTTTGATGTTCTCTCATCAGCCCATATATTCTGTGGGAAAATACATCGGTACCCTGTAAATCGCGCGCTTGACGAGGACAGCGCCTGAACATATCAACATATAATCAAGGGGGCAGCAGCGGATCCGGTGTTCCGCAAGACTAGGAATAAACTCGGACTCGATGTTGCGGAGTTTCGCCTTTGCTCGTGTGCGCGTCGCGTGTTTCGCGAGCAGTGATCCAAAATCTTGTGAAAAATCCACCATGCGAAGGGGGGGTATCTGAAGCAGAAGACCGATTCGCTAGGCTATTTCTACTCGAATTTAGCGTCGGGTACATTGTCGTTTAAGAACAAGATGACGCTTGGTGGTAAGCTTTCCCGCTACGCACTTGTCGCCGCAGGATGACAATTCATTCAACCAGTGCCACAGGGCAGCACCAACTACACAAACTACTTTAGGCTAGAAAAGTTCCAAATGCGATCCCACTGATCACTGGGCGCCGCTAAGCTACCAGGACCCTGCAAGTTGCAAGCACGATATTGACCACCAGACCCGATGACCTCCCTTATTAAAGGGATGACTGCCCAGATATCAGGCAGCATCTCTCCCAATCCCCCCTCTTCCGATCCACAGTGTTCTCGGCGTCCTCTGTCTCATACCCGGTATCATAGGATCAGCGTTTCAGGATACCGCCCAACCGCACTCGTTTCTGTCATTCGTTACATATACACAACGCCTCACGCGGAACAGACACTTTCTGCCCTCCCTGTCACCTTCCCCACAACTCGATCCACTACTGTCACTGTGAATACACCAGCGCTAGCCGCTTCCGTGTACTTTCATCATGCCCGCCTGCACTACATGCGCACGTTCAACCAACTCTGAGCCTTCCCTCGATTCAACATCTATCACGGGCGTCACAGTCGGATGCTTCATTCTTCTTGTCATCATCACTGGCCTTGGGGGATGCTATCTTCGCAGGCGCAACGCCAACCGGCGAGCCTCAGGCTCTCGTCGCTCTCTCATTCTGTCCCGCATTCACCGAGCACAAACCAATGCTACACGCGACCCCCCATCCTCGAACATAGACAGGGACTCTATGCAACACGTTGGATTTGAGCACGAGAAGGAGATGTACGCTGTATACGATGACTACGTGCAGCAGCAGGGCGGGCTCTCTCCGTGAGTATACCATTATCATCGACCTCCCTCCCCGTGCTGTAGCTATGGCCCCCCTTCCCCGCATGCTAACGTATGTTTCCATGGCGTACAGAACACCGTTCTCGCGCCACAATATCACACCGAATGTCATATTCCCAGTTAAAGCTCCCACACGTTCCACGCCGCCCAGCCCGAAAAGCCCGGCGTTCGCGAAATCATCAATAAACCCGTTCACGCCGAATTCCATCATCACTAGTACTGCTAGTGGTAGCACTCCTAGCGACTCTTCCTCCTCCTCTGCCCCCCCTCCATTCGCTTTCATCAGAGGTTCTGATTATCCTCGTCTGCCGAGCGATTCACGGTCTACGCTGAGCCCCCCATAAACACCGCGCTCCGGATTCATCGGTTGTTCGACACGACTATCCCAGGCGTTCCCCATCTGTTCCTGATTTGATTTGATTGAACATATCAATCCGCCTATCTCAGCCCGCGCACTCTCATCCCTATTCATTTGTTTCGGAGTAATAAGTACTCATCGGTTGCATTCCGACTCAAGAGGACCACCGTGTACAACATCCTTTTGCCACAATTAGACTGTACCGTTATAGTTTCAGTATACCCCACCATTTTGCGTGGACTACTTCCAGTCCACATAGCACCCAAGCTGCATTAATTCACTGGTATAAATTTACTGTACTACTGCTCTTTACTTACTTCCTCTGTTAGTACATGCTGGGGTGATGTCCAGAACAACAACGGTGTACTTTACATACACTTTCCGCGCCGACAAGTAAATATGCTGATATCAGATGAAGCATATTGACCTTAGCTTGAGCGCTGAACGCATCAACGCGTGAACGTTTGAACGCCCATATATAATATCTGAGCACACGGCAATCAGAAGTATATATTTCAGGACAATTGAGGGATGTCGGTGTAATGATACAAAAATGCAATCTGCTGCAGGCAAAATACTTATCTACATCATTGACAAATGTTAGGCTTAGGAAGTCGAAATGAACGGGTGAGGGAGAACTTGGCAGACAAGTGAACAGCGACTGGGCCAATTCGCAAAGGGCTGCGCAAGGATATCAATATCAAAGAAGCAGATAGAGGGGAGATACGAAGCTAGCAGAGGAGGAATACACGCAACCAAGACGAACGGGAAGCAGGGTGGTGTGACTGGCGTCGAGCCGTACATGTAGAAAGGCAGGTTTTCGAAACCAACGAACGAAGCGCGTAGCCGGTACGACCAGGGTATACCGTATAGCACATGAGCAGCGTAATCGAAGGGGTATGTGGCGCGAGCGTGCCTTGAGAGAGGGGGAGGGGGAGGGGGGAACGTGTTTAGGAGAAGTGCGACCAGGACATAACACCATCCCGATCTCCGTCATGTTGTTTCGCATCGACCATGGCAAGGCTAGATCCCCTGACAGGCCTCAGAACTCTTACTCCTTGCACTGGTTTCATAAAGCACCACGCGGGAACGACGCCCACTTCCAATTCAGGATACATATCCCCTCCCTTCGCATCCCGCCCACCAAACACCGACTTACGTGTCCCAGTGAAACCAGGAAACTGTTTTCTCCCTACCGCGCACCATCCGTCATCGTACGAATGGAGGATAGTCAAACGTTCGCCGGGATGGGGGATTTGGAGTTCATCGGGTAAAACGGGGTCATTGAAGGGCTGGTGGACTTTGCGCGTGTCGGTGGGTATAGGGGGCATCGTAGAAGCGCGGTTGGGATTGGAATTGGCGTCGCCGGTGGAGAAGAGAGACGTCATGGAGAAACGGAACCCAGATCCTACAGAGTTGGTGCTGAAGAAGGAAGAACGCGAACCACGGCGCGCGCCACGCGCGTCGAGTGCGAAACCGAAGGGGCCACAGTGGTGTGCTGTGGGTAAGGGTACATGTAAATCAGACGGATATGGCTGGGGACTCGTCGGTGATGATCTGGTATAGGCTTTCGAGGGGAGAATGATCGACTGGGTCAAATACGATCGCGAAAATGGCGAACTAAAAACACGAATCAGTGACATGGCAGCGATAAGATAGAAGAATACGCACATCTCTTTTTCTGAACAAGTCTTCGTCGTCATTTCTTCGACCATCAGACCCTTTACATCGAGGAATGCTGCACCTATCCTGCTCTCCCGTTTGGCAATGTTGCGCCTTCGCACAAAACGCACGGCTACCGCCACGACAACTGTCAAAAGGACCAAGCCAGCTAGAATCAAGCCAACGATGGAGAGGGGGCTGAATGATGTATTCTCGTACGACCGCTTGCGGATGGAGATGGTTACGAATGCGGGCATCGTTCGTTCGGAGTGCCTGGTTCGTATAAATTGGGGGATTGGGGATGTCGGTCTGACGAGTGGTTTTGGAGATAACCCGGGGAATTTTCTGCTAAACGAGGGAAAGTAGGTATACAAGGAATGTTACAGTGGAAAGAACGTGGAATCCGATGCGGGAGTCGGATTTTGGGACTGTGGTGAGTCGCCTGAGCTGGGGATGTTGCAGAGACCGATGCTCTGTCCAGATGCAAAGAAACTTTGGACTGGAAAAAGCTAGTTGGTCAGAGCCTCAGAGTCGAGCAACGAAAAGAAGAGAAGAGAGAAGGGAACCGAGGAACCAATAATCCTGGCCGTAACCAAGTTCATACGGTATTGCTACCGCAAATATGAACTTGATGCAAGGCTCCTGGTGGTTTCTCTGATAAGGAAAATTTGGCGACCGATCACTTACTCCCTCGACTCGGATCAGGCACTTCAGGTGATCTACGGAATATGTACGTAGACTCGGACAGAGTAAATATTGCTTGAAGTACCGACATCTGCCCTCGTTCAAAGTCTCCAGGACCACCGATGAATAATAGGTGGATAGTGACGGAGGGGATATCACGGACATGCTATTTGTTTATCAAGGAATTCCAGAGTCCTCGGTTATCCGTGCCTGGGTCACCTGTGCCTATCAATTAGTCAAAGAGACCCGAACTCGGAGAGTCCGGAAGAGGTTGTTGAGAACCGGCATGGCGAGATTGAGGGCGCGCCGTATGCCTTCGCAGGTCGTCCTCCGAGCCCTCGCTGCGCGCCTTGTGCAATAGTGGTTGTGCTGACCCTTGATGATAGGTGTATATCTCCTCTAATTAGCACCGATGACTCGGAGCGGGGTGCTACGAACAAGCGACTTGACAGGTCACTTCGGCGACTCGATGGACCTTCGCGGCGGTTGAACACGGCGAATATCTGAGAACTTGTAAAGTGGCCTGGAAAAGATCGATGGGAGTCGGTGAACGACATCGGATGACGGTTGTTCTGAGTCAAGATCGAATCAACGAAGGGGGTAGGGGGTGTCCCGACATTCATGTCACCTTAAAAAGCTTCAAGCAAGCAAGGTTTAAGTTTATGCGTGTCGCCATAGTGAGTCCAAAGATTACGGCGTTTTAGTAGCGGTATGAACGCAGACAATCTGCCTGGAAATGGATAGATGACAACACGGCTATCCTGACGGTGGCGGAAGATATACCTTGAGAAATCTTGTAGCTTGGGTGGAACCCATCCGAGTAGGAGCTCGCCGAGTCCCATTGCACTGGTCCAATCAGATATGACCGGCAAGTCCAAGCGTGTTGTCTTGTATGATTGATCCGGCACCGATGGTATTGAGATTATCCATGCAGTGTGCTGATGAACCAATGAAGTTTGTAAAGAATCAACAATGTGAGAGTGTGATATGATGGATCTATGACATACTATGTCTCACAGCAATTTGACCAGCGTCGCATTGGCGACCCCAGCGCTGAGCGGTACGCCCAGATCGTAGAAATGCAGAGAGGAAGGAGCGGCCTTTTACCCTTCTGGCTTTTGCGTGTTACATTTCATAGGATTGGCAAGCACCAGGCGTTGCCATCCGATAAGCGAGCGATTGACTCATTGCTCAGCTTGCGGAGATTGCGCGTTGTATCAGCCGTCGAAATTCGGAAGTAAGCCATCGGGGCCGCTGTGTTCCAGCCTTTTCCTCGAGCCTGAGTGTGAAGGATTCGAAAGTTGGATGCTAGCCATACATAGCGATGGCGGTAGTGCTTGTTGTTGTGCGGTGGACATGGCCGCGGCAATCAAGTATTATAACCTAGTCCCCTCTAGTCCCCTGGTTCCTAGCATTATGGGGTCCGTACCCGAACGTGAGGACATGTCAACAGCAAAGTTGTAGCTTAAACACGAACAGAGGATGAAGCATGGGGTTTAGGATGGCGTTGCTCGTTGCTATGCCGGAGAAGCAAGCTGCGAGGACATATTACATCTCGAGTCTCGTATCGCATAGCATTGTCTCATTTTCTGACATCGGGGGAACATGCACGGTGGGTCGGCTGTTGAGTGAAAAGGTGCCGAGGGATCAGGCCACCGACGTGAATAAGTGAAATAAAGTCAGTAAAATGAAGAAAATAAAATAAATGAACAGTTACTAGGATGAAACGACCTGCAGGACCACTGGGAGCGCTTCTGGACTTACCACCACGAAGGAGGAGGGAAATTCGAGGGTGCTGGGATGATCGGGACGAGCCCCTATCCCACGTGGGTGTGCACAGCATTGGAATGTAGATCATGTCCCGGTGCCAGGAAGGGCCAGGAGTATAAGGGCCAACGCGATCACCGGATTCTGATTCAATTATCGGCCTCTACTGCTGTGACCACAACCACCACCAGCAGTGACCGACACACCGTCCACGACGCCGGCCACAGCGACGAACTTCCCTGGTCCAAGCGCCAACAAGCTACCGGCGTCCAGGGGTTCTTCCATCCCTTTGTGGCATCTACCCATCAAGGAGAAGTTTGCCTCCTTCTGAAGCATAAGGCTTGCATTCGATAGCGTGCGTGCGTGGTCATCAGCTTCGTTAAAAACCTTGGATCCTAGTCCTGAGCTCGTTCCCAGCATTTCGACGCTGATATCTCTTGATCCTTGCAGTCCGTGGCGCCCAGGTCTCATCGCTCTCTCGACAAGCTTGCACCACTCCCAGGAACACGGCGACCCCACAGAGGTCACCGACAAGCTCTGAATTTATACTATCGACTTGGAGGATCCCTGCCGTAATCATGTCCAACGGATACGCCGGGCCTAGCTCATGGCAAAGCCAAGCTCATCCTTCCTACACTCATCATTCGCAACTTCAGCTAGAGCACGAATTGGACTACAGTGGCGACTCTGCGGCTGCTGACAACCAAGGCCAAGCATCACAGTCTACAGGCATGTACGGCGCTTCGTATCAGTATTCGCAACAGCAGCACCATCACCATCAACAGCAGTCTGTTCCCGCTTTCTCCCCGCCCTTGAACAACTTCAATCAAAATGCACCCCAGCCACCGCAGCAGAGAGTACCTAGCTTTGGTAGCTCCAATTTCGGCGTACCGACGTTCTTCGGACCCATTTCCAGCGAGCAAGTACAAAATGCTGGTGCATCATTTAACGTGGGTATTCTGAACAATCTGCGTTGTCATAGGAAATGACAATTGCATCTTTCAGCCACCGCGGCCCTATCACAGCAGTAACCCATCTTACGAATATGACAGTCAAAGTCGCCCAGGACCACTAGCCCCGTCTGCTTTGCACCCAGTAGATGCGGCTCCTGCCACTTACTTGGCCACATCCCCTCTACCGATGCAGGAGACGTTTCCAACCTCGCCGCCTCCAAGCGGATTCACGCATGGTCAACAAAGCACTTATTACCCGCCACACGACCCTGCGCCTGGCCCGGGAATCTCCAAACGTCCACGTTCTGACCACACCGAGGACGCAAGAGGTGATGATCACGACGACGATAGTGGCAATAACGACAGCAAGGAGTCGAAGGCGAAACCGTAAGTTATACCCGCAGCTTTTGCAAGACGGTTGCCTGATCTGGTGCATTGGATTTGCTTCGCAGCCCAGGAGCATGTGCACGTTGCAAGGGGCTCAAGGTCAGGTGTGAATTTCGTACGGACACAGACCCATGCAAAAGGTGCTTGAACGGTGGACACGACTGCGTTGTCCCGGGCAGGAAGAAACGAAGGACGCCACCGTAAGTTTCTACTCTCAAATTGTCTTCCACCTCTCTCTCATCGTAGATCTGTCTATCTTACTCATGGTTCTCAACTTCGCCGCCACTCATCACCAACACTTTACTTACGTCCTACTTACCATTATAGCAAACGGGAGCACCTCCTGAATCAAATCCGTGACCAAGCAGATGAGATCCATAAACTTATGGCTCAACTCGAAGCCATGAGCTCGCAAGGCACCACCGCTCAGCAGAATCAACCATCGCCTGCTTCCATCGGAGCGTCGACTTATCCGTCTGGTAGTACTGTCCCTTCGACGACAGGCGCAGATCTTCATTCCCCTGTTCTGTCCCCTACATCAGCACAATCGTCCTATTTCTCAGATATCAACGGGAAAACGCACGAGGGTACCCCAGAGACAACCAAAGCGGTTGCTGATTGGATAGCCAAAGCGCGGGACACCTTACTGCAATTCGATGGCTTCTTGGGCGCCGTTCCAAAGCGTCTTGTTGTCGAAGAAGATTACGAAGATACTGGCAGCGACAGCGATGATTATGAATACGTTGACGCAGAAGAAGGCGACGAAGAAATGCCAGAAGCATATGTCATTTCTGTACAGAACGACGGAGAAGCCCAGCCTCCAGCGGATGGTCGCAAAATCCGCCACCAACTGTCGGGCACGAGTCTAAACGGCAAACGTAAAGAATCGGAAGACTTGGTTTCAAGACCCCCGGCCCAGAGCCCATTCGGTATCTTTGCTACGATGCTGAAGAAAGCCCTACCGGAAACGGAAACTAACGAAGGGAGCAAGCCTGAAGTTGGTGTTGCCAACCCTGATTTCTTCAAACGTCAGCTTTTCATTTCATGCCTTCTATCCCTTTCGAAGCTGAGCTGAACTATTGTTAGGTTTGTCCTCTCAGCAGCAGTTTCCTCATATTCTCACCCGCGGTATCATCACCCTTCCTGAGGCAGAGCAACTGTTCAAGATGTAGGCCCATTTGTTTTACCTATTAGGCGAGTGAAATATTGATGTTTGATGCCAAACTAGCTACTATGACCGCATGAACCTGTCTGTGTCGCTGCTTGATCCAGTCTTATACACGGCCGCTACCACATGCGCCCGTAGTCCATTCCTCTTCACCGTCAGTGAGTGTTGTCATCTATAGCAGGTTAACATCTCATCTCACCTCTCCGTTGTAAGTTTGTGCGATTGCTTCTCGATTCTACACAGAGCGGCCAGGACTCTACAGTGACATTATGCATTATGCCCAACTTGCCGCCGGGACAGCTTTGATCAGTGGTCCCAAGAACATCGAGGCTGTACAAGCTTACATCCTTCTGAGTTTGTATCCTGTACCAGCACGCCGCTGGGAAGAAGACCGTGGATGGTTATACCTCGGGCTAGCCATCAGGTTAGTATTTCAAAGGGCCCAGTTTTGGTGTTGTTGTTGACACACCACGGCATTTAGGTTTGCTGTCGACTTGAATCTGCATCACCCTAGTTCTGCTAAACCTCAAAACGAAGCTCACGCTCGGGAGATGCTCAACCGTACGCGTGTGTGGTTGAATTGTTTCAACCTCGACCGATCGACGGGTTCGCAGTACGGGAAGGCTGCGATCATCCCAAACACCGACTATGTGGCGAATCACTCTGAAGATTGGTGGCGAAGTTCCCCTTACAATATGGACAAATTCGACATTCATATTTGTGGCTACAACGCTGAGCTTCGGGTTATGGCTGCATTTACGGCTAAAATATACAGCGATCCAAACCATCCTACTGGCTTAAACAAGGTGAGTTCCCTCCTTTTTACCGTCGGGTCTTTGTCAATGGAGAGTTTAGGATGTCGACTTCGAGCGCCATGCGACGGCTACCGACGAGGAACTACAGCGGCTTGGTTCGAAGTGGTTCAACGTACTCGATCAGATGGACATGTCGGATGAGCAGTTCTGCTTCCGAACGGGCCTGTTGAAGCTTGCATACAGCTATGCACGAATGGTAGCTCTGTCTTATGCTTTCCAACACGCCTTTGGCAAAGCCGGTATGGACGAGAATCCTTTCCTCACACGCGTGAGTGTGGATGATGACTGGGTTGACGATTGTTTTGAGTTTGACCCTTGCTACAACAGTGCCTTACCGCTGCCACAGACGTAGTAACTACCGTCGTCGACAACATCGGTCGTCCTAATCAGCGTTAGTCCACCAATCTTTCCCCCTTGTCGCACGCTCACTCTTAGCCTTCAGGGAAATTCCTTCGTCATGGACCTGAGGCTCAAAGTGTGTTCGTCACATTCGCTGCGGCCTTCCTCGTCAAGGTATTAGCTCCCTCTGAAAATTGCTCTTCATCACTGTCTCACAACGGAACACTAGCTCCTTCAACCTAAGTTTGCCACCTACCTTTCACTCCAACAAAGACTCGATATAAGGCGACACGTCATGAACGTCATCGAGCTCTTCGGCGGACCTGAAGTTGCACTTGATGATCGTCATGGTCCTAAGCTATACGCCCGCTTCCTCAAGAACCTCCTCAACTCACCTATGGCTAAAGTGGACACCTCGGGCACGAGTCCTATGCCTCGCCAGAAGTCGTCCCACCGTAGCAAGTCCGCGAGCATGACGCCCGAACCCGACCGTGCTCTGGATCTACAGTCCTCGACCCTGACTAGCTATCCCTCACCTTCGACAGGCTCTTACACGCTTTCCCCTCCGCCAACCCAACTTGCTATGTCGTTCGACAGGTTTGCTCCTCAAGGTGGAGCTATCGACCCCTTCATTGGGAACTTCCCGGCCGGGCAATCCAATATTTCCGCACAAGACGCTGTCGGCGTGACTATGAACATTCAGGAATACTTGCAGCCTGTTCTGCCATATGACAACGACATCGTACAGGGTATTCAAGCTCTCACAGATCCTAGTGTTTGGCAGAGCATCGCCGATCCCGGTACGTGACTGTCATATACAACACAGTACATTGCTAAAGGGCGTGCTATTCTACAGGTTATAGCTGGTTAACTCAATTTTCTCAAGCCACAACTATGCATATGAATGGCGCCCAAACGTCCAATCCGACAATGTACGAAAATCATAGCCAACGACGTCAGTGATCTACTCCAACCTTGTATAACATATTTTCTGTCTCCGTTTCTCTGTTTGCTTTGTCGCCGCCCCTTTGTCCAATATCTCGATTACCTTGCTATCGCCGTCTCATCTCATCTCATATGACGCCAGCCTATAGTGGCCTTTTGTATCTGTAGAGTTCCAACAATAAATTTACTCGTAGAAATTGATTGCCTAGAGAGATTGCTCGATGGTCATCTTTTCTGAATACTGAAGTAAGTACCTCGCCTATTTGTTTTGGGTTGTCTTGTCTTTTTTACGATTGTATTCTACGTACATACGATGTTGCCTCGGAATACCATGTGCAGGGAGCGGCCACGTGCGAAGTGTTTTTGGGTACACCCTGGACCGGAGTGCATGTGGTGATCTCGGAGTGGGCGACTATCACATGCGAGACAGGATCGTATATCCCAGTGCCAATCAGCCACCTTTGATTCCCAACTTATACTTGACTTGAACCATGGCCAACAAGCAGCTCAAAACGTTTTCAAGAGAAGAAGTCGCCAAGGTGCGCCGGTGTGCAACTCATTGTCGTAGCGCTCGGCATATTGATAAACAAGCAGCATACCGTAGAGGGAGACTTGGTGAGTTCGAATCCACATCAGTGCGGGTGAACACAGTTAAACTAAACCATTGAATGTAGTGGATAATCATTGATGCGAAGGTATACGATATCTCGAGGTTCAAAAATCTCCATCCTGGAGGCGCCTCGGTGTTCTTCGATCCCGAAGTTGGTGCGTGGTACCGTGGAACTGGCGTGATATTCAAGTAGCTGACGCTTCTCATGCATGTGTCGTAAAGCTGGTCAGGATGCCACAGAGGCCTTCTTTGGGCTGCACAGATATGAAGTTCTCGAGAAGCCGCAGTATCAGCGACTGATAATCGGTACTATTGAAGGCGAAGAAAGTATCTACCATGGACGGGTAGCCGGAGAGCTCAGCACTGTTCCCTACGCCGAGCCCACATGGTTAACGGAGGGTTACCATTCCCCGTACTTCAGCAAGGTATACCTGACCCGGGAATTCCTCGCATTCCGCATTTCTAACTACCCTAAAGAATCACAGAGAGTTCCAGAAAGTTGTTCGTAGATTTTTCGACCAGTATGTCTGGGAAGATGCCCAGGTATGTTGATTCCTCCCAGCTCCTTCCTGCAACCTGTGCCCATATTGTATCTAGGCGAGGGAGGAGGACGGAAAACGACCCTCTCAGGCTGTTTTGGACAAGATGGCGTATGTGGCGTTCTCGATCAGCGAGTTTAGTGACGCTGATAGCTACCTTAACAGGGAGGTCAATCTACATGCCATGCGCATGGGACCGGGGAAACACTTGAAGGGCCTGAAGCTCATGGACGGTCTGGTCCAGCCAGAGGAGTTTGACTACTTCCATGAGGTACACCGAATGTCTTTGCGCCTTACCTTGATTTGACTGAAGCTCTATTTATCAGCTTATCATCACCCAGGAGCTCGCCCGCTGTGGGGCTAGAGGATATGGCGATGGCATCCTTGGAGGCAAAGTCATTGGTCTTCCACCGATTCTCAACTTCGGCAGTGATAAGCTTAAGGCTGAAGTCATTCCTGACGTATTAGCTGGGAAGAAGTTCATATGCCTTGCCATCTCTGAGGCACAAGCAGGCAGCGACGTAATGGGGTTGCGCACTACTGCCGTCCTTAGCGAAGATGGCAAGGAGTGGATTGTGAATGGTAAGTGCTATTCTACTAAGGTGAAAGGTTGATTCAGTCCGGTCCCAGGCAGCAAGAAATGGATCACTAACGGTACTTTCGCGGACTATTTCACCACCGGTGTTCGGACAGAGGTAAGGTTTGAAGAATTCCTCCGGGCATATACTCACGTCATTATAGGATGGTCTGACGGTCCTTTTGATCCCGCGCGGTCCGGGCGTGGAGACCAAGCAGATCAAGACCAGTTACTCGACGACGGCCGGAACTGCGTACATCACCTTTGACAATGTCCGAGTTCCAGTGGAGAACACACTTGGTGAAGTCGGCGGTGGCATATTCGTCATCGTTAGTGGCCCGACACGTCTGCTTGGCGTTGATCTTGATTCATCTGTTTCAGTTGTCCAACTTTAATCATGAACGCTGGGTGATGTGCTGTTCATCAGCCCGTAGTCAACGCAGCATTGTCGAGGAATGCCTCAAGTGAGTGATACCCTGCGCTTGTTCTACCGGATATTCGCTTAGAGGTGTAGATGGACATCTCAACGGAAGGCATTCGGCAAGCCGTTGAATTCTCAAGCAGTGATCAGGAGTAAACTTGCGGCCATGATCCAACGAACGGAAAGTGTTCAGCATTGGCTAGAAAGTATAACATATCAGATGTGTAACATGGTGAGTAACCCGTGAATCACTCATCCCTTGTATTGATTGTCTTTCAGTCGTATAAGCAACAAGCTAGCAAGCTCGCCGGGTGAGTTCCTGTTCATCAACGGATATATGTCTCTGACACGGATCACGAAGGCAAATTGCTTTCCTGAAAAGTTACTCTACAGCATGTGGGCAGGAAACAGCTCGAGATGCGGTCCAAATATTCGGTGGCCGCGGGATTACAAGGACTGGCATGGGGCGGTTCATCGAGCATGTATGTGATGGACGACGTTGTAAGTATGCGTTCCAGGCTGACGCGTGGTGCTTTCCTTGTAGTATCACCGCACCATCGCCTTTGATGCCCGTAAGTGTTGTTCTTGCTCCCGTCATCTGCCATCGCTGAGTGTGGTTGTTCCTGCTGCTGCTGCTGCTGTAATTCAGTGCTTGGTGGAGGTAAGTGTTTCACCTTACGGTTAACTTGGATCTGACGCTGAGTTGGTTCTCCCTTTAGCTGAAGATGTTCTTCGAGATCTGGGGGTCAGACAGGCGCTACGCGGAATGCCTGAAGACGCGAGGCTTTGAATCAATAGATACGCCAGTATGGATGTATATGCTTTCGTCGGTAGAAGATACCCTACTGTATGATCTATTTCTCTGCGCGTTAGTGGCCCTTCGTAAAGATCGAGTGATGCGCTTAGGTGAACACTGATATTATTTGAGTCCGGAACTGCTGGTCATGGCCATGTCCACGATTGTCCTGGAGGATGCAGAACTGAGGAGACCAGGGTAGCGCGTCAGGGGCTCCAGGGGCGATAAGCGCTCACTAACCTTGCCGTGCCCGGCCTTTTGATCTCCTTCCCAAATCACAATGCCAAAATCCAAGGTCCTCGAGTTCCGCCCTATCTCGAAGATCCACCTCGATGAATTGAAGGCCATCTGGCCCGCCGACCCACGCATCCCGTCGCCCGCATCTCGCAGGGCTTGGAGTCTGGCGCGAAAAATTTCACCGGCCCGGGTCAATTCTTGGTGGTATAATCGGAAACGCGAAGCGAAACGTTTGAGGATCAAAATACCAAGGAATGAAGAATACGAACTTCCGATAGGCGAACCGCCTGAAATACCAGAAGATCACGTAAACCTGAAAGAGGAGGCAGTGGATCAAAGTATTCCGCTGGTTGAAGGAGTTACTACTGAACCTAGAGGAGACGCAAATCCTCCGCGACTGCGCTCGGAGGAGTCTGTGGACGTTGCCCTGGATGTTGTATGCGCTCGGAATCGGGCATTTGTGGACCTTTCGCTCGAGTTGGCTTCTTCAGACTCTGGAATGCTGGACTACGCCTCCTCGGATACAGCGTGTTCGCCCGTGCCTGAGTCTGGTTCTGTCAACAACATAAAATTACGGCTGGACGACTATGCTTCGAACTTCGGCGGCTCGGTCGAATGGAATGCTTTCGAGGACAGTAGCATACAAGTGGTCCTTCCTAGAGCACTGGATCCCCCCGCTACTCGGACCCGTCAACTATCTGCCCGAAACATGAAACTACAACTGGACGACAATGCTGTAGACTTGAGCGACACAGGAGAATGGAGTATTTTCGACGATAATAACATGCATGCGGTGTCTCGTGAGGATCTCGCCTCTCCCGATGCTCTGGATTCGGCTGCTAGTCACTCCCGTGCCCAATTGTTCAACAAGGCGACATTAGGGCTAACCAACTGCGCTTCAAAACCTGGTCGTTCGGGCGAATGGAGCACACCTGAAAACAACACCATAGGAGTGGTGTCTACTGAAGACTCCGCTTCTCTCGATTCTACTTCGCTTCGCATCTGTAACCAAGGGGTTACCGCCTCTGGCGTACCACCGTTCACCTGTTCGTTGTGCTCATGCGACTGCATTTCTCCGATAAACGATGGTAGGGGACGGCTCCCATTGATCTTCGTCTTGTTTACCATTGCGTGCTTCCATATAGAGTATAGTCCGAGTTCGTTGGTGACCAAGACCTCTCACGCCGTTGCCTGTCCTACTGGAGTCTCTGCGCTGGAAATCCGACGTGACTATATTCGGCTCTACAATCAGTACTACTCGCGCGACGGATGGTTACTGGATGCCGACGATCTCGATCATATTTCGGACGCGGACGTCAATGTCGATCCCGCGTTTCCGCTTCCATCATGACTCGTCACTGCCTGATGAGTTTGAGCTTTGATGTCGTAGAGAATACTGACAAACCTCCCTGTACCTCACCTGATCCCCCTGTATGTTGTTGATGCAAGTTTATTTTCAAAGATGTAGGCTTCCGAAACCCTTCGTTCTTGCTTCAGCCACATTCCGACGAACACAGGTCTAATGAATATCCTTGATCCGTTGCTTTGGTGTTTGCCACCATTCCGACTTGCACCGATTCAATATTGACAAGGCAATCCACTCACTGGCTGACCCAGGCGACCAATTTTTCTCACCTCAACATCCACACAACGATGGATGTGAAACACTTTATGGATGCTGAGATGTTACTGCAGAATGCCTCAACGCACTGCAGTGGGTGTCTACGAGATGTCTACATTTCGATACTTAGCCCTCGTATGCAACGTTGAAGAAAGGGCCTTGGATCCCGCATCATTACCTGCGACTCGAGAATTTTTCCCCGACAGGCGAGTCCCAAAGTCTCCCGTGCCATCAGCTCTGGGTTGATGCCGCACCGCCCACGTCTGATGATGGATCTTTTTCAGTTTAGTTGAGCCCCATCTGCATACAAGGCTGAATTCCGCCTCTTGACATCAGCTTACAATTAAGCATGTTTGGACACCCGATTGCGCCCATCTCCAGATATCCTGGAGCTGTAGACTGTCCCATCTAGGAACAAAAAATGTACGTGTGTCATCTATTACCGCGTCTCCCCGGCACGGGAATTGCAACTTGTATGAGATGGTAACTTGCAGTTGGCATGACTCACCTTCATTGCCTCCGCTCGTTCCGCAATATAATAGGCCTCCAGGATGTGAATCGAATGTCTCCTCACCTACTCATCTATTCCACCCTCTTCATCTTACCCATGCTTCCCAGTCATCTTGATTTATTATCTAGCAACGTTGCCCTGCATCCAGATGCACCTGCTTTCAAGGTCCCGATCATGAGTGTCACGGACGACGGGGTCTCGGAGTGGTATACGATCACTTACCAGCAGTTCCAAAGTGATGTTGACAAAGCCGCCGCCTACTGGTCTCAAGAGTTGCTCAAAGACGGAGTTTGCAAACGGTCGATCGTCGGCTTGTGGTACGTCGATGCTTTGCCTCTCGGTGGGATAGTAAATTTGATGAACGAATTCCAGGTTCGGTGGGATGACCTACATGGACGTTGTTCATATTTATGGCGTCTCGAAAGCGGGATATATTCCCCAACTATTCAGTCTTCGTCTCCCGGAACCGTCAATCATATACGAGCTTCTGATGAAGGCCGGCGCTAAGGCGCTCATAGTTGATCAGGCCTTAGCCGCGACCCCAAGCAACAGCCCGGTTCCCGCTCATACTGCAGTTCACTTATCAAAGCTTCAATTCGACCTCGACCCCGAATCGTGGGAGCCATGTCTCATTCCAGAGGTCGCTCTCGATGACACCGTGTTCATCTTCCATACCAGCGGCTCTACATCGGGTAGCCCCAAGCTGGTTCACTGTAATCAGAAGTGGCTTCGCAGTATGGCCAGCAAGGCGAAGCAGGTCTTTGCACCGAGAAGTTCACGTCCTTCGGCGGATGTTTTCACTTGGGGGTAAGTGCCCAACTCTACGTGTTTCACGGCAAAAGCTCAGCAATTGCATCACCTTTAGTGGGAGTATGTGTCACATCGCGCAGAACTTTGGTACGTGGGCATGGAATTGAACGACGATATCTTATTCTAATTGATCAACAGCTTTCCTCGGGTACTTTCAACACAACGCGTGCGTCGTACAACCGACTGTGCTTGCGTTTCCATCAGAGGAATTGGTGGACATGATCACTCGTTGCGGTCTCAACCGTCTGAATCAGTTCGCGACGTATCTCACCATTCATCTCAAGAACTCTAGACGGGATCCCAAGCTCTTATCCCTTCTGGCACAGCTCGACGAAATCTTATACACGGGTCTTCCTCTAAACCGCGACGAAGAGGCTTGGGCCTACCAAAACAATCTTAACTTAAGGGTGAGTGATTTTCATGTTACCACAGTTTACTATCCCTAAACTGTTCGGGCGTCAGAACGTTTTTGGGAACACAGAATGTGGAGCGATGCTGCTATCTGTAGGGCGTGGCCATCCAACACCTTGGCTCCTCCGACCCTTAGAAAAGACATCGTACGGATTTGTGCCCATCGAAGGCGAAGCTACATCGTCCGAGACGAACCATTCATCCAGTACACGGATGCTCGAGCTTGTCATTTTTGCCGACTCGGAGGACTGCCCCGCAGCTTCGCTGTGCCAAGCTGATGGCCATTTCCACACCGGTGATCTGTTCAATGAAGTGTCGCCCGGTCTCTACATCTCTCGTGGTAGGAACGATGATTGGATCAAATCAGAAAACAGCCTCCGTTGCGACACCAAGTACGCCGCTTTGGTTTATTGATATCTCATTATAATGATCATTGACGAATCAACTGATAGAGCAATCGAAGACAATGTTCGCGCGATGTGCGGCGACCTTGTTGGGGACTGCATCGTCGTTGGGTCCGGGAGGCCATCACCAGTCCTGTTTGTTGAACCAGCGACCGACGGCATGGATGAGGAGAAATTGAAGAAGACCATCATTCGCAAGACGCGTGCTTTCCACGTGAGGCGGTATCTTCACGAACGGATCACGTCTACGAAGATGATCGTTGTGGTCGCCCCGCGTCAGTTGCCGCGTACAGCCACAAAGGGCAACATTCGTCGCAAGTTGGTAGAAGACCTATACAAGGACGAACTAGATCGCATATTCGGTGTCAAAGCTGGACTTTAAAATTAAGTTAAGGACGTCAGGTTATTTATCACTTCACCTCACTCCACTTCTATTTATTTTTAAATACTAATTATTAAACTGGCCCATCATTTGGTATCTAAATATCCTATTTGCATAGTTACTCATATTTTTATCATTCGTTAGCTCTTAAATTGGCTGTAATGCATAATGTCTGTCGTCGACTGCATCATTATCATATTGTATACTATTACACGCAATTATTGGAAGGTAGCACAGCGCATCAAGCTACATAGGTTGATAATCTAGAGGTAAAACGAGTCCACCGTGGCGCGTTAGCAGTAGGCATAATGGAAGTGATGTCGCTGGGGGCTGAAGCTCGTAGCGAAGACTTACGGTGCTGCATTGCTTGCCAGGATGGAATCTAAACACCGACGACGAGGAGCTTCAAGACCACATATTATACACGAAAAGGGCAAAGGTAATATACATTTTAAGTCATGTTAGGATGATGGGCAAAGACACAATCGGAATGTAGCCCTCAATGAACGTCGTTCACAGTTTTGTACGAACGGGGAACTTGATGTCGTCCCCCAAAGCACCATCAGCGGCGAGCTGGACGATTTCCTTTTCATTGAGCCCTAGTTCCGAAAGAATTTCATGAGTATGTGATCCCGGCTGTATAGTCTCGGGATTTGGTAGAGCTGTCGTGGGCGCCTTCAGAAGTGGATGAGGAACGGGGACGGGGGAATGTGAAGCGTCGAGGTCTGCTGCTTCCTCACGAGAGAGGACGGGCAATGTACAGGCATCGGATCCTGCAGACGAGGATCAACTTGAGTGTACTATGATAGGCTCACGCAGAGAACGGACCTTCATAGACCTTTGCCCAATAATCCCTTGTATCAGTCATGAAGCCTTTCTCTAAGAAGGCTTTGAGTTTATCCCATTGTGATCTGTCTCCTTGGATATCTAGTTCGGGCCGCCATCCGTCAAGTGCAAACCCGACGGGCAATGCCTGGAGGAATTTCGAGAGGAAGATTACGAAGAACTGCGGTTCAATGCATCCCACCGACATCCATCGGCCGTCCTTGCAGGTGTATACATTATAGAATGGAGCGCCCCCATCTAAAACATTCGTTCCGCGCGCTTTGCCAAACGTAGAGTCAGAGGGGTCCATGGCGGCGAGTAATGGGAAAGACGAAATGTATCGCACGCCTGAGACCTATATCCGCGGAGAGAATTGATACATGTATGTGAATCGGTTGGAATGATAGTAGATACCATGTCAATGTTGACCACCTTGCCCTTCCCTGTCTTCGCAAGTTCTTGAATTGCAAGCATTATGCCCAGCGCGCCTATGAGACCCCCTCCGGCGAAATCAGCCAAAATATTGCCGGGGAAGCTGGGCTTGTCCGGTGGGCCAGGAAGCATCTTTACCAGCGTAAGTGAGGTTAAAATGATGACCAGCGTAACTCACGGAGAGGACGCCGCTGAGGGCAAGGTAGTTTATATCATGGCCTTGCGAGACATCAAACTTTGGTCCCAGATCCAACTACCGCACACAAAGGAGACGTACCGGCCATATTCTTATGTGGACCTGACGTAGCTCAACTAAAGAGGATATATTCGTGTTATTATCAAACGCACCTGTCCGTGGAAAGCTGGCGTATTTGTCGACGATCAGCCTACCACCTCAGAACATCAAAGTACTCACCCGACGATACGAGCATAAATCAGTTTCTCATTCAAACCTGGCTTATTTCCGTCGCCGAGAAACACCTCTGGGCCCAACCCTAACCTTTCCATGACCCCCGGCCTGAATGGTTCAATCAGAACATCGGAGGCTATGATCAGCTTTCTCAGAGTCTCTAAGCCGCTTGGGACCTTCGGACTGATTGCGATCGAGCGTTTCCCTCGGCACAGTATGTCTGGGGACGAAGTAGAGGGTTTGTCGACGCGAGTAACCGACGCGCCATTGTCCGCCAAGATCAAACCCGCAAATGGACCGGGTGCGAGGCCTGCAAACTAACGAACGGGGTCAAATTCACAAGTTGATCCCGCAGAATGAAGGGGAGCACCTACTTCGACCACTTTGAGTCCAGCCAGCGCCATGTCGCCGTCGTTGCACAAGATGTCTAGGTCCCCTGAATTTCATGGCTCAGACTATATTGACCTTGTTCGGTAAACTCAATTCCGTCGCCCGAGCCTGGCATGGATCACGAGGCGTCCCCCGTTCGGTTAACCAGCCTTCTCAGAAGGCTCTGACTCTGGTGACCGCTGCATCGCGTGTACGACCACTCAACTTCCTCCAAATTTCCCAGAAGACGCTTCGACAGAACGACACAATATGCCTGTAGTCGTCAGAGACGGCCCGGTCGATTGTTATGCGTATATATACTTCGAAATGAAAACCACATACACCTTTCAACGCTAGCCATGTTTGCCCTGTTGATCCCACTATCTGCCTTCTTCCTGCTTAATGGAAGGGCAGCAAATCTGCCAGTTCTCAAGCTAAACGGACCTTCGACGCTTCCAGCGACGGCGTCGCATAGGCTCAGCCCAGCTCTGGCTAGTTTCAGCATAGAAACGGCTTTCTTTGTCGAATTCGTAGGGAATACCACTGAACCGAATACACTCACTCGCAATCTCTTGGATAACTTGAAGGCTCGCACTGGAGTTCCTGCAGAAATCCGCATTGGGGGCATAACCGCGGATTCTACTTACTGGAATGCGTCTTTACTGGATACCCCTCTGTTTAACGCGATCGACAAAAGTGGGGCTTTGCAAAATACGACTATTGGGCCTTTGTTCTGGGACTCTGTGAAGCTTCTACCAGAAGGAACAAAGATAGTCATGAACCTAGTAACTCAGCATTTTTATCTCGCCTTTTTTGGTGATACTGATGACTTTCTACTCCAGGACCTCCAAGACCTCGACTTCGAAGGCGCGCTTGAGGTGGCCAGGTCCACTGTGGAAGGTCTGCCAGCTAGCCAGCTTCTTGGCTTCGAAAGTGAGGCGTCGCGTGAACATTTCATCCTCCCGTGACTGATATTTCGGTGGCTCGGCCAGTCGGAAACGAACCTGACCACTATCTTCGGTTCACACCGCAAAATTACACTAATATCTGGGCGGTTGGTATCTGATCTATAGCCAAATTATGACTTCTGCTGAGGTTGACATCTGCTTTTTTTTTAGACTTGGTCCCGAAACATCACAAATGCGTTGGGCTTATCTGCACCGATGTTCCAAATCGCGGCTACGGCTGAGGATCCACTATTCCCCTTTAATACGCCCACTGCCAACTCTCAGCTAGATTGCGTCAGTGCGCTAGCCGCAGGCGCGAACGCCGGAAACACTGTGATGTCCTGCAGCGAGCACACGTATCAATACAGTGTATGTGACCCGCCGCGCATCGCAGTGGCCACACTGCCGAACTTGGTAAGAACATGAACATCGAGCCGAGGGTCAATTTCTCATCGTTGTATTCTGAAGGTCAATCATACTCGGCTTGGAATGTACGCGACTTTCTACTTTCTGATTGTATAATTCCCATATTTCCAAAGGTACCTTGATCTGTGGCAGCCTCGTATTCATGCCGTACGAGAGCAACTAGGGCCAGATTCCTTCGTTATCGGTAAGGCAATGGCAGTGGCAATCGGTCTTGCTGAAGTACATCTTAGGCGAATACAACTCTGTCTCTTGCTCTGGAAGGGATGGTGTCAGCAATACATTTGGGCAAGCACTTTGGCTGGTAGGTAATCGTATGTACCCCCTACTTCAGCGCCTTTTATGCTTTACAGCTCGATACGACACTCTATGCAGCTTCCCTCAATGTCTCAAGGTGCGTATTAATAAATATAGACCCAATTTATAATTAATTAGTATCTAGGATGTTTATTCATCAGGGAGGTCCGCTAGCACTGCAAAGCAGCGTGCAGCTCAACCACGGAGGACTTTCTTTCTACGATTTATGGTAGGTATCGACGGTACTGAAGGATTTTTGGCTCAAACAAGCATAGGTATCCCGTCGAAAACCAAAATGGACCGGTGAAGGTATTCCCTTCTTACGCGTCCTATCTATTCGTAGCAGAGGCACTAGGTCACTCAAAGGCCATGCGTATTGCAAACATATACCCCGGAAGACAGGCAAATGGATCCACAATCACCACTGGTGGTGGTGATTCGTCCGCGGGGCAGTTGGTCGCGTATGGATTCTGGGACGAGAGTCTACCCTCTACAACAAAGTCGCCTGCCAAGCTCGCCCTGATAAATATGCAGATATTCAACCACACTCAGACAGAACAGCGCCCCTCCACTACATTCGACATCTCAGCGTTTGCTAGAGGCCCTGTGATGGTTCGCAGATTGCAGGCGCCTGGTGCGGATATTAAGGATGCTAATGTGACGGTTTGGGCTGGTCAAACGTTTGAGAGTGGTCTGGCTAAAGGCAGTTTGCGAGAGGAGAGGATAAACGGAGGGAAAATAGTCGTGCCTGCTTCAGAAGCGGTTCTAGTTACGTTGTAGTAGCCTCTCCCCTGCTCTCCCCTGTGTCTGTTTGACTTGGTCACGGCGCCAAATTTCTCCCCCCAACTCCCATGGTGCATGACCTGCTCACTCAGCAGTTGGAGTCTGCGATGCATGTTTCGTCCTGCCACCACGACCGGGATCAGGATCATGTCGACTCAGGCTAAAGCTCCAATTTCTGCGCTGCCTCTGCCGCCCGCGACACATATATTGACCCAGAATTTGACCCCGGACCAGGCAACCCCGTCTGTTGCCGCCTTTCGGAGCGATGTTCTCGTCAATAAGCCTATGGTGCAGTTCACCTAATGGCCTCCAATTTGGTGCAAACGCCAAATTGGTCGGCGAACGGTTGGCCGGCGAAGCCGGCTGCGCAAAAAAAATGGTACCTTAGGCAGGGACACGGAAACCACACAAAAATATATCATATATTGTAATATATCAAACAACTATTAGACATATCAATAATCAGTTGAGCCAGCTTGTTCAGCATTCGAACATCCAGCACTCATGGCACGCAAGAAGAATTCAGCTATCGCAGCGGCGGCGCGGATGCGCGAGGCAAAGGTTACACGAAATCAAACAAAACCGACTGTTGAAGACTCCGGCAGCGCTTCAGACACCGAGCCTGATGTGGACATGTGCTGCTGGGATGGGAGCGTCAACCATGTTCCATCGTCTGATGAAGAACCCATGGGCTTTGATACTGACGCTGAAGGGTTTTCGGACCTTGATGGTGAAGAATTGGTGGCCAGTATCGAGGAAGAGATGAAGCGGAAGGGAATGCCACTTCCACTTGCAATTATTATGCAGTCCGCTGGGAATGTTGAGGTCTGGAGCAGTGCTGAGAGGAACCGTGGGCTCGGATACAATGGGCATTCAAAACGGACGAAACAACGGCATGCACAGAAGGCTCGAGAAAAAGAAGACGAAGACGCCGTAACACGCAAAGGGTGAGTACGTCGAACTCTGGCAGTGCAGACAAGTCACTCACAGTAATGCTATCCAAAAGACCCAGTGCCAACCTCATGCGCTCGTATTTTGGCAAGCCGCCCACGACTCCTGCCACTCATTCCCTGCCAATGGACAATTCAGCTGAGGACGTTCACAGCAATGGGGGGATTTTCTGTGGATATCTATCAGACAATGAACCCGATGATCTCGCTGATGATGAGTGCGACACACCTGAAGTTCACCCACTGGCATTTACGGCTGCCATGAATGCTTCATCGCAGGGAAATTTGCCCGCATCATCAAGCCAGGATTTCCGGATTGCTGCGCCTCCTCCATTGAAGCGGCGCAAGTTGGATGTGCCGTTTCGTGTTGCCAGATCGGAAGCACATGGAGAGCGAAGGAAGAAGGTGTTCAGCGCTTTGAAGGATATTGAAAAGGTGCTGAAGTCGAAGAAGACTGAGTTTCATGCTGGGAACTCGGGTTTGGAAGCCATGCGTATGCGTGCGATTCGAAGCTACCTGCACATGGTGGTTCACAATGGAAGGGGGAAAATGGATGCGGGAAGTCGTGCATCTGAGTCTCATGGGTTCTCTGGAGGGTGGGGAGGCAGGCTGGTTCGCATGTGGGCAAAGCATTGGATCGAAAATCGGACACGACCCACCTCACGACGTGGCTGCCATCGCAAATCCTTCTCACTGTTGTCGGACCCTGCGATCTGCGCCGAACTTCGCTCGTTTGTCCGTACAAACAAGTGGGCTATGGATCCAGCCAAGCTTGTGGCTTTCAGCAAGAACAAGCTTCTTCCAGATGCCGCCGAGAAATATGTTCATCATATCGTTGATCAGGAGATGCCTTGGGGGTTGAAGAAATACATGGATACTGAATTACTGCCGTGTCTTCATCTGAAAGTGGGAAAGGGAATCTCAGTCAGTACTGCACGGAGATGGCTTCGAAAGGAAGGCTTCCGGTACACGGCACACAAGAAAGGGCTGTATTATGATGGGCATGAGCGGCCCGATGTTGTGGATTACCGCCAGAATGAGTTCCTTCCACGAATGGCAGAATACCGGCGGCGATTGGTGGAGTTTACAGTTGGTGACGTGCAGAAAGAGGTTGATAAAGCACCAGACAACTTTGTCGAGACACGATTAGTGATGCTTGCACATGACGAGATGACAGCACAATCCAACAACTCGAAGGGTGCCAGTTGGGTGTATGATCAGGAGCAACCACTGAAGAAGAAAGGTGTGGGTCGTGGACTTCATCAGAGTGATGTGATATGCTCGACGTACGGTTGGCTTCCTGAAGCCAGCCAAACACTTGAATATGGAAAGAATTATGATGGTTACTGGAATGGCGAGCTATTTGTGAAGCAGGTACGCCCACATTGGATTGTGGTGCCACATGACTGATTTCTCATGGTGTCCATAGCTTGTTGAACGAATCATTCCGGCGTTTGAGAAATATCATGGTGCAGGATACAAAGCACTTATTCTCGTTGACAACTCTCAGGGGCATTCAGCTTACGCCGCTGATGCTCTGCTTACAAGCCGCATGAATATGCGCCCGGGCGGGAAACAGGCTTGTCTGCGTGATGGGTGGTATATTCAGGATGGTATTCGAACATCACAGAAGATGATCTTTCCATCTGATCATCCAGATTACCCGGACCAACCCAAAGGCATCAAGCAGGTTCTTTTGGAGCGTGGTCTTTGGCCCAACAAAGGACTGGTTATGCAGTGCAAGAGTACATGCGAGGTTGGCGTGACAGATTGCTGTGCGCGTCGCTTACTTGGAAATCAGCCTGATTTCAAGGAGCAGCGGTCACTTGTGCAAGAAGTCATTGAGGCTGCAGGTCACGAGTGTATCTTTCTTCCGAAATTTCACTGTGAACTGAACTTCATTGAATTCTTCTGGGGTGCAGTCAAGCGCTACTTGGCCGATCATTGTGATTATACCTTTGACACACTAAAGGAGAATATGCCAAAGGCACTTGCTGCCGTCGAAATTTCCACCATCCGCAAATGGGAGCACCGAATGCAGAGATGGATGGATGCATACAGAGAAGGCTTGGGTGCAAAGGAAGCTCAATTCAAAGTTCGCGAGTTCAGTTCCACAAAGTACACATCCCACCGCCGCATTCCCAACCAAGTGGCGGCCGCGTTCGACACATAGACACATATCTTATCTTATCATTACTTAATTTGGAATATATTACCATATTGGGACACCTCACGTGAGAGTGCCAATTCAATCTTGGTCGTAAAGAATAAGTCCCCCAATTTTGAACTTAAGAAAAATCTGTCTGATGAGATTAATCCCCATATCAAAAGGAGCTGTTTGGCAAAAGGGATAGTAATTTGAGCCAGATTTGGAGTCCCTATTTCGGTTGCACCAAATTGGAGGGCTCTAGGTGAACCGCACCATAGTATTCAGCGGAGGGCCCGGCTCATGGCCCCAGAGGTTCATTTCTCGTATGTCTCTCCGTTCACGGTTCCATTTCCCTTCGAGATAGAGCCTCCAAACACTCCCGAACCTGTTCAAGACAAAGCTGCATACATCGAGCAGTGGTTAAGTGCAAGAGAGGCCAAAGTTGTGCGAAACACAGTCGGGAATGGCGCAATGAAGGTCTATTACCCGGAGAATAGAGAGACACGTAGGGAATTGCTTGGGTTATCTGAAAATGCGCTCAAGGACTGTGTACCCGCGTTGGACGTTGGAGACGCCTTTGCGACGCTGGGTGTACCGTGCTTGGCGACACCTGACGACGAAGGCGCTCCTACTCCTTCAAGCTCAGAGGATATCGTGGCCGTGCGGCGGGAATTGGTTGATGTCCTAAGTGGTTACGCCGTTCTGGGTACAGACAATACATTTGCACCTTGGTCTCTACGCTACAGCGGGCATCAGTTTGGATCTTGGGCTGGGCAGCTTGGAGACGGGAGAGCGATCTCAATTTGTTGAGTCTACGTTCCCATCCTGTCTCCACTCCGTCTGATTGTAGTTAAAGTGGCGACACCCCATCCATCCGATCCTGATATCATTTTTGAACTGCAATTGAAAGGTGCTGGACGCACTCCGTTCTCAAGAACGGCAGACGGGCTTGCTGTCCTTCGATCATCAATTCGAGAGTACCTTTGCTCTGAAGGTAGACTACTATTTGTAAGATTTGTGCTGGTGTTGACCAACTCCCGTAGCAATGCAAGCATTAGGCATCCCAACCAGCCGAGCCCTGAGCATCGTGTCACTCCCTGAAGTACAAGTGGCCAGGGAGCGCATGGAATATGCTAGTGTTGTCACACGCGTAGCACCTTCCTTCATTCGCATCGGCTCGTTCGAAGCCTTCAACGGTCCCGCTAATATGTTCTTTTTTGGCGGCGGCCAACAAGAACCCCATTGGGACGGCCTGCGAAAGCTTGGTGAGTGGGTGTCAACACGGGTGCTGAAGTTGGGTGGGGAACCAGGCGAGGCTTGGGGCGAACGGCTAATAATGGAAGTGGCGAAACGGAATGCGAGAATGGTCGCGGGGTGGCAGGCATACGGGTTCATGCATGGTGTGATTAATACAGACAAGTACGCTCTAGATTAGAATGCTCCTCCTTGCGCTGAAGTTATCATCAGCGTCCACCTGTAGCAGTACAGGTGATACATCATATACGGTAATCAGAGGGCAAGCGTGATATATCAACACCGCTAACTGGAAGCGTATGGCCTGATATATCAGGTCATGTGGTGGTCATGTGCATTACTCATGTGATTACTCCTAAATGCCATCGTCCGCTCGTCTCGAGTAATATCGTCCTCATTGTTGGGCACGACACCGCCTCTGTTACCCTTTATATCCAGGTTGTGCCTCAGCCCCTGTATGGTAGAAATCGGCTTGCAATCTGGCAGTATCTGTCAATTGTCCGATCGTGTCATAAAAGCACGTAGCAGTAGATTGTATTCCTATACTCGGTGTTCCCTCTCAGCTCCTTGTTCCGTTCTGCTCTCGTCGCGACTAATGCTTGCCTCAATCAGTGGCTCACCGGCCAACACTGCCCCCTCTCCCATTTTCATGTACACGTCAACGTTCCTCCAAGTTTGGGTGCAAGTTGCGGACAGTGTTTGTCGCGCGTGCTTCTGTCGCATGGCGTAGGCATGAGAACCGCTCTGGGGCTCCGCTTGCTCAGCGCGTTTATTCCAGATTTCTGCCTGCCAATTATGAAACTGGATAATGCGACACATCTCCTCCCAAAGGAGTATACACTCCTCTTGCCACCTATGTGCTCGCGCCCTTGATTTACACCATTCTATACGCAGCGCTAGAATATAATATGTTCCCATCAATACCACATAACGGAAATGGAAACTGAGAAACCTTCGCTCATTGTTTCCGACATCTCCTGCTCGCTTGTTCGCTGTACCATCCATATCCATGAGAGAGTTCGGCGACCCTCTGAGCTACTAGCGTCGTCACCTGCTCGGAGACTTCGGACGTCAGAATCCTCCAAAGGCAGTAGTGTAGCTGCCCATCCTGTCTTCTTCAGAATATCACTCAGCTTGAGAAGCGCCAAGCGGTTGGCACGGTATCTGCCTTTAGCAAAAGCGAGCCGCGCCTGGATGTTCTTAATGAGAGTGGCACTTCTTGTATTATGCTGCTGGCCGCGAACGAATCTGTCCTTTGACTGGTACATTGAGCTGATGATGAGGAGCTGACGCCGGAGTTCAGCAAGGTTGTCATGAGCTTGCCCAGTGCGTAGGCGCCACTCGTAGTCGTAGAATTTCGAGTCACTACATGTGTCGGGGGGAAGGTTGGAAGGAAGCATGAGATCAATGTCTTCTGGTGATGTAGGTTCAATGGAAGCTCCATTGATACGACGTCTATACAGGCCCAGGCCGGGGATAAGGAGTTCTTGAGCTGCTTGCCAGGCGGTGATGCGACGCATTAAGCGTGTCTTGCGATCTGTGATCTGAGTTGCTTGGGATTCAGTGAGACTTGAAGGAAGTGCCTTGATGTCTTCCCGCAAACGTGCTTGGTGTTCTTCAATATCGAGGCCTTGCGCAAGCAGGACACTCGGACTGACGGTCTCGCTGGTCAGCAAACCTTCGCCGATGGTAGTCAAACTGGCGTCTTCTTGGGCTAATTGAAGTCGAACCTTGGCGGCAGATACGGCTAAGAGCATAAGGTGATATATCAGTTAATTAGAAGTGACGTGATATATCATGATCGCAAGCATATTCATATAGCGCAGCGATGCTGATATATCATCAACACTGGTATATCACTGAGTTTGCTTACCTTCGACTGTTGCTTGGTAAGGGTTGTTTTCTGATGTACCAGATTCCCAAGCATGTATCAGGGAGGTAAACATCACTATTGTTGCCACCGGTAATGAGTCGCTGAGAGCGAGGAACTGCCCAACATGCTCAGAACGCATGTCAACAGCTTCTTTGACCTTTTTAAGCATTGTGTGGTCTATCTCAGTGTTTGTCAAACTTTATCCGTGATCGCTTCAAGTGATGAAACATACGCAACACTATGACCTTCCGCCAGTTGTAGTCCCCGAAATGATCATCCAAGGTATCACGTCGGGATCCTGGTCCCATTTCCTTCGTGCTGCTGGCCACCGGGTTCATAGCAGCCCAGCCTCGCTCAGGTGATTCGCCGTCAGTTCGTCCGACCCCAGGAGTAAGGTTGAAGGAATAGTTAATTTGACAGTGGGTTCGATGAGCGTAGAGGTGAAATTTGGGTACAAGATATCTAACATTGAGGGCCTTCAAATGTGGGTGTGCAAGATCATCGGGGTAGGAATCTGATCGCCGTAGTAAGTTTCGCGACCATTGACAAGCAATGTCATATGAGACGACTAATGTTGCGGGGGAGTGGTTTCTGATGCTAGAGAAATACAAGTAGTCCATATTGTCGTATCTACGCCGCAACATTAGAGTCTGGTTATGAATTAGATGAATGAATAACGTACCGTTCACCTTTCTGCAGATCCCCAACTGAAACTGGACACTTCATATCATGCCTGCTACATTCAATTGTACCCACACCACTCGCAGTTGTCCCCTTGCCCCCTCGGATACTAGCCGACTTAACGGCGTCGTAGTTGTTGCAGGTGCTCGCTTCTTCTATGTCAGCACGGTGTGTATTGAGGAATTCCTTATATTTGACTTCTTCGACGAAGTAGGCGCTTCCCTGGTTAAGACTTGGATCGCGGGCATCACTCGATGCAGACAATCGTTTCAAACGGAAGTTAGCGTCGATTGCCAGGAATAGCGCATAAATCCACCTTGACAAGAGAAGTCAGTGTCTATCAGGCTTTGACAACGAACCACTTACTGCTTCTGCTTCTCAGCCTTCTCCCAATCCGAAGGGAGGTTCTTTCCAGGGTGAGGACATGCTGGACAAAGAACGGCACATTCGCCTTCCCTCGTGCCGCCTATGCCTGAAGCTTCGTGCCCACGCCCAGATCGCTTCATTAGCCGCACATGGCGCCATTCCCGCACAATTCGCATGAATGCACTGTACCGGTCCTATGTTGACAGCTCAGCAAATGATATCAAGTTATGACACTGGGAGAAGTTACCGTAACTTGCTCGCCGAGATTGTTTGTGAGCCTGGCTAGCGACTGGTAGAATTCATACCCCGAGACCTTGGAGCTGAATGTGAGCAACTGGAACAGTCGCAAGACTTCGAAAGTAGCGGCCGTGCGTGGATTCAAGACAGTAGCTGGGAATAAACGTGCTTCAAGTAGCTGAATGTCACGGTCTACTCTTGTGCAATCACAAAAGTCTAAGCTAATCGGTACGAGGCCGTGCGATGTTATGACGATGAACGTATCACCATACGATGGTGCAGGCTTAAAACACCGTTGACCGGTAGGGTGCCCCAATTGTACACGAAGGCCGAGGGACTGAAGAGTACACCGTTCAAAGAAAGACGAGTTCCAAAACTGAGACAGCATTAGTACACGTGTCAAGAACTTAATCTGGCAGGGCGCACTTCAACCTGGTGAAACGGGTGTGCTGAGTGGCGATTGACAATACATGGTTGGCAAAACAAACGCTCGTCAAAGCACTGGGGGCAACGATATGAGATATCTGTTGGCGTTTCACAACCCGGGCAGGTGCTGGGCCGTTCGGCGGGTGCTTCAAGGCGCAGAAACTCGCGGACATAGGCATCCCTTTCTTTCATCCAAGTCAACAATGGAGCGTCCTAATTACCAGTCAGCATCAAATAGTCCAATATCAGAAAAGAAATACGAGTACCCCCGCTAACCGCCTGCGAATTGTGTTGGCTTCCTCAATTTCCATCAGTGTATCGGTAACAGGTAGATCCAGGATCGAGATCGCCGATTCATTGGCTTCGCTGACAGTGATCGGCTTTGGTGGCGATGATGGAACTACATAGGTTGAGCGAGTCGCTTTGTAGCCATTGGTTCCGGACACATAGTCAACGTGATGATGGATATTTGCTGGTGTGGGTAGAGGGGGATTGTCTGTCGGCCAGTCTGTATAATATTCAACCTGAACTCTGGAGCGTTTACGATGGCGGCGCGTAGTCATTGGATAGTGCTTACCTTCATCTCGACTCCCTTATATGCGGCATCGTAGAGAAGCTGCATGCACGACCTGGTAGAAAAGGTGCATTTAATTCATACACGGTTAATAGCGGGATGGGAGAACATACTCAGTCTGCAGGAGAGAAGCTGTTACACGACCCATTCATTCATAAACAGTTAATAGCGGGACGGGAGAAGATACTAAGTCAATGGTCACACCAAGGTCTAATTGATTTTGATTCTCATGGTCAGAAAGTATCAACTGATGTTTTGGTGGTTCCTTCTCACGATAACAACCGACTGAGTAGTAAAGTCATGCAACAAAGTTATTATTTTGTAGCCCACATATGGATAGCAAAATTAATGAATGGCAAATGCTATCATATACTGGTGGTGTCGAGGCACGCCGCCGAATAGAACCCCATTCCTGTTGCTTCGTTCCCGTCAATTTTGGGCAAATGCTATCATATACTGGTGGTGTCGAGGCACGCCGCCGATAGAACCCCATTCCTGTCGCTTCGTTCCCATCAATTTTGGGCAATTTGCAAGAAAAACTGGTGTACCCGGCGTTGCCTATCAGCTGAGATAGTCATATATTCCATCCAGACTTGATCCCAGTACACTGGAGTGAGCCCCGAGTAGAAGAGTGACGACATCTGAAGCGGCTTATTGAAGCTCTACCGTTTGGTTAGCCTTGTGTGAAGCATAAAAACGGGAGAACACACCCTCTTGGCCCTGCTCACCGCCGAGCCAAAGGCTACAGGGGCTATCCCTTTGCGTGAAATGGGAAAGCGGTCAAAGAGAAGGCGATGGGCTGCCTTGAGGAACTGAGGTTCTTGCTTGTTCACCTTCGCTTGCAAGTAATATGGCAATACCGATTGAACGAATGCAGCCACCTGGTGGCTTTCTCCTAAGTTAATGCCGCCACTAATACTAACACTCATGGCAATTGTCGATATCGGTAACCTAATATAATTAGCCGAGCTCCGTCAGGATATAGTTTACTCACCGAGTCAGGGTTAGCCTGGAGTCAGGGATGTCCAAAAAAAGTCCCGAGTACAAGAGATTGAGCTCGATTGAGCTCCGACAGAGCTTTGAACCATGTTCACGTGATGATACACTTATAGGGGGGAAGACATGAAATTGCACTGTAGTGAGCCATGCCTGATTATATGTGGATATTAGTGGATGATTAGTGTCAGTTAAGCATTGTACACAAGACCCCTTGATTAGTTTTCAGCCAATGCTGCTTGATCCCGCTCCTTGAATAAAGGTCAAATTTTGGATTAAAGGTCAAAGGGCACTCTTCGAAGGTTGGCGTTCCACACCTTAAACTCAACCATCAACTATAGTCATGGGTCGCGGTCGGCCTCGCATCTACAAGACGGCTGAAGATAAAGCCAAAGCCAATCGCGCCAAGAGTTTACGCAGCTATTATAAGTAAGCCGCAGCCCTATTTTCTGGCGATTGAGTTTCACAACAAATGTTCTTTGTTTTTGGTCAGACGGAAGGCAGCACTGGCGCCTAGCCACCAAAACAGCAATGCCCGTTATCGTGCCGAGATCTCGAAGTCAGCCATTGCCTACTCCTTCCCCAATCGGTGGCTAACATGTAACAGAACTTCGGTACTGCCAGGTGCGACAGTGGACAAGAAAAAGACATCAGGGTAAGTAGATTAATCTATCCCCCTGAGGTCTAATTCTGACAATCAGGCAAGCGACCCTACAAATATCAAGGGCTGGGTGTCCCTCGGGGCCGACATGGCAGAGCGTTTCGACTCATTCATCAAAGCTACACCACGACGCTACTTTGATTTACTCTACAAGCAGTATACTAACAACTATTGAACCGAGATATTCACCAACGAGCTCCTTGAGATAAGGGAGATACATACCAAATTGGAGAGGTGTCACAAGGAAATACTACAATTAGCCGGCGTCGGCAAAGAACTCAAGGTCGTGCAGGATATAGGCAAGGTGGTGGAACAGGTTCTGAAGTGTCTTGAGGAGCTTGAATGCTATTCCTCGTTTGGGAAAGCGGAGATAATCGAGATGCAACGCGGCCGTCAGTTAATGTACCAATCCATTGCTTATTAGGTGTGGCACTGTAGCTCAGAGAATTTGACGCAATGTGATTTCGACGCAATGTGATTCATTAAAGTCCGGGTGGTACAAGAGGTATGGAAAGCGAGTAAATAAATGTGAAGGGTATGGCAGTGTCTAGTCAACATAGATCCCAGCAGCTCCGGCATTGACGCGTTCATTGAAGTGGGCAGTAGCAGCGGCTAGAGTACTGAAGCCCCTGCACTTCCAATGAGGCACGTTCGCGACGAGGGGCTCAACGATGCCATACCTAGATAGCTTTGTCAGTTCATAGTACACTGCTGAGGCATGGGAGACGTACCAGTCCCTGAACACCCCGATCTGTCGACCATAAGTAACGGCGTACCAACGACCATTGTTGCCTGCAGTCGAGGACAATGCGTGGCCAGGGGTGCTTGGTGGCGTGCCAAAGTTTGAGCTGGTGGCCGCGCTCATCAAAGGAAAAGAGGGAGTGCTGGGAAGCAACGGAATGGCAGGAGTGGGAGTGGGAGTGCTGGGGGGCGCTGGGACAACCACCGGAGCGGGAGAGACCGTAGTGCTTCGGGACGCCGGGGCAGGAGTGCTGGGCGGCGCTGGAACAACCGCCGGAGCGGGAGAGACTGTAGTGCTTCGGGCCGCCGGGGCAGGAGTGCTGGGCGGCGCTGGAACAACCGCCGGAGCGGGAGAGGCTGTGGTGTGTGGGGGCGAGGTTGAGACTGGGGGATTGTTGATCGGGGTCATGAAATGAACGGCGTCGCAGGTTGGGCACCGGAAGACTGCGGCAAATGCTATGAAACTACAGTAAGTGATATATCATGGAATTTGCTAGTACTTAGACTGACCTGTAATTGGTAAGGTTCCAACCGTTGGAGACGGAACGCCTGGTCCTTGCGTGGCTGCCGTCGTTGCAACTGGTGGCACAGCAGGAGCAACAACGGCAGCAGGAGCTGCGGCAGGGGCGGGAATGGGAGTGGTCGTGCCAGCAACGAGTGCGGAGAGACTAGGAGGTAGAACCATGACCGTGGACAGGTCTAGTTGAGACAAGTGGTTGATGAGGTCACCAACAGTGGTTTGCATGTTTGTACATATGCAAATGGAGAGTGGACGCTGAGAAAGGTAGACAGAATGCCGGCTTATATAGAAAGCACGCTGATGTATCGACCAATGGTGCGCTGAGGCCTGCAAAGCTTAAAAAATGGGTGGGTGATACATCGTGTGCAAAGAAGCTTTTGCTCACTCAGAAAGGGACTAGCTGCAAGCTCGCTGTCTCAATGGCCCCACCAGAGAAAGTGAGCGCAGACCAAAAGGCATTCCTCGAGAACCTCGTGAATGACTACCTCGAGGTCAAGAAAACAGGAGCGTGGGCGAAGTTTTGGGCAAGTACGTTCCAAGCCTGGCTCAAGCTTTGGCCGGAGGATGAAGACGCGGGCATCATGGAAGAGGGCGAGCGAAAAAAGGCACTCACTGACGCAATCGATGAAAGACAGCAGGTGAGTGAAGATTTCCGAGTTTAGGCATACATCGACCCTGACAATTGTCCCAGTATATCAAAACCTGGTTCCGTAATCATGCGGTCCGAAAAGCCAAAGTGTCGAAAAAAGTGAAGTCAGCAAAAAGAACACGCGCTCCACAGCTTCTCGAGCTCTACTCTGAGCAGTACTACAACACTCGGGTCGCCTCTAAAGTAGCCACCATCTTCAATGAGAAAAACCCCCCGGAAACGGTGCGTTTGAAGCTCATTCGCTCTGAGCTTGACAAGGCTTTTCGTTTGGAGCCACCGCACATCCAGGAGCAGATTGTGGAGGAGCACGCCAAGCTGCTGGCAGAGAGTGCTGCAAAGAGAAAACACACCGCAGAGCGCCAGGCTCCCACTCCTCAGAGCTACAATGTGTGCGTACACCATCTTTGGTGATCACATACCTTTACTAACATCTTCTATAGCGGGATCGATTCCATTTCAGCAAACTTTGACATCTTTGAGGAACAAGTTGCTGCAAGCGGTTGGTCGTTTGTCCTCCTGGCGGGCGGACCGGATCCCAAGAACGCAGGCCAAATCAGCACCGTAGCGTAAGTCCATTTGTATTGGGTATATACTCTAACTGACACTATCTTGTTTGAAGCTTTCATAGTGGCAGGAATATACTTGGACTCACACATTCGCAGTACGACCCCAATTTCATGCGGGCTCATGTACCCGCCTTCAAGCGCTTCCTACAGACTTGCTACAGTAAGTAGCAATGCGTGCTTCATCCACCAAAGTTGACTAATGAGGATGTTCATTAGCACCCAAAGACTGTGAGGAACGAGCTCTAAACAAGGCCACCACGTCCGGGTCGAATGGGACCCCATCTCCCGAAAGCCCGGCCCCCAGCCCAAGCCCAGTTCTTGTGCCCCCTGCAACAACCCCGCTCGTAAATGTTCGCCCTACCGTCAAGCCGACTCAAAGAGAGTTCGGTGCCAATGTGGTCGCAGCCGTCGATGTCGCTCAAGTAAACCCCATGCCTGGACCCCCGACAGTTCCGTTCCCCATTGATCCCATGGTGTTCCCCACTGAATACGGCGATGTGAGCGACACAGCTGACCCTACCTTGTGGGATGGGTTCAACGTAGCGGCTGCACTCAACACCATGGACACTAGAACCGATGCGGGATTCATCGGGTACCCCTCCCTTACTGAGGAGCTGGCTGCGCCACTCCCCAGTTTCCTCCTTCCTCTAGCCAGCTTTCCATACTCGTTCAGCACTAACGGTTCTATCGCACCTGGGGTGGTCCCAGATGCTCCCATTGCCAACGGTCTCAATACCGACACTCTCATTGTATCGAACACACCCATTACGAACACACCCATTGTTCCACCCCCTGCGCCCAACGGCCCCCCTACTGTCCCTGTGGCGGGTATCCAGGCTCCTGCCAGTCGAAAAGCCGGTGCCAAGGCTCGGGGCAACCGAAAAGCCAGTACCAAGGCTCGCGTCAGTAAAAAACAGACTGGGACTGTCAACGACAATCCCCCCCTCACTGTCGCCAACGACGCCCTTGCCAACAACAATCCCCCCTTCGCTGTTGCCCACGACGAGCCCGACGAGCTCCCTGTCGCCAACGACGCCCTTGCCAACAACAATCCCCCCTTCGCTGTTGCCCACGACGCAAACGACAATCCCCCCTTCGCTGTTGCCCACGACGAGCCCGACGAGCTCCCTGTCGCCAACGACGCAAACGACAATCCCCCCTTCGCTGTCGCCCACGACGAGCCCGACGAGCTCCCTGTCGCCAATGACGCCAACGACAATCCCCCCCTCGCTGTCGTCAACGACGCCCTCGCCAACAACAATCCCCCCTTTGCTGTCGCCCACGACAAGCCCGACACGCTCCCTGTCGCCAACGACGCCAACGACACACCTACTGTCCCGCTCATCAGCACCAAGGCTCGTGCCAGTCAAAAGCGGCCCAGGAACGACGGTCTCGAGCCCGCACTCATTGTATCTACTAAGCGCCTTCGCAAGACCCAGACGCGCACTGAGATAGAAGCACTCACAGACAAGATCCCCCCAAAGATAAAGGAGAACCGGTATGTTATTTTATGATATCCTGATTCAGAGCTCGCTAATACTTCTCTTTACTTAGTCGCCCTCGCCCACGCCGTTAACTGATTCCTACCAGTATATCTGCGCTCAGTCTTCTGTCGTGTTGTTGTATAGGTTGTCTGTTACGCTTGTTGTCTGTTACTCCATGTGATAATATACCTGCTGCATGTCATATGTATTACACATGAACCACGGCTGAACGTGAGAGCTTAAAAAGTGATACATCACTGCACGCAAAAATGCTCAAAGCCCGTAGCGCCCGCCGATGTGATACATCACTGCTTCAATGTTCATGCAAATTCTCCCAAGTCCGTAGCGCCCAATGTCGCGTAATATCTTCCGAAGTCCTGTGTTTTACCGTATGTTATTTTTCATGACGAAATTCTCACTACGGAAGTACCGTGAGTCGGACGTTTGAATCACAGATAGAACAGGACCCACCGTGAATGACTAAACGAGTGATCAGATATGATAGTGGTATGTTTTATCCCTGACATAACCGCTTTTACAGAATGGAAATACATCTTATTGGGTGTCTAGCAGTGCTAGCAGATAGGGCGGGACGAAACGAGCTGCCCTGCATGTATCCAAGGCTGGTGCATCCGCTACATGATATGTCTTTTTCCATGTTTTTCACCCAGTCAGATTTGGTGGATGTAGATGAATCTATCTCACGCAGAAGACCCTCTCCATCGCTAGATTTCGCCTAGATTTGGAACGGCTTCACCACACGCGATGCTCGCGTGGACAGGAATAGCCCCAACGGGTATGGCGACGCCCAGCCGCATTGGGGGGGAAAGGGCGCTTCCCTCCACCCAACACCTACCATGGGGCGGACGCTGGCGCGCTGCCCTCACGTGTAGGGTCAGGCGTGCTTCACGTGCAACTTTGACATGATGTATCACCCCACAGTGGGAAAATGGGACGAGAACTAGTGGGATTGATATATCACGGTGCCCCGGTGATTACAAGGTAATGATCTATCAGACAAGCCTCTACGCCTGCAGCGTCTCTATCTTAGGGCTAACGATTGACTATGGTTAGTGTTTACTACTTTTTTCAGTGCTCCTCCCACTGAAGAGGAACACAGGTCCATATGCCTTCATGGATGTTTTCAACCCGTTTCATATCTGCAATCATACGGACGAATCTGGGAGATACGCATACATGGTGGGTCGCAGTATTTTTTTGTCCAAGACTCCCGGATTAATGAGTGGACCCAGTACCAACCAAATATGATGTATGTCAAGACTTCGGAAGTGGGTTGATATTTAACTCGTATCTGACCGCGTTCCCTTTGCAGAATCTACGCATTGCGTGCCTTGCTCAACGCGCTGGCCCCTCTGATAGGTGCTGAGATGGAACTCGGCGGTAAAGCTGTCGCAGCAGGTTGGGCCGATGGAGTATCCTCCGACAAGATCAACGAATGGCGCGAGAACGCTGTAGACGCAGTTAAAAATGAAATGGAGAGGGTTATGCAAGAAACCACGTCGCAAGAATATTCCCAGTTAATGCGCAAGGTACCCCTCTCCCCAGGTGTAGCTACAACCGTCTCTGATTCCATTTTCCATCCTTATAGCGCCTCGCTCTTCGTAGAGGGACTCCCCGAGATGACAGCCAATTATTCAAACCTTTATTGAAGATAATGCAGGACCATAGGCTTGACTTCCACTCGACCTTCCGTAAGCTATGTTTCTTCCGCCCCTCAATGCTGGGCTTGGGGTCTTCGGATGCGGCGAATAAGGCGGTCGACGCAACCAACAACCAACCACCGTCGAGTCACACCGGCCTTCCTCCTCTGCAAGCGTTCATAACAGATCTGCTAGCGCTAACCCCAGAGGCTCAGATAATGGACCACGGTCAAGCGACGAGTGATTGGCTCAAGTGGCTGGAGGTGTATTCGACGCGTATTGAGAGTGAAAGGGAAGAATGGGTGCCACATGGAGAGGAGACCGAGTTCGACTACGATGTCAGCCGGGAGAAAGCGGCCAAGGCGACGAATCCAAGATTCGTGCTGCGGCAATGGGTGCTCGAAGAAGTGATATCCAAATGCGAAAAGGATTCGACCAGCGGCAAGAGGATTCTAGCGAAGGTCATGCATGTGGGTGTTCTTGCTCTCCGACGTGATTTTCGTATGACTCACTAAGCTCCGCCGCTCTAGATGGCAAGCAACCCCTTCGAATCATGGGGCGCTGAGGATGATGATAGAACGGAGATTGACCTCGATGCAGAGGAAAGGGAGGAAAGAAGGTACTGCGGAATGGGAGAAAGGCGGTACCTTGGTTTCCAGTGCAGTTGCTCCAGTTGAGACACCTGCGCAAAATGAGTCTGCCAATCACCACTGTCATCCCCCGTATGGTATCTTGATCTACTATTCTATGATTCCCCATTCAACGCAGTAGCCCCACGCAAATGGATCCTTCCTCACCAGAGGTCGGAGTTTCCCTCCCTAAGCCTGCAACGTACGACATTCCGTCGGGTTCACATAACAAATAACCAATGAGCGGAAGTAGAGCAGTTTTATATTTGGCGCGGCAACTGAAAGCACGGACTTAATTTACTTCCGATGTTGTAAGTATGTTTGTCGGCCGGCTTGGCCCCATGACACGTTGTTTATGTCCCTCGAGCGGGGGCGTTGGACAGGCTGTACAGAGTCTTGAAGCGAGGGAGAATCATGACAGGTTTTATGATCTACGAAGGTTACTCAATGGTTGGATTCTTTCGGAGATGCCCAGTGGTGCACATGTGACGGCGTCATCCTCAGACTTTTGTCATTGCAGCGCGAACATAAGGTAAAATCGACGGGGACGATGTTAGAGCCAGGGCAAGTAGCCTCTCAGGTGCTCGTTCCACTAGGTATTCGTTAATGTGAGTGCCGACGCCGACCAAGCAGGAAGATCGATGGGTCCGCGAGGGGCTTGAGAGGTCATCTTGCAAAGTCGGCGACATCGCTTGTGTTCTTGTTCGCGTCTGGCATTGAAATTCGTGGACAACAATGATCAGAAAGAAAGAATTGGGGCTCGAATATGCCTCATTGAGCACAAATTGGCCCCCGTGCAGACATTAGAACGTTCGAGGAGGTGCCACAATGTGTCAAAGTGCCACTGGAAACAACCACGTCCCGACGGAGAGAATTGTTAGGAATGATAGCAAGGAGGAAGAGGGGCTTACTCACCAAAGGACTGTAGCCATCAAGCGAAGAGAAGAGGGAGAATCTCAAAACGGCGAAGGGTCTTGGAGGACGAAAGGTATAAAGTCTGCTCTTTTCATACCACACCTACCTCAGTAGCCCCAACTACTAGAACTCAAGCACAACAAGTTCACTCTTCAGCATCATGCCTTTCTACGCTTATTTCTCTCAGGTCAGGACTCCTTGTTTCTGGTATAAACGGTATGCTCACCTCATCCCCCAGGTCAGCACCGACGTCACTTGGCGCATGGTCATGATCTTTTGCGACGCCGCCACGGCTGACGAATGGTGGCGCGCCGTCTCGGGAGCAAAGTTAGCAGGAGCAAATGCCAACCTGCTCGCCGACATCAAACGCGTCAACCCCCAGTTCTATAACCACAACGTTGCGGTTTTCAACATCCTCAACTTCTTCAGCGATGCACGCCTCAACGAGATTGCACAGCCCTTCCGCGGCCGAGCGTTCGTTATGACTGAGAACGAAAGCACTGCACGAGGAATAGACATCATCCCCGACCAGGGTGCAACTGACCTCATTAGCGGAGACTGGTAAGAGCTTTGCCGATTTGGCTGGTATTAGTGGTAAATGACCACGACCATAGGTTCTACGTCCGCTCCAAGGTTGACCCCTCCACGTACTGGTTCTACGACCCTAGCAGAGGCAGAGTGGTCGCGTCCCACACCAGGCGTACCATGTTCCGCGTGGTCACAAAGAATGTGCCAGAGAAAACGGTTATGATTCGCTCCGACGCTGTGACTTTGTGGGCGTGGGGACAAGATAAGCCTATTCAGATCGACAGCCAGGGAAACCTCACTGGAGGAGGCAATGGCGATTGGACCTTCGAGTTCGAAGACTTGGGTACTGGCCGCTTCGTCGATACCGACGGCGGTGTAGTATATGGCAACATTGCCGACAACGCGCCGAAGAAGCCAGGATGGGAGCTAGTCAATTAAGAGCGTGATATTTCTTAGGAGCTTGAAAGCTGCAGATGTTGGGCATGTCCGATAGTATTTACAGTAGCCTGTAGGGAGTGAAGAATTTATGTGTGAATGATGACTGCACACGTGTGAGCGAATGATATTCACTAACCTGCGACCTAAGAAATGTATTCACAATGGGTTTTCGTGTAGACCTTAATCAAGGTCGTACTTAACTGCGGGCGATAATGGGTGAGAGCGGTTGATATTTTGCCGAACTGTTGCCTAGTCCCAGTTACTTGCTCGTCTACCGCTCGCTCGTCCCTTCTTGACGTCGCTTCGATATGTCTTTTCTTTCCTTCGTTTCGCATTTTCCGCTCGCTCTAAGCTGGCGACGCGTTGCTTCTGCTCTGCCGAGGGCTCATTTCGAATTGGGGCAATAGAGGCTGATAAAACCAGTGAATGAAGCTAGTGTATATGAAGGAGGATGTCATTAGTGAGATTTAGTAGCATTCCGAATTTATAGTTAGCTACTTTTGCAAGACAATCATCGATGTTCTGTGCTTGTGAGCGGGACGACGTAGATGTAATGAGCAAGGATTGGGACGATGAGACATATGTCGGCTGTAGAATTCAACAATCAGAGGATGCTATCCAGAGTCAGATCTAAGTAAGTATACCAATTTGCGTAAGGCAGCGTGTGCCCACATAGGAATCCAAGCCGAGTTCAGGGGGCATCTAAGCGTAACTTTAGTGTTCACTTTGTTCACATTCTGCAGAATATCATGAACTTCGATCCGCCGTATAAACTTATCTGCTCACTTGACCGCCAGGCCCAGAACTTCGCGAAAAGCTCAGTTCGACAACATTCTTAGGTACCTGCTGGCCCTTGAACTGGGCAACCCATTCGCGTGCTTCAGAGGCGTCCTGAGTAGTTACCAAATTTTCCAACCGTGGGGGATTCTTGAGAGCTGGTGAAAATACTCCCGTGCTAGTTGCAAACCCATTTCTGAGACATCGCCAAGGATGGGGAGTCTGGTTACATGCAAATGGTGCGATGGCTCCCTGGAGAACTCGAAGCATGAAGGAAAGAAATTGGCGCTCAGCACTGCCACTCTTTAGCTTCAGGGTCTCAGAGCCGTCGGTGGTACCGGCTCCCCAAGAGTCGTTGTGCAATTCGCCACAAGCTGGCGAAAGAAATCTGGGGAATGGAAACCCCCGCTTAATCCCAGTGAACTTCAACAGGTTATTTCCCTTCACCCACAATGCAGCAAGGCTTTACAACCATTTCACCTGGCGTTCTAGTTTCCTTTGGGGAAGGACTGACTGAGGTCGAGGGCGGAGAAGATCCCAAGTGAGTAGATTATTGTCTTTTGGATACGCTGAACCTGAACTCTTTCGGAGTGTTATCATCGTTTGCGGTTGGCGTAAGTGGGCCACGTTCGCCGCAATTTCAATATAGCTGAGGATAAGAACCCATTGAAAGTCGGCGCCAACCTAGCGCATATAGAAAAATACACGAAAGTGTATAGGGAGAGGTATCCGAACGCGACCATATTCCTATTGCGCTCGTATCACAATTTCTTTTGGAGTTCTGAACGGACAATCGTGAGTGGCACGCGCTATAGCCTTGTAATCGAAACACTCACTTTGGGTTGACTTCGGGCCAGGCCTCGAAGATAATGCCGCTGGTGGCTTGTTTAAACACGCTAGGGTGCATCAAGTTTACCAACGGGCGTCCATCTACTCTCATAGATCCACCACTACCTGTTACTTTATCTCCCCTATCGACACCACGGATCTTGCTTCACTCATTTTCTAATGGTACAGTCTAGAATTGTCATAAACTATAGTACACGCTGACTCTCTGTTCGAAGGCGGATCTCTCAACGTCGTAGCACTGGCAAAGCTATTATCAGTTATGGGATGCACCCCGGTCCGCCACATCTCTGCCATGATCATAGACTCATCCCCCGGAGGCAACTTCACCACTACAAAACGCGCGTTCAGCGGATTCGTCAAGAACCCCATTCTCAAGTATTTGGCGCTCGTCTTCATCCATATCTTCTATTTTTCACTCTACGTCAGAGGGAAGTTGCTAGGCCACCGATCACCCTTTCAGGTAATAACCGACAACTTTGTGAAACCGAACATTCTACCGTGGATGGACGCGCGTACGCCTAGATTGTATGTGTTCTCGAAGACGGATGAGTTAGTGCCGTGGGAGCACGTTGATGCAACGGCGAAGCTGAGCGCGAAGGCTGGGCTGGATACTCGAGTTGAGATGTATGAAGATAGCCCGCATGTTGCTCATGCTCGGACCGATCCTGCGAGATATTGGGGAGCCATTAGAAGGATGTGGGAGGCTGCGTTGAAGACCCAGAATGAGTAACAAGTAATTATGTATGGCACATCAGTTTGCTTGCTTGGGGTCAGGATATTTCTCCACTTCTCGCTAAAGGGGTTGGATCATGTCCAAAGTACAGCACACGCCTTCTCATACATATTTTGTTTATCTCTTACTGGTATGCCAGTGCTATACTCGTAAGGGTGACTGCACACTTTTGTTATTATCCCACAGTTGGCATTTCTTGACTCTGAATTTCCGAAATTCATTCCTCCGTTCCGTTTGGCCACGTGATGCCTGGTTTTAACTTCTACAGTCACCAGAGTCCGTTATCGAAATCAAGCACTCATCTCGACGTGTCCGTCCAGGTAAAAGGCAGAAATGCGAACGCGAGAGCGCTTCGATGTCCTCCTCAATCGTGAGCTTAGCATCTCCGAATCCAGTACCAGCGTGATAGGGTTCTCCACAGCAGTGGATATGCACATCAGGGATGCCGACATTCTCCTGCCTCTCATCAATTGTTATGCAAAGATTGTTAACGACATTGCCCCGTAGGTTGCTGGAGGCGTGACCCACTCATTCGAAGGGGAGGAAAATTGAAGGGATAGCCGCGGGTGAATTTCATTGAACACCGAACTCCATCTCCTCGAGTCCTCCTTTGGGCACCTTGATCATCATCCTCATGAAATTTCTCCCTATTGACATCAATAGTGGACATCAGTAGGTGGGTTGCTCATTCCGGTTGCGATTACTCTGTGCTAACTCAAGCGCATGCATTCTACGTTCGAGTATGTACGCCACAGGATGTGCGTCGAAGCATTGGCCCCTACAACACTTCCGCCCTCCACACCAAAGAACTCCATATCCCCTCCACCGTGGTCATGACCCAGACGATTACTTGGACTGGACTCCGTCGAACCCAACAGTTACCGGTGTACGCTCCGACTCTTTTTGATCATGCTGATCGGTGGTCGCCTTCTATCTTATCTCATCTATACTTCTCCCATTATCGTTTTCATCAGTGGCTTCTGGATCAATCTCGTCCTGTTCACGTTGGTGCAGTACTTCAAAGGCTGGAGCATGGAAGCGAAGGTATACCGGCCAGAAGCAGTGACCGTAGGATCTATCGCCCACACAAGCTCTGGTCCAATAGCACAGTTCGATTCAAGTTGCCTCTGGACTTCGTGCGCATGGACAGGCGCCCAATCCAAAGCTTCTGGATATCCCCCATGCCTAACCACTTCGATCGAGTCAGTACATACTAGTACTCTGAGCTTGAATTCGATCAAAGGATTTCAGGCCAGGATAGCCTCCAGAAGTGGTCATGGGAGGCCCCGAGAACTTAATGTTCATCCATTTCGAGTCGCCCTGACTTCATCAATGGAATTGACAACCATCGCGGTTGTTCAGGCATCGAAGCTATTAGTAGTGGTTCGACGGTCATTGTCTGCGCAATGATGCTCCGAGTCCGAGAAGGTTATCCATTCCTAAATCCGCCAGATGTACGTCCGTTGTGCACGGCCAGTTAGGGGCGTGCGGATGGAGGATCTAATATAAGCCCCTCCTATGAAGAAGTATTCCTTCAACGCATGTAGATGTTTATTTGAGCTTCGCCGGGACATGGACTGAGCCTGGCCGGCGCTCCTCAGCTGCTTGTATTCCTGGATAGGCTTCCTTGGGTTTCGGTGTGGCTGGAAACAGTTCAACCGTATTTGAAAGCTCATTCAATCATGAAGTACTAATGCCATTAGCGAAACTGCATCAGAAGAGCTATTGCCACTTATTGCAGGCAACCTTCTTGTCTTGTGCAATCAAGGCAGCCTCCAAAACCCCATTACTCGTTGGTCCATGAAACCATCATCCGTCCCGGCGGCACTGAGGTATATCAGCATCCGTGATGTCAACGTTAAGCGAGAAGGAATGGGCTCCTTTCGCGGTGCTTGAAAACGGATGCCGCTAAGGTGTGGACGATCGAAAAGTAGCGAGTAAATGAGTGCCGGAGCATGGTTTCACAGTCAATGGCCTCGAGGCGAGTCGTTTGTACTCTAGTCGCGATGGATGGGAATGATTGACGAAGGCTTCTAGGTAAAATCGTGGTGACCGCATTGGACAATATGGGTTCCTGTAGGCTGATCAGAGGGGCTAGCAAAGGAGTCCTCGGATGTCTGGTATACTAAGCTGTAAGCTGCTCCACAGTAAGTAGTAGATGAACGTTTGAACCCGTGCGCGCCCCTTGTGATCGAATCTTTCGATCGGCGTAAAACTGATAGCGCCACCGCCATATGTTCTCGAAGGCTTCGACCACCGGTGGAATGAGAAAGCGAGGCGGTACTGGTAGTAGCCTATTGAGCGTAAGCGCCATAGCTCCAATGTCGTTTGCTAGTTGACTATGGATTCATATACGATGAAAGCCGATTAGGGAGTGGAAACTTACATTTATGTGACTTGTCAATCCTTTTTGGATGCTGGATGCTGGAGCATTGAATAGGTCTCCAAATAGCGACCCCATAAGCTCTAGCTTTCAATAGGATGATAGAAGCCGGTGCCGTACACCAGGTATGTATACGGTCTAAGCAGCGAATGGAAACAATGGAACGTTATGCAATTTCCTTCGGTCATGAGAGGTTGAGCATCTTTGCGATGATTCTATCGTAACGTTCGAAATGTGAGACAGATCAGACATCCGTGGATGAAGACACGAATCCATTCGAGTTAGACGTTGGACGCCGCTGCGCACCTGATACGTTGACTCTTGAAGCAAAACGCCAGGGTTGAAGCAATCGCTCTCGGCGCTGGTGAAACTGTCAGAATCAATTCATCGGCACAATACAGTTAAGCTTCGCAGTGGGCTTCGTTCACTATCAGAACGGCGTGATACTCATACTTCCCATGGATGGTTCTTTTACTCGGCGATGTGCTAATTTTCTAGTTCGGCGATGTTTTTTTGCGAGAAGGAAGTGCATTTTGATGATACAAAACTGCCTAAATATGGAGGTCGCCAGGGAAACAAAACAATTAAGGCACCACTGCCTTCCTAAATCGGCTAGGCGCTGGGCGCCTAACACTCGACGTACACATAGCCAAACAGCAATCGGAGAGATTAATGCTGCATGCGCGGTTGGATTGAGTTCAGCACTTCTTTCCTTCCTTTCATTTTCTTCCTTTCCTCGTCGTTATATAACGTCCACGCCGTGGCCTCACATTGGCAAGGACTCTCACCTTCCTTCGTCCGACACTCCCTCTTCCCTCACCCACAATGTCACCCGTAACGACATTCCTCACTCTCGTAACTGCAGCATCCGTAGCCAATGCGTACTGGCTAATGGGAATCGGTGAGTTCAGCTGCGGCCGACGGTAGGCAGAAACTTTGGCTGATATAGTTTATTTGTAGAGAACTTCATTACTACTGAACGGCTTGATCCCATCGTCAACCCCGGCACCATTTCTTCGCATGTCCACTCAGGTGAGCTATCAGTCTACGGCGTGTTGACGGTTACCAAATATGCATCTAGTTCTTGGTGGAAGCAACTTTGCGATGACCACCGACACCGCCAAGCTTCGCCAGAGTCAATGCACGTCAATCCCCATTGCAGAAGACAAGTCCAATTACTGGTTCCCCGTACGTTATCCATTCTGTCCACAATGGAGCTTGACACTGACGAATCCTTCTGTAACGTTCAGCATCTTTACTTCCAGTGCGTATTTTTTTCGGTTTCACTATTTGTCCCGTGTACGAAACTTGTTTGTCTCACCTGTGCCTTGTTTTTTAGATGGGCCAATGGCAACTTCTCTAGCTTGACGGGTGGCGCCGTGATGTGAGTTCCATTCATCAGCCTCATCACAGCACCTATTAAAACATGTTTGATCTGTCCTCGCGTTCTAATTTCCGTATGATAGTTGTGCGTTTTTCTTCGCTGTTGGTGTGCGTGAACAAGACTGACATGTCTCATGGCAATCATTAGATTACTTGTTCGACGATAAGCCTGGTACTACGACGGCATTTCCCGATGACGTGAGTCTAACATTCGCGTTCCCGTACTTCTGGAAGGATGTTAACCTCGCGATTCGATATCAGTTCCGGATGCTTAGTGGTAAGTTGAATTGCAGATGATAAGCCAAGCCATATATAATAACGCCTGTCTTTTTAGGCAGCCCTCTGCTCCGCACTTACGACAGTAATAGCTTTGCGCAACAGGCCGTTACTTTCCTTTGCCTTGACTTCAATGGTCAAACCACGAGGCATAGCGAACTCCCGAATAAGGTTTGCCCATCCGGTGTCCGCGCACAGATCGTGAGTAACGCTTGCTACCTTCATGAAACGCTATATTAATTTAATTATATGACAGAACTTTCCCAACTGCTGGGATGGCAAGGTATGGGACGGATTTAGCTCTTCAACCGTATAAAATGCGATGTTGATGCTCCCTCCAGAACACTGATTCTCCGGACCACAAGTCGCACGTCGCTTTCCAAGCTAATGGTCCTGATACGGGTGGATGCAAGGATCCTAAGTTCCCTATCACGCTTCCCCGTATCTTCATTGAAGTATATTGGGATACCAACAAGTACCCGCGTGATCAGGCCATGAACAAGGATCAGCCTCTTGTGTTCTCACATGGCGACCCCACTGGCTACGGATACCACGCTGGTAATTACCATTGTCTATTTCACATCGAGTCGCCCTGATGGTTTCTTGTAGATTTCATCAACGGTTGGGATGCTGGTGTTCTCCAGAAAGCTGTCGATGGATGCAACTGCAACATTTACGGTGATCCTAAGTGCTGTAACGACAAAGGGATTTTCACCCTCACCAAGGACAAGAAGTGCTACATCACTCCTACCGTTGACGAAACCAGTAAGTCAAATCTGACGGTCGAACCTCATCCAGCGGAGTCACTAACTTTTTTGGCTTCAGCTACGGGCATGCTCACCAAACTCCCCGGTAACAACCCCGTGCAGCCCGCTGGGAAGACCGCCACGATGTTCCCCGAGACCTCAAGGCCAGCACTCCTTGCGCCCGTCAGGGTTTACACAGATGCCAACAACCCAGCCCCGAGAGGTCAGGTTGTGACTCCTGGCTCAAATGGAGACGCTGGTGTCCGGACTTCATCTACTGCAGCCGCCAGTACCTCCGCCGCCTCATCTAGCGTTGCGCCCGCTTCGTCCCCGATTGTTGTGAAGCCCGCTTCGTCCACTCCGGCCGCCGCTTCGAGTGCCGCGCCCGTTCCAACGTCTCCCGATGCCGGGAATACTTTCATTGCTATCCCAAGCTCCAGCGGCGGCGCGACATCTCCAGCAGTCACCGGTTCTGCATCCTCAACCCCTGCTCCTGCACCCACTTCGTCGACCCCATCCCCAGCTAATGATAATCAAGACGGCGACGATGACGAAGATTGCGATGAAGATGACGACGACGAACCTGCTGCTCCTTCTGGTTCTTCGTCCGCCGCGCCCGCACCCAAACCTACGGCCGCTCCATCTACCACATCACCGGATGCCGGCGATGAAGACGGCGATGACGAGGATTGTGACGAGGACGAGCCTTCTTCTCCCGACTCTTCCCCTTCCTCCGTACCTACCCCAGCTACCTCTTCCCCAGCCAGCACCAATGGCGACGCTGACGATGAGGATTGTGACGATGAGGAGCCCTCGACTCCCGCTTCTTCATCTCCCGTGTCCAAACCTACTTCAGCCCCTTCATCTTCAGATAGCGGCGCCGATGATGAGGATTGTGATGATGATGATAAGCCCTCTCCCGCTCCCAAGCCTTCAGCTTCTTCATCCCCGGCCAAGACCGACGATAACGGCGATGCTGAAGATTGTGACGATTCCGAACCTTCCTCGCCTACCACTACCCCCGCCTCACCTGCTCCTACTGTCATCCTCGCACCCGCGCCCGCTGCTTCGTCTGCTGCCCCAGCCAACGGTTCGAACTCGTACAAGATATCCTACAAGAACGGTGTCAAGTGCAAAGTCCGCGACTCTTCGGGCCTGGGCAAGCAGTTCAATCAATACGTTAAGCGCGACTTCAGCAAGGCCGTTCACGGGCACGCCAGGCGACCTTTCTCCCATGACCTTTCCGCTGGTCGACGCCGGTTCGCGCAGTCTCGGATGCAAGCCCTCTGAGCAGCTTCCGGTTTTTTTTTGCTTTCCCCCTCGCTCTGTTCTGTTCACGACCTGTCATGAAAGTCCATTGTATTCCTATTTTCTTCTGTTCGTCGTGCTAGATGCGCTATGTATATACGTCTCATCTCTATCGCTGTCGATTCCTCTGCATATCTGTCTCCTCTCCCTCACCCCTTCGCCTCCCAGTGATGCGTTGCTTTCGCAAACCTGGCGCCGATGCTCTTCCTACGTACGCCCGCATATTCAGAGCTAGTCTACTGGAGTTGGTGTCCTACAATTTCTATTATAGCCGGCGCCTCCCCCCACTACTTATTTGTGGTACTCCTTTGTCTTCTACATAGTCCCGTGTTGACTATACTTGGAGCCGTAGTCTCTTGAAAATTTGAAGTCTTATACATATCCTACCCGCGCGTGGAATGAGAGTTTCGAGCGCTTGAACTTGGGGACATCTGATCTCCGTAACTCTTCCCCAATAATACCATGGTTTTCGGGCGCGAATCCCGTACTGACTTCGTGATCGATGTACGAGGACGTAGTGGGCCGTTCCAGGATTGCTGAAAGAAGAAAAGGTATTTCACTGGCGCTCCTAGCCCCTAGATAGCGTCGGACAGGAACAAGGTAACGTGATTGATTGCTGTTGCCCTTTGCCAAGCCGAGGCGGCGAAGCCCCACTTCGCACATTGTCCTTGTTTGGTCTGCCTTTTGTCAACCTCGAAGCCACCTCCACCAACTCTACCGCAACATCGACGACGTTCCAACGTCTTCCGCCATGGCCACCATATTCGAGGGTCTCTTTCCTGCATTGCGTGAGGGACCCATCTTGCAGCGCCGCCGCCCGCATGATTCCATTGAAGTCATCGATGTTGATGAGCTTGACGATGAAGAAATTGCAGCCTTGCAACGGCCCCTCCAGCGGAGGCGCATACAAACGCCTCAAGAACATATTGAAACTATCTCCCTCCTCGACAGCGATGAGGACGAGCCGCAGATAGTCGCGTCCACCAGTGCTTCTCAGACAGGAGGTGAGTAATGCTCTATTAGGGAATAGGCCTCACTGGTGCTCATAATGTTTGTGGGAATGTAGCGTCCCACTCACGCCTGAGGTCGTTGCCCCCGCCGCCCCAGCGCAACGACATTCCGCCTGTGCCACCCATTCCCCGGCGTCTCGCCGGTCACCAAAGCTTCGTTCCGATGCGGCATCGGCCTCCTCCCCATCCGGACGGCCTCATCCGTCCGTCTTCCCGACCGTTTGAATTCGAAGCCCACATGCAAGGCGGTCCGTCCACTCGACGAACAAACTCTAATGGTCCAGCTCGCAATTCAATTATCGTCCCTATCCGGGGCGCAGAGCCTTCGCACCACGTACCTGTCATGGGATTCGGCGGCGCGATTCTACAGCTGCGCAATCAGAGAGAATCACCAGAGCGTCGAGTTAGGCGCGGCCCTCGGGTGCAAAGGCCTGCTCGCACTCGACATTTCTACTCGGCATTCGATCGCCTGGACGATCACGATATAATGGAGCCGCCCTTCTTCTCGGAGTGGAACATGTTGATGCATGTCCTCGACGCCCCCGAAGCCCGTAAGGAGATTGATTACTCTCCGCACTACACACACTCCTCCAAACCTGAGGCGGGGTTCACGTTTGACTTTGCCTCCGATGATGCGGTTTCCGACAGACCGTCCACGTCTTTCCCCGTAACATCTTCGGAGAATCCCATTGTTTTAACAGATGAGGACACAGAAGCAGGTCCATCCTCCAGCGTGCGATGCGACACACAAAATAAGCAGATGAAGACGCTTCTTGTATGCGCTTGCTGTTCGAAACCTTTGTTGCTGAATAGCCATACATCTTCCAAAGGCCCGGTGGAGGAGCGGAAGCGTCGTATATGGGCTCTTCGGTGCGGGCACCTTATTGATGGCGAGTGCTTGGACAATATCAGCACACCTGGCGTTCCCTCTTCAGATACCGTCGTTCCTTCTGCCTCGGGCAAGAACAAGGGCAAAGCGAAGGCGGCGGACCTGGAAGATGAACCTGGCAGCGATGGAGGAAGTGAGAGCGCCGATGGGTACGACGACGATCTTATACCAGCACCTCGTTATCCGTTAAGACATCGAGCTCTCCACCTCCTTGGACCTGGGACGAATGATTATGACACCTTCTTGCAAGCATCGAATTACCCCCTGCGCAACCGGCCACTACACGCACCTCTTGCTGCACCTCTTGGCACCTCGGCACGACGTGGCGGATCGAAGGCGAACACGAGGCGTTCACGGCGGGGGAAGAAGCAGACATTTGAATGGCCGTGTCCGGTTGCTGGGTGTGAACAGACGCACGCAAGCGTGCGAAGTGGTGATGGAGGATGGGAACCGGAAAAGGACTCTGTTGGGCGCGGAGGCAAAGTAACGAAACCGGGAAGAGGGGTAGTTGCTGTCTTTGCGTAATTGTTGAATATGTATCTGTATGTACTGGCATTGGTATCGTGTGCTAGTAATGCTATATTGCACGTGTATCACGTCCCCAGCAAGTCTCTGTTAGTATATCGGTTAGTACACGCGCCTGTCACGCGCGAAAGCTGGGTTCGACTCCCAGACAGAGAGTTCCGAGTCTTTTTACTCACGTAATCACGCGACCACGACGTCATTACTTTGGTCTCAAGTTCAGTCCGCGCATTGAGCTCATCCTTTTCGGTGCGCCAGTCAGACTGGTCCAACTGCTCTTGAATCAAAGTTGAGTTCCGCTCAGATGTATATAATCCCATCCCTCGTCGCCCAACACCCCCATCTCTCTCTCTCCCCGACCAACACAATCGCCTACCTTACATACCCGTCCTAATCACCGGATACCAAGATGATCAACTATCTCTATATCCTAGCCTCACTCTCTCTATTCCACACCGCCTTGGGCGCTGTCGCTGCAGCTCCAGGTCCTCAAAACGGAACCGACACGACAGCCGTCCATCTCGTCAATCGAAACGTATTTGGCGAACGAGTTGTGTCTCTTAACGTCACAAACAAGGAACAATTCGCGTACGTATCTTTGCCGTTGCTGATGTGCCATGCCTGGATTAATCACGCCACATCTAGTATACAGCTGCCCGAGTACGTGTATTCTACGCGTATGGCTACTTGGCTGACCATTCTACGTCAGGTCGGACGATACGGACATTGACACTAGCAAGACCTTCGGCCACTCCCCTCGTGTTTGGTATTCCCACGGTAACACAACGAACGGCCAAGAGACACTTGCGCAAGACTTCTTCAGCACGTCAGCGACCAGCAAAGAGGGCGGAAAGAACGGCGCAGGATTCGTGCAGCGTCAGCCCGGCCCTTTCTCTGCTTTGATATTTTCTAACTTGTCAATCTGCAGTCGCCGGGTGCATCAACTTAGGCAAAGCTCCCCAACTCAACCCTAGCGACAAGGGCGGCTTCTACCATGACACGCCCGGGGACCAAGCCGAGGACCTTCAAAGAAGTCGATGCGAGGGCTACACGCACTTTGTAGAATGTGTCCAGCCAAGGAACAGGCAGTTTATCCTGAGGTGCTGTAACGACAAGGAAGATTGTCCAACTCCTAGCGGCAGCCGTAAGTCCCTTTCACGTCGACATATGCTCTCTAGCTAACTTGGTGGCAGAGAAATGCAGCGATGTCCTCAGCGGCTCCTATGGCACCTGTTCCGAAGCCAGAACGTAGATTTGGTTCACACTTTCTTATACTTACACTACTAGGTCGTTTGGGGAATATGGATGTCTTTGTGACCCTCGAGAATCTGAGTCGAATTTTCTTCATGCCAATTTTTGCACTTTTTTCGTGAGCTACTTTGATCCTCGACTAAAGACTTTGGAAGAGCCACCTCCCCACTGGTCATGTGATTGTCCAAGGGTCGCGCGAGCTCAGCAACGTACTTAACACGCAACACTCTCGTAACAGCCACTCACAACTGCCCATCATGAGTCAGGAAACAGCGCAGCTCCCAATGTCACCATTCGACAAGAAAACGGAGTCGACGGACGTGATCTTACGCTCGTCAGACGGATTAGAATTTCATGTCCACAAACTTGTGCTGTCGCTCGCCTCCCCGTTCTTCAGTGACATGTTCTCTCTTCCACGCCGGCGGGATTCTGAAGAAGCGGAGGAGAATAGCGTCGACATGGAAGAATCTAGCAGTGTTTTGGACAAGCTTCTCAGATTCTGCTACCCCGTAGATGAGCCACTTTTAGACGACACAAAGCTCGCCTTGGATTTACTCAGCGCCACCATCAAATACGACATGGACGGACCTACATCTCGTGTCAAACGCATCATAATGTCTCCCTCAGTAATCGCAGAAAACCCACTTCTTATCTACTCGGCTTCCTGCAAACTTGGGCTCGCCGATGAAGCGAAACTAGCTGCGAAGATAAGTCTGCGGTACCCTATGCTCACATTAGGCACACAAGGATTGCAGAATCTCCCCGCCCTGGCGTATCATCGGTTTCTGGTCTATCACCAGAAATGCTCGATCACTGCTTCTGAGCTTGTGTGCAAAGCCGACTGGCTGCCGACCGATACCTGGGACTTTTCGAGGCTCTTTGTGCAGGGGACTTGCAACTCGCCGTGCTGCTCGGGGGTGTATTGGGGCGGTATATCGACGAGGAAGTGGATTGGGGACTATATGAACCATGTAAGGGAGAGGCTGCGGATGAGGCCGTCGCCGTTGGTCGTTTACGAGGAGGAGACGCTTGCGCACAGCCTAAAGCTCGCGGGGCGGTGTATAGTGTGCGGACCGACGGCGCACCAGAACCTGAGCCGCTTTGCGAAGGAGCTGTTGGCACCTGTCGTTGAGGACGCTCTCGAGAAGGCGAGTCGGGTTCACTTCTGACAAATGCGGAGATTGGGCGCTCACACGTCTATCCAACCATCTGCCCTAGATCGAGCTCGAGTTCGATGACTCGTAGGAATAGATAAGTATACGCGCGGTGCTGAATGTGAGATTGTCTGTTGGAGTGCGATACATGCTTGTTAGAGCAAGGAAGCGAGTTACCAGGTCGAGAAACGCTGAATCGCAGAATCGCAGATATGCGATGGCGAGCTGGACTATTCACCTCTTTCGTTCTACGGTCCAAGTCATCTTCTACGCTCTCTAGGTCACCCACGTCCTACGCGAGATTGCTCACCGCGGTAGTGCTGGGCGTTCGTGTGTGACACGCTGCTGGGCGACCTAACAGATAGGCGATGACTTCGATTTACGTCGACGACAAACGCAACAGACTCGGGCCTCTGTCCAACTTGGTCCAACTAACCTTGTCATACTTGTCCTACTTGTCATAAAATGGGATCTGCGAAAAGGTATATAAGCCCGCATTCTTCGTCGAACGCCCCAACATCTCCTTTTCTTCCCGACTATCACCATCGCCTAAGCTACATACCCGCCCGCCCTAATCCCCGTACAGATGATTCACTGCCTCTATATCCTAGCAGCGCCCTGGATCTCGTCCAACGCCAGGTTCTGGGTACGAAGTCCATCTATATCAACCCCGAGAGAATGGAATACATGTACGCGTCGTCTAACTTGTTGATCTAACACAAACGCCTTTATTCCTGGGTATGTACTTGCATTCATCATATCCACTCATGTCATGGCGATTTGCGGTTGGGCTGACTGGGTGCTGTTGCTTTCTTGGTGCCTTACACCTTGGTATCTTACACCCTAAGGCATGGGGCCAGGACTGATGAGAGCAAGTAGATACCCGACGGGCTTGTGTTTTCTACTCTTACCGCAACGAGACGGACGCCGAATACCAGTTTGACAAGGACTTCCTGAAGGCCACGCCGGAACTCAGCCGACCAACGAGCGGGGCGGAGGATATCGTGCAATGTACGCTTCATACTCTCTTCTCTTCTTGTGTATTATCTGACCAGGTGTGATAATCTCATATGCAGTCACCGGGTGCATGGACAGGGCCAATTATCCGAGCCAGCTCAACCCCGAGGACGAGGACGGAGTCTACCACAACCTCGACGGCGACAACGCCACCGATCTCTCCGGGCGGCGGTGCGAGGCCTTCGAGTGGTATGTGGAGTGTCTGCAGCCGGCGAGCGGGCAGCTTGCGGTAAGGTGCAGGCGCATTGTCCGGTTCCTGGCTGCTTATTCATTCTGCGCCGGCGGTGACCTGATTTTGGTTTGGTGACAGAGATGTTGAGAGGAAGGAGCCTGGAAAAGAGGAAGATGGAGGTAATGATGCAGCCTAGGCTTATTTATCACTATAACTATATCGGCGCGTTTTTAAGAGTGCAGGTATGGATATCTTTGAACCCTCTTGTGAGTAACCCGCGGCCCTGCCAGTGTCTCTGTGTGATCTGGTATGATCGAGTCTGGCCACGTGACCGCGACAGACCACTTATAGTCCGTCGCGTCCTAGGGCGTCGCTGGTTTGCTAAACAGGTTCGAAACGGCCCCCCGCGCACACAACGCCAGCAGTAACACTGGCAAGAAGCCTGGAATAAGCTTATTGATGGATCTAGTAGCAGTACGTTGAACATACATGTCAAACCCTGCTGTCGACTGTTGGCACACGCCGAGCCAACGCCGAGCTTTCTCCCAGCGCCTACTCATCATGCTTCCGCTCGAACTTGTCTTTCAGATAGTCGACTATGACTATCTCTCACTTTACGAAGAATACACTGATACCATAGCGCCAATGATCCATACTTGCTCTCTCTCGGTCCTCACTACGTGCTCGCTCGTATGCCATGCGTGGGACATCTGCCGTCCCCTCATCTTCCGCGCAATCTGCAGATTCCCCACCAGGCTCTCCTTCCTGCCTTGTGAGGCCCCCATCTCCCCAGATACACACTCGACCTCTGCCTGCGCTTTGGGACTTATACCGTGAGCCCACCACGAAGTCAGCAAAAGTCGAAAATACCGTAGCCTGCAAACCACGCCTTCATTTCCCCTGTTCGATAACGATGGAGGTAACTAGATTCAAGATGCTTGAGATAACAGGATTGGCTTGAACTTTGAAGTGCATCGAATATTTGGAAGACCCTCTTGGCAACTGTCAACTCAGCCTCTACTTACTCTAATTGGACGATTGTCGCTCGAAGAGGAAATCACCGAAATCTCCTCTTTAGGAGTTCCATGGACGGACCGACCTAGGGCCTAGTACCGCCCTTTGCTATGACGAAGTCGTCGTCCAAACACGAGGTTGCTTGCTCTAATTAATGTAGCCACCTAAAAGCTAAGAGAGGTGCACAGCGCAATGCACATGTTTACTGCAAGGCTTAGGCTTCCGAACGACTGTGGGGTTGTGGGTCAATGCGACAGCCCGTCGCATGGGCGGGTCCTAAGTCAGTGAATATCGATTCAACGTCGTGTCACTGGTCGGGAGCCAAGCTATAAATCCAGGAGCCAGAAAACCAGCAGCTCTGAATTGACGCATACATTGTAAATTTTAAGGATTATCGAACCCAACCTTCTCGTCAAGATCACAAGTTGAAAGTCTATGCACGCTACACGCCGCACACAACTGCATACGGCCAAGGAGGCCACATAAGAATGGACGAATGCAAATGCCATAAATTTGGTCTATGAAATACAATACATGCGTGCTTGTGAAGTACTTCTGAGAGTCTAGGAAACCATTAGAGTATGTACCGAGAATATCCAAGGACAGTTGGAATGCAGAATGCGAGACAGGGAGAATCAAAATAAAACTGAACAATCGAATCACGTAACGAACAATACAATAAAATTAGCACCAACTCAAGCCCTCGCCCTCAGCTCGCCCGCGATATACCGCTCCACTGCCTTCGCAGTCGAGCACTGCACGAAGAAGTCGCCCGGCACATCGAGCCCGAACTCCGTCTTGATCGCCGCGATCGCCTCGATGGACGTGAGCGAGTCGAGGCCGAGCGACTCGAAGTCGACGTCGTCCCGGATCTCGCGGACGCTGACGTCGAGCACGGAGGCGAGGAGCTGCTTGATGTCTGGGCCGCTGCCCGCGCTGTTGATGGTCATGCGCGGGGGCTCCGACAGCTTCGTCGGGACGTCAACCGCTAGAGTGGCGGGGGACGAGGGGACGCTCGATTCGTACGCGGTTTGTGAGGGCGCGACAGTTGGCGCGGACGGGGAGGTTGCTGATGCTGCTGATAGGGAGGCGGAGATTTCGCGCACGATATCAGCGACGCTCGAGCAGTGCGACAGTGCTTCGGCGTTGAGCTCGACGTGCGGGAACAGAGCCTCGAGTTTGCCGAAGATCTCGATGGACATGAGGGAGTCGACGCCGAGCGCGTTGAGGTCGGTGTCCACGCCGAGGGTGGAGAGGCTGATGTCGCACGTCTCTGAGACAATTTTGAGGACTTCGCTTTGGATGTCGACTGCAGGGAGGGCGGGAGCAGGTGGGGCGGAATGTTGGTGTTGTGGGGCGGGGGCTGGTGCTAAGACGGGGGAGGCATTGCCGCTGCTGCCATTGCTCGATCCGGCTGGAACAGCCTTGGACACCTCGGTAACGATCTCGGTGACGGTGGTGCAGTGGGAGAGTGCAGAAGCGTCTAAGACTGCAGAGGGGAAGGCGCTCTCGAGCTTGCCAAATATCTCGATAGACATCAGCGAGTCGACACCAAGCGACGTCAGATCCGTGTTCACATCCAGGCTCGCAGTGCTGATGTCACACGTCTCGGAGACCAACTTGAGAACAATGCTCTGGATGTCGATGACGGGGACGCTAGCGGCGGGAGCGGGTGCTGCTGCTGAACGAACCGGGGTAGGGGCTGGTTGGGATCTGGGCTGGGCTTGAGATCTGGCAGTGTGTGGAGAGGGTGCTTTGCCGGCCGCCATCGCGAGACCCTTCTTCAACGAGTTAAGCCGGACGCGACGGAACGCCATGCCCTTCAGATGCGCCACGATCCGCTTTGGCTCCCCAACCTTAACCGCATACGCCTCCGTCAGCATCACGCCCTCGTCCGCAAGCCACGCGTTGTTGCAGTACACCGCATACGCCGCGTCGTTGTCCACGAGGTCCGTGAGGATCTTCACCGTCCCGACCTCGCTGCAGATGTACGCGTCGTTGATGCCGCCCTGCATGTTCGCGACGAAGCCAGCGACGTGCAGGAGCGTGTCCACGAAGACGGGGTGGGCGACGTACTGGCCGCGATGGTAGTTCGCGGGTAGCTTGACGTCCGCGTAGCCCTCCATGCCGCTCGGGTCGACGGTGAGGGAACGCATGGTGTGGTACTCTTTGGCGTAGTCGACGACGCGGGGGAAGATGACCTCATACGCCGTACGCGTATTGAAGACTTCGGGGTACTCCCCGTTCTTGGGCTCCAAGACCGCGTTCATCTGCCTCTGGATGACAGGAAGACTATGCGAGAACTTGGTGGTCGTTTCTGAGATCGGTTGGAACCTGTATTCTCCGTGTACGTGGACAGAAACGTCTGAACCGGCGCGGGAGCTGACAGTGAAGGAACCTAGGCCATCATTGAGGGTGATGCTGGCGATCACTACACGAGCGACATCCGGGTCGTACACCAGGGGCTTGGCAAACTCGATGTGGCGGAGAATGGGGTGATTTTTGCCGTATGGTTGGTTGAGATGGCGCATGGCGAGCTGCAACCCGGCCAGGACTTGCTCCAGGTAAACTGACGCAGGGCAAAGCGGCATGCCGCCAACACTGTGGCCCTTGATGCGGTCCGCGAGCTGGCTTATCGGTGTCTCGAAGATGGCTACATTGCCATTGCTGAGGCTGGGGTATTGCGCCCATGCGTTCAGCATGGAGAACTCCGAAATGAGGTTGTCCGCCTGAGGTGCTGCCTGAACAACGACGGTCTGCGAAGGAGCAGGAGCATCCCTCTCTTTGTATGCAACCCAGAACTTGTTACGAGCAAGAGGGTACAGAGGCAAGTCGATGCAACGAACGGAAGGAAGGTGAGAGAAGACTTCGCGCCAGGTCAAAGTGACATTGGACTGGTAGAGTTGCGCGAGACTGTTGGCCAAGGTGTTCCACGGGTCTTGGTTCTTGCGCAACGAGCCAAGGAGCAAGGAATCCTTCGGAACGGACGCTATGCACTTCAACATTGGCAGCGTGGTGGTATGAGGACCAATCTCAATCCATGCATCAACCTTGGTGTACTCGGGCAGCGACGTGAACGAGTTGATTCCCTTTTCGAACTGCACAGGCTCTGCGCAGTGGCGAGCAAAGTACTCAGGGTTGAACACAGATGCATCTCCTGGCAACACAACTTCTCCGTGGACGTTGGAGATCACAGGCAGCGTAGGAGGGCGTATCGTTGCGCGTCCCGCAACTAAAACAAGGTCGTCCAGCAGGGGCGCCATGGCAGGGCTGTGGTAGCCGAACGGTACTGATAGGAGCACATTCTTGCAATGCACTTCCGCATCAAGGAGGGCCTTCAAAGCTTTCAATTCTTCCAATGGCCCGGATACCACGCAGTCCGTTGCACTGTTGAGACAGGCGACAGAGAGTCCGGAGAATGATGGAGAAGACGCGAGTACCTCGTTGACGACGGCCGGACCCGCGTTGATGGCAATCATGCCAGTCGTTTCAACAGCGCATTTCTGTAGCATGAGGCGGACCCGAGAAGCGATGATCATCAGTGCCCCTTTGAGGGAAAGCACATTGGCGGTCACAAGGGCAGCATATTCACCCAGACTGTTCATTGAGGATCATTAACGATCAATTAACTGAATAATGATACGAGTGACGGCGTACCTGTGTCCAACAACAGCCACTGGTTTCAAACCCCACGATATCCAAACCTTGGCTAATGCATACTCCAAGGCGAAGATAGCTGCTTGGTTGGCCTCGAACTCCTCTAGCTGGGTCAAACCGCTTCCCTCTGGCCCCGGGTTGATGATCGGCAAGACCCCGGTGAACCCGGCCGATGTAAGGATCGATTCGCACTCGTCTACCGTCTTCTTGAACAAGGGGGATGTCTTGTAGAGGGCCTGGCCCATGCCAACGTACTGGCCACCCTGGCCCGAGAAGACGAATACGACTTGGGCAGCGTCTTCGCGAACTTCGACGGGAGAAACCTTGCTCAACTTCTCGATAAGCTCAGCTCTGGAGCTAGCCTGTACGGCCATCCGATGAGAGTAAATTTGTCTGCGAGCGGTCATGGTATACGCGATGTCTCCGAAGCGCGCAGCATCGCTTTCGGGGCCTTCAAGCCAAGTCACATAGCGAGACCGTAACTCCTCGAGAGCAGATTCCGTCTTCGCGGATAAGCCGAATGGGAAGCTCAGGCCCTCCGGATGGGGTAGCGGCTCGGGAGCGAGGTGCTCTTCCAGGAGTGTGGCGGTGTTAGAGCCTGCAGCACCGAAGTTGTTTAAAAGCGCAACCCTGGGTGTACCCTCATGCGAAGGGTTCCAGAACGCGTGCTCTCTGTCGATGATCGTATGATCGCTCTCTAGATTGGCGATGCGAGGGTTGAGGTTCTTCAGCGAGATTTGTTTGGGAATTGTTCGGTGTCGAAGCATCAGAAGTAATTTCGCCAGACCCGCGGCTCCTGATGCTGCTTCCAAGTGCCCTATGTTCGCTTTGACGGAGGTAATGTGGAGGGGGTTGGAAGCCGACCGATCGATAGCGAAAATGCTTCGGATGCTCTCAAGTTCGTTGGGATCACCGGCTTGGGTACCGGTGCCATGGGCCTCAACGACGTTGACGGACCTTGGATCGGTGCCAGTGTTAGCCAAGAGACGTTTGAATAGAGTCGCCTGTGTAGGGGCATGCGGATGAGTGATGGAGTGGGCTAAGCCACTTTGATTGACTTCAACCCCGCGGATGACTCCTAGGATGTTGTCGTTCTCAGCGACGGCATCGGAAAGGCGCTTGAGGACGAAGATTCCACAGCCTTCACTTCGAGAATAGCCATCTGCTGAGGCATCGAACGCTTTGCATTGGCCGGTAGGGCTCAAGAAATGACCGCGGTCCAAACCGATCATCATCTTTAAGAATACCTGACGTGAGCGCGCAGATGGTATATATTGACATAACAACTTACGTCTGGACTGGCAATGACGTTGACGCCTCCGACCATTGCGGCGTTGCAGTCGCCATTCATGAGCGCGCGACAGCCTTGGTACACGGCGACAGCCGAAGAAGAGCAAGCGGTATCAAGGACGATAGACGGACCACTCAATTGCATAGCATACGAAATTCGGCCGCTTAGGAAAGCCTTCAACGTACCTATGATGGATATTGTTAGCGACGCTAAATTTGGCTAGAGGATCACATACCGGTACTGTAGTAGACATCGATGTCGTCACGAAGATTTTGGAGGTAGTCGTGAGTCGCGACCCCAATGTAACAACCGAATGTTTCGGGATCAAAAGTAGGTGTCGCCCCAGGCACGTAACCCGAGTTTTCCAATGCTTCGTACGCTGTATGGAGAAGCACACGTTGCTGTGGGTCCATGCTCTTGGCCTCACGGGGAGAGATCTTGAAGAACTTGTTATCAAACTCATCGACCCCATCAATGAAGTTCCCAGTGTGAGCCGCCATCCGTCGCTTCGCGTTGGCGTCCTTCGGGTTATTGTAGTCGGACACTTTGAAACGATGCTCCGGCACCTAGGAAACGGACATGTGAGTATTCAGGCAGGACACTGTTGAAGTGTACAATATGCCTACCTCGGATATGGTGTTGATACCTTTCTCGAGGAGTTCCCACAGTTTGGAGGCATCTCGAGCTCCAGGCATGTTAACAGCCATGCCTACGATAGCAATAGGCTCTTGCTTAGACTTTGCCTCGCCAGTTGCCTCGTTGTGAACAGATGTAAGGTCCAAGGACGAAACAACATCCTTCGAGAAGGACCTTTCCATACTGCGAGTCAACCCGGTCCCTGGGCCAACATTCAGGAGGCGTAGAGGGATACCGACAGGGGCAGACTTGACAAGCCCGTCAACGACCAAGTCCCAATTGACTGGCTGAGTAAGGACCATATCCAAAACAGCATCGACCAGCGTTCCATCAGTGACCTTTTTGTCCAGAGCATCCCCGGTAAACGTGGAGCGGACAGGGACAATGATATCAGAATAGTCGGGGAATTTGATGCTTCGGCGAACGACATCGTCAAGAACTTCTTGACGAACGCCGTTAATATGCTCGGGCGAATGATACAACGTATCGACCGAGGTCTTGTGGACAACAGCCCCCGTAGTTAGACTGCTTGCGAAGGCAGCAAGAGTATCGGGGTGTCCAGAGACTGTCACGCATTTATCATCCATGACTGCGGTGACGAAAAGGGAAGCGCCTTCGTTATCCTTGATACATAACGAGTGAGAAAGATCACGGCGAAGAGTTCAGTAAATGTGAGTACCTTAGCGAACTCGAGGATGGCTTCCTCCGTGGTCTCCTTGCTGATCCCCAAGAAGACCAAGCTCCACGGCGAGCTTGGGTCGTTGGCCGCATGTTTAGCACGATAGATTTGTGTGCGAACGCCAATCCAAAGAGCCAGGCGATATGCTTCGACCGCGCGGGAGATATATGTGATAGTGGAAAGGGCTGAGCCGACCACAACGGCAGGCAAAATTCCGGACGAGAAACCGAACACACCCAAGCCGTGCTCAAGGTTACCCTTGAGGACGTCACTGAACGGCGTCAAGGAGTCATTTTCCAACCCAGAGGCTTCGACGAAAGCAAGGTAACGGAGGGATTGGATCAGGAACAAGGTTGGTCCAGTGATGAGGGAGTTGTTGAGATATTTGTCCGAGGGGACTTCTAATAACGCGTTCTTGTTGGCGAATTCAGACAGAGTGATGTCTACCGATGCCAGTTCTTCAGTGGTAAGGGTAGACAGCTCGTTATGGAATGTTTCGAAGCACGAGCTCAACAGGAGTGAGCCTGCGGGCGACGCGGCATCTTTAAGAGCTTGCTGGCGAGTTTGAGGAGAGTTTGCAGCCGTGGTGCCTTGTCCAGCGAACACTGGGACGTCCAATATAGCGACAGCGGGAGACATTATAGAGCGTCAGAGTATTTCAAAGTGGAAGGGAAGGAGTTACAGTGTTAGCTGCACTGCACCAGGGAAGATATGGATTCCCCGGGTCGAAATGATCAGGTTTATAAAACTATTTCGGTTACCCACATGTTCGTAGGCAATCTCGGTGACCAGATGTGGACCTAGGACACGCTCGGGATACGAGGCGAACCAGGCTCTGTCCGTCTGGGTTGGGTTGTAGGTGGGAGGGAGGTAATTCGGCGATCTGAAACGAACGATCAGTACTCTGCCAGGATGTCCTCAATTCCAGTTGCCAGATTCGACTGCAGAACCATTTGCAAAACGAACCACTGTATCTCCGGTAGATGGTACGCTTGAAGGAGCCGCAGAAGAATCACAGTCGACACCAACGGAAGCCAAATCATGGTTGCGCATCAATCCACCAAGTTCTCCGGAGAACGGCCTTTGGAGGTCTCGAGGTTCCCGGGTTGCGACATTGAACTCACAGACAGTTGTGATTCGATAACCATTCTTACCTGCAATATTTGTTGGCAACTACATGCGGCCACCAAACTGCAGTTCTCTGGACGAATGCAACAAGTACAGCAGCGGAATGAAATACAGAAACTGTAGTTTCTCACGCGACTGAACATGGGGGTGACCTTGTCACACCCCTCTTCTGCCCCTCTTCGATTGCCATTTACTACCCTACCAGGCAAGTCTATTGCATCGCCGGTTATACGAACAAATATAGCACCCACACCATAGGCTACGCACAACCAAACATAATACAGATGCCCGCTGCGGCCTTTGCGAATAATATCGAATTCGGTAAGCTACTCAATCATTGGGCATTCTGTAAGCGGCAATATACATTTTGACCACGATCTGTCGAATGGAAACATGCTCCATAGTCATAGTCCGAGAGACAGATCTGCAGTGTACGCTACTACAGAAGAAGTCGGACATCACAAAGACGGGCGGGTACGCCGAATCTCCTCGCAAGTGACGTTATTCGGCGGTATGAAGTTCTCCGAAATATATAGAACGAGCGGCTTAACACGTACGGTACCGCCTCACAAACTGCGAGATCAACAACACCGTTCGCATCATTGGGATATGATATAGTATCATTTTCAGCGCATGCTGCACTGATGGGCCTCTAAATCCCGAGCTCGGTGATCAGGGTGGATAGTCATTTAGGACGCCCATATAAATCAGACAGTCGTCGGGAGATGTGGCGGGCGCAACCCTTGATTGTCTAGCCCCAAAGCCCACTGAACAATGAACTCGAAAGTGAATTTGTCCATCCCATTCGGAAACGCCATTTACTTACAAGGTTCCAGGAGTCCCGCCCATGGTCAGCTATCTGATTCCAAGGTCTCCACTAACATCGGCCTTTGCATCGGGGTGGAAGTTGGTAAGCCGAGATATGACTCGAGACTATCCGTTTATTCGAAATGGTCCGTACCCTGGTTTTGGGAACTGGTTTATCCTCCCGCGTGAGGCCCAGCCTCCGATTGTTCAACGATAGTAAAATGCACAAGAAGATATTGCATCCCCATATACTTGACAATAGTACACTCCCCTTTGGTATAACCTATAGAAGGTATTAACGGTTGTGAGAAACACCGGGTAATACATTGCAGGCAACCAAACTCCACCTTGTAAGATGCGCGGGTTCAAGAAATCGAGTACTCGCGTACTTGATGGACAGCCATTCCGCTATTGATGTACCTTAGACCCTGGGTAGACGTCAGTCATCGTGTGCGCGACTTCGTCGTACTTCAAGTTCATTGAGTACAACGAACAAGAGGGAGAACCAGTTCGGATGGACGAGCTCCGCACAGCGCCTGACACTCCAACCGTACTCGATTCACACGAAGAGACGGGGACAGTTTTTGAAGCTCTTGAGACGATGCGACTTGCTGGTCCCTGGAGGAGTTGCCCGAGGGCGTCTATTTGCAGCGCCTGGGCTTTCAGAGTCTTTCCCAGGGGCTCCCTATATAGTTTTAGTGATACACAGTATAATACTCTCGTACGTACTCTACATATACAGTCCCATGGGCAGGTCAATCAAACTTATACATGGAACTGCTCTACAGATTCCAAGATGTCCAGGCGTTAAAAGATTTTAAAAATAACATAGTTCGCGGTTCGACGCAATCGCCGAAATTATCCAGTAAGAGTTAACGAAAGGCTTCTGGTTTTCTCGACATAAGATCAGGTTTATCTTTCTTCCAGAACATCCAGACTCGCATAATGTCCTACACCGGTTTGTTAATGAATGGGAATACCGAAAATCGAAGGACTCACTGATTGACTGCCGAATGTCCATGCCGCAAGGTTTGGCACTGCGTATTGTCAGTATATCGCTGATAGCACTTTAGATAACGCGATACGTACGACTTGCATAGGCGATATGGCAGAATGTGACCTTGATGCCATTGTCGCTAAAGGGGATCAACACAACCTCGTATCTAGGATGTCGGTTAGCGATCAACGCCGCGAAGTAGTTGGGATACCTTACATCAATACCATACATGGAGCAATATTGAACAACGCCAGACGACATACCAAACCTTTCGTGATGGGGTCGAAGTCATGCATATTCCTCATCGCCTTCCGTCGTCGCCAAAGGATTCGGATGGTCGAGCCTGAGTTTACGGTTGACAACAATGCTCGTACGGACCATAAATTTGCGAACCTCCAGCCAACAGAACGAGGGCAACACATAACGTCAATATCACGGTGTTCCAAACAACGCTGCTAAAATTGAGTGAAGGAACCGGGGACGGTGGTTTACTCACATCACGGACCCTGGGTCGTCCAGATGGCAGATCATCCCGCTTTTGTCCCTTGTTATCTGCTTAGGTTCCTGGGAAGCAAGCTACAAAGTATGGGACTCCGCGGCTTCGGAAATTCGATCACTTTGGCTTACTGCTATAACACCAACGACTACAACTACGAACATCATAAGCGGCAAAATTAACATCTGGTAGATGGTGATGAGCCCCCGGTATAAAATAGAGAAATGGACTGACGATATGGAAGTACTCCTCGATCTGTTTGCGCTTCTCCATTGATCTGCCGAAACTGACGTTGAGATACAGCTACAAGATAATTATGGGCGTTAGAACTTGTCTGCGTTGCTAGGTTTGTGGTCATCGTGATACCTGAAGCACAAGAATGAGGGTAGAGAAGCCGGTGCTGTTATGTTTCTAAGCGGTTGATCTCGAGGGAGTGCGCCAGTACTTACAGGGGAGGGGAAGCGTATATCAGAGCAGATCCAACGAGGCATATTCCTATTGTTGGAGGACTCCCAACTTGCCTACCGGCGATGAAGAGGAAAGAAAGCGAATGGATGATCCACGCAAATATGAACATGTACCAGGTCACAACTCGCCGAACCCGCTTTGACAAGAGTGCTGTGAGGAATATAATGACGAGTTGAAGGGCGCCAGCGCTGAGAAGTGCGTCGAAAACCCAAATAAGCTGTGGTTGAGAAAGATCTGAGCCGGTGTCGATGCCTGTGTCAGAATAAGTAGTAGTACGCTGCCGGGAATCCTGCGCACACCATAGAGCGTTTTAACGCACATTTTCTGGGATCCCGCCCTGTTCCGTGGTCACAGCGCATGGTCTGCGATCCACGCAGGAATCTAGAGGTCGAGGGGTCAAGGCTGCAGACACTCACCCGCCACTGCAGGTTACCAGTCAAGCATATTCAGGCTAAACTTCTTATAGGTAGCCCACAGCAGATACCGCCACTGCCTTGCTGAGAGGGGATTGTCCACTAGCACATCTATCAGCAACACTTATGATGGTAGCCGGCCGACAAGGAGGCTGCAACTACTTTACACAGGGTCCGTCATCATGGAGACCCAAGATTAGACGGCGCGAGTGATCTGAGCCTTGTTGACGGAAACCTGCCACCATTTGATAGTGCCAAAAACACAATCCGAGTCAAAGGCAAGTACGTCTCGGTCCCGTTTGCGTGGTAAAACGACGATAATTAGGGGTACAGGGGACTCAGTCTTCAAGCTTCAAGCTCTAGCTTCACTGCAAAGAAATGGGAATTAAACTGATATCTCAAAAACGCTCCAAAAAATAGCGGGCCATATGGTATATGTGTTGAATATCACGGTTATAGTTATACAGTGGGATGACGTATCACCGGCATCCCTTCATCGACTTCGGTACTGCTCCTCCAGAAGACCATCCCACGTAGAATGTCCTAGAATGGCTAGTAATCAGAGCTACTAGAATTAGGTCGAGACATAGCCACCCACTGCTTGGGTCCCAAATGTTAATGCAGCCAAGAGCGGAACTACCGATATTTTCATCAACCAGGTGTAACGTCTCGTTAATTATAGAACGACTCACGAACGGCGTACATGATAGCAGTGATGCTCATGGCCATCACACTTTTAGACTGCAGCATAACAAGCGCTTCGAGGCTACAGAGCTCATCAACCACTTGACTGATACACAGGTGACAGATGCTCACACAAGGACGGATATTGGAGCGATAGTAAAGACTCCAATGCGAATAATGATCCCGAGGGGGATTGCCGACGCTGGTACCTTCTGGCCGACGAACGAGGCCGACTTTTTGCGTACCATGAGTCCTGTCGCAACTTAAACATCCGACCGTAAGCCGTGATGCGACAGCAGGGCTCAGTTGTGTACACACCTATGAAACCGACCATAAGGATAACAGAAAGCCCAATCACTGCAAAAGTGACGATCGCCCTTCAAAGATTGATATGAAAGTTCAGTACGGGCATTTGCAACAAAATAGAATGAATTGCCTATCACTCACGGTGTTGCAAGTTTAATATGGCAATACATTCCCGTACGATCCCTCTTCACTTTTAGGCGGTTCATAAGCCCTATCTTACTATCGTTGTCAAGCCAATGCGCCTTAGGGTGCGTTCTTGAAGCGTACCACGGTTGCCTCTGCTAGAACCGACAAATAGACCACGGGCGGCAGAAGCATTGACTAGGAAGTTATTAGCGAGCTCACTGGAAGGACGCGCGAGGGTTACTTACTAGTAACAACAAGAACCTCGGTTTGGTACATCCACCAGAAAGACCGAAATAGAGCTAGGGCCAAATGAGGGGGAGGCAGCATAGGCGCGCGAATCGTGACTCACATTAACGACAAGAATGAGGGTAGAGAATGCTGTTCTGTGCAAGACATGGTAAGGTATAGCTAACTATAGCAACTTGACAGCACCTACAGGGGTGGAGCTGCATAAACCAATACGGCCTGGGCCAGACAGATCCCAAATATCGGCTGGGGCCCTGTTTGCTGACCCAAGAGAAAGAGGAACGAAAGGGAAAGGATGATCCACGATATCATAAACATGTACCAAGAGCGGCACCTCTGGACCCCGCGCGAAACGTACGCAACAGAGACAACAAGAACATTGAGAACCAGTCCCACAATCAAAACAACGTTGTAAGCCGTGATGAGCTCGCGATGCAAGCCATCGTGGCCCCCTGCTTCAAAATGTCATCAGTTAGGTCGCTTGTGCCTGTAAATTGTCCAAGATACTTACCTCGAGGAATCTGCTGGCCCGCCATCGCGTTCGACCCGAGATTGAAAAGGGAGGGGGGCTAAATCAATTAGATGGGCCGAATTATATTCACCCAGCAACGAACCAGGGTTCCCAGCCTTGCATAGTACATCAACGACATGATATCACGGTCCCTACTACACTAGTCCCAACGCAATGGTGCATCACCCTAAACGCTGGCATGGGGCGATGCGTACATCATTAATCACAAAGCAACCCTATTGGCCACATGAGCCTCGTTCGTAGATGTCAACTGTGCCGCAATGATGAGTGATCGAAGGATCAAGTGCCATGGGCGGTCGCTGGATCTCATTTAGGGAGGAGAGACTTCCGACTAGTTATGCATATAGTTGATATCAAGCAGGACTAGATACCATCAAAGGGGTATGGGGGGTTCCGCCGTAGCAGATATCTAGCCTTCTTGAGTGTTGCGTTGATTCATCAGAACTCAATACTCACCCGTGACCTGGCTGAATCTATGACCGCGGTGCAGTCCATTGGGGGAACAAACTTGAATGAAACGCCTTCGGGATTAGTCGAAATCCGGTGATCGTGTTCCCTCATTAAGGTTCTCGCGTTGAGAGTGGCTAGTAATGAGTTGAGGTATACTGTAGTAGGGACAAATTAACCTCGGCGGCGAATGGAACGTGGAGACGGTCAACAGACGTTTAGAGAGTGTGAAATATATGCCTATAAACACTACGGACGGGTTCGTCAGATGGTTGGAGTGTAGATTGATGCGAACTCGTACCGAAGTCCTGGGGCCAAATAGCGTACTGGACACTAGAGGCTGAGTAACCTTCCGGTTGAAGAAGAGCGATGGTAACTCACCGTTATGAAACATGCCATAGCGCAGACACTACTCGAGCCAAATGAAATGAGGATCATCCTTGTGATTGCTTCGTATGAGAGTACTCACGAAGTCAGAAGGCCTGAATAGCGAAAATATCAACATTGATCAAGGAGCCCGTTAAAGGCTCACCAGTGTTGATGCTATACACCATCATAGTGTTAACGAGATTATCAGTGCTGTAATATTGTTGAGAAATATTGATGACACAGATAGAAGCTAAAAACACATACCTCTTGAAACCAGTTCTTCGCGTGCTGAGAAAAAAGCATAGCGTGGCGGCAATGAAGACATCCGCAAAGACAGCTGATCCGAGTGCCGAATACAGGAGCCACTACGACGTATGGGGTCAGATGTCATGTTATTCCTGTTACGACTACTGCTCACAGAATCGCGAAGGAGCAGTAAGAACGAGCCCGCAAGGAATCTACCAACGGCTCAGTAATTACTCAGGCAAGAGAACATTTCGACCTTACCCCCTCGAAGCGAATGCTTTTGCGCCCAATGAGGTGAGAGAACGGCATTTGAAATACGTCAGCACTAACCTATCCCGCTGCCTGCACAGAGCATCGAATCAGATCTCTGGGGACGTAGCAACGGGCTAATGATAGAACATACCTATTACATAGAGAGATGCTACCCCCTGGAAGTGAACTGTTGATCAGCTCGGCAGACGCACGGAGAATGATGACGAAAACCCACGATGACAGCCACAAGAAGTTTGCTGCAGTTGCTAACTAGTCAATGACCCCAAGTCAGTGAGCGAAATGGGGAGATACTCAGGCAGCTCACGCAACCATACTCTTCTCGTAAAGATGCTACACCGCGGAATATTTTAGTTTAAGCACTGGCTCGATTTACAACAAAAAATCACCATCTGACGATGAAGTCACTGAGACACTAGACGATTATTTAGCACAGCTACACATCAGCATTCACTTCCTCGGATATAATCGCACCGTAACGTAGACTTGAACCTACAACACCTTCATGTCAGTATAAATATTAGATGTATGCGCGCAGGTCGTACTAGGAGGCTCCTTTCATTTAAGCTTCGTCTCAGCTCCTTTGAAGGAGAAGACAAGCAGTATGGCAAGCTTACCAAGCAGGAATCTCGACCGCTGAAGGGTTCATAAAGTTCGTCACCAGATACCAATACATTCCGTGCGTTGTCATAGCTAGATGGAGCCCATCGAGTATCCTTGGAAGCTCATTGGCCGGCTGCAAGGGTATCACTTAGACTGGGGCTGACTCACCAGAGCATGAAAATCTAGTAAAGAGACGCGTTAGATCGATTGTTGCCACTCGTCGTATCAACATCAGACTGACGCACCAAAAGTTTGAATGAAGGAAGGTCCTGGAAATTTCTCTTGTAGTACATATACGTCTGGAGACTCGTAATCCCGTAGAATCTAGCAAAACGTCAACCCAACACCGCCATGGCGAGGACAAAGCTCCATACACCCCAGCTGCAATGTTTCCCAGAAATGCCGCGCCGACTGTCCTATCAACACTGAAGGGTAGATCAGCCATCACTCATGAGGGCGAATGGAGGCAAAGTCAATCAGCGGAGAGGGGGGTTTGAGGGGAGGAGACGAGGGTTGCGGTAAGAAGATGGTGGCTCTCATCCTTAGTTTCATAATCTCACCAACACCATGGACACGCGTTTGGGGAAGACGGGAAGACGAGGGCGCGTGGCGATAGAGTTCCAAACCTTGGGGCGTGAGAGTTGCTCATCAAGGATATGTTTCGGTGAAACGAGGAGCTTGTCTACCATATGCTTCATCGGAGGAGGTATACAATGTGACGAGCGCAAGATCATGGACACGCAAGCTGGCTCTAATACTGATATTGAGGTGTTAGATTGTGGCTGGAAGTTGCCAGTTCGGCCCATCTGTCAATATGCGCTTGGTGTCGACTGTCGCGATGGCAAATGTGAAAAGGCTCACCATATCACCAAGTATCACCACTGGGAATATTGTGGCACGCGGAATAAACCCGTCGGGTAAGGTGGGAACCCCGGCCGCTTGCATGATGCCGCGTGCTTGAGGGGAATTGTTCGCGGAGACGCAGCGGCGATTGATATTCATCGGCCCCGCCCCGTAAGTTGGCGGTTCTTGTTAGTTCTATATCTGTCGTGCCATTACTTCTGGTTGTCCCTAAGAAAAGATTCGGACAGCTTACCTTCTGTGATAATTCTACCTACTATGATCCAACGGTCTCAGAGTAAGGACGCGAGGGGAAGAAATATAGGTCCATGGTATACGAACAAACGGGTATGTATAACGATGACGGACAGCAGAGCGATAGCAATTTTGGGTCGTACATAATCGGAGGAAGACGTCGGGGAAGGAAGGGGAATAGCCCGAGCGAAATCATCGAAGCCAAAAGGAGTTAGGGTATACAACCAAATCACGAAGCGCGAAAGGATAGAACAGCAGCCCAGACAAGAATCATACGAAGGACGGTCAACACTCCGTCCGTGGTCGAAACTCGAATTTTGGCGTTCCTTTGGTGTTGTATACGCCATATCCCGGAAGCTGCGAATCCGAGTAAATGTGCCAGAACCAGCCTACACCACCAGGCGATACTTGTTTGAGGTCTGTACAGTGATCGTCAAGGAGAAGCGCGTAATCCTGCGAGAGTTTAAGAACGTTAGTGAGGAGGGGAAGCTAGAGCTGCTCTACACGTGCCCGTTCGTTCGCTACATCAGAAACTGCATGAGGACTGTTTGCTTCGACCCCCGAGTAATTCATTGATGGCCACCCATTCTGAGTAAGCACTATTTTCTTTCCACCACCATTGTTTATGAACCAATTCAAATCATTCTCCACGATTGGCCATGCTTGACTAGCTTCAAACCACCTTTCCGTGAGCAACCAATGATTATTCTCAACAAAACACGTACCAGTAGAGGCCTGCTGAGAGAAGTAGGGCAACATATGTACCGCCAAATAATCCTGCGCATCAAGCACCACCTGTGAACCCGTATGGGCTTGGTAACCGTACGCCATCTCGCTGACTACGACCGGAATGCCCAATCCTTTCAACTTCTCTTTTGCTTGACGTACCTCAGTAGCAAGCTGAGAGGGCGTAAGTACATAATCAAAGAGGGGTTCAGAGCCGAATTGGAGAGCACGGATGACATAGGGAGCTAGTGGGTTAGAGTGAAGGATGGAAAAGAGTGTATCGCGACGAGTCTTGTAGATGTCCGACCCGTCGAAACCGAACTATGGGAGATAGATGGATGAGAAGGAAGAGGGAACGCCAAAGGGAAGGATGTTACCCAAATCAGAGCGTACACGCCCACGCCAGCATCCCAAGCTGCCTGGATAACGTCGTCGCTTGAAATTGAAGCATTAGAGTCAGGATCAAGGGAGCAGGCTATAGCCAGGTACGCACTAGAACCCGGTTCGATCACAGGCACCATAAATTCGGATATAACGCCCATTGAACGTTTTCCGCACATCTTGGAACTCCCTCCGCATCTGGGAAAGACTTTGACCTGTGGAATGTGTCGGCAAGGCTTTAAATTGATGAAAATGAAGGACTTACACGCTGTGACATCATAACTAAATCCCATGAACGCGTATTCTGTGTTGAGGTTACACCACCAGCCATTTGTGGAAGGAGGGACGGTTTGTGGCATCGTAAAACCAAGAGAGGGAAAACACCCTCGCGACGACATATCAGTCGCGGCATTTCGCCCTGTCGTAACGGTCCCGTTCCACGTCGAAGTTGAGTTGTCGCTCGTAGCGATCGGTGGAGAAAGATCAGCTTCTTCTGCTGTGGGCGGTGCCGAATCATTGGCTCTAGGAACTCTGATGCCAAACGCGATGATAGTGTAGATGAGTATACCAGCTATGACAAGCATCGCCTGTTCTAGTCGGGGAGCTACTCGTTTCTAGTCGCCTTTTGAAATTAGAGCCGGATGAGAGGAGTAGGGTGAAGAAGAGCCCTCTCTCGAGGCTAAGGAATGCACTATTTCTTTATATGCGCTGGCCAGCGAATGCGGTGGGCAGTATGCGAGAGCCATGGAGAACAAGCGGAAGGGAAGATTGCCGCCTTGAAAGCCGGGTGGCCAGCAGATGCCGAGGTAGACTAGTTGGAAACTAAAGTGAATCCTTGTAACGACTGATGTCCTCATCGCGACGGATGCGCTGGCAGTTGAGTGATAATAGGTCTTGGTGACTGGTGGAATGGTCGATTTCCCGGAGACGTGAGCAAGTCTGCCGCTGGAATACTAGCCGCTGGTTATATCCTTCCTAACGGGGAATCATAATACGCCCTGAATATTTGAACTTGAAAGATTCTGCAATAGCCCTTGGCTAAAGCGCTAAAGCTCAAAGGTTCAACTTGTTCGAGAATAAAATTGGGCGCCTAACGAATGAATGACGCAGAATGCATTTCCTGGATTCCATGCACAGTTCAGGTTGTACATTTCTCTGTCCGAGATGAGGGGGGCATCTGAATGTAGGCTATGTCTAGATATAAATAATGACAGTCATGATTTTTACTCACCAAAGACGAACATCAGGTCCGAAGCGACTTGTACAGGATCCCGATCAGTAGCAAGTGCCCCACCGCCAATTTTTGGGGGTGAAACATCGGCGACGAGATGGCGAAGAGCAAAAACTACGAGGCGCGTATGCGAGGCAGCCATCAGCACGCAAGCAGCGCCAGAGTCTGAGTCTACCGTCGCGCAGAATGAACGTCGCGGCGGAGTTGAAGGTAGAAGGCTTGCGTTTCTTGTCAAGCTTGCGTTCCAGGTTTAGTATTCGCATCCAGCTACCTGCATTTGCCAGCTTGGGTTGAAATACCTCTTGATGATCAGAGACAAAGCGAAGATGGAATTTTGGATTCAAGCCTGGTAACAGACCCTACGCAGCTGATATTCCCACGGTCAGAATATATCGAAACACGTTAATCCAAGTAACGCATCTCTACTACACGCAACGCCATGTCTGAAAGAGCTCTCAACGCCATCTTACCTCTGATATCCAAATCACCTTACGAGGCTCACCAGAAAGCCCGCACGTTCGCTGCACGATACAATAAATCAGGGCAATACGCGACTGCCATTGATGTACTCTTTCAAAGCGCTCGAGAGCTCCTGAAGGCAGGGCAAACCGGGAGCGGTGTCGATCTCGCTGGTTTCCTGCTCGATGTCTATGAAACTTCGGGACAGGGAGTCACAGACGAATCTAAAGGTGAGCTCGATGTTTCTGGTGGGGGTATCGATTACTGACGGTCGGTCCGGTGAAATGTGTACCTGATTCATGGACAGGTAGATTGACCCAACTGATCGCCTTGACCGGTTCCGCTGGTAGCTGGAGAAAGACAATCATAGATAAAACGATAGCGTACGCGATTTCATCCCATCGTGAATAGCGCATAATCAATACTGATTTTCCGCATATTTAAGGTGGTCGGCGAAGCATGGCGCATGTCCTGCTGGTGATCCCGATCTGCACCATTATGTGGGCGAATTGATGTTCAAAGGTGCATTTTGAATCTCTTCGACGATAGTACCTCTCACACCGCTAATGACTACGAATGTCTGTAGAAGGATCATTTGCCACCGCGGAGCCTCACTTCCTGACTTCAGGCAAGAGGGACAGTGCACGGTTATTAGCAGAGATGTTCTACCAATGGGCGACATCAACGGGGGGATCCTATGGACCTTTCGCGTTGAGGGCCGTAATACCGTATGTCCTGTTTTCCAAACGCTTCAATTCATCGTCCTGATAATGATCCACCTTATTATTCGTTCCCGCTAGATACCTTCTTAATGGCAACATCCTTGCAGCGCGTACATTTATTACACATTTCGTTTCCCTTCTTCCCTCATCCGTACATCTCCCGTCTGCATCTCCGATCCCAGTTAAGCCGTCGAGTGAAGTCATACTCACCACCGAACCTGTTCTGAATTTTGCACAAATCGCTGTTCTGACTTGTCAGCGCGCGCAAGGCGACAAGAACAAGGCCATGCGGGAGGCGTGGGTGCGGTTATGCGGTACGTATCAGAGTAAAGGCGGAATTTTGGCTCTGCCTGAGGTTCGGAGGGTGCGTTTCATTTTATTTAGCTATGCATGTCGCTCGTCTTGATCCTAACACTAATCCGGTTCTAGTCCCTGAGCGAGCTGGGAACACTTTACTTTGCCATTCCCCAGCCGCGCTCGCAGGCAGCTAATCCTCTTGGCGACATGCTCGCGTCGATGTTTGGTGGTCCTTCCCCTACGCAACCAACGCGCCGAGTTCTGAAACCAGCAACTCCCTCTTCCTCTGGTCTCGACTGAGCTAGACTCTATCTTCGTCTCCCTTCGTCTCCATGGTGGATACACAGATGTTCTCAAGCTGTACTCAAGGACAAAGTGTACATGGGCTAGGATTCTCTTGCGCGCGGATTGTTGCATTAATGAAATGACGGAATGGGCTCAACACACAGTGTACATTACTCTCATCTTTGTTAATCGAATGCATATGATGTAGCGCACGTCAGACGATCCCAGTATCTCATGCACCTGTAGTTGATTAATTGATTCCTGGAGGTCGTCACCTAAGCGCCCAACCGGGCCGCCAAAGCTTGCTACTTACTGTCACTCAGTCACTGGCGAAAATACCATTTTGCACCGCGACGCGGTACGGCACCAACACTCAGGCTGGTTCTCCCGACCTCAACGACTACATTTCCTCCGCCAAATGGTGGTTTCGCCACCGCAAAGCCTCTGATGATCGGCCCGAGTACTTTGAACGCAGACTCGAATCTCAACACACTCACGAAGCTCTAGCTTTTGTCTTATACTCTCATGGCAGTCTCCAAAGCCCTCAAATTATACTCGGAGAAGCTGGTCAAAATCTGAGACCAGTTGGAGCAGTTACGACCACCTGAGCAACCAAATTTCACGGCGACACATGTCTTATGATGTCTACACGCAGTCTTTGGATTACATACGAGCCACTCAAAGGCGACGAACTAGGCGTACCCATGGCAGCGACACTTAGATCAGGCTTTTCTTCTCGTACTTGGATAGCGCTACCACGTAACTGGAAACCCACTCTCGAGCTTGAATGCTGGATATTTCGTCTTGTCTTGTCTTCTCATTTCAGTTGTGAAAATTTGGGGTGCCACTCTACCAGCTCTGCCTGTCCGAAAACACTTTGGGACTCGTGACATCGGAAGCAGGATCCGCCGTCCCCGCTTCTTATAAAACGAGTCTCTATAAATACTGAGGAGGCTCTCCTCAGTGTTGTCTTTGTGCTTGTACTGTCACAACTACCCAGTTCAACTACATACTATCAACGATCTTAACGCTTTCGGCGACGCAGAGACGTGCTATCAATGATGCGCCTCCACACCTCCTCGCATTTCTCGACACTTAGAAACGATTTCCATGCCTCCTTTCTGGAATTTGTGGGGACATTTGTCTTCCTCTTGCTGGGTTTAGGCGGAATTCAAGCAGCCCAGTCCCTCTCCGACCCAGACACCTCAGCAGCGATGACCGAAAATCTCCCTCCAATGGCATCGGACACCCAACGCTACCTATACATCTCCACATCTATGGGCTTCTCTCTCCTTGTCTCAGCATGGTTATTCTTTAGAATCACCGGCGGGTTGTTTAATCCCAACGTATCTCTTTCATTGATGTTGGTGGGCGCGATCCGACCAGTGCGGTGTGCCATGTATTGCATCGCACAGTTGGCGGGAGCCATCGCAGCCGCGGCGGTGGTGCGAGGCTTGACGGAAGGGCGTTTAAGGGTGAAGTGAGTATAATTACCGTTGTAAATGTGACAAATTTAACTGACTGCTTTCAGCACGGCTCTCGGGCCCAGAACATCGCCCGCCCAAGGCGTTTTCATCGAAATGTTCATCACTGCCGCCTTAGTAGTCTCTGTGCTGATGTTAGCAGCAGAGAAGCATCAGGCTACCCCTTTCGCGCCGGTAAGTCATCTTTCGTTTCCCAATCATCCTGCCCCTTTCATCTTGCGATTCTGCGATGGAGCCGAACTCAACCCGAACTTTCTGTGTTGCCCTCTATCTGACACTCTTGGCACCCCCAGATCGGAATTGGGTTGACCCTATTCTCCGGCCACCTGTGCGTATCATCTTCCATCCTTCGACACCACACTGCTTGTGTGCTAATTGTAGTTGTATCAATCAGTTTTGCCGTGTATTACACCGGTGCGGCAATGAATACTGCAAGGTCCTTTGGACCGGCGGTCGTTACGGGATTCCCTGACTCGCACCATTGGGTGGTGAGTTTCCTCTGTCACGGATAAGTCTCACCGAGATCCTCATTTGCCGTCGCTCCGTCTAGTATTGGCTTGGCCCGTTCCTAGGCTCCCTGCTGGGCTCGGCGTTTTACGGTCTTCTTAAGCAGTAAGGCCCCACTATCCTTGTGCGACCCATATCAGGTCCTGAATACCTTACTTCTTTAGCTATCGTTACTGGGTTTTAGTCGTTGATGAGGTTACCGATGACCAACCGAAGCTAGTTGAAGATCCTACGGCGACGTTTGTTGACAAGTCGCCGAGACTGAGCGAACAACAGTGCTCGCGCCCACGGGGTCCCTTAAGCTTACAGCCCACTACCACGGATTCCAACACGGATGGATCCGACGATGGCAAGACTCCGTGCACGGAAAAGGCCTCCGTGGGTTCATCGTCTTTGCTTACTCCGAATGTCGCCCCTGCGTTGAGCGAGCACGGACTCGGGGTGGCGGAAATCAGCGAAGAGGCAGGGTTCGCAAGGGGGAAGGAGAGCAACAGGTGCCCAGTCTGATTCTCGAATCGGAATGATATCTAAATCCGTGGTAATATCCACATTCCGCAACAAATATACATCATATCATTCATAAATTACATTCATCTGACTTCGACCAGTATACGTCCTTGGCGAGATGCCAGTCTAATCAGTCAACGAGTGGTCTCAATCTTCTGGTCCACGGTGATTATCAGCTGCTGAAAAAAGTAAGAAGGCTCATCCGATTGCACGTTGGAGGCGGATAAAGGGCAATACTTACCTGGCGCGGCAAATTGCTAGTATGACGAGAGTTCTCGTCGTGCGAAGGAACGATGTGGGATGGATACTTGGATACAACACTACCGGTATTCCACGTGTTCAACTCTAAAGGTACGGTGGATACTCCGTGTTGCTTGTCGCGAAGTGAGCTCCGCGCATTCAAAGTTGCTAGGAGCGCGTTGAGGTATACTATTGAGTGAAACGGCGGTGTCAGGGACATGGCAATACGGTGATGCAGTTACTTACGTGCCGATAGGCAGAAATAAAAGCCCATGAAGATGAGTTCTGCCGGCCAAATAGCGTACTAAAGGCGAGGATCTTCGTTGTCAATATCTCCTGTTTTAAAGTTCTTCGAAACCTACGGTGATGAAACACAGGCCGGTGCATAAACTGGCGATACAAGTTAGTATACAGAGAGATTCTGAGACAGGCACGAACGTCGTGAAGAGTCCTAGATCCCACGCAATTAGAGGGACCAAAGATCAGACGAGGGAATATGCACGCGTACCTGTGTTAATCGTGTAAAGCATCAGTGTGTTTACGAGCGAGTCCGTTCTGAGGCGATAGTTGAATTCGACACGAAAAACGCATTGCGGGGGAAGGTATACCTCTTGAATCCAGTGCGAGATCTCAGAAGGGAAATGACAAGCGAGACGGCGATTACGACGTCAGCTGCAACGCCCGAAGACAAAGCAGTGTACATCATCCACTGCAAGTCAATACCCGTCAGTGAGGGGGACGCTATCGTCACACAACACATACCGATATTGACTGAAATGCTAGGAACGATCCCAGTTCGAATCTGACACAGACCGCAAGATCAATGACCAATACTTATGAAGGGGGGGGGGAGCTTACGCTTTGGATGCAAAGACTGGAGTCAAGGCGGGCCAGTTCGTTAACTCAACTTGAAGCTCGTTCATGTTTGAGGACTTACCAAAACCAACGACTAGGCGTAACGCGTCGTTGTTAGGGCAGGGAAGTAGCGAACAACAAAGAGGGAATAGCTTACTTGCCGTAAGTAGAGAAAATACGGCCTTCACAATATACTGCCGTCAATCCCGATGTCCTCGCGAAAGAAAGGAGTAACTCACGATCAGGATGACTACGAAGTACTTCTTCCCGCTTACTGGTAAGGAGCATGAGATTATTTGGACAAGTGCTGAGTCGAGTGGACTTACAGAGCCATACTCGGCGGGCAAAGACTCTGAGCAACGGTGAATTACCATCTTAGTGCAACTCGGATTAGATGAGACCCACCCGCGGACAATCAGATCACTGATGCACTATAAATGTTGCTCGGGATCGCATGACTTGTCGAAAATTTCAATCGGATCACTTACAGTGACATAGACTTGTGCCTAGCAATCAAGTACGAGGTCAGACAGGCGATGGAGCGGGTGCTCGCAATGTGCGTACCAGAATACTCCTAGATTTGGGATGGTGTCACTCCTGGTTCTAAAATGGTTCAAAGGCGGCTGAACTTACCACGAAGGCACCACCACAGCTTCAGGATTGGCGAAATTGGTTATCATGTAGAAATAAAGAGCGTGCGTGACGAGCGCGAGATGGAGTGTGTCAAGGGTCCTTGGGTGATAGTTAGCCCAATTAATCGACCTAACCCAGCGACCTTAAACTGCTCCGGGGCTTACCATAGAAAGAAAATCTAGTTGCAAGAGAATGAGTATTGGATATGTCCCCCGTTCAGTAGACAGATGTGCACGTACGAGAGCCTTGAAAGTCCGTCTATCCTTTTCGCTACTTCTGAAAAATATATACGTCTGGACGCTCGTTATTCCGTAGAATCTGTTCGTTCAAATATTCCATGGCGCGTCTTGAGAGCGAAGTTATGAGTAAGCACATACATTGCTGCAGCAGTGTTGCCTAGAAAGGCGGCGCCGAGCTTGCTATCCAACCCTAGGTCCGACGGAGGGGAGGATGCCATGGAAGGGGTCTGGGGTTGTCGTCCACGCTCTCACAGTGCCATGGACGTTATATAACTTGACAGCGTAACCTCTTCATTTCCCTTAACACAGCTCGGGCCGAGTGCAATGACCGGGGAAGGTGTAGCTGAGAGAGAGAGTTAAACTTAGATGCTCCCTCCAGTCACTTGTCTTTGCCAAGGGCAATCATTCAGACTGGGTTTGATGACACCGTAAAAGGCGGTATCAGAAATGCTGGCATGCCTTCTTTGCCACCGCTGGGTCAGCGCTCATGTCTACTGCCACAACGTATGTACACTCCCAGACATGAGCGACACTGAGAACCCTCACCAAAACGGGAATGTCATCTGACATGGGAACGAGTTCCAATGATAGGCCAGCATCCGTGCATACGCCCCGGTCGTTTCGCAGCCGTCCATACTTTCACATCGTTTCCGATAAGACAAGTTGCTGGCTGGGTTGGACTCGCCGGCTAAACGTCGCGGAGTATCAGCGTCAGCGTGAGTGGGGATGATCGGGTTTGGTGAAGATAGGCTTTATTCGTGGTGCCGTATGTAAGTTCCAAGACGTCGATTGTCGAGTGGGTCAATCAGCTAGTACGAGTCGAACATGATGGTGATGGTTGACTGTGGTGATTCTAGCGCACGTGCCCCCTTAAGCTCGTACTATCGTATATCTTACTGGATATGGGGTTTGACGTTCAGCAGATGAGGGTCGATGCAGTGTGAATAAATAAAACGGAACAGACAACAACAGGTGTCAGGGATGTGGTAAATCAATATAAAGAATCAAAATCATTAACGCCTGAGCCTGATGCATCATTGGTACAGCCCATGGAGGCCGTACGGAGGTCTATCATGGCACTAAGATGAGTGTTGACTGCGGACATTGGTTAAGTATATGTGATGTTCATTTAAATTGATTGAGCGGCGACTTACTACGATTATTGTATGCTGTTAAGTGTATTATTTGCCTAAGAAGGTCGCTGATTGATTTTTCTGTTGCATCTTTCTCTGTACGCAATCGCTGATTTTTTGCCTCGATGTCAACGATTTTGTTCCTCAGATTTTGATCAGCATGCTCTCTTGATTGTTTGAATTCATCAACGATGTGAGTGCAAGGAAGATAGAAAAGACAGAATGCAACATACAAGCTCGACGAGTCTCAGCATGGTTGTGTTTCTCTGTTTGAAACTTATTCTGCACTAAGAAGAATGGTGAATAGGAATAGAGTAGATTTTAACAAAGGTTGCTTACAGTGGATGATGTACTTGCGAGTCGCTTGCTGCTCCGATAGAAATTGATCCTTGACTAATGAAGCAGGTTTACCATTACGGCCACATGGACTTTCAATACATACTCTCGACATCACTGTCTAGAAGGCATGGTGAAAATGGTCTACAGAGTTCAACTCTGATAAGCGAGACTCACTATCTACCCAGCGCGGTCGTTTCTGTGAAATTGATGTCTTTGAGATTGTAATTGATTTCCCCGGTCGTTCATGGGTAGTATCACCTTGACCATCATTATCAGCGTCGTCGTTGGCATTGCCATCACTATCTGTATGAAGTATCATTTCTGAGCTAGCGTCTGGTGAAACATTACAATCATCTGACCATCAGTGTCGATGTCCATCTTCCGTTTCTGTGAGGACTTGTTTGCAATGCTACCTCTCTCGGCCTCCAACATTGCACGAATGATGGGGGTGTAGTCGTGTGATTCCGTGCTTGACTCGGAGATCTGAGTGACATTCACTAACCCCTTCCGACCATACCAATACTATCACTTAGACAGATTTGCAAAATTTTGGACAATTCAACCTGGTGCTCCAGATTGGATGTCCCTACAACTCCCGGCATGCTACGAGAGGTTGTCGCTCATCTTGTCTAAATACCTATCAACTTTTTGAGTGAATCCCTTTCCGAGTAGTAGAGCAATGACGATGCCGGTACGACAAGTACCCAAAAACATAGATTTGCAAACTTTTCGTCACAGTGTGTCACGCTCAGTATTTTATCACAGTCAGAAAATACTGACTTTGGCGGACTTGGGCGGACTTTGCTGGACTTAGGCCGAAAATTTGACTGTGAATAGACTGGAAATCGATTTTGTGGGTCCCCCTCGCGTATCTGAGAAATACGGTCAAATCTAGTCAGCTGGCGTCTAAGGTCAGTACAGATAAGTCAACACAATTGACCTGCTGTTGGCACTGTCGCACGGTCAGTAATAGTCAGGGTTAATCGTTACACGGTCAGGTACGGTCAAAGGGTCGAGTCTTTGCAAGTCCTAGTAAGTAGTCTCACGGTCAGTATCAGTCATTGCAAGTCGAGTAAAGGGTCGTGGAAAGTCACAAGAGGTCAAAATAAGTAGGGCAAGGATCCGTCACTTCAGTCAATGTAAGTCCATTTATGCCATGAAGAAGTCATCCAAGGTCTGCCGAGCATCGTTTCCGCTGTCAATACTAGTCTATCACAGTCCTACTACGTCTGTTTAAGTCTGAGATTTGTCATTTTGATTCTGTTTATGATACTTCACACAGTCAAGATTAGTTGTACAATAAGTCTATGCGAAGTCTTTTGAAGTCACAACTCGGTCAACTTAGGTCATGAATGGTCAGAGAATAGGTCACTTCACAGTTCCCACAGTCATTGTAAGTCAAATGAAGTCATGTTTCTTGTCTCTAACAGGTCATAAGAAGTCGTCCAACAGTCTAAAAATGCGTACAGAAAAGTCATAAAAGGTAAAAAAAAAGTGACATCTCAAGTCAAGAAAGGTCGCAAAAAGTTAAAATATATCTATATGAGTCAGAAAAAGTGAAAAAATAGTAAAAATACGGCGTACGCGGCCACATCAGTTCATACTGCTGGAATCGATGGTGGCGAGATATAATTAGGAAGCAAATTCGCCGGCATTTACGATAATGCGAGAGGCGCGAGGGGTTTGCGACAGATTGTTTGTGGATTCCGCTGCAGCAGAGCTGCCCAATTTGGCAGATTTTGCCCCAGGAGCCTTTATCTTCTTGACACAGGCACGCTGTTAAGAGTAGCATATTAATATAAATAAAGAGCCGTTGCGAGTGGAATACCTTCGCGATAACGTCTTCGAGCTCATCCAGAGTGGGACGCATAGTGGGTGGGAGAGCCGCGAGGGCGGATGCACCTGTATCAAATAAGTTAGATGTTCAACGGAGATCCCAATGACCTACATGTTTCCTTATTCATATGTCTTACACCGGGGATCTGCTTCTTGGCAGCAATTGTCCGGAGCTCGGGTACATGAAGAGACTGTAGCCAAGGTATTAGAGGTATACCCACACACGATGTGACACCACTTACTCTTAGCTTCGATTGCAGCGCTGTCGTATCATCGTCTGGGAGCGCGAAAGGGTCGTCAAGGTTGCCGTCGGCCATTGGGTCCGCATTTCCAGAATTATCGAGGCCATCTGCTATGGCGAGGCCCACGCTTTGTTCCTCTGTCGGTGAAGCGGCTGGCGGCGCAGGGGGCAACGTGGCTGATACTGCTGGACGTTCTATTACTCGAGCCTTGCCCTTGAAAGACGGCTGTAAAGAAATTAACATACAACGTTAGAGTAGGAGAATATAACTTACCCCCCCAGATCGTTTCCACACATCGGAGAGCGTTGATAAAAGTCGATCGATGTACATATCATTCAAGTAACTCGTAGGCTTCGGAGTATGGTCGAGGCACAACAGCCGAGCGGCCTTGCTGGTAGCCAATGCCGCGGCGATCAGTTGACGTGCCATGTCAGTATTGCCCACTGCGGACCAGGATGTGATGACGGTGCCAATGGTGAGAGACCCTGACGTCCATTGCCAATGCCCCCAGCTTTCATATAGATCGTCCTCGTTGTCAACGCAATTGGGATCAGCGGTTTTCACGCGCGCCAACAACGCTTTGGCCTCGCTCGACGGAAAACCTTGGCCTCCGTGTGTTGGGGCATGTTCCATTGCATCGAGAAGCTCCAACCCAGTAGTAACGACGGCCTCGGCAAGCCGGAGCTCGGGACTTTGGAGTGTTCCTTAAAGGGAAGTTAGCAAAGGTCGAATGCAAGGGCAATCGACCTACGGCGAAGGTTTTCATCTATTCAAAAATTAGCTAAAGGTTGCGTGAAGTAAACGAGGCAACTTACAATTATCGTTGACTTTCACAGCAGCGAGAGACTTGGTTACAAAGGACACCTGAGAAGTGGGTGGGGCGGGTGCTGTAGACGACAGAGGAAGGGATGAAGTAGATACTACAGACGGAGGCGGAAGGGACTTTGGAGCTTCTTGGGTAGATACGTCTGATAAAGGCCGGTTCGATGATGATGGAGACATGTTGCGAAGGGGAGAGTGGAGGCTTTGAGGTCGGGTTTGCTTTGTCGGCGAGGCGGGGGGCAGCTTCGATGATGCCTTTGCTGCTTGCCTATGTTCTACAGCCTTTGGGGAGGCAAACCCTGTGAATCGGCGTTAGTATGAAGATACAATGATATTTTAACAGGAATTACCGGTACGATTTCGCTTTGAGGGTCCGGGATGTAATGGCGTAACCTCGTTCGCGGTTCGCTTAGACTTCTGAGGCGTGGCGGGTGCATTCTGCTGCGCATGCTTTCCATCGTTGACAGAGCCGTCGCTATCGCTCCCAGCAATCTTGGCCGAGCGGGCTCGCTTGGCCTCCCTCGGGGGGCCCTTGATTCGTACCATGGCCTGACCAAGCAAGTGGTCTGCCTTCCAATGGGCAGAGCAGATGGCCACATCCCCGTGCTGCTCTTCAAGCAGGATGATGGCGCCGTACCAGAGGTGGGGACATTTCGTTCGGTAGTAATCGCGAGGCTGGTTCTTATTTGCCTGATGCTTGATTGGGTGAAGGGCAACAATGCGTCCGGCGAGATTCAAGGCAGTGCGTTTGATGATCGAAACGAGCGCGGAGTCGAGGGGGTTTCCGTTGGAATCCCGAAGTGCTTTGCCAAACGAAGGGCGGTAGGGGTTCGATGTAGAGAAACC